TAACACCCTAACACCCTAACACCCTAACACCCTAACACCCTAACACCCTAACACCCTAACACCCTAACACCCTAACACCCTAACACCCTAACACCCCTAACACCCTAACACCCTAACACCCTAACACCCTAACACCCTAACACCCTAACACCCTAACACCCTAACACCCTAACACCCTAACACCCTAACACCCTAACACCCTAACACCCTAACACCCTAACACCCTAACACCCTAACACCCTAACACCCTAACACCCTACACCCTACACCCTAACACCCTAACACCCTAACACCCTAACACCCTAACACCCTAACACCCTACACCCTAACACCCTAACACCCTAACACCCTAACACCCTAACACCCTAACACCCTAACACCCTAACACCCTAACACCCTAACACCCCAACACCCTAACACCCTAACACCCTAACACCCTAACACCCTAACACCCTAACACCCTAACACCCTAACACCCTAACACCCTAACACCCTAACACCCTAACACCCTAACACCCTAACACCCTAACACCCTAACACCCTAACACCCTAACACCCTAACACCCTAACACCCTAACACCCTAACACCCTAACACCCTAACACCCTAACACCCTAACACCCTAACACCCTAACACCCTAACACCCTAACACCCTAACACCCTAACACCCTAACCTAACACCCTAACACCTAACACCCTAACACCCTAACACCCTAACACCCTAACACCCTAACACCCTAACACCCTAACACCCTAACACCCTAACCCTAACACCCTAACACCCTAACACCCTAACACCCTAACACCCTAACACCCTAACACCCTAACACCCTAACACCCTAACACCCTAACACCCTAACACCCAAGAATAAAATTATTATTAATTATGCAAACAGTGGAAAATGCTAAGGAAATTTAAGATTATTATATAATTATTATAATGATGACTTATTAGAATCAAATTTTTTTCTAAATATGCATTTTTTGGAGTAGTTCAATACGGTCTTGGCCTAATGCGTCGTTAATAAAATTGATATCCTCCGTAGAAAGGTTCCATTCAATTGAGCCAAGCTGAAAATGCTAATAGGTGTGCTTTCAAATTTACTTCCTAATTGCAAATATTTACAAAAATTAGGGTATCGTCATGCTCTTTCTTTGAGCAAATTCCAGTGGTATCAGTCTGCTCTGCATACTATCACTTCTTTTCCTTCCTCCAGCTTCTTCTTTATATATTCTTCATACTTTTCACCGTACAGCAACACTTGCATTAGTCCTATTCCTCTTCAGTCTAAGCCCATTTTTTCTAGTTGCATCAGAAGTTCAGTTCTAACATGATTGTATCTTGTATATTCTGTTAATAAATGCTCTTTAGTATCGTGCAGGTTGCACAGGTGACACTGTCCATCCTGCATCTGGTGTCTAAGTTGTGCATTGGCAGTCCTCATAATAATATAAGCAATCTTTATTACTGCATTCCGGTTTATATATTTCATTTTGAATCATTATTGGAAAAAACCATCAATATGCCCCACAATAATGATTATCAATTCAGAATCCCAATTATTACAGGCTCCATCTCAATTACCATTTCATAGTATATTAATTAAGCAGCCAGGACCGCAAGTGCAATCTCCTCCAGTCAAAGCCACAATTTTGAGTGTTGAAAGAATCGTCACATATGCCATTTCAAAGGTTTTCTGGCAACAGCAATCGAATTAATGCAAATCTTATAGTAATCAGAGCTTTTTTCGATATTTTGCCTGCCAAATATAATTAAAGTATCAAAGTTGGAAGATGGATTCATGTATTCAGAATCACATTTGTGATTGCCTTTCTAAATTAAAATTACTCTGATATAGAAATTCCCCAATTTTGGTCTCTTAGAGTGGGCGTTTTATTCTCCAAGTCAAATCGGGATAATAAATCTTTTTAATTTTGCAGAGATTTTCATTCAATTTCAAATCAGAGAGGTGGATGACCTCTAGAAGAAGCTAAAATGAAAAAGGGACTATATCTGGGCATTAAGTTTGACTGCATATAAGGTTTATGCCTTTAGCCAGTCATAGAACTAGCTATATAATTCATTTATTTATATTTTTGAATTACATAAAATTACATTATATCCTAATCAAGGTTCAGACTTATTCTCTGAAAAATTAAGAATTAGCATTCTCACAGTAAATAATTCTATCTTTAAATTGTCAAAAATAGTCATTAATTATAATTTATTTTCCTCGATAAAGGCATCAAAATCGCATAGAGACTGATTTCTTTCAAGAAATCGATAGACATTTTTAATTTTACCTAATAAATCTGCTCTTAGCCCTTCAATCCTTTATATTAAAACCCATTAATTATCTCGATATTCTTCATCTAAAACAAATTATTATTCTTATTAGCTAAGTATATAATCATTTCTCTTAAGAATTTCTTAAACTCATCCATATAAACCCTGCTATCACTATTTTCATCAATTTCAACAAAAATTTCATCTAAATCTGTATCACTTATGGGCAGCTCAATCTCATCTGAAACTTCCTGAAATAAGGATCTTATATCTCCTTTGGCTAAATATCCCCTTCTATTAGCATCTAGTCTTTCAAACGCAATTTTTGCCAATAAGCCCAATTTCTCTTCATCCTCAGCAATCTTTCTCATTTCTTCTAAATCAAAAGCCATCATCTTTTTATGATAAATTTATATATTATTAGGTAATTAATTAATATTTTGTTTTATTAGTTTCCTTATTTTATTTGAAATCATTACTTATATACAGTATCTTCGCATATGAGAGCCCTAATATCAACTATTTAATATCTAACAGGAATTGTAGTTTTTCATATAGCAGCCAAAGTGTCAAAACTTTCATATTCTAAGCTTAATTCATAAGGGATCAGATTAGGAGCTGAATGATAGTTATGATAAGGAAATCGACGGCTATGTGGGGCTTATCCATCACTCTTGAAGGCTTTAATTTAAAAGCAGCTTATCTTCAATGATAATCCTAAAATATATTTATTTAGTCAAATTCATCTATCATCTAATTAATGCTAAATCTCTCAAATTGCAGCACTAAAATCATAATATGTTTAGTCTTATTAGTAAGCATTATTTTATATTACTTCTTAAAATTGTTGCTTAAACTAAATTATATCTTCATCTAGTTCCACTAGACGCCTGCTGTTCTGCTCTCCCATTGCTCCTCATAAATTAGGCATGCGCATTACTATTAAAGAGATAACTAGGCAACATTTGCACGTCAATGCTTCATCCAAAATTGGCTCATTGGGCTTCTAGGTTTTTCTAAACAGAGTGTAGCTGAATTTGGAATGCCCTAAAATGGACTTTTGGAATCTTAAAGATGTAAAGCAGTCAAGCATAGAACTCCATTACTTACTCTCTCTGGCTTACGGCCAAACAAGGTCCCTACTAATGCAAGATTAGAAGCTTGAAAAGTTTCCATAATAGCCATTTTACATGTATCATGCTCGAGCCATTAGAAATAGTGAGCCTACCAATATTCAACAATAAGGTCTTCATGTCTTGAAGCCTAACGACAATAGATGCTAAGGGGGTGTCTCATTGTCTCACTATTTTAATTTATCATCCCTAAGCTATCCATTTTGTAGCTTATCATTCTGGGAAATAGATCCCATAAATATTGTAAATACTCAATAGCAAACTTTCAAAATAAAAATCCAGATTTATATAACGAGTTCAAAAGAAGCCTTGATGAAGGAGAAATTCTGATTTTAAAATCAATAATTAAAGATTAAATAATAGATGAGTGGGTTATTTAATAATATAGTAGTAAATAAGGGGATAAGAGTCAAATTAAGTCGAAAATACATTATAATCATTTGAAATATTTAGATGCAAAAAAATTATAAGTAACATATAAAATATGCCAATTTTATGTGATTGAAACACCCTTTTTCAGTAAAAAATATTTGGGTCCTAGTCTCTAAAATAGGCTTAGATTTTGACAAATCAATTGCATCACTCTCTTAATGCAGTATTAAAACTTATCCCTTATATTTTTATTTTGTTTTTCCAAAATGTTTTTTCTTGCTCTTGATTATGCTAATGCACATAATTCATTGCTAGAATTTTGAATCTTTATATTGTTGGGGTTAAAATTCAATTAGTAAATCCTTCCAATAAGCAAGTCTAGTCAAAATGCAATAGGCATGATTTGCACTTTTCCATCTATGCTAGCTTCAAAAAGATGTAATGGTAATTCAATATTTTTATTATTTAGATAGGGTTTAAGATTTAAGGCTAAATCTATGATGAGGATTTTACATCAATTATGCATAATTTTTAAATTATATTAAAATTAACACATAGGATTATTAAATTCTTTTAAAAATTAACTCGGTTTATTATGCCTTAACCCTAAATATTCTTGAAATTGAATTTCCTAATTTGCTAGAGTTTTATTTATTTCATTTTTATATTATAGTGCTTAGATAAAAATTTCTATTTGACGTAAAAGACCCTGATAAATGTATATATTTTTCGCCATTATAAATTACCGATTTTATGCTGATCTTGCCCGAACTGCTTCATCTTATAAAAATTTATTTTAAAAATCTCAATAAGCCTTATAGATCTTAAATTTTTCAAACTATTATTGAGACTTGGTATTTTTGCTGTCACCAACTTTGGCAGAAATTGATAAAATGCTTTTATAATTCTAAAGTGACTTCTGAGCACAATATTTTCGGGTAGCCCGCTGGGAACTTCAGCAATCTTTATCTTATTATCGAGCTGCAACAGCAGCCAAGCCATCCAATTGGATCTTCTTTTAATCAACTAGTAATTTTTGTCTGCATCATCTTGATCCTCCTATTATCCATGTGTTAGTCCTAATCTTCTTGAGAAGATGTGGCCATTATAAAAAATGAAAGCAAGTATTAGGCTTTTCTCTACATTTCTTCTTACTCTGCCCAAAAAAAGCCAATCTTCATTGTTTGCAGGTTAAAATGATTTTGGTAAATGATGAAGAATTAATTAAGTTTTTAACTAAAATAAATTAATTGATATCAATTGTTATAAAGTTAAAAATTCTGCTCATTCGCAAAATAAAACGATTATCCTAGGATTATTAATTATGCAATGCTAGTTTTTTGAAGGGGATTTAGCTTCGCTTTTTCTATTACAAGCAAAATCCCAAGTTTTATCGATCCTTCTTTTCTTTCTCCATTAAAACTCGTCCAAGAAGAACTTCAAATTGACTACATTATTGATGCTAAAAGCGACTTTGATGAAATCTCAAAGCAATTTCTCACAGAACTTCTAGAAAATTCCATTCAAGTTGTATCCTACCTTCTTCAAGATGCTCAAGCAACTATATCGCCATCTGCATCCAACAGCTCATTTTGTCCTGAAATTGAATGAATAGCCTATTCAGAGAATTTTCATTCAGATATCATTTTGCTTATTGCAAATGATAAAAAATCAAGATATCCGTTAAGTTTTGAAGACTGCTCTTCAGATCTTTATCCTGCAAAACTTGGGCTTATAAAGGTAAACATGCCTCTACTTCTTGCCGAAAATGACATCTCAACAATTTATACAATAGTTGAGAGCTTATCAAAGGCTTACCTTGGAAATGCTGAAATTCTTGAGAAGCTTGATGAGATATTTAATTCAAACTTGGGTGCTTCTTGCACTATAGCATGCAAAGTTTGCAATACCAATACAGGTTCATGTGTTACATGCTAATCCATTATAAATTAATAAAAGCATCTAAATGGTTAGTCAAAACTCTGTATTCTTATAATATAATAAAATTTAAGGTCAATTATAGAACATTTTATTCTATGCAATAGATATATGACTCTGCTCATATGAAAATAAAAAATGGGGTTTGTTATTGCTCTGACCCGAACGCAATATATTTCTCCCCAACAAACTCTTGTGTATGCAAGAATGGCTACTATTTAAATAGCACAAGCTTGTGTACACCATGTCCTGCAATTTGTGCCTCTTGCTCAAGCTCAACAAACTGCTTATCCTGCATAAACCCTACCCAAATGACTCTTTATAATAACTGATGCTATTGCTCATTTCCTGAAGGATCAGTCTTTAATTCTACTTTAAATATTTGTAATTGTCCCGATGGTACATGGACTTATGGAGATGCATGCCAAGCATGCAATGCAACTTGCAGCTCTTGCATTAATCTGGATACTTGCACATCATGCAGTGATTTTGGAATAATAAAAAAGTGTAAATTATTGGCATTTTTAAAAAATTTTGAAAGCTAAATTTAAAATAACGAATAAACTCCCTCCCTCCGTGAGCGAACAAAAAAATTTTGTTCGCTCACAGACTTTTTTTTTTTAAATTTATATATATAAATTTTTGTGCTGATTTTTTTCAAGATTTAAAAAATTTCAATTCATAAAATTTAATTTAATTTGCAATTTTTATAAGACTTAATAATTTAGTTATCTATTATTATTATTTTTTGCAAAGTAGGCAAGGCGATTTATAAATTTGTCGAAATAATCCTTTTCCACTAATCCGTGATTCTGCTAATATGAATTTAATTGGAGGAATTTGCAGCTGCAAAGATCCAAATGCCATTTTTAACGAAACATTAGGACTCTGTAAATGTGAAGAAGGATATTACATGGAAAATGCAATTTGTAATGCATGTCAACCACCATGTGAAACATGCAGCAATGCAACTTTTTGCAATTCGTGCATCATATCAAGCATGCCTTTAATTGGTGGCAACTGCACTTGTCCTGCAAATACTACATTCAGCAAATCTGAAGACAGCTGTGTTTGCGATATTGGAATGTTTTTAAATAGTGACCAAGTTTGTGAGCCTTGTCTACCAGAATGTGCTACTTGCAATAATGCAACATCATGCTTAACTTGTATTGACCCAGATTTTATGACAATTGAAAATGGCATTTGCTATTGCAATTCTCAGGGAAGCTTTAATACAACTACTCGAGAGTGTACTTGTCCTGCTGGACAGTTTGGGTTTATCCTCGACTTCTTAATCAGGTGCAACAGTCTCCTTTGCCTTCAGGCTTTAATCTTGAGGGTTGGCTTATGCATTTCTGCCACCCCGCAATAGGTATGGAGAAGCTTAGCTCAAATAATTATTTACTTGAGGTCTAGCAAATGTCATTTATTTTCTTCATCAGCTACAGAAAAGTTTTCTCTTTATGGAAAGCCAAAACCGGTTTTCGGTAGATGCGACACCCAAGGGTTTATAGAGCATTGCTTAAAGATCTCCGTTTTAGACACAGTAAAGGATTATGTCCTAATATATTTACTAAGGTTTCTCTTTATTTCAGCATGCAGCTTGAAATCCATTTACTTCTCCGAGGCCTTGTAGCTATAGTTATTATACCAAAAGTGAGAGCTAACAAGTGCTACCATTTTAATTTATAGATATTTGAACAGTTTAGAGAGAAGGTTCAACTTGTGCTTCATGTTCTAATACTGGGTGTGCTGCCTGCAAAAACGCAACATATTGTATATCTTAATACCATAATGATAAAATGGCGATGCATGCGAAATTCACTAGCGAAATTTCCTCTTTTATCATTATGAGGTTCAGCTTTCCCAGAATCCTTATCCAGCTAGAAGGTAAGCTAATGGGAGTGCTGGGCAACCTTCTGGCCTCATCTTTGGGTACTTGAAAGATTAGGGTTTAATCCACCAGCACACCTGAGGAAGTTCCTTTAGGTGGGAATTCTTTCAGGAGCTGAGTAACGCCCATAAGCAAGCATCTAGTAAGAAGTGCAGCAAGGCTGGTGGTGCCACTTGTTTAGCAGGCGGTGCTGAAATAAGCCAAAATAAGAGCAGAATCGCCCGCTGACGTCACTAGTTTGACAATATCCCTATTTTAGGGGACAGAACCAGAAACTATCGGCATTAGATAATAAATAAGTAAGCGTATCTTGCTACACTACATCTTATGGTGGGTATTTTAATTATGAACTGGTAAACGGTAGTCTCATTTTTTTAAGTATCATTCGCTTCAACCAAGGTATGCCAAAATAAAAATAAAAGATATTTATAGAACAAGATCTTAATAAATTACAGTAGATAAGTATGCCATTTCTTATAAATAACTAAATAAAAAAAATTAATTAGAGATGCGAGCATTACTCAAGTATACTACATTTAGCAAAACATAAACCCCACCCCTGATCTAACATAAACCCCTTCAATGCCATACTACCTATGTTCGATAATAAGAAATATAAGAGATACTGTAGCATTTTCACTCCTTCGCTATTAAAACGCAATTTATAGTATACTAATTGACCAAGAATAGCCCACTAAGGAGCCATTCTTGGTCTGCCAGAAAAATTTTGACAAAAGATCCTAATCTGCCATTACCACTTGAGTTTTGGTGTTTTCCAAATTTTTTGGGCAAGCCAAACGCAATAAAAAAAATTGTTCTTTTGCGATGATGCATTTGGCTTGTCAAAAAAATTTGGTAACATCAAAACTCAGTGGTAATGGCAGAAAAGATCCTAATCTGCCATTACCACTTGAGTTTTGGTGTTTCCAAATTATTTTGACAAGCCAAATGCATCATCGCAAAAGATCAATTTTTTTTATTGCGTTTGGCTTGCCCAAAAATTTGGAAACACCAAAACTCAAGTGGTAATGGCAGATTAGGATCTTTTGTCAAAATTTTTCTGGCAGACCAAGAATGGCTCCTTAGTGGGCTATTCTTGGTCAATTAGAATATGTTTATACACATATTTAATACTTCACTTCATATCCCTACTATATACAAAATTTTTATTTGACTATCAAATTAAACTCATATTTTTGGATTTAATTTAAATGAGATATATCATTTTTTTATATATACAATAACTATTTGGGTAAATTAAATTTGTTAAAAATCAATTAGTTTAACGAAGTCGATTCTAAACATTGTATTTGTCTATGAAACATAATTATGCTTGAATTGATTTATTTGTTTCTATCCATTTTAAAGAAGAATTTACTGTATTCATACTTAAAATGCATTAATTAAGTTATATTCAGCGTATTTTTCTATTAACTCCTTTATTTATTACTCTAAAAAATTTTACGATATAAAAATTTTATTCATAGTAGGGATATGAAATAAAGTATTGTGCAAGCATGCTATAAACCACATTTTAATAATTTGGAGGAAAAATACTGCAATATATCTTGCATTCTTATTATTAAGACTAGGTAGTTTGGTATTGAGAAGGCAGGCGGAGTTTATGTTTGGCCATATATTCGCTGCACGTTCCGTAAAATAAAAGCATTTCTTCATTAAAAGCAAATTTATTCTACAGCTGGCTAATCATCATTCCTTTGTATTTGGATATCTTTTAAACTTTACATTTAGAGGTCGAGTGACCATTTATGGCGGAACCAAAGCTCACTGCATGGACTTAAGGCCGTTATTACCCAACACTAGTTATAGCAAGGCGATTTTTATATTAAGCATCACGCCCGTTATCTTGAACAAAACACTTTGCTTCGACGCAATTACTCCCAATTACCTTTAAATCTTCTCTGTAGAATTGCTTCCATCTTGCTTTAGACGATTCATCTCTCGGCCAGCTTGAGCAACGCAAAGATTCGAGCAGCCTGCACAACTCAGTCTTCGTTCAACTCGCTTTGATGCCAATCCACCTCTTCAGCCATCCTATCCATGAGCCAAGGCCTGTTAGCCCATGGAAAGGCTTGGCATTAGTAAAACACCTAAAGTTAGTGGGTAGAAATAAACTTAAATAAAAGTAGCTTAAGGTCAATAAGTTAATTTCATCTTTGGCTCACATTTTTCTTTATATTTGGACATCAAATATAAATTATTATTTTTATTTATTTTTGTATAATTAGCATCTTTATTCAACTTTAACCTTTTGAAATAAAAATCACTAAATTGTATAGAAGTAATAGCATGGCTTCTTATTTTCTATATAGAGTCCATAAATAGCTGTGACTAGATTTGAACATTGCGGCATATATTTCTGTGAGAATATTGCTTCCCAAATAAAAAAGGAATGCGATTTTTATGACTTCATTTTCTTATCTAGCCAGCAGCTAGAATAGGTTTACTTTTAATAATTAATGCTTTGATTTTAAGGAAAATATAGTAAATATGGGATATGAATAATATTCTTCACCTCTAATTTATTTGTTTATATTTACAAAAAATGACAAATTTGGTCTGTTGTGATTTTATCGAGATTTTTATTCTATAAAAATACTTCGTTTTATTTTAAGAATTTTGAACTGTTTATTGCTTTTTTAAAGAGCCTAAACGGTGTTTGCGAATGCTCAGTCCCTAATTCCGTTCCACAAGGATATATGGGCTGTTATTGCTCTCAAGGTTATTATTATTATTATATGAATGGAAATAAATGTACTGCTTGTCCAGCTACATGCCAATCATGTTACTATGACCCAGGCAATCCGACAAATAATTTTATAACTTGTAACAGTTGCATTTATCCAGGCATGACTTATACCAATAGTCGCTTATGCCAATGCCCCAGCAATTCTTATTTCGTCACTCAATCTAAGTCTTGCCAGTGTAATGGAGGCTATTATAAGTATGTTTACCCGCCGTGTACCCCCTGCTCTTTGCCTTGTAGGAACTGTAATTCTCCTACGAATTGCACTTCTTGTGCTCTTCCAAACCAAATGACTTTATCAAATAATTATTGTACTTGCACCTCGCCAAGCAACTCTGTCTATAATTCAACTATGAATCAATGCACTTGCCCAGACCAGACATATCTTAACGGCACAACCTGTGATAATTGCGCTGAAACTTGCATGAGCTGTGAGAGCAACACAGAATGCTTGGCATGCATAGACCCTGCTCACATGACGCTCGAAAGCAATGGGACCTGCACTTGTCCTGCAAACTCAACTTTTAAAGGAAACACTTGTGTTTGCAACAATGGTTATTTCTGGCTCTCTTCTGAATACGAGTGTGCGAAGTGCCAGCCTCCATGTCAGCAATGTAGTAATGAAACAACTTGCCTAAGCTGTTTGGACCCATATAACATGTATTTAAATAATGGAGAATGCTATTGTAGAGATCCACATGCAGTTTTCGATATCCATGAGAATGTATGTGTATGCTCTATTGGATATTTTATGAGTAATTCCCAGTGCTTTTCTTGTCCAGATACATGCTCATCATGTGAAAACAATAATAACTGCACAAGCTGCGTTAATGAAAATCAGATGAGCTTGGTTAATGGATATTGCACTTGCACTGATCCAAGCAACTCTGTCTTTAATCCAGAACTTAGCCAATGTATTTGTCCAGGAAGGACATATTTGAATGGTACGAGCTGCAGCATTTGCCATGATACTTGTTATAGCTGCGAGAACAGTTCAGAGTGCTTGACTTGCATAAACCCAGTTATGACACTTGAAAACAATGGGACTTGTATTTGCCCAGCAAACTCATATTTTATACAAGATGGATGCGAGTGCAAAAGCCAATTCTACTGAAATGGCGGTGAGTGTGAGGAATGCTATCAAACATGCCTAGAGTGTGAGGAATTTAATTTTTGCTCGAGCTGCATTGATCAAAATGGCATGATTTTAAATAATGGTCAATGCAGTTGCATAGATCCTCACGCATATTTTGATCCTCAAGAAAGCTTATGCTTATGCTCTGAGGGATATTTTATGATAGATTATGCATGTTGGGCTTGCCCAGAGACTTGCTCTACATGCGATAACAATACAAATTGCGCAAGCTGCATTGATGAAAATCATATGATTTTGGTTAATGGCACTTGCAGCTGCAGCGATCCAAATTCAACCTTCATTTCAAGTCAAAGAATGTGTGTCTGCAACCAAGGATATCAATATTGAAATAATGAATGCATAGAATGTCCTGTGGAATGCTCTTTATGCTCTGATAGTGATGTTTGCATTGAGTGTGCAAATTCAGAGGAAATGACCATCATATCGTCAGTATGTGTTTGTAACAAAAATAATACAGTTTATAATCCATTGACAAACAGCTGTATTTGCAGACAGCAATATTATTATGATGGAGATGAGTGTGTAGCTTGCCAGTCTCCTATGTGTGATGTATGTGAAAACGATAGATGCTTGTCGTGTATCGACCCTATTAATATGACTTTGGAATCTGGGATTTGCTACTGTAGAGATCAAAATTCATTTTTTAATACTTCTTCTAGCTGTTGCCAGTGTTTAAGCAATTATTTATCAAATTTGCAGCGAAATTTTATTCAGGGGATAAAGCTATTTCAAACTTTTCTTTAAACATAGCAGATCTTGCATATTTGGTTATTTGGTTAATCGGTGAATTCTAATAATTAGTTGTTCAAAATCGTTCTTTATAAGATAATAGGTAAATTTAGCTGTTAAATAAGAATTCATTTAAAATAGCTCGCTCCCAGGAGGATGCATAATTTTAATTATTATTGATGGGACTCAGAGATATAAAATTTTCTTTTCAATATAATTATGCAAAATTGGAAAGGAAAATTAATTTAATTTATAAAATTTATCCTTAAAACATAAGCTGGATATTTAATTATAATAACACAATTAAAAATGGAGTGCATGAATTAGGGTCACTGTCCCCTAAGGTCATCCTAGTGAGGGAAGTTCAGACTTTCTGAAGGATATTAGCACTGGAACTGCTTCGGCAGTTCCCTGTGTACCTGAATCACCTTCAGGTTATCAAGAGAGACTCGTCAGGGCCATAGACTACCGTAACGGTTCGACGGTTAGGCCGATTCCACCTACCGTTGTTCAGAGCTGTTAGTCAGAGGATGGAATTCATGGAAGGATGAGCTTGTATTTTTTAGATCCTAAGCTAAGAGTGGGTCGACAAAGTGTTATCGTAAACTTAAACTTAAACTTAAACTTAAATTATAATAAAAATATTTTGCTCGGTTATGAGTTTTTCTTAAAAAGAGCTAAAATTTGTTTATGTGTCTCTGCATAGCCCATCATTAATTTTTATTGCCAGTTTTCTTGAAAAAATTACATTCGAAAATGAAAAAATCTCCGTTTGTGTTTTTAAGAGGGCCAATCAGACTCAGACTATACAAGCATACGTCCGGACCATATGCTTTCTGGTCGGTATTGCCCTAGGTTATAGCGATCTCTATGGCTCATAAGCTATGAAAAACTTGATAATTGTTTTTTATAAGTTGTTTTCATTGATAAAAATATAAGCGAGCAACTTTAATCAATTATGAAGGGTGCTGATTTTAAATTTTACAGTAAAGTTTTATTTCAAACAAGCAAATTAATTTTTTTAATTTGAATAATTTGATTTTAATAGAATTAGCTGGAGATTTTTATTATTAATTATCTCTAGCAAAAATCTTGTCCCTGACCAAAGGAGAAGTAAGGATAATAACTCCCCCCCATCCTTGATCGAACGATTGATTGTAAAAATTCTAAAATTTGGGGAAATTTACCCCATCCTTGATCGAACGATTTTCATATCATGCAAATTTTTATATATATATAAAAAATATTAGTTATCAAAAGTTTGGAAGATGTGCCTAATGAAGTTGTTTTCAGAGTTTTGAGACGACAGAAAGCTGCAAAATCAACCATCCGAAGTGATTTAGTCATCAACCTAGGCTTAAAAACTCAATAATCTAATAAAATAGAGATTCTTTAAAATTTTTAAAAAAATTTAATTTAAATTAAAATTTATACAGTTTTAAAAGTAACTAATAAATCAAAATATTAAAAATTGGTATTTTTATGAAATTAATTCAATTTTTGCTGTAAAAATAATTATTAAATACTCTTAACACTCTTATTTAAAAGTAAATAACAAAAATCTATATATATATTTTTCATTTTATATATAAAATGTTTTCCCATAAAAATTTTTTTTTTAAACCCCCATCCTTGATCGAACTATGGTGATTCGTTCGATCAAGAGTAAGCAAAAAATCATGGAGCCATCATATTTAATTGGAAATGCTTTGCAATGCATCCCATTATCAAGCCCATGCAGAGAGTTTTCAGTGGATGGCATATGCTTGAAGTGTGCTGATAATAGTATGGAATTATATGAAGGCCAATGCTATTGCTTAGATCCTAATACTTCATATAATAAAAATAATCAAAACTGTACTTGCAATTTCGGTTATCAATTAACAACCTATAGTAAGCTTTGTCAGCCATGCGATAGCTATTTAAATGGAGGAATAATGGGTTGCATTAATTGCAATAATGGCCAATGTTTAGAGTGCCAGAAAAATATGGTACTTTCTAATGGTGACTGCATTTGCAAAATTGGATTTGTATTAGACAATATTTTATACATTTTTCGATAATGATACATTCTAGTCTAGATTAGCTTATTGTAAACCATAAAATAGCTTTGTATATATTTCAATGTTAGATATGTTCAAAAACACTTTACAGCCAGAATTCATTATTATTGATATTTTACTGCATTAAATAATTTTGTTTGGTACGGAATATTAAGTTAAAAAAAAAATAGGCAAAATTCTGCTTTTTAGGTAAATTATCACCTTTAATTGGAGCAAAGTTTTAATTTTTTTCATGGTGTGAATTTATAGGTGAAAATACTAAATTTTTATATAATAACTTTGAATTAATTTTAAGAAAGAAGTGCTATTAAGCTTCTTATGAATTTCTAAAGTTTATTTTATATAAATTAATTTTCATTTTTAATAGGCAAAATAGCATGAAAATCAAAATTAACTTATAGCGATCTTTAAATGCTTAAAATATTTCCTTTGAATCTTCTAAAAGTGTATAGGCACTTGTGTTTGTGCGCCAGGATTTTGAAATAGCACTGAATGCCCTTCTTGTGACTGTTATTCATGTTTTGCAAATGGAACTTGCTTGGAGCCTTGCGCTCAAGATTCCTTTTGGAATAATGGAGTCTGTAGTTGTAATAGCGGCTTTTATCAGTGCGGTGATAATCAATGCTGCAACTTGGATAGAACGTGCAGTATGTGAAATTCAAATAATTGCGGTGGCTGCAATGGAAAGATGTATCTATCTACTGATTTGGAATGCATATGTGGAGGCGGCAGTATTTATAGTCCTGAACTAAATGATTGTGTATGCCCTCAAGGCGAGTACTACCTTAATACCGGGTTTTGCGATACTTGCACGCGCTATTGCAATAACTGCACAAATTCTGGGGAATGCATCTCATGTCAAGCACCATTTTTCCTTCAAAACGAAACTTGTACCTGCGATCCTAACGCAATTCAATCATGAAATAACTGTATATGTAAGGATGGGTATTATACAGGCTCAGATTATTCATGCTTGCCGTGTCCTGAACATTGCGCAACTTGCATTTCATCTACCAAATGCACTTCCTGCAATGGCGATTTGTTGCTTGTTAATAATAAATGCCTTTGCTCAGATATCAATGCTGTATATAACATTGAGGACGGTCAGTGCAAATGTGCAGCTGGGTATTATGGTAAAAGCTCTAAATGTGTTGCTTGCTTGGCGTCTTGCTATAATTGTTTGGATGATGGGACTACATGCACTTCTTGTGCTGATAAAAAGAATATGGTTTTAATTGGAGGAGTATGCAGTTGTGTTGACCCTAATGCGGTGTTTAACTCAACTACAATGAAGTGCGAGTGTCCAAATGGATATTATAACGGGATTTGCAATGGTTGTGGGTCAAGCTGTTCTCAATGCTCTAATAACAGATGCTACAGTTGTTATGACCCTGCTAATATGGTTTTGGTGGAAAACTCATGCACTTGCATAGACCCAAACTCATATTTTGTGGAATGGGCAAAAATTTGCTCCTGCAATTCCGGGTTCTATTATAATGGGCAGATCTGCGCCCCATTTCCAGGTCTTATATTTAACAAGCAGATAAAATAATTTAGATTCTTAAAAGCAGCCCTAAAAACTTAATAAAATTTGAAATTAAAAGTAATGCTATTGAAATTAGCAGGCTAACTATAAATTCATAAGAAGCGAAATTTTTAAAATTCTGAGATATTCATTTAGCATCGCCAGTGATTTAGAGTACAAAAACCTGCTCATTGTTTAGCACATAGTCTAAAAATTTGCCAAATTATCAAAGCTATAATTTTATAGCAAATAGCCCTATATAATCCTTTTTTGGGATAAATAAATGTACGAAAATCGCACTTTTCCTTATAATGGGATAAAGCATATGCAGGCTATCTTGTCAGTTCTGCTTCGATAAAAGAAAAATAAACTTTTTCTAAAAACCATATTTATCGAATTTATGCTTGTTTAGTTTAATTTCAGATACACTGTGTTAGCAGCATTATTTTTCTACTACATAAGATTTAGCTAATTTTTCTAGAAAATATTATATAATTGCACTCTCCATAATTTTTAGAAAATCAATAGCTTTATACTTTAATATTTTTAATTGCCGATCTTTCCCGAATATAAAGAAATTGCTTTATCCTAAACAATTCCATTTAAAAATTTTCACTAATCCTTGCATTTTCAAATTTTCTATAATTTCAGACAAGCATTTTTACCGTAGTCCATTTCAGATTTTATCTAAAATTTCAATAGGGTCAGAGCAATATTTTAATTTATTATGAATTTAAATGTCTTTCTTGTCCTTCTTGTTGTAATAAAGTGTGGCTATAATAAAAGATGAAAGCAAGTCTTAGGCTTCTCTTCACAATTCTTTTTGGCCTTGTCTTCTCCAATTCCAGCAATTTATCAAACCCCATTGACTCCTCTTTTCTATCCGTACCAAAGTTCGGCTCAAAGCAGCTTACAATTGACTACTTCCTTGATGTTGATAGCGACTTTGATGAAATCTCAAAGCAGACCATCACAGAACTTCTAGAAAATTCCATTCAAGTGGCATCCTACCTTCTTCAAGAAATTCCTTCAGCAATATTGCCATCTACATCCAGAAATCCATTATGCCTTGAGTTCAACCAATTGACTTCGTCACAGATCTCATCTTCAGATATCATTTTGCTTGTTACGAATGATAAAGAAACAAAAAAATCGTTAAGCTTTGAAGACTGCTCTTCAGCCACTTATCCTCAAAATTAGGGCTCATAAAGGTAAGCATGCCTCTGCTTCTAAAAGAAAATGATAACTCAACAATTTTCAAAGTTGTGGAGAATTTATCAAAGAATTACCTTGCAAATACCAATATTCTTACTCTCCTGATAAATTCTCACTTATTGCAGGCAATTTAATTTTTTTTAATTATATTTTTATTCCAACTTTAGATTTTTGATAAAATAATTAGTAAATGAGAAAAATTGATTATATTATGTTTTCTCTGTTAGAGAGGGAGTGGGAAACTTGACAGTCTTTTTAATACCAATTTAGGGATTTCTTGCACTAGTTCATGCAAAGTTTGCGATTCAAGCTCAGGGGCATGTATTACATGCTATGCTTATTTACAATAAATATATGCATTTATTTGCTAGCCCTTATTTTGCTTACTAAAAAAAATACTTTAATGATTAGTAGCATGCTTCTATTAATTGCAAAAAGATATATGACGCCACTCACATGGAAATAAAGAATGGGATTTGCTACTGTACTGATCCAAATGCAGCATTTTTCCCTCCAACAAATTTTGTGTGTGCATGAATGGCTATTACTTAAATAGTACCAATGTGTGCGCTCCATGCCCTACGATTTGTGCCTCATGTACAAGCTCAACAAGCTGCTTATCATGCATTAGTCCTACCGAAATGACCTTTTATAATAACTGATGCTATTGTACTAATCCTGAAGGGTCAGTATTTAATTCGACTTCAAAAAATTGCAATTGTCCTAATGGCACATGGAACGATGGACGATACTGTCAAGCATGCAATGAAACTTGTAGCTCTTGCACTAACCAAGATACATGCGAATCAATGTGAAACCTACCTGCGAGCTACAAAATTATTAGAAAATCCTTATTTTTGAGTAAAAAACCACCCTCCGCAAACGAGCAAATAAGATTGATATATAAGTGATGATTAGTATAATGAAATATATCTAGCTAATTCTGTTTAATTTTAAACAGAAACATAAATCTCTGCCTTCAGATTTTTGCGAAATGTGATTACTTTAAATTTCAAAAAAAAATTATTATAAAATTATATATAATTATTTTAAAAAAAATTAACTCCTTCCGTGCTAAAATAGTCAGAATAAGAAGATTGGGGGATGGCCCTACATGCACATCCTGCATTGACACAACAAATATGAACTTAATACAAGGAACTTGCAGCTGCAAGGATCCATCCTCATCTTTAAACCCAGCATCAGGTCTCTGTGAATACCAAGCTGGGTATTATATGGAAAATTCAATTTGTTATGCCTGCCAACCTCCTTGCAAAACATGCATTAATAGCACTTTTTGCAGTTCTTGCCTTGGCTCAAATATGACTTTAGCTGATGGCATCTGCTCTTGTCCTGCAAATTCTACATTTAGTTTGGCAGATGGAGTTTGCCATTGCATCATTGGATATTTTTTAGATCAATCCCAAGTATGCCAGTCTTGCTTCCTAGGATGCGCTACTTGCAATGATTCGTCATGCTTAAGTTGTATGGATCCAGGTGCGATGACTATTCAGAATGGAGTCTGTAGTTGCAGATTTCCAGGAGCGCACTTCAATTCAACCACGAATAAGTGTGATTGTCCTGTTGGGATGTTTAGAAATGGATCAGAATGCTTTTCGTGCTCTGATGGGTGTTTATCATGCACAAGTGAAACAGAATGTTTATCTTGTTTTGAGCCAAGAGAGTTTGATTATCCATATACTTTGATAAGCGGCAGTTGCGAATGCCTTTATAATAACTTAAATAAAATGGTGACGTTGACGGAAACTGGACTCCGAGGCGCACCTCCTATGGAGCTGGTAGGACCCATTGCTGATGAAGCTGAAGATACAGGTCTCACTCCTGTCCTAAGTAGGCCTTCAGTTGTGGGGAAGCCGTGCAGAACAGGGAATTTTTATTTCTCCCCCGAAGGTTTTCCCTGTCCCTGCCAGGTGGGCTAGACAGGTTTTTCCTACCACATGGTCTTCCCTCACCGGGACCATCGGGGCACTCTCCAAGAAGTGGCTATGCCCTGAGGAGATGATCCTCTGGACAGGCGGTTCAGAACAGAAATCAAGATGGCGTCCGGCCTGGGAGTATGGTATCATCAGAACCCGACCGGGAGTCGTTTTCGAGCTGAGATGTTGAGGTCCGCTGGTTCGCCCACGTATGGCCTTTTAAAACTAACTAACTAACTAACTAACTAGCTTTATAATAACTCATTTTCTGATGGAAGTAATGGATGTTCCTGCTCAGAAGGGTACTACCTAACTCAAGATAAACTTCAGTGTTTGGATTGTCCAGATGGCTGCCTAACTTGCTCCTCTTTTAACGGCTTCTGTGGACAAAATCAAAGTGTATGCTGCTTATCATGTGTTGATCCTCGAATGTTTATCAGTTCCAATGGCTTATGCCAATGTGGGCTATCGAATTCTTATTTCTCCTCTCAGTTAAAGTCTTGCCAGTGTAATGGAGGCTATTATTTGAGCAATGACACATGCAGCCTTTGCTCTTTGCCATGTGGAAACTGCACAACTGATCCCCTAAATTGTACTTCTTGTGCACTTCCTGGTCAAATGACTTTGCTAAATAACACTTGCTCATGCACCTCTCCAAGTAGCTCTATTTATGACTTGAAACTTAATGAATGCATTTGTCCAACAGGGAAATATCTGAATAATACAAACTGCGACGTTTGTCCAGCAACCTGTATGAGCTGTGAGAGTAGTGCAAATTGCTTAAGTTGTGTAGACCCAATTCATATGACAATTGGTAATAATGGGATTTGCACTTGTCCTAAAAACTCAACTTTTGACGGAAAAGCTTGCGTTTGCAATAATAATTATTTCTGACGTGGATTAGAGTGCACTTATTGCAAGTCACCATGCAATAAATGTGTAAGCCAAACTATTTGCCTAAGCTGTATGGATCCAAATAATTTTGCTTTGAAAAATGGAGAGTGTAGATGCAGAGATCCCAATGCACATTTTAATAACGTTGAAGACTTGTGTGTTTGCAATGATGGATACTTTATGGTAAATTCAGCATGTAGGGCTTGCCAAGTTACTTGCAGCACATGCGAAAATAGCATAGCCTGCACAGGCTGCATTGATAAAGATTATATGAACTTAATTAATGGTATCTGTGCTTGCAACGATACTAATGCAAGTTTTATTTCGAGCCAAAAAAAGTGTGTGTGCAATCAAGGATATCAATTAGTTAATAGCGTGTGCATAGAATGCCCTGTGGAATATTCTGCATGCTCTGCTAGTAATGTATGCACACAATGCGTAAATCCAGAAGAAATGACTGTCATATCAGTAGCTTGTATTTGCAATATAAATAATACGATTTATGATTCTTTTTCAAATAGCTGTTCTTGCAAAGAGAAATATTATTATGATGGAAATGAATGTGTTGCTTGCCAATCTCCTTTGTGCGCTAGATGTGAAAATAATAGATGCTCATCGTGCAATTATCCTGTTAATATGGATCTAAGCTGTGGAATCTGCTCGTGTAGCGATCCAAATTCATATTTTAATACTTCATCAGGCCTTTGTGAATGTTTACATGATTTTGAGCCAAATTTAATTGAAAATACTCTGAAATGTGTTCCAATATGAAGTCCATGCAGAGAGTTTTCAGTAGATGGCTTATGCTTGAAGTGCGCTGATAATAGTATGCAATTATATCAAGGTCAATGTTATTGCTTAGACCCTAATGCTTCATATAATAAGACAACTCAAAACTGTACTTGCAATTTCGGTTATCAATTAACAGCCTATAGTAAGCTTTGTCAGCCATGCGATAGTCAGCTGTATGGGGGTATTAATGGTTGTGTTAACTGCAATAGCGGTATTTGCTTGGAGTGTCAGAAGGGAATGAGATTAGATTGGAATAGATGTAATTGCTTATCTGGGCAAATTTGGAATGATTTTATAGGTACTTGTGTTTGCCTACGCGGCTACTGAAATAGTACCCAATGCCCTTCTTGTGGTTGTTACTCGTGCTCAACAAATGGAGCTTGCTTAGAGCCATGCTCCCAAAACAGCACTTGAATCTATGGGAAATGCACATGCAATAATGGTTTTTATGAATGCAGTCCAAATCAATGCTGCACTATGAGTAGAACGTGTAGTGATAGAAGTCGAGGTTATTGCGGTGCTTGTGTATCAAGCATGGAATTGATAAACGACAACAAGGGAATCTTATGTTTATGCCCTTTTAACTCTGCCTATAATTCGCAACTAAATAAATGCGTTCCTGCTTGCAGTATATTCTGCAACAATTGTTCAAGCAATAGTACATGCTTATCATGCCAAGCACCATTTCTGGCTCAAAATGAAAATTGTATGTGCGATCCTAATGCAGTTCAATCATGGAATACTTGCATTTGTAAGGACGGATACTATATGAACTCAACTTACTCATGCTTGCCATGCCCTGAGAATTGCGCAACATGCATTTCAGCTACCATTTGCACATCTTGTCGTGGTGATTTTGTGCTAGTTAATAAAAATTGTCTTTGCTCAGATTTTAACGCTGTGTATAACAGTCAAATCAGTCAATGTGAATGCAGCACTGGCTATTACAGTAAGGGCTCTAAATGTAAAGCTTGCTTGACAACTTGCTATGATTGCTTGGATGATGGGACAACATGCACTTCGTGCGTTGATAAAATAATATGATTTTAAATGAAGGAGTATGCAGTTGTATTGACCCTAACGCAGTGTTTAATTCAACCACACTTAAGTGTGAATGCCCATATGGCTACTATAATAACATCTGCAGTGCATGTGGACCAGGCTGCGCTAAGTGCAGATATAACAAATGCTTGAGGTGCTATGACTCTGCTCATATGGCTTTGGTAGGAAATTCATGCACTTGTTTGGATCCGAATGCATATTATGTGGAATGGGCTAAAATTTGTACATGCAAATCTGGGTTCTACTATAATGGACAAATCTGTGTTCCAACTGCTAGAAATTAAGCTAGCAATAAGATTAGATTAATTTAGTCTCAAAAAAAAAATAAATTGTTTTATCTTAAAGAGGTATAAAATACAGACTTAAATAGTTTAAGGTTTTTATCGTCAAAAATATTGGGGCATGTTTTTCTTTTAACATATGTTTTGAATTACCAGCTATAGGGATATCAAATTTTTACTCTATAGCCTTCTCGCTGCTCATTAGCTATGCTTACTGATTTGAATTTCAGTAATAAAGCAATATTCTATATGATTAGATATCCAGCCTAAAGGCTATATCTGTTTCAAAGGATTAGCATATGGCCTGGGAGAATTGTATAAATCCTGAGATTCTGCAACTCTTTCTAGAAATAAAGCTGATGATTAGCTCTATCCCCATGCCCCAAGCTGAATATTATTGTAATAAAAAAAATTTAATGGGAATATTTTGATTTCTGGATAAAATTTTGTTATATTCTATTGATAGTGAGTCTTTTTCAATATATCCGCTTACTTTGCAGAGTGCAAAAGAAAGATTTATTTATAAAAGTGAGATGAAAGATGGATATTTGGAAAGAATAGCAGACTCAATAGTCCTTAATTACTCCTCCTTGCCAATTATATTATTATATATAATGAAATGGATTATTAGATTTGGCAGTTCAACTGAAATGATATAATTATTAATTTCTTTTCTTTATTTTAGAATTGGGAAGTTGAAAGTCCTCTATGGAGCCATAATCTTTTAATATATCAATAATACTATTTAAATTAATGAATTATAAATATAATTACAACATTTAATATTAAAATCTTAAAGTATATGTTTTATTAATTTTTTCAAATAATCTATTTCACTAAAATTAAATCTCCGACAATTAATAGGAAAATTATTTGAGAAAAATAATGTTTTTTAATGATTTACCAAGCTTAGGATGAATAAAGTTAAGTTTCAGCTCTTCATTTTTAATACAGCATTGAGAATTTAAAATTGCAATTTTTAATTTCTCATTTATCATAAAGATTTAAATAAACCATGTATCGAAAAATATTCCTTCAAAAATATAGCAACCCTCTTTTTATAAATTAAAATTATTCATAAATAAAATTAAAATTTTACTATTTATGGCAAATATAGTTTTCTGATTCTAATGCATGATCATTAAGTAATTATTTTTCAACTATCTAAGGTCAAACAATGAAAACTAAAATCTTTTTTAGAGAAAATAATGTATTTCAGAAGCCCATCCGTAAATAGTTAATAAATAATATATATTTGACTAAGATTTCATACATAAAATTGCATCTTTGAAATTATCAAACTATTTCTTAAATATCTTTTGAAGTTTTTCATCAATTAAGTGCTTCAGATATTGAGTTACTAGGAAATATTTCCTAATAAGAGCAAGGGACTAGCCATTCTGAGTCAATATTTCTATACAAGAGCAGAGAGACTATATTGGAAATTTATGATTTCCCCGCATCGAATACTATCAGTTTAATCTGTATGACAAAATAATGAGAAGATTTATCATAATCATCAGATTGGTTTAATAATTCTTGTCTCTCTTCTAGAGGCGTAAATTATAATAAAATACTTTTCAATAAATTAATAGAGATTTTCATCTTCACTTCATGTAGTTGGAGTTAAGAATTAGGCATGGACGAAGACTTGTATCGTCATATAAGAGATTTACATTATTTCCTCCCTAGCAAGATTCAAGTACTATACAAAACCTTCTGACTAATCTAATCCCAGATTTACTTTAAGACTGGCTATTCTGAAATAGAGCCCTAAGACTACTTTCATCACTCATCAGTAGGACAAAAGAACTTATGGACAAATTTCAGGAAATAAATATTCAATGTGGGTTGCGCCACCCAAGCCGGATAGTAAATGATCCTTTGAATTTATTATATTAATATACATTGGAGGACCGATAAAGCACTGGAGAATTCATGGAGCTGTTTTTAAAGGCGTGTGAAAGAATCTGCAGCAGCTGATGGTCTACTTCGGAGGTTCAAATAGATGGTTCATCAATGCAGCTTTCAAAATGAGGCATGCAAAAAACCATGGATCTGTTGGTGGATTTGGCTGAAGTTTAGAAGTGTTTTGAAAGTTGTGGAGTTTTGTTGAGATTTGTATTTTTTAAATTAAAACGAGAGAAGTGTGACAATTTCGCTTTAAAATATAAGAATAACATTAAAAATTATATACATATACCAAAAATCTCAACCTATTTTAATTTTAAACATTTTGTTTTCAATTTTAAATTTTGTAGAAAGATGATACTTAAAACCCTTATTTATAATTGAATTTCTTTATGTAAAATTTTCTAAAATTATGCTGAAGCTACTAAAAATAATAGATTGAGCTAATTCAGATCAAGAAAATTATAATTTAGTGAATGAAATTTGTTGCCTTGAATTACTATCCCTTTTTCAAATAAAAGCTCTTTTATAATAATTATGTCGTGGCAAGCCTTCATCGATTGCTATCTCCTCAGCGAACTTAATATGAAAAACGAATGAGAATCAACAAGCTGCATTGATCATGCAGCGATTCTTTCACTTTATGATATAAAGGTGCTGGCTTTAATCCCTGATTTATCACTGAGTGAATATATGATCGATTACTATTCTGTGAACGAAATCGATATGATACGATCAGTTTTGAATTTCCAATCGACTTTTGAAATAGTTATAAGAATTAATAATGAAAGATACTCTTTAGTTTCTAATAAAAACTCAAGAATTTAATTATGGAAACCAGGAGGAGGTGCTTGAATTTTTAAAACCTCTCAGACAATTATATTTGCTAGTTGGAATTTCGAATTAAAATCTGAAAATGAGAATCGTTTTCTTTGTTATGAGAAATGCAATAGTTTGGCTGCCTACTTAATAAGCATTGGATACTAATTAAAATTGCTTTTAATCTGAATAAATATAGTTACCTAGTTTGCATATGAGCAAGCATAGCTTATATTTATAGCCTAGCATAAATCAAAAGTTTAATTACACTTAAGAGTCCAATTAGATGGATAGCAAATATACATTGGCTTATATTTATTAGCCATGATATATATTATAATATAAACTTTAAATTAGTTCTTTAAGAAAATTGTATTCTAAAAATTTAATATGACTGCTAAAATATGCTACCTACAAAACTGGAATAACTAAGCGCATTATACATAGTATGCGCTTCTCCTGATAGTTAATTTGACAAATCACAAATAAGCTCATCTAATAGTAATTTAAATCCAACCCTATATTTCTGGCAATTTCACAGGCTATTAAAGATGCAATTTAAAAATTACTGCAATAAAATTCTCTAACTTTCCCTCTTAAGAGAGAAAAAAACGTTTGTTTGTAACCAAGGGGCTAATTTATTTTTAAAAAACTTATATATAAATTTATATTAAATTGTTTTTTGTCACTCAGAAGATGAATAAAAGCACATTGAAGTAAGTGCAGTTTAGCTGCTAAGAGAGTATTTCTATAATTTTAAAGCTAGGACTGATTAATTGATTTAGAATTAATGAAGGCTCGATCTATCTACCTGATCGACAAACAATAAAATAAAGTTTTCTATTGAATGCGGAAGTTAGAGTATAAAGGTAATTAAATTGATATTTGACTCTTAAAAAGAGAATAAAAGATGCTAAAATTCCAAAATTGATTAAGTAATATTGCAGTAGGGATCTTAAAAGCTTTATTTAACGCAGAGGTATCAGTTAAGATTTAATGAAAAAATATCCATGAATATTTAAGACCGATTAAAGACTTTATAGCACACTCATGCTTATTTTCATTGCATTAATAATGAGACTTGATATAATCTCTTTAGCTAATTTTAAATTTTATTAAAAATTGATCATTTTCTCACAGATGTCCTTTAATTATATATTAAATTATTTTGTATTCACATACTCTATTAAGGCTTAAATCTTAAGATTATTAGACCTAAAATAAAAAATCTTAAAGCTAGGGAGTTCAAGAATGCTTGTAAAGTAATTTAAAATTTGTGGGTTTTTGATGCATTCTTGGGTTAATTACCGATTTTTAATATCATAAACTGATAAAAAAGTTGAATTATTGCTGCAGGCTATACTATAAAGAAATCGAGTGTCTATATCTTTTTGAGGCTCATATTTGTAAGATGAAATCAGCATTTATTTTAATCAAAATTTAAGTCAAATTTTAATGAATATAAAATTTTAATAATCGAAATTCTCATAATAGCAGATTTATTGCCTATTAAGAAATTCTGTAGCTTAGTTTGGACAAAAATGCAGCGATCAAATTTTAAATTTACTCAATTCTCAATAAAGTTTAATTTTTATAATTCCAGACCTCAATATAATAGCCGGCACTGATCGGTTTCAATATTATATTTATCACCAAAATACTAGCAACAGGAAGTTTTATTTATAACAAGAAATTTGCTTGCGCTATACACTATAGGAAACTCAAGGAAAATGGCTATAAATGAGCTGCATGCTGCACAATTCCAAAGGTATGGAAAACATGAATAATAACATCATTACAAATGCAGTTATTTCATGATTAAATCGTGTTAGAATCTCAAGCAAATTTGAATAAAATAGATTACTAGTTTTAAATTTATATAAAACTTTTTAATTAAAATTAGATGCCTCGTAAAAGCAATAATTTTTTGTGAACTCATATAGAATGGATGATTCATTTCTTTCAATCTCAGAATTTTTCTATATATTTCCTAATTCTGAAAAATAATTCTTTAGCCTTTGACAATTAATTTATGAAATAATATAGAATTCGTTCAATACTCAATTTTTTATATTTTTAGTTTTATAATAATTGAGGAAGATGTGCCAAGTATTCTTATGCCTTGTTCAATTTGATAATATAATTTATCTAAAGAATTACATATTAAAATGAAATTCTATAAATATTAAAATGGGCAGCTCGAAACCTATCCATTACGATGATCCAGTACCGTCCAACTTCGAAATATCTCCTGAAGTTAAATTAAAGTTTAGACTGGAAGACAAAGTTAAAAAGCTATTTATCTATGGGAATGATCAAGAAGCAGCCATTATATGATTTGTCTGCTTAATAGGCGATCTTGAAGGTGATGAGTATTATTTCGTTCCAACAAAAGTAGATAATCATTTTATTTCAAATATAACTACAGCGGAAAAGATAGCCTTAAGATGCAATTATGATAAAAAGTCGATTTCAAATGATGCCGTCCAAATTTTAGATGAAGTTAATATTGATGGGAAAAATGTTAAAGACCTTATCCAAGCTGTTCAGCAGCTTAAAGATTTCAACAGCATATATGATTTATTAAAAGAAACACTAGAAAACTTAGGTGCTTCTTCCAAATGGTATTATCGATAGCTGAGGAATAATATTAGATTTTAAGTAATGCAGAAAAACTTTTAATTGCTAGTATAAATATTAGATAGATAAATCATAACTTTAGAATCTTTATTCAAGCAAAGCTATACTTTTAAAAATTTTAAAATTAGTCCATTTTTGTAGAATTTTAATTTATAGTTTGCATCTTAGAAGGTAAATTTAATTTTCAATATAATTCCTTATTAAGTTAATGATCACTTTTGAAATTATCTCTACTCAGGCATTATCTTTATAGCTGTAGCATATATCATAACCTAAAATTTATATGATTACAGAGAAGCATAAAGCTGAAGCTCACTATATGCGCTAAAGCAATAAATTCTTAGAAGACTGCAAGGAGTAAGAAATGTCCAAAAAATCGATTATTAGAGAATTATACTTCTCTCCAAATAAATTATGCTATTTTTGAAATTCTATAAATATAAAAATGGGCTGCATGTCTTCAAAAGGAGTAAAGGGAGGTGATATTGAACCAGAGCAAAAAATAACAATTGAGTTAAAAAAATCCCCTGAAGTGGTATGTGAATGATTCAATGGAGATAAAGTTGAGACAATAACGATGTTTCAAGCCGATATGAATCCTGAACAAATATATAATATTTTTACTATTAAAAACACTGAAGGAGAATTATGTTATCTTGTCTCATCAAAATTTGAAGGGAATACTGAAGAAAAAGGTACAAATTATTTGATGACTGATTTGAAATGTTGCCATAAGTATGCAAATAATCAGAAGCCTAATGAAAATCCAAAGGAATTAAAATGTAAATCACTGAAAGAAAAGACCCTAATTGAAGTCACTAAGGCTCTTCCAAACAAATGACCGGATAAAAGTAGCAGAAGCTGTGCCGACGAGATTTATAATAGTCTTAATTAGAAAATTATTTATGTTTTATATTTACAATATTAGATATCTTTACAATATAATCAATAAAATTCAATTATTTACAGAAACAAACAAAGTTTTTGTCTTGAAAAATTATATTGTTATCACTTATCTAAATGGCCAAATTTTTCTAAGATTGAATAAAATTTCTAAAAACATTGGATTTTGCTAAATTTGAGTTAGCTTGCTTTCTATATTTTAAAACCTCAACTATAATCTAGCAAAATATTATGTTCACTTTCAACCAAGAGTATATAATATCTCTTTTTATCTTAAGCCATTTTATCTGTGTCTTATCTTGGTTCTACAAATCCATTTTCGATTTAGATCCTATTCTATAAAAATTAATTAAATGTGTTTCAAATACAAGAAATACAAGAAAGATCATGAGGACACTCCGATTAAAAAGGATGGCTCTGGTTTAGAATGCCCTCAAGACCAAAGAGTCGCTCCTGAAATAGACGAACTTTATAGCCAATCAAACAATGTTACTGAAGCGTACATTTATGGTGACAATACATTTGGCGAGCATTTATGGATCGTTTGTAAAATTCGGGCTAACAGCGGGGATGAATATTTTTTTATTTCTTCTAAATCAAAGGCTAAACATATTTCTTACTATACATTACGCCGCGAAACTGCTGTTAGATTGGGAAATCTTGAATATAAAAACTATAAAAGTGCCGTACTTAAAAAATTCAAGTCTTTGAGGGATACTCGTGTCAGCAGTCTAAACCAAATTGTCCAAAAGTGCACCAAAAATTATAATTATTTCAAAGCTAACTGCAGGGATTATGCAAATGGCATTTATAACAGTTTAAAATAGTTTAGTCGATAAATAATATTCTTTTCTTATTGCATATCTATGAATATAGCTTTAGTATTTTAGTCATATAGCTAGAACCAATATTACTAGGTAGATTTAATTAGATTAACTATGTATATTTTAGTCTCTATTCCGCTCAAGGTAGTTTTAGACAGGGTCAAACCTCCGATTTTTCGGTATTGATGATTTACTCCATGGTCCAGGTTACGCGGATTTTGCTGAAACCTCCAGCCAGATCATTCTTTATGCGAAGATTTCTTTAAAATGGAGAGACTTGCATCTGGAATCCGGTCGAATCTACAATCCCTTTTCCCCTGTTACCTCAAAAAAAGAATTCAAAAGCTTTCCTATTCAGGACAGACCTTCAAGCAGTTTAGGCAGGTACGCTGTCTCTTTCATAAACCCAATTTGAGCTTGGATACTGTTGGTAAATAACTGCCACTCGAGCCCAGACCATTATCCAGCTGAATAGCTCTGGTCTTCTTTCCTCGAGGATAGCCCAATCCTTTGGGAACTTCTTATACCTAGATACGTAGGACGCTCATCACTGATTTATAGAAAGTCACTTTTTATTTTAACAAATTTCCAAAAAGACTTATAATGCCATGAGCTACCCAAACGAGATGATGTGAACGTTCAGTAAGCATAATTAAAGAGATTCTTGATGATAGTTTTGAAGATTTTGTCGGTACAGAATTTATAGAAGATGTCCTTGATGAATGCATTGACTATTATGCAAGCGAGGACGAAGATGAAGATTGACAATGCCCTTGATGATTACATTTACTAGCATGAAAGCGAGGTGAAGATTGATCAGAAGAAAGCTGAGATGAAGATGAAGAGACAGAAAATGAGAGAGAAGAATGCTGGGAAATTGGGAGCTGATTATGACACACAATCAATCAGTTCGTAAGTAGAAGAATTGGGAGATAAGAAATAGGGGAAATAATTAGAGGAGACAAATAAAGCAGAAAATTTTGAGGCGGGTAGTAGCCGCAAACTTTTGGGTGAAGAAAGATGACGGAAGATGGGTCTAAAGAAGAATATAAAAAAGAAACAAAAAATGGACCAAGTCTAAACCCAAAGACAAATCCAAAGACAAACCCAAAGATACATCAAAAAATGAGCCAAAAGATGAGCTCAAAGATGAGCACAAAAGATGAGCCCGAAGATACACCCAAAGATACACCCAAAGATACACCCTAAGATACACCCAAAGATACACCCAAAGATGAATCCAAGTATGAATAAAAGATGAACCTAAAGATGAACACAAATATGAGCCCAAATATGAACCCAAAGATGAGCCTAAAGATGAATCGAATGATGAGTTCGATAACGAATATGAAAATAAAGACAAGGTTGAGCAGAAAAAAGTGTTAAGAAAGAGGGAAAAAATAATTAAGATGCTTAAAGGCCTGGGTAGCCCCGCCGATGAATAAAAAGTAATTAAAACAGATAGGCTGCTCGTCACTTGCTACATTATGAATAGTATTGCTAGCTTAATTGAAAAAGAGGCTGAAAAAAAAGTATTGCCGCTCATGTGACACTATTTATAGTTAGTTTAATATGTCATATGACTTCAGGCTGCATTGAACTCACCTGGACTATGAACTTTACTAAATTCGTTAAGTTGCCTCTTTCAAAATCAACACAATGAGTAGATATGATAGAGTGCATATTATCATTTGTCATTATTGATTATAACAATGCTATCTCTATATTTGAAGCTCTTATAGCTTTTTCCTATATTTTTTGCTTCTTTCTATTTTTCCCCTTTCTTCCACAATGCTGCTTCTGCTTGACTTTTTGCTTTAGTTTCTACTCTTTTCCTTAAAGTTTTTTGCTTTTCTCTGGATGGATAATTAAATTTTGGCGTCTTAGTTCGGGCATACACCTTCGGGCTCTTATTATATCCGGTAAGGCTTTCAAACTCAGAAATAGACATCTATGCTAGACAGCAACTCTAGTAATGTACAGAGTCTAGTCTTAGCCTGCTTTCAAAATTAGATTTTACCTAGAGGGAAAATAAGATTAAAGAGTTGAAAAGAAGAAACCAAGCATATCGGCAATATTAGGATAATCTGGTAAGTCTCAAATTTTACGCTCTTCCTTTTTGTGAGCCAACCAAAAATATTATTTTTTTTGAATTTTGCCGAACCTTCGTTCACTCATCGACCACAAGCAATGCCAGATAAAAAGCATTCCTGCCTACTCAAAACTGGAGCCTCGAACTAATAAGGAAGCGTTGGAAGAGGAGGCGACGCTTCGGATGTCCATGGTATCAGAGACCAAGTAGGAGACAAGCGTTGTTACAATATAGCTTTAGCCTTCCTTTAATTAACTTAACTTAAGGGCTCTTCTCTTGATGAGCTTCATTTACTTGCGTGCTTTGTTCCGCAACTAAATTCTCGTCTATAGGACATTAAGTTGCCCGATTGTGTGACAATAGTCAGGTATAAATTATTTAAAACTTTTCCCTATTGCTTTACTGCCAATCCAGCGATCTCTTTTCTATTTCGAATTCTGTTTATTTCATCTTGACTATTTACTCTTGAAGTCTCATTTAATCAGCCTTATTTAGATCACAATTATAAATTTCAATGCAGTCATCAAGGATTTCAATAAGATACCCTGCATCTAAAATATATCAAAATATCATCTAAAATTCTTTAAATTGTGCTTGCTCCTCATCTAGCTAAGTAGCTTTTGGCAGTTTAAGCCTTTTGGAAAATCCATAGAATAAAAAGTATGCTGCTATTTATCAACTTGTAAAGTTGACTAGAAAATTTATGTTGCCCAGACAAATCATAGATCGGACAAGCTAAATGAAGCCATGGCGATAATTATTAATTTTACTATAATGATTAATTTAAAATATAATTCAAAAAATTTTGAAGTGAATATTTCTTATACTTAGAATTTTTACTAAAAATTTCGGGCAAATATCAATCAAAAGAAAAAATTTTCTTTACAAAGACTAATTTTATCCAAAACCACAGTAAATTAATATATAAGATTTTCTACATAAAACAATTTAAGTACATCAACTAACTAAAAAGCAAAATTTTGGATTATATTATTGAGTAATCTCTGCCAGCCGAAATCCAAATTTCAACCTTTTCTCGTTCTAATATAATCTCTAGGCAAAATAATATTTATAATTGTAAATTTCTTTTATCCTTGGAGATAAATGTCCACTTCAGATCTCGATCGTCAAATAGAACAGCTCCGTCGTTGTGAAATCATAAAAGAGTCTGAAGTCAAAGCTTTATGTCTTAAAGCCCGCGAAATTCTTTCAGAAGAAAGCAACGTTCAGCTAATTGCCGCACCTGTGACAGTCTGTGGAGACATCCACGGTCAATTTCATGATTTATGTGAACTTTTCATGGTAGGTGGAGAACTTCCTCTTACCAATTATCCCTTTTCCCTTATTTTCTGATAAATTATCATATATTTCCCTTATTCAGCATAAATTTAATATATCTTTTTATGGGCGACTTTGTCGACCGAGGCTTTAACAGCGTCGAAACCTTTCTCTTGATGCTTGCTTTAAAGGTCAGATACCCAGACAGGATCACCTTAATCAGAGGAAATCATGAAAGTCGTCAAATTACACAAGTCTATGGGTTCTACGACGAATGTTTAAGGAAATACGGCTCTGTCAATGTATGGAGATACTGCACAGAAGTCTTTGATTATTTAGCCTTAGCTGCACTTATTGATAATAGGATTTTTTGTGTTCATGGAGGGTTAAGTCCTACTATAAATACAATAGATGAGCTAAGAAATATTAATAGAAAACAAGAAGTCCCTCATGAAGGTACAATGTGTGATTTAATGTGGTCAGATCCTGAAGAAACTTGCTGCCAGAAATTTGATAAGAATTTTTCATTGTGTAACATTTTCTCGGGTTTACTCTCGAGACAATTGCTCGTCAAAAAACGAAAAATTCTATCAAATTTATAATAAGAAAAAACAAATCGAAAAAAATGCCCGAGGAGAATAATGTTCTGGTTAAATGCTACTGAGCTGAAGAAACTACTGGGTGGAGTGTAAGTCCAAGAGGTGCTGGATATTTATTTGGCAAAGATGTAGTCGCTAACTCCCCCTTTTTAAATTTGAACAAAAAAACTCTTCCAATTTTAAAGAGGAGTTAATTTTGTTTTAAAAAATTCTAAAAATTAAAAATAATATAAAATAAGCATATGTTTTTGGATTATAATTTATTTATGAAACATTATTCAAAGCAATTTAAAAAATATTCTATTTGAATTTTTTTTAAAATTAGATATTAAATCTTTCCTTTTTTCAAAAGGTGGTTAAAGACCAAAGAGAGAAGTAAGTGGAACAACGATAACAATATTGAGCTTATTGCAAGAGCTCACCAGTTGGTAATGGAAGGGTATAAAAGTATGTTTGGAGATACACTGGTGACTGTATGGTCTGCCCCTAATTACTGCTATTAACATAACATTAACTTAAATTATCGAAAAGCTCACTGTCAGGATCCGAAAATCCTTAAATGCTATAATCGCCCTGCTTGCAACAATCGTATGTAAGCGGGGTTTCTTCTGTAAAATTTGAAAATTAAATTTTCTGGTCACCGGTCAGCCAAGATGAAATTCGTTGCCCAGGACGCACCTCCTGATATTGCGATGGGAAATGTTACCAATTTATCAGGAGGAGCCTCACTGATTTTGCAGGGAAATCCTTTTCCAACTCAGAACTTCATCTTCTTCCGAGGTAAAACCTTGACCTGGAATCAGCTGTGGTCGATATATCGCCCAAGCCAATTAAAAACTGGTCGGATACACATTCCTGAACGCAATTCTCCCTTCCAAAAGGTCCCTGGGCTCGGCCCAGCTACAGGTATTAAGTTTACGGGTTAGTTCGCCATGCCATTTTAATGTATATCCCTAATAACTGCTATAGATGCGGAAACGTTGCTGCTATTTTAGAGCTAGACGAGCATCTTAATCGTAGCTATAAAACTTTTGAAGCAGCCCCCGCAGACGTCAGAGAGCCACCAAGCAAAAACCCAGCCATGGACTATTTCCTCTAAATCCTTTTTAATATCATAACTCTTCACATAAATTTTATATGGAGGTATCCAGTGAGTCACCTTACATAGCCTTGACCACTTCTTGCATCCCCTCCTCCAAGCAGATGTCTGAGGACTCAAAAATCCCTATCGCTGCCATAATCGCCCCATTTCTCCCCAATGAATCCCCATTACCCCAAGTAGTCTTCCACGAGTCCATTATCCGGTGCAAGGACTGTTTGTCCTATATAAACCCTTATGTAACTTTTGAAGAAGTCTGCCAATATTGAAGATGCAATATCTGCTCTGCTTTAAACCCTACCCCATCCTGGTATATGGCTCCAATTGATGATCAAGGCAAAAGAACAGATCTAAATAAAAGACCTGAGCTTACCCATAATTCTTATGATATTATTGCAACTGAGGACTACATGACGAGACCTCCTATGCCAGCAGTCTATTATTTTGTTATTGATATTTCAGCTTCTTCTCACGACGCAGATTTTCTTGATACCATTTGTGATACAATTCAGTCGCTAATAACAAAAAAGTCATTTCCAGGGATGCCAAGGACACTTGTAGGGCTTTTGGCGTTTGATACCGATTTGCATTTTGTGAGTCTTGACCCTAATCAAGACCAGCCAATGGTGTATACGGTCGCTGGGACTTTTGAAGAAGTATTTTTGCCTGTTCCTTATCAATCTCTCCTTGTACCATTAGAAGAATGCTCTGACTTGCTTACATCTGCTTTAGACCTTATAAGGACGCTTCATAGCACTCCTTTTGGCGTTGGGTTCCGCTCAGCTGTAATGGCCGCTTATCAAGTCTTATACAACCAAGGGGGAAAAGCTTTATTTTTCTTATCAGACTGTCTTATAGAGTCAGGACACCCAAAAGATTTGAAATTAGATATGGATAATCCTTATTATAAAGAGCAAGCCCACAATATGAGCTCAATGCATATTTCTTGTGACCTTTTTGCCACATGTTCTCAGTTTTGTAATGTACAGACTTTATCTGAGCTTTCTTGGCACACTGGAGGAGACGTATATTTTTATTCACCATTCAGAGGAAAAAGCTCAATGGAAAAGCTGAGAAATGAAATAAATATAGCAGTGACTAAAGATATATGCTGGGAAGCTGCATTTAGGCTTAGAACTAACAAAGAGTTTAAAGCTGAAACAGTTTATGGGCATTTTTCTGTTAAATCTAGAGATTTGTTGTGTTTTCCTACATTTAATTACCATCAGACTATCGTATATGAATTTCATATTCATGGGACTGATCCTTTGCAGTCAATGCAAATGCAGACAGCAATGCTTTATTCCTCAAGCGAAGGTGAAAGAAAGGTAAGAGTCCATAACATCAGGGTAGACATAGCCAAAACAATTCATGACGTTTTAAATCACGCAAATTCTGACGCTTTAATCAATTTTTTTTCTAAAAGAGCTTTACAAGAAATGGTGCATGCAGATAGGCTTAACTTAGGACGAGAATTTTTAGAAACCCGCTGCAAAGAAATAGCACTGGTATGTGTAAGAAATTTAGGGAAAATGCCAAAGAATTTAGAAGGGTTTACTTTTGGGATCCAAGGGATGATGAAAAGCTTCCTTTTTGCTAATCAGTATTTAGGCTGTAATAGTCATATAGACAATACAAATTTAGATTTATTCCAATTTTATAGGAGGAAGCTAGAAACTTTAGGGATTTCAGGCACCAAAATTTTTAGCTGCCCTTATCTGTTTCAGGTGAAGCCAAATGAGCCAGCAACACCTATAGGGCTTTCTAGTAAAAATATTGACCCTGAAGGAGTTTATTTATTAGACACAGGGGTGGAAATGCTATTATGAATAGGTAAGTATTTATTTATGGGAGAGATGTCAATTCTGATTATCTCCAAGACTTGGTAGGGATGGAGAAGTTTGATTTAAGCAAGATGTATCAGGAACTTGAGCTGAAAGATGAAAATTTGATGGAGTTTATTAATAGTCAAAGAGGAAGCTGTGGGGTGTATCAGAGTTTGACGATAATTCTGAATGGGGATAGCAGAGAACAAAGGTAAGAAAAAATCAGCTTTTTCTCGAAGCTTGTGGAAGATAGGACACTTTTGCCGATTTCTTATCAGGAGTTTTACCAGAAAGTCTTTGGGTTTGTTTAGAGATATAACACAATTAATCCATAGATAATTTCATTATAGGAAAGTCATTCTTCTGGATTTCCTTTGCCGATCTTTATTAAGGATATGTGGATTAGCTAGTCCAATTAATTTTTATTATTATAGACTTAACTACCTCAGGAAATCCAAAAGTGTGACTTTACAATAATACTTCATATATTTATTAGAAAATCCAAAATATTACTTATCCTAGTTTTCTTTAGCTTTTTCTTTCTGCTTTAACGTCTGTTTTGTCTTACTTCCTTCTGCTATCTCATCCTCATCAAGACACAAGAAATGGTACCCAATAATCATCACAACAACCACAGCTCCCAGCACATTCAGCAAGAAATAGAGCTCGTACTCCATTTATAAAGTTTATATTACCCTTTTACTTATTATAATCTTATATTAATAATTCCACAAAAGCCTTACTTGACCTTCCTTTTTTTCCTCACAATTTTCGTTACCATACTTTTGATCTCTTGTACCATTTCTTTTGTAACAATTGTGGTGGCAGTGATCGTGTCCTTTGTGAGATCATCTGTTTCCACCTTAAATGGCCTAGAAATATAGGCTGGGATCTTGATTGGCTTGATTTTCCACTTGCCAAAGGCAGATCTGAGCGTTGATTTATATATAATTAGGGATAGTCTGACTGCGGTCATGCTCATATGTTTATCATTTTTTAATGATAAATCTTGGAGTTTTGACTGCAACTGGGACAGTTTTAGCATAAATTCTTCTTGTTTGGCTTCAAGCTCTTGTTTACAAGCTTTATTAGGTATGGCTGTTCCGTATTTTTGGACGTTATCAATGTCTTTTAAGGCTAACCGAGACTCTTCTTGGAATATAGCAGCTTTGGCTTGCAGCTCTTTGTTCTCTGACTGGAGCTTTTTAAGCTTTTCTTTGAGGATTTCTATGTCATTTTCTGCAGTCTTGGCTTCTTTATTAGATTTTTCTGAGTGATGCCTTCGGAATTGGTGGGGTTTTTGTGGATGATCTTTATGAAAGCTTAAGTTGTCAAGCTTGCTGCTATTAAGTCAAGAGTCTGAGTCGTGGCGATTTATTTTCTCAGCATTCCGCTTCATAAAATTAAGGATTTTTTCAGTGCTGGTCAAAGTGGTGTCAGAAGTGGCTGCTAAATGGTATTGGTTCGAGGTACTTGTCGATAAAAAAATGTTTTCTTTAATGCATTGGTTTATCATAGCCCGAATTCCTGTAGGGGTGAATAAGTAAGGGTGCTTAAGGGTTCTATTTATGAATTCTCTAGCTGAAATGTGGATATTTTGTGAGAGAAGCTGCTTTTTGTAAGAGGAAATAAAATCTTTTTGCCCATCGATGAGCTTTTGTTCGATATCTGCCAGTTTTTCCATAGAAATCTGGTCAGGTTTTTTGCCTTGTGCTAAGCATACAAGATTGATTGATAATGAGGAAAGAATTTCAAGAAATTCTTCTATTTGTTCTTCATTGATTTTGTTAGTTGTCCATCTCATTGCATGGTGAAATAGACGAGCTTTTACCTTTAGCAAATCTTCTGATAATATAGCGTTTAGGCTCTTTTAGAGTAATTAGGAAAAGGCTCAAAAAGGAAAACTATCTTTTAAAGCATTTTTTCAGCCAAAAATTGGGAAATTTTATTTTTGATCTTTCAGAAAAAATCATATATTCTGGTCTAAATAAGACCTATACTATAAAATGACCAAAATTTTCAGTTTTTTTATGGAAATTTTGTCATCTTGTGTCAAGTTTTGATAAAATGTGCTGACTCTTCCACTGTTGTGTGGAAAAGAATTAGAAGGAAATTTAAAGAAGAACAAGATCTCGCATAATGATTTTTCAGAAATAAATTCTTCAGACTCTTGGTTTGATTCTATGCACTCTATCATTTCTTCAGCTTTGCAGTCATAGAAGTTTAGCTCTCTTTCTCAGTGGGAGATTTTAGAATCATCGATTTTCAAATGGGGAAGACTGTTGGTATTTGATGCAGAGCATCCCATATTTTATGTGAAGATTCGTTTTTTTATTTATTTTTCAGCTAGAATTAGAAAGATTTCTAGTGATATTTGATAAAAATTTTGGATTGAGGTAAGGATGTCGTTATGCAGATTTTATTAAAATGGGAATTATTTAGGGGAAGAAATGGAATTATTTTTTATTAGGGTTGTATAGAAATAATATTTTTGATTTTTGAAGTTTTAAGCATAAGCTAAAAGTATAAATTAATTAAGTATTAGATATTAAGATATCAGTGAGGAAAGAAAGCTAAAGTAAATTGAAATGAGATATAGTTTTTATGGAAGAGTGATAAGACTGGAGCCACTTAATAATTATTAAGCATGAAATGTTAACTCCACCTTTGAATCAAAATATCTGTAAAATTCTTATTATTGGGGTAAATTTATCACCTTTAATTTTATGTTTTCAGCTAATAATTTTATTTATGAATATACAATTTTGATATAAACGGCTTTAACCTAATTTAAATGGGGATATTGCAAAAGGAATACTGTTTTAAAACGCTTGACACCTGAATAGGTAATTTTTAATTAATTCTAACTCCCCCCCCCCCTCCGTGAGCGAACAAAAAAATTTTGTTCGCTCACGGAGGGGGGTTAATTTTTTTTTTTTAAAACAAATTTATATATAAATTTTATAAAAAATATATTTTTTTTCGAAATTTAAAAAAATCCTAATTTGCAAAATTGGGAAGCAAATATTAATTTAATTTGCAAAATTTATGTTTTTAAAACGCAATTTGTTTAAAATTAAACAGAATTAGCTCTAGATTTCATTATACTAATTATCACTTATATATCAAAATTTTTTTCCATTAAAATTTTTTCTATTAAAAAAATTTTTGTTCACTCACGGAGGGGTGGTTTTTGGTCAAAAAATGGCGATTTTTCTAATGGTTTTGTTCGCTCACGGAGGGGGGGGGGGAAGTAAATTAAAATCGCAATATTTATATATCTATTTTTGAAATTTTATATTAATTTTTTCAAAAAGCTCCTCTTTTAAATCAGAACAATGGGAAATTAAGAATTAAGTAAGAGCATTATGATCAATAAAACAATTTACTGATGAAATGCTTCAAGATTGTTAATTTCTCAATTTAGATCAGAATATTTATAGTGAAAACCCTTAATAATTAAAAATCTACCTGTACAGAGCCAATGTAAGCATCCTCAACCAATCAGATGTAGAAAAATAAAACAAACTCAAAGTCTTCGGAAAATTAAAATGAAAGATCTTATTAAAACTTTGAGTAAAATTAAAACTAGTTGAGAGGGTTAACAATTTTGGATTGCGAGATTTTAGAAGAAAAATAGAGTGGTGATGACAGAAAAGTTATTTTAATGGCTTTGCCTGAAAAAAATTTTTAATCGAATGGCATTATTCAGAATGCTCTTATATTCAAGAAATCTTTTAAGCAAAGCTAGAGAAACAATAGGCGTATTGGCAAATATTAAATGTGGAAAGCTGTGCTATACCTTTAAAGAGTAGTTTTTGCAGTTGCCCTAATATCACATTGGCAGCTTTAATTTAAGAATTAATATTTAAATAATTAAAAATATCCGTTTTGCTTAAATGGAAGAGAACTCGAATGAAGTCGATATAAGAAACGTATCTGAAATTACTCCTTTAGTCAACGACACTCGCCGAGAATTTCGAAATGCAATTGGAGAAGCTGTTTACGTCAGCTATATCTCATCAAATAGCTTTATTTTCATTCTTTTTACCTTATGCTCTGCCAAAGTAAATTTAATTTAGCTTATTACTTGTGTAACGATTTTTCACTATGCTAAAACTGACACTGATACCCCACTGAACGCTTTTATTATTGGAAATTTAATAATTGATGCTTTATTTATGCTTATTCTTGGGTTGAAATATTTATCTAATGAATTCGACTGCTCTATGACAGTTAAGAAAAATTTACTTATCGTGCACAGTATAGTTGGACTGTAATCTATAATTAGAGGTTATTTTATATGGCTTGTAATAGGAAACTACTGGTTTTATACTTGTGATGGGTGCTTTGACGATGCTCCTTTGTTAACTTGGCTTGCTTTTAGCTTGATATTTTTAGGGTATATGTATTTTTGTATGCCTGTATTTTTGTGTATTGGGATGTGCATATGTTTTCCTATTACTCTTGTGGTTTTACTATTATTAAAAGTAAAAGTACAAAAACATGCCAGCGAATCATTGATAAATAAGTTGAAATCCCAAAATTTTAGCCCAGAAAATCATATAGGAGAAACTGCATGTACAATTTGCTCCTATGAATTTGTAGAAGGAGACTCTATTATTGTTCTGCCCTGTGATTCAAGACATTTCTTCCATGAAACTTGCTGCAAGCAATGGCTTACTCCCCCCCCCCCCTCCGTGAGCGAACAAAAAAAATTTTGTTCGCTCACGGAGGGGGGTTAATTTTTTTTTTTAAAAAAATTTATATATAAATTTTATAAAAAATATTTTTTTCGAAATTTAAAAAAATCCTAATTTGCAAAAATTGGGAAGCAAATATTAATTTAATTTGCAAAATTTATGTTTTTAAAACGCAATTTGTTTAAAATTAAACAGAATTAGCTCTAGATTTCATTATACTAATTATCACTTATATATCAAAATTTTTTTCCATTAAAATTTTTTCTATTAAAACAATTTTTGTTCACTCACGGAGGGTGGGTTTTTGGTCAAAAAATGGCGATTTTTCTAATGGTTTTGTTCGCTCACGGAGGGGGGGGGGAGTTAGAATAAAATCAGCATGTCCGTATTGTCGAAAACAAATAACTGAAGATAATATTAATTAGCTTTTTATATAGCTTAATTAGATTTCAACTTAATCCAATGGAATGAGTCATCTGAATCATGATGTTTTTCTTCACCAAATATAATTGATAGCAATTGCGGCAAAAGAAAGGTGTGGGCAAACCCAAATGTGTATCTATGGATACTCAGCACGAAAATAAGAACTAGACCGTTTAAAATTCTCAAGGATCTTATCTTACTAGATAGCCGGGCTCGTGCCCTTAATTTTAACGCAATCACCGATAATCCCCTAGGGGATTCACCCGTTTTGCGACCTTCCTTCCGTCCGGTCTCCTCCTTACTTCTTGTAAAAAGCTCCAGTGTTGAGTGGGCAGGCTACGGGTTTGTTCAGCCTCCTAAGGCTGAGGGAATACGAAGTTGGCATTCCGAAATTCCAAAAATGGAATTTCTGGTAGCCTATCGGCAAAAGGATAAAGTTCAGATCCTGGGACGTAAACGCCCATTTCACGCTAGGCAGTTGCCCGATTGGTCTAGGTATTACCTGTAGACCTTGCTGGGCTTGCCCTTTCCAGATCTGAACCCTCCTTTCCTTCGAGGTAAAAACCAGTCTCGAAATTGGACTTGGGCCAGGCTCTGCCTCCTGCAGAATTGGTTACGTGGCATTGCTGTCCTTTTCAAGGCTAGAAAAACCTTGCGGATATAATTAAAATATGTGTCGATGTATGGCCGTGAGAGCATACCTAGACGAAGACGCCATATTTTAATTATAAATTTCTCAAGGATCATAGCGTCAATATATTTTAATGATGCCATTAAAAAGTGGTGTAAGACGATAGATACGATAAGCAGTATGATGCTAAACTTGGGATAGGCTTTATTTTTCAAAAAATAGACACCAATAATCATTCCGGCAATAAACATCACAATGTTGGTTTCCCCAAAGCTTTTTATCATCGGACTATATACCGATAGCCCAGTATGGCATCTTTCCCTATATTTCTCGCTCCAGCTTGGATTCCATAAAGGATTTCTGTAATCGTATATAAAAGCTCCAACTATCAATCCAGCAACTAAAACTACATGTGTTTGTAAAACTGAATTAGTATTATTTCTGAAGCTTTTAATGTACTCCAGGGTGTTAGGGTGTAAAAGAATTGCCACAACAAGTGCTGCATATGAATATCCCAAAATAACTTGGAAATGGAAATGGACACCGATATATACCCTATCAATAGCTGTAATAAGTGATATAAAAATAACGATTATTGTTCTCCAGAGCTTGGAATCTGCAGTTTTAATCCATATATAGCCTAAAATAAATAAGCCTCCGCCAGCTGACATAGCGTGGCCTGAAGGCGTTCCAAAGTCCTTTGGGCATTCTTCTCCTTCTAAATTTGAATATTTCCAAAAAGGTCTGGGATGTGCAAATTCCATTTTAAGGGCTCCAGAAATGCAGACACCAAGAAGGCCACATATCAGGCCTACTAACCCTATGTCTCTTTTGCCAATTAGGAAAAGCGTGCCACTCATGAGGAGGAAACCAACGCCTGTAACCTTTCCTACATGACTAAAAATATATTCGATAGTTTCGTTATCTCTTTTTTGTAGCCATCTTGTTAGGCTTGCACTGGAATCTTCAAGTTCGTCTTCTTTGAGAATTGCTATAATTGTGAGCACGAAAGCAAGTAAAGCAAAAAACAAAATGGTTTTCATTGGATTATTATTAGATATGTAATGGATAGTTATTATAATTTACAAATTTTAAATTCACTTACTAAGTTTAACATTATTGCTTACCTCCTTTGGTTAAAAAGTAAATAAAACGTTGTCAGCCATTTGATGGGAACATTTTTTTTATCGGACTATTGGCCATAACTTTTCCTCGTTTTGCATTTGGCTAAAAATAGTTAAAATCTGATGAAATTTTTCACGAGGAAAAAATATGGCACACTCTCAAATATTCCAGACAAACCATTAGAAAAATAGTATTTAGATATTAAAACCTTTTTTGCTATCAAGGAAAAAATTTATATTAAAGTGTTTTACAAATATTAGTTTGATATATACTTAATCACACATAAATAGACGCCTTTAATCAAAATAGAAGTTTATAAATTGAATTATATTTTCAATTAAAAAATTTATTATTCGAAATTATTAATTTATAAAAAAAAGCAAAAATTTCTTGCTCAATTACTGAAGCGGGAGTTGGAAATGTAGATTACATTTCTAAATAAATTTATCATAGGCAATAAAATAGGGTAACTGGCTATTTATTAGTATTTGTATAGGTTCTTTGGGAATCGGCATTTTAAAAGTCAAAATGAAAATACTGATGTGATAATGGATTTTCTCTCGACTGCATTAATACGTTCTAAATTATTTTCATTTGCAAAATATAGTTTCTTAACACCTTTTAATCGCTTTGACTGAAAATTCTTCTTCGCAGCCTGGAGCTCTGAGAAGTCGCCTAAAAGTGGCAAGTTAACTCCAGTCGACAAATCCTGGCAAAAGAAGGTGTTTGGCCAACTTTGGGTTGACTTGTCGCCTTTAGTTGACTCGTCAGAGCTTCAAGTTACGAAGAAGAGCCTTGAGTCAAGGTACACTAAGTATGCAGGAGTTAAAATTGATTTAGAAGTCTCAGTGGTTATAATTTTTAATTCTTAAATAAAAAAATAGTTGGTTTGACGTTCTCTGCTTTATAAGCTTATCTAAGCATTTAAAATGGAGCTAATAGCATGAGCTGAATCCTATGAGACTCGATTGATTTAGCGCCATTTCTGTCACTCAGATATTATATTTGCTTACTCCCCCCCCCCCCCCTCCGTGAGCGAACAAAAAAATTTTGTTCGCTCACGGAGGGGGGTTAATTTTTTTTTTTAAAAAAAATTTTATATATAATTTTTATAAAAAAAAATATTTTTTTCGAAATTTAAAAAAATCCTAATTTGCAAAAATTGGGAAGCAAATATTAATTTAATTTGCAAAATTTATGTTTTAAAACGCAATTTGTTTAAAATTAAACAGAATTAGCTCTAGATTTCATTATACTAATTATCACTTATATATCAAAATTTTTTTCCATTAAAATTTTTTCTATTAAAAAAATTTTTGTTCACTCACGGAGGGTGGGTTTTTGGTCAAAAAATGGCGATTTTTCTAATGGTTTTGTTCGCTCACGGAGGGGGGGGGGAGTTAGGTTCATCAAAAAATGAAAATTTATTTTAATTTATCATTTATTCAATTGTCGGCTTCTTAATTTCGTTATTATAAAAATTTATTGGAAATAAAGAGCTTCTATTTATAATCATATTGAAGTTCAGATTAAACTGTAAGTCTTTTAAATTTTTTTCTAGACCTATCATTTGCTTTAATTTAAAAACTATGCAGCCTTGTATTGTTCATTTGGTGAATTTATATTATTACAAAGCTATATCTTAATCTTTTGAAAATGCTTGGCACTAATAATCTCTGAAGTGAAATAGCAACTTATAGAGATCTCATTTCAATGTTTAGTTATGCCAAATTTTTGCTTTTATTCATATCTAAATATCAATCAAATTTCTTTCTCCTAAATTATATCCTTCTTGCAAGCTGTCTTTCATAAAAATTCTCTAAATAGTTGCCAAACTCTCTATTTTGCAAATATTTAAAATTTTATAAATTAAAATGGGACATCATTCTAGAAGTCACCACCATTCAAGACACAGATCAAGAGATCGCCGCTCTCATTCTCGAGATCATTCATCTGAGCGCAAGCACCGTAAGAGTGACTCTCGGCATAGGAATCATAGAAAAAGCAAAAGAACAAGCGAAGAGCGAGAATTGCGCAAAAAACAAGAACGACTTGCCAAGGCCAGAATTCTGCTTCTTCAAGAGGAAGAAGAAGCCGAAATGCTCCCTATGGCACAGGACGCTTCAAAAGATGTGCAAAACTCTGAGAATCCTTCTCAGCAGGACCGCTTTCGTGACGAACTGGAGTTTGATGAAGAAATGCCAATTCACCTGGCAAGTTATGAAAATCTCTAACTCCCCCCCCCCCTCCGTGAGCGAACAAAAAAATTTTGTTCGCTCACGGAGGGGGGTTAATTTTTTTTTTTTTAAAAAAAATTTATATATATAAATTTTATAAAAAATAATATTTTTTTCGAAATTTAAAAAAAATCCTAATTTGCAAAAATTGGGAAGCAAATATTAATTTAATTTGCAAAATTTATGTTTTAAAACGCAATTTGTTTAAAATTAAACAGAATTAGCTCTAGATTTCATTATACTAATTATCACTTATATATCAAAATTTTTTTTCCATTAAAATTTTTTCTATTAAAAAAATTTTTGTTCACTCACGGAGGGTGGGTTTTTGGTCAAAAAATGGCGATTTTTCTAATGGTTTTGTTCGCTCACGGAGGGGGGGGGGGAGTAAGGGACATTTTTTCTATGAATGTAAAATTTTTTTGAAAATATACATGAAAATAAAAAATTTGCTTTCATTTTTTTAAAAAAAAAAATAAGAAGTGGTTTTTTATTGACAACCCAATTCACCCTGTAAAAGACCTGAGCTCAGAAATTGACCCCCTCGATCAATATATGATGGAAATCGACAAAGAAGCAGTCCCACAAGAAGGCAAAGCAAGAAACCAACAAATTGATGAGGTAGATGAAGAAATAGATGAAGACGGCCTAGACGAAGACGAATACCATATGCAATTTCTCCAAGCCTTCACTAAAAAACAAGATCCTGTCCAAGAAAACGATAAAAAACCTGAAGTCTTGTTTGAGGAAGAAGGAGAAACCGCATGGGACATGCTACTAGAAAACGATGAAACTGAGGAATTTTTAAAAAAGGTAAAAAATATATAGCAAAGAAAAATGCAAGACAAAAGAACCCTGCCTACGATTGACCACTCTCAGATACAGTACGAACCTTTTAGGAAAGACTTGTATATACCTTGTAAAGAACTAACCAATCTTGAGTACGAAGAATTGCAACAAATGCGAGAAGATGTCGGAGATATAAAGGTCAGAGGCAAAAGATGCCCAGCACCAATACTTAATTGGTATCAGTGCGGGTTAAGTGACAAAATGTTAGGGGTACTGGATAAAAAACAGTTTAAAGGCCCATTCGCTATACAATCTCAAGTAATTACTATATAGGCAATCCCAGCAATAATGGCAGGCCGAGATGTAATAGGAATTGCAGAAACAGGCTCAGGCAAAACTTTAGCTTATTTATTACCTATGTTCCGTCATATTTTAGACCAAAGACCTCTACAAGATGGTGATGGTCCAATAGCTTTAATTTTAGCTCCTACCAGGGAGCTGGCTTTCCAGATCTACGCTGAGGCAAAATCATTCTGCAAACACCTCAATTTACGCTGTGTATGTGTATATGGAGGCTCAGGGGTTTCAACCCAACTATCAGACCTAAAAAGAGGCGCTGAAATAGTAGTCTGCACTCCTGGGAGAATGATTGACGTTCTGTGCCTCAGTAACAGTAAAATTACTAATCTCAGAAGAGTCACTTATTTAGTAATAGATGAGGCTGACCGTATGTTTGACATGGGCTTCGAGCCACAAATAAGCAAAATTGTTGAAAATACCCGCCCTGACCGCCAAACAGTAATGTTTTCTGCTACTTTTCCTCGGTCAGTGGAAAAGCTTGCCAAACAAATTTTAGTAAAGCCTGTAGAAATCGTCGTTGGAGGCAGAAACAAGACTTGTGACACTATAGACCAGTTTGTAGAGGTCGTCGAAGAGGACGAAAAGTTCAACAGACTGCTAGAAATCCTTGAAGAATGGGTTGGAAATGGGTTTGCATAAAAATTTTATGTGGTAAAAATCCTATAATTTCTAGAAAAAATAGATATAATGTTTTTTATACCAGTAGAAATGGCAGCATTTTGATTTTTGTTGAGCGGCATGACGAAGCTGACGAGCTTTTTAAAGACTTAATCAAAGAAGGCTATGAGTGCTTAGTCCTTCATGGTGGGCATGATCAAGTTGACAGAGATTTCACCATCTCCGACTTCAAAAAAGGCGAAAAGACTTTAATGGTAGCTACTTCTTTAGCAGCCCGAGGGCTTGATATAAAGCAGCTTAATCTCGTCATAAACTACCGATGTCCAAACCACATGGAAGACTATATCCACAGGATTGGGAGAACAGGCCGCGCAGGTAATAAAGGTACAGCGATTACTTTTATAACAAAAGAAGAAAAAAAGTATGCCTGGGAGCTTATCAAGGTGTTGGAAGCGTCAAATCAGGACATTTCTGAAGACTTGCTAGACCTTTCACTAGAATTTAAACAGATGGTTGATTCTGGAGAGGCAAAACCATATAGATCAAGAGGATTTAGAGGGAAAGGATTTAAGTTTACTGGGGAAGAGAAGGAAAAAGTCAAAGAAAGCAGAAAAAAATCGAAAAAAGACTATGTGTTTAGCGATAGTGACACTGATGTGTCAGATGTGGAGGACTCAAAACCACTTAAAAAGTCTGAAATGACTATTGCGGATTTCATAAAAGACCCCAAAATTAAGGCTGCGGCTATGTCTGCTGCGCAGACTGCAGCTAAGGCTGCAATAATGAGTGGAAACTCTCACAATGCCCTAAACGCAGCTAAAGAAGCTATAGAATTAATTGTCCTGCAAATGAAAAACCAGCCTACCCCTGAAGAATCCTTACTTCCTTTCATTATGCAAGCTGTCTAAAATTTAATAAAATTAAATGGGATTTCTCTTATAACGATATATATCAAAATATTTTATATCCTTTAATAAGGACTTTACCTGAAAACCAATCGAAGAGTTAGAAAATGTCCTTAAAATCAGAGATGAATGGGCTGCCAAAGTGGCAGAAAGCACCGGAAAAGTATTTGTTGAATTAGATATCAATGATTATCCTTTGTCTGCAAGAACAAGAGTTATGAGCCGAGACTATTTGAACACCATAAACGACCTAACTGGCTGCTCTGTAAGTGTAAGAGGCACTTATGTCGACCCTAGCAAGAAAACAGGCATTGGGCAAAGACGAATCCACCTGTTCATAGAAGGCCCAAGTAAGCTGCACTGCAATAACGCTCGCAACGAAATCAAAAGGTTTTTAGAAGACTTAAGCCCATCATTGGCAATTACTTATTAATCTTTTACTTATATATCTCCTCCCCAGAATCTCTTCTGACTTTTTCCATAATTAAAAGTTTCGCTTCCTTTGGCCATCACTACCTTTTGGTTTCCCGCCGCATCAGTTTCTAAGTATCTAGGAATCGTTGTATTCTCGCACCAGCCTTCTCCGCCTACTATATGCCAGGCATTTCTGATCATAAGTTCAAATTCATCATCTCTATCAATGCTAGCTGAGACGTCTTTATAATATTCTTCGAATTCTTCGACACTTACAATGCCGTCCTGCTTTATAGTGTCCCATTGTGACATAAATTCAGTCAAAATTTGGTCCCGCGTTTTGGTCCCTGCTTGGAACTCAGGGTGGAAAGAGACGTCATAGGCAATTCTCATGTCTTCTAATGTGACGTGGCCGTCACCATTTTTGTCAAGTTTTTGGTAAGCGAGGTCTATAAGTCTTTTGCGGCGAGAATTGAGATCTCCTCGGAGGGCGTAGAGAAATTCATCATAAGAGACTTTTCCGTCCTTGTTGCGGTCGAAGAATTTGAAAAGTTTATCGACGTCGACTGGGCTTAACATGTGCCCGTTTTCTCGCAAGCCCCATTCAAATTCTGAGTGGGATAAGTTTCGGTCTCTGGACCGGTCCATTCTTCTGAAAACTATGCCAAGGCCTCGGATACCATTGGTGCCTCTTCTTAATAGTTCAGATTTGACTTTATTTAAAGCGTCAGCTGGGAATTCTTCTTTTGGTAAAAATTGATGTCGGCCAGCAGCTCCTTTTTTGGCGAAATGTCCTGAGAATTCTTCGTAGTCTAAAAACCCTGAATGATCAGCGTCAAATTTGTCGAAAAGCGACCTGATTTCGATTTCTGTAAAAACACAGCCCCAGTTCTCTAGGCATCTTTTAAATTCGTCAAGAGAAATAGACCCTGATCTGTCCCTATCGAAATGCCGAAAAGTTTTAAGCATGGCTCTTCCTTCATCTTCATCGCCTTTGCATCTTTGTCTGATTTTCTCATATATCATTTCTTCAATCTGCTCAATTCTTGGTAATGGGACCAATGATTGTGCTGACTCCGCTAAGAAATAGCGAAAAATAGCAAATTTTTGGAAATTAACACCCTCAATTTATGAATAAAATATTATTTTGGGAAAACTAACACCCTAAAATATTATTTAGATATTTAAAATTTTTTTTTTTATAAAAGCATGCTTCTCTCTGTTCATTTTTGGAGAGGAGAATTGAGCTGAAATTTCAGCATCCCACAAGCAAATTTGTGAAAAACCGTTCTTGCTCAGCTGGGATTGTAGAATTCACACTTGTATAATAAGAAATAAAGCTGGGCTTTGAAATGGACTGATTTTGAGCATATTTTCTTATTGAGCTTTGGAAATCTTGCCTAATTGCTTCAGGAGTTTTTTCTCTAGCAAGGACACGTGGATGCTGATTTTCATTGTAAAGCTTATAAAGCTGCTCAAGCGGCAATGCTCCTCTTCTTTCAAAATCTAGATTTTGCCATGCTCGATTTACAGCTGTTAGCCTGCTTTCAGAAAGATTTAACTGTAGCCCAGAAACAAGCTCAGATTCTGTGACCTCGCCGCTGCGGCTTTTATTGAAAAACCTAAAAAGGTCGTTAAGCTCTTGCGTTGGCAAAAACAAGCCAGTCTTGTTTAAAAAAGTTTCAAATTTGGCACGATTTAAGCTGTTATTTCTGTCTGAGTCGCATTCCTATATAAAGCTTACATAAAACAGCTGGATTGCTTTTTCAAGCCCATCAATTTTATTGGCATGCAGTCCTGCTCGCAGGCGGTTTTGCAGTGAAGAAATTTTATTTGTCAAGTCCATTTTTATATAAATTAAAAAATATTTTAAACAATTAATCTAGACAAGCCTTTTGTATAGCATTAAAAGCAAGCATGAAATTTTCTCTATATAAATTTTACCCCAGCACGTCAGGAGTCAACTGTCCATCTGACAGCTCCCAATTCTGGTTTTCTCCAGGAGAGTCCAAAAAGTCCTGTGGCAATAATTCTGAGCAGCTATGCAATTCTTGGACTTCAGTTTCTTCAGTCCACCTCAATTGTCTAGGAGTATCAGACCCAGAGCTCATATCGCCTGGGCTCATCATATATTTCTGCATAACGGTGCTCAATGTATGAGCTGGAGCTACTGACTGCTCTTTTGAAATTTCTTCTTCTCTATATTTCTTTTCCTCATGCCTCAATTTAGCTAATTTTTTAAGTTTTTCACTATCCCACCTCGCTCGTTGAGCGAACACAAAAATTTTGTTCGCTCATGAGAGTTAACATTTTTTTTCAAAAAATCCAAATTCGCAAAAATTGAGAAGTAGTAAAAATTAATTTAATTTGTAAAATTTATGTTTTTTAAATGAAACTGCTTAATTAAATAGAATTGATTAGAAATTTCATAAAATTATCACTTATATATCGAAATTTTTTTTACAAAAATTCTATATAAATAAAAAATTGTTCGCTAACGAAGAGTGGATTTTTACCAAAAAAAAAGGGTTTTTTCAATGGCTTTGTTCGCTCATGGAGGAGGGGAGCAAGGGAAAGCTCTTCTTGATCTGCCTCATATTTCAGTCAATTAAAAGCTTGCTCGTCGACTGGATTTTCAGTTTTCAGCTCTTCTTCAAGAGTTTCTAATGGGTTATCACAAGAGCTGAAAACTGAAGGTTTTGGCTCTTTGTTCTCAAGTTTTTGATATTCTTCAAGCTTCGCTTGAAGTTGGGCTTTATTTGTTTCGAGGTACTCGATATATTGTTTTTGTTCTTTGCATTTCTGGAAATATGTGGGAGGCCTTACGTAGTATCTGAGCACTATTGAGTCATTTTTGCTGAGGTAGCCTTCTTCTTTTAACAAATCAATTTTGAAAAATTTATTATAGCCCCAGCATTCGCCAGACTCAAAATCTGAAGCAAATTCTCGGACCACACACAAGTTTGGGTCAGCGTGGTTCACCATTTCGACACGGTATTCGTAATTATTAGTATCTTGAAGCCCTTTAACCATTTCTAGAAAAACAGAAATGTAATGATTTCTTGCTACTCCATTTCCATTTGGATACACTTTTAGCCTCCAAGAAATTCCACACACTTGCAAAAGGTCCGAATAAACCACTTCCGTAGTAGTCCTAAGCCTAGAAAAGTTATTTATTTCAAAAACCCCTGCATCATAAGCTGGCGAAATTTCTGATACAAATTCAACTGACACATTTTCATTCTGAAAATCCACAATCGGCTTATTTTTTATTTCTTTCAAAATATTCATAATTTCTGGGCTTTTTGATATCAATTTCGACTTGCAGCTCTGCTCCACCTGCTTGCTTATCTCATTTTTAATATTTTCAAGATTATCAATTTCTTCACAAATAATATCCCTATGCTCATTAAATTTTTGTAATTTCCCTTGCAGCTGCATTTCCAGCTTATCTTTCATAGTCCCTACATATTGTATAAGCTCATTACTTTTGGTTTCTTGATTTTTTTTAACTTTTTCAATATTCTGATCAATTGTGTGCAAAATCACTGTCAATTCTTTCAGCCTTTTTCTAAGACCTTGGGCTTCTTGCTTGATAATTTCTACATGTTTGTCGTAGATAGGGGAAAGGTGTTTAAATTCATGGCCTTTGTGCTCCAGCCCAAACATAGCACAGTCTGAACAAATAGCAAGAGAACAGGTGATACAAAAGTAATTCAAAGGAGCTGAATGGACTGAACATTTTTCGATTAGGTCTGGCTTGGCCACTTGGAGGCTTTCTAAAGCTTGAGAAATTTCAGCGACGAAACGGCAGCTTACAAGGTTTTGGGGTCTTAAAGGAGAACGGCAGTGAGGGCACTGAGAGCGTTGTTCTGTTAGCCATTTCACTATACAAGTGTAGCAGCATAGTTTTGAACATGATGGACACATTTTTGCGTCGACGACTCTTCCGAGACAGATAAAGCATTTTAAAATTTCTTCGAAATTCGCGCAGTTGGCAAGTTGGCTTCCAAAGAAAAGTGATTCTTGGAGGGAATCGGACATTTTGAAAATTTAATTATTTCATATTCAAAAAGTTTATAACTTATTTTAAGAAAGTCAAAAATTGGGATTTAAATAATTTAGGGGAATCTTTCTAATCGAAATAAATTTAAAAAGACTTAAATAACTATTAAGTTTAGAAATGGCTCTGGGGTAATTATAAGAGATATATAATTGCAAAGAAAAAAGGATTTTTGGCATAGATTTATTGAATTATAAATTTTCTCTAGTAGTTATAATTGAGTTTTTTCTATGTAAACGCATTTCTTAAGAAATACTTTAAATTATGACCTCTTACCATTGAGTTGGTGTTACAGGCTGCACCTCATACTTTGCATCCCAAGCCAAATTCACGTGCCCCACAAGTTCCGGATTCCAGTTTTCTGGAGGTGATGGCAATGGCGCTGGGGCATATTCCGCAGGATATATCATCACAGGCGTAGAAACAAAAGTACTGTCTCCGCAGCACATGCAGGTTCCATCCATTTCTGCTTCAACAGCCAAACTGTAGCTGCACTCAACTATTTTCCCTTTTGTAGTAAAATGCCCGACAATTTTATCTCTTGACTTGCTGAGATCCAAAGAAATATTTAGTGCTCTTTCTTGCAAAAGGGGGTCAGTCTCAGAGCTTCCATCAACTCCTTCAGGAATTAGACACTCAGTGAATGATTCCACAATATTATCACTCAAAAGGTGATAATGGGTATAACTGGTGAGATTAAGGTCGATCAAAGAAGTAAGAGCAGATTCTTTTCCAGTTAATCTAACTTTTCTTGTTAAGACTGTTCTTATCTTTTTAACTTTTAGCTTGCTTAGTGAGTTATTCACGTCAACAATCGCAGTTGCAATTTCATCTGGAGTGTAAAAGTCCTTACTTCCCTACTTAAAAAAAGATCTTTAAAAATTTTATAAAAATTTTTACTTTTTGGAAAGACATAATTATATTCAGAATTTTATATATACACGAAATTTATTAGAAAAAATATCGGAATAATTTGGAAAAGAGTTAGCAAACCTTGCTTTAATTGAAAGCGCTCCTTTACTGACGCAACACCAAGTTGATATTTGAGCCGTTTTTTCGCACTCTATATTTTGGTTAATGCTTTCAGCTACTTGCTTGATTTCTATTTCTCGTTTGTTTTTAAAAAAAGCTTTTCCGCTCACAGGAATTAGCTTTGCCCTCATCTCATATCTGATGAAAGCGCTAGTGCCGCTGCTAGCCGTAATACTAAATGAACCAGGAAGGTTATCTGGCAATTTAAAAGAAAAAGGAATTGTATAGCTTTGTACCGACTGAGAAGCGTCCAAAGCATAAATTTGATACTTGAAATTAGAAATGCAGTGTTTACCTTCATAAAATCTGAGATGCCTGTGCTTCCCTGAGCCTTTGTTTGTGCTCCAATGAGTGTATTCTTTTCCTTTGAAGCCAAATAATTAATATGGTGGCGGCGACGAAATATGTCCTTTAGGAGGTCGCACCACTTTGGGCGCGAAAATGGTTTTATAGCCTAAATCGTTTAGGTTTTTAATTCTAACCTTAATATGCGTAATCGCTGCCGTAAGGGGTGGGTAAACCTTAGGAGTCAGCTGGTGATCATTCCAGTCCAGGATTAGTTAAAGCTCATGCACCTTAATAGATCTTTACCCCAGCAGAATACCGACCAGAAAAAAATATGGTACAGGGCACCTGCCTTATAAAGTATAAGTCTGATTAGGCACTTTAAAAACATAAATGGAGATCTGTCATTTTCTCAAAAAAGCTGACAAGTACAAATTATTTTTGAAATTAAAATGGATGACCAATAATGATCTAAAATATTTCAGGAGCTATCTCAGGATGGCTTTTGGGCTAAGTGCTCTTCCTTACCATTCCGGGTGTCATGGTTCTTTTTTCCCTGAATGCCACCTGCCCCGAAGGTGGCTGACAGAGGGTATCGAGCTAGCCTTTGCCTCAAATAGCATCCGATGGCGCACTGGCAGGGTGTCTTCCTAACCCCTCGACACTCTTGGAGGTCACAGTAGAAGCCTCTGCTCCAATTGAAGATCACTATTCCAAATAGCGGCTGCTGAACTTCCGTCTGCCAAGCAGGTTTTCGTTGGTCGAAAGCATGTGGAGGCGTCAAATCTGGAAGATATTTAAGACTCTTTAATTTAATTTGAAACCAAGAATAACTTGTGAATTTGGAATCGGATCATCAATTTGAAGGAAAATATTTCCAGACACAAATTCACCACCGACATAAGAAGATTTATCTGTTGAGATATGAAGGCCTCCTCTTATTGTTGACCCTTGACTATTGCCCATTAATTAATTTCTAATAAAACCTAAACAAAATTCCAAACTCTTTTAAATTCAAATTAATTTTTGGCAGAATTAAATTGATTTTTAATAGTAATAAACATTCAGTTTTATAGAATTTGCACAAGTTAAATAACTTGTTGTGTCTCAAAATCAACTTTCTATTAATTTTTTATTAAGCAGCCTTATAGGTTTATGATCTTTAATCCTATATAAAGATGAGCGGAAAGTTACAATGTAAATTTTCTGAGTAACTATAAATTCTTTTTGGTTTTTATTTATATCAAAATCAACAAAATCCTGGTAAGGAAAATTGAAGAGTTACACAAATATATAGAATGCCTGACTTATGGCTTTTTATTTTGATGCTTTAAAATTTATTATCCAAAAATAAGTAAAATTCTTTTATAATTAAGTTGAAGTATAATAAAAATATTTTCTCAAGTTAATGATTTTGCCATCTTAAGCGGTTTAGCAATTTTATATTATAGATATTGGCTTTGGATAAGAAATTTTAATTGAAGTAAAAATATATTTGATCTAAGTACTTTAAATTATGATCTTACTTAGTAGAAGGCTGAACCTCGTACCTTTGATCCCAAGCTAAATTTACTTGTCCTATAAGCTCAGGGTTCCAGTTTGCAGGAGGTGTTGGCAACGGCGCTGGAGCATATTCAGCAGGATATATCATTACTGGCGAAAATACAGAAGGGCTATCACCACAGCACATGCAAGATCCATCCATTTCTGCCTCTATATTCAGACTGTAGCCACACTCTACAATAGTTCCTTTTGTAGTAAAATGGCCAATGATTTTATCTCTTGCCTGGGTAAGATCTAAAGCAATCTGCAATAATTTTCCCTGCAAAAGAGGATCTTTTTCAGAGCTTCCGTCACTTTTAATTCCTTCAGGAATCCCAGTTTCAGAAAACGCTTGCATAACAGTTTCACTATAAAAATGAGTATGGCCAGTATTCGTTAAATTGAGATTCATCACAGCACTGAACCCTGTTTCTTTTCCATTTAATCTGACTTGTCTTATTAAGGATGCTTTTACTCTTTTAACTTTTAGCTGACTAAGGGAATTATTGATATCAACAAGAACTAATACATTAAAATGACGTGAAGATTTTTTAAATCTTGTAGATGGCTCCCGCAAGGGAGCGCAGGACTTTGAGGAAGGGAGGATGCCATTTGGAAAATGTGTATCTGCCTAAGTTTTACTTGATTTGGTGAAGAGTAATGCTGATAAGCTGACTGCATGCTTTATAACAGATAATGATTTTTGTATCAAAGGGAAGTGAGAGTTGGAAAGAATATTCCAGCATACCAGTGTGCTAATTTTTCCCAGCCTAAAAAAAGTTGTTAGACTTTGGGCTTCTGACCAAGAGTAAAACAGAAAATTTAACCATTGTTGGACTCTCCTTGAACCTTTATATACTATGATTAAGATTAAGATATCAGCAAGGACAATGGCAATTTCATCAGGAGTGTAATAATCCTTACTTCACCCCTCTGTGAGCGAACAAAAAGTTTTGTTTCTCAAGGAGGGGGGGGTTAATTGTTTTTTTTTTTAAAAAATTTATATATAAATTTTATATAATGTATTGGTAATATTTTATTTTGCTTATTTATGGTAAATTGATTTTGAAATATCAAAAAAATTTTGACATGCCATTATATATAAAACTGAGTCTATGGTATGTTAAAAATTTTTTTGGCATTTTAAAATCAATTTACCATAAATAAGCAAAATGAAATTTATGCAAGGGATTATAATAAAATTTTTTTTTTCAAAATAATCCCAATTCACAAAAATCGTAAAGCAAATATTAATTTAATTTTCAAATTTTTTTTTAAAACACAACTTGTTTAAAATTAAACAGAATTAGCTAGATATTTCATTATATTAGTTATCACTTGTATATCAAATTTTTTTTTTATAAAAAATTATTTGTTCGCTCAAGGAGGGTCAAAAAATAGGAATTTTCTAAAGGTTTTTGTTCGCTCACGGAGGGGGGAATTAGCAATCCTTGCTTTGATGCCAATTTTTCCTTTACTGCAGCAACACCAAGTCGAAATTTGTGCTGTTTTTTCGCATACAATATTTTGATGAATACTTTCAGCTACTTGTTTAAAGGTCTTTACAGTGATTTGCCCGATAAGGGCAGGAGAAAGGAGAGGTAATTTTCCAGTGGGTTTACCAAGTCAGTTTGCCCAAATCTACTGAGAGATGCTCATTTGTCAACTCTCCATTCTCCGCCCTATCTGTCAAATCACAGTAAACACCTATAATTTCTATTGGGCATTTATTTTTTAAAAATGCTTTACCACTCATAGGAGCAAGCTTTGCTCTCATTTCGTACCTGATGAAAGCACTGGCGCGGTCATGTGAATAATTAAATGACCCAGGAAGGTGATCTGGGAGCTTAAAAGAAAAAGGAATTGTAAAGCTACGCATAGGCTGAGAAGCGTCTAAGGCATAAATTTGAAATTTAAAGTTAGAAATGTGGTGGTCGCCTTCATAGTTTCTCCAATGCTTATTCTTGCCTGAACCTCTTCTTTCGCTCCATTTCGTGGACTCTTTTCCTTTGAAGCCAAGAATGATTTTTGAAGGAGGTATTGCTTCTTGAATTTGGATAAAAATATTACCAGTAACTATTTCACCGCCTATGTAGGAAGTTTTATCAGCTGATATTATAAGACCTCCTTTAATTGTTGATCCTTCACTATTACCCATTAATTATTTTCTAATAAAATCCAAATAAAAAATAAGCATTTTAGATAAACTAAACAGAAACTGCCTGCTCTAAGATTTAATTGAGTTGAATGCTTTTAAGGCAGAAAAATTATATTTGTGAGTACTATAACTATCCTTATATAATGTAGGAATTACTCGGGAGTTATAAAGCTTGCTAGTAATAAACTTAATTTGTCACATGATAAAATCTAAATCTGCTTATTTTTAGATATATATTCGCTATACATTTGTGTCGGTTATTTATCTTTTAAGGTTGTCCATATTTCTAATTAAATATAAATTTACCATTTTATTTACAAGTGTTTTTTATATTAAATCTAAAAGCTATTAATTCAACGCAAAATCTATTATAAAATTATTTGGAAGGCCTAATTTTTTAAAAAATCCAAAATATTGATCTAATGTATATTGATATTAAAATTCGCATACCATTATAACAATGACCCCCCCCCTCAATCTTCATGTCTATTGCAACAAAAATTTTTCGAAAAAATTTTCATGCCTACTGCAACACAACATTTTCATGCCTACTGCAAAACAACATTTTCATGCCTACTGCAACACAACATTTTTATAAAAAAAAATTAATGCATTTTTCTCTAGGTGAGTTTCTCAAAAACCCCATAAAACAGCGCTGCTGTAGGCGTGTCAATGACCTCTAATCGAGATTTGGATGGTTATTGTCATTGCTCGCCGTTTTATTAAACTTATCTAGCTAAAATTTAAGATGCGCATCTAAAATTTGCTGCAAGAGGATTAGGATTATACAGACAGGCGCTAGCCATATTGGTGGCACAGTCACCAAAGACCTCCCGTGCAGAAGGTTCTACCGCTTTTCGATTCCAGCCCAGAGGGTCTATTCCTCTTACGAGTTCCCTTCCGGTACTTCTGTCTTCTCCTTGCCTTGCGGCTTCAGTCTTGAGTGGGCGGCTTATGGATTTCTGCGTCCCTGCTACGGGCAATTGGAGTAACTTGATTCCAAGGATCAGCTCCTTAGAGTCTATCGGATGTCAAAGTACCTTCCTTCGACAGCTACACGAAAAAGACTGTTCCCCTGTGGCCTGGGCAGAAACCCCAGTTTCTCGGTAGAGGAATGCCTGGGTCCTCGGATCAAAAGGACGTTGTTGAGCGCATCTATTTCCAACCACAGGAAAGCAGCCAAAACCTGCCCGGATATACACTTCTTGGGCCTGCGTCTGATTCTCGGCTCGGGGTCTGGAATGCTGCGCCAAGAGGGCAGGCTGACACGTGCCGCCATTTTAATATATATAATTTGTTGCAAGAGACATGAAAATTATTATTTTTTTTATATATAATAAGAGACATGAAAATTATTATTTTTTTTTATATAAAATTTTATATTAAAAAATTGCATTTTTGTTGCAATAGACATGAAGATTGAGGGGGGGTCATCGTTAGTTGTTTTAGCAAAGAGACTTTTATTAATCAATTTTACAATAATTATTAATAGTTATATCAATTGGCCAAAATTCTTTTTTCTATTCCTTTCTGAAATGGATCTAAAAATAATTCTTCCAAATGGGTTCTCATTTAACCAAAAGCAAAACGCCAGCATCATCCCAAAATCCTTTAAATTTTCCCGAAGAATGGCTTCGTATTGACTATGTATTCAGATGTCTCTCCACAAGAGAAGTAAAAATCCTTTTTTCTCATCTAGACTACACTCCAACTACGATAACAAACATCGGAAATGTAGATACTCCAATAATCTTCTACTGCATCTGTAATTCAAGGCTTAAAATATTAAAATGCTTAGTAGAAGAACTAAACGCTGATTTACGCTTTGTTTACAAAGGAGAAACTGCTTTAACTACAGCTATCATCAACAACTGCTACGAAAGATTCCATTATCTTATCACCCTACCAAGCATTGACATTAACCAAGTCACAACAACCAAAAGCAGCGCTATAATCCACGCTGCAAAGCCAGGGAAAGAAAAATTTTTTACCGAATTGTGTGAAATTAACGTCAACCTAGACCCAATCGGCAAGCACAAAAATAAATCTGAGCTATCAAGATCAGCTGTAGACCATTGGTACACAAACCGGGTCATAAAAGTCCGATTGTTATTGTTTTGGAAGCCATTCCAAAAAGAAGAAAACATCCTCAAAAACTTGCCTCAGGCACTAGTGAGAGAAATCGCTGAATATATTTAATAGTATTTAAACAAATTTATATTCTGAACCCTGAAAGTTTATTTTCGAGCTCAGTTTTATTGTCCTGCAACAAGTTCAGCCTAAGCCTTATTTCAGCTAAGCTGTTTTTTAACACCCCTCCTCCTTCTCTAAATGTAGGAGGAGTCTGATGTTCTTGCAGCTGGGCATGCTTCATTTGTAGCCTTGGTGACAAATAATTTTCACATTTTGTTTTGTGGACTGGAGAAACTGTTACAGTGGGCTCTATAGAATTGTTAAAAATTTTCCTATCGATTTCCATTGAAATGTTAGGAGACTCTAACGGCAAAGTTGTGTCTGGGCTTGCCCCGTTGTAACGGTCTGACATTCTGGCTCCCATAGGGGTGCTTAATAAATTAAGCGTCCTTTCTTTATACTCTTTTGCCCTTTCTCGTAAATCTTTTTCTAGATTGGTAAACAGCTGCTTATTTTTTGATTCAGCTTCATTTAAATCCATTTTCAGCTTGCAGTTTTCTTTTTCTAAGTTTTGAATTTTTTGCTTGAATTCAATTATAGCTTTGTCTTGGCTTGCGATTTTATTTTGGTAATTTTCGCATTGTTCTGTTAGTAAAGTCATGGATTTTTCAATTTGGTCACATCTTTTGATGAGGTCTTCTGTGTCAGCAGCATTTTCTGCTGGTTTTGAATTTTTTCTGACCTCACTCCTGAGCAGCTCTGCTAGTTTTTCTTTTTGCTTGATGGTCTCTTCTAAGGTGATTTGGTCATTTTCTTTATTTGTCAAAAGCTTGCGGATTTCTTGGTCTTTTAGCTTTATTTCATAAGCGTATTTTTCTTCAAGTTTTTGAAGTTCAGCCTCAAGCTTCACCCTGCTGCGGATTTCTTGCTCCCTTAAATTTTCAATATCTTTAAGCCTGTTTTCTAGCTTTTCAATAATTTTAGCGTCCGAATTTCTTTTTAGCTCCAAGCTCTGCTTGATGTCTTTTGCCTCTTTTTCTTTTTCTTCTGCTATGATTTTAAATCTTTGAATTTCTTTACTATGGATCTCATTTTGGTATTTACTGGTGTCGTTTACCCTCTGTAAAGCGATTCTCATGTCGCTTAATTCTCCTTCAAGCTCCCTTATTTTGACGCCACACTGATGCCTTTCAGTAGATTCCTGGTCTTTTTTCTTATGCTCGTATTCTTCTTTTTTAATATAAGAGCTTTCTAAATCTTCATGTTTTTTGGCTTCTCTTTTAATATTTCTGGATTTTGTGGCGTCGGTGTGGGAATCGTCAATAAAGCTGTTTTCTTTTTTGGTATAGACTTTTGAGGCTGAGGATCGGGCTGATTCAAGCTTGGAGGTATATTTTGAAGGTGTTTTAGGGCCAGAAATTTTAGGAGGAGATATATATCTTTTGACTGATTGAGCTCTGTCTTGCCCTTTTGCTACTAAAATAGGACTTTTTCTAGGCGATTTTACCTGTTCTCCATATATATCCTGCCCAAGTGCTAAGGCAAAATTTCCTCCACAAGACACCAAGCTGACTTGTCTCCCTGCAAGAATATTCAGCCTATTAATAGTAGCCCTCCTTTCATAGTCCCCAATGCCTAATTCTCCATTAGAGTTGCTTCCCCACGTTCAAATATTCCCAGCCTTATCTAAAACAGCCCCAAAAGTACCACCCAAGGTTAAATCTTTGATTTCTGGCAGCTCATTCAGCAGCTTAGGAGCCAGGCACTCTCCAAAAATGCCAGTCCCCCAGACATAAAGTTCACCAGTCTCAGAAATTGCGGCTGAATGGTAGCCACAGGCGACTTTTGCAATTCTTTCTCTATCCAGCCCATTGACCCTTATTGGTATACTTGAGCTTTTTTTGTTGCCAATCCCAAGCTGGCCAAAGGCGTTACCTCCCATAGCCAGAACAAACCCTGAGACAGTGACCACAATACTGTGATAAAGACCACAGGCTACTTGTTTTGGGGCATCAATCAAATTTATAAAAGCAGGCAAAAGCTCGTTTTCTCTTTTCCCAGTCCCCAGCTGGCCTGAATCTCCTGCTCCCCACATAAAAAGTGACTTATTCCTGTTATTTTCACAGATAATCCCTGTATGTCTGCTCCCACAACTTACTTGTAAAGCTTTAAAGCCTTCATTTAAAGTGACATTTTCAGGAGTCCATCTGCATTGTGTATCTCCTAATCCTAAAGCTCCAAAATCCCCAGAACCCCAGGAAAATACTAATCCACCTTCAACAACAGCGGCTGAGTGCCCACCTCCACATGATACACTTATAGTCCTATATCCTGATAATTTGTCGACTAAACAAGGAGAGGAGCTCTGAGTCGTCGTTTTATCACCAATTCCAAGTCTCCCATTTAAATTACTGCCCATTGTATATAAGTAGCCTGTTCTTGACACAAAAGCAGCGTGCTCTTCTCCACACGAGACTTGTGATATTAATACATTAAATGTACAAAAGCGAGGAGAGCAATAAGTTTTGCCAGTTGTGTGTGAGCCTAAGCCAAGCTGTCCAGAGTTGTCATTTCCCCAACTAAAAACTTCAGTGTATCCTTCCATCTCTAACGGTATGAAGATTTGATTTATGAAAATGGTTTGAATGTCTATACATTTGAAATTATTCAGCAATATGAATAAAAATATTTTATAATGTCTATAACTATAAAGAATCCTTTTAATACCAATAATAATCAAAGAAATATTAAATTACTGGATTATTGCCTAATTCTTGATTGATCAGGAACCCAAAACAACAAGTTTTGACACCCTGATGTCAGCAGTGCATGCTCTCTGCTCCAAGCCAGACATGTAGGTGTTTTCGGGTGTCCTCTAAGTTCATGCACTTTTTCATAGGTATTCACATCAAAGAACACAATTGAGTTATTTTTTTCGTCCCCAGTTGTGATATACTTGCTATCTGGGCTAAAGCACGCCATCACCTTTCCATTCTCATTCTGAAAATCCTTAAAAATATGTTTCTTCTGGCCATCCAAAGCATCTAAAAGTAAAATCATATTTTCCACTGTATATGCTAACAGATACTGCCCGTCCTCACTGAACTGTATCCCTTTAATCTCTGGACACTCCACTTCCCAGGTCGAAAAAGCGCCATCTGCATAATTGTTGGCATCTATCAGCTTTATGTAATTTTTTGTCACATTTTGCGTCACCACTGGGTAAACCAATGCAAAAATTGCTCCAGACGGGTCAAAAGTGCACATTCCGCCAGCTGAGGCTTCTTTATAATCAAGCCTGCCAAGAGCCCTTCTACTTCTTAATTCCCATAAGAGCAGCAGCTTGTCTTTTGACGTCGAAATAAACATGTCGTTTTTCGGGCTCATATCAATAGAGGTGATATCGTCGCCGTGGCCTCTGAAATTGTGGATAATCCTGTTGTCGTATGAGCTCCAATATTTGACCAAATGCTCGTTGCCCTTTTTTGTGGAGCATAAGAAGGCGTTGTTGTGGTGAGTGAAGTGGACGTTCTCGACGCCATATTCTTTGTTGTAGAGAAGCTTGTCACGGGTTCCACGCTGGACATTGTAGATGTTGACGGAATCGTCGTCTGCGGAGGTGATCAGGAGGGAGCAGTCGTCGGAAAAACTGATAGAGTTGATGTCGCGCTGGGAGTCTTTGAAGACTTTGCCGATATCCATGCTTTGGATTACATTTTGTGTTAGCTCTATTGGCTCCATTTTATTATAATGTGCTAGGGAAATTGGAGGAGTTGACTTAAGGGTAGAATAGAGATAGAGCAGTTTTATTGGAACAGATATGGTGAAAAATTTATAGAGAAAGGGATATAGACTAGATACAATTTTGAAAAACAAAGTCCCCGATAATAAATTTGTTGAGAATTGATTAAGTTAAGAGATTATTTGCAGTTTAGTAGTTTTAATGCTTCCTATAAGTTTGTAGAGACTTTTTACTTTTCTAATTATTTAATCTAAGATTCCAAAACATGAACTTTGCTGGAGGATAGGATTGATACACTTTATTATAAAAAATTAGATGCTATCATTTAGTATTTTAAAAAAAGTGCTAATTAAGTTGAATTTTCATAAAATCAAATTAGATTTAATTGTTTAAACAAGCTTTGAAGCCGTATTTGTATTAATTTTATTAAGCTTTCAGCCTCATATTAGTATTTAAAATTTCTCTGTGATTTTACTATAATTTCTTCTGATATTTCAAACAACTTCTTCTGATGTATTTCTAAAAACGTCATTTATATTTTCTCCAGTTAACGCACTGACTTCCATATATATCGCTGCCCATTTTTCTGCTTTTTCTCTAGCTTCTTCTTCACTAATCTCTCTCACCAAGTCCTTTTTATTCCCTAATAAGGCAAAAACTGTCTCTTTTGCAGCAAAATTTTTCGCTCTGCTAAATCAATAATCAACATGTTCAAAGGTTTCCCTATTCGATAAGTCAAATATAAACAGTTCTATATTTTATTATCATATGTCCAAAAATATTATAACTACTATATTTTGTGTTATTAAAATTTGCAAAATCAATTTAAAAAAGCCTAGGATATTATACTATTATAGCGATATCTTTATTCTTATATGGCTTTTGATTTTTTTTTACGAATGCTCTGATATTCTGAGCCAAAATTGATATGAAAATTAATTGAATTTTATGCTTATGATTCCTTGATATTCCAAAAAAAATTAAAAATGCATAAGCATATATAGTATACCTGTGGAAGCTTGCCAAATCTTTCTGATCCACTTGTATCTCAGACCATAAGTCTGACGATAAATTCTTTAAAACGCTCAAATTTCATTGTGAAAGAAGGAGGCACGCAATTGTAAAAGCCAGGTCTGAAAGCTCCTTCATCATATCTAACAAATAAACTTGACTTTCCAACAGTAGCATCCCCAATTAAAACAGCTCTTATACAGTAGTCATATTCTCAATCAGCCATATAAATAATATTTATAACTCATTTCTTATCTCTTCTGTCATTATCTTAATGTATCTATCAGAAAGTGACTTCACAAAAGAAGAAATCATCTACAAAACAAGCTCAGTCGAAGTATTTAAAGCAAGAATGAACCAAACCGGCAGGATAGTTGCAGTTAATAAGCTCAAGATTAATTCAATTGATGAAATGAATTCTATACAAAATTGATCTAATACAATGGCATCAATACAGCACCAAAACATTGTAGAGCTCAAGTCATTCTTCATAACTGCATTTGCGTCGACTATTGAGCACGCTTTTTTCATCATGGATTATTACCCAAATGGAGATTTATCTAATGAAATCAGTAAAAGAATCAAAGAAAACCGGCCATGAAGTGAGAATGACTTGCTTTATCACTTTAAATCACTGATTGATGCTCATTGTTGACTGCAGAGGAAAGAGCTTGCACATAGAAATATAAAGCCAAGAAATATTTTAATTAGTAATGATGGTGATCTGCACGTTGCAGATTTAAGGTGGGCTTATAAAATGAAAACATTAATATTGGAAGACTCAGAATTCACAATAGCAGGGACTCCTTTATATTTGAGTCCGAAATTGAGAGAAGCGTATGCTAATTTTACAAATGGGCTTGGAAATGGAGTGGCACAGCATGATCCTATTAAGTCTGATGTTTATTCACTTGGGCTTACGTTTTTATACATGGCCAGCTTAAAAGATTTACCTGACTTAACTGATTTAAGAAATCAGGAATTTAAAGTGAGAGAAAGAATACAGGAAATTGGCTATAGTGATGTAATAAAAGAAATATTAACGAGAATGCTGATTTTTGATGAAGATAGAAGGCCTGATTTTGTATGACTTTCTAAATATCCTGCTTTTGTGAGTGTAAGCAAACCTCAGATAATAAATAAACCCGAAAATCAAATAATAAGCCCAATTCAAGCGACTAAAAGATCTCTTGCCGTTAAGGCTAGTGGCATTCAGCAGCAACCACCTAGCTCTACAAAATTAAAAGCAAATCAAGGATGAAACTGAAATAGTTTGCTCAAAAATAAGCGTATAAAAATCTGGGTAAAATTCTCAAAAATAAAAAATTATTTTTTACGCATTTCAGACTCGATTTCTGCTCAAATGCCTCCCAATATCTCAGACTTGATAAATTTTGCTAAATCAACAGGAGCTGTTATTAAAGTCTCCTCTTTGTCATATAAATGCGTTTTTTGCAATTTCAAAAATAGTGATTCTCAATTTACGTGCATCCATCGTTGGCCATTTCATAAGCAATGTGTCCCCCAAAATTATATTTATGCTATCGACAGTGGGGATATCAGGCAGTATCTTATTAATTGCTGAGAATGCACCCAAGGGACTGTGTTTTGGGTTGAAAATCTTAATTATCATGAAATAGTTGATTCAAATGCACTTTCTTTACAAAGCCATACTGCTAATACACCCTCTATCATTCAAAATGGAATGCAAAATCAAAATGCTAATAATGCATATGAAGAAGCGAAAGAATCTGAAGAAATTCGACTTATAAATGGAGTATGTCGCAGATGCAGGAACATTCAGAAAAAATTACTATATTATCCAAAATGTAAACATACAGTTTGTAAGGAATGTAAAAGTAATAGAAAAGGGCAAAGTGTGTATGAATGTCCCTTCTGCCCATTAGAATACGCACCAGAATATAATCCAAAAATTTATGAGTGCTTATACAATATCTATAATTAGATTTGTTTTTTAAGTTTAGCAGAATATGAATTCAATTAATCTTCTCTGTTAGTCACAGATTTTTGTAGGCTAATTTTTAGGTTAAAAATTTTATTATCAAAATTTAAGATTTTTCATAATTATAGGAGGGGTATTAAAATCTTATTAAATTACAATTTATTCAATTTTAATTTCTTTTCCTTTATATTCTGTGAATTTTCTTATATTCTGTTCTAATTTCTTCTATTCTGGGGACTGAAAATGCTATGATCAGTTATTTTAGCAATTATTGAAATGATCCGCTTATGATCAAGAAATAGAAAAATTTATAGGCTTATGATCTGCCAGTCATGCACATTTAATGCTTTGTTCCAATTTCATAAAGTCTAATTCTAAAATGCTAAAAATAGATGAAATTTATTTGAATAATATGCTAGAACCTCATATTTATAGTATCTTCTTCGGATTGATGAAATAAATTAAGCTTTTGAAAAAAACTGTTTTTTGATACACATATGTGGCTAGCTCATAAAATAATCAGAAAATCGCTTAATTTTGCTATACTTTATTATCATATTTCCAAGTTCAATTTCTCTGTTAAATTTAGAGGCAAGTTTTCAGATAAATAAATCTTCCGTCAAATATATTTAAATTCCTATTATTGGATCCTCAAATGTACAGATGGTGCAGCTCGTAAAAATGACTTATAGATTTTCGATCCCCAAAGTCTTATATGGCATTTAGTTAATCCTTCAGGCATCCCTCATATGCTCATTCTGGCAACGTTAGGGACAAACATAAATTTTTTGGGTGACTACACTAAAAAAGAAGGACAATATTTCAATGCTATTTTTCAGTTCTCTACAACATCTTTATAATGGCAAGAAGTTCCCCAAGCTCAAATTTCAGGCTTAATAAAGGACTGGCCACCCTTCGGTATTTTATAAGGATTCTTTGTTTGCGTTAGAAGTTATGATATTACTTACAATTTTAATGATTTGATACAGTTAGTTGTGGTAAATTTAGCATATGATTACTTATTATAAATACGTGGCTGAATAAGGAAAATGGAATGCAATTTAATCTGCATTATTTAACTCGAAAGGTAATTCAAAGCGAAGTGACTTGGAAGAACAAGATTATTTTGTTTGGAGAACGAGATGGGCATGATACACTTTATTATAAAAAATTAGATCTTATCCTTTAGTATTTAAAAAAGAAATGTTAATTAAGTTGAATTTACATAAAATCAAATTAGAATTAATTGTTTAAAACAAGCTTTGAAGCCGTATTTGTATTAATTTTATTAAGCTTTCAGCCTCATCTATTAGTATTTAAAATTTCTCTGTGATTTTACTATAATTTTTTCTGATGTTTCAGGCAGCTTCTTCTGATGTATTTCGAAAAACGTCATTTATATTTTCTCCAGTTAACGCACTGACTTCCATATATATCGCTGCCCATTTTTCTGCTTTTTCTCTAGCTTCTTCTTCACTAATCTCTCTCATCAAGTCCTTTTTATTCCCTAATAAGGCAAAAACTGTCTCTTTTGCAGCAAAATTTTTCGCCCTGCTAAATCAATAATCAGCATGTTCAAAGGTTTTCCTATTCGATAAGTCAAATACTATTATAACAATATCTTTATTTTCATATAACTTTGCATCCGTTTTATTCATGATCTAATATTCCGATTAAAAATAAGGTATGAAAATTAATTGAATTTTCATGCTTATGCTTCCTTGATATCCCAAAAAAAATTAAAAATGCATAATCATATATAGTAGACCTATGGAAGCTCGCCAAATCTTTCATATCCACTTGTGTTTCAGACCGTAATTCTGATAATAAATTCTTTAAAACGCTCAGATCTCATTGTAAAAGAAGGATGTGCACAATTGTAAAAGTCAGATCTGGAAGCTCCTTTATCATATCTATCAAATAAACTTGATTTTCCAACAGTATAATCCTCAATTAAAGCAGCTCTTATACTGTAATCGTATTCTAAATCAGCCATATAATGATTAATTTCTTATCTCTTCTGTCATTATCTTTCAAAAATAAAATTATTGTTATATCTTATTTTTTTATTAGTTTATCATAATTTCTTCGAATATTCTGAATTGCTTCTTCTGTATTTATTCTAAAAGCTGTATGTATATTTTCTCCAGTTTTAGCACTAGTTTCTACATAAGTCACTGACATCATCCTTGCTTTTTGCCTTGCTTCTGCATCACTCACTTCTCTTGGCAAATCATTTTTATTACCAATTAATACAAAAACTGTGCTTTTTTGAGTGTTTTTTTGAGCTTTAGTATGCCATAAATCAACATGATTAAAGGTTTCTCGACTTGATAAATCAAAGACTAGCATTATAATTTCTTTATCTAGAAAGCCAACCGTTGGGAGATCGTTATATCTCCTAGCTTTGCTTCCATCTCAGATCATCATCCTTACAAAACAATCATCAAACTGTTCATATTTGTTCATAAAAGAGCTTGGGAATAAATTTCAGTCATCAGGATAGAAAACGTTTTTCTCAAACCTTGTCATCAAGCTTGATTTACCGACATTGGTGTCTCCAACTATAATTATTCTTAGCAAATAATCATACTCCGAGTCTACCATTCGAATTATTTAGTTATTCAGGCCTTACTTATATTTTTAAAAGGAATATTATATATTTTTCCTTTCTCTCTGTAAGCAATTAAAGTTTGTCTGTAAATTGAGTAAGCCAAATTAACCCCACTCTTAATAAATCTAAAAAAATTATAAGTTTTCTCCAGCCTCCTTCGTTCACAATAAGTTGCTGATAATTATTATAAATTTAAATTCGAGATTTAACATTTTTATTTTACCAATTTGTCATAATTATGTCTGATTCTCCAAACTAAGCTTTCTAAACAACTTCTAAAAGCGTAATTTACCTGATGCCCATATTTAGCACTAGTTTCGACATATAACATTCCTAGCATTAATGCCTTTTTTCAAGCCTCTTGATATCCGACCTCTCTTTCCAAGTCAGTTTTATTGCCAATTAGTAAAAAATTTGTATCTTTCGATGCATAATTTTTGGTTTGGGCTACCCAATAATCAATGCTATCAAAAGTGCTTCTTCTAGATAAGTCAAATACTATTATTATAATTTCTTTATTTTTATAGCTCATGGGCCAAAAGGTTGCAATTCTTTCTATTCCTTTTCCTTTTCAAATCGTAACTTTCACAGAAAATTCATAAAAATGTTCAAATTTTTCCACAAAAGACCGCTCTGGCCAATCTCAGTGATCAGGAAAGAAAACATTGTTCACAAACCTTATGAGTAGGCATGCTTTCCCAACATGCATATCTCCAATTACAAGGATATTTGCCAAATAATCATACTCCGAGTCTACCATTATTTTCTTATAATTCTGCTGAATTATCACTATTCTGTAGAAATGTCGTTAGCGATAAATATGAATTTAATGAAATAAAAGACAGAATTACTTCCTATTATTTTTCTAAGCTGAAAAATTTTATAAAGAATCTATTTAATAATATTTTTATATATTTTAGGTCATATCAGCAAAACAAAAATTATTGATAAAATCGTTGAAAAAACACCAAAGCAGCAATTTATGGCTTTGTAGCACTAGGCTCATTTTATATCCTGTGACTTGGCCTGGCTTTCAAGTTTTGTCTTCTTTTTATATACACGCAAATCTCTCGATTTGCCATCAAGATATGGCAAAAGTAGCTGGGCTCTTGTCACACATGGGACAAATGGTATCGGTCGAGCCTGTTCAAAAGAGCTTGCAAGCTAGGTTAGCATTTTAATAAATTGATTTTGATGGAGAAGCTGCCAATCAAGTAAAAGGCTTGAAGATTGTGTAACGGGAGCTCTTAAAGTTTTTGGAAGATGAATTGAAACTTTTGGAGTCCAAGATATACTTGGAATGGATGGAAAAATAGCTTTATTTCTGATGATACAAGAAGTGAGAGGACTTATGGAAATATTTTATTAAAAAGTAGTTGGAATCTATTTAATACATTTAATAAATCTATCTTCCTACAAGGCCTTAATCTTCGCATTTTTCGTAAAAAATTCAAAAAACAACGACGGGTACTTTTCCATGACTTTTTGATGATCCACAAGTTGAATATTCGGACAAACTCCTTTATTAACTCGATAAAGCACTGCATATTTTAGCTCACCGTTATTCTGGTAGCATCCAAGGATTTTAACAGGCCTATCTTTTTCAATATCCCCTCTTTTATATAATTCTCTAATTCTTTTAATTCCTCTAGAATTGTTGATATCCTTTATCGGCTTTTGTTCTTCTGGTCTTTGTGGAGATTTCGAGCTAAGTATAGCTTTAACAAAAGATTTGGCTATTTTTGGAGGTTCTTCTTTGGCTTCCACACTAGGGGTTTGGAGAGTTTCTGATGTTTGTAATTTTTTTTGAGAAGGAATTGAGAGCTTAATAGTTTTTTTTGGAGGCTCCTTTTCTTCATCTAGATCAATGACATCAGTAAATGCAGAATTTTTGCTTTCACTTTTCTGCTTTTTTGAAGGCAAATCTTCTTCACTTTCTATCAACGCTTGAAGTGTGATATTACCGATTGAAGATTTTGGAAGGGTTTCAGGGTCTATAGGAGCTTGCTGCACAGCTTCTGCCTTCTTTTCAGAAGTAGGCTCAAATGTTTCCAAATTATTGCTTGTTGGGCTCTCTTTTTGGCCACTCTTTGGCTTTTTTTCGTTTGTTTCTGCGACTTTTACAGCTTGTTTGCTACTTTTATTCGGCTTATTTTTGCTTTCACTTTCTTTTTTCAATATTTCTTGAGACTCTTGGTCAAAGCATTCTATAGGGAGTAAAGATGTAGATTTTTTCCCATTGGCCGAATTTAGCCATCTGACTTTGTAAAAGTCTTCTTCAGTGTACTCATTGTACACCTTAGACAAATACTCAACTTCTTGGTATTCATCTTTTGCAGTAGCCTTTTTGTTTCCCCCTAGTTTATCTTTTGGCATTAATATTTATATTCTTGCATAAAATAATAGGTCCATAAGCTTTTTTAGTAATTAAATGATTATTTTTCAAGAAAATTGGTATAAGATTGGATTAAAATAATTTATTTAGCGCTTCCCCAGCTTGGCTTCAGGGATAGGAGCAGTAGTTTCTATCACCTGCTTCAGTAGCGGCTTATTAAGCGCTCTCTCAATGACATCCATTCTGGCCAGATCCTTTTCTTTCTTTTCTTTAATTTGCTGCTTCAGCTCGTCTTTATACATCTGAACAAGCTGTTCCCGCTTCATTTTTTCCTCATTTTCCATCTGCAGAAAATCATTATACTCTTTTTTCCACACCTGGGCTTGCCTTACCTGGACGTCTTTTTCTCTCTTTTTTTTGGCGTCCTTGATTTTCATCTGTTCTTCGAGGATTTTTCTCATTTCTTTTTTCTGTTCTTTATCTCTGGCTTTTAGTCTATTTTGTTCATCTTGGTCATAGTCAATGGTATCCATATAATGCTGCAACAACGCTCTGTCGTCATCTTTATTCATCTGATCTTGCTGCTGCAACACAGCATTTGCGTTGTTGTTTAAAAAAGTCTGGACCCTTTCTTCACGTTTTCTCAGCTCATCAAGCCTGTCTTGTTCTATTTTTTCTAGCATTGCCTCGTGAGCTTTTTGCAGCTTAATGTCTTCAAGCCTATCTAATTCTTCTCTTTCTCTTTGTCTCTGTTTAGCTGCCAAGTTTTCTTCAAGCATTTTTTTCCTCTGGTGGGTTTCTTCAATTCTTTTATTTTTAAGGGCTTGTAGCTCTTGTTTATACTCCTCTTGAAGCCTTTTTACCATCGCCACATCAGTGTTTTTTTCTTCTTTTTCCCTTTGCCGCCTCATTCTTTTCAGATCTTTCATCTGCTTGTCCCTCAAAGATTTCTCATAAAGGATTTTCTCCTTCATCAGCCTTGCTTTTTCAGCTTCTTTTTGATCAAAATCATTCAGATTATGTGCTTGGACTTCTATATACTGCTGCAATTCTTGCCTTTCCTGGGCTTCTTTTTGTTTTTTCTCTTCAATTTGTCGGTCTAGCTCCCTTTTGAGTGACAGTTTCTGCTGTCTTTCTCTTTCTAGCCTTTTTCTTTCTTCTTCTCTATAGACAGCTTGGTTATACTCCAAAATGACTGCCCATTCGTCTTTATCAGACGGCAAGGCTTCGCTAGAAATTTTTGAGACTGATGAAACTGTGCTCTTTTGGTCAATTTCTTTGGCGGTGGTCTCTGAAAGTCGAGAAGCCCCTGACATATAAGGACCCCCCCCTCATTTGTCGAATTTTCTAGTCTTTTTTTTATAAGAAATTTTTTTTTTTCAGGACCTCATTTGTCCCAAAATCTAGTCAAAAATGATTTGTCCAATTTTCTAGTCTTTTTTGGATTTTTTCGAATTCCCTAAATTCTAGTTTTTTACTTTAAAAAAACTAGAAAATGAGACAATTGAGGTCCTGAAAATTTTTTTTTCTCATCAAAATTTTGACTAGAAAATTGGACAAATGAGGTCCTAGAAAAATTTTTTTTTCCTATAAAAAAAACTAGAAAAATGGACAAATGATAAAAGACTAGAAAATTGGACAAATGGGGGGGGGGTCCTTAGGAGATCGATTTAACTGATTCTGGGGGTTTGTCTGACATTCGGCCTTGACTTGCACCAGTTCTTACAGATATTCCGGAGATGATGGACTTGCCTTCTTGGCTTTCAATTCGAGAAGCAGAAGGGGCGATTGAGGAGCCTTGCCCAATGCGCTCGTCGAGCTTTCTTAGGTTTTCTTCTGTAAGTGGAAGAGTGTTGAGGACGTTGTTGACTTCTTTTTCAATAAAAGACAAACGGCGGCGTTTTCCATACTTTGCGAGGAATTTGGTAATGAGTTGGCCTTTTAAATCTTCTCTTTCTTTGATCATTATCAGTTTTTGGCGATGCTGGTCGCTCATATAGGAAGAAGTCGCTGATTTTTTGGATCCTGCAATGGACATTTAAATACTAAAAATGGTTGAAACTTCACATGGATTTTAAATTTCTTTAGGATAGGAAGAAAAAATAAAAAAAAATTAAATATTTTATGAGATGGATTAAAATATTAGAACGATTAGAGTCAAGAATTTTATTTAAATTATTGCTAAATTAAAGCTTATGCCTCAGAAACGATTATAGATCGTCTTGAACTGCAAAAATTCTAGAAAACTCTCTGAATTGATTTTCCAACTCTAGTTGACGAGCCAACCGGGTTGATAAATAGGCGGATTTTAGGTATTTATCAACTTATTTCGTCAGAAATAACTCGGGCAGTTTTTCAGCATTTTACAGCCTAGGACAATCGATTATTGATTCTAGACTATAGTTAATTTTATTAAAATATATAGCATTTTTGGTTGCTTTTCATCTCTTTTGGCTGAGATTTAATTGCAGCAGTTCCAAATAGCTTGATTTTGCACTCTTCACATGTACAGCTTTCTATAGCTGGCATGACGATGCTATTCTGATTGATGCTTTTAAGAGTTTTTATATTTTTCGCCAAATTTTCACATTTTTGTGCATCTGTCTCTTTTTCATTCTCAGCTTTTTTTAATTCATTTTCCAATTCTAAAGCATACTTATTTCTCTCAAGAATTATAACTTACCAAGCTCAATTTTAAAAAAAAATTCTATTGTCCTATACTATTTTCAAATTAAATTAATTAATCAATTTCAGTATAGTTTTTCTCTATCTTCAATAACTTTTTTATAATTCGAAATCGCATATATTAATCTTTCATTCTCTTCCACAACTTCTTCAATTTTTGGTTCAATTTTAGAGCAAGTCTTTTCATGGTCAAGTTTATTCTCTTTGAATTTTATATTAATCTCACTCTCTCAGATCTTAACCTCTTTAATTTCTTTAGATAATCTTTCATTATCTAAAGATATCTGTGAAATCGCGCTTTTCAGCTCATTGAGTTTCGGAGCACTTTGGCTGATCAGAAAAAGCCTAGTTTTATTAAACCTGCATTTGTCACACATTCTTGATAAAGTATCATCAATTCATTTTTTCTTTGCAGAGTGGTCTATGCACACAAAACTTCCACAGTGCCGGCAAGTTTTTCTGATATTATTTATTGAAAACGGTTCTTGGCATATGTGACAAACTTCTTCATTGGAAAAGGGATTTAAACTTGCTCTTTTTTCTGCGTCTTCATTCATGGCTAGTTAAAATTATTTTATAATAGATTTCTTTAAGGACACTCTGAATGATAAATAAATTTTGGAAGACAAAGATGTAAGCTATTAGAAAAATGACAAAATAGATTTGGCATGGAGGGCGTTATAGAGATTAAAGCTATGCACTATACCATTTTGAGATTTATATAGACTATTATGTTAAAATTACTAATTTGATGATAATAACTTCTGCTTTGCATTGTCAATCGCTTGCTTTCTCTTTTTTTCTACCTCAGCTAAAGCTTCTGCTAGTTCTTCTTCCATAACTTTTTTCATCTGATTTTTAATGTCATTTAATAGTGGCGAGTCTCCCATTTTTGTCACTTCTCTTAACTCCTCGTTATAATTTTCCATAATTCGGCTTTTTATTTTTGCTTTTTCTTCCACAAAATTTTCCATAATGCTTTCTACTTCTTGTTCAAACAATTCAAGCGGAGTTTTTTTGCAAAACCCGCCGCTCCTATCACTTTCTTCATTTTCAGGGCTTAATTCTGGTCTAATAGTAAATTCTCCTATTGTTGATCTCCTATTTAATTTATCAGGTGAAGGCGTCTTACAGTGGCTTTTTCTTTCATGAAGCCTCATATTAAGTGAATCTGCCTGCAATTTTAAATTTTCTTTAATTTTGCCTTTAATCATGGTATTTGAGCTGGCATGAGTGATTATCGTTTGTTCAGCGTTTCTTTCAATAGCCACATCTTTGTTTAAATGGACATCTGCTTGTTTGACCCTCATTTTTTGTCTTTGTTCAGCTTTTTTCTTAAAGGTTTCGGTGGATAGTGTCGGGGTTGGCGTCACACTTCTGTTTTCTCCTTGGGGATTTTTAATTACTTGGAGCACATCTTTTCGTGCCAATAAATTTTGCATTCTTTCTTGATAGTGGAGGTATTTTGGGTCTTTTATTGACTCGAAGAATTCGATTGCCTGGGTGTAGAGCTGCAAAAGTCTTTGAATTGTCTCAATATTGCAGCAGAAATCTAATTCGCCTTCGAGATCTAAAACTTCTTGTGCGAAACCTGAAGACAATGATGGAGAAGGCTCGATGAAGGAATTGGACTTAACCGATTTCGGTTTATTCTTACGCCCAAACATGATCTGCATTTTATTTTTACATATTTATATGTCATGAGTTGCATGAGATTTATCATAGACTAGGCTTGGTAAATGGAGATTCAATAAAACATTAGTTTAAAAGGCTACTTGGAATAATAAATATTGATATTTAAAATATTAATTATTAATAATATTTAAAAACAAAATCTTTGTGGAGATTTAAATGAGTCACTAAAGTTTTCTAAAAATGATTAAGGAATATTGAAAAAAATATTTAAATAAGAGCAAATTATTTTTTAATTTGATAATTATTAAGACTTTTCTTAGTAGTATTTATCAAATTTTTCAGATGGAATAACTAAATGTGATATATAATTAATTATTCTAAAAAATTAAATAACTATTTAGCTGCTCTTATAACTCAAAAATCCGATTGTAATTTTAGATTCAAAAAGTTCTTTAGCTTTATAGTAAATTTGAGGTTTTCCGTGAGAATATTTCTATTAAGACAAAAGAATTTCTAATAGATTTTCTTCTTATAAATCAAGAGAGCTTTGAAAGTGTTCCTGCTGGATTATGAAGAAATAGAGCCATATTCTTTGTGATTTAAAATTTATAATTTAATTCTACTTCAATCAGAAGTAATGGAACTTTTATATTATACAAGAAAATCTTCTCGATTCTAAATGCTATAAAGTTACAAGGTGAGATAAATGAATCATGTGTGAGAATATGTTTACTCCTCCCAATTAGCACCGAATAATATCCTTAATCTGCATAAAAATTAATTGAATAATATTTAAATTAAATAATTATTACCCAATTATTAATAGTTATATAAAGCCTCAATCATTGATTGAGGGAGTTATCATTAGATTCCTCAAAAATTTAATTATCATATAACAGGATAAATTATTTAAACATGTTTAATCCTTATTCGTTATATGGCCATATCTCTATAGCATATAAATACGCAGCCATTACCCAAATTGCATTAATTATATAATCTCTATTAAAATCTTCTATAAAAATTCTTTATTCGTGTTAATAAAAGCCACATAGCACCCTTAAAACCCTCTATAATAATTAATCTATTAGTGCATATAATATTAATTTTAATATATTATTAGTTTAATGATTAAAATCCCTAATTTATTAATTAATCTCATTTTCACCAAAACACTTATATAACAACTGCTAGCTTTCTGACTTATTTAAGATCTCCATCTTTGGAGAGAATAATTTAATTTTCAAAGAAATTATCTCTTCCCAAATCGTTATTTATATCAAAAATCATTTAATCTAATTCTTAAAGTATTTATTAGCATTTTCAGGAACATCAATTTACTTAAAATGATAAAATATATGGTTCGGAACGGCTTCACAAGGCCTTATCACCCTCTCCAAGTCCTCTCCTGAGCAATAGTTCTTATTTTAGCAGGGACATTTTATTCCTTGACTTTACCACCTCTTTACCTTGATATGCAAGTTTTGTCAGGAATTTCATATTCAATAATTTCAATAGTAATGTGTATTTTTGGATTTAAAGTGACTTCAATCGATCCTACAGACCCAGCGGTTCTTGCTGCATTTAATTCACAAATTTCAGGGTATTCTTTAAACAGTATTGAGCTTGATTTATCTGAGCTCACCAAGCTTTGCAAGATTTGTAAAGTCCACGTCCACAGTGACTCAAAGCACTGCCGAGAATGCAACCGGTGTGTCAATAATTTCGACCACCATTGCAAATGGCTGAACAATTGTATAGGGAAAATGAATTATCGGCAGTTTATAGGGACTATTTTGAGCCTGCAAGGACTTATGGCAGTTCAAATTTTAAGCTCGATTTATTTATTAATTGCGATCGACAACGGCTGAGAAGAAAAAGAAAATGTCAAAGAAATGCTGGGACATGCTAAGAAAGGTATAGAAGGGATATATATTTATCATATAGTAGTCGTTATTATTAGTTCACTGGTATTTATAGTAGTTGGACACTTATTTGGGTTCCATGTTTGGCTTATGATCCACCATATGTCTACTTATCAATATATTTTGTCAAGGAGAGCAGATAAAGCTAAAGTAAAATTTATATAGAGATCTAACAAGACTACTCCTGACGCCAATCCTAATGAATCAATACAAAGATATTATGAGCCTTATATAGTATCTAAAGAAGAGGACGAAGAATTACCTTTCAGAATGGACCGGAGGGTTCCTAATTTTTCAAAAATAGAAAACAGTCTCAATAAAGAAAATTCAATTGACAACACATTTTACCATCTACAGATTGCAGAAGATTTGAAAAAAGATAAGCTGGAAATAATCACAAATAAAGAAAATTCGCAAGACAGCACGTATAATAATTCGCAGCTTGCGGAAGAAAAAGCTGAGCCTAATGTAAATTAATTTGTTTCAATATCTTCTATATCTCGGCCTTAGCATTATTTTTCATATTTGTAATATGAAAAACTTAAGCGACTCCAACATAAATGCAAACTCTGACAAAGAGCTCGAGTCCATTCTCCACGCTGCCAGAGAGAGCTACCACAAGCGCATCAATTCTTTACGACAATCCTTAAAAACGTCTTATTCAGAAGTCCACAACGACGAACTTCTCATAACTTTAAAAGAAGACCCAGCAACTGAAGCATTTGTCCCTTTAAGAATTAAAGAACTTAACGAAGACCGGGCTATCAAAGAAATGATAGAAGGACTTAAAAAAGAATTAAGCAGCTGTCTCACTGAAATCCAGCTGCTTAAAAGTGATAAAAGTAAGCTGGAAACAAGCCTAGAGCGCCAACAGGAAAATCTGGATATAGAAAGAGGAAAATTAATAGACCTTGAGGCTGAGAGAAGGCAGCTAAAAGAGAATTTGGCAAATACACAGTCTATATTGGAAGAGCATAAAGAAATTTTGGACCAAAAATCGTCTGAGCTACAAGATGTGCTTATGCAAAGCAAATTTGAATCAGAAAAGTTTATTCATACGTTGGAAAATAATGAAAAAGAAAATTTTAGACAGAGATCAGAGCTAGAAATATTGAGGCAGCAGATGGAAAGAGATTTTGAGTTTCGAAATGATTTAAAAAATCAGCTAAAAGAGTCAAGAAATAACGAAGCACAACTCCAAGAATCTTCGAGGAAATGAAAAGAAAGATGCCAAGAAAATGAAATTATGAATAATGAGCTAAAAGACAAGCTGAAAGACGCAGAAATAGAAATAAATAAACTTGCTGGAGAAATTGAGAATTTAAATGAAGAAAAAAATTTATTAGCTAAAGATTTCGAAGATTATAGAAAAATAGCTGAAGACACAAAAATCTCACTGCAAAATGACTGGAAAAAAGAAATTGAGACACTTTCAAAGCAAAACCACGACAAAGAAAAAAAATTAAAAAGTGCTTTAAAAAAAGAAAAAGACCACAGAGGCATTTTAGAAGAAAAATTCAATGAGCTAAGGCTGAGCTTTGAGCACCTGCAAGCACAGTGTTTCAGTGACAGAGAGAGATTTGAGATGAAAATAAAAGAAGTCGAAACTTACTATGAGCAGCAGATTAATTCAATTCATGAGGATTATGAATTAAAACTAAAAGAAATGAAAGACAAGCATGATAAAGAAATTTCGGATTTAAATTTAAGTAGCCAAAATAGGCTTGATAAAAAGCAAAAAGAATTTGAGTCACATGTGTCAGTCTTGAAATCAGAGTATGAAGACCAAATCCAAGATTTCGAATATAAGCTTGCTCAGCATAAAAATATGCTGGAAAATGATTATATGCCGAAAAAATCACATAGTGATTTAATTACAGAAAAATCAATTGAGCAGAAATCACAGTTTCAAAGAGATTTGCAGAGCCAAGAGACTAGTTTAAGGAATGAACATAGGAAGGAGATTAAAAGACTTAACCAGCAGCATGATAATATGGTGCAGGCTTTGAAAGCTAAACTATACTGAAATAAAATGAATGGGGCAAGTTTTGCTAGAAGGCTCAGACTATTAGGTTATTAATTAAATAGTATAGCTCAAACAGAAAATGAAAAAATGGAAGAGCTGAGGAATAAACTAAACTTGCAGAGTTTGCTAGAAATTGAGACATCAAAATGTGCAGCTTTTAGGGAAAAATTAATAAAATTAGAAGAAAGATTAACTGAACTAGAAGAGTTGAAGCAAGAAAACTTAAGGACTTCTGAAAAAAATAGCGAAAATTTAAGAAAAATCAAAGCTGAGCTGAATTTGTCACAAAATATTAAAGATGATTTAGAGATAAGATACAAAGAATTGCTAGACAAAAATAGTTACCTAGAAAAAATAGCCCAAGATAAAGACACTTCAATGAAAAAATATATTGACTTAGAAAAAAGTCAACATTTAGACAGAAGTCAAGGATTTGATGAAGAAGTAACTAGGCTAGAAGAAAGCGTCGAAAAGCAAAAAGACGAAATTGCTTATTTAAAACAGACGATATATTCACTAGAAAAAGATAAAAAAGAAGCAGCCATAACAATGCAAAAATTAATCGAAAAAAATCAATTTGAAATATTAGGACTAAAAGATTCATATAGAGAGCAGCTGCATTCAGCATCAGAAAATATCGAAACTTTAAAAATCCAGCTTAAACAGTCAGAAAAACAGGTAATTTCTGTTAAAAATGATCTAGCTAAAAGCCAAGAAAATGAACGAAATTTTAAAGCTGAAATTGAAGATTTTCATGAGGATTTACAAAAAAGCATAGCAAGAATAAAAGAATTTGAAATAAATGAAAACCATTTAACTGAAGAAAACGAAAGACTCAGCCAGTCACTAATTAAATCAAAGATTAAGCAACAAAAATTAAATAACAAATGGAAAAGATTTATTTATAAATTAAAAGAAAGATATATCCAAGAAATAATGGCAATGCAAAAAGAAACATTTGATAATTTGGCTGAATTTAAAAAATATTTCAATTCCACAATTTCTGAATTAGTAAAAGGATTAAATAGCAAAGCAAGTTTTTCAATTGGAAAATTAATTGAAAAATTGGAGAAATCAGAAAATCGTGCCAATGCTTTGCAGAAAGAATTAAGTGAGATAAATGCATTAAAAGAAGAAAATATAGAAAGAAATATGCAGGAAAGAAATATGGAGAAAGAAGAATTTAAAGCAAAATTCTCTCAGCTGCTGAGAGAAACTGAAATAAAAGACGAGAAAATAAAATACCTCGAAGTTTCTATAGAAGACTCTATCTATAAAAATAAGCAGCTAGAAAAAGACAAAAGCGAGCTCAGACTGCTTATCCTTAAAAAAGAAAACGAGCTCTCAGAAACCTACAACAACTCTTTATTCGAAAAATCCTATATCGAAAAAAACCTTAGCCAGCAGCAACAAAAAGCAAAATTTTATTTAGAAGAAAAATATAAAGAGACTTTAAGCAAATTAATAGCCCAAATCCGCAGCCTTGAAGAGTCTACACAAAACCAATTTAATGAATATATCAATGAGATTTCTTTATTAAAAGATGTCCATAAAGAAGAAATTGAAGAAGTAAAATCAAACGCCTCAGAGCAGATAAAGCAAAATAACTCGCTAATTTTGCAAGCTAAAGGGTCAATTGAATGATATAAGAACCAATTGTCAATAGTAGAAAGTGACCTGCAGAAGCAAACAAATAAATTTAAAGAGGAAACTGTGAATTATGACAAAGAAATAGCTACAGTGATGCAAGATTTAAAAAATGAACAGAAAGCGAAAAGAGACCTGAAAGCAGAAACGGGGAAAGAGATAGAGAATTTGGTGAGAGAAAATAGGCAGCTAAAGCTAGAGCTAGAAAGAGTTAAAATAAACTAAATTAATTTATTAATAGCTGCTCTATTTTCGAAATATGGTATTTTTAACCAGATTTTATCGTATTTGTATTAAATCTGATGTCAGATAAAATTTATTTATTCATGCTTAAAAAGCCAAATTGCTATCTGGCCAAAGTAAAAGTAAATGAAGTGGCTTAAATCATTAGGCAGATAGATTGAGAAATTTCTCCCCACAATGCAGTGCCAGTTCGGTTTATATTTATTTTCTAAATTTTGCTTTATATAATTTGCTATTTCTCTTTCAGTATTGAATAACTCGACTGCTTGACTTGTGTAAAAGACTGCATCTTGCTGTTCTTCTTCAGTCATATCTGTAGTTTTTATGAATGCTCTTCTTACTACCATTTTATTACAGCTTGAGCTTTAATAACTTAATATTTTACTTCATATTTAAATATAGCCATTTTTTTAATCGAATAAATGTTTCTTCCTCTATCGGTCACTATGTGCCATTTAATATTATGAAATTTACTAATTTTTCACAAAACAGCAAGAAATACAATAAAGAAAAATGCCTTAGAATATATCCACTTTGGCCAGTAAAGAAAAGTCCTATATAATCCAAATTAATGTATAAATTATTTTTTTTCTCCAATCATTAGACACTAATTATTCATTTTAGCATTACCCACTATTTTTACATCCACGGCATCCACCCATAAAACATCACTCTCAAATTTTCTGTATCCGTCGCTTCCTTTATCAAGCTTTTCACCTGCTGCAGCGTCGACGTATAATACATCTCACTATTCACCTGCTTTTTCCTATCAAGCCTCGCTTCCACAATTTTCAGCGTATTACTGACACTTTCATCATTTCTACTAATTTCTGGATTTTTAATTGGACAATTCAAAGGGTCGGAAATAAAGCTTTCAAATTGGCTTAAAAGGACTGCTTTATTATTTTGGAAACATTTAAGCACTATTTCACAAGTATAGGTAAACTCTCCGTCCTCAAAAAACAGCCCCATTGCATCTTGCAGTTCAGGGGTTAATCTAAAAGGCACTACTTCTGGCTTTGGAAGCAGGGTTCCCATATTAAAAATGCACTCAAAATCAATCAGCATAAGCTCACCAGTGTCGTTGAACATTAAAATATTGTCACAATGTCTGTCCCCAAGACCTATAATATATCCAAACATAGACCATGATGCAAGAGATCGTGTGAATTTTAGCCTTGCATTAAGCCAATTATTGTGATGAGGAAATTTATCGTAAAAATACTGATGCAGACAGGGTCGTATAGTTCTCTGTAGTATTTCTCAAAGGTCTGGGTTATATGTGTCTTTAGAAGGATGCAGTTTTTGGGCACTTGCGACGTCTAGTTTAATACCATTTTTTAGCCACTGTTGGGTAATAATACTTTTAAGCGTTGCTGTGTTTTCGACCCATTCCACAATGCCGCAGTCAGAGCCTATAGGAATTAGGCTATAGCTTGGAAACCGTATGCCTAGTCTTTTTGCTTTTGGGTCTTTTTCTAGAATTCTATTACCCTCCTCCCTAAGCGAACAAAACCATTGAAAAATCCCTATTTTTGGTAAAAACTCACCCTCCTTGATCAAAATCATTTTTTAAGAAGTATTATTTTGATATGTAAGTGATAATATTATAATGAAATCTCTAGTTAATCTGTTTAATTTTAAAGATAAGTTTACAAATTGAACTAATATTTGCTTTAATTATTTCGAATAAGGATTTTTTAAATCTAGAAAAAAAATTAATCGCCCTCTATAAGCAAATAAAATTTTTTTTTGTTCGCTCACTGAGGGGGTGTTAGCAGTTTCTATAATTGAGGCAACCCGAGACTCTTTTCGCATATCAGAGCTTCTTTCATATTTGCATAAAAAATACCGTCGGACTCCATCGCTCCCAATCATTGATATTTTTTTGGGTTTTGCTTTGGAAGGCATGATTGTGATTTCTTCTGATACTCTTTCAATGCACACTGGAGTCAAAGTAAACCCTGGAAACTCATTTCCTAGGCAAAATAAGGTTTTTGGGTATTTTTTTAACGATGACCCCCCCTCAATCTTCATGCTACTGCAACAAAAATTTTTCGAAAAATCTTCATGCCTACTGCAACACACACGAGAGAAATAAATGGTGACGTTGACGGAAATTGGACACCGAGGCGCACCTCCTATGGAGCTGGTAAGACCCATTGCTGATGAAGCTGAATATACAGGTCTCATTCCTGTTCTAAGTAGGCCTTCAGTTGTGGGGAAGCAGTGCCGAAAAGGAAGTTTTGTTTCTCCCCCGAAGGTTTTCCCTGTCCCTGCCAGATGGGCTAGACAGGTTTTTCCTACCACATGGTCTTCCTTCATCGGGACCATCGGGGCACTCAGACAGAAGTGGCTCTGTCCAAAGGTGCTGATCCCTTGGACAGGTGGTTTTGACCAGAAATCAAGATGGCGTCGGGCCTGGGAGTATGGTTGCATCAGAACCCGACCTGGAGTCGTCTTTCGACGTATGGCCTTTTAAAACTAACTAACTAACTAACTACTGCAACACAACATTTTTATAAAAAAAATTAATGCATTTTTCTCTAGGTGAGTTTCTCAAAAAAACCATAAAATAGCGCTACTGTAGGTGAAATGACCTTCTCATCGAGATTTGGACGGCTATTGCTATCGCTCGCCATTTTATTAAACTTATCTAGCTAAAAAGTACGGAAAAATTTAAGATGTCATCGGAAATTTGTTGCAAGAGGATTAGGATTATTACAGGCAGGCGCTAGCCATATTGATGACGCAGTCATTAAAGACCTCCCGTACGGAAGGTTCTACTGCTTTTCGACTCCAGCCCAGAGAATCTATCCCTCTTACAAGTGCCCTTCCGGTACCTTCTGTCTCCTCCTTGCCTTGGGAGTTCAGTCTTGAGTGGGCGGCTTATGGATTTCTGTGGCCCTGGGCGATTGGGAGTAGCTTGATTCCAAGGATCATCTCTTGAATTCTATTGGGTATCAGAGTGCCTTTCTTCGACAGCTACAGGAAAAAGACTGTTCCCCTGTGGCCTGGGCTAAAACCCCAGTTTCTCGTTAGAGGAATACCCATGGGTCCTTGGATCCAAGGACGTTGTTGAACACCTCCATTTCCAACCACAGGAAAGTAGCCAAAACTTACCCGGATACACACTTCTTGAGCCTGCGTCTGATTCTTTGCTCGGAGTCTATCCCAATTCGCTGTAGCCATAGGTCTGGACTGCTGCGCCAAGAGGGCAGATTGACACATGTCGCCATTTTAATGTATATAATTTGTTGCAAGAGACATGAAAATTATTATTTTTTTTTTTATATAAAATTTTATATTAAAAAATTGCATTTTTGTTGCAATAGACATGAAGATTTAGGGGGGGGTCATCGTTACTAATTCCTCATCTTTGATCTAATATTCTTGAAAATTTTCCTAAATTGAAAAATTACCATTCCTTGATTGAAATTTTCATATAGTCAAGCATGAAATTTTACTTCTGTACCCCATATCTAGTCTAGCTATTTTTGATAGTAATGAATATTAGATATATAACGTATAGCTACTTTTCCGCAATTATAATGTGATTTCTAGAACACTTACAAATATATTTCATACTTTATCTCTTATCTCTAGCACATAAAACATTTTATATAATTTCTTTCAAAAATTTTTAAAGCACCAGTCCTATGGTGATCTAAGGATGGGAAGGACTAAAAAATTTTCTTGTATTGGCATCGCTAAAGAGACATTTTTTAAATTTTGCATTTTTTTAGAAATTCCAGCTTTTTTGTGGTCAGCTTTAGCAAGGGTAACAAATTCCTTCATTAGGCTCTTATTAGCTTCTAAGCTGTCTAGTAATTTTCTCCCACAAATTTTTTCATATTGTGATAATAAATGGTTAAAAAATCCATCTCTGTCATATTTTTTATCAGCAAGCCCAAAAATAAGCCACGACATCTGTTGAGGATGTTGAATCAATAGTCTCAAAATGATTGAATTAACGACCTCTCTACAAGACGCTTTTGGATGCTCAATTTCTGCTAAAATTTGATGGACACAGTCAGCCCAAATAAAAATAGGAAATTCTTCAGCCGCCTGTCCCATAATATCATTTAATTTGTCTATAAGCTCATTTTCACTGAGGAGCCTATTTAATGCAAAATATAATGACAAAGCTCTTGTCATTGATGAATGGTATCGAGCATGGCCATAATATAAAGATTTTGCATAAAAAATAGCTGCCAAAGCTGCTGATTCTGCATTTTCTTCTGAAACTTTAAAATTCACTAGATTATTGTCTATAAATGAAGCTATTTCATTGAATCCTTTTTCAATATAAAGTCTAACAATTTCAAAATTTTGGTCATTATCAGCATCAAAATACTTTTCAATGTATTTTTCTGCATTATGACTCAAATTTAAGCCACTTCTGCATTTTACCCTGATAACAAGCAACGCATATTTATATTTTAAACAAATATTCGGAATATTTGCATTTTTCGGGTCTTTTTCTTTATTTGGCTCGATCGCTTTCATTTCAGCTTTAAGTTCTTTAGAAAATAAAAATTCTCTTTCAGATAAATAATCGACCTTATATTTATAATAATTCAATAAATGTCCGTTCAGTTTTGGATAAATAGAAAAAATTTCTTTTAAAAAATTTCTGCAATATTCGTATTTGTACTCCAATATGCCCACCTTTAATATTTTTCTAATGGAGTCTAAGCAAGCACTAATACAGTTATCCCTATTAGAAGAAATATAGGTGTTTTCCCTATATAGCCCGATAAGGGCCGTGGGTTCTCCGTGGAATCCCTCTGCTGGCTGAACCAACCAGTGAATTGGTCAAACCAACGCACTGAGTTAGTTTGACCAACAGAGGGATTCCACGGAGAACCCACGGCCCTTATCGGGCCATATAGGGAAAACCCCTATAACTAAGGTTACTCTTTCTACTAGTTCGACGTATTCGAACTTCTGCTCAATATGAGAATTCCTCTCACATACTGTTGGATAATATTCCAAATTATTTTTATTTGTAAGCAAAATAATATTTTCAATTATATGCTGGAATAAGGCGTGGTCATAAGCTTGTGCATAAGATGCAGATCTTGTTGAACTCTGGGCGATTCATATTTTTCGTGCTTTATTAATAGCAAGCTCAACTGACTGATTATTTAATAGTGCAAATAATATATTTCCAATTAAACTTTCAATATGGCAAATAGAGTAGCACTCTCTAGGCTTCCCAAGTCTTCAAGCTGCTCCAAATACAAGAGGGTTTATACTAAAAGAAAAATTTCAGGAATTTAAAATAAAATAATTTCCAGAAGAAAAAATATTTTGAATATTTTTATCGTCATCTTGAGAAATCGAATAAAGTTCAAGAACTTCAGGAATTGCATTAATATACCGATTTTTAGCAAGCTCAACATAAATTGTTCTGCATCATTCTACTTCTTCTTTAGTCAATAATCTTGGGCTATATCTCTTTTTCGTAGAAGAAATTCTTGATCTAATAGATAGTTCCAAAATATTCCAAGCTTTTGGAAATTCCTGTAAGTCAATTAATAAATTCATTTTCAGTGGAAAATTCAATAAGGAATATATCGGCATTTCAGTTTTTTCTAAAATCCGCAGCATCAGTCTTTTATGCCCTGCATTAGTATTTTGCAGAAAATCAGTAACATACCTTAAAAAATAATCCTGTTTACTTTTAAATAGCGCCAAAGCATGAGGCAAAATATCAGCCACCACTTCAAGACTGATATCAATAAGATTTAAAATTGGAAAAAATTCTTCATTATCGCTTGAGTGAATAAGCCACTGAGACCATTCCCTTAAGCTCTTCATATCATTGAAGCATGGCTCATTTGTGAGCGAGGAGTATTCTTTCATAAACATCCCATCCAAAACTTCCAATACGATTTCTTCATTTTCAGTCATATTGTCTTTTAGCCTAAGTTCTCCATAATAAATTCTCTCTGATGAACAATAAATTTGTGAGACTTGCTCCATTATATTTTTTATTGTTTTTATATTGAATTTTGTAGGTTTTTCTATTACAAAATTTTCACTAATTCCTATTAGATTTCCATTGGCAATGGCTCCGATTTTTCCAGTCATTTCGTCAATAAGCTGGCCTAGTGGTATTGGGAGCTCTTGGATGTTATCTCTGGAGCTTTGGAGAGAAGTCGCTTTATTTAAAGCTAAAGCGACATAGCTTTTAAAGTTAAAACTGCATTTATTAATAGCTTCTTCAATTATAGATAGCCCTGCATACTGGAGTATAGGAAAATTTGATTTAATTGCATTTGCTAGAGAAAAATAAAGCTCACACTCAATATTTGCTTTATTTTTTATTTTGTTCCAGAGAGCTTCCACGCAAGTAAAGTTTGTTGAAAAAAGCATAGGCAGACATATAAAAATAAGCGAAGATGGATCATCTATATCTCTGACTCTCCCCCCTTTAAAAGTGAACAAAGCTATTGAGAAATGCCTTTTTTAGGGAAATTAATCCCATATCAAAAGCAAGCAGAATATTTTTAATACAATTTATTTTTTAAATAAAAATTTTTATAGTTTTTAACGAATCTATTTTTTTTATTATTTTAAGAGCCAAAACATATTTTTTTGCTATTATTGGAGAGTGATTGAAATTTTGTTTAAAACTGTTGATAGAATTTTTTCTGCTTTTGGAGATATTTTTCGAAAAGAAAAAGCTAATGAAATGATAGCGATGCAGTGGTCTTTTACAATATTCCAGCATGGCTTATTAATAATTCTTTCAAGAATTTCTAATACTGCTTTTGGTTCTAATATCATCAATGCTGAGCAGATACTTATGATTTTATGAACAAGATATGGTAAGCAGTCTTTGCCATCTAGCAATGCTAACTCCCCTTCTCAAGCAAAAAAAAAAACTCTATAATGGTAGATGCTAATTTTTTTATTTTTATATATATTTTTAAAAAAATAACTAAATCACAAAAATTTGGAATTGGAAAAATTATCACTTTATATATCAAATTTTTTTATAAAACTATTTTTCATTAGCTTATGGAGGTATTTTTGTCTAGAAATAGGAATTTGCCCCTTTATTGAGTGGGAGTAAACAAATTTTGGCGATTCCGATAAGTACATTAATTTTAAAAACGTCAGAAGGAAGCACAAACTCTTCAATTTTCCCCGCAAGAGGCAAAAAATCTTCCCAGCTGAACTGCTGCAAGTTTTTGGGCTGCTGTGAAAGTCTTTCTTCATTATTTCTAAACAGTGATTTAATTACACAAAAACTGTCAAAAAAATCCTGAATCGAGCTTTCATCCAAAGAAACCTCTGTAGACAAGCCAAAATTTTTATTCATCATCCATTTGGTAGAATTTACATCACTCATCCCGAATTTATTTAATAACAAATATGAAGTCCCTTCAAAAATGTGGCCAATTTCTTCAGGATTAAACAAGTTTCCAATAGTGAGTGCAGAATCACTATTTCCAGTCATAAATAATGATGCTGCCTTTTCAAGTCTAAACATAAGGCTAGGGTCTTTTTTTCATGCTATTTCGACAAGTATATTTGAATATAATAAAGTCACATTAGTTTGCGTTTCCTTTGAAATATAGCCTATAATTTCGTATATTTTTAAATGGTCGGCATTTTCACTTACAAAAGCGACTGATTGAAATTTCATCATAATTTTTGATGAAAATTCTTGAGGATTTATTTTAAAAATTTTTAATAGAAAACCAAAAAATCCATTGCATTCTAAAGTCTTTAAGCATCATTGGAAAATATACTCTTGAGGTAAAAAGTCTAAGGCTGTTAATAAATCTATATTTAACTTTGTAAAAAGATAGGAAAGGGACTTTAGGGAGTTTTTTGCTAGTTTTTTAGCTGGACAAGGATTAAATAGAATTTCAATAAGTTCTAAAATGTATTTGAAGGTTTTAAGGGATTCGTTATCTATGAGCTTTATTATTGTAGAAGCAGCTTTTCTTGATAAAGTATTGGATTCTATGGATTGAATAAGCTCATTCATTATGTCTTGGGTAACTTTTGAGCATTGCTTTATACCTCCAATAGACAGCCAGTCAATTGGGAATATGTTTAGTTTAAGAGAAAGAGGCAAAGAAACCAATTTTTTTAATGATTGTTCTGAAAAGCGAAGGCCAAACCATTTATTTGCATATTTCCTATAACATAGCAGAAGCTGAATCTCTGTGCTCTTAATAATATCATTACAGGAATAATTTTCATAAAAATTTGCCAATTTCTCTATCGTTCTACTATAAAAATTTTCTATGCCAATATCAGATTTAGACGATCTAGAAACAATATTTCTTCTATCCTGACTATCAGCAATTAAAATCCTATCTGAATAAATAAAATTCGGGTTACAACCCCCGCAATTATTGCAAATTTCATTATTAATTTCGCTTTCACAATTAATACAAGTTCATGTATTAATTTCTAGAAAATTAATTTGTCATTGATTATCAACGGACTCGCTAAATAAATCGAGAAAAGGCAAAGAAAAAAGCACTGATTTAACAAAGTTTTTTATATTTTTTTTCGAAAAATTACAATTTCATTCAGCTCTATTCATAACCTCAGATATATAGTTTTTTAAATCAGGAATATGGTCTGGGTAGCTAAATGCTTCTATTGGGAGTATAGAGTTTAGAAGGAAAAGCTGTTTTCAGTCACTATTAGGATTAAAAAACTCAATTAGACTAGGGATGAAAGAATAGTCAGATCCTTTGTATCATGGCAGCACTTTAAAGTGGTCTAAAGGATCAGAAACAGAATAAGTTTTCCCACAATAGGCACGAAATTTAGCAACTTCTAGTTTTAAATAGGAATTTTGAGTAGACATCTATTAGGTTTTCCTGGTAGAAACTTTATTGGAACCATTGGTCGAAAAAGTTTTTCTAATGTAAAGACTATAAAAATTTTAATAAATAATCAAAAGAAAATGTCTGCAAGAGAAAATATGCATAAGGAAAAGACATCTAGCTGGAATTTTGGTTTGGCGTTTCAATTCCATCAATCAGTTCTTTTATATAAATATTATTAGATAGACCATACCAAAATAATAAATCATAATAAGAAGTATTTTCAATCGTAATTTGTAGATGCTTACATAGCTCATTCAATATTGAGCTATCCTCATTATAGCATTTCAATGGCCGTCTTAAATCCAATTCATATGTTCTCAAAGGTATTTTTTGCCCATTATCTGATTTTATTGCTTTGCTTGTATTTTGTGATACTTGAATTCTATTCATAATGATTTCTATAGTTTCATCAAAATTATTTAAACTTTTTTTTGCTAATAATAAATAAAATCAAATAAATTCAGGATAATTCGCAATCATCTGTGGCAAAGAAAAGAGCTTTATTTTTGTTGGCTCAGATAGTAAAGCTGTACAGCATGCATTCACTAATGGTTTTAACGGAAAAGTTTGGCTTGATTTTATATTTCTGCCTCTAAAATTCCATTTAGCCAATGCAATTTGTGTGAAATTAATTATAATTTCTTTATCAATAAATTTCAAAATATTTGGATCATTTTCGATTGCTTTGTCGAAATATTCATTTTCTAATAGAGAAGTAATCCCTATGCTATTATCAGAATGCAGCCGCGTTAAAGCTTTAATACAGCTAAAAGCTATCCCTTTGCAGCCAATAGAATTCCTAAGCACGTCAATTATTTGTGATTTAAAATTTTCTAGGATAGGACTTTGAATATTTTTTACAATTTTTCCTTCATATAAAGCTGCTATAGTTTGGATGAGAAAATTCGCCTTGATAAAGGCTTCTTCTCCTCTGTATTCATATATAAGATCTTTAGGAAATTGGATTTCTTTATGTTGGCAATTAAGTGTGGTGCAGCATGGGAATTTTTTGCAGTTATCTTTATATAGAGTTTTCTCTAGGATTGCCCAGCCAAAAATGGCTTGAAACTAATATAAGACAAATAAGGGGAAAACTTTATAGCATTCTTCATGAATTCTGAGCTTGCTGAATTTAAAACTGATATTTTCAGCTTTCGCAGCTAGCGATTTAATAATCCTTAAAGTGTCTTGCAGAAAATGGAACTGAAGCTGATCTGAAAAAGTATCATTAATAAAAATAGCTAAGACACTTTCAAAAGGCTTGCTCTGATATTGGGGTTTTGACAGCAATTCTAATAAAAAATACATAAGATCTCGCCAGCATGAGCCTGTATATTTTCCTTTAATAGTAAATGCTTCAAATGAATGATATAGTCTTTCAAATTCCTGAATCGAAGCGTCGTCTGATCATTTAATATCAATTATAAGATCCATAAGAGTGGAATCACAGCTAAGATGGGTGCAATCTTCAAGCTTGTCAACAAGATTATCTGACATACCGCCAATATTTTACTTATATTTTATACATAATTTTAATAAAAATGTAAAATCTTGCTTTAAAACAGTAAGCATGTATGTAATAAGTAACTAAAATTAAGAAGAACTTTGCATTTTTTGTAATAATAAACAGTCCATAATTACCATTGCAGCCATAGATTCTACGATAGGAGTAGCTCTGGGCAAAACGCAAGAGTCATGTCTTCCTTTTGCTTCCAGAACTTCTAAATCTCCATCTCACTTATTCCTCCCCTCTGTGAGCCAACAAAATTTTTTGTCGGCTCTCGGAAGGGAAAATTTTATTTTTAAATTAATTTTTATTGTAAATTTTATATAAAAGACATTTTTTGCTCACTCACAAAGGGTGGGTTTTTTTACCAAAAAGTAGGTTTTCCAATGATTTTGTTTGCTCACCAAGGGGAGTTAGCAGTTAATTGAGGCTTCTTTATAGTCGATACTGGTTTAAAAGCGACCCTAAAATCTATTGTGGCACCTGAGGAAATTCCTCCTAAGACTCCCCCAGCATGATTTGTCATAGGAAATAAGCCTTTTTCAGAGTTTAAAAAGCAATCATTATGTTGTGAGCCTAGCATATGAGTCCCTTCAAATCCTGAGCCTATCTCAAAACCTTTTGTCGAAGGAATTGAAAGCATTGCGTGAGCTAATAATGCTTGAAGCTTATCAAAACAAGGCTCTCCTAGCCCTGATGGAACATTATAACATTTACATCTGATTATCCCTCCTAACGAATCCCCGTCAATTTTAGTGTCACGGATTTTTTTGGCAATTCTTAAAGCAGCATCAGGATTTGGACATCGGGTATTGACAATTTCTCTTTGCCCTTCAATTTCAGCGTTAATTATATTGCCATCCTTATCAATTGAGACTCCTTCACAATTTTTGTAAAATCAGTCTCCATTTTCGGTTGTGGTTATTTCTATAGAGCCAAGTCTATCTATTTCTTCTCGGTCGGTCCATATGAGATCTTCAGGTAATTTTATGTTCTCTACAGACTCTACTCATGAAATTATTAAAATTCCGTGTTTTTCTTCTAACTTTCCTCCCTAGCCAGAGTTTTAAAAAATTTAATCCAAAAAGGTTTTAAAAATATTTAATTACAAAATCAATAGAAAAATTTATAAATTATATCTGTTAAAAATTAATAAAGTCTGAAAATTAGAAAGGAAGTAAATAATTTATAGCCAAGGCACCAGCTGCAACTCGGGCTGCAGTTTCTCTAGCTGAAGCCCTCCCACCTCCACTTTCTGCATTGCATCCGTATTTCATTCTATATGAAAAATCAGCATGTCCTGGTCTAGGAAATGCAGAAAGTTGTGAATAATCAGAAGATCTGGTGTCAGAATTAGCAATGCTTATACAAATAGGTGTGCCAAGAGTTATATTATTCTGTATACCTGAGAGGATAACAGCAGTGTCTGATTCAGATCTTTCTGTAGTTAATGAGCTTTGGCCTGGCCTGCGCCTAGAAAGATGATATTGAATTTGCTGTTGTGTTATTTCAAAACCTGAAGGCATTCCTTCTATAATGCAGCCTACTGCTTTTCCATGGCTTTCTCCATATGTTGTCACACGATAAACTCTTCCAAAGCTGCTCATATTGTTTTTTATTAATAAAATGCTGAAATGTTTATTTTATATTTAAGCCTTGCATTATCATTGATATATTTTAATAAATCAATAATTTATTAAAAAGATACCTTAGTGCTTAATAATATAAAACCAATTTTACTACATAAATATGTACCGCTCTCCTAAAGATTTAAACTATAATTTTGAAGATTCAGATTCAGATGCAATTGCTCGGATTGACGATACCCTTGCGCGCAGTCGAAAAGTGGTACAAGATTCTATCGAGCTGACCAAAAAAAGTGCTGAACGAAAAGCTGAGCTCGAAAAAAAGCTCCAAAAATCATTTGAATCTTTTCAAGAGGAAGAAGACTCCCAGCAAACTTCATTTTCTTCAAAACTAGACAAAAAGCCACCAATTTATTCATCTTTGCGGTCAAGTTCGCCTCATTATGAAATCTTACCTTTGCAAGAGGCTTTAACACCTTCGATTGGCAATTCAAAAATCCTCGATTCCAGGTTTCTTCAAAGTGACCAAATCAAAGACCTACAAGAGCGGCTGCAGAATGAAGAACAAATGAAGAAAAACTATGAAAAGGCCCTTAGAGAAACCAGAGTTTGCTTACAGGAATATGAAAAGCGGGATCTTGATAAGGAAAACCAAATCCAAGAGTTGAAAAATTTGATTAACCAGACGTTGGAAAAGGATGAGTTTAAAGAATTTACCAATGATTTTGAATTTGGGACAAATAAAGAAAACGAGCTAAATCATGTAAGAAAGCTGTCAACTGACAATGAACTCGCCAAGCTTAAAAACGAAAACGAGGCTTTAAAGAAAGAAATTGTGGAGCTTAAAAACGAATTTGAAGAAGAAAAGGGAAAATTGCAAGCAGAAATAGAGATGATGAGGCGAGAAAAGAAATCTTTAGAGGTAGATTATCATAATCTCTACAACGTACATTCACACTCTTCTAATGGCTCTTTAGACGTGAATATCATGCAAGAGCTTCAGTTCGCCAAAGATAAACTTCAGGAGCTGCAAAATGAATACAGCAGAAATTATTCAGAAATCAAGCAAAAATTATACCATTTCTATAAGAATTGCTTATTTGTTATCTATTTTTTTAAAAAAAATATGATTATTATATATGTATATAGATAAACAAGTAGCTGAAAACATTAAGCTTACTATGAAATCTTCCCCTGACTATATAGACAAGCTCGAAAATAAATACCAAGTGTTAGAAGAGAAATACCAAGACCAAGTCGCTTATAATAAAGAGCTGCAAAAGCAATTCAATAGAATTGATGATGACAATCGTGTAGCTTTTAAGCAGTCTTAAACTTAAACTTCATTAAGATTATAGAAAAGCTCTGGTAGATCCTGTGAGTGCATAGCTCTTCCATGTCTTCGTTGGGCTGTCTGCTGCCACCTCATCAGGGGCTAACTTCTCTTCTGTCTGAGGCTCTAATCTAAGGAGATTGAAGTGGACTAGATCGCCGTATAGTACACCTGACTTGGGTTGCCCTTCTAGAAAATCCGGAAAAAAAACGATTTTTCTGGTCGAGGTGTTGGCCAAGATGGAATTGAAGCCTGTGAAGTCGCTCAGTATTGTGCTAGGATTCATCCGATTCGTCCTAAGGACTTTGCTAGGCTTTCTTCTTCCAATCTCAAGCATCCATCTTTCCCAAGAGTTAAAACCCTGACTTGGAGTAAGCTACAGTAGACCTAATCCGACATTGCGCTCCATCAGACCAAGTAAAAATTTGGCCGGAGCACATTAACGAACGCCATTCCGCTTCCACCAGGTCCTAGGTCGCCCACAGCTTAGGATGATGAATTGGTTTGCCACGGCATTTTAATGTATATAGCTTTTAAGCAGCCAGATATCAAAGATTTTGAAATCCAAATGAAGAAAAACGCTGATAAAATTAAAGAGCTTGAAGAGAAAATTAATACCACAAGTAGTAGGTATAAGAAATTGAAAACACATGTCGCCAAAAAATATTCGCTTGAGTCCTTGTCAAAAGATACACCAAGGCAAACCCCAGCTTTAACAAAAGAGGGAAAGGCTAAAAAGGTGAAAAGCAAAAAATCTCATAAGACGAGGTCAAAAAGTGTGGAAAAAAATAGAAAATCAAGTGTAAAGTTGATGCAGATAAAATCAGATACCCCAAGAAGGAAATTTACACCTTTAAGATAAATTAAATGTTTTCTTATTTTTATGAGTAATTTATAAAAAATGCTTACACCTTTATATAAAGGAAAAACGCCTTTTGGGGTTTCTTAGAGTGCCACCAGAAGATGTCCAGGCCACCAAGTTGGGAACACTCAACACTTCGTCAATCAGGGTAGAATCATTAACTTCTCTTCTCTGTGAAAAAAATTTGTTCTCATGAGGGAGTTTTTCTTTCCAAGTAATTTTTTTCAAAATATAAAAAAACAATTAGCAAATTTGTCAGAGTAAAACTAATTTAATTCGTGAAATTTTGTTTTATGATGCAAGCTGTATAAAATTCAACAGAATTAATAGAGATTTCATTATAATAATTATTACTTATATATCAAATATTTTTTCATAAAAAAATATTATATTAATTGATAGACCTATATTCGTCTCAAAACCATATAAAAAGGATGCCCATCATTGAAGAGGGCTGTTGGACATTTTGTATATTGATATTGAGAATTAAGAATTTTATTTTTTTAGTGGAAGGAGGAAATTGCAATATATAAAAAAGCAAGTAAAATTATATAAATTCATCAGAATAAAAGTTTTTATCATTTATCACTTGACAAGAAAATTCATCACCTATAGCTTCCCTCATATTTATTATAAGTCATTAATAATTGCTATGGTTATACCAATAGGGTTAATAATGCTGAACTAATTTTTGATTATTTTTACAAAATATAAAATCTTTTATGATGCAATTTCTAATTTTCTCACCTTCTCCAATAGTAGCTTCTTACTCCTCTGTGAGTGGCTTAATGATCAGAAAAATCCTGATTTTTGGATAAATTAAAATGTGAGCAGAGGATTTTTTGATATAAATTTATTTATATAGCATATTTTGATATATAAATAATAAAGATATTGCTAGCTACTTTTATTGATTTTCGATTAACTCCTAACTCCCCCCCCCCCTCCGTGAGCGAACAAAAAAATTTTGTTCGCTCACGGAGGGGGGTTAATTTTTTTTTTTAAAAAAAATTTATATATAAATTTTATAAAAAATATTGTTTTCGAAATTTAAAAAAATCCTAATTTGCAAAAATTGGGAAGCAAATATTAATTTAATTTGCAAAATTTATGTTTTAAAACGCAATTTGTTTAAAATTAAACAGAATTAGCTCTAGATTTCATTATACTAATTATCACTTATATATCAAAATTTTTTTCCATTAAAATTTTTTCTATTAAAAAAATTTTTGTTCACTCACGGAGGGTGGGTTTTTGGTCAAAAAATGGCGATTTTTCTAATGGTTTTGTTCGCTCACGGAGGGGGGGGGGGAGTAAAGAGAAAAATTATTTTGCCGGCTCATAGGGGAAGTTATGAGATTTGGCGATTCTTTTTTTGTAAATTCTTAATCTTTTATATCAAGCAACTTTTAGCTAAACAGCAGAGTTTTCTTCTTTAGCAAAGTATTTTATTTCTAAAGCGAACCCTATAAACTTTTCCAACTCATCTATCTATTACACGTCTCCATAAATTTCCCGCCAATGTCAATTCTTGTAGCATAATCCTCAATCTTTTTCATTTCCTCACTTTTCATCTCTCCCACATTAAAATCTCTTAGTCTCAGCCACAATTTTCTGCCTCTTCCCTCCCAATTTTAATTAAAATCATCCCGTTGACAATTCTTCATTTTATTTATGTCCGCGATAAAGAATTATATCAAATGCACAGTCCATCCGTATTAGAAACAATTGAGCCAAATCTTCCTTCCGAATCCTCTGAGCCAGAATCTCTCTCTGACAATTGTGGGTCCTCAAAACTGACAAAACTTGGCCAAAAGCCAAGTTTGGATGACCTCAGATCATATCAAGACAGCATTATCAAGCGTATCAAATACCTTCGAAAAATCTATGGTCGCAAGCTACATCATATAGCTGAATATGAGCGCCCAAGAACACATAGAGATCATCTTCTGGGCGAAATGGAATGAATGGCCGAAGATTTTGATAGAGAAAGAAAGCTAAAAATCGCGTCTGCCAAGAAGCTAGTAAGAGCTTCATTGGGAATCATAAAGCAAAAACAAGAACAAGCCCAAAAAGTCTCTGAAGAAGAGCTTGCAATGAAAAAAAAACTTGCCAATAGGGTCTCTAAAATGATTACTAAGTATTGAAGCGCTGTTGTTAAAATAGCTTGTCATATAAGGTCGTTACAAGAGGAAGAGAAAAAACAAAACTTAAGGAATAGGAGGTTAGATAAACTTGTGGATAAACAGCTGGAATTGTCAAATAAAGTTGCGAAGAAGCTGCATCAGGGAAATGGGCCTGTTGTGATACAGCTGAAATGAGAAAATGAACAGTGAAGGGCATGGGAAGACAAAGATGAGGTACAAAATGTAGCTGAAATGGCAAGCCTGATGCAGCCGAAAGGAATTACATTAGCAACCTCAAAGGTGTTTACAAAGCTGCCGTTTTTAATAAGAGGACGGCTAAGAGAATACCAGCATATTGGCCTTGACTGGCTTGTTACCTTACACGATAAGAAGCTGAATGGGATTTTAGCTGACGAAATGGGTCTTGGCAAAACAATCCAAACTATTGCTCTGCTTTCTTATTTGGCCTGCGAAAGAGGGGTTTGGGGTCCACATTTAATAGTAGTCCCGACCAGTATTGTGATGAACTGAGAAATGGAGCTAAAAAGATGGTGCCCAGCACTCAAAGTCCTCACATACTTCGGGACTCAAAAAGAAAGGAAACTTAAGCGCCAAGGATGATCCAAGCCCAATTCTTTTCACGTTTGCATTACTTCATATAAGCTAGTCGTCCAAGACCATTTTGCATTTAAAAGGAAACAATGGTATTATTTGATTCTTGACGAAGCTCAGCATATAAAGAATTTTCACTCCCAAAGATGGCAAATATTACTGAAATTTAATTCACAGAGAAGACTTTTGCTTACAGGAACTCCATTGCAGAATGATGTGATGGAGCTATGAAGCTTGTTGCATTTTTTAATGCCTGATTTATTTATTATTATTTTCTATAATTTACTTGTCATTATTTTAGGTACAGTTATATTTCTATGAAAATAAAGGGAGTGCTCTATAGGATTTATAGCTTTTTATATAGTAAAATATACATCCCATGAAGATTTCTATGCATGATTTTCAAGCCCATTTCACAGCGCAATCAGTAATAATACTGATTTTTCGCTTACAGTCATTCAAAGACTTCACTCAATTCTCCGACCTTTTTTATTGAGAAGAATGAAAAAAGATGTAGAAACGCAGCTTCCTGATAAAATACACCATATCATTTTTTGCCCATTATCAAGAAGGCAGCAATACCTTTATGATGAATTTCTAGAAAGAAGATATGTACAAGTCTCTGGAGACTGTGTAAGCTTAATGAATGTATAGTAAAATAACAGAAATAAGCTTTATTTATTTAATATTATATTTTAGAATATTTAATAATAGAATTATATTAATGCAACTACGAAAAGTATGCAACCATCCTGACCTTTTTGAGCCAAGGGATGTAAAAGCTCCTTTCCAAAGTGTCCAATTACGAATTAAAATGCACCCTATGTTTTTAATTAATGATGAAAAAATCTACCCATGGGTAGGATTTGCAGATAGAGAAAAAAACAGCAAAATTAACGCTATAGAAATCAGTTATTTAGCAAATTTAAGATGAAAATTAGGGATTACGATGGTTCCTGAACTGAAAATTGGAATAAAAATCCCTGCAGCTCCATCAGCAGTCCCTTATAATAAGAAAAAAACTGATATTGTGCCTATATATGGAGCTGCTTTGCATGATTTATTAAAAATTGAAAAATTGAAAAATTACAGAGGATATTCAGCAAATCTTAATAAGGTGTATAAAGGAAATAAATATAAAAGAAGGGCAATAAAAGGAAGCTATATCAAAATTATTAATCCAAGATGAGCAAAAATTTTGATTTCTTCTCTTGAGGACAGATTAAAAAGCCTCTCAGAAACCATGATAAGATATCAAGTGATTCAGCCTAAAGTTTCAAATCCTTCACCAATACTGGATTTAGCCAAAAATTGCCAGGTTTCTGATAATTTAATCGCTCAAGAGCAATATCTTCAATATAAAATTTTCCCAAAAATCGCAATCCTGCACTATTTAATTACCAGACAGCAGCTTTTATTCCCTGACCGCCAATCAATCGAGCATGACTGTGGAAAACTGCGAAAACTCTCAGCATTGCTCCACAAGCTCAGCCAAGAAAATCATAAATGCGTGATTTTTACTCAAATGACAAAGATGCTTGATATCCTTGAAAAATTTTTAAATCTGCATGGATATACATATGTGAGACTTGATGGGAATACCAAAGTGGAGACACGGCAAAGGGTCATTGATATCTTCAATTTAGATCCAAGAGTTTTTTGTTTTATTTCTTCTACAAGAAGCGGTGGATTAGGAATTAACTTAACAGGAGCTGACACAGTCATATTTTACGATACCGATTGAAACCCTGCAATGGATAAACAAGCCCAAGACCGTTGCCACAGAATCGGCCAAACCAGAAACGTCCACATATATCGTCTTATTTCTTCTTACACAATTGAAGAAAACATTCTCAAAAAATCCTTACAAAAAAGCCACCTTGACGATCTTATCATGGAAGAAGGCCAATTTACCACACAATATCTCCAGCACCAGCGGGTAAAAGTTGAAGAATTCTTTGAAAATGTCTCAGACGAAGCCTTAGAGGAAGCCTGCAAACAAGTAGAAGACGCAGAAGACATCAAAGCTTTACGATCTGCGCAGCAAGAAGAAATCCAAGAAGAAAACGAGTTTGAGGACTCTTCAAAACAGTTTGAATTTATGAGCCAAGTTGACCCAGTCACTAAGCTGTGTATTGATAATTATTTAATTGAACACCCTTCTGAAGACATTGAGGAAGAAATTGAAGAAAATGAAGAAAGTGACGAAGAAAGCAGTGAAGAAGAAGATCAAGATATGGCCGTTGAGTGGGTGGATGGGGGTGAACAAATTTATAAGGAAAGAATGGAGTTCTTGACAAGCAGATATATCGTTTATTAAAATCATTTATAAAGTTATTAAATTGTTCTTACTCCCCCCCCCTCCGTGAGCGAACAAAACCATTAGAAAAATCGCCATTTTTTGACCAAAAACCCACCCTCCGTGAGTGAACAAAAATTTTTTTAATAGAAAAAATTTTAATGGAAAAAAATTTTGATATATAAGTGATAATTAGTATAATGAAATCTAGAGCTAATTCTGTTTAATTTTAAACAAATTGCGTTTTTAAAACATAAATTTTGCAAATTAAATTAATATTTGCTTCCCAATTTTTGCAAATTAGGATTTTTTTTAAATTTCGAAAAAAAATATTTTTTATAAAATTTTATATATAAATTTTTTTAAAAAAAAAAATTAACCCCCCTCCGTGAGCGAACAAAATTTTTTTTTGTTCTCTCACGGAGGGGGGGGGGGGAGTTAGTTTCACTACAAAGTCGAAAAGCTCTTTTTTCTTGTTAGTTTCTACTCTTGAGCCGTTCAATAGCTCTTCTGTAATAAATCCTTTGCTTTCTATTTGTTCACAGATTTTGTCTTTTAAGCCTAAATATTCGTCAGGGGTGAAGCCCATTTTATCACAAAATTCTTCTTCAACTGAGGTTAACTGCGTGGATGGGTTTATAGTTGAGTTTAATTCTGCAATTTCTGCCCCAGCAATCTGTTGGTCTCTTTCTTGCTGTGCCATTTTGTGCATGAACGGCTCTTTAAAAATGACATCATACTCTTTGCCTTTAATCGAGCTATTTCTTTTTTCATTTAAAAATTTTTTAAAATCTTCTTCAGTCGCGATCCCTAAACTTCTTGCTTCTCTCAATTCTTCTAATTTCAGCTTCAAAATATATTCTTTAGTCAGCCCCTCACATAACGCTATATGTTTATCAGGCGGCAAAAGTCTTGCAAATGGCTTCATTGACTGGTAAATGCTTTTTTCTACAGGGTTTCTGAATTTTCGTTCATTTTTGACTTCTATAGGCCATCTTTCCATTACGAACTTTTTCCTTTCTTCACGCTCGTCTAGGACTTTATTATAGGCTTCTAGTTGTTTTAGCTTGATTTGTGTTTCTTCATATCTGTCATCGTCATAAAACTCAAGGTCTGCTAGGTATAATTCTATGTCGTTTTCCCACTCAACCTCAAAATCGCGCCGAAATGGGATATAGCCTGCAAAGTCACTGAGGGCAGGCTTTTCTAGCTCATTTCGGCGGTCTGGGATAGGCATGGGATCTCGCATGATCTCTTTGAATCTTGATAATGCATTTGATTGGGTTTGGACAATATATCCACGATCGTCTCTATAGCTGATTATTTCAATGTTTGCCATCTCTGCAGGGGATTTTTTCATGTAAATTTGTTTGTAATGCTTTTCGCATTCCCAGCTGGATTTTTTTGTATTGTTTTTTATATGGATTTTCGATATTTATAAAATTCAATTATTTATAGAAAATTCATATAGGGAAGGATATATAAAGCTTTAGATATAGCACCCCAGTTTCCATACCCGTATTTTAGCATTGATTCTAAAAGGAGATTTTCCTCTTTTGCTGATCAGCTAGTATTGAATAAAGGGAATTTAAGGCTGTCAATTATGAAAAATTTGTGAAGCCGAGTGTGGCAGCCTTTTTCCAGGCCTTGGATGTAGCAATTGACACATATCAAGATGTTGGGGCATTCAGCACATTTTATATAGGTGGCATTTGTGATGTCTTTGAAACAAAATTCACAAGAAAGCTGTGAAACGCCTCCTTGGTTTTTCTAGCTCTTTTTCTTAAATTATTTTAAATCAAAAACTCTTTGTAATTTAATTGAAAAATTATTTTTTTTTTATTTTAAGGGGTATAAGTAATTTTTACAAGTTTTTTGAGTAGTGATTTGTAGGTAAAGGTTGAGTTGTCCATTCTATTTTAGTTTAATATAATATTTTATATGCCTATAAGTATCATAAATTAAGAGGAATATTGGCAGATTTTTAAATAAAATAAAATATCAAGAAATTTATTATTTAATTCGACTCAACTTTTTCTACTCACCATACAAATTTTTCTTAATTACAATAAAATTTTATCTTTCATATTTCACATTAGCCTTTCATATATGAAGGATATACTAAAATAACTATTAAAATGCAGTCTATTATTTAATTTTCCTTCATATTTACTTCCAATTTCATCTTAAACACTCTTTTTCACATCCTATTAAAATGTCGTTAAAATTTAAAATGTTCCTCTACTTATTATCCCTTACCTTATCTCTCGCCCAAGACTGCCACCCTCAATGCTCCTGAAAATGTGATGATCCTCACTGTGCTGCCATCTGTTCCCCTATCTGTAGATAAATAAATGGCACTCAGTTCGAGAGAAATTAGATCTGTGACTTTATATCCTTCATGGAATCTTATTTATGGAGTTGGTTTCTCTTGAGAACTTCGGCGTGGCAAAAGCGGTTTAACTTTGGGGATAGCCAGAGGAATTACTCTATAATGCAACCAAAAGACTCAGGGTTTTACCACTCAGCACATCTGAGAAGGCAAACCTTAGGCGGAGCATGTGCAGGAGCTGAGTCAGGCAAGGCATCATGCAGGGTAAGAAGCACTGGTCAGGATTGCAGTTAGATTTTTGGAATGGTCCGATCTTTTGGATTGGAAATGCTCGTGACACACCTTTTTTGGCTCTTCTCCTTGAGTGGAAATTTGGCATTAGAAACCTTAAATACCCTATATCCTATCTGTGAAGCACCTTCCTGCCACGTTTCATGCACCCCTCCAGAAGAGCCTCAATGTGATGTATCCTGTGCAGCTCCAGTCTGTGACATAAAATGTCCAGAAGAGCCTTGCACATCCCAAAACTGCCCCCCATGTCATACAGACTGTAAAAACCCTGAATGTGTAACTCGCTGCAAATCTCCTGAGCCTGATTGCCAAGTGGTATGTGAAGACTTAAAATGCACCTGGGACTGTCATAAGCCAGAATGCCCTAAGCCTAAATGTGATCTTGTATGTGAAAATCCTCATTGCTCACCGGTTTTGGAATGCTGCAAATGTAAGCCTGGGCAAGTTCCTTATACAAAGGAAACTTATTCATTATTTAATAAGGACGAGCCTGATGCAAGCTGTTGCACTTGCGGAGACCATCAGGGAATTGTCGATATGAAAATGGGAGGGGATGGGATGGAATTTCTGATAGAAAAACCAGAAGAGCCTGAAGAGGAAGAAATTGAGCTAGAAGCTGAAGAAAGTGAAGAGCCTGAACAAGTTGTGAGTATTTCAAATGAGTTTAAGTAAATGTAAAAGATTTTTTAAATAGTTTTTGAGGGTTAAAGTAAAGAAATAGTTAAAAATAGCGAGCTATTATGGATTTGATAAATAAAAATATTAATATCTTAATAAATATAGTTCCTTTTAATTTTGAGATTCTATAGATATATTACTCCCCCTCAGTGAGCGAGCAAAATAATTAGAAAAATCCCTATTTCTTGGCCAAAAACCACCTTCCGTGAGCGAACAAAAAATTTTTATGAAAAAAAAATTTTTGATATATAAGTGATAATTATTATAATGAAATATCTAGCTAATTCTGTTGAATTTTAAAAAGCTTGCATTTTAAAACATAAATTTTACAAATTAAATAAATATTTGCTTTCCAGTTTTGCGAATTGGGTTTTTTAAACCTCGAAAAAAACTTAACTCACTGAGGGCGAGGAGTTAGTGAATTAAAAACATTTTTTCTATAATTATTTTGCGATTATCTTAACAATCTGATATGAATCTTTCCTTCTTCAACCAAAATTCAAAAGGATTTTTGAAATAAGCACAGTCAAAAACTCGCAGACTTACTTAAATGTTATTTATCTACGTCAATTTTAATTTTATTTGTTTTAATTTTCAGCTTATTTTATGTAAATTTCTAAATCGCTTTTTTGTGTTTCATTTTTAAAAACTGAATAAGTTGTGATTGATCTAATCACAGCAAAAATCCATTTAATATAAAAAATAATTTCTGTTGGCTCCTTGTAATAAATGCAATCTGATGAAATAATCCATAGAGGCGCTTTCATTGAAGTCAAAGCGATTCCATTCACTATAAAAGATCACAAATGACAAGCGAAATGAGAATATGTTCAACGCAACAATCGGCCAGAATTGAGGTCTATTGACATGGTTTGTATTATTCCCACATTTAAAGAAAATTCCAATGAAATCCTGGTCTTGACGGCTATGTATAGATGCTCGTCGGAAAAAATAATTTTGAGTTTGCCTTCAGGGTTTGTCCAAGATGGGGACTTGGTAGAAAATTCTTTAGATATTTTGTATAGGAAAACTGGATACTTAGGGAAATCTGAGGATGTCACTATTCTTGGGACCCCTACTCATTCAGACCCATGAAAAAGCAATGAAACAATTCAATATGTAAAAATCAAAATAAATCAAAGTTTAGAAGAAAATATGGGGATTAGGGAGAGAGATGACTCTGAAATGATTAAAATAGAAACTGTGCCAGTTCACGGACTTTTGGAAAGCCTTTTCAAGCTTTGTCAAGAGAATGACTATTTGCTCGACTCAAGGCTATATACTTTGGCACTTGGGATTGAGAAAAAAAAATGTTCGAATTCAAATAAAATTAATTAGTTTATAATTAATAATCAATTGCAATCATTTTTAAAAAAATTATTTGCAAATTGAGTTTAATATTTTTATTTTTTTGATTGACCATTTTCATTTATTTTACTTTTTGATAATTTTGTTTAATTATATATTGTGAAATTTGAGACGATAGGAATTGATTAACCAATTTATATTGGTGAAATTGCTCTTAATATAGCAAATCTAATACAAGCGTTAAATATGCAGAATGGTTTAAAAGGCCTTAATTAATATTTTTTAAAAAATCAATAAGCTATTCTCGACTTTTTTCGCTATATCTCCTTCTGACTCTCTTTTAAATCTCTTCTCTTTCTCCATCCTATTACGAAAATCCTGAACTTTTCTTTTTGATGACATGAAGATTCTTTAACAGTAGATTTAATTCTGAATTTGTAAAAAAATTGACTTTAAATTCACTAATTGATGCCAAGTATTTTCGGAAATGAGATTTCTAATAAATAAGTTAAATATGAAGAATTTTATTAAATTTTCAAAATGTCTGATCCTCTCCAAAATTCACTTTTCTTTGAAAGTCGGACTGCAACTGCACAAATTCGATAAAACTCAAAATGTCTTATAATCCTAATTCTCCTTTTAAATTTAATGAATATATAAATCAAAGTTTTTTTGATAAACTAGCAAGTACATAATTTTGATAACCATTTAATATCAAAAAATTCAGAAATTTATATAATTTGCTCTATTTTAAATAGAAGTTACAATTATAATACATTAAGCGAAGCTAGCGCATTGAATTGATAAGTTTTATAAAAATAAATTTGTATGAAAAATATAATAATTGTCATTAAATGATTTGTTCCAAATATAAAATGGAGAAAGTAAGAAGAGTGATTAAAACAAAAAATTTCAAACTTGCTGAAAAATTATCGTTTTATAGCCAAATAGCTAACAGAGCAATGATCTCAATGCCCTAATGCTCTCTGCTACTTCTTTTGAAACACTATTTTTAGGGAGCTGATATTTGTAAAGCTTGGAAAATTTCAAAGCCAAGCTCAGTTGAAAATTATCAATCTTTCAGCTCTATTAAATTCAGTGAAAGTCTTAGCTGTATGTAATATGAGTTTAGCTAAATAAAGAAACGCTTTTGCTAACTCTCCCCCCTTCTTAACTAATGTTTTTTAATCATTCATGGGAGTTACTTTTGCTATTATAAAACTAGAAATTTATAAAATTTGTAATGGAAAATTTAATTTATTTATATAATTTATGTTTTAAGATGAAAATTAATTTTTATGAGAACGCATATATATAATTCACTTGAGATTTTATTGTTAATTATTATATACTTAATTAAATCATTTATACTAAAACAATTTCTGCTCAATAATAATGGGGGCTAATTTTCTCTTTCCAGCAGTTTTCTTACTAGCCCAGAGAATTGAGCAAAAATTTAGCTTAATCAAGAAGCAAGAGAAAAATAGAAAGAGAAAGGAAAAATATTCTAAAAGCACTAACTCTCTTCCCTTGATTAGAGAACAAAACTATAATTGAAATTTAATAAAAAAAATGATATAATTTTTATATTAACCAGCCCTAACTACTAAAACCCCTTCTTGTTTCTAATTGGAGTCAGAAGAATTATTTTAGAATCTCTTTGAGTCTTCATGGATAAAATTAGATATAGAATTTCAAACCCAGCATCCCTTCTTAATATGCAAACACAAATTTAGCTATAAAAAATTTCATTCCTATCTTTATGCTGTACAAAGAGTTTTATTACTCCCCCCCCCCCTCCGTGAGTGAACAAAACCATTAGAAAAATCGCTATTTTTTGCCCAAAAACCCACCCTCTGTGAGTGAACAAAAATTTTTTATGGAAAAAAAATTTGATATATAAATGATAATTAGTATAATGAAATCTAGAGCTAATTCTATTTAATTTTAAACGAATTGCTTTTTAAAACATAAATTTTATAAATTTAAATAATATTTGCTTTCCAATTTTTGCGAATTAGGATTTTTTTTAAATTTCGAAAAAAAATATTTTTTAGAAAATTTATATATAAATTTTTTTAAAAAAAAAAAAATTAACCTCCCTCCGTGAGTGAACAAAATTTTTTTGTTCACTCACGGAGGGGGGGGGGAAGTTAGATTAATTGTTTAAATAATGAAAAAATTAATTTTATATAATTAACAGGATACCCTTTAAATTATCACCTAACGAATGACTAACCTACAAAAAATCAGAAGTTCTAGCCTCATAATCTGCTGCTTAGAGTGAACTTAAATTTAAATATGGCGTATTATAACGATTCCTTCAAAATAATGTGCATCACTTTCATAACGTGCGTACATTTTAAACACAATTTGACCGTTAGGCCATAACATATAATAAATTATTTCCAATAGCATGAATACTCATTCGCTTGACCTATACTCAAACAAGGAAAACCAGATCTCCAAAAAGACTCCAAGAGTTGCAGAAAACCGGTTCAGATCCTTTGGCCATGATATTACCAATATAACTCTTCGCCCTCTTGATATTGACAGCCAAGATTCTTTTGATCCCCAACGGCTTGGCTATTATGCTCACGATATTTTTAACTATCTTCAATCAATTGAAAAATGGTGCATGATTTTTGCATTTTTTTTACAGTTTTCCCAAAATAAATTAATAATAAATTATCGTTTATATGCTGATTTTTGAACTTTACCACCTAAATGTGGAATCTTTTCCACATATGAAGCCCTTTTGATTTCACATGTGGAATCATCTTTTCACACGCGGAAAAGATTCCACATTTATGTGGTAATGTTCAAAAATCAGCAAATAACGATATCATATAAAATTAGCCGAAAAATTATATATTCCGAGAGAAGGCTATATGAGACGACAGCATGAGATTAACGAAGGAATGAGAGCAATCTTAATAGACTGGGTCATAGAAGTCCACCTGAAATTTAAGCTTCTTCCAGAAACGCTTTATTTAGCAGTCAATTTAATTGACAGATATCTAGAAATTGTGAATGTTAGCACCTCGATTTTGCAGTTAATTGGAGTTTCTGCACTTTTGATAGCTTGCAAATATGAGGAAATTTATTTTCCAGATATAAAAGATTTAGCAAAAATAACAGATGACACCTATACAAAAGCAGAAATTTTAGAAATGGAAGCGAAAATCCTCAGCACGCTGCAATATAACATTACAACGCCCAGCTCATTTAGGTTCTTAGAACGCTATTCCAGGCTATGTGAGTTTGAGGAAAAAGATTTCCATTTCGCACAGTATCTTATAGAGATGACACTTATGGAGTACAAAATGATCAAATTTTCTCCTTCTATTATAGCTATATCAGCAGTTTATTTAACAAATAAGCTGAATGATGTAAAAGATCTATTACCAAGTGCATTGATTGAGCAAACTAAATACAGCAAACAAGATTTAAAGGCTTGTACAAAAGAACTGCAGCTATGTCTGCAAAATATCAAGCATGCTCAGCAACATGCCTTAGTGAAAAAATTTTCACTGCCAAGATTTAGTGAAGTTGCCAAGTCTGTAAACTTACTCCCCCCCTCCGTGAGTGAACAAAACCATTAGAAAAATCGCCATTTTTTGCCCAAAAACCCCCGTGACTGAACAAAAAATTTTTTATGGAAAAAAAAATTGATATATAAGTGATAATTAGTACAATGAAATCTCGAGCTAATTATATTTAATTTTAAACAAATTACGTTTTAAAACATAAATTTTATAATAAATCAATATTTGCTTTCCAATTTTTGCAAATTAGGATTTTTTTTAAATTTCGAAGAAAAAAAAAATTCTATAAAATTTATATATAAATTTTTTAAAAAAAAAAACAAATGAACCCCTCCGTGAGTGAACAAAATTTTTTTTGTTCACTCACGGAGGGGGGGTGGGAGTTAGGGACTTACTTATAAATTTATTTTAAAATTATATATGAAAAGACTTTTTACTAAACTGATACTAGAATTATTATTTATTGTATAAATAAAAGCTAATTTATTCATCACCCAATTTCAATCCACAATTCATGCAAAACTTAGCACTAATAGGGCAAATTGATTTACAGTTTTTACAGGGCTCTTCTCGGGCATTTCCTTTTTCATATCTATGCAGTCTTAATGTTGATGCTTCTTTAATCAGATGTGCATTTTTCAACTGGCCATTAGTCGGATTATATTTTGGGCAAGGAGTTTCTGACAATACCCTAAACCGCTTTATTTTTGATAATTCTTTAGAGTAATCTTTAACATGTTTTTCAAGTCCTTTAGAATCAAAAATCTTTGAGCAATGAGAGCATTGGATTGGGAAAGCAAAAGAATCTTGCCTTCGAGTTTTTATTGTACATTGGCCACTTAGTTCAGGTGAATTTCTCATAACTGGAGGAATCGAAGTTTTTTTTACAGTAAATTCATTTGGAGTGTCAGCTAATGAAAAATTAAAATATCCTTGAAAATTTTCGTCTTTCAGTGGAGAAGCATCAAGAGAATTTATTTTTTTATTATGTTTTTTTTGCCTTATTTTTATAGTCGGCAAACATAAATCAGATGGAACTCGCATTAGCTGTTTCGGCTTGTTTATAATATTTTTGCAAATTGCTATATGTCTTTCAGCTGAAACTGGTGCGAATTTTCTAAGGCAGGTTGGGCACTGTATATAGTCATCATATAAAACACTGGGTGGTTTTAGACTATTTAAATCTTTGCCTTTTTCTCCGAAGGACTTCACCTTCCTTTCATATCCGATAGAATTTAAAAAATTTTCATGCAGTTTGAATCACTTCTTGTCGTTAAATTTCGAGGTCAAAGTGATTTTTTTCTGGTTTTGGAGGACTTTTGAATTGTCAAAATCCAGCATAGGGAGACGTTTTCGCTTCATATCAAATTGAGGTCGTTTTATAGACGAAAATTCGCAAGCGGACTCGTGTTTTGAAATCCTGTCAGGTAAAAATTTTCTGTGGCAAAATTTACACGTGTCTCTAAGATCATTTGTTGGGGTAAAGTCAGTGAAAGTTTCTGTGCTGCCTATGGGACTTAATGAGTCTCTTCTAGTAAGTGCACAATGGTGGCTTATGTGGCCTTCATATTCGTCCTGAGATAAAAGCTGTGAGCAATTTGCACAAGACGCAACTCAATCTTCTAAGGAGCTAAGTAATTTTCTTACAATATATTTTCTGTTGAGTTAGAAGGTGCAAGTGTGGTAATCTCCATTTAATATTGACAATTCATTTTATGGAGTTAAGTAATGCCAAAATGCTCCTTTAACAAATTGAAGCTGAGATAAATTTTTTTGGATAAATAGATGAAAATAAGGAAAAAATTATTTTACTAGATAGAAGAGAGGGAAATAGGAAGAGATAGAGGAAAAATTAAATAAGAAGGAATTATGAGTTTTCAATAATTAAAATATAAATGCCTTCTGATATATTTGTCAATTATTTAAAGGTTTCATTGCATTGAGTTGAAGTTTTGTGGGAATGGCCGCTTAAAATGATGGAAAATTTGAAAGTTGTAATGGTAAATTTAAGATTAATTTGCAAGGTAATTTCTTTGATAGGATCTAAAAGTAATTAGAATTTAGGTATTTTCTATTCAATTTTTCAAATTTTTTAAATTAGAGAAGTACCTGAATCATAATAGTAAATAAAAATAAAAAATCCAGAAACCAGACAAGAAATACACAATTAGTATAATTTTTCATAATTTTAAAATACAATCACTAAGTTTCACAAATTTTTAATTGAATATCTTAAGTGCTTAAATACATGAAATATTCCTATTTCTTGCAAATTGCATATACATTTTCGTTTTTAACTAATAATTTTCAAAAATCTTAATCAAATAAATAAAATTCAAAAATTCTAAAAAGATTTAACTCTCAATATTTAATAACTACATAAAGGAATAATTAAGTTTCAAATAGAAATTATTTTAATTAAAGCCTTTAAGTAATAATTCAGCTTTATTAAATTTAAAATGGAGAAAATTGATTCAAAAACTTCGAAGCTATGAATTTAAAATATATTATAAAATTATCTACAAGAATTCATATCATTAAAGCATAACCCACCATAAGTATTATTTCCTAATATAAAGCCATGGTTTTTGCAATATATATATTTTCCAATTAATAAAAATTATTTCACTCTCTTATAATAAAAAATGTTATCTAAAGCAAAAAGTCACAATGAATCAATACATTCAAGCGGCTATGAGAGTGTTTCTCACATAGAAGAAGACGACGACGCTAGCCTATCATTGTCGTTTTCTTCCTTAAGAAGTTCGCATTCGCACTTGGTTTCAAAAGTCACCCTCCCTGAATTTATGTTTCATAAGTCAGGTTTTATGAGGGTAAAATGAGATATATTTATCATTATTGTAGTCTTATATAACACGTTCACTATCCCTTATATTTTAGGTTTTGCTATAGAAGAAATGGCAAACCCTTCAATTAAAGCTATTGGGCTTATTAATATGATAGTTTTTTCAGGTGATATAATAATGAATTTTAGAACCACTTATTATGACTCCACTTCCGGTGATGAAGTGTTTGACACTAAAGAAATAGCTATTAACTATTTAAAAAATAGGCTTGTTTTTGATATACTAGCTGCTTTACCTTCAGAATATTTTTATGACATTCCTGCATTTACACTGTTCAAGCTTACAAAACTAGAAAGGATCCTTAAAGTTACCAATGATTTGATGTTCATGAAAATGACTGAATGGATTAAGCTTTTTATTAGATTTTGCACAATTTTGTTATGGCTTGGTATTTATCTTCATCTTTTAGCTTGCTTTTGGTTTTATTTAGTAAATGAACAAGATGATAGTCACTCTTGGGTGCCGCCTTGCCTTTCTCTAGACTCTAACTTAAAATATCTATATGAGTCTCCCAATTATTTTAAATACTCCCAGGCCTTATATGCGATGGTTTTTGCATATTCTGGGATTGAATTTTGGCCTCGCACAACCCTTCAATATGCAATAGGTGGAATTCTAGTACTAGTCGGCTCAATCATTACTGCTGTCGTCTTCGGTCAAATTTCAGTCATCATGGCAAGCTTGACCCGAGAATCCCAAAGACTAAGCGACCTACACGATGTTGTTAATACCGCAATGAGAAACATGAAGTTGCCTGATGAGCTCCAAATGAAAATCACTGACTATTTAACCTCCTCATTCAAAATTTTAGACCAGCAAGAAAGCTACGAAGATTTTTCAAAATTAATTCCCCCTAGTAAAAAACAAAAAATCAGTGCGTGTTTATTTGAAAAAGTTTTTAGGGAAAGTGAGTTTTTTGAAGGAAATTCACAATTGATAAAATTTGTTTTGCAAAAATTAGATAGTCAGTTTTTTCAGCCGGAATATTCTGTTGTAAATCAGTTTGATACTGAGGATTGCATTTATTTTGTAGGGATGGGGTCTTGTGAAGTAGAAGTCTTAGATGAGTATAAAAATTCACATTCTGTCAGAATATTGGAACCAGGCTCTTATTTTGGAGAAGTTTCAGCGCTTTATAAGACACCTAGAACTGCAAGTGTTAAAACTCGGACTTATTCTACCCTTGCTGTTATAACAAAACCTATTCTTGGTGAACTTTTAAAAAAATTCCCTGAAGTAAAGCAAACTTTTTTGAACTCAGTTTCCACTTATAAAGATAATTATAAGTCCTTCCTAAAGCGAACCTTAGCTAGAGTCCCATATTTTGATAACATCTCACCAAGAGCAGCAGACCATTTAATTTATTCCCTTGATGTCGAAAACTATGCCCCAAACTCATACCTTTTCCAACAAGGCCAAACTATTGATAAAGCATTTTTAATTTTAGAAGGAAAAGTCCAGATAATTTTTGTCGTTTTTGATAGTAACCTTACATATATTTTGAAAAATAAACATAGGCATTCTTCAGTTTATGGTGGAGAAAATTTAGGATTAAGCTCAAGAAGTAAAAAAAGCAACTCAGGGTATGGGAATTTAAAAGGAGTCAAAATAGTTATAGATGAGCTAGGCATGGGAAGTGTGTTATGCTCCAGGCATTTATTAATGCAATATCCAGCTACAGTTATTTGTAGAGTTATTGAGCCTACAAGGGTTATGGTAATTACAAATCCTGATCTTGAAGACTTATTGGTAGATTTTCCAAAATTGAAGAGGAAAATAGAAGCTCAAAAAATTGAAATGCAAGTTTGGGATAATTTCAGGCAAGAGTACCTAAGAAAACAAATCCCATTAGACTATTCCAAATGCTTTAAATACGACAAAACTGCCAACCGAAAAGCTTGGAAATCCAAAATCAAAGTAAAAAATGAAGTGATTAAGCTTATAATGAAAAAGCGAAATAGAAAAAACACCAAAGTCACTAGCAGCGTCAAAGCTATGGTCGAAAAAATCCGAGCTATTGTGACTGCTGAAGAAAAAGGCCATACTGCGATAGCCCTGAAAATTTCAAAAGGAGAAATCCCACCTGAAGCGTTAGAAGTGATTGACTTTTTAGACTCAGAAAAAATCACAAACCCAGTTTTAACCCAATTTGCGATAAAAACCAAAGAACTGTCAAAAGTTGTAGGCACACTTTCTCACAAGATGAGCTCAATGAATGAAAAATTAATAAATGTAGAAACTGCATGCGACGATATTGGTAGAAAAATAAGCAGACTGCAGGAGACTACCAAAGCGTTAGAGCTATCTTTATAAAGTGATTATTAAGATTAAGTAGTTGTAAGCCATAAACAGCTTATTTTATATAAAAATGCCATTAAATTGTAGTAGAAAATTAAGCTTAATTTAGCGTAGAATATCTTTAATCGATAATATTTGTTGTAATGCTACGTCCTTTGGAATTTTATTGTTCATTGCAGTGACAGTTTCAAATACTTTTAGCAAGCCAGCAATAAGTGTGCTTGATATGATTATATTGCTAACCATATCACGCATTTCGAATGTAATAGTTTCGCCAACTTTTAAAAACTTGCAATGCTTGATTTGTTTTAACTTGAGACCGGCTTTCTTTTCACCTTCTATGAAGAGTAAAACTCTGACAGAAGTGATGAGGATCATAACGTCGTTTAAGTCTTCAAAGTTTTGGTACATTACAAGTCTTTCCCATTTATTCTTGATATTTGTTCTTAAAAATTCTTGGTTATTTTGTTTTAAATATTGATTAAATAACTATAAAATAAAGCAGCAAAAAAAAAATAAATATTTTTTAAAAATAAATTAATAAAAATTCTTGGGCTTGTGCAATCTCATGGTTATATTTTTCAACAACCATAGTTGTTGAAAATTGCCTTGGAAATCTTGATCTCCCATGCAGACGTTGCTTATTTTTATCATCCCACGCCGTAGAATTTGCTACACCTGATGATACAGAAGTCCCAAAATGCAAAATCGCTGAAAATGGCGCAGAAATTGCCCCAAACAGCCCAATTCCGACCCCTTTGATAAATCCTTTTGCGCCTTGTTTTTTCGCCCCTTTGAATGGTTTTGTAAAAATCCCAGTCACCCCTTCACCCAAATCTTTAACTCCTCCTACAACTCCATAAAACGTCCCAGTGACCACATTTCTTGTTTCTTTAATTCTATCAGCCCCTTCTTCATCTCCACTGACATTTTTGAGAACTCCATACAAGCTTCCTGTTATTTTTGAAATGCTCCCAAACCCTCCTGTAACCACCCCTCCTACTAGGCCTTTTACGCCTTTTCCTACCCCTTTCACAAACTCTTTAGGGTTTTTTAATAGTCCTTTATAAGGTTCACTAATGAACTGGTAGACTCCTTTTCCAAGTTTATCGATCAGCTGCACAGGATTTCCTATTAAATCGCTTGATCCGAGAATTTTGTAGAGCTGGTAAAGTCCTTGTTTTACGTAATGGGTAATGATTTTTCGTTGGAGGTCTGGGATGGTACTGAAAACGTCGTTCATTTTTAGCTGATTATGCTATTTTATACTATTTTTGATCTTTTTAATTTAAATATAAAAATCATTAATTCATTAAAAAAAAATATAAGCTTGATAGGTGTTTCTGAAATATTAATGATCGCTCCTCCAACAGATGACAAAATTTGCCCAATCCCAAACATCTGCCTTGGATCATTTTCCATTTCAAACCTTTGTTTTGAGCTCTTAAAAGTCAAGTTTAAATGGAGGGATTCCAAATTCATTTCATTAATAAACACACTGTTTGCTTTTTGGTTAGGGATAAATGATAGCGATAAATTAGAAGGATCTAAATATTTATCTGTACTCACAGCAGACACAATGTATTCTTTTTAAAGATTTTGTGGTGTAATTCCTGCCTGTCATTACCATTCCTATATAAAATATAGCTTTATAATAAAACTTATATATTTTTTTTTATTTAAAAACTTATACATAGTATTAGACCTCATCATCGAGGGCTCTGCTATAGAATCCATCAAACTGCGCAGCACAGACAGCGACATTCTTACTACAGGCTGATCTAATTGGATTTTAAACTCTTGCAAACACAGCCTTACATTATAAAATTGATCTAAAATCACGCTTTCTGTCAGTGGATTGCTTACTTTACTGCCCCTTTTTATTGGAACTAAATATTCATTTTTTGGGTCTTTAAATTGTAACCAAAATTTTATAATATTTTTATATAAATTGTTTAATTCAGGGAGTGAATTATAATGCCGCGCTTAAACAGCTAGTACTGAATCTATCATTTTTGAATTAATTCTTTATAAATATAAATTAAGTTCATACATTCTATATTGTTTAATTGTAATTTTTTTATTATGAAAAAAATAATTAACCCTTTGAAATTGTAACAGAATATTTTTTGTCCCAGTTAAAAAAGGTAGGGAAAGTTAGAGTTTTTCTACTAAAATCAAGCTGGAAAAATGGCACCACTTCTTCAGGGATTGGCAATGGGGAAAAAATGACAGAAAATTGCTTTCCTCGAGCTATCATATTATCATTACATTACATTACATTATGTAGACGGGCTCGCGCCCTTAATTCTAACGCAATCACCGAAGATCCCTTGTGGGATTCAACTGCTTTGCGACCTTCCTTCCGTTGGGTCTCCTCCTTGTCTCTTGCAAAAGACTCCAGTCTTGAATGGGCAGTCTAAGGGTTTGTGCGACCTCCTGAGGCTGAGGGAATACGAAATTGGCCTTTCGAAATTCCAAAAAATGGAATTTCTGGTAGCCTATCGGCAAAAGGATTAAGTCCAGGTCCAGGGAAGTAACGCTCAGTTTCACGCTAGGCAGTTGCCCGATCGGTCTAGGTATTGCCTGTAGACTTTGCTGGGCTTGCCCTTTCCAAACCTGAACCTTCCTTTTTTTCTTCGAGGTTAAAACCAGTCTCGAAATTGGACTTGGACTAGGTTCTGCCTCCTGCAGAATTGTTTACCATAGCATTGCTGTCCTTTTCAAGGCTAGAAAAACCTTGCCGGATATAATTAAAATATGTGTCGAGGATGTATGGCCGTGAGGCCATACCTAGACGAAGACCCCATATTTTAATTATGCTATCATATTATCAATTTGGAAATTTCCAAGCTTATAGTAGAATTTAAGTATTTGTTCAAGCTTAGAAGAAATCATAGACTGCTTTACCTTGGCAAAAATGGTGATTTTATCAAAACTTATATAAAAAATCTCAGCAGGGGCATCAGTTATTAACGAAATCCCAACCCTTTTCAGTTCAATTTTAGCTTGGAAATTAAAAAGTTTAGTAGATGCCCTATACTTGTGTAAAGGATTTGTGATGCTTTTTATAAACTCATCATTCCCTTCTTTAAAAATCTTATCAATAACGCACAGTTCTCTTGCACAGCCATTAAGTCCTACATTAACTTCATAATCCAGCATTTTTTTCTTTTTTTTCTTTTTATTAGAAACTTCATCAATTGGGAAAGTCCTGACTTCTTCTTTTATAGTCAGACATACATCTCTAGAGTCTAGCGGGTTAAATATAATAGGAATATATACTTTTTTTTTATATTAATTAATTATTTTTATTTTATTATAGTAGAAATATTATTTCTAATTAGTAGTGAATAAGACCCAGGTAAAATTTCGTGCTCCTGGTATTTTGGGTTTTTCATGAATTTTTTTTCTTCAGGACTGGCATTTTCGTCTTTTTTTATTTTCTTTTTTATGGCTTTTGCCTTTAAATTTTCGGCGGTTTGGTTGATTACGACGAATTCTGGGTTGTCAGGCAAAGAAAGATGGACAAAAATGGTGGCTTGGTCTTCCGTTGTGGTGATGACGCGGATTGTATAGTGGTATTCGTTAGAAGAATTAGGAAGGTTCCATTTAATTGACCTGAAAAAGGCAGCTAGGCCTTTTCATTTGTCTGGGATTTCTATTTGATCAGGCTTTTCTGCTGGAATTCTCATTTGGTAGTCAAAAAGAGCATCAATATCAAATAAAGGCCCCCATTCGTGTCCTCCAGCTTTTGCCCTAAGCAGCCTCTTTTTTCCATGCGTAAACTTAGTAAAGGCTTTCTTTTCGCCTGATTTTAGCTCTATTTCAACTAATTTCCCATTTTCTAGCTGCAGAAGAGAAATATCAAAATTCAAGCCATTTTCAATCACATATCTTGGGACAAATTTAATGACTGTCGACTTGATCATAGGGGAGCTTGCATTTTCTCTTATAATACCTATAGAAATATCTTCAGTGTCCTCAGGACGATATTTAATATCAATAGAATCTGCGACACCAGCTGCATCTATATTAAAGTTCCTAGACCACTCACTATTGGTTTCCAGCTTAGCCTGAAGCTTTTTTTCATTGTGGCTTAAAAACCCAATAGACCTATTGTAAACAGTCACATTTTCTTCAGTTGAAAAAATCAGATTGTGCTCTGTTTTATTTACAATAATAAAAGGTGTATAAACTTCTATTAACTTCGCCCCGCACCATTTAGCTTCTTCTATATTTTCGTCTTTTTTCGACTTTTTCAGTTCTCTTGACCTTAGGTCAGTAGTGTCATTTTTTAAATAAGATTTTTTTGATATATTTTTATATATAAATTAAAAATAAATCATTAGCCTATTTTAAAATAAAATATAGCTTTAATTTATCAATAAAGCAGATAAATTATCAGAATATACAATATATCCATTGTTAAAGAAGTAGCAGTCATCACAGCTCCATCTTCTTCTCCTTCCAATTCTAGCGGTGCTACTTTTAAGTTCATCTTTTCAGTTGGCTTCATCTCAAAAATATTTTCAAGTCTGCATACTTCTGTAGTGATTTTTTCTCGAGGACTATTATGAGCTCTTAGCTTGAAGTTTTCTAATTTTTTGACATTGTAAATATCTCGTGATGACCCTGGGTTTATAAACCCACTTTGATTTTCTGATGAAATGTACGTTAAAGTGCAAGGAAGAAGATTTCTTAAGACTATTGGTGGGTTAAATTGGAAAAATGACTGCGTCATTTTTTTAGCTACTTTTAGCTCTAAAATTTCAAAAGCAATGCATTTGTCACTTTCTGATTCCTCAGAAGTGGGGTTTGTAATTAAAGTTGGTCTATCCAAAATAGTCCCATTACATGTTAAGCTTTCATTTAGTCAGTTTGTAGGCAATGGAACTGAAGAAAACGAAGGGAGCTCGATTTCTCCAAGCTTAGAGGCAATTTTTAGATTTATATGGGTGTTGTTCATGAGGGTTTTATTTGACTGAATTTTAATGATTCTTTCATTATTTCTGCATTCAACCTCAATAATCACAATTTCGTCACCAATTTTTCGACCTTTAGTCTTACTCTTATCTTGGTTAACGACAAAACCATTAGATGAATTCTTTTTTTTCGAAAAATTAATCTCTTGGCAAGCTGAAAAACATTAAATAATTGTTTTTATAAAATATTTTGATATGCAATCAATAGCTATAGTAATGAGATCTCCAGATAATCATCTTATTTTAAACTGTTTATATCTTAAAATAATTAATTTATAAATTAAATCATAATTTTCATCAAATATAATGCATTGGGAGAATTTCTTACTCCCCCCCTCCGTGAGTGAACAAAAAAATTTTGTTCATTCACGGAGGGAGGTTAAAAAAAAAAATTATATATATATATAAATTTTATAGAAAAAATTTTTTTCGAAATTTTAAAAAACCCCTAATTTACAAAAACTGGGAAGCAAATATTTATTTAATTTATAAAATTTATGTTTTAAAGCGCGATTTGTTTTAAAATTAAACAGAATTAGCTCGAGATTTCATTATAATAATTATCACTTATATATCAATTTTTTTAATCAAAAATTTTTTGTATTAAAAAAATTTTTGTTCACTCACGGAGGGGGGGAGTTAGCGGGCTTGATTTGACCATACATAAATAAGTATATGGTAAATTTTTATTTATCCATCAATGTGAATGCACTTAGTTAATTATAGACATTGAAAAGAATATAAAGCTTTAAATTATTATTTCTAGCCAAAATATTTAAATTAAATTATAGGCTATAATAGTTTTAATATTTTGACCAACTAAAAAATTATGTCTTGATATTATATAAACAGCTTATTGGCAAAAATATTAGGATAATAAATATTCCAACAGATTATACTACAAATAAACTGAATTTTTTTTGAAATAATATTTTTTTTAATATAAAATTGAAATTGCTTGTTAGCCAAAAAATAGATTAGAATCCTCCATCCCAAAAGCTTTTGACCAATTTTCTCCAATTCTCATTATAAGTTTTGCAGGCGCTCTTATATTTTTTGAAGTCCCTTTTTTTGAGTAAATCTGATTTAAGCTTTTTTGCGAATAATATGCGCAGATTGTATCAGTTATTAAAGTTTCCTCAATGTTATCTTTATCGATTTTAATATAAACATCTTTGCCAAGCAGGTTTACAACTTTATACTCAATATCTTTATGCAGATTTTCTTTGGTCTCGTACTTATTTTCTTCTTCTGTTTTTTCTATTTTTGCTTTATTTCCAATAGCGTACATCATTGTTCCAATCATTTTCATTAAATCGTATCCTTTTCCAGTAAAAAATAGGAAAATATTTTTTTAAAAAAAATAAAAATAAATTTAATTTTAAGTAGAATAAGTAACATTGATATTCAAATCCTCGCTTGAACAGAAATTGATGTTAAATCGCTTGTTTTCGTCTTGAATTACATTAATTTCCATCACCCAATCTTCAATTAAAGGCTCCCACGATGCCACATTTAAATTATAATAATTCATCAAGAATATTGTCGTAAATGTCACTGCAAGCTGAGGCATCACTTGTACATTTGCCTCGTAGTAATAAATTAATTGGAACGGGGAAAAGCTCTCTATGAGAATTTTTTAACCCTCAGGAGATTTTATTATTATGGAGTCAGTTTTCCTAGTGATCCTTTATCCGGTATGTGAGAAGTACCCTAGCACAAAGGCTAAAGTGGATAGCCCTTGGATTTTAGGAGGTATATGGTATATGATTTTAGTGCTTGATACTGAAGAGGAGAAAACTCTTTGGAAGAAAAAATCAAAAGTCTAGTAATCTAATGGAGCAACTTAGCCTTAAATCTTAGCCGTTTGGCGATGGAATTTGGTAGGAATGCTTAATGGCCTTGAGCGAAGAAGGTTATCCAATGACATCACGACTTCAGAGTTAAAAATCGGATTTATCTCGCTCTGCAGAAGAAGGAAAGCACTTAAAAGCGAAATAATTAGGAATTAAGCTCATTTGCCCCAAAATTGCTAAAACTGGCATGAAGAAGCTCATACGATTTTTTTAGTTTATCTTGGATTAATGTAAGCTGTAAGGAGTCACATAAAAGTACTACCCTTAAAATATCTTTACTTGGGGCCTGCAATTCTTGTGGCTGCGCCACAACTTGTGCAGAATTTCCTGACTGCTCTGGAGTTATTGATGTCCATTTAGCCGCGAGTTCTTTAAAGAAATCAATGTCTCTAAAACCAGTTGTTATATATACCTATTTATAATATTATTTATCCTTATTTTATATACTAAATAGCGGATATTTATTTATTATAAATAAGTATAAATACTTTCTAAGTTTATTTCAGCCTCGCTTACAGTCAGAGCATTTTTATTTTCTTTTTTCGAAGAAAAATTAATAATAATTCTTGATGGGGTAATGAAATCTTGAACCTGCCAAGAATTTGGCAAAATTAAATGGCTTTTACAGGTACCTAATTGGATTGTGAAATGGCGGACTTCTAAGGCAAGCTCATCGTCAATAAGGATAGGGGAAGAATTTTCTGTGGTGTGGAGGGAGTTGTAATGGATAATTGGAGACCAGTTTATGCTTGCTATTTGGCAGTCGCTGGATTCTGAAAGAGGGAGCCATACTTCTAAGCAGCTGAGTGATAAGCTGATTTCCATAGTAGAAGAAATAGATTTTGGGTCTTCAATTGGCTTCTCAATAATAACACTTGGAGATGGGGATTGAGATGGTGCCTGAGGAGAAGCAGCACCTACAAAGCTTTTAGAGAGTTCTAGTACACTTTTGATGAAGGAATGCACAAGGATTATTCGGATTCCGTTGACTAAGGCTGAAGCTTGGGTAATACCTTGTTTGCCATCGATTATAACTCCTGCTCTTACTTGATAAATTTCATTTGAACTTAACTGCTGGTCTTCTATAATTAAAATATGGCATTGCTCGAATTTTCTGGTCTACCAACCGAAAATTCATCTCTTGCAGATTTTAATCATGAAGTTTGGTTTCCCCTAATGAAATTATCCTAGCTATGTCAGGGAAACAAAGGCCGGTGGTTTTTTGCCGGACTTAAGGAATGATATTTTCCAGAAGGGTACCATTTAACCTAAGCGGCGGAGACTGAGACCTTTAGGGCGCCGTTCGGACACAATTAAGTGCCTGAGGTCAAAGAAGAGTTGTCTAAGTCCAAATTCCAAGACTGGCGTCCTCATTGTTGAGCAAAGTCCGAGGTGTTCACACCTTTGGCGGGCCCTAAGAAAATGGTACAAAATTCATCCCAGAGTGGCGTTGGAGGTAACTGTGGTCCAGCAACCTAGTAGTGGGCACTAAATGTGCTATAGATAATTAAAATAAGACTGCTGGTCTTCTAAGACTATATCAGTGCCATTTTCTGAGGTAACCTGAGGGTTTGACATAATTGCTCTGAAATACACATTTTCCCTCAAATCAAGAATATCCATTCTTTTTAAGCTTAAATCTACCCCCATTCTTCCGCCCGCAAACATTTCGTATTCCACTCCGAATTCTTTAAACGCACATGACAAAATTTCTGATTTTTTATAAAAAATTGAAGTAGAAATTTCTTTGATTTCTAACAAAACTTTCATTGCGCTGCTGGGTTCTCCTGAAACTTCTATTGATTCTTCTTTGGCTAGAGAGAGGCTTGGGTTAGTATTTTCTTGTAAAGAAACTTGATTATACTGTTCTTAACTATTTTCTATAAATTACTAAAAATATTTATATTAAAATCTATAGAAAACAGACTAACTGTAATAAATTTATGTCTTATCTTATTATCTTATGGAATTTATATCGCTTAACGTCCACTACGGGGTTACGACCCCAGGTTTATCACTCGCCTTTCGTCGCATCGGGCCCACCAGTCCGCTGGGGACAGACTCGCTTCGATCTCCAAGGTGCTTCTAGGGCAAATGTCCACGTCTTCGACGGCTCATGAGTGAGCTACTTGCTTGTACATGGGTTGCTTTTCCGAAAAACCCAAAAAATGGATTTTTCTGGTCAGCTATCGGCAAAAAAGGAAAAATACAAAGCCTGGGACGTAACGCCCAGTTTCACGCTAGGGAGTTGCCCGAATGGTCCAGAGGACTTTGCTGGGCTTCCCCTTTCCAACCTTGTACCCTCCTTCCCCACGAGGAAAAATCCACCCCTGAGATTAGACTAGGGCTAGGCTCTGAAAGCTACCAGAATTGCTTACCTAGCATTGCTGTCCATCTCTGAAATGGTAAAACCTTGCCGGATATAATTAAAATATGAGTCGAGGCTGCATGGCCGGGAGGCCATGCCCAGACGAAGACGCCATATTTTAATTATAATAAATTTATGTCAAATTTAGCAAAAACTAAAATATTTAATACAGGATTTTCGCCCGGAGCTTGAAGAATTGGTTCTAACGTCTTCATTAACTTTTTCTGAAATTCTTGCCCAGTCTGTATCAGCTCATCACTAAAATTCATTTTAATTTTTTCCAGCTTGGCATTGATTATCATTGGTGTAACATTTTTTTCCTTAGTCGTCATAAATTTAAACTCAAAAGTCACAGGCTCAAGAATGTCACTTTCTGAACCTCCAAGCTTAAAATTAGTTAGCTCAAATGCATAAAACTCATAGCGAGTCCCATTAAACTGCTCATCACCATTGAAAATATTAAAATGGCCAAAATCTAATACAAAATAACCGTTTTCCATTCTTTCTAAATCTAATGGGATTTTAAACTTCGGCGCTGATAAGCTTAAATTTATTTTCATAGGCGCGCTTTCAGTCTGTGCTACAGCTTCACCTACATACTGCTTGCTGAGCTCTACATAATAGTTAACCCTCGCATTAGCTTGCTTTTGGTAAAATTCTGAATCAATTTCTTGAATCAGCTCTTTTTGGAAGGTTTTATAAATTTCTAATAAACTGCCAATATTCACGTTATAGCACAAGTCGCCAGAGCTTACGTCTACACTATTTATCCTCATTTTTATTAATTTTCCAAAAAAAATTCCAAAATTTCTAAAAAATCCTATTCAATTACCCATAAAATACCCCCACAGTCGAATATTTCACTTGCAAGTGCCCGCTTTCCATCATATTCCTATTCCCCTCACAGATATTATCCGTAATATGCATAGAATTTATTTTTGCCTCCACGACCATACTAGCCGGCTTCATGGCTACATTTACATAAGTATTCAAAATTTCTAGCGAGGAAAGCATTGATTTGGCAGAGTCCAAATGGAAACTTTGCCTTGCAATATTCAGCTGGAACGTAAACCTGTCATACATTTCCGGCATGTTTTTTTCGTCAAATGTATCAACCCCTTCAACAAGCTGCAAAATTTCGTTTCTGGCTTCACTATGGGTGCCTGCTAAGATTTCTTCTAATTCTTGCTGACATTTAGCGATTTTTGCTTCCATTTCATCTTTTTCTTTTTGTAGAGTGTCTTCTGACTTCCCATAGCCAAACCAGCTTTTCATAGAGCTTGCTTTGGAGGGTTTGTAGCTTTCTTTGATATCTTCAATTTCTTTGCGCTTGGCGTCTGCAAGCTTTTTTACCCCGATTTCGTTGATGACTTCTTCTCGTTGTTTTATAATAATATAAATTTCGATAAATGGGCATTATTTATTATAAAAATAGTTTTTATAATAATTAATATAGTAAAATATATCAGAAACCTCAAAAATTTCTTCCATTCTTTGCAGCTCAGTTAAATTCTCCTCCGCGAATTTTTTGGACTGTTTGTTATTATCTACGCTGAATTTTTTCCAATTTCCATAAGTAGTTCTATATCTGATAACGTCTTCTTGGGTCATGGTTTTATAGGTTTCTGACTTAGCAACGCCTTCTCTGAATTGAAAGAACTGAGAAATATACTCCCCAAGTTTTATAAAATGAGTCAGCTGGGTCACAGCCACCCCAACCTTAATTGATTTAGAAGTAACACATATAGAACTTTCTCTTCAATAGCGCGAAAAGACGTGCATCCTGGTTTAACTAAAAGGTCTTTGGACAATGAAAATCTGCTATTCCTTCTCCATAAGAGAGGAAAATAGTGAAAATGAAGATTTTTGTCCGATCCAGTTTCGAGAACTGGAAGGGATTATTTTGTCCTAAATTAAGAATACCTGAGTTGTTGTGGGATTTTGATTTCCTACAAAATTTTTTAATTTTAATGTATTTTGGTTCGTCAAATGGTTTTGACGAGTTAATTCTGGCAGGCACGTGAAATAAAAAAATAATTGATTGCCATAATGTTTTAATTTTCTGATTTTAAGGATGATCAGAAATTTTAATAAATGGCACAGGATCAAAAAAACGAGATTAAAGATTAGTGAAAGCAAGCATATATTTTCTAGCTATAAGACGCCCAGATATTTGCTAATAAAACAATAAGAATTCTAATAAATAACTTTTATATTTCTCAAATTAATTTTTTTATTTAAATTTCGCTATTTGATGCCATTGTTTTCTCTTTCTGAATTTGAACCCAAATTCATTTTTGAACATTTTTTGTTCGTTTAAGTGTCATCTTGATTTTGTACGCTATATAAAAAAATTAAAACTCTTAAGTCACCACTTGCGGTTTCATTGAGAAATTGGTATTTAAAGTATCAAAACAACTATTTGACACCTTTATTTTCCGCTTTCTGGACTCGAGCACAAATTTATTTTTGAACATTTTTTGTTCGTTTAAGCAGCCATCTTGATTTTGTACGCTATATAAAAAAATTAAAACTCTTAAGTCACCACTTGCGGTTTCATTGAGAAATTGGTATTTAAAGTATCAAAACAACTATTTGACACCTTTATTTTCCGCTTTCTGGACTTGAGCACAAATTTATTTTTGAACACTTTTGTTCGTTTAAGCCGCCATCTTGATTTTGTATGCTATATAAAAATATTAAAACTCTTAAGTCACCACTTGCGGTTTTATTGTAGACTTGATATTTGAGATTTAAAATAAGCTAGTTGACATCTCTATTTTCCGCTTTCTGGACTCGAGCACAAATTCATTTTTTAACATTTTTTGTTCGTTTAAGCCGCCATCTTGATTTGGTACGCTATATAAAAAAATTAAAACTCTTAAGTCACCACTTGCGGTTTCATTGAAAAGTATGAAATTTGAGATTTAAAATAAGCTATTTGGTGCCTTTATTTTCCGCTTTTTGGACTCGAGCACAAATTCATTTTTTGAATATTTTTTGTTCGTTAAAGCCGCCATCTTGATTTTACTCGCTATAGAAATATTAAAACTCTTAAGTCACCACTTGCGGTTTCATTGAGAACTTGGTATTTAAAGTATCAAAACAACTATTTGACACCCTTTATTTTCTGCTTTCTGGACTCGAGCACAAATTCATTTTTGAACATTTTTTGTTCGTTTAAGCTGCCATCTTGATTTTGCTCGCTATATAAAATATTAAAACTCTTAAGTCACCACTTGCGGTTTCATTGAGAACTTGGTATTTAAAGTGTCAAAACAGCTATTTGGTGCCTTTATTTTCCGCTTTCTGGACTCGAGCACAAATTCATTTTTGAACAATTTTTGCTCGTTTAAGCCGCCATCTTGATTTTGTACGCTCAATAAAAAATTAAAACTCTTAAGCCACCACTTGCGGTTTCATTCAAAACTTGATATTTGAGAAACAAAATAAGCTATTTGACATCTCTATTTTCCACTTTCTGGACTCGAGCACAAATTTATTTTTTAACATTTTTTGTTCGTTTAAGCCGCCATCTTGATTTTGTCAATTTTCTGATCATCCTTAACATCAGAAAATTAAAAAATAATGGCAATTTTTTATTATTTATTTCAAGTACTAACCAGAATTGACTCGTCAAAACTATTTGACAAACCAAAATACATTGAAATAAAAAATTTGCAAGAAATCAAAATTCCACAATAGCTCAGGTATTCATAATTCAGACCAAAAAAATTCCTTCAAGTTCTCTAGACTGGATCGGGCAGAACTTTTCACTTTTACTATTTGCCTCTCTTATGGAGAAGGAAAAGCTAATTTTCATGGTCCAAAGACCTTTTAGTCAAACTAAGATGCACGTCTTTTCGCGCTATTGAAGAGAAAGTTCTATACTGCATATTGAGGCTTGGAAATATCTTTTACGTTTTTATTCATAATCAGCTCAATTCTTAAAGAAATCGGCGAAATAAGGTACCTATGAGGAATTTGCTCCCCAAAATCTTGCTGAGCTAGATGCTCAAATGATTGTCTTTCTTGCATCCCTGGTACATGTTCAAAAGCTACAAGGGGAAACCCATCTCCAAAATCCGAATAAACTGCGAAGTTTTTCAGCTTAATAAGCTTAAAACAGATCAAGCTGCTTTCCATAAATTGTGGCTCCCAGCTTGAGTTACAGGTAAAACAGCTGATTTCTTCGATTTTTAAGCCAAGTGCAAATTTTTGAGAAAAAGATTCAGAATCTTCTGGTACATATTTTTTTTAAAACAAAATAATTTGCCAGCTATGGCTGCGAAGCCCTCAAAATTTTTCGGTAAATCTTTGCTGAGCATGTATACGCCAAAATTTCAAAGAAAATTGTCTATAGCCAATCTTCAACTCTTATATAAACATTTTTTAGTTCTATCTGAATATTGTCAACAATTTTCGTAATTAATTTTTCGACCATGCCTGGGCTGCTTTCTACAGAGACTTCTTCAGAATTCATGACCTCGAATTTGTCAATTTGGGAACGACGAGATTTTTGGTTAATAGTCCGCTGTTCTTGTTCATCCCATTGGGATTTTGGGTGGGGCAGGAGTAGGACGATTACATCTTTGATGATGACTTTTAGAGGGCTTGATCCTAAGGAAGTTCATGGAATTTCGACCTGTATGGTTCCAACATAACCACTGCCTAATTTAAAGGGAAGACCAAGCTTATCCAGGGCTTCTGATTTTACACGGAGGTTTTCAAGAGAAATGGTTCCACTGAATATTGATAAGTTTAGCTGATCTGGGTTAAGATTTTCTATAAAGTCGCCTAAGACACTGTTAAGGACCTTGGAAACAGCCTTATTCATATTTAGAGTTTATCAGCCATAAACGAAATACTGCTCTAAAATAAAAATAGACTTAAGGAACATAAACAAAGAGCTTAGAATTATTTAATTCAGAGACAGTATACCTAAATAATCGCAAACTGATGTATTTATTTTACTATGGAATATAAAGAAAAGAAATATTTAGCTAGAACAATCTAAAAATGCTTTAAAAGGCGGATTTTATGAGACTCAGAATAATTATTTTAGCAATTTTTGGATTATGAAGAGAAGACATGCATGAAGTAGACTCAGAGGATTTTAGACTTACAGCTTCCATATAAAAATGAAGATTATTAAAAATCCTGACTTGATTCTCTTATATGCATGATAATGAAGGGTATTATTTATAATTTATTTTTATCATTATATTAATGTAAATTTTTAATTATTTGATATATTAGTATTTTTTGAATTATAGTTTCCCTGAAATGAAATAAATATATCCTTCCACGTATTCTCTGCTTTTATTTTTCTTTAATTATATTTTGTTAAAGCTTAAGCATTGGGACCATTTTGAGGAATCTTTAGCCTGAAATAATTATTCACTAAATCAAAAGAATTTTTCACTTTAGCCATAATGAATAAAACTTATAATTTTATAAATGGATCAAACTGTTGAACATCTGAAGAATTGACTTATTTCTGTTGGAGTACCACAAGACAAAGCTGCTGAAGTTGCAGAGAAATTCAAGCAAAATATATTTGCCGAAGTCGAGCATTTATCATTGGATGATTTAGATTCTTTAGCGAAACAAATGCAAGCGAGATACCCAGTATAACTTCATCATAATAAATCTATATTAGGTAATATTTCATTTCTAGAATATGATAAATGCTTTTTTTAAGAAGAAATCTCTTTAAGAGGTGTTTTGCAACAATCAATTTTAACAAGGACTACTACAAAACTCTAGGAATAAACAAGAATGCATCTAAGGCTGACATAAGGAAAGCTTATTTAAATCTTGCAAAGCAATATCATCCTGACTCGCCAACAGGAAATGAAGAGAAATTCAAAGATATTGGAGAAGCCTATGAAATCTTAGGCGATGAAAGCACAAAATCACAATATGATATGGGAAAAGCCAGCGGGCAACAAGGAACTCACTATGATAATCCATATTCTGACTTTTGGGGAAGATCCCAAAAAGGCAGAACTTATCAGCAATACCAAAACCAATATCAGAACCAATATCAAAATACAGGGAAAAATAGACAACAAAAAAACACATATTACTATGAATCTTATAACCCATTCACAGGGAAAAAGACTTATTATACCTATGAAGAGAATAGCAATTCCAGAAATCAAGGCCAAAATTTTAATAAAGAATGGGAAGAGCTTTTAAAGGAATTTAATAAAGCCAATTTTAGAGCAGGCCCATTCAAAAATCCGTTCACAGATTTTTTTAAACAAAGCCAGCAGCAGTACAACCAGCAATACCAAGACCCATTTCAGGACTTTTATAAACCTAGAAGATCAACGATAGGAGAAATTTTCATAAGAGGATTAAAGATTTTTGGATGAATTGTGCTATTTTCTCTATTTAGCAGAATTTTATTTGGATCACGCAAGCCTCCACCTGTAGATAGATATGGCAACCCAATAGAATACCAAGATGAATATCAATATAGGCCAAGACAAGATCCTTATTATGACCCTAATCGTAGATTTTAAGTGACTTAAAATAATATTTTATTTCAATGTTTAAGCAAGTATCTTTTCTCCTTTAAAATCTTATGATTTTATTATTGTATTGCTTGATATCGATAACCGCATAATTTCGTATTAAAATATGTGCTTAAAAGATAAATGAATACCAAAAAATAATTAAAGCAAATCTTACTAGTTAAAAAAAAGCCTCCATCCGGGTTTGAACCGGAGACCTTTTGCTTACTAACTCCCCCCCTCCGTGAGTGAACAAAACCATTGGAAAAATCGCTATTTTTTGCCCAAAAAACCCACCCTCCGTGAGTGAACAAAAATTTTTTATGGAAAAAAAAATTGATATACTAAATGATAATTAGTATAATGAAATCTAGAGCTGATTCTGTTTAATTTTAAACAAATTGCTTTTTTAAAACATAAATTTTATAAATTAAATTAGATGAATAAAAAATATAAGGAGAAATTTGAAGATGTTGATATGGAAATAAAAAGATTTATTTATTCGATTATGAGGAAAAGAGAGAAATGCTGCTCATGCAGCGATAGATAGATTAATAATAATAAATTAAATTAATATTTACTTTCTAATTTTTGCTAATTAGGATTTTTTTAAATTTCGAAAAAAAAATATTTTTTATAAAATTTATATATATAAATTTTTTTAAAAAAAATAAATTAACCCCCTCCGTGAGTGAACAAAATTTTTTTGTTCACTCACGGAGGGGGGAGTAAGCAAATGCTCTGCCGACTGAGCTATAGAGGCAACAATTCTACTTTTTATCTTCATCTATAAATACCATCTATAGAAATAAATTTTAAATTGATGCTACTAATATCCATTTCATCAAAACAAAACGCTTTATAATCCATTATTTCTAATGAATCCACTGATCTCAGTCCAAGACTTCACAAATCAAGCCGCAGAATCTTTTAACATTGTCTATTGTGCATTATTATTATAATTTTTAAAAAAATTCTATTTTAATAAAAAAAATTATTATAAAAATCCCCTATTGTGCCCCCCTCCTTCACATTCCCAATCTTCATTTATCCCTGGGTCTTACATTTATCATATTTCAGAGAACACTGAAGAATTCATCAAAGATGCCCGCAGTATAGAGTTTGACGAAGAAGAACGAACCATCATCTGCTACGACGACGGTGACTTCTCCTATGCCTGCAAAGCTTATTGAGGATTCCGAGCCACAGGTGTCGACGAAGTCAGGATTTTAATTGGTGGCTTAAAAGCTTGCCAAGAAATTGGCTTGGAGCTTGATGAAGGTGAGCCACCAGAAATTACTAGATCTAACCATCCGTATTTGCCCTTTAATAACTCAATAGTTATCACAAAAGAAGAATTCGCGAAGAAAAGCGTTTATTGTCAACAAATCCTTAGGGCAAATAGCTTGCCGTTTAACTTATTAGATGCAAGAGGAAATATGATACTGCAAGCACAGCTGATGAAAAACTTGGAGACCAATGGAATCACGTTCAGTACTGGGAAATCGACAATTGTCCATGGAAAAGCTGCGTGCTTGTTAGGTCTTTTATTGACATTTTTAGGGGAAAAATCAGTAAGTGTTGTTATTGATGACACGGAAGGGATTTTGGCAAGCAGCAAAGGGAAGGCGAAAAAGAGAGAATTGTCATTCCATATGGTGCCTGATGGAGGGGAAATACCTGATAGTGGAGCTACCAGGTCACCGAGAAAGTCAGGAGAAGAAAAGCATTATAAACTGCCAGTTGATGACAAAAATGAGACAAAGAAGCCAGAGCCTGGAAGATCAAATACAATATGCTGCAACGCGTGTAGTCTATTTTAAGCTAAATTATTTCACAAATTATTTATTTTTTAATCACCGAATTTGAAGATATATAAAATTCGCTTTGATCAAAAATAATTAAAGGATTTGTCACTTCAAAAGAAAAGCTATTTTTCGATTTTAAGCAACTAGACCCAATACCAATAATTTTATTGTGATTCACATAGCTTGACCTTGGTCTGCTTCTTATTTTATGAAATTTATTCACAGTCTTTTCTTCACGGTTTGTAGAAGGTGAATCAGCTATATAAATTTTTTTAAATTTCCCTTTAAATGAGAAAGCCTATTTAAAAGTTATAGTATTTTTAAAAATAATTGACCTATGAGCAAAATAATTTTTTGTAATAAAAATTTTAAGGAAATTTCGTTAAATATTTATTTTAAAAAATAAAATCCTCTAAAAAAATATCTTGCTCACAGCAGAGGAGATTAAGCAACTCATTAGTAAAAGGCGTATTTCCAGGCTTATCATTAAATATAAGTGGAACAGCTGGTTGCTTTAATTCTTGGTAATGTCTTAGAAGCTCAGTATTTTTTATTTGAAAAGTTTCGTCTAGTGACTGATTTTGTGTTGTTTGAAAAAAATTCAAACATTGGTCTTTGTATTGGGAATTTGAATGCCTCGATAAGAGTCTTCTAGATTTCAAAGAAGAGCTTAAAGGACAAATTCCAGCGTCAAATGAAACTGATGCTGGTGATTTATCCATTGAGAAACTGCTGTTTGCAATTTTATTGCTAGGAGAAGTACTAGGAGATGCAGCTGCATACAAATAGGTCAAAAGGCGAGAATGAGCCGGGCGCTTTGGGGTGTGCACACTGTTTGTCCTGACAGGGAGGTTTGTGTCTGTTTTGTTGCTCTTTGATTTCTTGAAGACTTGTAAAACAGGATGTCTTGATTTAGAAACATTAAATAGTTTTTTCCTTTCTTCTCTATAAGAGAAGTTATCTATATCTCTATAAGAAATCGCGCTTTTTGACAGAACTTTTTTACTCACTCTCCCCATCCTTGATCGAATGGCTTGCCATCGTTCGATCAAGGATGGGGGTTAAAAAAAATATATATATATATTTTTTTTTATTTACTTTTAAATAAGAGGGTTAAGAGTATTTAATAATTATTTTTACAGCAAAATTGAATTAAATTTCATAAAAATACCAATTTTTAATATTTTAATTTATTAGTTACCCTTTTTAAACTGTATAAATTTTAATTTCTCCTTATTAAATTAAAATTTGTTTTTTTTAAAATTTTAAAGAATCTCTATTTTATTAGATTATTGAGTTTTTAAGCCTAGGTTGATGACTAAATCACTTCGGATGGTTGATTCCGTGGCTTTCTGTCGTCTCAAAGCTCTGAAAACAACTTCATTATGTGCATCTTCCCAAGCTTTTGATAACTAATATATATTTTTATATATATAAAAATTTGGTTGATATGAAAATCGTTCGATCAAGGATGGGGATTAATTTTCCCAATTTTTAGGAATTTTTTACAGTCAATCGTTCGATCAAGGATGGGGGGAGTCATAACTTTGTATCACTAACTTATAAACACCCATATTAATTTAATTGATATTAAGGAAAGCTTCCCTCAGCCATGCATGATTTAACGCATCTTTGACGCTGAATCTCTGCTGTGGGTCGACTACAAGGAGATTTGATATAAAATCAAATGCAAGAGAACTTATTTCGTTTTTTCTTTTCTTGTATCTGCCATCTATAATTTTCTTTGAAATTTCTGGCTGTCTGTTCCCATCAAATGGTAAAACTCCATGAAGTAAATAATAAGCAACCACCCCTGCAGCCCAAGAGTCACTTTTCGTCCCAAAATTCCCATCAAAAATTTCAGGCGACACAAAATGTTGCATTCCATTATACTGACTAATTTTTCTTTTATTATGTGGCTTTATGATTTCTGCTCTGGTAAAATCCACAATCTTAACTTGGTTATCCACCAGCTTTATATTGTCCAGGTTGATTTTTAAATGTGCATATTCTTTGCGGGTCCAATTATTTAATAGCATTCATTTCACCGAAGTACATTTGGTCGAAAATTGGTTGATATTTTTTAAGTGAGACGAAAAAAACCGTTAAATTTCGACCAAATGTCACAATATTTTAAAACTTTCGACCAATTAAATGTATACTATCAAAAATCCACTGTCATTTGACATGGAGTCATTCTTTGCTATGCAAGTAATCAAGTGCTTGCAAGACTTGTTTAATAATCCTTGCAGCTTCATCTTCTTTTAATTTATTTCTTTCCCTTATGATATCTAAAAGTCCATAGTCTTCACAATCCTCCATTACAATGTGGAAGACATTTTCGTCTTCAAAAACTTCGAATATTTTCACTATATTGGGATGATCTAGAATACTGAGAACATTAATTTCGTTTTTGAGCAAAACCATGTTTTCTTCTGGGTTCTTTTTGTATACGCTTCTTATAGAAACTTTTTGGGCTGAGTTGAGCTTTGAGATGGCTTTTCTTATGACGCCGAGGTCTGAAGGGATTGTCTGGCCTGTAAAACTGTAAAATTCTTCGATTTTTGTGTCAGTGTTGGTGCGGACTCCAAGCACTGAGCTAATTAATTCTTCATTATGAATTGTTTCTAATTCAGTTGTCCGGTCTGAGATACAAGCACTTGCACAAAGTCCCATTAATAAATATTCAGATTATTTATAACTTTTTTTTATACATAATTTATTTTATTAAATCCAAGCTTCCTTAGAAATCCGTGTCTTTGGGACTGTCTTGCTCCTTATCAAAACCCTCTCAGTTTTCTGTGAGTCAGAAATAATCCTCACTATGATATCTTCTTTTTGGCTTATCACCATCCTTAAATGCTGATTTTTCTCCTTCATACAATTAATTACAAAATTTGCCTGTGAAATTTCTTGCTCTTTAAGCAAAATCTTATAGTTCAAGTCTTTCTTCAATGCTAACAGATCAGTAATTTGGCTTAAAAATGCTCTTTCGGTTGCAGTATTGGCGTCTTTTCCTGGGGATTTATTTTCTCATCTGTTCCTAGCGGCGTCTTCAAAGAACTTCCCTTTGGTGTGGAAGTTTACAAGCTCTTTTTTCCTCATAATTAAATGCTATAATAACACAATTAATTATAAACAAAACTAATTGACCTCAGTGGCAGCTTCGTAGGCTACTGGACTGATATTCTTAATATCTCTTATCATAATTCTGAAGTAATACCTATATTTAGACGACATAGAAGGATCCTTTGTCCTTAAATTCTTTTCAATAGACAAAGCCAACTCCTGAGCTTTTTCTATTGTGAACTTATTATTTTCTATATTCGAGGTGCATAAATATAGGATTTTTTAGAATAAATAGTATAATTATGAGGGGAGGGGATAGGACTTTAGCGATTTTACAACAAACTCGTCTTCTCAAGCACTTGTCGGCGATGTAAGAATCATCAGAGACTGGCTTGAAAACTTTTCCACATCCTTCTAATCCCAAGCTCCCTTGTTCACGAATTTTTTTCCAATATTCCCTTAGCCTTAAAGCAACCTCAGCAAGTTCTTTGAGCACATCGCAATTACTTTTCTGACATAAATTAGCTAAGAGCTTAACTATTTTTTTAATTGGATTTTTCGCTAAAAGTTTGGCATTTATGTCAAGTTCTATTAATTCATAAAGACTCTCACAAATTTCGGTAACTTTGTCTTTTTCGTCACTAATTTCTTCAGTGAATTCTGATAACAATTTTTCATGTCTTGCTAAAATATTTGTAGTCTTTCTTGATTTTGTCTTGATTTGAAGTTCGCTGATTTTATGAATCTTTTCTTCAATTAGCCTTTTTAGCTGCTCAAGTTTAAAATTAGGCTCTTTCGGCTGGGCTAGAGCATCGGCATTTAATATGACTTCTTTTGGCCTATGTTTTTTCTTAATCAAAGCTTCATTAATACTTGAAAGATTAGAAACGTTTAAGATTCCGTCATAAAGCTGTTTTGCAATTCCAATACATGTCAATAATCATTTATTGCCTGGAGCTCTGCCTTTTAATTTAGAATGCTGGGTATAATAAGTATCAAATTCATTTATATATTTAGATGGCAAAGAAGCGCTGCCTAGAGTTTACTGTGTATTCTCTCCTATGAAATTGATTGTATACTGTATATCTTCATTTGAACGCAGCTGGCTAGTCTTTCCAACCTTGCTGATCTAAGTAAAAATTACTACTCCTGGCCATCATGGGTATCCTCGTATTTTTGCCCATACTAGTTGGTCTTCTTCATAGACCATGCCTTCAGTCATTTTTCTAATTAATTTTAGCCATACTTAATTTTAGATGTTATTTACTTCATTTATATCATTTTTTTAATTTTCTGTAATAATCTCAATTATTTTAAAAAAAATTGAAATAAAGAAGTTAGATTATCCAGTCTCTAGGAGTGATTAGTACACTCATCAATCTCTCTTCAGCAGACCCAGGAGCTAGTGTGTGCTTGTATTCCCATCTCGCAGACAATGGGCAAGGCATCAGTATTGCTTCAATATTCGCATCAGGTGTAACCAAGCCAAACTTTGTCCCTCTATCATAAACTAAATTAAACTCCACATAGTGGCCTCTTCGTATTTTTTGCCATCTTCTTTGGTCCTTATTATAAGGCTCATTCATATGCTTTTTTACTATTTCTGGGTAACTTCTTACAAAAGCATCACCACATTTTGATACAAACTCTCTCAATGTTTCTTTATCGAGACAATCTAAATCATCAAAGAAAATTCCGCCTATTCCACGTCTAAATCCACGATGGGCGATATTAAAATAATTATCGCATTCAATTTTGAATTGTGGGTAAAAGTCAGGACTGGCAAAATCACAGGCATTTTTATGCTCAGTGTGGAATAAAACACAGTCAGCTTCATCTAATTTCCCTTATGAAATAGGAATTTTTTAAAAATAAAATAGCCTTGTTTTAGGGGAAAAAAACTTATTTATTTTGAAGGAGGGTAAATAATAAGGAGTTAAATCAGAACCTCCTGCAAACCACCAGACTTGTGCTTCACCATTTAAAGTCACTTCTAAGTATCTGTAATTAGCATGGACAGTAGGACAGTGAGGGTTTCTTGGGTGTATAACTAAGCTGCAACTAGCTGCATATATTAAATAATCAGCAACCCTTGATAAATCAATATTTTTCCCTCTTTCTGTATCGTTATTTTTGCAGATTTTTGAACTTTACCACCTAAGTGTGGAATTTTTTCCGCGTGTGAATAGAGGATTCCACATGTGAACTCAAAAGGGCTCCACACGTGAAAAACACCTTTTCACACGCGGAAAAAATTCCACACTTAGGTGGTAAAGCTCAAAAATCTGCAAATAACGATAATATATATTTCGCTAGGTTCAGTGATAAAGGAATTTCTAATTCAGTGAAGTTTATGCCACCTTTTTCGAAGACTCTTCCATTTTGTATTACGTTGGCTTGGCCATGACCATTGTGGTCATGCCGCTCCCAGCTGTCATGAACAAATGGAGAGCCTTCGATGATTTCTAACGATTCTGTGATCTTTTTTTGGATTTCTTGGATTGTTTCTTTAGCTTTTGCCCTAAATGAGGTATCTGCCATTTATTAAGATATGGAGCTAGTAACGTAGGATAATTTAAAAAATAAATTTTTTAGTCAATAGTTTAGCTATTAGGAATTCTTTTTTCTAAAAACATAGTGAAAATAAAATATTACTAGTATTATTTTCAAACTTTTGTGGAAGAATATAATCCTATTAAATTGTTGTAGCACTGATAATGTGATCGTGAATCGATACAATTTGATCCACTCTATCAAGTTTAATGTCAGCTTCGTTGAGCAAAGCTTCAATTTGGTCTTTTGTTCTTTCTTTTCCATTTAAAAGCAGCAAACAAAAGAATATCAGCCATTCTTCAGCCATAATAATGCTTGCCACTTAACCTATGCTCTTCCTCTAAAGCCCTTCTACAATTTTTAGTATTTTTTTGAGTTTTCATCATCCCAGTCATGCAAAATATGCTTCATAAATATGCAGCCAAAGCCTTAAGAGGTATTATTTAAAAAGTTTCCTGAAATTACATTAAATTTTTCTTGTAAATTATGGTCTGTCAAATTTTTCTGCTTTGCATTTGGTTTTTTCAAGCTCAAAAACAGCCCCTGATATATGAGTTCATCACCTTCCTTTTTAATTGTATTTTGATTTAAAAACAATGCTAGATCTAGCTGTCTAGTCTTATGATAAAATGGTAATTATGAAATGGAGAGTCTTGAAATTTAAATTAATAATTAATTTTCCAAAAAAAATAAATATTTTAAAATAACTTTATATATATATAAAAAGTTAATTAATACTGTTTATAGTAATTTTTTAACAATATTTAATAAGTTTAAAAAGAATTACACTAATCATGGAAGAAGGCCAAAATTTTGATGAAAAAATTCCTGATATCTTAGGAGAAATAGAAAGACACAAAGGCACAAATAAAGCTATGGAAATCAGACTCCAATTAAAAAATCAAGAAATTGATCAGCTTCAAAAATTTATTGAATCAAGCCAGCACCATCTAAGCCTCCAGCTCCACCTAATGAAATTAAATTCAAAAACCATGCTAATTGACCCTTCTATGAATTCTGAAATAAATTCAATCAGAGCTCTAAAACAAGTTAAAAAAGCCGAACTTTCAGCTCAAGAATCTTTAAATGCTGAATTGACTAACAAGCAGTTCATGAAAGGTGGAAAACACCAACAAAAATGACAGCAGCTATATGAAGAAATTTACTGTGGGTTTAAAAATTATGCTGAAGGAAGGCTGCAAGATGCCCATCTCCAGCTTCAGCTTGAAGGGTTGAAATCTCAAGAGATGAAACAGAGGATTGATGAAAATAAAGAACTTACTGAATCGTTAGAAAAAGAAGCAGTGGATCTGCAAGGAAAAGTAAATGAATTGCAGAACAGCTATAAAAAGAGCTTAGACCATTTAGAAGCTTTGAAACAAGAGAGCTCAAAAGTGAAGAGGAGTGGATAAATATTTAATAATTACTGGGATAAAAGTTTTATAAAAATTATAACTATTTTACTATTAAAGCACATAAATAAGCATAGATTAATTTTAAATGCCACTCATGTATATTAACACTGACTTTTAATTATTCTTATTTCATCTTTCCGCTTGTTATCAATCTCCTCCGTGATTTTCTTGATTTCTTCATCCATCGATATTTTCATCTGTTCTATAATTTTTGCAAATAATGGTCCTTGTCCTTCTAAATCTTGTATTTGTGCTTGATATTTTACTTTTATATCTGTCACAAGTCTGCTTTTTTCGCTATAGCTTCTTTCCATAATTTCCATGATTTTTTCTTCAAGCTCTTCTATATCTGGCAATGGGGAAAATTTAGAAAAGCCTCCTGATCTGTCGCTTTCTTGGTGTCTTGGGCTAGGAGACGATGGCAATTCTTGCTCATTTTCATATAATTCGCTGAAATCAAAATTAAACACCGTTGAGCTTCGGCTTCTGCATGACAAAGTTTGTGAAGCATCCATTGACATGCTTAATTTCTTTTGTTTTCTTTGAGCCAGCCGCTCTTCTAAGCTGCTTTCCATCGATTTTAAATCTCCTCCAGCTCTTTTTGTTACTTTTTTTACACGTGTGTCGTTATTTTCAACAATTCTTTCTAAATTTCTAGCAGCTTTTGGGTTGCTTCTAATGATTTTTCGCGATAACTCTTGGGGAGCTATATTTTTTTCTTCTTCTTTTGGCTTAAAAGCTTTTAATTCTCCTCCATAGCGTGTTCTTGACCTATTTCTCGGTGAAGTAGGAGCTGATCTGATTAAGTCTTCTTCATATAAGTTTATATGTTGCTTTACAGGTTTTATTTCTTGCTCAGGTGGCATTACAACTTTTATTGAAAGTCCCTCAGTAGATTCTGCAGCTGGTTTTTCTATACTGGCTGATACTTCACTTGGGATTTCTACTGGCTTTTCTTCATACCGAACCAGTTTTTTTCCCTCCTTTGGAGCTGCTTTAGTCCTTCTCCTCTTGTGGTCTTCATTCATAAGCTTCAAAATTTCTGGTCTCATTAGTGTCTTGTGCATTCTATCCTGAAAATCGTAAAATCTAGGATCGTTTATGTGTTCAAAATATTCAATTATTTCACTATAAAACTGGATTAGCCTTTGTAAGTTTTCCAATGTACATTCTGTTTCGAGGTCGATTTCTTTGTCGAGAAGCCTGGCTGCGTAGTCTTCAGGCAGTTGAGGAATATTTTTAAGCTTGGATTGATTTCTTAAAGTTTTTTGCATTTTTCAATGAAATCCAGCTATTTGTTATAATTAATAAGGTATCTAATATTATAGCTAATTACAATTAAAGTAGACTTTTAGTTATAATTAGTCGGCATAGCAAGAAGCTTTTTGAGATTAAACATGCATTAAATTATGAGCGGCCGCTTGCTTTAAGTTTCCTTATTTCTTCTCTTAGGTGCATTACTTTTGCTTCTAAGTTCTGGACTTTATTAGACAAAAATTCGTTTTCTTCTCGATCTCTTTTGGCTTCACGCTCCATTTCTTCCAGTTTTTTAGATAACTTTCCTCTTTGGTCTGACATTTATAATTTATTACCTTCTCAACAGTTAATATAATGATCCAATAAAAACATTCTTAAATAATAAAAAACTCATAAAGCCAATAGAATACTTCTTATTATCAAATACTATACAACCTTCCTCAACTCTGCACTAAATTCTTCATAATCCCTCAATAATATTCATTACACCAATATTTATTATCTCCATATTCTAAATAAAAATGCTTGCCAAAGCCATAAGAAGACTTCAACCTCTCCAACGTTGGGTCAGAACTGGAGAAGCCACTGCTTATGAAGAAACAGAACGTGACTTCCTCCCTCCTGACGTCTTCTACAAGCAGCTTAGCGAGCGAGGCTTTGACTTCTTTACTGGCGTCCCTGATTCACTGCTCAAAGATTTCTGTGGCTTTGTCTCTGACAACCATGCACCAGAGAAGCATGTTATCACTGCCAACGAAGGCACAGCAATCGCCGTTGCAGCAGGCTACCACATGGCAACCCGTCGTTTCCCATTAGTCTACTTACAAAACTCAGGCATCGGAAACACAATTAACCCTTTACTCAGTCTGGTCGACCCTAGGGTCTATAAAATCCCAATGCTCCTGCTTATTGGCTGGAGAGGAGAGCCAGGGAAAAAAGACGAGCCTCAGCATTTAGTCCAAGGAAAAGTGATGAGCAGCTTGTTAACTGACGTCGGAATTACCTATGAAGTATTGCCAGACTTCGAAGAAGGTGCTGCAGCTGCACTTGACTTAGCCCTTTATCATCTTAGAACGAGAGGAGCGCCTTATGCATTTTTGGTCAGACGTCAATGCTTTTTGAAATATGATATAAAATTTATGATGAGAAAGCCATTTTGGATAAAACAAAATTTGGTTAGCTTGATAGTAAAAAAATGCTTATCAGTGACTATTAATTATGAATTAGTATATAAAAAATAGCGTAAACAGCCCATATCCTATGAACAGAGAAATGGCTATTGACTATTTGACTGATAAGCTTGGCAAGTTTGATGCTGTAGTGGCTACTACAGGGTTCCCATCAAGAGAACTATATGAACTGAGGATTAAAAAAGGCCAAAGCACACAGCAGGATTTCTATTGCGTAGGGTCTATGGGACATGCATCAAGCATTGCGATGGGAATTGTTAGCTTCATTATTTTCCTCACTCCCTCTGTGAGAAAAAAAAAAAATTTTGTTCGCTAAAGTAAGGGGTTAGTTTTTTAAAAAATTTATATATAAATTTTATAGTAAAGGAAATATTAAATTTAATATTTAAAATTTATGTTTTATGTTTTATTGGGCAAGCTGTTTAAAATTAAACTGAATTAGCATGAGATTTCATTATACTAATTATGACTTATATATCAAAATTTTTTTTATTATTATATTATAAATTTTTGCTCGCATGGGCTTTTGGGCGAAAATAGAGATTTTCAATGGTTTTTTTCTCTCACTGAGGGGGGAGTCAGGGATATTTCCTTTGCAGATATTTCCTCAGCATTATTTGAACTAAAATCAGGCTAAAGTGTACGCTAAAGAATATTTTCCCCAAAAGTCGAGCTTACAGAATTGCATTGGCCAAGCCTTCGAAAAATGTGTTTTGCTTTGATGGGGATGGAGCTTTTCTTATGCATATGGGAGCTGCAGCACAGGTAGGGAGCAGAAATATTCATAATTTCAAACACATTTTATTGAACAATGGATCACACGACTCTGTAGGAGGACAGCCGACCGTAGGTTTCAATGTGAATTTCTTGGAAATTGCAAAGGCATGCGGATATAAGCATTCAGTAAGTGTAAGCACCAAAGAGGAGCTAGACCAAGCATACCCAATTTTTGCGAATAGTGAAGGACCTTCTTTTATGGAGATTAAATTGACAAGAAAAACAAGAAAAGATTTAGGAAGACCAAAAGGAGAGCCTAGAGACAACAAAGAGCTGTTTATGAATTTCTTGGATCAATAAATAATTATTTTCAAATTAGATTTTTTGTGATAATTTATATTATTGGCAATTGAATCTTATAGATCCTTCAGTGTTTATTTGATAATATTAGGTAAAATATAATATTAATTTTTTTTATCCTCTTAATAATAGTTAAGTCCTGAAAAGTAGGATTGTTAGGCTTCCAAGCAGATCCAATAGTGGCAAAGAGCCTGTAGCTGTTTTACCTGACATAACTATTATCGAATTCAAGTTAAAAATATAAAAACAAAAAATTTGGCACAGCATTTTACAATGGCTTAAAAAGCATATTTGTTTGCACGAAGCATTATCAGTCCAAAAAAAGAAGATCTATTATCAATCCTAATTATGGGTTTATGAAGCAAAAAGAGGATTATAATAAAATAAAGATGAACAGATTTAAATTATTATGCATTTTCCACAAAATAATTCATAAGCTATCATGAGTCATAATACATTAAAATGGCAAACATATGTCGGCCTGCCCTCTTGGTACAACAGTCCAGACCTTATGGCAACGGCGAATAGGACAGACTCCAAGAGAAGAATCAAACGCAGGCTCAAGAGATGTGTATCGAGGCAGGTTTTGGCTGCGTTCCTGTGGTTGGAAATGGAGGTGCTCAACAAAGTCCTTCGGATCCGAGGATGGGCATTCTTCTACCGAGAAACTGGGGTTTTCGACCCACTCCAAGGAGAATTGTATTTTTTCTGTAGCGGTCAAAGAAAGGCACTTCGGCACCCAATAGAGTCCAAGGATCCTTGAAATCAAGCTACTCCAATTGCCCGAAGCAGGGGGGGCAGAAATCCATAAACATTCAAGACTGAATTCTTAAGGCAAGGAGGAGACAGAAGGCACCGATGGCATCCATTCGAGGGGAAAGACCTTCTGGGCTGGGGTCGAAAAGCGGTAGAACCTCCAATACGAGAGGTCTTTGGTGACTGCGTCACCAATATATCTAACATCTGACTTTAATAACCTAGCCTATTCATGAGTCATAATAAATAGCCAATCACTATATATGGAAGATGTTTCAAATAACAAAACAAATTAAAAATATTTAAATTGAGCATAATTAAAGGAATGAAGAACTTATCTATATCTTCTAAGTGATAGGGTGTTTCTCCTCTTCCAATTCGCATGTTTACTAACTCTAGCCTTGTTTGCTTTATGTCCCTTCTTTCTAAGTCCTCTATGTTTCCTTCCAATGCTTGTAAGTCCTCTCAATTCTCTATGTTTCATGACAGGCTTGCAAATCCAATTAATCTTAGGATCTCCTCTAATAGCTTTGTGCATAGGGTCTACCAAAATGACTTCATAGAACTTATAAGTGGAATCTTCAGCAACCCAATAGCTATTTATACAATAAATAAATAAATTTTTACCTTAAATAAATAAGTCTTTTCTTATACTAATATTAATTTTATCAATAAAATAAGGTATAATACTCTTAAGCCACCACAAATTTTTCCAACTCTTTCTTCAGCGACACTTTTTAGTGATCTATAGAATTTTCTCTGGAGAACACCTTGGTTGGCTGGTTTTCCATAAATCTGTCCTTTGACTCCTAATTTTCGTCTATTTCCTCTGCGGACACGGACTCTCCAGATCACGTAGCCTTGTTTTGATCTGTAGCCAACACGGCGTGCTTTGTCTGGGCGGGATGGTCTGGTGACTCTATGGATTGCTTTGTGCTGTCTGTATTCCCAGGAACGAACACGGAGAAGGAAACGCATAACGTCGCTTTGCTTTTTCCTCCAGAGCTCTTCGAGATACTTGTAAGCTCCCATTTTTTATTATAAGCCACAGCTGCAAGAAAGCCAAGAAAACGAAGGCAAAATATTTAATTTAAAAAGAATTCTTCAGAAACTAGCTTGGCTTTTTTGCGAATAAGATTGCATTTATTTGTAAATAAATTTTTTTCAATCGAAACTACTATAAATTTTGATTGAAAATTATGTTTAGATGCTTAAGAGGATTTTCTTATGGCAGTCTATTATGTATTTTTCAAATATTTCTTTAAAATTCTAGAGAAAATTAATTTCATATTATTAGGGATATAAAAATTGCAGTATTGCAAATGGTAATATAATGGAAACCCCACCCAATCATTCGAATAATAAGATTTCAAGCATTTCAACGAATCATGTAGAATTTGACTACTTATTAGAAGAAAGCCCATCTCCTCAAGAATACCTTTCTAGCCAAACAATAGCTACTCAATGCAGTCTACAAAATCCTCCCCAAGTTAATACTTCACATTTAATCGCTACTCAAAAGCCTTTAAATAGGCGACTTAACCGAATAAAAAATATTTCTTCAGTTTTTGATTCCACAAAAAATTCCAAAAAATCATCGAAGTTTTCAACTAATGAAAATAGATCAAAAAAAATATTCCGAAAATGAATATAACTGTCTGCCATGAATTTAAATTAAAATGGGTAACTTTTATAAAAATGAAGAAATTATTATAAAAAGATATAATTTATCATGATTATTAATAAAAATTAATCATATTAAATATAGAAAAATAGTTGGTATTTGACTGTAACTGATTTTTATTTATAGAGTATAATTGACCGTGAACAATCTACAACCCCGAGTCCAATGCAATCATCTTTAAGAGTTTCTCCTATAAAACGTTCATCAAGCCCACTAGAAAGAATCATTGGAATTTCTTCACCGGAGCGATCACATAATCTCAGTTGTCCCCGCGCTTCATTTCTTCCGCCCATATCTCTTAAAAAGCAAGCTCCATCACTCAAAACTCAGCTTCAAGCCCGTGTTTCTAATATAATGGAAGCCCAATCCTTAGCTTCTAAAAGACCTTATAATAACTCTCCGAGATTTTTCGATTGGCAAAATTGTTTAGTAAATTTCCTTAAAAAAAACAAGAAAAGGAATCTTTCATATGAAATGACAGTTTTAAATTAAATTTAATAAAATTATGTCAGATCAGCAAATCACATTAGTGACTAAAGAAGGTATCAAGGTAAATACAAGAGAATCGTTCAGGAATCTTAGCCATCTTATAAACAATGTGCTAGAAGACTCTGGAGTCGGTGAAGAAATCCCTATAGAGCATGTTTCTAATAATGTTCTTCACAGCATTTTGCAATTCGCAGAGCACCATAATTTCCAGCCAGCAGCACCTCCAAAAAAGCCTATCCCTAGCAATGATATAGCCCAAGCTTTAGAAGACCCTTGGGACGCTGAATTTATTAAAAGATTCAACAGAGATGAATTAATAGAGCTTCTTCTGGCTGTAAATTACTTGGATATGCGGTCGCTTTTGGATATATGCTTTGCTACGATAGCTTCTATGTTTAAAGGAAAAAATATTGAAGAATTAAAGTCTGAATATGGGATAACAGAAGAATTTACCCCAGAAATGGAAGAACAATTGAAAAGGGAAAATGAATGGGCTTTGGAAGGAAGTGATAGAAATGACTTGAGAGCATCATAAAGACTGACTAGTTTTATAAATAATTACTAGTTTTAGAGTTCATTTTATAATAATATAAATTGAGATAGCAAATTATTAGAGAGCTTTTAAGGTCAGAATAAAAAAATCATTTATTTAGTAATCTGACTAGGATAATTTTGAAAAATGGAAGCATTAAATGAAATAGAAGAACTCGTAAACTTAGGGGTCGAAGATAAATATTTTACTGTCATACTTAAAAAGAATTGTTTCACATATAGAGAATCAAAAATAATTCTGCTGCAAGGGAGATTTATGCTTAAAAATTTTGATCAAAAAAGGTTCAAAGAATTTTTGTGCTATCTAGATATGATTGAAAATGTGACAATTACTGGAATTCCTGAGAAATTTAAGAATTTATATATAGAAAATTGAATAAGAGAATATTTAGAAATTCTTAAAAAGATTATTGATAATAAATCAACTGGATTATCAAATTTAGTTGCAAAAGCATTTGAAGATATTATAGAAAGAGGTCTAGAGTTATTTACAAAATTTTTAAAAAATCGAGGAAAATTTGCTGAAAATTCGACTTTGGTTTATTTAGGGATTCTTGATTTAATTCCTATTGAGAGCAAAGATATTTGCGACCTGTTCTTACTCCACCCCTCCATGAGCGAACAAAAAATTTTGTTCGCTCACGGAGGGGATTAATTTTTTTTTTTTTTAAAATTTATATAATTATTTTTTCGAATTTTAAAAAAATCCCAATTCGCAAAATTGGAAATCAAATATTTATGTAATTTGTAAAATTTATATTTTAAAATGCAATTTGTTCAAAATTAAACAGAATTAACTAGAAATTTATTACATAAACAACCACTTATATATTTTTTTTTATTTTATTTTATAAAGTTAAAAACCGTTATAACGATAATATCTTCATTTCTGAATTTTCTAAATTTTCTAAATTTCTAAATTTTTATAAGTTTCAGATTTCAAATTTTTAATTTTGATTCTAATTTTCGTAACTGCCATATTTCCGATATAAAATCTAAATTCTGATATTTTTGTGACTGCTTTTTTTCTGATATAAAATCTAAATTCTGATAATGAAAATCCATTTCTGATCTAAAAAATAAACTTTCTGACAAGAAATTTCACTTGAGGTTCTGAATCTTCATAAACCAGATTTTGTTCAGCTAAGTTTCTCATAAAATCCTCCAGCGCACCATCTCAATTCTTCCAAGTTCTTCCATGACTGTAACGTGATGAATGCTTCTTGGGATAATTAATTTCTTCTTTAGTGCAATGCACCATTATGTGCTGAAATTAATTATACCACTTATATATCAATTTTTTTCACAAAAAAATTTTTGTTCCCTCAAAGAGGGTGGGTTTTTGAGCAAAAAATAGGGATTTTTCCAATGGCTTTGCTCGCTCACGGAGGGGAAGTTAGAATGTATCAGCTATAATTATTTGATGGGAAAAATAACAGGTGGCGAATATGAATCTGTACATATAATTGTTTACAAAATTTTAACAGCTATTTTGAAATCTAATAAAGAAACTTATAGTCTAAGGCGTGCTTTTATTACAGAATTATTTGAATTTGCTATAGAAATAAGCAACGATTTTTTATTGAAAAAAATTAAATCTGAAGGTGTGTTTATTTCAGTTTTTAAATTTGCATTAGAGTGCGTCGAAAATGATTTTCTTGATCATATAAGAATGTTAGATGACCATAAATATGTATTTAAAAATATTTGAGGATTTGTGATTTATATGTATGATGAAATTTATCAAAAAACAAGATTGTTAATTAGTAAGATAACTCTTAAGTAGCTCGTCTTCCGTCTTCTGTTTCTGAAACCTTTTACGTAAGATACGACTTCCGCTCTGAGAAATACTTCGGCAGTTGCACCGCTACTCGCCTTTAGCTTCAAAGAACACTCTCCTGTCATCTTGTGCCAGTGGGTTGATGTCTCCATAGGTAAAACTCTCAGAAGAGCCGAAGTTCCCCTTCAAAGAACCCAAATTACGGGAACTGCAATTATCGGAGTAGCTCCAATTTAATTTCGAAAAACAAGAAAATTTGCCATTTCAAATGAAATATTGGAAATTTCAAAACCAAAAATAATAAATAAACTTAAGGAAAATTTAAGCCATTTAGATGATTGCTTAGAAATGTTTACAAACTTCTTTCACGAAGTCAATGAGGACCATTTATCGGACAAGCTTTCAGATATTTTGATAGATATACTAAAAATAGGAAATCAAGCAGAAATCACGATTGATTTATTGGATTATTTTACAAAACATTTGCAAATGAATTTATTTTCAAATAAAAAATATATTAAATATTTGAAAAAAATATTGATACTATCTTCAAAGCCAGCTAGATCTGAACTATTTCTACAACTTAAGCCTGAACTTTCACCTGTTAAAAATTTTGAAAATATGATGACTGTTTATAATTTGTTCGATGATATTGATGAAAAACATATAAAAAAGATAGCTGTTAAATTATTCAAAAATTATTTAATAGAACAAGATACGCATTCATACCGAAATTTATTGGCATTTTGTGAGAAATGTCCAAGTTTATTACTGAGAATGGAGCTTGAAATGTTAGCTCCCCTTATAATAAATATTTTTTATGAAAAAGTTTTTGATATTTAAATGATAATTAGTATAATGAAATCTCTGGCTAATTTTAAACAAATTACATAAATATTTGCTTTCTAATTTTTGAGAATTGGAATTTTTAAATTTGAAAAAATTTACTATAAAATTTATATTTAAATTGTTTTTAAAAAAAAATTAACCCTCTCCATAAGCGAACAAAATTTTTATTCGCCCACGAGAGTAAGAAAAATCTTAGTATCAGATGATAATATTATGCTTAAACAAAAATACTTCAAAATTGCCTATGAAAAAGTTCTTGTTGTAATAAACCCTTTATATGGTTTAAAATTTGATGAAAATATCTTATTACCTATTGACAGAAATAAATTGAATGATTTATGGATTTATTTAACATTTTTTGAACAAGCTGGAAAAGTTTTCGGAATTAATGCTGACTTTACACATATTTTTTCCATTCTTTCAAAGCTAAGCAGAGACCTTATAATTGAAAATTCCATAAATATAAGTAAAAATTCGAAAATATTAAAATCAAGATTAATTTTTATGATTCTTCAAGAAGAAATAAGAGAATTGCTCAAGGAAACATATGAAGCCAAGAAAACATGCAATAATTTATCCCTAGTTTACTGTATAGCCATTTGTCATCATTTATCAAATTTATATTCCAGCAAATACTTTCTCCCTCTTATTTTTTCTTACTTATCACAAGAATCAGCACTTAAAGGAGATCTTAAAAGTATTTATACAAAAATTCTTATAACTCCCCCCCTCCGTGAGTGAACAAAAAAATTTTGTTCACTCACGGAGGGTTAATTTTTTTTTTTTAAAAAATTTATATAAAAAATATTTTTTTTTCAAAATTTAAAACAATCCTAATTCGCAAAAATGGAAAGCAAATATTAATTTAATTTATAAAATTTATGTTTTAAAAAGCAATTCGTTCAAAATTAAATAGAATTAGCTCTAGATTTCATTATACTAATTATCATTTATATATCAAAATTTTTCTATTAAAAAAATTTTTGTTCACTCACGGAGGGTAGGTTTTTGGGCAAAAAATATCGATTTTTCTAATGGTTTTGTTCACTCACGGAGGGGGGAGTAAGTATTATAACAGAGTCATTTCATGAGCTTATGCATACTAAAATTACCTATGAATTATGATCAAATAAGCTAATTTATGATATTTATGAATTAATGGAATCATCAATTTCTCATATAAAAATAGTTAAAGAAACGGCTCAAGAAATGCTATGTCTTTATTTATCAAAATTTAAAGGAAAATCATCAATGAGATTAAAATCATGCTACTTATTTTCCTTTCCTTGGATTTTTCAATATAAAGAAGTCATAAACAAAGCTCTAACTATTTACTATGAACTAAATAAAAAAGATAAAAGTCAAAAAGATACAGAAATTGATATTATTTTTTTTCGAAAATTTATTTATGAAGGCCTTTTCAAGTCTTTTAAAAACAATAAAACTGCTTTTTCATCAGCAATTTCTGCTATTCTTTATGATATGAAAAATCAATCATCAAGCGCCAATGAATTTAAAATTTCAACTCTCAATAATATTTATTGAGAATTTACAGCGAAAAAAATGAATAAAACATTTTCTGCAAATATGTCTTCTGGTAAGAAAATAAATGAAAACCAAAATAAAGCAACTGATCTTATACAAGATCAAGACATTAATTCAAAGCTTACATTGCTAGTTAAAAATAGTCGTTTAACTCACAAATTCAGTATAAAGGATAACCATTTATCTACCCCTATATGGTTGCAAAGAAAGAATATGGCCTAAAAATTTTGCTGCTTAAATAGAATATACTCTATAGTGGTATGTCTTTATTATTGGGACTGGGAATAATATTTTTGACGACCCAGCTGATTCTTGATAATAATATTTTTAACATACAATTTTACTTTAATTATCTTTGCAAGCTTAGTCTTATACCTGAGGAAATGAGTGATTTTATATGATGCTGAAAATGGATAATTTATACAAAAAGATTTTATATTGATAATTTATTTGAAAACCTCGAGAAAGAGTGAAAAAATATGCTGAATCATGGAGGAATGGTCGCACCACAATGCCCTTATATAAATTCTTATAAACTGAAATATGAGTCTCCTCTTTTTGTCAACACTCAAAGTACATATTATAATAATCGCTATAAATCTTGAGCAAACTCCACAAATTTAGAAGATTTTGTTTTATCTCAATCTCGATTTTTGCAGTTTTTAACTAAAGAATGCAGCCATATTTCAATTATTTCAGAAAAAGCTTTATTCAGCATAACTATGATGATAAATGAATTTCTATCAAAATCCATAAATCCAAGTATATTAGACAGCCATAATTGTTTATATGAACAGATTTCATGTCTGGTTTTTATTATAAAACAAATTCATTTAATTTACAAATTTCGATTTTTACAAGGCAATTTTATTGATTTTACTATGAGCATGTTTATGTTTTCTTCACGATGAGTTATGTGAAATTCTGGTGAAAAAACAGAAAAATTTTATAAGCTTATTTTAAATTTGATGGAGGTATTAAATAAATAGTTAATTGCAAATTTAGAACTAGAAGAAAATAGTAATGAATGCAATAGAAACCGATTTTTTTTTCAAAAGTTTGAAGATTATCAATTCTTGGAAGGAAAAGATTTGAATTCTATAATTGCGACCAAAAGAGAGCTGCTATTAATTTTACTTCATAGTAAACTAAAGACCAATTTCCCAGATAAAACGGAAGCTTTCAGCTATCATCAACCGTAATCCTTATTAAGCCCCCATCCAAGCTGTCTTGAATCTCTACTTGAATGCTCATCCAAAAATGTGTATTTAATGGAAAATTTTTATGATTCACTTAGTGTTGATGATAAGCGAGATTTACAGCCAAAATTTTCTGAATTTTATTTTGCTCAAACTTTACGAGATTCAATTACAGAAAAGCAATATTTGTTTTCTTCCTTTGCAGGATATCCAGAACTTTTATATATTGAAGCCGCTTATATTTGAAGATTAGCAAATAGAAAGGCTTCCATTTTTTAAAAAATTTAAGTTTATCAAATCTATTTATGCGAAATATATAATGAGGTATAGAATAATGTCTTTAATTAGTAATGATCCTAATGAAAGAAGTTTTGGGCTAAAACAAATAGAAAGAAGCCAAAAAATCACCCAAATAAGCTTACTTCAAAATATAATTGCAATTGAAAATGCTAACTGAGATTGGGCATTATATGCGCGATGTAGTGGAGAAGAGAATATATGAACTTATATATATAGAATAAGCTCAAATTCTCCAGAAATGGCTATGATTATTCTAAATACCCTTGAAATTTCTATATTAAATCAAAATAAAGTTAGCAATACTATTGCAAAAGTAATCTACAAAAAAATTTTGAACTCACTTAAACAAGATTGACTAAACTGAAAAATTTACGTTGAAGAAAGCAATTTTTTCAGTAATCTTGCATTATTATCATATCGAAATTTAACAGAATACTCTGAAAAACTAAACCAAATGGTCACTACAAATTCTTCTTTTACTGCTTGAGTGCCGCCATTTCCTTTATTAAAAATCAAAGAAATAGTCTCAGAGAGTTGCTGTATAAATGATAATCCTCCAGCAATATCGTTTTATTATATTTCGCTTGAAAATGAAAAAAGGTTTCTTACTATAAATACAAGTAATTTTCTCAAAAATTATCAATTTTATAATCAAATTTTCTTTTACTTGGATGAAATATCAAAAATTTCTGGATTACCTTTTAAATTTTGGAAATGCAATTTTTTAAATATGTATTTTTCTTTTGAAAAAGATAATATTATTGGAAATATTATTGATCAGGATTATCTTCAAGGTAATGCTCTAATTATTGATAATTTACCTCAAATTAATGAAAAATTAGAGCTGCAGAAACTAAAAGAAAATTTTATCACAAGTTATGCAGGATATTCATTAAGTTTTTTTTTTCTAACCCCCCTTTAAATTGGAGCAAAACCTTTTTCCAGGGTTGTTTTTGTAAACATTTATATTAAATTGTACTTATAATAAAGTAAAATTAAAAAAATATAAATTGAACACAATATTTTTAATTCAAAAATTAATCAATTTAGCATGAAATTATTTAATATAATATCTAATTGCATTTGTTCAATTAAATTCGGTCAAAACTAATTTTAGGAAAAAATTTTGTTCCAATTTAAAGAGGTTAGTACTTAAAAAATATTATGTATTGCAATAATTTCTTATCACGCATATGCATACCATTTTGAATTTGGTATGTGAAAATCAAATATGCGTTTTGAAGCGCAGATTTTAGTGCGGCAAATTCATAATTTGAAATTTCATATGAAAATGGCGCCTATAACGTCCATAAAAAATTTTACCAACGGATTATAGAAATTTAGAGATACTTTCTTCCAATTTGAGGAGAGGGGGGACTAATGAATATTTTTATGAAAGGAGATAAACTATTCAATATATCTGATGACTGATCAATTTTATCATTAAACTTAATCAATGTAAAAATAATTAGCCACAACAGGCTAGGAATAGAAAAACAAATTTTTGCTAAATTTATACAAGGAGACCTACAAGCCTTCAATATATATAAAAACGCAATAATCCAAGGATATAAAGCTTTTCGATCTTTCCGCCACATTTTGCACCCTTTATTCCAAACAATAGAAATCTCTAATCCATTTTTTAAAAGCATCTCTAAATCTTTCGCAAAAAAAATCTGCTACCACAAATCATTATCCCACTCATTAAACTTCATTTCCCAACAAATTCTTGACCTTGATACCTCCTTCTAGGTGAATTTACTATAAATTATCTTTAATTATCTATTTTAATTTAATATGCTGAGAACGTTGTAACTACCCTTCCAATCGGCTGTCTACACACTGGACAATTCACAAAGTTCTTCGCACATTTAGTGCACATGACTCTATGAGCACATTCTAATACAACACTATCAATTTCCCTCTCATAACAAATTTTGCATAAATCCCTTTCCTCTTCTTTTTCTAATCTATCTGAAAGCTCTTTGACCTGCTGCTTCAAAAGTGCGTTTTGTTTAATTAATTCGCTCACATCAGAGCTGCTCATCATTTCTTCATCTTCTACAAACAGCCTTGACAAGCTTGAGCTTGGCCTTGCGCTTAATTCTAAATTTTCACAAGCTAAAGTAATGACATACAAATCATTTTGCCTTCTCCCGTCAAATCCTCCTAATATATACATTTGGTCCTTATTTAATAAAGCTCTATGAAAAGTCCTACTAGATGGGATGCTCCCTGTAACCCTTTTTAGCATCCATTCACGTGTGGTAATATTAAATTCATGAAGGTCGTTGTATCTGTTTTGGACTTTATCGACACCTCCAAAGATAAATAGACTGCCACTATAGGCAACGCAGGAATGTCTATAACGAGGGTTGGGTCGGATTCCTTGGATTCTGCGAAGTTCATATCAGATACTGCTGGCAAATGCGTATTGATAAAGGTCATCAAGGGTATCATGGCCATCCCAACCTCCAAAAATGTACATGTTGTGGTGATATACAACTGCTGTGTGGCCAAACCTTGTTAATGGGACACTTCCTCCAGCTGGCATAAGAGACCATTCGTAATTGTCTAAATTGCATGCATGCAGATCATTGTAACGATTTTTGCCATCATAGCCGGCAAAAATATAGATGGAATTTTCATATAAAACTGCTGTATGGTCCGTCCTTGGGCTTGGAGCGTCACCAATAGGAAAAATTTTAGTCCAAAAGCTTGTTTCGACTTCGAACCTGTGAAGATCATTATAATAGCTACCATCTTTGCGTGTATATCCTCCAAATAAAAACAATGACTTATTATATCCCACTCCTTTAGCTCCAGATCTTGGTGTTGGAACTTGCCCTTGTGAGTTAGCTTGTGACCATACATTTGTATTGGTATCAAAAGAGTATAAGTCATTTCTCCTGTTATATTCGTCAGTGCCTCCAAAAACGTAAAAAACTCCATTTAGATTAATCGCACAGTGCCCAGTCCTAGCTGAATAAACATTTCCTGTGTATTCTTATTATAATTATGGTAAAAAAAGAATAAATTACCTATATCTATTTTTTAAAAACAATTATATTAATTGATAATTTTTCCAATTAAACTTGGCTAATAATAAATATAGGCATATCCCTAAGATAGCCCGATATGGGTGAGGGATAGAGGTCAAAACTTTCCACTTGGTTCGGCCAACTCGGGTTGGCCGAACCAAGTGGAAGGAGGATCATCCGCCACTTACCATTGGTTCGACCAACCTGAGTTGGCCGGACTAAGTGGGAAGTGTTGGCCTCTTTCCCTCGCCCATATTGGGCTATCTTAGGGATATGCCTATACATAACTTCTGTCCATTTTAATTCATTATCTAAGCTAGGTTTTGACTCAGCCAGTGGATTTGATTCTAAGTCATCTTCAGGGCTGAGGTCTTGAAGGTACATTTTATACATATCATTTTGCCTTTGCCCATCAAACCCTCCTAATATATAGAAATATCCATCAAAAACAACACCACGATGAAATGTCCTTGGAGTTGGAGAAATTCCTGGGACCTCTACTTTCATTCAGTGCCGCAAATTAATGTTCAGCTCATAAATGTCATCAAATCTTTGCTGCTCTTTATTTACTCCACCAAATATAAACATTGAATTTCCCATTGTGACTGCGCAATGTCTGTATCTTGGATAAATAAACCCTGATGTGACTGCTTGTGACCATTTATTGGTAGTAAAAGAAAACAGTCACACGTCATTGAGCGTATCGTGCCCATTCCATCCTCCAAACAAAATCATCTTGTCCTTAGAAGTCACTGCTGTATGTCCAAACCTGTTTTCTGGTAACGTTTCGCTTTGAATTACCTTTCAAGTTAAGTCATGTAGATTAAATTGTGTCCCATTTCCCTTATTCTGCCTAATTTTTATGATAAAATAATCCTATGCTAAATTTACCATAAATAACTATATCAAATCATTAAAACGGTGAGAACCATCATAGCCTCCAAACGCATACAAAGAATCCTTATAAAATACCAAAGAGTGGTCAGTACGTTTTTCAGGCCTGAAATTTGTGCTTGGGCGGACTTCTTGCCATTGTAGAGATGTTGTAGAGAACTGAAAAATATCATTGAAATATTCTCCTTCTTTTTTGGTATAGCCACCAAAAAAATATATGTTTGTCCCTACCATTGCACATTGACAGCCAGAACGAGGAGCTGGAGGGATGCCTGAAGGCTTAACTGAATGCCATACAAGATTTTGGGGATCGAAAATGTATAAGTCATTTTTACGAGCTGCACCATCTGTACCACCGAATAGGTATATGTAGTGATCGTCACAAGTGACTGTGTGGCCTGTTCTAGCAGAATATATTTCACCTTCTGCAGGGACTCGTTCCCATACTTTTGAGGATTCCATAATAGGAATTAAATTATATTTTGACGGAAGAGATATTTTTTTGGAAAGCTGCCTCGAGATTTAGCTGAAGAATTGAGCTTGGAAATATAATAATAAAGGATGGAGAGTTTAAGAGATTTTCTGAATATTTTATGAGATGGCCACATATGAGTAATAGCAAAAAACAGTTTTCTTCAAAAGCTTATAAAACAAAAGCTTAATTTATTTCATCAATGTCAAGATACTGCTATGAATATTAAGGCTCTAGCATTTTTTAGCATTATAGAATTATTAAAACAAATTAGTCTTTCTGAAGTGTTTTGAAGATTTTAATAAACATAAATAGTTCTTAATTATGCTTATTCCACCTTTTAAATTGGAAACAAAGCATTAAATTTGCATGGTTGGCAGATCATTAGCGTATAAAATTTTGATACTTCTCGATCATAAGTGGATCGTTTCTAAATTGCTTAAACAACTGGTCAAAGCACTTTTTCAGTCCCATAAAACTCAAGAAAATAGAGCAAAAGATAAGAATAATCCAGAGGAAAAAAATATAAAATTGAATAAATTATAATTTATATGGCATAATAAGATTTTAATTCCCTCCCTATAACTATGAAAAATCTTAAATTTTGATAATAAAATTGTGTAAAAATTTTAAAAACAATCAGCCTACAAAAAATCTGTGAATGAAAGAGAAGATTAATTAAATTCACATTCTACAAAATTTATAAAAACCAATCTAGTTATTAAAGTTATATACTCCCCCCTTAAATTGGAACATAATATCCTGTTCCAATTTAAATAGGTTAAAAATTCATTTATAAAAAAATTTTTTAAATTTTATTTTTTTAAATTTTAAAGCCAAATAATTAAAATAACAATCGATTCAGTATAAAAACTTTTAAATAGAAAATTTTCCATAAACTAGGTTAAAGCTAGTTTATAAAAATTAGTATTTTCATCTTTAATTTTTTTTTAAAAAAAAAACTTACTTACTCCCCCCCCCCCCCTCCGTGAGCGAACAAAACCATTAGAAAAATCGCCATTTTTTGACAAAAACCCACCCTCCGTGAGTGAACAAAAATTTTTTTAATAGAAAAAATTTTAATGGAAAAAAATTTTGATATATAAGTGATAATTAGTATAATGAAATCTAGAGCTAATTTCTGTTTAATTTTAAACAAATTGCGTTTTAAAACATAAATTTTGCAAATTAAATTAATATTTGCTTCCCAATTTTTGCAAATTAGGATTTTTTTTTTTTTAAATTTCGAAAAAATATTTTTTATATAAAATTTATATATAAATTTTTTTTAAAAAAAAAAATTAACCCCCCTCCGTGAGCGAACAAAATTTTTTTGTTCGCTCACGGGGGGGGGGGGAGTTAGCACAATTTAAATTACTCTTTAAAGAATTAATATAAAAATTAATCTATTTAGAATAAAAACTGTTTAGATAATATTCTACTTGCATTATGTCTATTAAATTAGGTCAAAACTAATTTTATAAATTAGCATTTTCATCAATAAAATTTTCTATTCAAAAACAAATTTGTTCCTATTTAAAAGGGATTATGCTATCCAAAATATGCAAATTTACCGATGTTTTGATTCAATTTAAAAGGGGGGAGTTAAATACTCTGAAAGTTTTGGATTATATTCTAGTGCATATCCCATTGGGCATAAGGGACATTGATAATCATCTTCCTTTTTAGTTTTAATTTTGCATTCCTTACAAAGTTTGAAACAAAAAGGAGGCTTTGATAGAAATTGAACTCCAGGCGCACTTTCGAAGGAGTAGATCAGAGCCATTCTGATAAAGCTGAAAACAGGGTCTCTGCCAATTTTCGAAGTAGGCCTTCCCTGCAGGCAGGGTATTCAGGTTTTAACTATCACATGGTCTTCTCTCATCAGGAAAACCACTCTACAAGCGGTTACTCTCTGCCCTAGGAAGCTGATCCCTTGGACAGGATTGATGCCAGAAATCCATATAGCAGCATTTGGAGTCAAACTGGCGACAGCTAGTAGGCTTAACCGCTTTAACCAGCATAATTATTAATTTAATAATTTACAAATTTTATGTTTACATCTTGGATAAAGTATTAATGTTTTCTGAATAGTCGAGCATTTGCTGCATTGAGCTCTATTTATAAGTTTAATTTCTTCATCTTCTTTATTAGCAGCTTGATTTTGCATTCCATTTTGAATGGTGGAGAGTGCACTAGCAGTATTATTTTGTAAAGTAAGTGTATTTGAATCAACTATTTCATGATAATTAAGATTTTCAACCCAAAGAACAGTCCCTTGGGCGCATTCTCAGCAATTAATAAGATATTGCCTAATATCCCCACTGTCGATAGCATAAATATAATTTTGGGGGACACATTGCTTGTGAAATGGCCAACGATGGATGCACGTAAATTGAGAATCACTATTTTTGAAATTGCAAAAAACGCATTTATATGACAAAGAGGAGACTTTAATATCAGCTCCTGTTGATTTAGCAAAATTTATCAAGTCTGAGATATTGGGAGGCATTTGAGCAGAAATCGAGTCTGAAATGCGTAAAAAATAATTTTTTATTTTTGAGAATTTTACCCAGATTTTTATACGCTTATTTTTGAGCAAACTATTTCAGTTTCATCCTTGATTTGCTTTTAATTTTGTAGAACTAGGTGGTTGCTGCTGAATGCCACTAGCCTTAACGGCAAGAGATCTTTTAGTCGCTTGAATTGGGCTTATTATTTGATTTTGGGGGTTATTTATTACCTGAGGTTTGCTTACACTCACAGAAGCAAGACTATTAGAAAGTCATACAAAATCAGGCCTTTTATCTTCATCAAAAATCAGCATACTTGTCAACATTTCTTTTATTCTATTACTATAGCCAATTTCCTGTATTCTTTCTCTCACTTTAAATTCTTGATTTCTTAAGTCAGTTAACTCAGCCCACTAATAAGCACATTTTTGCTTATTCAGGGGATTTTAGAAAAAAAAATTCAAATAATAAATTCTATATGAATAGATCGAAAATTGCTTATTATTAGAGTTTAGATGTCAAATTTTGGGCGTTTTACAGAGAAATATTCAGCAAATTCATATAAAATTCACTATTTGAAAATTTGTGTTTAAGCGGATAAGCAAGATTTTTGTTTATTACTGAGGAGTAAGTCAGATAAATCTTTTAAGCTTGCCATATATAAAAACGTAAGCCCTAGAGAATAAACATCAGACTTAATAGGATCATGCTGTGCCACTCCACTTCCAAGCCCTTCTCTAAAAATATTATACGCTTCTCTCAATTTCGGACTCAAATATAAAGGAGTCCCTGCTATTGTGAATTCTGAGTTTTCTAATTTTAATGTTTTCCTTTTATAAGCACACCCTAAATCTGCAACTAGCAGATCACCATCATTACTAATTAAAATATTTCCTGGCTTTATATCTCTATGCACAAGCCCTTTCCTCTGTAGCCAACAATGGACATCAATAAGTGATTTAAAGTGATAAAGCAAGTTATTTTCACTTCATGGGCGGCTTTCTTTGATTCTTTTCCTGATTTCATTAGATTAGGATTAGAATAATTAAAGACAGGCGTTAGCCATATTGGAGATGCAGTCACCAAGGGAGGTTCTACCGCTTTTCGACTCCAGCCCAGAGGGTCTATCCCTCTTTCGAATGCTCTTCCGGCGCCTTTACCTACCTCCTCCTTGCCTTGCGGAATAAGTCTTGAGTGGGCGGCTTATGGATTTCTACAGGCGACTGATTTCATTAGATAAATCTCCATTTGCGTAATAATCCATGACGAAAAAAGCATGTTCAATCATCGCCCCAGTTCCAGATAGGAAGCAAGCCATGACCTCTACAATGTTTTGGTGCTGTAATGACGCCATTGCATAAGATTCATTTTGTATAGAATTTACTTCTTCAACTGAATTAACATTTAGCTTTTTAACTACAACTATCCTACCGGTTTGGCTCATTCTTGCTTTAAATACTTCGACTGAGCTTGTTTTGTAGATGGTTTCTTCTTTTGTGAAGTCTCTTTCTGACACTGTTTCCATTTCTTCGTTTTGCTATAAATTTATTAATTTATAATTAAATTTTAACATAAATTCAGACTTCCTTGAATAATGGATAAAGAGAGATTAGCTTTAAAATTATTTTTAATAAATTACAGAAATATAATTTATTGTTAATTTCTTTCCAAACACTTTCGTTTTCAAATTAAATTTCTGTTTTTAACTACAATTTCTCTACCTATTAGGCTTATTTTCGCTTTAAAAATTTTTCAGAGATTTTTTGCAAATAATTTCTTCTTTTGCGAAGTCCGCTTATGATACATTTTCTAAATTTAATATAAAATCCAATATAATAATTTTTAACAAATAAATGTTATTTGTATCCTTTTATTTAGATATTAGAAAAACCAACCTTAAATGTTCTGATATTTTAATAATAAAAATTATGGGAAAAATTAAACTCGCGCTGTATGTTGGTGTTGGGATAGCTACCTATCAAATATTGAAAAATTCTATATGCTACGTTAGAAAGGATGAAAATGTAGTGATTTTTGATAAATTTGAAGGAGTTAGGAATATCGTATATGGAGAAGGGTTTCATTTTATATATCCATGGATTCAAATTCCTGTATATTTTAAAGTAAGTCCATCAGAATTATCATTTGCTCACAAGTTTTCAACTAACTTGTGAGTGAGCAAATAAAAATTTATTCGCTTAAAAGATGAGCTATCCTTTTTTTCCCAATTTGAGTAAAAATTAATATTGATTTAAAAATTTAAAGTTATTAAATATCATTAGAACTAGCTAAAGGCATCATAATATACTTATATATCAATATTAAAATAGCTTTTTGTCTCTGGTTTTTTTCCTAAAAAAATAAATCTTTTGCTTGCTAACAGAGGAGAGTAAGGATTCACAGGGCGCGAATATTAAGCTCGATATAACCTATAGACCAGTAAAAAATGATTTACCAAAAATTTACCTTAGTTTTGGCCTTGATTATGGAAAAAGAATTATTCCATCGCTAGGGCATGAAGTAGTCAAAGAAGTTATTAAGAATTATTCCTCTGCAGAATTAGATCAAGATCAAATTCTGAATAAAATAAAAGAAAACCTAATTCCAAGAGCATCAGAATTTTTTATCACTATAGATGATATAAAAATTACTATTGAGAATTCAGCTTAACATAATATCTTAAAAAAGCGCATTTATTCACAACTACCTTAAATAGATATATATAAAATGGCGGCACGAGTCAACTTGCCCTCTTGGCGCAACAGCCAAGATCTTATGCCTACAGCGACTGGACGGGCTCCGAGTCAAATCAGGTGCAGGCTTAAGAGATGTGCATCCGGTAGGTTTTGGCTGCTTTCCTGTGGTTGAAAATGGGAGGTGCTCACGCCCCTTTGGATCCGAGGACCCATGGGCATTCCTCTACTGAGAAGCTGGAGCTTCTACCCAGGCCACAGGTAAGTAGTCTTTTTCCTGTAGCTGTCGAAGGAAGGCACTTTGGCACCCGACAGACTCCAAGGATCCTTGGAATCAAGCTATTCCAATCGCCCTTAGCAGGGCTGTTGAAATCCATAAGCCACCCACTCATGACTGAAACCTCAAGAATAAAAAAAATTTACGGAAGTGGCATCCACCTTCAGGGAAAAATCTCTCGAAAAGCAGATGAATCTTCCATAGGGGAGGAAAGTCTTTGGTGGCTGCGCCACCAATATGGCTAAGCCTAACTTTAATAACCTAATCTTAAATAGATATTTTAGCTTACAATAACAAGCTATTATTCTTCACTGTCACTATCATCTTCGCTATCATTTTGTAGCTCATCTTCACTTATTTCAGCCCCTGCCTCTTCATTTGCATCATCAAGAAAGTTTTCAGGTCTCATCAAAATATTGATAGAAATTGGGACGATATTTTCCCCTTTCAAATTAAATAGTTTCAGTCCTTTCATAAACCCTTGGATTTTCTCTAAATCTCCTTCATTTTCACTGAGTTTAGCTAGAAATTCATTGGAGAGCACTTCATTTTGTTTTTTTCTGAAATCGTCTTTTATAGTTAATTCGCTGCCTTTTTCAGGGGACTTGTAGCCTAGCTTATTCATGATTTCTCCGACTTCTTTTAAAAGGATTGTTTCGTCCTTTTTGGCTCCATATTTGATTAGTTTGATACAAAGGGCAAAGGATGGATTGATTTTTTCTTTTTTCATGCAGGAAAAGACAGATTTCACATTTTCTAGATCAGACTTTTTCATTAGGATTCCTAGAAGTTCTTCATATAATGCTGAATCTAAAGAAGTTAATTATTTATATTTAATTTGACATCACGAGGAAGCCGTGCTTTATTTGTTTTTATTTTAACCCAAAAATAATGATTTCTCCAGAGGCTATCCTAGATATTTATTTTATATTATAAATCTAAAGAAACCCCAAAAATTTGGCTTTGATAAAAAATATTAAGTGTTTTGTCAATTTTCCCTGCTCTCATACACACCTCAATAGCAGCAATATAATCAAGCTCTTCTGGCTTTTTTTCAAGCTTTTGTGCAAGCTCTAATAATGTATATGCTTCTTTAGCTCGATTTGAGTTATTAAATCCCCACATAAGTGACGATAAAAGTTTAGGGTCCAGCTGTGCTAGTTCTTGAGAGTTTTGAGAAAGAAGAGAATAAGCTTTGGATCATTCTTTTTTGGATATACATTCAGCTAATGTGTGGACTGCACGTATACATCTTTTAGCTAAATACATTTTTATAAAAATTCAATAAAGACAGCTTCAATAATAAGAAGAAGTGGGAAGTTGTCCGAAATGATTTAGGGTGAATAATAGAGTACTATAGAGAAAAGCCAAGGAATGATTTAAATAGATAAATGAATTCAAATTATAAAAAGGAAAGAAAATAATTCTTAGAAATATGAGATTATTAAATCCGGTAAATGAATTAAAAATAATAACGAACTATTTACAAAGAATAAGAATTTCTGCTTTCAAAAATTAGAAAACTTTATTTTAAGCTCTGATCAGAATAAAAATGTCCCATGATCGCATCGAGGTCAAAGAATACATTCAGTCTATCCCCTTTGAAGAGCGACTACAAAGATCTACCCAAATGCGAATAGACAACCAAGGGAAAATTCCAGCAATTTTAATCAAGGCAAAATCATGCACATATAAACTGCCTGTACAGAAATTTTCAATTGACGGTTCAATGACAATGGGAAGTTTGCTATTTGCGCTGAGAAAATATATATGATTGAAACCTACAGAAGGCTTATATGTTTATATAAAAGATACACTTCCTATGCTTAATTCGAGATTGGCTGATTTATATGAGCGATATAAAGAAGAAGACGGGTTTTTATATTTAGTGTGTGCTCATCAAGAAGATAAAGGCTTTATATAATGGTACTAACGTAATAGAAGATTTATAGATTTGTAAATGTCAGGGAAATTTTGTATTAAATTAACTGTTTTTGTATAAAATAATTATTATTTAGATATTTTCTTTTAAACTTGAGTGCCTAAAAGTGAATGGCTTGGCGTTTTCACTGAAATCCTAATTTTTGTGACTTGGAATGACTTAGAATAAAGATAAGGCAGATAAACACTCATAGATACAGTAATATATTCAAATACAGCTTCAATGCTTTCTAAACTTGTATCACTACTATAATACCATGTATAAATGCTTATCAAGAGCACACACAGATTTAAAAATAAATATATCAAAAGCTTTTTCCAAAATCTTGACTGTTTAAAAGAATAAGTCTGAAGTTTATACATGCACCCAAATGAGAGGAAAATCCATATTATTCCTAGAGAAATCATCCCTATTACAATAAGAAGATGAACTTTTTCCATATAAACGTAAAATGACGATGCAACCTCATCAATAATAAACGTAAAAGGAACCGCAAAACTGATAAGAATTCCTATAAGCATCATTATTATCGAATCCACTTTGCTCAAAGTTGCATCATAATTTGTAAAAGCCGCCGAAAAGAACAGTAAAAGTATCGGCGTAAATGCTGAAAAAGTCATCACAAGGACCCTGTCATATCCTCTAAAAAATCCTATATAGCTTAATGTAGGCAAAAAAGTTCAGCAATTAAATGACCAATAGCAGCTAGAAATCACCACGCAGGAAATAATTATGTGTATCAAGATTGCAGACAGTAAAAACAGCTTTTGAGAGTAGATTTTTAAGTAAATATTTGACGTAGAAGTGTCAAGCTTTGCTATTGGCCAGACTCTTGAAACAATTGCAGAGACACTTATAGCCATTTTGCTTTTTATAAGAAATTTCACTATAAATTTTCCAATTATTTATTATTAATAGCCTCCATACCTTGAAAATTGCCCACCACCTCGTCCTCCAAATAATGCAGCTATATAAACCCAAACTGAAGAAATAAAGCAAGGATACTCAAAAACCCTTACGCATAGGACAAATTCGCAGTCATCATCAGCAATATTATATAAGTCAGTATTTAACACTTCTTCCCATATAGAGTCTATATCAGTTAATGGCAAATTAATAGGGAATCCATATGCATATGTGGAGTCTCCTAATAAATTTACGACTTTGTCTTGGATTTCTGCAAGTTTATTAATAGAAGCCTCGCTTGAAAAATTATACAAAGATGACTGCTGGGCGCCATCTCTAAAGTCAGACTTATAGGCTTCAAAAAGTCATAAAATTTCATACAGCCTTTGGGCAACATCTCTATTTCAGCTTGTCCTTAAGGGCCGCCTATATCTCCCTGAAGCTCTGGCATCTTGGAATTTTGTTCTTATTATGTCTTCTATTTCTACTTGAATATCCTGGACAAACCGCTGAGGGGTGATTTCATAGCTTATAGGCTCTTGTATGGTAGAAACCACATTATTTGGGAAATAATACGTCCTTTTAGTCCCATTTCCAAGAAAAGCAAGCCAGGTCTTCGGGTTATCTACATCATAGTCAATAGAATAAGGGTCTGAAGTAGGCTGTATATTGATATACACATCATTTTCATCTACAAGGCAGCCTACAGACTTAAGTCCAATAATATTTTCTACATCTTGAGACATTGTCCTAGTCCCTCTTGTTATGTTCCAGCACAAAAATCTTGACGCATATCCTTCTTGTTTTAAAGAAAATCCAATCCCAGTTGAGCTGCACCATAATTCGACGTCATGAGTATTTATGTCCCGTCTCAGCACATAAACAGTCTTTCCTTCAGGGACTCCTCGTCCTATAACAATATAAGTTTTTATGCTCGGGTTGTCTTTATCAATCCATTTATATAGAAATACTATAAATATTCTATATTTTTATAGTAAATAGGATTTATTTATTATTTATTTTTCTAGGAATAAAATAATTGCATAGCAAAATGGCATGTTCTTCATAATCTCCAAACCCAAGATCAAGGAATTCTTGGCAAGTACTCCACAGGTCAGGCAAATCTTTAAAAGCTTTATTATCTTCTATATGTGGGATTAATGACACAAACCTGACCACTTTTGCAATAGGATCTGGGTCATTTGGAGAAAGCAGCCCAGGTGGCGGCTGCAGTGGTGTTATAAATCTCGGCAAAAACACGCTTTGATTTTTAGTATTTTCAGCCCAAAGGACAATATTTCTATTTTTCAATAATTGTTTGTTTTTTTGGTGTATCATTCATTGGAATCCATGGAACAAGAATTTAGGGTTTTCAAAGCCAGGGTAATAATCAGCCTCACTTTCAGTCGGAAGTTCAAGGACTGGGTCAAGTGTCACCTTTAGCATGATATAGGTTGGTAATCCAGGGTTTAAAAAGGGAGGAGGGTGTTCAATTCCTTGGTGGTGGAATGGGATAAATGGGTTTTCTTTAGAGGTGTGGTAGCCGAATAGGCATAATGGACGGTCCACACGGAATGAAGCTTCAATGCCTGAAGGGTTTTGGAAGACTGTTAGAAGTGGCAGTGCGAAGCTTCCTAAATATCTTCTTTCAAGTCTAAGGTTGACTTCTCCTTTATCCATGATCACTTGTTTTATGTTAAGTAGCTGGTCGTAAAGGTTGAAGTATAGGACACTGTCACAGTCCATTAATTCTTCTTTAGAAAATCTGACTTTGTCTAACTAACTCCCCCCCCCCCCTCCGTGAGCGAACAAAAAAATTTTGTTCGCTCACGGAGGGGGGTTAATTTTTTTTTTTAAAAAAAAATTTATATATAAATTTTATAAAAAATATTTTTTTCGAAATTTAAAAAAATCCTAATTTGCAAAAATTGGGAAGCAAATATTAATTTAATTTGCAAAATTTATGTTTTAAAACGCAATTTGTTTAAAATTAAACAGAATTAGCTCTAGATTTCATTATACTAATTATCACTTATATATCAAAATTTTTTTCCATTAAAATTTTTTCTATTAAAAAAATTTTTGTTCACTCACGGAGGGTGGGTTTTTGGTCAAAAAATGGCGATTTTTCTAATGGTTTTGTTCGCTCACGGAGGGGGGGGGGGAGTAAGGACTGAAAAGTCAGTTCTAGCAGTTCGTTTCATTCAGGATTTGTCCCATCAAATGGCGCTGTCCTTACAATGGTGGATTCTCCTTGGTGAAATAGCCTGACTTCTACAAAGCTTTGGACTCTTTCAATTGCTTCGTACCCTTGTCCTTGCCTTGGAGGGATATAAGGACCAGCATCATATTGAGGTGGCGGAGGACCATTATAGCCAGGTGATGGAGGTCTACCATATCCTCCAGGTGGTGACGGAGGCCTCCCATAGCCTCCAGGAGATGGAGGTCTCCCATACTGCGACTGATAAGGATCAAATCCTGAGCTTCTACCTCCTGGCGGGTACATAGAATTTCTCGGCGACATTCTATTAGGAGAGGGCGGATACCCTGAATTATACCCTTGATTCTGATAGCTTGACCCTGTCCTATACTGTGGAAACTGAGACATATAAGTATTGTTCGGCGGCAAAGGTTCACCCATTGCTGACTTATAAGCAGGTGGAATTGGCTGATAAAACCTTTCTACCTGTGCATACCTCTTAGACCAAGCTTCATCTCTTACAGGGATATTCACCCCTTTATAAATAATTATATTTATTTTGCACATCCCTACCGATGCTCCTGAAACAGTCTGTACTGCATTTCTTCTTGGCAGTAGTTTTCTCCTCGGTGTAAACAGCAGTTTCCAGCACTGTCCAAATGGATTTATTTCAATAAATACAAACTCTCTTACAATAGAAGGCAAAGAATGCAAATTTTTTTGTATCCCAAGCTTGACTTGGTTTTGTTTTTCCATAAAATATTCCATAAGCTCTATAATTCTCCTTTTAGTAGGCGGGTCTTGGGAGTATCTAAGCTTATATTGTTGTAAGAAAAAATAAGTCATGCGGTTGTAGTCGTCTTTGATGTCTTTTAAAGAGTTTAGAAATCTCATGAAGACTTCAGTGTTTCTTATATCTCGCTCTAGTAATGGGATTGGGTAGCCACATAATTCGACGTTTCTGTATGATGGCTTATAATGAATTGTGGCAAATCAGGATATTGGGGGAAATTGGAGAAAATTAAAGGAAAAAAATATATCGCTCTTTCATGAAAATTTCACGTAAAGCAGAAAACCTGTGATGGGGGAATAGAGAATCAAGTCTAAGCATTTCTTGGATAGCTCTGTTACGTTTTTGTCGTAAATCTTCAACAAGGTCTTTATTTCTGGGGTCGTTTACATCGATATAGTAGTCAAGCTCTCCTTTGCTTGCAATAGATTTTTTGGGCAAGGCAGCTAGATCTTCAAAGCGGAAAGGTGGCATTTTGTCAGACTGTCCTTCCCAGTATGCTTTAATTGTGATGTTCCCTTGGACTTTTCTAGGAGTTCCATCAATTTTATTAGGTAGTACTCTTCCAGATATAAAGTCCAAATTTTTATAAACTTTAGCTGTACTTGTCAATGCAGACACATTGAGACCTGGAGGATTAAACTCAATAACCCCTAACACCCTAACAATAGTAAACCCAGTACACACCTCAAGCCTGATTTTCACAGGCCGAGAAAATAAATGCAATTGGAACCTTTCTAAAAAGGGCACTTGAAACTGTGGCCATTTCATAAATTTTTTGGTACTTCTTGCTGCATAAATGCCATTTACATAAATTCTTACAAACACTCGAAAACTCTGGGCTGCACGTCTACGAGTGATTTCTTGTGAAGGGAGTCGGACGCCTAAAAGAGTTGTGTCTGCACTAGGCTCTTGAGGCTGCAAGAAAAAATCATATTCTAAGCCTTGGCCTATATCATTATATTCCCTGACTCCTAATTTTACAGAAGTGCTTACAAAAGTCTGTTTTTCACGTAGCTGTTTCAGTTCTACCCATTTATTATATAATGCTTCTGCTTCTTTTTGAATTGCTGCTTTTTCATCATTTAATTTTTTTTGTGCATCTTCAAAGTGTTTTTTCAAGATTTCGACTTCTTGAAGCATAAGTTTATTTTTTTCTTGCTGAGTTGTTGATGGTGCTTGCATATAGACTCTAACTCCCCCCCCCCTCCGTGAGCGAACAAAACCATTAGAAAAATCACCATTTTTTGACCAAAAACCCACCCTCCGTGAGCGAACAAAAATTTTTTTAATAGAAAAAATTTAATGGAAAAAAATTTTGATATATAAGTGATAATTAGTATAATGAAATCTAGAGCTAATTCTGTTTAATTTTAAACAAATTGCGTTTTAAAACATAAATTTTGCAAATTAAATTAATATTTGCTTCCCAATTTTTGCAAATTAGATTTTTTTTTAAATTTCGAAAAAAATATATTTTTTATAAAATTTATATATAAATTTTTTTTAAAAAAAAAATTAACCCCCCTCCGTGAGTGAACAAAATTTTTTTTGTTCGCTCACGGAGGGGGGGGGGGAGTAAGCATTTCTTCTTTGTGTGCTAATTGTCCTTGCAAACTGTCTAGTCTATCCTGCAAATGGTCAACTAAGCATAGTGTCACTCTTTTTTCATAATCATAAAACATCTCTTGTAGCTGAGATGCCAAAATATCTTCTTGGCTAAACAGCGGGTGATCTTTAAACTGCAAAGTCCCTATATGCAAATCTAGCCTATAATACTTATTTTTCCTCACATTATTCCTATGTGACAAAACAGCAGACAGATGTTTAATTTCAACAGCAGGGTTATGTTCTAAAGAAATATCAATCGGCCTTGTAATGCTATGAGTCGTCAAATCAGAATCAATTCTCAACTGCCAATTGCTTCTATTAAAAAACGACAGTTCTTTTAGCCTCAGCAGCCTTTGTTCATATCTCTGCAAATTGCTAGTCAATTTATCTAAAGTTCTCACATAAATACCATCAACTTTACTGTCAAGATTTATTGAGCCAATTTGTCCTATAACAGTATTAGCTTCTCCACGGACAATTGCTGGCTTATTTAAGCCTAAAAGATCAGTCCCTAAAAACCCAGAAGTTTCTACTGGCTTTATGTATTTGATTTCTTCTAAATAATGGTCAAGCGGCCATTTAATGTCAGGCCGCACTAGTTCTACAAGAGGCGGAGGCAACAATGAAGGCAAATCTCGTCGGTTTAGCAGTGGGGATGTGTCTTGGGGCTCGTTTTGGTCAGCATTTTCAAGCGGCTCAGGGTTCCCGGGATTTTCCAGCATATAAGTTAATTTATTTATATTTAAATAAAGCCATAAAGAATTTATATATGTGCTTTGCTCCCAAAATAATATTTTTTTGGGATCACTGTGATTATATCTTTATTTGATTTTTTTGGAGTTTTTGGGATAAATTGTCGGGCAAATGGGGAAATTCGGGTGCTTTCTATTATATTTTGAGGCTCATTTTCGAAAATTTGAAAAGTTTTGAAAGATTTTCTGGGAGATTGGGTGGCTGGTCGTTGGAGGTCTTTGTATCGATTTGTAGGTGAAGCTTGTGTGCCAGGCCGAGAGCTGTGTTTTGGGCTTTGAGGGCAGGGAAGCCAATCTAAGCTTGCTTCAAAATAATGCAGCTGGCTTCTCTGCTGTAATAAAATCTTAGAAAGGACTGAAACCCCTTCATATCTTGCAGCTTTATACCCAGACTCAGTATCCTCCTGTGTGCTTAAATTTCAAATTTCTTCATTTTCTTCTTTTTTCAATACTTTTTGTGATGTTTCAGGATTATTTGCAGTGTTTTTTCTATTTCAAATTTTGTTTTTTATTTCTAATGCAAAATCACTTAATTTTTGTGTATCTCTTAACGGTGAGTTTCCTCTTGACTCAGCTAAAGTTGGCTTAATTTTCGGCTTATGGACCTGTTCTTCTTTTTCTAATTGTAAAACTGCTACCCCAATGCTTTCAGGGTTTTTTGAGTTTAGCTTTAAAATATCCTTTATTATTCTTAATATTTCTCTATTTTTTTTATTATTTATATATTGTTAAAAATTTCTCTATAAAAAAGTATAGCCTCAATAGATTTCGATTTAGCTATCTGATATATAGGGTTTTTCCTTATATAATCCTATTAGGGCTGTGGATTCTGTCGGAATCCTTTGGTTATTGGAACTAACTCAGTATATAGGGGAAAACCCTATAACTCTTTATTATCAATGAGCTCCTCATCATTTTTATGATAACCCCTCATAAGTTTCACCTTCGGGTGCATACTTTGTTTATTTATATTTACACTGTCTCTCGTTTTTGAAGCACTTCTGCAGTTTCTCGATAAACGGCTGAGATTCATAGGTTTAAACCTTAGGGAATCGCATAGCTGGGATCTCGACTCAATAGAAGATTTTGGGGAAGTAAAAGTCATGTTCATAATATCTGATACTTTTTGAGCTTGCTTATTCGGCCTTAAATTATGACGGCGAGTTGTAGGGGCTGTCACAGGACGAGAGCTTGAATATAAATTTAGATTCGGCTCAGCAAAAGCGTGTATAGGAATTGTTGACTCAAAAATGTTTGGGTTGCTTTCTTCTTGGCCGTATAAATCTTCAGGACATAAAGGAATATCAATATCTTTTAATAATAGTCTATTTTGGCTTTCGTTAGCTGGGATAGAAAGCTTCATTTATGTTATTACAATTTCAAGCTTTATATTAAGGAAAAATAAAAATAACAGTTGCCACATTTCTGGAGATTTAACTGAAAAAGAGAATTAAGCTGCTTTAGATATAAAGAGGTACTATAGATGGGTATAAATAATTTATATTTTTTAAGATTTATATATATTATATTGAAGAAACAATTCAATTTAGTATGGAGAATTAGAAAAAATAGAGTGTAATTTGGAGTAATTTGTAGTAAACAGAAGAAACCTTTGAAATTAATTTTCATATTAAGCAAATGATGCTAATACTTAATTTGCATATTTAGAGATTATTTATTAATGGAGATTTAGAGTTGATAATAATATAAAAATATCAAACAATCTTTATGGTGCATTAAATCGTAAACTTAATTATTTATTTTAACCATTAATTTCACTAAATCACTCTGAAAAAGGTATTATTAAAATTTTGCTTAATTCAAGAGCGCACAAGACGTTAAAAGTACAAATTTTCAATATTTTGATAACATCAAAAGTGAGTATAGACATCAAGCATATCTCCAATGGCAGCAAGTCAATTATCTATCCTATGTTATTTGATATTCATACTCCATCAATTATAATAAATAATAGACAAAAAACAAATGATTTACTGAACCTAAAAGTTCAATTTTTTTAAAAAAAGAATTAAGATATCCTCTACTAATTAATTCAATAAATTTAAACAAAAAATGTTTAGTTTCAAAAGGCTGTGTGCTGTATTTTTCATATAGTGCTGTTTCGTCCCTAAGCCAGATGATATTCATCTTGATACAATAGAAAAAGACCACAATGATCCTAATAGTAATTCAAATCAGCAAGAAAGCGCTTTGCAGCTGGTGACTGATAGCAAAAGTCAGCTAAACCAAACCATCACAGAAATTACAAAATTAACGCTTTCCATTATCGACACAGAAGGTATGCAAATCGGCACAGAATATGAAATTTATCCTATGGGACTTAAAGGTTCTTCCAGAAGAATACAAGACGGCTGTGTATATGCAGGGACACTTCGATTCGAAAACAATATAATCATCAATGATATAATTTTATCTGAAAATGAAAAAGGTGTAGGGAAAAAGCATTTTCTTATCCAATTTGACAAATGTATTCGATAAACAGACCAAAAAAACTATTTTTTAAAAGATTTAGGAGATGGAATGGGAACATTTATAAGACTTGATAAGCCACTCAAATTGAAATCAAATCATATAATCTCTTTTGGAGATTCGCATTTAGTCATCACAATTGAGCAGCCAAATCTCTGTTTAAAATTTATAGATGGGCCAAAAACTGAAGAAAAATTGTAAAAAATATTATAGCACTTATGGGCCTGCAGATGGACCAATTAAGATTGGAAGGATGGCTGATTGTAATATTAGATTTGATGATAGCAGCTTGTCTCGATATCAATGCATTTTTAAATTTGAAGATTCTTGATATCTTATTGACGGAGATGGAAGAAAATTAAGCACAAATGGAACTTGGCTATTTTGTGAAGATTTTTTTGAAATTTTTGATGGGCTTGTTTTTAAAGCAGGGCAAACACTTTTCAAGGTAATGATAAAGTAGGCTCAGTATAATGCAGAAATGATAAATTTAAATAATGATTAATAGAAATAAAAATGTTGACTATCGGCTCAAGACTGTTTGTGTTAGTCAAAAGATACTTAATAATCAAAATTCTTAAAAAAGAGCCGCCACCTCTAGGTTTTGACCCAGATTACAACCCATTGTTAATCCAGGATTTATTTGTAGATGACCCTTGCACAATCCCATTTAAAGTCACAACTGATGGAAATCGTGTTTTTGATGGAAATTACTCAATTGAAGTAAGATTTATAGAAGACCACAAATTTCGAACGCCAACTCTTATAAATGTATTTCATTGAGATTTAGAAATAAAATACCAAAAGCTGATCTTAATTGTGAAAACCGCACATATCCTAAATCCAATGCGATTCAATTGAAATACTGACGACATCCATACAAACCCAGAAATTTACAATATCCTAGAAAATGTCAATAGCGCTAAATATAGAGCTGGGATCATGCCAATGCCTCAAAACCTCTGCCAAACTGTTTCTTCCTCAAAAGAAAATAAACAAAAATTCAAAGAAGTAAAACACTATGAAATTATTGATTGCGAAAACGACAATGAACACCCGCAAATGCTTATAGAGACGATTTTATATGAAAATAAAGAAAATTTATGTAGCACTGAGTTAAACGCACGAATGTCTGGAGACATGATACCGCTTCAAGACACACTAGAAAGCCATTCTAATACCAAATCAAATGCACAGATAATTGAGCAGTTCCCAATGTGGGCGATCAATTATTTGAAGTATAAATACAATGTCCGATAATTAAAACTTTTCTCAAATAATAATTTATCTTGCTTTTTACAACACACCTTCACTCATTAGGTTCCTAAATTCATTGAAACTAATTTTTTCTTTATGGTAACCTCTGATTTGGCTAGCTTTTTTCATAAGCATGTCTACCCACATTTCCAGTTGAGGTCTTGCTCTTTTATCAGCCATATCTAAAACCCTATATAAACTGTCTCTTCCTAAGCCATTTCCAGCTTCATGCTCAACAAATCTAAAGTAAACTAAATATTTCTTACACAGCATCCTGGCAAATTTATTTTGTATGAAATTATATATAGAAAGGTTTATAAATATCAATAATCTATTTTAATTGTAAAATAAAATATTAATTAGCAGATTAAACAGAAATTTAATTGAGAAAAACATATAAGATCTTCTCTTTGACTTTTCTGTAGATTTTAATAGATTTATATTAAATAGCCCAAAACTTGATATTTTGCTAGCACCTTCTATTGATTTTGTGAAATCGTCAAGATTAATTCACTCTTTAGAAATCAACGGGTGGAGAACTAAGTTCATAAAATTTTGATCACAGACGTAGCAATCTAAGAAGAACTGTCTAATAGCAGTTTTATGAATTTCTGGGCCGCTGTCAGAAAGCTTAATTCATGAGGTGCCCATGTATTTTTCTACTAGAGAAGAAAAAACTGTGTCTATTGTGTAGTATTGATCTATAGAATATATAGTATACTTAATTGATTTCCCTAAGGCTTATTATATAAAATTGTATTATGAATAATTAATTAATATAATTTAATTAAATATACAGAAACTTTAGGGCTCTTTTTAGCCACTGATGATGCACGAGAGCGGCTTGATGCCGATTTCCTTTGTCTGAGCTCAAAAGAGTGAGATATAGAGCTTTCAGAGTCTGTAGATAGAGATTCTAAGATAGAAGAACTAGAGCTTCTATTGAGTCTTTTTTCTTGACCTGGGACAAATACTTCATTTGTCAGTAATTTCTTTTTAATATTTGAATGCTTGCTGATGAGAAAACTCAAAGCATTCAAAATCTCTGTGTCTGCGAGTGCGAGATGTGAGTCCTGGTTCATATTCAGATTTGTTTTCTCTTGAAAACTAATTATTATCAACCTACCAGTTCATATTGGCTATTTCAGGACAATGGATGGAATATTTTCAAAAATTCGCAAAATTATGATTTATCTGCAGTATTTTACCTTAAATGTCTGAAATAATAGTCAAAATTTTTAAAAAAATTAAGAATTTCTTATATTAAATATATATTTCCTTACCCCCCCCTCCGTGAGTGAACAAAAATATTTGTTCACTCACGGAGGGGGGTTAATTTTATAAAAAATATTTTTTTTTCGAAATTTAAAAAAATCCTAATTCGCAAAAATTGGAAAGCAAATGTTAATTTAATTTATAAAATTTATGTTCTAAAAAGCAATTCTTTAAAATTAAACAGAATTAGCTCTATATTTCATTATACTAATTATCATTTATATATCAAAATTTTTTTCAATAAAAATTTTTTCTATTAAAAAAAATTTTTTTTCACTCACGGAGGGTGGGTTTTTGGGCAAAAATAGCGATTTTTCTAATGGTTTTGTTCACTCACGGAGGGGAGGAGTTAATAATTTAAGTATATTTGGTATTTGGGAATTAATTAAGAAGGGGTCTTTGATTAAAAAATTATTAAAATATTAAAATTCCTCATAAGCCAATTTAAAATATAAATGCTTATTGTAATCGCAACTTATTATAGCAGAAAAATTACCCTAAATGGTTTGGGCTATCATCAAACAAAGATTTAAAATAAAAAGCCCTGGAAAGTAGCATCGAAATTTCTTCAATATCCCAATGCTGGGTAGGGACTTTATGGAGAAACTGAAGCATTTCTGACATGTTTTTTTGCATAAGCTCATTTTTCCAGTTTAATACCAGCGCAGCTCCTAAATACCCACAAAGCCCATGAAACCCGCCTTCATCAGCAATAAAAGCATCTCACACATAAAGTCCTAAATGCAGTGGAAATTCTCTCATCATAAAGCAGCTTACCCATCTAAATGCATAGCTAATTGGAGTAACATCAGCATTTTCCATATAAGCACTTAATTGAGGGTCTACTCTTTTTATGACATCACCAATTTTTATCATTGCGCGTTGGACACCAGGTGTGCTATGCATGAAGAAATCATGCATAAAAGTCATAATATTAGCGAGACATCAATATGTGTCTGCTTCTACTTGTAATAGAAGATCTTGACTTGGATCTTCAATAGGAGCTGATAACCGTTTAGGGTCACAATGATAATTAGGCATTAAAAATACTGTAATGAAAGGCACACAAAGCTCGTTTAGTCCTTGCACGTAGCTTGATGCAGGATTTCTTATAGCTAAAATATATATTCTGCGTTGGCTTAATAAGAATAATTCTTTCAAATTAATTGTCTATGAACTAATTTATTATAATTTTAGCATATTATACAATTTCAGCATAGAATTCTTCTCATCATATTTTGAATGCATTGCTTTTTAAATAATGCAAAATCTTGCCTTGTCCTTGGCATGTCTTTATCCAACTGTGTCAAAATCCCATTCAAATCGTCTCTTTCCTCATAAATTTCCACAATATAAGACCTATACTCTTCTCTCTTTTTTTCTAAGGTCGGAATTCTTCTTTCCTTTTGTGCAGGTTCATAATTTAACAAAATCCTCCAAGTTTCTGCTCTCAATATAGGGTCATTTATTCCTTTTCAGCACAAATTTCTTAATTCTTGGAAATCAGCCGTTTGCTCTTCAAGTATTTTTCTTATTTTATTTTCTCTTCTTTCAAAATTGTGGTAAAAATTCCTACCAGAATCGCTGTTATTGCTCGATTTATCTTCTTCTTTTTCTGATCTATTAGCATTTTCTCTGACTTTGTTAGAAAGCCATTTCAAAAACCTATATACCCAAAGTTACTGGCTCAGCCAGCCAGTATTTTATCACTTTTTTTAAAAAAAATATCTCAGTTTCCAAAATTTTTGTGAAAAATTCACCTATCAGCTTTATAGACATAATTTAAGTAAATCTAGATAGTTAAAATTAATGGCTCTGACCACTTTTAAACGCCTTCATTACTCGCATTACGGAGCAGTGATAAGAGATTCAACCCACAATGTGCTCCTTGATGGTATTATGCCAGCTCGATGTGTTGAAAGTTCTACAGTGATGCACTTAGTCGATCCTCAGACAAGCGAAGAATTATTACTCATCGGCACCTGCAATATGTCAACCAAGCTCGCCCACAGAACCAAAGCCCTTGCTGAAAAATTCAAGCCCAACGCGGTCTTTGTCCAGGCTGCTCCTTACTTTGCGGAATATACTAAAATCGATACCAAGTGTGCCCAAACTTTCCATGAGGAGCTTATCCGCAATGGATATGTGGAGTATCAGGAATATGTAACCAAGAAACCTTTTACTCTTAGAGAAATTATCTTCCAGTATAGAAAAAACATAGCCAAGCTTTGGCTTCATCATACCTTAAGAGTCCCTGAAAACTGGTATCGCATTTTCTTGCCTGGACTAGAGATGAAGTTCGCTGCAGAATTGGCACAAAAGCAGGGGACACCAATTTTATATGCTGGCGACGCATTTGGAGTTCAAGGGATGGAGATGTTGAGACTTGAAAAAGATTTTGACGTCTTTAAGCCTTTGTGGAGATATTGGTGCGGAATGGCAACATCCTGGGTTTCAGAAGTAAAAGATGTGAGAAAGATATTTACTGGCCATGGATTGAAGGACTTAACTGAGACTTTCTTTAATAAGGATCAAATGGCTTGGTTCGTGAGATTTGCCCACAAGATATTCCCGGCCCAAACTGGTTGGCAATAATTTTTATGAAAATATTTATAAAATAATAATTTTTGTTTTGCAATATTTTTATTAAAAAATTATAATAGAGACCAAACTGATGCTTGCATCCATAAGAGAAGTGAAGATCTTTTTATTAGACTTGAAAGTCAGCTAGAAGGAAAGAAGAAATTGGCAGTTGTTAATCAGTGGCATATGGAAGACATCGAGAAGCTTTGGAGAAAGAAGCACGGAATCGAAATCATAAGACCACCTACAAGCGGAACTGAAGATTTGCCATTAGCAGAAATCGTCGCTTACATGAAAGGAACAGATCATGATAGACATGCAGCCGAGAAACTCACTGGAACTACAATGGCTACAGAGTCGAGACAGAACGTTCCTTATTTCGATGAGAATCGTAGTCATTATGGCTAAAAAATTCTTAATAAAATGTCTGAATTATCCTTATTTGATTATTCATTAAACAAATAAAAATAAAAAAAATTCTAATTTGTGTAGGAATTGGCATAAATATTAAAAATAATTTTTAAAAAATTAATAAATATAGCGCTTTCCCGAGGATGGCATCCACACGGGAACTGGGAGTTCCACGTGTGGATGCCATTTTGACATGTGGAAGTTTGGATCCCACATGTCAAAAATGGCATCCACACGTGGAACTCCAGTTCCCGTGTGATGGATGCTTAGTTGACTTTCCCGAGGATGGCGCCATTCCGCGCCATCCTCGGGAAAGCGCTATATATCATAAGTTATGAAGAAAGGGATAGTGATAGCGAAAGAACGAGAGAAGACCTTTTTCATGTGAAAGAGGAATTCTTAAACACGTTTCAAAGACTTTATTTATATCAGCTTGAGTTTGAGAGGTCCTTACATGAGCTTTCAATCCAAAAAGCGATGCTAGATGAACATATCGATAGACTAGAATTTTTAGACGCTCAATTGCCAGCAGATAATCCTGATAATGTGTTTATGCAGCCTGCTTCTAGGGATTTTTCATTCAGTAATCCAGGGACAGAAAATACGACTTTTTCTTTTGGAGAAATTGATGAAAATATTGAGGTAGGCAGCATACAATATTTATTATTTTTTTTAATTTTTAATATTTTTTTATCTCAAAAATAGATAATTTACTGTATATCATATCCCGGTAGATTTAGAAGAGTACAAAAAAATAGAAATCCGTCATGTATTTCAGCCCAAGAAAACAGGCTATGAGCTCACAAAAGAGTTCCCTATCATAATTGGAGAGACTATTGCAGAGCGATACAGAATTGACAGAATAATCGCGTCCACTGATATGTCATGTGTCCTTGAATGTGCTGACCTAACCGGTAAGCGAAAAACTTGTATCAAAGTTATAGAGAACGACAAAAGGTGCTTAGACAGAGGATTGGATGAAATAAGGATCCTTGAGACCTTAAAAGAAAATTCTAACGTGAACAAAAAAATTTTGTTCACTCACAGAGGGGAGTCAATTTTTTTTTTTAAAAAAAAATTATATATAAAATTTATATAAAAAATATTTTTTGTCGAAATTTAAAAAATCCTAATTCGCAAAAATTGGAAAGCAAATATTAATTCAATTTGCAAAATTTATGTTTTAAAAAGCAATTCGTTTAAAATTAAACAGAATTAGCTCTATATTTCATTATACTAATTATCATTTATATATCAAAAATTTTTTCCCATAAAAAAATTTTTGTTCACTCACGGAGGGTGGGTTTTTGGGCAAAAAAAAATAGCGATTTTTCTAATGATTTTGTTCACTCACGGAGGGGGGGGAGTAAGGAAAGCCTATATAAATCTCATATAGGAAATCCACTTGATTATTTTTATTTTAAAGAGCATTTATTTATCGTTTTTGAGTTATTGGGTGAAACTCTGTCCACAATGATTTCTGACGAAGAGTACTATGGGATTGTAAAAGAGCAGATAAAGCCTATACAATTTCCTTTTAATTGCCTATATGAAAATAGCTTGAAATTATATTGGGTAATCCAAAGGAAAACTCTATATAACAATTCAGCTTTTGCAGGCTTTGCAATTTATCCATTCAAATAATCTTATTCATGGAGATTTAAATCCAGAAAATATTCTTGAAATGAAGAAAGTCAAGGAAAATGGGAAAATTGATATAAGGATAGTAGATTTTAATTCCAGTGTGTTTTTTGATGATGAACTGATATCATTTCCTATGTTGGCATATACAGCGCCTGAGATAGTTAACTCTAGAATTTGTGATAAATCAGATATGTGAAGCCTTGGCTGTATCATTGCAGAGATTTATTTGGGCAGACCATTATTCCAGCCTAGTTCTGAAGAAGAATTATTATATGCAGGCTTCTTATGAATACCATTAAGGAAAGCCATATATACATTAGAATTATTACGCTTAACGTCCACCACGGAGGTCAGCAAGACCCAGACCTATCACCTTCTCTCAAAAAATGGATTTTCTGGTAGGCTATCGGCAAAAAGGAAAACAAGTAGCCTAGGACGTAACCCCTGGTTTCACGCTGGGAAATTGCCGGATGGGCCATAAGGCTTGGCTAGGCGTTCCCTTTCCAACTCCTTGCCTCCTTTACCTGCGAGGTAAAATCCATCCCAGAAAACAAGCTAGGGCTAGGCTCTGTACACAACCAGAATTGCTTACCTAGCATTGCTGCCCATTTCCATAATGCAAACCTTGCCGGATATAATTTAAATAGGGCTCGAGACTGCTTGGCCGAGAGGCCAAGCCTAAGTTGAGACGCCATATTTAAATTATCATTAAGGAAAGCCATATATAAAATTATATAAGGATTTTGATATAAGGCATACCAAATTCAAGAAACAATTGGATCATTTAATGATTTAGATTTGAGCATGCATGCAGAATATAAAATAATGACACCTTTATCTGAATTAGTCACTGATGATCCTAGATTGCTAGATTTTTTATATTTATTATTATCACCTAATCCTGCTAACAGACCTGGGCCAGCTGAAGCATTGGAACACACTTGGCTGATTTAAAAAGTATTTAAAATAAATGCACATGAGGCAATAAAAAATGCTATTACATTAAATAGTCATTTTCCTATTAAGTTTAAAGATTTTTAATCATATTTTAGCTTGCTAAAGATTTTTATAGATTTAGATGCTATTTCGCAATCCAAAACAGCAAGCATAGCAATTTTTAATAAAAATGCTTACTTATGGGATAAATTTTTATTCACACTCGTTTTTGTATTTTCGGCTAAAATCTGTCTGTTATGGCAAATTTTTATGCTATCGTTCGCAATTGGAATTATTTCTTCTTCGTTTTCGATGTCAAAACTGGTATCAAGCATTTTAGTGACCTTACTTTGGCCACTGTCTGTTATGCTTTTGTCATTATAATCATCGTCATTTTTATACTCTATATTAACAGTTAATCTTCTACTTCACGTGACTCTTTTTTTGTTTTTTTTTACAATTTTTCCTTTATTTTCTTTTAAAATATCAATATTTTTAATTGATTTTCTCTTGGGATTATTTTCTTTGTCTTTTCCACGAGGTTTGCTACAGGAATCTCCCATCTTAAAAATGACTATTATTCCACAGATAATTATTATTTAAAGCCTAATTTTTTCTTCTTACTCCCCCCATCCTTGATCGAACGATTGACTGTAAAAATTCCTAAAAATTGGGAAAATTAACCCCCATCCTTGATCGAGCGATTTCCATATCATGTAAATTTTTTATATATATAAAAATATATTCGCTATCAAAAGCTTGGGAAGATGCACATAATGAAGTTGTTTTCAGAAGCTTTGAGACGACAGAAAGCTATGAAATCAAACTATCCGAAGTGATTTGTCATCAACTTGAGTTTAAAAACTCAATAATCTAATAAAATAGAGATTCTTTTAAAATTTTTAAAAAAAATTTTAATTCAATAAGAAACAAATTAAAATTTATACAGTTTTAAAGGGGTCACTAATAAATTTAAAATATCAAAAATTGGTATTTTTATGAAATTAATTCAATTTTTTTGCTGTAAAAATAATTATTAAAAATACTCTTAACCCTCTTATTTAAAAGTAAATAAAAAAAATATATATATATATATTTTTTTTTATTTTATATATAAAATTTTTTTTTAACCCCCATCCTTGATCGAACGATGGCGAGCCGTTCGATCAAGGATAGGGGGGCGGAGTTATAACTTTTAGAGCCATGCGATTTTTTGTGTTTTTTAGGTTTAGACTTCATGACCTGCTCCCACTTTTTTTTAGAAAATTTTAATTCATTGTCTTGCGCTAAAAGCTGCTCTACCAGAGGCTTCCTTCTTTTTTCTTTGTCAATTTTTTGGCTTTTTGGCTCATCTGGGGCACTAATTACCGTTCCAATTTGGAAAAACTTTGGAAGCTCTTTGATATCGTTCCTTTTATAATGATGCTTTGGGTCTAAATGTCTTCTTAATCGAATGGCCTCAAGATCCTGGTGAATTTCTGGGGTCATTATTGGAGCTTTCATATTAAACCATTTCGGGCCAGCTGTGTCATCTTGTGTTTTCTTTTTCTTTTTAGGTGGAATAATTGGTGGGACCTTTAGCTTGAATTCTCCACCAGCATCATTAATTTTATATAAACTGCATTTGGCTTTAATAATGGCTTCAGCTTCTTTTGATCTGTGGCTTCCAGGCTCTCCATCTAAGCTTGGAAAAAGTGACGAGTTTTCCAATAACTTATCGAGTTCTTGATTTTCAAGCTTATTTGTAAGTGATGATTTGCCTTCTATTTCTTCGAAAAGCATATTTATAAGATGGAATTAAAATTAAAAAATTGTTTAATAAGTTATTAAAATCTGATAATATAACGTATATTGTTTAAGATGGAGTGTTGCAACCCAGAATGCTCAAACTTGTCGTCTGATACAATTGTTTGTAGGAATTGTTGTATGACGAGATATTGTTCTGAGGAATGCTTAAAGATAGATTGAGAATTAAATCATTCAAAACACTGCCAACCTCATGTGTATTCTTTAGAAGACCTGCAAATAGTATCAAATCATAATTCGTCAAAATTAGGGAGAGGGTCATATGGAGAAGTTAGGCTAATTTTTACAAAAAAAGGAGAAAAATTAGCTTTAAAATCAATTAGCAAGAATTTAATAGAAACAAAAATTCCATTAAAAATTTTATATATATTTTTTTATTTAAATATTTTTTTTTATTTTAATATGCATTTACTATTTATATAAACAAACAATTATTCAGAATTATATATAGAGAAATATCAGTTCACAGATCATTATGTCATAGAAACATAATCAAACTTTATGATCATTTAGAAGATTCTTCCAACATTTATTTAGTCTTAGAATATGCTGAGCATGGAAATTTATTTACACATATAAAAAGAAAAAAGAAACTAACTGAACCAGAAGCATGAAATTTTTTTACCCAAGTCTGTATAGGAATTAACTATCTGCATGAGCAGCAAGTCATTCACAGAGACATAAAGCCTGAAAATATTTTATTAGGGATTGACAATCTAGTAAAAATTTGTGATTTCGGCTGATGTGCATGTGGAGCTGAAGAAAGATCCACCTTTTGTGGAACATTAGACTATATGGCCCCAGAAGTGCTAAACTTAGATCGGTATTCTTATGAAGTCGATATTTGGGCTTTAGGGATACTTTTATATGAGATGCTGCATGGGTATGCTCCTTTTAGAGCAAAAAGTGACAGGGCTAAATGCAAACTTATTTTAGATAAAACTTTTATTTTTGGCCCAGGAATTACAGATGAAGCTAAAAATTTGATAAGTAGCTTGCTAACTGATGCAAATTCTAGGCCGACAGTAAAAGACATTTTGAAGCATGATTGAATAAGGAAATATACTCATAATGCTATTGAGGAAGGATATTTGGTAAATCATCCAGAATTTGGTGATGGGATTATTTCAGGTATTCGAGGATTGATATGTGAAGTAGAATTTGGAATTTTTTTAAAGGAATTTGTGATTAATGACTTAGTAGAGATATGCACAATTAAAGAATTTAAAGAACAAGAAGATTATAGAATTTCTGCTAGTGGAATTGGATTGCCGAAATCCGTGAAAGAAAATAAGGATAAAATAGAAGAAAAAAAAGAAAATAAGAAGGAAGAGTATGAGAATTTAGAAATTTCAGATTCTGCTTTAGAAATGAAAATAAAAGAGTTAAATCAGCTGAAATTTATATTAGAAGCACCTATAATTAGACATAAAAAGAAAGCAGACTCAATGAATCAAAGTGTAATTGATAGCTTATTATCAAGTTTCAGCTGTGTAAAGAGGTAGTGTAAAATATTTAATAAATTTTTCATTTCAGAATTTAAAATTATGATTACAACTAGAACAGAGTTATTAGAACAGAGAAGAAAAGAAAAAATTCCAGATGTCAGCTATGATATTGATGGAGATGGAAATGTAAGCCCATTAGACTATTTTGTTGCCAGGAGGCATGATAAGGACAAAGATGGGAAACTGACTTCTGAAGAAAGAATTATGGCAAAACAATTTTTTAAGACTGAACTTCATAAGTTTATACTTGATGGAGAAAATCATGGCCCTCACAGGCCAAATAGGCTACTACAAATAAATGGAATCCCTATCTATCACGATGATTTTAGTGTTCTTCATCAAAACAATAATCTAAATACTGAAGATATCCAAAAAATCACACTCAAAACTGTCCAAGAGAAACGAAGAAAAGAAAAGAAAGACACTGCCAAAAATATTGCAGATACTAAAATCATACATAAAAATCCTTTTTTAATTTTTCCAAGAAATTCCTCACTCCTCCTCTCCGTGAGAGAACCTCTAAATTTTGTTGGCTTACTAGGGTTCATTTATTTTAAAAAATTATATATAAATTTTTATAGTACAATTTGTTTTTAGAAATTTAAAAAGTCCCAATTCGCAAAAATTGAGAAATAAAAATTATTTTTAAAATGCAAGCTGTTTAAAATTAAACATAATTAGCAGAGATTCCACTAAAAAATATCACTTATATATCAAATTATTTTTTCTAAATTTTAATATTCAAATTTTTGTTTGTGGGTTTTTACAATTTTTTTTTCGCTCTCGGAGAGGCATTTAGGGATCAGTTATGTATCAAAAATTTCTATGCAAAAAAAACTAGAAAAAGAAACTGCTCGAGAAGTCCAAGGGCTCTCTAAAATACCAGATGCCCTCAATCCTAGAGTACTTTCAACAAATTATAATGAATTTCCAAAAATTCAATCAAAATCAGAGCTAGATGAGTTTAGAAAAACACAGGCTACAGAAATAGGAAATGGGTTTGGGAATAAACTGTTAAAAAAGACTTTAGAAAATGATGACAAATGGGCTGAAAAAGTCCCAGAAAATACAGGATTTCTGAATTTCAAGCAAAGGGTAGAAGAAATGAGGAAAAAAGATGTAGAACGCACAATTAAACTTTTTGAAAAAATAAAAAAGAGTGGGATCCATGATAATGATCTTCCTAAATTCCAAGAAAATTGCAAAAAATATTGAGAACGAAAGAGAAGCGCTACCCCAACTCCAAATATTTCAGTTCCAAGCAATCTTAATAGTGATCGGCAAAGTGAAAACTCAATAAAAACTGAAAGAATTCCTTATCAAGAAGAAAAGACGCCAAAAAGATCAGTAACTCCAACCCCATTTCTAAAGCAAACCGAGTTCATCCCAAAATTTAAAGAAAAATCTTCAGTACTAATTCCAGATCTTGATCTCAACCATCAAAAAAAATATAAATTCACTGAAACTTTTACAAACTTACAGCCAAGTCGTCCACTGACTGATAGGGCAAAAGATTCATGCTCCTCAATTTCTCATAAGAACATAAAGATTTCACCAATAAGGACACGTGGATTTGTTTAATAAAAATATAAAAATATCATTTAAATAATTTATTTATTAATATCTTCCTGCTTTCATTTTTTGGTTCACAAAAGTAACGCTATTCACATTATGAGTTTGATATGACAGAAACTCTTCATAATGGCTCTCAAGCTTCTCTTTGCTTAAAATTTTGCAAACAATTGGGAGCTCATAAACTACTTCAAATTCTAAAAATGGATGAAAAAATGCGACAGTTTGATAAATATCTTCAATACTCATAATCCCAAGTGCTGCTGAAATAAAACCAGCATATAGCTCCTGCACAACTGAGGCACTTTCAAAATGTTGAGCTTCAGCATACTCCTCAAAGGCGTTTCTTTTTTCTTCGTCACTGTCAAGCTCATTTCCTGCAGGCTGCTGATCAACATAATCAGGCCCATCATAATAAAGCAGTGTATAATTAGTTTCATAGAAATATTTGCTTACCATTAAATATAACAGCCCAGCAGCCAAAAGTCTTGGGGAGTATTTCATAATATCGAAGTCCAGTACAGCCACGTCTAAAATTTGTAAAATTTCTCGATATCTTAAATATGATTGATTATTTGGGTATTTAAATGCAATAAATCTTTTTTCGAAAAGCTCGTTTTGTTTTTTCTTTTCTTCTGGGGGTAGATTTTCAAAATCAGTGGTTCTGTTATAGTTCACACAGCCAAAATGATATTCTATAAATATATCCCATTGAGTTATTAGCCAATTTAACCAGTTGAAAACTGTTGCGGGGAATACTTTCCACTGAAGGATTTTCAAGATAAAATTCTCCATATATCGAATAGACTCAAGTGAGTAGCCATTATCACATGATCTGGCCCAGTCTTCTATTTTGGGTGGATAAACCTCTTCGATTTTTGCAGCTAAATTTAAGCAGCACATCCCAATCAGCTGAAATTCTTCTTTTTTTATATTTTGGTAGTTTGATAAAAATCGATCGACATAAGTGGCTTATAAAAATTATTTTATGAAAAAAATATTTTACTATAAAAATTAAAAAATTATATACCGCCATAAGTCACTCCTAAATGGAAGGTTTCTCTTTTCAACGTAAATTCAGACGCAACTTCCATCATCCAGTCATACAAAATCGTTCTCATGGTGCAACTAACGTTTTTTTGCATAGTCTGCAAACAGTAAGGATTCGGCATATACTCGAGCTCTTTTTCCATCATGGAATTCAAATATTCTAAGTCTTTAGGCTTCCACAATGTAGAAGGAGAAACATCATATTCTTCTACTTCTAATGGCTCATAATCAGGAGGTGGAGGCTGGACATCACAGAATTCTTGAACAAAAGAAGACGATGATTTTTGTTTTTGATTAATTTTTTCAAGAGAATCAGCTTCAAAAGACGGCCTTATGGTTAGGTCATCAATATTTTCTTCACACTCAAATTTTACATGTGGAGAAGAATTGCCACTTGTTGATTTTGATCGGTGCGGTATTTTTTTCTGCCCTTTTAGTAAAATTAGGTGAAATTTTTTAAATAAATAATGGTTTTGCTAGAAAATGCTGATGAAATTTATAGTAAATTTTCTTGCAATTGGGGCAATAGCCGATTTTGATGAAGTGTTATCTTCGATAACTTTTTCTTTAAGGTAATTCTTGGTAGGAGCATAAAGATTTTCTTTCATTCGGGAGGAGGATATAGGGGAGACTGCAGACTTGTGAGAGAGAGGTGTAAAACTTGAAAATTGATGCATTTTTGTTTAGTTAAATATATTTGAACGTGACCAAACCCGCCATGAATTCTTGATTTATAGGCTAGGCTATTTAAATTCAGGCACTATCATCCAATAATGTGCCATTTCCGGTACCTTCTGTCTCCTCCTTACCTTGCGGTTTCAGTATCGAGTCGGCGGCTTATGGACTTCTACTGCCTTACTGCGGGCGATTGGAATAACTTGATTCCAAGAGTCAGCTCCTTGGAGTCTGTCGGGTGTTGAAGTGCTACAGGAAAAAGAATGCTTCACTGTGGGCTGGGCCGAAACCCCCAGTTTCTTAGAGAGAAATGCCTATGGATCCTTTGTCCAAAGGACGTTCCCGTCTTCCTCAAACCTACTCGATACACATATTACCTGAGGCTTCACTTGTTTCTTGACTTGGAGTGCGTCCCAATTCGCCGCAGCCATAAGGTCTGGACCGTCAGGTTGGCACGTTTGCCATTTTATTGTATTTTCTTGATTCATAGGTAAAGTGCGACTTTGTAGGTGCCATTTATGTGAAAGAAAATATTTTTGCACTTTAATGACGAGCAAAAGCTGAATTGAAAGGAATTAAATAGGAAAACGAAAGACATGGTTCAGAATCTTCACTTTTTTAAAACCCCTCCAACTGAAATTCTATCCTTAAGCTATACACATATTAAGAGGTACTTACATACTAGTTTACGATTAATAGACCACTAAGTCCCCCTCCATGGGCTGGAAAAATCCTTTTTTTGGCAAAAACCACCTTCGTGAGCGAACAAAAATTTTTTTATTATAAAAAAATTGACATAGTCAGTGTCACTAACTATATATAAGTCATAATTCTCTTTTTAATAATAACAGCTTGGATTTTAAAACATAAGTTTTGCAAATTAATCTTTACTATTCAATTTTTACAAATTTGAATTTTTTTAAATTTTTAAAAACAAATTATTATAAAAAAAGTTAACTCCCTCCATAAGCGAGCAAAATTTTTTTGTTTGCTCACGGGGGGCGGAGTAAGCAGAATTCTGCGGCAAGCCATATTTTTTTTTCAAACTATAAATTTGACGAACCAAAAAATGCTCCTTAAGGGGCGATTCATCCTAAATATTTATAAATTTATGCCATTAGAATATCACTTTACTTGTAAAAATTACCATATTATGCTTATAATTTGGGGAAAGTCACTAATTTAGTGCAATGATTTTATTATGTTCATGTTTTATTATTAAAATCTTAATTTTGTAAATATTGCCATTTATATTAGCTTGGCATAGGATTCTATAAAATAATTTTCTTTTATGGCTATGAGGAAAAAAATTCTTGGAGGAAAAAGCAAAAAACCATCTAAGCCAAATAGACCACCATTAGATTCACAAAATCACAACAATCAAGACCCTAATAAACTAGCACAGCCTGAAGCTAATTCACTGAACCCTATTAAAAACGCTGAATCCAGTCGCTCTCTGCCTAAATCCGACAATAAGAAAAATCTTCCCATCAAGCAAATATTTTCTGACGCTAAAATCTGTCAATCAGAGTTTGTGTCATCTATACAAAGCTTTCCAAATAATTTACCTATTATTCCAAGTTTGGATGAAGGGCTTCCAGATATTGATAAAGAAATATCTTACTTACTTAATTATCTGGTGTTTAAGGTGTCTAGTGCCGCAGCCCAAAAGGGCCTATGGCAAAAACTAGTGACGTAGGCGAGCCATCTTGGAACAGGTCAGCCCTGGTCAAGCCTTCTATCAACTTCTGCTTCACCAGCCTTGCTGCACGTCTCACCCGGCGCGATGCCGTCGCCCTTGTCTCGACTCAGCTCCTGCGCGTGTTCCGCCTAAGGGTCATCCTCCCGTGGGGATGTGCTGAGAGGTAAAAGCCCGAAATCTTGAGAGGACTGAGGAGCAGTTCCTCTGGTTATCCTCAGAGTTAAACCGCTATTGCTGTCCAGAAGTTCTCGAGAGAAAACCTAACCCTATAAATAAAATTCGATGAGGGAGAGAAAATTAGCAAAGCTAATTTCTCTCGAACCGAATGCTATTTTATTATGATAAAGAAATATCAATTCGTCAAAGTGTTTATCCTGAGCCTCAAGAAGAATTCCTTCCTGATATTGAACCTAAATATAACAATCCTCAAATCCTACCTAATCATTTTACCCTACAAGCAGATCTTCCAGATATTGATGGAGCACTATCAAATCATAAGCCTGAAGAAGATTTTCTTCCTGATATTCGAAGCTCACATGTCGAGCCAGATCCATATGATAATCTTCCAGATATCAGCGCACCTCCATCTGTCACACCTGGCTTGTCTACAATCCCCAAGAATTCCTTTAAAACAATCCCATATACCCAACCTCAGCTAAATAATGATATTCAGCCTATTTTATCAGCCATAAAAGAAATAGATGAAGATCTCCCAGATATCTCAAGCTGATCTACAGCTTATCAAACATCAAATAGAATCCCCCAAGAAGATTTAAACGAAGAAGACCTTCCAGACATTTCAAATTACACTCAGAGTTCAACAGAAGAAAGCCAAAAAAGTAATTTACAACAAAGCCTGCTAGGAAGCATTTATCAGTCTTGACAAAAATCAATGATTGAAAGAAAAAAAGAAGCGTCTCCAAAAGAAAAAAAACCTAAAACCATTAAAATTCAGCTCCCAATAAGCATGAAATGTGCATATTGCGAAAATGATAGGTATGAGTCAGACTTTTTTCCTATGCATTATGGTGCTGAAAAAGAAATAATCTGTAAAATGTGCTGGAATACTAGTGCAATTGCAGCAGAAGGCGAAAAAATAGAGATTAAAAATAAATGCAGCACTTGTGAAGAGTGAAAACACAGGTATTTTGGAGACCAAGTATGCCCAAATAACTGTATTGTATGCCAGGATTGCCAGTATTCATATATATTTATTTGTAAAATTCGTGGGAAAAAAGAAGAAACATGTGTTTGCTGTGATAGAAAACTAAACCTAATTATATTGATTGAAAAATTAAGGTAGGCTTCCTATTTGCTAGAAGAAATAATTAGTCTCATAAAGCAATTTTCAATCAACATTATAAGATATAGTAAAGAAAAGCCAGCCTTGGCACATAGTGGCAGCTTAAAATTATGATTTTTATTATAAAATGCTTTTATTAAATGTTATCAATTTTTTAATGAGGAATATCCTTTAAGTAGCTCTGAATATAAGGACTTATCTAAACGCTAGCATATATAAGAAGTTAATCATGTCAAAATACCCTTCATTAATTCTCACTAATCTGCATAGTTATGACAAAATAATGCATTTTCATAATTATGCAGATTAGTCTTACCCTAAAAATTTAAATTCTGCTTAGAAATGCTCAATGATTAGCTTAAACTTATCATGGTTTTCTGGTATCTCTGTTATTAATTTGTACTTGCTTAGAGTCATTTCACACATTTCCAGACATCAGCCCAAGCATGCTTTTCAAGTCATTGGTAGCGCTTATATTCGTAACTTTATTGACTGCTGGTTTTTCTTGAGCTGCTTTTGACCACACCGCTGTCTGGAGTTTTTCAATTTCATCAATTGTTTTAGCTTGTGGTGGGACTTTTATAGGCGATTTTGGAGGGACTTTCGCATTATATCTGTTCATTGGGGTAAATGCTCCATTAATATCTTGCGAAATCTTCAGGTCTGGAGGAAAACAGCCACGTGCAGCCCAATTGAACATTTCAACCGAGCTAAATGGGCCTTGGGTTCTATTTTCTAGATCTTTATAATACCAGCTTTTTTCAAATGGCCTGGACATAGGGACACAATAAACATTTTTATCATCCCCAATGCTCGCGAATTCTTCAACTACCTTTGCAAAAGGATTCCCAGCCTGCAAGTGATAGTTCAGCGTAACCGAATCACACAGCAAAAAAGGCTTCACCCCAGGCTTGGGCTCTTCTTTGACTACAACAGGTGCTTCTTCTTCAGGATCGTCCCACTCTGGCATGGTCTCATCATCAATCAGTTCATTTTTCAGCTTTTTTTCCACCTCAGCGTCAATTTTTGAAAAAATTTCTTCTTCAAGCTCCAAATTTTCGAGTTTTTCTGTGACTTTGTTTTCTTGGGAATTTTCAGTGGGCTCAGGATCTTCATTGTACCACTCAGGGACTTGTTCGACCCGCCTTTCTCACGGAATTGGCTTTCGGCTATTTGGGTCTTCTAGTATCGGATGATAAAAGGCAGTTTTGGTGTTTTGCAAAGGTTGCAGAGGACTTACTGAAAATAAAGGAAGAAGTTCTTCTGTTAATGAAACAGAAAGGGGCTGGTCTTTGTAGGATTGCAGGATTTCTTCTCGGGTGTATTTATGTGTGGCTGGGTTTACACATTGTTTGGTTCTTCACGCACCTTCTTTGGTTGAGTTTGGTGCGAATTTTCGATAATTTTGTTCTTCTGATATTTTATTAATATTAATGAAGGATGAGAAAATAATAATGAGAGGGCCATGAGAGAAAAAATATAGTAGATATGGTATAATATTAAGGATTCTATAGCTATGCATTGTGTGTCAGACCTTGACAGGCTCTTCTTTCTAGATTAATATAATGAATATAATTTTTTCACTTTTTCCATTAAGATATCATATAAGTAAGCTACTTATAAGGGAATTTTAAAACAAGGCGATTTTCAGTCAAATAATAATTCGCAATAATGGCAAGTGAAAAGAACCTAAAAAAAGGAAGATTAGTCACATCAAAATTTTCGCAAGCAAAATTCAAGGTAGAGCTCCCCAAATTTATCTCAGAAATGGAGCTTGAAGATATCATAGGGCAGCCTCCTAGCAACAGTAAATTAGAAATAAGCCAACTTACCCCAACTCCTCGAAGTTCAAGTTTAGCAGAAATTCGCAGAAGACCTAAAACCCCTTCTTCCAGTCAAGAAAATAAAAGTGTTAGGAATTTATTTAAAAGACGAGACGCACAAAAGCATATTAATGTTGTCCCCACAAGCATGACTCCTAGGCAGCACAGCACAGAATCATCGTTTATCCATCAAATTAAAGATTTAGCTTTAAAACTGAGCCAAGAAAGGCAGAAAAATGAAGAATTGGAAAGCCTGGTCAGACTGATGGAAAGCAGACATAAATTTGAGCTGGATAATGCTAAAAAACGACATGAAAAATTATCGATGATAAATAAGAAGTTAATTGAGGATAAGGATGAGCTGGAAACAAGGTTAAATGAAGAGATACTGAAATTGAGAAGGGAAATTGAAGAAAATTGTGGAGCTTTTAATGAAGTTTTGAGGTGTAATAAAAGTTTGATTGAAAATTTGATGATTGAAAGGACTGGAAGTGCTTTGTTTGCGAGGGATACGAATCTGATATATTTAGTTATAGGGGTAAATAAAGGGGAGTATTGAAAAAAATTATATTTTTGATAGAAATTGGCAATTTATAAATAAAAGGTAATAAAGAATAATTTAAATAGGCATAATAACAGATGACATTATTGAAAAAATTGAAAAATATAATGAGAAAATAGAAGAAATCTGTAAAATTAGCACAAAAATCGAGAAAGAAAATAACATAATTCAAATAAAAGCATTTGAAATGTCACCAACTACAGGAGAAACAGAGCATGGGCTATTAAAAACCATAACATTTAGAAAAGAAACAAATTCTTTTAATTCTCCCTCAGACACTATAGGATCAAGACAAGCTACAGCACTATTTAATTTTACAGCAAAAGAGCCTGACGAGCTTAATTTTAATAAAAATGACCGTATTACAATAATTTCCCAGCATGAGGATGGCTGATGAATCGGAAAACTTGGTGAAAGCATTGGTAAATTTCCAGGTAGCCTTGTAATATTAGACACGTAAATATCTGATTTTTTTAACGGTTTAAAATAAATCATGGCTAGGCCAACAATAAGTCTCCCAGAGAATCATTTCTTATTTACATCTGAAAGTGTCAACGAATAACGCGATTAATTTCCTATTAATTTTTTTAATAAAAATAATAATAAAATTTGAATTGCTATCAACGAAGGACACCCAGATAAGCTTTGCGATTTGATATCTGATTCTGTGGTAGATGCTTGTTTGGCCCAAGATCCTAGCTCCAAAGTAGCCTGCGAATCAACAGCAAAAACTAACTTTCTTATGATTTTAGGAGAAATCACTACCGGCGCCACAATTAACTATGAGCAAGTAATCCGTGACACCGCCCGAGAAGTCGGCTACACTTCAAGTGACATTGGTCTAGCTGCTGACACATGCAATGTTATGGTGAATATTGAATGTCAAAGCCCAGACATTGCCCAAGCTGTCCACTTAAACAAAGCCCCAGAAGACATCGGCGCAGGTGACCAAGGGCACATGTTTGGCTATGCTACCAATGAAACTCCAGAATGCATGCCTCTGACCCACTTATTAGCCACCAAGATCGGCCGCAGACTTGCAGAAGCCAGAAAAACTGGTGTCCTCAGATGGGCCAGACCTGACGCGAAGACCCAAGTCACCATTGAATACCGCAAAGAAGGCGGGAGGGTCATTCCAGTCCGAGTCCACACCATTGTGATTTCAACCCAGCACGACCCTGATGTTACAAATGAACAAATAAGGGCTGACTTGGTGGAGCACGTCATCAGAGTGGTAGTCCCAGCTGAATATTTAGATGACAAGACCATTTATCATCTGAACCCTAGTGGAAGATTCATCATTGGAGGACCACACGGTGATGCTGGGCTTACTGGGAGAAAAATTATTATTGATACCTACGGAGGCTGGGGTGCCCATGGAGGTGGCGCTTTTTCAGGAAAAGACCCTTCAAAGGTAGACAGATCAGCTGCTTATGCAATGAGATGGGTCGCTAAAAGTTTGGTGAAGGCTGACCTTTGTGATAGATGCTTGGTACAAGTTTCTTATGCTATTGGTGTTGCGCAGCCTTTGTCAGTTTATGTTGACTCTTATGGAACTGTAAAGCATGGGAAGACTGATAGAGATTTGCTGTACATCGTATTGAGGAACTTCGATTTAAGACCAGGCTGCATTATAAGAGACCTTAACCTTCTGAGACCGATCTATAAGAAGACAGCTGCTTATGGACACTTTGGAAGAGAAGACGACCCTGATTTCACCTGGGAAACCCCTAAAGATCTCTCTCACGAGCTTAACTAGATATAGTCTACTGCTTAACTAGCTTAAAATATCTAAAATTTATGCTAAAATCCTATAAAATAAAGATATTTTTTAATAAAAAAAATATTAATAATTAGCAGATTCCAGCATAGATAACCTTTTCTTAAATTTGAGGATATAAAATATGCATATATACGTGAGGTCCTTAGAGACTCTTCAATGCTATGAGTTTTCAGAGGAAACACGAGTAGAAGAAGTGATGGCCCAAAGCAACTGCGACAACTTGCAATGGGGTGGCCGTGCTTTAAGAGCAGAACTTACTCTTGCAGATTATGGCATCATGGACGAATGCACTTTAGAAGCCCTCTTAGCACTTGCAGGTGGTAAAAGGAAAAAGAAGAAAAAAGTCTATACAACCCCTAAGAAAAAGGCACATAAGAAAAAGAAAGTCAAGCTCGCAGTCCTTAACATTTACAAAGTCGATAAAAGTGAAAAAGTAACCAGAACCAAGCGTGCATGTGAAAAATGTGGAGCAGGAACCTTCATGGCAAAGCACTTCAACAGACACTACTGTGGTAAATGCCACGCAACTCAGCTATTCTCACAAGCTTAATAAGGTTAACCCATTAGTTAAGTTAAAGAATATCTGATGAAGATGACGAAGAGCCTTTTCTGGCTTTTTGAATTTCTTCAGTAACTTTGGTAGTCCCATCATGCATTTCCCAGTGTTTTCTGATCCTTTTAACTGTTTCCCCATTTTCGCTTTCAGTGCGCGTCTCACAAGTCATTCTTATAGCGCCCTCAAGCCAGTTTTCTATTTCAGGAAACGTTTGGATATTTCCTTGAGGAATTTCGATGTTATCTAGATCTTCTTTTTCTACAAACTCGCCAGCGAAGACTACACAGGCGGCGGATCGGTATTCTGTATGATGTCCAGCGCCGACGCCTACTTTTTTGAACCTAGGGTTCATTGCAATTTTTCTATGGGGGCGAGTAGGAAGCCCATCATCAAGTATAAAGGATACGACGACTTCAAAACCAGTGACTGAAGAATAGTCGAGACATTCGCCGATACAGTCACTTCACTTACCAAATTGTGAGAGGCGATCTCCAAGATTGTTTTCACGGCTTCCAGTATGACCTACAATGCCTAAAGGTCCAGTGTCATTAACGTGAGATTGGGCTGCTCTTGAGAGGCCTTCAGACCAAGCAAGTCCTCCTAAAGGTTCTATAGATTTTAAATAATCAATAGCTTCTTGGGCAGCCTTGATTCCTTCTTTAGTAATTATAGGGACTGCTCCAAAACGGTGTCTTGCATTATTTTCTTTAAAAGTGCTGATAAACTCAAATTCCATTCTTTCAGCAAAGCCTTTAGGGTCTGTGCGAAGGTTGTTGAGTTCTCCAAAGATTTCTTGAATGAATTCTACGTAAGAAGCCATTTCGAGTTAAATATTGGATAAAATCATATTTTATTTTTTAGGTTTTTTTTATATAAAATACATCTTTAAGTTTCTTTACAAAAACTAAAAATTGTGTATCGCTTCTGAGGTTTGGCATTAGGGGACTCTGGATTCGATAAGGGGTATCGTGATTTAAGCGGTTTTGCTGATGGCGGAGATCCTGATTTATTAGAGGCTTTAGATAAGGGGATTTTTAATTTTAGGGCTGTTTTTTCTAGTTTTGACTGCTTTTCATTAACTTTGTGTAGGCTGCTATAAAGCTTAGACAATTCTGGAAGTAATAAATTTGTTAATTCAAGGAGCTTGAACTCTTTTTGCGATTTTAATTCACTTTGCAATTCTTTTAAAATTCTGATGCCTTGTTTTGTAGGTTTTCCATTATGACTTGCATCAATTCTAGGTGTATCCTGTCTAACTAGCTCTTGTTCTCTTAAGCTCCAGACTTTCTTTTTAATTTTTTCTTTATTTTCATTCGTAATTTTAAACTTTTCTTCCAGGTTTCTATTAATATCTTCTACTTCGACCATTTTTTTATTCAATTCTTTAATTTGCCGCTCGAAATTTTTTATTTTATTTTCGTGATTTTCAATTTCATTTTCCATTTCCGCATTTTTATTTGCTAGAGCGCTTAAACATCTAACACTCATATCAGATTTTCGTTGAATTGACTTCATGTTCTTTATTAATTCGCTTGCTGATTTTGATTCTTCTGCTAGATTCTTTATTATAGCTTTCAATTTTTTATTTGCTATTTTTCTGTCTTCTGAATCAAAATTATTAATAATTTCTATGTTTTGGCTGCTTATTTTTTGATTTTTCAGCTCAAAAGTATTCATTTCTTCTTCGAAAATTGGGATGAATTGTTCAAACTGCAATTTATTTATAAGCTCTTGTAATTTTCCTTCTAGGGTAGTATTTTCTCTCAGTATTTCTGAGATTTCATTATCAAATTTTTCATCTATTGATTTTTTCTTATGTTTCAGCCTTTTTATTTCAGATTTATGAGAATTGATTTCTGGCTCATTTTCTTCAATATAATCAATAGAAATTTCACAGCAAGATTGCAAAAACGAATTTGGGGAGAGCTTTCGAGCAGAGTAACTCTTACTCCCATTGATTAACAAACAAAGTATTAGAAAATTCCCGTACTTGGAATGAGTTGGGCAGAGAAATTTATAAATAAAATATTTTCCAAATAATCAATGATTATAATGAAATTTCAAGCTAATGCTATGGAATTTTAAATTCCTTTCACCTTTCATCCTAAAGCATTAATTTTATAATTAGATTTTTTCATTTTAATAATCCGAAAAAAATTTATTAATAGTTAAGAAAAAAATTAACCCTAGTAAAAAACCTTTCTTATTAACAAAGGTTTAAGTTAGGAGATGGCTGAGCTGTATGTGGGCATGATGAGCATAATTCTCTATATGTTGATATTTGCTGTTCAATTGTAGAGGCGGTTGAATTTCTATGAGAATGATAACGAGAAGAATACGAAGACCTACTAAGAATTTGGGCACATTTATTGGAATACGAATCAATCCACTCAATCGTGCTCTTTAAGTCAGATTTCTTGGCCATTTAGATGATATTAATTAGTGTAGTTCAGTTATAAGTATTATTTATATAGTAAGCCAAAAATTTATTTCCCAATCATTTATCATCTGATATAAAATGGAACAAGTCATATTCGGATGGATTTCTTTATGCATAATCTGCTCGACAATTAGCTATTATTTTGGTAAATATATAGAGTCCAAAAAACTCTTTACCCAGAAAAATGTAACAATAAAATAGCCTTATAGTGAATTAGATACAGAAGATGACGATCCAATAACTAAAAAAGAACCTAAATCTGCTGATTTTTATAAAAGAGAATTAGAAAAAGAAAAAGAAACCAAAAAAAAGCTAATTGAGGAATATGAGCACGAGCTAAATTATTTAAAATTTACCTTCTCCCTCCTTTTAACTGGAGCAAATAATCTATGCTCCATATTAAAAGCATTTCTACTTCCCTTAAAAAATTAATTATAAATTTTATGGATTTACAATATTAACCCCTTTTAAATAATTTCTATTAGCATTAGCCTTTTCAAAATAGAATAAAATAGATAAACTTGGAGATAAAAATTAACGCAATTAAATTGTTTATCATGTCTATTTATATATAAATTATTATTTTGATTTATTTAAAGGATATTCAAAAATATACCAATTTCTGTTCCAATTTAAATGAAGGAAGAATTAGAAGAAACTAAAACAAATTACGCACAAAGAATTGTAAATCCTACAACAGAAATTGCATGAGGAATCCAAAAACTTATTCGAAGAAATTAATAATGAAATAGGCCCAGTCGTCAAAATTGTTGATAATAGAGAAAATAATTTCACAAATCTAGATGAAGAAATCGAAAGAGAAATTAATTTAGTGGTTTAATTAAAGAACTTAATTTTTATCTTATAACCACAACTGCTTTTCTTAATGCTAAATAGCTTTCTATGTGTTCTTGACTGAGGTATTTTATGATGTTGTATTCGTAGGCTTGGCAAAACCTTAATCCTGTTTTAGGGTCAGTATATTTGGCGAGGTGGCCAGAAATGTCGCAATACTTTTTCGTTGGGCATGTAGAGGGACCTGCCTCTATACTTTGGTAATTCGCGATATTAGGAGGGTAAAATTCGTAGTTTTCGGCTTGAAGAATTTGCTTAAAAGTCTTGAATGGCTTGTTTTTACCTTTTTTAAGCGAAAAATTCGGGTTCCTGAATTTGATTGTCCGGATCCCAGGCTTTTCTTCCTCTTTTTCTTTCTTGTCCTTTTTATTAGCTTTTGGCATTTTTGTTATTATTTTAGAAAATGGGTAGATAATTATTTTAAATTATACTGGGTAAATAAGTGGTTAGGTGATAACAAGATCTTTGCTAGAATCCTCTGTGCCTACAGAATCCTTATCATTAAGATATATAGTGCGCTTATAAATCTCTTTAATTATGGATTGCCTTTGATGATTTTTCTTTATGCTTATTCAGCTTTTTTCAAATATTCTCATAGCTCCTCCAATAGCACTCATAGCTCCGAATACAGAGCCCAGCATTGTACTAATAAGTAAAAATACAGTCTGCTTGGTAGACCGAGTTGTATATAAGCTATTATCATTTTTAACTAGTCATATTTGTATTCTTAAATCAGAGCTAAATGGTAAACTATATAAAAATTACTCTGTAATAGTATATTGTGAACCTCCTGAAGACGGCTGGTCCATAGAAACATGATATCCGGTTAGCTTATCAGGCCAAGTCGATACATAAGAGCGGAATAAAGAAGGCGTCATAGTCAAATAAAATTTATTTGGGTTATAGCCCCTGAAAACTTGGCCGGCTTCCGGAAGCAAGACTTGATAAATCCCACTAATTTTGTCTGGGATTGATGAAAATGATGAGACATTGGATATTATTGCAGATGTGTAGCTTGAAGCTTCTAATAGATTTAATTGGACAACAGCGCCGGCATCAATAACACATTTTTTGCATACTAATGCTATGGTGCAATTATTGCCGTTGTTTATATAGCATGATAATTCAAGAGAGTCATAAGTGATAGAAGTAGTTGTGAATGATATAGATTCATGGCAAGAGTTGCCAGTTTTACAATGTCCTCCATAGTTAAATAGTGTCGTTGATACATTAATTAGAGCTGGAAACGTGCTAGCTTCATCTTCCAAAGCAACTAAAGGCACCAAAGTTTTAGTCTCTTGAATATTATTCAACTGGTAATTAATAGCATATGACAAAATAATTATAATTGCAACAACTAAAAAAATTATTGTAAAAATCCCTCCACAGTCTGTTTTTTTAAGCTTCATCACACTGTCTTTTTTATAATTGTGATTCCCCGAATATAAATCAATATTTCTTAATTTCAGTTTTTCAGGCTTGGTTAGTTATAGGAAATTCCGGATGATGCGCTCAATGTGCCGTCATCGGGCAACGCGTTTTAAGGGTCCGCACTGGAAATAGGCTCCACGTGTGGAGCCCTTTTTGACACGTGGAGAATCCTCACTTTTCACGTGCCAAAAAGGGCTCCACACGTGGAACCCATTTCCAGTGTGGACCCTGAACTTTAGTTGCCAGATGATGGCGCATTGAGCGCCATCATCGGGCAACTTGTATAGTTAATGAATGGTATTTAAAGTCCCTACTTCCACGAGTGACATCCTGCGCAGCCGTCAAGCCAAGCAAATTAGGTGGACTTCCACCTCTGGTACCTCTGAGCCAGGCCGAAACCTCTGGTTTCTCGGTAGTGGTTGCCCTGTTGGTTCTGAAGACCGTCGCCGAGCACACCTATTTTTCAACTCAGTCCCTTTGCCCTCATTACGCCACTCCTGCCTCGTACTCCTAGCCAGATTGCCCCTTACGGGACCCTTTTCAACTGGAGAGACCGCTGTATTGTTGTCTAGCCTGCCTCCTCTCTCCCCAGGTCATCCCTAGGAAAAACTCAATCGCTTCCGCAATTCGGGGCAGACCTTAATAGAAGCTTGACCAGGTTTTCACCCTGCTCCATCTCGGGTGCCCACTGGCTTGGGTGCTGCTGGAAAAAAAAGGAGCTGCAGAAGAATGCCCAAGGATCTTGTCACGACCAGCAGGTCCGTGCTTATGCCCATCGCTACTGGGATCCAGATGTTTCTGGGCCGTCCGCTTCCTCTAAAAACCCATACCCGGATAAACACGGGTACCGTCACTGGGAGGACGGGGTTGCCGTACGCCATTTTATATATATAGTTTTTCAGGCTTAATTATAATAAAAATAGTGAGACCAACCAACGAAACTACAAGCACTGCAATAACCATAATAACAACGGCGCTTTGTGAGTCTCCATCTGCATTTGAATACATTTTTGGCTGAGTTGATTTTGATTTAAGTTCAATTACATCATAAATAGGAGCTTGGGTCCCAACAACACAAATGGTCCCATATGGGCAATTTTTGCAATAAGAAGCTCCTTCTTTGTCGCCATATGAGCCTTCGTCACACGGATAGCATTGTCTTAAAGAGCTTGAGCCAGATGAAGGGTTAAAAGTGCCTAGTGGGCAGGGCGTGCATTCAGAGCTTCCATATTTATCTGCATAATACCCTTTGGAGCATTTTATGCAGGTATTGCCTGAAGTATAAGTTCCAGGACTACAAAGATATGGGGAAGGGGATATATCAGAGTTATCAAGGGTTATATTGGCAAAAACAGGAGTTACTATCATTGGTCTCATTGTTCTGCCATAAACAGTTCCTCCTCCATGTGAATAAATGTTTTTTGCATAGTAAACGTATGCACCATCATAAAAGTAATAATTATTGAGATACCCAATTCTCGTTATGTTTTGTGTGGTAAGATCAAGTATACGCCTTTTTTAGACTTTATCATTTTTTTTATATAGAAAATTTTTGATTTTCATAGTAAAGCATTAGCTTCATAATGCTTCATTTATTATAGTAAAATATATATAAAATTCATTATAAACATTAATTCCCCAAGCCTCTCCACACATAACAAGTAAGGAATTATCGAGCAGCTTAATTATAGCTTTAGAGCGGTTTGAGTCTGGTGTTCCTCCGTTTGTAGTATACAGTTTTGTCCATTTTTGTGTAGTAAAATTGAAAGAATCTACATCACCCAATGGTGTTTCTCCGCTCCCAACCCCATACATAGTAATAAAATTGATATTTCCGTAGTCGTCAATCTTGATGTCACATGATGGCCTAGACGCTTTAGTTGGACTGCTGTTAGTTCCATCATAAACAAGGGTATATTCATTTGTCCCTACATCGAAAACCCAGAGTTCTGAAGAAAGCCCTGAATTAGCTAGCCCTCCATATATAAAGATATAGCTTATTAAAAAGATATTAAATAGTTTATATTAACAAAATAATTCTGAAAATTCTTTATAAACTGGAATATAAGGCATATGCATTTTTAAACATGCCCCAGTGCGTGCATTTGGCATTGTGTTTGATGATGGAGATATCAATGTCCAGGCATTTGAAATCGTGTTATATTGGTACATATCGCCTAAATAGCCAGTTGTGCCTTCGCCGCCAAATATGACCATTATATTTCCTTCAGAGTCTGCAGCATGCCCACTCCTACTTGTTGGAGTGGCCCCTTCTGAATTTATAGATTCCCAGGATTTCCCTTCAGGGTTATAAACTCACAAGTCATTCAGATAATTCGTCCCATCTGTTCCTCCAAATAAATAAAACAATCCTCCTAATACACATAAGCTATGGCTTTCTCTGGCGTCTGGATTTGTATAAGCCTCACTTAAAATTTTATAAGTAAGAGGAGTCTGCGTTAAATCAAATTCTATTAAACTGTTATCTAAAATTCCATAAAGACTGATATATCCACTAAATATATAGAATTTTGAACTTCCCATTGCAAATGCAAAAGCATCTCTAGGGACGATATCTTTATTGCTTTCCTCAAAAGAAATGCTCATATTTTCCCATTTAAACTCAGGGTCACTTAAATTAAGCCTCATAATACTAGTAACATCAGTGTACACATTAGAATAACCGAAAATTATATAAGCACAGCCGTTGTATAAAATATTTCCTGGATATGACCTAGGCTCATACATATGTGAAGGGTTTGTGATATTTTCCCACTGCTGTGTTGCTAAATTATAGCGAAAAGTATCTTCATTAAAGACACCAAATGTAGGGCCGTTAAAAGAAATTTCGCCACAAAAAGTGTATATATAGCCATCATAATATTGGGCTAATGACTTATATAACTTACTGGGGGGAGTTGAGTTCCTGCTGGCTTTTTAGTTCATGTAGATGATGGGACATCATATCTATGTAAAATTTACATGTAGAGCTCATTAGTGTACTCGTCTTTTAAAAAACCTGCAAATGAAACAAGCTTCAAATTTCCATCTGAGTCTTTATATTTAGTTCATGCAAATGCAGATCTTGCGCTTGGGATATCACCTTTTTGGTCTATTTGCTTTCACTGCAAATTTACCAAATCATAACGCCAAAGATCATTTAAAGGGCCACTATTTGATCGTCCACCAAAAATATAAAGCATTGAATTGTCATCATCAATCCAGCAGCCGTGGAACATTCTAGGATCTATTTAGAAAATACTTGGATAGGTAGTGGAAATTGGAGTTAAAGAATTTCACAAATTTGCAGTCAGGTTAAATTCTCAAACGTCATTGAAGTTAATGTCACTTCCTTGGTTTCCTCCAAAAATTATTAGGGAGTTTTCTTTGGTATAATAATCGGCGCATGCATACTGTCTTATAGAAGGAGGTGAATCAGTAAAAGGAAGCCGAGAGTAAGAAAATGCTAGAACCTTAATGGTGCTAAAAAAATGTAAATACCATAGAAGCCTTTTCATATTTATTATCTCGAGTTTTTTTTATTTCGCAAGCCACTATATCATATTCTTTCAAGAGATTAAAATGGTAATTAACGAGTCAGAGATACTATGATAATTTTCACTTATCATGGAGATATCTGATTGAGATTGATATAAGAAAAATATAAATAATAATAGGACATAATTGGTATCGCCCAAACTCTTTAGCTTGTCCTAGGCTATATGAGCTTTACTTCTTTAAATTTATATATGAAGTTTGATTTAGAGCTTCATAATTTCTCATTTTCATATATAAGTAAAATATTATTCATAATATCATAAAGTAATATCTAAAGCTGTTAGAGAGCTATAGCTCAAAACAGCGATATCTCACTTTCCTTTAGATGTAACGAAAAAAATCTGTTAAAAATTCTAAGGAGGGTTAATTTTTTTATAAAAATAAATATATAAATTGATGCAATTTTAATTTATTTTTATAAGAATTAATTCAAAGAATTCTTTAATAAGTACGCAATTGCTAAATATTGCTATTTGCTCTACCTCCATTAAACTTTATTAGAGATATTTTTATAAATATTATAATTTTTACCTATAAATTTACCATTTAAAATTAAAATATTTATCTAATTTTAAGGGAGTTAATTATCTAAAAAAATGAAAATTTTGCTGATATTTTTTTGTTTTCAATTTAAAATGGGGATTAGCAATTAGGTTATTGATAACCTAGTAACTTTGATTTATTAAGCTGGTAGTGATTTTAATGTATGAGAGTTAAAGCCACTTTTGGACTATAAAAGATTATATTAAGAATTTATTTATCATTTTTATTAATTATTGCCATTTAGTATTTATTAATAAAAATAAACTGAAATCCATTAATTGTTAAGAAAAATAATTACAAGCTATTCGCATCCCCATTCAGCTAATGTTTTTACTTCGCTTCATCGTGATTCCATCGACTGTGAATTCAAAAGAACAATGATAACATGAGAACGATTTCTATAGCTCGCACACAAACAAGGCCCAGCTTTATTAGTGACCCCTGTTTTTACACCTTCAAACCCTTTTCCAAGCAATTTATTTGTATTTTCCCACATAACTTTTCTGATCTCTCCATTTCCTTGCCTGATATTCGTTATGTAAGTTTTGCAAGATACAATTTGTCTAAAAATTTCTTCTTTTAGCGCAACAGACGCGAGATATCCGACTTCTTTTGCAGTTGAAGTGTTTTTTTTGTACACAAGTCCACTAGGATTCCCATATAAAGTGTTATCAAGTCCTAACTCTCTTGCAGTCCTATTCATTTCTGCCACAAAATGTGTAGTTGGCTTAATAGAAGCTGGGGACAAATAATGCCCTAAAAATTCTGCTATAGCCCACGCTGCATCATTTCCAGACGGCAGCATTAATCCATGCAATAAATCTTTCATTGTCAGCTCATCTCCTGCTTTTAGCTCAGCAGAAGTCCCAATTGCAGATTGCGCATTAGTGCTTACCTTTACAATTGTATTTAAATTCAAAGTTTGGCTTTCTTTAATTAATTTTATAGCGACATAGCACGTCATAATTTTAGTCAGACTGGCTATTTCTCTGATTTGTCCTTCAAAGTGTCCATATATAAGATTCCCTGAATTTCCTTCCAATATGCACCAAGATGAAGCAGAAATATAAGGAATTGCAGCAAGATTACGAATATTCCGCTTGGTTTCTGACTGAGAACGGTGCTTTAAAGATGTGTCGCGTGATGAGGATAAGGATAATGAAGATTGAGTGGATGAGGAGTTTAGGCTGGTTTTGGAAGGTAAATGATGAGGATGAGGCAAGAGAGGCTTTTTGGTTGACAGAATGGCCTGGACGATGTTTCGAGGTCTGCATCGTGGCGGCAAAAGAGATGCTATTTTATTGGGAGTTTTTGGAGTTTGCATTATTACTATATCTCTCGCGTTTATAATCCTTTTCCAATTTAAAGAGGGATATAATTTTTCTCTATATAAAATTTTTAAAATTAAAAAAAATATAAATTGAATTAATATTTTTGGATTTTAATCAATTCAGTTTGAAAAGTGCACTTTCCCACTAAATTAGGTCAAAACTAATTTTATCAAAATTTTATTTTTACTATAAAGCATTCCTATTGAGAAAAAAATTGCTCCAATTAAAGAAAGGGGGAGTAAGTTAAATTAATGACAGAATTTTTTTTAAAAGATATGAAAAGTTTTTTTGTGAGGGAGTGCTTTTTAAGGTAGTTTAGTATCGATAAAACTTACAAGCTCATTCAGTTAAACTCGGAATTATTTATAAGTGCATTTGAATATAACTAAAATTATATTGTCTACAATGAGGCCTTAAGAATATATTTTAATGCTCATTGCGCATTGCATTATTTTCTATTATTTATTAACTAAAATGAATGCTTACATCCTTGATGTATCAAGTCCCTTTGTAATTACAGCACTAGAAGAACTTGGCATAAGTCCAAGAGAGCTGCTTAAAAAGTAAAAAACACATAGAAGCCTTGAAGATTTCGCAGAGCCTGGCCTTAGCCAAGAATTTCAAAGTTTACGCTACGATCATTATACAAACCGTCTACTGGACACAGCTCAAAAAATTCGAAATTTCATTAAATCCCACTACAACTCTCTTCAATCCCATATCCGGCACAGCTCAGCTCCAGAATCACAGCGTTCTCAAAGTGCAACTTTCTCTCAAGAAAATTCCCAAACTTTTCGAGCTGCAACTGCATACCAAAATGAAGCTGAAAAACTTAACCAAATAAAAGAAAAAAACAAAGAATTAATCCTCACTCCCCCCCCTCCGTGAGTGAACAAAAAAATTTTGTTCACTCACGAGGGGGGTTAATTTTTTTTTTTTTTAAAAAAATTTATATATAAAATTTTTATAAAAAAATATTTTTTTTCGAAATTTAAAAAAATCCTGATTCGCAAAAATTGGAAAGAAAATATTAATTTTATTTATAAAATTTATGTTTTAAAAAGCAATTCGTTTAAAATTAAACAGAATTAGCCCTAGATTTCATTATGCTAATTATCATTTATATATCAAAAATTTTTTCCATAAAAAAATTTTTCTATTAAAAAAATTTTGTTCACTCACAGAGGGTGGGTTTTTGGGCAAAAAATAGGTATTTTTCTAATGCCTTTGTTCACTCACGGAGGGGGGGAGTCAGCTGAATCCCAACTAATTTTCTAGATAATAGCCCTGAAAAATCAAAAAGCAGCGAATCAGGCCGGAAAATCAAAAAATTTACCTCACAAAAGCATGAAGTTTATTTAGAGCATTTAAAAAAGTTTAAAGAGCAACAATTAGCAGCCTCAAAAGCTATAAAAGCTAAAGAAATAAAAATGCAAAAAGAATTGTCTAATAGGCTGATTAAATCAATGAGTGAGCATGGATTAAGAGAAAAATTAGCTGAAGAAGAGGGATGCAGGCTTAATTCTAGTGCATATTTGATAGTGTTCATTTCACCGAAGTACTATTGGTCGAAAATTGGCTGAAACTTTTTAATAGTGAGACATTTGACCCAAAAAAATATTAAATTTACACTATTTTAAAATTTTCTACCAAATATATTTCGATTAAATGCACACTATCAAAAATGCACTGTCATTTGGCATGGAGCTGAAGAAGAGAAAAAAAGGAAAATTAAGGAAAGAGAAGAAATTTTTAAGAAAAAACAAGAAGAAATAAAGCATGATAAAGAAATGAAGGAGGATGGAATGGAAATGGAAATTAAAAATAAATTAAACCAGTTTCAATGGAAAATTATGAAAAGTGAAGAGACACATGAAGCTGAAATTAAAAAGAAGCTTGATATATTGGCAAGGCATAAAGAGATGGCAGAAATTGTTGCGAAAAACCAAGAATTTTTAAAAAGATCACAAGAAATGGAAGTATTATGCAAAATTATTAATAAGCAGGAAAGTGTAAAGGAAAGAAGGATACAAATAAAGAGAAAATATTTAGATGAAATTAAAAATAGGAGGCATAAAAGTGAATCTAAGCGTCAAAAAGCTATTGAAAGATTAAAATCTCAAGAAAAACAGTTAGAGAATATGCCAGCCAAGCTAAATAAATAATTTTTTTTATTTAATCATAAAACAGCCTTTTAAAAATATGGTTTTATCAATAAAGTCTAATGCTATTTATCATTCTAATTAACTTAATTCCACAGTTCTTGAAAAACAACTTAACGCAACCCAACAATTAATTAGCCAAAAACTGTCAGAAAATGAAAAAGAGCTTAAATTGCGTCAAGAACTACAACGATTAAAGAACGAGGACAGCAATCTTGAAGTTTTAAGATCCAAAAGAAAATTCGTAACCATTATTCTAGGAGAAAAAAAATAGTGAATTTCTCGATAAATGACTAGCAAAAACACAAAGAATAGAAAATTTTAAAAAAGAAAAAGAGGATTTAATTATGAAAAAAAGGTAAATAATATGAAGGGATTTCGCAATTCAAGCTATGATAGAAAAAGAGAAAACAAAAGAAATAATTGCTGTGCTAAGTCCCCCCTCCGTGAGTAAATGTTCACTCACAGAGGGGCGTTTATTTTTTTTTAAAAAATATTTATATATAAATTTTTATAAAAAAATTATTTTTCAAAAATTTATGTTTTAAAGTGAAAGCTGTTCAAAATTAAATACTAATTATATAAATTTTTTTTCATAAAAATTTTTTTCTATTAAAAAATTTTTGTTCACTCACCAAGGGTGGATTTTTAGGCAAAAAATAGGGATTTTTCTAATGGTTTTGTTCACTCACGGAGGGGGAGTAAGCAAAAGTCCTAATTCCAAAACTGCACAAGAAAAATTAAAAGCATTAAATTTGATACCTAAGATTAAAGAATCTGAGACCGAGTTAAATTAAGCAGCTGGTATATTTTATACTTATAAACTGCTGTTCCTTAATAATCCTTTTATATTTATTGCATTTTCATTTCTGCGGTGTAAGCGGAAACCTGAGGAATTTGGGGTTTCTTTTCGAACTCCAAATCTAGGGGTGGATTGTTGGGAAGTTTTTCGTCTTATTTTATGCTGTAATGGTAGTAGGGGAGGAAGCCGTTTTGATTTGGAGGGCGCAAAGCGAAAATCGAGCAGCTCGTCTGAACCTAAACTTAACGCAAATGGATTTCTTTGACGGCGAGTTTTAAGCTGGGAGCTTTGATGATGCAGAGATGATCTCAGCTTCATTTTAACATCCAGAATTTCTTCAAAACTTGGAGTAGATTCGAATAGTTTAGGTAAACTTAAGTGCCGATGCATTATTTTTATCGATAGCCATGAAAAGTTGTTATTAATTAGACCAAATAGAATTGATTAAACATGGCAAAAAATTATAAAAATTATTATTATTATTTTCGAAAGCATAAAATTCATAAATTTATTATGGATTTGTAACTGACCTAAGATTTTTAAATTTTCTCCACCTAATTTTTTCTTTAGTTTTTAAATATTTTTATTAAATACCCACACCATCCGTTCATAATAAACAAAAAAAAACATTTTTTCGCTCAAGGGCTGATTTATTTTTGCTTTTAAGCATTTTTTTTCTGAAATTCGATAGCAAAAATTAATTTAATTTTTTAAGCTTTATTAAAATGTAAACTGTTTAAAATTCAACAGAATTAGCTAGAGATTTCATTATACTAATTATATCTTATATTCAAATATATTTTAATAAAAATTTTTATTCACTCATAGGGTGGTTTTCCCAAAAAATATAGATTTTTCCAATGTTTTTGTTCACTCAAGAAGATAGGGGGAATTAAGGAAAAATTAGAATAAATGAAAAAGTTTTGAGTATCAATAATAACTGAAATAGCATTTTCATTTATTTATTTATTGTAGCAGCTTTTCCCTATTTTTAATTATAATTGACATTATTACTTTTTATGCTAATAATATTTCATATATTATTTGTTTCATCTAATTATTTCATAAAGTTAAAAAATAATTAATTAAGTCAAATTAGCTTATGCTATTCAAAACAGCCAACTTTGCTTTAATTGCATCTATGTAAACTTGGCTTAAAGCTTCATTAGCTTCAATTCGTTTTGCATTACTAATATTTTTATCATTTACAAAAGATTCATAGCTTCTTGCTTGCTGCTCAGCTCTTAAAGCTCTTTTTTGAACTTCAGAAACTTTTTCTGGCGTTGAGCATTCTTTATCTTCCACAATATCCTCCCATTTAATTTTCCCAATTATCATGCTTAAATTTTCGTTCCTCTTCTGCCTCAATTCTCTTAAATAGTCAATAGATTTTTGTTCCTTTTTCATTCCTAAAGACTGAACACTACTATTTACAGACTCATTCGGTGGCTTTCTGAGCTTTTTATTTGTTTGTGATCTAATTGAATTTTTTCTCCTCAAAATATCTGTATTTTTCTTATTCCTTTCAGTATTGCTTCCATTTTTATTAAACTCTAAAGGCTCAAACTGTTTGGAATCTAGGCTTTTTTGTATTTCTAATTTTTTTGGCTTTTTATTCTGAGATGAAGTTGTTTCTGCTTTGCTTGGCTTAAAGCAAATAGGTCTGAACATTTCACTGATAATGTCTCCATAAATTTTTCTTTTTTCAATATTATCAGTTCTTTCTATATAGAGTGGGCACGCTTTTAGCGTGCCCTTACACCTACTCATTTACAGAAATCTGGAGATCTGACTCTCACATTTAGTAAAATAGTCAGCTCAAGTTAGCAAATCCATCACAAGGATTTGGCTCATCAACTGAAGGTGACAAGTCAAACCCCCAGATTTTAAGCGCAAGAGAGCCCATGCTATATCTTTTTTCATCTGCTCTTGCATTTTTTCTAATTCTTCTTTTTCTAAGACTTGAGCAGCTTTAGACTTATAAAACACTAATGAAGCTTCATGCAAAGCAATATCTTGCTTTTTCCGTTTTAATTCCAATTCTCTTCTGTGCCTCAGTTCTTCAAAATTCTCAAAATAGTTTTTTTCATGCGAGATAATTTCTTTCATATTAATTGGTGCAAGCATTTGTCTCTTTTGAGCTAGCTCGTATTTTCTTTTTTCAAGCTCAGGGATTATATATTGCTGTTGATATCTTTCTTCCAGTTTTTGAAATAAAGGTTTGACTGAAGCTACATGTTTGAAGGCTTTATTTGATTCTATTATTTTTTCCTCTCTTTCTTTTTTTCTGATTTCAATCTCTTCTAGCTTTTCTTGGATTTTTAATTTTTTCTCTTCTTCTTGTCTCTTCTGTCGTTCTTCCATTTCCTTGCTTTCTAGTTCCAGTTTTTCTAAACTCCCCCCCCCTCCGTGAGTGAACAAAAAAAACCTGTTTGCTTAAGGAGGGGGTTTATTTTTTAAAAAAAAAAATTCGAAAATTTTAAAAAAATCCTAATTCGCAAAAATTGGAAAGCAAATATTTAATTTAATTTATAAAATTTATGTTTTAAAACGCAAATTTTTTTAAAATTAAACAGAATTAGCTATAGATTTCATTATACTAATTATCACTTATATATCAATTTTTTTCATAAAAAAATTTTCTATTAAAAAAATTTCCTTCACGGAGGGGGGGAGTAAGTATTTTCTTTGAAGTGCTTCAAGGCTATTTTTTCGGTTCTCTTCGCGTCTTTTTCTTTCTAATTCATAATGTTTTAATATTTTCAATCTATCATTGTCACTTATAGTAATATTTTGAGATTTGCTTGTGTTCGGAAAATTATCAACTGTAGTATCAATGTTCTCTCCTTCTAAAATTAATTCTTTTTTGCGAGAATGGTTTTGCTTCAGCTGTTTTTTTCTTAGTTTAGCTCCAAAACTCAAAGGTGGGTTATTGATTTTTTCTGTAAGATCAAATAAATTTCCTTTAGTTTCGGGGATAAGTATGTGAGGCTTTTGATTGGATTCCAAGCTAAATATTCTTTCAATTAATTTAGTTTTAATTGAATTTACTGAAAGCTCTGAAAGACTTTGAGATTCTATAGAAAGTAGTTCGAGTTGCTTCTCAAAATATTCTGTTAAGTTCGATGATTTCATTTAATTTAAAATAAAGATTAATATAATAATTCATGATTCAGTTTATTAGACCTATTTTAAAGCTAATATTTTAATTAATAAAGCATCAAAACGTCTACTAAAATTAGAGAAAAAATTATTAATCGGCGATTAATTTTCTATCGATTTTTAAAATATAATCTATTTTTACAAATAGCATTGGCTGCTAACTAAGAAAATCCCTGCTTTTGCAAAAAACCTATTTCGCGATCGAAAAAAAAACGTTTTAATGTTTCCATTTTATGGGATAATTGCATCATATCTAATAAATATATAAACTTACATTAATAAATATTTACAAATTTTTAGTATCCTGCAATGTTGCCTATAGTGTTATTATAATACGATTAAAAATACGAAAACTATTTTATAATTTTTATTATCTAAAGCATTTCACAATATCTCCTATAGAGGGTATTTGTTTTAAGATAGATAGATTTTACAGTTTCATTTAGCTTATATCAAGACTGAGCAGCTTGTTTAAAATTTTTTTTGTTCATCGTATTATGTTAAGTATAATATAAATATGAAAAATTTCACTGGAAAGGAAACTAGCCATCTACCAAAGCCTTTTTATTTGAATGCAGAAGATATTTTTGAAGCAGAATCTTCAGAATTCAGATGTGGGAACTGTAGCCTACAATTTTCAAGTCTTTTAGAATTAAGTATTCATCAATACTCCGATAAAAATCATGAAGGAATGGTGGATTCAGGCATATTATTCCTGACTGCATACAATATAAATGTGCAGCTTTATAATGATGCAAGCCAATTGCTTATGAGTAGATGTGACCCACAAGCAAATATTGGTGATGAGTACTGCTGTAAGTATTGCAATAAAAACTTTGTTTCATTTAAAGGTATTCAGCAGCACATTGGTAAAATGCATCAAATCTCACCTAGGGAGGTAAAATGCGATATTTGTTTAAAGAGTTTTAAAAACAAAAACGCATTGAAATTCCATCATCATCAAGTGCATGAAAAATCGACAAGGGTTTTATGCGAGTTTTGCCACAAATTATTTTACAATAAATATGCGCTAGCTGCTCATATAAACACATGCATTGGCAAGAAAGAAAGCCAAGATACATAGACAATTTATTGATTGAGAAAAATAATTTTATACTTTTGTTTAAATTTAATTTCTAGAAATTGCCCATATTTTTGTTCCACCATTTAATTATTTTGAAATTTGATAAAAATGAAATAATATAAAATAATAAGCATATGAATATTAATTGTTTTTAGAATTTAGAATAGCTTTGTTTTTATAATCTAGTTTTTATGTTTAGCAAATTATTTTATGGTATATAAATGTAATAAAAATGCAATTCGAAATAATGGGAGTATAAGTTTTGGAAAAAATAATTTGATAAGCATTGCATACCTAAATCATTATTAACATTTTTTAAAAAAAAATATAGTAAGCAAAGCTTTTTATTAATTATCTATTTATTTTTAAAATTACTTGATTTTATGATGCTAAGATTATTTTATTAATCTTCATGATGCTCAAGTTTATCTTCGAACACAGCCCTCAATTTTCGGCCAGCCTTATAAATATGTACCATCTGAGGCGGAAGTATTCTAATAAGCTGATCCCAATAAAGACTTAGAACTTCTTGGCTTCTAGGAAGTCTTGAATTTCCTTCATTCATCAGTTCTGCTTTTAATCTATCTGGAAGTGTTTGGATTTCATTAATAGCTTGATCTACACACCTTTTATGGTCTTGGTATTCTTCAAAGGCTTCAAAATGCTCATGAGTGCAATAAAGACTGAATTCTTCCGCTTTTTTTGTGAATTCATTCATAGTTGCTTTATCATATTTAATAGTGTGTCTATTAAGGTTTCTAAGCCTTTGGAATTCCCTTACTTCTGCTTTAAATTAAAATAAAATACGATTCCAATTTTTAGAAAAAATTTTTGATATAAAAAAAAACTTTTAAAAATAGAACAGAATTTAAAAGGAGGAGCTAGCAGATAAAAAGCACGACCTTTGGAAAAATAAGGATGCAATTCTTTTTCTTTTATCTTTTTTCCAAATCTCTCTTCTAGCTTTTCTCGTGTTTTTTTATCTGCTCTCCTACCTCCACCTGCAAAGCGGCAAATAATGTTCTTTCTCAGCATTTTATAAGAGGTCAAATAATCCTTATTCGCAAATATGGTGATTCCTATATAGAGCAAGCCTATTCAAGAACCAAAAATTCTTAAACTCAAACTTATAAGCAGAGGAGAAGGAAAAGGTGGAATTTTTGCTCCAGTAAAGCCTGCAGACACAAATACCGAAAAATTCAAAAAAATCAAAGAATTAGTGGGCGAAAAATACTTCGATGAAAATGCCAAGGTTGACGAAGGATTAAAACTAATTGGTGAAGAGCCTAAATCCAATGAAGGGGAATTTGAAATTGTAGATATTGACATGGATCCAAATGAGATGAAGCCTGAACAAATAGATATTTTAGAAGCCCTTTACAAAGACGCAGAAGGCGAAGAAGGAGAGCTTGAAGACGATTTTTTGCAGCTTGCAAACCAAGAAGGTGAAGAAGAGCTAGAAGAAGTAATGAAAGAATATGAGTCTGATAGTGAAAATGAAAAAGAAGAGCCACGAGGACTAGTCCCTAAATCTGTATTAGACGAAGCTATGGAAGAATTTGTGCAAGAACACCCCACGATGTTTGGAGAAACTAATGAAGATAAAAAAGAAGAAGATGCCACGGTTTATACAAAAAAAATTACCTATGAAAAAATAAAGCCTGAAGAAGACCATGTCATGCAAAGAATTCTTGCTGAATTAGTAGAAGAAACAGCTGAAGAAGGAGAAATTGAAGTGCCAGAGCCTGAATATAAAGTCCGTGAAGACGATATTAATTCTGTTGCAAGCACTTATACAAATACAGATAATAGGCCTATTATTGTATCTGTTAGACCTGGAGCTGATAAAAAGGGCAAAAAATTGAAAGGAAAAGGAGGAGAAGAAGAAGATGAGAAAGAAGAAAATAAAAAGCAGCCAGGCCATAGAGATCGTGGGGAAACAAAAGAAGAAAAAAAGAAGCGAAAAGAAGAAATTAAAGCTCAGAAAAAGGAAAGCAGAGAAAGAAAGAAGAATATCAAAATTCTTTATAAAGTTGAAAAATCCAAACAAAATGAGCTGAATTCAGGCACAGGAGATGTGGCTTCTGGTTATTCAATAATTAAGCTATAATTTCACACATATTAGTTTAAATTGGTAATATTAGTAAAAGGAGATACTGATTGAAATAAATTTCATATTGTTTAAAAAAACATTAATTGTCTGAAATAGATAAATAAACTATTTTAATTTATTATTGCCATTAGTTATTATCTTTAATTCTCTAGACTCTATAATTTATTAATCTATATTTTGATTAAATTTGTGGATACTTTAAATATGGTGTCTCAACTTAGGCTTGGCCTCTCGGCCAAGCAGTTTCAAGCCCTATTTAAAGTATATCCGCAAGGTTTTACCAATAAAGAAATGGACAGTTATGCTAGGTAAACAATTCCCGCAGGAGGCAGGAGCCTAGCCCTTGTCCGCTTTCGGAGTTGGTTTTTTCCTCAAGGATAAAGGAGGGTTGTAGTTGAAAAGGATGCGCCCAGCTATGCCTGCAGGGAACACCCAGGCCATTGGGCAATTCCGCTAGCGAGAAACCAGGATTTTCGCCCTGGGCTTCAGCTTTTCCTTTTTGCCGAAAGTCGACCAGAAAATCCATTTTTTGGGTTTTCTGTGTGGACAACCCTGTATCCCACAGCCTCAAGCAAGGCTGCAGAATTCCTAAATCTGCCACACTCAAAACTGGAGCAAGGTTGTAGCTTGCAAGGAGGAAACGTTCAACAGAACAGGCTAGCCATTAAGTAGGAGTCCTGTAGGCTGCGTCGCGAAGCAGAGGAGCCTTCAGATCTGGGTGACTGCGTCAAAACTAACAGCTTAGCAGCTGATAATCTCGCGTAATTAAGATTAAGATTAAAGTTGTGATGAATTACTCATCAATATATTTTCATTTTCTAATAACCATAAGGACTATTCATAATAGCTGTTTATTTATATTTAATAATTTTTACTCACTTATTTATCTTACTCCCCCCCCTCCGTGAGTGAACAAAACCATTAGAAAAATCGCTATTTTTTTCCTAAAAACCCACCCTCCGTGAGTGAAATTTTTTTAATAGAAAAAATTTTTTATGAAAAAATTTTGATATATAAGTGATAATTAAAATAATGAAATCTAGAGCTAATTCTGCTTAATTTTAAACAAATTGCGTTTTAAAACATAAATTTTTATAAATTAAACTAATATTTGCTTTCAAATTTTTGCGAATTAGGGTTTTTTTAAATTTTGAAAAAAAAAAAATTTTTTATAAAATTTATATATAATTTTTTTAAAAAAAAAAAATTAACCCCCCTACGTGAGTGAACAAAATTTTTTTGTTCACTCAAGGAGGGGGGGGAGTTAGAAAATAGTTTTATATTGCAGATTTTAAGCTTCTTTATATAAATATATTTTATAGAGTCTCAAATCTTATTTGGCAAATATTTTCATTTTAATTTTATATAATTGGAATATCAGAGCAAATAGATAAATAGATGCAATAACCTGCATAACTTGAAAATTATGGAAAATTATTGAAATGAAAGCAACAGATTATGAAAAAGTCGTTAAACGAAATTTGTCTCGAGATTTTCAAAAATATTTGATACCAACTCCTCCTGATTCAAAAAAAAAGCAGTTAAAATTAGAAATTGAAGGGAAAAGGAAAATTGACTTCTCCTTACATAATTCACTTTTGGTAGGTAATGAAAAAAAGTATCAAAAATCTGATTCAAGCCCAAACTTGAATTTAGTTAAAAGAATGAAGAAACTTGAAGAAGAAAAGAAAATTATCGAAAAAATGATTAAAAATGTAGGTAAAGACAGAAAAGCACAGTTAAGCCCGAAGAAATGCAATTTAAATTTAAGTAAAACTGATGCAATTAAAGAAAATGTTGAAATTTTAAGAGAGCTTTATGAGACAGCAGATGATGAAGTCCAAGAACAAAATGAAGTTCAATTAAAATGCCAAGAAAAGCTTAACGGTATAAATGATGCAGTCAAAACAGTTAATGACAGCTTAGAAAAGCTTTATCAAAGCATTATTTGTCATAAAATTTTTGATTCTACACACGAAAAAATGACATCTTTTGAGTATGAAAAACAATTTGACTTGGAGATCTTAAAAGATTTAGGCAATATCGACTGCAAAAGGACTAAATTTCATCACAAAATTTACCCGAAATTAAATTCCTTAATTTAGTAGCTATATATAATCAAAAATCTTCAAAATTAAATTTTATAACTCTTCTATAAATATGCAAAAAAATTTTTATAGCAGTAAGTTCCTTAGCCTGTAAATAGTTAAAATATGTAACTTACGAATGATAAGCTCGCATAATAGTTTCACCAACATATTGGCGAAGGAAATAGAATAAATATGAGGATGGTCCATTTTAATAGAAATATAAATTGATTTATTATCAAAATTTCTCAATCTAATTATTATTGTAAAATGGTTGGCATACAAATTTTCTTCTGAGTCCTACGTTCCGTTTCCGCACTGGAAACTTTAGGTCTAGACATTAACTTTTGGCCAGTTGGAATCCAATACTTCGGTGCGGAAATGGGATATGGTGCTGTAGCTAAACAAGACATTGAAAAGGGGACACCCTCAATGATAATTCCTATTGACCTTGTAATCAACTCAGCTGATCCTTTTCCTCTTTCTCCATACCTCAATCACCTGGCATCAGAAGCGCTCTTGGCTTATAGACTTCTCTGGGACAGATTTTCTGAGTCACCCGCAAAACAATTTTCCAAAAAATGGACTGAAATCCTTCCTAACTCAATCCCTATATAAAAGAAGACTTTCTTTATAATTTTTATAGGGCTTTTCTGTAGTTTTTATAATGTAAAATTGCATAAATTATAATAAATAATCATTAATAATATAATTTAATCTAAAATAATGATTAATTTTATCATAATTATTGGAGGACGAGCAAGGAATATAATGTTTTATCGATTTGGAACACCACTGAACGTTCGTGGATGGATGAATACTCATTAAAATTTCTTGAATATAACCATTCGTTTAAGCCCTATGAAGAGTTCCTTAAAGCCAAATCTTCTATAGAAAAACTTGATTGGGTCCCTCAAGAACTCTTAGATTATAGATGGTTTCAATGGGGATACGCAGCCGTGCTATCAAGAACTTGGTCATACCCAGCTGCTTACATTAAGCAGGCCCGTGGTGAAGAGGTAAAACCAGAAGATTTTGCAATAAGAACAACTGGAATGTACCCAGTGGCAGAAAATGTAAACCATTGCACAGTGCCTTCCAAACACAGAAAGCCCTCAATTCAATTATCAATGACTATGAAAGACAAATGGGCTGCGGTTATGGCTCAAACCTGAAACTTAAATTACAGGTCTTGGCTTTCTCACCTATTGGTGACGCAGTTACCAAAGGTCTCCTATGAGACTCACAATCTTTGCGAAGATGCAGGGAGAATTTGCCTGAGTTTGAATAATGACTCACCTGGCAAGCTAAAGGCTTGAACACCATCTTTCCTCTTCTTCACAGCCTGACCTCATGAAAGCTATGGATTTCTGCGGTTAAAAGAAGGCTGTTCGATAAAAAATGGGATTTATGGACGACTCTCGGCAAAAGAAAAATTTCAAAGTCTGGGGCATAACTCACAGTTTCACGTAGTAAGTTACCCGAATGGTCTTGGCATTGCCTGTAGACACCATTGGGTTTTCCCTTTCCAACTCTAACCCAGCTTCTTCCTCGAGGTAAAATTTAATCCTGAAGCAGACCAGAATTGTTAGCCTAGAATAGCCTCCGTTTCTGGGTTAGCAAAATTTGCTGGGTATGCTCGAGGCTGTATTGCTGGCCAAGCCGACACGTAATTTTGTTTTATAGCTCAAACCAATTTTAAGAAAGGACAAGAGTTCTGCATTGAGTATGATGAAGACCCTAATAATGGAATGCTTTTTAAATACGGATTTGTCGTCGAAAAAAATTATTTGGAAGAGTTTTTCATTGAAAAGAAGACTAAAAATTGCAATGAGAAAGTCATAGAAGGAGGAATCTGCCAATGGGCATTGAAATCGTATGAGCTAAATCCAAGGCTTTTAGAATACCTTTCAAAAGGGAAAGGAAAGGAAGAAGGGCTGAAAAGCTATATTTCTGAAGTAAAAAACATCTTGAAAAATAGCAAATACAGCATTAGAGAGCTAAATCCCTTCCCTTTAAATTGTAGGCAAAATTTTCAATTTTTGTTTTTTTTGGGCTCTTTAAATTGGAACAAATTCTTTTGTCAATAGGAATTTTTTTTTATTTTTATAAATGACTAATTTTTAAATTTATTTTTAAAAAAATAAAGGGAAAGTGGGAGTAAGAAGAAAGAACTCAGCAGCAGAAATGTTGAGGGAAAAATTTGCGATAACTTATGGTGTTGGGCAGAGACTGCTTTTGCAGGAGCATGTAAAGTTTGCAATGAGGGATCTACTAAAAAATTACTCACTCCCCCCATCAGTAAGTGAACAAAACCATTAGAAAATCGCTATTTTTTGCTCAAAAACCCACCCTCCGTGAGTGAAACAAAAATTTTTTTAATAGAAAAATATTTTATGAAAAAAAAATTGATATATAAGTGATAATTATTATAATGAAATCTAGGGCTACTTCTGTTTAATTTAAAACAAATTGTGTGTTTTTTTAAAATATAAATTTTATAAATTAAATTAATATTTGCTTTCCAATTTTTATAGAAGTGTGAGATTTTTTAAATTTCGAAAAAAAAAATTTATAAAACATTTATATATAAATTTTAAAAAAAAAAAGTAACCCCTCTCCGTGAGTGAATAAAAAATTTTGTTACGGAGGGGGGGGAGCCAGAGAAACTGAAGCTAATAAACTAATCTCAAAATCATTGAAGATTAACTATTTTTCTTCTTTTCCGTAACTTATTTTTTCATCAAATTAAGAGTAATTTCGAAATATATACCGAGTCCTTCCCATAATATTAAGGGATAGAGCTATCTTCTACCTTATTAAAGCTATTTATTTGTATTTTATATATTAGGCATTTAGGGAAGATTATTTGAAATGAAAGCAGTTATCTTTGATTTATTTTAGCTACTCAAAACAATATTATAGAAATTTCTTGGTATTTCCATATAAATATATATGATAAATCTCTGTCTCCACATCTTTTTTAGAAATGGAGCCAGGAGTTTCCGGTAGCTATTGCACATTTTCAATGTTTCTTCTCTGCAATTTACTTTTGCTTGCTGTAGGTATAACAGTAGGAACTTTAGCTATCTATATCTGCGCTGATCAAAATGATTTTTCATGATATGATGGACTGTTTGCCCTGCTTGGATTTGTGATTGCTTTAACTGCAATCGCAAGTGTGAAGACAAAAGAGTCTCTAAAATGACTCTTTTTTTACATGCTTTTTTTGCTGATTCTGACTCTAATTGTAGCTGGGTTAACTATAGGGCTGATTTTTTGGCACGATTTCGAGATCAAAATAGGGTTTGAAAACGCCTGGGGGGTCAGAGGAAGTTATATTGGCTCATGCGGGGTTATGCTATTTTGTGTAATCGTGGGATTTTTCTATAGAAAAAGTCTGATGTCTGCAGTGATCAGAAAAAGTGAAGAAGTAAATTTCTTGGATATTAAAGGGCCGTTAGTTCCTGCTAGAACTGCAAAGCCACAAGAAATATCAAGAGGATTTCAGCAGAAGAGCCCTAAGAAAGGCAAGCCAGATTCATTATTCGAAATGAAGTAATAAATAACTTAATTTCCATTATAACAGTTACTTTTTAACTGTTCTATAATGATTTATATATATTATTTTTTGTTTTTGAAGCAAAAAATCTTTAAAGTCTGAAGAATTATGCTATCCTAGGGCTATACAAAAAAATTATTTTTTTGACATTAAAATCTTTTTCTGTTCTGCTTCTATTATTTGGCTCCATTTCATTCTGTCTCTTTCTGCCGAATGAATCATTTCAGACATTAGATCTTTAGTAAGCTCACTTGAAATATTAGGAGCTATAGGCCGGCTTGGATAAGTTATTTTATCAATTTCACTATTTCAGGAACCAATCCCTTTAAGATGAGTTTCAATGTACTCATTCAGGTTTTGAGTTTCTATAACATATCTATGATATTTCTCATTGTATTCTTTGACTCTTTTTCTTGCATATTCTCTAATATAAATTTCTTTTATTTCTTCTGGAATTGATGACGCCCCAGTTTTTTGTGTTTTTTCTTTAATTGTTTTTCTTCTTTTCCCTTTTCGCACAGGATTTTTCTCAAAAATTTCGTGCTCAGTTTCATTCCATTTATTAAGCCATACAAAATAATAAGTTCTTTTCATCATTATAAATCTTTTCATGCCTCTTTGGATTGCATAAAGCTAAATATTAAGTGACCTCATATTATTCCACCAGCAAAAAATTTTTTTGCCTTTTTGGGCTGGTTTTAGCATATTCTTTTTTCTTATTTATTTTTGCTTATTTTGGCTAATTTGTTTTGAGTATAAACCCGCACTAAATATTTTTATATCTAGTTTTGTCTGCTGTCCAAAAGAAATATTGTGGTAAATTTTGAGTCTAAAATAAATCGGTAAATAAAAGTAGATTAAAAAATAGGCAAAAAAGCCTAAAAACATTGCAAAAATTATGGATTAAATATAAATAGGTCAAAAAAGATAAAAAGTTTTTATGTTGTAGTTGCTGTGAAAATTAACCAATATTAATCACTTTTTGTTGTCAACTGAACATTGTTTTTAACATCACTGAAGAGGTAATTGAGGTTTCAATCATATTAACTATAGTGTTCATATTTCTCTCTCTTCTCTTCTTTAGCCACCGCTTAGCACGATTCACCAAATGAAACTGAAGAACCTATATAAAGTTTACTCTATTTGCCCTAATCCTCCTAATCTTCCTTCCCAAAATCGCAATTTTTCCTACACATTTCGAAACTTGTCTAAGCCATTTTAATGTTGCCATAGCACGCCTTCTTAATTGAATTTTCCTTTTAAGTTTAACCCTTGTAAAAAACTTTGTATTTGGAAGGGAGGTTTATTCAAATCTAGCCCCACCGACTGGCCCTTATGGGCGGGTTTTATTAAAATAGCCTAAGTCTTCCTTTGAACTTGCCCAAAGGACCGGTCAAGCCTTGACTGACGCAATAGCCAAAATTTTATCGCTCTTCTAGTTTCTCTCAAGTGCTTCAACATCTCCTCTATTTGTCTCATATCGGACATTTTGAAAAAAAGAAGTTTGATAAGGAAGGGTTTGGTTAATGAATTGGGCGGTAACCATAAAGTAATAATACTAATTAACCCTTATAACATTAGCGCTCCCAAACATAGTAAAAATAGCAATTCATGACAGCCTAACCTTAAAGACTTCATTTTTCCTCATCCTCATATCAAGTTTTTTGAATTTCTCTGCAAGCTGTTCTTGTCGATCTTTCTTCACAGCTTCATAAATGCAGTTTTTTGCTTGTCTTGCTATATCACTTCTTGCCCTCTGCCGTCTTGACATAGATTTTGCTCTTAAAATTTTTTGGTCAGGAGAATATTTTCGCATGTCTTTATTTTCTTCAATTTTTTTGGTTTCTTTTTCTTAATAAATAAAATGGCATTCGACTCGAGAGAAATTGGCTCTGCTAATTTTTTTCCCTCATGGAATTTTATTTATGGAGTTTGGTTTTACCTTGAGAGCTCCTGCACCACACCACCAGCAGTTTAACTTTGGGATAGCCAGAGGAGCTGCTCCTAGTGCATCAAGAGGCTCAGTTTTTACCCTTTACTCCCTCACGGGTGAGAAGTGCAGCTATAAATGATTGCGGCATGCCAAGGAATGCTTGCCCATATGTTCGCCATTTAGGGTTACAGGATAGTCCGTGACATAACTACTAGTCCCTTTCAATAGGGAGGGACTCAGGACACCTTAAACATCAAATAATAAGTTAATTTTCTTTTTCTTCAAATAATTGTTGCCTTTGTTTTAAGAATTGAGAAATGTCGTGACTTAAATTCGCTTGATCTTGGAATCGAGAACTCCTTGAAAATTCAAATGATGGGCCTGACGCATTGGGCGCGTGGTAATATCGTCCTGGACCTAAATGAGAGCTTGTGGAATCAGGTGGGCCTATTTTTTTGGTGCTTGGTGCAGTTACATATGAACTTCTAGGCCTTATATTAAGATATTGGAACCTTATAGGTGAGCCTACACGAAGAGACGAGTAAGAAGACTTTGTTGGAGATTTTTCACGAGTTTGGGCAGAGTTTGGGGATAAAGACTTATCGTTGAATTTGGAAATATTGTATTCGTTATACTCGGCCATGTAATTAAACTTCCATAATTACCTATAATGATTGAGAAAAAAGCTGCAGTTCATTTAAATGTAAACCAAGGTAGAATGATTTATAGGGTTTAAATATTATTAATAAATATAATCAATAAATTAATTAGGACTAAATATATTAAGCCATTAAGGCTCTGTGAGCACAAGCTCTCCATTTTCCAAACTCAGCATTGAAATCAAGAATTCATAATTATTTTTCCCTTTCATCAAGAAAACTGCATCATTTAACTCCCCATTTAACAAAATATCGGTATATTTCTATAAAAAATTAATATTAATTTTTGTTTAAAAATTTAAACCCCCTTTCAGATATTTTTTTCCCAATTTAAAAGCGGGGATAAGAGAGATTTCAAGCGTATGCTTGAAAATATCTCCAGGTTTATATGCGTCTAAGCGCATTATTCTAAATATAAAATACTTATTATCAGCCCTTATGTCGATAATATATGGCTTATTGTCAAGCACAATCTGTCCTGAGTCCCCCCCCCCCCTCCGTGAGCGAACAAAACCATTAGAAAAATCGCCATTTTTTTGACCAAAAAACCCACCCTCCGTGAGTGAACAAAAATATTTTTAATAGAAAAAATTTTAATAGAAAAAAATTTTGCTATATAAGTGATAATTAGTATAATGAAATCTAGAGCTAATTCTGTTTAATTTTAAACAAATTGCGTTTTTAAAACATAAATTTTGCAAATTAAATTAGTATTTGCTTCCCAATTTTTGCAAATTAGGATTTTTTTTAAATTTCGAAAAAAATATTTTTTATAAAATTTATATATAAAAATTTTTTTAAAAAAAAAAATTAACCCCCCTCCGTGAGTGAACAAAATTTTTTTGTTCGCTCACGGAGGGGGGGGGGGGAGTGAGTAAAAAAGTTGAACCATCATTTGGGCTTCTATATTTCGGGATTTCTACATCATATTTAGATGTGTTGAAGCCACTGATTTTTCTCATATGATCGCCAGGACCCAAAATATAAGGATATTCACATATAGACCTCGCTAATTTTTCTTGTTCGTGTCTTTCTGTTTTCTGTTTTGAGTAATCAAAAATAGATTTCGCCTGCTGTAGCCTTTTAAGCAATGCATAATTTTCAATTGTAATCTTAACGAGATATAATAAAATAGCTACATACGGAAATAATTGTCTCCGACAACCCTTTCTTCTCGCTATATTACATGTGCTCAGTTTTCTACATGGACTCTATTGCAATGCAAAAAAGAATTACCGCGCATAGGATGATTTGATAGCCTAAGAAAGAAGAGAGACATATAGTTTTTGCTGTCTGAAGCACGAAGAGAATCACTCTTAGGTGGAGCACGCGCTGGACTAAGGTTCGGGTGAGACAAAAACGCTATCTGTGAAGAATTACTGGCCCTTTTGTGGGTCTGCAGGAATGCTTGATAGAAAAGATGGCTGCTAAAGTCATAAATTTGGGATTTAATAAGTGGGCTGATGTATGCCTAAATCAACCTGCTGGAGGAAGAGAATAAGTTAAAATCTAAATCATTAGTAGTAATCTGGAACCAGACGATTCTTGCGTTGGCCTCAATTTGAAGGCTTGTTTGGCTCAGGCCTTACTTTCCTTTTAAATTGGAACAAAAAATCCTGTTCCAATTTCAAAGGGGTTTAATGTTGTTTTTAAAAAATATTATATTAAATTTTTCTATAACTCCCCCCCCCCCCTCCGTGAGCGAACAAAACCATTAGAAAAATCGCCATTTTTTGACCAAAAACCCACCCTCCGTGAGTGAACAAAATTTTTTTAATAGAAAAAATTTTAATGGAAAAAAATTTTGATATATAAGTGATAATTAGTATAATGAAATCTAGAGCTAATTCTGTTTAATTTTAAACAAATTGCGTTTTAAAACATAAATTTTGCAAATTAAATTAATATTTGCTTCCCAATTTTTGCAAATTAGGATTTTTTTTTAAATTTCGAAAAAATATTTTTTATAAAATTTATATATAAATTTTTTTTAAAAAAAAAAAAATTAACCCCCCTCCGTGAGCGAACAAAATTTTTTTGTTCGCTCACGGAGGGGGGGGGGAGTAAGAATTTTAATTTATTTTATCAAAAAATTAGTCGATTCAGCGTAAAAAAATGTTTAAATACTATTTTGACTTGCATTCATTAACTAATTTTTATAAAAATTAGTTTTTTTACCTATAAAATATTCCTACTGAAAAAATTGCTATAATTTAAAAGGAGCAAAGTACCCAAAAATAGAAATTTTACCACAAATTGCTCCAATTTAAAAGGGGGAGCTAGCTTTGGCAGACTACTTGACCTTTTCCCTCTTTGAATGTCTGAGAGCTTATTCAGCAGTATTATATTTTCGTTCTCAATTTTTGTGAGTCTTTCTTAATGATAATTACCATCATTCAGCCTTTTTTGTCGATTATGCAGGTCAAGATTTGAGCGATTCCTTGTTAATCTTTCACTGGCAACTTTTGGGTTCTCAATATCCCAAATTGTTTGCAAATTTTTATTTGGTGAAAAGCTCATAAGTTATTATTTTAACTCCCCTCCTTCGTGATGGAAAAAACAGTTTTGTTCGCTTACAAAGGATTAATGCTTTTAAAAAATTTTTATATATAAATTTTATTTTTATTTTAAATAAAACATTCTAACATAATTAAATTTTTTTTTCTCATTTCTAATTTTTTTCAAGTATAATATATTCATTTTCTCTTATGAAAATCCTTATATATAAATCTTTCTATTAAATTAGCTAGAGATTTCATTATAATAATTATCATTTATATATTCAAGAAATTTTTTCTATTAAAAAATTTTTTGTTTGCCCAAAAAAATAGGGATTTTTTCAATGGTTTTGTTCGCCCACCTTATGGGAATAAGAAAATTAATTTTCCTACATCATTCTAAAATGGACGACAGAGAAGTTGAGCTGCAATCTCGTACAAGGGAAGCTATTGAAAGAATCCTGGATTTAAACATGACTGAGGCTGATCTCCAGCAAATTTCTCCTCAAGACCAGCATTTGGTATGAAAAGTTTTAATACTAGATGACACGTCAAATCTCTGCATTGCTCCGCTAATTCACTTAGGAAACCTCAGACTTCACAACATTACATTATGCTTAAGGCTAAACGAGCCTAGAAAACAGCTACAATCAGTCACAGCAGTTTACTTAATAGAGCCTACAGTAGCAAATATCGGCCAATTCATAAAAGACTGCAAAATGAAATTGTATGATTTTTTCCAGATTAATTTTTTATACCCTCCCAAACCTGTAATAATGCAATCCTTAGCGTCTGGATTGGTTGCGGAAAACTCCATTTCGAGACTGCTAAAAGTATATGAGCAATATCTAAAATATATCTTGCTAGAGGAGTCATTATTTATGCTGAATTCCCACTCGTTCGAAAGCTTGCAGCAGCCAGGGATAAGTGACTATGAAATTGAGTCTATGCTTGAAGACGTCGCTTTAGGTCTTTTTTCTGTGCTAAAAACATGTAGGATATGGCCAATCATAAGAGCTGGCCGAGGGTTTAGTGAAATAGTTGCAAATAAGCTTGCAGAGCTGTGCTGGGAACACCCAGATGACGTTTCTCACTTATCAAGACCTTTGCTACTTATTGTGGACAGAAGCATTGATTTTTCAGTGATGTTCCATCATCCTTGGACTTATCAAGCCTTGGCATTTGACGTCTTCAAAAACAGCTTAAATAAAATAGTGATCCCAGGAAACCCTCCAACCTTATATGAGCTTGACAAATCCCGAGACTCTTTATGAAAAGAGCAAAGCAGCAATAAATTTGGCGACGTCTTGCAAACCGTAGATAAAGCTTTTAAAGAATGAAAAGACCAATATGACCAGATTGGGAACAATATAGCTGAAGCTTTTGACAATGTCCCTGAAATGGCTGAGAAAAAGTCACAATTGGATTTGCATATGAATTTAGCTACAGCGTTGGTAGACCAAGTACAGTCAAGACATTTAGACCAGTTTAATCAATTTGAAGAAAAATTGATGAGTGGGAAGTCAGCAAATCTACAAGAAATTCTTAATATGCAGCCAGCACCAACTGTAGAGGCTGAAGTTTGGGAAAATGATAAATTAAGGATACAGATTATTGCATTTTTGAATAAACTTGTAGAAGAAATCCCTGATAGCAGCTTGCAAGCTTATTTAAGCAGCTTGAGAGGAGAAGTCGAGCAGCAGTCAACACTACAGTATTTGTCAGGGTTTGCAGAAAAAGTCAAAGGTAAACTAATGGGGCATGAAAAAATGCTCCCGATGACGAAGCTTGTGCACTCGGTGATGGAAAATAAAGCTTAACTTAACTTAACTTAACTTATTAACCATGACGTTTAACGTCTCCTACGGGGTTGCTCTTCCAGGACTACCACCACGCTCTCGTCGCTCGGGGCCCACTAGTTGCTGGGACAGCTAACTTTGATCTCCAACGTGCGCCTCCTGCGCGATGTTCCGGCTTCGACGGCTCATGAATGAGCTACTTTCTCTGTAACGAAGGTTGCCTGCTAGGAAATTCCAAAAAATGGAATTTCTGGCCGACTTTCGGCAAAAAGGAAAACTTGTAGCCCGGGGCGAAACTCCCGGTTTCTCGCTAGAAACTTGCCCGAATGGCCTAGGAATTACCTGTAGGCACTGCTGGGCTTCTCCTTTCCAACTCCAAGCCTCCTTTTCCTTCGAGGTAAAATCCTAACCTGAGAACGGACTAGGATCAGGCTCTGTACACTGCCAGAATTGCTTACCTGATATTGCTGTCCATCTCTAGCTAGGCAAAACCTTGCCGGATATAATTAAATAGGGCTCGAAACTGTCTGGCCGAAAGGCCAGACTCAAGTTGAGACGCCATATTTAATTGATGGAAAATAAAGCAAAGGAAAAAGACTTGGAGTATTATGACTCAATTCATAGAAATGGGCTTAAGTATAAGAGAGAATACACAGAAGCCATTGTATTTGTAGTGGGAGCAGGAAATTATGCTGAGTACCACAACTTGCTTCACTACGCACAAAAGTTTGAGAAAACAATTGTGTATGGCTCGACGGATCTTCCAACACCTAATCAATTCTTAGAGCAACTTCAGCGTTTATCTCAATTATAATTAGTATTTAACCAATATATGAGCAGATATTTTTCAGAAAAATATTAATAGGCATTAGCTTTAATTATCTTTTTTTTAAGTTCTCATAGCCCTATTTTTTAGGTCAAGATTAATTATGTATTTTATTTTTCTTAAAAATATTTGAATGAAAATTTAGTAGGCTTATAGTTCAAAATGGAGAAAATTTAATATAAAAGTCATTGAAAAGCCTATTAACTGGCGCTAAGTGTATAAGACATCGCATACCATATATTTTATAACGAATTATAATAGAAGAGACTTAACATGCTCGTAGACTGACCAGGAGACAGCAGCACCTGGCAAGAAGAACATCATACGAGGTACCATTCCTCTTAGGAACCCTCTAAGACCATCTTCCAAATAAATCAGACTTATCGCGTTTTGAATGTTCCCATATCTGGGCTTCGACAAATTCCCTTGACTTTGCATAAATTTCGTGCCGCAGCTAGGACAAGTTTCTCTCTGCGTCTGCAATCTCGTCTTAATAACATCCAAAGGAGTCGTAAGTCCAGCTGCCAAAGCTGCTGAAACTCCTGCACATGTAAAGAACCCATACATTGAGACATTTCCGTCTGGATACAGCTGAGACTTAAAATTCTCATAGAAAGTCATAAAAAGCACAGCTTGTGGCATATTCATTATCTATATATTTTTTACCAGTGTTATAGGTAAGCTTCTATATAAGCTAATGATTCCTTCATTTCCCACAACATGCTTAAGCATTCCAAGTGGCCCTTTTACTCTGTTTAATTGTATCCTCTGTTTGATTACTAAATAATGAATACCATCCATTGGAGTTATGATAATATCGTGAGAAGACGTCGCCAAAATTCCTGTGATTGCTGTTGAAAAAAAATAAAAATCTTTATTGCTTTCAATTTGGAAATGCCTTTTTGAATATTCGTAGATTGAAAAATAAGCTGCATGGGCTGGTACACAGCCGAGGATAACGGTCGAAACCCCTCTTCACATTTTGATAAATCCTTCGTTTTTCATTAGCTTTGCTATATCCCAGTATGAGGCTGATCTTGTAGACTCTGCTTGAGCAGGTGTCATAATTAAAATATGGTGTCTCAGCCATGGAGCTTCGAGCAGATATTTTAATTATATCCGCAAGGTGCGCCAGCGAAGAAATGGAAAACTATGCTAGCTAACTAATTCTGATACGTTTAGGGTCGAGCCTTTAGTCCACTTTCAGGAGCTGGATTTTACCTTGAGGGAGAGGGAAGCTTAGATTTTGAAAGGGGAAGTCTAGCAAAGTCTTTCAGGCCTATAGGGAATCTTCCTAGCGTGAGCAAGGAGTTACACCTTGGACTACAAGTTTTGTCTTTTTACCAAGAGTCGGCCAAAATTCCATTTCTTGGAATTTCTGTGCATCTGGATTACGGCAAGGCAATCCAGAAGACTTCACTCTCCGTTCGACGAGAGCCTCATGTGGAATCAAGTTAACTTCTTGGTGAGTCGATGGCAGGAAGCCCAACGAAGCAAGTGGAAAAACAACCCGTGGGTGCTAGCTGAAGCTTCTCGATAATCTAACTTAATGTTAATATAGCCTCTGCTTGAGCGAATGTCTAATTGGATTTCACCTTAATCGTGTCAAAAGGGAATGAAATTGAATGCTCTACTACACCAGCACAAGATCCGGCCAGCATATGTGTCTTAAAGGGTAATCTTCACAAAATAAATGCTTATTTTTCTCCAAAACTATTTATTTAAAACAAATTTACCTATTTCAGCATAAAATTTTCTGAATTGTCTTCCCAGTCAAGCAGCTTTTCTTCCATTCTTTTTTAATAAAAATGTCAGAGGAAGGAGATCCTCGTGAGCAGGACAGATTCTTGCCTATAGCAAATATATCGAGAATTATGAAAAAAGCATTACCACCTCAAGCGAAAATAAGTAAAGATGCTAAAGAATGTGTCCAAGAATGCGTATCCGAGTTTATCAGCTTTATTACCAGTGAAGCCTGTGAGAAATGCTTAAGTGAAAGAAGAAAAACAATTAGTGGCGACGATTTAATGTATGCAATGAATACTCTTGGATTTGAGAAATATATTGAACCTTTAAGGGTTTATTTGCAAAGGTATAGAGATCTTTCAAAAGGGGATAAACCTGAAGAAGCTGGGATTCCTCCAATGCTTTTCCCAAATAATGTGCTAAAACATGAGGGGAATGGCGAAGAGGAAGAAGAAGAGGACGAAGAGGAAGAGGAAAAATCTGATTAAATTAAAAAATAGAGGATGAGATTATTATAAAATTTGATATGAAATTCAAAAGATTCGTGTATTTTTGATAAAATGTAAAGAATTATGCTGAGTCTGATTGAGATATTAGGAAATTTTTAATTAAAAAATATTTATTATATTCAATTTATTATATTATAGATATGGCGAAGCTATTAATAAGCTTAAAGGATATTTTAATAAGTTTTAAGCATAAGAAAACTCATAAATGGATAAGTTATAATAAAAAATATGGGTAATTGCATGGATCCACCTTCGTTAACTCAGCTAAACAAAAAGGAAATCAAGCTTAAGTTTGACAAAGAAGAAACCGCAATGGGGCCGGAATATCGCCAGAAAACTACTGATGATCAAACACTTAAAGTTCTCACTGCAGAAAAGGCAAGAGCTCCTCAACAATCTCGAACATACGAAAAAGGTACTGTTAGGGTATAGCCCAGGACGGCATTTAGCTCGACCTGGGCTAGGAGATTCACCGCAACTAGTGGAGTTGGTCCTGCTCCATAAGTTACAAGCCAATTTCGTGAATTGACAAGTAAGTATATGCCTGCTATGTCAACTTGTGGATTTGATTGGCATTTATGGAGTCAGGCCAAATCCAAAAGTTGCATCGGAAGTGCTATCCCAGGACGAGCTAAACGCTGACCTGGCCTATATCAGTGTTCTAAGATAAAATATTCTAATAATAACAAATTTCAGCATTTCATTACTTTTGATAAATTTGAAAATCTCTCAAGATATTTTAAAATACTAACAGTAAAAGAATATGCTAAATTTTTTTCTGATATCAAAACTATATTCTATATGTATTTCTTTGGATAAAATAGAAAATCTTTACAAAATTTGAGACTGCTACATTTAAATTAATAAATTAAAATTTTGTAAGCTCAAGCATATTTTGATTAATGCATAGCATTTTCTATAAGCATGTCATTTTCTTATAAGAATTTACAATATAATTTTATGCTTTGTTATATGAAATTTCGTTCGTTTTCTTAAAAAATTATCATATCTCATATAAATTTTTTTAAATACAATTTATAGTTTGTAAAAAAATCAATTCATTATAAAACAGATAAATGGCTTCGAAGCAAATCAATAGCGATTTACTTATAGCTTCAGAAACAGAGCGAGCAAAAATCAGCGTCCAACGTCAAGAAGAACAAAAAGAAATCATCGCAAAAGTCGCAGAAGACGCTAGAAGTTTCATTAACCAAAATAAAGCAGATGTAATTTTCACATAGAAAGCTGTAGATTTAGCATTTCGTTGCCTACAAGAGTCCTCACAAATTTTTGGAGAAGATTCTATAGAGCTGATGCCTCTTTACTTCGAACTTGCCGACGGCAACTTGAAAATCGGTCGAAAAAAGCGTGCTGAAGGCTTTTTAATTGGAGGCCGCTGGACGTTACTTAAGCATCAGCCTAGTGAAAACGAAAAAACTGAAGAAAACAAAGAATTCGAAAAAAGAGTTTCCAAGCTTAGGTCACGTCTATTGAAAAGTTTTGGGTTTCTATTTACAGAAATTGGAAATTATCATGATGCTCTTGGCTCATTAACAGAAAATATTTATTTGGAAAGCCTAGATAAAGGACCTGAGCATTATTCGATATCAGGGTCATATTACCTTATGGGGAATATCTTTTTACAACAGCAGAAAAAAGAAGAAGCCTTGAGTTTTTATAATCAAATGAATTTGACGTGGAAAAAATTTTTAGATAATACTGAAGATCAAGAATCTTCAGGAATAAAAAAGGTAGAAATCGAGCAAGCCTGCAATGAATTAAATGAGGTCTTAACATTTGTGGAAAAGCACCTAGGAGATGATAGCGATATGCATGCAGAAATAAGAAATACATTATCAAGGCTTTATGACTATATTAATGAAATTGATAAAAAAGAGCATAGAGCTAGCCATCTTGAAGAAAATGACGAAGAATAAATAATAATTTGTTTAAAATACTTGTTTAAATTTATTAAAAGTTGATTAGGCATTTTGTAATTTTTCAAGCAAATATTTCGACTCTTGTGGACCTGTGTGCAAAATTAAGTTCCTAAAAAGTGAATTTTCAACTGCAACAAGCTCCTTAGGACTTCCCATTTCTTTACAAGTCCCTTCTTCCATCACGACTATTAAATCGACATCAATTATTGTCCTTAGTCTATGTGCAACAATAAGCATGGTATTTTTAGAAAACATAGTCTTTACTTTTTCATGGACAATTCTATCAGTTTTAGGGTCAACATTTGCAGTGGCTTCATCCATCATCACAATTTTGCTATTTCGGATCAGTGCTCGGGCAAGGCAAACTAGCTGTTTTTCTCCAGCGGATAAGCTGGATTCTCTTCCTGATAACATTGTGTCAAGCTTATTAGGGAGTGCTTGGACTACTTCATAAATATCAGACTGCTTGCAGATATTTAAAATTTCTTCATCTGTGTGCTCATGAAATGGGTCTATATTGTCTCTAAAAGTAGCCATAAAAATGATAGGGGATTGAGGAATAACTGACATTTGTCTTCTCAATTGATGAAGGCCAGCATTTATATAATCTTGGCCATCTATAAGGATAGTCCCAAATGTAGGGTTAACTAGCCTAAACAGCACGTTCATTATTGAAGATTTCCCTGAGCCAGTTCTCCCTACAATTCCTACCTTTTGTCCAGCTTCAATAGTAATATTCAAATCATGAAGCGCAAAAGGATAATTGTCTCGATATTTCATAAATAAATTTTGGATTTTAATTTTCCCATGGGTAATTTCAAATGGCGTATCAGTCTCAAACGCTCCTTCAGGCTGCATATCAGCATATTCCATAAGTCTCTGTGGCGAAATCATTAAAACTTCTACTTCAATCATGGTATCTCCCCATGAAGTTGTAGGCTGCATAGCTAAAACTAAGAAACATATGCATAAAGCTGCTAAATCCTCAGTTATAAAATCCCTCCACCCCACAAGTATAAAAGCACACATAATGCATAATAGGACTAAGAAAATTTCCATATAAAACTGATAGAATCTGAATGGAATATCTCTGCTGAACTCACAGCGGCAATTGTATTCTAGGGACACTTTCATGTCATAGATAAATTTTTGTTGAAGTTCGTGAGATCTTATGGTGACAATTCCATGTAAGGTTGAGTTGGCAAGGCTTAAGATTGGGCTTTTAGATACTAAGGTTAGGCCGCCGAGGTCTTTGACCATTGGTATGATGAGCTTAGAAAATCATATAGTGACCAATAAGTATATTAATACTAGAGCTGCAGCTGGAGGAATGAGGATGGAAATAGAAATGAGAAGGCCCCATATATCGAAAGCTTGGTTTACAAAATAGTAAAACATGCCATGTAATAATTCATCAATCATAAATGTATACTTATTTATACAGTTAGTAAGCACTATAATTAATATATAAGATAAGGTCTAATGATTGGATAAATTTATCAAAAAGGCATATCCTTTGAAAACCGATTGATCATTCTTCCAGTCTGATTTTTATCAAAGAACACAGTTGAAGTTTTCACCATGCTTTCCAAAGCTTTATTGTGTAAATTCTTTCCTGCAATTGTCATGCCATAGCTCAATATCCAGCAACGCAAAAATGAACAAAAATAGCATATACTTACAATTATTGCATAAAACCACACATAATAAGTATCTTCCTGCTCAGAATCAGATTGTGCTGACCATACTGTAAGCCAATATATGACAGCGATACTTGCTATTTGCGTTATCACCAATACAAGTAATACCAAAACAAGCACAAAGTTATATTTATAGCCATATATAAAAAACTGGTGATAAGTGTTTAGTGATATTGGAGGCAGGTCTTTTTCTTCATCTGCTATTGATGAAATAGACTCTGATTTGATTTCTTTTACATAAACAGAATAGTCAACTTCTTTCTTTTCTACGCTATCAGTCATTTGTTTTAATTCTCCAACGAAGTCTTCTATATCCGCTCTTCCTTGGAATTCTTGATATGTACCAAAAAATATCTGTTTTCCTTGGTTTAAAATTAATTTCCCTCACGATTAAAAAAAAAATATTTATATTAATTTTTAAAATTGTTTTCAAAAATTTCTTAAATTGGTGACAGATTAAGAGTTTATCAGCTTCTGAAATGAGATGGATTTGGTGGGTCACTAAAATAACAGTTTTATTTTTCAAATAATCTTTAATGCAATTTTTGAAAATAAATGAGCTCACTTCAGAATCAACTGCACTCAAAGGATCATCAAGAAGAATAACATCTCTATTAGCATATAATATTCTCGCAAGGCTTATTCTAGCTTTTTGTCCTCCACTTAATGTGATTCCATTGTCTCCAACGATTGTTTCATCTTTATTTGCAAAATTATCAAGATCTATTTCTAGCATGCACATTTTTATAACATTTTTATAGAGCTCTTCAATATATTCTTTATCCATTATGATGTTTGCTTTTATAGTGCCTGATAAAATTCATGGATCTTGGGCAGAATAAGAGGCTTTCCCATTTATTTTTACTTGTCCATTTGATTTAAATAATTCATCCAATAGTCCAAGTAATAAGCTGCTTTTTCCACTTCCAACTTGTCCTACAACAATCAATAATTCTCCTTTTTTGAGCTCAAAATTTATATCAGTCAGTACATCATTATCTATATTGTCTTTATTTATAGGATTTTCTTCAGTAGTTTCCTGATTTTCTTTTTTCGATATATAAGAAAAACTAGCATTTTTCACTGACACAGAAAAATCAGGATTTTCTGGGTTTTCTTTGTCACTATTTTTTTCACTTAATAATAAAATTTGTGTTAGACGCTCCATTGATAGCACTATTGTAGCAGCACTATATGCTGCATTTACACCCATTTTTGTAACTAAGCAATAAACTATACACATTGTTGCAACAACGCAAAATACAGTGCTAACTTCTAATGAATCGCCTAAGTGAACATAAAGTGCAAACGTTATAAGCAAGATTATTCCGATTCCAGAAACTCCTATAGAGTTATTTAATGAATTCGCAGCATATTCCTTATTTTGCTCTTTAATTTCTTTTGATCTTTCCATATATATCAGTCTTAAAAATGGCTCTTCCCATCCATACAACTTAACAACTCTAATACCTTCTATTATGTTCGTAATCATCACAATTCTTCTATCCCCATAAGTAGAAGATTTCATTCTATAATAGCTTGACATGCTTGATAACAAGACTGCTACTGGAAAATGAAGAATTAATACAGCCAAACCAATAATCCCAGCCCATCCTGTAAGAATGCCAATAATCAAAAATGCACCTATAAAAATAAATGGGCATCCTGCTATCATTCCTAAGGTAGTAATTCCACTAAAATATTCTAAATCAGCTGCTATTGTATTCGGCAATTTCCCTTTATATACCTTTAGCTTATGAATTATTATATAATCCCTTATATGAATATGCCTTAGCCATTTATATTAACTAGAATAATCCTTTTGTGAAATTTCTTCAAATGATGTATTTAGGACCTTTTTATAAACAATATATGGCACTATTGATTTTATTTTTATAGTAAGCAACCTCAAATAAAAAGCTCCTAGCGCAAATAGTGAAACACTCAAAATCGCTGCAATACCCAAGCATGCAACCAGTCATATACCTTCCATAGTATAACTATCATCAGTAAAAAAATCTATCAAAAAAATCATAATAACAGCTTGAGCAAGCCCAAGAATCTGCCCAATATTTAAATAAAAGGAGTATTTTGTAAATTCCCACCAAACAGTCCTTACCAGGGCATTGAGAAATTTCGGATTTGGTTTTCTTGTTTCAGTATCCCACTCTTTTTCTAATGTTAACAATGACTCTTCAAAATTAAATCTATCAGGTATTTTTAGAATATTTGAATGGCTTGGCTTATTTTTTTTCCAAAAATTTATTGTTTGGAATGCTCATATCATTCATAAATCAGTAAAAAAATTTCCTTTGTCATAATCAAATTTTGGCTCTGCCATTTAATAAAGCTATTAACGGATATTTTATAGCAATTAATATTTTGGGAGTCTTTAAAAAATTAAAAATTATTCTTATATATAAAAAAGTTAGCTCAATAGGCTTGAATGTGTTAAGATTATTAAATAGCATAATTTTTTTTATAAAGTTTTAAGGACTTTCTAATTAAAATAAGAGAAATAAATTGATCAGATTCAGTTTTGACATATATGAATAAATCTTATTATGGTATCTTCAAAAATACTTCATTATTAGTCTTTTATAATTAAAGTGGGATTCAACTTTAATAAAAAAATAAAAATTATGAATAATCTTATGCAGAAATATTTAAAATATTTCAAGAAAATGCCAAAATTTTAACTAATATCTTTTAAAAATATTAGATTTAGATTTTAGATTTCATTATAAAAATTTCCCAATTTAATCTATTTGAGCAGAAATAATAAAAGACTGAATGAGATATAAATTAAACTCTTTAAAATTTTAATTATGTTTAAATAAAAATTATTTATATCATCTCTAAAATAGGCTTATGGGTTTTCAAGATACGCTAACTCCCAATTCTTGAGTGAGCAAAACGATTGTAAAATCTTATTTTTTGGGTAAAAGCTACCCTTCGTATCTTTTATGAAAAAAATTTTGATATATAAGTGATAATTAGTTTAATGAAATATCTAGTTAATTCTGTTTAATTTTAAATAGATACATTTTAAAACATAAATTTTACAGATTAAATTAATATTTGCTTTCCAATTTTTGGGAATTGGGATTTATTTTACATTTCAAAAAAAAATTAACTAAAAAAATTATATATAATTTTTTTAAAAAAAAAAATAAACCCACCCAAACAAAATTTGTTTATTCACCGAGGGGAATAAGATATATTTTTATATATGGAGATATCAGAAATCGAAGCTCAGCTGAAGGAGATATTCGCTAATATCACTAAAGATTCTTATTTACTCCGTCTGCAGCGAATTCTTACTTCAGAAGAAACCGTAAAATTGATAAAATCTTATCCATCAGCAAAAAATCTTTTGGATATGATTTATGAAAATTTGCAGAAATCTTTATTACCATCAAGTCTATACAGTTTAATCCTATCACTTTCTTCTCATATTCCTAGATATCAAGCTGAAATAGGAAGAGCAAGATCAATTCACGATTTAAAAGGTAACTTTTTATGGTACGAGCAAGGATGCAAAGAATTATTCAACTCACCTAATAAAACACTAAAAAGGCTAAACTTATTCCATTTGATGGATACCCGCAGTAAAAGATATTTATACATGAAACACGGAAAATATCTTTTGCAAGATACCAAACAGAAAGTAATCACTTATATGCTGAGTGATAGAAAAACCACTCTCAGCAGCAGAGTTACGATGATAATCTACAGTTATGAAGGGAAAAATAAAGAAGCGTTATTATTCGAAACTAGAAAATCTAAACATTTGATTGCTAATCATAGTGAAAAACATGAAGAAAAAGCATTTGAAGAAAGACATGCAAGTCATAGTCAAAGTCCTATAATATTTTATGCTGACGCTACTTTATTTACCCCTTCGGTATTATCTGCTCAAATTGATAAAGAAATAAGTTTATTCAAAAACTCTCAAATGATAATTAAGATGATTATGCTCCCCATGAGCGGGTAAAACCCACTAGCAGTCGCCGATCTTGTCTACAAAATGGTGCCATTTTGATTTCCGACCTGACTCACCTGTTCAAGGGATCAGCTCCCTAGGGAAGAATCTGCCTGCAGAGTGCCCGATCTTTATGATGAGGAAATACCATGTGATAGGCAAAGCCTGTTTAGCACGTCTGGCATGGACAGGAAAACCTTCGAGGGAGAAACAAAACTTTCCTCTTAGGCAAGGCATCCCAAGCCTCAAGGCCTACCCTAAAAAGGAACAGAGGCCAGCTTCAGCTTCATCAGGATAGGTCCTACCTATTCCTTAAGAAGTGCGCCTCAAATCCAATTTCCGTCAACATCACCATTTTATTTCTTAAAAAAACTCCCAAGGCTTTTTTACAATCACTGATAGTGAAAATTTATGGACGAGAGATACTATAAGACCCGAAGACTTATCCTTTACCTCCCCTGATTTTCAGCCGGATTTCAAATTGCCTTGCAAAAGGAGCATGAGCAATATCATAATAAGTGAATTTTATTAATTCTTGAGTAAAATTAATTTATTGCTATTTAATATCATTACCTTCCTCTTCTTGCATAACTTGCATTGCAGCTTCCAAAATTTCATTATTTTCTTCTCCTTTTGCAATGCTTCCTCTGGCTGGGTCATTTCTCACAATATTTTTTTGTTTAATTATGTCGCTTTCAAACGTGATGCTTTGGAATTTTTTTACATTTCTCTCGCTTCTAGGCGTTCTTTCTCCTATTCCTATAGGCTCTACACTGGTAAACTCTATGATGACTACAGAAATATCATCAATCATTACGTCTTCTTCTTCAACTACCCCAAACCACCTATGCCTTGCTTCTTCACATAGTAATCTTGCTATAGTTGAGTTAGAGATTTTTGATGGGTAATCATCTGCGGGAAATCCTTTGGTAATTCCTCTGAATTTTTCTACAAAATTTATCACTTCTTGGTTGTCCATGACGTCTCAGAGGCCATCTGAAGCAAGAATTACAAATTGGTCACTTTCCGGGTAAAATTCAAAACTGTTGCAGATTGGGGTGGAACTGACACCTATTTCATGAGCTACAGTGTCACCAATAGACCTTGACATTGCGAGGCCTGGATAGTTTCCACGTTTAAGCCAAACCCTATATGGGCCGACAGGCTGCCCGGCTTCATCTGTGATTTTTTCGACGACGCCGCCAGCTGCTGTAATCCTTTTAAGCTCTTCAACGTGATTAGGCTTTTGATCTACTGTAATTGTAACAGGCGATAATAATCTTAAAGGTATTACTTTGTTTGATCATTTAGATGGAATTTTATGCTCTATGTGCTGGGGCTTGATTTTTGTGCCTTCTCGAGGTAAAGTCGCTAATATAGCTCTTGAGTCTCCTACGCTTCCAGCGTGGATTGCAGTAGAGTTTAAAACCACAATAACTGCAGTTGTGCCAGATAAGCTTGTGACAATTCCACTCATATTCAAGCTGTCGTCACATTCTTGAACCATTTCAATTATCCCATCAATTGGATTTTTTTCGAATTTTATGAAATTTTCAGTGAAAAAGTTTACCATATAATCTTTGCAGAAGTTTGCGATTTTTTGCCCTTCTTTACCGTGTCCATCAAACAAAACTGCTAAAATGGTATCATCTTTGTATAGAAATGTGTATGTATCTTGACATTCCTTATTTCCCTTCTGTGGGCGAATAAAAATATTTGTTTGAATAAGGAATTTTTTCATTATTTCAAACAATTCCGAAAACTGGAAAGCAAAAAATTCAATTAAATTATAAAATTTATGTTTTAATTGCAAGCTGTTTAGATTTTAATGAATTAGTTGTAGATTTCATTTTAATAATTAAAACTTATACATCGATGAAGGTTATTTTCAATGATTTTGCTTGTTCACAGGAGGGAGCTAGAAATTTCTCCGCGCGGGTCAAGTCCTGGGATAACACACCCAGTCATACGTATAGGAATTTTTCCGACGGTGCAGACTAAGGTTTCCTGATGAATTGGCGCTAGTAATTCAAATTTCACGGCCTGGCTCCCATTAATTCTTCCAATATTGTCTTTGCTAATAATATGGATAGATTGGTGTTTTTGATATTCTGGATCTATGTTAGAAGTCGCCACCAAATTCTGAGCGCTTGGATTGAGACAACAGTTTCCCATTCTTTTTACTATCTAATTCATATTGAATTTTTAATGATAAGTCTATTAAAAGCATAAATGCCAGAAATTAAAATCTATTTTGCATTATAGCCAAATCTTATTTAAATATGAATTTTCTCTAATAAATGCTGAGATATAGCCTGATCACTTTTATAGCTCAAGATTCCCAATCTTTCCATGGGCAAAGAGGGGAGTTAGTTAGCTAACTAACGTTGGCTTGGTAAACTCCGCAAATGGCAGAAACCCTGCATTATAAGGTTATGAACTGCCTCTTGAGGAGTTGGTCAAATCGATATTAATAGATTAAACAAGCTCCCTATTTTTCAATCTAAAAAGATTAGGAAGAAGCCAAAAGAGTTCTTAGGCTATAAATAGCTATCCATATACATAAAATTAAATGATAGCAAACACATAAATCCTAGAAGACGTTTATAATAATAAATAAAGCATTGAAAATAAAAATTAAGCAGAATTTATATCTCAGAACACTCTCTAAAACTCAATATTTATTGAAGAATTATTCAAGATAATCAATATATAAAAACGAAGTTAAAGATTAATTCACTGACCCCTCAAAAATCGTGGAGAACAGTGAAAATCCCAACATTTGCTTCACGTTAAACTCGTCATCGTTCAGCATTTCTCTGCACTTAAGCCCAATTCCATCAATCGGCATGCTGAGGACATAGCCCTTTGGATCTCTATCGAAAACTTTATACTCGAACGTAGGATGGTGTTTCCTGTATTCCTCCATTTTATGTCTTGCATAATGAGCATCACCAGCTACTTCTCCGCTGTAGTCAATTCACTCAATTTTATATTCATCCCAGTGGTGAAATCCTTCTAGAGTTTTTCTTGCTGAAGAATGGCTGCTGAATTCAAGGATCGCATAGTATGCTATAAAAAACTAACATCAAGGTCTTTAATATTTAAATGGAATTAAGCCAAGCTTGATCTGTTTCAGTATATACTTTCTAAGCTAAATACTGTATATTAACAATTATTTATAATTTTCAGTCTATTTTTCATTAAAAAGATTACCCCTCTTTAGTCCCAATTTCTTCGGTCCCCAATTTAACGCTTAAAATACGTAGCGTATTGGAAAACAGTGAGTAAACAAAATCACTGTTATCTTCCTTTTTAAGACCGGAAAGCTTCAGACTTTTATTCAAACAGTTGCCCGTGGTAACTATTTGTTTTTTTAAAGTGTTGTAAAGGTTTTCGAACCTTTCTGCATCATTTTTAAACAGATGTCTATATTTGTCTAATAAGTCACAAGCTTCTTGCGTTTTTCCACGCTGGTGGAGAAGACTTGCCAAGTCCTTGATGGCGCTTTCGCAGCGCTCTCCACTTTCTATTGTTAGCTTGTATAGAATTCTCTTTAAATTGCCTAATGAATTTTACAAATAATTATATATGGTCTATAAATTGGTAATTTGGCTTATTATAGTAATAGTTTATTTAGGGAAAATCTTGTAGAAATGCTCAGCTTTATCCAGATCTCGCTCTTTGTATTCAGCAAGTTTGGCTAAAGCATAAGGCGTGTCACCTTTTGGGATTGGGAGAGGATCATTCTGGTCTCTGTTGTGGTTCAGGTCAACATCATTATTCGGAACCTTTTTAGAGATTTTCTTTGGTGCAGAAGGTTTGGATGGCTGCTTCTTGATTGTTTTTGCATTTGCTTTCCCTGCCATTCTGAATTTAAGTTTTACTAACTACCCCTCACTCCGTGAGCGAACCAAAAAATGTATATTTTTTTTCGAAAATAAATTATATAAATTTTATATTAATTTGTTTTTTAGAAATTTAAATATCCTAATTGGAAGCTAAAATTAATTTAATTTGCAAAATTTATGCTTAAAAATGCAAGACTTTCAAAATTCAATAAAATTTGCTATAATAAAATTATTTATATATCAAAAAAAATTTTTTTGCTCACGAAGGGTGGGTTTTTTACACAAAAATAGGAATTTTTCAATGGTTTTGCTCGCTCACAGAGAGATTTAGGAGTAAATAATTATTATAAACATTAATTTCAACAGCTGAATGGAGGATTAGGTATATGGAGGAATAATGTACCGGCAATGGAGCTGGCTGTTGCAAATTTGGATAAAAATGGCTTGAATAGATAAAACGTGATTTCAAGTTAAAATGCTCAAAAAAATGTGATAGAGATTAGAATTATTAGAATTAATTACTAAATTTTACTTCGGTTTGATATTTAATTTAAATTAGATAAGTAGCTGATAAGTGGTTTATATTGCTTATAAAATTTATTTTTTATATTTAATAAAGGAGCCTTAGAGATGATTGTCTAATTTTTTGAATTCTTATTTGTGTTGATTGATTATATTTTAGGTTGCAACGACTCAAATTAACAGAAAATTTAATAAATTCGTTATATCATTTTGGCAAGAACTCATCAATAAAAAGGATTTAATAATAATTAAACTCAAAGCCTTGTTAAATTTATTAAAGATATGAGCGAAATTATTAATCCAAATTCTTATCAGCTAATAATTAACCTTTAATTTTGAATGAAGAAGCCAGCAATCTGGCCACAATTTTTAGGATTATTATGTACTTCTTACTGGTTTTTAATATGAGCTTAGATTTAATAACTCGTAGTTTTTTGATATAAATAAATAAGATTTATTTAATTTAGATATAAAATAAGATTTATTTAATTTTAATTTAATAAGTTCATTTTAATATTTTTAGCTTGATGTAAATTATAGTCTTCAATATTTTCAGTTCATTTTGCACAATAATTATAAAATAAATTAAGAGAATAAAATCATGGCAAAGATAACTAAACTAACAGAAGCTCACTTAAAAACAATTCAAGACAATGAAACAGCCATTAAGCAAGCAATTGACCCAACTGCTATAAGAAATGAAAAGTTGCTAAATTTTCAAGACATAGATGCAATTAATACTAAAACTGACGATAAATCTACCGATAGAAGTAATTCTGCAAGAAAAAATATCGTCACACGAGCCATTCGGAGAGCTGAAAGTTTACAATCCTCTCCTAAATCCCAAAAATCCCCATCAAAATTTTCAGTGGACATCATAAATACATCGCCATCTCCTCGTAAGTCTACACAATTCTCAACAGAAGGCACTCCAAAAAATATATTTGGATATAGAAGGGCAGAAGATATTGAGCAGGAATATGAAGAATTATACAAAAACTATACAGAAGAAGAAGTTAAAAGAGATGAACATATACAAGCTTTAACAAGGCAGCTGAATGAAATTAAAGAAAAATACGAAAAACTGGTAAAAGATGGGGAAAATGAAAGAAAAAAGAGAAAAATAAGCGAGGAGGGCGTCAGTTATGAAGAAATATTTGGAGATATTGAAAAATCTCAACAGGAGGCCTCAAAATTTATTTCTGAAATTCAAAATATTGAATCAAGAATACAGAAATGCCCTTATTAGTTAAGAATTTTTAATAATCAATTAAAATAATTGCAGATTTCCATAATAAGCAGTAGCATCTGATATAAAAATGCTTTTGAAATTTTTTATAAATGGAGAGATTATACATCGTAATTATATTGGCTTTCTTTATGATTATTCCAATTTGGTTCATAGGGTACAGTATCAGACGCTGTATAAGGCACTGACATGATGGTATCGACCGAACTCAGACCATTACAAAGAATTTAGTGATTAAATATATTTGCAATATATCCTCAGCAATTTTTAACCTTATTCATGTATTCTATATAGTGCCTTGTGATATTTATGAAATTGACGAAAAAACTGCCAGGATTATTTTCTTTACCTGCTTAGGGATTTCATGGCTTTTTAGTTTATACTTACTCCTTTATTTTTTTATAAAAATTATTGGCGTTGCTAATATAATAAAAAAAAAAAAAATTATGAAAAAATAGAGAAAGGCTAGTAAATTTTGAGCATCGGCGTAGATTACTTACGACTTGGTATGGACTCAGAAGTTTTTGGCCGATAAATATGCTTTTACAGATGTGCTTTACGATTTTCATCCTGCTTGACCCAAGAGAAAACAGTGAAATGCTGCAAGAATGAAAAATAGCAAGCTTCGTAATGGGTTGATGTGCCTCAACAATATTATCGCTGTACTCGTTTTTCAAGCCAAATGAATTTACAGTTATTTACCTAGAGCCTTTGCTATTTCAAACTCATAACAATAATATTGCAGGTAGGCAAAACTCTAAAAGGCGGTCAGTAATAGCACTTGAAGAGCTTGAAACAAAGCTTATTACGACGTCAATCAAAGAATGCAAAGTAAAAACAGAAAAAAATCGTCAAGTTGTGTATTATCATATTATTGTTACAGTAGGAAACGACACCCATACAGTAAGAAAGACATACCCTGACTTTGAATGTTTACACAACAGCTTACGAGAAAAATTCCCTAAAACTGAATACCCGAACTTAGAATTCCCAAAATTCCCTATGACAATGAGTGGGTCTGCTAAAATTGATGAAAGAAAGCATGCACTCGATGAATATTTAGGAAATTTATGTTTCCCTGAATTTATGATAGATGATTTTTTGAATTTTTTACATATAGAAGGCCAGGGAAGAACAACCTGCATAGAAGCTCACAAAAAAATAATGGGTGAAGAAAGAAGACCAAGCATTATAAGCGACACTATTGCAAGTAACCATGGATCTTTTGCTGCTTATTATTTTAGTCCTCGAGATTTTTTAAAAGATGATGCAGAACAGCGAAAATTAAATAATTATCAGCTGCAATCATATATTAATTTAAGAATCGTCAAATGGGTTGAAGAAAAAGAACATATAGAGTATATTATTCAGTGGAAAGCTGTTAAACTTGCAGGGGAAGGAGTTGTTATGAAAAGGTATAGCGAAATTTGGGATCTTCATAGAAGGCTTAGAAAAATATTAGCCCCTGCGGGGCTTCCAAGTTTCCCTAAAAAGAACTATATGCAGACTCTCCGAAAAAAAGACAATGAAGCGATTGATATTAGGAAGATAGAGCTAGAAAACTATTTAGGGCACATATTAAATGATCCTGCATATATTTGCCAAGAACTCTTGGATTTCATTGAGTGTAAACTTACTATTGAATCCCTATGAAAATGCAATAATACGGAGTGATCATATTTATTGTATACGCCCATATCATGGGATAATGAACTTGATAAGGATTCTCATTTTATAATATATACTCTTAAATTCGGGAAATTTGAGAAATCTAAAAAAATTGACGAATGGACAGTAAAAAGGAGGTATAAAGACTTTGACCAGCTTAATAATTTCTTAATCAAACGCTCCTCAAGTCCTATGCTTAACAACTATTTAAACGTCAGAAATAACTGGAAACTTATAAAGCAAACTGAATCTACTTTTCCAGTACTTCCAGGAAAATCGTTAACACCTCTGAGTTCTCCAAAAGAAATCGATAATCGCAGACAGGGGCTTGAAGCATTTTTAGAAGGTTTACTTACAATCCCTTCAGTTATTGACGCTTTTGAGTTTAAATCATTTATAAATGATTGTGAAGGATAAGTATTTGTAAAATCTAGTAAATAATAATAGATTGGATAATAAAGAAAATATCTTTTATCTTATATAATTTTTTTATTAAAATAAAAAAAATGCATTTTTAGCTCCATAAAGAAAAAATCCTATAATTTCTTATCCTTACGAAATAATTTAAAATGGAAGTCTCATCCGGAATCGAAGACATACAAAGAGCATGCCGTTTAGGCGACCGAAGCCTTTTAAAAGAAGCTCTTGATGGCTATCCTGAAGGGATAAATCAAGTCGACCCCACCTTAGGCTGGGCACCTTTATACCGAACTGTTATATGCGGCCATGTAGAAACTACACAGCTACTACTAGATATGGGCGCAGACCCAGACGTCAAAACAAAAATGGGTGAAACTCCTCTCCATCAAGCTTCTTATAACAGCCAATACCAAATAGCCAAGCTTTTGCTTGACTATAAAGCAAATCCTAATGTCCAGCAGAATGATGGGGATACTCCATTACATCATGCTGCTTTTAAAGGTGACATTAATATGGCCAGCCTGCTATTAAAATTCAACGCAGACCCCAATAGCCCAAATTTTGTATTTGGGAGAACGCCTTTGCATTATGCTGTGGATTATAATCACATTAAGGTAGCAAAACTTATGATGAGGTATTCAGGATCTGTTGAGGTAAAAGATATGAGTGGAAAAAACGCCCTTGATTTATCAAAAAGCACAGAAATGACTGGAATTTTGACAAAAACAAGAAACTCAGGGTCAGCATCAGAAAAGTCAGCTCAAAATTCTCCATTAAATTTGCCCTGCCCAGACCCAGTCGATAACATTCCTTCAATTCCTTTAGAATCCTTTGAATATCTAAACTTAAGCCCGTATTCTTCCAAAAACAACTCCTTAATGGGCACTCCTACACACGAAATGAGCAAGCTTAAACAAATTGAAGAAGTAAACAACCGTCTCCGAGAAAACGTTAAGTCTTCTGTAGACGAAATAAGGAAAATCACTCACCATCATAGTAGAAGTGCAAGCTCAGTCTTTGAGCCTGATGCTGAAAAGACTGAGAGCGATATAAGATTATCAAGTATTCCTGACAAAGACAAGGTCAGGACAGTCTCTTTTGGAAATGTTGAGAAAAAGACAGAACTTTATAATTGACTTGTCAGTATGAAACTAGAAGAGTTGTATGAAATTTTGATGGTGGCTGGATATGATGATATTGAACAAATGACGTCGCAGCTGAATTCCACACTTCCTATTTCTGAAGAAACCTTGGTAGGCATTGGGATTATGAAGTCAGGGCTGAGAAGAAGGTTACTAGCTGCGTTAGATGAAGAAGCAAGGGGGCTCAAAACTTCTAGGAAACTCCAGAAACAAGAGTCAAGAAACCCTTTAAAATGCTGTGCAGCTCCAGTGGCTGCAAATAACGGGTTTTTAAATGTCCCAAATCTACAATCTTGACTAGAAAACCTAAACTTAGGCCAATTATATACAAATTTCATTGACTCTGGCTATGATGAAATGGAGCAGCTTTTTGCCCTCATGAATTCCAAATGGCCCATCACCGACGAAATCCTCTCATCAGAAGTAAAAATAACCAAGCCCGGCTATAGGCACCGCATCCTTTCCAAGCTACAAGAAGAATCCGTCGGCTTCGACACGATGCGAAAAAACTTAGGTGGATTCAGCAGCAGAAGTCGCAAAGGAGAGGAATTTATCATTGATAAAACAAAATCCAACGCAGCCTGCGAATTGTGCCTGATAATATAAAGATTAAATTAAGTTGAGGAATATAAAATGGCAGGGATACATAGTTTAAGAGACCTTCCTCCAGAAAGACGACAAAGGCTAGTTAACGACCCAGCAAGGACTGGGCAATATCCTTTGCTTGGATATGGCTTTCAAATGGGCACAGCTGAGCAAGCTCGTAAAGAAACATTTTGTCAAATGCTGAAATATATTTTTTGCCCTTTCTTTACAACACGTTCTTTTATTTTTGTAATCACAGTTATTGATATTGTCATATATTTTGTCACAGTTTTCTATGATTATGACTCAAGCAACTTTCTGGAACCCACAAATCACTCATTAGACGAATTCGGGGCGAAAGATCCTGAAAAAATGCAGCAGGACTACGAAATGTGAAGATGGTTGACCCCGATGGTTTTGCATGCAAATTTGACCCATATAACGTTTAATATGATAATGCAGGTTATCCTTGGGTTTAGACTAGAGCCTACTGTAGGGACTAAAAGGACGATTATTGTGTATGTGGTCTCAGGGATGGGAGGAATCCTGTTTAGCTGCTTGGTTAGTCCTACAACGATGGCAGTAGGAGCATCTACCTCGATCTTTGGGATTACGTCAGCTATGTTAGCATGGATTATTATGAATTGGACTAGCCTAGAAGGGGATGTTTATAGAACAATTACCTTGATTTGGCTAATTATGATACTGATTTTTAACTTGATCATGGGGTTTGTAAGGATTATATAGGCTTCGCCACTAGTTGATAACTGGGGACACTTTGGAGGACTGATTGTAGGATTTGGGATGGGATATGCGGTATTTGAGTATATTGCTCCACCAAATCGTAAAGAAAAAAATATGAAAATTGGTATGGCAGGTGCTGTAGGGTTTTATTTCGTGCTTGGATTTATCTTGTTTTATACAGTTGTGAAGACTTAATTATATAAGCACACTGATAAATATTTTATTAGTTTAGTAGTTTTTAAACCTATTTTAAATTTTATAATAGCCCTTATTTAAAACATTTGTTATGCAGCTTCCTGATTTTTTTATTAAGTATAGCATATCCATGCTAGTGGATTGCTATGGCACTGACGTCTGCTGAGATGATCGGAGGGTTGGTGAAACAAGCCAATGAAATGATAAATCCATTAGATATTGAGGGAGAGAGTTTTATTATTAACTCTGTGGCATTATTTCAGGCCACTGTCCTATTTCTTTATAAAAATTCAATATTAGATCAATGAATCAGTAAAATTGCGAGGTTCGCACCCCAGAATTTACTCTTATGAGCAAATTTTAGTTGATTTCTAAATATTCAATATTAGATATTGAAGAATTGTTGCTTCAAGGGTTGATTTCACTAACCCCAATCATTCGTCTCAGTAGGCCGGATTTTAGCAATTCACAAGCGTGGAGAGCTGTATAATACTGAATCCATATAAGTTATTTTAAAGCCTATTGGAAAAAATTCCTTCCGTCTCTGAAATAAGCTCATTTTTAAATCTATAGTCGATATTTTTATTTGCAAACAGATTTAAGTGATTTTATTGATAACTATACTATTTAATTGCACAAATTTCATAATCTGAAAGATATAAATGGAAAACAACCTATCAGATCTGATTTTTAATGAATCAGAATTCTTAGACTTCAATTGGGATAATAAAAGCCTAACTAAGCCTTATGAAGAATCTAATCTTCCAAAATGCGTTTTATGTGGCAAGTTTGTGTTTGAGAATGATTCAGATCGTGGACCATATAAAAGGCTGAAAAAGTCTGATATTGAGATATCTGTACCACAGCCTTTTTTGTGTGAAAATTGCTTAAAATTGAATAATTCTGAACTAAATAGCTTGAGAGATATATCATTTTATATTAAATATCTATTCATTCTGCTGATACATAATAAATTTAAGCTAAATTAATTAAATTATTATGGGTTTTTTCTTCCAAAATCAAAAGGCTAGTTAAGCGAGAGCAAGCAAAAAGAAAAATCCTAAAGAACCCAGAAATTGAAAATCCAATCCCGCTAGAAGATAACCCAAAAAAGCAAGAAAGGCAGCTTAAAAACCGACTAGCAGCCCAACAAAGCAGAGATAAACATAAAATATTTGTGAGTAATTTAATACAAGAAAATGAGCAGCTTAAATCAGAAAACCAAAAACTCCAGACAATTAAAGCTGAAAACTCGCTATTGAAAAAGCATCTTTCTCAATTTTTTTTAAAAAATAACGAAATTTCGCTGTTTAAAAAAGCTGCTAAAGGGGTTACAATAGCGCTAGCTACTATTGTTTCAATAATGATTCTTGCAAATACACTTGAAAATACTATTGAAAACTGTATGAATTTGCAAAAATTCAATTTAGATGATTATAAAGATTTATCTGGGAAAAGTGTCAAGGATGCAGCGAATTCTATGCTTTTCTGCTTTGGGATAGATCTAAGTGCTTTTCTTCCTTGTGAAGAAAGAAATATAAATTCAGAGTTATTAAGTAGCCAATATTTTATATACCTATAAAGCATTCCTATTAGTTGATTTAGTTCGATATTGATATAATAAATAAGAAAACGAATAGCCAGTAGGAATGTTTTTATTGATTGCAATAGGTATAGAAAACTCAAATAATGATCTTCACAATACAATATTTTGTCCTGAAGCTATTCTTTTATCTGATAAAAATGAAAATTCAAAACAAATAAAGTTTATATTCCCTAACTCCCCCCCCCCTCCGTGAGCGAACAAAACCATTAGAAAAATCGCCATTTTTTGACCAAAAACCCACCCTCCGTGAGTGAACAAAAATTTTTTTAATAATAAAAAAATTTTAATGGAAAAAAATTTTTGATATATAAGTGATAATTAGTATAATGAAATCTAGAGCTAATTCTGTTTAATTTTAAACAAATTGCGTTTTAAAACATAAATTTTGCAAATTAAATTAATATTTGCTTCCCAATTTTTGCAAATTAGGGATTTTTTTAAATTTCGAAAAAAAATATTTTTTATAAAAATTTATATATAAATTTTTTTTTTAAAAAAAAAATTAAAACCCCCCTCCGTGAGCGAACAAAATTTTTTTGTTCGCTCACGGAGGGGGGGGGGGGAGTAAAGATAATTTCTCGTCGATTATTGACATAGCTAGAAAATCACCAAGCCCATATGTATCAATGTCAGTACCCACATCACATTTAATCTTATAGTGGCATCCTATAATAATTTCTATAATGATAATATCAGAATAATTTTAAAATTGGTATTCAGATTTAGCTAATGCATCATAATTTTCATTTAATATAAAGACAAATTATGTGTCGGAATTTTTATCCATTTACCTATTATTTTCTATGTGATAATTATGCAGTAAACAAACAATCAACGTAGTTTGACATAATATCTCCCACAATTTTCTTATCAGGAAATGAAGTAACCATTCCATATAGCTGGCAAGTATGATAAGCATTCACATCAGGAGATTTCAAGACTTCTTCAACAGCTTTGCGAAGGTCTTCAATAAACTTTTCAGCTTGAGGGGCATTAGCATAAGTGACGCATAAATGCGCTCCAGGAGGGTTTTGGATTGCATTTAATCCCCATCCTCCAATTCTGCTCATAGCTGACACAATTGCCCAAACATTGACAGTTTTTGACTGAAACGCCACCACACTCATAAGTGGGTCTCCCATAAGTTCAATATGAGGAACTTTTACAATTTCTCTCTTAATATATGTAGCTGCGTCCATTATAGATTTAGCGCACTCAATATAAGAAGCCCTGCCCATACTCAAAAGGGTAGTCCAAGCGCCAACAGATATACAGCCAGTCCTGCTTCCTGATAAAGTTGGAGTTGCATAAATTCCTCCAGTCCATGTAGGCGACACAAAGTAGCTATATTTTCTTAATTCTTGATTAGCAAACATTAAGCATGAGACTCCTTTAGGCGTGTATCCGTACTTGTGAGGATCACAAGAAATTGAAGTTACACCTGGGACTGAAAAATCGCATAAAGGGATATTGTAGCCTGCATCTTTCATAAATGGATGCAAAAAGCCACCTAAGCAGCCATCAATGTGGAAATTTTTTTTATGCTTGATTGCCAATTTTCCTAATTCTTCAAGGTTATCGATAACTCCATATGCATAGCAAGGAGCGCTTCCTATAATTACAACTGTGTTTCTAGAAATTTTTTTCCTTACTGCATTAATGTCTACTTTGAAATCAGGGCCAAGTTTTACATGAACCAGCTCCATGCCAAAATAATGTGCTGCTTTGTCAACAGCTGCATGAACAGACACTGGGGCCAAGATTTCAGGCTCAGTGATGCCTTGCTCTCTGCCCCATTCTCTGTATGCAAGCATTGCTAATAAAAGACTTTCTGTTCCTCCTTGTGTTAAAATTCCGCATGCATTTGGCCCTCCATTAAACAAATTTATTGTGATTTGGACAATTTCGCTTTCCATTTGTCTAACAGCTGGGAAAATTTCAGGGTGAAGAGGATTGGAGATTATAAAGGATTTCATAGCTTTGGCTGCTATAACTTGTAGATTTTTACCTCCGTGATAAATAGCACCTGAAATTCTGCCACCTTTTTGGAATTCGACGTCTCTTTGGTATATAATTTTAATTAAATATTTTTTTATTTTGCTATATAATTTTTAAATAGGGCCATCTCTTTCTGCCCACTTGCTTAATCTTTCAAATAGTGTTTTAGTATCAATTCCAGACGCAGGAAGAGCAGTTATTGGGTCTTCTCTATGTGCCAGCATCACTTTCAGAAGTTCTTCCTTTGTTGCATCATTTTTTTGCTGGAATTGTTTCTTGAAATACTTGAACCTTAAAAGAAAACGAGAAACTTTTTGGATAATAATTTGCTTCAGACCTTTGCGTCGGATTAATTTGACCCATCCAGGGAGTTTTGTGAGTATGATAACAATGATCGCTGTGAGAAGTGAGATTTTCACCGGAGAATAAGCGACCATATTTTTTGAGGGTAAGAAGGAAAAAAATACATTTTTTTTTTTCAGTTAAAACTGTTCAAAAAATTTTTTTAGTGTTAAATTCATCCCGTGAAAAGTAAAAAACTATAAAGTGAAAGGGTTAAAAACTAAAATGAAGTAGTAAAAATAATATAGATGCATTTTACCCAAAAAATGTGAAAAAGCATCATAGATAAAATATATACCTTTAGGATAAATGATATTAATCAGAGAGATAGCAGGCTGATATTAAAAAGCAATACTATTTTTGTCTTCTAACTAAATTTAAATAAGGTATTTCTAGTGCACAAATAGTATAGAAAATATGATATATTTTACCAGCGCATAGTAATTTTTTTTACCTTTTTATCTATTTGTATTTGAACACCTGTTTTTGTACCATCAGAAAATACTTGAAGGTTTTTCATACCAATTTTTGATGTTAATATTTTTAATACACATTTTTTCATATTTTTAAACACTCTTTTTTCATTTAATATATACCTTTTGCGTCTGATTTAGATATAATAAATAGCTATTCATAAGATTATTTAATGCACTTATTATCAATGATTTTTTATTGCACAATATACACTAATTCATATTGCTTTATAATGTCAGCCTGCTATCTCTCTGCTTAATATCATTTGCTCTTGAAGGTATACTTTTTTGCTATGATGTCTTTCCGCCATTTTTTTGGGCAAAAATCCATCGTTATTTTTACACATTCACTTTGTAGTTTTTATTTTCACCACGATACTTTTAGTACTTACTCACCCCCTCCATTTAATAACGAAAAAAACCGTCATTTTTTTTATTAAAAATTTTTCCTTAGGCCCCCATTTAATAACGAACAAAATTTACTATAAAATTTATATAAGCTAATTTAGTCTTTATAGTTTACTAATTTTAAGTAGTTAGAATAAGATAAGGACAAATATAATCGAGCAAAGAATAATAAATAAGAGCTAATAGCTAATAGTGGCTTAATCTTAAGCTGGTGCTTTACTCCCCCCCGCTCCATGAGTGAACAAAAAATCTCTCGTTCGCTTACGAAGGGGGTTAATTTTTTTTATAAAAAATTATTTATAAATTTTATAGATAATTTTTTTTTTTCGAAATTAAAAAAATCCTAATTCGCAAAAATTGGAAAGCAAATATTAATTGAATTTGTAGAATTTATGTTTTTAAAACGTAATTTGTTTAAAATTAAACAGAATTAGCTCCAGATTTCATTATAATAATTATCATTTATATATAAAAATTTTTTCCATAAAAAATTTTTCTATTAAAAAAAAATTTATTCGCTAACGGAGGATGAGGGATTTTTCTAATGGTTTTTGTTCGCTCACGGAGGGGTGGGAAGTTAGCAATAGTTATCTTTTCGCTTTCATTTAGGCGCTTTCTCTTTCTGTGCCATCATTTGAAACCCTTTATTATTAACTCTTTAATTGGAATTTTTATATAAAAAATTCATAGATATTTAATATAAGTTTTTATATATATTTTTTTTTGCAAACAATTTTATAAGTTAGACCCCATTTAATAACGAACAAAAAAAGTGTTCGTTATTAAATGGGGGGGGAGAGTTAAATTTTTTTTAAATTTTCAGTCACTTTTGATTGAAAAAAGCGAAATAAAGTCGGTTTAGTATTTTATTCTTCACCCTATTTTTTGTGATTATGTCACAAAAGTGAAATGGTCATATTAGCTCATGTATTAGCTAAGGCAAAATATAAAAATTAAAGCTTTTATTCTCATTTTAGGGAAATCATGAAAAAATAGATTGTCCTTTTATATAGTCAGGAGTGAATGAAATTTAAAACAAAAAATTAGTAGGTAGAAAGAGTCAGGGATTTTTCAAACCCACACTATAAAGTTAAAAGTTTTATAGCAAATTGCATGGATAAAAAAGGATTAAAAAGTTTTCTGAAGAATAATATATATTGAATTGAGAAAAATTAATAAATAAATAAGAAAGATTATCATAATTATCTAATTCTCATAATCTATCAAAATTGAAGGCAAGAACTGCATATTATGCCTAATAATATTTTATTTTTCGATTTGATTTTTTTTGATAGTGATTATCCCTTTCAGATTTAAAAAATACAAAGAAAAGTGCATCGATTTTAAACGACTTAATTATAAATCAGAAAATAATTGCCATTTTATATGTTTTTATTTAACAATTTCGAATTTTCTTCCATGTTTAACCTTTGTTAATTAACTAAATTATTTTTAGAATGGTCTCCGTTATAGCATCATAAAATTTAAATAATTTGTTAATATTAAAATCTTCGTACTTCTATAGTAATGTAGGCAGTTTTAGTTTAAAATTGGCATAGCTCAAATTATTTACATTGAAATGGTTGTGGAACCAACCCACCCTCTAAAAGCCTGCAGCCGGTGTAAGTTGGGAACTTGTGGAAGTGAGGATGGCATTCGGGGTTATCTTCGGATTTGGTGGGGCACAATGTCGGATTAGTCAATCCATTTAACTCCAGATTAAGGTTTTACTTATGAGAAAGGCTCAAATTTTGAAAGGGAAGTCGTAGCAATACCAACGAAGCGGAGTGTTCCAAGCGCGATATCAGAAGTAGTATTCTGGGCTTTGAGATTTCATCATGGCCGACAGTGGCAAGATAATTATTTTTCGAATTTTCTAGAAGCTGAACCCATATTCACGCACGGCATGATAGCCAGCGCCTTCGATCTCGAGTAGCTAGTGCAAGCCCTCGTCCTTGAAAATCAGCTCAACAGATTGCCGAGTCCGAATTTTTTAATCAAGATGCGGATCGATATAAGGGCACTAGTGGGTGAAATATACCTACAAGAAGTTTCTCTACAATCTTAACTAAAAATTAATGCATAGCTCTAATTAAGAAATTGCCATCAGCTTATAAATACAAATTTATCATATTATCATGGAAAATCTTTTTTCAAATGTAATTATATGAGATTCCTTGTTATTATAACCCTATGCTCGATATATACCTTTACTTTAAACTGATTTCATCAAGCTGAAGCTAAATTTCATAAATGGAACTTAATAGCTTGATTTTCCCAGCACCAAAACCATTTTACAGCGAAGACTCGTTCCCAGGAGAGCTCATATTTGTCCCCCGAGTTAATTCCTCCACAAAGCCCAGGATTCCTTGTTTATACTTGACATGTCCAAGAGGATCAAGTAAAGTTCTTCTTTACTTTCATGGAAATGCTGAAGATATAGGACTAGCATATGAATTACTAGACCATTTAAGATCTACCTTAATGATGCACGTAATTGCAGTTGAATATCCAGGCTATGGCTTATACCCTGGGGAAAGTTCCGCAAGTCAAATAATTGAGGATGCTGACAACGTATATACCTCTGTTAATTGAATATAGGCATAATAATTAAGGTAAATATATTTGGCCTATCAATAATCATTCAGCCTAAATAAGCATATCAATATCTTGTACAAGAAGTCGGAATAAATCCAAGAGACATTATTGTTTTCGGCAGATCTATTGGAACAGGCCCAGCCTGCTGGCTAGCTGCAGAACGAAATCCAGGCGCTTTACTTCTTATGTCTGCCTACACTTGCATTAGGTCAGTAGCAAAAAGTATTGCTGGTACAATAGCTTCTTATCTTGTAAAAGACAGATTCCGAAATATCGACCTAATGCCTAAAATAGAATGCCCTACTTTTATCATTCATGGCCAAAAAGACGCACTCATCCCTTACGAAAATTCACAGCAGTTGCATGACCGTTGTGCTGGGCCTTGCAGCTTAATTTTGCCTCGAGAAATGGATCACAATGAGTTCGATTTTTACGACGATTTATGGGTAGTCTTAAAAAAAACCCAAATTCAAGAATTTTTATAAGGAAAATTACTATAATTTACCCTAGGTTTTTTTATGACATTCCGATTTATCGTTACCTTTTTCAGCATTTTTGATGCAGTGTGGAATTTCAGTTATCCCAGAAAGCATTCACTCAGCATTTCTGAGCATTCCTGCGCATTTGTATTTACCCGGGCACAAGAGTTTAGATGGGAGGCATTAGTAATGTAAGTATATTGAAATTTGAAGTATTTAAGCTTAAATTTTGGGATAGGTTATAATATGGCTGTTTGCCCGAGGGGTTAAGGGGGCAGACTCAAGATCTGCTGGATGAAAGTCCGCATGGGTTCAAATCCCATAGCAGCCATTTTTGCTGCAGATTTATTATTAATTTTGACAAGACGAATGCATATAAAATCAATTTTTCAGTTGACTATTTTATATCATTTTTGGTAATAAATATAAAATGATATACGACTCAAGCAAAAACTCGCCTTCACACATACGGAATATGGAAAAAGTCAAGGCGCTGGAACAAAAATTAATTAAAGACCTTGAAAATTCAATAAGAAGATCAAGAAATCTGTATGAAAAATATATAAAAACCACAAATAACCGAATCAATAAGAGACAATATTATAATACTTTAAAAAGGCTAGAAACTTATATACAAAAGAAAGACAAAACTCCAAAAATTATTACGCCGATTATAGATTCTCCTATTGAAGATTCCCCAATCCATGAGCATTTGAAAAGATTTGAGTTTCAGAAACCTCCTTTAAAAATACCGATTTGTGTCCCTCAGTCAATTATTAGAAAATCCCAACGGTGCCCTCTCCCAACGATTCAGCATACTATGAGAAATGGAGAAATCGCTACAGTCCATATATTATCTGAGTCAGCGCCAGTTTTCGATCCATTAGTCATGGTGCAGGCTGAGTTTAATTTAGAAGATGCAAAAAATGAGGAAAATTCTGCAGAAAAATCCAGCACAATTTATTTAAGCCAGATTAACCCTTTTTCAAGCAATGATACTTTTCCAAGATTCAGCTCATTACAAGACCATAAACTAACTGAGCCTAAAGGAATATATCAAATTTATTCTTTTGCTGCCATTACAGTAAATATTTTATATAAAACCAGTCTTAATATAAAAAAATCAATAGGATACAAACAAAACTCCTAGTAAATTATACCGAAACTAAGAGAATACACTCCAAAGAAAAAAGCTCACACACATGTTTTCAGAGATCTATCATTTGATAGCAGTATGATAGACTCTAAAAAGCAAATAGTTAGTGAAAGAATGAAGAATTATGCAGGAAAAGTTAAAGAATTCTACACTCCTCGACAAAGTGAGTCAAAGCAAATTGAGTTTTTGATAAACCAAGAAAGACTGAAAAAGCAGAAGCCAGTTCGAGTTAGTAAAGTTAAATTGGAAGAATTAGCTGATGAAAATCTTTAATTAATTCATGCTCATAGTATTATTTCTAATAGATACTTCTAGATAGAAAATCATATCATATTCAGATCCTTAGCAGGATTCCCTTGTTGAACACACACAAAATACTCTTAAAATATTCCAAATTTTCCTTAATTTCTAAGAAATCTATTTTTCAAACACCTTAAATTAATGGCTATATAAAAATGCTATCCAAGGCATTACACTCTCTTCGAAAATTTTCTGCTCAGCCTTACAACCCCATGAAGTACCTCCAGAGCTACATACCCACGAAAATGCCAACAAAAGAAGAAATCGAGGAAGGAGTAAAAACAGCTCATGAAAACTCAGGCATGCTCGTGCACAACGTCCGTCACATCAATCCATTGCGCCAGTCAGGTCCTCTGCCTGCTTTTGATGGACCTTTCTCAATGGAAGACATTTTGCAAAATTCTTATCAAGAATACTTTAAGATAAACGACATTTGTTATCCTTCAACAGATGCTGAAGAAATCATGAGACGCGTACCTGGTGTAACAAGAGAAGAGGCTGAATATATTAGATCTCTTGGCTTCACCCCTGATGATGAAGTAGAACTCGCTTACTGGTACAAGACTATTGGATTTGATATATATTACCCTCTGAACAACACTTATGTAGCTAGACAAGTCCTCACCAACTCAAAAGGAGAAAAAGTGGAAGTCATGTGGCCTTATATGGCATGGGAAGATTGTAATGAACTGTCAGTGGATACAGCCCTACAAGATATGCCTTACTATACAATCAGACATTGGGAAGCTTACTCTGGTGATGAATGGTACAAGTATGTAAACAACCAAGATCTTGGTGTCCCAGATACCTGGTTTGAATATGATAAAAACACTAGATACCTACTACAGATGGTGCAAGACCAGCTTGAAGAGCTGCCAGACAGCAAAAGACCATGGCCTAGCCCTAAGAATCCACATTGCCGTAGCCTTTTCACTAATGACCAAGCTAAGAATGAAGAAATGTCAGAAATGGCCAAACCAGACTGGAAGCATAGGTCTCCAGATGAATAAGATTAACTTAATATTAAGTTATGAAAATCCTTTGATATTAGCAGTTACATATAATCACAAGCCCACAGTTCTTTCATAAAGGTTCAATTTATATATTAATCATGGAAAGGTATAAAATTTTAAAGACTGTTGGAGACGGCACTTTTGGGACAGTCTACAAAGCAGTCAACAAGTCAAACGGCGAAATTGTTGCCATCAAAAAGATGAAAAAGAAATTTTACAATTGAGATGAATGTCTAGCCCTTCGAGAGATAAAATCATTGCGAAAACTGTCCCATCCAAATATAATTAAGATGAAAGAAGTGATTCGTGTGAACGACGAACTGCATTTAGTATTTGATTATCTTGACCAAAACGTGTATGAGCTTATTAAAGGGAAAACTGATTACTTGCCTGAAGCTCAAATCAGGTCTATCCTATATCAAACGTTTCTTGGGCTTGCTTATATGCATAAACAAGGATTTTTCCACCGAGACTTAAAGCCAGAAAACCTAATGGTCCATCAAGAGATTTGCAAAATCGCTGACTTCGGCCTTGCCAGAGAAATTCGTAGCAAGCCGCCATATACAGATTATGTAAGCACAAGGTGGTACAGAGCGCCAGAAATTTTACTAACTCCTACCCCCCTCCGTGAGTGAACAAAACCATTAGAAAATCGCTATTTTTTGCCCAAAAATCCACCCTCCGCGAGTAAACAAAAATTTTTTTAATGAAAAATTTTTGATATATAAATGAAAATTATTATAATGAAATCTAGAGCTAATTCTGTTTAATTTTAAACGAATTGCTTTTTAAAACATAAATTTTATAAATTAAATTAATATTTGCTTTCCAATTTTTGCGAATTAGGATTTTTTTAAATTTCGAAAAAAAAAAAAATTTTTTTATAAAATTTATATATAAAATTTTTAAAAAAAAAAAATTAACCCCCCTCAGTGAACAAAATTTTTTTGTTCACTCACGGGGGGGGGGGGAGTAAGGAGCACCAATTACAACTCTCCTGCTGATATTTTTGCTATGGGCTGCATAATGGCTGAGCTTTATAATTTACGACCACTTGCCCCAGGGACTAATGAGAATGACCAGATGTTTAAATTTTGTACAGTCCTTGGGACTCCTTCACCTTCAGAATGGTCTGAAGGGTACAGACTGGCATCAAGCACTGGCTACCATTTTCCACAAGCAAGTGCAGTCCCAATGAGAACTCTAGTTCCAGGAGCATGCAGCGAAGGATTATCGCTATTAGAACAGCTTTTATCATGGAACCCACAAAGCAGGCCAACAGCTTCAGAATGTCTCCAGCACCCTTATTTTGTGAATTATCAGCCAATTTTGCCAAATCAGCCGCTCCCTCAACTAGAAGACCCAAGTTCTAGAGGAAATATTGAGAGCAGAGGAAAAGGGCTCCCATCAGCGTTTAGGAGGACAAACTCAAAATGGTCACAAGGAAGCTCAAGAATCGGAGGAGGCAGTTCAAAAGGCAAATGAAATATCAAAGCGAATATTCCTGTTACAGATAAAAAAGATTTTGTCCTACCAAAGCTCCCAGAAGTTGCAGAATTGTCGAGTTTTGGGATTGCTAAAAGAAACCCGCCTAATAAATATTTGCCAGACAATAATAATGTTCAAGGGAGCTCAGGCCAGCAGCGCGAAGACTTATACTTGCCACCAGTAGTAAACCCAGGGCCTGGAAAAATGCTACCATCTCTATATGATAGCCAGCCTCCAAAAGATTATAGCATATATAATCCTCCAGCCCCTACTTTTGGGCAAGAAAGACAGCCACTAAGAGATGTTGGATTAGAAAGAAACCCATCCCAAGCCCATGGGCACAAGCCGCGTGATTTTTCAATGGATCGACAAGACTATGATATTTATGGAGAAAAAGGAAAAAATAATTATGGATATGAACGACAGACACCTGGAGAAAGATTCCCATCTGGAAATGGAGGACTCGGAAGAGGAATGCTAGACAAACTGCCGAAATTCAATGCTCCGTCATTTCCTTATATGAACCAGCCTAAGAAGCTGCAGCCTGTAGGAGGTCTTTCTTCAATTGGGAGCAACATAATGGGATCAAAAATGCAAATGCAGCCAAGAGGCATGCAGAAAGCTTCAATGCTTCCTGCTATTGGAAGGCATCGATTTTAGTTAAATATGTAAATTCACAATAATAAAATAATGATCTTACGATCATGCTTAATATATAAAGTGTCTATAGGTGGTAAATATATTAAAATTATACTTAATAAACTGAATTATTTAAGCTTTAGTGCTCTTGATCTTTTTAAGGATAGGCAGCCACTCAGGCTTTGAATAGGTTGTAGGATCGCTTTCAACGTACCGGACAATTTTAGCATAAGCTTGGCCATCAGCTTCTCCAATCACAGAGCCTAAAAATTGGTCAGGAACTGTGATTGCGTCAATAATTCTAATGCTGATATCTCTCAATTCTTGGCATAAAAAGAGTTCTGTGTCTCTAACTATTTTCGCTTGTGCAGCATTGAAAGCATGCTCTAAATAAATGCCTAACTGTTTTTCGATTCTTTCGACGACGTACAAGTAAAATATATTTTTCACGATATTTGCAGTCTTTTGGCATTTTTCGGCCAGGGTTTGTACAAATTTCCATAGCTGCATTGTGCAAATGTATTCTCCATAAGCCTTTCCTATTTCTTGTATGTAATGGACTTGAGTATTATTCCACACATCCATCACATCAGAATAAACTGCTGCGTTATCCCTCAGCGCTACAAGGCTTTGATTAATCACATAGTTGACCTTGTACTCCATAAGTTCGATCAAAAGTCTTTGGTTTAAAAGAGTTTCCCTATTCTCAAAGTGAGCTTTATAAGTTTTTAGATGCTCAAAGTCTACATCTAAATATAGCAGATTTGGATTTTTTATCTTTTCGCCTTTGAAAGTGTGCTGGACTTGCTTGAGAATAACTTTTCCGCATTGCTGCAATAAAATAATGTTGTCTCCTTCCCAAGTGGGATGGCAGTCCTGCTCATTTCTGATGTTTCCTAAGGCAGAGCATGCTAAAAACCCATGGCCTCCACAAGTTTCTCGACAGTCTTGGACTGCAGAAGTTGCATAAATGCTTCCTAAGCTTTTCAAGCACGAAAGAATAGCGTGATATTCGTTCAATTCGTTGCACTCTGGGTCAACCTCTGCTTTAGCTTTGACTGGGTTATAGAGTTCCATGACGTATATCATCCCAGTTCTAATTGCAAATAGTTTGGCTAAATGAGGAAGTAGCCTAGACTGATGGATCTGGTAGTCAAGAAGTGAGGTTTCTGGAGAGTCTTTTTTTCCAAACTGTTTTCTCAAAGCTCCATAGCGAAGAGCAATGGTTAGGGCTTTTCTCATATGAATTTCGCAGCCTCCAATTACACTGATCCTGCCTCTGATAATTCCAGAAATGATGATCCCGAGTCTCTTTTCTTTGCTTTTAATAGAACTTTTGAATTTTCCGTCAGGAGAAATGGAGCTCAGCTTATCAAGCAAGGTGTCATAAGGAACTCTATAGTTTTTGAAGATCAAAAACCCGTTATCGATGCCGTTTAGAGCTATTTTAAGTCCACAGTCTCCAATGGTGACTCCAGGCATAGGCTCATGAGTATCGTTGTCCCTGATTTTGATAGCAAAAACATGGACTCCTCTATCTACAGAATCAACGATGAGTCTGGCAAATAGAGCAGTCATATTTGAGGTCTTTCCAACACCACCGATAATCCATTTTGCTGAAGTCGCAGTCGGAGTATTGATAATGAATTCTCTTGTAGAGTGATCATAAGTGGCCGTTGTTTCCACATTTGGGACATTTGACCCATGCCCCATTTCGGTCATAGAGATAGAGCCAACGTCTTTCATATCGAAAACTCTTTCTACTAATGGAAGGTGCTTAGCAGTCCCGACTGATCGGATGGTATCTGCATAAAGGAACAAGGTCACAGTCAGTTTAGTTGATATTGCTAGATCATACTCTCCAACAGAGTGGAAAAGCTGAGCAATTCTATGTGGATCTTCAAGGTCTTTTTGAAGATTAATTCCGTATTGAAAATACAGTGCTGCGATTTGCTCAATACACCTCAGTCTTCTGGTTTCTAGAGGTAGATCGATATCATTATACTTGTTGAATAAAGGACTTTGGAGCATCATACTACGTATGCGTAGCAAAGAGTGTGACCAATTAATGAAGTAAGTGTGGAAAAGAACATCTGAGTTAATGTTTTCAGTTCTTTCACGGTATTTGCTTAGAGAATCATCAAAAGGAAGAGCGGGGAATCTTGAGAGCAGGTGGGAATTAATAAGATTTAAGCGTCTTTGCTCTCTCATTTTTATAAAAAATTCGCCTAAATTGTGACGTCTAAATATGATGACGTTTTGTTAAATAAAAATGGATTAAAATGAAATTGAAAATTTGCTGACATTTTGCTTAAAATGAAAACTATTTACTAACAGCCTGAGCTATTTAAAGAGAAATATATCTTGCTTATTAATTTATTTTTCTATGTAATTCTGCTAAAGGATATAACACTTTTTCGTCCAAATCGAACCTAAATGCAACATAATTTTTGGAAAAATAAACATTTCTCCCAAGGACCAAAGTATTACCAGGATTTCACCAGTCATCCTCAGGAATTTCAACAGTATCTTTGACAGCTCCTTTGACAGGGTCAATAAACGTTACCTGCCTATTTTGGAAGATAATAATTTGGTCATGAGTTGAAGCAATTAAGCATCTTCCCACCGTTGGCAGTCTAATTTTTAGCATAGTAAATGTGTTATTAGAAGCAAAGTACTTTTCAATTGAGTCTGTGCCTTGTCCTCCTCCTATATAAATATATCCTTTATATACACAAGCAGCTGGAGCAACTCTTGGGATATTTAAATTTCCAAGGATCTGCCAAACTTTGTCTGCCAAATTAAGTTTTTCGCATTCTCTTAAGCTCCCATTTCCTTGCCCTCCAAACACATAAATTGTGTCATTTAAGCACAAAGTCGCATGATTGTATCTTCCAATTTTCATAGGAGGGCCTAAATTGATATCAGACGTGGTGACATTATAAATTCATGTTGTTTTTTTCGCAGTTGACTGAAATCCTCCAGTACAATAAAGCATATTATTTGAAGCCAGAACCCAGCCTACTCCTTCTAGACAGGCTTCTCTCTTTGGAATAGGCAGCTTTTCAACTTCATCAGTTGCAGGGTTATAAGTAGCTACAGCTTGAACTTCAGGAACTAAACAATATAATAAAGCAGGTAATTTAATTTTTGTAGCTGCCACTGTTTTGAATTCGTTTCTTGACACTTTTAGTCGCTGTGCTGTAACGCGGGATCTATGGCTTGAAAAATCGCTAAACGAGGCATTTAAGCTTGTGTTGGTTGACGATCTTTCTGTATAAGATCCATAATCTAACTCTTCTGGGCTGTCAAAATTAGGGGAAGTGGTCACTGTTTTTACATTATTAACCTGCTTCTTAACAGGGAACCGTGGAGTTTTGTCAGTCTTCGCCATTGGTGTCTTTGAGCCTCCTAAGTTAAATTTTCCTATTTTCGACACAGGAGTCTGCTGAGCAGAGAGGGCAGGGTTATCTATATCATTTTCGCTGATAGAAAGCGATATATGATACTTTTTATTTGGCTTAGGAAGCAAAGGAGATTCTGGAGTTTTCTCACCGATTGGGTTAAACTTTATATCGAAAAGGAAATTCTTTTCTATTAAAGGTTTTAAGTTTAAGTCAGTGAAATCAATTTGTTTTGTGATGAGCTCAAAAGCTTCCACCTGCTCTATTGTGGAGAATTCAGAAAAATATCGAGTAACTTCGTCAAAATTGAAGTTCGCCTTTTTAATTTCGTCGAGCTCGACTTGCATTTTGGATTTGACTAGGCCGCATTGATTGATGATTCTCTTAGTGATTTCTTCAGAAGCAGCTAATAAGTCTGTTTCAATTATTTTTATGAACTCTGTGATAAATTGGATCGAGAGATTTTGGAAATCATCAATTATTTTTAATTCTTTTTCAAACTTTTCTTGAATTGCGACATAAATATTGTGCTTTTGGGATAGGTTTGCTATAATTTGTGATTCCTCAGCCTGGACCTTCTCATAATTGACTGCTAGAACTGTTGTCAACTGACTCTGGCTTAAAGGAACAGGTTTATGCATACTGGAAGGGTCAGAGATGAGATGTCTTCCTATGCAAGAACTGCACAGTACAACTTTTTTACAGAAACACACAAGTTCTGCTTCATTTGTTTTACAAAGCTGGCACAGCTTGTCTGCGAACATCAATTAATTTATTACGTCTAAAGGAAAAAATGGATAATTAATTTGCAAATGCGTTAAAAAAGTCTTAAAAAATTACCTTAATGAATTATATCTAGTTGAAGGGATACAGATCATACGATCTGATAAACTTTATAATTATAAAGTTACTTTAAATAATATTTTTATTAGGCATTTAGCATGAATCGATTGCAATTGTACTGTTCAGAAAAAATAAATCAATAAAATTTTAAACTTGCTAATATTTGAGAAATTTTACTATAATCACTATGATTTATTTTAAGAAATTGAAAATTTATATAAATATGAAGTATATAGTAACTCGTTTTAAAAAGAGAGCTCAAACTTGTAGTATCTGCCTCAATCCAATAGAGTTTCAAGGTAAAGTTGACGCCTGCCAGCACACGTATTGCTATGACTGCATATTACGCTGGTCTGAAGTAATTTTTTACTTAGGTTGAAAACACATGCCCTGTTTGCAAAACAAGATTTTCGTTTGTATCATTAATACCTCACAGACTTAATTACAGAATAACAAGAAACAGAAAAAATCAAATAAAAATAAAACAAGCAAATCAGCATATGAATTACACTAATGAGACTTTAAACGCTACTATAAGGCATGCACAAGAAAGCATTAATCAAGAATACAGAATACTACTTACTCCCTCCCCCTTTTAAATTGGAACAAAAATTTTTGTACCAATTTAAAGGGGGGTTAATTTTTTTTTTTAAAAAAAATATCAAATATAAAATTTTTTATAAAAACAAAATTTTCAAAAACTTATCGAATAAGATCAATAAATTTGTTTAATGAAATGATATTTACTTTTTATCCTTTATAACAAAGCAAGATATAACTAAATTTTCATTATTAGTTAATATGCCACTATTAATTGGTATCAAAATTATTTACACCTAAATTATTATTTTTATTGGTAAAAAAAATTAAAAAAAAAATTTTAGAAAATTTATCGATCAAAGTGCTAATTTTGTTTAAATAAGATGCTATTTATACTCTATTCTTTAAAATAAAGCAAAAAATAAGTAAATATTTAATTTTATAAAGAATTCGTATTAAATTTTAATCAACACTATTTAAATAAAAAATATCATTTTTATCAAAAAAGATAAAAATTGTTTTAAAAAATTTTTAAAAAAAAAAATTAATTTTTTTTTTTAAATTTAGCAATTAAGGATAATAAATTTATTTAAATAAGATGCTCTTTATACTCTCTTCTTTAAACAAGAGCAAGATATAACTAAATTTTTAATTTTAGTTAAGAAGAAACATTTAACATATATCAAAACTTTTTAGATAAAAATTATATATAGTGATTGCCCGAGGATGGCGCTATCTTGCGCCATCCTCGGGCAATTTCAATATAATTTTTTATTATAAAATTAAATTTTGTTCTAATTTAAAGGGGGGTTAATTTACCAAAAAAGTGAAAATTTACCTATATTTTGCTCCAATTTAAAGGGGAGAGTTAGAGAATTGTATGATTTCTATAGAAAAGAGGCGATATAGATATTAGAGATCTTCGACACTTAGTTCTTTCTCTCATAGAGTAGCACTAATTAATTTTTTAAATTTTTCAATAAAAATATTGAGAATAACATTAAAAATTGAAGCGAACTTATACTCATAAATATATTAATTAATTTGAAGTTTCCATATGTAAATAGAAATAGAGAAAAGCCTTAAAGAAGTGTTAATTTAGCTTATAAACAATAATATATTATATTTTAATACAAGAGCAATTCGTTATTAATGCATACTAATTCTTTATTTGTTTTCCTAATTTTCTTATAAATACGCTAATAATAAATAAAAATATTTCTTTATAAGATTGCCTTCCAAATTAACTAATATTCTTTGCCAGCCCAACGATACTTAATGACCTTGGTGCAATCCTATACAGTGTCTCAGCTTGTGACTCGACTACAGTTTGATCTAAAAACCACGGCCTCTCAATGCCTCTATTTAATGTCAAAAAATCATAGCCTTGTACTTTATTTTTCCATTCTTGAGGTAATGCATTATACCCTTCAGCTGCTCCTATCAGCCCTCCAACTATGCACGCATTTGTATCTGTATCACCTCCAATTCTAAGAGTTTCAGACACAGCAGTATAAAAGCTGCTCCCATTCTTCATATGTCTAAAGGCATGGTCAAACGCAATTTTCGCTCATCCAATATTCGGATTCCCTGGCATAGGCTCAGATCTTTCAATATCCTCAAGCCACTGCTGCACATCTGGCAAAGTTGCAATATTTTTTGCATCGTTATAAGCCTTTTCTCTATTTCCGTGACTATTAATCAAGCTTGTAATAGCTTTCACATAGCAAACTTCTGCATCTTGTATTGTTTTGTTAGAATGAGTCATCGAGCACTCTGCTTTAACAGCTTCTCTTATTTCGTCATCGTTTAGATTTCTACAGAAAACAGCTAATGGTGTGCATCTCATAAAGCTTCCGTTGCTTTCAGAGGATTTGTTGTATTTTTCTGCGTTTTCAATACAATAGCGGGCTCTTGGAGATCTGTCATAAAAAGAGGAAAATGCAGCTAAAACTGTGTTTCCTTTGTCAGGGGGGTGACTTAAAATTCATAACCTATAAAATCTTGCAATATAGTCGAGGTTTAAGATACCTTTGCCGTCACAGAGGCCTTGAAGTAGGCACATAGCGAGCTCAGAGTCATCAGTTACTTGCCCAGGTCCAAGATGTAGACATCCTCCTCCTTGCATTTCCAGAGTTTGAGATAAAAGCTCATCTGTGATGCTGTTATTAAATTCTATTGCTGCACCTAGGGCGTCGCCTATAAAAGCACCTATTATGCTTCCTAAACATAAGTTAAATTTGCTATCAGAATCCACCATAATAATAAAAAAAATCGCATTGTTGGAATGGATTCTCTCAGAGAGCTTTACCATCCTCGTTATATTTTATTATTGTAGGGTTCAGGTTTCCCAGTAAATTTTTATCCAGCTATATCAAGAAAACTTGAGCTCATAGGAGCGCCTGATACTTGGATTTTTAGCTGAGTTTTCATCGCTTGGCATATCCTCGGTGGTTACCTGAGGCTAGCACGCGCAAGAGTCAAGTAATCAAAGAAGTAACGCAGCCGTACGACTTTCTTGCTGACTTGTAGGGGCGGTTCTCTGATATAAGTATCATGGCTTTGGGGGAATTGGATGGCCTATGGCATCACTAGTTAGGAGTTAATGTTTTCCTTCTAAAGAAGAACTTTTAAAAAATCAAATAGTTAATTAAGTAAGTTTACTATCAGAATCCACCAATCGAGATGGTGGAATATTATTTAAATCATCTTCAAAAATCTCAGCAGAAGCCTTAGCTTTTAAAAATTCTTCATGATAGTTGATTTTATTTGTATCTTCAGGGATCCTATGTGGCTCCATCTATTTAAAATAGATTAAAACAGAAAAGAAATTAAATATTCCTTAATATTTATTTAATAATTGATTAAAGCTTACTTAATCATGGAAATTAAATTAACCCTTTTGGTCTTACCTTCAAGCTATTATATTTTAATTAAATTTACATTTCTATACAAAATAATTCTTCTATGCCAGCTCCTATTTTTAAAATAAAATTTCATAAAAATAATGGTGCAATTCAATACAAGTATATATAGACGGAGATATAGAAAATAAGTATTTAACTTGCTCCTCGACTTCAAGTTGATTTAAAAATGAAGGTCTTATGATCCCTCGATTAGTGCTAGCAAATGAGTATTTCATCACTTTATCCTTCCATTCGTAAGGCAATCGTTTAAATCCCACAGCAGCTCCAATAAGTCCTCCAACAATAGCTGCATTTGTATCGGTGTCTCCTCCTAATTTCAGTGTTTCAGACATCGCTGTTTCAAAATCGCTATTATTTCTCAGATGTCTAAATGCGTGATCAAATGCTATTTTAACTCATCCAATATTGGGGCTGCCCTTCATCGCTTTTTTTGGGTTTTCAACGTCTTCAAATCATTCTTGAGTGTTGAGACTTGTTGCCATTGCTTTTGCTTCCTCATATGCTCTTACTCTATTACCTGGATCTCTTAACAAGCTGACTATTGCTTTGATATAGCAAACTTGAGCATCCTGGACGTCAAGATTTGAATGAGTCATGGAGCTCTCTAAAGTCACTGCCTGCCGAATTTCTTGATCACTTAGATTTCTGCAAAAAACAGCCATTGGCGTACATCTCATAAAGCTCCCATTACTTTGAGAATTTTGATTATAAATACTAGCACTATCAATAGAAAGCTTGGCGATTGGTTCTGAATTACGATAAACTCCTAATGCATTAGAAGTTGTATTGCCAATATCAAAAGGACCTGTACAGATTCACTGCTTATAGTAATATGCGATGGAATCAAGGTTTAATTTCCCATTTCCATCACATAGACCTCTTAGCATACACATTGCTAACTCAGAATCGTCTGTTACTTGGCCTGGACCTAATTGAAATGGCCCGCCTCCATTCATTTCTAGGGTCTCTTTTAAGAGCTTGGTATTTATATGTTTTTTGAATTCAATGTATGAACCTAAGTTAAGTTAGTTTTGTAAGGCCATAAGCGGCCGAGCCACGGACCTCAACACCTCAGCTCGAAAGACGTCACCGGGTCAGGTTCTGATGTGCCATACTCCTAGGCCCGACGCCATCTTGATTTCTGGTCAAAACCACCTGTCCAAGAGATCAGCTCCTTTTGGCAGAGCCACTTCTGTCTGAGTGCCCCGATGGTCCCGATGAAGGAAGACCATGTGGTAGGAAAAACCTGCCTAGCCGTCTGGCAGGGACAGGGAAAACCTTCGGGGGAGAAATAAAACTTCCCTTTTCGGCACGGCTTCCCCACAACTGAAGGCCTACTTAGGACAGGAATGAGACCTTTATCTTCAGCTTCATCAGCAATGGGTCCTACCAACTCCATAGGAGGTGCGCCTCGGAGTCCAATTTCCGTCAACGTCACCATTTTATTTCTATGAACCTAAGGCATCCCCTATAAAAGCACCAAATACACTTCCTAAAGCTAGATCTAATTGAGTATCTTCTGGAGGCTGTTGATAAGATTCATCTTTACTTGCAGACTCTGCATTTATATTGTTTTCATCTAAAGCAAGATCTAATTGAGGAGCATCTGGAGGTTGTTGATAAGATTCAGCATTAATATGAGCATCTATTTCGTCTCCATCTCGTAATTCCTCAGAATCCATCTATATTTTATTGATTTTTCTATACTTTATTTAGACAACGTTAAAGTTATTAATCAAAAAATGTATGCCGAGAGGAAGATATGACCACCAGAATTATTGAATTCATGCTTTTGTTCAGATAATTATTAATTGCATCTGTTCGATTTTTTAATTATTTTCTGACAGATTTGGCTTTATGAAAACTATTCACAATAAGTGCCTTTCGTAAAAAAATGCAATCAAGAGATATAAAGAGCTGCAGCATGATGAAAATTCGTCAAGGCAAAATTAATGTACCGGAATAATTATTTGAGCATTTAATTTTATTCTTTGATATATATGTATCAACATAGACTGTAATGTTAACAGTTTTGCTTAAATCTGAACTACACACTTTGCCATAAGATTGATTAAAACTATTTAAAGCATTAAACTGAGATTTTATAATCATTTTTTACGTTTAAATAAAAATGACTCTTTATTATTTTAATTCTATATAATTCATGAATAAATTCCTCCCACCACTTCATGTGAGAAAGTATTTTAGCAGTAGAAACCTTAAAGATAAAATCTTTCCATGATCATTATGGAGTATGCAAGAGAAATCTACAAATAGCTATAATTAGCTATTAACATACATAATATACCTAAAATTTAAAAAGAAAGTCATAGTTTTCATCATTTTGATAATAATTTAATTATGCCAGTATATTTAAAGCTTTTCCAAAGAAAACAATAGAAAATCTATTTCATTGATAAATTAACTTATTTCTTTAACTCCCCTCTTTTGGTTAAATATAAAAATATTTATATATATGCCATAATTATTATAACAAAATCTCTAGCTATTTCTATGAGTTTAAAAACAGCATGCATTCTAAATCTAAATTTTGCAAATTAAATTAATTTTTTTTGTCGATTTTGCGGATCGGGATATATTAAATTTAAAAATTTAAAGAAAAATATTTTACTATAAAATTTATATATAAATTGCTCTTTGGGAGAAGAAAGTATATATAAACTTTCCTTAGATATCATACTAAACCTTTACTGAATATATTTAATATTTACTTTTCTCAATGGCAACAAGAACACGACTTCTCAGAGAACTCAAAGGCAAAACAGAAGAATTTTCTTTGAACAACGTAGGCGACGATTTAATGATATGGCAAGCAATAATCCAAGGCCCTTCCGATTCTCCATACGCTGATGGTAAATTTACTATCGAATTTAGAGTTCCAGAAAATTACCCATTTGCCCCACCAAAGGCGCGGTTCATCACTCGAATTTTCCATCCAAATGTGCATTTTGATACTGGAGATATCTGCTTAGATGTGCTTAAAAGTGATTGAAGCCCAGCATGGAGTTTGGAAGCCTTATGCCGAGCTATTGTTGCGTTGCTTTCAGCTCCTAATGCTGACTCTCCTTTAAATTGTGATGCCGGGAATATGATCAGAGCAGGGGATATGAGAGCTTATAATTCGATGGCAAGGATGTACACTATAGAGTTTGCTCAAGAGAGAAATCTTAACTAATGCTTATCTGAGATTTAAATTGTATATAGGCTATCATAAATAGATGCATATTTTTAAAGAGATTGACAAGGTTTATATTATTATATTGATTGAAATGATAGATTTTGCAATGTTGATAGTAATTTTGAAAAATAAGAGAAATTGATAACAGATTTGTGTAAAATTTAATTTAGAAATAAATAAGGGTTATAATTTTCATTTATACTGATTTTTAGCATTTTATTGGAATATTTTTTATAATGTTTAAAATCATTGAGATTTATCGTTATCGAAATGTTTTACAATAAATGATTAAATAATTTAAAATGTTTTACACAAAGAATGCTGTCCTTGTCGGATTATCTCGAATTCAATAATTTTTATATTTTTTAAGTTTCTTAATTTTGTTTCATAGTTTTATCAGTTCTAATGCTGCTTATAATTTAAATCAATAAAGAGCCTTTCAGATTCTCTTTCGCTCCTTTCCTCCTAAAAACATACATTTTTTTTCTTCCACTCCACAATACCCCTAACCATAGAAATATTTGCATGATATACAATCAAAAACTCTTCTTTTCTCATTAGGTATCTAAACAAGCTTAAATTTTAAATTTCCAAATGATTTCATTAATTTAAATTTTTTGTCATGCCATTTTTCGATTTTATCGGGCATTTTTTACATATAAAAGACTATATAGGTTATAATTAAATGGAACCCATCATTATTAACATGATCGCAAGTAACGAGCTCCCTCATCCAAGATGCTTAAATACAGAGTGCATACTCCTTAAATACAAATGCAATCAGTGTAGCCACTGCTTTTCAAGCTTGGAAGACCTTTCTACTCACCAAATTGTAACTTCTAAAGTAATCCAAATTCCAAAACAAACTGACTTGGAGGAATACTCCGATGATAAAATTGTAGCAGGTATTTTGATCGAGGATTTTCACTTAACAGACTTTTTTCTGGGCTAATTTTTTAGTTGACACATCATTCTGCAAAAGTAATTTTTTCGAAAAATGATGCCAAGAAATACCTAGTTGAGTAAATGTCCCTAGAAAAAATTATCGAACTGATATACTAATTGACCAAGAATAGCCCACTAAGGAGCCATTCTTGGTCTGCCAGAAAAAATTTTGACAAAAGATCCTAATCTGCCATTACCGCTGAGTTTTGGTGTTTCCAAATTTTTTGGGCAAGCCAAATGCAATAAAAAAAATTGTTCTTTTGCGATGATGCATTTGGCTTGTCAAAAAAATTTGGCAACACCAAAACTCAGTGGTAATGGCAGATTAGGATCGTTTGTCATTACCACTGAGTTTTGGTGTTGCCAAATTTTTTTGACAAGCCAAATGCATCATCGCAAAAGAACAATTTTTTTTATTGCATTTGGCTTGCCCAAAAATTTGGAAACACCGAAACTCAGTGGTAATGGCAGATTAGGATCTTTTGTCAAAATTTTTTCTGGCAGGCCAAGAATGGCTCCTTAGTGGGCTATTCTTGGTCAATTAGTATAAAACATACTATAAAAGTCTGCAATACACTTTCAATTGTGCGACTTGCTTAAAGTCGTTTGATTCAGAAAAAGGACTGAGACAACATGTGGGTAAAAAACACCCTCGTAAATCTAAAAACATGGTCTGCGAGACTTGCGGAAAAGGATTTTATCATAAATACGCTCTTGAATTTCATATTAAACAAGTCCACGATAAAGTGACAAGATCTGAGTGCAAAAATTGTGGTAAAACATTTTATAACAAATACATTCTTATAAAGCACATGAATAAGTGCGGAACAAGCAATAACCAGCTGTAGAGCATTAAATAATCTTAATTTTTTAAATTAATGGTAATTTAAATGGAGAATTTAATATTGAATATCATTCATATATTTAACTCTCCCAGTAATAAGTAAATTCTTGCTTATTCGAGGGTTTCGAATAGTAAATTTAATATGAATAGATCAAAAATTGCTTATTGTTGGGAGATTTTCTGAAAATTTTTGCAAGACCCCAGAATAAGCAAGAAATTGCTAATTGGGGAGAGTAAGAGAAATTAAAACGCCATTTTAACAGATACAAATTATTTATCCAATTATTTTAAGGCTCCTCTACTTCACTCACATCAATAGAAAACGATTTTGAGCTCACACTCATAATGCTCATAGACACTTCTTCTTCCGCTTTCATAATCTTAGTGCTCCTGACGCTTTTTCCTAGTCTTGACCTAGCTTCCATTAGCCATTTAAATGCTATTTTTTTGACGACTGATTTGGCCTCTTTATCTTTCTTCGCTTTATTTAATAAAACCAGCTCCTCTGCAACCATTTTGGCTAGAGGAGTCATGACCCTGATATCTTTTTTCATTTTAAGTTGCCAAATATAAGCGCAATTGAAGCAGAGGGTCTTAAATTCTTGGTTTCTTATATAATAAGCCTTCCAATGGCTTGTTTTTAATGGTAATCCTTTAAATGCTTCTTTATAATCATTATAAATATCATAAAAAGATGTTAATGGGACTAGCTTAAGCTGCTGATTAGACCCGCATGATTCACAAGAGTTTTGGAGGAGTTTTGGGTCTTCAAGTGCAGCTTTGATCATGATCATAAATCGTGCTTTATCTACCCAGTGTAACGCAATCCTAGCAGTGGATGATTCAAAATCAGGCTCATGAGGGGGTGTTTTCGGAGGATCTGATTTTTCTGATATATCATCTCTATACCTTTTCGGCCTATTGCAAGGCAAAGCTTGGAGCTGGTCAACTCTGTCTTCGATAGCTTTTCTTTTAAGCTCCTCAGCTGTGTGATAATCAAATAATTCTTTATATTTCTCCATCAGATATTGCTGGCATTGATAATTATCCTCTACAATATCAGGCAAATGCGCTATTAGCCACTCTTTATTTTTTCTTACTTCCCCCCTCTGTGAGTGAACAAAACCATTAGAAAAATCTATTTTTTGCCCAAAAATCCACCCTCCGTGATTAAAAACAAAATTTTTTTAATAGAGAACATTTTTTATGAAAAAGATATTGATATATAAGTGATAATTAGTATAATGAAATCTCGAGCTAATTCTGCTTAATTTTAAACAAATTGCGTTTTAAAACATAAATTTTATAAATTAAATTAATATTTTGCTTTCCAAATTTTTGCAAATTAGAATTATTTTAGAACTTCGAAAAAATAAATTTTCTATAAAATTTATATAAAAAAAATTGTTTAAAAAAAAATTAACTCCCCTCCGTGAGTGAAAAAAATTTTTTTATTCACTCACGGAGGGGGGGAGTTAAGAATTTCGATTTAAATATCCCGGTCTGTATTTTATGCACAAGGGCGTTTTCTTCCATATAGTCATCAATTAAATTTACAATAGCTTCTTCGTCATCCTGCGGAATATCTTCTATAAATATTTTATGCCCCATAGGTCTCCATAACTGTATAAACCTTGTAAATTTCGCAAGAAAAATGGCAGAATACTTTTGGATGATAACTTGTATAAGGAAAAATAGCCATAAAATTGGGTCATTAAACGGGTTAAAATTATTTCTCAGATAAATAGTGACACCAAATGACATGAATATTATTCCTCATGAAGCAATAGTAATAGAAAAATAATACTGCGAAGAATAGCACATATTATCTATTGATCTCCAGTTGATCAATAAAGATCTATCCAGCTTGATCCCATATATATGCTTCCATCAGTCTTTTCTGGTCCTAAATCTGTACCATGAATAGGTTAAATAATCAAAGATTTTGTAGTCGTACACGATCTCTAATAAATGGAATAAAAATAAATCTGAAATTAAATGAGGAATAATAATAATGCTTGTGAACAAAAAATAATACCGGACATCAGTAGAGGGAATACTATAACCTTTGGGGATCTGGGTAGCTTCAGGGAATAACATGATTACTAACAAAATGAAAGGCGCCATGATTATTGCTTGAATTTGGGCAGAGTATTTAACCATTGTTCCTAAAAGCCCTTCTGTGTTAGTTCCACTTATAGGAGTACTTTTGTTTACACTCGTCAATAAATTGCTTTCCATTTTTAGCTGCTTAATTATGATGTTTCTGAAGAGTTTTTCTGCGAACTTGAACCTTGTCATCAGGTAAATGGTGAATTCCTGAATTTTCTGTTCTAAATACTCCATAAAGGGATACAAATAAAGCCTCTCAAAAACCATCATGGACGTAGTAAATGCGTAACATTCCATATAGCTTGTAAAGTTCGCTGCAGCCATCGTGCATATAATAATATTACTTGACAAACTTGCTAAAAATGGCGCAGCTAGCAGCATTTCATTTACAATAAGCCTAAAAAGGACTTGATTCAATATGATATCAACGACCATAAACAAAAATAGATAGGCAAAAATGCTTGAAGTAAACCTATCAGAATAAGAAATTTCGAGCTTATAAGTAATGATAAGTGAAGCGGTTATAGCAATAATAAAGAAATACAGCCGCTTATAGAGAGGAGATTCTTCAATTGTTTCATCGTCTTCTTCGCCTCTTTCTTCTAAATGAGAAAGATCAGAATTATCAGTAGAATGCCCTGATCGGTCATCTTTAGTGTAATCTTCTGATTTATTTTATTATTCTAGGTTTTAGTTTTCCCAGAGAAACCAAATTCAGCAACACCAGACAAGGAATTACTAGGTTTGCAACCTCGTAGTCTTGTCCCAGAGTGATAAAAGGTTTTTTATTTTCTGCTCCTTCCCGCCCCTCTGTGAGCGAGCAAAGCCATTGCAAAATCCCTATTTTTGAGTAAAAACCCGAGCAAGCAAAAATTTGTTTTTTAATAAAAATTTTTTTATGAAAATATATTGATATATTTTGATATATAAGTAATAATTGTTATAATGAGATATCTAGCTAATTCTGTTGAATTTTAAACAGAGTGAGTTTTAAAATATTAATTTAACAAATTCAATTAATTTTTGCGGATTGAGATTTATTTTAAAAAAAGCTATAGGGCTTTCCCTTGAATAGCCCGATAGCGGGATGAAGCCAGCCCACTATCGGGCTATTCAAGGGAAAGCCCTATAACCCTCCTCTAATATTTTTTTCTTCGGGAGGAGGGGACTTCCGATAAGGAGACCCTTACCCCCAATACGCGCAGGAGGTAAAGATATAGCAAACGAATCCGATAAGTGTGTTAGGCCGTCTTGAGGTAAAACCATTGAGAAGTTCCGTTCTTTTTGCCAGAATCACATAGCATCAATTGTTTAGCTCAAGTCCAAAAAGGGCTGCGATATATGGCAACTTAAATACTTAATCTAATATAATGTAATCTTCTGAGTCAGCTTTGTGCTTGTGTGCTTTATGCTCATCCACACTTGAAACTCCAGTACTTGAGCTTTCAGGGGCTTCAGGTTTTTCTTTTGGGGAAGGAATTAAGAGATAAGCACCATAATAAACAAATGCAAAACCTGCAAAAATTAAAGCAGTCCCAAGCCTTCCACGGTTATTATTGTCTTGATCGCTTTTACTGATTGCTTGGCCTATGTTTGACCAATTAGCTACGACAGTACTTAATACGTCTGCGTCATATAAGAGATATAAGATGTATATTACCATGACCATGGGTGCATTTCCATATAAAGTTCCTAACGCAGGAGGCACTGTAACAACAGGAAAATATATTAGAAAATGCAGCTTGGGAGGGTTTTTATATCTGAATATCCGCCAATGGCACCAATATACAATCAGCACCAAAATAATCAGTGCAAACCCAATAATCACAAAAACAAATGTAAAAACAGACAACCCTAGTCTGAAATTGTTAAATAAAGCAAACCACCCAAGTGCTGAGTACTTAACTTTCAAAGTATAAGACGGATGATCACTTTTGCTTAAGTCTAAACTATAATCTTCTAAACTAACTGAAGCGCTTATAATGTTTTTGGTAGAGGAGTCTTTTTGATAGTATTCTATTTCAAGCACAACTGTGGTAGGAATTCCGTTACTCGAACTGGGTCTAAAAGTAACTGGCACAATATTATCACTAGTGATTAAAATATCATTAGTAAACGTAGAGTCATAGCCATTTTCTCCTGTCGCGAAATATGACCCTGTAGATTGGGGATCTGAAGTCAAATAAAATAATACAGTGTCTTGGGATAAGGAAAACCAAAACTGAGAGTTGCTAGTAAGGTCTTCAGAATAGAAGCATTGAAACTTAAGATTGCACGAGTCTGCTGTAGGATAAAACCCAGTTGTAGGGATAGATTGGACAATCACTGTCTTATTTTTAGGAACTAGTGTACAGTTATCCATCAATTCAAGCAGCCTAAACAAATAAATTTTACTTCCGAAATACTCACAGTTCATAAAAAAAGGCAGCCATGGCATCACAAATGTTTGAATATCATAATTTGTCCAAAAAGTGCTGTCAAATGGAGGCGAAGTGACTGGATACGTCCCATTCCACTCCTCATCATTGCTAACATCTATTAATGGCTCCCTTTCTGAGCCTTTATCAGTGACTTCTATCAAATTATAAGGCAAGGTCGTGCTTGAAAAATCGTTGACATAGAGTATTGCTCCAAAGCTGGAGTCAGTTCCTAATATAGCTCTGGATGGCTCACATTCAGTGATATCTACTGTATTTTCAAGTTGGCTAATAATAGGATTAAACAATGCATTGTGGAGACTCATAGAGACAGAGACAGACTTCACAGATGGAGAATAGTTCATGATAGAAATAGTAAAATTACGGTGAAAATCAGCAGAAGAGGAACTGAAATAACCAGGCATTGAAAGCAAAGAGCCTGAACTGTCTTTTAAAGCAATGGAGAAATGAGAGTTGTACTTGAACCTAGAGTCAACTTTTCTAAGATCAAAATCAAGCAAAAGCAGCTTCATTGGCTTTATTTCATAAACAGGGATGCCATCATCGAGCATCCTTGTGGTTAAGTTTGTGAAAGATTTAAGGGGGTTAATAGCTTTTACAACATAAGTTGCTCCTATTGATTCGCATTGTCCGACGCATTCTGCTCCTATGCTGCTTGTGGTTCCCTCAGGGCAAAGCTGGCTTGTGTAGCTACTTAATATTTCTGCAGGCAGCAGCTTGTTTTCTGCACATTCTTCGAATTCTGGAATCGTATATGTCTTGCAGCTGTCACTGGTTGTATTGCAACTAGCTTCGCCGCAGCAATCTACATTAGCACTTTCTTTGGAATCTATTATTGCAGTATAATTCACCTGTGAAATATACTCGTATTCTCCTTTTTCATTTAAAGTAGCATTAGTACCTGCAGGACAATAATATCCAGCTAAGCATTCATGCTGGTGAGCAGATCCTGAAGGAGTTCCTTCTGGACAGTAATACCCGGGGTCACATATTTCATAATCAGCAACAACACTAGTCCCTGTGCCACAATAATACCCAGCAGGGCATTTACTGTTCTGCAGTGAGTAGCTTGTAGTTCCTTCTTTGCATATATACCCTTCTGGACATACAGAGGCTTGTGAAAGACTGGTCATCCCTTGTTGCAAACATACGATTCCTGCAGGGCATATGCTGCACTGGCTCTCTGCTTGGAGGCCTTCTTTATCTGACCAAGTCCCTTGAGGACATAATTCACAATAAATTTCATTTGGGTCTGCTTCTCTATAAGTCCCTTTGGCACATATAGTTGGGACGATTGTTCCTTCACTTGAGCAATAATACCCTGCTGGACACACTGAGCATGATTTAGCTGAGGTAGTGTTTGAGTATCGCCCTGGGCTACATTTGGTAGGAATTGTGTTGCCAGTGTTTTGGGAATATTCGCCTGGATTGGTAGGAACTGGAGTAACTGACCCTTGTGGGCAGTAATAACCTTCTGGGCATGGATATTCTACAGGGTTTTTAGTCCCAATCGGGCAATATGTACCTTCAATGCATGTCTGTGGATGAGTTGCATCACCATCTAAAATTGTCCCACTTTGGATACCTTCAAGGCAAAATGAGCCTCCTGGGCATAAAATTGGCCCATTTGTTGCACCAGGAGTTTCATTATTTGTACCAACTAAGCAGTAAGAGCCTGCTGGGCAGACAGAATTTGGGTTAGGACGTCCTCTGATAGAGCATACATTTCCAGCTGGGCATGTAGTTTGAGCCACACTTGTGGAGTTCGGACAAATTTTTCCTATATCGCAGGGATAACATTCAACCAGTTTGACACTTGGATTATAAAAACCTGGAAGGCAGCCTTCAGGGATATCAAGTCCAGTATTTGGGCAGTAGTGACCTATAGGACAATCATATGCACTTCCAAATATACAATATCTTCCTGCTGGACATTCTCCAGACCCATATGGGGTTAATGAGCTTCCAGAGTTGCATTGATACCCACTTCTGCAGTTTTGTGGTGCTCTAAAGTCAAAAATAACAATGCTTCTAGGGGAATAAGCTCTTGGGCCACACCAGGAGCCAGTAACACATGCCACTGCTTTGTTTTTAGAGCATGCATATCCTGCTGGGCAGCTTGTTAGACTTGATAGCATTGATAACCCAGAAGACGAGCACAAATATCCTCCAGGACAGTTTGCAGGTGAGCTGAGGCTTGTGCTAGGACAATAATAGCCTGAATCACAACTGCTGCAAGAGGTTGCAGATGCTTTATTGGAATAAGTGCCAGGTCCACATGGTATTGGAACTGTAAGATCAGCAGCTGGGCAATATGTTCCGGGCGGACAGGCAGACATAGAATATAAGCTTGTAACCGGACACACATAGCCAGTTTTGCATTCTCCTAGAAAAGTAAATGAAAGCGCCGTAACTTTTTCTAAATAATTAAATGATATATCAATTGAATAAGTTCCTGAGGGATGTGTTGGCACTTGAAAAACTGTATTTTGGGTGCTTGCAGATATGAAATTTGTGATTGAAATTAGTCCTACCTTTACAACTACAGGACTGACTACAGAACTATAAGTAATATTAGCTTGTGGGCTTTGTCTGTTATAAGCTTGGCTTGGAGTAATGCTGCTAAATGTAGGGATTTGGATATATTGGAAAACCAGCTGATTAGAAAAGTCGATCATATTGTTGAATGAGACTGAAAGATTGCTGTTTGCAGCTGCCGATTTAGATGGGTTTGTGCAGATTACACTTGTGGTTGACACGTACAGTCCTGTTGTTTTAGCTGTGTCATATTGACAGTAGATTTTTTCTGAATACACAAAATTTGTACCAAAAATTGTCAGAGTAATCCCACCTGTTAAAAATCCAAAAGAAGGGGTAACAGAAGTAATTACAGGAGTTACAAAGACGTCTATATATGCAGTAGAAGGAGAATAGTTCTGAGAGTTTAATGAGACTTCAACAATGCTTTTTCCAGTAATAGCTAAGCCATTAGGTAAAGTAAAACTAGCTGCTGTCGAATTAATATAATTTGCATTATAAGTTTCTCCATTCACTAGGGCAGTAATTAGTCCAGTATTAGTAAACCCAGTCCCTATAACAGTAAAAGTTCGGCTTTTAGTTTCATTTGTAATGAGCCTTGGGGAGACAAACGATAAAGTGATTTCTGTGTAATATGTAAAAGTCGCATAGGATTCATAGTCAAAATCATTACTACTGATGTATAGCTTAAAAGAATTTGTATTTAATACTGAATAAGGAGGTGTGAGACAGTAATAATGATTTGAATTTATTGTAACTTGAACTTTATAGCTGGATCCAAACCTACAAAAGGCTGTAGAAGAGTCATATAATGATGTATTGACCAGAACATTTGTACCTCCTCCTAATGGGCCAAGGGCAGGAGAAATATTGTTGACAATTTCTGAAGCTCTATATGTGTAGGATCCTACAGTATAATAATCTTGCCCATTCAAAGTAAATTTCACAGTTACTTGTCCAGATGCATGAGAAGGACTCACACATTTAATTGACCACTGAGAAATATAGGTTGCTGAAACTTTAGAGCTATCAAACATACAGAAAAGGGTATCATAAGGCTTAAAGCCAGATCCTTTTATATAAACATCAGTTCCACCTAATAGAGTTCCTTGGTTTGGACTAATTTTGCTAAAAGTGATATTATAATCATAAACAAACTCTCTGCCAAAGCTCCCAAAATCAATTGCATTCAGACTGATACTTAGCTTGATTTTTACATTTCCGCTATATGTAGGGCTTAAGCACGTAAAATTCGACGAATAAATACTATAAGGCGTAGATAAAACATCCCCAAATTTGCACATAGGGGTGTAGCTTGATAAGCCCTTATATAAAAAAATCACTACCTCTGTGCTCCCAGAAACAGGGCCATGATACTGAGAAACAGTAAAATTCTGCAAATAATCCCAATATGATGACAAATAGTTAAAAGTGAGTCCTGTATCTGAATATTGTTGTCCATTTCTCGATATATAAATTGGCACTGGATTAGAAATCCCAGGCTCTAATGCTAATAAATCAGGATATGGAGGAAGTTCACATGTCATAGTAAGCGAATCTATAAAAGTTCCTGACGAAATATAAGTCCCAAGCTTACAAAATAATAAGTCAGTATTTGTGATTGTTGTTTGAAACCCTATTGTAATGGTATGATATTCAATTTCACTACCTGAAGATGGGCTGATTGCTGTAATTATAGGTGTTGGGTAATAAAGAAATTGTTGAGAAGCTGTTGTGTAGGAAATTCCGTCAGTTGTTACAGCAAAATTTGTATTTCCGGAACTCGGAGGAGATTCGCATAAAATTGATGTGATATTTATGTAGGTTACACTTGTGCTGTCTAAAGACCCAAAGACGCAGGTAAGAGATGATGTAGGGATAAAGTAGAAGTCCTGGGCTGTAACAATAGTGCCTCCTCCTTCTGGTCCGAGTAAAGGAGAAAATTTTAGACCTATAGCATGGCTTATGATTACAAAAATTCATATCATTTATATGTGCAAAAATGTCAGAAATTCACCTTAGCAAGACTGCTAATTCAATTTAAACTGCCCGAAAAGTTATGGCTAATACATTAAACATAAAATTCCTAAATGAAATCATATGGCTCTCTAATAATAAAACTTGGAAATGGATGGAGCAAATATACACCCAGAAATTGCTGATCTTTATCCTGAGCTTATTCAAATAAGAAGAGAGCTTCATCAGCACCCAGAGCTCATGTTTGATTTGCCACGGACAAGTGCTTTTGTAGCATCCTATCTTCAAGCATTAAACATTGAAGTCCACACTGGAGTCGGAAAATCAGGAGTTGTAGGCGTAATCAGAGGAGAAGGTCCTTGCATTCTATTAAGAGCTGATATGGACGCTCTTCCGATTACTGAATTAATAGAATCTGACTATAAGTCTACAACCCCAGGCAAAACTCATGCATGTGGCCATGATGCTCATATGGCAATGCTTTTAGTCGCTGCAAAAGTGATTTCAAGACATCGCGACAGGCTCAAAGGGAGCATCAAGTTCATGTTTCAGCCTGCAGAAGAAGGCGGCCATGGAGCCAGATTTATGAGAGACGATGAAAATTACCCTGTCCTTGATGCTGAACCTCGAGTTGATGAAGTCTATGGTATTCATATGGGAAACCAAGTAAATTTAGGTGACTTCAATTTATCAGAAAAATTCATGTCAACTTATTCAGATTTCTTTGATATTGAAGTAAAAGGAAAAGGAGGCCACGGGTCTTCGCCTCATTTGTGTAATGATCCTATTATTTCTGCAGCAGAACTTATTGTTGCGTTACAGACAATTATTTCGAGAAATGTTAATACCAAGTTTAAATCAGTTTTGTCTGTCACTACAATTCATGGAGGGGAAACATATAATGCAATTTCTGATTCCTGCAAGTTATAGGGGGTTTTCCCTATATGCCTCGATAAGGGCCGTGGGTTCTCCGTGGAATCCCTCTGCTGGTCAAACTAGCTCAGTGCATTGGTTTAGCCAATTCACTGGCTGGTTCAACCAGCAGAAGGATTCCACGGAGAATCCACGGCCCTTATCGGGGCATATAGGGAAAGCACCTATAACTGGGACTATTAGATCTTATGAAACTGAGGTAAGAGATTTATTAATCAAAAGAATTAATGAAATTTGTAATGGATTGTCTGTTGCGAATAATATTTCAATTGTTTTTACTTTGCATCCATTATATGGACCAATTGTTAACGATCCAACTTGTATTCAGAAAACTGAAGCAGTGTTTAGAAAAATTTGCCCAAATGCTAATAGAGAGATGGATAGCCCGATGATAGGTGAAGATTTCGCTTATTTAACTGATGTGAGGCCAGGCTGCTTTTATATGCTAGGATGCTCTACAACTGAGAAAACAGCTCCACTTCATTCTCCAAACTTCACTTTTGATGAGAGATCGATGATGATTGGTGCTTCTTTTTGGGTTCAGCTGGTTCAAGATGAGCTTTTTAAGAACTAACTCAAAAATTTCTCTATAATCTATAATTATGTGCTCTACTCCAATTCTTCAAGATTTTTTGATTCAAAGTTTATCTTCAAGAGCACCAGCAACATTATATATTAATAAAAACTGTATTTAAAAGCTTTAGATGTAGGATTCTGCGTACTTATCGAAAAGCAACAGCTATGATATAACTTTATTTCAAATCTTTTTTTGGAGCAGATGATCTAAATCTTCACTTTGCTGAGCTGCACCTAAGCCTTTTTTGGGTAAATAACGACTTAATAGTTTTAGTTTTATGAGCATCGTTAATTAATGCTCATAATTTAAACTTTTTGGCAATAAAGAAGCCAAACTGCGAATCGAAAAATAAAATTTGCAATTAGATTGGTAGAACTGAGCTAATTTAATGGTATAAATAATTTTTTTGAACAGACTACGGAATTAATTTTGAGCCTGATAACTTTCCCCGGGCTTAAATTGATAAAAATTATTTTCTTACAATAAATATTTAGTCAATAAATTTACTAGGAGTAATTCTTAAAACCTACTATTAAATGCATAATAATTTCTTATTAAAACATCAAATCTTAATGAAAAGCTCTACAAGCTATGATGCTATCTCAAATCAATTTCTTTCTTTTGACAGAGCTATTACTGCTCCTTTATCAACTTCAAAATCTATCTCATCATTTCGTCCCTATACCAGCTATCAAAATAACCGAGTATTTAAAAGAAATTCTATCAAGCCTCTAAATCCTTTCCCTATAATCCACTCACCTCGACGAGCAATGGAGCTTGAACTAACGACTACAATTCCAAGCCTAGAAATAAAAAAAAAGCAAAGCACAATTGGTAATATCCTCACTCCCCCTCTGTGAGCGAACAAAAAAAATCTTTGTTCGCTCATAAGTGGGTTAATTATTTTTATATAAATTTTATTGAAAATTTTAAAAATTCTTCGCAAAAATTAGAAAGCAAATATTAATTTAATTTGCAAAATTTATGTTTTAAAACGCAATTTGTTTAAAATTAAACAGAATTAGCTAGAGATTTCGTTATAATAATTATCACTTATATATCAAAAAATTTTTCATAAAAATGTTTTTTCGCTCACAGAGGGTGGGTTTTTGGGCAAAAAAATAGGGATTTTTCTAATGGTTTTGTTCGCTCACGAAGGGGGAAGTCAGTTCCATAAACAGAGAGCAACGTTTAAAAACAGCAGAACTTTTAAGTTCAAGAAAAAACCCTGAGCCAGTTATAGAAAAAAATGATAGCTTTTTTGAAAGGTATGAGCCAAAAAAAAACAAATTCACACACAAGCTGGTCGGTGATATAAAGCTTCCAAGAAAATATTTTCATTTGACATCCAATGACCAAGATTTAAAAATCATCAATATTAACCAAAAATCGCAGACATTACAGAATGTGTCTTATGAAGTAAAAATACCTAACTCCCCCCCCCTCCGTGAGCGAACAAAACCATTAGAATAATCGCCATTTTTGCCCAAAAACCCACCCTCCGTGAGTGAACAAAAATTTTTTTAATAGAAAAATTTTTTATAGAAAAAAATTTTGATATATAAGTGATAATTAGTATAATGAAATCTAGAGCTAATCCTGTTAATTTTAAACGAATTGCTTTTTAAAACATAAATTTTATAAATTAAATTAATATTTGCTTTCCAATTTTCGCGAATTAGGATTTTTTTTTAAATTTCGAAAAAAAAATACTTTTTATAAAATTTAAATATAAATTTTTTTAAAAAAAAACAATTAACCCCCCCTCCGTGAGTGAACAAAATTTTTTTGTTCACTCACGGAGGGGGGGGGGGGGGGGTAAGCTTGAAGGAATCAAAAAAGACGAAAAAGCGAGAAAATTGGATATGAAAAAAAGAGCTTTAACAGCTATTAGGCATTTTAATCAGATGAAGCTAAATGCGTATGCTGTATCAAAGCTAAGCGAAGTCATGCCAAAAGAGCCTTATTGCCAGCCAAAAAGCAAGGAATTTATAATGGCTTGCAAGCTAGGAGAAATTGATGACATTCAAAGACTTTTGCATGCCAACCGATGGTTAGCTCATGCATTTGATACTGCTCGGCAAACAGGCTTACATTGAGCTGCTAGAAGAAATTTCATAAAAATTATAGACTTGCTAATAAGTTACGGGACATATATAGACGCAAAAGATATGGTATGGTTTATCTAGGCAGGTAGAACTCCATTATTTTTAGCAGTGAAAAATGGGAATTCAGAAGCCGTGACAGTGTTTATCACGAAAAAATCAAACCCATTTATAAAGACAAGGGCTGGAAATTCAATTGATTCTGTGGCTTCTGCTTTTCCAATACGGCATTTGGTTTTTAAGACGAAAGCCAAAGTTTATGTGAAAAAGTTTGTAATTAGCCCTGAAGAAAATGATTTTGAAAATACGGAAAGCATAGTAGATAACCGAAAACCGTTGGTGCAGTTTAGTTTATAAATAAGCACGATAGTTAATTTAACTATTTTTATTATTTTCGCCCTTCAACTTGTTGTGGGATCTTTTTATCGGAAAATTTTTAAATAATTTTAATTAAGTCAAATTTTTCTAAAAAATATTATAAAAATTTTTATATTTTTAATTTGAAAATATTAATGCTTCATTTTAAAAATTTTTAAAGTTTTATTTCGTATCTTTTATAAAATATATCTTTTAGGATTTTTGTTTTTATTATTTTAAAAAATAAAAAAGGATCCTTTTTATTAGTTGACTGTCCATTTTTATTCTGAACGATTATAAAATAAAATATTACACGAATAATTTATGATATATTTCATATTTTTCACAAACTTTTTTGTTAAAAATATTTTTTATTTTAATTTATATATGGTATTTCGTAGGAAAAAATGTAATGCACTATAATTATAATTATCATCTTAAACTAAGACCGAAAGATATCCGCAAAAAATTGGGAAGGCTTTATTGGTGTTTGCTCTTTATCAGTAATTGGAATAGAATTTTTATTTGTTGACGGCTGGAATATTTTTTTAAGTAAAGGATCTTCAAACCTCTCTGGGTTACTCATAATATCTGATGCTAGATTTCCAAGAGAAAATTTCATTGATAGTGGAATTTCTTGAAAAGTTGAAGAGCATGAAGACATTTCATTAGCATAATCTCGAATTTTCTTGATTTCTTTTCTGCACTTTTCTATACTTTCTGTTAAAACTTCAATATTGTCTTCTGATTCTGGCAGCTTTGTCTTTAAAATGAACTCAATTTCTTTGACTTGAACGAATTTTGAGTAATTTTCTGGAGTAAATGGAGGGATTTCTAAAATTTCACGGAGCTCTTGTTCTGCACTTGTCAGGCATTGTATTAATGAAATACGATCATTGCATAGTAAAATATCATCTGATATTTGTTCCCACCATTTGTAAATCTGATCTTTGCTGCATACGTCGAAAAGAGATAAGTTCATTTTATTTGTGAGATTTTTGAATCAATTAAAATCTATTTATTGAAGATTTTATATTGAGCTAGATAAATTAAAAGGCAAATACTTTATTTATTATTGCATTAATGTAAAGAATACTTATATTATGATATTAACATTATTCAAATTTTCACTTGATAAAAATTCAATATAATCTTCATACATTAGGAATTTTTTACTTTCTTTGATGTCATACATAATAAAATCTTTATAATCTGACTCATTTCATAATATTCCGCTGTCTCTTAATATTTTCTTAAAATCGCTCAAAGGAATATAGCCTTTATTCAGGTTATCAATTACTTGAAATGCAGAAAGCAGCAGATTTTTGTCCTCAAAATTAATTTGTCTGCTTAAGAGTGGCTCCAGCATATACCTTTCAAAATCTTTATACCTAATAGAATTTTGAGTTTTATTGCTGGTAATTTTTGGGACTATTTCTCTGATTTCATTATCATTTGGAAATTGTCCAAAAAGATTTAATAGTTTTTTTAGTTCTGCAGGAGTTATTACCCCTCTTTTCCTTTTATCAACTTTCTTAAATGCATCATCTAAAAGTTTTTTAAAACTTTCAATATTTTCCCTTATTTGATTTATCATATTTTATATATAAATATTGCATTGAATTGATTTTATCCTTTTATCTATGAGCTAAATAGTCTTAAACGCTTTAAAAAATAAAGCATATCATTAAATCTATTTTCATCTATGCAAAATACTGATGAATTTCTCTCTCTATATCTCTTTTTTATTTATTATTTGCATCTATTCCTCTGCTAAACTTCTTTTTTTCCATACTTAGTTCTGTTATTATTTCAAGTAAATTTGATTTTTGTATCCCTCAAATTGTCCAATTCAAAAAGTTTATATCATTTATATAAGAAAAATTAATTTAAGAAATATTTAAAAAGTTATCTGAATAATTACAGTCGCCCTTTCTTGAGATAAAGCAATCTCGTGATGACAACTTGGAATTCAAGTGATGAAAATAGAGTTTTCATATGATAAGATAAATCAAGATCTTGAAGTGACTTCAATATGAAAAACTCTTCGAGGTTATTTTCTTCCAAAATCATAAATGCTCTTTTATCGTTCACTATCTTAATTCTATATTTTTCTAGTATCATATTATATTCAAGGTCAATATCCAATACAGTTCCTTCAATGTTAACAGTGCCTTTATGCACAAGGCTATCAAACATCGCAAACTGGGTTTTGTCACTATCAGGCAGCTTTATTTCTCTGGGACTTTCACAATCTTCATTATGGCTGAAGTGATATAAAAACTTTTCAATATCCCATGGCTTTGGTTTAAAAGCTAAATATGGTTTAGAGTCTTCTTGAGATCGTAGTACAGTTAAATTCTCATGTAAATACGAAGAAATCATATATAAATTTTTGGATAGAAATAGATGCTTTAAGCCTTCATCATCTACATTTATTGATAAGCTGTCATAAAAGTTAGGATCATCAGTTTCTATTTTGATATTTTGGCCATTCAAGCTCAGCTTCAGGAAAACTCTGTGTCTTCTTCAGCATTTAGGCTTAAAGAGAAGCTTTATATAATTGTTTGGATTTGGATTAAACTCAAGCGAAAGCTCGTCTTCCCTATAAAGTAAACTTAGTTTTGGGTACAAATTTCTTCTTAGTTCTTTCAATAAGAATTTTTTTCCAATTTTTAAGCTCTGCATTTTGAATCCAGAATTTATTTGCAAAAACACTGCATTTCTAAAATCTTTTGGATAAACAGTAATTTCTATGCTGAAATCTTCATTCAGCTTAACAAGTGCGATGCATACACTTCCAGAAATATCAAGCGTATCCATTAAAATATTTTCCTGCTCTTCTTCGTCTTCAATATTATTCTCATCTTCTGATTCATCAGGCTCGAATTTTTCATTATTTAAGGTAATCAATCCTAATTGCAAATAATCAAATAATTCTTTTTCAAGGGTGATTCTTTCATAGGCAGATTCACTCATTTTAAGAAGCTCCGTGCTAAGCTGTTTAATTTCTGAAATTCTTGCTCTCATGCAGTACTTATGGTCAAATTTATCTTCATAAGTTCAGAGATCTTTCAAAACCTCCAATTTTTCACTTTTAAGCCTATTGACAACAGTTTCTAAGTCTTCTTTTTGGCCGTCAGTAGGAGCGTCTGAGCCATCCTTCCTATAAGCTGTTAAGTTTTTCCTAATATTAAAGACAGTTTCAGTTGGTTTGCTACTTGTATCAGAAATGCTCTGAATGGGTTCTTCTTGTTTTGATTCTTGCAAGTTTGTTTTAAGGTGTTTTTGTAACAAACTTTTATCAAAAACAAACTTTTTTTTGAAAAGCGGCTGCAGCTGTTTTTCATGAGGGATTCGGTTGAGCTTGGAGTCATTATAAAATGAAAGAAGATGATTCTTTTGCATATTTATTAAAAAATTTATAATCAAATTGTGATAAATAAATCACAATTGAAAATTATCTTGGCATTCTGCTTAAAAGCTTCGCACTTTCAAGCCAAGGCTCTAACCGAATTGGCTTTGAACTTCTTTTTAGTCTTGGAAATGCCATTCTTGACTTGCTGATTATATTTTTATAACTTGGGGTTAAATTTGGCAGGGTCGGAGTTTGGCTTCTCAAGTTTATTTTTGTATTCGGACTATGTGATTTCCTCCTATAAAAATATTCTTGCTTTTTCTGATTTTCATTAAAAATCGGAAGAAGATTAAATTTCCGTTTTTTAGGTGGCGGGGTTTGCGTGGACTGATCTTGTAGACGATTAAAAGGCCCTGACCTAATACTAACAAGTGTAATCCCATCAAGCATTTGATCTGCACTCATTTCTCTTTTAAAAATTATGACATTATTACTCCTAAAAACTAGATAAAAATATTATTAAAAATTATTTAAAACATGCTCCATTTCGTCTTCATCAATAATTTCCATATCTTTTTCGTCTTTTAGCTGCTTATTTCCTGCGATTTTAAACCCAAGAGAAAGTCTAGTTAATGGATCATCTTTTAAATGAACTCTTTCTGTCACGATTTTTAAATAGTTTATTTCGTCAAATAATAAATATTTGCCTGTTTGAGAAAGCTGAGCTTCTTCTGCGAGACTGTTGATTTCTCTCATATCGTAGTTAAGAAGGTCGGAAACTGAAGCGGGAACACTTTTTATTTTTCTTATGGAAATTGGGTCAGAGTATATGCGGCGCAAAATCATGTCAAGGGTATGCTCACCTGATTGGGCATTATATGGGGCTCGAGCGACTTCGAGAAAATGAACATTGGATGGAGAGTCTTGTAGATGATCTTCTAGGCATAGATAGCAGAGAGAGATAGAAGTACAGATACAAAATACATTTGAGGAGTTTTGGCAGTTTTGGCCTTGGCATATCCCGAACTTTTCCATGGGGGGATTTATAATAATTATTTTGATCAGTTTTTAAAAGCAGCCAGTAAGAGTTTTTATAGGCTCTGTATATGATTATTTTTAAACCCAGGAATTTTTGTTTGCTATCATAAAATCCAAATACGTTTTCAAAGCTTTATTGAAAAAGTCTCATAAATTTCAAAAACCACTTCTCTATAAATATGGAAAAGAAAAAATTGCCCATCCCTCCTCCAGACCGACGCACTCATCCGAAGAAAAAAGTGATATCTTCTTCAATGGCAGAACTCATGCTCAGACAAATAGATCAATTGCGTAAAACAATTGCTGATTTTTTCATCATTCCATCAAGAATCAATTTGAGATTAAATTATTCAGAGTTACCTAACTCTGTTAATATTTTATTATTTGGCCCATCCGGTTCAGGAAAATCTTCCCTAGTAAGAACTCTTTATAGAGCTCTACATAACACTGTTCAACTCCCAGCAGAAATTCGGCACAAGCTTGTAGTAAAAGGTTCAGCTAGAAACGAAGGAACAACGGTATATACAACAGTACTCCTTAAAGAAGAAACTCAATACCCAAAGCCTACAAGCGGCATCAAAATCCACGACACACGAGGCCAAATCTGAATGGACAACCATGAGCAAGCCCAAGCTGACTTGATATTAGATGGAAAAGTCAAAGACATGGCAAGAGTCGAGCAAAGGTCAACAAGATACGCTTATAAATTATGGGAATTCTGGAAAAGCGAATCACAGTTGTTCCCCACAGAAATTTTAAAAGAACATCCAACCCTATCTGATAAACCGCATTGCTTATTATTTGTTTTTGATGGAAGTTTAGAAGAAATTCCTAATGGGGAAGAAGAGACACTTTTTTATAGAGAAATCATGCAGCTTGCAAGAAGTAAAGGATATTTTTATCCTCAAATTGTCCTTACACATATTGATAGGGTGGAAGATAAATCTAAGGCTGAAGAAGAGCTTACTCCCCCCCCCCCCCTCCGTGAGCGAACAAAAAAATTTTGTTCGCTCACGGAGGGGGGTTAATTTTTTTTTTTTAAAAAAAATTTATATATAAATTTTATAAAAAATATTTTTTTCGAAATTTAAAAAAATCCTAATTTGCAAAAATTGGGAAGCAAATATTAATTTAATTTGCAAAATTTATGTTTTAAAACGCAATTTGTTTAAAATTAAACAGAATTTAGCTCTAGATTTCATTATACTAATTATCACTTATATATCAAAATTTTTTTCCATTAAAAATTTTTTTCTATTAAAAAAATTTTTGTTCACTCACGGAGGGTGGGTTTTTGGTCAAAAAATGGCGATTTTTCTAATGGTTTTGTTCGCTCACGGGGGGGGGGGGGAGTTAGAGAAATCTTGGATATGAAAATTGAAGGTGTTGTTATGAAACTCGGAATCCCCAGAAGTAGTGTTCATTTTATTGAAAATTATCATGATGATCAGAACGAGCCTGATTTAAATGTGGATTTTCACGTGCTTAGATTACTGCATGAATCTGCACAGCAAGGAGAATCTTATTTGCAAAGTCAGCTGAAGGAGAAGTCCGCTTGCGAAATTCAATAGATAATTATTAAATGGGTCATTTCTTATAAATGAAATTTATGATATTAAAGAATATTTCAGATATTACATGGTCAGTGCTAAGGTATATGGTTGAAAAATATAATCAAGTCTTGTAAAAATTACTCACTCACGGAGGAGGATTAAATTTTTTTTTTTTTAAAAAAAATTTATATATAAATTTTATAAAAAAATATTTTTTTCGAAATTTAAAAAAATCCTAATTCGCAAAAATTGGAAAGCAAATATTAATTTAATTTATAATTTTTATGTTTTAAAAAGCAATTCGTTTAAAATTAAATAGAATTAGCTCTAGATTTCATTATACTAATTATCATTTATATATCAAAATTTTTTCCATAAAAAATTTTTCTATTAAAAAAAAAATTTTTGTTCACTCACGGAGGGTGGTTTTTGGGCAAAAAATAGCGATTTTTCTAATGTTTTTGTTCACTCACGGAGGGGGAGAGTCAGAGAATACGCTAAAGAATGCGAAAGAAATGAAAATTTGATAGAAGATGGAGAAACCATTAGGAAACTTCAAAAAATCGATGAAGATTATGCCGTTGAAGAAAGAAATGTAGCAGATCAAGAAATTCAAGCTTATATTCCTGCATATGTTGATATTGGAGTTAACACTGATAGGGATTTAGAGTCTTGCTGTGAGGATTTACCTGAAAAAAGACATAGAGATGATACCGAAGAAAATCATGAAAATAAATGCAATTTGTCAATCCCCGAAAAAATAGAAATCCATTATGAAATAAAATCATGCAAGAATAGAAAAAGTAGCTATTATAGGCTTAAAAATGAAAAATTCATCCAAATGCTGAAAGAACAAAGACGAAAAATGAAAAATAATGATGGGCATCCAGAATTAAATAAATTTCCACTATCAGGCACCCCAGTTATGAGCTATATTGAAAAGAAGCACGAGTTTATCAATAGCTTGATAATTCCTTCAAATAATTCTTCACTATTTAAAGTATCTAAAAGCGAAAACCTTTTTTCAACCCCAAACTCATTAAATGATTTAGATTCTAACCCTGCAAACACTCCAGCAAGTCAAAATAACGGTTATCCTGATCTTAATGATGCTCCTTCTTTTTCCTACTCTAATATTATGGACTCTCCAAGCCCAAAATTGCCAGAATTCAAAAGTTCTCCATCATTTTCTGAAGGCTCTTTTGTATCAAAGCATCTTTTTTGTCCTGGAAAATCTTCAGAACCTGAACAAAGTAATAAAAATGCTGAGAAACCAAAAGAAATAAAATTTTCGTCCCCAAAATTCGAGATTAACCCTTTTCATAGCAGAAACTCCTCAGATCAGAGCACTGTCAGTTCAAATCCTCTACTTTCTTCTTTTATTACATCTGGCCGAAAATTTTCTGACATTTTATACGCTGACGAAGAAATGACAAATCTTCCAAGCCAAGCTTTTATAAGCGCTTCTGCTAGTCGTTCAGTATTCGGAAAGTCAAATAGCTCTAATTTCCCTCCTTTCCTGAATAAAAATAAATAACTTTAACTTTGCTTAATATGAAAGATTTAAAACATGGCGAGTATAAAGGCTCAACGGACTTACTACGTCTCTAATAGAACTTCGTTTCCTAAAACCCAGCAAAATTCACCTCAAAAAACTAGAAATAGCCCAATACCAGCTTCTTATAAACATACAACACCAAGACCACCTTCAAGGTCGCCTCAGTGTGTGGGGAGAGTAATTAACCATGTTAGGTATTTAACCCCTGATAACTATGAAAGCATATTAAATAAGCTCCCATCAATTAAAAAATCACAAATCTCTTACATAACACAGACAATTGAAAAATCCAGAAAAAGTTCTCAAAATTCTCCATCCCCAGTGAGGCAGTTTTCAATCGAAAATTCGAGGTCGCCTGAAAGGAAAAGCACTATACTCAGCGACTATAATTGGCCTAAGAGAGCAGAAAAGCCGTCTAACTTGGTAAGAGCTGACCTAAGAAAAGGGTCTTTTTCTAAAAAACAAATTATTGGAATGAAGGAGAATACTATAAATGAGCAGGCTAAAATAGATTTAGATAGATATTCAGGATTTGGTAATAGATTTGACTACTGGGATGAAGTTAATAATGATTTATCTACACAGGAGTCTCCAAATTCCACTGTTTATTATTGCAGAAACAGGCTTAAAACCTTATCAATGGCTTTTAAGCTTGATAAAACAGAATTTCAAAAGCAATTAAAAAGACAGTCAAGAAGGACAATTTCAGAAAATGTTCATTTATTGCAAAATGAAAAGCAAGAAGGGCTTCCATTTGAACGATTTGTTCAGGATCTAGACCATATTGCTAATTTGGATGATTCATTATATGATATCAGTCTAAAGAAAAGAAATTTTTTGAATAAATGGTAAAGTTTATAAATAATTTCAATTAGGTTTAAATTAAATAACTAAACTCACTTTTAAACTTATAGCCTTAAATAATTAAAAATTAAGTAATTTAATATAAAATGCTGATAAAGAAGATCATAATATTATGCTTAAATAAAAAATTGCTTCATAATAATTTATTTAGTGCCAATAATATATTATATTATGCGTTGCCTAAATTGCTTATCTAGGCTTGCATGTTAAAATATAGAGAATTTACATATGGAAATTTTCTTCAAACGTTAGAGAAAGTTTTCAATGTGAATTCTCTGTGTTTTTGCATGTGAAAATTATATCCAAATGTTGGAGAAAATTTTAAAATGACAGCCTAGATAAGCAATTTTAGGCAAAGCATTATAGATAATGAGCTTCGAACATTAGGAGATAATTATAATTTTTTATCTAATATTATTATCTTAGAAGGCTATAAATTATAATATCATTTAATTTGATTAATAACATTGCTATTAGTTAATATAATTCTAAAATAAATCACTATCAAACATTGTTCTTTGACCTGTTGGATTCGAGACATCTATATCAGCAAAAATGCTATCTTTATTAGCAATTTTTGATAATGTTTTATACTCCAATAGTGTTCCAATCTTGGCACTTTCTTCTTTGATTTTTTTAAGATTTTCTTTTATTTTTCATTTTTCTCTCATTATATTTGATTTATCTTCAGCAAAGCTCATAGCTCCTCCAATGCCTCCCATAAGCCCAAAAACAGACCCTAGTAATGCGCTGATTAACTTTATCCACGTTTGTTTACTACTTCTTGTAGTTATCAAGCAATTAGTATCTTTAGAAAAATTGATATCAAGATACAAATTATAAGAAGTTGCCAGCCTAAATAGAAATTACTCTTTTGCTACACATTGGGAACCTAAATTTTGGGCACCATATGTGAAAACATGGTATAATCCATGCACTCGTATAGATTTCTCTTTAGGACTTTTACAATGGACAGCTGAAGTGCTGGAATATACAATACTAGGGAAATGGGTTCGATAATAATTTTAAGTAGTTATTAGTATAGGATGAAATATATCTAATAATTGTTTCTAAGTCAAAAAGAAAGACATTTGTTTACGAAACAAGTTGAATTTGGGATCTAATCGGAAGAGATTGGGTTGATATGTAAGCGGATACTAAAAATGGAACTAGACAAAGAGTAATTCCAGAGAGAAAGTAGCCGATATGTGAAAGAAGTGCATATAAAAAACTGCCTTTATTGTGGTTCCAAGTAGCTTGGGACAGTTCAATCTGAACTGATCCTTACTTCCTGAGTCGTGGGATTTTTGTTGTGCTCCATCCATTTTTTATTGCCGACTTTGACAAGCCAAAGTAACTTGGCGAGCCTAATTATAAATGAAAATGGAAATAAGCAACGCTACAACACACACAAAATCGAAATGTTTTTTTATGCTCGTAATATACCATAAGCTTCACTTATTGAGTTCTTTTTGCTGCCTAATCCGCTCGAATCCGCTTCAAGTAATAGCTGTTAAGTGCTAATGGCAATAAGTACCCACCCTTTACATATACCCAGAATTGAAAATATAAATTTAAAATATTTTGTACAAGATTTTTGATTATAATACACATATAAGTTTCTCTTTTCGAGCTTTTTTTGCAGCCTAATCCGCTCGAATCCGCATCAAGTAATATCTGTTAAACGTTAACGGTAAAAGTATCACAATTTACATATTATAATTAAAAATCTTGCACAAAATACTTTCAAATTTACACTTTAATCTAGTATATGTAAAGGGATATGTAAATGGTCATACTTATACGGTTAGCGTTTTACAGATATTACTGAAGCGGATTCGACCAAATTAGGCAGCAAAAAGAACTCACAAAGAGAAGCTTATATGTGTATTATAATCAAAAAATCTTGTACAAAATATTTTAAATTTCCATTTCTAACTGTCACACAGTAATCTATCATTAAACGTTTATCATGAATAATAATACACCAAAATCTATACTATCAAAAAAAATCACTTAATCTACAGCTATTTATTAATCACCTAAATCTATCCAATTAATCGCATTCATGATATACTTCTTCAAAATATTTCTAATTATGAATTCTACATTTAAATTTTCTTATGCGTAATAAATTGCTATATTTAACTTTTAAGGATCTCATTTCCTTCAACGCTGTTAAATTTATTTGTTGTCATCCCTTTAATTCTTCCGACAAATGGAAATTGTACTTAATACTGAAAAAATTATTGTGCAGTTCCTATGATTTGGCTTCTTGAATGAGATGCATTTTTGGCCTTTTTGGGGTTATTAAAAGTTCATTTTGGATAGAGCTTGGGTCCCAAACTTTAAAGATATTTTGAGCTGGAGGATCTTCGTATCCAACACCTTCGAAGTTAAAAGGAGACAATAATTCTGTCTGGCGCACTTTTAGATTTTGTGTGTGTTGTAGCGTTGCTTATTTCCATTTTCATTTATAATTAGGCTCGCCAAGTTACTTTGGCTTGTCAAGTCGGCAATAAAAAATGGATGGAACACAACAAAATCCCACGACTCAGGAAGTAAGGATCAGTTCAGATTGAACTGTCCCAAGCTACTTGGAACCACAATAAAGGCAGTTTTTATGCACTTCTTTCACATATCGGCTACTTTCTCTCTGGAATTACTCTTTGTCTAGTTCCATTTTTAGTATCCGCTTACATATCAACCCAATCTCTTCCGATTAGATCCCAAATTCAACTTGTTTCGTAAACAAATGTCTTTCTTTTTGACTTAGAAACAATTATTAGATATATTTCATCCTATACTAATAACTACTTAAAATTATTATCGAACCCATTTCCCTAGTATTGTATATTCCAGCACTTCAGCTGTCCATTGTAAAAGTCCTAAGAGAAATCTATACGAGTGCATAGATTATAGCCGGTTAGCTCTAATCCTGTGTCAGTGTTTTGATAATACTAAATAAAAAATACTGAAGGAGTTAAATCAAACGTCAGAATTGTAGGCATTGATCCACGGAAAATTTTTCCAGACTCTGGATAAACTGTTGTTTCATAGCTGCTTAATGAATTAGGGATTGAAGAATTAGCAGTGATATTCACGACTCATCAAGCTGTATATGAAGAGCTGTTTCGAAAAGAAAACTCCATTTAAGCTCCAGTTCCTATTTCACAAGAATGACAGTTTAGGCTTAATTCGCATCCTAAATCGCTGTTTATACATATCATTTTATCTCAATTGCCTGCAAATTTATTGGTGGAAAGACTGATAGTGTCAGCACAATTTCCATAATCATCCACACAAGGATATCTTATAGCTTTTATTAAGACTTTGAGATCTGTTACAAATTTAGACAAAAAAAAATTAGCCTCTAATTGTACAGGATGGGCAAGTGGCCTTTTTTCTCTGTTTTGTTGCTTATGTCGAGATCATGCCGGGTCTTACAGTCAGGCTCGCTCCTCTTAGTCCCGTGAAACCATTTGGGAACCAAAAAGTACAGGAAATGCTAATAACTTGCACATTGCCTTATTCTATCCTACTTCTTTCAGTGTCTGCTCGACCTAAGGGCCCTTCCTTTTATATCAGAATGAATAAACAGGTAAAACACGAGCGGGAGAAGTATAAAATTCCTTGACATTTTCTCGTCTTGTGTAGAAGTCCACGTGCAAAAACCTAACCACATATAATATAAAAGTTGGGTGAGGGATATTGCCCAGGAGTGATTTTTGATTGCCCTAGGCTAGGAGAAGGCTCAGAAACTTCCTGAGTTGGGTTTTCAACTCAATTTGACAAACCAACTCGGGAAGTTGACAATTACTTCTTATAGGAGGCATTTGTCAACTTCCCGAACTGACTTGTCAATGAACTTTATCCTAGTCCAGGGCTATCAAAATCTCCTGGGCTATATATAATTGCCTTTTCATCCAAAGCCATTTTATTATTATGTTACAAATTTAGACACTTCGTGATTCATGACAACTAAAGGGACTAAAGATTTTATCTCGATTTCATTATTGATTGAGTAATCAATTAGTATGGATATAAACTACTTATTAATAAATTTTCATAATTATATAATACATCGATTTATTGATGATTAATAATTCAGACGAGGATAATAATCATAACAGCCAAAATCAAAAAAATTAATGAAAAAATCCCACCTATACGAGTCTTTTTTAACAGCATTGGAGTTTCAAGGACATGATTATGCTGGGTTTTGTAAAGATCAATACTATCAAATAAATTCATTCGATTGGCGATACTAATTATTACACCTAATAAAAGCAGCCCAACAATAGCTACAGCAATCTGTGCATTCTTAGAATAGTTTTGAGAATCTCGGCTATGATCTGGTAGCAAGTTGGGCTGTATTGATGCATCATAAGTTTGTGAAAGCTTATAAAATTAGTCACTGCTCCCTGCAGGACATGTAACTCCAGCTGGACAGTTAAGACAAAAAGAAGCCCCTTTATAAGGATTATAAGTCCCATCATTGCATGGATAACACTGATCTATTGATGTTGCTCCTATTCCTGGGTAATACGTCCCTTTGGGGCATTTTAAGCATGTCCCGCCGTAATACGGCTGATAAGTCCCTGATGGACAAATTTCACAGACATTGTTAGAAAGATAAGTTCCTGAGCTGCATCATGCCCAAGTGCAAGGATCGTTTCCAACACAAGCAGATATTAAATCAACATATAAAAAATTACTAACAGGGACAGTCCATCGAAAATTTTCTCCCATAGCAGCCCCTCCTCCATGCATATATATGCTAGTCCCAAAGCATTCTTGTGCAGCTGCAAAAATATACTTAGGAAGTACTCCAAATTTATAAAATCCATTGCTGGTTTGATTTCAATAATAGCAAGAGTCATCTGGGGAATTAATACCTTCTCCACCGAAATAGACATACTTAAAATTGACCTTAAAGATTTTAGTGTAGCCTCTTGCATATTGTAAATTGTCTTGATCGTGGTATAGCTTAGTCCAGTTCATATAAGACTTATTGAAAATGTATATCCCATTTGAAGGGATTTCATTGGGTCCGATCCCACTATGCACAAATAGCCGGTGAGTCCTGTCAGATGGGCATTTGCAGCCTGCTAGATATATTGGACCGGGGCCGTCGTTTGCACTTTGTAGCTGGGTATAACTTTTAGTGTCTAAATCAAGATATCATAGTTCATCTGATAAGCCATTATATGTAATTCCGCCATAAATTAGAACCATTGAATATCCAATTCCCATGCAGGCCCCAGTCCTAGGACTTGGGACTGATTCAGAACTATAGTCAACCTTATACCATATATTTGTTAGAATATTATAAATATAAGCGTCATTTAGATACCCTTCAACACTATAACCTCCTCAAATAATCAAAATATCTCCATTTGAGGCTGCAGCATGATGAGATCTCCCTGAAGGGACTTCTCCTCTTGGGCTTAAAAATTTCCATGCCAGTGTTTTAAGATCCAGCTTTCAAAAATCATTTAATTTTTCACCTTTTCTATCCCCACCAAATAGCAGCAAATGTCCTCCAACAACGTTGAGAGAATGGCACATTCTTGAGCCAGGGTTATTGTATTCATTAAAATATTGATATTCAATAGGATTCTTAGACATGTCAAATATTATTAAGCTGTTTTTTTGCTCTAAATCTCGTGTGCCACCAAATAGATACACTTTTTCATGCAAAACTCCTAATCCATAAGAACTTCTTCTTATTAAATCGTTATTATCTCCCAAAATAGGTATAAGATTCCATTTAAATTCTGGATCTTCTAATGAAATTTTGTAACAAGTAGCCAGTTCTTTCATTGAGTTTGCTTCAAGTCCAAAGAAAATATAAAAATCACTGCCAATTAGTGCACCTTTAGCATGAGATCTAAAGGTAAATAAATTAGAAGGATTCGTAATATTTTTTCATTCTTGGATAGTAAGATTGTATTGATAAAATGCTGATTTATAAGAATTTTCAGTATCAGTTGTTATGCCTCCTATCATATAAATGCAATTAGAGAAATAAAAAATAATTGGATCTTCATAGGCATCCGGTATATCACCGCCATTTGGCTGAAACTTTTATTCTCATGTGTCTGAATTTAATCTATATAATATATTACATAAATAAATCACGGCTTAATGCATCTGTAGAAATTCCTCCAAAAACAGCAAACATTGTAATCCCAGTTTCATTTCATGACGTATAGCCTATTTTATATCTTGAATTTACTATAGTATTCCCATTAATTTCAATTTCTCTCCATGTGAAATATCTTAAATGAAAGCATCATATATCATTTAAAACTCCTTTTGAGGATCTTCCACCTCATATACAATATTCTTCACTCTTATATCGATAAAATCCTCCTCCGCAGTATCTCCCATCTATATATTAAATACCTGGACTATAGTTATTGGTACCAAATAAAGCATTTCATGTATTAGAAGTGACATTAAACTGTCAAATATCACTATAAATAGATTCACGGTTTTCGTATCCTCCAAAACCTACCATAGAGTTGTGAGAAGGAATTGCATCCATAATAAGACCTTTTCTTGGGTTAGGAGGAGAATCAGTTATCGGGAATGTATGAAATTCAAGTCCATATGCAATTATTAAAAAATAATTGAGAATCCATACCATTATATACAGTTTTAATCAATCGAATGGAAAAATAAAAATAGATATTTAATATTTATTCATAATTTTTACATTAAATGAATCTAAATTTTAATCTTTAATGTTGTGAAAAAATCATATAATTAAATAATTAAATTAAACTAAGGAAGTTCTTCATAGTGCTGTTTATCCTCAAACGCCTTGAATAGTATCCCTAACGCTAAAATCGCAATCATAAAAGCTCCAAACATAAAAAATATGACGAATAAGCTTAAAGAAAGATCATATCCATCCTCGTACTTGATAAGACACGAATAATCATCCCTCAAAAAGTAACACCCAATTGCCATCCATATAAAAATCACAAAGAGAGATATTATTAGGAAGAGATAATACAAATTTCTGTAAAAAGGCCTTATCAAGCTTCTATAAAAGAAAATCTCCACGATTATCAATGCTAAAGAAGGAAAAGGTAAAAATATTGCTAATATTATGAGTCATTCTTTAAGAGGGTCGTCATTGCATTCGTCATCAGTAGATCCAACAATAGCAGCAATAACAATCATAAGTGAAATGCCTCCAATGCCTAGTAAAGAGAGCATATATCTGATCACTTTGTTGTGAAGAGACTCCTCAGGGATTTTCCTCTCTGGTTGTTGCTCCATTTAAAATTTATCATGTTAAAACGAATACTTTTAGGGTGTCAGCTAAATTTACTGCTGATATATTATTTTATTCAAGTAAGCTAATCTTCTTAGGTTGAGCTTTTTGCTGAAGGAACATAATTATTCTTATTTCATGCAAATATTTATTTTTATTATTTAGTGATAATTAATTTCTCTTTATTTTTCCGCAAAATTATGTCTTAGATTTATCCATCTTCAAAGAAGATAAATTTCGTTTAATTATTCGATTAATTTTGTATATCTGATATTTATTTATTAAATCCCTAGTTTCAAAACTAAGGAATAGGATTATATCCAGCTTTATATAATTCAGGCTTACTCAATAATCCAATTGCCAAAACTAAAACGATAACTGAAGCTCCAATATATGATACTCCAAATAAAAAGAAAGCCAAATCATATCCATCTTCAAATTTATCATTGCATGAATCATCATCCATGATTAAATATGTCCCTACTGCCATCCATAAAAAATATAGGATTGTTTCAATTGCTAGTATGGTGTGATAGCAGTTTCTAAACAGCTTATTTTCTAAGCTGTGTCCACAAAAAATTTCTGTAAGTATAGTTGGTATTGAAGCTACTCCTAGAATAACAGCTAATGCAATAAGCCACTCCCTCAAAGGGGAATCATCACAATTATCGTCTGTTGAAGTTAATACTGAAATAGTTACAATCATCAAAGTTAATCCACATAATCCTAAAAGAATTAACAAAAATCTGGTCAATCTTCCATGTCTTGATAGCTCTGATCCTTTTGGGTCTTCCATATTTATTTTCTGATAAGTTTTCTTAAATAGGACAATTAGGTTTCATAAATGCACATCAGAATAATGGAGTGAGAGCAAAATTGTTAAAATTTTTTCATGTTGGAAAGTGATTGCGATCAATTATTTTTTTGTTTATTAGCAATATCACATTTAATAATTATAAGTTGCAGTTATCTCCCACTTTTTGGGCTAACTTGTTTTTCTAAAATTATTCAAGTTTTTAAGAATTTCTTGAACTTAAGTCCTAAAATTCCTATTAAGCTCACCAATTTCCCCCTAATACTTTCTTTTCATATCTCTTTAAATTTCCATTCGCATAAAACTATTTGATAAAATCCTACAAAAGGAAGTCTTCCTTCAAAGTTTTTTTTTAAAAGATAATTACCTTTGCTCTACTATTTTTATATACTTGGCACTTCTCAACTACGTGTGCTCATCTTTCGCAACTTTCCAGAGAATCTGAACTCAGGACTGCTAACCATATGTCTTATAAATTTATACTGATTTGTAAAATTTATGCAATAGTTCCTGGATAAGCATTTTACCTTTAGCTCTAAGCCAGTTCCTAAATGCCAAGAGTCTATTTTTCATTTCAGTCTCAATGCTAGACAGGTCTGCAGTCTCCTTGAAGTCGCATGATGGTTCCAATTCACTATCATAATACTTAGACGATTCAAACGCCTCAGTTCCATACAATGTTAATACATGTTCTAGCAATTATCCTCTTCTTTTCCCCTTTTACACCTCTTAGTGAGTGAAGCAGCCCATAAAGGCTCAAACAGAGATTCTAATATCACATTAAAAATGTAAATATATCGATCTACCAAAAAAATGAAAAGCACCAAAAGAAAGCAGCTTCAGGCTTCACCCATCACTCTAAACCCCAAAGAGCCAACTCAATCAGGTCTTACTCAAGCATAAAGAGACTTCTTCTCATTAAAAATACAACTCTCATTCACGAGACCACAAACACACTATTTATAAATAACTTTTCAAAATTTGAAACCTTTAACTGCAATGATAGACATCAATACCAAGAATTTGAGCGAACAAATTTAGAAGACCTAAGAACTAACTGAAATTTCTGCATCCCTATCTTTTCAATTACTGCTGAACATCATCGTTTTAGATTTAACTTTGAAGACAATGCTTTTTACGAAAATAAAGGAAAATCTGAAGCAGAAGCAGAAATCTGGAGGCTGCTAAAAAAAACAACAATGAAGATCAACCTGGCTCTTCAAAAATCGTTTTTATCAACTGCTCCTCTAAAGCGAAGCTCCAAGGCAGAAAAAACCATCACTACTCGCTTTCTCCAAGAAGAATGATGAAACCTACATTGAAGGATGCCTCACTATTTAAAATGATCGCACAATACCTGCATTTGGAAACAATAAATGAAAAGACTATTTGAACTTAACCATCTATCTCAATAGCAATTTTACAGCTGTTAATACTGATAAAAAAACATGAAAAATTATGGATATTGAGGAAACTAATGCAATTTTTGATATTGAAGGCTTTATTGAATACTACCTACCTGGATGACTGTTAGCTTATACTATCAACTATTTCTGCGGAGGAGTTTCAACAATAAAAGCAGGGGCTGCAACTGACGCTGATGAAGGAGATAATTTTTATGATAATGACTGAGTAAATATGAATGCTGGAAAAGTAATTTCTATTGATCTAAGACCCCTGCAAAAATCAAATGAAGACACATGTAAGGAATGTGCTTTTATCGCAGCAACATGTGGAATGAAAAAACTGATTCCTCCAACATTTCTCACTCCTTCAAAATTTATCAGCCTATCTTTGGTAGAAGCTATGAACCAAATAAACGTGAATATCCGTGAATTTAAGAAAAAGGCTATAAAAAAATATAAAAATTTTTTTCGCAAACAATAATACTACGATGCACCTGATGATTTATATGAAGAAAAAAAAAGAATTGAAAATACTACTTTCCGCACGAAATTGCAAGCGCTCTATTGCTATGCAGAATTGAAGAGAGATGAATTTATAATTTACAATTCATGGAGAAAAGATGAATAGCATTGAAAAGATACAAGCATCTTAAAATTAAAAAGCCAATTGTCACTTTACAACTCATTGGATATTCCATATATATTTGTTGTTAAAAAGTTATGGCTTTTAACTCCTAATTAATTCTTCAGCTTTAATTTTTTAGTTTAACATTTAACAGTTAATAAAATGGATCAAAGATTTGCAATTTTATTATTTTAAAGTTTACTTTTATTCTATGACAATAATGAGAATAAAAGTATAACACCTTAGCTTATAAATTATAATTATTAATTATTTTCTTTTCCAAAGGATGCTCATATAAATTCTCGTTTGAAGCTATCAATGGCTCTTCTACGGCGTTCATATCTTCTTCAACCATAACAAAGCTTAAAACTTTATTCAAAACTCTCACGCTTTTGATCTGAATAAATATATAAAAAATAATAGAAAGCACAAAATAAATAAAACCCATTGCTTCAATTCCTCCATATTTGTTAATACAAAAAACCAAGGAAGTTGTCATCTGAAAAATGAAAACTGAACCTAAAATTGATTTTAAACATATTTCTGGTATATTTTTTCCTGATGAATTTTTGTCAACATAGTGCACACATAAAATTAAATATTTATGAACACAAAACTATATAACAATTACCCTCATTGAAAAATAGATCAGACCGAAAAATATAATTAATGGGAAATAAATTGAATATGTAAAGATAATAAGGAAAGCGTTCAGCATGGATGCATATTCATAAGAAAAATTGAAAGTTGGAGCTTCTTGTGCTAATATTTTTTCTTTTTCTGTAGAAGCAATATTTAATTTTATTTTTGTTTTAACAACCAAAAATGGCTGAAATAAATCAAAGCCATTTACTATAAAAGCTCGTGATAACAAATAAATTGTAAAGAATCCCCCTGTATTTGCTATTGCTTTTGGCAATTCAGTTTGCCAATTATCTCATGATCCATTGACTGTTAAATCTGCAATGGTTTGTGCACCCATTGCTTGTAGGAAGAATACATAAACCCCCATAAATAATAAATATTTAAGAAGCCTGCTTGCTGTTTCTCTTGCTGTATTAGTACGTCTTTCTTTCTGAACTATATATATAGTAGTATAATACAACACTACTGCTTGATAAAAAATTAATACTAAAACAGGAAAATATTTTCCTATTATTCCCTCAATGAATTCTCTGCCTTTAAAATCTGGAAATAAATGGTTGACAAAATACAGAAAAGCAACAGGTGTGAGTACAACAAAAAACATAGCACAGAAAAATACCAACAAAAGCCATCTTTTTGTGCGCATTTCTTTATAATCTTGGTCTAAATTTTCTCATTTAATTTCATGTGGTGAAGGTGCTGTTTTTATTATTCACTCTTTCCCTTTGACATTATTATTTAACCAAATTCTGGCATTTTCTGCTGATTTTGTAGTTCTAAACGTCACATAACAAAATCCAGAGTTCCCAGTTGGCTCTTTTGTCAAAAGATCTTCATATTTTTTTCTGTATTTTTCTACTAATTTTTCATAGTGAGACTGCGTCCCAATTATTTTTTCTAGTCATTTTATTTTCTTTGTAATATGACTATGTGTTTCACCATATAAAACATAATGCTCAACTTTTTCCTTCGCATCTTCTAATTTGTTCTGGCATCTATAGAGCTTAGCCAAATTAGGAACGACATAAATCGAAATTATATTATTTCAAAACTCATCTTGCAGTAGGTTATTTACCATAGTCCGGATAAATTCGCATGATTTATTTTTCGGCAGATCACTTATTTCAAGGACATAATTGAATAGTTGGATTTTCTATATAAAAAATACGCTTTGCTGAGCTTTGGTTGTAACTTCTTTAAGCACTCTATATGCTAGATAATAACCAAATATAGAAAAAGGGATAAAATAAATTACAGCAGCCACCATATAATTTGGCGAGTCTAAAATATTTGCAATCCCTGATTTTTCAATTCCATCCTTATGGACTTTATTTCCTTGTGCATATATAGGAACAAGTACAATTACCCCAATTATGCACATTAAAAGTAAAATCTGGATGATTTTTCAAAGTAATGTTAAATAAAGATAAGCTTCACCTCCGCATCTCTCATAAATATCTTGAAGTGATGTGTTTCAAACATTTATAAATATACCTCGCTAATTATTTCTTTTTATACTTATAATTAAGATTTCATTTTATTATTTAAAAAATAGTACTAACATGATATTAAATTTATTGAATTTATAATTATGGAGTTTAAGGTTTCTAATGGAGTATCAGATTCAGAAAAAATTGCATTTTTTGGAATAATCTTGGGATTTCTTGAAGTTATATGCTTGCTTCGAAATCTCTTATATACCAAAAATAAAGCAAATAAAATGCAAAATATAAGAATGTTAAACCCAAAAGCAGAGATAAGGCCGGATAAGATTGGATCCATAATAAATTTATAGGAATTTTACATTAAATGATAAAAATACTTATTTACTTTAATGATTATACATTTTATACTTAAAATGGCCTATATGGAACTAATTAGAGAATATTTTGTAATATCGAAAATTAATTCAAAATCAAATATTCTCCTTATCTCAAAATTAAAATAAATTATTAATAGCTTAAAATTTTAATCATTCCTATTAATAATTTCTTTTTCTAATGGATGCTCATATAAATTTCCCCCTGGAGCTATCAGTGGCTCTTCAGCAACTCCTGCATCTCCATCTATTCTCATAAAGCTTAAAACTTTTTTCAAAACTCTCACACTTTTAATCTGAATAAATAAATAAAACGCAAAAGAAAGCACAAAGTAAATAAAGCCCATCGTCTCTATCCCTCTATATCTGCTTATAGAGAACACTAAAGACGTAATCATTTGAAAAATCAGAACTGAGCCTAAAATTGATTTTAAACATATTTCAGGTATATTTTTTCCTGATGAATTTTTGTCTACATAATTCACACATAAAATCAAATATTTGTGCACCATAAACTATATAAAAATTACCCTCATTGAAAAATAAACCAGACCAAAAAATATAATTAATGGAAAACAAATCGAATAAGTAAATATAATAAGAACAGCATTTAGCACCGCCGCATATTCATAGGCAAAATCAAAAGGTGGGGCTTCTTGGGCTAATATTTTTTCTTTTTCTGTAGAAGCGATTTTTAATTTTAGTTTTGTGACAATAACCAATAATGGCTGAAGTAAATCAAAGCCATTTGCTATAAAAGCTTGTGATAGCAAATAAATTGTAAAAAATCCTCCTGTGTTTGACACTGCTTTTGGTAGTTCAGTTTGCCAATTATCTCAGAAGCCATTGACTGTTAAATCTAAAATGGTTTGCGCACCCATTGCTTGTAGCAAGAATACATAAATTCCCATGAATAATAAATATTTAAGAAGCCTGCTTGTTGTTTCTCTTGCTGTATTAGTTCTTTTTTCTTTGCTAACGATATAAATAATAGTGTAATATAATATTACCACTTGATAAATAAGCAATATTAGAACAGGAAAATATTTCCCTATCTCCCCACTCGTTGAGCGAAAAAATTTTGTTGCTCACTTATGAAGGGGTTAAAAATTTAATTGTATCTCTTTTGGATTTTTTTCCCTGCAGATATTTCCGATCAAGCATTTACTCTGCAAAACCCATTCCTGCAAAAGGGAAAATTTGCCCCGAGTAAAGACGCATGGAGAATTTAATAATTAATTTTAACTCAAACTTCAAGAAATTTTATTTGCAAATATTTAAAAGATAAAACCTTCTTTCATTTTTTTCAAAACAATTCATTAAAAATGTGAAGTTCCCTAAAACAATAAAATAGTCGTCATTATTTATATTTCAAATATTTTATAAAAAATTTCTTAAACTAAAAGTGTTTTCTTCGCTTATGGAAGCGGTCAAATCCCAAAACATTGGATTTTTCTAATGGTTTTGCATGCTCATGGTATAGAGTAAGAGTCCTTCAATAAATTGTCTGCCTTTAAAATCAGACAAAAAATTATTAACAAAATACAGAAATCCTGCAGGTGTTACCAAAATAAAAAATAAAATACAGAAAAATATCATCAAGCATCACCTTTTTGCTCGTATTTCTCTGTAGTTTTGGTCTAAATTTTCCCACTTAATTTCATGTGGTGATGGTGCTGTTTTTACTATCCAGTCTTTTGCTCTAATATTATCATGTAACCACTTTTTCGCATTTTCTGCTGACTGTGTAGTTCTAAACGTTACATAGCAAAACCCAGAGTTCCCAACAGGTCCTTTTGCCAATAGATCTTCATATTTTTTGCTGTATTTTTCTACTAATTTTTCATAAAACATCTGCGCATCAATTCATTTTCCTAACTCCCCCCCTCCGTGAGTGAACAAAAAAATTTTGTTCACTCACGGAGGGGGGTTAATTTTATTTTTTAAAAACATTTATATATAAATTTTATAAAAAATATTTTTTTTCTAAATTTAAAAAAATCCTAATTCGCAAAAATTGGAAGGCAAATATTAATTTAATTTATAAAATTTATGTTTTAAAGAGCAATCCGTTTAAAATTAAATAGAATTAGCTCTAGATTTTATTTACTAATTATCATTTATATATCAAAAAATTTTTCCATAAAAAATTTTTCTATTAAAAAAATTTTTGTTCACTCACGGAGGGTGGGTTTTTGGGCAAAAAATGGTGATTTTTCTAATGGTTTTGTTCACTCACGGAGGGGGGGGAGTAATAGTTTTATTTTCTTTTTCGTTTGATGTGTTTCATCATACAAAGCATAATGCTCAGCCTTTTCTTTAGCTTCTTCTAGTTTATTGTGGGTTCTATAGAGTTTAGCCAAATTAGGAACAACATATATTGAAACGATATTGTCTCTAAAATCTTTTTGCAATATATTATTAACCATAGTCTTGATGAATTCACATGCTTTGTCTTTTGGTAGATCACTTATTTCAAGCACATAATTGAATAGTTGGATTTTCTATATAGCAAATACATTTTGTTGAGACTTTGTAGTCACTTCCTTTAATACCCTATACACTAGGAAATAGCCAAAAATAGAAAAAGGGATAAAATAAATCAAAGGAGCAACCATATAGTTAGGCTCCTCTAAAATATTTCCAATTCCTGTCTCTTCAAGCCCAGTCTCATGAATTCTCTTTCCTTGTGAATATACAGGAACAAGCACAGTCACTCCGATTAAGCACATCAAAAATAAAGACTTGATTATTTTTCATTGTAACGCTAAATAAACATAAGCTTCACTCCCACATTTTTCATAAATATCTTGCAATGATGTATTTCAAACACTTTTAAATAAAAGCATCAAAGGTGTATCAGATTCAGAAAAAATTGCATTTTTCGGAATAATTTTTGGATTATCTGAAAATATATGCTTGCTTCGAAACGTTCTGAATACCAAAAACAAAGCGAACAAAATCCCAAATATTAAAATATTTGCTGCAAATGCTGAGATCAGAGCATATAAGATCGGATCCATGATAAATTTTATTTTTAATACAATATCAAATTATTTATAATTTCTTATGGTGAAATATTTATATCATTTTCTGTATTAAAATGCTCCTTTAACTCAGCTGTTTTATCATTTGTGCTTAGAAGTGATTTATTTGGAGACTCTTCTTTGTTAAATAATTTATCAAACCCTAAAGCTTGTTTAACAAAAATTTCTTTATCATTTTCACTTTTCTGTTTTAGCTTATTTCTGGCACTTATAGTTGCATTTAAGGAGGTCAGAGCTCTTCTATCGTCTTTTAAGATAGTTCTATTGAGGCGTGTTGATGATGACCGCGGACGATAAATTGACCTTAATTGTTCAGGATTCAGTGTGTCTATTCTAGTTTTTGTATGAATTACAAGGGTTTTTCCAAAATCTGGCTTTAATTCTCTCTTCCCCTTTTCTTTCTGTATCTCTTTGCTGAAATTAGTTTGAAAAGTGTTATTTACATGAATGCATAAAGCAGAAGAAGTTGGTAAAAACATTTTTGCGTTTCTTACAGCTTTTTTGTGTCACAAATAAGCATCTTTTTTGGAGTAATTTGTGTTTTTTCCTATTAAATTTCTTATTTCAGTCGCTATGCAAAATTGAGTCACAACAATCAGCAAGGTTTTTTCAAAAAGTTTTTCTTTTGTAAGCTCTTGATCACACCCAAATCCTCCATGAGCTCCTTCAGTTTCATAGGGTTGAATAACCATAACGTCTCCAATATTCCAATTATTTATCCATTCCATATCTGCTGCTTGAAATATTCCTTTGACATTATTTACTTTTTGAATCTTTTTTGTTTTAAATTGTTTACATATGACTTTTAAATATGGCAAAGCCTGATTTATTACATTTTGTGACTGCAAATAATGAGGTGACTCAAGTAATTTATACTGTTGTTGCTTTGCAAATCTATTTCTTAATCTTGATGATTTTGATATTTTATCATTTAATTTTATCTGTTCTTTGCATGCTAATAAGCACTCTTCTAGGCAAAATCTTATATTTTTTTCAGCTTTAAATGCATATCTTAAGGCTTTTTCATTTTCTTTTAATTGTGAAAATATTGCACATAGTCTGACTCTTGATTTGCAAATATATCTAGATAAAAATATTTTTTCAGAAACAGTTTTAATTGAAGATTTTTTGGCTTTGATTATTTCAAGGCAATGATTTATGGAAGCTGCACAATCTTCTAGTAAGCCTAGTCTTTGTAAACATATTGAGCGATTGTGAGAGGTTTCTAACCTCCCGTGAGTAAGCAAAACTATTGAAAAAAATAAACTACTTCTTGGAAAAATAAATCTTTGTATAAAATTTATAATGACAATTATAAAGGAATCTCTGGCTAATTTCTATATATTTAATTCTAAGAAACAAATTTATAAGTTAAATAAAATTGATCGGAGTAAGCGAAAATGATTGTCAACCTCACTTCCTGCTGCTTGAAGAGCTTCCAAAATTTCGTCAGATCTAGAGAGCGCTTCTAAAGCTCTTTCAAATTCTTGCTGTTTTACAAGTTTTAAAGCGATTTTGTTGTATTGCTTGAGAATTAACGGAACTTCTTCTTCAGGGATTACAGTCTCAATCATTTTATTAGAAAAATGTCAATTAGTTAGCTATATAAATCATTAGGTGAAGGAATCTCAAAGAGATTATTTTTAGGTTTTGACTATTTATAAGCTTAATTTTGCTTTTATCAATAATTTTTGACACAAGCATAACTAGTTATGTTTTCTTTCAATAAATTTATCTTATAATAGCCTAAATGACTCTGATTTAAAATGAAAAAAGCCTCTGCATAGTTTCATTATAAATAAAGGTCATAACAATTTGCAAATTTTATTAAACTCAACATGAGATTTTCTATTTTCAATCCTAAAATGTCAATAATTAAAATTACAACAGCCCAATGATACCATTTTGATGATTTTCTAAGCGCTTATAAGAAATCTTAAAGATTCGAATTAAGATTCCAATATAAATATTTTGTTTTCCACAACAAGAGATTAATTAGAATAGGATCATCATAACGTTGTCATAAGATGGAGTAAGCAGGGTTAAGATTCGCTTATCATATTAAGAAACGATGGCACATTATAATCAAGCTCAGGAAATTCGTTATGCAATAGAGCAAGATGACTTAAATTTTTTAAAACACCACCTAACCAAACACAATGTAAACATTGAAGTTAAATTTGTATGAATTATTCTTATTAAAAGCTTATATGTTTGCATCCATTATGGGGTTGCTTTACCAGCGCTTCAGCCATTTTTACACGGGTTAGGCCCACAGGTCTCTGGATTGATCTGCGTTGGAAATCAAGGCATGCTTTCAAATGCCTTACCGACTTCGACTGCTCATGAATAAGCGACTAAGTTACTTCTTTGGTGCCTGTGACAAATAAAGACTCCTTTGTGCTGCAGGATTGAAGCGGCGAACTAAAGGCCTTTTATCTTTCTCTAGATCTTGCCAGAAGGCTGCTAGCTTCCCTCCAAGTTATCTACTGGTATTTGCCTGTATAAAATTTCGGTACAAACAAAGCCTCCTAATCATAAAATGCAAAGTGAATGGTCCCGATCAGAAGACGGTACCTTACAAATGCCATTTTATGATTATCATATGAATTTATTCAGCTTGGGTATAATTTCACGCCACTTATGTATGCAGCAAGATTAGGCCGGGGACGAATTGTTGAATTTTTGCTAGAAAACCACTTAGCCAATCTAAAACTTGATCTAGTAGATTTATATGGCCAAAATGCTTTGCTGAATTCAATTTATTCGCTTGATGGGTTTACAATAAAGTTAGTTTCGAAATATTTGAAGGCAGATTCGAAGGATAATTTTGATAATAATTGCTTGCATATTGCTTCTGAACTTGGGAATTTGGAAATAGTAAGAATGTGTGTAGAAGAATTAGGAGTAAAGTATGAGAAGAATTTTTATGGATGCACGCCTTTGCATTTGGCTATGAGTCGGGAAGTAATGGAATATCTAATTTTAAATGGAGCTGAGGTGGATAATGTCGACGAACAAGGTTGAACTCCTTTACATTATGCTGTATATGATAATAATATATACTGGTAGTTAAAAAATTTTTTTTCAAGAAGTAAATAGTAATATAAAAAATTTTTGTTAGGAGATTTAAATTATTTTTTTAAAAATTATAAAAGCCGATAATAATGAAGAAATTGTTAGAGTACTGATAAGATCTGGTGCAAGTATTAAAATTTTGGATAAAACTGGAGTCACAGCTTTTGAGCTTGGAATCCTCAGGGATCCTAATAGTGCAATAATTCAGCTATTAAAGCAAGAAATGGAAAATTATGTTAAAAAGCACACGAAAACTGATATCATCCCTATAGAAAAACCAAAAGAAGAGCCTACAGCTAACGGGAGTATTTTAGAAACAGTTAGTGAAGAATTATCAATAGAATTAGCAAATGGGCACAATGAAAAAGAAATAAATGATGATGAAGACGCGATGTCTATTGATTTATCAGTTGACATCAAAAGCTCAACCATTACCACAAATGAAAACCAATTAGATATTCAAGAAGCAAACTCAGAAGTCGTTTCTGAAGAAGAAGTACAAATTCCTTCAAAACCTTCAGAAGAAAATAAATCAGTGCTGCAAAAAAACTCCAGCATAGAATCAATACAATCTAATATTTCCCCAGAGGTAAAAGATTTAATTTCTATTATGCTCAACCAAAAATTTTCAGTCCATCTCGAAGAACTCGGAGTAGAAACCATCAGCATTAACGAACTCCAAATGAGAGAAACACTTGGGACAGGCGGCTACGGCAAAGTTTTTCGAGGTTATTTTCGAGATACCGAAGTCGCCATAAAAGTTGTGAACTCAGACAAAATCGACGACATTATTATCAAAAATTTCATAAAAGAAATACAAAGTTTAATAAAAATAAGGCATCGAAGGTTTTTGCAAATTTTAGGAATTTGCATAGAAGGGCCTTTATGCATTGTGACAGAACTTGCTAAGGGAGGAAATTTATCTGATGCGATATTAAAAGGGAATTTTGATTTTAATGAAAAATTAAGAATTGCCTTGCAGATAGCTGAAGGGATGAATTATATTCATAATAAAAAACCACCGATAATACATAGAGATTTAAAGCCTCAAAATATACTATTAGATGAATTTGGGCAAATAAAAATAGCCGATTTAGGTTTATCAAGAACGGTAGCACAGATAAAGGACCCAAGCATCTCAGAAAAAACGAATATTTGTGCAGGGACTGTAAGATATATGGCTCCAGAGCTCTATGATGAGCATCCAGACTGTTCAAGAAAAACTGATGTTTGGGCGTTTGGGTGCGTTTTATATCAAATTGTCACTGGGTTGCAGCCTTGGAATGGGATTGACGTAGTTGGAGTACAAAGAAGACTTGTCTTAAAAAATCAATTTCCTATTGGAGACATTGAGCCTAAAAATATAAGTGATTTAATAACGAATTGCTGTCATATTGATCCAGAAATTCGGCCAAGCTTTCGAGATATCCGGCTTAAACTTCAAGAAATTCTGGGCATTCAGCCTTCTCAGCCAAGCTAGAATTGCTAATAAATTAACATAAAAAATGATGGACATCCCAAAACCTGCAAATCCAGTGACTACACTTCTCCCCTTTATTCTTCCATTCTTTTTGCTCATGTGAAGACTTCCATATCATTCGCCTGTAGAAGCAACTTTTTGTGTGTATATTTTTATAGTGTTTTATGCATTTTTAAAGTCATTGTGAATAAAAAATCATTCAGTGGCTGATGAGATGTGAAGTATTATGCCGGTTTATTATGCATATATTTTTGCAGCAACTTCAGGCAGTGCCAGATCTAAAATTATGTTTAGTCTTGTTGCAGCTTGGGCAATAAGGATGTCATATAATTTTTATCGAAAAGGTGGATATAAAGGATTAGAGGACCATAGATGGGGAAAACTTAGAGAGACAATAAGAAATCCGATTCTTTGGCAATTATTTAATTTCTTTTTTATTTGTGTTACGCAAAATGCGCTATTGCTGTTTATATGCTTACCTGGGTATTTTGCACCTAATGATTCTTTGAATTTGATTGATATTGTGGCGACTTTATTAAATTTGGGGTTTCTTTTATTAGAAAGTATTGCTGATAATCAACAATGGAATTTCCAAAAAGAAAAGCAAAGGCTAATTAGTGAGAAAAAAGAGCTTACTAAAGAGTTTAAAAATGGATTCTTAAGCAGAGGACTTTTCAGATACTCAAGGCATCCTAATTTTTTTGGAGAGATTGGGATTTGGTGGAGTTTCTATTTATTTACACAATCATTTAACCTATCAATTATTGGTCCAATCTCATTGACACTATTATTCCAAGGATCTTCCAATTTTACAGAGAAAATCAGCGCTTCAAAATATCCTGAGTACAAAGTGTACCAAAAAATAACATCAAAGATAATTCCGTGGTTTCCACAGAAGTGGCAGGAATAAAGTAGAATAATTTAAGTTTTTAATTTTAAGAAATTCTCCAATTTCCATATTCATATGCAAAAACAGTATGCCATTTTGTGATTCATGTGAAATTATATTTTATTTGATATTGTGAATAAAAGTGGCTAATATTGAAATGTCACTAAACTTCAGGCTTGGCTTTGAAATAGGATATCATGAATATTTAAACCTTAAGAAATCATAAAGAATTCAATCTTTTTTGCTATTCTGAAATAGCTAATAAATTATCATTAAAATGATGGAAATTTCCAAACCTGCAAATCCTCTGATAGCTCTTCTCCCAATCACTCTCCCTTTTCCTTTCCTTATGTGGTATCTCCCAGAGCTTTCTCCTCTTGAGGCTGCGTTTTGTGTGTATACTTTTGCAGTGTCATATGCCTTTGTGAAATCTTTATCAACAAAAAATCATTCAGTGGTAGATGAGATGTGGAGTATTTTGCCGATTTATTACGTATATATTTTTACAGCAAGAATGAATAACATCAGGTCATACATTATGCTTACTTCCCCTCCGTGAGCGAATAAACCATTAGAAAAAAGCCATTTTTTACCCTCCGCGAACAAAAATTTTTTTAATAGAAAAATTTTTTATGGAAAAAAAATTTGATATATAAGTGATAATTATTATAATGAAATCTCTGGCTAATTTTGTTTAATTTTAAACAAATTGCGTTTTTAAAACATAAAATTTTATAAATTAAATTAATATTTGCTTTCCAATTTTTTGCGAATTAGGATTTTTTTAAATTTCTAAATAAAAATTTTATATAAAATTTATAATGAATTTTTTAAAAAAAAAAATTAACCCTCATCTGTGAGCGAACAAGATTTTTTTGTTCGCTCACGGAGGGGGGAGTCAGTCTTGTTACAATGTGGTCATTGAGACTTTCTTATAATTTTTATCGTAAAGGTGGATACAGAGGATTAGAAGATCATAGGTGGAAAGTGCTGAGAGAGACTATACCAAATCCAATTCTTTGGCAACTATTTAATTTCTTTTTTATCTGTGCGACACAAAATGCTCTTTTGTTTTTTATATGTTTACCAGCATATTATGCACCTAAAGGCCCATTAAATGCAATTGATATAGTTGCTGCAGTACTGTTTTTAGGGTTTCTTTTATTAGAAACTATTGCAGATAACCAGCAATGGAATTTCCAAAAAGAAAAGCAAAGGCTAATTAGTGAGAAAAAACCGCTTCCTGAAGAGTTTAATAAAGGATTTTTATATACAGGACTTTTTAAATATTCCAGACATCCTAACTTCTGTGGAGAGATTTCTATTTGGTGGATTTTCTATTTATTTGCACAGTCATTTAACCTATCAATTCTTGGTCCAATCTCATTGACTTTATTATTCCAAGGATCTTCCAATTTTACAGAGAAAATCAGCGCTTCAAAATATCCTGAGTACAAAGTGTACCAAAAAATAACATCAAAGATAATTCCGTGGTTTTCACAAAAGTGGCCACAATAAAGTAATTAAGTTTAAGATTCTTTCTTATTAAATAAATATATAAATTTATTCTTTATTAGAATGCCATAATATTACAAATCTTAAAAAATATTCTATCATAATAGATTATTGAATTTAACTAATAGATAATATTAATTAATATTTTGTTATTTAGCTAAATCTCCATAAAATCATCAGCATAAAATAGCATTTTATATTTAAAAGGCTTAAATATTTTATATAGTAAATAAAGAACTTGCAAGTAAACTTCAATATTACAAACATCATGGAATTAATTAAATATCTCTTCTTCTCATACACAAAGAAAATGGTAACGTCGCCGGCCCGTCCTCTCCAGACCTATTTTGAGTTTAGGGACCTTGCTAACTCCCCCCCCCCCCCTCCGTGAGCGAACAAAACCATTAGAAAAAATCGCCATTTTTTGACCAAAAACCCACCCTCCGTGAGTGAACAAAAATTTTTTTAATAGAAAAAATTTTAATGGAAAAAAAATTTTGATATATAAGTGATAATTAGTATATGAAATCTAGAGCTAATTCTGTTTAATTTTAAACAAATTGCGTTTTAAAACACATAAATTTTGCAAATTAAATTAATATTTGCTTCCCAATTTTTGCAAATTAGGATTTTTTTAAATTTCGAAAAAAAATATTTTTTATAAAATTTATATATAAATTTTTTTTAAAAAAAAAAATTAACCCCCCTCCGTGAGCGAACAAAATTTTTTTGTTCGCTCACGGAGGGGGGGGGGGGAGTAAGGTGAGAAGAAAGTCGATCAGGAAAAGGAGTCTACAGACACTGGACATTTGTCTTCCGGTTGGGTTTCACCCCTCGTCCATAATGAAGACTTTGTGCATTCCCGATGGACATTTGGGAAAAAGGCTTTTACACCTAGAGGTCACTAGTGCCGACGACGAAGGAATAGTTGGTACCGATACTAGTTAGCAAGTTTATCCCTAGCCGGAACTCTAGTCACTCAAGCAGAAGCCGTCAAGTCCCAAAATAGCATACTCCAAGACTGCATTAAGAACTAGGCCGAAAGCTATCTCTGATGGAAATGCTGACATACCCAGGGAGGTTCGCTAGCAGTTGAACCTTCTACGAAGATTAGTCTCTGGTGAGACATAAAAGAAGACCTTAATCTCTAATTAATGTAATCTCTCCTTCCCATAAATGGAGGAGACGCTTTATAAGTTTACATATAAAATAGCATGGATAATGATAATCACCTGATAGAATCTCTGCTGAAGAAGTTTGATGACCCAAGCCAACAAATTCTTCCTCGAGTATCAGTGGAGACTTTTATTTTTGGAGAGTATTATATGAAAAATGATGCCCTCGAAGGAAACCCATGAATGAAAAATCTTCCATCCCATTATCCTATTATAAAGCAAAATAAAAAGGTCAGGACCAGCAAAATATTACTATTTACTGCATTAGCTCTTACTGCTGCTCTTTCAGCCCCACTTGCTTTCTTTATCGATGCTACAAGCCAAGAATTGCTCATATTAAGACTTTATCTTTTATCTTTAGCTGAAAGTCATTTTGCAAGCGTTTTAATATGAGTAAGCTATTCTCTTATCCTTGCTTTAATTGCTGCTTCATTTGGAGATTGACTTTGCCAAGCAGCTGAAGGAGCAGGATTTGCAGAACTACGAGTAATTCTTACTGGTATCGAAATTCCAAACTTTTTTGGGTGAAAAACCCTTTTAGCCAAAACTTTTGGGCTTATTTGTGCAATAGGTGCAGGATTGAGTATAGGAAAAGAAGGCCCAAATGTCCATATGGCTTCAATTATAGCTGAACGTGTTATAAGTTTAGGACCCTTTAAGAGATTTAAGAAGGAAATAAATTTAAGATATATTGTACTCACAGCTTCAATTGCAGCTGGAACTGCAGCAACTTTTGGAACACCTTTAGGTGGAGCGATATTTGGTATCGAGCTGACAGGGACTTATTTCTTTGTAAATAATTTTTATAAAAGCATTTTTTGCAGTCTGATAACAGCTTATTTGTTCAAAATTCTGCAAAGCTTTAAAATAGTCCCACAAATTGGAAAAGTTTCTTATGATCATCATGCGCTATGTGGGGATTTTTATCTTCATATTATTACTGGCTTATTCACTGCAATTATAGGAGTAACTTTTGTGAAAGCTGTTCAAAAATTGACTAAATTCAAAAACAAAAGGGTAATTCCTTGGCTATATCATAGATATAGATATAGCGATGACCCCCCTCAATCTTCATGTCTATTGCAACAAAAATGCAATTTTTTTAATATAAAATTTTATATAAAAAAATTGGAGAACTTTTTGGGACGGCAAAAAATACTGCAAGGCTCTGCAAAAAACTGCAAGGCCAGTAAAAAAATGGCAAAGCCAAGCAAAAAAATGCAAAACTTGCAAAATTTTTGCAAGTTTTGCAAAAACATTGGACAAAAGCAAAAGCAATTTAAAAAAAAAGCAAAGCCATGCAAAAATTAAAAAAAAATGAAAAATTTCGCAAAGCAGGCAAAACTTTTGCAGGGTGGGCAAAAAAGTTGCAAAAATTGGCAAAAATCACGATTAGAAAATTTAACAGTAAAATTTAATAAATTTATTGGAAGTGTAGTACAATGTTAAATTATTTAAACAACATATAATATAGAAAAAATAGAAATTAATTTCGTGAAACAAATGCTAAAGTCTAATACAAATATCTTTTAAAGAATTTTCCAAAAACATAACTTAAGAATTTTAAAAATTTGGAAAATTTAATTTTGGCAAAACACTTTGTTGTATTTCATTTTAAAATTTTGCCAAAATTAAATTTTCCAAATTTTGAAAATTTTTAAGTCATGCTTTTAGAAAAAATTCTTTAAAAGATATTTGTATTAAACTTTAGCATTTATTTCACGAAATTAATTTCTATTTTTTCTATATTATATGTTGTTTTAAATAATTTAACATTGTACTACACTTCCAATAAAATTATTAAATTTTACTGTTAAATTTTCTAATCGTGATTTTTGCCAATTTTTGCAACTTTTTTGCCACCCTGCAAAAGTTTTGCCTGCTTTGCGAAATTTTTCATTTTTTTTTAATTTTTGCATGGCTTTGCTTTTTTTTTAAATTGCTTTTGCTTTTGTCCAATGTTTTTGCAAAACTTGCAAAAATTTTGCAAGTTTTGCATTTTTTTGCTTGGCTTTGCCATTTTTTTACTGGCCTTGCAGTTTTTTGCAGAGCCTTGCAGTATTTTTGCCGTCCCAAAAAGTTCTCCAAAAAATTAATTTTCATGTCTCTTGCAACAAATTTTCGATGTGCATTTTAAATTTTTAATAAAATGGCGAGCGATAGAGAAAAATGTGTTAATTTTTTTTTATAAAAATGTCGTGTTGCAACAGGCATGAAGATTTTTTCGAAAAAATTTTGTTGCAATAATCATGAAGATTGAGGGGGGGTCATCGCTACTACAGTAATTTCTGTATTTACCTCATTAACTACATTTTATGCATTTTGGCTTAGGATGAGTGACGCAATTCTTATAAATTTGATGTTTAGCTCTGATAAGCTACCTGATAGCTGAATTGGATCAGAATTTTTAGGTTTACCAGGACAATTCCCGATATTGATTCTAGTCGCATTTTTGAAGATCATATTATTAACAATTGATATAACAATTCAAGCTCCAGTTGGGTTTTTTACGCCTTGTGTGTGCGTTGGGGCTATCTTAGGAAGAATTTTTGGAGAGTTTTCCTTGTTTTTAGGATATTCAACATCTCCTGGCATCTATGCAGCAGTAGGGGCAGCTTCACTTGCAACATCAACAACTCATACCCTTTCAGTAGCTCTCATGATATTCGAAATGATTGAAGATATTCACTTCTTACTCCTCACACCTTTGCGGGCAAGCCATTGAAAATAACCTATGGTAAGCGAGCAACAATTTTTAATAGATTAAATATTTGAAATATAATTAAACATTAGATAATAATGAAATGTCCTCATAATTCAATAAAATTTTAAAGAGATCGCACCCTAAAACATCAATTTTATAGATAAAATTGGAAATTAAAAAAAAAAACTAGTCCTTGGTTCCAAACAGATTATTTTGATCAATAGTCAAGGTCGTGCAGAGTTAGTGCCAATGTGCCTAAGCGTATTTATTTCTTATGCTGTCAGCTCATATAGCCATAAAAGCATTTACGACACCCTTATTTCAATAAAAAATCTCCCTTTTATTCCATCATACAAACACTGGCCAATCTTCCATGATTTTGCAAAAGATGTGGCGGATTCTTCAATACACTGTATAAATCGTTACTGCACAATACGAGACCTTGTAGATGCATTTAATGATTGCTCTGTATTTTCTGTTCGCCCTGTAATCGATGATGACTTTTATTTAATTGGTGAAATAAATGCTACGAATGTGAAAAAATATTTGTCATACCGCTTTGAAAACGACACAAATCATTTGTCAGTTAGAGCTAAAAAGTGTATATGAAATGAGCTAACTCAGACTTCTAATGGGCCAGATAATGAAATTTCACCTGATATGATAGAAGAAGTTGAAGAATTTTGGCAAAGCCCAGTAAATCTGTGATCAGAAAAATTAAAATTCAATACATCACCATTATTCATTGCAGAACAAACTCCACTTTATAAAGTACACTACATCTTTATGATGCTTGGACTTATGCACATTTATGTAGTCAATCAAGGAAAATTGACAGGGATAATTGCCCATTCCTGCTTTTCTCAGAAATCTGGTAACTATCTTTAACATAAAAACTGCTTACTGATATTACTAAGGAGAATCATTATTCCACACTTGATATAATCAAGTGTGGTAAAATGAATATTCAAAAATGCAATTAACCTGTCATGAAAAAATTGATTTTCGCTTATATTCAATTTTAATTCCAAGAAGTCTGAATTAAATGAAAAGAGTCTTAAACGTCTAAGGAACGCCGAATCATAAATGGTGTCTATAAGTCTCCCTCTATGTCCATTATGCAAGTCTATTACTCGCTTGAATCATAAATTATGGCTGCAAGTCTCTCTCTATGTCTATTATGCAAGTCTATTACTCGATTGAATCATAAATGGAATTTATAAGTCTCCCTCTATGTCTAGATACAAGTCTATTGCCTGCTTTAAATTATTATTCTCGTCTTTGAATTGTCTGTAAACGTCTATGATGAGCCGAACAAAATTTATACTTAAAAATATTTTAAATAAATAATTGCTTAATGTGTCTGAAATTTCATTCTTACACAGAAGCACTTATTTTTAACCGAAACTTGCTGAATTATATATAATCTACAGAGGTTTATTTTATAAAAATATATCATATAGAAAAATTTCAGCAATATCTTATTTGTACCGACCTTAGAATCAGCATAATGTATATTTATGTTTCATTAGTCTTGCAAAAGTTTCAGTATATTTATTATCTTCAAATTCAAAGTTTTATTATTTAATAAAATTAAATTATTTTCCTCTTCCTTCAATTAAAATATGTGAATATTTTCCCAAAATATCTCTTACTTTCTAAAAGTTTCTGATAAGATGCAAAATTTCAAAAAAACTAATAAATACTTTCCAGCTTTCATAAAATGGAAATAAATCGCTTCTTATAAGTTTAATAAATAAATCGCCATGGACAATGATAATTACTTGCTTGAGTCGTTTCTTGAAAAATTTTACAATCCAAGTCAGCAGATTCTTCCCAGAGTATCAGTCGATACTGTGGTGTCTGGAAACTGCTATATGAAAAATGATGCAATTGAAAGAAATTCTTGGATGATTGCTCTCCCGTCTCATTATCCAATTACGAAGAAAAGCCAAAGAAAAGTGCGAAGAGGCAAGATCTTATTATTTATTGCCTTAATTATAACTGCTGTGTTCTCAGCACTTTTAGCATTCTTTATAGATGTCGTAAGTCAAGAATTACTGTTTTTAAGACTAGATTTATTGTCGTTAGCTGAAAGTCATGTCGTAAGTGTTCTTATATGAGTGGCTTACTCTCTTGTCTTTAGTCTAATTGCTGCTTCATTTGGGGATTGGCTTTGCCAAGCAGCTGAAGGAGCGGGATTTGCTGAATTGCGAGTAATTCTTACTGGTATCGAAATTCCTAACTTTTTAGAATGGAAGACCCTTATTGCCAAAACTTTTGGGCTTATTTGTGCAATAGGCGCAGGGCTGAGCATAGGAAAAGAAGGCCCCAATGTCCATATGGCTTCGATTATTGCGGAAAGAGTTATAAGTTTAGGGCCTTTTAACAAAATTAAAAGAGAAGTGAATTTAAGATATAGACAGGGTTGCTTCTAGCTTACTCTAAAGCTCTGGATTTTCTCCCAGCTGGTAAGTTTAATCTTTGGTAATGAATATTGCCTTAACCAACCTCAAGTATTTAAACAGAAATTTAGCTCAAGATAACTAAAAGCAGCCCTTGGCTATATATTTTACTGACAGCTTCAATTGCTGCTGGGACTGCAGCAACTTTTGGAACTCCTTTAGGTGGCGCAATTTTTGGAATTGAGCTAACAGGGACTTATTTCTTTGTAAACAATTTTTATAAAAGCGTATTTTGCAGTTTAGTAACAGCTTACATGTTTCATATTTTACAAAGCTTTGAAATAGTCCCGCAGATAGAAAAGGTTTCTTATGGCCATCATACGTTGTGTGGAGATTTTTATATTCACATTATTACTGGATTTATTATCGCAATAATAGGTGTCACTTTTGTACAAGCTGTTCAATATAAATAAAATCGTATTCAGAGCGAGAAAAATGCGCTCTGCTAATTTTCTCTCCTTCATGGATTTTATTTATGAAGTATTTGTTTATCTTGAGAACTTTTAGCTTTGGGATAACTAGAGGAACTTCTCACAGTGTAATCAAGAGGTTCAAGTTTCGCCACTCATCAAATCCTAGGAGGATGGCCTAAGGCAGAGTAAGCACTGTAATGAGCGAGCGAAGGGTAAGGCTTCGTGCAGGGGAGAAAAGTGCTGGCCAGGGTAGCAGGCGCTTATTTGGGATGGTCCGAGCTTTTGGATCTGAAATGCTTGTGATATCAGTATTTTGACTCTGTCCCTTTGGTGAGGGGTGTGGCATTAGACACCTTAAACACTTTAGTTAATATAATGTAATGTGCAAGCTGTTTCAAAAATTGACTAAATTCAGAAGTCAGAAAATAGTTCCATGGCTATATCATAGATATAGATATGCAGCAGCTATTTCTATATTTACTTCATTGACTACATTTTATGCAATTTGACTTAGGATTAGTGATGCAATACTTATAAACTTAATGTTCAGCTCTGATAAGTTGCCTGATAGCTGGGTAGGACCAGAAATTTTAGGCTTACCTGGACAAATCCCAATATTAATTTTAGTAGCTTTTTTAAAAATTTTGTTACTATCAATCGATATAACAATTCAAGCTCCAGTCGGATTTTTTACACCTTGCATTTGTGTTGGGGCTATTTTAGGTAGAGTTTTTGGAGAATTTTCCTTGTTTTTAGGCTATCCAACATTTCCAGGTATTTATGCAGCAGTAGGAGCAGCTTCCCTTGCAACATCTACAACTCATACCCTTTCAGTAGCCCTTATGATATTCGAAATGATCGAAGATATCCACTTCCTAGTGCCAATGTGCCTAACTCCCCCCATTTAATAACGAACAAAACCGTCATTTTTTTTCCTAAAAATTTTTCCTTAGGCCCCCCATTTAATAACGAACAAAATTTACTATAAAATTTATATAAGCTAATTTAGTCTTTATAGTTTACTAATTTTAAGTAGTTAGAATAAGATAAGGACAAATATAATCGAGCAAAGAATAATAAATAAGAGCTAATAAGTTAATAGTGGCTTAATCTTAAGCTGATGCTTTACTCCCCCGCTCCGTGAGCGAACAAAACAATTTCGTTCGCTTACGAAGGGAGTTAATTTTTTTATAAAAAATTTTTTATAAATTTTATAGGTATTTTTTTTTTTTCGAAATTTAAAAAAATCCTAATTTGTAAAAACTGGAAAGCAAATATTAATTGAATTTGTAGAATTTATGTTTCAAAACGTAATTTATTTAAAATTAAACAGAATTAGCTCCAGATTTCATTATAATAATTATCATTTATATATCAATTTTTTTTTTCATAAAACATTTTTCTATTAAAAAAAAATTTATTCGCTAACGGAGGTGAGGGATTTTTCTAATGGTTTTGTTCGCTCACGGAGGGGTGGGGATTTATCAATAGTTATCTTTTCGCTTTCATTTAGGCGCTTTCTCTTTCTGTTGCCATCATTTGAATCCTTTTATTATTAACTCTTTAAATGAAATTTTTTATAAAAAATTCATAAATATTTAATATAAATTTTTATATATATTTTTTTCCCAAAAATTTTATAAGTTAGACCCCATTTAATAACGAACAAAAAAGTGTTCGTTATTAAATGGGGGGGAGAGTAAGTGTTTTTATTTCTTATGCGGTGAGTTCATATAGCCATAAAAGTATTTATGATACTCTTATTGCTATAAAAAATCTCCCTTTTCTTCCAATATATAAAAGATGATCAACTATAGGCCCTTCCTATAGATGGCGCGCAATGCGCCATCATCGGGCCATGTCGGGAGAGGGTTCTCCACGAGGAATGATTCCACGTGTGGAATCCTTTTTTGGCTCGTGGAAAAAGAGGGTTCCACACGTGGAACTATTCCTCGTGGAGAACCCTCTCACGACATGGCCCGATGATGGCGCATTGCGCGCCATCTATAGGAAGGGCCTATAATAGCTGCTGTGCAAGAGATGTAGCAGACCCATCAATTCCTTACATTCCAAAATATTGCACACTAAGAGATCTAATTGATGCTCTCAGTGACTCCTCTATGTTTTCAGTCCTTCCAGTGCTTGATGATGAATTTTATCTTATAGGTGAAATAAACGCACTTAATGTAAAAAAATATTTGTCACAGCGTTTTGAGAATGATACAAGAAATTTATCAACGAAAGCAAGAAAAACTATATGAAATGAGCTAACTGAGACTCCGCTGTTCATTGAAATGACAGCTGAAGTAAAGCTCCAAGTTGATGAATTTTGGGAGAGTTCTGTAAACCTGTGATCTGAAACCCTGAAATTTAATACATCGCCTTTGTTTGTTTCGCAGAAGACTCCACTTTATAAGGTTCATTATATTTTTATGATGTTAGGTCTTGTGCATATTTATGTTGTAGATCAAGGGAAATTTGTTGGGATTATTGCCCATTCATGTTTCTCACATAGGCCTAAAACTGAGGAGTTTTAATGTCTCTATTTAGCACCAGCAGATGATTAGTTAATTCGCAATCTGATTAAAATTATCATATATAATCTAGTATAAATTAATCTTTTATATTATGTTTCCGAATTATGATTTATTTATTTGATGCATGAATTTTATTCCAAAGAAATGCTATACAATTGGCAAGAAGATAAGAAATTAGCTTACAAATTTTTGTTTTGCATAATAAATTTATAGAAATAGCTCGATTATAACTCCCTCCGTGAGCGAAAAATAAAATTTTATCCACTCATGGAGGGGGGAGTAAGTAATGTAAATTAATTACTTCAAAATTATTAGTTCTAAAAAACTTTACCTATGTCTTATTTTGCTCATTCCTTGAGTCTTGGGAATTTTCTCATTGGCTCTCTCCAACTTTATAGCTCTCAGAAAAAAATTTATTTTTTTCAAACAAATTATCAATTTCTTTCAGCTGCCCTTTCATTTCAGTTAACTTGTGAGCTAAATTTTGTGTATTTATCACACAATCAACGTCATATTTTGCAACTAAAAAATTGTCTTCAAGTTTGACAATTTCTTTTTTAGGTATTTTTTCTTCTTGTCATAATAAATTATTTAACTGTTCTTTTGTTTTTTTTATTTGCTCAGCTTCATCATTCAGTTTTAGCTCGATATTATTCACAGCTGGCGAATAATCCCTTGGTGTAGTATTTGAGCTTTTATATAATTTGGTTAATCCAATGTCCAATTGAATTATCACACACCTTCATAGTAGCTCTAATACAACAGCTTCTTGATCATTCATGACTTTTAAAAATTTCCCAACAATTTCGTTAAGTTCTGAAAAACTGTTAATTAAGTCTTTCAAATTATCAGGATTTTCTTTTAGTTTTGCATTTAAGTTGTTCATGCAGTCTCATTTTGGGATTGATTTTCCTCGAATTCTTTCAAAATTCATCCTAAGCCCAGTTTTTAAAGAATTGAAGTGCTTAAGATGGTTTATTTGATCTTTAAACTGTGTCAACTTGTCTAAATCAATACTTTTTATAGAATTTATTACTTTTGTTCTATTTTTGCTCAATATAAATTGATTAGAGTCATGCTTGCCAATTTTGGTTAAAGTAAGGCTTTTATCTATAACATTTTTAATAGCAATTCTTTGCGTAAATGACCCTGCAGGCGAAATACCTACATTTCTTATTTTGTTCGCGATGCTATTTGATTTATTTCCTTTGGATTTGCCTTCTATATAAAAATTTTTGGTATTTGCAGGACTTTTTGAGGATTCTCTTTTTGGCTTATTAACGTATTGGAAATTCAAGAATTTTGGATGAATTAACTGCTGGGAAGAAGAATCTTCTAAATCAGGAGAATGTTGCTTCGAATAGCTGTCAAAAGTTTTCCTTACTGATTTCATTTTTATTTAATATTAGTTTAATTATAATAATTCAGGATCTAAATCAGATGTGTCTGATAGATCACTTAGCCCATCCAAGCTAATTTCAGATAATTCCTCATTTGGTTTAATTGAATATTTTTTAACCATTTCTTTGACTTTTTTGTTATAATTTTCTGGATTTTTTAGCAATAAACTTGCTGCTTCCATGTTTAAATAAGATAAGGGATTTGGATACATAAGTAATTGAGGTATAAAAGAATCGAAAATATTTCTCAAGTCAAACATAGGGCTCCAAGTTTGATTGAGAACATCTAAGCATATTCTTCCAGTCTCCTCATTTATATTCGGATGGAAAATTTTATTTTCAAATCTGATAGATGGAAATTTATATGGGTAATCAGTTGGGATTTCTATATGAATTTTTCAGTGCCCACCTTCGTATAAAGAATTTGGCGGTCCAAAAAAATCTAAAATCAGGTCATCCATGGTATCTTTGATGATTTCCACTTTATAATTGCTCATCATAAGGTTAATGACATCAATTTCTTTTCTTTTAGTGGATCCCATATTTATAAGCTTAAATAGATTATATATTTTTTTGATAAACCGAAATTGATTAATTTTTTGACTAAATAGGATATAAAGAATCAGAGTTTAAAAAGCCAATGATATTAATGTTTTATTCTGCCTTAAATTTATTATTTCTTACGTATCTATTGTAGATGCTAAATGCCAAATTTCATCTCCTCCTAAGGAAGACGAAATGCTTTAAACTGTAATTTTTAAGATATGTTCACTGTCTCAATTTTCTGATTTTTGCAATATTTTTTTATTGCCATATCTTAAAATTTAGAGTGGTGTAAAATCAAATTAGACCAAACTTAGCTAATTTCAGAGTTTCCTTTATCATTAGGTACAATAACTTTGCCAAAGCATCGTCTGAGTCTTTATAAGATTCAGCAATCCGCTGAAAATAAGCAAGTAACAATAAAATGGTTATTACAATATAAAATTGTAAAGAATTATTTTCTAGTCTTTCTTTTAAGTTATAAATATAATTTAATACTAATAAAATATTGCATTCTCTTAGATGCTATATATTTACAGCTCAAATCTGATTTTCTTTGACACTTTGAAGTCTAGAAGATATACTAAAGTTTATTATAATGATTGATAACTCAAGTCTTTCATATTTAATAAATGAGATAATCCTACTTCTTGTTAGTATTTTCAATTGCATGATGGTTTCAATATTTCCCAACGAAAATTAAGATTTTCTCTTGCCATCTTATCGCAGTTATTAAGCTCAGAATTTGATGTGAATAAAGAAAAATAAATGTTCTTCCGCTTATGCTTAATGTGTTTTAAAGGAGAAGATCCTAACAAAGCTTCTCAACGACAAAATAATTCGGAGCCTAAATCAAGTGCCCCAGTTAACATGCAAAAAGACGTAGAAAAATCATTAGCAAACGAAAAAGATAATAGGATCATAAATGATAACCCATCAAATTCATCTATATCATCCTCATTTGTATCAGAAAGTATATCAAGCGGTGAAAAGTCGCCGATAACAACTCCTACACCAAATAATGGCACAAAATCGAACCAAGTTAGAAAACTAACTGGCGGATTCCAAAGAGCAAAATATAAAAAAAATAATGGGAAGAGTTAATTGTAAATTTATACAGTGCCAGAAGGTTTTTAAATAGCAATTTAGAATCTATTTAATATTTTATTGATACTTTATATCGCAATTTCGCTAAAATATAATTATGTATGATTAGAGAAGTATCATAGAAAAGGTTTTAGATAAATTGGGATACAATCCTGCAATTTTGCTATATTCTTATTAAATGCTCAGAAAATGTTAAATATCTTTCCCATGCCGATTGTGTATTCCTTACTAGGATTTTTACATCTTTTAAATTTTAAGTATTTGGCTTAAATATATATTAAATTCCTCTAAAATATTTGAACGGTGTGGGAATATGAAATTGAGTGGGCATAAAGCAATATTTTTATTTGAGATGCAAAAGCCATCCTACATCCATCAATAAATGCTTGGATTTCTTCAATTTTTATGGAATATTTCTAGGGAGCAAAATAGAATTTTAAAAGCCAAACTAAAAAAATTGAAACTTTGTTTTCTCAAAGCCTTATGTTGGAGTTAAGGAGCAGATCCTATCATTTTTTCTATATATTCTATAGCATGAGATTTCTGATTATGCTTTACATAATATATGGATTGAGATTACAATTTTGTCTCCCAAATTAGCTTATTTGTATCTTAAAGCAGTGTTTCACAGCAACTAAAATGCTTCTACTGTATAAATGATATTTGCTGAAACAGCTAAAATAAAATCTTACTTACTCCCCCCCTATAAATTAGGGAAATTAACCGCCATCCTTGATCGAACGATTTTTATATCAGTTATCAAAAGCTTGGGAAGATGTACCTAATGAAGTTGTTTTTAGAGCTTTGAGACGACAGAAAGCTGCGGAATCAACCATCCGAAGTGATTTAGCCATCAGTCTAGGCTTAAAACTCAATAAGCTAAAAAATAGAGATTCTTTAAAATTAAAAAAAACAAAATAATTCAATAAGGAACGAATTAAAATTTATACAGTTTTAAATGGCAACTAATAAATCAAAATATTAAAAATTGGTATTTTATGAAATTAATTCAATTTTTGCTGTAAAAATAATTATTAATACTCTTAACCTTCTTATTTAAAAGTAAATAAAAATATATATATATATAATTTTTTTCCCAAAAAAATTTTTTTTTAACCCCCATCCTTGATCGAATGATGCCGAGTCGTTCGATCAAGTATGGGGGAGTTAATAGATATTAAATATTAAGAAATTGCTTTAATTTTTCTATCTGATTTACGTCTTCTCTATTAAGGATAAACACATCATTCAATTTTCGAAGTATATGATTTCTATACATATTGAATTCTCCTTTAAAATTATTTGAATGATATAAAAATATAGAGTTTGTTTTAGGCCACAAGACTATTTTTCTATTTGAAATGTAAAATGGTAATCAAATCCCATCTATAAATGATTCGGTTTTTACAGTAAAATCGCATTTATTTAATGCTGATTTTATAAGATTGATGAACGACGTATCAATTCCAAAATAGTTGAAATAATCAAACTCACGCCAGTATTGTCGAGTTTTTTGATCAAGAATATCTACTCCTTTAAAATCTGGGTCCATTCTAATATGATTTGCAAGTAAAAAGTGTTTGAAAGTAGGCTGCTCACAGTCAAAATATTGGCTGTTCTCTATATGTCTCATTATAGTTGATTTATCTGCGTTAAAAGAAATCAGCCCGTATATCCAGTTTATATATTCTAAATCATTTTGAAATATAATTTCTTTATTCTCAGCATAATCTATGAGATTTTGGGCCATATCTGTTGCCCATTTCTGCTTTTCAAATCTTAAATCTGCCAAACATGAAATCGTCCTTGCCAGATAGCTTGAACTAAAGTTATCTGCATTATTGCAAACAGCTAAAATAGCATCTTTGTTAGATATCCCAACAGTTTTCATTTTTTCAATCAGCATATCTCTCGAGTTTTCATTATTTTGATATTTAGAACTAATGCTATTTTTCGATATTATAAATCCAAAATTTAAATCCTCAAACATTTCCTTATTGGCTAAATTAAGCATGAAGTCAAGGTCTGTAAATTTTAAATATCCAATATTTTGCAAAATCAATTTCTTTGTTAGAGATGATATCGTCTTAAAAAGATCTAAATGCTGATTTATATTCACTTCTCAAAGCATCCTAAGCATAATTATCATATAAGATAGCTCTAATTTTGAAATGGTTTTATTTAAAAAATTGCTAATAAATCTATCAATTTCTTTAGTTTCTGGATGATATCAATATTTTTCAATTGCTGTTTTTATGAATTTAGGTTCTAATCTATCATTAAAAATTTTTTTTATAAGACTTTCCCTTAGCTTCATATCAGAGCATTTTGAAGAAATCGCTAATATGCTCCATCAATCAGTTTTCTTCATATAAGCATAATTAGAGACAATTTTATCAGCTAGTTCTGCATCGAGTTTTCCTAAAATTGCTGCAATGGATAAGATTCTGATATTGTTTTTACTGAAAATAGTTTCAATTGGTGAATCTTTTACTCCCTCTCCTTAAGCGAACAAAACCATTGAAAAAATCCCTATTTTGACCAAAAACCCACCATGTGTACAAACAAAAAATTTTTTGGAAAAATAATTTTTATATATAAATGATAATTATTATAATGAAATCTTTAGCTAATTCGTTTTATTTTAAACAACTTGCATTTAAACATACATTTTGCAAATTTAATTAATTTTTGCTTCTCAATTACAAATAGGAATGTTTTAAATATAAAAAAAAATTAACCCACCTCCGTGAGCGAACAAAATCTTTTTGTTCGCTCACGGAGGGGGAAGTTAGCAAGGTGGATGCACCAGCAAATAAATCTTCCATTATGCTGAAGTCAGAATTTGCTAATAGATGTACAAAGCAATGATTTTGTCGATAAATATATTCCTCATTTAATAAATAATAAGGATCCATCCTATTTAGAATCTGGGCAAAGTCATTAAGCACTTCTGCATCATGCACTTCAATAATTCTTTTCATCGACTCACTTATTCATCTTGGTGAAAGATTATTCTTATAAGCTTGCAATATAAAAATTATTGCTTTAAAAGATCCCTTATAAAATCTTATTGCTTTTCAAACTTCTTCTGATGAAAATAATTTTTTATTTTCAATGAAAAAATTTTCCCACTTCGCAGGATCAGATTCGTAAAATAACATTGAAAAATATAATCTATTAATACTTGAATCTCATGTTTTTAAGGAATTACAAACCTCATGCTGTAATGGTTTTAAAACTTTAGAGTATTTCGAACTATTGTCATTATAACTTATCAATCGGCAAAAATTTGAAATATTAGCTCTTCTTAAAGAAAGCCATACTTTTAGGTCATCTATCAAAACGTCTTTAATTTTTTCCAGACCATACAGCTGGGATGCTTTTAAACTTTCAATGGTTCTCAAAATATCTAATTTGTAGGAAATTTCAAAATCTTTAATTTTCGTACCATCAATATATATAAGTTTTTTGACTATGATAAAATCTGTTAAGGGAATAAGTTTTCCTTTGTTATTGATGAATATCTTCGTAGCTTTTTGAAACAACTCCAAACTTTGATCAGGCAAAGAAGTTGTGTTCTTTAATTGCTCTGCTAATAATTGGGCAGTTTGGGAATCAATAATTGGCTTCAGAAGATCCAGTATTTCCTTTAAGTTCTCTACTCCTATGAATTTGCAAGACAATTTTGACTTTATTATTTTAAAGCATTTTGAAATTATTTTTTCGATAATAATAGCATTCTTTGATTCTTCTTTCAACAAAAAAGCCAATTTAATTACAAATTCAATAGGCTGTTCATCTTCAAGCAGTTTATCAACTCTCTCTAATACTTGAAAGTATGTATTCAAACCAAAGCGATTATGATTCTTATAAAATTCAAGAACTAAAAGTAAATCATTATCTTTTCATCTTGGAATAGTTTTTTCTATAGTTTTTGCAAAGATTTTAAAGCTTTCTTTGAACTCTATTTTTGATAATGAATGCAAAATTTTTGCAAAAGATTTCATATCAAGCTCTTCTTGGCTGCTAAGCTGAAGGATTCTGCTCATGAACTTTTCAGAAGAAAAAAGGTGTTTGCCACATCCAATAAAAATTTGTGAAATTTCTTCCAAAGTTAATGATGATGAGTCATTAACAATTTTTTCAATTTCATTTTTAATCTCTTCAATAAAAAATCCTAAAGGGACTACATTTTCATAAATTCATAAAATTTGCTTTCGACTAAAAGAATGACTAGATATAAGCTCATTTATGCGAGAAATCAATATTTTCTTTTTATTTTGTGGTAAATAATAAGCATTGAATGATTTACCTGAGCCCGAAATTCATTCACAATAATTGAGTACCCCTTGAGAGTCGAGTTTATTTAAATTATTCTCAACTTCGCTTATGATTTGATCTAGCTTGCCTATTGCTTCTATTAAACTATTTTTTGGAACATCTTTAGCAATTTTAAGTGTGTAAGCAAGCATTGGAAGAGATGCTCTTGGTATATCTATTCCGTCTAGAAATGAATTGAAATTTTTAGAACTCAAAAATTTCATGTCAATTATAGCTTTGTTAACCCCCTGCATCTGTGCAAATGATCGAGATGAAGTTTTGATTAAAAACCTTATCCCCAACATTTTTATAAATACTTATTTTAGACTTTTGAAAAATTTATTTGTGAATATTTGTAAGATTATAGGAATTTCACGTCTAATTAGATTGGATTATTTCATAATTGATGATGCTTGCCAAAGCGTTGAACTATCCTGTCTGATTCCTTTTGTATATAATCCAAGGCACGCCATATTAATAGGAGATCCCACCAGCTCCAGCCAACAGTTTTTGGAGATTACAATAACTTTACCAGAGGATATAATCGATCTCTATATGAAAGACTTGAAACTCTCAAGCACTTTATAACCAATATCGGATGCCTTATATAATCTGTATATGGCCATCTCTGCAATTTTATAATGGAAGGCTAGTCAGATCAAAAAATTCACCTTATGAAAAGCCAGAATGAGTTCCAAAGGGAAAAGAGCTGCTCTTTTTCGACTTGATCAATTCATCACAGGCTTTTGATGGGCGCTCTAGATAAAATATACAAGAAATCCGCTTGATACACATTTTAATTCAGAAGCTCAGAAAATTAAACCCAGATATAGATATTGGAATTATTTCACCTTACAAAGCACAAGTTAGAGAAATGAAAAAATATTTTATTCAAGAAAACACAAATACAGAAAATATAGCAATTCATACAGTCGATGGCTCTTAAGAACATAAGAAGGATGCAATAATTTTTAGCAGTAGCTACACAATCCCCATATGGCTTCATGTCTGATGATAAAAGACTAAATGCTGCTTTTACCAGATCAAAGCACATCCTATGGATATTGGGAAACTTAGAGCGATTGGAATCAAATATTTTATGAAGGAGCTTCATCAGTCATTTGAAAAATATGGAACGGAGTCGAATTAGAAGGATCTTTGACGGAAGAAATTCTCAAAGGGAGCTCGAAAGGTTTTAATAGTCTTTATTATTTATTTAATAAAACTAAATTTATTAATTATTAGAAATTTAAGAATTAATTTTTTACTAAAACTTTATTCCACTACTACCACTACAAATTCTTAGGCTTTTGATCAATTTGCGTTTCACACTGTTAATCATATAAGAGTTTCAATTAAAAATTCATTTTAAAATTTACATTCTCTGAGATTTATAAATTATTGAGGTTCTTTTTCTCTCTTCACAAAATTATGATAAAAGTGCCAGCTGATAAAAAATCTATTTTTAAATCAAATAATATTAGTTACTCATTATTTAAGGAATTTATATATATTTTGCAGCTATTTAAGCTTCAATATGATATATAATTTATTTGTATGCTTCCATAGAAGCATGAAAAGATCTATTGCTTAACCATTAATTCTGAAGGTACTTTTCTCATTTCCAAGAAGTAGTAATGTTATTAAATTTTCTTAAAATATTGAGTTAGCAAAACTTATTAATATTGACAAATGCCTTACATAATTAATCCTTAAAGCAGTGTTCCACAGTAGTTTAAATAACTTCTACTGTATAAATAATATTTGCTGAAACAGCTAAAATAAAATCTTACTTAATAGATATTAAATATTAAGAAATTGCTTTAATTTTTCTATCTGATTTACGTCTTCTCTATTAAGGATAAGCACATCATTCAATTTTCGAAGTATATGATTTCTATGCATATTGAATTCTCCTTTAAAATTATTTGAATGATATAAAAATATAGAGTTTGTTTTAGGCCACAAGACTATTTTTCTATTTGGAATGTAAAATGGTAATCAAATCCCATCTATAAATGACTCAGTTTTTACAGTAAAATCGCTTTTATTCAATGCTGATTTTATAAGATTGATGAACGACGTATCAATTCCAAAATAGTTGAAATAATCAAACTCACGCCAGTATTGTCGAGTTTTTTGATCAAGAATATCTACTCCTTTAAAATCTGGGTCCATTCTAATATGATTTGCAAGTAAAAAGTGTTTGAAAGTAGGCTGCTCACAGTCAAAATATTGGCTGTTCTCTATATGTCTCATTATAGTTGATTTATCTGCGTTAAAAGAAATCAGCCCGTATATCCAGTTTATATGCTCTAAGTCATTTTGAAATACAATTTCTTTATTCTCAGCATAATCTATAGTTATTGCCCGAGGATGGGGCTATCTTGCACCATCCTTGGGCAATTTAAAAAATGGCCCCACACCGGGAATCGAAACCCACGTGTGGGGCCATTTTTTAGTGCGTGGAAGTCGATGTTTTCCATATAACAAAAATGGCCCACACGTGGGTTCGATCCCAGTGTGGGGCCATTTTTGAATTGCCCGAGGATGGCGCAAGATAGCGCCATCCTCGGGCAATAACTATATGAGATTTTGGGCCATATCTGTTGCCCATTTCTGCTTTTCAAATCTTAAATCTGCCAAACATGAAATCGTCCTTGCCAGATAGCTTGAACTAAAGTTATCTGCATTATTGCAAACAGCTAAAACAGCATCTTTGCTAGATATCCCAACAGTTTTCATTTTTTCAATCAGCATATCTCTCGAGCTTTCACTATTTTGATATTTAGAATTGATGTTATTTTTCGATATTATAAATCCAAAATTTAAATCCTCAAACATTTCCTTATTGGCTAAATTAAGCATGAAGTCAAGGTCTGTAAAATTTAAATATCCAATATTTTGCAAAATCAATTTCTTTGTTAGAGATGATATCGTCTTAAAAAGATCTAAATGCTGATTTATATTCACTTCTCAAAGCCTCCTAAGCATCGCTATCATATAAAAAATCCCATTTGATCGCTCTAAATTTGAAATGGTTTTATTTAAAAAATTGCTAATAAATCTATCAATTTCTTTAGTTTCTGGATGATATCAATATTTATCAATTGCTCTGATAATGAATCGAGGCTCTAATTTATCATTAAAAATGTTTTTTATAAGACTTTCCCTTAGCTTCATATCAGAGCATTTTGAAGAAATCGCTAATATGCTCCATCAATCAGTTTTCTTCATATAAGCATAATTAGAGACAATTTTATCAGCTAGTTCTGCATCTAGTTTTCCTAAAATTGCTGCAAGGAATAAGATTTTGATATTGTTTTTACTGAAAATAGTTTCAATTGGTGAATCTTTTAGCAAGTTGGATGCACCAGCAAATAAATCTTCCATTATGCTGAAGTCAGAATTTGCTAATAGATGTGAAAAGCATTGATTTTGTTGATAAATATATTCCTCATTTAATAAATAATGAGGATCCATCCTATTTAGAATCTGGGCAAAGTCATTAAGCACTTCTGCATCATGCACTTCAATAATTCTTTTCATCGACTCACTTATTCATCTTGTTGAAAGATTATTTTTATAAGCTTGCAATATAAAAATTATTGCTTTAAAAGATCCCTTATAAAATCTTATTGCTTTTCAAACTTCTTCTGATGAAAATAATTTTTTATTTTCAATAAAAAAATCTTCCCACTTCGCAGGATCAGATTCGTAAAATAACATTGAAAAATATAATCTATTAATACTTGAATCTCATGTTTTTAAGGAATTATAAACCTCATGCTGTAATGGTTTTAAAACTTTAGAGTATTTCGAACTATAGTCATTATAACTTATCAATTGGCAAAATTTTGAAATATTAGCTCTTCTTAAAGAAAGCCATACTTTTAGGTCATCTATCAAAACGTCTTTAATTTTTCCCAGACCATATAGCTGGGATGCTTTTGAACTTTCAATGGTTCTCAAAATATCTAATTTGCAGGAAAATTCAAGATATTTAATTTTCGTACCATCAATATTTATAAGTTTTTTGACTATGATAAAATCTGTTAACTCCCCCCCCATCCTTGATCGAACGACTCGTCATCATCGTTCGATCAAGGATGGGGGTTAAAAAAAATTTTTTGGGAAAACAATTTTATATATAAAATAAAAAATATATATATATTTTTTTTTATTTACTTTTAAATAAGAGGGTTAAGAGTATTTAATAATTGTTTTTACAGCTAAAAATTGAATTAATTTCATAAAATATCAATTTTTAATATTTTGATTTATTAGTTACCCTTTTAAACTGTATAAATTTTAATTTGTTCCTTATTAAATTAATTTTTTTTAAAAAATTTTAAAGAATCTCTATTTTATTAGATTATTGAGTTTTTAAGCATAGGTTGATGATTAAATCACTTCGGATGGTTGATTTCGCAGCTTTCTGTCATCTCAAAGCTCTGAAAATAACTTCATTATGTACATCTTCCCTAGCTTTTGATAAATAATATATTTTTATATATATATATAAAAATTTGCATGATATGAAAATTGTTCGATCAAGGATGGGGGTTAATTTCTCCAATTTTTAGGAAATTTTACAGTCAATCGTTCGATCAAGGATGGGGGGGGGGAGTAAGGGAATAAGTTTTCCTTTGTTATTGATGAATATCTTCGTAGCTTTTTGAAACAACTCCAAACTTTGATCAGGCAAAGAAGTTGTGTTCTTTAATTGCTCTGCTAATAATTGGGCAGTTTGGGAATCAATAATTGGCTTCAGAAGATCCAGTATTTCCTTTAAGTTCTCTACTCCTATGAATTTGCAAGACAATTTTGACTTTATTATTTTAAAGCATTTTGAAATTATTTTTTCGATAATAATAACATTCTTTGATTCTTCTTTCAACAAAAAAGCCAATTTAATTACAAATTCAATAGGCTGTTCATCTTCAAGCAGTTTATCAACTCTCTCTAATACTTGAAAGTATGTATTCAAACCAAAGCGATTATGATTCTTATAAAATTCAAGAACTAAAAGTAAATCATTATCTTTTCATCTTGGAATAGTTTTTTCTATAGCTTTTGCAAAGATTTTAAAGCTTTCTTTGAACTCTATTTTTGATAATGAATGCAAAATTTTTGCCAAAGATTTCATATCAAGCTCTTCTTGGCTGCTAAGCTGAAGGATTCTGCTCATGAACTTTTCAGAAGAAAAAAGGTGTTTGCCACATCCAATAAAAATTTGTGAAATTTCTTCCAAAGTTAATGATGATGAGTCATTAACAATTTTTTCAATTTCATTTTTAATCTCTTCAATAAAAAATCCTAAAGGGACTACATTTTCATAAATTCATAAAATTTGCTTTCGACTAAAAGAATGACTAGATATAAGCTCATTTATGCGAGAAATCAATATTTTCTTTTTATTTCGTGGTAAATAATAAGCATTGAATGATTTACCTGAGCCCGAAATTCATTCACAATAATTGAGTACCCCTTGAGAATCGAGTTTATTTAAATTATTCTCAACTTCGCTTATGATCTGATATAGCTTGCCTCTTGCTTCTATTAAACTATTTTTCGGAACATCTTTAGCAATTTTAAGTGTGTAAGCAAGTATTGGAAGAGAAGCTCTTGGTATATCTATATCGTCTAGAAATGAATTGAAATTTTTAGAACTCAAAAATTTCATATCAATTATAGCTTTTTTAACCCCCTGTATCTGTGCAAATGATCGAGATGAAGTTTTGATTAAAAACCTTATCCCCAACATTTTTATAACGATGACCCCCCCCTCAATCTTCATGTTTACTGCAACAAAAATTTTTCGGAAAAATCTTCATGCCTACTGCAACACAAAAAAAATTAATGCATTTTTCTCTAGGTGAGTTTCTAAAAAAATCCATAAAACAGCGCTGCTGTAGGCGTTTCAATGACCTTCTCATCGAGTTTTGGACCGCTATTGTCATCGATCGCCATTTTATTAAACTTATCGAGCTAAAAACTACGAAAAATTTAAGATGCGCATCGAAAATTTGTTGCGAGAGGATTAGGATTAAGATTATTACAGACAGGAGCTAGCCATATTGGAGACGTAGCCACCAAAGACCTCCCGTACTGAAGGTTTTACCGCTTTTCGACTCCAGCCCAGAGGGTCTATCCCCTCTTACGAGTGCCCTTCCGATACCTTCTGCCTTGCAGCTCAGTCTTGAGTGGGCAGCTTATGGATTTCTGCGACCCTGCTACGGGCGATTGGAGTAGCTTGATTCCAAGGATCCTTGGAGTCTATCGGGTGTCAAAGTGACTTCCTTTGACAGCTACAGAAAAAAGACTGTTCCCCTTGGCCTGGGCCGATACCCCCAGTTTCTCGGTAGAGCAATGTTCATGGGTCCTCGGATCGAAAGGAATTTGTTGAGCACCTCCATTTCCAACAACAGGAAAGCAGCAAAAACCTACCCGGATACACACTTCTTGAGCCTGCGTCTGATTCTCGGCTCGGAGTCCGTCCCAGTTCGCCGTAGCTATAAGGTCTGGACTGCTGCGCCAGGAGGGCAGGTTGGCAAGTGTCGCCATTTTAATGTATATAATTTGTTGCAAGAGACATGAAAATTATTATTTTTTTTATATAAAATTTTATATTAAAAAAATTGCATTTTTGATGCAACAGACATGAAGATTGAGGGGGGGTCATCGTTATTAGCTATTTTACTTTAATTAATTTATCGGCCTGAATATCAAAAAGTGCTAAAATCTATCCCGTGCATTTGATTTTGCTTTTAAATGGGAGCGTGTCTTTGCTATATCAGCCTTTTATTGCATCAAGCCTTTGAGATTTCTTTTGCCAAATTTATCAAATTTTTCTTTAAAAAACGCCATTTTTATTAAATTTATAAACTTCAAGCTTGCTTATAATTTATAAACTTAAATAAAAAGATTATCATATTTGAAAGGATTTACTTGGCAATATTTGTGGTAGCTTGGCTTGTTACTTGAAAAGCGGAAAGTAATCTATCTATTCGAAAGCCTATCTATATAATGTGATAATGAGGCTGGCATTTCTGCTCAATTATGGCTCCAAGTGGCAAACTTGCCCATTTCTATTCTTTAAAGACTCTGGGGGCAAATTTTCGAACTTTTTTCTTGTGGACTACAAGTAGCTGAAAATGAGATTTTCCTCTAGCGCTTGGCGAGACCTTAAATTCATATCTATTTAGGTCGATATCATGTGCCAGAGATATTAACGCTACGAGAAATCGTTTAATAGAGAGACACGACAAGTGCATGCCCGATAGCGTGTTTATCAAAACTGAATTTAATGAAAGCTCTCCTTTAAAAGTTTGCTTAAGACTTGCAAATTGATGCTATAAGATTTCTGAATTATATTAAGAAAATATTTAGTCAAGACTTCAAACGAATATTTCTCAAGCTTGAAATTCAAAAATTCAGGATATATTTGCAGAGATTGCTGCATAAACTTTCATATTAATGATAGCACTGAATATCTAATGATTGGAGCTGGAGAAATCTTGAGTGTCAACTTCATAACTAAGTCAGAATTAATAAACCACGAGTTTTTCAGAATCTCCCATTTATGAGATATTTAAGTTAAAATATATAAAAAAGGATAGCTTCAGATAAATGATAATATATATTTCAATTGATAGGCAATTAGGAGTTTTCATGTCTTTTATTATTTGGATTCATAAATTTCATCAGTAAGTTAAATTTCTGCTCTCAAAATATTTGAAACAATCAAAAGGAAATAGCCCCCAATAAATATGGAAATCAGCACTTTATCGAAGACTCAGCACTTGAGATATTTCACTGCATCGAAGAAATTCTGGTGGGATTATATGATTGAGAACTCACATAATCCACTCAAGAGGACTAATAGTGTTACAGATGATCCCTACTCCCCAAAAGAAGCAAAAATCTAACAATTTAGATGAAAATAATCAAGGTCCATTATCTAAAAATGGCAGACCAAAGCAGAGCAATTAAAATTAATTAAAAATTCCAATAAAGACCTCAAAGAATGGATATTGGAATGTGATTTGAATTATCTTTCAGAATAGATAAGAGAAGAAAAAGTCCAAATATATTTAACAAAATGCAAAAATATCGAAGCTAGCTACTTGAATCATTTCTGCATGAATTCTCAAAATTAATTTGCCAAAAATATAGCGAAAACTGCTGCACTGCAAAAAAAGTAATTCTAAAGGTTGATAATGAAAAAAATTATTACATTGAATACCAGAAAATTTAAAACTGCACAAAAGAGAAATCACTATTTTCCTGAAAACACAATATGATATGATATAGAAAGAAGAAGTCCCATACACCTTTATTGGAATTTCAAGGGGTCATAATTGATGAATAGGTTTTGACATTAAAGTATCACGCGTAAAAAAAGATGTTGAAAAACGGTGAATGATTTCTATAGGTGATTTTTTAAGTGTAAGTAGAGAATATTCGACATTATCTCTTCTAAATAGCTTCAATCTCATTGACTATCTGCTTGATCCAAAGAAACAACCATTATACAAAAATTTTCCTGGTCAGACGAAAATATACATTAAATGTTCAAAAAATGTTTAATATCTTTCTTTATGCCGATTGTGTGCAAAAGTCATCATACATCTATCAATAATGCTTGGATTTCTTCAATTTTTTATGGAATATTTCTAGGGAGCAAAAATAGCTATTTGAAAAGCCAAACTAAAAAAATTGAAACTTTACTTTGTCAAAGCTTATGTTAGAGTTAGCCAGCAGATCCTATCATTTTTCTGTATATCCTGATAGCATGAGTTTTCTGATTATGCTTTCCATAATATATGGATTGAGATTACAATTTTGTCTCCCAAATTAGCTTATTTGCATCTTAAAGCAGTGCTCCACAGTAGTTTAAATAACTTCTACTGTATAAATAATATTTGCTGAAACAGCTAAAATAAAATCTTACTTAATAGATATTAAATATTAAGAAATTGCTTTAATTTTTCTATCTGATTTACGTCTTCTCTATTAAGGATAAGCACATCATTCAATTTTCGAAGTATATGATTTCTATGCATATTGAATTCTCCTTTAAAATTATTTGAATGATATAAAAATATAGAGTTTGTTTTAGGCCACAAGACTATTTTTCTATTTGGAATGTAAAATGGTAATCAAATCCCATCTATAAATGACTCAGTTTTTACAGTAAAATCGCTTTTATTCAATGCTGATTTTATAAGATTGATGAACGACGTATCAATTCCAAAATAGTTGAAATAATCAAACTCACGCCAGTATTGTCGAGTTTTTTGATCAAGAATATCTACTCCTTTAAAATCTGGGTCCATTCTAATATGATTTGCAAGTAAAAAGTGTTTGAAAGTAGGCTGCTCACAGTCAAAATATTGGCTGTTCTCTATATGTCTCATTATAGTTGATTTATCTGCGTTAAAAGAAATCAGCCCGTATATCCAGTTTATATGCTCTAAGTCATTTTGAAATATAATTTCTTTATTCTCAGCATAATCTATGAGATTTTGGGCCATATCTGTTGCCCATTTCTGCTTTTCAAATCTTAAATCTGCCAAACATGAAATCGTCCCTGCCAGATAGCTTGAACTAAAGTTATCTGCATTATTGCAAACAGCTAAAATAGCATCTTTGCTAGATATCCCAACAGTTTTCATTTTTTCAATCAGCATATCTCTCGAGTTTTCATTATTTTGATATTTAGAATAGGTGCTATTTTTCGATATTATAAATCCAAAATTTAAACCCTCAAACATTTGCTTATTGGCTAAATTAAGCATGAATTCAAGGTCTTTAAATTTTAAATATCCAATATTTTGCAAAATCAATTCCTTTGTTAGAGATGATATCGTCTTAAAAAGATCTAAATGCTGATTTATATTCACTTCTCAAAGCCTCCTAAGCATCGTTATCATATAAAAAATCCCAACTGATAGCTCTAAATTTGGAATGGTTTTATTTAAAAAATTGCTAATAAATCTATCAATTTCTTTAGTTTCTGGATGATATCAATATTTATCAATTGCTCTGGTAATGAATTGAGGATCTAATTTATCATTAAAAATTTTTTTTATAAGACTTTCCCTTAGCTTCATATCAGAGCATTTTGAAGAAATCGCTAATATGCTCCATCGATCATTTTCCTTCATATAAGCATAATTAGAGACAATTTGATCAGCTAGTTCTGCATCTAGTTTTCCTAAAATTGCTGCAAGGGATAAGATTTTGATATTGTTTTTACTGAAAATAGTTTCAATTGGTGAATCTTTTATTCCTTCTCCTTTGCGAATAAAACCATTGAAAAAATCCTATTTTGACCAAAAAACCACCATGTGTACAAACAAAATTTTTTTTGGATAAATAATTCGTTGTTTTATTTTAAACAACTTGCATTTAAACATAAATTTTGCAAATTTAATTAATTTTTGCTTCTCAATTACAAATAGGAATGTTTTTAAATATAAAAAAAAGTTAACCCACCTCCGTGAGCGAACAAAATCTTTTTTGTTCGCTCACGGAAGGGGGAAGTTAGCAAGTTGGATGCACCAGCAAATAAATCTTCCATTATGCTGAAGTCAGAATTTGCTAATAGATGTGAAAAGCATTGATTTTGTCGATAAATATATTCCTCATTTAATAAATAATAAGGATCCATCCTATTTAGAATCTGGGCAAAGTCATTAAGCACTTCTGCATCATGCACTTCAATAATTCTTTTCATCGACTCACCTATTCATCTTGTTGAAAGATTATTTTTATAAGCTTGCAATATAAAAATTATTGCTTTAAAAGATCCCTTATAAAATCTTATTGCTTTTCAAACTTCTTCTGATGAAAATAATTTTTTATTTTCAATAAAAAAATCTTCCCACTTCGCAGGATCAGATTCGTAAAATAACATTGAAAAATATAATCTATTAATACTTGAATCTCATGTTTTTAAGGAATTATAAACCTCATGCTGTAATGGTTTTAAAACTTTAGAGTATTTCGAACTATAGTCATTATAACTTATCAATTGGCAAAATTTTGAAATATTAGCTCTTCTTAAAGAAAGCCATACTTTTAGGTCATCTATCAAAACGTCTTTAATTTTTCCCAGACCATGCAGCTGGGATGCTTTTAAACTTTCAATGGTTCTCAAAATATCTAATTTGTAGGAAATTTCAAAATCTTTAATTTTCGTACCATCAATATATATAAGTTTTTTGACTATGATAAAATCTGTTAAGGGAATAAGTTTTCCTTTGTTATTGATGAATATCTTCTTAGCTTTTTGAAACAGCTCCAAACTTTGATCAGGCAAAGAAGTTGTGTTCTTTAATTGCTCTGCTAATAATTGGGCAGTTTGGGAATTAACAATTGGCTTCAGAAGATCCAGTATTTCCTTTAAGTTCTCTACTCCTATGAATTTGCAAGACAATTTTGAATTTATTATTTTAAAGCATTTTGAAATTATTTTTTCGATAATAATAGCATTCTTTGATTCTTCTTTCAACAAAAAAGCCAATTTAATTACAAATTCAATAGGCTGTTCATCTTCAAGCAGTTTATCAACTCTCTCTAATACTTGAAAGTATGCATCCCTATCAAAGCGATTATGATTCTTATAAAATTCAAGAACTAAAAGTAAATCATTATCTTTTCATCTTGGAATAGTTTTTTCTATAGCTTTTGCAAAGATTTTAAAGCTTTCTTTGAAATCTATTTTTGATAATGAATGCAAAATTTTTGCCAAAGATTTCATATCAAGCTCTTCTTGGCTGCTAAGCTGAAGGATTCTGCTCATGAACTTTTCAGAAGAAAAAAGGTGTTTGCCATATCCAATAAAAATTTGTGAAATTTCTTCCAAAGTTAATGATGATGAGTCATTAACAATTTTTTCAATTTCATTTTTAATCTCTTCAATAAAAAATCCTAAAGGGACTACATTTTCATAAATTCATAAAATTTGCTTTCGACTAAAAGAATGACTAGATATAAGCTCATTTATGCGAGAAATCAATATTTTCTTTTTATTTCGTGGTAAATAATAAGTATTGAATGATTTATCTGAGCCCGAAATTCATTCACAATAATTGAGTACCCCTTGAGATTCGAGTTTATTTAAATTATTTTCAACTTCGCTTATGATTTGATCTAGCTTGCCTATTGCTTCTATTAAACTATTTTTTGGAACATCTTTAGCAATTTTAAGTGTGTAAGCAAGCATTGGAAGAGATGCTCTTGGTATATCTATTCCGTCTAGAAATGAATTGAAATTTTTAGAACTCAAAAATTTCATGTCAATTATAGCTTTGTTAACCCCCTGCATCTGTGCAAATGATCGAGATGAAGTTTTGATTAAAAACCTTATCCCCAACATTTTTATAAATACTTATTTTAGACTTTTGACAAATTTATTTGCGTATATTTGTAAGATTATAGGAATTTCACGTCTAATTAGATTGGATCATTTTTAGCTATTTGATAAATGATTTCATTCTTATAATACTTTGAAAATTAGTTTACTTATCAAATCAAACATACAAAAATTTAAACACTAATAATTTTTTTTACCATAAATTATTAACTTATACAATTACTTTAGAGTTGCGCAATAATGGTCATATTTTAAAAATTTTATAAACTATAAATTTTAAAGAAAATAGTCCATTACTGGATTTTTATTAGGAGGGTCTCTTGCGTCAGCAGGGGCAGCTTCAAAAGTTTTGTAAGAACGGTTTAAATGCTCATCTAGCTCTAAAATCGCAGCGACATTACCGCATCGATAACAATAATTAGGAGCAGACCAGACTGTAACTAGAGTGTCATTAAACATAATTTTGTAGCCTTCCATTACAAGCTGATGTGCTCGGCATATAAGCTCAATGTTATTTTCATTATTCCATTTCGATACTATATCTCTTCCAAATAGCCAGCCTGCTCCTCTAGGACTTATACTCCAGCCATTAGTTTCTTCAGGGTCTGACCACATTAAATCACACATCGTCCCTTCATGCGGAACTTCTTGCTTCCTATCAATTGCTCTAATTTCATCAATGCTTTGTATTGTAGGACTCAGCCCTCCATGGACACAAAAAATCCTATCATCAATCAGTGCAGCCAATGCCAAATAGTCAAAGACCTCAGTGCAGTATCTCCATACATTGACTGATCCATACTTTCTTAAGCATTCATCATAAAATCCATAGACCTGCGTAATTTGTCTGCTTTCATGATTTCCTCTGATGAGCGTAATTCTGTCTGGATATCTGACCTTTAATGCTAGCAAAAGCAAAAATGTTTCGATGCTATTTAAGCCTCTATCAACAAAGTCACCCATAAATAAATAATTTGTAATAGGCAGTTCGCCGCCTACTAAGAAAAGTTCGCAGAGATCATGAAATTGTCCATGTATGTCCCCACAAATAGTAACTGGAGCGTTGATAGGCTGAACATTGCTTTCTTCAGCTAGAATTTCTCTGGCTCTTAGACATAGCTGCTTCACTTCTGATTCTTTGATGTACTCGCACCTTCGAAGCTGCTCTATTTGATGATCAAGATCAGCTGTTGACATTTCTTTTAAATTTTTATATGGATTCAAGCAGCTCTGAAGATTCCTTGAATTATTTAGAAGAATCAAGTGAAGAAAGCAATGAGAAATACTATTATCAGCCACTCAGTACACCAGAGCTAGCGAGAGATGAAGAGCGAAAAGAAAGAAATAAGCGCAGTAAATCCCTTAAAGAAGGAACACAAAAAATTATGGAAAACCGTACAAGAACTTGATTGAAAAAGCATGGTAAAAAAAATTATATTGATTTTGATGAGAAAATGAGGAATGAATTAAGGAAATATTTTCTTTCAATGGATGAAGATGGATCAGGAAGCATTGGCGTTGAAGAATTAATGGAGCCTATGCTAGCTTTAGGGCTTGCTGAAAATAAAGAACAAGTGCAAACTCTGTTTAATCAGGTTGATAAAGATCATTCAGGAGAAATTGAATTTAATGAATTTTTGTCAATTGTTAGAAGAGGGGAACATAACTCGCCTATCGGGAATTTTTTCCAGGGAATTACATCAGGGAAAATAATGCCCGGGTCAAAGAATTTACCGTTTAAGTTGGTCGTGAGCAATTATAGGAGGAAAATGATAATGGAAGCTGTAATGGGAAACGATTTGAGTAGAAAAGTAAAAGGTGAAAGAATCATGAAGGCAACAGCAAAACTGTTAGAGGCTGAAACTGAAAAACTAAGAACACAACACCCTGAGTATATGAAAAGGAAAACTATGATTGAAATAAATAGAATGCAGAAAAAACAATAATAATGTATCATAAAGATCTATGAAATATTTTTTAAAACGAAAATTTATTTTATCAAAAATTAATAAATTAATTATCAAAAACGCTATGCTTCATTAAAATCGAAGTAAAATTTTGATATTCAAACCGATACAGTTCACATTGTGTATCTAACTCCTGTACATATAATGCTACAGGGCCTTGAGTAGGAGTTTCATCTATCCCCAGCTGATCTTTTCTTGCTTTTAATACAATTGCTTCAGCTAGCTTTGGCATTGAAGCACTCGATAAATCGTTTTTTAGCAGCGAAAGATCAGCTAAAAACCATGAATATTTAGCTATTTCTTCAATTGAATTCTGTATAAAATATTCCAAATAATCATATAGTGTAGGTATAAAGACATTATAATTCACTATATTTAAAATATCTTTTTCCATTGCCAAAATACTTTCCTTTGATATCTTTCCATGTGCTATATTTTCATGCGCATTTTTAAGTGTCAACTGCTTTATATCTTCATATTTTGAAGCTATAAACATAGAGGCTACCCCTATTACATGCAAATCCAAAGGAACTAGTCCTGAGGAATTAGCTATATAAATATCGAGCAGTTTTACAGCTAAAAATAACGTCCTCGATGATGAGTGAAATGAATGTAAAACTTCTATCATCCAGTCTACGAGCTTAGCGCGAATTCTTTCGGTGATATAATGATGAGTGAATGCTTCATCTAAGTTATATGAAACATCAAATGATTTTAAAAGCATTAAATGCTCGCTAAGAGGAGCAGGCTTTTCAGGCTTGTGAGTAAGACTTCGGGTTCTCCTTGATCGAGACTTGGTGAGGGGATTATAATTTTCTTTATTTGAGGAGTTGAGATTCATTTGATTCTTATAAGAAAAATCATCGTATGAAATTAAGTCATGCACTTTACTATGGATTTAAATTTTGAGTAAATATGAAATTATTGAAAAGTGTTATAATGCGTTGGCATTATTTTGGGAGGGTTCGGCACGTCGGGACATTTTCCCGCGTTGGAACCCAAATTCTCCAATGGACCATTCAAGCGTGGAAACTCTACATGTGGGATTTAGTTTCCACACGTGAGAAAATGTCGCATATGTGGAACCCTCCCGAAATAATGCCAACGCATTATAAAATTTAAAAGATTTTGTTTTTGAAGCTCGTTTTCAGTAAATAAAAGCTTATCAGATAATTCGTTGATAGTTTCTTCAAGTGAGCTAATAATATTTTCACAATAAATTTTTACTTGGTTGCCTTGATTTATCAATTGCCATTTATAATCCCCAATTATTCCTTGATTTTCTGTTAATTTTATCCTTGCTTTTTCATAGTTTTTGCTGCTTTCTTCTAGGTCTTTGCTAATTTTCTCTAATTCACTACTTCTTGAGCCTGGATTGTTCTAATTATAAATTACTTTCAGCTTACTAAGCTCTTCAGTCGCTCTATTTAGAACTATTTGTTGTTCTTGATTTTTTTGTGTCTGTTTTTCGATTTCTAGTGTCAAATCGTAAATGGTTTTCTCTTGTATGCGAATTTGATTTTCTTTTTGTTTTAAATTTTCTTCCATGCAATTAATATAGTTTCTAAAGTCATAATTTTGCTTAATTAACCCTGAATTCTGTTGAGAGCAATTTAAGTTCTCCGATCTAATTTTTTCAAATGAGAGCAAGAGAGATTTGTTTTCATTTTCTTTTTCTTCTATAATTTTATTCATTTTTTGGAGCTCTTCGCTAAATTCTGCATTTTTTCTGAGCTCTGATTCATATTCATCACTTTTGATTATTATTTCTTCATTTGCTGCTTGGTTGATATTTTCTAAATAATTTATTCTGGACTCATATGAAATAATTTTTTCAGCTAGTTGCTGATTACTTATTTTAAAACTTGCAAAATTATTTTCATATATTTTTTCATTTTCCAGTAGTGATTCATATTTGTTTTTATATTCCTGGTAGCTGAACTGATAAGATTTGTTAAACTTAAATTAACAGATGGCTACTGGCCGTATTGGCTACGCAGTTACCAAGGACCCTTAATAAAACGGGTTCGTCCGCTTTGTGGCATTCCATGTAGTACACTTGATCGGTTGAGATAGCTCTGCCGGTAAAAAAAAGCATCGACACCACCTTGCTCCTTCTCCCAGCCACTGATGTCACGGGATCCTTAGAGCGTTGTGCGCTGAGAACGTCTCCTACTTGTCTTTAAGGCTTCAATGTTGAGCGAGCAGATTATGAACTTCTGCAGCCCTGTCGGACGATTTGGTGATTAGTTTGATCAAGGAAAAACCCTGGTCTGGCGGGTGCTGGGTGCCTGCCCTCAGCTGTTACAGGAAAAACCTTAATCCCTGGACCAGGCCACAACTCATGGAATAGAGGTGAGCTACACCTCCTGATCCCGAAGGACATTGCTGGTTAACTCTTTCCAATTACAGAAACTAAGGCAAAGCACCATTTTTATGTATATGAGCTCATAAGATTTCAAATTTTCTATTGTATTATAGCATTCATTAAGTTTCTGACTCAAGATTTCTTTTTCATTTTCAATTTCTTTTTTTTCATTCTCACTAACTTCCTAATTTTAATTTACAAGCCGCATTTTGAAATTTTCATAAGATGAATCCTCCTCCACATTTCAAGAACTTTCATCTTTATCTCTAATTAATTTCCTTTCATTATATCCTTGATGCTTTCTCTTTATTGGTAAATATATTGGACTGTTTACTCCGATATCATTTTGTATTTCAATTTTCAGCTCTTTATATCCTTTATATTTTTCCCAAACGTAGCAAAGTTGAGACTTATTAAATTTTACATAGAAATTCTCATTTTCAGTCTTTAACCTTTGAATAATTTCCTCTTGTTCTTTTATTTTTTCCTCTTGATCAACTATTCTATAATACTGCGATTCAAGAAGAATTTCGTTTTGTTCTTCAGTAGCTGACATTGATAAATATTTAGTTTCATATTTCTGAATTCTATAATATATTTAATAGCTAAATTAATTTTAAACATTTTTATAGATCATTTTCTCATCAAATTTGCTTTCATCTAATTGCTTCTCAAGGTTTGCACATTGCTCAATTAATTCATTGATATTTTCTTCAAGAAAATTGATTTTATTTTCATAATAAAATTTTGTTTTGCTGTCAAAGCTGCAGATTTGCTTTTTCATATCTTCGATAATTGAACAGTCTTCAATTGATTTTTGCCTTATTCCTCTTTTTAATTTTTTTTGATGATAAAAGCATTTCTATAATAAATTGTATATATTTTTTTTATTTATTAGTATTAAAGTGAACTCATTTATTATATACAAAGTTAAGATTAAGATTAAGTATTGAGATAAGCGGACTTAACCATTCAACATTGCATTGCTCCAAAAGGTCAAGCTGCTATAAACTTCGGACTTCAGATAAGGAAATAAATCTCCCTTTCTAATTCCGGACTGAACTTCCTGACCCGAGGATCTGCTCTCTGGTCCAGTATTCTGATTAGAAAAGACTACATGCCAGAAAAAACTTTTTGTTCTAGCAGGAACAGGAAAATCCTTTGAGGGAGAAACAAAACCTGTGGCGCACCTTGGAGTCCGTCTTCCGTCAACATCACAAATATATTTCTTCTTGAATCGAGTTAGGAGTTCATATTTTTCGTTTGCTTCATTTAGCTCTTGCTCCAACTTTTTAATATTTTCAGCTTGGCTGCTTAAACCCAGTGATTGATCTGGTGCTTCTTTATTCATTTTTAATAGCTGATCCTGCATCATATTCAAATTTAATTGGTATTGGCAATTTTTTATATTCAACTGATTAAATTCTTCATATAACTTATCAGTTTTTAATAGTAGTTCTTGAATTTTTGCTTTATTTTTGATCTCTGAATCCTCTAATAATTTTATGTTTTTAACCAACTCATTCATTTCATTAATAGTTTTTTCCAAATAAAGCGTCTTTTCCTGATTTTCTTTTAATAATCTCTCTTTTTCTTCTTTATTCAGCTTATTTTCAGCCTCAATTTCAGATAATTTTATTCTATTTTGATTGGCCAATGAGCTTATTTCTTCAATTAAATTATTTATTTCCTCATCTTTATTTAGTATAGTTTCTTCATTTTTTTGTATTACTTCACAAAAGAAATTTTTCTCATATTCGAATTTTTCAATTTTTTCTTCAAAATCATTTTTCTCCTTACTCCAATCTTCTTTACTCTTTGCCAATAATTGAGAATGCTTTTGAAAATCATCCTCCCATTCTTTTTCTTTGCTCTCATATTTTGTTAGCATTTCTTTTGTTTCTAAATAATTTGTGAGTAGTTCATTATATTTTTGTTTTTTTGCATCCACTAAATTTTTTTCAATTATTAGCCTTTCTTTTACAGATTTCAAAGAACTTTCTAGTTCTGAATTTTTAATATTGCATAGTTTAATCTCTTGCTTTAATTCTTCAATTTTTCGATAATTATCAGCTTCTTTTATTTCAGTTGTTTCTATAATATCAGTACTTTGTTCATTTATATAAGTCTTAAAGCAGTCCATATGATTCTCTTGTCCCAATTCTATAATTATATTATTTTTTTCAAATATTTCAAAATCTTTTTCCCTAATCAATTTTGTTAATCCCAGATTTTCTTTCCTTAAATCTCCGTTATTTTTCTTTAAAATTTTGTCTTTTTCATATAACTCATTATATATACTTTCTAAGTCTTTATTTTTCTCCTCTGCTTTATTTAAGATCTCCTATGTAAATTCTACATTTATTTTCTCAAGCTCTTTCTCCAAATTTAGTATTTTTTGGCTCATATGGATTACTCTTTCCTCCATAATAAAATTATAAATAAAGTATTAATTTCTAAAGCATTGATAATTTATTTAATCTTTCAATTTGGTAAAAAATATATATAGCGCGTGCTCCCCTATAGACTTTCAAAGAAAATGCCCTTCAAAGAAAAAAATTATTTTGAAATTCCAAAAAGTCAGATATCAATTAAAAAATGTCATTATATATGTCCTATTTGTCAATTTGAAAATTGACTTTTTCAGATTTTTTCCTGAATTTACAATTTAAATTTTTTTATATAAAGCAATTGTCCCTTAGGGATCTAAAATGAGGCTTGTGCTATACCTGAAAATTCTAAAAATCTGGCCTCCTCAAATACAGCTGTTTGGCAAACTTATAATGATTGAATACAAAGACCTAAAATCTATATCAATATCACTCTACAAAACAAAATAACTTCTTATAAATATATATAAATTAGAATAACTTTAAGTTAACTTATTATTATCTGTTTAGAAATTCATGGCCATGCTCTTCAAAATACTGCGCAAAGCCTCCTATCATCCTTAGCCCTTTAAGAATTTTATCATCACATAGCAGGGCTAGCATTTGATGGATTCTCACTTCAGTAATTTCTATGTTTCCTCCAGAAGAATTCCTAGTCTGTGTTGATTTCTCATTAGGGTTCTGTCCTGAATATTCATCTAAGCTTGACTCGTATTCATTTTCATATTGTACATGCTCTTCTCTTATAGAATCAAAGGTATTGTAATGAATTTTTGATTTTTTGCCTCCAGATTCTAATGACAGCGCAGGGGATGAAGCTCTTTCTACGTTTATGCTGCTGGCGTCTACAAAGTCTTCTTGATTTTCTCCGAAGCTTGGCTGGCGGTATTGTCGCTGGTCTATATTATGAGGTTTAAAATGAAGCATTTCTTGGGTTTCTTGACTGTAATTTTCAGATAAGGCGTCTTTAAAAGGATAAGCTTGCTCATTTTCTGGGAATTCTCCTGTTCCCCTCTGCTGGAGCTCTGGTTCTGAATGTTCTTCAATTAAAATTTCATTGGAGCCTTCAGAGATTTCATGTTTATTTTCTGAATTCTCACTCTTTCTAGAAATTGGTGACTGATTTGCATACATTTTAGGAGATTTCGACTCTTCATTTTTTGACTGAGATGAGACCTGAGACTTTGAGTCTTCATTTTTTGACTTAGAAGAGGTCTGAGACTTTGAGTCTTCATTTTTTGACTTAGAAGAGGTCTGCGACTTTTTATCATCATTTTTTGATTTAGAAGAGTACTGGGATTTTACAGAAGTTTGGCTTTTATTGTCAAAACTTTCATCTCTTATAGGCTCTTCAATGTCTTCAGGCATTGGAGACTGTGATAATGGAGACAGTTTGGCTGATGGCGAACTATTTGGAGAATTTCCAAGAGGTGTCGAATTTTTTGAGCTAGAATCTTGAGATTTAGCTGGAGATGAATGTTTTGAGCCAGAACTTTTGGCTGGCGAAGCTTCTTGCTTTGATTTACTGCTTTGAAGTAATATCTTTGTAGGAGAATCGGTAGTCATCTCAGAAGGATTTTCGCTTGATTCTATTTTTGTAGGAGACTGCTCAGTCAAAATGATTTGGTCTTCACATACAATGGAATCGTCTTTAATTGGGCTGGTTATTATACTCAATGTATTCCCATATGGGGAATTTTCTATTATTTTTGATTCTTCTCTAGATAATTCTGAGTCAGCTTTTGAGCTTCCTATAAGATTTCCTTTCACTCTTATGACTCCTTCGCTGTTTTCTGGACTTTCAGGACTTCTTCTATTTCCTAAGACTGGCTCATAAGATCTTCCAGGCAGCCCTGTGCTTTTTCCGCCCCTGACTTTGACTTTTTCAGGTTTTTTTACAATGGCTTGGGGTTGCTCAATTTCAACTATTTCTTCTTCTACAGAATACTCTATTTGACTTTTCTCATTTTCCCCACCTTTTATATCCTCAACTGGGAATTTTGGTGAATCTTTACCAACTTTTTCTTGGCTTGAGGTAGATTTTTGTATATTTTCTTCATCTTTAAATATATTGATGGTGCTATCTACCACAATTTCTGGGTTTTTCATTTCATATATACCTTTATATATTCTTTAAAATATTATCAGTAATATTATTTTCTATAATGCAGGCATAATGATTATACTCAAAAGATATATTTCTTCTATTGCTTGTGAAATTGGCATTGATTTTAATGAACTTAAATCATCTTCTCCTATATCTGACTTTGTATGCTGATACTCTTGAGCACTGCAGACGCTTTTCTTTGAAGAAAAGCTTAAATCTTTATTAGATTTTTTATCTTTGTTTGACATTTGTTCAATTATTGACTGCTTTATTGACTTTGTTTTTTCTCCTCCCCTTTGCAATGTAAATGAGTCATTTTTAGCATCTTCTTTTATGGATATTTGAGACCTTGGTGTTTTTATGTCCGATTTGGAATCATCAAGGATCTGGCCTTTAGATTCGTCTAATCTTTTTGAGGCTTGGCTTCGTGTTTCATCTTGTTGTTGCTCATTTTTAGAAGTTGTTTGGCTCCTTGGGGTTGTTATTTCAGCTCCTGGCTTCTCATTTCTCTTATATTCAAACGGATCAGTTTTTACTTCATCTTGCTCACTTCTTTGTGCTGCTTGAGATCTTGGAGTCCTAATTTCATTTCTTGGTGTTGATGCACCATTTTTCTTTGCTAGATCTGCTCGACTTGGAGTTGTTTTCCTTGCGTTTTCTCTTACCGCAATGTAGTTATCATTTTCTTTTCTTCCACCAGTGCTTCTTTCTACACTGTAAGAAGATGACTTTAGTTTTTTAGGAGTAATCAAATCACTTTTCTTTTCCTGGAGCTCTTCAAGTCGCTGCCGTTCTCTATTTAGCTCTTCAAGTTTTTGCCTCTCTTTATTGATTTTTTCTTTAATATTATCATTTTTTATATCATCTGCATTTGAAATAGTAGCTACCATTGACTTGCAGACTCCTTTAGTCCTATTTGAGTATTCAGCTCTTCGGATTACAACCCTTTTCCTTTCTTCTTCTTTTACATTTTCAATAGCAGCAGGGTTGTAGTAAAACGACTCTTGAACTGATTTGGCTTCTTTATAATTTAAAGCTGTCAGCTCCGTTTTGGGGGCTGGGTACACTTCTTTATAATGAATTTCATTTATGACTACCCCATCTTCATTGGCTGGGTCTTCTTCAATGATTTTAAATGATCGATCAACGTCAGAATCCCACTCTTCTGGCTTAGAATTAGTCTCAATAATTTTTTTCTTTATTTCAGCGACCTCGTTTTTATCGCCAATTGAATTTCTTTTTACTACTTTGACCAGTTTTGAATAAGAATTTGAATTCTCTGTGCAGTTTTCTGCAGTGTCGAACTTATTGCTAGGCCGAATTTTTGGAGGGCTTTCATGGAATGAGCCTTCTATTGAGGTTTCAATGGCTTTGGTACCACATACACTGCAACCAAAAAAATAGTCTTCAGAAAATTCTATGCCCAGAGTGCTTACTGTAGGAGACATATAATTGGGGCTCATTGAACGACGGTGAGCGCGAGATAGCTGGGTATTTGGGTCATGATCATTAGAGAATTGAAGTGAGCGACGCCCAGGAGATGAGTAGCTTAAAGAATTACTTTTCATTTTATTAATTGACGGTTAGGAGTTATTTTTGATGAAATTAAAGATTATGGCAGCTTTATGAAGGATTGAAATAAGGGAGCAAGAGGAGTGAAAGGAGTTATGAAGAAAGCGGGAAGCTAACTGAGAAATGGCTATTGAAGTAGATCTATTTTATTAGAAAAATGATGAATAAATAATGTATAGAAAATTATTAAACATAAATAGCATAATAAAAAAGCTATTTGATATTTTTTTAAATTAGAGTTATTCTATTCAGCCGAGAAAGTAGGAATTGCAGGCTATTTCTTAATTTATCATTCATTAATTCTGCTTTCTAAAAGCGTCAGAACATTGCTTGTGGTTTTCTTGAACTTCTCAATCATCAAAGTATTTGCTGGCATTTTCATTATTGGTCTGCAATCAATTTGCTGTATTAAAGTGACCAAAATTCCCAAATCAATTTTCCTAATTAAAATTGCTTGAAAAACGGTTTTCCCAGCCTCTTCTACGTTTTCTATAGGCATATCCCTAAGATAGCCCGATATGGGTTAGGGATAGAGGCCAAAACTTCCCACTTGGTTCGGCCAAAATGGGCTGGTCGAATCAAATGGAAAGTTGCAAATAAGCCTCCTTCCACTTGGTTCAACCAATCCATTTTGGCCGAACCAAATGGGAAGTTTTGGCCTCTATCCCTAGCCCATATCGAGCTATCCTAGGGATATGCCTGTACTAACTCTTCGCCTCTTACAATTGTAATAATTGTATTTTTATCCTTTCTAGTTGACCATTTATCAGAATAATTTCTTTGAATATTCTTATGGTCTCTTCTGCTTAAAACTACCCAATCCATAAATAGCGTACCTGAAATCACTTCAGCATCTATATAAGAATCATCCCAGTTTTTATACAGCATAGGGGTATGGAAAGTCTCAAAAATCGAGTTCAAAGAGACTGTAGCGTTGAATAGAATTCTTGCTTTTAATATTCTGGATTTCGGTAAATTTAAATTATTAATATCTAAGGGATTTTGGTAGGGTTATATATGATATTAATTATTCTAGAACAGAATACTACACAGTCTCGATTAAAATCACTTGAAATTCGCTTAAAAATTTCAAGATTGCAGTCCTCTACCAAAGGCACCCACTTATTTTCACTACAAAGCTCTGGAAGCTCTCTGTAAACATCTGCAAATTCTTGGCTTGGAAACGGATGAGTTTTTAAGTCAAGTAACGAGTCTTCTATAGGCTTGATTTCTGCCAAACTTTTTGCTAGGTTTCCAAACTCTTCAGGAACCTGTGGATTTTCTATCACACTTTCTTCTTTTTTTATGGAAATTGTCGTATCAGCGTCGCTTTCCTTATTTTTGCCTTCTTCATCTTCACTTTTTGCTTCTTCGTTTTTCTTATACAAATTTTCCTTATTCCCCTTATAAAACAATTTTTTTTATTATGGAATTATTAATTTTATAATTATCTGATTAATAATTAAATAATATCCAAAGTATTATGCAAAAATATATTTTAAAGGTTTTCTAGTATTACTTTTCACTATATATTATCCTCAAAGAGAAGATTTAGCAAAAGGCCATGGCTCTGGCCTCAATCCTTGGTAAGAAAGTCTTTCATTTTCCAATATATTCCCTTTCGCTTCCCTCGTTTGACAGCAACCCATTTAAAATTATGACAAATTCCATCAAAAAACGATTGCAAAATTCATACAAAATATGGTTGAAGGTCTCGAAAATCTCAACGAAGAGCTTGCCAAGCAGAATGAGTGGGCCAAGGCTGTAATTTTTGATCATGAAGGTCATCCTGTTGCATCAAAAGGCTTTAATGTGAACCCAGCAGAGCTTTTACCATATCTTCATGCATTGGACTCCAGAGATGCTACAATAGGTGCTGGATTTATATTGGCAGGGAATCATTTCGACGTTCACAGGTTCCATCCTCCTCTGGTTTATGGTAGAAGAGGCGGACCTGATGAAGGTGAAGGAATTGCCCTTTGCCAAGCTATTAGAAATGGCCAACCTGTGTACGGAGTTATTACCTATGAATTTCCCTATCTAAGCGCCCGCTGCGTACCACAGCTTGTTGACTTCTGCAGAAAATATATAGGAACTGTTGAAATCCCACAGCCAAACTAGATAAATAAGAATTATTGATAAAGTGATTTTAATTAAAATTAAGCTTAGTCACGTGCTTTTTCTTGCAGGAGATACATTCTTGGTCCAAGCACTCTGTGCATACAAAGACACCACACTCAAAAAGCCACTCCATTTCTCGCTCCCCACATTTTTTGCAATAAAACTTGCAGATGCCTGCTTTAGGCTTCTCTTTGGGCTTGTCTTCATTTTCTTGAGATGTTGTCTCTACATTTCCTTGAGGTAAATCGGAAGGAATTTCACTAGGGACTTGTTCAAGATTTTCAGAAATTTTATTTTCTTCAGGTTTTTGCTCAATTTTGGTAGTGGCTGCAGATTCCACATTTTTCTTGTCCTTATGACTTTGATGCAAAAACGGGCAATTATTATTGACTCTGCATGCTTCTTTTTTGCATGGCTTTGTTTTGTAAAAAGATTGGTGGAAATAGATCTCATTCTTTGTATGGGCTTTGTTGCAGTCGTCTCCATTTGGACATAAGTTTGGGTCCAAAAACTTCCTTTCTCGAAACACAAAAATGCATGGAATGGCATCGTATCTGAATTTATCTAAATTCCTTCTCCTTTGCTTTTCATCATGATACCCTAAGCAGTCCTGATTTTTGCAGCTTTCAATAATGCAAGGCTCAGTCTTAAAAGTTTTTATATTGAATTTTGGCTTTTCAGGCTGAAGGCCAGGCGCTCTTCTATCATCATCACTATGTGCATATGAACAGTGCGAGCCTTTATTTTTGCAGCTTTGTCCTTCATTTTTTTCATATCGACAGTTCTGGACTTTATAGACAATGGGATGATAAGAGACTTCTTCTAGAGAATGGGCATATTTACAATGCACTCCATTTCTGCAATATTTTTCATTTTGGCACATCTTGGGCCAGTAGTTCCAAGCGTCCTCAATGGGGTAAGGAACACGCCTTGGTACTTGTCCAGGATGGTAGTTGAGACACTCTGAGTTATTGCAATTCTCGTGGCATTTTTTGACGCGATAATGAAGTATTGCAATTTCCTGTGGATGGCGCTGCTTTGGTCTTGATTTTTCCCACTGGAAAATTTTTTTGGTTCGACCAGTACCATATGGTTTGGTCAAACCAAAAAATTTTCCAGTGGGGAAATCAAGGCCAAAATAGCGCCATCCATGGGAAATTAGAATATGTATTTTTTATGCTCTGGCTTTTCGTTTTGGTAGAGTTCTTTTAAGGTTTTATTGTCAATTTTGACATGGTTTGGGTAGGAGTCTTTAGAACGCTTAGGCCGGTCTTCAAAGTTTTGCTTCCAAGAATTTTGATCATTTTCTTTGCGATTCCCACGTGAAAATTGATTTTGACGCTTTTCAGGGTAATGGTCTTGTTTTGGGGTAGATGGAGGGATCCATTCAGGCCAAGAATCAGAGGGATGTTGATCTTCTTTGATACTATTGTAAAGAGCAGCCATTTCAGGGTCAGTTTTTAGAGCGCCAGATTCCATTTTATGAGAAAATCAAAATAAATTTTGTTTAGAAATTCTACGAATTATAGTTTTATTGGCAGGTATCTTGATTTTGTTAATTAATCTAAATTAAAATGGCTCATACTAATTTGCTTTATTCCCATCCTTTCATTGAACAACACCATTGAAATATCTTAAAAAAATTGAAAAATTAAATCCCTAGCCTTGATCTAACAATTTTCATGTGTTCAAAAATGAAACTCACTTCCTTATCTTTGATAATAAATAGTCATAAATAAAAGGCATTCGGTTCGAGAGAAATTAGCTCTGCTAATTTTCTCTCCCTCATGGAATTTTATTTATTGGGTTGGGTTTTCTCTCAAGAACTTCTGCGCAGCAACAGCCGTTTAACTCTGGGGATAACCAGAGGAACGACTCCTTAGCGCACTCAAGAGCTTGAAGTTTTACCCCTCAGCACATCTCCACGGGAAGATGACCCTTAGGCGGAGCACGCGCAGGAGCTGAGTCGAGACAGAGCGACGGCAACGCGCCGGGTGAGAAGTGCGGCAAGAGGGCTTGGGCCTGTGCTGACCAGGTGAATCCAAGATGGCTCGGTGACGTCACTAGTTTAGCTTTAACCCTTTTTAGGGCGTGGGCACTAGACACCTTAAAAACACCAGATAAATTTGTAAGTAAGTAAGTAAGTAAGATAATAAATAGTCAATCTCTTATGCTAGAGCATAAATATTTTAAATGGAAAAAACTTTGAATATAAAAATTTTTTCAGATTTACAAAATTTACATATTATTTTTAACCCCTTTTATTGAAGAAGTCGATTGTTTCAATCAAGGACGGGGCAGGTTAGCATTAAATTGAAATTTTTGAACGATTAAGCAACTTGATATAACTGAATATATATTCTTTATAACTCCCTTTAAACTGAAACAAAAAAAAACATGTTCCAATTCAAAGGAGGGTTATTTTTTTAAAAAAGATACGTTAAATTTTTTTCCTATAAAAAAAATTAAGAATCTAAAAGATAAAAAATTTGAATGCAATACTCTAAATTTTAACTTATTTTTATAAAGAATTAATTTAAAAATTTAATCGGGTAGTATGGAAATTGTTTAAATAATATTCTACTTCCTAATTTTACATTAAATTCGGTCAAACTAATTTTATAAAATTAACATTTTCACCTATAAAAATTTTCTATTGAAAAAATATTTGTTTTAATTTAAAGGAGGTTAGAGTACCCAAAATTGGAAATTTTACCTATATTTTAAAACAATTTAAAGTAGGAGAGTAATAAAACAAACAATATAAAATTTATATGAAAAAATTAGCTTAAATGAATTTTACAACTTTTTTTTACCAGTTTCATTTATAATGATTGAATGATTCAATAAGTTTTATTACGAAAAAAAGGAATTGATTAGATCTTCAAATATCAATAAGTTAACTTCTATGTATAACTAGCAAGATTTTCAAACAATAAAGTAAAAATTGAAAATATTTTTCGAATTGATTCATTAAGCAATATATAGAACCTTGCCTAATTTTGATCGGCCTCTGACATGTGTAGTGGTTCTCCATATACTAGAAAAAAATTCCATATGTGAAGTGACTCAGATATGGAGACGTCACATTGGAAATTTTCTGGCATGTGGAGAATTGCTCCACATATCAGAGGACTCCCAAAATTTAGAATGACCCTATATAAAGAATTTCTTATGTTTTTCCTATCAAATCATAACGAATGCATGCATTAAAAATATTGTTCCCTATTTCATGGACTAATATGATAAAAGAAATTGATATCACAAAAACCTTCGAAACTACAAACAGAACATATAATGATCCAAAAGAGCTAACTTCTGACAACAAGTGTTATAAACTTGCCTTATATCTAGAGTCTCAATTAAAAACAATGAATTTTGTATTAACTCTATTTGGCTTAATCTGTAATTTCTGCGAAGGGTTTATAGTGATTATTTTTTATTTTCACACAGAGAATGAGATGATATTGATATTTAAATATTTTGTCTTTTTTAAAGCTATAAGCTCGGCATATATGGGGTATATTTCAATACAATTATGAAGACATAGGGAAACAAGCCATCCAATGAACTTTTCATATATTATCATTTGTTTTATAATCGTGCAAGTTAGTTTATTTTCATATGAGGCACCAGAAAATAATGCTTGCATGGTAAATTTTGTGATTGCTGATACGGTTGTGGATATAGTGCTGCTGCTAATTTGTATTGCTTATATTTGCTGGATGAAAATCAAAGCAAGAAGTTATTTCAAAGAAAAAGAGAGTTTCAGGTCATTTGCCACAGTTTTAAGCATAAAACTGCTAAATCCCCACTTTTTTAAGTATGAGAAAAATTTGGTAGGTAGCCTAGCAAAAATTGTTTATAAAATATTTTTCAGTATAAATTATTTTTAAACTCAATAATTTTGTAACGAGATCTTTAAGTTCATTCGATTAAATTTTAAATAATTTGCATTCTAAAGCATAAAATAAAGTTAATTTTACTTTATAATCGATTTTAAAATCTGGGGAAAAATTAACCCCCTTAAAAGGCAAGCAAAAATGTCTTGCCCTTGTAAAAGGAGGAATAAGGCTATTTCCTATTCCAGATCAGATGGAAGCTGATGCATGTCAAAATTCTAGTTATGACTTGGATTAGATTTATCTATTAATATTAGATAGATATCAGTAATCATTTATAACACAATATTACAAGACAAAATTGTTTTAATTAAGATATTTATATACATAAGTTTAAATTCATCACTCATAATTCATGATCACTATAAATATAGAATTTTCCCATGATTTGGCCACTGGGAAAATTTTTTGGTTAGACCAGTACCATATGGTTTGGTCAAACCAAAAAAATTTTCTCAGTGGGCAAATCAAGGGCAAACAGCGCCAAATTGGGAAAATTCTATACATTATTTTTAAATTCTAAATTTTGACAAGCCAAATTCATGGCTTAAAAAATTAAATTAAAACTAGCCCATCTCCCTAATGTGACAATTATAACGAATTTTAAAGTTTTGCAAGCCATTTTATTTAAACAATTGCTAATTTTCTAAGCTTTTTTGTTTATTTCCTTATCCTAATAAAATCCCTACTGATCCTGATTTCTTCTATTCATTTCTTTACGATTTAAAAACATGGAATTAAGCTTGAAACTGGGGTGAGATAATAATAAATGGCTAATCCAGAATAGTAATTCTTACGCAGCGACTATCTCTTCAAGCTTTTACTCATTGGCGATTCCGGTGTCGGGAAATCTTCGATATTGTTAAGATTTGCTGACAATACATATGCTGAAAGCTTTATTGCCACCATCGGAGTTGATTTCGTAAGTTCTATCTAGAAAATCAAAACAGTAGAAGTCGAAAACAAAGTCATAAAACTCCAGATTTGGGATACAGCAGGACAAGAAAAATTCAGAACAATTACGTCTTCTTATTATAGAGGAGCTCACGGCATCATTGTGGTTTATGATGTCACGAACCGAGACTCTTTCAACAATGTGAAGAACTGGATGAACGAAATAACAAGGTATGCTAGTGAAAATGTAAACCGATTGCTTGTGGGAAATAAAAGCGATATGGAAGGCAAGAAAGCTGTTACTTATGATGAAGGAAAAGAACTTGCTGATTCATTCGGAATTCCATTTATCGAGACTTCAGCCAAAACTTCTGTGAATGTCGAGCAAAGTTTCTTAAGGATGGCCGGAGAAATCAAAGGGAGAGTTGCAGCGACTGCAACAAAATCAAATCCTCAGCCAAAAGGGCAAAGACTAGCCACCGGGAAGAGCTTAACGCCTAAGAAAACAGGGTGTTGCTAGCTAGGTTTAATATCTTATATGATGATTTTATCTTAACTCCCCCCCCCTCCGTGAGTGAACAAAAAAAATTTTGTTCACTCACGGAGGGGGGTTAATTTGTTTTTTTAAAAAAATTTATATATAAATTTTATAAAAAAATATTTTTTTTTCGGAATTTAAAAAAATCCTAATTCGCAAAAATTGGAAAGCAAATATTAATTTTAATTTATAAAATTTATGTTTTAAAACGCAATTTGTTTAAAATTAAACAGAATTAGCTCTAGATTTCATTATGCTAATTATCACTTATATATCAAAATTTTTTCCCATAAAAAATTTTTCTATTGTTCACTCACGGAGGGTGGGTTTTTGAGCAAAAAATGCCGATTTTTCTAATGGTTTTGTTCACTCACGGAGGGGGGGGGAGTAAGTACTCTTTAAGTTTTATGATTTTGAATTATTATTACTTTTCAATAATTTCTATATTAAATTTTAATGGAGTGCGGCATTTGTTCTCACAATTATGATGCTCGGTATCATATTCCAACGCTGCTGGATTGTGGTCACACTTTTTGCAATAAGTGTATTGAAGACGTTATTATAGGAGATCTAAAGGTTGAAGACCTCCTGTTCCAGTCACAAGAAAAACTCTGCCCAGTTGACCACCGGCCTTTTTCTACGAGGTTTACTCCAAATTATGAGCTTCTAACGTCTCTTTCCCTTTGTCCGATATCATCAGATGCCCATGCTCCAGATTTTCATCAAAAGCATCGTACAGTTTTTCAGCGGCAAGCTTCTAATAGAGCACCTTTCGCTGAACTATACCCAAGTATAGATAGAAGACAAATAGCAGAAATTTTTAATTTTTCTGTCCAAAAAGTGATAGAAAATGAGCTTAAATGCACCAATGGGCACAATTTAAATAGAAGTGAAAACTTTTTGGCTGAATACCAAAGCAATGAATTTAACTTCAAATGCAGACAATGTAAGAGAGACAAAACATTAGGGTGGTTTTGTAAACCATGCATTTATATGCTATTTAAAGTGTTTATTATAATATTATTTATATATTATTTATATTAGCAAAAAAACTTATAGTTATCTTAAATTTTATATAATATGTGACGAATGCAAAGAATGGATTACGGAGACAGATACAATCGAAAACCCTGGAGTTGTTTGCATAAGGAGACATAAAGTTAGAATGACCCCTAACGCACAAGTTTATAATTTAAAAATCGGCAGAGGAAGTGGGAATTTTAATTGTGATACTTGTTTGGAAAGAAGAATCGGTTGAAGTGCGCAGTGCCGAGAATGCAACTTTGATATGTGTGAAAGCTGCACTGAAAATTTAAAGAAAATTGTGCCTTTAGTTGGCAATTTACAGTGCCTAAGAAATCATCCACTTGTATGGATTCCTGATTTTAGCACGATAAGAAATAAAGACTATGGGTGTGACGTTTGCAAAAGAAGGTTTAAAAAATCTGGAAGCTTTAATTGTGGGCTGTGCAAGTTTGATGTATGCATAACATGTGCAGATAGAAGGCTTAGTGAAGTTCGGGGTACGCTAAATCCAAGATAAATTAAAAAATTGGATAATTATCTAAAGAATTAATAGATAAAGGAATTAAATAAAACAATAATATAGCATTTACAAATAGCTAAAAAAGTGCTAAGACTATTGCAAAATAAATTAATAGAAGAAACAAAAGAGAATTATTTCAATATAATAAATTCAGCAACTGATATTAAATTTTTAATCTATTTTTTATATATATATACGCCTAGGCATGCACAAATTAGAATAAAGCCTATAACTGAGCATGTGATGATCACAGCAAGTAGCCACGTAGCCATCCCTTCAGAAGATTTTGTGATTGATTTTGCAAAACCAATTCTCATTTGATCCATATCAAAATGTAGATAAAACCTTCGAATAAAACCCTCACCCAATATTCAATAATTTATTTTGCTGTTATAGTGAAGAGTTGGATAGCATTTATCGTCTTCAATGACGAAATAATCTATTGGAGATAGAGTAAAGACTTTCCCAGAGAACACAAAATTCAGTTTAGGGTATTTACCATCGCAATCGCAAGACATGTAGCTTGAACTATCAATTTTACAAGAGTAGTCGTTCAGGAGAGTTTGTAGCATATCAAGTACGTCATTTTTTGGGCCTATAATATAGCTAATACTTGTATCAATAATTGCTGATGTACCTAAAGTATATGCTTTTTCACTAAATACTACACCCATCGCAGGGGACTTCCCAATAGCTCGTTGATTTAACTAAGTCAACATATGTAAAGCTGTCTTCTGATGAATATTTATCTAGATCATATCCATCAATTATCAAATTTGCTTTTTTATGAGACAAATCTGATTTGTCTCTTTCCTCACTAAGGTGTATTGAAAATCCCCTATGATTAATTTTGCCTTCTTTCTCAAGTGTGCTAATTATTGAAATCACGCCACTTGAATCTTCAAAACCCAAGCCTATTACTCCGTCTGATTTTAAATCAGTAATGCCCTTCTTCATGGGTGACCAAAATAAAATTCTGATTTACTGCGGTCAAATTGCCAATAGAAACAATATCGCTGCTCACATAGCCACTTGATTATCCATAATTAGTATAAAAACTCTTCAGCTGAGTAGTATTTTTATAAGTCGGGGAAGCTTTTGAGTTGAATCTGTTACTTGCATGACAGCTATTGCAATTTTTGGAATCAATTCATGTCCATTTTGTTCATGTGTCAATTAAGAGAGTAAACTCCTGAGAAGGAGTTCCCATAGTAGCTTTAATGGAGTATTCGACCTAAATAGAGCATACATTTTTTTCATTGGCAGCACTTAGAGATGTTGAAAGCTCACGTGGAGAGGTGAGGCTGGATATAGTGTGCTTTTCTATACCTTTTTCGGAGGCACTTCTATATAATGGCATTGATATAGCTGCCAGGGCTATAGAAAGTCTTATATAAAGCATAAATATTTTAATTATAATCATTAAGGCTATTTCTAATCAAATCAACATGAATGTTCTACATTTTTTGCAAAGTTTGAAATGTAATAAATTATTAGGCGCAGCTAAAGAATTAAATAAAACAATAATATAGCATTTACAAATAGCAAAAAGTGCTAAGACTATTGCAAAATAAATTAATAGCAGAAATAAGAGAAAATTATTTATATAATAAACTCACCCACTGATATTAAAATTTTAATCCTCTAGTTTTTATTTAAGCCCCATTACTATTAGAAATGCCACACAAGCGCAAATTAGAATAAAGCCTAGCCGATTTTTTATTATTTTTATCATAAAAAGGGACTTCTGATTGGCTGGAATCATATAATTACCTTTTCTTTTCGATATCATTTATTATCATTTTCTAAAATATTTTTATTTTATTATTAAACTAACTGATCTGAAATAGTTAAATATCTAGAGTGATTATTATGAGTAAAAGCATTTTCCATAGCGGAATGCTTTCAATGCCGATGCCTAAATCATTCAAGCTTTTTATTTTTGCAAAGCCAATTCGCCTTTTTTCCATATCAAAATTGATATAAAATCGCCGGATAAAGCTATCTCCCAAGAGCCAGAAGTTTAATGAACTGCTATAACCAAATACTGGGTAGCATCTTCCTTGAGAAACCATAAAATAATCAATCGGCTTAATCGCAAACGTATGCCCAGAAAGTATAAATTTTAGATCAGGATAAGCACTATCGCAATTGCAATATATGTTATTTTGGGTATCGGCGCTACAATCAAATTGGTAATAAAGAATTTGCAGTATTTTAAGCACACTAGCTTGGGGGCCGATAATTAAACTAGTTCCAGTGTCAATAATTGCTGTTTGAGCTTCAGTTAATTTAGTTCCATTAAAATCAACACCATCACACTCAACGACCCAATGCCCCATATAATTGGCTAAGTCAATATAGGTAAAGCTTCCTTGTGATGAATATTTGCTGAGATCATATCCATCAATCATTAAGAGCGAACTGCCAAGGCTTACCAAATCTGTATAGCTCCTTGCATCATTCAAATAAACAGAAAACTGCTGTTTCTGAATTCTCCCTTGATTTTTCAGAGAGCTCATCAATGAATTTGTCCCACCACTTAAGGCATCAAATGCAAATCCAATCAAGCCATCCATTTGCATGTTATCATTGTCTGCCTCTTCATAAACTAGAAGAAAAGAATGGCCGTATACAGAAAGGGAGGCATCATCCCCAATTGAAAAAATATCAGTGCTTATATAGCCTTTTGTGCTTCCTTTCAGATAAGTTATTGATTCGATTTGACTGGTGTTATGATAACTAGAAGACGTTTCTGGATCGAATTTTGTGCCCGTATGGCAATTAGAGCATTTATTTCAATCAATTCATGCCCATGTGCTCCCTGTATCAACCATGAACGTAAAAACCTGTGCAGGGGTTCCAATTGAAGCACGAATGTAATATTGATACTAAATATGACTTACATTCTGGTAATTGGTCATGCTTGACGATGTATAAAGTGCACGTTGTGGCGATATAATGTCTAGTACTGAGTGCTTGGTAAAATTAAGCTCTGAATCTAATTTATATAAAGGTATTGATATTGCAGCAAAAGCAATAGAGAGACAAACATACCAAATTGTCATTTATTTGGTTATTTTTTAGACAGCTTTAATATCTAATCCATCTACAATTTTTGTTGAAGATTAATATGGCGCTTAAGGCTTTTAAAAAATTGCACCTGAGATTAATTTATAAAAATACCATATTCATTAAGCAATGAAGCTTGATTGATGCAAGCTAACTCTGTATAGCATCTTCACATTAACTTAGACTAAAATCCGCAGCGAATTCAAGCAGCTTATTTTTGTATTGTTTTAACATTCATACTTTTAGGAGAGTTCAACTAAAATTGAATGCTATATGCTACTATATAAAAGTATAGTTTGAAGGAAAACTTACCAGCTTGAACACTAGATTCTTGACGCTAAATAATTAATGGGTCTTAAGATATAGTTAAGAATTATCAAAAGAAGCATAGCTCGGCTTGAGGTTTTCTTCAATGAAAAACACTAACTCCCCCATCCTTGATCGAGGAATCCCTGCCGCTCTATCAAGGATGAGGAGGTAAAAAATTTTTGGAAAAAAGTTATGTATAAAAAATAATATATATTTTTGTCTAGGTGTACTTTTTAATAAAAGGGTTAAGATAGCAAATATTTAAAACTATAAAATGAAAAACTGTGTTGATTTAAACCCCTTTCCAATATATAGTATTTCTGCTTCTTATTAATTATTTTTAATTTATAATACTTTAAACTTTTTAGATTATTAAGCTTTTTAGGCAGAATGATGGCTAAAGCACTTCAGATGATTAATTCCGTGCAGACTATTAAGAAAGTACGTAAATCACTCTTAATTTGCCAATGCAAACTATTAATTTCATAAATTATAATAAATATAACTAATCTGCTGATTTATTGCGCATAAAATTTGCAATATATGGAAATCCTTCTATCAAGGATGGGGGGAGAAAGGAATAAATTCAAAATGCTTGCAAAAGCCTCAATTGATTGAAATAAAATAGACATTCGCAAAATCCTCCTTATTAATGCGAAAAGAAATTAATGTTGATTGTAATAGTAAGTATGATAAATCAAATTTTCAGCTTGGATTATCAATTAATAAAAATAAATAAATTACTAAGAACACTTATCAATCATAGCTTTAAAAATATTCAAATATTTGGAAATATAATTTATGAAGCATGGAATAATAATTTAGAAATAGATTATGAATTTATATGAAGGTCGAAAAACAATTTATAGCGGAGCCAGAGCTCGCTAGGCCTTGACGCATTTATTAGCCACTGCTACCAATAAAGGCTGCCTATCTTCATATACCATGCCCGTTGTATAGTAAGGACACCCGCCTTTAATGTGATTACGCCTAATTAACTTGCATCTCCTTCGATGGAGTCTAATGAGTTGTGACTTACTTCAATCTTGCCTCAGGCAATCTCCTCTCTGCCAACCTTGAATCATGCAGAGATTCATGCAGCATGCCCAATCTGTGCCCGGGCGCCTTGATGCAGATCCATCTCGCTAGCGACCTTATCTAGGAGCCCAAAATTCATTAACGTGACATAGAGCTTGGCTTAAGGAAAAACTCTTTATAAAGATGAGTATAAACCTAGTTTAATAAAAGGGTAGCTCTTGGTAAGTCGAGCTACTTTTCTTAGAATTATTTTTTAGTAATTTTAAAAATAGGAATTAAGTTTTTTAAAAAATAAATCCGAGTTTACTAATATTAATAAATAAAATATAGCGAAAACTTTTTAAACTATTTCCAATCTATTATCAAAAATATGGATAGTGGCAAAATATAACTTATCAGTAATTTTATTAATGGAATGTGGAGTTTGCTTAAACGAATATGATTCTCGTAATCATGTTCCTACCTTGCTTGACTGTGGGCACACATTGTGTAGAAACTGTATAGAAGATCTCCTCTCATCAGAGCAAAAACTGTGCCCTATTGATAGAAATCCAATCGGCACCCGATTAGTTCCGAACTATGAATTACTAAGCCTACTAGAGCTCAGATGTCAAAATCCTATAAGAAATCTTAACGAAAACGAGTTGAAATGCAAAAATGGTCATTTTTTAGCCTGCAGTGAAGATTTTAAAGCAGAATACGAAGGCGCAGGTTTAATGTTTAAGTGCAAACTTTGCAAACGTGAAATAAACGATGGCTGATTATGCAAATTTTGTGTATTTCCTATATGTGATGAGTGCAAAAGATGGTCAACTGATACACAAGAGATCAATGACCCTGGAATCGTTTGTGTAAAAAATCATAAAATCCGACTCACTCCAAATGCTGAAGAATGGAACTCGAGGATCGGAAGATGAAAAAATGGGAAATTTTTATGTGATACTTGTCTTGTTAAAAAAACTGGGGCTAGTGCTCAATGCCGAACCTGCAATTTTGACATGTGTGCTGATTGTTTATATAAATTAAGACAAGTTTTATCAATGGTTGAATACTTAATTTGCAAAAATAAGCATCCGCTTGTTTGGCTTCCTGATTTTGTTACATCAAGAAATAAAGACTTTGCTTGCAATGGCTGCAAGAAGAGGTTTAATAAATCGGGAAGCTTCAACTGTGGGCTTTGTAGATTTGATTTATGCATTTTATGTGCAGAAAGCAGAATTGTTAAAATGAGAAATTCTATTCATGAATTGTTATAAAGTTCAAGTAATAATCTACTGAAATGATAATAGGTTTAATTATTTATAATAAATACTTTACATGTCTTCTAACTCATCCAAATTAAGTGTACTCTTTGAAATGGAGACAAATTTAGTTAAATCCCCATCATTTTCATCTGGCGTCATCCATTTTGACCTATAAATCGCTCTCTTTACCATTTCTACGTTATAAAGCCAAAGGGCAATATACATAAAAATGGAGGATGGGGCTGACCCACCCTCTCAGAGGTGGTTACCCATGTATATCCCTGCATGGTTTTTTGGAGTCAGGAGTTGACCCAGCAACGTTTGAGACCTAAAAGCAAGAGGTCTAAGCGCGATGACTGCTGTTTTTGCGGCCGAACCCTTGGTCAGATACTCGTGACTATTTTTTTGCCAACAGCGCTCACCCCGGTGCCCGAAATGAGGCAGGGCGACATACCTGCTGAAGCTGCTTCTGTGACTTGCCCCGAATGGCGAAAGCTACCGAGTTCTTTCTCGGGATGACCGAAAAGAGGGGAGGCGAGTTAGACACCAAGTCAAGACAAGGGGGTCTTTCCAGTTAAGGCACTCAGTCAAGAGCGGATCTGACGAATAAAAAGGGCAGTGTTGGCGTGAACTTGGGCAACACACAAGTTGGAAATGGGGCGGTCAGCTAAGACAGTAATCTGCCCTTTGACCTCACCTTTACCGAGAAACCGGGGGTTTCGGCAGGGCTTAGCCTGGCTATGCTATGCCACCCTGCGGGTAGAACCGAGGTATGCAGTCCAGGAAGTAGGGACTTTAAATGCAGGGCATAATCTTAATCTTAAAGCCAAAGGCAGCCGGCACTTTGTTTTTTATTAAGCTCATTATAATGTCTTTCAAAGATCTCTGAGTTTATTTCATATTTACAGCTAAATAAATTCAGAAATTCTATTTCCATTAGGCATATCGTCTCAACGTCCATTTCAGGAAACAGCTGGACGAATTCATAAGTGTCTAAGTGGTTCGAGCTAAAAACTTTCTGTGAAGTCAATGCAGAAATGAACAAAATCTTCATTCAGTTGGATTCTCCAATAGGGATTTCTGTAATCTCCAAAAATCGCTTAATATAGATATAGATTAATGAACAGCATTCTGCATTAAGCTTCGCAGAATTGCACACATAGGATACAAAGTCTAAAATCACCTTCCTGTCGAACTTTACTTTGTTTTGACCACAATTTAAGAAGTCTGCCTTAAAATTGTTACTGCAGCTTCCAGCTGGTAAACTGGCCTTTTTTGTGGAGTTTTTGGCACTTTCACAGAACAGATCGTGCAAAATGGATGAAAGGGACTCGAATACTTCTTGCTGGCTAGGATAAATGCTGATTCGGCAATGATTACTCTCGTGCTTGGTGTTGTTTATTTTTGATGGCATATTTTATATTATGAGTCATCAATTTCGATTATAGAAAAAATGAGAAAGGCTAGAATTCTTACTCCCACCATTTCATAAGAGAATAAATCCATTCGTAAAAACCCCCACCCTCCGTGAGCGAACAAAAATTTTTTTATAAAAATAAAATGATATATAAGTGATAATTGCTACAGTAAAATCTCTGCTAATCCTAAACAGCTTGCATTTTAACACATAAATTTGCAAAGTAAATAAATATTTGCTTTCCAATTTTTACGAACTTTAATTTTTTCAATTTTGAAAAAAAATTTATTTATATACATTGTTTTTTAAAAAAAAATAACCCTCGAAGAGCAAACAAAATTTATTGTTCACTGGAAGGGTGGCATTTAGGAATTCAAAATTATTTAAATTGCAGCCAGATATAATTGTTGCCTTTTTGGCTTAATGAATAAATTATCTGGGATAAATGGAAAATCCATTTAAAAAGGGTCGGTTTTATTTTCTAGGACATTAATTGTTCTGAATGCTGGCGTTAAAAAAAAGCTCATTTATAAATCCGATAGAATCAGGGATGAAGTTTCCAAAAATTCTGACTAGGGTTAAAATTTTTGAAGTAAAAGACTGCTGAATTCAAAAACTGAGCTTATTTCGAATATAAATTGCCATTTATTTAAAAGGCAAGTGCCATACTAAGCTATTTTGATTAATAGATAAAACAATAAAGAGCTTTTTGATGTAATGAGAAATTGGTGAGTGTCAGCCATAATGAAATCTTATTAGAATCAAAATATTTATTTTATAAATTATAAACTATCAAAAAGAAATTTTCAAAGTGTTTTTTGTATAAAAATTTTGTTTCGTGACATATTAATTATCAAATGTCACTATTTCAGAAAATTTTAGAAAAGGTTTCTCAAAAGTGAGAAAAGACAACATGAAAAATGACTATGGTTGTTGGCAGTGCCGTAACAATAGCACTTATTCTAATATTTGCCAGCCATCGTAAAAAAGCAGCCCCAGCTTTACACTCCACACCACAAAATTCCAAAAAAATTGAATCCCATCAAATCGATCCTTTTACTCCAAGTTCCGATCTTTCTGCAGAACTGAATAAAAAACTCCTAACAAAGTCTGCTTTATTAAAAATTCTGCACCTTGTAAATGAAAAGCTACGCCAAGATTTCGTAAAAATTATATAGAAACCTATCAAAGAGCAAAATCGTCACGAAAGACGAAAACTGAAAAAAAATTCCCAAGAAAGCTATCAAGAATTTCTTAAATCTTCTATATCTGATGAACTGAAATTTACGGAACAAGTTTTAGATGGAGTTTTAGCGGAATCTCAAATTAATAAAGAAAAGTTCAATGAAGCTCTAAAGCTTTATCAAGAAGATGATGAAATCATAGGATGCATAAATAATTCAGAATTTGAAGCAAGCAGAGGTTTATTGCCTAAATTAGAAATTTGTGTAGAAGTTTTTATATTGTTTATATATAAGTAGCTCTAGCCCTCTTAATAATAGCACATAAATTCTCTTATTTATTTCATTATATATAGGCAAGCTATTTTATATAAAAAAAATATAAATTTTGAGCTTGAATATTGGAATGAAAAATCCTCAAATAACACCACCACACAAGCGAAGCTAGAAAATAAATGTATTCTAGAAGACGAAATCCTAGAGAAATGGGGAGCAGAGATAGGAGATGTGCATTTATTAGCTAAAAATAGTAAAGAAAACAGAAAAAAACTTTTAGGGTTATATAATAAAGTAAGAGAAATTTGCCCATAGTTTAAGCTAAAACGATTAAAAATGGGATGCTTGTGATCACGAAACAAATGGGAACAAGAAGAAAGGCTTGTATTGGACAGCGAAAACTGCTTAAAACTCAATAAAAAACACTGTAAGAAAATTGTATCTGTTTTTCATAGAATGACTAAACTTTTTCACTTGAACTTAACTCAGTTTGAATCAGCTCTACGAGAACTCAAAATAGAGACTGACGAAGAAACAATGAAGTTTTTCGAACTCTTTAAAGAAGACCCTAATGATTCATATTTCTTTAACAATTTAGAAGTCAAGCCAAACCTAAAAGGCGAAGAATATTTATACTCAGTCAAAAAATTAAGCGTTCTAGCTATCTTTTTTGGAAAAGGAAACACTGAAGAAAAGATTAATGCGCTATTTAATATATATGATATTGATCTTTCAAAAAGATTGTCATTGACTGAGCTGGGTGTAATGCTGAAAGATATCGGAGAAATATCATTGCACCATCTTCCAAGATTAGCGACTGTAAAATACCCAAATAAGATGAGCGAAATTATGAAGTATAGCAAATGCTTAACTCCCCTCCTTCCATGAGTGAACAAAACCATTGGAACAATCTATTTTTTGCCAAAAAATCCACTCTTCGTGAGTGAACAAAAATTGTTTTAATAGAAAAAATTTTTTATGAAAAAAATTGATATATAAGTGATAATTATTATAATGAAATCCCGAGCTAATTCTGTTTAATTTTAAACAAATTACGTTTTAAAACATAAATTTTATAAATAAAATTAATATTTGCTTCCCAATTTTGCAAATTAGGATTTTTTTAAAAAAAACAATTAAACCCCCTCCGTGAGTGAACAAAATTTTTTTTCACTCACGGAGGGGCTGGAGTAAGCAAAATGGAAGAAGGACTCATAGAATATTTTAAATACTTGATTTGTGGGTTTCGAGTAAGAGAAATAACCCTCCACGAGTTTGTCGAAGCTTTTGAACAAGACGAACTACAAATTATTTTGAATGCAGCTGAAATAAGAAATTTTGCGATAAGGGCATATGAAGATGCATTAATCCAGAAAATCGAGAGAAAAAAGGAAACTAATCTAGACTCCGACGATATTCAAGAAATTACTCTTGAGAGACGTCATACCACTTGGAATAAACGTAAAATCCGCAAAAAATTCAACAAGAAAAAAACAGCTGACGTCCAAGTTTAGATTTTTTTTTAAATTATTTAATTTCATTTTGCTGTTACAACTCGAGGTGAACTCCAGTTAAAAACTGAAGGAGAAATATTTAATTCTATTTCCCATTTTTTTACTTTTTCACTATTAATAATGTCTTTGGTTTTTGGCCTATTCTTGGTAGCGCAAAGCCACGAAACTAACTCACATTCAGGTTTCTCTCTGATTTCAATAGGAAAACTTGCTTGGTTTTTTAAAATTTTGGATCTTTCACTTCTAGTCATTTTTGGAAATAAAAGTTCTAATAAAATTTTGCCAAGCTGATATACGTCTTTTTGTCGGTTTTCCTTTATAAGTAGGCCTGATTTCCCCTCATCACTGAAATTATGTAGCTTAAAGTCACCAATTTTCACGCTTAAATCATCGTTTAAGAATATATTTGATGACTTTAAATCTCCGTGAGCTAGTTTTTGGCTATGTATGCTATGGACTCCCTTTACAATTTGTCTGAAAATCTTATAAGTGCTGACCCTATCACATTTCCCTTCATTCTCAATCCACTTGTCAAGTGAAACTCCTGACATAAACTCAGTTTGCATATATAAGTAAAAGGTCAGATATGCAGAATTTTCTTCTGAAAAATCAAAGGAAGGAGACGTAAAATTGTCTGGTGCGGAGGCTTCAATCCAAGAACTATAATACCGCTTTAGATATCTTGAATGGAGCTTTGACATATGTAAAACTTCTTTAAAAAGCTTGTGCTCTTTAATGTTTTCTTTTATCCCAATGTGAAGCTCAACCACTTTTACTGCATAAAGGTGTCCATCCAGCCTATGCCTTGCTTGATAAATCTGCCCAACTTTGCTTTTGCCAAGCTGGCCGACCATTTCAAAGGAGTTTGCGAATTTCCCATCCTCAAGGATTTTTGAGTATTTTTGCATTTCTTGTTCTAGGTCTTTGTTGAGGCTGGATTCAGAAAATGACCCAGAATAGTGAAGAACTAAATTGGTGGATTTGTTAGAATTAGTCCATTCAGGCATTGAAAGCTGGATTTCAGTGATGAGGCTTTCTGAGTCAATTGTGCTTTTGGAGTCACTTTCGAATAAAAATCGGTTGCAGTTGCTTTTTATAGGCGAAGATGCCATGAAATCTAGGAAACTAGGAGTAGCTGGGTCTGTATTAGTTTCATTTTCTTCTAATACTGAGTTATCTTCATCTATATCAAGTACAAAGCTTATATCAATTTCTTGAATTTCTTTGGACTTTTCACATTTCTTTAGCTTTTTTCCAATGAAAAATCCAAAAATCACAGCAAAACTTATCAAAATTCCCATTAGTCCAGTCTCCCATGAAACGTCTGCGAACAAGCTGGCATTTTTCGGCAGATTTTTTGTTTTTATTTCTTTTTCATCAGTCTTTGGCACTTCGATTTGTAAAATATTATACAGGGATGATTGGGATTGGATTTGTAAAATTTCTGCATTTTTTAATCTGCGGAAATTAAAAAGAGACGAAGCTGGAAGAAGGGAAGTGGATTTAAAAGTAAGAGATCTCTCGTAGTAATTGAGGTAGAAGGCATTAAGTTTTGTATATTCGGGAAATTTATTTTGACACGCTAAATCACCTTGAAGAGATTTAGCTTTTGTTGATAATTGATTGAAATTGGTGGCTAAGCTTTGAAAGTTTTGCTCTCATTGCGAGTTTTTTGCTGAAGTTGGGTTTATGATAAAGATGTAAAAAATCGTAACAGCACTGGCTATGAATACAAAGCAAGATATCCTTGAAGAAAATACTCTCATACGCTGGATAATTGCTTTATAACCCATTTTTAACAGATACTTTTATTTGGACCATTTTAAATGTTCACCTAAATTTTGTTTATCGTTCTCAATTAATTGCTTAGAATCTAATATTCTTATTTTCCATATGTCAACTAATTGTAACTTTACTATATGGAAATTATTAGTAAGGTTTCTTAATATTAATTACAACCTCGTGCCATTTTCCATTAATTTATACTTCCTCAGAATTTGAACTCGCAACCAAATCTTCTTTAATAAGACTCCGGGCTTCATTTAATTTGGCAGCGATAAAAACGGTTCTTTTGCCCCAATTTTGCTTAAATCCTGAGTAGCCTTAAAATTTTAAAATTTTAAAAATTTCCATAATAAAATGATAGAAGAATGCTTGAATTTTATTCTATTTTTATGTGGGACTTTAAAACCCTCAGGACTCTCTGCAATTTATTTGGCATTTGGCATAGCAATTTGATTGATTCTCCTGCTTACAGTTCAAGTTCCACGCGCTGTTTACAAATATTTAGGCATTTCTAGTGTTTTACTGAATTTATGGAAATTAGTTATGCTAATCATATTTTATTCTGACAAAAATTCAACATTCTTCTCTGACCACAAAGAAACTCTGAAGATTCTAGGAGTTTTTTATCATAACACAAGCGAGCTCAACTATGTATCTGCTGCATCTTTTTATCCTGACTTAATGGCATTTCTTGTTAGCTTGATTGGGTATTATTATGGAAATACGAAACTTAAGCTCAGCAACAATTTCAGAAGGATGCTTAATTTATTTTTAACCTTTTCAATGGTGATGGCAAGCTGTATTTCATCATTTTCTTTTGTGAATGTACTTTATATCATTATAGCAATGTATTGGGTTTTAACTTGAAGCTATGGAATTTACCCTAGGCTATATCAGCTAGGATGCAGAGTTATATCATTTGTTACAGTAATACAGATCCTTACTTCTTATCTCTACAATATGGTTTTGCATAATTATTTTTCTTCTGTTGATGCAATTCGCTATGGAATTATATTACCTACCTACAGTGACTATTTTAATTTTTTGGTCGTTTTTGCGTTGCATGGATTTTCTACTGTCTACGCAAGAAGAGCTTTACTGAATCCAGATGAGCATAGAGCTGTTTTAATACAGCCTGAAGAGGAAATTAAAGATAATGAAGAAAAAAATTTTAATTCAACGCTTGATGATGAAGATTTAAATGATTCTGTCCCTTTTGAGTTATCAAGATCTCTATTGCAAGCTCCAAAACCGTCTTTAGAAGAGTTTTCGAGAGCGTCGCAGATACCTGAAGTTTTACAACCACCTTCTCCTCCTAAAAAGAAGATGAAAATTTCTAAAATTCCTCTACAAATCATCAAATTTATTTATGCTGTCATTTTTTCATTTTCATTTCTATACTTAGTAGCGCGATTTTTACTATTTTTATGGATTTTTCATTACATGAGTATTTTAGGATGTTTTGAGATGCTGTGGCTATTTTACTCTTTGATAGACGATGATGATAGTCGAACGATAAAAACTGTCAGATATATCTTATGTCCAATGCTAGTTATTCAGTTTTTTACTACTTATGTCCTCAATATATTTGATATTAATCCTAATAGTCAGTACGGATTCCCTAAGCTGGTTTTTCCAGCACTCGATGTTGGTTTTCAGCTTTTAACTATTTTTTTATTTTTATATCTCACAAGATCAATCCGCAAAATGATCAAAAAGCAGGCAAAAACTGATGGAAACTCATCTTGAGAAATGCTATTAACCATAGTTTTACAGAACGCAGACAAGTTTTCTATAAGCGTTTTATTTGTAGTCGGCCTCTCTGCTATAAATTTAGTTCATACAGGATTTATGATAATTTGCTTGTTTTTCATGCTAAATTTTAATTTAGCCAAAAAGTTTTGGATTGTTTTGGTGATTTATACAATGACTGTCCTCTTTATAAGATACTTATGGCTGCTTATTTTATCTCTTATTAATAAGGATAGCTTAAATGAGACATTGCTAGATTTCATTGGTCTTCCTATAGAAAATAATGCTAAAGATGACAAAGTAAATATTCTTCCTTATGATTTTTTAGTATGAGTACTATTATTTTCAGCAGCCATGCAATTAAGGGCTTACAAGGCAACTATGTTTTCTCTTGTTTATCATCAGTTTACAAGGGAAGAATTTGCTAAAAATCATCCACTTATTATGAAATCTATTATGAAAATGTATAGATGGTATTATAAAGTAGAAATGTGGGCAATTTATCTGTTTATCTTTCTACTTTTTTTGATAGCAAAATTAAATTGACTAAACTTTGCAAGAATGGTTTTGGGATGCGGGTATTTGCTTATTCATTTATATGGAAATTTGAACGAAATTTCAAAAAATTATATGAAAGTTAAGTCCATATGGCCTATAATTGTGTATTATAGTGGAATTTTACTAGTAACCAGGTACGTTTATCAGTTTATTCCTTTTATAAAAGCTATTAAACATTATAATTTTTCTTTTATTGGGCTCGAGGTTTATAGTTCGAGCGATTTATATGAGAGTATGGTCACTGATTGCTTATTATTGATTTTTACTGTATTGGGCTCCAGGTCACATAAAAAGGACGATGTAAAATTTCGGCCATCTACCTCTGACCAATTTGAGGATGTTGGACTTATACAAGGGCTTATCCAAGCTAATATGTCTATTATTGAACAAGATATTGGGCAAAATTCTTATTTTAAATTTATTCACCCTTGGTTTCAGCTTATAATCTTTTTAGCAATTTCTATATTGGCATCACAGTGGAAGCTTTCAATTTCTATGGGAGCTTATATTGCAATAATAGAAATTTATTATTTTTTCAATACTTTATATATGTCAGAGTATATTCAAAAAAAATCATCTCTTGACTCTGAAAAAGAGTACTGATACCGTTCGTTGCTATGAACAGCTTTATTTATAGCCACTCTATGCAACTTAATACTCTCTTACTTAGGATTTATAATAAACAAAGATTTCATGGGCGATAATTCTGATAATATTTTATGGTTTTATGTATGGATTGGATATGAGAAGCCTGATGAAAGTTTTCTAATAAAAAATTGTTATGGCTACTTAATACTACTCATTTTTCTAGTAATTGAAATTAAATTAAATTAAATTAAGAGTCGTAAAGTCTTCCAGGTTTGATATTTCCGGATGCTTTTGACCAATGTCAATGCTTGCCGGCGGAAATTCAACCGCTATTTTGGAACAGTGGCCTTCTCTCGGAATAAGGCTTCACTTTGGAGTGTCAATGGATAGGGATATTCCTAGTCAGTAAGTCATCGGGCGCTATGGAAGTAAAGGTTAGCCCAATAACCCCTTTCAGTCACCTTTGAGAGAGGTGGCACATAGATAAAAAGGAGCCCTCAAAAATTGGAAGGTAAAAAGCCATGCCCAAAACTATCTGGACGACTAAATCCTGATCATGGAATAGCCACCAGCCGACTCCCAAGGCCGCCCCACAAAGCCCCATATTCCGATGGGCAAGGGTTAGAAGCAAAAGATTCAACCTTGATTTAGTCGCTAAAGTGACTTTTGGTGGTGCATCGTCATCAAGGACATATTTAGTCACGACCACCATACTAATTATTAGCAATTGAAAGGCATTGCCTTGAGTTTATTTTGTTTGAAAAAGTCCTTTTGAGTGATGAAGAAAAGCTTCAGGCGAAGAAAAGCAAAATTCTCGTGAAGTTTTTGAACTTTTTAAGGGTATTAGCAGAAGCATTAGTTCCTATGTTTATCCTTTTAATTGCATTCAGCAAATTAACATTTGTTAGTGTGATATATGTAATTGGGGTATTTTTATCAATTTTACTAGGAACGACTTTTACAAGAACAAAATTTTTAAATTATTTATTGCTCACTATGACACTTGTGCAATATGCTTTACTTGTCGGAAACCTACAAAACAAAAATTCTCCCACTTCTCTACCTGCTGACAGTCCAATTAATGTTCCATGGTACCTGCACAAAACATGGGAAAATGATGATGTCCCAGTATTTTTTGGCTTAGGAACCAGTATAGGCCAGCTTCACAGCATTATATGGGATTTATTAACTCTATTATTTTTATATATCTATTACACATTTCTGTCAGCCAAAGAAAATGAGCTTGAAATGCTTGGTGATGAGGAAGAAGTGGTAGATTTGTCAAGTTCAGAAAAAAGTCATAGGCAGAGCGAAAAAGAAAAAAGTGAGGAAAGTAAAAGTGATGAAGAAGAGGAAAAAATTGAAGTGGAAAAACTTGATATTTTTAAAGACTCACACTCTCTTGAGAAGATTGAAGAAGCTAAAGACACTTCGCTGGAGTCTTCTAGCTCGAATAGTTCTACTGGTTCTATTGATAGATTTTTAGAAGAATCTAAACAGCAACATTCAAGAGTCCCCAGTGCAGCTCCTGCTAGGAGTGAAACTTCCCATCATTCGCTTCCTCAGAGCCTCCCACAAACATTTAGCAATGCTCCAGAAATCAACAGGAATTCTGAAGAAATCCCATTTGGGACCTTTGATACCGCTAAATTTGACACCGTAAAGCCAGAACCCTCAAAATTCAACAAAGAGATTCTTCTGAAATTCAAAAGCGCATTTTATAACTCTTCTCATTTCCTTATCCTTCCAATAGTGCTTCTATTTATTTCTCAAAGCCATGGCCTGATATCTGGAGTTTATTGCTTATTTTGCTTGATTTTTATATACAAATCAAATGAAATCATAAAAAGTGAAAAGAGCTGAAACCAGTATTTGAAAATCTTAAGGAATTATTTTTTGATTTTTATGCTAATTGATTTGACACTACAAATTATTTATCAATTGCCAGTTGAACAAATGCATTCTAGTAGCACGGCAACAGACTGAGTTGAATCAGCCGGTCTAATGCAACTATGAACAGCTGGTGGCAATAACCCAGACGATGTGGATAATAAACAATTGAAAATAAATTTCAAAATTTTTACCTTTGCATTCCTCTACATGATGTACAGGATGATGAAAAGTAAAGACTTCACCGAGCACATGAAAAAACAGAGACAAAGCCTATTAGAAGAAAGCAGAAAAATAGGCTTAGAAATAGCTCATCATTTCAACGACAAAAGGATTGAAGAAAACAAATCTTATCAAGAAAAACGTAAAAGGTTTGAAAATGAGCTATTAAAACTTGACCAGAACGTCAATAAATGAAGCAAAAAGTTTTACGGAGGAAATGAAAGCAAAAAAAGCTCTATTGGATATATGTTAAGGCAAAGAGATAGGAGATTTACCTCGAAAATAAGATTTTCAAGGGCAAGCGGTATTGGCCAGCCTTCTTCATCTGCAGCTCCATTAGAAGCTGTGGCTACTGAGCAAAAAGAATCCTTTAAAATCCGCTTCCAAAACCTGCTGATAAACTTGATCAATCCTGTGATTTTCAAAAACTATATCAAAAAGCTTAAAGAGCACGAAAAGAAAAATATATCGCAGGATGTTACTCCTATTAAAATTGAAGAAATTAGGTTTCCTGACTCTTCGCCTATGGGAGAGCAAGATGAGCTAGAAGAAGAAGTCAATCTTAAAGATGATCTGCCAAAGCAAAGAGCTGAATATGACTTGACGTGGAAAAATTATATTGTACTGATAGCATATGCAATTGCAAGCAACACAGAATATTTAGTCATTCTGTTTTTCTTCGTGAATCACTTTGTATATGCCAGCTTGGAGTCTGCTGTTTTTCCGTTATCTGTGCTAGGCTATGCGATGCTTGAGTACCCTCGGCCTCCTGCTAGGTATTTTAGATATATGCTTTTGTATACCATTATTGTATTTTTTATCAAATACTGTTTACAATTCCAACTGTGAGGGTACGTATTTGCGAACCTGGATAAATATGAAGATACATATAAAATTGGGTTTAACCTGGCTTCAAATACTTATAGCCAGAATTTATTTGTTTATATTTTCTGGGATGTTGTAGTCATGCTTTTACTGATTTTCCACGAATATTACTTGCTTAGGGTAGGGTTATGGCCACATACAGAATTTGATTTAGAAAGCTTAAAAGAAGCAAAAAAAAGGAAACTCTTGGAAATGGCTAACGAGGAAACAGTTGAGCAGTCACAAATCCAAATTCGGCCATTTAAAGAGCCTCAAAGATCTCTTTACCAAAAAATTCGAGCTTTTTATGGAAGAATTTTACCAAGAAACAAAGAAGAAAAACCTGGCTGAGATTTATATACTCCTACAGTGCTTGCCCAATTACTTATCTTTTTATATATTTTGTGCTTCTTTTCTGATATGGATGGGCAATCTACAAATATATCAAGATCCTTTGTGTAACCTTTATTTAGTGCCAATCAATTTTCTGGAAGAATGGTTATAGCTCTGATTTTACAAATGGCAGCAATAATTTTCGAACGTTTTTTATACCTGACTCGCACATCCCAAGCATTAAAATTAGCTTTACTAAGACTGAGTAATGTAAAAAATGAAGAAATTTGTCAAATACAGTGGGACAGGCCTTTACAAATAAAATTATTGTGGCATATTTTGCTCCTTTTGACCATTCATTGGCTTGTTTTTTGGTATTTTCCACTATATGGGAATTATATGATGGTGGGAGAATATAACTGCCAAAGCAAATATGATAATGAAAGATGCAACAATTTTCAAATAAATTATTCGCTAGAAGGCTTCTATGTTCTCTATATGATTTATTTCATAATAGCTTCTTTACAAATCCAGCATGGTCTACCAAGCTTTAGAACTGGATCTTTTCCTTTACAAAGAAATGTATCAAGTGGATCTCGATATGGGTTTTTGCTGTATAGAGCACTACCATTTATATTTGAGTTGAGGACATTGATAGACTGGACTGCGACAAAAACTTCGTTAGACATTTTTCAGTGGTTTAAATTCGAGAATATATATGCCCGTCTTTATGTAACACAAGTGTCACAACGGTGATATGGCTCTCACGTCCGCGGACAGCCTATAGAGGCTGCCTTTGAGTAGCGCTCTAAGCGCCCGAGACTTCCCGACGAAGTCTGGGCGGTGGTTTGACCAGCTGATGTTGGTCAAACCAGCATCCAAAATGACAAATTCTTCTCATACAGAAGGTTTGTCAAATTGGATGCTGGTTTGACCAACATCATCTGGTCAAACCACCGCCCAGACTTCGTCGGGAAGTCTCGGGCGCTTAGAGCGCTACTCAAAGGCAGCCTCTATATCAAAAAGGGCAATAAAATAGCGAATGGCTGCATTGTATTGATTTTTTTATTATGTATCATACTAATGCCATTACTTATATTCAGCTCACTAAATCCTATTATAGAATCCAATGGTGTGAAATCGTTAAGCGTAGAAATAGGAACGATTGTGGATGACAATAATTATTTTAGGCTTTATTTAGCTTCAAGAGTTAGTGATATGCATTATATTACTACAAAAGAGTGGAATGAAAACAAATTTAACAAACTCAGAACGATACAAGCGGCAGATAAAGACCTTATGCAAATTATAGTTATGCCTACAAGTGCAGATACTGAATGAAACATGACACCGCCAAGTCAGCAGCAGCTATGCAATAGTCTGGCTGATGCCTTGGGGCCTAAAAAAACTACGATTGAGCTGCAAATTACTTATACTTTCGTCAGAAAATACCCACAAACTGTCCAAAGAATATCTGAGGAGGTCTCATACCCTTTATCAATTGAGCAAATCCTTGATTTAAATAGCGTAATTTGTCTAGGTTTTACCAATAGCTTTTCATATGAGAAATTTGACCGAATTATATATAGACTTCCAAGTGCTGGTAGTAGCATTTCACCTGATCCAATTGAGGCTACCAACAGTGTACCATATGATTTAGTCATGAATTTAAATAAAACAGATACTAATGGCTTGTTCTGGGAAGTCGGATTTCTGGACTCCGCTAAAAATTTTGTAGGGATGAATATTGTTACTATCAGTGAAAATTATAGCCCTGTCGCTTTTGGGTTTTCTGTCATAACTTTTTATGTATCTGTAGTATGACTCCTTGGAAGAATCATAAGGGCGACACTGGCTAGTGGAGGTAGCACTGGAGTATTATTAACTGATATGCCTGATCCAGAACCACTAATCAATTTATGCTCTGGGGTTTATTTGAGTCGAATGACTGGAGATTTATTGAGAGAAGAAGAACTGTATTATGAGTTGATTGATATTTTGAGGTCACCTGAAGTTACAAAGATGCTGACAGGAAGAAGCTCAATAAAAGAAAAAAGTGATTAGAATATTCTGATAAAATAATTTCTTTGCATAATTAGCATGACTGGAAAATCAATTAAGATCAAAAATTAATTAAAATCATCAATTTCGAATAATTATAGAAATCGAAGAGAGCTCAGAGCGATAGAAAAGAAAGCCACTGAATTTTGAGACAGTCTAAAACAATTAATTTTTAAATAAAAATGATTAGATTCAAAAAAATGAACCAGAGAATCCCTAAAAATGATGTTTCCAATACTGAATAAAATATCTTGCTATAAAATGGGATTTAATTGCTAAAAATGATTATTGCTATTTGCAAATTTTAAATAAAAATTTCTGAATAAACTTCTGGCATTTAAATTAAAAAAATAGAGCAGAAATATCAAAAAATTTGTTCGGTCAAAATTTATAAAGACCTTAATAAATGCAAAATTCTAATACTAATAAATTATTAAATGACAAAATTCTCACTTTTTGCTCTCTTCTGGATGATTTTGTCATGTGCTGTTCTATTTCTGAAATACTGGGATAAAGACTATTTAGATAAATTTATAAAAAGAAACAAGCGGAACATTGATTTAGGCCCTCTAATGTATTTTGATCCTCCAGATGCTGGAAATAAAACTGCAGTAGACGAGATCACTTACGATAATGTTTTTAAGTTATATGACATCTACGATCTTAAATGTTCACCTTTCTCGTTCGGCTACAACCGAGAAGAAGCTGAAGCTTTATTCCCGAGCTACGACTTTCCTTCATGCTTTTCTCAAATCACACAGCCGAAATGAAAGATTGTGGATCGAGTCTTTTCAATGAAATGTCATAATTACTCACGTGCTGCAATAGTTCAAGGCCCAACTGGGAAAGTAAAATTCCCATCCTGGAAAATTCACCAAGGATTGTGGCAGGCTGAGTCTTTTGAAGAAAAAGAAAAATTAAATAAAAACACTGACTTTCTTCTTGCTACTTGCGATTACTCTAACAATTTTGAAGTCGCATGGCATAGACCAATTTATAACCCCGAATTACACTGAAACGCGCAATGTTTAAGTCATCGTGAAAAATTACCTAAGCCTTTATTTATCTTGACTTTAGGTTTAGACAGCTTTTCGAGAAGGCATTTTTTCCAAAAGCTACCAGAAACAGTCAAAGTTATAAATAGCTTTGCAGAGAAATTTAAGATTTATGATTTTAAGCTGCATAATATTGCTGGGAAAGCTACTGTTGAAAATATAACTCCTATTTTTATTGATGATAAATACGCAAAAAAGCTAAAAGCTTCCACAAAAAAAGATAAGATGGGAGGAAGAGCGATCTGGGTAGATTTTAAAAACAGAGGATTTATCACATCATTACTGACTGATGATTGTGATTATAGAGTTTATGACAATATTGGTCCACAGCCTAATATTGACTATGTTTCTCGGCAATTTTTCTGTGCAGCTACCAAATTTACAAATTATATAACAGAAAAAAATGAGAAATTAAAGCAGAGATGTATCGGGACTCAGATGTCCCATACTTATATTTTTCAATATTTAAACGATTTATTGGATATGTACCAAGATGTTAGTCATTGGAGCTACGTTCATTTTAACGCTGCTCATGAAGCTACAGGGAGGCACGCACAAACTTTAGATCCAGATTTATCTGAATTTTTACTTACTTTTCTTCCAAAAGTCTCGAAAACACACGATGTAATGATTAATTTATTGGGAGACCATGGGATGCGGTATGGGAATTATAAAACATCAGTTAATGGAGATCAGGAAATGAAACTTCCAGTTTTTATCATGATAATAAGCGAATATTTCATAAAATCAGTCTTAAGTGATGAAATATTACAAATAAATACAGAAAGACTAGTGACAAAACAAGATATTAGACAGACCTTTTTAGAGATTTTAAATAGAATTGACTATACCAGGAGATCAAAAAATAAGCATGCTTATGATTTATTTACAGCTGAAATCCCGCTTAACAGAAATTGTGATGTTAATGCCCACATTCCAATGAGATATTGTGCTTGCCTTAGCTATAGAGAAATTAAACCTGAATTCTGGCATGCTAAAAGCTTTAAAGAGCTGGTTGATGATCTAATTCGAATTGCTTGTGATCAAATAAATGCTGCTGTCCATACACCAGATGTATCGTCTTTTATGCTGTGTCAAAAGGTTGATGTTGGTGAAATTATTGGAGTTTTTCACAATCCAAATTTTTCATTTCTAAGCATGAGGATTGAATTCAAAGCAAAATACTCCCATGCGAGATTTCTAGCCGAATATCGTATACACATAGACAATAAAGATCTTTATGGAGTCCCAATTATTTTTAATTATCAAAGACTACTTGTGCAAATTGCAATGATTACTAGACAAGATGCATACGCAGGCCCCTGTGAAGAAAAAAGTAACAAATTAGGAGTAAGGCCAGATTACTGTATTTGTGAATATGACACAAAGGCATAACTTATTAAATAGTCACATTAAATCTAGCATAGATTTTATATTAAATTAAAAAACACAATATTTAAAATGGCAGTTAGGGATAGGGACCTTGACCTGCTCTTCAGACAAGCCCTATTATCCAAGCTTTGTGAGAGAAGTTCAAGCTTCTTGAGAGTCTCGGCTTAGGGAAGAGAGGTCGGTGCTGAGTCTGGCATGGACTAGAGAAGCCTGGAAGAGCTTAATATAACTTTAAGGTTCGAAGGGTAGGTCGATCCACCTATCGTTGCTCAGAGCTGTTATTGAAGCTGGATCTCAAGTTAAAGAGAACTTAAGGCACTGCAGTGCTAGAGAAATTCTATAAATATCAACATATAAATTAAAAAAATTATGAAAATTCGAACAATTAAACGGCCTCACTCCAAGAATTCTTCAGCTTCTACAGCTGATCTATACACCCTAATGGACTTTATGAGAAGCAACCCTGTCTCTGTGGTATCAAACGAGGCCTCATGCAAATCTGCTAGAATTATTATGAGAAACCATTCAGAAGGGAAATTTTGTGAGACAACGCCAAATAGCCAAGCGGCGAATAGAAAACTTCTAAAAGAAAGGGCAAAGACCACGAGAATTAGCACGCCTATGTTGGAAACTCCGAGAGTAAAGAAAAGTGATGAGAAGTTCAGGGAGCTTTTAGAAACTTTAGGACATGAGCCCGAAAAGCCTGGGATAAATCTACCACTTGATTTGAAACAATTAGATAAATTTTTGAGAAAAGAAAAAACAAATGGAGATATAGTTGAAAATAATGAATATTTTGAATTAGGACAGCCTACAAGCAGAAGAGACGCTGAAAACATTGGTGAATGGCTTGATTTAATGCTCACAAAAGCGCTGGAAGAAATTAAAGACGATCCTGAAAAATTATTTGAAAATACAAACGAAATTTATACTATAGGCTTAAATGAAATTATAAGGCAGGTAAGTGTTCAATGCAAAGAAAGAGGAATTTTATTGAGAAAAATATGAGATGCCTATCAAAAACTATTTGAAAATGCTATAAGCATGATGAAATTAAGACTTGAACAGACAAAATCACAAAATTCAACTGACAAAATTAATTATCTAAATAAACATAAAGAAGAATTAAAACAATTAGAAGCCAAGCTGAAAGACCTTGACCTGAGTAAAGCAAGTTTGGTAGAAGAAATATCAGCAAAAGATGAAAATATAAATCTACTGAAGCTAAAAGAGCAGCAAATAACAGAAAGATATGGGATAATTCAAGAGAGATACAAAGCTCTTAAAAAGGAAATTTTGACTATAAAAGAAGATATACATAAAATGCGATAAAGTGCGCCGTACCTCCTGACTCAATTTTCTCAACCTAATGGCAATGGAGAAGCAAGTCCAGAATCTAGGCTGGAGTGGGTTATGCATATCCGAGTAAGGTTTGGCTTAGTTTCTGTGGCTGGATTTGGAGATAGTTGTTTATGCCTTAGGGATCCTAGGTCAAACTCCTTCCAGGGACCGAAATAAATCATTGAGCCTCAGAAATTAATTTGTTTTCCCAGCTACTGAAAGAGGTGCTTTGAAATCCAATGGGCTCCAAGTCTTTACTTGAATCAAGCTACTTCTCCAAGAGATCAAGGCAAGACTACAAAAAATCATAATCTGGCATTTAGAACAGGAGAAGCCGATATATCTCTCCGGCTGCAAGGAGAGCTCTTGAGACCCTGAATCTATCTGTGCATGGTATCATTACCTACAGGAGGTGAAGATAGTGCATTGCAGTCTTCCAACAAATCGCTAATAGTAGATGAAGATGGTGAATTGCAAATTATCGGCCAATCATTGGAACCAAGCTCACAGACGCTCTTAATGGTGTCAAGCGGATAAAAGTTGGGCAGATCCTTAGTGACTGCGTTAACACTAATGCGAGGATTTAAGATTAAGATTAATTTTAAGACTATAAAAGAAGAAAATCGAATTCTAAAAATCAAAGTTGAAAACTCTGGCTTTCAATTTGAAGATGATGGAAAAGGTGGCCTTATCATGCGCAAAAAGGTCAGAAAGCGGTTTATTCCGAAAAATGATTCCCAAATTGAGACTACTTTAAATAAAGACCCTGTTTTATTTAACATAAAATACATTAAGCCTACCGATACGACTGATGTTTTTGTTAAAAAAATTGAAATGCATGAAAAAAAAATCGAATATAAATTTAAGGTTGATGATTTTCAAGATAAATCCACAGAAATGCCTCAAAAAACTTTTTCAGACAAATCAATTAATACAAATATAGAAGATCTATGTGGAGAGTCTATTGGAGTTAAAAAAAGAAGGTCACGAGCTATGACAATATCTGATACAAATGCCTATTCCCCAGAACCTATCAGATCTCCTTTAGCTGACTTGGAATCATTTTTTTCAAAAATTGAAAAAGAGGAAGACGATATTTTAGTAATTATTGGAAAAGATGATAAAGATGAGGTTGCGGAGATGAAGAGAAAGCATAATCACATTAAAAAGCTTATAAATTCTATCAGAGAAAACGTGTACGAAGAACTAACATATGAAAACATGCCCCATTCCAAAGTTCTTAATTTATTATATAGCAGCATCAACCAAATTCTCAAATTCCTCATCAAACATCCGTTAGAAAAAATTGATGATGAATCACTAAAAGAAGAAATTGTGGAAGATGATTCTCCTTTGAAAAAGAAACAAAAATTAATTCAATCCGTAATTAATGTAGAAGAAGAATCCAAAGCCAGTAAAACACTCATGAACGATGGCTTAACAATAATAGGGAAAATCATGGCAACTCCAGTGCACAAGCTGAAAAATGTAATGTTTAAGAAAAATGTTCTGAAACTAATCGCCCATTTCTATCAGGAGCATGCTAAAGAGAATGAGCTTAATAGGGGCGAGCATTTTGGTCTTTACGTCTATGATTTACTTACTCCCCCTGTAAGCGAACAAAACTATTGGAAAAATCCCTAATTTTTGGGAGCGATATTTCTGTGAAATTTGCATTTAAAACATAAATTTAGCAAATTAAATTAATTTTTAATTCCGGTTTGAGACATTTTAAATTCGAAAAGTATAAATTTATATATAAATTTGAAAAAAAGTTAATCCTCTTCCATAAGCGAGCAAAAATTTTGTTCGCTCACAAAGGGGAGTTATGAAAAAATTTATTATGAAAAAGGCTGCAGAAAATAGATTCAATAATCTCTTAGCAAGCTGCATGAAGTACAAAAATGTCCACAAAATCAAGCTCTTCGGCAGGTTTCTAGGACTTTATGATGCGCTTGACACAGAAGACTTAAATTTCTATATAGATTGCCTAGAATTTTTAAATAATTCTTTATCAGGCAAAGCAAATTTTGACATTGAGGCTGAATATCAGTTCGTGCCATATATAAGATGCGTGGAATGCATAAAGCACTTTGAAAAATTGCTACCGAAAAATGAAATAAATACCGTGAAAGAGTACCTAGAAACAATTAAACTGCAAGATAAAGTCAATAAAGGAGGAATTGTAGACTGTGAATTGTTTTTGGAGAAAATGGTATCAGCTTTTCATAGCTATAAGCTGGAGCATATGAATTTTATGAGATGCATCTATGAAGCAGCTGATTTAAATGAGGATGGGTTTTTACAACAGCAAGAATTTGAGTTATTGCTTAGATATCCTGCCTTTAACTATATTAAAACTCTTTTCTGCAGCCTTGATATCCTTATTTAAGCTAATATACTAATATTTAATGCATAAAATTGAGGAATTAAACTACTTCATAATATTTATCAGTGCTTAATTATTCCCCTCATCTTGCAGCCCAGCTCTTTGATGCTTTTAGTGAAACTTTTACGTCTGAAGACGAAGCAGGCGTCAAAGCCATTTCTTTTGTAAATCTTTGCCAAATGAATTCAAAGCACCAAATTTTCACTTTTTCATCAATGATTAAGCTTTCTCAAGCCTCAAATCAGGCTGAAGCAGAAGAAAAATTAAAACAGCTAAAGCCAAGGATAGAAGAGGTAATTAATGATATTTATTGACGATTCACAGAATCTACTGTGTATGAAGATCATTTGGAAGAAATGCATAATTTAATAGACACACTAACTCCCTCTCCCCACTTCATATTGGAACGAAAATCAGTTCCAATTTAAAGGGGGGTAATTTATTCTTTTGAAAAACAATTATATTAAATTTTTTTCTATAAAGAAATTTTATCAAAATAAAAAATTAAAATAGTATAAATTGAACACAATTTTAAATTATTTTTATATTATTATTATTTCAAATAATTAATCTATTCAATGGGATCTGTTTAAATAAATTTTAAATGCATTTTTAATTAAATTAGTATTTTTATTTAACCTATAAAATGTTCTATTGAATAAAAAATTGTTCCAATTTAGGGGTATGAGGGAATAAGATTCAAGCTAAGCACCACAAGCAACCCTGAAGGGACTTGGCTCGGGTATAAGTTGCTAGAAGAAGAATCCAAAAGGGTTGTTATAATGCAAAGGGTTAGAGAATTATTCCCGCAGATTGGATTATACATTTTGGGGAAAGAATTATATTAATATTTGTAATAAGTTTAAAATTTTAATATTTTATAATGAATTGAGAGCTGCTATAAAAGAATTTTATATCAAAATAATATATTTATATAAAATTAAATATTCATATATACGCTAATAAAAGTCCCTGCTTTTTGCATTAATTTATAATTTCCTGCTTAAATAATTAAATTTTACTTTGGCTAAATTCAACTCTTATGAATTTAATACAATAATTGTTAAAAATGGAAGGAAAATATTACGAGTTACAGTTAGAGTTGAGAGAAGTAACTGGCGCACCAGAAGGACCAGTCAGCTGCAGAGTAAATGTAGGAGGAATTGAAGACATCTTAGAAGGAAGAAGTCCTTTATCACTTATTTTAGATGACGTTAGTAGCAACACCATGCTTTCTCTTGTATTAGAGCAAGGAAGCGAAGTCATAGGAGGCTTCAAATTTTCTTTGTTGACTCTATTCGGAGAATCCCTCAGCGGAAAGGTAGAAAAATGAATCCGCCTCAAAGAAGAAACTGGAAAAGACGTAAGAATCAAACTTGCAGCCAATCTCCAAACTGCCAAAATGGACACTCAACCTTCTCAACCAGATGAATCTTATGCTAGAAGACCTCGAGAAGTAGAAGCAAAATGTCCATACGTAGATCATCTCGCATCAGGCAAAAAACGCAACGAAGAACCATTGGAGGAAATTTGGAAAGAAAGGGTGTATAATTATGATCCGTTAGGAAATAATGTCATAAGAATCACACTAGAGCCAGATGGAAGATTCAATCAAAATTTAGAGCCTGTCCCTGTAAACTTAAACAATTTAGAAGAACTTGAACTAGCAAGCTTAGAAGAAGCTGGAGGAATTCAGCTAAAAAAGATCATTAAAGAGCTCAGCGAAAAGATCAAAAAACCAAGAACGCAAGCTCAGCAGCTTCCTTATTTAAGAAATACTCTACAAGTAAAAATAGGAGAAAGAAGAGATTTACAGCAATCATTAGAAGAGTCTGCTAATGATTTAAATAAGCAAGCTGAAGACAGGGTAGAAAATATACAAGATTTATTAAAAAAGAGGCAAGAAATGGCTGAAAAATTGTTAGAGAAACAGAAAAAGTCAAGGGAAATCGAACAAGAAATAGATGGAATTAAAGCTGAGGTTCAACAAGCTAATAGAGACTTTTTAAGGATCCAAGCTTTTAATAAAAGAAAAAATGATGTCGAAGAATTGGCTGGGAAAATTCATGAGCTGCTTAAAGATAGTTTGGCAAAGGAAACTGAGCTAGAAAAAACAATAAATGATGAAAAGGCAAAAATGGATGAAAAAAAGAAACTCATCGAGCAAAATCGTGACAAATTAGCAGATGAAAATAAAACTATCCAAGCACAAATTTCAGTGGTTTCAGAAAAATATAAAAACTCTTCGGCATTAAATGAAGAGCTTAAAGATAGGGTAAGAACTCTTAAACTTCAGTATGGAGAAGGCCAGAACTACAAACAAGTTATTACTGAAGCTCGAACCGCTTCTTCTCTTGATGCTAATAAGCGTGAGCATGGCCAAGAAGCCTTAAAAGAGTTGGTAAATCTCATAGACACTCAATCCTCAGAATTTATCCAAAAACAAAAATCCCTGATTGCTTCTAAAAAATCTCAAACCCAAAATATTCTTGAAATCGACCAAGACCTCAACACCAAAGATCAACAAACCCTTGAGCTCAAGCGCAAACTTTATCTTGCCTCAAATAATCAGATAACCCTTGAACAAATTTGTTGCATAAAAGCTGATCTTTCTCAATTGATTGACGAGCTTTCAAAACTTCACAAAATCCACTCAGAAGGCCGTGACCACATTTTGCGTGATTTAGACTCAGGGTCTGAATTCGTGCTTAAAGAAGCTGAAAAAATCCTTGAGGAAGCTAGAAATATTGACCCTATGATAGATGCTATTGACGAAAAAGATTTCGAGCTAGACAATTTGAAAGGAATTGTAGGAGAAATTAAAGCAAGAAATCCACCTTATATGCCTAATAAAGACGACCCATTAGATATTGCCCTTGGGGAATATTTGAACTCAAGGGACCGAGATTTACCTATACCATTTACTAGGGAAGATGAAGGGATTTATTTGTTTGGGACGAAAAGAGTGTTTTTGAAACTGGAAAATGGGGATATTAAGATTAGGGTTGGGGGCGGATATACCACTATTGATGAATTCATTGAAATTTATACAGAAATTGAATTAGAAAATCAAGAGCAGACATTGCAAGAAAGCTTGCCAAAATTATCGCAGAGCTTATCAAGGTTCAGCCAGAATCCATCAGTAGGGATGTCTCCTCAAAGAGCAGCGAGAATTATATTTATATATTGATAGTGTTTAGCGTGCCATATCATTATGAATAATTACAACCTTGTCTTCTAAATACAAATTTTAGTGAATCCATCAATCTCTTGTTTATGCCCTTTATATCAGACATTATGGAGCTTTCTGCTTACTAGCCATATGTTTGCTAGGTCGCCAGACCTCACAGCTCGTATTTCCATCTCCGCGCTTGTTTTCTGTGCATTTCGCCTATAGATCTTCTTCCTCGGAGTGCGGACAGCAAAACCCTATTCTTCCTAAAAATTCAATGATCAAAGTTTCCTTCTAATACGTATAGAAGTTTCTTTTCAATAGCGCGATAAGGCGCATTCCTAGTTTTACCGGATGATCTTAAACATATGAAAACTTGCTATTCTTTATTCATGGGGGAGAAAAATAGCCTAAATAAAGAATTCTGCCTGATCAATCTCGAGAACTTGAAGAGAGGCTGTGCGAAAAATTGACATTTTGGTTCGTCAAATGAATCTGACGAGCCAATTCTGGCCAGTACTTGAAATGAAAAATGGTAGTTGCCAGAATTTTATTAATTTTTTGATGGCGAGTATGATCAGAATTTTAATAAATGGCACAGGATCAGACAACTTATTCCTTTCAAACCGATCTAATAATTCCTTTGGTAATAATTACAACTGCTTTATAAAAGTCAAAGTTTGTGCTAAGCGCTTATTGTTCTTTACGAGATTACTAATGACTCATATGGTTTTCGTTAGAAAATTAAAATGGAGTTAATAATTAAAAAAACTTGTTGATCGAGTTGTGTTTTTGCGGAAGGATAGATTTCTAAATAAATGATGCCAATTTAATTATGACTAGCTGCTTTATAAAAGCCAAAGTTTGTGCTAAGCGCTTGTTGCTCTTTACGAACTTACTAATGACTCATATGGTTTTCGTTAGAAAATTAAAATGGAGTTAATAATTAAAAACTTGTTGATCGAGTTGTGTTTTTGCGGAAGGATAGATTTCTAAATAAATGATGCCAATTTAATTATGAATAACTGCTTTATAAAAGCCAAAGCTTGTGCTAAGCGTAAAATTTTATTCTTATAATATTTTTTAAATTTTTTTCAAATGTTAAAAAATAAAAATTTTAAAATAATTATATCAATATAAATAAATTTTTTATAAATAATTTTTATAAAATAAAAAATAATAATTTTTCAAAATTTATTATATCTTTTATAAAATGGGACTTTAATTTTAACAATATTTTTTAAGTGGGCTGTCTGTCAAGCATAGGTAGCAACCCTAGGGTGGGGGTGCCATTTGTAGGGGGGGGTGGGGGTGCCATTTTTAGGGGGGGCGGTGGGGGTGCCATTTTTAGGGGGGGGTGGGGGTTCCCTTATTGGGGGGTTGGGGGTGTCCCCCTAAAAATGGCACCCCCACCCCCCCCTAAAAATGGCACCCCCACCCCCTCCCTCAAAAAGAATATTTTAAATATAATCCAATTAAAGTCTATAAATTGCTTTAATAATTACGATTAATTAATAAATTCAAATTAATTAAAAATTAATTAGGAAATATATTAAATTTGTTTTTTTATATTTATAATGCAATGCCAAAGATATTGATAATGCCAGTAATTATTAAATGAATCAAGCACAATACAATAACTACAGAGTGCAGCGAAGATGAATACAGTGTAGGTAACTTCAAGATGGATGTAATATGAGCTAATGCAGGATATGCAGAAGATGGATAATTAGCTTAAATAGTAGGTTTAAAAGTAATCAATTCATAAAATAAAATTTTTGCGAATTCAAGTATTAATTATATTCATATTTTCTTACATACCATGCCTATATCACATCTTGAGTTGCCATTATTCTTTTTGATTGTTTTTTATAGCATTCCAAAACTTCTTCTCTTCTTCCTAACTATCTAACTCCCCCCATTTAAAATGGAACAAAAAATTTTGTTCCAATTTAAAGGGGGGTTAATTTTTTTTTTTAAAAAAAAATTATATAAAAATTAAAAAACTTATCGAATTAGATTAATAAATTTGTTTAATAAAATGCTATTTACTCTTTATCTTTTAAAACAAAGCAAGATATAACTAAATTTTCATTATTAGTTAATACGCCACTATTAATTGGTATCAAAAATTATTTACACAAAAAATTATTATTTTTATTGATAAAAAAAAAATTTAAAAAAAATTTTAGAAAATTATCGATCAAAGTGCTAATTTTTGTTTAAATAATATGCTATTTATACTCTATTCTTTAAAATAAAACAAGAAATTAGTAAATTTTAAAATTTATAATAATTCCTATTGAATTTATATCAAAACTATTTAAATAAAAAATATCATTTTTATCAAAAAAGAATAAAAATTTTTTTGAAAAATTTTTTAAAAAAAACAATTAATTTTTTTTAAAATTTAGCAATTAAGGATAATAAATTTATTTAAATAAGATGCTCTTTATACTCTTTTCTTTAAACAAGAATAAGATATAACTAAATTTGTGATTTTAGTTAAGAAGAAACATTTAACTTATATCAAAACCTTTTACATAAAAATTATTATAATTTTTTATTATAAAATAAATTTTGTTTCAATTTAAAGGGGGTTAATTTACCAAAAAAGTGGAAATTTTACCTATATTTTGTTCCAATTTAAAGAGGGGGGGGAGTAAGAGCATTTCCTTTATTATAATAATAATAATCTCCACAATTTGGATTTTTTAATTGCATCGTTACAATGTTTTAGTTTTTTTCATAACTCTTTTCTTTATAGAAGATAACTCCTATGCTATTGTATGCATCAGCATAATTTGGATCAACTCTGATAGCTTATTTATAGCATTCCATATCTTATTCTCTACTGCCTAACTTATATAGAGCATCTCTTTCATTTGAAAAGCAATGTGCTAATAAAAATAGTATTTGATATTGTCAGTTTTACTTTTAGATCTCTAAATGGACTCTTTAGCCATTGTTCCACAAAGTTCATAAATATATACAGGATATACTGCTAATTAATACCAAAGATCATTATGCTTGTCAGCAAATTTCTTCAAGATGTTGGGTTCTTAGTAGTTATAGGAAATTTTCACTACTCCTTAATCGATTGCGCTACGCTATATGATATTGTATAAATCAGTAATTTTTAATATCTAAAATAATAATTTATTTATTACGCCTGCTCTAAATTAGCATTTGTGATATATCTATACTATATTAAGGGGGGGTGGGGGGTACCATTAAAAAAGGGGGAGTGGGGGTGTAGGGTTGCTACCTGTGCTTGACCAGGCTGTCTGATCCTGTGCCATTTATTAAAATTCTGATCATACTTGCCATCAGAAAATTGATAAAATTCTGGCAACTATCATTTATAATTTCAAGTACCGGCCAGAATTGGCTCGCGAGATCCATTTGACGAACCAAAAGTGTAAATTTGCAAATAGCCTCTCTTTAAGTTCTCGAGATTGATCAGCCAGAACTCTTTATTTTCACTGTATGACTCTCTTACAAAGAATGAACATAAAATTTTCATGTTCCAAAGACCTTTTAGTCAAACCAGGAAGCACGCCTTATCGCGCTATTGAAGAGAAAGTTCTATATGTGCTTTCTGGCATAAGGGTTATTGGGAAAATTAATCCCATAATAATTGCCTGAGAATGGAAAAGTCCTCAGCAGCGCCATTTTATTATAGCAAGAATTATATCAAATACTGTTGAAGCGATAGCAGAGGGATCTCCCCTAAAGAAAAGCACACCTCATAGGAGAGTACCATCAGGGAAATTTAAATAAATAATATTTAACTATTTAAATATAATCAAAACTATAATTGATATTTTATATCATCTAAGAAATCTATGAAATCTATGAAAAATTACAATACCCTTATCAATTACAAATATCAATCATAAAAGACATTTATGTCTTAAATTCTCAGCTTTTATAGAGCATATTTCCCTTGACCAAATGCTTAAAGAAAGTATATTCAAATGATACTTTTTCTCTTTAATTTACAATCATAAAGATTAAACCAATTAATTCTTATAGCGTTACAATAAATATGATATTTTTACTATCACTTATTTCCCTAGTCTTTTCTTACGACAACCAAAACCCACTTTTCAACTCAGAACCTACAATTGTGGGTGCCTCCAGCAGCAAACTAAAAGTTCTCTTCTCCATAGGCCGAACGACTCTTAAGGTTCTTCAAGGCACATCTCGATATGCTGACATCACACAAAATCAGACCTATAAGTTCGCTGACGATCTCTACTATGGCTATACAGTTCTTGACCTCTCTTCTTACTCTCTCAAGTGAAAACTTTATGATTTTGCCGGAAGAAAAAGTCAATGTACAACAGTTTTCACGACGACAGAAGAAATTATTCCATCTCAAGATGTTTGCGAACAAAAAGGCTGCCCATTATCTTTTGTAGGCGACCACTGATGTGATGCCCAATGTCTTTACCCTGAATGTGGATTTGACTCAAAAGACTGCGAAGATATTGATCAGTTTAAATTATTGAAATGCGACCCAATTACAATAGGAGATGGGACCTGCAACCAAGAATGCAATAATGAACTAAGCTTTTTTGATGGAGGAGACTGCAAAACTCCCTGCTCTTTAACCGGATGCAGCACAAACCAGCTAGGAAACGGCATCTGTGACCCTGAATGCAAAAATAATGAGTGTAAAAATGATTTCGGAGATTGTGATTTATGTGCTGCTGGGTGTACTGGAGATATGCTAGGAAATGGAAATTGTGACACTGAATGCAACATAAAAGAATGCTCTTACGATTTTCATGACTGCGACACAATTTCATGCTTTGACACTGGGTGCACTTATGATTTACTGGAGAACTCTTATTGTGATTCTGTATGTAACAATACTCACTGTGATTATGATGCTGGAAGATGCACTGAATGTGCATCATATGGCTGCTCTGCAGAATTTGTCAACGATACCCATTGTGATACTTCATGCTTCAATAGTGCATGCCGATATGATGGCTTAGATTGTGTGAAAAAGACCTGTAAATCTAAAGGGTGCAAGCATGAATATATCCAAGATGGTAGCTGTGATGTGGCTTGCTATCATGAAGATTGTGCATGAGACGGAGGGGATTGTGAAAAATATTATTGCTCTGAAGGGTGCTTGCCTGATATGCTGACAAATGATGTTTGTGATCTCCAATGCAATGTAGCTAAGTGTGGCTATGACAATAATGCTTGTCTTAACGAAAAAATATTGTGTGCCAGCGATTGCTTGAATGAATGGATTGGAGATGGAATTTGTGATCCTGCTTGCCTTAATAAAAACTGTAATGATGATGGAGGTGATTGTGCAGAAGGCCTTATGCTAAAAGATGGAGTTTTAACGATTAATGGCATCACTTACACTGCAAATACTGAGTGTATTCGCTCTGGAGCAAAAACACTATTAATGTCATTTATAATAGTTCTTTTACTCCCCCCCCCCCTCCGTGAGCGAACAAAAAAATTTTGTTCGCTCACGGAGGGGGGTTAATTTTTTTTTTTAAAAAAAATTTATATATAAATTTTAAAAAAATATTTTTTTCGAAATTTAAAAAAAATCCTAATTTGCAAAAATTGGGAAGCAAATATTAATTTAATTTGCAAAATTTATGTTTTAAAAGGCAATTTGTTTTAAAATTAAACAGAATTAGCTCTAGATTTCATTATACTAATTATCACTTATATATCAAAATTTTTTTCCCATTTAAAATTTTTTTCTATTAAAAAAATTTTTGTTCACTCACGGAGGGTGGGGTTTTTGGTCAAAAAATGGCGATTTTTCTAATGGTTTTGTTCGCTCACGGAGGGGGGGGGGGGAGTTAGCATAAAATAATATCGAATGATATTAAAAATATTGTATAAATGCAAGCGATGTTTCTTTATAAATAAATATAACTTAATTCACTATTAAAGCATCAAAATTGATTGTGAGACCTTGATTAGAAAATAAAATGCTCCATAATGCCATAAACTTATACAAATAAGCGTTATGAAATTAATTTGCCTGCTTATTTCAATTACTTTTGCTACAATATCTTTACCTTTAGTATCAAAAAATAGCCCTCAGCGAAAGTTTATTAAGCATGACATTGGAAATTCTTCGTCATCTTTTCGAGAACTTTTTTCGTATACAGCAATAAGAAATTATGATGACGTAAGTGATAAGTAGTATGAGTATTATATACAAGCTAATATAGGTACTCCACCTCAGACATTTAACTTCCTTGTTTCAACAGGAAGTGCTTGAATTTGGCTTGATAAAAAAAATTGTAAGACTTGCCGCTCTGAGAGCAACAAGTTTGACCCAGACGCATCTTCAAGTTTGAGTTCTACCAGTAAATATCAACAAATAACTTATTTAGGCCAAGTAAGAGGTTACCAAGACACTGAAACAATAAGTATTGGGAATGACACCTCGCTAAAAGTGGTATCGCAAACTTTTGTTTTAGTTGATTATGAGTGGGGAACACAAGGTTTTTTTGCTGATGGAATTATTGGCTTTGGTTTTGACGCACTAGCCTCTAATACTCAATCATTAATGACTTCTTTAAAAAGTCAAGGGAAAATCAATAAAAAACAGTTTTCAGTTTATTTAAACTATACAAACCGTCCTTCTGATGTCCCAGATTTGGGTTCTTCTATGCTTATGATCGACGGATACAACTTATCTAAATATTCAGCCGAAACTGATTTTACTTATATAAATTTAGCGAATTCTAAAGGATTTTGGGAAATTAGTTGTGATTTTGTACAATTTGATAATGTAAAATATACTGCTGGGCTAACAGCTATTATAGATACTGGACTTTATTATATTCAAGGACCAAAAAATGATGTGATAAGTATAATAAGAAAATTAATAAACAATTATGGATGTACAGCTGATAGTGATGGGTATCCTTATTGCAATTGTGGAAATAGTTACCCAAGCTTGACCTATCAATTAGGAGGCTATCAGTTTACAATCCAATCAATTGATTATTTTGACGAATATGAAGGATTGTGCTACCTTCAATTTGGGTACTCAAATGGAAACTATTGGGCTTTAGGTGATGCTTTTTTGAGACGGTTTTATACTAACTTTGATATGGATGGGATGAGAATTGGTTTTGCCAAGATTGGCTTGAGCTCACCAAGTAATAGCAGTTCAAACAGCACAACTCAGACTAATGATAATTCAAATTCTACAAATTCCAATAGTAATAGCTCCCAAAATAGTAGCACAAATAGCAATAGTAACCAAAATAATAATCAAACATCCACCAATTCAACAGAAACTTCCAATAATAATGCTTCCTCATCTTCAAACTCTTCTGAAACCGGAAATACCACATCTTCAAGCAATGCCACTAACTCATCACCAGATGGGGGAGCTAATCCTTATGGCTCTAGTAGCAATAACCAAACTGGAAGCACTTTCAGAAATTATAATTCTCAAGGAAACTCAGATGATTCTGAAGGTCTAGCTAACTGAGAATTAGTTTTAATAATTGTTATCCCCACAATTGTTATAGCTGTTATCTTTTCTATTATTACAGCTATATTTTGTTATAAGATGAAGAAGTTGAGAGCCAGAAGATATGGAGCCAGAAATGAAAACAATAATCAAAGAAGTTTCTCTGTCGATATTTAAGCTGAAATGTTTAATGAAGCAATTTTTATTAAAAAATGCCTATAAATTAATAAATATCATCCAAATTTTATTTATAATATTAGAATTTTGAATTAAAATAAAGCTATAAATATATAGGCTTGAAACATATTAAATATAGAGTTTATTTCAATAGATAGCATATTATATCCAATTCAAATTTAGTTCCCTAATCTACGCCATAAGGTAGACTTAAGTTACTTTGTAGTAGTTTTGTAACTTAGAAATAATAAATTTGAGATATTCATAATTTTGCATGAAATAGAGAGAGTGAAATATCATTAAATAACTATTAAATGATTACTTTAAAATTTTTTATATATTGATAGTTAACTGATTCGTATTTTTTTTTATCTCAAAAAAAATTGTGATATATTGTTACATAGGTGAAAGTTCGGTTTATTAAATCTAAAAAAAATAAGAATTAATAATTCTATAAAAAATCGAAAATTGTACAATAATTATGGATCTAGCTAACTATGTTCTGATGCCTATTCATCTATAAAAAAGCAGTTATCGTATGATAATTATGCAAACTTAATAAAGCCTGATATGTTTCTTAATAATATGTATAGCCCATGCCCTTAGATAGTTTCTTTATCGAGCAAAATGCAAATAGAAAGTTAAAAAGCTAAGACAGACTCTCTTAAAGGGAAGAACAGAATCTCTATACTATGAAGGGTTAAGAAGTGGCATGCCAAAAATTGGTAACAAATACGAACAAATTTGACAAGAAAACAGCATATTTTTAAAATGGCTTTATTATTAATCTAATTTTAAATTTTCTTTACATTTTTGCGGTTTTTGCATCTAAATAGCTTCTCGAGCTATATGCCAGAAATATAAAAAACTAAAAATTTATTTGAAAGAATTGCTTAAATAAACGTAATATAAATGCATACAATATTAAATCTTAGATTTCAAAGACTAAAACTCATTTTAAACATACTTCATACCAATTTCAGACTTCAATTGTCTAAAAGTTCGAGTTGTAAATTAATGTCTTCTACAAATATTTCAAAATTATATAATAAAATGGTACAGATATTTACGAGTAATATTTTGAATTTATAAAAATTGATGCTATTATTCCTTTGCATCTCTCTTGCACTAGCCTCAATAACTATTCCTATCCAAAAAAGACCTGCTCCAGCTCAAAGCCCATCTAAATCTTCTCATTTTAGATTTAACCCTCCTTCTTTGAGAGGTCTTTCTTCATCTTCAAGTGTTTCCAATTACAAAGATGTAATGATAATTTAGTTCCAATATTATACTCAAGCTACAATTGGGACTCCTCCACAGACCTTTACCTTCATAATTGACACAGGTAGCACTTGGACCTGGATTGATGTCGTTGATTGTTCGGGTTGCCACGTAGGCAATAAATTCTCTCCAGAAGAATCATCGACTTATAAAAATACTACTCAGCCTAAAGCTCTAAACTATTTGAAAGGAAATTCAAATGGTTATTTGAGCACTGATGTCATTTCTATTGGTGACAGCAACTCTTTGACTGTAACTGACCAATCTTTTATTTTGATCTACAGCGAAAGCAATTTTGATGGCCTAAAATCAGATGGATTGATGGGATTCGGATTTGAAGCTTTAAGTGATGGGGTCAGTTCTCTTATGAGCAATTTAAAAAGTCAAGGCAAAATTCAGAAAAAACAATTTTCAATTTATCTAAATGAAGCAAATAGCGACTCAGATTTGCTTAATCTGGGAAATTCAAACATGATGATTGATGGATATGACATCTCAAAATACTCATCAGATGATACCTTTACCTATATTAATCTAATTGCTGACTCAGGATATTGGGAAGTGCCTTGCGATTCGATGAGTTTTGGTGGAATATCATACTTTGGAGGAGTGAGTGCTATTATTGACACTGGGTCTAGTTTTATAACAGGCCCTAAGAACGATATTTATCAAATATTAAATACTCTATATGATTATTACTATTGCAAAGTGAATGTGTATAACGAAGTTTATTGCGACTGCAGCAAATCTTATCCTACATTGATTTTTAAGCTATCAGGGAATATATTTGCTCTAAAGCAAAGTGATTACTTTGAAGTCTTTGCAGGATATTGCTATCCTATATTTTATTATGCTACTGGATTAAATTCTTGAATACTAGGGGATAACTTTATAACTCCCCCCCCCTCCGTGAGTGAACACAAAAATTTTTGTTTACTCACAGAGGGGGGGTTAATGTTTTTTTTTGTAAAAAAAATTTATATATCAATTTTTTTAAAAAATATTTTTTTTCGAAATTTAAAAAAATCCTAATTCGCAAAAATTGGATACAAATATTAATTTAATTTATAAAATTTATGTTTTAAAACGCAATTTGTTTAAAATTAAACAGAATTAGCACTAGATTTCATTATGCTAATTATCACTTATATATCAAAATATTTTTCCATAAAACATTTTTCTATTAACCCCCCCCCCCCCCTCCGTGAGTGAACAAAAAAATTTTGTTCACTCATGGAGGGGGGTTAATTTTTTTTTTTTAAAAAATTTTATATATAAATTTTCTAAAAAATTTTTTTTTTGAAATTTAAAAAAAATCCTAATTTGCAAAAATTTGAAAGCAAATATTAATTTAATTTATAAAATTTATGTTTTAAAATGCAATTAATTTAAAATTAAACAGAATTAGCACTAGATTTCATTATATTAATTATCATTTATATATCAAAATTTTTTTCCATAAAAAAATTTTCTATTAAAAAAATTTTTGTTCACTCACGGAGGGTGGGTTTTTGGGCAAAAAATGGCGATTTTTCTAATGGTTTTGTTCACTCACGGAGGGGGGGGGGGAGTAAGAAAATTTTTGTTAACTCACGGAGGATGGGTTTTGGGCAAAAAATAGCGATTTTTCTAATGGTTTTGTTCACTCACGGAGGGGGGGAGTAAGAAGATTTTACATTAATTTTGACATGGATGGCAGAAGAATCGGCTTCGCTAATATTCGAACAAGCCAAGACAGTGGCGGATCAAGTAGTGGGAATAGCGGAGGTGGAGATTCTAATAATGATGGAGATGGATCTGGAAGCGATCAAGATTCCACAGGCAACGAAGATACTGGCGATAGCTCGGGAAGCTTTGCTGTATGGAAAATTGCTCTCATTGTAGTGCTACCTACTGTTGCTATAATTGCTCTTGCAACTGCAATCGGAATTAAAATATATAAAAATAAAACAAGAGGAAAACCTGCTAGAGAAATAACAAGTTCATCTGGAACAGAAAAAGAATTAAAAAATAAACCAAGCATCACCTCTCATGCTTGTCAAAACGATAATGAAACAAAATATATCAGCAAAATAAGCAATAGCGAAGATATATCTGGTGCTAAAGCAAACAATAAAAATGAGGAAGCTAAAAATATAGAAAAAGCTGAGAATATATCTGAAGAAAGCAAAGAAGAAGAATCTGATCGCTCAGCTAGTGAATCAAATAAATAATACTATTTTACTTTTATTGCTTCTTAAATTCTATTTTAAAGAGATATAAATTAATTATTTAGAAATATATTTTTTTAAAATAAAACCATCATTGAGTAAAATAATTTCAGGCAATACTAATATTTTATTAAAATTTTTAATAACCTTATTATTACCGAAAATATGAAGTTGCTGGATCTTTGGATATCTATTGCTTTGGCTTCTGTCACGATTGATCTTTATTGAGGGTCATTGAGATATAATAATAAACTAGATGAATGAAAAAGCAACTCACAGCTCTCCAATTTAAAAAAATCTTTTGATCAATCTAATTCAAATTTTCAAAGTGTAACCAATAATTTAGGAATTTTATTACACAGAACTGTCCTTACTCTCTCCACTTTAAATTGGAACGAAAAATCTTGTTCCAATTTAAAGCTGGGATAATTTTTCTTTGAGGAAAAATAATATTTATATATTTTTTTAAAATTTTTAAAATCTTGAAAAAAATATATTGTGAGTACAATAATTCATTTTTATAAAGAAATATTAAAAAAATTAATCGATTCAGATTATTTAAATAGCAATCTACTTGCACTTTTTCCATTAAAGCAATTCAAAATTAATTTTATTAATAATTAGAATTTTAATCTTTTGTTTTGTTAAATTTGTTTTTTTATAATTTTAAGAAATATAAATTAAGAATAATAGTTTGAATTTCATTTTATCTATTAAATAAGGTTAAATCTAATTTTATAAAAAATTAATTTTTTCACCATTATTATTTTTAAAAAACTTTTTAAATTTTTAAAGGGATAAATTGAGCAATAGTTTGAATTTTAATTTATTTTTATGAAAATAAAATAAAAAAATTAATCGATTCAGTACCATACTACTTTCTTTTTATTCCATTAAATTAGGCCTATAAACATTTTTATTTTCACCTTTAACATTTTTTATAAAATTATAAATTGAGTGCAATAATTTTAATAAAGATATAAAGTAAAAAATAATCTGTTTAAATAGCATCCTACTTGCATTTTATCTATTATTAGGTAAAAATAATTTATAAAAATTAGTATTTTCATCAATAAAATTTCCTATTGAAAAATAAATTTATTCCAATTTAAAGCAGTGTTAAGTACCCAAAAAATGCAAATTTTACCTATGTTTTGTTCCAATTTAAAGGGGGGAATTAGGAACACCACTACAAGAATTTACTTTTCTAATTAATATAAACACAGAATGGACTTGGGTTGAAGATTTTGAATCTAAAAATTACCTCGGTAAGCATCAATTCAACTCAAAGCTATCCTCAAGTTTTTCAAATTCAACTGATAGGAAAGTTCTGAAAAGTCTCGAGGGAGAAATCAGTGGGTATAAATGCACTGAAAATTTAGCAATAAACAATTTTCTTATTCAGAATCAATCATTTATTTTAGTTGACTATCATTCTGGCATAAAAGGGATCTCAAAAGACGGAGTTTTTGGGTTAGGGGTTGATTCATCAAGCGAAGAGGGCTCTTATATACATGCATTACAAAAGCAAGGGAAAATTTCACGGAAGCAGTTTTCCTTATATATTGCATCCTCAGAATGAAATTTGCCAAGCTCAAATCTGATAATTGATGGAGATAATCTTTTTAAATACTCATCAGAAAGTGCTTTTACATATATTAGCCTCACAAATTCAAGCAGATTTTGAGAAGTTCCGTGCGATTCTGTGACATTTGGAGGTGCAGTTTATTTAGAAGCTAATAGAACAATTTTTGAAACAGTATCTAGCATGATTGCTGGACCAGAGACTGCTATTTCTGATATTTTAAAAACTTTATCAACAGAATATGGATGTGAAACAGACAGCTTCGAAAATTATAAATGCGGCTGTGAAGATAAATATCCCGATATGACTTTTTATTTTGAAGGTCATGGTTTTACTATTAAATACACCGACTATTTGAAGGAAATTGATGGAGTTTGCTACCCGATATTCAAGCATAGCAGTGATGCTCAATATTGGAGTTTAGGAACGAATTTTATGAAGAGATTTTATATCAGCTTTGATCTGGATAAAAAGCAGGTTGGATTGGCAAAAGCTAGACTTCTTAAAGCTTCTGCTAAAGTAAATGCTCCTCCTATCTCTAAAAGTTCTGCAAGTGATCAGCAAGAAGCAAACATCACTGCAGCTAATACGAACCAAGTATCTGCTGCTGCAAACTCTACAACAAATTCTGGATCTTCGAACTCAAGTGACTTATCAGCAGGTGAGATAGCTTTAATAGTTGTTTTGCCTTCAGGAGTTCTTATCATTCTATTCTTTATTATCAAGTTTTTATTGTGGAGAAGGAGTCTGAGGGATCAAGAAGAGGAAGCTAAAATTGAGAAGCCTGCTATTAATAAAAGTGAGGAGCCTGCTAGCATAAAAGAAGAAAAAGAGGTCTTTGCTTCAGAATCTAATGAATTTGAGACTTCTCATCTTAGTTTTGATATTGGGAAAGAATTCTCAAAAGAAAGTGAGATCTATGAAAAAGAAAATATCCATAGATTTGCCATAATTAAGACTGATCATGACCAAGAGGAAAGCTCTGACAATGAGTAAATTAATAATTTATGACAAAAGCTATATATAACTTCTCGAGTATAATGCTTTTATTTTAATCTAATTGGGTCATCTTATTAAAATAAATTATTGCTAAAATATTCTTAAAATTTCAAATTTACAACTAATTAACAAGATCCTTAAGTAAATTCACCATACAATCCAGAGGGGAAAAATATATCATATCGAGGCTCTTGGAACTAAACCTTTTTCCCTTGACTCATAGACGAAAACTGAGGCAATACTTTCCGTACTCCTTGGGAGGCAATCTTTAGTCTGCAATAGGACTAAGACAGGCCAAGAAAGAAACTTTGCGAGATTCAGCAATAAATCAAGCCTTACAGACAATAGGCAGCTCTTAATTGTTAGTGAAGGATCAAGACATAAATGGGTGAGTCTCTCCGATAGACTGTCTGACTTCACTATTTTTTAGTTGTACCGATGGAAAAAGGGCGCTATTTAGAGATAATGTCTAAACTTCCTAAGTGTGAACTAACTTGTGAAGGGGACTGGCTGAAATAAACCCAGTGACTGACAGAATTTAATCTCCTCAAGTGTGTGTTGTTTTTAAATCATTCTTTAAGCCCGAGACTATTTTTTTATAATAATATTTCAATAGATTATGAATAGAAATTGATGCCTTTAATATTTTTTACCTTATAATTATATAAAAGCATAAGAAGATGTGGACTAATTAAACTCACAAGACAGTCAATCTCCTAATTTTCATTGAAAGATAAGTTAAATATGAAATACTCTCTGATTATTAACCAAGTAATGTTATGGCTACAATATGCCTGATTTTAGTGTCAAATCTGGCAACATAATCAACCCAAATCAACTTGTGATTTTAGATTTTATAGAATATGAAAATAAATTATGGAATCGATTTCATCAAGCAGTAAAACAAGGGCAATGCTGAATTCTCAAACACAAGCTGGCTTTGAGCAAAATACAATCAGAATAGGGCCTCCCGGATCTCTCAGAGAAGCATATAATTATTCCTTTGAAATGAACGCTGTCACATCTGAAAATGAAAGTGGCAGTAGTAAGAAAATCTCCCATCATTTATCTTCATATTACGCATCAGATCAATCAAAGCATGACTCATCTGACACTAAGCTTAAAGCCGAAGAATCTAAAAGTATTGAGAATTTAGAATCCAATAACCCCATCTCAACCGATACCAAGCAAGATATGCGACGTCAAGAGGACATAGCCCAAATAAAAATCAAAGGTGTTAATAAACTCGAAACATCTCATGATATAGATGGTGAAGAAAGCTCTAGAGACGAAAAAAAAGAGAATGCTAAAGAGATTTCTGAGGAGTCTAAAAATGTGCTCTTTAAAGTTAACCCCTGTGATATAAGAGCACTATTTACGTTTACAAAAAAGAAAAAGAAGGAGAAGAACAATTGCCTCATATACTACGACATTCTTATTAATAAATATCCAAACTTTGGAAGTTTATACGTTATTATGGCAAGGGCTTTCTATTTGTTTAAACTAAATGACGAAGCATACAACTCTTGCAACAAAATTATTGAAAAAGAGGCTTTTTTCCAAATGCTTTATCAATTGGCTTATTTTAACCCGCCGTCTAATGTGAAACTCAGTTTTGGGTGAAGAAATTACTCAATAAGCAAGTGGCGCTTTTGTAATGGCTGCGAGTATCAATTTAACTATCATAGAGATACTCAATACTTATGCATGTATTGCTGCGGTTGATTTTGTAAAGATTGTCACAAAAAAGAGGCTCCAGACCAAGATATATGCCATCACCATTTTACCTATATAATCAAGCTTTCACATAATGACCTTCTTCTAGATAATCTCAGAATTGGAATTTGGAGAGATTTCGATAAGCAAATCATCTGTGCAAGTCAAAGATTAACCTATAATCTGCCGTTTGAGCCCGAAAATGCATGTGTAGCTTGTCAGGGAAAAAAATCACCTGTTTGGTACCAGTGCTCGTATTGCCCTAAAGTGAGCTTTTGCATACGATGCCAGCAAAATTATGATTCTTTCGATAATTCTACACACTTAGCAGCACTCAAACATAAGCATGAAGATTCGCACGTCATGATAAAAATAGTGATTCCTAGTTCAAGCATAAATCAATTATAAATTTAAAATGCAAATTTTAGATACTCTTAAGAGAATTATCTGAAATGAGAGGAAGAAACTTAATTTTGTTGTAATAGGGAAATTAATTTCTTTCAATTTAAATTGGGAAAGAAATTTAGCAGTTTGAATGAGTTTTCTATAATTTAATATTAAAGATTTAGATTGCTAAGGTGTTTATTAGGAGAAAAACTAACTAAATACTTACTAATCTCTCGAATTTAAAGAAGCATCTTTCAACTAATTTATACAGCATTCAAACTTTTATTGTTTATATAATTAAGGTTTTGACAGCTTTAATAATTTTGTAATTGTTTTTACAAGGGATGGGAAAATCTTCAAATTTAATAGATTTGCCAAAAAGAATTTTTTGAATAATTGCTAATAGCGGTAAATATGGAATTTGAATAATGGGCATTTTCTTAATTTGAAATTGCCAAAAAGCTTTAACCTAACCTTATTCTCAAATCAAATGATAAATTTGTATGGAACCAAATCGAGGTTATGGAGACAAAGTAGCTATATAAGGCATTATTGAATGATAAAGCTCGGTTTTGGTTAACTAAATATAATAAGAGAATTAAAAAAATGAAAATAGTATACAGCAATAACACTTCACTACAAAGGCTATTAAGAAAAAAGAATTTCATGATAAGGCATTGATAAATTTTGCACTTATTCCCTCCTGTTAAATTGGAGCAAAATATATGTAAAATTTTTATTTTTTTGTTAATTAACCGCTTTAAATGGGATAAATTAATTTTATTAGTAAAATAAGAAATTCTATGGGATAAATCTAATGTCACCAAAATTAATGTTTACTTATATCTTACTCTTTTAGACAGGGATTGAGATTAGAAAATAATTAAATCTGAATTGATAAATTATTAATTCTGCTAAAAAAATAATCCCCTTCTGAATGGAAAGATTTTTTTTTCCTATTTAATTGCTGGAGCTAGAAATCAGATTTTCAATATTATGATTATAAGTAGGGTTCCGACTAAGTTGAATCCAAAAATATAATTTAGCATAATTATTAGCTATTTCTGAAAAAGTAGGTTAATTTCTTTTCATATATCGCATATCATTTTAGACTTAAAAGATTATTTGCGTGCTTTTGCATGTCCATTAATAAAAAAAATTTGTAGAAATGATATAATAATTTCATGGTTGATATTTTAGATAGCTATTATAGTTCTTTCGAAGCTGAGGATTACCATTTGGGGAACTCGTCCACTCTAAAAAAGGTAACCTTTAAGAAATGGTCTAAAGGCTCCCAATACCCTCGCACAGGGGTTATGAAAATATTCTTAAGATGTCGAGAAGAATTCCAAAAGGAAGCCCATTACCTGATGCGTGCTTCAAAGTGCCATCATGGTATTGTGCAGTTCTATCATGAGATGGTAGTGAATGGGCAGTATCACATTTTTATGGAGTATTGCGAAAAAGATAGTCTAGGAGATATCATTTCAAATAAGTGCCAAAATAAAGTCCTATTAAGCATAACTCAGCAATTAAAATATTTTGTAACCATCACAGAAGCACTCGCTGCATTGCACGAAGCTGGAATCGCCCATAGAGATATCAAGCCAAATAATATTTTCCTCAACGAAAGCAACGAAATAAAAATCGGCGATTTTGGAGAGTCAAAGGAAATCCGTTTTGGCGAGCAAAATACTGTCTTAGGCACTTGCACATATATGTCTCCTTTTTTAGCTAAATGCTTTGAAAAAAAAATATTCAAAAGCAAATTAATTGACCCTTTTAAAGAAGATGTATGATCTGCTGGAAAAACTTTATATGAATTCGCTATTATGAGCGTATATACTAGCTTGCCTAAGTCTGAGGACAAGTTAAAAAATAGGGTTAGGAGTGATATGACAGGATATGGATTTCCTGATGAAGTAATAGAAATCGTTTTAGATATGCTGATATATGATCATAAAATTAGACCCAGTATGGCTGAAATCTGCGAACGGCTTAAATCAGCTTATTTTAGTGAAATGGCAGCTCAGAATTTAGAGCATCAGCCCTTAGATGATGCATATGCAACAGATAATCAAGATTTTAAAGAAGAGGGGGTGGATTTGAATGATTGAAAACTAACAAAAAATGGTCAAGATTTAAATGATTTCTCACTTAGTTCTTTTTGTGTGAAAAGCGAAAACCCTGCTCCCAAATTATTAGAAAAGCAAGATGTGAAGATAGATAGTACTGAACAAAATCAACTCAATGAATATAGTAATTTAAAATTATGTCTGAAAAATGACTCATTTATGCATGGCTGTGGAAAAGAAATAGATAGAGACACATTTATCTCTTTTATTAAAGAAGTTCTTCTAATAGAAACAGATTATTCAAATGTTGCTTGCAGCTTTTGCGGAAATGCTCTTCCTAAAGAAATTTTTAGCAGCAAAGCTTGAGATATTGAGGAGATATAACTACTGAAAAGCTCTAGAAATTATAAATAAATAATTAGACTGCGTAAATTACTTTAAAAATATATATAAATTTTTTAAATTTGGAAATTTTGAAATGAAATTTTAATAATTATGAAAACTTTTGTTTAAGGATGAAAGCTGTTTAATTTAATAAAATTAAATTTTTTTTATTTAAAAGCTCTGGTTTTAGGAAGAAAGTTAGCTCATCACCCATATAATCATGTTAAAAACGAAAAAGGCTTTCCAATATCTTCTGCAGGCCTTAAAAGAATTTTCATTAGCTTTCGGCTAATTCATAAATTATTTTATTAGATTACCAAATTATTAATTTAAAATTTATCAAATTATTAATTTAAAAATTTATTTACCAAATATTAATTTAAAACTTGGCTCTTCCTCTCCTCCTCTTTTTACAACCTCGATTTGCTTTTTTAATTGGGAGTTTTTCATTAGGTTCTTTACCATTCACATTATCCTCCTGGGTATTTTTTCCTACATCATCTGTGACCTTTTTATTAAGAAGGCCTTTTCATTGTTCAATCCTTTGCTCAATTTTTGATATATCTTTTATTTCAATATCTGGATGCTTAGCAAACGGATTTCCTTCAACACATTCAACCTCATCTGAGCTTTCTTCTTGGCCTTCGCTTTGCTCACTTAGTCTTTCAACACGATCTTTGATAAGATTCTTTGCTTCTTCGAGGCTTAAAATAAGAGCTTGTTCTTCATCAGATGGGGAAAGCTTCGGTATTTCTTCAATGGAGTTGATCTTAGAGATGAAAGTCAAGTAGTAGTCAATTTCTTTGTTTATAGACTTAATTTCATAATTCAGGCTTCTCAAAATTTCGCTTATAATGACATTTGCATTTAAAATACATTTGGACTTGGAGTTTATGAGATCTTCAACTGCGCTTTTCAAGTGTCTCGTTAACTCTATCTTATTCTCCTTTAAAGGTTTGGAGAAAAGAGGCTCTGTTAAATGACCTTTTCCCTGTTTCAAACTTATATGGTCAAGAATATGAGTTTTGCAGACAATTACACCTGATCCTTGACAGCGGCAGAGGATACTAGGTTTTTCTTCACAAAAGGGATAGAAACATTGCAGCATGATTTGAAATTATCTTGATTCTTCCAAACGAGCTATTTATTTTCTCCCCCCTTAAATAATAAAATTAATTTTTTTCCTTATGGAGATCTATTTTTTTAAATAAATTCATATAAATATACCCAGAAAATTCTTATTTTCTTTGCTTTTCCTTGGCGAAAGGCTTAGTGAGTTTTAAATTAATTAAAGATTAATAAGTCACTATTGAGGCAGCATTGAATTGTAATTTAATGTTGAATTAGTTTTTAAATTTGGAAATAAATTCTTTTCTGATATATAAACCTTATTTCTCAAATATTATGTTAGCTGGATTATAAAATATGATAAAAATTTATAACACTAACTTTTGCATTAGTCTTCAATACATCTAAAGCTCCGAGCTTATTAAGTCTAAGAATATGTGTATATTACTGTGTAAACAGAATAATCTAGTATTTCAGATTCATTATATCAAAATTTTCACTATAAATTAGGCTACTAATGGTTACACTTGCCGATTTTGCTTAGTTTTATTGCAATATTAAGAATTATTTAAACTCATAAAGCTCTCTAGAAGTAAACTCAAGAGCAAAGCTTTTCCTTATAATTGACTTGAAAGGCCGAGTCAGCGTGTAGTAAATCAGCCAAAAGATTTTGCAATATTCTCCCCATAGTATTAAGAAATGCCATCAAAGACGCATATGAACTTTCCCTAACACAAAACTGTTGGCATTGATTTTAGGAACATTAAAAATTTGTCTTTTTAGATGCTCAACCTCTTGCTTTTTTCTGCTAATAGAAATTCAAACCATCATGCAATAAATCACAACTCCTGCAATTTTTAGGGTTTCTTTGCTAAATAAAAGGTTGCTTAAGAACTTCAAAACACCTAGAAAACGGTGGGACTTTTTGTACTCGCATTTACAAATTTCACACTTCTTAATGCTGTTCTGATGATTTAAATCCCAAAGCTGAAGGCATTTCTGATGCACATACCTTTGTGTTCCTTTGCAATTACATGGTGATATCATTTTGCAAGGCAACTCACTTTCTAAGCATATTCTGCAGGTTTCCATTTCCAGCATTGAATTTATTAATATTCTTTAAATTGAGATTTTATTAAAATGAGCCGATCTTGCTTTCTTGAATCAAATGTATAAAATTGAAGAAGCTGCACTTTATTCCTCCTATAATGTGTACAATTGGGTATTAATAATATTAATGAAATTAGAAAATATCGACTCACAAGATTTTAAATTGAATAAGCCCAACTTTTTCAGAATAACTTATTCTTTTTTGATTTGATTTTGATTAGATTTCAGAGAATAGCAATTCGTACCGACAAGCAATATTAGCATTATTTAGCCTAAAATGAGCAATAAATTATATGGCTCTGTCAGAAATCAAAGAAGCTTTCCTATCATATCTCAACCGAGAAGGAGGTAAATTAGAACTGCTTAAAGCAAATCTTATTAAAAGTATATCAGAAATAAACTCAATGAAAAGGATTTTGGCAGACTACTTAAGAATTATAGATGATGACATAGCTGAAAAAGTTTCTCAAATTGAAAGAGTTGAATCATCATCAGAAGAAGCTGAACTAAGTTCATTTTTGGGTTTTGACATCTCAGCGTTTTCATCACTAGAAACTTACGAAGTCTTTAAGCCAAAAAATGATTTTAACTATTCAGTGTTGGAAAATATAATCAGGGATGTCCTAAAGCTTTCAAATAAACTCAGCTTAATTGGAGTATCTTCAGGTAATTCCCCAATTGAAATTATCAATGATTTTGAAAAAGAGCAACAAAAACCTCAAAAGAAAATAAGGGAAATTTCTAAAAATGATAATGCAATGGAGGCTCTAACCTCGAGGCCAAAAAGGTTTCTGAGCAATAAGAGGCAAACAATTAAAAGCCAATTATCGAAAACAAGGAAAATTATCCAATGCAAAGAGATGATTCCAGAAAAAGGAGAACTTATGCAAGAGAATCAAATTGAGCCTAAAGAAATCTATGGGCAATTACACTTAAGCTCAGATAGCTCTAGAAAATGCCTTTATTTAACAGATAAAGGTACAAACAATTTAACAAAGTTGATAATTTACGATACAGAAACAAGACAGCAAGAAATAAAACTTATTGAAACTCCCGAGCCACTTAATATGTTTACCTGCATAGTAGAGCTCCCTGATTCAAAAATATTTTGCTTTGGAAGCAACCCAGGATCAGGAGTATGCTATATCATTGACAAATTGCAAAATATTCAATTAATGCCACCTGGAACGCCAAGCAGAAATTCAGGAGCTGTCTATTTCGATAACAGTGTGTATATATTCGGGGGTGCATATCACCAAACAAATTTAAATTTAGCAGAAAAATTTGACCTGATCGAGCAAAGGTGAATCAAGCTACAACAGCTTCCAACAGCAACTTACAATTGTTCTTGTGCAGAAATGAAAAATAACTTTTACATTTCTGGATTTCACCATTCTATAATTTACAGATTTGATCCTATTCGAAACACTTATACTGAATTGTCTCTGAAAGTCAAAAGCTTTACACAGAAACTTTTATTTTCCGAAAACTCCAAAAAGGTATATGTAGTTGAAGCTGGTGGCAGTATTTACTCAAATGAAATTGAAAATGAAGACAGCTGGCATTTGCTTTCAAACTCAATACTCTGCTATTATGATCAAGTTTTCCTTGCTTATGGAGATCGGTCTGTAAATATTGGCTTGAATTATTGAAAAGACTGTTATAATTGTCATTATTTCAAATTCTGTTTCGATAGTAAAACGCTTTCGTTGGGGCAAGAGTATAAAGCTTAACTGTATAAATAAAAAAATAATCTTGATATATAAAAATGACTGAGAAATCAGAACTTAATAGAATTCATGAGCAATACCTGCTTGAAAAATTGTTAAAGAATCACGAAAGCATTCAATGCATTCAAAACATAATGAAGAGACCAAATAAGGATCCAAGCTTTAGCTATGATGAATTAAACAAGCATGGAAATAAAAATTATCTAATTTTGTATTATAAGAAGAAACAAATTGAACCAGTTTCATATATGTCAGAAGCAGAACTTTATAGAGATTACCAAGTCTCCATGAGTAAAAGAATTGCGATGGAAATTCCAAATCTAACAAATTCAATCATATTAAAAGAAAGCATTTTCAATAAAGTTAAGCTTATGCACGATAAAAATCTCCTTTACTGCCTTAAAGAGACTCTATCTAACAATGCAAAGGCTATATTATCAGAAATTATTCTATTTTCAAGAGATTCTACTGAATTTGATATTTCAGCTAGCAATGCAATCACAATTTTGAATTATACAAGCCATTTTATTAAAATGAAGGATTTTCATGGAATAAGAATCCCAGAAGCTGATTTATCTCAATGCAGCTTAGCCAATGTAAATTTTGAAAATAGTTTCTTGAAAGGTGCAAATTTATCTAATACTTTCTTTTACTGTTCAAATTTACAAAATTGCAATCTAGAGGATACTTATTTTGAGCAAAAAAGGCCAATGCTTTTGAAAAATTCTCTTTATAAGTCTGAAATCACTATTTCTAGTTCTGGGAAATATATTGCTTATATTGAAAGCTCAAAAAGCAGAAGAAAGCTTGGCATTGCCATAATTAAACTATTAAATAAAAAGGTTAAACTGGCCATAAGTGGGCAAGCCTACTAGCCTTGCCTCATCTCGGCTCCAAAATAGCCTCCTGAGACAAAAAGAGGGAAAGAAATGCTACCATCTGAATTTCGATCTGAACCGCCTGCCCCAAGGATGAGCTCCCTAGGGTAGAGCCACCATCTATAGAGTGCCCAATGGTCCTCACAAGGGAAGACCATGTGTTAGGCAAAACCATTCTAGCTCACGTGGCAAGTACAGGAAAATCTTCAGGGGAGAAACAAACTTCGCTCTTCGGGGAGGTTAAAATCCAACCATTTTATTTCTATTCATGTCATAAGGAATATAATAACTCAAGAGATAATCACAGAAATTAACATAGATAGTGCTTATAAGCATGCATTTGAATTTTCAGCAGATGAAAAGTACCTTGCTATAGGATCTGATATCGATTTAAAGCTAATAGACTTAAATAACGGACAAATATCAATGTCTACTATGAAGGACTCTGAGAAGCTTGATTTTTTAAAATTCTCATTTAACAGCAATCATATAGCCTTAGCCTCCTCAAAAATTATTTATTTATGATCTGTAAATTCAAAGTTAATATTAGTAAACATCATTAGAGAAGCATCGCTGATTAAAAATCTTCTATATTCAAAATTGTCAAATTTTATGATACTAATAGCAGAGGCAAGCATTAAGTTTTACGATTTATTTGGATATAGATGTATGAGAGCAATATCTGGAAATTTTGAGAATATTACTTCAATTAATCTTTCTCCTTGCGAAAAGTACTTTATTCTTTTTGTTAAAGCGGAATTGAAGATTATAAATATCGAAAACTTTGAAATAAAATTTAACAAAAAGTTTGATGCACCATTATTTGTCAGTATTTCTCCTTATGGGCAGTTTCTCTCGCTTACTTCACTCTCGTGAGCTAACAAAAATTGTTTGCTCTTGACAATGGCATTAATTTTTTTTGGTGTTTTTTGGAAATTAAAAAATACCAAATTACAAAAAATTAAAAATAAAAATTAAGTAGTTTTTTAGAATTTTGTTTTAAAATGCAAGCTGTTTAAAGTTAACTATGCTAATTATCACTTATATATCAGAATATTTTTAAAATAATCTTTGCTCATTCTAAAAATAGAGTTTTTAAATGGTTTTGCTCTCTTACGGAGAAGGGGAGTTAGCAACTGTAGCAAATCTAAAATTTTCAACCTTGAGTCACAAATATTTTTAAATGAATTTAAATGCCATGAAAAGAAAGCAAAAAGAGTTATATTTTCGCCCAGAGGCGGGTTTTATTTAATGGCGAATGATGATTATTGCTTAAAATTCTTTAATTATGATGATAATATTGAATCCCATAAATTTTATGAAAAGAAAATTTATAGTATTTCTTTTTCAAGTCATCAAAAAAAGCATTATCTTGCTATCTCAAGATCAGATTCCTGTATAATATGAGACTTAGATAGTTACAGCCCAGTCTCTAACACTCCAGATTTTTACTTTTCTTCACAAGTTCTATTCATGCTCAGTGGGAAATTCTTGAAACTCTGGAATCCAACTACTCAAAATAAAACAAATTATCGATTTAATGATGAAATAAATAAGATTGGAATTTCTCCCAGTGGAAAATATGCAGCGATTGCATATGGAGGGCAAACTGTTGAAATCAAAGATCTTGAATTAGATATGACTTTAATTACATGAAACTCAAGGTTCGATGATATTTGTATTTCATCTTCTCCATGTGGGCAATATTTCGCTATTGCAGTTTATAATAAAAATGCAAATGGTTTTCATCCTTTACCAAAAAAAATTGTGATATGGGAAATCAGAACTAAGAAGAAAGAGTTTGAGCTTCCCATCAAAGATTTTGACATTAGAGCACTGGCTTGTTCTCCTTATGGTCAGTACCTTACCTTTGGATATGAAGGAAAGCTGAACTTTTGAGATATCAAAAAGGGTAAAGAATTATTTTGCCTCTTTGGGCATAAAGCAAAAATTTCTTCAGCAGCATTTTCATTTTCAGGAGCTTTTCTTGCCTCTGGTAGCGAAGATAGAAGCATAATTTTATGGGCGATTGAAGAAAATAGCCAAGTTACAAAAATTGCACAAGTATTGGCACATTCTTCTTCGATTTTATCAATTACCTTTAGTTTATGCAATAAATATTTTATTTCATTGGGACTTTATGGCGAAATATTTGTATGAAAAATAAAAAGAAATTTAAGTGGAAAAGATATAACTTTAAACTGGTCGAACAAAAATTTTCAAGGAGCAAGTGTTTTCAGTACAAACTTCAATAATTGTAAGCTGAGTCCAGAGAATAAAAATTTTATAGACTTTGCAAATAAATGAAATAGTCAACTTGAAATCGATGGATCATATATATAAAATTGAAATATTTAACTATCTAATCTGAAGCCTAAATTAATTTTACCTAATGTGATTTATTTTTAATAATATTTTTAAAACATATAATTATATTATCTATTGCCTAAATTTCTGATCATGCATATGCATGTCATTTTGAATTTGGTATGTAAAAATCGAATATGCGTTTCAAAACGCAGATTTTAGTGCGGCAAATTCTTAATTTGAAATTTCATATGAAAATGGCGCGTATAACGCCCATAAGAAATTTTGCCAACGGATTATATCTAATAAGCGATATGGGATTAGCAATCTCGCAAATTTAAGACAAAGTCTTTGGACATCAACCCTATTTTTCTTGCATTCTAAAACTAGGATATTAAACTCAATCTCATCTGTTAGATTTTGTCGATATTAATTCAAATTCTGATAAAATTGTCTGAGCCTGATTTAAATAAGTCTATTCTGAAAATAATAAAATTTGTAATGTTCTCATTTTTTCAAATATCGCAAACTGCACTCTTTTTTCTATTCTGCTTAAGCTACTTAGACCTCCAGAAAATCATTTGTTTGCAGTTACCCTAGAAAGAATTTATCTATTTATAATAATTGTTTCAGTAAACTTGTTTTTCTTAACACATTGGGTTTCAAGCATGACTATAACAGAGATCTCAATTTTTGTCATTGCTGCATGAGCTGCACATATCCACGCAGATGCAATTAGATTCCCTTTTAAAATATATTTGGACAATTCTCCTCTATTATGGTGCAATTCACCACTATGTAATAAGAAAATATCACTGTTTTAGTGTGTCTGCCCATATAACTAGTTGCCAGGTGAAATCCCTATTTTTGGAGAGAAGCCAGATACCTTAAACACTTAATTTAAATTATAACTTGATATTTATTCAAATTGATAGCTCCTACATTTGTATTAAAGAAGATGTCTGCCATTCTATTTTTTAAAGCAACCAAAAATGAATGAAGTTAATAAATTATGAAGTCCTTCATATAAACATTTTATTCATCTTTTGAAGCTTAATAATACTACTCGAGCCTATCCCTCCTTTATATCAATAATTTATTATTATACTTACTCTAGCTTTTAAATAAACTTAAAATGTTCATACACTAGTATTTTCTTTAAAATTTATATAAGAAAAAAATCTAATTTTGTTTCATATTTGCTCAAAAAATAAATGAAGTCAATATTCACCTATGCAGAGCAGCCTCAAGGCTTACTTTTTTGAAAAGAGCTGGAAGAACCCGAGACTCCAATCTCTTCAAGAATTATTCATAGTGGTCCGTTAACCGAATTAACCCCTCTTCATAAATTTAAAAAACGATACTTTGCAATAACAAAAGACTCACTTTTAAAAGCCAAAACTGAATCGTCTGAATATACAAAAGTATCTAAGATCGAATGAAAAACAATTGAGCCATTTATTGAAGAAAATGAAGAAGAAAGGTACTACGGCTTTCAAATTATTCAAGGGATAGTTCAAAGACATTTTTATGTAAAATCTTCAAAAGAGTTAGATGTTTGACTCTCTTACTTGTCCAGAGTTGGAATTATGACAGATATTAGAAATGATTTCAATTTTAAGAAGTCAATAGGGACTTCGCATTCTTCTAATTTATACCTTGCAACTGACCTTGAAAATAACAGAGATTATGCAATTAAATGCATCCCAAAACGCCAAATAAGAAAAGAGTCTGTGCTTAGCTCAATAATAAATGAAATCACTATTCTCAGGACTCTAAATCACCCATTTATTACTAAGCTCCATAAAGTTTATGAAAGTAGCAACTATATACATTTAGTTCTAGACCACGCTCCAGGAGGTAACTTAGCCCAACGAATTCAAAACAAGGGTCCATTACCAGAAGTTAAGGCAGCTAGATTAATCAAAAATCTGCTAGAGGTGCTTGAGTACCTTGACTCAATGAATGTTGTGCATCGAGATATTCAATTGGAAAATATTTTTCTAATATCTGAGAAAAGTGATAGCGATTTTATTTTGGGTGATTGCGAGTTCGCATTTTTTAGTAATGCGGAAACAAATCAATCTTTTGTCACTCCAGGCTACGCAGCTCCAGAAATGGTCCAACGAATGGCATATGGATCTAAGGTTGATGTGTTTAGTGTAGGAATCATTTTGTACTTTGTCCTTTCAGGAATAACTAAATGGACAGAAAAAATTCGAAATGAAATGGTTCAGCAAGTCGGATATATCAGCACTATCTTTTGCGGCTCACAATGGAAAAATATTTCGAGCGATGCCAAAAAGATGGTTTTGAAACTAATTCGATATAAACCAAGTCAAAGGCCAAGTCCAACAGAAGCACTTACAAGCAAGTGGTTTACTAAATGCGAGAAAAAGAGCTTAACTGAGAGACGTAAAAAAACAATTATCGTTCACACAAAAGTTCAATCATATCGGGAGTACAAAGAAACAAAAGAAACCAATATTGAAACCAACAATGAAGACGATTTTGTCAAAAGAGGACTTTCTAGCAAAATTAAAGATGTGCTTAAAGTCTTCGTTGAAAGAAATATGGAACAGCTTAATCATTCAAAAAGCTACAACTCTAATATATCTGTATCAGAGGCAGTGAAATAATTAATCAGCATTCATTTTTTAGATGCACTAATATAGATATAACTCTGGGCAAGTTATAATTAATAAAATTAAACGAATGCTTAAGAAGAATGTCAATTTAATAAGTAAGTTGCAGTTACATTATAATTTTACAATTTAAAATTAATTTTTCGGCTGAGATGAATAATTTTATTAATTAATATTAGTTGGAATTTTGAGGATATACATATTTTTTATCTAAAACGAACTGATAAGCAATCAAATCAGTATAGCTTGGATCTAATTATGATTATTTAATTTATTAGTTTTCTCAATTTTTTTAATCCAGATATTGAAGTGCATATTGTTATATTTTATAAATATATACCTTGCTCTTGCTATAAGTGACATTGTATTTACTTTTGAATCTTCAGACCTTTTCCTATAATTTAATTCTTTAAATTAATTGCTTAAACTAGCCTAATATTCATATTTTTCTTTAAATTTTGTTGCGATCTTATATATATATATGCTCTCCATTTCTAAAAATTATGTGCAATTTAAATCAAGGAGTAAATATAATTGCAGTAGATAAGATACATAATCGCATGATTGATGGGGAGTACGAAACCCAAATTTTTCTTTTCTAGGAAATCACTTGCGATTATCTTAACATAAACAATATTAATTTAACGATTAAGGATAGGCTGCCACCATATTGCTTTGAAATGACCAAGGATACCGAGTGAGATTTATCCACATGACGACGCTTAATATAGGCTTTTGAACGATTGAGATCTCTCGCTTGACAAGCTAGCTCTAATAAGCACCTTGCTCCTTCTTCAACACTATATACCATAGACGGTTGAAGTTTAGTAGCTTAAATAATCAAATTTAAATGACAATAATAATTCGCATTTATCGATATGTCTCATTTGAGAAACATTTTTGATAAGCTTTTAAGTCAAATCAAAATTGTAAAACTTAAGATGAAGACTGAAATTTTCCATATTTGAGTTAACTTGCTAATTAGGAGCTGATGCTTCTAACAGCTCTCTCCCATTATATCTCATCACAACTGTATGCAAAGTACATAAAAATGCTAAATGTCTATTGATTTTAATAAATCAGTTTGAGAAGCAAACGCTGATAATCTCTGCCTACATTCTGATAAAAATGGTGGCTCATATTTTTAAGTCATTATCTCGTAAATTTTCAGATAAAAGCCCAGGGCTTCTTTCAGATTTTCGCTTTGTGCTTCATGGTTTAGCAGCAGGCAATAAAGCATATGGTAGGCGGATAATTTCTCCTCCCTTACTTCGCACCAATTTTTAATTGCTTAATTTTTTAGCTTTCAAAAATCATGAAAAAAATTTATGCCTAGAAAATGATAAAATAAAAAACCCAAGTTTTAATATTTATTTCAAGAAGAATCTCAAATTGATAGATCCACAATGACTGAGCTTCATATACATCGATTTCTGCCAGAGAGTGGAAAGGGCCAATTTGTGCAATCATACTGAATAGATATGAAAGAATGTGGACCAATGGTACTTGATGCATTGATCAAAATTAAAAATGAAATCGACCCAACTTTGACATTTCGACGGTCCTGCAGAGAAGGAATATGTGGGTCATGCTCAATGCATATAAATGGGATCAATACGCTGGCTTGCATTTGCCCGATGGAGCCGAAAGTCAGAGTGACAGTAGGTCCATTAATTCGATATCCTATCATAAAAGATCTAGTCGTTGATATGACCCATTTTTACAATCAATATAAGTCTATAGACCCTTGGCTTAAGAGGAAGAATGCTAAAGAGCCGGGATCAAAAGAATATTATCAAAGCCCAAATGATAGAAGAAAATTGGATGGACTATATGAGTGCATTCTTTGTGCTTGCTGCAGCACTTTATGTCCTTCATATTGGTGGAACCAGCAAATGTATTTAGGTCCTGCAGTTTTACTGCAAGCTTACAGATGGGTAATTGATTCTAGAGATGAAGCAATTGAAGAAAGACTAGAAAACTTATCCGGGGACTTTAAATTAGCCAAGTGCTATCAGATAGGAACATGCACAGTGACTTGCCCAAAGAAATTGGATCCAAAAATGGCAATTTACAATTTAAGAGCTATTTATAATGAGTATGAGGACTCGAAAAAGAATTGGGATATTTAAAATTTTTTAATATTGCATTTTTATCAAAATTGTTTGCTCCCCTTTCTGTGATCTGATCTTTTCTTTTAAATCTTAATTAAGAAAAAGCATATTTTTAGTTGTCATATAATCTTTCTGCTGTAACTCAACCTTTTAAGTTGGAGCAGAATGCCGGGCAAAATTTCCATTTTTTGAGTATTTTACCTCCCAATATTAATTTGGAACAGAATATTATTTAAATTGGTAAATTTTATAGATGAAAAAAAAAAAAAAAGATTTTTATAACATGAGTTGATAGAGAGAGAATTAGATTAGAGGGGTTAAAACGGGGATTATTTAAGCCCCTAGCCAGTCGAGCCTCAGCTTCTCGTTCATATGACGCTGGGTAACTAAAGCGAAGACACCCTTTTCTTTCAGTGTTACAAAAAATGTGACGTCGTCTGTCTATTGAGAGACTCACCCAAGCCTGCTTTAAGCAAAAGACTCTCTTAACTCTATTAGCGTTAGGTATGAAATGAACGTCCGATACTTCTTCTGGAACTACCTCCACCTTTCAGGAAGCAGAATACTCTTCCTGAAGTGTTGATTGATCACGCGTCTTCGGTCTCTTGTCTGTGGGGGAGGGGATGCCCAGTCAGCCTAGACCGCACCCATCCCAGAATTATTGCCATCTGCAAACCCGTGGCCTTTCAAGGCCAGCTGTATTTTGCTGGCACCTAAAAGTCTTGAACATAGTTTCACACTCTATAAGAGATATCCAAATTTTGGTTGATAGAAAATTTTCAAAGATTTGTGAAATTCCAATTGTTGGATTAATTTCAACTTCCATTTATTATTTTATGCATTTTAAACCTATTCGAAGTTTAGATTTAATAATCCCGTCTTTGAATTAATACAATTATTATAATTTATTTTAATATTCATCTTCTTCACCCACGCTGTCCTCGTTAGGTCCATTTGAAGAAGTTTCTCTGAGTGGCACTCTTATTTTCAGTGAATATTCTAATTTTGCTCTATCGTACTCTTCTCTTTTTTGAGGAAAATGATACAATAAAATTTCTTCATATATAAGATCTTTCAATTCTCTTATGTTCAAGACTCTTTTTTCAAACTCAAAATCAAAACCAGAAACTGCACTTCGAGTTGGCTCATCATCTGGACAATGCAAAGTTGACAAATACGGATGCTCTAACGCTTCATCAATTGTAATTCTTTTATCAGGATTAAAAACAAGAAATTTTCTCACTAAGTCAATTGCGTCAGGGTTGCACTCAGAAAAAATTGTTTCGAAGGCTTTTTTATTCCTTTTAGGCATTCTAGATACTTTATCCCTTGCTCTTAAATGAGGAATAGAAGCAATATCTTCATCAGAAGGAGTTCCAATCATGTCAAAAATTAAATCCAATTGGTTATTTGAATCATTTCCAGGCAAAAGTGGTTTTCTTAATAATAACTCTGCAAAAATGCAGCCAATTGACCACATATCAATAGCAGCTGTGTATTTTCTATAAGTTAATAGCACCTCAGGAGCCCTATATCATCTAGTTGCAACATAATCTGTCATCTGTGACCCTCTTATTTTTAAATCGTCTATAAAAGGTCTTGCTAGACCAAAATCGCAGACTTTTAAATCGCAATTTGAGTTTACCAATAGATTTCTCGGCTTTAAATCTCGGTGCAGAATGTGTGCACTATGAATGTATTTGATACCTCTTAAAATTTGATATAAAAAGAACTGGCAGTGCTCATCAGATAAAATCTGACTCCCCCCACCCTTTAAATTGGAACAAAATATAGTAAATTAACCCCCCTTTAAATTGGAACAAAATTTAATTTATAATAAAAAATTAAGTATAATTTTTATGTAAAAAGTTTTGATATAATTTAAATGTTTCTTCTTAACTAAAATTTAAAATTTAGTTATATCCTGCTCTTGTTTAAAGAATAGAGTATAAAGAACATCTTATTTAAATAAATTTATTATCCTTAATTGTTAATTTTTAAAACAATTTTATTTTTTTTGATAAAAATGATATTTTCTATTTAAATAGCTTTGATATAAATTCAATACGAATTCTTTACAAAAATTCAAAATTTACTTATCTCTTGCTTTATTTTAAAGAATAGAGTATAAATAACATCTTATATTTAAACAAAATTAGCACTTTGATTAATAAATTTTCTAAAATTATTTTCTTTTATTTTTTTTTTATCAATAAAAATAATAATTTTTGTGTAAATAGTTTTGATACCAATTAATAGTGGCGTATTAATTAATAATAAAATTTTAGTTATATCTTGCTTTGTTTTAAAGGATAAAGAGTAAATAGCATTTTATTAAACAAGTTTTTATAATCTAATTCGATAAATTTTTGAATTTTTTTTTTTTATAAAAAATTTTATAATGATTATTTTTTTTTAAAAAAATTTTCTTAACCCCCCTTTAAATTCGAACAAAATTTTTAGTTCAAATTTAAAGGGGGGGGGGAGTGAGGAGATTTTATTATTGAGCTTAAATCAGTTTCCATCAATTCACTTACGACATAAATTTCATCAAATTCATCTCTGCACAGGGGCAATTGGATTGTTTTGATTCGAATTACGTTTTCATGTTCTAATAAGCGTAGAATTATTAGTTCACGTAATGTTCTCTTCGTAAAGGTAGAATGCTCAAAAGCTTTTTCAATTTTTTTTATTGCAACAAGTTCCCCTGATACTGTATCTCTTGCTGATACTACTACTCCATAAGCTCCACTGCCAACTGTGTCGCGAACTTCATATCTGCTATCCAATAAAAAGTTAGAGCCAAGTATTTTTATAGGCTTTCTATTTATAGCTGAAGGGCCACCAGATTGAGAAACTGAGAATTGATTCCTTGATGTTTTGGGAGTCGATAATTTTCTGACTTTTTCCATTTATCTTCAAACTCCATTTTAAATTGCGAGAAATGAATTCAATTATATAGATGAACAAATTATAAGTTAGCACAGCTAATTCTTATATTATCAACAATTTTCTTCTAATTATATATAATTGAAAATTTAAAATCTGTTTGAATACCATTAGCAAATATTATTTAAAAATTTTTTAATTTTCTTTTATTCTAAAAAGTAGGTATTTTTCTTTATGGCGAGAAATATTTAAATCAATAACAGTAAATTATTTAATTTCATGAGTGCTTGGAAGATACCACCACTCTTTATCCCTGAAATCAGCCCATATTCTTGCACCAGAAATGGATGAGTCATTCAAAAGTGGTTTTATGTCTTGGGTTTCGCGAGAAACTTCGATTGAATTGTTTGAGACTGATTCTTTTGCTTGCTTGAAAATGTTTTTGCTGTCCATTTTATTAATTATAATACTTCTATATTATTTATATAATTGAAGTATAATAAAAATGGGAGAAGCTCCATAATTTATTCGTTATTTGCCTATGTTTTACAATTATCAATTATAATTATTTGAAAAATAAAATTTACCATAATCCCAAAAATCAAGAATTGAAATTATTTTTTTATATTTATTTAAATGCATTGCAAAATATATATAGTTAATCTATAATAGTAATGGCTAAGTTGATTGTTAAATTTTATATTTCAGGGATTATTATCAAATTATTATACTGACTCTTGAAAGTGCTGAATTAATTTCTCTCTAGATTTTTCAAATTCTTGCAAAGCACGAGCTGTGCCTCTCATGTCTCGTCAAATTTTCTTTTGTAGGGCCTCATTTCTCCCTGATGGCGCTGGCGATGGAGTCATAACGACTTTTACTGGGCTTCCTTTGAGGTATCGCAACTTATCAATTTCTTGACCTAATTCTGCTATCCTGTCAACAAGTCAATTATTATCATTGATACTTTTTAATAAATAATAGATCAAGAACTCAACATATAATGCTATCTCTGTGTAATTTTCCAAGCCTTCATCTAGCAAAACTTGGATCCTTTCTTGTTCATTTCAATCTCTCTGTGTATGGATATGCTTCTCGTAAATTTGGCCTGTTTTTTCTTTTATGAACTGAAGCATTTTTTCTGCTTCTAAATGCGCTTCTTGGAGCTGATCTCTATTAAATTGGATTTTTTGATATTCGGGTAGTGCTTCTTCATGCTCGTGAATTTTTTCTTCCAACTTTAGCCTAATTTCTTTTTCAGTCTTTAAAGCCTTATCTAAAGATTTTATTTCTTTTTGATAATTATATTGTGCTTCTTCAAACTGCGTGTGCAGAATAGAGAGCTCTTGCTTAGCTGTGCGCAATTCTTGATCGTGACTTGCTCTCATTGTGGATGTTTCTGATTTTGTGCTGTTGCTTAATTCAACGATTTCTCTTTCGTATGATGCTTTGATCTGATCTGCTTCGTTTTTTCATTGAACTTTCATGTTTTCAATTCTTTTTTCCCAGTGATCTAGTTCTTCTTCAAGCTTATGAATCTTTTCTTTACTACTAAGAAGCTGCTTTTCAAGCTTCACTATTTTGGCTTGAAGTTCTTCTTTTTCTCCAGCTATTTCCTTGACTTGCTCATTGATTCTTTTATTTTCTTCCTTTTGCTTTTTCAAGTCGTCTTTCAAAAATTGGTATGCTTCACTAGAACCCTCTTCAATTTTGATTTTTTCATCAGTGAGCCTCTTTAACTGGTTTTCATAACTTCCTTTCTCCATTTCAAGTCTTTCAATTTGGATTAAATTGGTTTTTTTGATGCTCTCTATTTCCATTTCATGACGAGCTTTCATTTCTTCAAATTCTTTCTTAAGCTTGAACTCTAAAGATGCTTTATCTGTGGACAAGAGTTCCTGACTCCCCCCCCCCCCCCTCCGTGAGCGAACAAAAAATTTTGTTCGCTCACGGAGGGGGGTTAATTTTTTTTTTTAAAAAAAATTTATATATAAATTTTATAAAAAATATTTTTTCGAAATTTAAAAAAATCCTAATTTGCAAAAATTGGGAAGCAAATATTAATTTAATTTATAAAATTTATGTTTTAAAACGCAATTTGTTTAAAATTAAACAGAATTAGCTCTAGATTTCATTATACTAATTATCACTTATATATCAAAAAATTTTTTCCATTAAAAATTTTTTCTATTAAAAAAATTTTTGTTCACTCACGGAGGTGGGGGGTTTTTGGTCAAAAAATGGCGATTTTTCTAATGGTTTTGTTCGCTCACGGAGGGGGGGGGGGAGTGAGTGTTTTTTATTTTTTCTTCCCAACCTTGCTGCTCTTTCTGAACTTTTTCGTTAAGGCTTTGGTTTTCTTTGTGGCAGAACTCTAATTCTTTTTGTAGTGAGTCCATAACTTCTTCTTTCCCTACAAAAGCATTTTCAATTTGGTCAAGAAAACTTAGAATTTGTGATTCCCTTTGCTGAAAATCATATCGAAATTCTTCAATTCTATCTGTTTCTTTTTTTTCTAAATCTTTGAACTTTGCTAGAGAAATCGCATTTTGGGCTTCAAGCTCTGGCAGATTCCAATTAACTTCTGGTGGCTCTTCATGAGGAATTTCATCAGGAATTTGAGCAACAAAGGTATTTTGATTTAATTGGATTCCCAATATACTCCCTATCCGTGTTATAATATGCGAAAGACTGGATACAGATAAATTGGTCAAATTTTGATAGCTTTTATTTATATAATGGCTTGCCTCCAACCTTGCCAATAACTCTCAACGAATAACGTTTGCATTTTCTTCAAGTTCCTTCCATTTCAGTTCTCGAATTTTTTCTAATTCTTGAGTTGGCTCAGCTGATTGAATGCCTATATCACGTCTTGTGGACTTTTGCTTTGCATAGGCTTCTCTCTGCATTTTTCATAGCTTGCCTTTATCACTAGCGAGATTTATCTTGGAAAAGACCTTCTCTTTCATTGTTTCGTATTTTTTGACAAGCTCAGATGGAAGGGGAAAAGCAAATAAGAGCTCTTCGGTAACGTTTAGAAGTGAATGCATTGCCTTTACGTCATTTGGAGTGAAAGATTCCAGAGATATATCATATGAGCTCATCCTATAAATATGAATAACTGACTATTAAATTAAAATTATGATTTTGCTATTAAATCAAGATATTAAATAATGCTAACATAGATATTTACTAAAATCGAATAAAATTTGTTAATTCTTAAAAGAAAAAATTGAGTTTTCCTCTCATACTATAGTTTCAAAAATTAAAATAAAGATCAAATTAAATGCTTTATATATGCAAATTTGAAAAATATGATTTTTAATGAAAGAATACAATATTAGGATGGTATAAGTACATTTAAAAGATGGCTAACTCCCCCCTCCGTGAGTGATCAAAACTATTGGAAAATCCATATTTTATGTCCAAAAATCCACACTCCAACAAAAATTTTTAATATAATTTTTTTATGAAAAAATATTGCTATATATATGTGATAATTATTATAATTAAATTTCTAGCTAAATCTGTTGAACTTCAAACAGTTTGAATTCTAATACATAAATTTTGCGGATTAAATTAATTTTTAGTTTCCAATTAGAATTTTTTTAGTTTTGGGAAATAATTAGCCTTCCTCCGTGAGCGAACAAGCAAATTTTGTTCTTTCAGGAAGGGAATAAGCTGGTTAACGAGATTTGAATTTTTTTGAAAACTTGTCTAAAATTAAAAGTGGATTGTTGATATTTCAAAAATCATTTTCATAGCTAAATTAAGTCAAACTTTTGAAAAATAATGAATTATCATTTAGATTAGCCTCCAAAGCCGTATAAGGTTCTTCCTTGTCTCTTAAGTGCGTAAACTACATCCAATGCAGTGACAGTCTTTCTTCTTGCGTGTTCTGTGTAAGTAACGGCGTCTCTTACAACACTTTCCAAAAATACTTTAAGTACGTTTCTTGTTTCATCATAAACAAGTCCAGAGAGTCTCTTAACTCCTCCTCTTCTTGCCAATCTTCTAATGGCAGGCTTAGTAATGCCTTGAATGTTTTCTCTTATAACTCTTCTGTGTCTTTTCTTTGCTCCAACTTTTCCAAGTCCTTTTCCTCCTTTTCCGCCTTTTCCTCCCATATTATAACAACAGCATCTTTGGAAGCGCTTAAATAGTGCTAAATCTATCCAAACTTTAATGGATCTTCTCCCGTATTGGCGCATTTTTTAGATTCACTATTTTGCAAATCAGCCAATCAAAATCGAGATTACCTCAAAGATGGATTTTTCTTTACTCCCTTTTTGGTAACTTAAACCCCTTTAAATTGGAACAAAAATTTTTTCAATTGAAACTTTAAAAGGTAATATACAAATTTTTATAAATAGCTTTAACCTAATTTAAGGTAGGAGCACAAGCCGAATACTATTTAAACAGTTAGCACGCTGAGTCGATTAACATTTTGAATTAATTCTCAATAAACAAAAATCAAAAATATTATTTTTTTTATTTTTAATTTTTTTTCTCGATAAAATACAACCCTTAAATTGAGCATGATTTTTTTGTTCCAACTTAAAGGGGTAAGTTAGTATAAAATTGCGAGAAATAAAGCAATTTTAATAATATTTAATGGCAAGAACAAAACAAACAGCAAGAAAAACCACCTCAGCAGGAAAAACCCCAAAGAAGCACTTGGCAACTAAAGCGGCTAAGAAAGTTTCAGCCACCACCACCTCAGGTGTAAAGAAGCCACACAGATTTAGACCAGGAACTGTGGCTTTGAGAGAAATTAGAAAGTACCAGAAGAGCACTGAGCTTCTCGTGAGAAAACTTCCATTCCAAAGATTAGTCAGAGAAATTGCCCAAGAATACAAGACCGATTTGAGATTCCAAAGTTCTGCAGTCCTCGCTTTACAAGAAGCCGCAGAAGCCTATTTGGTTGGACTTTTCGAAGATACTAACCTTTGCGCAATCCACGGAAAGAGAGTAACAATCATGCCAAGAGATATGCAGTTAGCAAGAAGAATTAGAGGAGAAAGATCTTAATGCGATCACTTAATTACATTTTATTTCAATTTTGGCTTAAATTATTTTTTCTGTTTCTATGTTATACTTCATTTCCGCTTTAATAAAGCAAAAAACTAATATCAATAATTCGAAATCTTATGTATTAAATCTTTCTAAATAGAGAACTAATTATTAATTATAATATATATTAATATGCTCAAAATTATTAAGTTATAATTAATACAATTATGATTTTTCATCAATCTTTTTCAATAAAAGAGGAAACACTCTTGTTCTTCCTGGCTGATGCTTGACAGATGTAGGATTTTGAGTATTAAATGCATTAAAAGTGATCCCCACATCAACAATGCTCAAGTTTTCCTCTCCGCAGATATCAGATACAATCCAAGGTTGTTCTTGCAATAATTTGGCAGGGTCCTTGGTATTGCTAACTCCCTCCTCCCTCCTTGAGCGAACAAAAAAAATTTTGAGAGGGCTAATTTTTTTTTTAAAAAATTTATAAATTAATTTTTAATAATTTTTTTAGAAAATACACAATCCGCAAAAATTGAAAAGTAAAAATTAATTAATTTGGAAAATTTATGTTTTAAAATGCAAGCTGTCTAAAATTAAATAGAATTAGCAGAGATTTCATTATAATAATTATTACTTATATATCGAATATCAATTCATAAAAAGATTTTATATTTTTTGTTCTCTAGCAGACTGTGGGTTTTTTTATCCATAAATTAGGGATTTTTCCTATGGTTTTTGTTCGCTCACAGATGAAGCGGGGAGAATAAGTATCTGACATATTCTTTCAAAGTTTTGATCTCCAAGCCTCCTCCTTATTCTTCTCCTTTGCAAGTCAAAAATATATTCTCGTAATAGATGGAGTTAATTTTTTTTAATATAGTTCTGAAAGAAAAATAAAATTTAATTTATAAATTCATGTTTTAGAGAGTTCAAACTGTTGTAAATTTAACTATTATTAGCTGGAGATTTCATAGAATAAGAATTTATTACATTTCAAAATATTTTGTTGCCTTTTTTCTAAGGGGGCTTATTCTACAAAAAATAGGATTTATTCCAATGGCTTAATTGCTTGCAAAGGGGAGTTAGGAAATCGCTCATAAGGGTAGTTCTAACTGGAGAACCTGGGCTTTGTTTAAGTAAACTTTGAGAAAAACTAAAAGTTCTTTGCGATGCATGAGAAGTAGAGCAAGATGCTGGATGGTCAAGGCTCGATTTTCGGGCTGCCATATGAGTTGCTGTGCTTAGTTCTATTTGTTTGGCAGAACTAGGCTCTATATTTACATTCCTTTGCTCAGTTGGAATATTAATTGACATTTCTTTTTGATATGATTTCCTCCCTTTTTTGCTAAAAGTCTGAGCTCTGTCTTCTCTCACTTTGAGCTCAACTTCTTCCAAAATTTGATTTATAGAAGGTCTCTCATTTTTATCCTTTCTTAGCAGCTGAAATATTAAGTTTCTTAAATTTTCTGAAAAACTGTCAGGTATTTGCTCAGGGTCATTTTTTATTATTGAATTGGCTAGCACAGCAATATTTTCTGCTTCAAAAGGGTGATTTAGAGTGCATAGCTCATAAAGAACGCACCCTAAGCTTCACACATCAGCCTTGGCATCATATCCCTCTCCTTTGCAAATTTCAGGCGCTAAATAATAGGCTGTGCCTACGCCTGAGTAAGCCATTTCATCACTAAACTGCAGAACTTTTGAAAATCCAAAATCGCCAAGCTGAAGACCACCATCTTTTGTTAAAAAAATATTTTTGGTCTTTAAATCTCTGTGGATGATCTTCAGAGAGTGGATATAACTAAGTGCCATAGAAAGCTGGTAAAACCATTTTCAAATTTGGGCCTCTGTGAAATAGAATTTATTTTCTCTAGCAATTCGAATTCTCGCAGATAAATCACCTCCTTCTGCATAATCCATAACAATATATAAATAATTGTTTTCAACAAAGCTCTCATGATACTGGATAATATGCTGATGGTGCAATTTCTCTAAAACCCGAACTTCCTCTCAGTTAGGCTGGTCCTCATCACAAGGGATTCTTTTAATGGCAGCTAATCCGCTGTCTTCTCTTTCCACTAGCCAGACTTCCCCATATCTTCCTCTGCCTAAGGTTTTCAATTTACGATAGTTTTCCATATAAATAATGGAAGCCCTTGACCATATGAATCTAGCAAGTGACAAAAACTTTACTAACTTTCCACCATTCCTATGGTAAAGATAAAAGTTTGTTAAAAATCCAATTAAAAAGATGTTTTAAAAAAAATAAATATTATATAGGTTCTCTTAATATGATATTAAACATATATATATAATTTAGATTTACAGTTTCCTTTAAAAATACCCATACGAAATCTAAAAAATATAATGCTTCTTAAATGAAAATTTATTTCTACTAGGCTAAAAACAATTTTTGTTGCCTATGGAGAGAGATTAAGCTCCTGATGCCTGGTGAAAACTTGCTAATGACGCTTAAAGTTATTAAATTCAATAAGCGCAATAAAGCTCAGGAAAGAACTGTTGCGATTACGTCAACTGGTGTCTTGAACTTGAAGAATAAAAAAATTCAAAGGAGGATTGAGCTTACAAGTATAGGAGGAATAACGCGCAGCCGAAACGGTGAAGAATTTATTTTGCACTGTCCAAATGAGTACGATTATCGATTTTCTTCGCCTCTCAAAGACCAAGCTGTGCAGACAATCACCAGAGCTTTTCGAGAATTATCAGGAAGAGGACTTCTCATATGGGAAACCAACGAGCTGAACTTGAAAGATCTGGCAACAACAAAAAGTGACAAGAAAAAAGGAGTAACCAGGATGCCAGCCTCTGAGACTGCAGTTAATTATCAGTCTATCAGTGGGAACGGCGAAGAAAGCAAAGAAAATAGAGACAGAAGAAGCAGGACAATCTTCAGAGCCAGCAATAACAGTGGAGAAGTCTCCATGAACGATTTCACCATTTTGAAAGTTATTGGAAGAGGCAGCTTTGGGAAAGTCATGCTTGTCCAAAAGAAAGACACAAAGGAAGTTTACGCAATGAAAAGCCTAAGAAAAGACGCACTGCTGGAAAGGGAACAAGTCGAGCACACCCGCACTGAGAAGCTCATCATGCAGCATACCAACCATCCTTTCATTGTCAAACTGGAGTACGCATTCACCTCTCCAGACAAAATCTACTTCGTAATGGAGTACATGAGAGGTGGAGAACTTTTCTTCCATTTAAAAGAAGCAAAAAAACTAGCAGAAGATAGAGCCAGATTCTATGCTGCAGAAATCGCCCTTGCCTTAGGACATCTGCACCAGCAAAACATAGTTTATCGAGACTTGAAGCCAGAGAACATCTTGATGGACGATCTAGGCAATGTGCACCTCACAGACTTTGGTATGGCAAAGATGCTTGGGGAAGGTGGAACCACACAAAGCTTTGTAGGGACTCCAGAGTATTTGGCACCAGAAATCATCGCTTGCTCTGGGCATGGGGTTACAGCTGATTGGTGAAGCTATGGTATTTTGCTTTACGAAATGCTTGTTGGCATCCCTCCGTTTTACAATCAGAACATTCAGCTGATGTACGAATTGATCCAGCACGGCGACCTCAGGTTCCCTCAGCGAAACCCTCTCTCCCCTGCAGCCCAAGATATTATCACCAAGCTCTTAGAAAGAGAGCCTAGAAGAAGACTTGGAGCAAACGGCGTGGATGAAATAAAGTCACATCAATTTTTCGAAGGAACTGATTGGAATTTACTATAAATAAAATGGCATTAGGTTCGAATGAAATTAGCCTCGCTAATTTTCTCTCCCTCAAGCAATTTTATTTATAGAGTTAGGTTTCTTCTGAGAACTTCTGTACAGCAATAGCGGTTTAACTCTGGCAGATAAGCCGAGGCACTGCTCCAAGTACATCAAGAGGCTCGAAGTTTTACCTCTCAGCACACCGAGAGGAAGGTGACCCTTAGGCGGAACGCGCGCAGAAGCTGAGGGCAACGCAGCCCGTCGAAGCCGGAACGCTTTATTTGCGTGTGCCCTGGCGCAACAAAGTGGACGGTCCAGAGGTTCATGGGCCTGACACGTGGACAAATATGGTGGCAGCTCTGGAAACGGCTACCCCGTAGTGGACGCTAAACGTTATAAATAGTATAAGATAAGAAGACTGGAATTTACTTGAACAAAAAAGGCTCCCTACTCCTTTCACGCCTAAGATAACAAACCAACTAAGCACTGAGAACTTTGACGAAGAGTTCACCAGCGAAGAACCAGTAAACTCGGTGGTCCCTGAGCATAGACTGAAACTTGTGATGCAAAATCAGGACCAATTTAGAGACTTTTAAATAAAAACTATTGCAAATTTCTGGTAAATAATAAGATATGAGCACCCCAAATAATGGTCATTTTCAGAAATATGAGCATTCTCACGAAAACCTCCCTCTCCCTTTGCGCAATTTGTGCCAGCACGATCGCCCTTTTTGAGTATTCCCATGATTACATTACGAATTTGCTCGTTCGCTCTACAAGAACATCTCTGAGGGAGCCAGAGCTTCGTGATGATGTATATATACTAATGAGAAGGCTATTGACAAGACTTCTAAATGACTCAACTACAAGAGAAAAAGCTTCTGAGTTCTTCAAGGCGGCCTTGCACTCTGAGAAGCTTGAAAATTCAACTCTGGATGTGACATTAAAGAATATGCAGACAATTGAGTACCAATCTGAAGCTTTAAATCTGATGGTAGCCATCTCCGATCATGTATTACGTGATGAAACTTTGAAGATGAAGACCAAAAACCTGTCCTCGACTTATAAGGAAGCAGCAGCATATATGCAAAATGTGAAAAAAATAAAAATTGGTAGAAAAAGCCAGGATATATTGAAAGCTGATTTTGAGATGCCTAAAGTCAACTTCAACGAGATGGTTAAAGAATATTACCAGGATTATTATGCAGAGCAATTGAAAGAGCTGATCAGAAAGCAAATGAGTCAACATATTTTTAATATCCCAAAGCATGACATTCCAAGACCCAAAGAAGCAAAAACTGTTCCGATGCTTGGTGCTGTTACTGGTTTCCAAGCAATCACTAATCAACTTGGTGTAGCGTTATCATTACCGATTGAACCTGCTTTAGAAGCAATTAAATATGATAAGTATGAAATTCTAAGAATTAAGCAGGAGGAAACAAAGAATCTAGAAATTGGGCAAACTTTTGATAAGACTAAAGAAATCCAATTTGATTTGCAGCCTGAAATTTCTATCCCTCAAAAAACTGAGCAACTGAAATTTGAAGAAAGCATTCCAGCAATTCCGTTTTCAGCTGAAAAAGTAATTCCTATTGATCAAGATACAAAGAAATTCGAAGAACAATTTGTTGCTGAAGAAGAAGTAAAAAATCATGACTTTGAAGTGGAAAAGCTTAAAAATGACGAAGTAAATATAGATGATTTTCTCGAAAAAACAAAGAATCTGATAAAAAGTGCATCATCTTTAGTCTTTGAAGCAGAAGCTCGCCCAGAAACTGAAGTGCTCAGTAAAGAAGTTTCGATTCCTTTTATAAAGAAAGAGTCCTTGAAAATAAAGAATTTGAAAATTGAAGGTCTGATTCAGAAGTTGAAGCTTGAGTCTTTAGACTGGGGCAATGCCAAGGTTGATGAATCTTTTCATGTTGAGCTTCAGAGTCCAGAAAATGCTCAGGATCAAGAGTCATTTGTAAGAGAGCCTTTAAACATTGATTCCTTAAAACTTGAGAGTGTACAGATCGAAGAGCCATTTCACGTTGATTTATTAGGCCCTGAAAGAAATGAGAGCCAAGAAATATCTGCTAAAAATTCAATGGATCTCGAATCATTAAACTTAGAAAAAGCAAATATAGACGAATCATTCCATATAGATTTAATGAGTCCTGAAAGTATTGGGGAAAAAGAAGTATCAGCTGCCCCTTTATCAGCTGATGCAAATAATTTAGCTTTTGAAAGCTTGGAAAGTGCTCTCGAATTTCACAAGAAAGAAATTCTTCAGAATTCAGAAGGCCACATTCTAGAAGCTATGAAAGAACTCACTGATGAGATTGAGAGTTTTGGATCCCCTATGAAATTTGAAAGCATTGAAAAAGATTTACTATTGGAACGCATTGAAAGTCAACACATAAAATACTAAAATAATCTGAATTATTAAAATATTAAATTATAAACAAATTTAATTTAAAAATACTTTACAGTATTTAAAATGGCAATTAGGGATAGGGACCTAGTCCTGCTAGTCAGGCTAGCCCTATTATCCGAGCTTAGTGAGAGGAGTTCAAGCACCTTGAGAGTCTCGGCATTAAGAGAAGAGGTCAGTGCTGAGTCTGGCAAAGATCAGAGCGGTCCGGAAGGGCTAGATAAATTTAACGGTTCGACGATTAGGCCGATCCACCTACCATTGTTCAGAGCTGTTATCGTAGCTGGATCTCAAATAAACAAGGATTTAAGACGTTATTACGTGAAAGAAATTCAATAAACTTAAACTTAAAAATACTTCATTTATTTATGTAGATAAAAATTTAAATCTATCCTTACTTCCCTCATTAAGCGAAAAAAAACCATTGAAAAATCCTTATTATTTTGGTAAAAACCCACCCTCCTTAAACGAACAAAAATTTTTTTAATATAAAATTCTTTATGAAAAAATACTTTGGCACATAAGTGATAATTATTATAATGAAATCTCTAGTTAATTCTGTTTAATTTTAAACAGTTACAATTAAACATAAATTTGCAAATCGAATTGATATTTGATTTAAATATTTGGATTTTTTTGAATTTTGAAAAATAATTTACTATAAAATTTAAATACGAACAAAATTTGTTTTTGTTCATTTATGGATGGGGGAGTAAGTAACTATCACTCAATTGATGCAATTTTTTAAATTGCAAAATTTTAATTTTTTTAACTTGAGTATTATAATACTTTTAAATAGATTTTTACGTCAATGCTTAAAAAACTTAAAATTAAGATAAGTGTTGAGATTTGGCTGGGAGCCTCCTCAATGATCTTTTGATTTTTTTTAATTCTTCATGCGTTGGTATTTTTTCCCCTGATTCTATCATATTTATCTCTTCTGCAGAAATTTCGGTAATTTTGGCTAATTCTTCAATAGAAACTCCTTTTTCTTCTCTTTGGGCTTTAAGTGTAGCAATATTGTGTGTTAAGCTGTTGCCATTTTCCGAAACCATATCCGATGGAGAAGACATTGTTTCCAAGGCTCTTCCATTAAGTGGAGAGCTGTCTGCTAAAGGTTTTTCACGCATCGGAACTTCAGTTTCGCTTTGATTTGCTCTTCTTCTTCTCTCAAGTCTTTCTCTTCTCTCAGTGTCGCGCTTCTTCGGAGTCCTTGCAATAGTTTTGTCTAATGCCAGACTGTTCTTGCAGCACTCTTCCTGAGTCCAATAGATCATGGCTCCGATGAATCTCAGAAACAATATTCCGACTCCAACAAAAGCTATAGCGTAAACGAACCACCTCCTACTTGTATGCCCCCCATCTTGGGAAGTTTTATCAAGAAGATTTAAATAGTAAGCAAAGGCTGAATTGCATAGGGCCCACACCATTGCCCATTTGGTTCGAAATTCTTCAAATTCTTCAACTCTTTTTTTTTCTTCTTCAGTCATTTGGTCTGGTCTGTTTCCCCAGCTGCAATCATGGATATTGCAGATTGCATATGTCAAGAACACGTTAACATATGTTGGAGTCATCAGAATAAATTGAACAGCTCCTTTGGAAACTGTGAGGGCTGCACGGTTAATCAACGATACAAACGCAAATATCGCGATTGTGGCAATCATGAATGGAAGAATTCAGTTGAAGTCAGACAAACCTTTGAAGATGTACAAGAACATCAATACTGTCGTGAATATCATAAAGACGCCATAAGCGTATGGTTTAGCTAAATAAAGAAGTGACTGATTTTTTGGTGTACATTTCATCGAATTATATTTGTTAAATGTGTAGCATTTGGTCGAAATTTAATGGTCTTTTTCGGTCAAATGTTTCACTATCCAAAAATTTCAACCAATTTTTGACTCAATGTATTTCGGTGAAATTTACACTATCAAAAGTGCGACAACCCAAAAATTATTTCTACTGTCTTGCATATTTATTGCATCAAAAATTGTTTCCATATAAAAAATTTATAGATTAGTGATAAGAGACAGAGTATTCACATAAAATACTAGCAACATGTGTAATCGCATTAGACGATATTATACTGTAATATCTTTAATATTTATTATTAAAAAATAGTTTAGGTGGGGTAGATAGCGGATTTCATGCAAACATATAAAATTGCTTGACCAATATGGGGTTAAATGCTCTAATTTTTGACAGTCTTAAATTATTCGCTTATTAAGAATGGGGGAGGGTAAGAGGGTGCATTTTTGCATATTTTAAGTGCAAGGTGGATCCTTATTTACACCTGACCAAGCGTAAGATACTATTTTGTAAACTTCTTCAACTCTAGCAGGCTTAACTCCAAGAGATAAAAATATAACAACAATAATGACAGTTATATAGAGAACGACAAGCCAACTTCCTACTCATGCTGTATCTCCAGAAAAAAGACCTCTCATTGCAATAGCAAATGCTAAAAAGAATGTCCCAACCATAAACCATGTGAAAGCCACACTGACAGAATAATAGAACATTTGAAAAGTGAACCAGAACTTCCTGCAGCAGCTGTGATTTGAGTAATAAATTACGTCTGCTCTCCTAAGAGAGTCAATAAGAGCAAACCAAGAACCGTTAATCCACCTTCTTCTCTGCGACATTAGCACTGATAACTTTTCGGGAACATCAGTTTCAGCTACTGATTTTTTAACGTATCTTACTCCTCACTCTGTATACGAGGAAATCTTTTAAAAATCTTAAATTTTGGTAAAACGAGCCATAAATCTTTTCAATATAATATTTTTGTTAACATATATTTAATGCTTATTAAATGAAATCTCTCTCTTTGCATAAAAACTTTCATATAATAGCATAAATTTTTTTTCGAAAAATATTTATATTAAAATAAAAAAATAATCCTATAGCCAAACCAAAAAATTTCGTTCACTTAAAGGGAGGAGCCAGCAAATAATTGCAATCCTTTTTGCTGACTAAAGCAAGGCACAGCACTCTGTCTTCAGCTAAGTAAATGTTTGACTGAAAAGCATTCATTAAGTAGGGATGACAAATCGATTTGAAATAATCTTCCCATAAAGGCTCACCTTGCAAGGCTTCTCACCTGTAGGCACTGAAAGCTCCAGGCAACACCGTGATATATCCGATAATACTTTCCAGAGCTTTATCGAACATATGGCTGATTTTGTATTCGACCAGCTGAGCCATCTGCACCATATTCCAGAAATTAGGATCCATAACTGTAATTTCTCCACAGCATCCAGCAATTCTCTCATCAGTCCTCATAGCTTCATATAGATAGAATAACGACTTCGGTAATGGTTTGGTTCCTATATCAAGAAGCATCACATACTTCGGCTGAAACATCTCACAAAACCCTCCGAAAAACCAAAGATGAGTGTTTAGTTTTCTCTTATTTTTTTGTTTTATGCACAAAATAGTTTGTAGCCCCAGCTGGCAGTCACCAAAGTAGTGAGTTTTCATAAAGCAATGAGCGAACTCATCATCGTCAGTTTCTCCCGGGATTTTACATTTTTGCAGATCATCGCCTTCAGGCTTGAAAAAATCTTTCACTGCATTCTCATCAAAAAACTGGCTGAAAAATGGCTTTTGTTTGTTGTAAGTTTGCAAAAATGGTCTCATACCGTCAACTATAATTACCGTACAAATTTTCTCAGGCGCGATGCCAGCTAATCTGAAATCGTCGAGATTGTCTGCGATACCGTGCATCGTGTCTGTGAAATTTTTTACGTCTTCATTGTACATAGCTACAACAATCAGGAATTCCACTTTTGTATTTTCTTCGTCATAAAGGAGGTTTTTAAAAATACTTTCACGAAATCTAGTGTCTGGGGCGATGGGTGCTAGTCCAATTGTTTCTTTAAGGTTTACATATTCTTTACCTTCGTGATGGTTTGTCGTCATAATTTTTAGGAGTTTAAGCGGCTGATAGACGATTGGTGAAGGTTTATCTGTCGGTTGGACGACCTCTGGCTCTTTGCTTGCTTCAATTTTTTGTAGCTGAGGTTTGCTTGCATTCTCTAATTTACTCATTTTATTTATCTATAATTTTTGGAAAAGTGTGTGAAAAATGGATCTTGATATAGGCTATCAGTGGAAAATTCAAATTAATTCCAAAAAAACAATGATTAGATTAAAATTAGAATAGGTCTTCGGAATTTATTTCACTCCTCTCCACCTTCATCGACTTCAAGCTCCTCGCCATAAGCACGGATTGTACTTACACCCTTTTCTGTCGATGCCACCAAAAATAGTGATTTCAGCATCACTCGGGGAGATGCACACTTCCTTGGACAACTCCTAGAGGTCTGCACCGTATTCCCGGAGATGGGAGGTAGGAGGCGACCCAGAATCACCCCTCTGACTTTCATTACCCTTCGCATCCAGAAGTGAGGAGCTGTCTTTGGGCTCTGACCTACTTGTCCAATCAGGGATAAAAAACCTAGTTCTGACACAATTCCAGGCCGTACCCCTAAGATATTGGAGAAGGACAGGTCGGATAAATCACAATTTTATTTATGTAAAAACCAATGAAGATACAAATTATATTAAAAATCAACCATTTATTAGTCGATTTAATGGCAGAACAATTTATTAGCCCAATATTATTAAAAACTACTTTTGTCGTTATCTTAATTAAGGAAGGCTTAAAGTGTTTTATAAATTTGTGATAATATATATGCGAGCAGCGAAAAAAATAAGCTAGGAGGAAAGTTAACAATCTTAATTTTATAATCCATAATTTACTTACATTTTTGTAAAAATTATAGAAAATATAGATGTATAAAAAATATATTACTTCCATTTTAGTTTTCGATATCTATGTCAAAAATAATCCAATCCAGAAGCCACAAAGAAATAATAAGCTCTGCAAGCTTGAAGGCAGAAATTATCTACCAACCTTTGAAGCTGCAGAAAAAAATGATCGAAAATTTTGATGAAAAGCAATCCAAGAGGCTTGAGTGCGTGAATGGATTAGTGTGAATTGATCCAGACACAAATTTTCGTGAAAGTTTTTGTAAAGACCTAATTTACAATACACAAATTGAATTTCTCATCGTCGTTGCAATGTATAATGAATCAAAAGAGCATCTTACCCATACGCTAAACGGTATTTCAGAAAACCTTGAAGAGTTCAAGTGCGCTGGAATCCCTCCTGAAAGAGTTTGTACAATCATCATCGTTGATGGGATGGAGCCATTTCTAAAAACTTTCTATAAGCCTGAAGAAAAGTTCTATTTTGAGCAGTTTTTTGATGAAAAGAAAATTAAGGACTTCTTCAAAGTCGAAAATCTGCTGGACTGCAAAATTCCTGAAGAAACTGAAGACGATGAGTTTGCGCACTGTTTTATGAAAACCCATTATAATTATAAGTACAAATATGGGATGCAAACAATCTTTTGTGTGAAGCAAAAAAACAGGAGAAAACTAAATACGCATTTATGATTCTTTGGAGGATTTTGTGAGATGTTTCAGCCAAAATATGTGATGCTTCTCGATGTTGGTACAAAACCTTTGCCTAAATCATTATTTTACCTATATGAAGCCATGGAAGAAGACGGGAGAATTGCAGGATGCTGCGGAGAAATCACTCCGATGGAGCCTAATGTTTGAAGTTTGCTTCAAATGGCTCACTCTCCCTTTTTAATTGGAAAAAATATCAGTGAAATCCACTTTCCTAGTAAGTTAACCTTCAATTCGGAATAAATTGTATTTTTTATATGTAAAAATAATATAATTTAGATACAAATCGCTCTAATAGATAAATTAAAGTCACCAAAATATAAATTTACCTATCAGATTTTCTAGTTTAAAAATAGGAATCATAAATAGAATACTATTTTAAAAATTAATTACTTTAATTAGATATATTTATTATTAATTTATACGCAGTAGCACATTTACTAGTCGATCGATTTAACCAGCATGTGTTTCTTGTTCTTAAAAAATAATTTGTTTTAAAAACAAAAATAGGATATGTGCTAAAATTGTATAATTTTTTTCAAAAAAATTCCTTTTAAACTTAAAAATTTTTAGTTTCAACACAAGGGGAGAGTTAAATGGTCGAGTATAAAATAAGTCATATTTTTGATAAGGCACTAGAAAGTGTAATAGGATATATCACTGTCTTGCCAGGAGCTTTCAGCGCTTACCGATGGAAAGCTTTGCAAGGTGATCCCTTATGGGAATTTTACTTCAAGTCTTTTTGCCATCCTGAAAAGATGGATGCTTTTCACTCGAACATTTACCTTGCCGAAGACAGAGTTCTTTGCCTAGCCCTTGTAAGTAAAAAAAACAATGACTATTTGTTGAGATATGTAAAAAAATCAGTTGCAGAAACTGATGTTCCTGATAAACTTTCAGTCTTAATGGCTCAAAGACGTAGATGAATAAATGGATCATGGTTTGCATTGATCGATACACTTAGGCGAGCAAGCTCCCTCTATCATTCCAATCATAGTCGGTTCAGAAAATGTCTTTTCTTTATCCAAATGGTTTATTATGCAGTAAACGTGGCTTGCAGCTGATTTAGTGTAGGCGCTTTCTTTTTAGCGTTCAATATATCTATGAGAAACTACTTTGATGGTAATTCAGCTCCTCAGTGGATAGGCAACTTGTTCGTGTCAGTCTATGTAACAGCAATCATTCTGATTATTTTTCTATCACTTGGTGTTAAGCCCCGAAAAGCAGAAGATGTATATAAAGTGATTTCCTACTGCTATGGCTTGTTTATGGTCTTTACCATTGCAATGATGATTATTTTCCTGTATCATTCTATTCAGAATTTCAATTGGTTCCTTCCACTCATAGTGGCTTCCTTTTTTATCTTTGGAATCACTATGATTCTTAATTGCGCAGCCCTGAAAGTTGTCAAAGGGGTGGTGCATTTTATATTACTGAGTCCAACCTATATAAATGTCTTTCTAATTTATGCTATTTGCAACTTTCATGACTGCACTTGGGGAAATAGACCTGACCAAATGACTGTAGAAGAAAAAAATAAGCTCGAAGAGTTCGAAGCCTTTCGCACACGGTGGGCTTCTGTCTGAGCCTTATGTAATTTAGCATTTGTATATTATTTGAATATTGCTGATAAAGAATCATCCGAAAACCGTGATATGAAGTGGTTTATTTACTCAATTGGCTTCATCGGATTTGGAATCTTGGCGTTCAGATTTATTGGAGCAATGCTTTATTTAATGCAAGAGCATTTCTGCACTCGCATTATGAAGCCAAAGAGTGAAAGTGATTGGCATATTAATGACTCCCCCTCCGTGAGTGAACAAAAAAATTTTGTTCACTCACAGAGGGGGGTTAATTCTTTTTTTAAAAAAATAATATATAAATTTGATAGAAAATTTTTTTTTTCGAAAAATTTTTAAAAAATCCTAATTTGCAAAAATTGTGAAGCAAATATTAATTTAATTATAAAAATTTATGTTTTAAAACGCAATTTGTTTAAAAATAAACAGAATTAGCTGAGATTTCATTATATTAATTATTACTTATATATCAAATGTTTTTTCATAAAAAATTTTTCTATTAAAAAATTTTTTGTTCACTCACGGTGGGGTTTTAGTCAAAAAATAGGGATTTTTCTAATGGTTTTGTTCACCCACGGAGGGGGAGAGTGAGGAAAAAGAAGAAATTGTACTGAATCATAAAGAAGCCTCTATCGTACCCTCTATTAATTATGAGAAAAAGAGATCCAGCTTAATTTCGGAAGAAAACCATTCAGAAAGGCATATGAATAGCATAGAAACGAAAGAAAATCAAGAAATTCAGCCTGTGTACAAGTTCAAAACGATGAAAGTAGGCGCGAAAGACAATTCCCCTATTAATGGCGAGGAATATTTGAACGATATCACAACGGATAGAGATGAAAGCGGAATTCAAAAAATAAGACGAAGAAAAACGCTTTTTGGCTTACTCGCGAAGAAAAAGTCTGATTTATAATGAATATATGCATTAACTTATTTTTTGGATTAACCTTGAAATTAAAATTACGACTTCCTGGTTTGCAATAAATAACCTAAAAAGGTTTTTTTACGCTGTTTAGAGCTCTGGGCAATATCTGATTCTTTAACCTCAATATTGTCTTTGGAAACATCTATGGTGTCCGACAAATTATTATTTTTCTTTTCATGGTCAGCGACAGATATAGAGCTGTCTTTACCTGCGATATCAGATAATGGATATTTTTCTAAGTCGTGACTGTTTTCTGCACTCTTATTCAAAATATTCGTTTCAATTTCCATATCAGACCTTCTCCGATCCTCACTCCTTTTGCTAATTCGTTCGAGTCTATTAGTTTCCCTTCTTGAAATTGCAGGTACTACACTAGGTAGGGTCTTCAGTCTTTTCTTGCAACAGAACTCTTGAATCAAATAAATTGTTGCTCCCAGAAATCTTAGCAGCATAATGATTAAGATTAAGATTAGCCGTTCGCACTTGCAGGGCCGGGATTTGCACCCCTTCACGCTCTTCGCCTATGGTGAGGCCTCAGCGGACACCCTCCTTGTTGCCTCAAACAAGGAATTCGCACAACGTGGGTTGTCTTTCCGAAAATCCATAAAAAATGGATTTTTCTGGTCGACTGTAGGTAGAAGGTAGAACTCGAAAGCCTGGGACGTAACGCCCAGCTTCACGCTAGGGAGTTGCCCGATTGGTCCAGAGGACTCTGCTGGGCTTCCCCTTTCCAACCTCCGTGCTCATCTTCCCCACGAGGAAAAAACCACCTCTGAATTTAGACTTGGGCTAGGCTCTGAACACAACCAGAATTGCTTACCTAGCATTGCTGTCCATTTCTGAAGTAGTAAAACCTTACCGGATATAAATAAAATATAAGTCGAGTATGCATGGCCGGGAGGCCATGCCCAGACGAAGACGCCATATTTTATTATATATAGCAGCATAATGATATATCCGATATATCCAACTGCATAGATAAACCATCTAGATGATGAGCCATCTGATGAAGTTTTATCTATAATATTCAAGTAATATGCAAATGCTGCATTGCATAATACCCAAATGACAGCCCATTTCGTGCGGAATTCTTCAAATTCTTCAAGCTTTTTCGTTTCTTCAGCAGTCATTTGGTCTGGCCTGCTTCCCCAGGTACAGTCGTGGATGTTGCAAATTGCATAAACAAGCAGCATATTTACATAGGTAGGAATCATTAAAACGAAATGAACGATTCCTTTCAGAATTGTTAAAAGCGCACAGTTGAGCATAAAAATAACAATAAACATACTCACACCGCTGAGAAGTACTGGAAGGACTCAATCAAAATCTTGGAGTTTAATGAAAATGTAAATTCCGACCATTGCTACTGTATAAACCATGAATAAGCTATAGCAATATGAAATAACTTTGAAAGAATGTTCAGCTTTTCCAGGTTTTACTCCAAGAGACATAGTAAAAACTATGATTATAATAGTGATATTAAGATAAGATTAAGATTAGCCTTAGCATTTGACAGAGCCAGGGATTTCCACCCTAAATGCTGTTCATTCAATAGGGATAGGATCCAGCAATACCCTCCTTGACACCACAGACAAGGGGTTCACACAACCATCTTGACTTCCGTAAGTCCTGGAACCTAAGGGCCGCCGCCTGGGTCGAGACTTCCCCTTTCTTGTTAGGCAGATGTCGTCTCTTGAGCCTCTGCTCGAGCAAATTATCATCAGTTGAGGGCTTTTGCTGGTTCTATCCTTTTCAATGGTGGCTCTGGAAGTAAAACCCTAAATCCCTGACAAAACCAAATCAGTCAGTATGCATAAAGGTTTTCCGGCCTCTTTTTGACCTTTTTCCTTCACGGGCCGTTGCCTATTGGCCTTGAAGAAATATGTCAATGGGCTGTCCAGTCTGTTAGCGCCATTTTTATGTATATATAATAATAGTGACATAAGCAACAATAAGTCAGTCTCCAAGCCAAATAAAATTTGGATAATTATTAAAAAAATGCCTTACTGCGATTGCAAAGGATAAAAAAAATGTTCCAACCATAAACCACGAAAAAATGACAATTCCTAAATAGTAAATCATTTGAAATGAAAAGAGCAGTTTTCTGCAGCAGCTGTGTTTTGATTCATAAATAGTGTTTGCTCTCCTAATAGAATCTATCAATGCAAACCAAGAACCGTTGATTCATCTACGCCTTTGCACCATTAATGAAGAAAGCCCATCAGGGACATCTGTTTCCGCAACCGAATTTTTTACATATCGTAGAAGATAGTTACAGTCCTTTTTACTTACAAGTGCAAGACAAAGGACTCGGTCTTCAGCAAGATAAATATTTGAATGGAAAGGATCCATATCTTCGGGGTGGAAAAGAGATTTAAAATAATGTTCCCAAAGAGGATCTCCTTGCAAAGCTTCCCATCTGTAAGCACTAAAAGCTCCAGGCAATACTGTGATATAACCTATAACACTTTCAAAAGCCTTATCAAAGATGTGAATTAGCTTATATTCTACTAATTGGGCCATCTCCACTAAATTTCAAAAATCAGGCTCCATTACTGTAATTTCTCCACAGCAGCCAGCAATTCTCGGATCAGTTTCCATTGCTTCATATAAATAAAGCAGTGATTTCCTCAGAGGTTTAGTCCCTACATCAAGCAAAACCACATACTTGGGTTGGAACATCTCGCAAAACCCTCCAAAGAACCACAGATGAGTATTTAACTTTCTTTTATTTTCTTGCTTTACGCAAAAAATCAATTGCAGATTATGCGGGCTATCTCCAAATGGTTCGCTTTTCATAAAGCAGTGAGCAAATTCATCATCTTCAGCTTAGTTTGACACAAATAAAAAGGAGACTTATCTTGCCTGTCCTTCTTCTATATACTAGGAGCTTTTTTGATTTAAGAGGGACGGGACTTAAAAATTGTATCCGGGCAAGGGTTTTTTTTATCCCTGGTGGGACACCACTACAGGGATTTTTCCCGACTTAGAGACAAGTAGACCAGAGCCGCATGACAGCTCCACACTTCGTGGTGTGAATGATAATAGAAATCAGAATGAAAATATTGGGTCATCTCCTACCTCCCATCTCCGGGTAGATAGTGCTGACCTCTAGGAATTGTCCAAGGAAGTGCCTGGGTTCGTCCTTGAGAGATGCTGACTTCAGCATTTTCTGGTGATGTCGATAGTAAAAGGCGTAAGTGTAGCCTGATGCTTAGGACGAGAAACCTGAAGTCAGTGAAGGCGGAAAAGGCTGAAATAAACCCTAAAGACCTATTTTAATTTTAATCTAATCTAATCAGCTTGATTAGGTATTTTGCAGTCTAATAAATTTTCAACCTTAAAAAAATGTTTAATTTCTTCTTCATTGAAAAATTCCTGGAAAAAGCTTTTTTGTTTACTATAAGTTTCTAAAAAGGCTTTCATTCCATCTACTATAACAACGACACAAATTTTTTCTGGAGGAATTCCAACTTGCCGAAAATAATCTAGATTTTCAGAAATCCCATTAATAGTGTCTTTGAAGCTTTTAAGGTTTTCATTGTACATTGATACAGCGATTAAAACTTCTACTTTAGTTTTTTCGCAATATATTAGGTTTTTAAAAAAACTATCATGAAAATTTGTGTCTGGAGAAACTCATTTCAGCCCAGAAACTTCACTGATTGCTTTATTATTTATAGTACTCATTGTTTTGAATAGAAGCATGGGCTGGTATATTAGCTCTGACGAATCATTAGATGCTCGGTTAGAGTTTCTTTCTTTTGTCGAGGATCATCTTCTAAAGCTCGCTTGGGTTGCTTCGTTATACATAGACATTTCTTCTGCAATTTATGAGAAATTATGCATTTTATCATTCCTATATGTTTATGGGCGATTTCTGAAGATAGGAAAGAATTTATAAAATTTTTGGGAGTTAAATTTTAAAACAATGTTTACTTTAAAAAATTGTTAATTTAAATCCTACCATAAGCTGATTTAATTAAAATCTAATAATTAGCACTACTTTTGAATTTTCTAGAATCTAAAAACAAAAAACTACTTTTTGTGATTATTTGTGCATTTTTAAATTGTTTGAATACAGATTAATAAGTTAAAATATGCGTTTTTCTATAGTATGCTTTTCCCTATTCTTTGCCTTTTTAGTAGTATAATACGTCTGCAGATAATCTAACTTAATTTTTTATTTATTAATTATAAATCTTCAATATTGAAATCGAGTTTAATCACTTATTTTGCAATAATATATTTTGAGTATTCAGCATAATATGCATTTAATTTAAGAAGGGATATACTTTAATTGAATTGCTAACCTTTTATATCTTAGATTATTGGGATATGGCTTTCTTCGATTATGAAAATAGAGTATTCATAATTCATTTAAGTATTGTGATATATTTCTTTGAGCCTTAAGCAAAATTTATCAGTTCTTAAAAGTAATAAGAAGCTAACTCTCCTCTCCATCTGCGAACAAAACTATTTGGAAAAATCCATATTTTTGGGTAAAAATCCACCCTCCGTGAGTGAAAAAAAAAATTTATGAAAAATATTTTGATATATAAGTAATAACTATTATAATTAAATCTCTAGATAATTCTGTGCAGCTTGCATTTTAGGGCATAAATTTTGCAAATTAATATTTGCTTTAAAATTATTTAGAATTGGATTTTTGTAAATTTTGATAATTTATATAGCTAAATTTTTAAAATAATTAATGTTCCTCCATGAGTGAACAAAATTTTTTGTCACTCATGGAGGAGGGAAAGTAAGAAAAATTAATAAATACCATATCATTCCTTAGCTTTCTTATTCTGGAATTCATCATATAAAGTATAGCAATTATCTCTTAAATATTGAATTCATAGCTTATGCATGCTTTAATTTTAGAAAAATATATCAATTTTGAATTTCATCTTATTTCAAATATCGTTAATTTTTAAAAATCAAATGGCAAAAGTTCCTATCCAAGTCTACATCCGCTTTCGTCCTCTTTCTCCTCGAGAATTCGACCTCGGTGAAAGCATAGTTTGAAATCTAAACAAAAACACTGTTTCCATAGAATCTGATGAAATAAGTATTTTAACTCAAGAGCGGAGGCTTTCTCCCAACTATAATCCTACCTTTCATTTTGATCACTGTTTTTCATGGGAGGACAACAACTCAGTGGTCTATAATAAAGTAGCTCGAGAAGTTGTTTTATCAGCTTTAGACGGCTATAATGCAACAATTTTCGCATATGGGCAAACAGGATCTGGAAAAACTTTCACTATGCTTGGAGAACAAGAAGAAATTCAAGAGTCATTAGTACTGACTCAAAGAATTGCTAATATTTCTGATGATGATTGCTTGAGAATAAAAAACTCACAAAAAAATTCACCAACAAAGCAGCCAACCAAGCTTGATACCACAAAAAGATTTGAACAAAAGAACAAAGGTATTATAGTAGCTGCCTTACTCCACCCCATCATGAATGAGCAAAAAAACTATTGAAAAATCCTATTTTTTGGAAAAAACACCATCTCTGATGAACAAAAATTTTTTAAATATAAAAAATATTTAATATATAAGCGATAAATTATTATCTATTCTTATGAATTTTAAATAGCATGCATTTTAAAATTTAAATTCTGCAAATTAATTTATTTTCAATTCTTGCACACTGGGATTAAAAAATACTCTCATCTGCAAGTGAGCAAATTTTTTACTGCTCCCTCCTAGGGCACGAGTTAGAAGATATTTTTTCTGCTACTCAAGATTGCTGCGACAGCAGATTTTTCTTTACTTGCTCTTATATGGAAATTTACAATGAGCATGTATATGATTTATTAAAAAACCCAGAAGAATTCACCAATGAAATTCTTAATGTCATTGAAGGCCCTGACAAAGAGTTTTTCGTAAGAGGCCTTGGCGAGCAAGTCGTGAACTCTATTGACGAAGTCCTTGAAAAGTTAGCAAAAGGAGAAGAAAATCGGCATTATGCAGCCACCAACTTAAATCACCATTCTTCAAGATCACACACAATTTTTAGACTTAATGTAAGAAGCTTGAAAATGATTCCAAAGCAAAAAGTGCAAGACGAAGACGAGAGCTTTGAAAATCTCGCAATTGAAAGTGTATTAAATTTTGTAGACCTTGCAGGTAGTGAAAGAGTCAATAGTGTGCAAGCTGTTGCTGAAACTGAGAGAGGAAGAGGTGGCCAATTTTCGGTGATTTCTACAAAATCAGATATCGATAAAGTATTGGCAGAAGGGAAAAATATTAATACAAGCCTTTTCTATCTTTGCCAAGTCATTAACAAGCTTTCAGAGAAAAAACTGGGAATCATCAAAAATGACTCCCACATACCATTCCGAAATTCCAATTTAACTAAAATATTGAGAAGCTCTTTAGGAGGAAACGCAAGAACTTGCATTATATGTACAGCTACTGCAGCAAGATCCCAGTTTGAACAGACCCTAATTCCCCTCCCTCCGTGAGCGAACAAAAAAAATTTTAAAGAGGGAGTTAATTTTATTTTGAAAAAATTATATATTAAAGTTTGCTTTACGAAATTTAAGAATTCATATCTGCAAAAATTTGAAAGCAAATATTAATTTAATTTTATAAAATTTATATTTAAAATGCAAACTGTTTAAAATTAAACAGAATTATATAAAAAATTTAATTATATATCTCATAATATTTTTTAATATTAAAAATATTTTTATTCACTCACAGATGGTGGGCTTTACCCAAAAAATAGAATTTTCCAGTAGTTTTGTAGTTCACAGAGGGGGCGAGTAAGCACTTTGAGGTTTGGAAACAGTGCTAGAAGTATAACAAATAAAGTTAGAGCAAACATTAGGACAGAAACCAATACGCAATTGCTACTGACATATGAACAAGATATAGCCAACTTAAAACGAGAAGTCGAACTTGCATACCAAAAAGACAAGCTGTTTAGCCATGAAATTTCGAACGTGAAGCAACAACTGGAACAAAAAGTCAATCATCTCTGTAAGAAAGTCTATGCTAAATATCAGCCAAATATAGAATGATATACAATTGAAAAGACTATTAAGTCATGGGCTCCTGGAATTGGAGAAGTTTTCTTATCAAAGCATTTGTATAAAGAAAATATTTTGCATTGGGATTAAGATTAAGATTAAGATTACGCTGGGTATTTAAGGTCCCTACTACGTCCGAGGTCGCATGCCACGGTTTCCCGTGTGGTGGCAGAGCGTTCACCAAGCCCGGGCCGAAACCCCCGGTTTCTCGGTAGAGGTATTGTCAAGGGCCGTCTTATACCGGCTTTGCTGACCACCTCCATTTCCAACTTGGATCGTCGCCTAAGTTTACGCCAACTCCGCTTCGTCGTCCGCCAGATCTGCCCATTGAAGGGCACCTTTTCAACTGGAGAGACCCCCGTCTCGATGTCTAACTCGCCTCCCCTCTTTTCCGGTCATCCCGAGAAAGAACTCAACAGCTTTCGCCATTCGGGGCGAGCCACTAAAGCAGCTTAGGCAGGTAATTCACCCTGCCTCATTTCGGGCACTCACTGGGCTGAGCGCTGCTGGCAAAAAGAAGTCACGAATAACTGCCCATGGGTCTGGTCGCAAAAACAGCGGTTCTCGCGCTTAGGCCTCTCGCTTCGAGGTCCCGGACGTTGTTGGGCTAATTCCTGGCTCCAAAAACCATGCCCGGATATACATGGGTAACCACCACTGGGAGGGTGGGTCGGTCGCCATACGCCATTTTATGTATATTTGCATTGGGATAATTATGATTTACATCAATTTGAAGGAGGCAATCATCCAACCTCTTGGCGAAACTTCCTTAATACCTGTAGAGAAAGCCAAGATGAATGAGCCAAATAGAGAAATAGTGATTCCTAATGTATCTGGAAGAGTTTTTTCTTCGTGCAAAAGGGTATGATACCTGGGACAAGGAATTTTCCTTCAGGAATGGATTTGGAAAGAGTACAGTAAGCTATGTCCCCGAGATTAAGTTTGATCTCTACTCAATTTATAGACTCTGAAGATGGCAGGTGCCTAGCGTGATACTGGGAGCTATGCTACAGATCCACTACCTAAGAAGTCAGAAGCCCTGATACAAGTCATAATGGTGGAGCCTGAAGCTAGGTAGCGGTGTTAGTCAGAAGTCTTCAGCGACGGATGAACTTGTAGAGGTGGAATCCTCGGCCTGCTCTAAGCAAGCCAGTTAATTTAATTTAATAGGGATAATTATGAATTTAGTGAGGAAGGGTATGAGTGTGTCAAGAACTTGAAAGAAGCTTCTGCCACTAAAAAGCAGCTCTTAACTCCGCCTCTTGGCTAACGAATGAAAACTCTTAATCACTAAACAAGGGAGTTAGTTTTTTTTTCCAGTAAAAATTATCATTATAATAATTAATTATATATCAAATTATAGTTGTAAAACAAAATAAAAATCTTTCTCGCTAATCAAGGGTAAATTGCTTTAAATCGGGCTTTCTAATGGCTTTGCTCGCTAGACCAGTGGTAGTAAGAAAATTAGGGGACTTAAAAAACTCATCAAGCTGCCTGGGATTAGCAAACCTTTCACTCCAAAAAGAGCTAGAAAAGTACAAAACTCTTGTTGAAGGAGAACTGACCGAAAAGAAATCATTGCAAACTGAATTAACTGAAATCAAAAAGGAAATCGTAGAGCTGCACGATTCAATTGATATGTATGAAATTGGGAAAGGCCTGGAAGAGCTCAGTGATGAGAAGCTAGCTGAATTCGAGCGCAGCATCTTGCTTAGGATTGATAACGTGAAACAAGAAAGAGCACTGAGAGGATACACAGCATTAATAAAAAAGATCCAAGCAAAAGTTATAGGCCAAGTCGATGATGAAACTTTTAGGCAATTATTTGGAAGCACAGACCTTGACTGGGGAATTAAATCAATTGAAGCAGCAAACCCGTCAAGGAGCAATCTCGATACGTCGATAAGCACTGTAAATACAGAGTCTCCACTTCCACTATCACTTTCTTAAGTTATAATTTTTCAAATAAATTTTAGCAATAAATAATCATCTATAAGCAACATTGAGGAGTGTGCAATTATCTAATGAATCTAATTTATTGATATGGGGCTCAATATATACAAAACCAGTTTTAAAACTCAAGAGTTGTTTTAATTATAGCAGCAACAAAAGAATGGCGAAATAATTAGAACATGGACATTTTCCAGTATCTGAGAGTAATAAAACTTATCTGAGCTGTAAATAATTATTTATGGGAGCTATCTGTACCAAACAGTCTTCAATCAAGGTGCGCAATTGCATGATAGAACGAAGCCGGAGAACTAAAACGGCTGTATTAGGAGAATTAAGCACCGAAAATGGCTCATGCAAGCTTGACATTTCATCAAGTGCTCTTTATCAAAACCGAATAAAAAAGCTAAAAAAAGATGGGAATAATTTCTCAGTTCTTCAGATTAGAACTCCAAGTGCAGATTCATAAAATATAACTTAAATTGATGTATTTTTATATATTTCACTAGAATTTACTGCTATATTTTCACTCATTAATAAAAACAAATACTTAGTGCTTATAAAAAATATAAAATGGAAAATCATGAGCAGGAAATTCAATATTGAAAAGATCGCTATTTTAGCATTTTAAATCAAAACCAAGAACTCAGAGACCAGAACAAAGAACTATTTGAAAATTTGGCTAAGGCTAATCAACTGATTAATGATTATCGATTCAAAATAGATGAATACGAGCAAGAATTATCAATAAAAGAAAATGTTCGATCTCCATCTACTATGACTCCTTCAGATGGCATTGAAGACCTCGCAAAAACACTCTGTGCTTCAAATAACTCAATCCAAGTCTCCATAAACAGAGCCCTAACTTTCAGGCGTCAAGTTGCTAACCCCCCCCCCCTCCGTGAGCGAACAAAACCATTAGAAAAATCGCCATTTTTTTGACCAAAAACCCACCCTCCGTGAGTGAACAAAAATTTTTTTAATAGAAAAAAATTTTAATGGAAAAAATTTTGATATATAAGTGATAATTTATTATAATGAAATCTAGAGCTAATTCTGTTTAATTTTAAACAAATTGCGTTTTAAAACATAAATTTTGCAAATTAAATTAATATTTGCTTCCCAATTTTTGCAAATTAGGATTTTTTTAAATTTCGAAAAAAATATTTTTTATAAAATTTATATATAAATTTTTTTTAAAAAAAAAAAATTAACCCCCCTCCGTGAGCGAACAAAATTTTTTTGTTCGCTCACGGAGGGGGGGGGGAGTAAGGAATATGGTCCTGGTAGCCGATCAAAATCACTGCCTTCTAATTTCCAAGAAGAAATCCACTCTCCTGCTGGGCCAGCCAAGATGTATGAAGAGTTTTATATTTTAGGTGTCAAGCCAGAAAAAGCCAGCTACGTCGGTAATCTTGATCCTGAAATTCTTTTCCAGTTCCCCCAGCGAAACATCTTGCCTTCAAGTCCCCAAACCAGAGTGATTGGCAACTTTTGCTTTCCAAATGGAAGTAAAGCAAAGTTCATCAAGTTCAACGAATCTGTAAGCAGGATAAATGAAGTCATTTATACGCAGTACGACAGAAATAACCATTTGAGCTTTGTATTTACCTTGAAATCTGAAGGGAATGAGAAAAAGTTCGATTTTAATGAGATGGCGAACAGTGATAAGGAGGTTTTGTATTGCTGCTGTGTAGTTGTTGATGATTTGTTATCTGATGACGAAGTGGAGGATGAGCAGATTTTAGCTCCCAAATGCTATTGCATTGTTTCTTATTGTCCTTGCTTTGAGCTCCACTTTGGAGTGCTCTATAGCTTGCTGTCAATTAAAAAGATTCAGAGACAGAGCGATATTTCTCTAGCTGAACTCACACATATAAGCAGCCAGTCTATAGAGGAAATTCTGCAAAATGAACAGATTATGAATGATGAGCAGCTTGGGCTACTTGAAGAGTACTACTCTGCATATACTTTCAACCCAGGGGAGCAGATTTTCATCAATTTACAGTCAGTTGATGGAATTGAGTATGATATCCCTCAAGATTTATCTAGGCTTGATGCTCTATGATTTTGCCCCTTGCTATTTTCGCTACTGGAGTTCAATGACTTTTTCTTCCTTCTATGTGCAATTATGCTGGAAAAGTCTGTTATTTTTGTGAGCTCAAACTATGATATTGCAAGCAGCTGTGTCTTAGGGTTTCATGCAATGCTTAGACCATTTTCTTGGCCTCACTTGATTACACCAATTTTGCCAGATTCACTAATCTCATTATATTATAATAAGGAATGAGTTTGCTTTAAGTGGGATATAGATTTTTTCAAAAATGATAAAATAAAAGAAAAAAGTTGTATAGATAATTTCTAAAAAGTTTTATAGAATTTGCACGATATAAAATAAGAGAGTAAGAGATGTATTGGAAGCTCCAGTACCATTTCTTATAGGACTTCCATCTCCTCCTCCAGCAACTCATAAGAAATATTCTCATATTATTTGGGTCATGCTTGACGAGCCCAAAATATCTAAAAGAGTACTAAAATCCAGCTCGGTCGCAAAATCAGTCAAAGAGCCTTATGCAAATGACATTAAAAAGTACCTTTTTGTCATCTATAAAACCTTCCAAGGGCATCCTTGCTTTTCTCCATCAGCAGAGCAGCAAGAATGTGCACTGAGGATTATCCAAGAAATTAAACGATTTTGGAGAAATATTATTGACATGCTGCCACCTAAACCACCAAGAATTGCTGAAGGCACATTTTTAGATATTGAAGATATAGGAAATATTATGCTGAAAAAAGCTAACAAGCCTGATTTGGAATTTTTAGAAAATTTGATTATGTCCCAGTTATTTATAAATACTGTGGAAGAGTGCTATGGACTGAGGTAGTTGTAAAACCTACACACTGGATAACCTATCTTAAATATTTACACTAATTTAAAAATAGATTTAATTAGTTAGTTTACTATGTTATTATTTATTTCCACAACACTTTTTCTTCTTCTTTACAGTAGTTGGCTTAAGCCCAATTGTGTGTTGGACAGGCTTGGGATCATCATCCTGCTTTTCAAGCCATTTCTCATACAAAATTGTGCAAAATTTTGTGAATACTTCTTGGACATTTTGTCCACTTTTTGCTGAGGTTTCTAAGAAACCACTCAATTCATGCTTTTCAGCGAATTCTTTGCCATCCTCAGCACTTACTTCTCTAGGTTGCTCTCCGTTCTCAACTAAATCAACTTGATTGGCGACTAGAAAAATATCAGCATCCTGAGAAGAATTTTGCCTGATCTCATTGAGCCAATATTCGCAACTTTCAAAGGTATGCCTCGCAGTCGTATCATATACCAATAAAACTCCGTCAGCTCTTCTATAAAAGCTTCTCGTCACACTTCTGAAGCTTTCCTGGCCAGCGGTGTCCCAGATTTGTATTTTAATCGGTTGCCCTTTAATTTCAATTGACTTCGTTCCAAATTCTACTCCAATGGTGACAGTGTGTGTTTCCTTGAACATGTTTTCGCTAAACCTCAGCAGTAAGCAGGATTTCCCTACTCCAGTGTCTCCAACAATAATGACCCTAAAAAGCAGTTCTTGATCCATAGTTTAAATTTTCTTAATAATCTTGCTTAATGGAAAGAATTCATCTTGACAACTCAGCAGCACGTGCAGTTCAAGCTTACATTGAATATGAAAATATTGTTGGTGGTGCAGACGGTGGAAAACTTTTGTCCCCAGAAGAATACGAAGAGTTCAAAAAACAAGTCGCGGCGCAAAGGGCAAATAGATTATTTGTATACTGAAGCAACTCTTCTGGGCTTGAGTGCAAAACTATAGGTCCTCACTCTAAATGCTTCTGCAATCATAGATATAAAGACCATTTCACAGATGACGTAAGCACAAAGAAGGTCCCGTGTAGGGTACCAAAGTGTAAATGCAAGCAATTTGACTATGTCCCTGTATATGGTTCGAATGATCTAAAGTGCTTGTGCAAGCATTCTTATACGACTCATAACCCAGCAAATAGAAGGTGTGAAAAGCCAGGCTGCAAGTGCAGCCAGTTCTCAAGTACGCACAGCTGTACATGCAGTAGGCATTATAATGATCATGAAACCAAATTTTATAGCAAGCAAGAGCGGCAAGCGATGGGAAAGCCGACGGATAACCTGGGTGGAGGAGGAGAGCTTTATGCAGCTATGGGAGGGTTGACTGATTTTTCTGATCTAGTTGATGGGATTGAAAGAGAAGCGGTAGAGCCTGTAGAGTATGCAGGAAAAAGATATGAACTAACTGGGGCAAGCAGAAGAGCTGTAGAGGCGCCAAAGCCACAAAAGGGTGAAAGGCAGGTAAGGAGAGAAGGATTCACACCTTTGGAGCTTTATAATATGCCCCATAGACTTGGGAAATAATAGAAAATGGATATTATATAAAGAAGAGTGCTTTTGAGAGCTACTTATCAATAATCCTAGCTTAAGATGCTGATAGAAGATTTAGATACGGGGTAAAGGATATTTATATTTTTTTCGAAGATATCAAACCTGAAAAGTGCTTTATATGGCTGCTTACTATTAAATAAATTAAAAAAATCATTTTTATTCTTAAAAAGCATTAGCTATTTACCAGATTTAGATTTAACGATCAGTTATCAATTTAAATTAGCAAAATATGTAACTCTTTGCCTCATCCAGGTCATGAAGGCCTTCCTTTTATTTCTTTCTATGTCAGAATCGAGAACCCATATTTTCCGTAATAAAAATGATCATCGATGAAATTCAAAAGGCCTGTAGGCTAGATGACCTTGAGGTGCTAACTCCCCCTCATGAGCGAGCAAAAACATTTTGTTCGTTCACGGAGGGGGTTAATTTTTATATTTTAAAAAAATTATATATAACTTATATAAAAATTGGAAACAATATTTATTTAATTTTGTAAAACTTATGTTTTAAAATGATTTTTTTTTTAAATTAAACAGAATTAGCTAGAGATTTCATTATACCAACTATTACTTGTATATCAAAACTTTTTGTTCGCTCACGGAGGGTAGGCTTTTTGGACACAAAAAATAGGGATTTTTCCAATGTTTTTGTTCTCTCATGGAGGGGGGAGTAAGAGACGCACTGGGCCAATGCCCCAAATCAGTCGACGAGCCAGACTCAAAGCTCGGTTGGGCTCCTCTTTACCGCACAGTGATGAGTGGGCACTTCAATTCATCTGAATTTCTCTTGCAAAATGGTGCCAACCCCAATGTTCAAAATCGCCTCGGAGAAACTCCACTTCATCAAGCTGCTGACGGCAACTTACTCCGAATTGCAGATCTTCTGCTAACTTACCACGCGGATCCAAATATTCAGCAAAATGACGGCGACACCCCTCTTCATCTTGCAGCCCAAAAAGGCCATTCAAAAATGCTCAAGCTTTTGCTTGATCACGATGCAGATCCAAACATCCAAAATTTTGTGTTTGGAAAAACTGCGTTGCATTATGCAATAGAAAAACGATTTTTGAATTGTGTGCAGTTATTAATTGAATGAGATGCAAACCCCTTAATTAAGGACCGTGGAGGCAGAAACGCTTTTGAAAGTGCGGATAATGATGATATCAAGAACTACCTATCAAGAAAATGTGAGCAAGATACTGAAGTAAAGTTATTTGAAAGCTATGAGGATAGTTCAGAAATAAATGAGCCTGAATGTGAAAGAACTACAACAAAAATCAAGAAAAAAGCACAAAGTATTGGGTTTTCGTCATTTATTGATGAAAAAGAAGCCATGAAGAATTCGCTATATCAGTGACTCGCTTCCAAAAAGTTGGATACGTGCTTTGGCGTGTTATATCAAAATGGCTTTGATGATTTGGAATGTATATTTGAACAAATGAGGTCAGAAATGCCGCTGAATAATGAAGTTTTGACTATCATTGGGATTCATAAGCCAGGCTACCGATATCGGCTTTTGGCATGACTTGAAGAGGACTGCAAAAAGCCGCTTTCGAACCTGAACAATAAAAACTCCTTACTCCCCCCCCCCCTCCGTGAGCGAACAAAACCATTAGAAAAATCGCCATTTTTTGACAAAAAACCCACCCTCCGTGAGTGAACAAAAATTTTTTTAATAGAAAAAATTTTAATGGAAAAAAAATTTTGATATATAAGTGATAATTAGTATAATGAAATCTAGAGCTAATTCTGTTTAATTTTAAACAAATTGCGTTTTAAAACATAAATTTTGCAAATTAAATTAATATTTGCTTCCCAATTTTTTGCAAATTAGGATTTTTTAAATTTCGAAAAAAAATATTTTTTATAAAATTTATATATAAATTTTTTTTAAAAAAAAAAATTAACCCCCCTCCGTGAGCGAACAAAATTTTTTTGTTCGCTCACGGAGGGGGGGGGAGTTAGCATGGTGCACCAATCCCATTTCATCCCCAGGTCTCCAACTGAGTCCTACAATTGAAGAGTGGCTTGCTTCAATTAGTTTAAAGCCTCTGTACAAGAAGTTTTGCAACTCAGGCTTCGATGATTACGACCAAATAATTTTCCTTATGAAATCTAATTACCCAATCACAGAAGCAATTCTGGAGAAAGAAGTGGGAATTGACAAAATCGGCTACCGACAACGAATTTTGACGAAGCTGAGAGAAGAAGCTTTGATTTGTAAAAAGAGAACAACCACTGAAAAAGAGTTTAATGGAACTGCATGCCAGTCTTGTGTAATTATCTAATTATCATTCTTCAAAAACCATTTCTCTCTAATTCCTGCATAAAACTGTTCTTTTCCTTCCTCATTTTCAACGCTAACTGGAGCTTCTAGCTTTTCCATTGTAATTAGCCTCCTTGATATTTTTTTGGACAAAATATTTTCAGAGTTTCCTACAAGCTTCAATAAAGGATGAGTGGGAACTGCATCCTTAGAGTAAGAATTTCTTATCGTTGGAAGCAAATATACAAGCCTTCCACCAACTCGTAGCAGCCTAGCGGCTAAGTTCAATAAATCTTCAAACACTCTTGCCCCATGATAGCTATCTCTTGGTAAAATTGTCCCCACTGCATCTTTTTTTATCTTTTTTGAGCTAGCCCGGACTCCATATGGAGGATCACAAATAATAGCATCGAAAATCTCCCCAGACTTCCAGCAACTTCTGGAGGTATCACAGCAAATGATTTCTGGCTTTTGGAAGCCATAATTGACGAAATTTGTGAAAATGTCGGCTTCAGTGTTTTTTGTCGATCTCCCCACTCCTAAGCCTTTTAAAACCCTTACATCAATATCACCACCAAAGCAAGTAGCACCAAAATGTGAAGCTGCAATTAAAATCCCACCTGTCCCAACAAAAGGGTCAAGAACTAAAGAATTTTCCAAAACTTTCCCTTGGTTTGCCATAAGCAGTGCCAGCTCCATATCGGTTGTGGTCGGGCCTAAATACTCTCGGTCAGATAAGCTGTATTTTGCATAGAATCTTGTCCTCGTGTCCTTCGATCTTGCTATTTCGAGTCCAAAGTAGCATTTGCTTTTGCTTATGCTGACAATGAATTTTCGCTCAGGAGATCTCAGGTCGACTGTTCCTTTAAATGGTATGACACCAAACGATTTAACGATGGATTCTTTCTCTTCTTGGGAAACACTGCTTTGATATGTATCAAATCTGAATGCAAATGGACTTTCTGCTAATATAAATTGAGCAGCTTCAGGATCATTATTAAATCTCTGAAGTGTATTTTCTACTAAACTGCTTATTGAGTCAGCTTCGGCAAGCGGGAAAGTGAATCTCTCAATGCAAACTCCTCTCTTCGCTATATGCTCTGCAGCACTCACATTTGGAAGATTTACGTAGATGAAGGGTTTCTCAGTGATTTGAGGTAAAAAATGCTCACAATAGTCGTATTCTGTATAAGTTTTTGGAAGATTGTAAGTGGAAAAAAGAGTCTCTGGACATATTCCGTGGATTGAAGAAAGTGAGATGAGTTCGCTGACACAAAAATCAATGAATTTTTGCTTACTCCCTCCTTAAGTGAGCAAAAAATCGATAAATTCTCCCTGAAGGGATTAACTTCCTCCTTACTCCCCCCCATCCTTGATCGAACGATTGAATGTAAAAATTCTAAAAATTGGGGAAATTAATCCCCATCCTTGATCGAACGATTTTCATATCATGCAAATTTTTATATATATAAAAATATAATAGTCATCAAAAGCTTGGGAAGATGTACCTAATGAAGTTGTTTTCAGAGACTTTGAGACGATAGAAAGCTTCGGAATCAACTATTCAAAGTAATTTTAGTCATCAGCATGGGCTTAAAAACTCAATAATCTAATAAAATAGAGATTTTTTAAAATTTTTAAAAAACAAATTTTAATTTAATAAGTAACAAATTAAAATTTATACAGTTTAAAGGGGTAACTAATAAATTAAAATATAAAAAATTGTTATTTTTATGAAATTAATTCAATTTTTTGCTGTAAAAATAATTATTAAATGCTCTTAACCCTCTTATTTAAAAGTAAATAAAAAAAATTTGTATATATATTTTATTTTATATATAAAAATTTTTTTTAACCCCCATCCTTGATCGAACGATGGCGAGTCGTTCGATCAAGGATGGGGGGGGGAGTTTAAAAAAATCAAAAATTCTTAAAATATTTGATAAAGATAAGTAATACTATTATAATAAAATTTTAGCTAAATCTATTTAATTTTAACAAGCCTATATTGAAAAAATAAATTTTATTTTAATTAATTATTAATTTTGATTTTAGGTTTCGAGAAAAAATGTTTACTAAAAATTTATTTATAAAATTTAAAGAATAATACTCCCTTATATGATCGAGTAAACATTTGTTGAGTTAGCATAAATACTGCATAAGTAAGACTTCATTGTGATTATTTAAAAATTATCTCATAGAAGCAAACTTTTGAATTTAAATAATTTATTAACTAAATTAGTATTTTTCTAAACTTGCTTTAAGTTGGCTAAGTGAAAGTGCAGAACTTCTTCTTTCTGGGCTTTCTTTTGCTCTTTTACTAAGCTCTCCAGTTTCTTTTTCTAGTGCTTTGGCTTGCTTTACACTCTCCAAAGTCGATTGATATGTTTTTACAAGTTTTCCTCTTACTTCCTTTTCTGATCAACAAAGCTATTTTGAAAATCCATTCTCTTTAGCAAGGAAAAATGTTTTAAATAATTATTTTTTAATTTTTGATATATAAGTAGTGGCTATTATAATTAAATCTTTAATTAATATATTTAATTTTAAAGATTGCATTTTAGGACAGAAATTTTATAAATTAAACTTTTACTCTCAAATTTTCGCGAATAGGATATTTTTAATAAATTTTAAAATCTTTAATTAAAAATTTTACTTTCTAAAGGAAAGTGGGAGTTAATTCATGCAATTGCTGAGTATCAAAGCTATCAGATTGATCTTGGAGTTCTTTTTTAAGCTCCTCCTTATCTCTCTCAAGCTTCTCAATTATATCATTTTTCAATTGTAATTCTCCTTTGATTTTCTTCATTTCCCCTCTCAGGCCTTCTATTTCACTCAATTTTTCACTTCTGAATTTCTGATATTTTTGCTTATCTTCAGCTATGCTGCATTGCAATTCTACAGCATTGGCTTCAATACTATTGAATAATTCTATTGATTTCTCTTCTAATATGACAATGGAGTTCTGGAGTTTCTTAATGATACCTTTCAAATTTAGTGAATTTCTCGCTTCTTTTTCTAATTCCCTTTCAGATCGATTTAGGTTGGATTCATAGTTTTTGGCTAGGTTTTCAATTTCAAGAGCATGGCTATTTTGTAGCTCAGCAACTTGGCTTTGGAGCCGCTCCATTTGGCGTTCTGACTGGATTTTGATGTCATCAACCATTTCTTTGTACCTGGACATTTCTCTATTGTATTTATCTTGAATTGCATTTTGCTTGTCTTGCAGATCTTGTTCCATCGAAGTTCTCAATCTATATTGTACATCAATGCTTTCTTGGCGAGAGTTTTCAATGCTCTCATATGTTCTTCTCAACTCTTCTTCTAGCTTTTGCTTGTCCTCTTCTAAGGCTTTTCTTTGATTCTGGAAATCATCAACTTTTTGTACGAAAATTCCCATTTCAGCGTTTTTGCTTGATATTTCATCTTTCAGGGCAGCAATTGAGGCTTTCAGATGGTCAATATTTGTTTCATAAATCAAACTTTTGGCTGTAAAAGTCTCATTTAGCTCATCTTCCACTAAAATGGCTTTTCTTTCTAGGTTCTTGATAATTTCATCTTTTTCGCTCAGTAGGCTTTCATTCATTCTTCTTGATCTGCTTTGATTCTCTTCAATTGTACCAATAGCGTCAGAAACCTGCTGATGAAGGCTTTTCTTGAAATTATGCAAATCTTGAAAAGAATTTTTGGATAAATTTTGGAGTTCGTTTCTGAATCGTTCTAAAGTTCCTTTAAGTGCTGCGTTGGCAGTTTCATATAGTTTTCGCTTTTCTTCTTTGACTTTATCCAGTTCTTTCTTTAGTTTTATGCTTTGATTTTGCTTTTCGCTGCTGGACGACTCAAAAAAGTTGACTGACTTCTTGAGTTCTGCAGTTTCTCGTTCATACTTGTTTATGAGTTGCCGCAGTTCTTGGACTACAATTTGATTATTTTCTAGCTCAGACTCTAAAAATTTGCATTGATGCTCTTGCTGAATTAAAGATTTTTTGGTTTCCATGTGTTCAGCTGCTAATTTTTCGAGCTTTTGGTATTCTTCTTGCTTAATCCTTTGAGTTGATACAAAGAATTCTTGGGATTCGCGTGAATAGCTTTCAAAAGCTTCTTGTTTCTCTTTTTCAAGCCTTTCTTTTTCTTCAAGAATTCGGCTTAATTCAAGATTGATTCTTTTATTATTTGCTTGCTCTCTCGCTATGGCTGATTCATAAGCTGAAATCTGTTCTTGAAAACTGCCGTTTTGGGAATTAAATTTATTGGAAAACTCTCTTTCAGTTTCCCTAACTGAGCTTTCTAGGTCTTTGTTTCTTTTTCTTTCATTTTCTATTTCTTTTTCGATATTTTGTCTTCTGAAAGACTCTTCTTCATAAGCAGCTTTTAATTTTGAGGCATTTTGGGTGGCCTCGTCAAGACTTTTTAATAAGTTCTTCTTTTGGTTTTCTAAGTCGTTCAAATCGCTTTTCATTGAATTCAGTCGGTTGGCTAGCGTTTCAGTTCTTTCTTTTGCAAAATCCAGCTCCGAGTCTAAATGTCTTTTTTCAGACATAATTTCTGCTTTTTCTAAGTCTAATGTATTTATTTTCGTCATTAGCTTTTCTACTTCGTTTTGGTGTTCCTCTTTAAGATCTCGTAGCTTTTTAGCAAAATCTTGTCCTTGCTGCTCTTCTAGCTCTCTGATTTCCTGAACATGCTTCATTTTGAGTCTTGAAATTTCTTCAGAAACCATTGCTTCATGCTTTGATATTTTTATATAATCTTTTTCCATCTGTGCCATCTTTTCATCAACAGATCGTTTAAGCTCTAAATCTTGGTTTCTTTTCCTTGTCATGTGGGCAGCTGTATCATTTTTGAATTCCGCCACAGCTTCTTCATGCAGTTGTTCATATTCCCTTTGCAAATTTAAAATTTCTCCTCTATGCCTTGCTTGCATTTCAGCAGCTTGATTTAGGTGCTCTTTTTCGATTTCTCTACACCTTCTTTCCCAATGTTCTTTCAATTTTTGCATGTCAGCTTGTACTAAATTAAGTGCTTTGTCTGTTTCAAATTTCCTTGCGTCTAACTCATTTCTAGCTTTATTTAATTCATGGTCAAGAGTTCTTATGACTTCTCTTTGATCAATTATTTTTTTCTTCATTCGTGAAGATTTGGTTTTGTATTTTTGATGAAATTCGCGTATTATGTCAGAGTTTCTTTTCTGCTCAACATCAATGGCTTCTTTTATTTGTTCCCCGATACTGCTGTATTTTGCATCTTGGTCTTGCTTTTCTTTTTGAATTATTTCTAATTTATTTAGCAGTTTTCCGTTTTCTTGCTCTAAGGATTCAGCCTTTTCTTTTAACTGCTCACATAGCTCTTTTAGCTCTCCTATATTTTGTGTAGCTTTTCCTTTGGCGATATCCTTATGCTGCAACTCTTCTTTCAGCTGGTTAAGCTCAGCCAGAATGCTTTCTTTATTGCTTTTCTCAACTTCCAAATCATGCTTCATAACTTCATACTCAGTCGATTTCTGCCATACATTTCTATCAGCGGCCTCCAAATTCTCCTTTAGCCTATCAATTTCATTAGACTGCTGCCTAATGACCCCTTGGCTTTCTTCAGCTTTTTTCCTCGATTTTTCTTCCTCCTTTGCTAGCTGCTCCAAATGATTCCTTAAATTTGAAATTTCTTCTTCAGCAATTTCAGCCCTATGCTTTTCCTCATTAAAATTATCCTGAAGCACCTGCAAGTTATTTTTCCCCACGCTGGTCTCCCTTTCGAGGCGTTTGATTTCTCCATGGGTATATGCAACTTCTTGCATGAGTCTTTCTATAGTTTCTTCTCGTTCCATAGCCTAACTAACTAACTAACTAACTAATTAATTATAACGTTTAACGTCCACTACGGGGTAGACTATCCCAGACCCGCCACTTGCCTTTCGCCGCATCGGGCCCACGAGTTGCTGGGCCAACCCGTCTCGATCACCAAGGTGCGCCTAGGGCAAATGTCGCCGGCTTCGACGGCTCATGAGTGAGCTACTGCATCTGGACATGGGTTGCCTTTCCGAAAATCCAAAAAATGGATTTTCTGGTCGGCTCTCGGCAAAAGGAAAAACACGCAGCCTGGGATGTAACGCCCAGTTTCACGCTAGGGAGTTGCCCGATTGGTCTTTAGGACTCTGCTGGGCTTCCCCTTTCCAACTGTCATGCCTTCCTTCCCCACGAGGAAAAAACCAACCCTGAGAATAGACTAGGGCTAGGCTCTGAACACAACCAGAATTGCTTACCTAGCATTGCTGTCCCTCTCTGAGCTGGCAAAACCTTGCCGGATATAATTAAATATGAGTCGAGGCTGCATGGCCGGGAGGCCATGCCCAGACGAAGACGCCATATTTAATTTCTCGTTCCATAGCCAAGTTGTCTTCGCATATTTCTTTCATTCTATGCGAAATGAAGACATTTGAAGTGGGGTCTTCTTTCATGACAGCGATCACATCGTCCTTTCTAATTTCATCAAAAATTAAGCGGACTTTATCTGTGATAGCCTCGAGCCTTTCTTCGTATTTATCCTTGGCGATTTTTAAGCGGACTTCGAGGTCCCTTTCCGTTTGGATTTTCCCAGTGTAGCTCAGCTCTGAACCGTAAGTGTTTCGCTTTTCGTCTGAGTACATAATTTAAATGTATTATTTAATTAGCGCTCTGATATGAAATTAAATGATAATTTTAGAGAGAAGGACTTGGGACGTTGGTTTGTCTTTCTATTTTACAACTGTGTTTCAAATTATCTGTATCCTCATCGTAAGCCTCAATCAGTGGAAAATCATATAGCGCGTGTGAGTATTTGTAAAGCAATCGACAGTCTTTTATGCAGATAAATAGGAATAAATCAATCGCAATAAGCGCAGTGATGCCAATGAAAATAAGGAGAAGCAAAAGCCAATACATTGCTTCGGAACTCCCACAATCGTAGTAAAGGTTTGTTGTGCAAAGGGTGCAGGCCAAATGATCATGCAATTTTGATAGTGTCATCAAAGAAAAATTTTGGGCCAAATTTCCCCGGAAATGTCGCACGTGATCATTTGAAATATAGCTTTGTACAAAACGTGGATTCGTCACTAATCACTAATAAATCTGCCAAATATGCAATATAAAAAAGGATACCTATCAAATTGTAGCCGAAAAACCCTACTAGAAGAAAGAAATAAATTTTTGTGTAAATTCGCTTCAATTTATTCGCACAGAATAATCCAAGGGCACATGTTAAATATCCTACAACTAAATATCCTACTATTGTGTACGCTACACTATCCACGATAAATACATTTAATACATAAATTGCTGTGATAACTACTGCAATAAAAAGTATCAAAATTGATTCTGCTTTGACTTTTTTAACATAAGTTGCTAATAATCGAAATTCCATAGCGTTTGATTCACTATTCATATTTATGATTAACATTATTTAGTTCTTACCTTTGCGAGTTTTCTTAATGTTTCATTAAATTTCTGAACATTCAACAGCTCTCGCTTTAGCGATTCATTTATCGATCTCAGTTTGAAAATAAATGGCTTTCTACTGTCTATTGCAAGGGACTGACATTTGGCTACATTCAAATTTGTATTAAAGGATCCACATTGAGAAATGAGATCAGATTTAAGCTTCCTTCGTTGCTGTTGAGACTGATCTAGGGCTTTAGTGACGCTGCTATAGAACGTTTCTGTATTCATTTTATTTGAAGTCAGAGGTGTCGAGTATGATAGGTCCATAAGTTTGGCTGGAATTATCATGCTTTTCTCAGGGATGACTTCAAAGTAGGACTTTTCTTTGGTGCAGATGAGGATATACTCTGGGTAGATTGTGCTGAAATCTGTGATCAGGAATTCTTGAGTGTTTTGGTCGTACCCAGCCTCTTGTTTGTTCTTCGGCAAGATTACTCTGCAAAGTACTAAGATTAGCATACAGTTCTTATCTGAGGTTAATTTTTTTCTGTCTTTTTCAAGGGTGCTGCTAGTTGACATATAAATTTGTTCCGGCAGACCTTCTCCAGACTTTATATAAGTTTCAGATTTAATTTTATTTGCTATAGACTCTGGAATTCGTAACTCCCCTCTCCGTGAGCGAGCAAAAAATTTTGTTAGCTCATGGAGGGGGTTAATATTTTTTTAAATATTTATATATAGCCCGAACATTCTTAGGGCTCGGACTATCCCGATGCCTACCGACGTCAATTGGGGTTGATTTTGCCAATATTTTTTGGTAAAGCCAGCTCCACAGAGGGCAAGTACACTTCTTATTGGTCGTTTATCATCTGAAAAGCTAAATTACCAGCAATTGTTGGTAAAATCAACTCTCCGATTGACTTCTGGATAGCCCAATCCAAAAGAGTCCCTGGGCTATAGTACTTTTTCGATATTTAATTCACAAAAACTGGAAAGCAAAAATTAACTTAATTACAAAAACTTATGTTTAAGATAAAATCTAAATACTAATTATCAATAATATATCATAATGTTTTTTTATCAAAAAATTTTATGCTAAAAAATTTTGTTCACTCACAGAGAGTGATTCTTACCCTAATAATAGGGATTTTCAATGGTTTTTTTGTTCGCTCACAAAGGCAGGGGAATAAGTATTTTTCTCTTATATCGACGATTCCCCTTTCATTAACATATTCATTTGTCTTAGCACCCAATAAAACTAAGCTCGGCAGGGTTTTTTTTCTAACACTCAAAAACATTCCTTTTAATACAGAATTTTGGCTTTCTTTAAGCTTCTGTTCAAATGGTTTCAAATTTATTTGATTTTCAATTTTAAAAGCATGACACAGCTTTAAAGATGAAAAATTTGTTCCTTGAAAGATTGAACTTTTTATATTATCTTGTAATGCTTTTTCACACCTTGATAGCTGTGGGTTATATTCATCAAGCTTTATTAATTTTACAGCTCCCCAAGTCTCAAACTGCAGCACAGCTGAGTACTCCTGGAGTTTTCTTGAAATTTCTTCAATATCTTTTTTCAGTCCAACAGCTTGCTTGATGTGCTCGTATTTCACCTGTGACAATCTTTTATGTTCTTCTAATATAGCATAATATTTCAAAGTGGAAATCAAAATTTCATTTTCAATTGAATCCAAATTTCTTCGAAATTCTTCTTCATATAATCTTTCAAAAATATCCCCCAAATTCCCTACCACCTCAATTCTATCTTCAAAGCTTTGCCCTATTATCTTTAGCTTCCCAGCCAAATAGCTCTTTACAAGTGGCAGCCTCGAGTAAAGATACTTCATCAGCGAGATATCTTCCTGCAATCCTGCTTTCACCGTATCTTCTTTCCACTGATCCATCAAATGTTTCAGCACAGAGTCCGGCCTAAACAGTCTGCTGAGCTCTCCTTGTTCTTTTTTATTGAAAAAGAGCGGAATAATCAGCTTTTCAGGGTTAGTTACACCTAAAAGTGCCATTTGAAATTGTGGATAAAAATGTCAAAGGCTAAAGGTCGCAAGGCAGAGAAGGTCGAAGAACCAGAGCAGGCAATGCTAGGACCAAATTTGACTGGCGAAAAGATCTTTGCGGTTTGTCATTTATTAGCCACTTTTAATGACACTTTTATTCACGTCACTGATCTATCAGGCAGAGAAACTCTTGCCAGAGTGACTGGAGGGATGATGGTTAAAGCTGACAGAGAAGAGAGCTCACCATACGCTGCAATGCTTGCAGCTGTTGAGGTTTGCAACAGACTCAAGAAGCTTGGGATCAACTCTTTACATATCAAGATCAGAGCAAGAGGAGGCACTGAAAGTAAAACTCTATAATCAAGATGTGACATCGTTCGAATTTTCTGTTCTCAAGAATAGAAATTAACGAATTTTTATTATGAATTTTGGCCTCACCCAGCGAATTCTTCGCGGCATACTGTCCGAGGTCCTCAACCTTGGACACTCATCATATATGGAAATTGATATTTCTACAAGTGTGTCACGAATCCCAAACTGTAGAAACTGGCCCTTTAGAGCCCTGACTGACGCAGTTGGTTTTGCCCAAGAACTAGAAGGATACCCGCCAGCATCAGAACGCTAGAAACCGAGGAATCATTCAGATAATACCAGGCTGTGGACAACCCGTAATCGGCAATGGGGAACTCTGAGGCGAATGCGGAAACTCGTCCAAATGATGCAGTAGTGGACGTTAAACGATGCAAGGTATATATAATTAAGTTAAATTAAGAAAGCAAAACTCCAGGACCTGGCGCTCAAGCTGCGTTGAGAGCGTTGGCTAGAAATGGAATGCTAATTGGCAGAATTGAAGATGTGACACCAATCCCTACAGATAGCACTAGGAGAGCTGGAGGCAGAAGAGGTAGAAGGCTTTAAGCTTATAAATTTTACCTTACTCCCCTCCTCCGTGAGCGCACATACCCATTGGAAAAAAAAAATTTTTGGGTAAAAACCCATCCGTGAGAGAACAAAATTTTTTTAATATAGAAATTTTTTATGATTTTTTTTAAAGATAAGTGATAATTAGTATAATAAATCTCTTGCTAATTCTGTTGAAATTTAAACAGCTTGCATTTTAAAACATAAATTTTGCAAATTAATTAATTTGTACTTCTCAGTTTTAGCGAATGGAATTTCGGAAAAAGAATTAGTATAATTGATATATAAATGTTTTAAAAAAAATTAACCCTGTCCGTGAGCGAACAAAATTGTTTTGTTAGCTTACGGAGGGGGAGTTAGAATTCTGATATAATTAAAATGAAGGAAAATTTAACAGGAGGGATATATCCCAATTTTTATGATATTTACGCACCCAGTGCTCCACCACTGTATTTGCTAGAGGAAGATGAAAAAAGCCATAAAAGATCTGCTTTGTTTGAGAAAAAAGAAAATTTTTGGTGTTATAAATGCAGAAAGCAAGCAAGGAGGAGCAATCGCAAGAGAAGAAGAAACATTTTTTATGAGGTAAAGATGAATATAAGTTTAGTTTATCAAAAATCACTTATAAAAATAAAAAGAATTTTGTGGAGGAATCGACTATACCCTGAGGATCCTGATTTTTGGGCACAAGGGATTGAAAATATCTTTTATGATTCATCATTTGTTTGCTAAAATTATTTGACTTATGACTCCTTTCAATTTGAATTGGAAACAAAAATCCTGTTCCAATTTAAAGAGGGTTAAAAAGCATTATCGTGCCTGGCCCTTTTTGGTGCCAATATACAGCATTTCCTGGACAGCCAGCTTCATATCTCAGATGAAAATACTAAGCTGGCGTACAGTAAGTGCAGCATACTGGTACCTAAAAAGGGATATATATTTTAATTTTTTATATAAATTTTTTTTTTTTAAAAATTAATTGAATCAGTGTAAAAACTGTTTAAATAGCATTCTAATTAAGTCAAAACCAGTCTTTTCCACATTATTTTTTTTTAATTTTTAAAAAATATAAATGAGCAAAGTACTTTGAATTATTTTTATGAAGAATTAATCGATTCAGAGCGAAAAGTGCTTAAGTAGCAATTTCTTGCATTTTGCCTATAAAATTAAGTCAATATTAAATTTATAAATTTAGTATTTTCATCTATAAATTTACCTTTTGAAAAAATTTTGTTCCAACTTAAGGGTTAAAGTTCAAAATAATTGAAATTTTAACTATATTTTGTCCCAATTAGCTTGGGAGAAGTGAGTAAAACTGGACTCAAGCCGCTCTTTTCATACTAATTAAATATAGCCATTACGATTTTCAAAATATGGGGCTAGATATTGTTGAGGGAAAGCTAATTTCGATTTATCCAGCATAATCTCTATCAAAGTTGCTTGTGTATTGTAATTTGTTGGTTATTCCATCAATTCTTCTAAATATTATTCGCTTTAGGCTCCCATATTCTTTAAAATGTTTATAGCCTAAAAATCTTTGCTAATTGAATTATTTCTTAAATAAGTTTTCTTTACCCTTTTATTTCTACTTTGCCTGGCTTAGTACAGCTACAACTAAAAATAAAATCTTAAGCACTTTTGATATTATTTCATAAATTATTCCAGATAAAGCTTCTGCATGAAAATTTAATCTTATCCCAATATGGAGAGAATAAACCTAGTTGAACTTTACTCACCTATGCTACTAATTCCTTTTTGGTTTATTAGTTATACAATATTTAGATGCCGTCGCCATTTCAGCGACGGAACAGACCGAACTCATCACTTTTCCAGAAATCTCACAACAAAATATATTTGCACCTTTTTTATGATGATTTTCTGCTTTATCCACGTATTTGATATTCTTCCTTCCAGCTATTCTACATCAGAAAAAACAGTCAGGATGTTTTTCTTCAGTTCTCTTGGATTTGCCTGGTTTTTAAGCTTTTATTTGGTGATTTTTGAAACTCGCAGAAGACTTCGCATGAAGTGAAGTGGTCATCGAAGTTTTTGGCCGATTAACATGGTGATTCATCTGATTTTCGCAATTTTACAGATTCTGGAGACTGTTACGGACTTTAATAATCATGAAATAATCCCAATAGAGAAAATTGTAACTTTTCTGTTGGCATTCGGGATTTGCTGCATTCTTGCTGTGTATGCAGTGTTCAGGCCAAATGAGTTTACATTAATAAATAATGACCCGCTGCTGTATTCGAGAAATATGAATCAGAATAGAAGAACAACAGTGGGAAGACGCAAAACTGTTCCTGAGCAAGAAGCAGAAAAAAAGCTGTTTACAACTTCTATTAAGGAGTGCAAAATTAAGACTGAGAATAATAAGCAAGTTGTTTATTTCCATATTATATACTGTGGCAAAGGAATTTGATAATAAAATACTTAAAATACTGATATAAAAAAATTATTCACAAAAATCAGCAAGGAATAGTAACAAGCGGAGGAAGAACTCACACTGTCAGGAGGACTTATGCAGAATTTGATTCTCTGCATAAGACTCTAAGGCTGAAATTCCCAGTTGATGAGTTCCCATACTTGGATTTTCCTTCTTTTCCTAGATTTCACCAAAACTCATATAATTTGGACTATAGAATGAAGGCTTTAAATGATTACTTACAAGAACTTTGCTTTCCTGAGTTCATGGCTGCTGTTTTTCTTGATTTTTTGGAAATTAATGGGCATGAGAGGACAGAGTGCTTGGAATATCATAACAAAGTCGTTAACGAGGAAAGGCATTTAAGTATTGGCTCTAATGATGAATCTGGGAGTCGGCATGGCTCAGTTGTAGCTAATTATTATCAACCAAAATTTGTATATGCAGATGAAGCTGACACTGTCCAAGTCCCTAACTATCATTTGCATTCTTTTATCAATGTAAAAATACTCAAGTGAATTGAAGAAAGAGACCACATTGAATACGCAGTTCAATGGAAAATCCCAAGGCTTACTCAAGAAGGGACTATTCAAAAGCGCTTTAACGAGTTCTATGAGTTTCATAGAAAACTAAAAAAATCATTAGCTCCTGCAGGACTTCCTAAGTTTCCATCAAAGAATTACTTACAGAACTTCAGGTCTCAGGATTCTCATGCTTTAGAAATCAGGAAAAGGAAATTAGAAAACTATTTAGGCCATGTCTTAAATGACACTGCTTTCTTATGCCAGGACGTGCTAGATTTCATCAATTGTACTGTTGATTTAGAGTCTATATGAAAAAGCAGACTGCAAGGAATTTCATATATTCTCCATTCTCCAATAACATGGGAAGGTGAAGTAGACAAGGAGTCTCATTTTTTACTATATTCATTAAATTTTTCAAAGCTTTATAAAGGACGCCAGCTGTGTGAATGAAATATTAAGCGGCGGTACAAAGACTTCAATCGATTGAATCGGTTTTTAACTAAAAGACTAGAAAGTCCAACTCTAGGAAACTATATAAGATTTCAACAAAAATTAAACATTACAAAGCCAAGGAAAAATTCAATAGAAATCCAAGTTCTGCCATCCTTGCCTGGAAAAAGCATTTCGCCATTATCATCTCCAGGAGAGATTGAAGCCAGAAGAAAAGGGCTTGAAAAATACATGGAAGAGCTAATTGCAATGCCAATATCAGCAGAATCCTTTGCCTTTAGGGAATTCATTGATGATCCTGAAATTAAACAAAATTTATATGAGTATTAATAAATATAGGTAATTACCTAGGATCGCTGGCAAGGGTAGGCAATTGGAGAGCGAAACTATCAAGTTGGCTGGACCAGCTCAGGTTGGCCAAAAAAATGGATAAAGGTTTATTTGCCAATCTCCAGTTGGTTTGACCAGCCTAAGTCGGTCCAACCAATTGAAAAATTTCCCTCTCCAATCGCCCGCCTTTACGGGCAATTCTATGGAATTGCCTATAAGTAACTTATAATGGGATGTGGGAATAATAAGCAAAGAGCACAAGATATTGGAATTCCTATTCAGCCTACAGTGATGTTTGTTGACATTGAAAAAGCGGATGCAAATGCTTTCTTTGATGATGTCATGTTTCTACCTCCTAGCAATAGCCCACCCATTAATAATCCTCAAGAAGAAATCGATGTTTCAAGATACACTGAGCATATTTCAATGAAAAAAGAAGATTTAGAAAATTCAGAAGAATATCTGCATAGGCATGATATAGGAAAAGTAGACGAAGACGAAGAAGCAAGAGTCGTTAAAGTTGCTAGAAAACTAGAAGATTCAATAGATGCAAAAATCTCAAAATATCCCCGCAAGCTTGCTCCCATCCCAAACGCTCCTGTTCCAACAACATATACACAATTTCCTCTAAAGCAGCAGAAACCCAAAGAGCAAGCTCCTAAGAAAAAAATAGTTTTTGACATAAAAGGAGACCCTGGGTTCAATTTTGATTTTCTCGACCAAATCCAGCAAGAGAAAAAGCCAAGTCCTAAAAATCATATTGACAGCTTGATAAAGGATCTAGAATCTTCCAGTCGATCCTATGCATTATAATTAAATTTTCATATTTAAATAAACGTTTTTTTAAACCATTTCATAAAATTCTCACATTGGTCTGATTCTGTTGCATCCGGGTCCCTGTTTTTGATCTGATCTAGCACTTTTTGGTGAAATGAGTTGTATTGGACAAATTTTATTGGCGATTCCGCTGGGTTTTCTGACAGACTGCTGGCTGACTCACTGACAGTCACATATACTTCTTTTTGGAATTGTTCTTCATCTTGGGTGAATAATTCATGAGCTCTTTGGTTGAGAGCATATCGTGAATCACTCCACAGGTTGTGTGTATAGAAAATCTTCTTTAAATAATCCAGGACTAAAAATATAAAATCTTTCCTTGGCCTCCACACAGGAAATCGTGGAGAAAGGTTGACTTGTCCAGTCTCGTAATTTATGAGTGGGTGAAAAACATGAGGTGAAAAGTAAGCCTGAGGTCCTGAATTAGGATAGTCTTGAGGAAGTTCAATTCTGAATTTTAATATCGCGCCTCTATAGTGGCCTTTCTTTATGAATAAAATTCCGAACCAGGTATGGACGTCTTGGATTTTAGGAAGAACATAAACTCCTTGAGGAGCGTAAGACTGTAAACTTCTGTATTCAAGAAGAAGCTGGTACTCTCGCATTTGTTCAAGATTGTTTGAATTGGCTTGGTTGACGATTTCTCGGAAAATGCGTTCTCGGACTGGAAGTGACTCACTCATATTAAAAATATTAATCAAAGTTACAATTGATATAGTTTAAATTGTGAAATACAATGAAATAATAAGGAATTACAGAATATAAAATTCCGTTAATTCAGGCATAATTTATATGATTAACACAAATCATCATTAATTTTTAATTTATTAGAAAGAGACTATAAAACAAAAATTCTTTTCAATTAAAATTGAAATAAAGCATAGAGAATCTGTTTCTCTGAAGAAAATGCAAAAGTCAAAACAAAAATAAAAAACGCCCACCGGGGGGCTCGAACCCCCGACCACCAGCTTAAAAGGCTGGCGCTCTACCGACTGAGCTAGACGGGCTTGAGTATCCTATCTTTCTTTAGTTTATATACCAAACTCAATTTTAAATTAATGAAATCTTACTTTAATTCTTAAGATCGCTTATTGATCCCCACCTAAAGACTCCCGGATAAATTTCTTGAGTACTTCTTCTTGTTCCCTGATTTTCCCTTCATTGAAATCCTTCAAATATTCAACAGATTGCTGAATATAAGCTTTAAGATCTTCTTCTTGTTTGTTTATTCTCTCAGAATTTTTGCTTTCAATGGTATCTAAAGAGTTTTTAATATATTCCTTGATTGATTTTTCTTGCTTATTAGAACTCTCAACGCTATACTTCTCCATATTTTTCAGTGAGCTTTGAATGAATATCCTGAGTTCTTCATTTTTGTCATGTGCTCCTCTTTCGCTTTCATTTTTGGTATTTTCAAATGATTCCCTTATGAAAGCTTTGAGCTCTTCTTCTTGCTGCTTGACTCTTTGGTCAAATTGAACTTGGCTGTCTTCCAATAATTTGTTTATAACTTGCTTAACTTCTTCTCCATGGATTCTGATTGATTCATCATTGTGAGTTTCACTATTACGAATCATTAGCTCAAGACTTTCGGTCTTATCTTTGAAACTCTTTGCTAAAGTTACAAGTTCACTGCTCAATTCTGATAACTGATTTGAAACTTTTTCTTGTCTGCCAAAAATATCACTATTTGACTCTTTTATCAATTTTTGTATAGAAACATCCAAATCACTTATTGAGCTGTTAAGACGGTCGTTAATCTGATTATTTGCTTCAATTTTTTCTGCATGATTATTAAGTTCCAAATGAATTCCATTTATTTTTTCAGTCGTCGATTTGTCTATAGACTTCATTTCTTCTGTCATCTTTGCCAGAATTTCGATTAATTTAGAATTAGAGGATTCAATCTTGCTATCAATTAATTTTCCTATGCTTTCAAGCAATTGTTTATTTTCATCAAGTTTTTGCGAGTTTTTGTTTACATCAGAATGAACTTGATTGATTTTTTCATTCATGGCATGGTCTAGTGATCTCATATCTTCATTATTTTTTGCCAAAATATCTGATAAATGTGACTGGGATTTATCAATCTTTTCTGATAATAAATTTTTCATATTTTCAGTTATAATATTTCCTTCTTCAATTCTTTGGGTATTTTTATTTACTTCTTTATGCACTTCATTTACTCTCTCTGCTATATCTTTAGCCAAATTTTTCATATCTTCATTAAGTTTAGCTAAAATTTCTTTTATTTCTGCATTAGAATCGTCAATTTTCTGGTTAAGTTCTTCATGGATTTTATTGAGGTTTTGATTCAAATAGTTTAGATTATCTTTTAACTCCCCATTCATCTTTTGTAAATAATTTCCCAAATCTTCATGGACACTTGTGATGAGTTCATTGCTCTCTGCGTACATTTTATCTAATTTTTCATGCAAAATTTTGTGGAAATGCCGAATATTCAAATACAAATCATGAGTTTCCTTAGTGATTTTATCAGTCAGTTCAGTGTGCTCCACGTCAATATCATTATTTACTTTGTATATTTTGTTATGCATTTCTTTTTCTAGTAATTCGAATTTTTCATTCATTTCATCATTCATTCTATTGATTCTTTGATTGATGTGATCCCTCATAATTATGATTTTTCCGGTCATGCCATCACTCATCATTGTCTGATTCATTGACATAGATGAGCTTACCTTACTAATCCCTTCCTCAATTTGTGCAATAGTTGCTACATTTTTTTCAATGCTTGATTCAAGGATTTCTTGAACTTCACTTATAGCAGATTTAATTTCTCTCGTCTTTCCACCCCATTCGTCTTCTTCTACCGCTTCTTCAACTCTACATCTCTGAAGATAGCTTTTTTCATTATAATTTCTCCTCCAAAATAATAAATTTTCTCCAGAAATTATCAACTCACATAATTCTTTTTGGTCAGCTATAACAATCCCTTCTTGGACTCTATCAAAGGTATCGCCAATTATAGAGATAAGTAAATTCAGCATGATTAAGGGGTTTAAAATAGAAGCAATCAAGAAAATTATCCATTCCACAGTCTCGTAACTATCATAGCTGAAATCAGCCAAATCAAGCAAATATGATTTTATGAGCATCATGGAAAAAGGATCGCTACTTTTAGCTCCGACTGAAATAAAAATTAGTGTAAAAGAAAGGGTGGAATAAAAGAGCAGACTCATAAAAGAAATCATATCAGTTATGACTTCTTTTAGAAGCTTTATCATATAGCGAGTTTTTTCAAACAGTCGGAAGTAGCCGATTCCTTGAATCCAAGCTACAAATGTGAGAAAAACTAAAAGATGGGGAGTGAGATCGCGGTATTTATCGTAATCGATGCAGTATAAGTAGAATAAGAAGATTATGCAGCGGAAAATGCCTATATAATTGGATGGTTTCAGCCATCCTTGAGTCCCTTCCACAGCTATCTTATAAAACTCATAAAAAAGCTCCACAACGTTAATGACCACTAAAGGAATAATGAGTGTATTTTCATTCAAAAAATATAGGGAGTAAATAGCAAATAATCCTAAAAACCCTAAATAGACTAGCGCTTCACAAAGCATAACCCATCTGATTATTTTTCATTTTTCTTCAAGGATAAACTGTATGAATTTTGTCCTTAAAATTTCAGAGTTAGGCGAATTTACGATGCTTTTCAAGAATTTAATGCTTTCACTGGACCCTAAAACCATAGGGATTTTGACTGCAGTATGTTCAAATGCTAGCGATTGCTGTTCATATTGGAAATATTCAGGCCCTAAGAAATCCCCAACGGATGGAATCATAATTTTTGACTGGAAATTTATGGGCAAAGGAGCATTACTTGTGCAGTATCTCGGAATGTCAGAATTTTTGACTTTTGTGAGCAAGTCGTAATAGAGATTATCAAGAGTGTTATATCCTCTTTCATTCAAAGTAATTAATTGATCTTCTATTGGGGCAACTATAAATGGATTTTCTTTTACAAGAAAGCCAATATTATTCAGAATTACGTTGACACATTCAGTGTAATTTCGGCTGCATGTATTTTCCTTGGGGACATTTACTTTGCATCAATTTTTTGGGCACAATTTGGTCTAAACTTTTTTCTATCCAGGCATTTAGTCGAGGCCGCTTGCTGAGCAAATGTTTGACTATTAAAAAATTCGTCAGAGAAATTTCTGCGGGGAAAAAATTACGTCCAAAAGGCGTCCTTCAAAATTTCTGCTTACTGATAAACTCAGAGGATTTATACGACTATGGTATGAATACCATAAATTCATAATACACTCATCCTTATTTTAGATTTTAAAACTATATATCATCCTTCTAATTGCCATTAATTTAGTGTCTTATTAGCCAAGCATAATATAACTTTTTTGCAGAATTAAAAAATGCTCCGTTTGCTGAAAGGCCATCAGATAAATGTTGTGGCATATTAAAATACGAGTAAAGATGAATAGTGTTCATCATCATAGGCATAATCACCATTTTGTCCATATCAGCTTCGAACTTGGGTGGATCTTCATTTAAAATTCGTTTCACATAGTAATAATACCTCAGTATATTATCTACTGGTCCATAGATAGAAAATGACTGGTTTGTCAATGGATTTTGCTGAACACTGATTTCATCGGCTTCAACAATAAATAAATACTTTTCATCAGCATTGCAAGTTATCATTTTGCAGTCTTTTTTGAACTTAAATGTAGTGAGCAGCGTGTAATTTGAGTAGTTCCATATAGAAACTGTGTTATCAAGAGAGGTTGCCATGAGATGTTCCCCATTATTTGTAAAATATAAGCTGGAAATCCTATTAGTATGATGCTGAATGGTTTTAATGCAGTTGTTTTTTGCTAAATTTCATACTCTAATTGTTTTATCATATGATCCAGATGCCATATGGGTATTATCCTTAGAAATTTTCATATCTGAAATAGATGCATGATGCCCAGAAAGTTTAAACTGTGTATCTACTACTTCTATTGTCCCTTTTGCCGCTATCTCCCCTTTAGTTTCATTAATTGTAGGTGGGCTAAAAATATTCCTAACATCATATTTGATTATTTCTCCACTTTCATCTCCTGAAAATAAATATATCAAATCTCTTGTCATTGCCAAGCAACTCAGATCTACGTCATGCCCAGAAAAGCTTCCCTTTAATGCAAGCTTAAGTGTAGTATCAAAAGAATACACTTTAACCGCTTTACTAGCTTCTTCTCCAATAACTATATGGCTGCCATCAGGTGAAATCATGATTAATGATACTAAGATTTCCTCTGTCAACTCGAAAAATGATGTTGTTTTTGTAGTTATATCATAAATGCCTAAATTTTCTCTCTTTAAATTGTTAAAAAACCATTTAAGTTCATATGAGATATTTGTTTAAAAAAAAATAAATTATATAAATTTTCATATTAAAAAAATTTAAAATTTTTTAAATTTTTCATATCGGTTAAAGTGCAACTTTGTTTAATAATATACTATTTCTTTCTCTTTTAAATAAAACTAAATATGATGAATTTTTTATTTCGGTAAAATCACATCACATTAAATTAGGCATCAAAACTACTTGCACAGAAATTGTTGTTTTAACCTATTCGAAAGGATTTAATTTACTCAAAAAATCGAAATTTGTCAAATACCGCTTCCAATTTAAAAGGGGGATAAGCGGCTATCTAAGGTCCAGCCAATAATACTTTTTTCATCAGGTGTCATTGCTGCTGTATAAGCTGTAAAGTTCATATCAATAGTTTCTACTTTCTCTTCTGTTATATAATTCCACACAGTCACCTTATTGTCACTGGTAAAGCAAAAAATTTGTTGTCTTGTGCTGGAAATTAAAATGTTTGTTATATCGGTTTCGTGGCCTGATAGCATAGATCTTTTATTTGTTTTAGGAATTGGCCATACCATTAATCTCCAGTCTTTTCCAATTGAATAAATGTTATTTTCATCTGCTATAAGCCCATTGATTTCTCCTTTATGCTCAGATAGTGAAATTTCATAATTGTTGCTTTCAATAAGCCAGATTTTAATGGTACTATCATGGCTTGAGCTCACCAGCCACTCATCATTATTTAGAAAAGCAATACCAGTCACTGGCTGCTCATGCCCACTAAGAACATGCAGGAGATTCCAGGAGTCCATTTCCCATATCTTTATGATTGCATCTTTCCCGCCAGCTGCGATTTTTGTATTTAATAAAGAAAATTTTACTGAGCTGACTTCTCCTAAAGGTCCAAGCGCCGCTTTGACCTCTTTTTCTCCTGTGTGGTACATTCTAACTACTCTATCATTTCCCCCAGTTGCGAGATAAATTCCATCATCAGTGATGTCCATAACAGTAATTTCTCTATCGTGCCGATAAAGAAGAGATTTCTCATTGGGATCTTCCAAGTTCCATACCCTTACAGTTGCGTCTTTTCCACCAGAGTACAGTCATTTTTCATCAGGGGATAAAACCATCATTGTCACATCTTTATTGTGGCCTGAAAATTGAGAAATCTCATTTAAGTTAGTTCAAGCTAAAATTATAAGGCCATAAGCTAATAGGCCACTAGCCTGCTTATCTGGCTTGAGCCTACCTAATCTAAGGATTAGCTCACTAGGTTAGAGCCACCTCTTGCAGATGCCCGCTAGTCCCGATAAGCAAAGACTAAGTGGGAGGCAAAGCCTGTCTAGTTCATCTGGCAGGGATAGGGAAATCTTCGGGGGAGAAACAAAACTTCCCTCTTCTGGAAGGCTTCCCCAAACCCGAAGGCCTACTTCAAAAAGTGGCAGAGGCACTATTTTCAGCTTCGTCAGGATAGTCACTGCCTGCTCGATTAGGGGAATGAGTCTCAGATTCTATCTTCTCTCGATGCCACCCATTTTATTAATCTCATTTAGGTTTTGATAATTTAAAACTCTTATTAAGCCATCCCCTGAGCAGGTATAGAGAACTGATAAGTCACTTTTTGGGATTACTGAATAAATAGGGGATTTCAGCATTTTTGGAGCTTTTGTGGTCACCAGTTTTGTTGCATTATCATAAATAGCTATACCGCCTTCTAAACTGTTTATCAAAAACTGAGTGGAGCCTTGAATCCTCCTAATTCCTGTCCCTCTAAAGTCTAAAATTTTTTCAATAGGATGAAAAATTCCAAGATTTGTATCAATACTTTTAATTTCGTCTTTACTTGAAGCTATTGGAACTTGCTTGAAAAGTAAACTTGTAAGAAATTGAGATGGAGCTGTCATTTCAATTTCTTTATTGGCTGGATCATTAGCTGAAGGAGGTTGAATTAGCCCTAGCAATGGATTAGGAGCGGGGTTATTTTGAGATGGCATAGAAGGCTTTGGAAAACCTATTTTTGGCTCATTAGTGTCTTTAGAATCAGAACTTCCGAAGCCCTTGAGTAATGGAATTTTCAATTGGCTCCCACTCATATTTTATAATATATAAAATGAACCATAATTTATTAGGAGTGGGTAATTTATAAATAGCTGAAATTAAAATTTGGAAGTTAATTCTGATAAATTAAATTGAAAACTAGTTTGAGTTTTGATCTAAATAAATAGGGTACAGACTAAGTCGTTTCTATAAATTTAACTTTAATAGGGGATTATTTAATACTGCTTTAAGTATTATTCGAAAATTCAAGACTTATATATTTGATTTCTTTCTTTCAACTTTTTCATTGCCTAATTTTCTTTAATAATCAATTTCCTAAAATTTAAGATGATAATCCGTATAATTAAAATCTAATGGTTAGCTCACTCCCCCCCCCTCCGTGAGTGAACAAAACCATTAGAAAAATCCCTATTTTTTGCCCAAAAACCCACCCTCCGTGAGTGAACAAAATTTTTTTTTTAATAGAAAAATTTTTTCCTTAAAACAAATTTATATATAAGTGATAACTAGTATAATGAAATCTAGAACTGATTCTATTTAATTTTAAACGAATTGCTTTTTAAAACATAAATTTTATGAATTAAATTAATATTTGCTTTCCAATTTTTGCGAATTAGGATTTTTTTAAATTTCGAAAAAAATTGTTTTCTATAAAATTTCTATATAAATTTTTTTTAAAAAACAAAAATTAAACCCCCTCCGTGAGTGAACAAAATTTTTTTGTTCACTCACGGAGGGGGGGGAGTCAGATTAATTTCTATTAAAACATTGCTTTTATTACAATAAAACTTGATTTGAAATAAAGATCATGAAAATTAATGCACTTTATTTCTGTAGTAATTTCTATTCTTTGTTTATTTTTGCCTGCTAAATGTAATTCTCTCCATGCATATCTCTTTGTATAGAATCCCTATTCTTCTCATTTTGATTCTGAAAGAAATAGAAATAATTATAAACTTGATTATAAACTTTATACGTCACGGAAACACCAATGGGTAAAGAGTTCCAAGAATACTTAAACTGCTCTCAAATTTACGCATGTGAAGTCTGCAAAGCCCATTTGACTTCTCAAAGCCAGTTGATTTCTAAAACTTTTTCAGGGAGATTCGGCAGAGCTTTTTTATTCAAAACAGTAATCAACAGCAAGCTTGGAAATCCTGAAGAAAAAATTTTATTATCAGGGCTTTATATAGTTCGGGACTTATTCTGCAAATCGTGCGACCTTCTAATCGGCTGAAAGTACGACAAAGCTTACGAAGAGAGTCAAAAATATAAGGAAGGGAAATTTATATTGGAAAGAAATCAAATCATTAAACTCGAATGGGACACATAAGAGCATGTATTAATTTATTATTTAATTTTTATATAATTTAGGGGGTTATAATGAATACCTCGGTAAAAGTCAATGACCAAGAATTTATTTCAATTCCTCCTAATGAGCTTACAACCCAGCTTTTTCCGAATGAAAGAGAGGTTTTTCAATGTGAAGGCTGCTCAAGAATTATACCAAAGGCGCGTTTGAGTGTTCATAAATGTATGCAGGTGAAAAGAAAAATTGATAACGTCGAGTTTACACAGATCTCGATAGATAAGCATAAATGTGAACTGTGTTGGAAAGAAATTCCTTTCATTTTTATAAGAATTCATGCATATAGTCATTACCATAATGATGAGAATATTGGTAATGAAGGTGAAGAAGTTGACGAGAGATATAAAGACATGATTTCTAATATTTTGAAAAAGAGGTCACAAGATGAATTAGAGAAAAAAGCACAAAAAGGGAACGGAAATATTAAAAATGAAGATGGAAAGGAAAACGAAAAGAAAAATGCAACGATAGAGATAAAAGAAAGCTCGAAGGCTACAGAAAATGAGAAGGAAAAAGAAAAGATCAAAGAAGTTAAAACAGACGCGAAGAAAAAGGATGAAAATAACGAAAATTCTAATACCATAGCCAAAATAATTGCTAAAAAAAGTTGCTCTAAGAAATGGATGGCTTCAAGCCTTGAAAACGACAATGAGAATATAGTATTGAACAAATCTAAAAAAGAACAAATTGACAGCAGCAAAGTAAGTAACTCATCAAATAAGAATCAACAATCACAAATAGGTAATAAAAAAGAAATAGGCAATATAGAAACAATTTCGCTCATAGATGACATCAAAACAAAGAAAACTTCAGGAAAAACAGAAATTATATCCTCTAGAAAAATTAAGGAAGAAAAAGATATTAGAAAAAATCCTGCAGGCGGAGAAAATAATGCGCCCTTATCTAAAGCGTTGATGTCAAATCTAAACAATGAAAAAGTTAATAAAACGAATAGTGCAAATACTTCACCCTTAGTAGCAGAAAGGGCTGCAACCATATATAGAGAAGGTACTAACGAAAAAAAAATAAAAAATCCAATACCGAATAAAGAATTTATTGGAAGCATGATAAAATCACTATCTAAAAGTGAACTAAAAGAAATTTATGATGACTGTTTTCAGGGATTTGGAGATAAAAAAGACTCTGCTATGGAAACGATCAGAAAAGTAAGAATAACAGAATCGAAACTAAATCGCTTAGTTTATGTCCAAAACAGGTTTTTTGCAGCTAAAGTTCATCACGGATTTAGAAAAATGCATAAAAATTTGATGGATTTTTATGTGTAAATGAATTTTAATAAAATTTAGTTAATTTAACTCTTTCTTTCTAGATGTTTAAGTGAAGAAGCAATGCATCATGCTCTAAAATACAGATCACCACAAGCTTTTGATAGATCAAATTTTGAGTATGAATTTTGCAATAGGCTTAATAAAGTTAGAACAATAAGAATTCATATAACTACTGATAGAAAAATACTTAAACAATATTTAGAGCACAGATCCACTTTTTATATTAATTAAACTACCAAAATTAAAAAAATATAATTGATTTTTAAAACAAATATTTGCTACAGCTATATCAATTCATCTCTTTCTCTGTTTCTTGCTGTAGTTAACCTATCAGAAGAATGACTAATCATTCTTACAAGCTCATTGCTTTTTGTATCAGTTTTGTGAAATCCATTTAAAGTGCTTCTCCTAGTTCTCGATTTTCCAACCCAAATTGCTAGATTCTTTCTAACTCTTAAGAGAGGGTTGAAAATTAATAATCAAAATTTTTAAAATTCCAATTTGAAATCAAAATAATTTTTAAGAGATTAAGACTAAGTTGCGATTTAAACTCCCCACTTCCTGCACTCCATCTATTCCAAAGTAATCGCTGCGGGGTGGCTTTAACCAAGACTTTCAAGGCTCGGACTGAAACCCCCACGAGAGCCCGGCGCTTTTGATATGACCAATGATTTTACAGGGCGACACCATTTTTTAACTCAAAGCCACTGTTAATCAATCTAGTCAGATCGATCCTTAGCGAGACCCTTTGCTGGAGAGACTAGCCCTTGAGATCTTGTCTCCTCCTAAAGAAAAAACTCAGCAAGCTTGCGTCATTCTGAGCAGACCACAAAGCACCATAGGTAACTAAGCCACCCTACTCTATTGGACACCCATTCTGGGCTTAGTCGCTGATGGAGTAAGCTGATCCATAACGAGTTGATTCAGCGTTTCAGAGTTCAGATATCCACATCATGCTTCAAATAATGGTATGCAAATATTTTTCAAAAACCCTGCTTGGCTTTTTGCTATATCAGTAGTTTCTCTGTCACAGTACATTGAAACGGGCTGGTTTCTTGCCTTCTCTATGTCTCCTTGATTGAAAAACTCTTCACATACAAGTGCTGTCCATTTTTCATGTAAATCAGTTACTTTTGCACTATGGCCAATATCTGAGCATTTAAGTGCCATGGCAAGAATTAATATTTTGTCTTCTTGCTTTTCTATATTTAAATCTGATAAATGAAGAGCCCTTGTTCTTCATCTTCCTAAGATTTCGAAATGCTTTGACATGTCGGTGTCTAAAATCATTTCTACTATAAGTTTTCTGGCTTTTATTCAATCATCATTGCATAGCCCTTCAAAAATATTGCATCCAGGTCTCTGCATAATTAAGTATGTTTTGGAACAATGCATATTTTCTAATACAGAACTGTCATTATACTGCAACGCTAATTCGTCTCTATTATTGACCAAAAATCGATTTGTCAATGCTTGATGACCTACATCGTGCCCTAATGCAGCAATAATTGAAGACAAGATATCTAACTCTTCCATGAGCGAAAAAAATTGGAAAGATCTTTTTTTGCATAAACCCACCTCCATAAGTGAAAAAATTTTTTTATGAAAGTAGAATAATGTAAATCTGATGAATTTTTAATGGCTTGCATTTTAAAAATTTTTAAATTTTGAAAAAGAAATTTACAAAAACAATTTATATATAAATTTTTACGAGTAAACAAAGTGTTTTTTTTAACTCACTGAGGGAGTAAGCTTCCCAGAGAAGGATAAAGGCTGCCATATTCACAAAAAAAAAGAAGTGTATGCAATACATCAGCAGCGTGACATGCATTATGATAGGGATTATGATTATAATTCTAAATAAAAATTACATTTTCAATGCATTTGAAATAGGCGTCACTAACATCTTCACTGATGTTGAATTTCGTCTGCATATTCCATTTTTTTAACAAATATTTGGCGACTATAAAAATACTGTGTCCGGTAGAGGTATATACAAATCATATATCGAAGTTATAGTTTCTGCCCACTGTAGATAGAACACCTTCTAGCTCTGATTCTCCATAATTGCTGAATGGGAAATTTGTTTTAGGCTGGTCTTTATCACTATCTGTCATTGTAATTGGACGAGTTATTGATTTGGCATGAGTAGTTTCTTGAGGCTCCATGAAGTTTTCAATCATAAATGTTTTGTCGTCATCATCATTACATAACATAAAATTTATAAGATTGAGCCTTCGTTCAACATCCACTATCACATCACCTGAATGGGCTCCTGTTACTGCTTCGGGATTCCCGGCTCTACCCTCACGTCGTGCACAGTCTGGCTTCGTCGTAATCTATCCCTAGGCTTCGGCCGTTTGATTTCGATGGCTATCCTTCCAGCTCTCCGGCTTTTACGCAGGTTGTCTGCACAAAAATTCTAAAAATGGAATTTCTTGCCGACTATCGGCAAAAGGTCCCAACTTATAGCCTAAGTTCTAACTCTTAGTTTTACGGTAGAGAGTTGTGCGAAGAGTCAAAAGACTCTACTGGACATCTCCTTTTCAACTTAGGCATTTCTTTTCCCACAAGATAAAATCCCATCCTAAAAAGGTGACTCGGATCAGGCTCCGCACGCTGCGGAATTGCTTAACTGAGATTGCTGTCCATTCTGGGTTAGCAAAACATCGCGAGATATAAATTTAATATGTGCTCGAGGCTGCATTGTCGGGAGACCATCCAGAACTGAGACGCCATATTTAATTATTTGTCGTCATCATCAATAAAGTGATCTTTCTCTATTTTAATTTCTTTCAGATATTTCCCGTGCGCAATTCTTCTCTTAACTTTTTCTATTTCAGTGCAAGTCCCTTTTAGCCTTGTTTTTAAGTCATTATAAATTATAACTTTACAGGCGTTTTTTATTTCTTTTTTTATACTATCGCAAGACTCTACAAGAACCTCAATTTCTGAGTTTATCGTTGCTTTAGATTGAAATTCTTGTGGAGGAAGTTCATATAATTCGTGCTCTTTATCAGCTCTTCAGAAGATTTGTCGAGTTCTGTAGTCAATTTGATGAGATTCTATCGTCTGAATTGTTAAGAAAATCAGCAAAATTAGGAATTCTCCTGCAATTGCATATGTTGATAAAGGAGAATATCCTAAGGATAAACCTAGAAATAATGCTAAGCACGAAGTTGATAAGAAAGCAATTATTTGAAAACTGTCAAATAGAATTGTTCTCATCATGATAATCCAGCAAACTATTCCTAATGATCCAGGTATATAACTCTTATGAAATTTGTTATCGTAAATCCCACTTAAAATTCTTTCATCTCCTACAACTAAAAAAATCATAAAAATCAGCCCAAACAAAGTATATAAAATCCTACTTTTTCGTAAAAACCAGCCACATGTTAAGATAAGGAATAAAATTCCATAAGCAATCAATAAAATTGCTAATAGCGAGCTTAACTGCAAGAACAAATGGACAGATTCTAAATTGTCTTCATTGTAAAGCAGCAGCGAACATGTCACCAGAATTAAAATGTACAAGGTAAAAAATACATAAAATATCAGCAAATTGCTTTTGAATTCGTTTGAAACTTTGTTTCTATCACTTCTATCGCAATAAAGTGTCTGAATATATTTTTCTTCTAAAAGTTTGTTAGTGAAATGGAGTAGATTTGAGTTGATTGGAAGATTGGTACATTCAAGACTTTCGTGGTTGAGGATTCCGTATATTCCTGAATTATGGAATTTGAAGACGCTTTGATAAATATCTCCGTTTTCATTCGGGTGATTAGTCATCTATGAATATTAATATTTTTCAATAAAATGCTATTAAATTATAGCATTATGCAATTGAATCTAAATAAAAGAATGCGAAATTTTTTATGTTAGGTATTAGAATTTTGCGATGCCAAAAATAGTTTACTGGGTGGACAATATTTAATAAAATAATTTTTAATTCAGCGTTGTTTTTTTGTTAAAATGGGCTTTGTATTGAAAGTATTCAAAAATAAGTAAAGCCGTTTTTGATATAAATATTCTTAAAACAATTATTAAAATTTAGCTTTTGAAGCTTTTAAATGAAATATATCAAATTATGAAATTTACACAAAACAATTATATTTTCTGCTTTTTTGTAGGCTTATCTTCATTTTGGTCCTCGTTTTCTCTGAACTCAGCCCTCAACTGCCATTGATGCCTATAAGCTCCTTGAGTTCCTTTCTCTGCAATTTCTGGCAAAAGTTTTCTCAAATAAGCTTCAGGCTGCCCTGTTTCTTCCACTAAATTTTTTACCTTCCAAAACCTTTGAATTGCAAAGAGGTTAAAAAGCATTTCTTTTACAGCTTCAGGCTCTTCCCTTACTCTTTTTTCCTTATGCTTTTTAAGATATGTGGCTAAGGCAGCTTTATCTTTATTTGCCATAACAAAAGTTTTATGATCCTCATGAAGCTTAAAAATCCTTTGTTTTGCTTTCATATCATCGATATTTGGATCTGCAGTGCTAATTGCATATTTGCTTACTTCTTCTAGTTTTTCTTGATTGTGTTTATAAGAATTAAGATTACCCAGAATTTTAAGGTGATACTCTTTTAGGAAGTAATATCAGAGCCTCCCTTTTAACTCCAATTGATGACGTCGAAAGCCATCTTGCCTTATAAGTATTCCAGATTACCCCACCAAAAGGACCAGAAAGCCTTCACAGACGCGTTGACCTCGCTCCATGTGTGTGTTCTGCCTAAGGGTCACCCTCCTCAGATATGTCAAGCAATGGATTTTGCTCACTCCCCCTTCTTTAAATTGGAACAAAAAGTATCGGCAAAATCTCTATTTTTGGGTAAGCTAACCCTTTAAATTCATCAAAAAAATTTTTAATTGAAAATTTTATAGAAAAAATATAATAATTTTTATATAAATAGTTTTTAACCTTATTTAATGTAAATAGAATGCTATTTAAACAGTAGCACAAAAAAACAATTATATTTAAATTCATTCTTTATAAAAATAATTTAAAAATCAAACCATTGCATTCATTGCATTGCATCAATTAAAGTATTTAAGGTGCCCAACGCACACTCACTAAGGAAGCAGAGCCAAAATGGTGACGTCACGAGCATTTCCGATCCAAAAGGTATGGCATCCCAAATAAACCACCAACCATCTTGGCCAGTGTGATGCTGTTGCTCTTGCCTGATTTAGATTCTGCATGAGCTCCGGATGTGCTAATTGGTAAATCCTGGGCCTCTTGATACACTGTGGAGCAGCTCCTCTGGTTATACCAAATTTAAATTGTTGTTTCTGTGCCAGAGATAAAAAAAAAATAAAAGCATTCATGAGGGAGAAATATTAGTAACCAATTTTTCTCAAACCGAATACGATTTTATTTATCCAAGAATATCGCATTCAATTTTTATTCTACTTTTTAACTACTATAAAGTTTTTTTTCAAAAATAAAATTAACCTCCTTTAAATTTGAATCGCTAATTTAGAGGAGGAGTCAGGTAATAAATTTCCTCTGCAAATAACTTTCGCCTTAAGTATAGCCTTTCGGTTTCCATCGACAGAGAAAATGTACAGATCATCGTCATGAATTTTTTGGACTTTTGTGTTAAATTTGGTAACTCCGTTTGTCAACGCTCCTAAATCATCTTGAAGGCTCAATTCTGCATCCATAGTTTTTGAGTCCAAAGAAATCGTCATATTTGAGTCGCTCTTTACTTTGAAGGCTTCATATAAGTAGTCAGGAAGCTTTAGTAGCATTACATGATTCTTTTCTGTAAAAATTTGATCCATTTATTATATACCGGGCTTTTAGTATTCCTTGACATTATTGAAAGAATTATTTTAGTCTTAAATGATACATTTTTTTATATAAAAATAAATGTTGATAATTAGTGCATACATTGGAGTTTATTGAAATAGAAAATATAAATTAAATGGAGTGTTTGAGATATCTTGAGAGTTGCATGTCATCGCAAAATGAGGCCACGAAGATGGAAATTGAAGACAACAAAGAAATTTTCAGCAGAGAAGATGCTGTATCTATTTGAAATATGTGTGTGAAAATCAATAGTAAAGCAAAAATTCAAAATAAAAAAGAAGTGTTGGAAACAATCGCAAATTTAAGGAAAAAAGCATGTGAAGCGCTTGGAAGTTTTAAAGATCAAGCTGAAATGGATAAGTTTTGGCTGAGAACTGCCAAGGCTTACATGGACTGCTCATTGTGAGAAAAAGCAGAATACTGCTTCAGCAAAGTATCCCTTTCTAATCCTGATAATGAGCTCTCATTCAATTATCATTTGTGAAAAACTCAGCTGGATTTCCTAAAATCATCCATCATTCCTTCCGATTTTTCCACTCTTTATAGCCTCTCTGAAACTCTCCCTCATGAAAAATTTAGACTGGCAAGATTTCTTTATTGCGAAATATGTAAATATTTGCATGTTTCAAAACAATATGCACAACTAAAAGAGCTTCTTTTCTTATGCCAAAAAATTTGCCAAAACTCCAGCTTAGACAGTTTACTTGAAATCAGCAATAAATCTAAGGTTCTTCTCTGCCAAGTTTACATTGATTTGATGGAAATTGATAAAGCTTCTTCAATATTGGATTCTTTACCTTGTGACCAAAATTTCCTTTTCCTTAAACTGAAAATTAACCTGTGTAAAGACAACTTTAGTGAAACTCAAGACATTGTATTTGAAATGATTGGAATTTTAAAAGAAGAAAGTTTGCTTCAAGCTGTTGATATCATGATATCAGCTAATAAGCTTGTTGATTCATGCAAAGCGTTAATGACAATCTCTGAAGCTTTTTCAACAGGTGCAGTCTATTTGAAGTGGTTTCAGATACTATTTTCCCTATATGTAATAAATGGGACCTATGATGAAAGTTTGCCTTATTTGAACATTAATGTAGTAATTTCAAAGCTTATGCTTTGCGAAAACAAAGATGTAGAAAAAATAAAAATCTTGCTCTGAGATTACGCACAAGAGCTATATTATAGAAACCGATCTGAAATTGCCTTAGAAATGATCGAAAAACATTATTTTTCTATAATTTCAAAAGAAGATGAGCACAAATCATTTGCATTAAGTATTAATTTTTAGCATGCTACCCCTCCAAGCATATGCATGACCCATCCTTTTAACTCCCCATATGTAGCATCACGGGGGCAATTGCAACTTCGATAACTCAAAAGTCTGGCCAGAAGACCGTCACAGGATTCATTGCCTTGCTCTTACTTGGGCTTGGTCTAAGGGTCTTCCTCATCAGAAGTATTAAGCCGTAAGATCCTATACGTCCTTTAGCCAAAGAACCAGGGTGCTTTAGCCTGCGCATTGGTGTTACTGATATAGATCCCAGGAAAACTGAGCCTTGTAATAATAAAATTGCAAAAAAGAAAAAATTTCGAAGAGAACTTATTCTAGCAACTTCATTTATTATTATCGATGAACACAAATCACTCGAATTTTGCGCTATGTGCTACTTGCGCATAAATGATCCTTTAAATGCTATTAATATTCTTCGTGAGCTTGAACAGACACCAAATGTAATATTTTTAATTTTCAAAGCCAAAATTTTGATAGGTAATACTGATATTGAGAGAGAGAGAGAGAGAGAGAGAGAGAGAGAGAGAGGAGAGAGAGAGAGAGAGAGAGAGAGAGAGAGAGAGAGAGAGAGAGAGAGAGAGAGAGAGAGAGAGAGAGAGAGAGAGAGAGAGAGAGAGAGAGAGAGAGAGAGAGAGAGAGAGAGAGAGAGAGAGAGAGAGAGAGAGAGAGAGAGAGAGAGAGAGAGAGAGAGAGAGAGAGAGAGAGAGAGAGAGAGAGAGAGAGAGAGAGAGAGAGAGAGAGAGAGAGAGAGAGAGAGAGAGAGAGAGAGAGAGAGAGAGAGAGAGAGAGAGAGAGAGAGAGAGAGAGAGAGAAATCTTTATTACTTAAAGGCCTTTATTTCAGGGCCATGTCCCGATTAAAAATTTTTTAACTTTCTTCTTTTCCTAAAATCTTTGGATAAAATTTTAGTAAAATTTTCTGAACCCACGTAATCCGCGATTTTTTCGATTTCTGAGTCTGATATGAATTTTCTATATCTGATGAAATTTGAATCTGATCTAAATTTTATTTTCCTGATAATGTTTGATTCTGATATCAATTTTATTTTTCTGATAAAATTTGAATCTGATCTAATTTTTTATTTTTCTGGTGTTTAGGATTTTCTTATCGATTGTCTTCTTATCATCAATGATCACCTCAGTCTTCCTATATTTGAAGGTTTCCTGAATAGGATCTATTTCATCTAGTATTTTTCCATCTAAACGACTTAAAAACTCCAATATTTTGTCATCTGTATCAACATTTTCTGCATCACTATCATTTCATTCATACTCTGATTCAGAATTATCAAGTAATCCTGTATCAATAAGTTCATTTAATAGTAAAAGTTCGAAAAATTCATCCTGTAAAGCTCCGTTTTCTTCACAAAAGGAAGAAGAATAGGAAACATTACTTTCCGAATCTTCCATTAAAATAAAAGTACTGATATTGAAGAGATTAAAAAACTTTTAAAAAATCATGAAAAACCACTTGAGGTGTTAAAGTTAAGTTAATTTAAAGTAATCCATTAGCTATCGCTCACCTTGGCTCCAAATTCGCCCCTTTTGAATTTCCGACCTAAGCCACTTGTCAAAGAGACTAACTCCCTAGGCAGAGATCCTCTTCAGAGTGCCCAATTGTCCCGATAAGAGAAAAACATGTGATAGGCTAGCCTATCTGGTAGGGAGAGGAAAACCTTCGGGGAGAGTCAAAATTTCCCTTTACCGCAAAGTATCCCCAAACCTCAAGGCGGCAGAGACCCTGTTTAGGCTTTATCAGGATGGGTCATACCTACTTCACAGGGAGTGTATAGAGCTCAATTTCTCTCAATGTCACCATTTTATTTCATGATGTGATAAAAGAATTAATTAACTCTGATATTCCAAATATTGAATCTTTACTGGAAGATTTAAGCGAGCTAATTATTGATTGCCTTGATAAAGAAGCTGATATTCAAGGAATTTTATATTTACTCTGCGAAAAATCAAATACTGAAGGTGCACTGCTAAGTTTTTTACCAATTGCCTTAAATAAGCTTTCTGGAGACAATCTTAAATGATTTTTCTGTAAAGCTTGAAATTCAGGTATTTCAGCATCATCTGCAAAATTATCATACACTCTTATGATCCTTTCAGTGAAAATTGCTGAAAAAGGAGGCTTCCTAAATTCTAATGAAGGGGTTCAAGCAATCTTAGGTGCTGCGATTTCTGCAATAAAAAGTGAATCTTTAGACCAGCTAGCATATATACAAGGATATTTAAATAGCATACAGGGGCATGACCAAGAAATCGCTTTATTAGACTTTGAGATATTTTTGTTGACTAATCAAGGTAACTATGATGAATATCTGTTAAGTCATTCTATTAATTTCTATCCTTATTTCGCATCAATTGCTTTAGAAAAGTCAAAAAAGGATTTGGCAAAGAAGTGCCTCCAACTATTAGTGCAAGCGAATTTTGATAAAAAGGTCCAAATTTCTGCAATTAAGCAATTGCTTTTGCTATCAACTACATTCGAAGAGACTGAAGACTATCTCATAAAAGCTATAGAAATTTTATCCCAATGGCCTGAAATTCAAAGCAATAGATTGGAACTCCAAGCAGAGTCTGAATGGCTTCTCGCTACATCTGTAAACAGCGGAATCAAAGCATACAGTCTTTCCCAAATTCACATTTCAGAAAGATGGCTATTTTATGCTTTAAAAATGGCTGAAATTTCTCATGATTTACTCGAAACGAAAATTCATGATCTTTATATAGAAGTTTTAAATCAAAAAAATAATTTGTTAAAGTTTTCATAATTAGCGCTTTCCTTTAATCATCATTTGAATTCTTTCGCTTAGTCAAGGATGCCATTGATTAAATGGTATACTTGATTGCTGGACTGTGGCAAATAACTCGTCAGAATTTAGAGAAGCTGGGATTTTTTCTCGATTAGGTGCATTCATTTTTACAGCCTGCAAGGTCTAAATAGAGTTTACCATAGCAAAATATTCTTCCATAGCTGGCTTGCGGGGAGGAGGAGCTCTTCTATTTCTTCTTGGACTTGATGAGCCAGTGCTTTTGGTTTCTTCTTCGTCAGTTGTGACAGATTTTAAAGGAGAAATCTTGAATTTTTTACCTGTCCAAAAGTCTAGCTGCACAATTGGCTTTAAAATCGAGAGAGTTTCTGAGGTAGTAATTAGCAGACTTTGGTGAACTGGGTCAACATTAAAGGTTTGTCTTGAATTAGTGAAGCCTTTGGCTGATTTTTTTAGAACTATAGAGGGCAATTTTGACAAGCTGATTTCTTGGATTTGAGGTTTACAGCAAAGAATGCCTAAATTTGATAATATCAGGCAAGATCTGCGAAGAGCAAGAGAATTAAAAACTTCAATTTCTTCACTGTCACTAAAGGTAGGACGCCTTTTATCGCTTGTGAAAACTTCAAAGCTTTTAAATTCAAGATTGTGTGATATTTGAGGAATAAATAAAGATTGCTGAGAGCAATTTTTAAAGTATCTTTGGCTTTTTATACTATAGCTAAACTGGGAAACTGAAATTTCCTGCTCTCTTGGCTTCACTGAAATAACTTTAAGAATTTCTTTTGAGTTGTTGTTGGATTTCGGTATAAAAATATTTTTCGAAAAAATTCCAAGACTCTGCTTTGGAGGTTTAATATTACAACTAGTAAATGCAGTGCTCGTATTATTGCTTATACTTCTTGGTATTTTAATGTTTAGTGACTGAATACTGAGAATTTGATGCTTTGGTATTATGGAAACAATATACATTAAAATGGTGTTTTCGCACTTTGCTTCTGTAGCTGACATCCCACAGGGTGTGCAGGACCTGAGGAAGGGAGAATTGAAGTTCGTAAATGTGTATCTGACCAAATATTTCTTGTTTGGTGAAGCTGAATGTTGAATAGCTGACTGCATGCAAACTCCAACACCAATTTCTTGCCTCAGAGGGAATGGAGCCAAGAGTGGGAAGGGATCTTTCAAGCGTGAAACAAGGACTTGCAACCTGGGCTTCTGATTCCATTTGGCCAAGAGTCAATCAGAAAATTCAATATTTTGAATTTTCCATTTTGGGAACCTTGTTAACGTGCGGGGCGGTGATACAACTTATCCAACTACCGGGGAGCAAGCGCAGGCAGGAGCATCCTTTATAAGGTCGTCAAGAACTGGCGAGCAGGTGACACGCTACTTGGGGATTTAGTAGTCCTTCAGGAATTACTTATAAGTCTAATAAACGTGAAAGGCATTATGGAAATATGTGAAAGAGTCTCATAAGAATAAGGGTTTTGAGGAATTATTTCAGATTTTTTTTGAATATTTGGATTTATTTGAATATCGAAAGTTGAGAATTTTTTAAGATTTTTTCTCTCAATTTTGATATAATTTGAATCAATACTTAGCTTTTTAGAACTTGGGAAAAATCCATAAGATTTTGTAGAGGTATCAAAATACCTCTTATTTTTTATATTTTTAGCAATTTTTATTTTGTTTAATGGAGCGATATAAATGTTTCTTGAAAAATACTCGAGTTGTTGAGATTCTGGAAAAATGCTGAAAGAAGTATTTGAAGTTGTAAATGATGCTGATGATTTTGCGTCTTCATCGGATTCATAAAATTGATAATCTTTTATGTTGTAGGGTCTAATTGATATATGTTGGTCTTGTTTCTTAATCTTTAGCTGCATAGGTTTATTTCTTTGGTTAAATACATGATTTTTTTCGTCCTGGTTGATCTTCTCATTTTCATGATTTTTTAAATTAAGTTTGAAAACTTTTTCAAGAGAAAGCATAGGTTTTGAGGCCCCAAAGCTTTCAGTTCTTTTCATCATCCCATATACAGAATATATTTTTCCAGCAACTACTGACAGTTGTGGCTTGAATTTCAAAATTGGTTTAATAGAAATTGAATACTGCTTTAGAACTTCCCAATGCTCCTGCTCCTCTTCTTCAATAACGCCATTACTTCTGTTTCCGAAAGAAAACCTGATTTCAGGCATCATTTCACTGATTCCTGGACAGCTAATGTGGCCTGTTTTCTTAATTTTAAGTTTCGTTTTACTCTTCTTTGTCGCTTTAATATCAATTTTTCATGCTTCACTTTTCGATAGTCTCCCTATTTTTTCTTTCTGCTTTTTTTCGTTTTCTTTCTTTTTTTGAGCTTCAATCTCTCGATGTTCTAAGTCTTGTCCAAAAGCATCTTTGTAATTTACTTTTACATCATCAATCAAATTTACCATTCTTTCCAACTGCTCATTGCATTTCTTCAGCTTTCTGTTTTCTAATATAAGACTTGAATTATCAACTCTCAGCTGGGCAGAGGTTTGCTTCAGTCTTTCTATTGTTCCTTCTTGCAGCTTATAGAGCTCATCTGCCTCCAAAAATCTTTCACTCAGCTCTTCCAGCTCTTTTTCCAATTTCTCGCATTTTTCTCGGAATTCTGCATTTTCATGCCTCAGTAACGCTGTGATGTCTACTGGAATAATGCTTTCCAACTTCTGAGCAGCCCTCTCAGGCCCATCTTTACTTGGTAAAAATTTCTTAAGTTCTTGTCTTAACCTTTTATTTTCATTTCTCAATCTTGCTGATTCTAGAGTTGCTCTATAGTCTTAGCTTAACTTATTTATAGCATTTTTATTTTCGCTGCAGGGTTGTATTCCACCGGAGCTTTCACAATTTTTACATGTGTCACTATGGCCAATCTTTTTTGATCCCCAGATTACGCTTGGATATGATGTTGCTGGCTTCAAGGGCTTATGAGAGAGCGACTCTTGTCCTCTTCACGCCGTGCAGCAATTAAAGGATTCTTCGCTAACGCTGAACGGAGGTGGAAAATACCACAAGCCTTTCAGATCATCTGAAGCTTACCAGTCTTTGTCAAGACAGAATACAAAGCCAGGCCTAATAATTACAAAATGGTAAGTGAATAGTGCCGATAAGCAGATTATCACCTTACAAATATCGCCATTTTATGATTTAGTTGCTCTCGGGTCAGATTTTGAAGGAGAGTCATAAGTCGGTGATGGAGTATCTGGTGCATCTTGGATTATTTCTTGGTAGCGTGCTAAATAATACAAAGCATAGTCAACGGCCACTAAACAGTCTTTTTTTATAAGCATGATATCTTCAATGAGTTCTTCAGGCAGATTTTCTTCGAATGAGTTTATATTATAATCTTCAAACCTTTTCTTTATTTTTTCTAGGACTTTGGAGGATACGTCAATATTGCTTCGCCCGTTCATCTTAAAAAATGTCAAATGACTTGATTGAAGAATTACGATTTGAGAAGGACTCTAATAATATAATAGCAGGGCATGAATCTGATAGAAATTCATTACCTATTATGAGATATAGAGACCATATATTGTATTCACTAGAGATTGCAAGCACTGTAATTGTTGTTGGGGAAACTGGGTGTGGGAAGTCTACACAGATTCCTCAGATTTTATATGAAGCTGGCTGGAATTTTCAAGATAAAGTTATTGCTGTAAGTTTGCCTCGAAGAATTGCGACAATATCGCTGGCAATGAGAGTTTCTCAAGAAATGAGGGTAAAAAAGCAAGTTTCTTAATCTCCCCTTCGTCAAGGAGCAAATCCCTGTTTTTTAAGTAGCGACCGACCATCCGTAAGCCATCAAAAATTTTTTATGAAAAAATATTTTGATATATAGTACCCACCCCCCTCGTTTGTCGCATTTTCTAGTTTTTTTTTTAACTCCCCCCCCCCCTCCGTGAGCGAACAAAAAAATTTTGTTCGCTCACGGAGGGGGGTTAATTTTTTTTTTTAAAAAAAAATTTATATATAAATTTTATAAAAAATATTTTTTTCGAAATTTAAAACAATCCTAATTTTGCAAAATTGGGAAGCAAATATTAATTTAATTTGCAAAATTTATGTTTTAAAACGCAAATTTGTTTAAAATTAAACAGAATTAGCTCTAGATTTCATTATACTAATTATCACTTATATATCAAAATTTTTTTCCATTAAAATTTTTTCTATTAAAAAAATTTTTGTTCACTCACGGAGGGTGGGTTTTTGGTCAAAAAAATGGCGATTTTTCTAATGGTTTTGTTCGCTCACGGAGGGGGGGGGGGAGTAAGGGAAAAAAAATTTTACAGGACCTCGTTTGTCGCAATTTCTAGTTTTTTTAATTTTTTTTGATGTCGCAAATCTTTAGTTTTTTAAAAAATAGTTTCTGATTAATTTAATTGAGTAATTATAGAGGAGTTTACCTTACATTTGCCTGCAGAGGGTTAGCAGGCCCGAGTCCTTCCCACTTTACTCTCCCCTTTATAGAGAATAGATTAAATTCGCTTATTAACTCCATTCTCCTTGCGCTTCAATGACCTGCCTTGCTCTTTCATTTTTCACCTTAAGAATGGAATTTTGCACTTCCTCAAAAGAAATTTCGTCCCATGACTCCTGAATGGCAGCAATTAGTCTGGCTTTGCTGTCAGGCCTTCTTTTCTCCACTTTCCTCTTCAAATTGGCCCAGATCATCTCAATTGGATTGAGATCTGGGCTCTTCGGCGATTGAGTCTTCACATCATCCCCGTTTTCTCTGCAATATTCCATAGTCTGCCTTGCAGTATGGGCTGTTGCCCCATCCTGAACGAAGGTGTAGTCTCCATCTAAAGGCTCAATATAGCCCTGGAGAATGTCTCTGATATAGACCTGGGCATTGATACTTCTCCTTCTTTATGAAGAGCATTTTGCCAAAAACGATAGAAATTCCTCCCCAGATCATAATTGAGGTTTTTCAATTGATAGGCTCTTCAATCGTTGCGTTTATCCCTTCTTTGCACCACGACAAATTAGAGTTACGAAAGAGATGCACATAGCACTCATCACTGAAGATCCATGAAGCGATATCTGAGTCAATCAAAGACCTAGCCCAGGACATTCTCTGCTCTTTATGAGCTTCAGTTAGCTGTAGAACAACCCTCTTCTTCCTATAGATATATCCCCTCTTCTTCAGCTCTTTTCCTAGCTGTTCTTCGCTGATGTCAACTGTCTTTCTTTTGAATTGGGCCCTCAAACTTGCCTTGCTGACAAAGCCTGTATCCTTCTCACATTCCTTAATGACCTCAGCAAAGTCTTCATCACTTCAATGCTTTAGGGGAGATCTGGATAGTGCCTCTTCTCTTCCAGCCGCTTTGTCAGATTCACTCTCAGTATTCTCTGCAGCAATTCGCTCAATAGTCCGTTTAGAAGTCCCCAAGATTGTCGCAAGTTCTTCGTTTTTAAAGAAACCTACGTCAATGATCCTCTTGACTATGCCCTCTCCATCATTTCCACTTGATTTTCTTAGGAGGAGGCGATAGTCCATGGTCCACAAGCTTCCGCCTGAGCTCTAAAGTGTGCTCTTCAGGATTGAACTTGTTGGTGTAGTGCCTGATCGTCGTCAGGCTCATGTCCTTGCCACAAGCAGCAAGACGCTCTTGGATCTGGTTTGCATTGAGCCTCTCTCCATAGGCCATGCTTTGAATCATTGCCGGGATTTTTATCGGCTGGTCCTCAATTTCGCGCAACTCCATTAATTAATATGGAAGACTAGAAATTAAGCTATCAAATAAGGAATAGGCATGAAGATAGGGGAATAAGAATGGTGAATGGCAAGTGGTGAGGCTTAAGCAATGGGAGCAGGTAATGGGAAGCAAGCTGTGGGGATTGAGGAATGGGAGCAAGGATTTTGAAGGAAGAAATGATGAAATTTCACTAACTGATCCCTTGACGAATTTTAATTTTTAGGAATTTATAGAGAGAAAAAAAAAACTAGAAAATGCGACAAGCGAGGTCCTGAACCGATTTTTTTTTGGCTTTAAAAAAAAAACTAGAAAATGCGACAAATGAGGTCCTGAAAATTTTTTTTTCTCTTATAAAAAAAAAACTAGAAAATGCGACAAATGGCAAAAAACTAGAAAATGCGACAAACGAGGGGGGGGGTACTATATAAGTGATAATTATTATGAAACCTCTCGCTTACTCTATTGAATTTTAAACAGCTTGCATTTCAATATTTAAATTTTACACTTAAATTAATTTTTACTTTCCGATTTTTCAAGTTTTGATATTTAATTTAAAATTTATATATACGATCAAACAAAGTATTTTTATTTTACTTACGAAGGGGGAGTTATAAGATCAGGTTTGACGATAAAACCTCTAATGATACAAAAATCAAGTTCATCACTGATGGAGCCTTGATTAGAGAAATCATGTGCGATCCTCTGCTTACACAATATTCAGTAATTATGGTTGATGATGCGCACGAAAGAAGCATTTATACTGACTTACTACTTAGTTTGCTGAAAAAGTAAAAGCTATTTAGAATTAAAGTCAAGAGAAAAGACTTAAGAGTCATTATTTCATCAGCTACCATAGATGCAGAAAGCTATGCTGAGTTTTTTCATGATAAAGGAGAAAATATACAGATTTTGTCAATTGAAGGCAGAACATATCCAGTTGATGTTTATTATTTAGAAGAACCATGCGCTGATTATATTAAAAAAGCTGCTGAGACAGTAAAAAATATCCATGAAAGCCAGCCAAGAGGCGATATTTTAGTATTTTTAACAGGCCAAGAAGATATCCATTTATTTTTGCAAAGTTTGCAAGATACCTCAGGGCTAGAAGGCTTACCTTTATATTCAGGCCTTTCTACTGAAAAACAGATGGAGGTGTTTTCTTCTCATCATTCTGGACGTAGAGTTATCGCAAGTACAAATATAGCTGAAACTTCGATTACTATTGAAGGAATTTGTTATGTAGTTGACTGCTGTTTTGTGAAAGCAAAAATTTATAATCCTGCATCGAATACTGAATATTTGAACGTCATCCCTATTTCAAAAGCCCAAGCTTCTCAAAGAGCGGGAAGAGCTGGAAGAATAAGGCCTGGAAAATGCTATAGACTATGCACTGAGTCTGCTTTCATAAATCTTCAAGAATCCTCAGTTCCTGAAATATTAAGGTCGGACTTGACTTCAACTGTTCTATTTTTGAAATCACTGGGAATCAGAAATATCCCGAATTTCCAGTTTATCGATCAGCCGAATAAAACTTCTGTCGTAAAAGCATTGGAGGTCCTTTACAGTCTTGGAGCAATTGACGATTTTGGAGAACTTACGAAAACAATAGGATATCAAATTGCTGAATTTCCGATTGATCCTCGATTTTCAGTAATGCTGCTGAATTCATGCAAAGATGAATTCCACTGTAGCCGTGAAATGCTAGAGATTGTTTCAATGCTCTCTATTCAAAACTTATTCTCAGGAAAAGGCATTGAAAATGCCTTATGAACCAAGCGTAAGCTTGGTGCCAAAGAAGGCGATCATATTTGCTTATTAAATATTTTCGAGAATTTCAACAGAATACAAAACTTTCAAGAAAGAAAACGGTTTTGCCAAGAACACAAACTTAGTATGAGAGCCTTACAAAGGGCTTATCAAATAAAAGAGCAGCTTTATAGAATAATGGGGAAATTTAAATGTAAAATAGTCAGTTGCGATGGGGATGTCGAAGGAATTTTAAGGTGTCTTGTGACTGGACTTTTTGCGAATGCTGCGCAAAGGAATCCAAATGGGACATATAAGACAGTCAAAGGTGACCAGCTGTTTTATTTGCACCCTACTAGCATTTTAGGAGCTTTAAAGCCTCCATGGGTAGTATTTACAGAAGTAATTCAGCAAGACAAGCCCTATATATGCGAAGTCAGCGAAATTGACGCAGACTGGCTATCAGAGTTAGCCCCTCACTATTTCTCCGACACCAGAGCTATGCAATTACAGATCCAACACAGAAGATTACAAAATGTAGCACAATAAAATTAACCAATTAAGCATTTTCTTTATTATCTTCTAAAAGCACAGTATCTGCTGTATAAGAAAATGAGCGTATCAAGCTGAATCTTGCATGTCTCATTTTCTTGGTCTGCAGATTTGTATTTAAGAACTCTTCGAGGTCTTCTTTCTCAGTGTATGCATTAACCTTGTCTCCAGCTTTGTCTTGGGAGCATACATGGTTTTTGCTGCCTAAAATCAGCTTGTCTTGGGACAGCCTTAAGTTTGTGGTGTCAAATTTCTTAGGCACACAGTCATCATCAACATAATTGTCAATAATAAAAACTCCATTCGGCAAATTGAAGGTAAAATATGAAGAAGTCCTTCTCGTTTTTTGTTTGCATTCGTTTTCGTTAGCACAATAATCAGTTATCGTTTTTAACAACTGTTCTACAGGCACAATATCATCATAATGACTGTCTATTTCTTTGTCCACGACTTCTCTGAACTTTGCCCTTAAATCAGAGATCATTCCGCCTTTAAACCGGAACATTCTTTTGTTGGCAGCTTCCAATACCAGTGCTGGGTTCACAATTTTCCTTGAATTATTTTCCATATAGGTAAAAGCATCATTAAAATCCTTGATTTTTACGATTTCTTTCCTAAATAGCCACAAAAGTCCCAATGCACATTTAAAAAGAAAGGTAGAGCCCTCACTCCTCCCCCCCCCCCCCCTCCGTGAGCGAACAAAAAAATTTTGTTCGCTCACGGAGGGGGGTTAATTTTTTTTTTTAAAATAAATTTATATATAAATTTTTAAAAAAAAAATATATTTTTTTCGAAAATTTAAAAAAATCCTAATTTGCAAAAATTGGGAAGCAAATATTAATTTAATTTGCAAAATTTATGTTTTAAAACGCAATTTGTTTAAAATTAAACAGAATTAGCTCTAGATTTCATTATACTAATTATCACTTATATATCAAAATTTTTTTCCATTAAAATTTTTTCTATTAAAAAAATTTTTGTTCACTCACGGAGGGTGGGTTTTTAGTCAAAAAATGGCGATTTTTCTAATGGTTTTGTTCGCTCACGGAGGGGGGGGGGGGGAGTCAACAAAAAATAAATCCCAAACCCTCATGACAACAGCTTTAGGAAAACTATAAGCGAACATACACACCAGCCACTGTACTGTGTATAAAGAAGGGTCAATTTCAAGCCTATCAAGATGCTTACTCCCCCCCCCCCTCCGTGAGCGAACAAAAAAATTTTGTTCGCTCACGGAGGGGGGTTAATTTTTTTTTTTAAAATAAATTTATATATATAAATTTTATAAAAAAATATTTTTTTCGAAATTTAAAAAAATCCTAATTTGCAAAAATTGGGAAGCAAATATTAATTTAATTTGCAAAATTTATGTTTTAAAACGCAATTTGTTTAAAATTAAACAGAATTAGCTCTAGATTTCATTATACTAATTATCACTTATATATATCAAAATTTTTTTCCATTAAAATTTTTTCTATTAAAAAAATTTTTGTTCACTCACGGAGGGTGGGTTTTTAGTCAAAAAATGGCGATTTTTCTAATGGTTTTGTTCGCTCACGGAGGGGGGGGGGGGGGGAGTTAGCGATCCTGCCTAGTTTTTTCTGCAGTAAAAATCCAAAAACTTTTTGGTCAACAATGACTCCAGTCATGATAGAAAAATAGTCCAAAGGCAAATAAGTTTCAACAATCTGTGAAAGCATCCAAAAGCTTTCCTAAATAGATCTTACTTCTTCAGAAAACCCAATAGTCATCAGTCTCCCTACAATAAAATTTAGTCCTTGGCAGTATCCTACACTGGGGTTTCTTCATGAGTACGCCACAAGAACATTTCTCAAAGCCGTCATATGAGTTTTCCTATCAAAAAAATTTTCATTTGGAAAGGTCCTATGTAAATCTCTATCAATTTGCCTAGTCACAGAGGTTTCAATGCTAATTTTGGTAGAAATTAGCGTTGAGTAATAAATAGGATTTTCTCTCAATTGTAAACCAGCCCCTGTGATTTCAAGTCATATCTTAAGTAATTATTACCATCTTTCGCTCCACATGTGGGGGTCCGTTAATGAGCAAAGTGCTGACAAGCGGTCTTGTCTGTGGCGTGATTCCATTTTCTCTCAGCTGTTTTAGAAGTTCGTTGCTATCAATTGCAGGTGGTTTTCTCATTTTTCAAACTATTTAATTATCTCTATTAAGTCCTTTTTCCCTGCACTAATCTCCTCTATCAATAATATGTCACAGAACTCACATCAAGTATAATTCATATAGGAACAAAATCTCCTCATCCCTGCATTTCTACAGCTCCGAGGTCTTGTGAAGCAGCATATTGACTCTTATGATTATTTCTTAACCACTGATATAAAACAAATAGTATCATCGCCTTCGAATTGCTGTGTGTTATCAGATTACAACCCTGATTTCTATTTAAAGTATAAAGACATCAGAGTGCTGATGCCTTCTATTGAAGAGGATGCAGTAATATCTTCAATCACCCCACATGAGTGCAGATTGAGGGATTTGACATATGCTGCGCCAATTGAGGTGGACATTGAATATATTAAGGGAAACAAAATTATATGTAGAAGTGGCTTGGAGATAGGGATGATGCCTATCATGCTTGGCTGCTGTAACTGTGTTCTAACTCCCCAATTCTTGATCCAAAGATTCCATTGAAAAATTTCTTAAAGTCGAAAATTAACCCTATACTTAAGAATAATTTCATAATAATAAATCTTCGAAAATATTACAGTATAATCACAGTTCATTATTCTAATTCGATTTTTAGTATAGTCAGTGTCACTAACTATATATTGCTAATAATTACATACTCTATCTATATCGCCAAGTGCATAAAATATTTTATATTAGAAAAATTATATGTAAAAATTTTTCTGTTAATATAAATTTTTTCCAAAAATGTTTTTTATATCATCCTTAGCAGAACGATGATGGTTTTTTCTATCAAGGATGGGGAATAAGAAACAAGTCAGAAGAAGAACTTGCAAAAATGCTGGAATGTCCTTATGACCCTCGTGGATATTTCATCATCAAAGGCGTTGAAAAGGTCATTTTAATCCAAGAACAAGCCTCAAAAAATAGGATTATAGTAGAAATTGACAGCAAAAACAATGTTGTCGCACAAGTGACTAGCTCTACACATGAAAAGAAATCAAGAACAGTAGTGCAGTCAAAAGGTTCAAAAATTTATATGAAGCATAACACGTTATCAGAGGATATTCCAATTGCCATTGTTTTCAAAGCACTTGGTGTGCAGGCTGATCAAGAAATCTTTCAGCTAGTAGGAACACAAAAGCAATATATTGATGCACTAGGAATGTCTCTACAAGAATGTAGTATTTTAAATATTTTGACAGAAAAACAAGCTTTAAGGTTCATTGGGTCCAAAATAAAAAACAGCAAAGCTGCAAAAACAGGAAGAACAAAAATAGAGGAAGCAAGAGACGTGCTAGCAACTGTAGTACTGTCCCATGTTCCTTGCGAAAATTATGATTTTAGAGCAAAAATCAGATATCTAGGCATTATGGTAAGAAAAGTCATTGATGCTATGAATGATCCTAAAAAAGTTGATGATAGAGACTACTATGGAAATAAAAGACTTGAGCTTGCTGGACAACTTGTGGGGCTTCTGTTCGAAGACCTTTTCAAACGTTTTAACAGTGACATCAAAAAGCATGTTGACAAGATTTTTTCTAAGCCAAAATCTTCCAAAGGAGAGCCATTTGATGTAATCACTGCAATGAACAAAAAAATGATCACAGAAGGACTGAATAACGCTATTTCTACTGGAAATTGGTCACTCAAAAGATTCAAAATGGAGAGAGCAGGGGTCACTGAGGTCCTATCAAGGCTTTCTTATATGTCAGCTTTAGGGATGATGACTAGAATTAATAGTCAATTTGAAAAAACCAGAAAAATTTCGGGACCAAGGTCTCTGCAGGGCAGTCAGTTTGGGATGATATGTCCTTCTGATACCCCAGAAGGTGAATCCTGTGGGCTTGTAAAAACTCTTGCCTTGACCACCCATATTACTATAGATCAGCCTGAAGAGCAGATTTCTAAGCTTGCTTTTTCTTTAGGTGTTGAAGACGCATCATTATTTTCTGGGGATGAACTGTATTCTCCAGGCGTTTTCAGAGTCTTTTTGAACGGCCAACCTTTAGGTGTCCATAGAGACGCAGATTTTTTGATCAACAGTTTGAGAGAAATCAGGAGAAAAGGAAAAATAAGTGAGTTTGTAAGTGTCGTTAAGGTAGAAGAGGAGCAGCAGATCCATATAGCATGTGATGGAGGAAGATTAACCAGACCATTTATTATTATAGAAAAATGCAAATCCAAGGTTGAGCCAAAACACATAAAAGAGCTCACCCTTGGACTAAGGAATTTTGATGATTTTGTAAATGAAGGACTTGTGGAATATTTAGATGTAAATGAAGAAAATAATGCTGTGATTGCAATGCGGCATGAAAATATATCAGAAGATACCACACATTTAGAAATTGACCCCTTTACTATATTAGGCTGTGTGGCTGGGCTTATTCCTTGGCTCCATGTCAAATAGCAGCGTATTTTTCATCGAAGCGCATTTGATCAAAAAATTTTAAATAATGCGACATTTGGTCGAAAATTTTTAAATAGTGCAACATTTGGTCTAAATTTAACTTTTTTTTCGTCAAATGCCCACTATAAAAAATTTCAATCAATTTTCTACAAAATGTACTTCGTGAAAGTGCACACTGTTAAAAGTGCACAATCATTGGACCTTCACCCTATTCCTTATCCTCACCATAATCAGAGTCCTAGAAATACTTATCAATGTGCTATGGGCAAGCAAGCTTTAGGGATTATTGGCTATAACCAATTCTTGCGAGTAGATACTGTATTATATTTATTAGCATACTCACAAACACCTATGGTAAGGACAAAGACCATTGAAATCGTTAATTACGACAAGCTACCTGCAGGCCACAACGCATCAGTTGCAGTTATGTCTTATTCTGGCTATGATATAGAAGATGCTATTATTCTTAATAAGGCTTCTTCTGAAAGAGGATTTGGCCGCTCGCTTATAGTAAAACGTCAAAACTCTGATTTGAGAAGATATAATAATGGGCTATCTGATAGACTGGTAATGCCACCAGTTATCCATGGTGATAACCCTCCTCCTTCAATTAAAAAATTCCATGCATTGGATAAAGGAGGAATTGTAGCAGTTGGGTCAATTGTTCAGACAGGAGATGTGCTAGTTAATAAAGAAACTCCTGTTAATAAAGTTGACGATATCGAAATGAGTAAGCTAACTGATAACGATTTCAAACCTTCTTTCACCTGCTTTAAAGGTCCAAACCCTACACAAGTCAACAGGCTGTTCATAGCTTGCAATCCAGAAGAGCCATTTTTAATTAAAACAGTCACAATTGAAACGAGGCCGCCTGAGCTTGGGGATAAGTTCAGCTCAAGACATGGACAAAAGGGTGTAGTTGGACTCATTGTGCAGCAAGAAGACATGCCTTTTAACGAGCAAGGGTGGTGCCCTGATATGATTATGAATCCTCATGGGTTCCCATCTCGTATGACTGTAGGGAAGCTTATAGAGCTTGTAGCAGGAAAATCAGGGGTTTTCCAAGGAAAATTCAAATACGGGACAGCTTTTGCTGGAGACAAAGTTATAGACTGCGGAGAAATTTTGGTGAAAAATGGCTTCAACTATACAGGAAAAGATGTTTTGATGTGTGGAACCAGCGGAGAGCTTGTTGGGGCTTATATATTTTCGGGGCCACTTTATTACCAAAAATTGAAGCATATGGTTGCTGATAAGATGCATGCAAGAGCTATCGGACCTAAAACTGCGCTAACAAGGCAGCCAACAGAGGGAAGAGCGAGAGAAGGAGGGCTAAGATTAGGAGAAATGGAAAGGGACTGCTTAATTGGCTATGGTGCAGCTTCGCTTATCCAAGAAAGACTTATGTACTCGAGTGATGTTTTTATAGCTTCAGTATGTGAGTCATGTGGGAATTTAGGCTACGAGCAATGGTGCCAGTTTTGCAAGTCGCGGCTCAATATTGTCAAAGTGAAAATGCCTTATGCTTGCAAGAAATAAATGTGACGTTTACGGAAAATTGGACTCCGAGGCGCACTCCCTATGGACTAAGTAGGTCCCATCCTGATGAAAGCTGAAAGCAGGACCCCTGTCCCTTTCGAAGTAGGTCTTAAGTTTTGGGGATGCCTTGCCAAGAGGAAAGTTTTGTTTCTCCCCGATGATTTTCCAGTCCATGCCGGAAGGGTCAGACAGGCGTTTGCCTACCACATGGTCTTCCCTTGTCGAGACCATTGGGCACTCTACAGGCGGTTGCTCTGCCCTAGGGAGCTAATCCCTTGTATAGATGTTCAGATCGGAAATTCAAATGGCAGCTTTTCTTTCCCTCTTTTGTCTCGCAAGACGAGGAGGAGGCTGTATTGAAGCCGAAACAAGTCGAAGGCTAGTGGGCTTGCCCGCTTATAGCCAGTTGATCTTTTAATTTAATTTATGCTTGCAAGCTATTATTCCAAGAATTGCAAGCCATGAATATTCGACCTAAGTTAAATTTATCCAGTTCTTAATTAATTCCTAAATGAAGACTACTAATTAATGCATGAGGTAAAAATGCCTTTATATATGGAAATTTCTAATATGGACGAAGCTCCCATCCAAGAAGTGACCGACGAAAATGTCACCTTTAAAGACCTTGGTGTCTGCGATGAGCTTTGTCTGTCAGTAGAACGACTTAATTACCGCCATCCTACACAAATTCAAAAAGAATCAATTCCATATGCACTCAAAGGAAATGATATAATCGGCCTTGCTGTGACTGGTTCAGGGAAAACCGCATCTTTTGCTCTTCCCATTTTGCAAAAGCTTCTGGATAACCCACAGTCCTTTTTTGCAATTGTTCTAACTCCAACCCGTGAGCTCGCAATCCAGATCTCTGAACAATTTGAGGCGATTGGTGCTTTTATCCACCTAAAAACTGCCGTTTTGGTGGGAGGTCTTGATTTGATGCAGCAGGCTTTATCTTTGTCAAAAAAGCCTCATGTCATCATAGGGACTCCTGGACGAGTTGCAGATCACTTACAAAACACAAAAGGCTTTAACCTGAACCAAGTAAAATTCTTAGTTCTGGACGAAGCTGATAGACTGCTGAACATGGACTTCGAAAAAGAAATCAATTTGATCGTCGGTGCCTTGCCAGCTGAAAGATCAACTTTTCTATTTTCAGCGACCATGACAAATAAAGTACAAAAGCTCCAAAGAGCCTGCTTAAAAAGAGACGCAGTGAGAGTCCAGGTTTCAGATAAATATCAAACTGTAGATACTTTGACACAAGAGTACTTATTTGTTCCTGCTCAGTATAAAGATACTTATTTATATGCAATTTTAAACCAATTCATGGGAAACTCAGTCATCATTTTTACTGATACTTCAGCTAGCGCTTCCAAAGTTTCAACTATCCTAACGAAGCTAGGATTGAAAGCCATAGCACTATTTGGCAAGCTTTCCCAAGATAAAAGGCTAGAAGCGCTGAATAAATTCAAAGCAAAAGGAAGAAATATTTTGGTAGCGACTGATGTAGCTAGCAGAGGGCTGGATATTCCTTCTGTTGATTTGGTTATTAACTATGATATTCCTCACTCCCCCCCCCCCCTCCGTGAGCGAACAAAACCATTAGAAAAATCGCCATTTTTTGACCAAAAACCCACCCTCCGTGAGTGAACAAAAATTTTTTTAATAGAAAAAATTTTAATGGAAAAAAATTTTGATATATAAGTGATAATTAGTATAATGAAATCTAGAGCTAATTCTGTTTAATTTTAAACAAATTGCGTTTTAAAAAACATAAATTTTGCAAATTAAATTAATATTTGCTTCCCAATTTTTGCAAATTAGGATTTTTTTAAATTTCGAAAAAAATATTTTTTATAAAATTTATATATAAATTTTTTTTTAAAAAAAAAATTAACCCCCCTCCGTGAGCGAACAAAATTTTTTTTGTTCGCTCACGGAGGGGGGGGGGGGGTCAGCAATCTAAAAATTACATACACAGAGTCGGCAGAACTGCAAGAGCTGGGAGGTCGGGCAGAGCTATTAGCATTGTTACTCAATATGACGTGCAGCTGTTTCAAAGAGTGGAATCAATTATAAACAAAAAATTATCTGAATTTAAAATTGACCAGGATTCAGTCCTTGTAAACCACGAAAAAGTGTTATCAGCACAAAGAGAAGCGCTACAAGATATCAAAGAACAGCAACACAATAATGAAGACCCAGAAGATGAAGAAAACCAAGACGAAGATGGCTCAGGACCTAAAATCCGCAAAAAGAAAAAATTCAATAAAAGGCCGGTTAAAAGACATTAATTCTTACCATTTTTATACAAATCTCTCTATTAATTCATATTTTATCATATATGATAAACCATAACTTAGCAGCTGTAACTTCTGAAAAATTGCTAATCGGTTATAAATCACTTACACTAGAAAACCAAATGGCAATCCGAAAACATTTCGAAGAAATTTATTCTATTATCAAAAATTCAAAAACCGAAGATGATGACTATAACAATAAAGAAATTATAAAATCTATTTTAAATCATATAGTAGATGACGTTTATCGATTTGAAAGTCCAAAACCTATTCATTACAGAAGTCAAAGATCGTCATATTCAACCCAAGTCTCGCCAAAAAACTCGGAACTTATGGACTCAACATCATCTAAAAATTTTCAGTCACCTATGAGGAGCAAAAAATCAAGCTCAATCTCTTCAGCTAGCAAGACAATTGAAGCTAAAAGACCTCAGAGCTATATAAGCTTAAGAGACAGAGTTTTGCAAGCTAATGGTCATGACGAGTCTTTCAGCGTATTTTATATTTAGTCAGAATTTTTTCACATTAAAGGTCCGGCTACATTTTATAAGACTAAGAAAAAAGGGCTTGAATTTAGGACTGATTTATCGCCAGGGCCAGCTGCTTATGTAGGCCACTCAAGTCTTACAAGAACAAATAGCCCTAGAGCTACTATAGGGAATGGAGGAAAAAGATTTGAATGACTGATTCCAACTTCTCCAGGACCAACTCATTATAAACCAGATTGGCATTTTCTAGCTAAAAAAGGACAATAATTATAAGCAGATAAAAATAATTTTGTTTTATATTTTATTAATGACATCTGAAAAAGTTAATGCCAATATTAACTATTCATGTATTCTATTGTTAAACGATATATTTAAATGAAATAATAAAAATTGCAAGACATATTATGAATTTTTTGATTTAGCCTAGGATGCAATTATTCTCTTAAAATCTTAAAAATGCTAGTAGAGTACTTTATTATTATCCTAAAAAAAGAAATTGTTAAAATACTTATATTTCTTTAGTATTTCTGCAAATTACTCTCTAACTTAAATGAATATGGAAAATGATAAGTTTATCAAATAAAGATCTCAAAAGCATAAACACGCAAACATCGATTGAATTAAATGATAATGCTCAAGAGTCCAAAATAAATAAAATTCAAATAAGAATTATTCACAGAAAAGATTCACATCAAAAAATTTCAAACTACAGTAAAAATTTTACCGAAAAAATATTAAACGACTCTCAAACTGTCTCTTTAGTGAATTTAAATAAATTATTAGAGACTAATACAGTAAATCAGCAACAAGCAGTAGCTTTTCAAGCTGGAAGATGCTGGAGTAGAAGTTCAACATCTAGAAATAAAAATGCTGAAAGTGTTTCACCGTTGCCTTCTGAAAAATGCTTGATAAATGAAACAGGGAAAGTGGAAAGATATTTTAAAGTAAACAATGAAGGAAGATTAGAAATTAAAGATTATCCGAATTTAAGGCCCCGGTCAGCCTTTAAGCGGACAGTAGACTCATCCTGACCAAATATGCTTAGAAAATCAACTCCTAGAATCAGAGTAGTTGACAAAGAGCTGCAAAGCTGTTTTATACAGTCTAAGGTAGGTTTAAAACCCAAAAATAGGCTGCTTAGAAAAGTGTCTCCATGTTTTGGGAAAAAAGAAGAAAAAGAGTATACAGGATATTTAAGCGCAAGGATAAAGCATTATTCAAAGAGCATGTTAAAAAATAAGAATTCATAAACCAATTTAAATAATTCTCCAAATGTAATTATAGAAATATGAGCGCTGAGAAATGCTTTAAATCTGAGTGCACGCGATATTTTAGAAGCTTTAGGACAGAAGAAATAAAGAAGCATTTAATTTTTATTAGGATTAACAAGTCCCTAACTTTTCCTTCGATAATAAGTTAATTTTCTTATTAGCCTATTAGATCTTGGAACTGTTTAACCATTTGGTAATAAGCAATCTCCTCCTCTTCAATTTGCTTAAGTTTCCTTTCCATTTGTTTGAGATCTTCTTGAACAGATCTGCCTTTATCTTCTGCTTTTTTAGCTTTTTGTTTTACTTGAAGAGTGGCCTCTTTGACATTTTCAGCAAATTCATCTTTTTCAGATTTCTTTTTAGCGTCTTTGAATCCTTTTTGGAATGAGTCAAGCATCTGAACTTCTGAAGAAAGTAAATCTTTATACTCTCGAAGATAAATTTTCTATTTTTTTCAAAACCTTGTATAATGCTATTGCCTGATTTTTTATATAAATTAAGTTTAAATCATAAAAATAGCTGCTTAATTCAGTTCAATTTAGCATAATTTCCAGCAAAGAATTATAGCTCGTAAAAAACTTTCTATTTTCTTCAACCTTCAAGTTAATCTGCTCATAAAGTTCCACAAATCTTCTTTGATACTGCGTTAACTCTGTCTGTGAGGGCGTATTTTCCAATCTTCTTTGCAAAATCGCGACTTCTTGGTTTTTTTCAGCTAAAATATTGCTAGCTTTTTCGTATTTTTTTGAAGTCTCTTCATAAGACTTTTCGATTTTTTCAAACCACTCTTTGATTTCTGATTCAATATTAATTTCATTTTTCTTATTCAATTCTTCTATTTCTTTGCTGCATTTTTCTTTAAGCTACATATTTTTTACGTTTCTTTGTTTTTCTCTCAGCTCATTTCTTCTTTCCACAAGCACTTCAACACTTTTTACAACATCAACTTGCAAGGCTTCTTTGGATTCTGAAGCGTTTTCTTCAACGTTTTTAATAGAAATTTCCAATTTTTCTTTCAAATTTTTAATTTCAGCTTCCTCCACAGACAAGTTTTCAAGCTGTTCTTTTATTTCTTTATTCGCCTGCTCCAGAGTTATTTTGGCTTCTTGTTTAGCTTCAATTTGTTTGGTAAGTGTCTGAATAAGCCTTTCAATTCTCTCTTTTTCAAGTCTTCTCTGTAAAATTTCAGGGTCTTCTTCTTTTTTCGACTCTAAATACTCGTTTCTAGCATTGCTGATATAGCTCTTTCCCTTGAATAGCCCGATAACGGGATGAAACCAGCCCGTTATCGGGCTATTCAAGGAAAAGTGATATATCTTCATTTTTCACCATTTTAGCAAAGTTCTGCCCAAAAGTAGCCAATAAAGAGGTTCTTGGCGCTATCTGCTCAGCACCCATTTCTAATAGAGGATTCACTGTCCCTTCTCCTCCTAGCTCAAAAAGTGCTTCAGATCCAGATACTGTTGAGGATTTATTCGTGGTTTCGCTATAATTTTTTAAGAAGTTTTCATAACTTTTGCTTGCAGTAATATCTCCGAATTCCATAAGAGCAGAATAAACACGAACAGGGTCGTTCAATTTTTTCGTTGAAAGGGTCTTAAATTGTCTTTTAGGCGGCTCTGGCTTCTCGCCATCCTCCAATGAATCTGCTTGTTTTTGTTCTCCTGCAAATTTATAGTATACCAAAGAAGCTTGTTTTTTAGTCAGACCTGCTTGCTGTTGTTGAGAACTGAGAACTGCTTTAACTAGCCACTGAATAACAGGGTAGAGATGAGCATAATCTAAGCCTTGAATTTGATGAGGCTGAATGATGTAAGGAGAGCCCATGTTTTTTAAGGCTTTAACAATACTTTCGCTCAGCGCACTGAATAGTCATTACATTTTTTTACCCATGTTAAGTTCATCTGAAAATTCAAAAGAAATATCTTCATTTGCCAGGGTAATGCACCATGCCATTCCTCCCAAAATCTAGGTGAAATTTACTTTGTCAAAAGGTGAAATGTTTGAAATTCTTGCTCTGAAATAGCCTGCAGCAAGCAGCATATCTGTGATTTGTGCTAGTTCTTCTGAGGGTTGAGACGACATTTATAGGAATTAATTAAAATTATTGTGATTTTTGGGAGAACTGTTATCAGTCATTTTCATTATACAAAATTATTATTCAATTCTTCTTGCTGTCGAATTCTGGATTTCCTTCCTTGTGAGGCATATCTCCTTGTTGAATTTTCAACAATGTCCATGGATTTCTTGACAGGGTTCGTTTCAAGCAGTTTTGCGTATTCTTTTCTTCTTCTGTCTCTACTGCTTACTCCCCCCCTCCGTGAGTGAACAAAACCGTTAGAAAAATCGCTATATTTTTTGCCCAAAAACCCACCCTCCCTCCGTGAGTGAACAAAAATTTTTTTTAATACAAAAATTTTTTATGGAAAAAAATTTTGATATATAAATGATAATTAAAATAATGAAATCTAGAGCTAATTCTGTTTAATTTTAAACGAATTGCTATTTAAAACATAAATTTTATAAATTAAATGAATATTTGCTTTCCAACTTTTGCGAATTAGGATTTTTTTTAAATTTCGAAAAACAATTTTTTTATAAAAAATTTATATATAAATTTTTTTAAAAAAAAAAAATTACCCCCCTCCGTGAGTGAACAAAATTTTTTTGTTCACTCACGGAGGGGGGGGAGTTAGCACTTTTCATTCAGCAGTTCCTATTGATGGTCCAAGCCCTCCAAGAGTTATATACTCCTGACGAATATTTTTATATTCGCTAAATGTATAAGGACTAAATTTGTTGCTTGAAAGTTTAATCGAATCAAAAGATTTGTTGACTTTATAAGAGCCCAGAGGAGACATATTGATGCGTTCAGTTACCTTTGTTTTTTTAGTTTTGCATTTCCTTAAAATACTAAAAAAGGCTTCTTGATCTTGATAAGATTCTTTTACTTTTATAGGGATTGGACTTATATTTCTTACTCGAGCCTGCTTTTTTGAGCTTGATATTATCTGTGGAAGAGTTGTGAAAATCTTATTTTTTGTCTTATGCTCGATAACTGGCAGCTTTTGAGAACCATTTGGAGACTGTGGCAGAGAAGGTGATGGGGGTTCTAAGCTCGGAGAAACTTTTAGTTTATTGATACTCTTACTAGCTGCGTAGTTAGTTTTGAGATCAAGCAGTCCGTTTTTGTTCATTAAACTCACTTTTTCTTTGAATCTTGAATGAAAATCATTCATCATTTTTACTGGAATAGTTATTTAATTAAATTAATGCAAATTATCTTAATAATTGTTTTCTTCTCCTTCGTCTGAACTTTTATCAAGACTATCCATTTTTTCTCTTGTGACTGCTCTAGATGGAAAAGTTTTTTCGTATAATAAAGTTAAAACGCGCTCCTGAGATAAGATCATTTCTATGATTCTTTCTCTGTCTTGTGGGGATAATAAGATTTCCTTCTCTCTACTTTCTGGCCGACTTCTCGTTATCTGTGCTTTTATTTCGTCTACACATTGTCGAAGGATTTGCTCGAGCTCAGTTTTGCCTTGCAGCTCTCTTGCATAGGCAGTTCTGACTGTTTTTAAGTTTTTTCTTTCGGCTTCTAGCATGCGTTTAAGTCTGTTTATTATTGATTCATATCTTCCGTTTTTATCATCGTCTATGCTTCCAGATGAAGGAAACCTTCCGTTTACTGTTTTTGCAGATTGATCTAAGGAAGGGCTATATCCTGATCGGTCTCTTGATAAAGACATATTAAATTCTTTATACTTACTCCCCCCCTCCGTGAGTGAACAAAACCATTAGAAAAAAATCCCTATTTTTTGCCCAAAAAAGCCACCCTCCGTGAGTGAACAAAAATTTTTTAATAGAAAAAAATTGTGGTATATAAGTGATAATTAGTAAAATGAAATCTAGAGCTAATTTTGTTTAATTTCAAACAAATTGCTTTTAAAACATAAATTTTATAAATTAAATTAATATATTTGCTTTCCAATTTTTGCGAATTAGGTTTTTTTTTAATTTCGAAAAAAAAAAATTTTATAAAATTTATATATAAATTTTTTAAAAAAAAAAAATTAACCCCCTCCGTGAGTGAACAAATTTTTTTGTTCACTCACAGAGGGGGGAGTTAGAAATTTCTTCCATAAGTTGCGCATTTTCTCTTTTTATGCTCACAATCTCTTTTAAAAGCACTTCTCTTCCAGTTTGTTGATTTCTGAATTCCAGCTTAATTTGTGAGTTTTCTTTTTGTAACATTTCATTTTTAGATTCAATTAAATCCATAGAGGCTTTCATAAGTTCTAGCTCTCGCGTTAACTGTGACTCTTTTTCTGCATAATTTCCTACCCCTTCAAGCTTTTTCTTTTTTTCTTCATCCAAATCTTTATTAACCTCTTTCATTCTTGTCTCAAACTGTCTTTTAATATCTTTCTCTTGCTCCTGCAAAATTTGGCTTGTTTTCTTCTGTATATTTGAAATGTTTTCCCCAATGACTTCATGGAGCTTATTGATTTTGTCTAAATTCCTATTAAACTGATGCTCAATCGGCTGTTCTGCATAATTTGACCTTGCCCTCAACTCAGCCTCATACTCTGCCAAACTTTTTCTATACTCTTTTTCTCTTTTCATATATCGATCTTCTCGAGCTTGCATGTCTCTTTCCATTTGCCTGCATTTTTCTCTCTCATTTTCAATCTGTCTCTTCAGGTCGCTTATTTTATTCTCTAAATCTGCCGCCTTGCTGTTAACTTCGCGAAAATCTCGCTTCCGTTTAATAGAATTTGAAGTTGTGGGGCGCGATTCTTTGGACTGGTCCAAGAATTTTGTTTTTGTTTTTTTGGCTTCTCTGAGCTGAGGGGTGCTTTCTAGGAGTCTTTGCTGGATTTCTTGAAGCCTTTTAAGAGCAACTGATTCGAAGTCTGACATTTATATGAACTTTAAAGAAGTCAGGCAGTTTTATGTTAAATAAGGTAATAGAATAGAAAAATTGTAAGGAAATATTTCATTAAATGCAAAAATTCTTGCATAAAAAAAATAATTGCAAGGAGAAATTTTTAGTATATTTTATAAGTGAATATGTTAAAATTTGTTATAGTCTAGTTTAACAGTAGTCATTGGTTTTATAAATATATTATGCCATTTGAATAGATAATATTCAATAATATGGGCTGTTGTGCGTCAGTGGATTTGAAAGCAGACCGCGAGGGAGAAGAGTATAAAGGATATGATGGAAAAGCTCAGGCTAAAGGTTCTAGCCAAAAAGTTATAGCCCAAAAAGCACCTTATGCGAAGGAACTGGAAGCGAAAAAGACTTATTATTATTGTGACTGCGGAAGGTCCAAAAATCAACCATTCTGTGATGGAAGCCACACTGGAACTCCTTTTACCCCACTTGCTTTTACAGTGCAAGAAAGCAAGACTTATTATATTTGTGGCTGCAAGCAAACCTCCCATGCTCCTTATTGTGATGGAACTCACAAGAAGATCGATTGGTAGTTTAAATTACCTAAATTATAGTCAATTAAGATTTATTTATTTAAATAATAAACTGCCATCGTGTCTTACTAAATATAAAAATGGTAACTAACTACTTTACTTATTTTATTATGAAATTTAATAAATTAAGTCCCTTTAGAAAATTCTTCATTTTTCTTGTAAAGAAATTGAGCCAGATATTCTACTGGATCTTCTGGCAACTTTTTGCATATTTCAAAGAGCCCTTCTGTAACGTGTTGAATAACGTGCTCCATTAAATAATATCTAAGCGGCTGAGACCTTGCTTCTAGAAGTTCTTTTTCTCTTGCTTTCATTTGTTCCACAAATAGCAAAGCTTCTACATCCGGCTTATTCGCCTTTTCTACGTTTGGCATTGACTTTGAAGCTTCAGGGTCGCTTAACAAGTTAGCAGATGGCTGAAAGAAATTTTTTTCTGGCTCCTCTTCAGTTTCAGCTAAAGAAATATTAGTGACTTTTCTGTTTTTATCAATGTAATTTTTTATGTGGTCAAAAGCTGCATTTTCTTCCATTATGCAGTCTATTTCTAGATTTTCGCTTTTATGCTGTGTGAAAAAATCTTGGACTGTTACATTTCCTTTATCATTATTATTAGCTTCTCTATATGCTGCAAGTCTTCGTTTCATTCCTTCATCAGTAAAATGGGTCCCTGCTGTAGCTGTTTCTGGCAGTTGCTTGACTCTTTGTATTAGCACATCATTCGCTCCTTTTAGAACAATGATACTTTGAGGATAAATTTTCATATTCAGTTCAGTGCCTTGCAAAAACAATCTTTTTGCGTCATCGTATTTCCTCGGCCACCCATCAAGCAGAAATCCTCGGTTTCTACACAGATTTGACTGTAATTTCCATTTAAAAACTTCTACAAGGAGATCATCAGGGATTCTTGGGTTAAATTTGCTATAATCTAATTCTTGATTTTTCTTTTTTTTGGCTTCAGCCTCTTCAATCATATGTTTTTTTAAATCAGCTAATTTATTTCTAACAATTTCCCCAAGCTCAGATTGTGAGCTTAATATTTCTTGTACAAGAAGTCCTACGTTTATATAAGGAATATTATAAAACTCTGCAATTTTTTTCCCATGATGGGATTTTCCAGATGCTGGAGGACCAGTTATGAAAATTTTCAAAGCACTTAATCCTCGATATTCATTGAATTCTTCATTTAGTAGCAGCATATTTTCAGGGATTCCTTCTAGGCAATGCCAAGAAAAAGGTAACGGAAAACCTTGATCATTGAAGCCTAATGTTGCAGAAGGTTTCATTCATAAATCAATTGCAAGTGGCTCTCCCCACTCTTCGAATGCAGCTTCTCTATAATCAATAGTCTCAATTTTACCATTGCCTATGCCCTTAGCTATGGCTTCTATTATATGCTTTTGCGAACGGTTTTTAGTTTTATCAATAGCCAAAATATAAAGATTTATCGGGACTTTCTCAACCAAATGCTTTACAGATCTTGCCAAATCCACTAATTCTCTGTAAGCGAATAAACCATTGAAATAAAATATATAGAGGCTGCCTTTGAGTAGCGCTCTAAGCGCCCGAGACTTCCCGACGAAGTCTGGGCGGTGGTTTGACCAGCTGATGTTGGTCAAACCAACATCCAAAATGACAAATTCTTCTCATACAGAAGGTTTGTCAAATTGGATGCTGGTTTGACCAACATCAGCTGGTCAAACCACCGCCCAGACTTCGTCGGGAAGTCTCGGGCGCTTAGAGCGCTACTCAAAGGCAGCCTCTATATATATTTCGGGTAAAACCCACCCTCCATGAGTCAACAAAATTTTTTTAATATAATAATTTTTATGAAAAATTTTTGATATATACGTGATAAGTGATAATTATTATAATGAAATCTCTAGTTAATTCTGTTTAATTTACAAATAGCATTTTAAAATATAAATTTTGTAACTAAATTAATTTTTACTTCTCATTTTTACGAAATGGATTATTTAAATTTTTATATAAAAAAAGTTTAAATTTTTTTAAAAAAAATAACCCTCTGTGAGAGAACAAATTACTAGTCCCTCACAGGGAGTAAGTGTATTGTTGGGACAAGGTTATCACCTGGAGGCATATACGGAATAGCATCAGGCTCTCCAAGTCAGGCTGAAAGGAAGTGCTCAGCCAAAACTCCTTCGCCTTGCCCATATATTATCCCTGAGCATATTACATAAGCCCTGATGTTTTCTTTATCATTCATTGCAAGCACAAAATTTTCTAGCCTTTTCCAGCTTTCATATCTTGGGTATGCTTTTCTCATCTGATAATCTGCTTCTTCAAATGGCAGAATTTTGTATTTCTTTTTTGGTTCTGGCTCAAGTTCCTTATTTTTCATGTTATTTTTTTCTTCATTTTCTTTGGCCTCTTCTTCTTTACCTTCTTCCCCTTCTTCTTTCTTTTCATCTTCATTTTCTTCAATGATTCCTTCATCAGATTGGTTTTCTTTTGTAATATCAGGCGTTAAAACTCTTCGGCTTTCCTCGATGTTTATGCTTTGTTCCTCTTCAGTTATAGGAATTTCAATTTTTTTAGGTGGAGTGTCTCCCCATACAGTGACGCTAGAGATGAGGACGACCGTTTTATTGGTATTGAAAGTTGAGCCTTTCAAGCTTTTTAGTTTGTCTTCAACTTCTTCTAGATCTGCTGTAAAAAGATCATAGATTATAACATCGCATTCTAAAAGATTTCTTAAAAAAGTTTTCGGCTTATTTCTCTAATTGGAAAATACATTCAGAACTTTTGATACACCTGGAGGACAAGGGTCTTGGTTTTTGGGGTCTTGGGTACCATAGAAGACATTAGGGTTCTTTTCAATGATATCGTCGTTTCTGAGCTCTTCGATAAGAGTACAGCTCTCGGACCAGTATTGATCGTCATCATTGAAAATGGAAACATTCTAATAGACTTCGTGTCTTGCACATCTTAGACCAGATTTACTATTTAGAGAAATATTTAGGATATAAATAAAATCATTTTTTAAATAATTATGAAATAATTCTAGTAATTGGAATTATTCGGACACATATTTTGTAACTAAAATAGCTCTTCTCTCACCCTGCTTGAAAAGTGAGAATTTCTCTGTAATTGGCTTTGCCCAAAAATGGTGAATTAATAGTGATTAGTCATATTGGGTGTCAAGTTAAACCATTTTGGCAAGCAAATGTGCCAATTTTTAAGTATTTTTATTATAAATATTAATTTTTAATTTAAGATATCCTTTTAGACTGACACAGATAAGTATCTTACCTATTTTTTACCTGCTTTCTATAGATTAGGTTTAATATTATTTTTTAATTTGCTAATCAAATATATGCTATGTAAAATAAACAAATAGTACATTTATTAAAAATTGGAATCTTAAGTGTAGGTAATTACTCAATATTCAACAAATAATATATATTGCAGATTGTTTCCACATTACACCGCTGATACGCATAATTTAAATAAGCCATTTTTGAAATCCACTAAAGTCAATATTTGCTGAACAATAATGCATATTAAAAAAACCTTTTTCTAATAATTAAGCACACTGAACTTAATAAAATTTACTTGATTAAACCTAAATTCTATAGAAACAGGTAAAAGTAGGTAAGATACTTATCTGTGTCAGTCTAAAAGGATATCTCAAATTAAAAATTAATATTTATAATAAAGACACTTAAAAATTGGCGCATTTGCTTGTCAAAATGGTTTTAGCTTGCCAATCAATATGACTAATCACTATTAATTAGCCATTTTGAGCAAAGCTGATTACAGAGAAATTCTTACTTAATCAGCAGGGTGAGAGAAGAGCTATTTAGCTACAAAATATGTGTTTGATTTATTTTCAGAATATCATTCCAATTATTAGAATTATTTTTATATAATTATTTAAACAATTATATAAGACCAAATTAAGCTAATCAGTAATATTTTATTCATGTGAATATTTCTCTAAATCCGATCTAAGATGTGCAAGAAACGAAGTCTATTACAATGGTTACATTTGCAATGATGACGATCAATACTGGTACAGAGCTATATAGCCCAAATGTGAGTTGATATTGTTAATGAAGAAGGTCGCCATTATATTTTATTTTTAAAAGTCTATTTGGAAATATATTAAAATTGGATGTAAAATTAATTATTCAAAACAAAAATATTTTGAAAACTGAAATGCAAGTTTATAGGTAGTTTTTAAAAAAATATTTTATTTTATTATGGCAGTGAGCAATTTAATATTGCTTTATGCCATTCTTAATATAAGAGCTTTAAAACCATTGCCGCACAAATTAAATCTTTCAATTCTTAGTGTAATTAAAATTGCATGCAATATGGAACTTAGCTATTATAACAAGCGAGTATCGCTTCCTAATCCTTATCAAATTTCAAGTTGAATAATAATGACACTTAACATCACATTTTCCTATGCTTTGACAACAAAATTACTACCAGGAGCTTACAATCTTTGCTTTTTAGTTTTATATACATCTACACTTGGAATTTTAATTATTATTTCTACTTATATTTCTTTCTCAGACCCAACAACAGACTCAATAAAACTATCACATGAATATCGAAATAAAGGGTAATAAACATGCAGCTTAACTTTAGACTATACTAACTCCCTAGGATAGAGTAAATTTTTTGTTCACCCTTTAAGGGAAAAAATTTTTCAATATTTTATATACGAACTTTCACAGTCATTAAACACCTGCTTATTTAAGAAATTCTCACAAAAGGGGTGGTTCCCAGCTGTACGCGCATATAATTTTCTGAGCTTGAAAGAAAAATGTAATTGTATATATAAATTTAATATTTAGAATCCAAGCCATTGATAATTAGAGATTTCAAAAATAATTATTACCTATATTTAAATCATCAATTTAAACACATTTTTTATATGTTGTCTCAAAAAGTGGTTTAATATCTCAAAAAAGAAAGAATTTTCCCAAAAGTTTACTTTCTCACAGAAGTGAGGGAGTAAGTATCCTGTGGTCTGCACTGTATGTGATGGATATGTTGAGCGAACCACAAAACATTGCTTTCCTTGTAATAAATGCACTGAAAAGTTTGACCATCACTGCAAATGATTAAATAACTGTATTGGATCCAAAAACTACAGGTATTTCATCATTTTAATTTTGACTTGTGCTATTCATTTTACAATTGAAACAATTTTTAATCTTATTTTGATAGCATTTTATATCAGTGATGGATCAAACTTTAAAGAAAAATGTGATGAAAAATTGCATGTAAGATATGAAGTTATTCTTGTTCTGCTTATAATGTGTATAGCTCAAAGCTTTGTTGTTTGTTTATCTTTTTATTACCTTATTGGTTTTCATATTTATTTACCCCCCTGTTAAATTTGAACAAAACTTTTCCAATGGAAAGTTTCTATTAAATTAGTTTCGACCTAATTTAATCGAAAAAAGTTTAAGTAGAATAGTATTTAAGCAGCTTTACAACTCAACCATTAAAAATAAATTAAAATTCAAAAATACAGCGTTCAAATTAGTTTTTATCTAAGAATTTAATATCATATTTTTTAAATAAAATGGACCCTTTGAAATTCGAGCAGGATTTTTGGCTCCAATTTAAAGAAGGGGAGCTAGCGAAAGAAGGGCTAACAACATATGATTTTATAATGAGAAAACGAGAAATAATAACTCCTACCCAGCCCCCTAAAATTGAGACAAATAAAGACTGCTCGATTTTTGAGCAAAATTCTCCATATGACTGGTCAAGCATAGGTAGCAACCCCACACCCCCACCTCCCTCAATAAGGGAACCCCCCCCTAAAAATGGTACTCCCACCCCTTTAACAGATTGCACCCCCACCCCCCTCTCGGGTTTATCCTATAGAAGTAATTGATAGGAAACAAGCTGAATAATTTAAATATATTCCAATTAAAACACTATATTGATAAATTAAGTCTACAAATTACTTTATATTTATGATTAATTAATAAATTTAAATTAATTAGCAATTAATTAGAAAATATATTAAATTTGTTTTTTATATTTATAAATATAATGCCAAAGATATAGATAATGGCATTAATTATTAAATTAACCAAGCACAATACAATAATTTGCATTAAATTTATTGATTCATAAATTAAAGCTAATCTGATGGCCATTGTACAAGGATTGCAGGACTGAATTGGTAACGGGATTCAATATAATAAAAATAGTATTTACTATTGCCAGTTTTACTTTTGGATCTCTAATTCGCCTCTTTAGCCATTGTTTCCACAAAGTTCATAAATATATGCAGTATATACTGCTAATTAATACCAAAGATCATTATTATGCTTGCTAACAATTTTTTTTCAGATTTGGTGTGCTTACTATTTATAGGGAATTCTCACCCCATTCCATCTAATCCTTAATCGACTTTGCTACGCTATGTGGATATTGTATAAATCAGTAATTTTGAATATTTAAAATAATAATTTATTTATTACGTCTGCACTAAATTGGCATTTGTCATATATTTATGCTATATTAAGGGGGGGGGGTGCCATTAAAAGGGGGTTGGGGGTGCCATTAAAAGGGGGGTTACCATTTTTTAGGGTGGGTGGGGGTACCACTTTTAGGGGGTGGGGTGTGGGGTTGCTACCTGTGCTTGACCATATGACCTTGAAAAAACTCAAGGCAACAAAACTCATGTTCAAAGTGACACTTCTTTACAATTTATTGAAAAAGTTTGTGAATAAATGCTATAATTAATATAATTTATATCGAAATAAACTCTTTGACTTTTCTGGATTTCTTTTTTCAAATGCATCCACTAGCTTTGTCAACTCTTTCATCATATCATCTATTCTATTCAAAGTTTCTATATCATTTTCAGGCACTGAACTTTGATAACCAAAAGGAGACTGTCTATTTATATCAGGAGATCTTCTCTCCAAAACAGCGATTCGGTTTTCTAATTTTTTTATTTTTTCAGTCAGAGCCATGCAAGTGCTTTCTGATTTAAATAAAGCTCTTTCGAATTCCTTGCATTTATTGCAGCTTTCTGGCGATTTTTTTCTTGCTGCCTCGTGTAGCGGAGTGTGATCATAACCTAAAAGACCTTTTCTGGGTGGAATATAAGAAGATTCACTATCAGAGAAATCAGGCTCAGATTGAAATTCTTCTTGGCAGTCTTCATAATCAATAGGAGTTTCTGATGTCATGCCTTTTGATACTTGGGACTCAGAGTTCGTAAACACAACTTTTGGCCTTTTTTCAGAGGCTTTGGGACTTGCTGGCTCTGAAGTTAATAAAATTGGACCAAGCGAGCTTTGAATGTTAGCAATTTTTTGTTCCCAATCTCCTGAATAATTTCTTCTTAATCTGTATCTTTTTAGGTTGGTTTTTAACTTTTTTAATATAGCTTTTGCATAATTTATAGGTATTTTATCCCCGTTTCCCAAAATATTTACATACAAAAGTGTTGAATTTGAGTATAAAACGCTGATAATTTCTTGAAGACCTTGTATAGAGATGCTATTGTTTGAAATATCAAGTGATTTTAATATGGTATCTGTATATAAGGCACTGGATAAATCATATATCGTTTTGTCTTTGATTTTATTGTATGATAAATCCAGTTCATCAAGCCCTTTTCCATACCCCACCATTTCAGGCTGTTCTCCTCTCAGTCCTGCAACTCATATTCCTTCATCAATTCTTTCATTGTTTTTGCTTATAACTCTTGCAATATCAAATCCGCAGTCTTCAAGGTCATTTCTTGACAGATTTAAGGCTTCTAAATATCTTAAACTCCCAAGCGAAGGGGCAAAGCATGCAAATTCTTTATCTTTCAGCTTGCATTCAACAATAGCTAAATAATTTAATGGAAGCTTAGCTGTGAAACCTCTCCCCAATAAGCCTCATCCTTCCATTTCAATGTTTAGTTGCTCAAGAACTATAGAGGCTGCCCTTTGAGTAGCGCTCTAAGCGCCGAGACTTCCCGACGAAGTCTGGGCGGTGGTTTGACCAGCTGATGTTGGTCAAACCAGCATCCAATTTGACAAACCTTCTGTATGAGAAGAATTTGTCATTTTGGATGTTTGTTTGACCAACATCAGCTGGTCAAACCACCGCCCAGACTTCGTCGGGAAGTCTCGGGCGCTTAGAGCGCTACTCAAAGGCAGCCTCTATAGCACAGTTAGATGCTTATTATGCTCTAAATTCTCTGAAATTGCTTTGAAAATTGCAATTCCTTTGTTTTTTCTTTTACTTTCAAATTCCTCTTTTTCTTTTGAATTTGCAAAAGTTGAATGCTCAGGGCTTGAGTCATAATTATTAGCCTGTTTTGAGCTTCTTGCTGTAGATGAACCTCTTTTTGTAGGTTTTGAAAAAGGAATTTCTGGCTTATTTTTATTATTGTTGCTTATGATAATTTTTTTGATTTGCGTCAGGTGAGGCAAAGCTATGCCAAGCGGCTTCAAATCTCTATCTTGAATTGTTTCATAGTTAAGGGAAAATTCATATTTGTTGAGAGTTGACATAATTTGGTTATTTGCAGGCGTATTAAGCTTGCTGCAGGCTGTTTTATAGCGGCTTGAATAAGCCTTGGGTTTTTGGAATTTACTTGATATCATTTAGCATTATTAGTTAAAATGTCGAGAATCGGCTTATTTTTAAAAGAATTTTTATTAATATGTTTCCATAAGCGGACAAAATCATCGGAAAACCCTATTTTTTGCCCAAAACCCCACCGTGAGCAAAAAAAAAATTATAAGTGATAATTAGGTAGCTAATTCTGTTTAATTTTAAACAAATTCCATTTAAAACATAATTTTACAAATTAAATAAATATTTGCTTTCCATTTTTTAAAGGATTTTTTTTTAAATTTCCAAAAAAAAAATTTAGTTTAAATTTTATATATAGTCAGTGTCACTAACTATATAAATATTTTAAAATAAAATTAGCCCCCTGTGTGAGCGAACGAAATGTTTTTCTTTGCATATCGAGGGAAAGTAAGCAGAAAATCCTTTTTTGACATTAAATGTATATCAATTGAGTTAATGTCAAGATATATTTATGCCTAATTAGTTATTACTTCATAGAGTTATGCCTACACAAAAACTAATTAGAATTATTTTTCATGTGACAGATAGCAATTAACCAAAATTATTTATAGGAACTCAGTATGCACATTTTCCTCTCTTAATAACTATTTCAACACAAACGCCACATATTTTTATACAAATGAGGACTGTTATTAAATTGATGATCTTTTATTAATAGAATCGTCATTGAATATTTTTCCTTTTTTCTTCAAGCCTTTCCAAGATAATTTCTTGAGAAAGGTTTAATAAAGCAAAAGATATATTTTCTTCTCCTTATAAAATATAGAAAATTCCTGGGGATAGCGCGGAATACGCTATCCCCAGGACCAACCGGGATCGGATCCCCACATGGAACGAGGGTTCCATGTGTGGATCCATTTTTCACACGTGAAAGTAAATATCTCGCATGTAAAAAATGGATCCACACATGGAACTCCCGTTCCATGTGTGAATCCGATCCCGTTGGTCCTGGGGATAGCGTATTCCGCGCTATCCCCAGGAATTATCTATAATAACTATGCTTAAATAATTTTAGTTGAGTTTTAATTGTAAATAATTGCTTTTAATCGGTTAAATCAAATTGCATATTAAATAATAAATTAAACATAATGACAATTTGAAATAATTGAGCTGGGGAAAATATTTACCTGAAATAAAGAGGAGCATCATGATTTCAAAATTTTAATATTAAAAGCAATATGGTTTTAAGAAATCAAGTAAGATAAAAGAACGCATAATTACATGGCATAAATTTAACTGCTAATGATATTTTTGGAATGGTTTGATTATCTTGTACGATATTAGCATATTATCATCTATTTAGTCTTTTCTCTAATATAGTGAAATCTCCACAACCAGTACAAGTTTTGGCCAGAAAGCTTGGTGCACTTGTTAATTTCTTTTATACTAATTTATCTACTCCATTTAGATTTAATATATATCACTAGTAACTGTTATTTTTTATTTATATCATAAAATAGACAAAATTTACTTAATGCATAGCTCATATACCATTGCATAAGTTAGCTTCTCTATCCAACTTATTTTTCTTCACATCTAAATGATTATTCTAGAAATTCTGAAAATTCCTTTCACATAGCCTTTGACATCTTTAATTCACCTTTGCTGGATAATTTAACGTATGAATAGCTTGTTTGTGTATATAAATTAAAAAATGGCGTGGAGAGAATATTTTGCTGAACTGCACGGAACTGCAATGTTGGCATTCATTGTCTTCGCCAGTGACGGAGGACCATTTTCTGTTGGTCTAGGGCTATGGGGAATTATTAATGTTACAGGGTGCATAAGTGGTGCCCATTTCAACCCAGCTGTAACTCTTGGAGTTATCCTCAACAAAAAAATTAACAAATCATTAACAAGCAGCGAATTCATCAAGTTCCTTATTTATATGATAATTCAGCTTGGTGGGGCATTCATTGGAAGTCTTTTTGCAGAGCTTGTTACGGACTCCCATTTTGGCTTTAAAAATCGGCCAGGCCACACGTATCGAGATGTCTTTGTAGGCGAAACAATAGCAACTGGGCATATTGTTATGGCTGCTTTAATGATAGGCCACCTAACCACATATAGCTTAATGGCAACATTAGTGCTATGCTTTACAGTAGTCGCTCATATTTTTACAATTGGTCCAATCTCTGGAGCTTGCTTCAATCCAGCAGTCGGTATCGCGGTCAGCGTTGTAAAAACGGTTCATTTTAATGACTCAAGCTACATTGACCATCTCTGGATCTATATTGTGGCTCCATTTCTCGGTGTCTTCTATGGAATCATTCCAGCGTTAATTTATTCGAGTGATGAAAAATTCAAAGGAAAAAGCGTAAAGGATACTCAAATGAGCGAAAATTTAATTTTCAAAGAAGATAGCTAACTCCCCCCCTCTGTGAGCGAACAGAAAAATCTTGTTCGCTAACGGAGGGGGTTTATTTTTTTTTTTAAAAAAAATTATATATAATTTTTAAAGAAAAAATTTTTTCGGAATTTAAAAAAATCCCATTACTCGAAAATTGGAAAGTAAATATTAATTTAATTTGTAAAATCTAAACAGAATTAGCTCGAGATTTCATGATACTAGTTATCACTTATATATCAAATTTTTTCTATTAAAACATTTTTGTTCGCTCATGGAAGGTGAGTTTTTGGCAAAAAATAGGGATTTTTCTAATGGTTTTGTTCGCTCACTGAGGGCGGGGGAGTAAGGAGGAAGATTTTTTCTTTATTTAATCTTTATTAGGCGAATTATGCTAAAGCGGGGCAGGAATTACTAATAAAGCGTTGAGTTTTTGCCATAGATAATGCTTTTCTATGAGATCTAACGCGCGCGAGTTGTGAATCCTTAAATATCTATCTAATCCACATGAGTAAAGCATCCCATCATTTTCTTCAATAGATCTAATAGACCCAACGCTTCTTCCTTTTGTTTTCCCAATGGTCGTTAATTGTGTATTTATTTTATAAATGTGCCCAACAGTATCTCCAGCATATACAAATTCTCTGTCTTCTGACAATGCCAAGGTATTTATTGCGTAATCACAAGATAAATCTTTAGGATTTAACCTTTGGACTTTTACTGCTTTTCTTTGTGCCCTTATGTCATATAATTTCATTTCATTATGAGCTGTGGCAACAAAAAAATCCTTATTATCCCTTAAAATGCAAGCCATGTCGACTACATTTTCATGTCTTTCCTGAGGCCTGGCTTTCCAGACTGATTGCTTGGTGGTGAAGTCATAAATTCCTACAACATCGCCTTTACCACAAGTTCCCAGAAAATTATCGAAAATGCTAAAATCTCTGGCTTCGTTATAATTAGTTTTGATTTCTTCATCTCCAATTTTGATGGATTTATTTGTGTACATCGAAATTACCAACTCATCCAGAACTTTTGTTTTTACCAGCTCACTCTTTGTAGGCGTCTGAATATCGGTAAAATTTCCTTCCAAATCCAGTGTTTGGATTTTTCCATTCTTCCTTGCCACTAAAATTTTGTCTTGATATCGACTGATAGATTTAACGGATTCCCCTCTTTCTTGAGTTCCAATATGCTTGATATCTCCATTATGATCAATAACTAAATAAGTTTTTACATTTGATAAGCCCAGTATCATCACCTACAGCTACCACTGGGTATTGCATGACAAAAATAAATATGAAGGCATTGATAAATTTAGAAAAATGTCCCAGTCTAACACAAATGACAGCATAGATTTCGACAGGTCAAATACACCTTATAGCAGAATGGATGAATGTGAAGCTGAAAAAGCTTATTCTAATAGAAGAAAACTACTAGAATCCAGCTTAAAAAAAACTGTAAAGCGAAGCTCATCAAGCACAAACTTGACCCACAAAATACAGAAAAAAGCACAAATTGAGAGAAAATTCGACAGCAAAACGTCACAGGAAAATGCTATTTCGAGTGCAAGTAGATTTTCTGTGCCGCTTTCTCAGGTATCTTCGTGTGCAATTCTTGTAAGTTATAGGATAAAAAATGAAATGGATAGAGTTGGCAGAGATATCCAAGAAAACGCAAATAGAAAAACCATTGGTGAAATCATTTATGATAAGCAAGTAAATTGAAAGAAAAATATTGATAATAAGTTAAAACAACAAAAATTCAAAGAAGAGACCGAAGAAATGAACCAATGTCCGTTTGAGCCGAAATTTCTAACAAAAGTTAGACCGGAAACTACAGAAACTCCTACAAGTATCTATGATAAGTCCAAACTTTGAAGAGATAATGCAGATTTAAAAAAACAAAAAGCGTTAGAAAATAAAATAAAAGAAGAGCTAGAGGACTGCTCATTCAAGCCAAATTTCATATCAAAGCAGCTAAGCTTAAAACAGTTTGATTCTACTATTTTTGAGCGAAGCATGAGATGAAAAGAAAATGCTCTTGTCCAGTCCCAAAGAAAATCTAAAGGGGTTTTATTGCAAAATTCAAGTAAAAAATCGCCAGTGAAAATCACTATGAGACAGTTCAAAGAAATCTGCAGTCCTATAAGTAAAGACAAACTAGAAATAAGATATCAGATACTTGATTCTAGTATTGACTTAATCAGCCAGCAAATAGACAATTCTCTTCAAGCCAGTTTAATAGACTCGCCATCCAAATAATAATCCTAAAAAATAATACTTATAATCGTATCAATACCTTTTGATTTGCAAATTCTTACTTCATCTTAACTTTCATATTATTCATATAAGTCGTTTTGAAAACCCATAAATTAAATATATATGAGTTTTTCTGGCTCAGTCAGAACCCCCACTAATTCAAAGAGAGCGAGCTCCAACGGTGACTTCACATTTGTTACTGTCGCGCCTAAAGGGAATTTTAATGACAATCCTGTAATAAGAAGGCTTAAAATAATGCAGGATTCAGAAAAAAAATCGTGGAAAGGGATTGATATAGAAGCGATTGGCAAACCAGGAAATGGGATAAGCAACACTAAAGAACTTTCTGGGTTTTTAAAATATTATGAAGGAAAATGCACCAAAGTTCTTAACGAATTGTCGAAGGAAGAAGATACAAGACCCATTTTACTCACTTTTTCACCAGTTTCAGAAAATCAGCTGGTAAAGGAAGGGCCAATTCCTAATATTTATAGCAAGGGAAACTTTTTGCAGCAGCGTGAATTGCTGTATAGGGTTTATAAAACTGATGCACGGCTTGTAAGGTCTGTCTTAGAAATTTCAGGATTGAGTCCTACAGATTCTCACGATTGGAATATTTTATGACTCGGATCAAGTGGCCAGCCTTACTTATATGAAGGCTTGAATGAGTACCAAAAAATCAATCATTTTCCAAATTCATATGAAATTACACGAAAAGACCGAATGCATATCAATCTCTCAGCGATGATAGAAAAATATGGGATTGAGGACTTCGATTTTATTCCTGAAACTTATCTTCTTCCTGATGATTTTAATTCATTTTATTCACAATTTCAAAAGGATAAACATGCGAAATGAATACATAAGCCATGCAATTCCTCACAAGGAAAAGGAATCTATTTAGTGGAATCATTGTCTGATATTCCTGCAGATGAGCCTTGTGTGGTCTCTAGGTACATACAAAATCCTTTGCTTATCAATCAATTGAAATTTGACATCAGGATTTACGTTCTTGTTACTTGCTTTGAGCCTTTAAGGATTTACATGTTCAAAGAAGGGCTCGCCAGATTTGCAAGTGAGCCATACACTCCTGATAGCAAAGGAAATAAGTATGTTCATTTGACAAATTACAGTGTAAATAAAAAAAATGAAAAATTCATACAGAACCAAGATTGAAAGCAAGACGATTACGGCCATAAGTGAAGTGTTTCAGCCCTTTGCAAACATCTTGAAGCAGCTGGGGTGGATATTGATTTATTATGAAGCAAAATCTATGATTTGATAATTAAAACAATTATGTCTATAGAAACCACAGTAGTGGACTCTGTTAAGCAGCTTGCAGTACATAGGAACAACTGTTTTGATTTATTAGGCTTTCATAATAAAATGGCATTCGGTTCGAGAGAAATTAGCTCTTCTAATTTTCTCTCCCTCATGGAATTTATTTATGGGATTGGGTTTTCTCTAGAGAATTTCTGCACAGCAATAGCAGTTTAACTTTGAAATAACCAAAGGAACTGCTCCTCAGTGCAGTCAAGAGGCTCAGGGTTTTATCTCTCAGCACATCTCCAAGGGAAGATGACCCTTAGGCGGAGCACGCGCAGGAGCTGAGTATGGAGAGCGACGGCAATGCTCCGGGTGAGATGTGCGGCAACTGGATGCGAAGCGTCGATAGAAGGCTTGGCCGGTGAGCTGACCATCGCGATTCCAAGATGGCTCCGTGACGTCACTAGTTTAGCTAAATCCCCATTTGTTTAGAGTGTGGCACTAGACACCTTAAACACCAGATGATAAAGCTAAGTTAAGTTAAGATTTATTAGGTTTTGATATCTTAATAGACTCTGAGCTAAAACCTTGGCTATTAGAAGTAAATTTGTCACCATCATTAGCTACTGACTCTCCATTAGATTTGTTTATTAAAGGAAATTTAGTCGCAGATACCCTGAACCTTGTAGGACTTCGCATGTTTGATAGAAAAAAAGAATCTGCTAATAAAATCCGTTCACGTATAAGAGCAAGACAAAACCAGCTCGCCCAAAGTAGAAATAAAAACAACATAAGAGCTAGTTCTCCAGTTTCTCGCAAAAAAGAATTTTCAATGTCTCAAAGCTTCAAGAACATCTTAAAAGAAACTTTAGAAGAGTATGAAAGACGAGGAAACTTCGTCAGAATCTATCCTTCTAAAGGCTGCAGTGTTTACGACCACTACTTCACTACTCTTCGGCCTGTAAACAGGACTCTATATAATTATTTATTTGAAGAGCTGCTTTCGCAGAAATCTGATGACCAGCTGCCTCCCCCAGAAATAAAAAGGCCAACTTCATCTTCTATGATGAGCCCTATAAAGAGCCACTTCAAGTCAGCGCACAAGCCTCGCTCAGCCAATATTTCAGTTGACCATTCATTGATGCCAGAGTCTTCATTTGAGGAAGAAGAAACTAAGTCCAAAGAGCAATTGAAGGTGCTTTCTTCGAACTCAGATTTGAAAGCAAACCCTTTGCCAAGCAAAAAAGAAGGGAGACTGATAATAACAGGAGATGACATTTTAATTGAGTATGTCTCCAGGATTATGCACGCTATAAAAGCGATAAATGAAGAAAATTTGAAGCCATATTGGAAGAAAAACATTGATAACTTCATTTCACATCAAGTTTGGCACAGCGAGCCAAAGAAATCAGAAAACATGTGAGAAAGGCTGGAAGAAAGGCTTCAGGTGATGAAAACGCGAAAAAAACAAATAAATAACAACGTCGAAGACCTAGAAAGCCAAAAACACAGCGTTTTGCGAGGATTATCGGCTTCACAAATAGAGAAAATGCTATTAAGCTCCTCAAAAAATGCTGCCCACGAAATAGTATCATGCTTATTTGACCAAGAAGGCAAAGGTGTTTTAACTGGGATCATCAAATGGCTCGCCACATCTGCAGCGAACCCCCAGGCTCGCTATTTTAAAGAAAAGCGAAACCGGAAATTCGACGACACTGATCAGCAGACTGCAGAGGAATCAACCCCTCAGTAAGCCTTATTTAGAAAAAGTTCCAGGATGTCCCCGACTTCTTCATCATCAATTTTAAATTCTTTTTCATCCAGAAGCAGAAAGACGTAAGAAATAATTAGATTTGGAGGAAGATTTGGGTGACAATAAATTTAATTTAATATGAATCATTATTTAATATGGCTTTTTGTAAATTTTGTTAAATTGCAAAATGAATTTTTTTATTATTAATTCTAGCCAATCAAAATGCTATCAAGAATTTCTTAATTTTAGAATAATTGATTTAGTTATTGATATAATTAATCCCTACGCTTGTAAAATAAGATATATGCTGCTTGTGATGCCACTTTTTCAGGTTTCACAGCAGTTACGTGGCTGTCATCCATTTCAACCCAAGACTCACATCTAGGGTTTTTCACAAAGGCTGTATAATGGCCGCCACCAAGTGATCCGTAATGATTTGAAACTGCATACAAGTCATATACAGAGTTTTCTTTATTCCCCAAAATATATGACGAAAGATCAAGACCTTCTATCGGAAAATCAATAAAAGTGTTCAGCTTATCAGTCCAATAAGACCTGGACTTAAACCGTATCAGATGTAAAATTAGAATTGGAGGGGCTCTGTATAATTGATAGCTTTTAGTCGCTTGCACATGTGTTTTGCAGGTTCCGCAGTATCATTTATTGTCTTCATCGAGTTTTTCAGGCTTGCAAGAATGCTCTAAACAATCTAAAAGAGAAATTGAGGTTACTTTCTTGACGCTGCTGTCTTGCAAAGTAGTGCTGTCTTCTTCATATTTATCAAGCTTAGATAGTCCTTTTGCCTTTGAATTCCAAACTAGCTCCAGCACAAATGGTCCTTCGGAATTTGGTCTGTTATCAAGCATCTCTTTTAGTGTTTTTTTACTGGAAAGCGGTAAATTACAGTTCTCACAGTTGTTTCTTCCACAAAAGTCGCATGGGAGCTTGCTGCTTGACAAGAACCCACTTGTTTTTTTAGACTGATTATATATCCGCAAATCATATGGCGGATGTTGTGCATATAGATCCCTAATTCCTTCCTCATCATCTTCAAAAAGTCTTCCCGTACTATTTTCTATAATATTCTTAAACATATTTGCGATATAAATATGGATTTCTGTCAAAGTCATAGAAGTTTGCAAGAAAATGAGCCTCATAAAGGTGAGAACTACTTTGTTTTGGGAAAGATAAAATTTTTTCTCAGCTGCTTTGGTGATTATCAGAGGAAGAGTATAGGTAGAATCGTCAAGTTCTGGAGATTCAAAGGCTATTAAAGTGCGGTCGCCTATATCAGTGACTTCAAAAGAATCAGGGGCGATACCTTTGAGGTAGTTATTTGAGTAGACTGCAATGACTACATTGGGAGAGGCAAAATGACCTTTAAGGATTTCTTTGATTTTAGAGACTTTACTGCCCATGTTCAATAAAATGCTGATTTTGATAGGAGCTTTCGATGGATCTAAATAGACGAACAAGACTTTTACTTTTTTTAGTTCGTAGTTCGGAATTGCCACAGAAAAAGTCATAAATGGGTCAAAAGTGATTGAAATTTTTCCACAGTCTGGACAAATTAGTTTTGACTTACATTGGCCGAACATTGTGTCTCCAATAATGCTTTGATTTCTCTGTAAAAACCAGTTTCAAGACTCTGCTGCTACGATTTCATCAGGACGGTCTCCTCCTGTGGGCTGCTCTATATAAGGTTTGACCCTAACTCGATTTAAATCTTCATGCAAACCATTAAGTAAATAGTTAAGAAGCTCATGAGAATCATGCTGATGGTAGCCAGAAAATTGTGAAGCTACTTTTGCAATAGTTTTTTTTGTGCTATTTTACTTATTTAATTTAGGACACTTGCTAGATTAGATCCTTAATTTATATAAGTTACTGCAAAATTATCTAATAAATAGTAAATTAATTCAATTAATAAAGAATAAAATTTCATGGAGAAACACTTGATGAGCTCTCTAATCATAACTCTTTCAACAGATCTGCATATGCATATGCAAGCACAGCACCTTTAGTTCCTAATGGATTATTAGGGTTAATGTCTTGCAAATAGCGGTTGGATAATATATATTCTGTTAGTGGAATAGTATGAGATACGCACTGCAAGGCTGAGTTCATGAAGCAAGTGTTTCCTAAGTTCTGGAGCCCAGTTAAGCCATGTCTAGCATTTGATTTTATAGTTTGGTTGCTTTTTATTTTTTTGCAATGATCTTTATGAATTTTAAAATGAGTTCTTTGGCATTCCACGCTGCAATATTTCACACTCCTGCAGTTTGAGCACTGAAGCATTTTTCCAACCTTTTTGCATTGGACACAAATTTCTCCTAATTCACTAGAAATAGTCCATGTACCATCAGGTTTTTGGAACTCTAAAATAACGATATCTTCATCTGCTATTTCTGCGTTTTCTAACTCCTCATCATCTTTCAAACTTTCAGCACCTTTAATATAAATTTCGCTAGCATTTTGTTGGATTTTCTGGAGAGAGGACTCATGCTGGACTTTTCAAAGCTTGCAAGTATCGTTATTAATACCCTTTGCCTTGCATTCTTCTTTAAATATTCTTTGCAGCTTCCATTTTAGCTCGTTTGCTGTTGCCTTTCTGCTAATATTAACAGTTTTAATTTGCAAAATACCAGAAATAAAATTAGGTATCACTGCAACTTTGACAGGCTTTAGCCTGACTTCTATTTGTGTGAGGTTGCCTTCATCAGTTAGCGCAATAGCAAATCTTTTTATTTCTGTATTATCGTGCGACCAATTTTTATCAATGATATCATAGGCAGACTTTTGGACAATAATATAGTCTTTTTCTTCAGATGCAGTAGGCGTTATATTTATATTGCTATATTTCATATCATTTGCAGGGTCATAATAATATTTTGATTCATCATGGATAGCAATTATGTCGAGATTTGAAATTGGCCCTGGCTCTTCAGAGCCTTCTCCTAAGTTATAGAGTTTTCATTTTGTGAATCATGACTGAGAAATAACGTAGAATATGCCTCCTGCAGTGTCTTTTGAAGATTTTAAGGCAGCATTAAAGTTTCTGTACTCAGATGTTCCCGTTGTTTCTGTTTTTAGCTGATTTAACATGTTTTCAGCTATTATTAGAACTTCACTATCTTCGCAAGTTTGAATTATATCAGATAAGATTCGACATGCATCATCAAGCTCCCCCAGCTTTTCACATATTTCAACAGTCGTTTTCATTATTTTCTTCAGAAACTCGTTTTTCAGCTTTTCAATTTTTACTGTACCTATCATTCCTAAAGCATCTTTTGCGCACTGCAGGGCGGCTTGATTCTGATTCAGTGCACAATAGCAACCTGCTAATCGATATTTTGCAATAATTGTAGGATTCAAACTAAAGCTCTCTGAATATTTTTCTATAGCTATAGAGAAGTTCTTTATCCTGAAATTTTCTTCGCCCAGATTTCTTAAAGCTTCCGCCTTGTCATAATTTTCCATAATATAAAATGAACCGGGGTTTTGTATTTTTATTTATATTTCCTTTCGTTTTTTCAGCTGACTGCAACACAGGGTGTAACAGCACAATGATAGGGGATGGAACATGCAACACTGAATGCGATGTTTATGCTTGCAATTGGGATAATGGAGATTGTGGGTCAATTTGCAGTACTTCATGTTTATATACAATGGTTGGGGACGGTGTCTGCCAGTCTTATTGCAATACAGAAAAATGCAGCTACGATTTAAACGATTGCACCTCTTGCAAAAACGCTGGGTGCACACTTTCAAATTTAGGTAATGGAGTTTGCAATTCAAACTGCGATATAGCTATCTGCAATTATGATAACGGAGAGTGCAATAAATATGTAATATACAACCAAACTTATGAATTAGTTAACTATACACAATCAGAAACTGATGTTAAAGAATGAAATTATGGAAAAGTCGCAGGCGTTGGCTTAGGGGTGTTTTTGACGATCGTTGCAATTATTGTAGGTGTTTTAGTATGCATTATCGGCACAGCAACTCCATGCTTTCTTGTAATGTTTATATTGGGAATACTAATTCCTCTGATTACATTTTTAATAGTAGGCTTGGCTCCTCATCATAAAAATGAAGAAAAGAACACTGATAACCGGCATGACTATTATTTAGCTGCAAGGATTGTGTTTTTGGTCATTATGGTCGTTTTCGGGCTGTTTTCTTGTGTTAGTGTTGTTAATTTTTATTTTGGGGTGAATCTGAAGACAAGAAGAGTTGATTCAAGAATCACAGGAGCCGCACTTGCTGATTTGTTAGAAAAGAAAAATGAACCGCCTCAGGAGGGAAATGATTTGCAAGAAGGGCAGATGCCACAAGGAGATGGGCTTGAAATGCAGCCAGTAAGGGATCAGTCACAGTTACAATATCGATCTAGGGGAGATGCGGGCCAAGCTTATGATCCTTATGGGTATATGCAAGATCAGCCTCCTAGTCGTGAACAAAGCAGATTTATTCAAGGTCTAATTCCCCCCCTCTATGAGCGAAAGAAAAAATGGAGGGGGTTAATTTTTTTTTTTTAAAACATTTATATATAAATTTTTATAAAAATTTTTTTTTCGAAATTTTTTAAAAAAATCCTAATTCGCAAAAATTGGAAAGCAAATATTAATTTAATTTATAAAATTTATGTTTTAAGGTGCAATTGTTTAAAAGTAAACAGAATAAGCTATAGATTTCATTATAACTAATTATCTTTTATATATCAATTTTTTTTATAAAAAATTTTTGTTCATTCACGGAGGGTGGATTTTTTAGGTAAAAACTAGGGATTTTTTCTAATGGTTTTGTTCGCTCACGGAGGGGGAGAGTAAGCAGATTTTCGCAAGATCAAGGCAGGTTTGGACCAGATCAAAGCAGATTTGGACCAGATCAAAGCAGATTTGGACCAGATCAAAGCAGATTTGGACCAGATCAAAGCAGGCTTGGGCAAGACCAAAGCAGATTTGGGCAGGATCAAAGCAGGCTTGGACAGGATCAAAGTAGATTTGGGCAAGACCAAGGGCGATTTAACCAAGATCAAGGAAGGTTCGGCCAAGATCAAAGTAGATTCAGTCAAGAGCAAGGCAGATTTGGCCAAGACCAAAGTAGGTTTAGTCCAGATCAAAGTAGATTTGGGCAAGATCCAGGTAGATTACCTCAAAGCCAAATAAGCGCAAATCAAGACCCTAGAAGATCGCCACCTGGCTACCAAAATGAAATAAGAGAAGACCTTCCAGTCTATCCGCCAGGCAGAAGCGCCAACCGAGGATATTCAAATGGCCAAGGTCAGCCTAGAGATGGTAGTTTATATCAAGATCGCAGATAACTTGGAAAATACAATTCTTTAATTTATCATAATAATATTAATTACAAAATATTTACTCCCCTTTCAATTGGAGAAATACATCAGTAAAATTTGATTTTTTGGTACTTAACCCATATGCATAAAATGGCGTAGTGAATCAGCCAGCCTCCTAGTACCTGTAGCTGCGGAGACCTAGGGACATTGTGAAAGGGAGTTTAGCATTCAGCACATGTTTTATCCGGCCAGGTTTTACTTGGCTTGGTGAAGTAAAAATGTCCAGATTTTTGGATTGCAGGCTGATCTAGAACGTTTCCCAACGTGATGCCAGATGTTGTGTCCTGGACTACGAATTTTAATCTTGGACGACAGGTGACCAGAAAATTTGTTTTTCGAATTTTCTAGTTGGCATATGGTACAGTGACCAAAACTTTCCGATTACCAGGGAGCATATGCAGGGCTTGTTTGGTAGGATCAAGACTTTGAAGTTTGTGAGACGATTGTCGGCGAAAATGATGAGTGGAGCGTTCTGGAAGGAAATAAAGATTTTCGAATCACGACTGGGGGCTTTTACATAATCTAACTAAGTGTAAGGATAATTTAAATCTCCTTTATGTCGGAACAAAATTGCTTTCAAATAGGAAAATTTTATCGATGAAAATACTAATTTTAATAATTTTTTTTGCCTAATGTAACAGAAAAAAATGCATTTAAAATGCTATTTAAGCAGTTTTCACACTGAATCGATTAATTTTTTTATTTAATTCTTTATAAAAATAAATTAAAATTCAAAGTATTATGCTCAATTAATATTTTTTTGGAAATTTTAAATAAAATTAGTTTTGACATAGTTTAATAGAAAAATTCAACTAGATTCTACTTACTCCCCCCCCCCCCCTCCGTGAGCGAACAAAAACCATTAGAAAAATCGCCATTTTTTGACCAAAAACCCACCCTCCGTGAGTGAACAAAAAATTTTTTTAATAGAAAAAATTTTAATGGAAAAAAATTTTGATATATAAGTGATAATTAGTATAATGAAATCTAGAGCTAATTCTTTTTAATTTTTAAACAAATTGCGTTTTTTAAAACATAATTTTTGCAAAATTAAATTAATATTTGCTTCCCAATTTTTGCAAATTAGGATTTTTTTTTAAATTTCGAAAAAAATATTTTTTTATAAAATTTATATATATAAATTTTTTTTAAAAAAAAAAATTAACCCCCCTCCGTGAGCGAACAAAATTTTTTTTGTTCGCTCACGGAGGGGGGGGGGGAGTTAAAACATTTTTTCACACTAAATCGATTAATTTTTTTTAATCATTTCTTCGTAAAAATAAATTAAAATTCAAAGAATTGTGCTCATTTTATATTTTCTTTAAATTGTATTAACAAAAAGGTTTGACTAGGTTTAAATTGGAATAGGAATTTTTGTTCTAGTTTAAATGGGTGGAAGAGTCAGTATTGCAATTGTTACAGCTTTTAAAGTTAGCACGTTTTAATATCTGACCTTTTATCAAATTCCATGTATTAGCTCTCAGCTTATTATAAATAATTAATAAACTAATTTCAAAAGTTTCCTTTTACTACTCCATCCGTTAGCGAACCAGTCGCTCAAGGAGGGAGATTAATTTTTTTTTTAAAAAAATTTAAAAAAACTTGTAAAATTCGAGAAATAAATATTAATTTAATTTTTCAAATTTATGTTTTAAAATGAGACCAGTTTAAAATTAAACAGAATTAGCAAGAGGTTTCACTAATAATAATTATCACTTATATATCAATTTTTTTCATAAAAAAATTTTATATTAAAAATATTTTTGCTTGCTGACAGAGGTTTGGCTTTGCAAAAAATAGGGATTTTCCAATGTTTTTGTTCACTCACAGGGGAGTGAGTTAGGGAAAATCTCTGCATGCCTTCATTTCTAGAGAAAAATAACGATAATTAAAAAATACGCCAAAATAGTAAAAGCTTTCGAGTTTGCCCAAAATAATGGCTCAATAATGGGCGATAACTGCTAACTTAATGCTAATGCTAATAAAAAATAGGCCAAACAACTGAGCTATTTAAATCTCTACCTTTATTTTATTTATAGAAAGCAAATAATAAGAATTTGCTATAAGAGCATCTTCTAAGGCAGAATTCACTATACTTTTGTAGGTAAATTTACCGAATAGTAAGCCCAAATTTGTAATAACAATAAAAATAGCAGTATAACAATTTTACAAGAACATTTTGATATAATTACAAAGCATAAAAGAAAATTAACTGAGCTCTTTATTCAATTTTTTATCAAATAAATTTCAGTTTTTTGATATACTCAATAATTAATGTGCGTTACTGCTATAGCTTATTTTGTTCACCCCAAATACCCATTTGTTTTACTTTTCAACAGAGATGAGGTATTCGAAAGGCCTGTGTCAGAGATAGCAGAGTGAACTGATGAATGGGAAGGAATAGTTGCTGGTCGAGATTTGATGGCAGGTGGAACGTGGCTAGGGATGAATCATGATGGTAAGTTTGTTGCTGTCACAAATTTTAGGGATAGCAACACTCAGACTGAACAGCAAAAAGTTCCAAGCATTGCGGTTGAATTGGATAATAGAGGCGCCTTTCTTAGCCGCGGTTTGATCCCTTTACAAATTTTAAGAAAAAACGTAAATATTGTGGGCGAACTTGAAAATTTATGGGAAGAAAGATCTCGCTATAGGAGCTTCAACTTATTAGCAGGAGACGTTAAAGGCTCTGGACTTTATTATTTTAGCGTAAATCAAACTGAAAATGCTTTTAATGGCTTAAAGCAGCTTGAGCAAGGACTCCATTGCATGTCTAACACTGACATTTCTAACAACTGAAAAAGGACGACAACGCTAAAAGATGAACTAGATTGTTTTTTAAAAAACCATGAAGAGTTTTCACCGCTAGATTTGTTACCTCTTTTAACGCCTGAGCTAGCTAGTAATGAGCCCACTCAACGAGCAGTGTCAGTTTTCTATAAATCAAACCCTATAAATATAGGTGAAAAAACTATCTCTTTTGGGACAGTGTCCTCTACAATTATAACAGTAAGCATTTCTAATGAAGTTAATATACTTGAAAGGACATGAAGCAGAGACCAATTATCATATGCTGACACATCTAAAAGTTTTTATATATCTACTTAGAAATTATAAGAAACACTTGTGCGATATTTTTTAATTTTTAATATGGATAGCTAAATCTGATTACTAGTTTTATCAGAAAAGAAAAATAGATTACAAAAAGGATAAAAAAGCTAAATCTTAATCGATGTTAATGCTAATGCTATGCTGACGCTAATTAAGATCATTAAAAAAATTATCTTGAGACACAAGATCTTATTCATCATGCCTTGACATGTTGGATGCCTGTACGCTAATTAATAAACTGAAAAAGGTTCTATATTATAAAGCATTTTGGGCTGGGGATCTATTTTAATGACTGATACTGAAATATCTAAAAGCAGATTTCTTTAAAGATGAGCTAAATTATTTTAAAAAACCATGAAAATGTTTCATCATTATATTTCCTCTTTTAACACCTAACTATCTAGTAAGAGTCTACTCAAAGCATAGTTTCAGATTTCTATAAGTCAATCTCACTAAATATACTTTCCATAAGTTTTAGAACTGCCTTAGAAGAAAAATGTTCTGATTATTTTTTTTGGTTATCAGAGCTCTGGCTAAAAAATAGTTAGCTAAAATTTAGAAATAATAATAATAATTGAACCCTTGGTTTAACAATAAAGAATAAAAAGTAAGGATTCAAAATAAGGGCGCAACGAATAAGTTTCTAATCAATATAGGTAAAATAATATCTATATTGGTACAATATACTTCTCTACCATTATAACTCTGAACAATTTTAATGAAATTAATATACTCGAAAGGACATGGTGTAAAGACCAATTATCATATAATGATGCTTTAAAAGGATTTTTTTATCTAATTAAAAGTTTTTGCAAAAAAATACTAATAGCAATTTAAATTTTGAGATAGTTTTAAGTTATATATGGGACAGCAAGAATCTACCGTACGACTTCGTCTTCAAAGAGGTCATGAAGGCATTCTTTACAAAGGTGGGTATCGAGTAAAGCCTGGTGGTGCTCAGACTTCCAAAACACTAAAAATAAGAGTTAATTCAGATGTGATTTCTATCAATGTTCCCGATGATTCTTTGACTTGCGGCTGATTGCTTTCTGAAGCAATCAGAACTCTTAATTCTCCCAGCCCAATTGTAGCGTTCCGAACAGCCGCAAAATCTGATATTTTGGACTATCTGCTTACCCTTTACGAAAGATCATTATCCCCTTTCGAGGACAATGAAGAACTTATAGCTGTATTTGGAGAGCTTCTAGACCAGGAAATTTCATGTAAGCACTTCAGCCCTATAAAAGTGGTTGGGAAGGGAGGATTTTCAACTGTCATTCAGGTTAGGAAAAAGGATACTGGACTTCTTTATGCCATAAAAACAATAAGTAAAGACTTTGTCAGAAAAGAAATAAAAGTTGCACAAATTTTGACGGAAAAAGATATTTTGATGAGGATGGCACATCCTTTTATTGTCAAGCTGCATTGGGCTTTCCAAACTGCTGAAAAATTGCATTTAGTCATGGACTTATGCCCGGGTGGTGAACTGTTTTTTCATCTTCATAACTTAGGAAGATTTACTGAAGACCAAGCAAGGGTTTATTTTGGAGAAATACTGATGGGATTAGAGTATTTACACGATAATGGGATCATTTATAGAGACTTAAAGCCAGAAAACATTTTACTTGATATTGACGGACATATACGTTTAACTGACTTTGGGTTGTCAAAGCAAGGAATTCCTTATAGTGGCAATAAGAAATACAATGGTAATCTGGCGAAGATGGAATCTGAGGGCACTCACATAAAGCAGGTTGGAATTTCGGCTCTTTCGAACGATAGAAGATACGGTGTTTCCCTAAAATCCGGATATATTATTTCAGTAAGTTTAAAGTTTCTATATATCATAGTTATTCGGATTCATTGTTTCCTGCAAATACTAAAAATCAAAATTAAGTTTACTAGAAAAAAAAAATCCTACTCATTTATACACAAGAGAGGCTTATTCATTAAATTACAGAATTATAGGTCATGAAATAACGAACCTGTTCTTATACTACGAGAAATATTCAGTCATTTCATAAGAATATAAGCCATGGAAATCTATAAAATAAGAGAATAAGGAGTCTAATAGTAAAAAATGATGAATGCTTATATTATTAGTTTAAATAAGTCAACGTGATATTAAATATCAGATCCATTTGCTTCTTAAAAAACGAAAATGTTTCGTTTTTTAAGGAAACAACGGTTTGATAGATATGAAAAGATAATTATGAAAACTGCATTCCTATGCGCATTTTGATGTCAAATATTCTTACAGAAACATATAACAATACGCGCACAAGACTATCAAAAAACGGAGCAAATGCAAGCAATCTTTGCAGATCAAATTTCTGATTTTATAGACATATAAGTAAGAACCTTTTACAAACTGAAAATACAAATCTGTTTTTTCATTAAATTACGAATTAGTTCATTCCTTAAAATTTCCGGGAATTGGAGCTCCTTAAAAAAAACTTTTTTTTTATGCTAAATTTTTGAACCCATTTTTCATATTTCACTGTATCTGCTTCTTAGATAGCAATTATCTTGCTTGAGTAATTATGAATAAATTAATTGCTTACTCCCCCCCCCCCTCCGTGAGTGAACAAAACCATTAGAAAAATCCCTATTTTTTGCCCCAAAAACCCACCCTCCGTGAGTGAACAAAAATTTTTTTAATAGAAAAATTTTTTATGGAAAAAAAAAATTGATATATAAATGATAATTAGTATAATGAAATCTAGAGCTAATTCTGTTTAATTTTAAATGAATTGCTTTTTAAAACATAAATTTTATATATTAAATTAATAATATTTGCTTTCCAATTTTTGCGAGTTAGGATTTTTTTAAATTTCGAAAAAAAAATTTTTTATAAAATTTATATATATAAATTTTTTAAAAAAAAAAATTAACCCCCCTCCGTGAGTGAACAAAATTTTTTTGTTCACTCACGGAGGGGGGGGGAGTTATATATCTATTTAAAATTAACGCAAACATTATTGTAGAAGTCCTGCGAAAAATACGTTCTACAGTAATATTACAGTTAGCAATATATATAAATATAATACTTTAAATCTTACTATAAAATCCTCAGGTTTAATAAGCCATATTGCAGTCCACATATCAAAAATTTAAAAATACTGTATTAAATGGTGTTACAGACTTTATGTGCAAATTATTTAATAATTTTCGCGCCATTATAAAATATAATGGCGCAAACATACAAAATATATACCTACTTACTTATTGCTTAATTATTCGGTGTTTAAGGTGTCTAGCGCCGCAGCCCTAAAAAGGAATTTTTAGCTAAACTAGTGACGTCACGGAGCCATCTTGGAATCGCGTGGTCAGCCTAACCGGCCAAGCCTTCTATCAACGTTAGTCTCCAGTCGCTTGCACGTCCCACCCGGCGCGTTGCCGTCGCTCGCCCTAAATCAGCTCCTGCGTGTGTTCCGCCTAAAGGTTATCTTCCCGTGGAGATATGCTGATAGGTAAAACTCTGAGCCTATTGAGTGGTATTCTACTTTCAGTGGCTACTAGATTGCAACAGCAAGCTGGAAAGGGTTCTCTCTCTTTAAGAGAAATACTAAATATTAGTAATTTCTCTTAATTCTTCAATTAATACAGTGAAATATGAAAAATGGGTTCAAAAATTTAGCATAAAAAAAAGGTTTTTTTTAAGGAGCTCCAATTCCCGGAAAATTTTAAGGAATGAACTAATTCGTAATTTAATGAAAAAACAGATTTGTATTTTCAGTTTGTAAAAGGTTCTTACTTATATGTCTATAAAATCAGAAATTTGATCTGCAAAGATTGCTTGCATTTGCTCCGTTTTTTGATAGTCTTGTGCGCGTATTGTTATATGTTTCTGTAAGAATATTTGACATCAAAATGCGCATAGGAATGCAGTTTTCATAATTATCTTTTCATATCTATCAAACCGTTGTTTCCTTAAAAAACGAAACATTTTCGTTTTTTAAGAAGCAAATGGATCTGATATTTAATATCACGCTGACTTATTTAAACTAATAATATAAGCATTCATCATTTTTTACTATTAGACTCCTTATTCTCTTATTTTATAGATTTCCATGGCTTATATTCTTATGAAATGACTGAATATTTCTCGTAGTATAAGAACAGGTTCGTTATTTCATGACCTATAATTCTGTAATTTAATGAATAAGCCTCTCTTGTGTATAAATGAGTAGGATTTTTTTTTTCTAGTAAACTTAATTTTGATTTTTAGTATTTGCAGGAAACAATGAATCCGAATAACTATGATATATAGAAACTTTAAACTTACTGAAATAATATATCGGATTTTAGGGAAACACCGTATCTTCTATCGTTCGAAAGAGCCGGAATTTCTACACTTGCTGAGTTCGGGCGCTTGCGTTTTTTTACTTTTTTCAGTAGACTAAGGTGTGGGCATGCTGCTGCAGAGGGAGTTTTTTCTACCACTAATTTTTTTATGGGGACGCTTTGGCGCAGTAAGGAGCTGAACCTTAGGTCTGATGGCAAATATTGAAAACTCAGAAGGGCAAGCCCATGTTTCCTAATTTGAACTCCAAGATATAGAGTAGCTTTGATGCTTAGCGGTAAACTCCACAAATGGCCGATACTTAATCTTAATCTTATAATGGGCAGACGTATAGTTTTTGTGGAAGCCCAGAATATATGAGTCCAGAGATGCTAAGAGGACAAGGACATGGGAGAGCTGTGGATTATTATAGTTTAGGAGCTCTTCTTTACGAAATGCTAACTGGCTTACCACCCTTTTATGATTCAAATAGGTCGAAAATGTACTGAAGGGTCCTGAATGAAGACTTGCCACTTCCAAGCTTCATCTCCAAAGTAGGTCGCTCATTCCTATCAGAAATCCTCCATAAAGACCCAAGTAGGCGTCTAGGTATAATCAATGGTTTCCAAGACATAAAATCCCACCCATGGTGCTCCAAAATTAACTGGTCAAGACTCTATAAAAAGAAAATTCTTCCTCCATTTCGGCCAAACCTTCGCATGTGCAATTTTGATCCTGAATATACTAGTATGGAGCTAGATTTGGATTTCATAAAGTCCAGTCCGAACGCATATGATGAAGAATTTGCTGATTTCGATTATTCTGGCGATGGCATTATAAAAGACACTCCCAACTCTTTGTCTTCAATTGAAGACTTATCATCAATTTCGACCACAACAAGCAAATCAACTGGAGTAGTGTCAGCAAGCAGTAGTCATATAAAAATCCCAGTCATTTTTGAAGAGGACGAAGAAGAAAAGCCATTGAAATTGACAAAAATGAAGTCAACACAAAACAAAGATGATACTACACCTGTGCCTGATTATGATGAAACCTTCGTTTTTACACCCCCAAAAAAAACCCTAGGATTTTCATTGCAAGCATTAAAAACCAAAACGCCAAGAAAACTCATTGAAGCAAACCCCTTCAAAAGTAATGCAAGACAAGCTGTAAGAATATATCCTCTTGATAATAAGCCAAGTACACCACAAAGTACTGAGGCTCATGATATGCCCACTTTAACACTGCCTTCATATGAAAATCCTGAAGAAGGCCAAGAGGTTAATGAAATTCCCAATTTTGATCCAAAGCATTAAGCAAGGAACTGATAAATTAATATGAGTAATTTTTCTTATTTTAGCCTATATTAGTTAGTTTCCAATTTCAAAATGGAATCTAAAAATATGCAAAACCTCGAGTAACTCTGGAAACTCAAGCATTTAAATAATAAATTTTCTTACAAACTATGGTCTGAATGTTTGAAATTTACTGTATGATCTTCCTCAACTTACTTATTATTTAAGTTTTAGAAGTCTTGCATCCATAATAATTTTTCTTAACAGAAAACCCGCACTTAGTTGGAAATATTTATTTTTAAACAAATTTATTACTCCCTTCTAGCAGGCAAAACTATTATAAAAATCACTATTTTGGTAAAAATTAACTAAGCAGTAAAAAATTGTTTTTATATAATAAATATTTTTGTACAAAAATAATTTAATAAATTTAATGATTGTAATAATAAGATATTAATTTTAAATTGCTTTTATCCTTAAATATAATTTTATAGATTAAAATTGCTCTTAATTTAAAACATCTAAAAATAAGAAATTTCAAAATTATATGCCGATCTTATAATATAATTTTTTTTAAAGATAAAACTTCTTTACTTTAAGAGGGTGTCAGAAAAATATCTCCAAAATATGTTTGTGCTAATTCCGCCTCAGCACTGATTGATCAAGGATAGGTTGATAGAAAGCTTATTTTATTGATTATTTATATAAAACTTTACAAAATTTGAAAAATACTGTATTAATGATTTTGTTGATTGCTCAATCCCTTTAGCTTCTTTAATAATATCGCTTATAGCGCTTTCCCGAGGATGGCGCGGAATGGCGCCATCCTCGGGAAAGCGCTATAATCAAGAATTGGGAGTAAGAAATTAAATTAAGATTTTCCATGCATTTAATCCTTCTGACGTAGATTTTGAGTACAAAAGCGACTAAGCCATATTCGTTTATAATGATAAAATGTCAATCAGTGATCAGTCAACAGATAGAAGCAGCGATTGTGTTGAGCTCGTAACAGCTAGATGCCTCACTTATTCCTTTATTCTTGGAAGGGACGAGTCATTAATACCTGAAATGGCAAGCCCTGACTCTGAAATGGAGATTTCCAAGCACCACTTCATGGACCATTTTCCTGAAGCTCGTGACCATGGTGTCACCTTCTTTTCTATTGTTCCGACACTTTCTGGGGGAGAAGAGCTCAGACCTATATTTTGTTTTCAAACAGCTGAGGCAGTTTATGTCAAAGCTGCAACCATCATGCCAAGGTCAACATTTGACCAGATAATGGATCTGGCTGCAAGGAGTGAGGTGAAGAGAATTTACATAGCAGTCCACAAAGAACTCCAAACATTCGCAAAAACTGTAAAAATGCTTATGTACATGGGGTTCAGACAGTTGGAGCTGCAAGAGCAAAAGACATTGTGCCACACATCAGCTGTGTTGTTTGCACTTAAAGTCTAGATTAAATAATAGATAAAATAATAAAATTTGAGGTTGAAATTGTAATAATTTTATCAGAGTAATTATCTATGAATTTTATTTTCTGAGGATAATAATGGAAATGCAGGTGAAAATTCTAATAGAATAAAGATTTTAAGAGATTAATAAGCTAGATTACCATAAATTTTAAATTGTTACTATATTAATTTATAGCTTGCCATAGGCTGAGCTCTATTTAAAAATGAATTTGTGTTAAATCCAGCATCATACCCGATTCTCTGCACTTTCGGTGAAAGTGGGCGACATTTTTCCAGAAAATTTTTATTTATCAGTTGTTGTGAGTTTACTTCTAAAGAAATAGAATTTTCTGATTTAACTGAAAACCTTCTTGGTCTCTCATTTGAGTTAAATCTGAAATTCTTCTTATAAAAATGCTGCTTTGAGTATGAATTCATTTTGCTTAAATGGGGAGATGGCGATCTTCTAGCGCTTGGCAAAGCTGAATAAGAAGAGTTTGATCTCAACCTATCTATTTTTGGGTTAAAAGTGCACTCAACCATAGCGTTTTTTTCTTTATTTTCCCTTTCTTTTTTAATTTTATCTTGTTTTCTACGAAGCCAAAATTCATTTCTTGACAGCATATCCATATCAAGTAAATCAGGAGGTTCTTCATGCTCAAATATTTTTGGACGAGCTCTTACCTGCTCTCTTAATTGTTCTATAGTCATTGGCTTATTTCGATCAGTTCGATTTGTCGTAGAAACTGTGCTAGTGTTGAGATTTTCGTTTACTGGTTGAGAATGGGATGATAGATTTAATTTTAAACTTGGGATATTTTGTTTAAAAAATGAACTCAAAACTCTGTTAGTTGGATAAGGAGCTTCTTCACATTCAATATTTTTTGCTAATTCTTTTAGTGAGATTTCTGCTTGTTTCGGGATAATTTTTTCATTTGAGGGTAACTTATCATTTTTATTATTCAGATTCTCTCTTTTTCTTTCTGAGCGATTAGTAAACCGACTATTTGCAAGGGCTTGTTCTAAATTCATTCTTGGCGTTTGTGCACATGAAGAAGCAGCGCTTGATTTTTCGCTTTTTCTTGAATATTTATTTCTTAGCAAGTCTTCAATTGAAATCTTAGGTTTTAGTTTCGAGCTTGAACTGCATCTAGAGACTTCTCTTTGTTGGTTCCTAATAAATGAGTCTGAGTGAAGCCGCTCAAATACCCCTCTTATACTGTAATGAGGTTCTTCACAATATTGCCTGTCTTTATAGGGCACACCAAATTCATTTTCCATAAATTAAATATTAATGATAGCAAAAACCAACAAAGTTTGGCAAATTTTCTAAAACAATATCTAAGGCTTTAAAAATTTTAAAATTAAATTTCCCCTTACCAGTTTTTAAAGTTAGGGAAAGAAGTAAATTTGACAGTAGGATTATTATTTTTGCTAGAATCTTCCAAATTTTCGGGTTTCCAAATATCTTGTTTTGATATTGGATCATCATCTAATAAGCTTTCAAAAGGTTTTTGTTCTGTTTTAGCTGTGATAGGGAATGAATGATCAATGAGCTCTTCACCTAAATCTGCTTCCTCTTGCTCTTCTTTTAAGGCAATAGCAAGTGCTTCTCCAAGCCTGCCTTCCAATTTTACTCTACCTAAATCCTCCCACCGAATGCCAGCAAACATATTTTTCATATGCTTCATGTTATGCCTTGACAAAAATTGCACAACTCTTGGATCAACTATATTTTTATTTTCTTCGCTAAAATCAGGTGCTTCTGCGGACAGCTTAGTTCTTGTTGGAGTTCCTCTGTGTAATACAAATTCATCAGTTGTGCTATTTATTTGGTTAACAAGTGCTGCATTGTGCGAAGGAACAAAAGCGAACGGGAGCCCTTGATTAGCAAGAAATGGAGTTTGTGCCACTTTTTGAGAGAATCCTGGAGAAAGCATGCTTTTTTGTGGATGCGGGGTTTGAGATTTATAGTTGCTATTTATTGGGTACTCTTTAAAAGGAGAGTTATCAACAACCCTTCTATCCCTAGCACTATGATAAAATGGGCAGTCCTGAATTTTGGGGCAATTTCTCCCAAGGGTGCATAGTCTTGTCTTATAAGTCCTAGGATGATATTCTATTTCTTTCCACCCATGGCATCTTGTGCAGTTCATCATATTAGGGCATCCACCTTCTTCGTAGCTTAATATAAAAGTTGATGATCTCCAGTTCGGACAAGGCAAAGAGCTATAATTATTGCTATCTGGCTTTCTTCTAAAATCCTGCCAATTGTGAGCATACACACACAAAGCCTTATCATGAGGCGAGTTAAATGGGCACCAAACTGTTTTGAAAAAATTTAAATAAAAATCATGACCTCTCTGGTACTTATGGATTAGCTCAACTTTGATGTCGTCTTCTGAGTGAGCGAAACTACAAAAATTTCCATATTCGCAATGTTCGGTTTTATAAGGGAAAAAAGTGCAAAATTTTGTTTTATATTTTTCTGGATGGTAAAGCTGCTCTACTCTATTATGCGATTTATCACAACTTTCATTGCCACATATTGCTTTTTCGCCATCTCCACATAAATCAGGGTTTAAGTTTTATGAAATACCCTAGCATTTTGAATGCCTATAAAGTCCCCTTGCTTGAGGTTCAGCTAAATTAACAGCTCTGAGCAACGGTAGGTGAACCGACCTAACCGTCGAGCCTTTAAAGTTAATAAGCCTATTAAGACTTCTCTAGTCAGTGCCAGACACAGTAATGACCCTTCTCTTCAAAGCTGAAGCTCTCAAGAAGATTGACTTCTCTCACTAAGCTTGGCTTATAGGTCCATCCTGTTTGAACAGGAGCTAGGACCTATCCCTAACTGACATTTTTAATATGTAAATCAGGGGAATAAAACTCTGGCCTTCTTTTATCACGACTTGAGTGATAAAATTCGCAGTGCTTGGGGTTGTGAGGTGCTGATATTTTACATGGCTGAGTCTTAAATACAGATAAGTCTAGATGGTTAGGGTTTTTAATAAGAGGAGAAAATGGGTGGGATTTTGGAGAGGCAGGAAATGTCCGAAGTTGCTCAAAATTTATGTGTGCGTTGGGGCAAAATTCTGGGCCTTTACAGTCAGGATCGCTGCACCACGTAGTCTTATATTTACTTGGATGGTATGTAAGCTCAGAAAAGGTGTGACAAGACGAACATGAGTCTCCTTTAGGACAGCTTTTTCCTTGGACAAGCTGATGGCACATAATTGCTGTATACGCTAAATTTCCAGAGCTGAGAAATGGGGGTCTTCTTTTTTCAGAAAGAGAATGATAGTCCATGCAGCCTTCTTGGCTATAGCACTGCCTTGAGCATTGCTGAACTCGGTAAGTTTGGAGAAACGAAATATGTTGAGGAAGTTCGTTAGTTGTTAACATTTTTGAATTTAAATAATAAGAGATTTTACGCAGTTCACATCAAGTATGACATGAATATTAATGAGAAAAGTATTTTGAAATTCAAATTATGAAAAATTAAGTATGTCCAATTTCATAAAAATGCGCATTAAATTAGCAAATTTACTCTCCAAATTGGTATTCTTAAGAAGAATCAATTTTTTTCATATTATAAAATAAGAATTTCTTAATATTTGGTAGTTTTAAGGAAATAGAAAAAAGTAAAACACTGACAAAAATTTTAATTAAACAATAAAATTTTTATTGCGAGATTTTCAATTAAAAAATTGAATAAATGCTATTTTTAAATATAGGATGAAAATTTAGTAAATGAGTTACGCCTTTTAAATATGAATTTTAATAAGAAAATTTATAGTTAAAATTTTTATAAATGAGTTTAAGAAATAATATCAAATATTTAACAATTAAAAATTTGCTATGTAAATAGCTCTTTATATAGATTTTAATAGCAGTTAAAAATAATTTTATATAAGTTACAAGCAAATTAAATTTTTATGAGAAAATTCTCCAAATTCTCCAATTAGACTCTTATTAAAAATTTAAAAATAATTTAATCAAAAATTAAATTTGCAGCTACTGCTAATCATACTTTAATTTAATTTGAATATGCACATATAAATTCTAAGAATGGGATTTTTTCTTTTTGCATTCGCTGAAGAGGACTTTTACAAGATATTTAAAAAAAATTAAATGACTATGCTTGCCAAAAGCGGATAAACCCACTAGACGTCGCCAATCTTTTTTTCCAAAATGTAGTCTTTTTGGATTTTCTATATGAACCACCTACTCAAGGAATCAACTCCCTACGGCAGAGCCGCCTGGAGAGTGCCCCGATGGTCCGAAGAGAAAGACCATGTAGTAGGCAAAGCCTGTCTAGCCCATCTGGCAGGCATAAGGAAACCTTCGGATAGAAGCAGGTCTTTCCTCTTCTCTTGGCATCCCCAAAATTGAAGGTACTTTAAAAAGGATAAAGGCTCTGTTTTCAGCTTCACAAAAATGAGTCCTATCTGCTCCATAGGGAGTGCGCCCAGAGTTTAATTTCCTCCAGCGTCAATATTTATTTATTCAAGATATTAGGAATCAATAGAAATGCTGATGAGAAAACTATTAAAAGAGCATATAAAAATCTTTGTCAAAAATATCCCTTCCCAGATGAAAATAGCGAAAATAAAGTAGAAATCGACCAAATGTTTAAGAGAATTAAAAATGCATATGAAGTACTGATTGATCCAGAAAAGAGAAAAAACTATAATGTTTATGGAGATGAGTGAAATGAAAGTTTCGGTAATTTGGCTCAAAGGCTTACTAATAAATTTTTTACAATATTTTACAATTGATGGGATGATAATTTTAATTTTATTTCCAAGTTTAGAGCAGAACCGACAAATGATCATAAAAATTCTCACTCAAAAGCAAGTTTAATCGTATATTAAAAGGTATTAATAAATGGCAACTGATAATAAGTATGACCGACAACTAAGGCTATGGGGTTCACACGGCCAAAAAGCTCTCAATACAAGCAAGATTTGTCTGCTTAAATCCTCATCTCTAGGTACTGAGATTTTAAAAAATCTTGTGCTGCCTGGCATTGGTCATTTTACTATCATTGACAATCAGATTGTATCAGAAAGAGACTTCGGAAATAATTTCTTCCTTACCAGAGCTGATCTTGGAAGACCTCGGGCTGAAGCTACCAAAGAGTGGCTACTAGAATTAAACCCTGACGTGAACGGTGAGAGCTTGCAAGCTGACCCATCAGAACTTATCAGAACAAATCCTGAGTATTTCAGCCAATTTACCTTGATTATTTCAACACAGCTCAGGTTTGCTGATGATTTAGCACTTAGCCGTATCTGCGAGCAGAAAAATATTACTTTTCTAATAGCGAAGTCACTTGGATTTATAAACTACCTTAGAGTTTACAAAAAAGAGCACCTTGTGGTGGAAGGAAAACCGACAGAAAAAGATTTTTTTGATTTAAGAATTCATAAGCCTTTCCAAGAGCTAAAAATTTATGCAGATTTGATAAATGTCGATGAATTAAATGATATGAAGCACAAGCATACTCCATATATCATTTTATTAATGAAATATCTAGAAGAATGGAAAAATCTTCATGGAGATGTTCCAAAGACTTTTGAAGAGAAAGACGATTTCAAAAAGCTGATTAAAAGCCACAGTAGGGATTTTTATGGTGAAGAGAATTTCCGAGAAGCTGTCAATAATGCTTATTTGGCCTATTTAGATGAAGATTTACCTTTCTCTGTGACTGAGATTTTAAATGACCCAAAATCACTAGATGCCAATTCTGATAGCGATAATTTTTGGAAATGCTCAAAAGCAGTAAAGCAATTTATTGATGAAAGCGGATCACCTCCTGTGATGGGGATTTTTCCTGATATGACAAGTGATACTGATTCGTATATTGCCCTCCAAAGAATCTATCAAAATAAAGCATCAACTGATTTAGAAGTTATAAAATCAAAGGTATCAGCAATTAAAGGCTCTGATTTAGATCAAGCTGATGTCGATTTTATCACTTTATTTTGCAAGAATTTGCAGATGATTGAAGTATCACGATTTAAGTCAATTGAAACTGAGTTCAAAGAGTTAAACGTAGGAGAAATAATGAGCGCTATGTATGAGGATCTTCCTGTAGTTGATTGGTACTGGGGAATAAGAGCTTGTGATAAATTTATAGAGGAGAATGGAAGATATCCCGGATCAGAAGAATCAAAAGACAGTGAGGATAAAGCTCAATTATTAAGAATTGCTAATCAACTGATAGCTGAAAGCGGAGTAGAAGGGGTTGAATTTAAACCTGAAATTGCAGGAGAAATTGTGAGATTCGGAGATTGTGAGCTTCACTCAATAGCTGCTATTTTGGGAGGAATTGCGTCTCAAGAAGCAATAAAATTGATAACTCATCAGTATACGCCAATAAACAACACTTATATTTATTCAGCAATCACCTCAAGTTCCCAAGTCATCGAAGTTTAAATTAATTTAGAATATTAAAATAATTATGAGCCAAGCCCAAAGTTCTAGCCAGCAAATTTTAAGCCTAATTTCTAAGGTAAAACCAAAGTAGCTTAGTGGCTCTCAAGCACCCATTATGGTAGCAGCAATCCTGCAACAAATACACAGGATATTTTTGCAATTATCCCCATCGTAGCTACCATATAGAGATGTCCCTCAAGTTGTTTCATCTATTTATTCAGCCTCTTTTACCTGCCAACTCCTTGATTTTGTCCAATCTGGCGAAGCATTTGCATATTTTGGACTAAGAATTTTAGATCATATGTGTATGCATTCAGAAATCAGGCAAAAACTCTGTAAAAGTTATTTAGTAAGCTTTGGGCTTGTCAATATTAGTCTTGGCCTTTTAAGATCTGGAGATTATGACACTATTTTGGCTGCTTTATCACTTCTGACTTCGCTACTCACTGTCAAAGAAATCTCTGAATTTATTGAATATAATGGAATCCGCATGATTTCCAAGCTTTTACAGCAAAAAGAAGTGGAGTATATTTACTTTATATTACAGCTAATTGATTTAATATTAAATTCATCAAGAGAAAACAGGAATCAAATTTTGCATATTGGGCTTGCTGATGCGCTGAAATATAATATTAAAAATAACGCAGAACTACAAAAATGTCCAAGACTGTTTGGCCAAGCCAAGCGCATAAAAGACGAAATTGAAGTTTTCGAAAGTGTCGTGGCAAATATGAACGCATCTTATTTATTATCTGGGTAATTTAAAATTCATAATCTTCAAGTTTTAGTGGCCTTGCATAATAAGTGTTCACACATCGGTTTGTTGGTGCGTGGGTAAACATTTTGTTAAAATAAAAATCGAACCTGTCCGACTGAATATTTTCCAGCAATTTTTTTGACTCTTCAGAGATGTTAATTTTTCCTTGATACCCATTGATTTCTGTAATAAAAGCTATGTCTACGTCAGAGCCATAGATATCGTATTTAATCATATTAGTTCCTGTTATCCCTGCAATGACATCGCCTGTGTGAATTCCGATCCTTAAGCTGAAATTAACTCCTTTATCTCTATTTATTCTTTTGACGTTTTTTATCATGTCTAGTGCCATATTCATAGTATTTTCGCATTCAACTTCAGGCTTTCTTTTTTTCCCTGGCTCTATTTCAGTAAAGCTCAAAACAACATAGCTGTCTCCTATCGTATGAATTTTATATACATCATGAATCGTGCACAGGGTATCAAAAGATGAGAATAATTTAGATAAAAGATTGACAGCTTCTATAGGTTTTCTATTTGAAGACCATTGAGTAAATCCACAAATATCAGCAAAAAGAATTGTCACGTTTGAAAATTTGTCAGTTGTTGTTATCCCATCCTCGAGGTTCTTAATCACGCTTGGAGGCATCATTTGATATAGAAGCTTATCAGTATTCTCAATTTCTCTTTGTGCGAGCTTGTTTAAGTTATAGGTTTTTCTATCATAGTGTTCTTTCATCAAGCTAACTACAGTATTAATCATGATAAAAACAAAAACAAAAAATATTGTTTCTATATATGTAGATGAATGATAGCCTTTTAAGATTACTGCAGTCCAGCTTATTACATTTGAAATCGAAGCTATTAAAATATGTCCAAACGGCAGCCCGCCTATATAATTTATCACAAGATTTAAGTACATGACTTCTAATACCACCACATATATAAAAGTTTCACTTACAAAAGAAACCAAGCTTATACTTGACATACTAGCACAAAGAAAAATCAGCATGAAAACCCACGGATATAAATAATTTGTATATATTCTTGCCAGAAATATGGCCAGTATGATCATCATGAACAGGCAGAAACCCCTGACTCCTATAAGGAAATATGTCCCATATTGATCATCAGCTAATCGATTTCCAATAATAAAAATCACAGTTAGTATTGCATAAATTGCAATGGTCATTCAAAGCCCACACAATAAAGTGAACATATCTCTCTCTATTGTCTTCACACGATATTCATACTGTGGTGGCAATTCCTGCAAATTGCATGTTAGCCATTGAACAGGCCCAACCAATAGCATTAACTCTAATTATAGATCAGGGCTCTTCCTACTTTTATGTCTCCTGAGATGAGTCTTCGCAAAAGACTCACTCAGCTGCTAGAGAGCCTCCCTGTGTATGTCAGCATTTCCACCATAGATAACTCTCCGCTTTTGGCCTGATTCTTAAGGCTGTCTCGAAACCTTGGAGTATGCTGGTTTTGGACTTGACTGCTGCTTGAGTGACTAGAGTTCCAGATAGAGATAAGATCCCTTGCTAGTATCGGTACCAACTTTGCCTTCCTCTCGTCAGCACTAGCATCTCTAAGGGTAAAAAGCCTTTTCCCTAAATGTTCATCGGGTAGACACAAAGTCTTCATTGCAGATGAGGGAGGCATCCAGAATAAAAATAGACTCTGTTTCCTGCTCGGTTTGGCTTCAGGCCACAGCAAGGTCCCAAAACCAGAAACAGATCCAGAAGAGGGCGGGTCGGTGACGTCGCCATTTTATTTTTATTAGCATGCCCAACCAATAGCACACTTTTTCGTCCTCATCCCCAAATGCTGCTTTATCAAGCTTATCAATTTCAAATGAAGATACTGACTTGGTCATTGTTTTTGTAAGAGAAAAATCTGCATCTATAAGCGGAGCTTTTGAGGTATTCAATTCACTGTCTGAAGGTAAAGGCTGCTGCTGACTGAATTTCGAGTCAGGAATATCGTTAAATGTTGTGAATTTTCGCTGCCTTGAAGGCCTGATTTTTAAGTCCTTGACAAAGTATGAATTCACATAGCCTTTTCCCTTAATTTCTACTTGGTCTGGAATGAAGTCCCACGATTCATCATGAACAAGCTCATATGTAGATGAAGAAATTCGTATCATATCAGGGTTTTCAATTGATGTGCACATTCCAGACGCAATTTTGGTGGTTTCTCCGATTAGAGTAAATTGCGGCTTTTGGTCTCCAACAACTCCAGCGATAATATGCCCAGTATTGATTCCGATTTTTATATGAAATTTTACACCAGTTTTTAAATACACTGGCTCCATTTTTTTGAGAATATGTTGAGCTAATTCTATAACTCTAACTGGATGGTTTTTTGCCAAGATGGATTTTTCCAGGTTTTCTTCAGCATCCTTTAGTCCTCCACAAGCCATATACGTTTTATTTACAGTCTCTATTTTGGTTACAGCATGCTTTTGGCACAGTCTGTCACATATTCCAAAAAATTTGTCAAGCAAGTCAATAATTTCACTAGGTGTATGTGTTTCACAAATACTATCAAAATCACAAATTTCACAAAATAAGATAGTCACTGAGCTTTGGTCTTCAGAAATGTAGCGGATTCCTTGCTTAACGCGGTCTCTTACGAATTTCGGAAGAAGATCTCCAAGGACATTTTGGCCTTTTTGGAACTCGAATTCCAGTTTTTTCTTTAAAATGTACTCAATCCGTATATTTTTTTCAATAGAATATCCTACAAATCCACTTATAATTGCAATTCCAAAAGCCAAAGTAATATAGTTCAGGCCAATAATAACAACGCTCACCCTTGATATTTTGCCAGAATAATAGACCACAACCCTTATCAGATAAATCACAATATAAATGACATTAAAAAAAATCAGCTTATAAGTGCTCACATAGAATATGACAAATGTAAGCAACGGGACAAAAGCAGTGCTCATGGCTCCATCATTGTTTTGGATAATTTCTACGATAGTTTTTATGATCATTGCTGAAATGATAATAAGCATCACCACTTTTTCATAGTGTCGTATAAAATGTGAAGAAAATGCGAAAACGACGACTCCTAGTAAGACTACCATGATGATTATTCTTACGCCCATGATACCGACTTTTTGATCACCTCTTAATAAATCAATTACAGACCATACTAAGACTGCGCCAAAAATTAAGATAAGCATGAGGCGGATAAACTTGATAATTCTATCAGTACGAAATCGCTTATAGTGCCTTTCTGCGAATTGATTATTGAACTCCAGGGTCCACTTATTCCAAGAATAGTCATCTTTATCATTTAGCTGCTCATTATTCATTTTCAGCCCTTTTGCGTTAAAAATGGTATTTATTTTTGAAGAGTATTCCAACGCTCTTGCAGAAATATAGTCCTTACTCCTTTGAGTGACATAACTTCTTTCAGGGTGGACAAGATTTATTTGAGCGTTCAAAAGAGTTTCATTATTGGAAGGAAATCAAAGAGACTTTATAAATTTGCCTGCGAAAATCAAAATAAAGCAAGCAACGCCTATTAAAAATAGGCAGATAATATAGATAGGGGTCATAAAGATTTCAGTAGAAATTCCTATCATCTGAGTAGTTGGGAATTTAGAAAAGTCGTAGATAAATATAAATGGGAAAAAAATAAATAAGCTAATGATGGTTATAATGATAAATAGTAAGTTTCAACTTTTCATTTCTAAAAGAATTGTGGCTGTGGCTGTTTGCACGACGGAATAAAATGCGATTGTGCCGATTATCATGATGTCTTCAGTGTATCCTTTATCTGATATAGTTCCAGTTATCCCAAACGTCAAGAGAATGTAGATTGTCAATGTTTGGCATATAGCTAAAAACGCTCAGTTAACGAATAATTTTGCGTTGAACATTTTTGAATAAATTCCATCTTTATAAAGCTGGGGATATTTCAGTATCAAATTTGAGTCATAATCTTTATGGCCCGAGCTTCCTTTTGGCCTGGGCTAACCGACGTCTCCTGATTCTGGAGGGTGTTGGTTTTACCAAAATTTGTTGGTAAAACCACTCTCAAGATGGAAAATCCACTCTCTATATCGGAGATTTGCCATCTGGGGAGTTAGTTTTACCAACAAATTTTGGGTAAATTAGCACCTCTCCTGCTTCAGGAGACATCGGTAGCCAAAGCCAAAAGGAGGCTCGGGTTATATCTAAAACTCCTAGCACCATTATTGGGATTGAAGTCAATGCAACGTTATATGACAAAATTAGCCAAGAATCGTATCATGCAGTTCCTGAGTATAGATTTATAAAACTAAAGTAAAATTGAGGAATCACAAGCAAAAAGTTCTTATAAAAAGAATAAAGAATTACCCTTGTGATTCTTCGGTAGTTTCATCGTCCATGCAAAAATAAAAGTGGAATTAAATATCTAAATCTTGCAATGGCATAATCACTCGAGTTTACAGCTTGAAGCCCTTCAACCCCACTAACTCCTATTCCAACATGAGCTTCCTGTATCATTGGCACGTCATTAGCCCCGTCTCCTATGCTCATAGTGATTGGCTTAAAATCAAAATGATTTTTCACCAGCTTTACAACCTCTGATTTTTGTAGTGGAGAGACTCTGCAGCAAATGACAGCGCGACATAAAAATGAAAGAGTGCTGAAATATTTCAAACATTTAAGGTCAGATAATATAAACTGTAATGATGTTCCATCTATAACGAGCCCCAAGTTTATGTTCTTTATTTCTATAGGAAATTCAAAGCCATCATCGATCATATGGCTTACACTTAAGCTTGAAGAAGAATTCATTGAATTCGGCCTGATATTATTGAGCCTCACAAAAGCTTTTGGGGGCTCAAATTTTCTTTGAATAATAACGTTTCTCGATAAAGCTTTCCTCAGCATATCTCTTGCAGTTTCTGTACTCGTTGCATTAATAGTGATAATTGTCATGTCTTTTTTCAGTAATTTGCAAGAATAGCCGATATTAATCGCAGTCTCTTGTTTATCCCCAGTAAGTACCCACACTTTAATCCCAGCTTCCATAAGAGTCGCAATGGTCTCTGGCACTCCACTTTGTATTTTGTCTTCTATTGCTGTGACTCCTAGATATTCCATATCAACTTCAAATTCTTCAGCCACTTCATCAAGCCTTTTCGTCCTATCCGACATTGCATTTCTAGCTGAATTTCATTTTTTTTCAAAATCTTCAGCTTGCTCTTTACTTAAAATTTTTCTAGCTAGGACCAAAGTTCTCAGCCCTTCTACAGCAAACTCATATAAATGTCGCTTGACGTCTTCTTTTTCATCATCAGAAAGTTTTAGTTTCGCAAGCATAATATCATCTGCACCTTTACAATATATAATAGGCGGCTTTGTGGTGTCAGATAAGGGCTCCAATACAATAGACATCCTTTTTCGGAATGAATTGAACTCATTTATCCCAATTATGCGGAATTCTTCTACAACTCCGTCCGCACTGAAGCTGCAAACTCCAAGCTTGTTGCTGATAAAAGAATATCCCATTGCATGTGCCGCGATCACGAGGGCTTCTTCATCTGGAGATGAAGCTTGATAGTTTATGCTCCCATCTTCTAGCTCTTCTGATATTACTGTGTGGCATAGTGCAATGCATTCTAAAAAATTATGGATCTCATCATGGTAATAGCCTCTTAAATCAGCTAGAAGAATAGGGTCATAAAATTTAAACTTTGGATGAGGATTGACACACACATTACCTGAACCTCCTCTTGATTCTTCTTTATAACCATATAATCGACCTTTAATAGCACATCGTTTGAACTCCATTTGGTTTTCAGTTAAAGTTCCTGTTTTATCAGAAAAAATATACTCGATCTGTCCCAAACTTTCATTTAGATCGCCTGTTTTGGCAATTGCAGGTCTGTCTAAAGGCTCATAGTACATCCTCAAGTCCCATTGAATGTGTTTGGCTTGGATTACTCTCACAATATCCATAGAAACATAAAGGGAAATAGGAACTAAGCTGTTATAAAGGATCAAAAAAGTTATGATGCCAAGAATTGAGCTATCCTTTGTACTTCCTCCAAAATACTTGACGGTGCTTGTTTCTGTGTAGGCATAGAGCACTGAAATGATTGTACTTAGAGCAGCAAATGCAAAAAGCATAGTAAAAACAATTATTAAATATTTATTCACACGCTTTTCAACATTGCTTCGTTTTTGTATTGCAGAATGAGAATTTATCATAAGCTTTGTATCAACTCCTGTAAAAACTACGATCCCAAATACCCATTTTGTGTTTTTTATTGTGCTTCCTCTCAAAATCACGCTATTTTGGTCAATGCTAATTGCCTTTGGAAATTCACTAAGGGTTAAAGACCCTTCATATTTGTAAAGCCTATTGTTTGGGTGCTCACTTTTCAGCACTCCATTATCAAATCTCTGTATAAGCTGTGTCCAGTTTTGATTTTCTTGCTCCAGCCATGGAGCAGTTTCATGTAAAGCTTCTTTGGGCTTCAAATTATTTTCACCATCAAGGCTTGAAGTTTCTATATAGCAAACGCCATCAGAGTTGCTTGCAAGTAAAATTACAAAGTCTGCAGGTGCTGGATCTCCATTTTGTAGATATACATAATTCCCAACCTCTATGTTCATTCACATTTCTGTATCAAATTTATTTTCTGAGTCTTTTCATATTTTTGTGCTTCGAAAGTTAATCTCTTTGTCACTTTGATGGCGCTGATAGTCATTATAAGCATCTTTTACTAAAGTAACAAAAATCACAAGTGAAAGAGGCGCAATAGTTGCTCAAGAAGATGTAGGAGATAAATTTAAAGGGAGAAGTTGGAATATCGATACTATGAGAAATCATATGTTAGCGATCCTATGAAATTGCTCAAAAATATTTTTTGGGACGAGAGATAGTAGAGTATATTTCCCAGTGCTGATATAATTGTTAGGATAGATATGGTGCTCACTTGGCAAGCCACGGTTTATTTTTATTTCACGGAACTCTTGGGCTTTAAATTTTTTATCTCCCATTTTGGAATTTTTCTTAGGTTTATCTTTACTGAATAATGTTTAATAACTACTCATTAATTCCTTAATTGCTAAATTTGCTTTTAATTAATATACTTTATAATAAAGCACTTTTATGTAAAAGATCAATTTGCAAAACTTTTATAATTTATTTGCTCTTATCTATCTTAATTCTGATTTATTTACTATGGCAAACTAAGTAAGAAAAATAAATGATTCTCCTAGTTTTTCTATCAAAATTAGCATTTATCAACAGTTTAACGTGCGACACATACCAATGCCAAACATCAAACCAAAAATTTTATAAAAATCAATGCATTTACTGAGATGAAAAATCAAGTGCTTATTATATCCAGCTCTGTGGCGAAGTAGAGACTCCTTATTGTCCTCCTTCATATTCACCTAACAGCACAAACGCCACATGTGCTCAATATCAGCCAGCAAGCTCAGGCATCTATCCAGGTGAAAAATGTATATCAAAAGAAGAATGTCTGCATTCAGCTCAAGGCTGTGTTGATGGAGTCTGCCGAGGAATTAAAGAGAACGGAAGCTGCACTTCAACCTGGGACTGTGACATAGGTCTTTATTGTAATTCTTCTAGCATTTGCACAAAGCAAATATCTGATGGATCAAAAGGATGCAAATCAGAATTTGATTGTCAAAATTGGCTAGGCTGTGATATCGGTGCAGGAAGCCATGCAACTGCTGGAACTTGCCGGCCTTATTATAGTATTTTACCACATGAAAATGTAAAATCGTGCAGTGAAGAAAATCTGAATCCTTTATGTTCTTCCACTATGTGTGGGGTTAGCGAAACAGATGAACAAATTTATTGTACAGACAAGCTATCGTCATCTAATAAGAAGCTTCCAGTGCTTTGTGAGTCAGATTCATCGTGCACATCGATTACGGAAGATTTCTTCAAAAAAAGTTTCACAAAAAATTGTACATGTGGAGAAAATTCGTTGGGTGAAGCCTTTTGTAATTTATTTCCCAACGATAAACCATTCGAAGATTACATTTCTATACATTCAAAGTGATATCACAGTGAAGCTATCAAACAATGCCATACAATGAGAAGAAATGCATGGAATTGCATTACTGACTGATGGAGCACAAATGAGGCTACCACCTTAATATATTATCAGCTTAAAGTAGAAAGATGGCCTTATATACAAAAAAATGATATGTGTGTAAGCGCTATTTATGAAGTGGAATATAATTTTTGGAAGCAAGCTTATGAGAGAATGATTGATAACGATGACGAAGATGACGATTTAGCTATGAGCTTAATTGCTGCTGCTAACATCTTTCTATATTTGTAATTAAATACTACTTTGTGTAATTTAGTTTGGTTGATATTTAAGATAATTATAAAACTAAGACAATGTTAACTAAAATTATTGAATTGCCTATTTTTTTAAAATTAATATAGAAAATGGCATCGGGCAAGATTAGGAAATAATTCTTTTATATAAAAATGAAAAGAGGAAATAGTCGGCCTATAAATAATATCCAAAGAGGCAAAGCAGTTGCAAAACCAACAGCCAAAGTGGCATTTCCTAAAAAAGTTACAATGGTGGGCGCTTATGAAAACCTAGCGAGCCTTATAAATGAATATGAAAATATTAATGATCCTCTAATTGGTTTTTCCCAGCCACAGATATATCAGAAACTATATGATGCAATTATTAAGAGAGACCTGGAGCTACTAAGGTCATATATAAATTTCCACAAGGAAGAAATAGTTCAAGCGTTTCTTAAAACTGAGCCTAAATCATTGTTTCATCTTGCAATAAAATCAGGGGTTATAGAAATGGTTGAGTCTATACTTAGGCTAAATATTCCAGTAAATATTTTGAATAAAAACTTAAAAACAGCCATGCATAAGGCTTGAAAGAATTTAAATATTGTAAAGTTGCTTATACAGCATAATGCTGATATCAATCCGAGAGACAAGAAGGGAAAGGTTCCATTGCACTATGCAATTTTATCTTTAAGCGGAGACGAACTAGCAGAGCTAGTTGCACTTGGATTTGATTTGCATATAAAAGATAATGATGGAAATATGCCAATTGATTTAATTCAAAATCAAGATTTAAAGGCATTTTTGCTTAATAAATATTTTTGGCAAAAAAGCAAAGGGTTACTGTTTGTCTCAAAATTCAGGCCAAATTTTTTTGTTGGAACTCTCAATATTAATCTCAGAAGGGAAATTCTTGATTATTTATAAAATAATCCAAATTCCTTTATATGTTCTTATAAAAATTTTTTGGTTTCTTCATTGCTCAAAATATTATCTATGAAATTAATATATACCCAAATAATTCTTTTGATTATTAATTAAATTTATTCATGAGTGGGTTTTACAGTAGAGGCAAAAAATCCCAAAATGAGCAAAAGGAAAAAGAAGAGCAGCAGCGATTTGAACAGCAAATGAAAGAGCAAGAAAACAATAAAAAGGAGATAATCAAAGAAACAAATAAGATAAGAATGTAAGGAATAGATAGTTCTAAACAAACACAAGAAGAAAAGAAAAAACAAGAAGCAATGAAATTAGAAGAAGAAAAGCAAAGGAAAATTAAGGAAAATAGAGAAAAATATACAAATTTTGTAAGAGGAAAACGACACGAAAAATCAAAATCAAGTGAAGAGATAAAGGAAAATGAAAATAAAGAGAAGGCGAACGAGGAAAAAAGAGAAAACAGCGTCGTAGAAGACATAGAAAAGTATGAAAATGCAGAGATACCTGAAGAAATTTTGCCAGAAGACTCTCCTATTAAAGAGGTAGAAATTGAAAAAATCCAAAAATCAGTTGATAAGGAAATTTCAAAAAATGAGGATGATTTACCTCCAGTCAGAATAAAGAAAAAACTCATAAGGCCTGGAAGCAAAGAAAATGCGATACCTATGAAAACGATGGAGGTTATAGTAGACTCAGAACCTGTTAGAGTCCAAACACCACCGTTTCACAATCTTAATGAAATAAACCCTATGATTAACGAAAAGCCAAGACCTATCAAAAAGCGCCCAACATTTAACCCAAAGCCTCGACCAAACGAAACTAAAGAAAAAAATGTAAGTCCTCCTAAATCTGAAATTAAAAAAAATATAGAAAAAGTCCCAGACATCAGCACTATTCAAAACCAAGAAGATGAAATTGAAGCAGCATTAATGATGCTTAATATAAAAGCTATAAAACAAAAAGCTCTCTCTGGCATAGAAGCAATAGATGAAGAAGCCAAGCTTCTTGAAGAATCTTTAGCGCTCGTAAACATCACACCAATTCCTCCTGAAATTTCACAAGAAGTCTCTTCACAAATAATCCACCCTGCCCCAATAGCTAAACTTATTGAAGAGCCAAAGCGAGAACCTTCAGTATAGGCATATCCCTAAGATAGCCCAATATGGGCGAGGGAAGAGGCCAAAACTTCCCATTTGGTCCGGCCAACTCAGGTTGGTCGAACCAAGTCGTAAATGGCGAATGAGCCTCCTTCCACTTGGTTCGGCAAACCTGAGTTGGCCGGACCAAGTGGGAAGCTTTGGCCTCTATCCCTCGCCCATATCGAGCTATCTTAGGGATATGCCTATAGAAACTAAGATAACAGAGGATCAAAGATCTGCATTTAGTGCATTTCCAATCCGTGGAAATATATCAGATGGGCAATCAATGATTTCTACTATAAGAAATGAAAAAAAATGAAATTCCAGACAAGTGTCAGTGGATAGAGAGCCAGTAAAAAAAATTGGTTCGGTTTATAACGAAATTGCTGCAAGGAGTGGAAGATATGGGAAAGATAACCCTCCGCCTAAATATGCGATGCGCAAAAAAAGGGAAAGAGAGCCAATTTCGCTAACTTTCCCTCCTCTGTGGCTAACAAAATTATTTTGTTCGCTCACTAAGGGTTAAGTTTTTTTTTTTTTAAAAAATAATTTAGATCTATATTCGCAAAATTGGAAACCAAAAATTAATTTAATTTATAAAATTTATGTTTTAGACGAAAGCTATTTTAAATTAAACAGAGTTAGCTATTGATTTCATTATAATAATTATCACTTATATAGCAAAAGATTTTTTCATGAAAAAATCTTTTGTTTGCTCACGGAGGATGGCTTTTGGCCAAAAATGGGGATTTTTCCATAGTTTTGTTCGCTAACGGAAGGGGGAGTAAGGAAAATCCCAAAGCCTAGTAAGTATAATCTTGATGTGGTAAAAATAAATCCAAAAGTCGATATAAAACAACTCTTCCATGAAGAAGATCTCCCAGAATGGGCTAAATAGTGTAGTTTAAATGAAAATATTATGCTGACTTATTATTTCTTTCAATAATTCTAAATCCTCAAAAATTTAACAGTGAAATATCATAAAAATATTATCTCAATTATTCTAATTTAGAGAGTTTACAAAAAAGAATGCATTATTTTTAATAGCTAAAAGCTTGACTTAATTCATTTAAATTATTATTCCCTGATGAGTAAATGCCTAAAGCTATTATATCAATAATTATTTGCCATGAAAAGCGCATAAATGCTTGATAATAAGAAGAATAGTCTTAAAATTTAAATTAATCCACTACCTTTGATATAATCAATCCACACTCAATACTAATCATACTCAAAGCATCAATAGCCTCATTAAAAATTTTATCGATGTTTTCTCTGTGCAGAGCTATTTTTTGACTTGAAATGTTTGATATTGGGATATCATTTTTCGGAACATTACATTTTCATATGCAACTTATATTTGTAGCTGCTTGCAAATATTCTTTAGCTTTAGCCTTTGAGTCTTCTTCTCCCACTGGATTTGGTTGTGTAGATAAATCCATGAATTGAGTGCTTGTTTCTTCAACAATTTGAGTAAGTGCTGGCTTCAATGCTTCTTCAGCTTCTTCTACTGTTTTTTGACGATTTTTTGCTGTGTTTGCTTTATCAGTCCCCTGCTTAAGTAAAGTTTTGTCTTGCGGTCTTATAAAATCTTTGAAATAAGCACTTTGCCCAAGCTCATGATTATTTGACAGAGAATTTAGATATATTTCAAGGCTTCTCTTTCGTGTTTCTATAAATTCTTTATTTTTGTTCCCAAATATTTTTTTAGGTGGAAATTTCGGGACTTGGCTCGAAAAATGCTTTAAATTTTGGTGTAAATGCCGTATTTGTGAGTATCTTCTTTTAAAGCTCCATCGTTCTCCTGACACATTGTCTGTGATGATAAGGATGTATTCTATATGTCCTTTCGCTAAAGAATATTCGCCAATTACTATTGATAAAGACATTAATTATAAAGACTATTTAATTCTTATAACTGTTGAAATTGGGAAATGATCACTTGGGAATAAAGAGCCTCTTCCAATGTTTGTCACTACATCTGCTTTAATGCATTCAAGATTCCCTCTGATAAAAACATAATCAAATGCCCCATATCTATCAATATCAGCCCATGGCCCGTATAGTCCTGTAGGAAATGTTAGTACTGGCTCTTCTCCATTGCACTGCTTAAAAGCTGATTTAAAATATTTCGTCATCAGCTTATAAGGCTCTGAATTTGGAATAAAATTAAAATCTCCTACTAGTATGATGTTCGAAAATATGAATTTTAATGTGAATTTATTATAAATTAATCATATTAATTTAATTATAAATATAAACCAGAAACAGTATAAAATAGGATTTATCCATTCTATCAATTCCTGAACTTGCGCCAGCCTTGTCTCATCAGACAAATGATCTAAATGAGTATTAATAAACCAAATATCTTGAGAGCCTAATGAGCATTTGAACCTTTGGGCAACCCTAAGTCTTGAATTGTAAGTAAAAACAGCTTCGTCAAGGATAGGAAACTGAGATTTTATTAAGGTCGCATTTCCATCAATGCGGAATTCAGGCTCTGCTTTAGTCATCGGAGATGGCAGTTGAGAAAGTTTAAGAGTGTAATGAGGTAGTGCAAGGATATCACGATTTCCTTGAAAGTTAATTTCTTGAAGGCCAAGGAAGTCACAATTCATATCACCTATGGCACGGGAGACTAACTTTTTCTCCTTTAAGGTGGCCAACACCTTTGGAAAAAACCGATTTTATGGAAAATTAGTACAATATTTTTTTAATATACATTTTTACATAAAATATTTATATTTAACTATAGCTAATTTTTTTAAATTTATACAGGCTTCATTCTTAAACATAAAGTCCTTAAATTAAATTATTATGCTAGCATAATTTTTCGGAGTCTCTCTACATGTTGGAACATTTCCCACATGTGAAGTTACTACACTTGAGCGGCTCGCATGCGAGCTTTGGGCTCTATAGGTGGGAAATGTACCGATGTTTAGAGACCTTTCCAAGATTATGACAATTCGTAATAGATTTTTTTTTCTATATTGCAAATAAAGTTTTAAAAAAATACATATAATAAGATATAAAAAATTACCCAGTAAGATTTTTCTGCTCGTTCTTGAAGGGAAGTAAGTGCTTTCTCTCATGATATCTGCAGCTGGTGTTCAAAATATTAAAGCTCCCGACTTTTATTTCCATATTATCTGAAACTAACCTTCAGTAAATTTAAATTTCATTTATTTTAAGTAAGTCATTAATTTTTGTGATAAAATTAGATTACGTCAGAAATATGCTACCATTTATTGAATTTGATGTACACTACATTCAGAAACTTGGAAACTTCTTTCTTTTCCATAAAAGTTTTCAGGCTTTATTTCAATTTCTTCGCTTCCTTCATAGCTCCCTTCTAATGCTACTTTAAAAACAATTGAATTGACTTGAGCATTTGCTTTTATTTCAGTAGTTATATCACCTCTTTTGATTTTTTCTCTTTTTTGCATTTTACATATTGTATCTTGTATTTGGTCTTTTTTCTGACTAAATTGTATATATTCTTCTGCCAATTTTTCATTTTTTTCAAGTATCTTTGAGTTTTCATTTGATAATTTTAACAGCTTTTCAGTTTCTTCTGACAGTTCATGCTTCATATTATTGATTTCTTGCTTCATTAGTTCAATTTTGTCTTCTAGCGCTCTCTCTTCAGGAGATAGTGCTGAAGGCTTGCTATAATTATCTTGATAAGAGAGCGTTCTATTTTTTATGCTATTAGCATTTAGCCTATCTTAAAACTCTTTAATGCAAAACTATTTCTTTTCACCTTACAAAAATTAAATAGCAAGAATAATATCAAATTAGAGTAATAGAACTTATTTTGCCAAAATCAAGTACAGGTACTGGCCTTTGTTTATTAGGAGTTGTATAAAGGACCTCTCCGTACTCAAATAATTCGTTACCTACTGAGCTGTCTTCCTCAGAGTCACTGTATTCATCAGAAATTTTGAACTCAAAGCTAAAATCTTTTCTCGGACTAAATAAATTATTAATGTAGCTCCTTTCAACTCCTTGTTTCCTATTTATCGGATTTTTAAGCAGAGCTTCGATTTTCTGGCACTCACTTCATAACATTTTAGAGTTTTCCATCAACTTGTCCCTATGGGACTGTGCATGATAAAGATCCCTAGCAAGATTTTGCATGTATTCTTTTAATTCTTCAGTTTGGCAATGTAAATCCAATATTTCATCAGTCGGAGGAACAATTATCATATTCCTCGATTTTCTATATAATTCAGCATCAATTTCCAATTGTTTATTCCTCGTCATCAATTCACAAATAATTCTTTCTTTCTTATCATTTTGATACTTAATTTCTTGCAACTTATCTTCGTATTCTTGTATCAATTCTTGTTCTTTTCTTTGCAATTCAGCTGAAATCTGTTCATTTATCAAAGCTTTCCCTTGGGCATCACTTCTGTCAGTGATGAGTTTCTTACTCCCCCCCTCCGTGAGTGAACAAAACCATTAGAAAAATCGCTATTTTTTGCCCAAAAAAACCCACCTCCGTGAGTGAACAAAATTTTTTATGGAAAAAAATTTTGATATATAAATGATAATTAGTATAATGAAATATAGAGCTAATTCTGTTTGATTTAAACGAATTGCTTTTTAAAACATAAATTTTGCAAATTGAATTAATATTTGCTTTCCAATTTTTGCGAATTAGGATTTTTTAAATTTCGAAAAAACATATTTTTTAAATTTATATATAAAATTTTTTAAAAAAAAAAAATTAACCCCCCTCCGTGAGTGAACAAAATTTTTTTGTTCACTCACGGAGGGGGGGGGGGGAGTTAAGGGTTTCTTCCAGCTGTTTTGTTTCGGATAAAAGCTGTTCGATCATACGTGGCGCTGTATAGCTAATATTGACTGTGTCTTCTGAATTAGACTCATTAAGCTTACTTGACAATATATCGTGGAGCATTTCTTTGTTAAGTGCTAGGTTTGTTTCGAGATCATCTATATGGATTTTAAGTCGCTCTGTTTCTCGCTCTATTTCTCTTGCTTTGGCAGCTTTTCGAGTTGACATTCGTTCGCCACCAGGGAGGGTATGCAATGTGTGACTAATTCATCTCTTCGTGAGTGAACACAAAAAAATCTTGTTTGCTCACGGAGAGGGTTAATTTATTTTTTAAAAAATTTTTATATGAATTTTAAAGAAATTTTATTTTTCTTCAAAATTAAAAAAAATCCTACCTCTTGAAAATTGGAAGGCAAATATTATTTTAATTTGTAAAATTTATGTTTTAAAACGTAATTTGTTTAAAATTAAACAGAACTAGCTCAAGATTTAATGATACTAGTTATCACTTATATATCAAATTTGTTTTCATAAAAAATTTTTGCTCGCTCACGGAGGAGGGTTTTTAGTCAAAAATAGGGATTTTCTAATGGTGTTTTCCTCACGGAGGGGGAGTAAGCATTTTTTTTAGTTTTAAAAGGATGTTAAATTCATAAATGGAGTTTCAAATGCTCTAGGATAATGGGAAATATTAGGAATGGAGAAGAAGCTAAGTCTAAAGTTATTTTATCTTACTTACTTAATTATCTGGTATTTAAGGTGTCTAGTGCCGCAGCCCAAAAAGGACCTATGGCAAAACTAGTGACGTAGGCGAGCCATCTTGGAACAGGTCAGCCCTGGCCAAGCCTTCTATCAACTCCTGCTTCACCAGCCTTGCTGCACGTCTCACCCGGCGCGATGCCGTCGCCCTTGTCGCTCGACTCAGCTCCTGCGCGTGTTCCGCCTAAGGGTCATCCTCCCGTGGGGATGTGCTGAGAAGTAAAAGCCCGAAATCTTGAGAGGACTGAGGAGCAGTTCCTCTGGTTATCCCCAGAGTTTAAACCGCTATTGCTGTCCAGAAGTTCTCGAGTGAAACCTAACCCTATAAATAAAATTCCATGAGGGAGAGAAAATTAGCAAAGCTAATTTCTCTCGAACCGAATTCCATTTTATTTATTAAAGTTATTTTATCAATTTTAAAAATTCAATGAAGTAACCATATAACTATTTATTTATTGAAATAATAAATCCATCCTTATTTTATTCGCTTCTGAAGTATTTTAGCCTACATATTAGAATTATTCTTCTCTTAAATTATTAAAAAATAAACAAGAAAGAATATTAAGCTTAATCTTTCCGTGGTTTTCATTAGATAAATTCACCATATATATCTTTTAGAGTATTTTTGACTTTCTTTTTAATAATAAATCCATATCAACCATATCGTTATGAGAAATGCCCTTAACCTTCCTATGCCAATGAGCCCAAAATCTTCATTTATCCCTCCTCTACCAGCTAATGGAGACTCAACCCCAAGACTATATGACATTGATTTTTGCCCTCCTATGAGCCAATTCTCCGACTCTCAAGCTTGCTATGTATTTTCGCCTCTATCTCAGTCAATTAAGCTTGAAAATCTAGGCCAAACAGATCAAAAGACACTGCGTGAGTTAAATGGAAATCACAAAAGCAACTTATCATTAGAAACACAGATAGGCAACCCGTTAAGATCTGATGAAAAAGCCAAATACGAACAAAAAATAGAAGAACTTGAAAGCGAAGTCAAAGCCTTAAGGAGAATGAAAGTCCTACTAACTCCCCTCTGTGAGCGAAAAAAACCTTTGAAAAAAATCCCTATTTTTGCCCAAAAACCCACCCTCCGTAAGCTAACAAAAAATTTAAAAAAATTGATATATAAGCGGCATTATTATAATGAAATCTTTAGCTAATTCTGTTTAATTTTAAACAGCTTGCATTTTAAAACATAAATTCACAATTAAATAAATATTTGCTTTCCAATTTTTGAGAATTGGAATTTTTAAATTTCACAAAAATTTTATAAAATTAGCACCATCAGTGAGCGAAAAAAATTGTTTATTCGCTCATATGGAGGGGGGAGTAAGGGAAAAAGATCGGATCATCGGGAATATTGAAATGCAACTAGAAATTGCAAAAGCAGAAAACCGAGGGTTAAAAAAGGAGGTTAAATACCTTAGACTGCAAAATATAGCACTAACAAACAAATTTCAAGATAAAAGTGAACAAGAAAGTGGGGAAGCATCCCCAGATCCAGCAACTAGAGTAACGAATGCTTTGAATAGCTTTAAAGCAGATCTAACAGATTTTATAGTTAGAAACCAAAGATCGCGGAGCAAAACTTTAGCTCCAAAGCCTGACAAAATATAAATTATAACAGCTTTTGAAATTTTTAATTATGGTTTATTTTGGGTCAAATTATTATCATATTAAAAGTTATGCTTGCTTTTAATTCGTCCATAAATTTGTAATATAATCAATCGTTAAAAAGAAATCCATAAATATATTCAAAAGCCAATAAAAGTTGTATCAATTTTATTTTTGAAGAAAGATAAATAGAAAGAAAATATATATTTATAAAATTAGTATAAATAGTTTGATAAAATTAAAATTTGAAATAGAAATGAAAATGCTAAATAATAATCATTGAAAATTATTGCTATAAATATATTAATATTCTTTACCTTCTTTAATATAAAATAATTAATTGAAAAATTCTTTTGGGGCTAAAAAAATTTAAAATTTAATAAGATATCTTTTATAAAATAAAATGGAACTACAAGAAGCTCAGAGATCTCCTGAAGCTATATTAAACTCCCAAGTCAATAATAATGCAAATAGAAAAAGCATTAAAATTTTAATCCTTAATATTGGATCTAAAATCAAGCAAACAATATTTGGAAGGAAGTCCGAGCCTGAAAGCATTGAAGAAAATGGTGAGGTTCAGTGGGATAATGGAATAGAAAACATTATGTATGACGATTCAGAGATGTGGTTTGAGCCTTTACCTGTAAGATTTTAATTTTTAAAATTTATTGAAATTATGGCGAAAAGCATTAATAAATATGTGTTGACTTTAGGCTATATTATTTCTTGATCAATGCATAAAATCTTTTAAAGCAAGCTATAAATAAAATTTAAAAATTATGATATATTTATTCTGAATGATAATTTAGCAATAATAAGAAATTCAATATTTAATTATTTGTATATGCATCAGCAATTAAAAGCGATTTTATAATAAAATTGCTAATTTTTCATTTAGATTGCTTCTTGAAGCAAATATACAGTAATTTAGATTCTAATCCAATACTTTTAATTAAGTTAATCACACATTTTTTGTAATGGAATCACTATTTAATCTTGTAAAATATGTGGAGTTCATCCATTTTGCATTGTGGCTAAATAATAACCATGTTATCAAGGCTTTGCCAGTCTGTTCAAAGAGTAGCCTTTAGGAGGTTTAGTACATCAGCAGTGGCATCTGAAGAGCCTAATTTCTTAGAGATGGTGAACATAAACTATGATAGAGCTTGCCAGCACCTTGATATCGACCCAGCAGTCTTAGAGCTCATTAAGCGTTGTGACTCCTCGTTAACAATGACAATTCCACTCAGGAGAGATGACGGCGCAGTCGAATATTTCACAGCCTATAGAGCTCAGCATTCCAGGCATCGCACTCCAACTAAAGGAGGCACAAGGTATGCTCCAGACGTCGATCTCGTGGAAGTAACTGCATTAGCGTTCTTAATGACATTGAAATGTGCCTGTGTAAATTTGCCATTCGGTGGTGGGAAAGGTGGCATCAAGCTTGACCCAAAAACATTAAGTCTCGGTGAATTGGAAAGGCTGACAAGAAGATATGCCATTGAGCTGGCTAAAAAAGGATTTTTAAATCCAGCCACAGATGTGCCAGGACCTGACCTTGGAACCGGAGAAAAAGAAATGGCCTGGATGATGGAAGCCTATAGATTTTATAACTACGACAATATTTATGCAACAGCCACCACTACTGGGAAACCAGTCTCATTTGGAGGAATTTCAGGGAGAACTGAATCTACAGGGCTTGGACTTTATTATTGCTTAAGAGAATTCCTTAATGATGCTTACTATACAACTCCAGTAGGGTTGAAGACAGGAATTAAAGATAAATCACTTATCGTCCAAGGCTTTGGAAACGTGGGTTATTGGGCTGCAAATTTCTTAGAAAGAGATGGGGCTAAATTATTAGGTGTTATTGAAAGAGATGGTGCTGTCTTTAATGAAAGCGGAATATCAGTAGATGAAGTGAAAAAGTATTTAATTAAAAAAGGCACCTTGAAAGGCTTCCCTAAAGCTCAATTCTATGAAGACGTCCAAGACGTTTTCAAAAAACCGTGCGATGTCCTTATTCCTGCAGCCGTTGAAAGATCGATCACAGGCAAAAACGCTGTCAACTTCAACTGTAAAATTGTAGCTGAAGGAGGAAATGGCCCTACAACCCCAAGAGGAGAAGATGTGCTGGCATCAAAAGGAATCCTTGTACTTCCAGATTTATTGATGAATGCTGGAGGTGTCACTGTTTCTTATTTCGAATATGTAAAGAATCTTGGGTTTATCAGACCTGGAATGTTGACTAGAAAACTAGAATCAACTACAAATAAATGGATTATTGACAAAGTTATGCAAGGAGACACAAAACCAAGCAAAGGCACAATCAGCAAAATCCTCGATGGGCCAAGTGAGCAAGATTTGGTTTATTCTGGTCTTGAAGATGTGATGTGTGAAGCAGTGGCTGAAACCAAAAAAACTAGCCAAGAAAAAGGAATTTCTTTAAGACTTGCAGCATATACAAATTCTATCAAAAGAATCTATGACTCAATGAAGCTCACTCTTTAATTGCTTATTCTTAATTTAGATAGAAATTATGATTTAATTCTAATCCTTGCAATTATAATCTTTATCCTATATTATTAGCAATCTACAATAAATTCTCATTAGTCCGAATTAATTATATTTAAATTTATAATTAATATGATAATTGAAAGATGTATAATGTGTACCCCTTTATAGATCTCTAACTCCCCCCCCCCCCTCCGTGAGCGAACAAAAAAAATTTTGTTCGCTCACGGAGGGGGGTTAATTTTTTTTTTTAAACAAAAATTTATATATAAATTTTATAAAAAATATTTTTTTCGAAATTTAAAAAAATCCTAATTTGCAAAAATTGGGAAGCAAATATTAATTTAATTTGCAAAATTTATGTTTTAAAACGCAATTTGTTTAAAATTAAACAGAATTAGCTCTAGATTTCATTATACTAATTATCACTTATATATCAAAATTTTTTTCCATTAAAATTTTTTCTATTAAAAAAATTTTTGTTCACTCACGGAGGGTGGGTTTTTGGTCAAAAAATGGCGATTTTTCTAATGTTTTGTTCGCTCACGGAGGGGGGGGGGGAGTAAGGATAATGACTTTTGAAAAAAAAATTGATTTAAAATTTTAAGAAAATCTAAAAAGCTAAATTAAATTTAAAATTTCATTTATATCTCTTATTTGCTAGTTTTTAAATTTATATTTTAAAATGCAAAAAGGCATCTTTCTTTAAGGGTATTTTTCCTTAGAAATCAATAAGGAGTCAGGCGCTATAGTTAGTACTCCTATAGAAACCAAGTATTACAAAAAGTCTGATATTTATAACTAAAAAATTTTAAATGGCAATCAAAGAAGACTCAATGCATAAGCACATTTTTGATTTGTATGACAAAGAGCATGATCTCGTAGTAAACATGGATTGCCTTGGAGACGCTGCAAGGCTTCTAGGAGCTAATCTATCAGATGCAGAAATTGAAGATTTTATGTCAGCACTTGACAAGTCTGAACCGCTGATTGAGTTTGAGACATTTGAAGAATTAGTAAACCAGTTGATAGCTAAGGACAAAATTTCTAAGTATGACCTTATCAAACGTTTAGAGCCGTTTGATAAAGATCTTGACGGGATGGTGGCTGTCAGTGATATAATTAACCTTCTCTGTGGGCCTGGGGAGCCATTATCAAGAGAAGATGCTGAAGAAATTCTACACGATATTAACCCGCAGAATTCTCCAAAGATTTCGATTACGTCTCTTATAGACAATTTATTAAGAAATGAATTAATCTAACTTATTATTGAAGCCATGAATCGTCATCAAGTAATTCAAGCACATCTTGTTCAAATGTCCTTGGAGGATTTCTCTTGTACTCCAAGGCTTTTCTGCAAATGGTTTCAAATATCCTTACAACGTTAGTTCCATCTGCAGCAGATACAAAAAAGAAATCCAAGCCATGAGTTTCTGCAAACTTAAAGCTTTTTTTAGTAACTTCTAAGTCCACATCAATCTTGTTTGCTAGCAATATGCAAGGAATGCTAGGACAAAACGTCCTCATTTCTTTATACCAAACTTTTAAATGGTCATATGTAATTTTTCTAGTAACGTCAAATACAAGAATTGCTGCATGTGCTCCAAAGTAGTATGAAGAATGCAGTCGGCTGAAACAATCTTGCCCTGCAGTGTCCCAGATATCAATTTTTGTAGGCTCTCCATCTATTTCAGTGTTATATCGAAACATCGTCAATGCAAATGTAGATAGCTGGCGCTCTTCGTAATCATCTATTAGGAATCGCTCGACAAGCTTGCTTTTACCGACAGCTGAGTCTCCTAAGAGGATGATTTTTATATCAGCGTTGGGCAGTTCAGCAGCTTCCTTGGCTTTTCGTTCAATTTCTGGATCCATTTTTATGGAATTTTCGTTAAAAGTTTATTAAGAAGCTTAATTTTAAGAAAGATTATTTGATTAATCATGTCTTCTGGAGCCATTTGTACGGTTGTTCTGCATAATAAGTTACTCTTGGGTAGGGTGAGCCTGACCTTGATCTTCTTCTTGAATGGGACCTTAAGGGTTAGTGTTTATTCTTTATTAGTTGTATATTTCATTACCTTGAAGACGAATATGATCTATCTCTTCTATATCTTGGAGGTGTCCGGCTGCATAGCAAATACCTTCTAGATCTTCTTCTTGGTGATCGAGAGCGCCTGTATCTTCTTTCACGCCTTCTCATATCATCTGGCTAAAATTAAAGTTACTGCTTTTCGCTCTTCTCTTGCAAACACCACTTTTACTGTGGTTCCCAAGACCTCAGTACCATCAGTTTTTTCCAAAGCCTCTTTGGCTTCATTATAGTTGAGGAATTCTACGAAGCCAAAACCTCGAGGCTTACGAGTGTAATAATCCTTTGGAATGTAAACATCGCGGATTTCGCCGAACTTGGAAAAGAATTCGCGAAGGTCGGTGTCTTTGATTTCTTCTGACTAATTGGAAATTACAAGCCCCCGGAGGAAGAGAGAAATTCGTTTAGGAGGAGTCTTTGAGCGCGGTCTCGGAGAGTTGTGGGGACTGCTGTCAGACATAACTATTATAAATTATTTGGGCTTTCAATTAGATTTAATGATACGGCTGGTTATTATGCTTTCTTTCAGGCTTTTAACACTTTTTGAGTGGCCTTTCTTTATTCCTCTTTACTTTCAAAATAAGCTATTTAATGGTAAGTAATAAAGGAACACTTTGAAAGCCATACAAATTGTTTTGACTAGAGAGATAGAATATTAGCAGATAAATCAGTAGACGCTTTATGTATGATAAAAATAATTATTTAGTCCGGAAAAAAGTTATTCTTTTCCAGTAGGATGCACGTACTTATAATTAGCTATTAGAATATATTTAAAAAATTATAGAAGGCTAATATAGCAAGTGATGCTTTTAGGATTCTTGAGAAATCGCTTGAGAGCAGCTCACTGAAAAATCAAAATTATTTCGGATTTTGTCAAATTATTATCACTCTAAAGAAGATAATTTAACGAAATTCCATAAAATGTATAAAAATATCCCAAAACTATGACTTTATTTATTATAATTAATATAGAGATAATCAGGACTAAAAAATATTGATTTAAAAATATAATAAATTTCTAAAACAGAAAATTATTTCTAAAGCTAAATTAGTGTAGATTAAAATTAAATATTATCCTGCAGTTAGTTTTAAATATATTTCGTAAAAATCATTTATTTAATAATTTATAATTCAATTGCAGATATTAAATAAAGAATTATCGCTTCTTTCTGTCTTTTGCTGGCAAGTACATAGCGAGACTAAATAAATATTACTTTGAATTAACGTAACCCTCTTTTTGATCCCAAACATACTTTAGATCTTTTTTACTTGGAAGAAATTCTTTTGGAGAAGGCGTTTCCACATGTCTAAGAAGCGACCTATCATTGCTTTTAATCGCCTGAGGTGCAGAAGAAATGTTTCTTCTGCTTCCTCCAGAAGATTTCGGTCTAGGAATCTCATCTTTAAAGCTTGGCATCCTTGACCTTGATCCTGTGAATTCTTCTCATATTTCTTTTGAATAGTTCATAAAATTTTGATAATATTCGTCATTATTATCAGGGAAAATTTTTATATAAGCCCCACAGTTTTCTTCTTCATTGATGTCTCTTTGAGACTGTATATTTTCTCTCATAATTTCTTTTTCTTGCATTCTTTCTCTTATGCTTTGATTATAAACACTTCTCCTCATTATTTGATTTCTTTTGGAAATTTCATAGTTTTTCTTGTCTTTTGTAGAAAGTCCCATCATGCACAGAGCTTCTTTGATGACTTGCCGCTTTATTTTTTTATCTAAAGGAGAATCTGTGCTGAATGCGGGCGAATGGTTTACTTCAAGAAGCCATGGCTTGAGGTCTGAATCAACAAGTATGTCAAAGCCAAGGATTTCAAAGCACATCGCATTTGACAAGTCTTCAGGCTGGCATGATTTATAAGTGTGAGCTAATGAAGGCTGGATTGTGCACAATGTTTTTATAATAATATCGCATATTCCATTTCATAAAGACTCGACATCATACCCTTTTTCTTCCAAATAGGTAAATACTGCTGAAATACTTCGCTTATGACCCACATCATCAGCTTCTGCATCTTGATTTCCAATGAATTTCGAATTTCTTTTATTCACAGCATAATTTGTCAAATGCATACAAATCTTATCAAGATTCCCGCCACTCGGTTTTTTATATTCCTCTGTAGCAAACCTAGCTAAGCCTTCCTCATGTATCCAAAGCCTCAAAGGGTCGCATCCGGTTACTAGGACATAAATTCTCATATCAAATTTCAGTCCTTCTATAAGCAAAGGTTTATCAACATACTTCTGTACGATATAATGCTCAATTTTATCCATATCCTGGATATCTTGAATTAAGAAGATTCCTCGTCCTTGAGATGATGCTTCAGGTTTCACTATATATGTGTGGGAATCTCCCTGGTAAAATTCTTCTTGGAATTCAGAATATTCTGCAGGCAAAAATCAAGTTTTCGGAAAAAAGTCATAGTCATCGGGAAATAATTTTCTCATTTTATTGAGATTCATACACAAATTGCTTTTCCTTGCAATTGCATACATCCCTGGGAAATGGTTAACTCTTTGATAAGGTTTCATAGTTGCAAAGACGCTTGGAGCTACTGTACAGTCAAGTCACATGACATCTCAATTGTCAGGATTATCATTCTTAGTTAATCTTCAGCCCATTAGTTTTCGGCTTACATAACGAACAACTTGATATTTGGTATCTTTTTAAAAATTACGTGCTACACACATAGTTAGTGTGGATTTGTTTTTCGGTTTCAAGCTGGAATTGGAATTCTTACACTTACACTTAGTTGGGTTATAGGAAAGCACTCTGTTGGGATACGAAGATCCTTATTCCTTTCCATAATGCTCTACTTGTACGCTTCGCCGATAATTGTAGCACGACCTTCAAAGTCTTGCTCATACCAGGCATGGACCTGTGCATGCTCCCTGCAGTAAAATAGTTTGGGTCACCGTGCCATACGCCAACAGTGATGCCTACCATGAAAATTCTAGAGGGTTAAATTTTCTGGTCGGCTCTTGGCTAAGATGGAAATCCATAGCCCAGAGCGTAACTCTCTGTTTTCACGCTGAAGAATATACCTGATGGTCAAGACCAACACTATTGGTATTGTTGTGAAACCCTTTTCCGACATCCGGACATATCTCCCTCTGAGATAAAAACTTGGCATTGGAGTAAAGCCTGTGGTCGGCCAACCCGACATTTCGCTTAACCAAACCAAGAAAACTTAGCTGATACACATATCGAGCACCAGCCTCTCTTCCTCAAGAACCCTGGCACCCTCTCAGATGTCAGCTACATGAGCTAAGAGAGTGGGTTGATCCAACACGCCATTTTAAAGTATAATATTGGAATTCAAATTCATATTTAGGTTTGAATAATTTTATTATATTTATTTTATGTTTGAAGCAAATATCATTAGCTGCTGTAATTATTCTACACTTATTTATTATTAAATTTGTTGCAATCTATAAACCTTACTATAAGTTACATAATTTTTTGGTGGAAAATGCTTTGATAAGTTTTGTGCTTAAAATGTTTATTTCAATTTCTTATCTTATTATATAAAATTTATTTTCCTTGACAAAACATACTCCCCTTCCGTGAGCGAACAAAACCATTGTAAAAATTCCTATTTTGTGGGTGCAAACCACCTCCATGAGCGAACGAAAATTTTTTATGGAAAATATTTTGATATATAAGTGATAATTAAATTATGAAATCTCAACTAATTCTGTTGAATATTAAACACTTCCATTTTAAAACATAAATTTTACAAGTTAAATTAATATTTGATTAAAGTTATTTCGATTGAGGCTTATTTAAAATTTTGGAAAAAAATTTACTATAAAATTTATACTAAAAACATTAAACTGCGTTAGCTAATACGTTTTTTTGTTCATTCAAGGAGAGTTAGGTATTAAATATAAATAGAAGGATAATTGAAAAACGAATACTAATATGTCAAAACTCTGTATTGCATTGTCTTTCATATTACTTTTTATCAATGCAAATTCATTTAAAGACCTAGAATACGAACAATCGATTTTTCATTCAAGAAATTTCTTACAGCTTAAACAAGACACTCAAGAAGGAGAATCTAGCCAATCAACTGAAGATGCCACCAGCTCATCAGATGGAAGTTCAACTTATGAAGAAGCTACAGACATAGAAGGCAGCGACATAACCTATTCTAACTCAGAAGAAGCCAACAGCTCAGACGAAGATGAAGTGTCAAGTGACGGTGATGAATCTGATTTAGAAAAGGAGCTAGGAGATGTAGAAGAGCTGTATGATGAATATTATTCTGATGCATTGGATGGGACTACTACTGTAACTGTTGAGGACTGTGATGAACGAATTAAAGAACTTGAAGAACTTCGAGATGAAATGGATGACGACGATGTGGTTACCATTGGTGGAGAAAGCTATACAAAATCTGATATAGACGAACTTATCGAGGAAAACTATGAGTTGAGAGAAACTCTGGAAGATGAGGATGCGTATGCTCTTTATGAGTATGGAGAAGTTACTTATGTTTCTGAAGAAGAATCAACAGAAGAAACTGAAGAAGAAGCTGGTCAATATAGCCAATCAGAAGAGGAAGAAGAAGAAAAATATGACGAAGATGAGGATATCACAGTAGTGCAAGTAGAAGATACTTCAAATGACGTCAGTGAATACCAAACGCAAGTTATTATGGAAGGAAATGAAGGAGAGCCCTCATATGAAAAAACTGGTGATGAGTACGTTGAAGATATAACAAGTGATGAAGATTATGATGAAAGCATTGAAACTGTTTCTACTGATAGAAGCGATGAAAATATAAATAGCAATCAAGTGGTACTGGAAGATGTCACTCTTGATAGCTAGTTTTCCTTCAAATCAATTAATTACGACTTTAAAAAATAGCATTTTTGAATATTTCTAAGAAATTATATGCTCTTGCATAAATTATTGGGCAAAATTGCTTGATTCTCAACTTATTTTGAATGGATACTTGATTTTATTTTGAATTTCTTAATTATTTATAAACATCATTTTTAAATTACCTCTAAATTATCAACTATGCCATTTTATCCCAATTTTAAGCTTACAAGCCACGTAAGAAATGCTTATAAAAAATGTTCAATAGGTGGCTTTCTACCATCGCGCCTGCCGATAACGATAAACCTAAAGACAAGAAAAAAGACAGCCGTAGTGACGAAAAGAACAAGACCCCTGACGAATATATAAAAGAACAAATACAAATTCTTGAAAAACGATGTGAGCAATACAAACAAATTTTACAAGCTAAAGAAATGGAATCATATGACGATAAGTCAAGAATCAAGGAATTCAATGAAATAATCAGCCAAAACTTGAACAGAATCCAAGAGCTTGAAGAAGAATGCAAAAATTATATCAAGTTTAGAGTTATAATAGGCGAAGAAGAATGCGAAAAAGCATCTTTATTACTTGATGATAAGCAAGAAGAACTGGAAAATGAAAAAATGTTACATCAGCAAGATATAGAGAAATTTGAACATAAAATGGAGGAACAAAGCAAAATAATGGAACAAGAAAAAGAAAATTATGAGAAATTAATGAAAGAGCTGAAAGAAAAATTATCAGAAGAACGGGCTAAGAAATTAGAGCTAGAAGAGCAGCTTGATTTGAAAAATAAAAATATAACTAATTTAGAAGAGGAAATACTTGAATGAAAAGAACAATTAAAATCAAAAGAAAAAGAAAATAGTGAGCTTACAATAAAGCTGCAAAGTTTGAATTCAGAGTTTTCTAGCAGCATTAAAGATTTAGCAAAAATAAATGAGCAGATCTGTTTGCAACTAGGTATGGCTAACCCAAATTTTTCTGATAATATCAAATTTTCTGACATGCAAAACTCTTTAAATGGCCTGAACAAATTTTTAAACGATTCTATAAAAGAAATGAGTGCTCAAGTAATTGCAGCACTCAGGGTATATGGAAATGAAAACCAAAATAAGCCAATACTAGCAATTTCAGATCTAAAAAATAGCATAAATTTGTATAGTGAGTTATCAATTAACAGCCAGGAAAAGATTAAATCATTAGATGAAAAAGTTGAGAAAGCTGCTAAGGACAAAGAAAAGGTTGAGGGGCTACTCCTAAAAGCTAAAGGTGTTTTGGATAAAAAAAATAACAATATAAAATCTTTACAAAGCGAAATTGAGCGAATGAAAAATGAAATAAAAGAAATCTCAGATTTGAGGGAATCAAATAAAAATCTTGCAGAACAAGTTAATCAGATCAGAAGTGAGAAAGCTCAACTAGTGACGTCACCGGCATTTCCGACATCACCCTTTTTATCGGTGGCCAGATCATCCTAAGCAAATTCCTAACTCCCCCCCCCCCCTCCGTGAGCGAACAAAACCATTAGAAAAATCGCCATTTTTTGACCAAAAACCCACCCTCCGTGAGTGAACAAAAATTTTTTTAATAGAAAAAAATTTTAATGGAAAAAAATTTTGATATATAAGTGATGATTAGTATAATGAAATCTAGAGCTAATTCTGTTTAATTTTAAACAAATTGCGTTTTAAAACATAAATTTTGCAAATTAAATTAATATTTGCTTCCCAATTTTTGCAAATTAGGATTTTTTTTAAATTTCGAAAAAAAAATATTTTTTATAAAATTTATATATAAATTGTTTTTTAAAAAAAAAATTAACCCCCCTCCGTGAGCGAAACAAAATTTTTTTGTTCGCTCACGGAGGGGGGGGGGGGAGTAAGCAATTGACGGCCAGTCGATCGCCAGATCTCATGGGCTGCGTTGCCTTACTCTAAACTTGACTCCTGCGCGTTGTGCCGCTTATGGGTCTTCCTCCTAGGAAGTGTCAAGCAGAAAACCCTATGCCCACCTAACATCCACGTATCAAGCCAAGAGGCTGTGCACCCCTCCCCGTTGCTTACCTGATATTGCTGGATAAGGTCTCACCGGGAAAACTGAACCCTATAATAAAATGGGCAAGGAAAGAAATTCCTCGAAAGAGGAATTATCACGACGTCGCCATTTTATTATTGAATTGAGAAAGCTCAACTAGAAAGAAAAACTCAAAGAAATCTCAGAAACTAATTTGGTTTTATCAACAAATTTGAAGTCAGTAAAAGAGAATTTTTTGTCAATGGTCAGAAAAGAAGAAGCAATCAACGTAAATACTGCAAAGCTAGAAGAATCTGTTAAACATTATCAAGCTAAATGTGAAAATTTAGAAAAAGAATTAAAAAATTTCGAGGTTTCTAACTCCCTCCTTCGTGAGTGATCAAAACCATTAGAAAAATCCCTTTGTTTAGTCCAAAAACCCTCCATAAGTGATAAAAATTTTTTATGAAAAATTGCATTTTAAAATATAAGTTTTACAAATTAAATTAATATTTTCTGATTTCTGCGAATTGGGACATTTTTAAATTTTGAAAAAAAAATTTACTATAAAATCTTTTAAAAAAAATTACCCTGTCAGCAAACAAAATGCTTTTGTTCGCTCACGGAGGGGGAGTAAAATAAAAGAAATTTCTGAGAAAGAAGCCAAAATTTCTGATCTTGAAACTTCTATTAAAAATTTAACCAGCGTAAAAGATCTGCAAGCCGCAGAAATTTCTAATCTCGAACAAAATGTGCTTGATACCATTAAGCAGTATTCTGAGGAAATTAGCTCTAAAAGTACTGTAGTATGTGAGCTAGAAGAAAAATTGAAAAATTATCTAGAGAACGAGGCTAAATTGAAAGAAAATATTGGAAGTTTAATAAATGAAAATAATGACTTAAAAAACTCAAGCACTGAAATAAAGGAAAAGCAAGAAGAATTTAATCAAAAGAATGATTTAATTAAAAATTTGGAAGAATCAGTAGCGGAAAAAACAAAGAAAATTAATGACCTGGAAGAAGTAGTTCAAAAGCAAATGGAAGAGATATCAAATTTTGAAAAGATTGTAGAAGAGAATAATGCAAATAAAAAAGAAATAGAAATTGTGATAGAAGAATATGAAGAAAATAGGAAAAGAGATTTATTAAAGATTAAAGATTTAGAGCATAATATTTCAGATCTTGAAAAAAAAATCAATGATTTGGAAAATAATTTGCTTGAAAAATCAAATTTAATTGAAAATTTAAAAAACTCAGATTTGAATTTGACAAGCTTGCAGGAATTATATAATAATGAAATAACAAAAAACAAAGAAATAGAGTCTGATTTAGAAAAAAAGAAAGTTGAACTAAAGCAATTAGTATTGAAAATTGATGAAATTGAAAGAAGTTATCAGCAATTAGTCAAAGCAAAGGATGATGAGCTTGAAATTCAAGCTATAAAAGTAAAAAATCTTGAAGAGAGCTTCAAAAGCTTACAAAATGAAAGTAACGAGAATAAAATCATCATTCAATCTCTTTCTGAAAATTCAAAGGCTCTCGAAAATAAACTTCAAAGCCAATTTGAAAATCATCAAAATCTAGAAAATAATTTAATCCTCCCTGAAAAATCTGGTCTAAATTTTATTTTTAATAAAACTTTTAGAAAATTAACAAATATTTAAGAATTTTAATTTGTGCATATGAGCATCCATATGAATGCTAAAAGTTATACGTTTATGAAGAATTAATATAAAGATTAATCGATTCAATGCAAAACTGCTTGAATAATGTTCTACTCGCAATCCCTCCATTAAATTAGATAAAAATTATTTAATATTTTTACCTAAAATATTCTATTATAAAAAATCAAAATTTTGTTCAAAATTAAAAGGGTGTTAATTTCCAAAAAAATGGAAATTTTACCATTTATTTTGTTGCAATTCAAGGGAGTTAGAAATCTTACAAAACGAAAATAAAGAAAAAATGCTCATTATTGAAACTTTAACTTCTAGCTCAAAAAATCTTGAAGATCAAGTAGAGGCTGCAAAAAATGAATATCTTTCTCATATAAATGATTTAAATATATCATACAATGAAAAAATCAAACTAATTGAAAATTCAAAATCTGAACTCTCTTTGAAAAACCAAGAGCTCGAAAATGAAAACAAGCTGTTAAAAGAAAAAATTCAAAACTTAGAGTTTATAAAAGATGATTTTGAAATAAAATATCAACAATTAGATGAAATTTGCAAGTCAAAATGCGGAGAAATAGAGAATTTCAAAAAAATGATGGAAAATAAAGAGTTATCAAAAGATGAACTAATAACAAATTATAAAGAATTAACTGAAAAGCTTGGGAAGGCGACTCAAAAAATCAATAATTTAAAAGATGATTTGAGGAAAACACAGGACTTAAAAAATGAAATATTGACACAGAGTGAAGAATTAAAAGAGAAGCTCAGCAAACAGCTAGAAGATTTGGAAAACCTTAAAATTAATGAGAAGAATATGGAATCATTAATATCTGATTTGAAAGAAAAGAACGCCAAAAAGATTGATGAAGTCAGAAATTTAAATACTTTAATTGAGAATATGTCAGAAAAATTACTTTTAAATGAAGAAGATAGATACTCATTAAAGCACGAGCTTGAAGTATAGAACTTTCTCTTCAATAGCGCGATAAGGCGCATTCCTAGGTTTTACCGGAGGGTCTTGGACATATGAAAACCTGCTATTCATTATTCATGGGGAAGACAAAAAGCCTAAATAAAGAATTCTGCCTGATCAATCTCGAGAACTTGAAGAGAGGCTGTGTGGAAAATTTACATTTTGGTTCGTCAAATGGATCTGACGAGCAATTCTGGCCAGTACTTGAAATAAAAAATGATAGTTGCCAGAATTTTATTATTTTTCTGATTAAGAGTATGATCAGATTTTTAATAAATGGCGTAGGATCAGACAACCCCACTTAAAAAATATTTATTACGTTAAACTGATTAATGTCTTATAACAAATGCTTTGTCTTGGTGCCTATATCAATCGCTAGCTATCTTTATGGAATTTAAAAATCCGAAAGCAAATTTTTAATAGACGTTTTCAAGCAAAACTTAAAGTGCAAGCACAATTCCATGAGCTCTCATTGCTGCCTAAAAAAGATGCAGCTAGTAGTGATATTCATAACTCAAGTTTTTCTTTGTCACGATAGTCATCTTAATGAAATTTAAATATACAAAAATCAAATTTTTAATAGACGTTTTAAGCAAAACTTAAAGTATAAGCACAAGTCTACGAACTCTTATTGCTGCCTGAAAAAGATGTAGCCAGTAGTGATATTCATAAGTCAGGTTTTTCCATAGTCACTATCGCCATCTTTATAGAATTTAAAAATCCAAAAAGTAAATTTTAATAGAAGATTTTAAGGAAAACTTACAGTACAAGTATAACTCCATGAGCTCTTATTGCTGCCTGAAAAAGATGCAGCCAGTAGTATTTTTCATAGCTTGAGTTTTTCCAGAGTTACTATCTCCATCTTTATGAAATTTAAAAATCCAAAAAGCAAATTTTTATATAGACGTTTTCAAGAATAACTTAAAGTATAAGCACAACTCCATGAGCTCTCTTTGCTGCCTGAAAAAGATGCAGCCAGTAGTATTTTTCATAACTCGAGTTTTTCATTGCACCACCATAGCCATCTTTATGATTTTAAAAATCCAAAAAGTAAATTTTTAATATAGAAATTTTCCCTTAAATGGCGCAGTTTGCCCTTGATTTGCCCACTGAAAAAATTTTTTGGCTCGACCAGCACCATATGGTTTGGTCAAACCAAAAAAAATTTTCAGTGGGCAAATCAAGGGCAAACAGTGCCATCTATGGGAAATTTCTATAGACGTTTTCAAGCAAAACTTTAAGTATAAGCACAACTCCATGAGTTCTCTTTGCTGCCTTAAAAAGATGTAGCCAGTAGTAATATTCATAACTTTGAGTTTTTCCATAGTCACTATCGCCATCTTTATAGAATTTAAAAATCCAAAAAGCAAATTTTTAATAGACATTTATAGCGAAACTTCAAATACAAGCACAACTCCATGAGCTTTCTTTGCTGCCCGAAAAAGATGCAGCCAGTAGTAATATTCATAAATGAGTTTTTCCATGGTCACTATATCCATCTTTATGAAATTTAAAAATCCAAAAAGTAAATTTTTAATAGAAGTCTTAAAGCGAAACTTGCAGTATAAGCACAAGTCCATGAGCTCTTTTTGCTGCCTAGAAGGGATGCAGCCAGCAGTAATATTCATAACTCAAATTTTTCTATAGTGACTGTAGCCATCTTTATGATTTTAAAAATCCAAAAATTAAATTTTTAATAGACTTTTCAAGTAAAACTTGCAGTATAAGCACAATTACATTAGCTCTCTTTGCTGCCTTAAAAGATGTAGCCAGTAGTAATATTCATAACTTGAGTTTTTCGATAGTCACTATCGCCATCTTTATGAAATTAAAAAATCCAAAAAGTAAATTTTTAATAGACGTTTTCATGTGAAACTTCAAGTACAAGCATAGCTCCATGAACTCTCTTTGCTGCCTTAAAAAGATGTAGCCAGTAGTATTTTTCATAACTTGAGCTTTTCTATTGTCACTATCTCCATCTTTATAGAATTTAAAAATCCAAAAAGTAAATTTTTAATAGACGTTTTAAAGCGAAACTTGCAGTGCAAGTACAACTCCATGAGCTCTTTTTAAAGCCTGAAAAAGATATAGCCAGTAGTAATATTCATAAATTAGTTTTTCCATAGTCACTAATGATGACAGTGGAGACTGGGTGGAATCAAAATTTCTAAAGGAGAAATTTGCGTGTGATGAATGCTACATTATTATTACCAAAGGAATTATAGATCAGTTTGAAAGGAATAAGTTGTCTGATCCTATGCCATTTATTAAAATTCTGATCATACTCTTAATCAGAAAAATAATAAAATTCTGGCAACTATCATTTTTTTATTCAAGTACTGGCCAGAATTGGCTCGTCAGATCCATTTGACGAACCAAAATGTAAATTTTCCACACAGCCTCTCTTCAAGTTCTCGAGATTGATCAGGCAGAATTCTTTATTTAGGCTTTTTGTCTCCCCCATGAATAATGAATAGCATGTTTTCATATGTCCAAGACCCTCCGGTAAAACCTAGGAATGCGCCTTATCGCGCTATTGAAGAGAAAGTTCTATAGTTAATGCCGACCTTTTAGAAACTAAAAAAGTCCTTCAAGTGGAAATTGAGAAATCGTCAGAATTGAAAAATCAAATTGATTTAGAAGTTAACAAAAAGAATGAAATGAAGTTGCGAATTGATTCTTTGGAAGAATCGCAGCTAAAGAATGACAACTCCAAAGACCTGCAAACAAGTGAGCTTCAAGAGCAGCTATTAAACTCTAAGCAAGAAATATCTGAAATAAAAGAGCAACAATCAAAAGATCAGAAAATCATCCAGCAGCTAAAGAACTTAATTGATTCCCAATCTGAAGAAATTAATGAGCTATCCCAAAGCAAATTAAATATGGAATTATCATATTCAAATATTATAAATAACCTTGAAGAAAAAAATGAAAATTTAGAAAACGAACTTTATACATTAAAGGAATTATCTATCAAAGACAAAAAAATGCTAAAAGAATTAGAGACTTCACTCGATGCTACACAAGCAAAATTGTCCGCCTTAAATCAAACTCAAGAAAACGATAAGAAATATTCTGAGCTTGAAGAAAAATTCATTAAGCAAAACAAAACAATAGAACACTTGAGAGCTACAAACAGCAACCTTAATGAAGAAATTGAGGATGTATATTTAAAACTTAAGGAATATAAAGAAAGTGTTCATAAACTTGAAGCAAAGAACACAGAATTAAATAGTATGCTAGAGAAACAAAATCATGATATGATAATAAAAACAGATAAAAATAATATTTTCGGAATAATTCAGGAAGAGGAAACGAAAGGCTTTGATGAGGAGACAGAATACATACCTAGAAAAGAAATAGGAAATATGGTGGATAAGCGAGTGGTAAGTCAAGCATTAGTTAGGTATTTGAATTATCAAACTCCAGATGATATTAAACGACACCTACTAAAGGCACTTGCAGGAATGCTTGAGCTTAATGATGAGCAGAAGCAAGCTATTGGGCTGATTCAAGGAGGAGGATTACTATCTAAATTCACAAGCTATATATATGGACCTTAATTTACAAACATACTAGTTGAATAGTTATTAATTGACTAATGGTAAAGTTATTTTTTTAAAAAATTATCAAAACTAAATTTATTCATTTTCCTATATTTTATTGCTTTAAATAGAATTAAATAATTGAAAAATTAATTACTCGTTGCTGCATCTCTCAATAGTGCCAAAGGTCCAATTTTTCTTAAAAATCCCAATTCTTCATCATTATTGACAAGCATAAATCCCATATATGCCATAGAGTTCAAGTCAAACCTATTAAAGCTTCTTTCTTTTTCTCTTGGCACCACAAGCATCCATCTTCTTGTCAGCACCAAATTATAAGAATGCGAAGGACCCAATAGACTCATCAATTTCTTATAAATTCCATACAAATACTCAGATGTTGGGCTATTTGAAAATCCGTGATAAAAGTGTCTGAAATTGAAGCATGGGATTGAAAAAGGCCTTTCACTTCAATTTTCTTCGATAATTTTTCCAAGCGGGAAGCTTGATATGCTTGACCATGGGATGACTTGTATGTGTTTATGTTCTTGGCTATATCCAGAAGCAGGGCCTGAATTAAAAAATGCGAAAGCGTCCAATTCCTTGCATACGTCATAGGCTACGGATAAGTCATTCGCAGATAAAGGCTCTGCCTGCTTTTCAAATTGATATGTAACTATCAGAACATGGTTATTTACGACAGGGAATTTATTAAAAAGTAGTCTATAGCTTTGTCCAATATTTTTTATATGAATTCCCTCCTCAAAAGGATAAAGAAAAGGATTTGTTTTTTGCGAATTTCTCAGTGGTTTTTTATGCTCTTCAAGCTTTACCGAAATAATAAACTGTATGTCATTATCAATTACTTTTTCTTCCCTTACCCTTAGCTTAATCACAGATGGCGGATTAGCAGAAGCAATGATTTCTCTTAATTTACTCCCTGACCTTCTCTTCACAATTTTCTTCACAGCCACATAGCCAGCTGCAGTAATACTAATTGAAGCTAATGCAACTAAAATATGATACTTCCACTTACGAAAACTATCTAAAAAGTCCATTTATTAGAATGGATTACTATCCATTTAACTTAATCCCACAGAGAGTGGATATGGAGCTTGAAATCTTGAATTAGCTTAGGGTGCCAATATTTCTTATCAAGACAAAGCCTGAAGTTTTCCATCGTGCTCATATCAGTCAGAGTCACCCAAGTCCTATCATTTACATTGTCAAGCCCAGTTCCTGGGGTTGGTGGGAGAACTTGTAGGTGGGTGACTTCATGGGCTACTTCGATTTCCTGTGAGAAAAATGCTCCTTTTCTTTGGCTAATAAATAAAATATCTTTTTCTGCGTTAAATTGCATCTTTGTGACAACACCATCGGCAAGTGCATGGAAAAGATAAGTATATCCAAGAGCCATAAGTGGAATAAGAGGTACCACAAAGGCAGTTACAGCAATAGACCCAGTTGATTGCCAAGGGGAATCGAATAGTACAGTTTGTTGGAGGAAGTTTTGATTTACATTCAAATGGTCGCTTCTTATATCCATAAATTCATTACCAACTGGATATATAAATCTGCCACTCCATATGCCATGCCACATGTTAAAGCCGATATAAAAGAAGCTTGACCAGCCAATTTGTCTCGTAAGGGCAGCACCTTGTCCAGCGTCTTTATTTTCATATAAAATATCACCTTTTTCGAAATTTACATCTGGATCAGGCTCTCTTTGAGGCTCTTGGACGAAATGTGACTTGAAATTCGGGTTATTTAAGTCTGTTTCTACTTGTGCCCATTTTAATAATTGGTCATTGCCGGTCTCTATATGTTTTCTATAATTTCCAAGTCTTTCAGCTAAATGAGGGTATTTATCTTCACTAGGAACAGCTTGGCCATACCATGGATAGGCTGGGAAGCGTCCAGCTCTTCCATACTTGTTGGGGAGATTTCTGATTCTGATTTCTTCAGGTTTTCCGGCTTCTCTTAAAGCTTCAATTTTAGCGACACTTGAATCAAGTTCGGCTAATCGTTCATCAAGGGTCTTTTGACGTTCTATTTGAGGTTCTGTTTGCTCTGATGGAGCAACCTTGTGAAGGACTTTCGCAATTTTTGTATCTAGTTCTTCAGCAGCGCTGGCAGCTGCAGGGCTTGTGAAAGCTCGCCATAATGATCTTCGAGCCAACATTATTTATTTGCAATGACATTTAATTGGATATCAAAAATATGGATGTCGAATAAAATTATATGTTTATAAAAGACTCGTATTTTATTGCAGATAGACCGTTTTCAGTAATTATTTAAATTCATATGGTATTAATATTTTATTGCACAATTTAAAACGCTGAAGAATATGGACAACAGAGTTTCAGAGAGAGTGGAGAATATTGTAAACTTAGATGATAGAAGCATGCTTGATGAAGAAAATAAATTTTATTATGACCTCGAGCCTATGGATATAAGCGAACCTTATACTAGCAGCATTACTGATTCGACAGATCATTATTCTTCGAATATAGAATATCATAGCGAAAACCACGATTTATTAGAAGATATTTTTGTTTCAGATCAAAAAGAAAGACGTAAAAGAGGCAGAAGACCGATTAGACCTCAAGACCCAATCAGAAAGAAAACCGAGGAAAAAGATAAGTATTGACTTAGAGCGTTTAGAAGTTATACGTATCAAAACTACAATGATATTATAAAAGGATTAAGCAAATCAGACGCAGATTTTTGGCAGTTTTATATGAGCCCAGATGGAAAGCCTGGAAAGGGTCATAAATTTCTATCATATGGGAAAATTTATAAAACATTTTTATTTTCCCATACAACTTTTAGGAGCGCTTTTAAGAACTGATTTGAGCAGTATGGAGACGAATTGTTGAAAAAGAAATATGAGCCTGGCAGTGATAAATGGTTTGTATTTTACGATTATGCGAGTAAAGATCTGTGCTATTATGATATGCCGCAGCCTATCCCTGAATCTCCGCCCTCACCGCTTGTATGCATGACTCTAGACGATGTTGTACCGCCTGAAGAATTTTTACTTGAGTTCAGTGAGCACACTGATACTGCATTATAAGAATCTTATAGATTTACGATATTAGTTTCAAATAAAGTGAATAATCATTCATTTCTTTTTAAATTAAGTTCTCCTCTTAATAGAGGTTTCAATTGTCCGCATTTTATTTATAAATTTCTTCTAATTTATTCTCCTATTTTATCCTTTTATAATAATTAATATTTAGGTTTAGTAATTGAAATAAAAAATAATTTCAAGCAAATTCTCTTTGAAATAAATTTATTTATTGGCTCATTCAATGCCATAGTGCCTTTGTGACCCTAAAATATTGTCTTGAAGAGCAAAAATGATTAATAAAGCTGCTTACGCTTTTTTATTAATTGAGAGGCCAAATATAATAATTCAGTGAAATTTTGTTAGTTTTAGGTGATGTATAAAATATGGGATCCTGCATATCTTCTAATCATAGGATACTGAACGATAAGCAGATTGCTGGAATTGGATTAAAGCACCATGAAAAGAAAGTTGCAATTTACAAAATGTACAAAGAGAAGGCAAAGCAGGCACCTATATTAAAATTACACATAAATCCATTATATGTGAAAAGGATTTCCAATGATGTGTCAAGCAAGATTGGAACAAGCATTTCTACAACTCATATCGAAGAAGATTAAGCTGCATGCATATATTAAAGGATTTTAACGAATTTTGTTTTATTTATGTCTAACTGCCCCCCTCTGTGAGCGGACAAAAGCATTGGAAAAAATCACTATTTTTTACCCAGAATTTTATTTTATATATAAGTAATAATTATTATAATGAAATCTCTAGCGAATTCTATGAATTTTAAACAGCTTCATTTTAAAAAATAAATTTTACATATTAAATTAATATCTGCTTTAAAATCATTTCGAATTGAGATCTTTTAAATTTCGAAAAAAAATTACTATAAAATTTATATATAATTTTTTTTTAAAAAAATTTAACCCTCGGTGAGCAAACAGAATTTGCTTGTTCGTTCATAGAGAGAGGAGAGTAAGCAGATAATAGCCTTGCATATTCATATTTCCTCATTTAGATACTCCATTTTTCTAAGATTTAATTATCTGAGCCAAAGAGCTATTAAACTGGTTTTTTTATCTAATAAATTGTTATAATATTTGATTATGTTTTTGCTTTTTTCAATTAAAACCTCTGTTAAATTTATTCGAAAGAATTCAAATAGTTACCTGAAATAAAAAGATCCTTTTTTAATCGAAGTTATTATAAATGTCTAAGGCAAGAGTTCAGATTTTACCTGTTGGACATAGGGTAATATTTCCTGGAACAACAGTTCGACTAGCAATATCAAATTTATCTGACTGTAACATATATAGGTTACGCATCTGTATTGATTTCTCTATTGGCTAAGGTCAAATGGACAGCCGAAGGGCTTGGACATTCATTCTCGAGAAAGCAATGCAGGTATCCATGGCTGGTTATGTTTAAATTCTTAATTATTTAAAATTTAGCCAAAGCATAAAGAGAAAGCTAAGGAATTTAAAGAAACAAATTTAATAAATACTAAAAAGTGGCAATTTTCAATAAAATGGATTTGCCTAAATTTGGGAATTAAAAATGACATCCCAAAAAATTTGACAACTGTGAACATTTTAATATTAAACGAGCAAAAATTTCTCTGCCTTTATTTTGCCGAACTTTATGCTAATTACTAATTATTCAAAAAATAATTATAGTCAGTGTCACTAACTATATATAAAACTATATCGAATTAGATTAAAAAAATGATTTTTTATTAATAAATGAAAATGTCTCTAAATAGTGAGGAGCCTAGTCTAAGAAGTGCAAGATATGAAGTTCATTAAAGCGGCTGCATTTTCAATAATATCGATCTATAAAGTTTCATGAGCTATATTAAGATCCCAAAGGCAAAAAAATTACAATAATTGGAATTCTGCCACATGAGGAATCGAATAATAAAAAATTTTACAATTACGGAACTCTAATGGGAATAGTCTATGATCATCCTATAGCCAAAAGTAATGAATATTCAGAAGAGAATTCTCAAAGTAACTTTTTTAACAATCCAATGTCCTCATTTTCTAGGAAAGATTCTCACATATTTGCAATAGGAGTAGAGAGATATAAAGTCCTATCAATGTCGGAAGAAGGAAAAACCATATGGGCAAGTATACAACTAGAAAAAGACACTAGTACGGAAGTTTCTGAAACACTTATTGAAGATTTGCGGAAAAGCGGAATTCACTATATTCAGCATGTCAGGATGGCTGATCCAGTTTCAAGGGAGTAAAACGTATTTAGACGAATTAAGCGCATCCAGGATGAAAAAAACATTTCAAACCTGGGATTTTATATTGCAGGCCTTCTAGAAATTTCAACTGCTGAAAAGCAAGCAATTTTAGAAAATTTCAATTTGGAGGATAGGACAAACCAAATAATTGCACATGCACTGAATACGACTGCAGAAGATCAAATTCACGATGAAATAAATAAAAAAGTTCAAAAAATTCTGCAAGAGCAATTAAAAAAAACCCCGAAACCAAGTGGGTTACCAGATATGTCTGAATTTCAAAGGATGCTTGGAACTAAACCTTCTGGTACTGACTCAAATGATTTTATTGTAAAATTTCAAGAAAAATTGAATGCTCTTCAAATGCCAGAGAGTAGCAAAAAATATGTTCAAGGAGAGTTAAATAGGCTAAAAGCTCTTCAGCCCACAAACTCAGAGTACAATATGATTAGAAATTATATAGAAACAGCTGTAGAATTGCCATGAAACACTTCAAGCCAAGATAAAAATGATATTGACCAAGCACAATCTCAGCTGGATAATGATCACTTTGGATTAGAAAAAATCAAAAAAAGAATTATTGAGTATTTAGCAGTCCGTGGGCTAAAAGGAGATATGAAAGGGTCAATTTTATGCTTTACAGGACCTCCTGGAGTAGGTAAAACATCCCTTGGAAAATCAATAGCCGATGCAATGGGTAGAAAGTTCTACAGAATTGCATTAGGAGGTGTCAGGGACGAAGCTGAAATCAGAGGCCATCGCCGCACATATATAGGATCAATGCCAGGAGTGTTTATTCATGCGCTTAAAACTTGCGGTACCAATAACCCTGTAATTCTTCTTGATGAAATAGATAAAGTCGGTAAAGACATGGCAAGGGGTGACCCAGCATCAGCACTTCTAGAAGTTTTAGACCCGTCACAAAATCACACATTTACTGATCATTATATGTCGATTCCTTTTGATTTATCTAATATTCTTTTTCTTGCCACATCGAACGTTATAGAAACAATCCCAGCACCCCTTCGTGACCGTATGGAAGTTATTGAGCTAACTGGATATAGCACTCATGAAAAACTTCAAATTGCGAAGAGGTTTTTAGTGGCCAAGCAAGTCAATGAAAACGGAATAAAATTTGAGCTTATTGATTTTCCAGACGAGAGCTTGAATAAAATCATTTTGGAGTACACAAGAGAAGCTGGGGTAAGGCAGCTGGAAAGGAGTATTGGAGCTATATGCAGAGGGATTGCAGTAGAATATTCAAAAGCGCTTAAATCTGGAAATGATTATCAGAAGAAAATTATAACAAATGAAGTAGTGGAAGAAATTTTGGGAATTCCGATATTTGATATAGAGCCTTGCCCAAATTTTAGGAGACCTCTAGCATGTGGAGATATTCTCCGCATCCCATAAAAAATTTCACAAATGAAAGCAGAGAGAGATATAGTGCTTCAAATGTAAAAATATTTCTTGGATGTGGAGGATATCTCCACATGCCAAGGGTCTCCCAAAATTTGGGTAAGGCGCTGTATAGCTAGGGCATCTTTTATTTCGCCTTAGGCTCCCAGCTTTCATTTCAACTCGAAGAGTGCTTTGCAACCAAAAGCTATAAAACCAACTCCACTATTTGGACCAAAATTTGATAGCCCAGGCGAGATATAAGCCATCCTGGGCTATAATGATTTAGAAGAACGCTTGAAATCACCTGGTGTAGCAATAGGAATGGCATGAACTGCTTATGGAGGAAAAATCATGATAGTCGAAACATCAAAATCATATGGGTCAGGGAAGCTTAGGATTACAGGACAGTTAGGAGATGTGATGAAGGAGTCAATAATTACTGCTATCAGTTGAATTAAATCAAAATTCCCAAGTTTAGTGAAACATGATAAAAATCAAAATTCTAGCGAAGGGTTTAGTCAATTAGATATTCACATACATTTTCCAGCTGCAGCTGTGCCAAAAGACGGGCCTTCTGCTGGAATCACTATTACAACAGCCCTTATCAGCTTATTAACTGGGATAAAAGTGAGAAGTGATACTAGCATGACTGGAGAGATTTCTTTAAAAGGGAATGTACTACCTATAGGAGGACTGAAAGAAAAAGTCCTTGGAGCGCATAGAATGGGGATTAAGAGGATCATTATACCAGAAAGGAATAAAAAAGATATTCAGGATATACCTGATTATGTAAAAAGTGAGTTAGAATTCATATGTGTCAGAAAAATTGAAGAAGTATTGGCACAAGCACTTGAGGACAAAACAATCCTTGCGAAGATGGAGGTAGATAACCCCAAGTTATAGATAATATATTCAATGCATTTTATAGATATTCTAGACTATGTACATATTTTATTGCTATAATTTCAAATACAAATAATAAAAGACATGATGCTGCCTATTTCATTAGACACAAAAAATAAGATATCTCAACATTTAGGCTCTACAGCAAGTTCAGAGCCTCCTCCACAATCAAGATCTGCTGTAAAATTTGGAAAAACCATAAAAGTTGTTAAAAAAATCCCTCAAACACTTACAATGGATGATGATTTCTTACTTGAGAGTGAAGGTGATATCAGAGCTTTTTTAAAAACTTCAAAGCCTCCAGCTGCAATAAATTTACGATATAACGATAAAGGAAAAATTGTCCCATATTCAATAGTTGGTTCTCCCACTTTATTTGAAAGTCAAACTAATGCTCCAAAATATAGCCCTCCTCCAACTTACAGTTTGCCTAGCAGCCCACTCGGATACTTGAAGTTTGGCTTTCCTTTAGTAAGGAAACAGCTTCTGAAAATAGACCATGAGAAAAAATTTAAAGACAAATTGATTCAAATTAATGAAACCCACAAAAATAATCGAGTCAAAGAAAAAGAAATGCTGAGAACCATGAATCTCGACCAGCGATTAGACGTCACAAAAGAACAAAGGGCTCTTAAACTCTTCCAAAAAACACAAGAAAAATGAGATCAAATCGACAGAGGGTTATGCAAAAGAATAAAAAAGCCAAGAGAAGATCTTCTTCCATCGAGAGCTTATGAGTATCGGGAAAAACTTGAAGAACTCGACATAATTGACAAAGTTAAATCCTCAGAAGTACCAAACAAATATCACTGATATATGTCTTTAAGAGAAGACCCTGAATTTGACAAGCCTGAAGCTTTTGTAAACGTAGGAAATTATATGACTGGTCTCTACACAAGAATTAGAGAAAGCTCGAATACTTGCAAATCTATTATAAGGAAGCCAGGAATGTTGAAAACGAGCTACAAGACATTCCGTGATGATCCTTATTTTAAAGATACGGTAAAAAATGATGAGATATTCAGCAACTTAAGTTTTGTAAGAAGCATCAAAAGTGAAGATTTGAATGTTGTAGGGTTAAGTAAGCTTCCATTAGAAATTGATGCTGTTAAATCTGCAGGAATAGAATATGTAAAATTTGATGCTGTAGAAAAAGGTGGAGACGAAGAAGTAATCATTGAAAACCACATGCCAAAAATCCGTGCATATACTAGTAAAACTACTCTGAAATCATGAAATTCATTAATTCCACCGAAATTGTAGGAGAAAAAAAAAAACTGCTTCAATTTAAAAGCGGTTTGGAAAAAATTATATATAATTTATTGATTCAAAGCACCAAATTTTAAATATTACTCTACTCCTTTAAAAAATAGAGCAAGAAATTTAGGTTATTTTTTAATTTGATGAAAATGATCTATATAAAATTTTGTCAAGCTGGTTACATAGAAGCATTATTCTCCCATATAAAATTAAAGGCGGCTGTTTTACCCAAAATATAAAATTTCATGATATTTAGCAACAATTTAAAGGTGTAAGTAAATTTTAATTAAAAAAATGGATCAATCTTTAATTTCTCATAGGGATCAAACAAAATCTTCACATTCGAAATCAATGAAAACAATACATTTAAGGACTTTATCATCGCAATCACCACATTCACAAAAATTGAAGATTTTTGAGAAGCTTCCGACTTTACATAAGAGGACATCTTCTAATTTGAATTTACCACAGCTTCAAAATACTGAAAATTTGGAAAAATTTACAAGAGATATTTCATATAGATTGGATACTTTAGAAAAAGTCAAAAGTCGGCTTGAGTCTCAAGAGCACCAGCTAAAAGACATATTGGGGGTTAATCCCGAGGTAAAACCGTTTACATTACCAACATCGTTAATAGAGATTGAAAAAGAAATCAATGAAAATTCTGAGATGATGAATGGACCACAGAATAAATTTATAAAAGAATTAGAGTCCCTTAAATTAAAGATTTTTCAAGATCAACTCAAAAGAAACGAAAATATAATTAAAGAAGGAGGTTTACTTTTTAGAACTCAGAATGGACTTATACAACCACATTTGTCGAATTTACATGAAAAAATACTCAATAAAAGGTTTCATAAAGAAAAAAAGGAGCATAAGGCTCTAACACAGAGAGGTGAGCTGGAGTTAGGAGCTCCATCTGGAAGAAGAGAAGCTGAGCTTTTGTCTGAATGGCTTGATTATATGATCGAAAAAAATGTAATAAATACTGAAAAATGCTTTGATGAAAAAATAAGAGCAGCACAGCTGATTTATACACTTTGCTTTAAAGAAGTTGTAAGGCAAATAGGCGGGTAATCATGGAAAAGCCCTCCGATGATAAAATAACAGTAAATTTTAAATCTATAAAAATGACACAATGGAGAAAAAAAATTAAAAAGACGTATAAATTAAGTGTAATATACTTTCTCCATTTTATTTTAAATTATCTGGAATAATTCATAGATAGTGTTTAATATTCATATTAATTCTATTTTTTTAATATCATTATTCACGATATTCACAGGCTTTTTAGGTGTTTTTTAATTTTTTTTCCCCCATTGCTGTTTTGTGCGATTCTAGCAACATAAAATTTCACAGTCATCTTTACAGATTTAAAATTTACTGTAATTTTAACATCGTAGATTTTTTTTCATCACTAACCCAAATTAGCGTTCACTGTATTGAAAGAGGTATTCTTATGGAAAAGATATGAAATGCACAAGTAGATTTATATAGCCAGCACGAAAGCACCACAATTGAATCTCTAAATAAAATAGAAAGAAAATTTGCCGATTTAATAAAAGACCAGCTCAATGCTTGTGATAATAAAGTAAAAGAGTTAAATAAAATCATTGAAGCATTGAAGCAAGAAAAAGAAGATAAAGAGATTGAATTGGATATTAAAGAGAGAGATGTTATTCAGTTAAGAAGAGAAATAAATAAGCATATTGAAGATAAAGAAAATTTGAAGGATAACTTAAAAGAAGCTGAAAACGCTATTTACAATCATCCAAGGATTAAATATAATTCTAAAATAAAAAAGAATGATATTGCTGTGGATACAAGTGACTTTATCGTTCAAGAAGCTGCCAATTTGCCGGTTTCTGAAATAAAATCTGAAATTATTGATTTGATTACTTCTGATCCATCTTTAAATCTTATGATGGAGAAAACCAATCTGAAATTAAACCCCCTTAAGCTTGTTGTCAGTAAGCCAGAAAATATCTTAATAAAATCAAATAAAGCAGAACAATTAGATGCGAATACCTCGCTTGATTTTTATTTTACATATCAATATCATGATTATCCAACCCAAACTTCTCCCCAAAACCTTTACATCAAGGCATGTGACTCAATCAGCATTGAGCCGTTTAAAAGAATGGCTGCTTTAATTGAGGCATCACAGATTGAAGCTCATCAACTTAAGACTATCATCTATAAGTATGGTTACCCATTGGCCATTGCCTTTTCTTGACTCCCACCATATATTCGAGTGCAAACGAGTAGATGGAGCATGCCCTCTTAAATTCCGATCTCAATCATCAACCCAGAGATCACTCTGGAAGGTGCCTTGATGGTGTATAAGGAAAGAGCATGTGGTAGAAAAACCTTTATAGTTAAAGTGGGGCAGGAAAACCGTTCGGGAGAAACGAAATTTCCCTTTTTGGACAGGCATCCTCAAACCAAAGACCTACTAAAAATCGAAGCATTCACCTGATTTCAGCACGATGGGTTGCCTTACCTGCTTCGTAAGCAATTAACCTCTCAGTCCAAATTCACCATTTTATTTCTGTCTTCCAACTTAAGGAAGACCTTGAACTTTTAAACAAAAATATGACAGAAATTGAAGAAAAAGCTCAGCAAATCACATAGCTTACTTAAATTAAGATTATCATAGAGGAGCTGAAGCCAGCCATGTTAGTTTTTCATGTCCCCTTCCTCACCTACCCTCTTGCTTGTCAGTCCTATTGCACGGCCTGAAGGTATGTGCTTCTTCTTCTGGATGAGGGCTTGCACTCGCGGCCTGGAAGTAAAGATGCTGATTTATCTTGCAGTATGTCAACGGGTTTGCTCTTTCCGATAATTCAAAAAGCGAAATTTAGGTCAGGCTGTCGATCGAGATGAAATTTGTAGCCCAGGGCACAGCTCCTGGTATCGCGCTGGGAAGTAGCCCGATTGTACAAGCGAATGCCTCTAGCCTTGCTGAGCTTTCCTTTCCAACTTCCATCATATCTGGGTATAAAACCTTGCCCTGCAAATGATCCTACTTTGATCAGCCCGACATTACGTTCAACCAGACCAAGTAAACCCTGACGGAAACTCTTATTGCACACTGCTCTACGTTCCATAAGACTCTTGTCTTATTATATGTTTTAAAAGAGCAGATTGGTTCTCCGTGCAATTTTATGTGTGCTAAGCAAATCACACAAATAAATGAGCCAAAAGCTAATCAAAAAACTTTTAAAGGAAGAAAAATGGCTAAATCTTAAAATAGACTTATTACTTAATTTAATTTAAATTTAGTTGGGCCTCAGGTTGCACAGGACAATGAAGTCCATTTTTCCTCGGTTTTGGTCGCTTCCTACTTCTAGCCTCCGTGGAGTCATTTGAAGGCCGAGAAATCTCGGGAACACTTGTGGCTTGGCACCCTGCCAACTTTCCTACAGCCCTGTCTGGGCTTAAGTGTCCTGCCTTTATTGGTCAGTGAAAAGAGGTAAAGCACTATGCCTGTATGATGCGAAGTCAAATGCCTTCGCCATTTCTTCCCTATCAGACAGAAGTGCACGTGTAAAAACCTAACCCTATAATAATAAAAGTTAGGTGAGGGAGAGGAATTCAAGGAGTGAATTTTCCTCTCATCCGAAGCCATTTTATTATTATGGCAAAATCTTTAACAGTTGTAGCGCTATCATTAGGAAGTATTATAGGAGAAAATAAAAAAATATTAGAAAACCACTGCAATTTTTTAGAGAATAATATAGGGTTTTACCCTGATTAGCCCTATAAGGGCAGATGATTCCCAGTCGAATCATCGAGTTGGTCCAACCAACAAGTGAGTTGGACCAACTCGATGATTCCACCGGGAATCATCTGCCCTTATAGGGCTAATTAGGGTAAAACCCTATATAATAAAAAATATTGAACAAGAAAACTTTTGCTCTCAGACAGACTTTCCTGACGTAATTCCTGAAGAAGCAATGGAATCTGAAGAAGCACGTGAAAAATCTCTGCCAGAGCGCCTTCATAAAAGTATTCAAAGATTTCAAGAGTGCTTAAGTGCTTATAAAAATAATCGAAAAAGTCCAAATGAAATCATGAAAGACGATTTGATAAAAAGAAAGGGAAATAAATTAACCTCCCTCAAGAATACTTTTTATCAAAATATTTTACATAAAAATTTTCATATCAAAAAAATTTTTACTCACAGAGAGGCTAATTTCCAGTAAAAATAGATTTTTTTCTAATTATTACTCGATCATGGAGAGGGCGATTAAGGATTTTGCTTGACCGTTTGTATCCTATAATAGAAGAATCTGATGGAAACCAGCCGAAAATGATTTTTGATAATTTTTCTCAAACAGATCTTACAGGAGATAACGTATTTATTGATAGAGTCTTAAGACAGCCAACAGGAGTGAGCGAATCTGATAAAAATTTTGAATCTTTTATGAGTGACCAAAATACATTAAGAGAAAACAATATGCTCAATCCTTACCTAAATGATAAAGAATCAAGCGACCAAATTATGAAAACTTTTGATAATAGAACAAACATCAAGCGTCTATTGAGAATTCCAAGCGAAATTCCATCATCAAGAACTTTTGCGGTTAATAGCGAAGAAACGAAAGAGCATGAAAGGATTATAGACAGGCACAGAATCAGGACCAGTCTTCCCAAAATTGCAATTGCAGCTGAAGAGTTTTTATTAGGCCAAATTCAAAAAAAAATATTTTTAACACACCCAGGACAAAAACTACTAGCTCCCTCCTTGAGCGATCAAAAAAAAAGTTGTTCACTCATAGAGGGGTTTTTATTTAAATATTTATATAATAAATTGTTTTTTCCAAAAATCCGTTTTAGAATTAGCTAGAGATTTCATTATATTAATTATCCTTATATATCAAAATATTTTTCATAATTTTTTTTTCAAATAGCTTTTGGGTAAAAATAGTGATTTTTCTAAGGCTTTCGTTCGCTCACAGATGGGGAGAGTAAGACAAATCATGAAAGACTTGCAGTCCAAAAAGCAAGTCAAGCACTCGATTGGAATAAAAAATCTGATGAAGATTATTAATAACCTCTACACAGAAAAATCATTGCTTTGTAGAGAAAATCAGTCGCATCGAAATGATGAAGCTAGCAATGTTCTCTATGATATGATGATTAATAGGTATGGGCTCAAAAATGTTGCTGAAAATAAATTCAAAGATGTCATTATTTCATCAATGGTTTATTCAGAGACAAATTTAAGGGTCAGGAATTTCACCCACTTTCTAGGCATTCAAGGAAATTACTCTCTCTCTGATTGGAATTTTTATTTAAACAGCATCGAATTTATGGGCTATTGCAATCTAGGACCTTACATATTAAATGATGAGTCCTCAAATGAGCACTATTCTCCTTATGAAAGAGCTGCATTTTGTGCAATGACATATTTTCAAAAGAAGCTGCCATTAGAATTATACGAAAAACTGATATGAAAATTAGAAAAATTAAAAATTGAGCCTCAAAGATCCATGAAGTCTCACCAGAAGATTACAATTCCAAAGATCAATACAGACGAGTTTCTTGATTTGATGCTGGAATATTACCATAAGCTCAAAGATGTATTTTATAAATACTACTTCTCAGAAGAACTAAAGAATTCAGAATTTTTGGAATTGGAGCCTTTTATTGAGACAATGTCAAAAATCCAAGGACTTAAAATTAATGAAGAAGGACTAAGGTCTGGGTTTGAGTCATACTGCAATTATATTAAAAATGAAGTTGGAGAAATTGTGAAAGGAATTAGTGTGGAAAGCTTATTAAGCTTTGGAGTAGACAACGATGCTGTTAATTTTCAAATTTTGTTTGAAAAGACTCAATAGATCGATAAATGTAAAAAATTAATAATTTTCACTTCCATAGTTACTGCGCGACCATCGCCATTGAAAAGGCTCTGCTTTATACTGAACTCCTTCATCAATATCTGATCATGTCTCTTTAACAGTGTCATCTTCCCTATATGTGGAGTTTAAATCTTTTTCCTTCTTAAGGTCGCATAGTTCTAAACTCAATCTTTGTATCGTGCTCTGATAATTCATTTCAGTTTCATAGAAATCGCGATTAATGCTTCTTTTAGGAGAGTCTGAGTAGCTTACAGCACTCATAATGCTTTTTAAGGCTGATACAATGTATTCTTGCTGTTTAGAAGTTAATGGCAATTTCAAATCATGGATTGATAAAAATTCATTTGCAGTGATAGGATCATCAATGTTTTGGAAAAGAAATTTCACTTTTTCACAAAAAAATCGAGAAATCTTATCAACTCAGCTTTCAACTTCTTTATAGAATGCAGAGCCTGGCGAGTCATATGGTGAAGATGTCATTTTCTCAAACTTTTCTTTCATTAAGTTGTATTCCTGGCTTATTTCTTTCAGCTCATACGTTAATGCTTTATTTTGATTTATAATGCTTCTTGTGCTCCCTTCATAATTATTTGTTACTTTTTCAGCTTCACCAAAAAGGTAAATCAGCTGGTCAATAAAAAATTGCAATTTTTCTTCGGCGTTTTTATTGTTAGAGAGCAAATCTTTTAGTTCTTTGTGAAGATCTAATATTTTAGGCCTCCAGAATGAATTTGATAAGCTTTCTCGGGAAATTCTTGTATCGTAGTTTGATTGACCGTTTTCAAACGGACTGAATCATTCTTGACTTTGTTCAACAAGACATCTTAATTGATAAATAGACTCGTCAAGCTCTCCAGTCAAGCTGTAGACGCTTTCTCTGACTGATTTTTCGTTATTATAATCTTTTTCTTGCAGTAAATCTCTTAATTCTTTGTTCTCTTTTTGCAAAGTCAAAATTTGATTCCTTAATTCTTTAATATGCTTCTCTAGAGCTTGATTTGTATTTACGAGCTGCAAGTAGAGGCCAGATATGATAGGTGCCTTTGCTTCTTCTTTGGCTTTGCTATCAAAGAGGAGTTTGTCATTAATACAATAAAGTGACATTATGAAAGTATATTAATACTAATTTAAATTATTTAATTCATCAACTTTATCTTCTGCACTAATTATGACAATCTGAATTTTTTTAGAAATTAATAATAAAAAGCACCTTAGCTGAAAGTAATTTACTTGAAAATTTAATTTATGCTTAATCGACTCATGGCTATTAGCTGCTTTCATTTTCTTTTTTAGATGACAAACTCGTTGTGTTTTTGTCAAAAATTTCTTTTTTTGTTTCCTCACCCTTCCCTCTGCAGGTGGTTTGCCCGCTGAAAGGGCTGCTTTCTCTGACTCAGCACCTAGCTGCGGGTGCCATGTAGAGGGTCAATGCAAAGAGGCCAGAGCAGAATATGTGAAGGTTGAGATGGAGCAAAAGAAAGCTAGTCTCAAACCTTCATACTTTATGCTGTGTTATGCTAGACGGTAAATATTTAAGGTCCTCTCTTCCACAAGTGGAATTCTGCGCAGCTTCTTTAGGAGTTGTGTGGTGGCCTAGGCGAATTGGGTTGACTTCCACCCTGGCACCTCTAAGCCCAGGCCGATACTTTGGTTCCTAGGTAGTGAATGCCCTGCTTTGTTCCTTAGATCATTGCTGAGTATCACCATTTCCAACTCAGTCCCTTCACCCCTATTACGCCAACTCCTGTCTCCTACTCCTGGCAGATCGCCCCACTTAAGGGACCTTTAGCCAAAGGAGCCGCCGATAAAATGTATCTTCCTCTTTTTGCAGGTTACTTGAAAAATACTCAACCATTTAGGCGATTTGAGGCAAACCGCAGTAGCAACTTGAATAGGTAACTTCTACTTCATTTAGGCGCACAGTAGCCTGGGCGTTGCCGGCAAAAATAAGTCGCAAATAACTACTCATTGGATCAGGCCACATAACTACAGTTCTGTGCTTAAGACCATCACTACAAGTCAGTAGATACTGTTGGACAATTCCCAGCTCCAAAACCATTCCCGGATAAGCATGAGTAACTTTCACATGAGGACGTCATCGCCATTTTATGCATATATACTTATAGAAAATTCCCTTTAAAGCCCTATCAGTGGGTGAATTGCCCGCTGAGTTCACAATTTGGTCCGACCAAAACTTATAATTTTAGTCAGACCAAATTGTAATTTTAACGGGCAATTCACCCACTGATAGGCTATCTAATGAAACTGCGAATACACACTCAAAGTCATGGGCTGTACACGCACTAAGCAAAACCTAGAGGATGATCATGATATTGAAGATTATGAACTGCACAGTAAGTCAGTAAATAGCTGGAACGTCGCCTGGTGACATCCTATTGTGAGCTCGATCGTTCTTATCAATGCCTAACTAATTCTAATCAGAAATTAAGCATATGAGTAAATTTCCTCATCCTTAGAATATCCAGGATTCCTTATTTCTTTGTTATAAATTTCTTCTACTGGATATCCATGATTCTTCAAAGCAATTACTAACTCCATCAGTTTTTGCTCTTTATACTTATATTTATTCAGCTGTTTTTTTAATTTTGCTATTAAATTCTCATATGCCCGATTTTCTGAAACAATAAATTTCCAGGTTTCAATATCTTTGGACACAAAATCAACGTTTACACTGGAAATCTTTTTTAATCTTTCTTCAATTTCTTCGCATTTTTGAGACTTTTCATTAAGATCTTTGGCAATTTCTCCGTTTTCTCGTGCAAGTCTTTCAATTTCTTTTGTCATAAATTTTAAGCAGCTGAAATCTTGTTGGTAAACCTGCTTCATATCTGTGACATCTCTTAAAAAATCATCAATATTAGCTGGCTTATCATTTTTTTGCAAATTTGTGATTCATAAATCATAATAGTCTCTTATTTTTAAGAGTATCGGCCCAAAGCTAACATCTCTGTTAACTACTTCATCAAAAATTTCTTTGACTACTTGGCTGATATTACTTTTCTGAGGCAAAATATTCATATTATATCTCTATTTTATTATCTAAAATTCAATAAAAAAATAGTAAAATTTTTAAAAGGGAAAATTTCCTGGACTACTTCATATTTGGATTGTGTCATAACTGAGTCGCTTTCACTGAGGGATAATTCTCTCAATTTTTCTGTTAATTTAAGCTCTAGTGTTAATGCCTCAGGTGAGCAGCCTCTAGAAAAAATTCCAATGCTATATGGGTTTATATTAAAAGAGGCATTAGTAGATGATGGTGCGGTTATCGTTGTATTATGAATTTTTTCAATCAGCGATTTATGCGATTTCTTTACTTTGACTGCAGAAGATTCATCATAGTGGTTTTTTATTCTTTTTTTCATTGGAGATGCTTTCTTTTGATTGGTAGCGCCTTTCATCTTAAAATATATTAATATTAATTTATATTTATAGCTTCCAAAGCAAAAAATTCTATCAAATTCTCTTTAAAACTATTAAAATAGTGTCTAAAATTTAGTTTAAGTAATAATATCTCATAGAAGTCTATATTTGGCAGCTTTAATCGTTTAATTTAACCAAATAAAGTGCATTTCTAAGCAATTATTTAGTCTCTAGAAAAGTCTAACTTTATAACAAATGCTCCCAAAATTTTTTCTATAAAATAAATGCTAAATTTATTTCACATCTTATGATAAAATAAACTCTCTATATTGATCTCATTCATAAAATTCTTTTCTCAATTATTATATCAATATCTATAAATTGGCTATAATTTATTTTCATTTGTTAAAGCATCTATGCAATTTTATTTAAAATCCTATAATATTAAAATTCCAGTAGCATTAATAAATTTATCAAGAGCTATAAAATGGATTTAGGAAGACCTCTAAAACTAGTCGACATCGCAGGCCCTGGAGAAATGGAAATTACTACAGAAGGCATCTCATTCTTGCAAACTCTTACAAAAGAAATTGGAGTCATCTGCATAGTTGGACAACCCAGCACAGGGAAATCCACATTAGGAAATAAAATAATCGGCAGAAATGATGGTTTTGAGACTTTTCATGATCAATCATCTCACACTCAAGGAATTTGGCTATGATCAGAACCGCTAAAAGCTGCCTATAAAGATGAATCAGGGCTTGATAAGGAAATTGACCTTATAATTATGGATTGCCAAGCTTTTACAGGCAAATTGAATGATAATTTTTGTTTGGATTTAGAAATTCTGGCCCTAGCAAGCTTGCTAAGCTCTCAGTTGGTGCTTTGTGCAGGGAAGTTAATTAATGAGCAGCTGTGAAAGGAATTGGGATTTTTATCAGAGCTTTCAAATGTGATTCAGATAAAGTAATAATAATAAAATGGCTACGCTCGGAAATGGTTTTCTTCCAAAAACCTTTCCTCCTTGTGAATTTTATTATTTTTGGGTTCGGTTTATCTGGTGCACCTTATCCACAATTCCAAATATGGGTTATGGGTATTGGGTAAGATATTCTGGCACACGGATTATAGGACGTATAGGAGTTTACTGTTTGACACTCACGAGGAGGGTAACCCTTAGGCATAATACACGCAGAAGTCAAGTTATAGGCGAGGCAACGCTTCCTTTGTTTGGCTTCTGCCTCTCAGGCGGATTGCTGCTTAGGAATATCATCAACATTTTAGCAGCATCGGCATCCTTTTGGCGCTGGGATTGCCAGAACTTAAAAGGATAGGCTCATGCATGCCTAAATCATCCTGCTAGCTTCCCCAATTCGTGAGCGAGCAAAACCATTGGAAAATCCCTAAAACCCATCTGAACAAACAACTTTTATGAAAAAAAAAATGGTATATAAGCGATAATTATTATAATGAAATTTCTAGTTAATTCTGTTTAATTTTAAACAGTTTGCATTTTAAAACATAAATTTTGCAAATTAAATTAATTTTTATGAATTCGAATTTTTATATTTTGAAAAAATATTTACTATAAAAATTATATATAAATTTTTAAAACAAAAATATTTTAAACCCCTCTCCATGACCGAACAAAATTTTTTCACTCACGGAGGGTGGGAATAAGAAGCTAGCACTTTAAAATTAATATAATTTGCAAAATTTATGCTTTAAAATGCAAGCTTTCAAATTAAACAGAATTAGCTAGAGATTTCATTATAATAATATCACTTATATATTAAATCTTTTTTATAGAAAATTATATTGTCAGATGGTTTTTGGGCAAAACATGGGGATTTTTCCAATGGTTTTGTTCGCTCACGAAGGGAGAGAAAGTAATTAATGTAATGAATGATCAGATAAAGTAAAAGATATTTAGAAAGCATGAAGATTCGAAGCTGGTGCTGAGTCATTATCTACCTGATTTAACTTGGGTCATTTCAGGACAAGAAATCACAGAGTCAACAAGGTAGGGAATATATAGTAATTATTTAGAAAAAGCATTGGAGAAATCAGCTGAAGATCCAGTTGGGATTAAAGCAATTAAGTCGAATATCAAACGATTTTTCACCAAGAGAGCTTGCTTTAATTTTCCCTCACTCCAATTTGAAAGTAATCCAAACTTCAAAGAGTCTCTTAACTCTCTAATTGACTACATTAAGCAGAGCACTAGAACTAAAAAAATCAATGGCAAAAGTATCGATGGTGCCATTCTCAGCAACATGGCTCAAGCATATGTCCACAGATTTCATAAGCAAGCTCCAGCTGTCATCTACAGTGCATTTGAAAGATCGGTAGCAGCTGAAGCCCGACGTAATAAAGAAAAACTCTTCATAAGATATCTTGACAAGATCGGCCTCATAGAAAGCGATCTACCCTGCGAAGAAGACAATCTCTGAAAAGAGCATCAAAATACCTCAAAAGAGTTACTGAAAGAGTTTGATAAAACCATGATGAGTGTTTTCGTTCAAGAAGAAGTTCAAGAAGAAAGAATCAGTCTAATTGAAAGAATTGATACTTATTATGAAGAACTTAAGTCAACCTTAACTCAACTTAATTAAGATTATAAGAGAAGTTGCTTCTGGCCTATCTGACAGGTCGTCTTCACCTCTTTATTGCTTTACCGCTTGCTTGTGAGTTCGAGCACAGCCTCTATTGTGTTGCTCCTCACGGACGAGGGCTTGTACTTGCTCTTCGTAGCTCAGGGCAGCTGGATCACCATGCCATATGTGGACAGATTTGGCTTTCAAATCCGAAAAAAAAAAAACGAATTTTTAATCTGATGGCCAAGACGAAAATCGTAGCCAAGGATGCAACGCCTGTTTTCTTACCCAGAACGTTCTGATTGACTAGAAGTAACCTCACTAGTGTTCTGGGAGATCAAGTTTCAATTCTGAGCTCCATCTTCCTCCGAGGTAAAACTTTGACCTGAGTCGATCTAATCCGACATTAAGCTCCATCAAGCCAAGTAAAATCTGGCCAATACACATTGTAGAACGCCATCCTTTCCTTCACAAGGTCCCAGATTTGACCACAGATACAGGTTTTAAAGAGGTGGGCTTGCTCTCCGCTCATTTTATGTATATAAAATTAAGTCAACCAATTGTAAAGTAAGTGAGGCAAAATGCAGGGATGCATTTAAATCAATTTTTGATCCTATAAGAGCTGAAGGGATCAAATTTAATGAAGAAGACAACACTCCTAATATAGGACTTGTTGAGCAGAAATTCCTAGCTGGGATTAATGAGTATCAAGCACAAGCAGCAGGGCCGATGATTGAGTCTGTTTTCGCTGAAGAAATATCATTTATTATTCCTCATATGTCAAGCTTGCTAAGACAACTGCAAAGCCATTTTGACACTGATAAAGAACAATTGGAAAGCGAAGTAAAAAGTCTAACTCCCCCTTTAAATTGGAACAAAATATCGGTAAAATTCGCAATTTCTATAATTTAACGCCCTTTAAATTGGAATGCAATTTGTTTCTTAATAGGAAAATTTATAGATGAAAATATTATTTTATAAATTCGTTTTTGACCAGATTTAATGGAAAAAGTGCAAATAGAGTGCTGTTTAAACAGTTTTCACAAAATAAATTAAAATTCAAAGCATTGTAAATATAATTTTTTTTAAGAACAAAAATTAGCCACTTTAAATTGTAGCAGAATTTTTGTTCCAATTTAAAGAGGAGTAAGTAGACACAGAGATGAAGCTAGAGCTGGCGAAAAAAGACTCAGGGAACTATTAGAAGAAACTAATAGAAATTATGAAAAACAAATAGACCAAAGAGAAAAGCAAATCGCTGAGCTTCAAGCCAGTGTAAATGCCAGAGTCCATTCAGCAGAAAATAAATCAAGATTGCAGGCTAGAGAAATCCAAGGACTTAAGCTTGAATTAGAGCAATCTCAAAAAGAAAGAGAAATGATGATAGAAGCTGAAAGAGATAGATACGAGAAAAGAATAGGAGATTTAGAAAGCAAGCTTTATAAGCTGCAGTTGGAAAATACGAAATACGAAAAAACGCTTGATCAGCTTAGAGAAGAGCATGAAAAAACAATTTCTGATAAAAATGAACAAATTAATGACTTGTCAAGAAGGGTCAAGCTTATGGAAAGCCAATCAGAGTCTCCAAGTCCAAGACAAGATATGTCACTTTTAAGGACTTTCAGAGAATATCTTGAAGATATTTTTAATAAATTTTCTAAAGAGCAAAGTGCCAATGCAAAATACCTGGGACAGTTAGAACGAGTTTCCTCTCTCCAAAATGAAATGAACCAAGTCAGACTTCGCGAACAAGAGAATAAAAACAAACTTATAGATGACTATGAAGAAAAACTGAGACAGCTTAGGCTGGAAAAAGACAGCTTAGGAAAAGAAATCATCAGCTTAAATGAGAAAATGAAAACCCAAAGCCAAAATACCAAAGACAGCACTCCTGTAGAGCTGGAAAAATTAAAAAAACTCTATGATGAAAAAGAAGTACTAATAAAAAGAGTGGTCGAAGAAAAAAATGAAATAGCTTTGGAACTATTGAAAAGAGAAGAGCAGCTAAATGAGCTGTATGAGTCCGTTGAAGCTTATAAAAAGCAGATTGAACAGTTCCAAATTGAGCTTGATGACAGAGATAATTTACTGAATAGGCTGAAAATTGAGAATGTGGAAGAAAAGGACGATAATGATATACTGATAAGCGTGATAGGAAGCATTTTGGAAGTCCAACAGAGGAGAAAAAGCTCTCAATTGATACATTTGGGAAGGATTCAGAATCATGATAATAGGGGGAAAGTAATGAAGCTGCTAAAAAAGTACAGCATTCCTTTTGAATAATATTAACTCAACTTAAGTGTTATTAGATTGATTGTCTTAAAAGTTAATAAAAATTATGATTAGGATTTTAAGAAGTCCTTAATTAGGCAAAGTATTTCAGCTGTATGCGATCTATAAGAGTTTTGATCTAAAATCATTTGGTCAGCTTCTTCTTTTGTCAGAATGCTCGTGTTTGCTAGCATAAAAGGAATTACTAGAGACTCGCAAAATTTCCCGACATAATTTGGATGGCTTTGCAAGCACATCAATTTTCTCGAAATTCCAAAAATTTCATTAGGGGAATTTTCAGAATATCCCCATCTTTCACAAAAATCAGGAAGCTGTACTATATTTTCCCCATGGTTTTCTGCTATAATATACTGATTTCTGAGATTAGGATATAGTGATTTGAACTCGCTGGTTGTTATTATTGTATCATATTTGAAAATGTACTTATTAGGTATTTTTTCAACTGTTCCTCCGAGCACATTAGCAATGATTTGTGCCCCGAGGCAGATGCCAACAAGTTTAATATTGGGATAATCGTTGTATATTCGTCTTAGAAATGCCTTTAAGTTGATAAGCCATTCTTCCTGGTCGTTAGCAGAGTATTTCCCTCCTAGCACAACAATTCCTTTGATGGTCTGCAAAGCTGTGTCTGAAGGAAGCTGACCACTGAGGATATAATAATTCTGCCACTTTTCGAATGGTTTGGAAAATATACTTGTCGACCACGCCTCTCCAAAGCCATATATAGGATTTTCAACAAAGAAATTAAAAGCTGCATAGTCTGGATTATCGTATATAGCAGGTAAAGGATAAGAAATCTCTTCATTCCGGATAGCTTTTTCTAAAAGATTATATTGATTTGCTAAATAAAAATTTTGTATTAAAATTTCCTCATTTCTGACTGGTGTCTGAATATTTTGAACTCCTTCAAGCTGAATGTTAATTGGAACATAAATTAAAGAGTCCGATGCATGGTGAGAAAAATAAGTGACATGAGCCATTACAGCTCTAGTTGGTTTGTCATAAATCTCTCTAAGATTATCTCATTCTTCTTGAGTGTAAATTTTAATTCTGAGTCACTCAGTAATCACTCTGGAAGCAGCCATTTGGACTCCAAATTCATATTCATTCATCTTGTAGTCTATCTGGCAAAAGGTAAGAATCTCATTATTCTCTACTGAGTATGGAACCACAGTTAAGGTCGTCATTTTTTTTTATTATATTTCAAGTTCTGATTTTCTTAATTGTTTACTTATTAACTTCTAAACAGAAAAATATTCATAGTCAAAAACTTAAAATTGCTTAATTCCCTTGAAATACAAATTTTTATTAAGGATTTGATTACTATTAAATTTTGGAGAAAATTTTAATTTCTCAAAAAATTCTTAATCAGCCCCAACAATTCAATAGTGTGAGAGCGGTATTCATTTTGGTCAATTATTATTTGATCACCTTCTTCCTTTGTAATCATTTTCTTATTCACAAACCAAGGCACATTGTAGCACTCTGGGTATTTTCCAACATAATTTGGGTGTCCTTGAAAGCATAGCCATTTTCCTTGAATTCCAAAAATTTCATTTGGACTATTTTCTGAGTATCCCCATCTTTCAGAGCCTTCAGGAAGCCTAACTACATTTTCTCCATGATTTTCGGCAATTTTATATTCTTCTCTAATGTTTGCAAATCTCTCTCTAAATTCCTGGGTTGTCGTAATTGCATCATACTTTAAAATGTACCTATTGGGAATTTTTTCAACAGCTCCTCCAAAGGTATCGGCAATAATTTGAGCTCCCAAACAGATGCCAATCAGCTTAATATTTGGGTAATTTGTATTTACCTTCCTCAATAAAGATTTTAAATTAATCATCCATTCAAACTGATCATTGGCAGAAAATCCTCCACCTAAAAGAACTATTCCTTTAATACTTTGGAGAGCTTCATCTGTCGGAAGTTGGCCTTTAGTTACAGTGTAATGCTGCCACTTCTCATGAGGTCTTGAAAAAATGCTTGTGGACCATGTTTCCACAAATCCACAAAAAGGTTGATAATCAAGAAAACTAACCGAAGCATAGTCAGGATTGCTGTGAATAATTGGCAGTGGATAAGAAATTTCTTCACCTTTAAGAGCCTTTTCTAGGTAATTGTATTGCAGTGATTGCGTATAGTTTTGCAACAAAATTTCTTCATTTCTAATTGGAGCTTCAATGCCGTGAACTCCTTCAGGCAAAATATTTACAGGAACATAAATCAAAGAATCATCTGCATCGTGGGAAAAGTAAATGACATGAACCATCACAGTCTTTGTCGGCTCATGATAAGTTCCTTGAAGATGATCCCATTCCTCTTGAGTATAAATTTTAATTTCAAGCCACTCAGCAATGACTCTGGTAGCAGCCATTTGAGCTCCGAATTCAAATTCATTCATACTGTACTCTATTGAGCCATAAGCAACAACTCTGTCGTCCACAACTGAATAAGGAATGACATTGAGGATCATCTTATATTTATTAATTTCTTAAAAACTCTTTAATGCATTGAAGCAGCTCTACTGTATGGGATTGGTACGAATTTTGTTGAGAAATTATAGTCTCGGCTTCTTCTAGGGTCACTCTTTCAATTTTTTTAAAATAGGGGAGATTAAAAACCTCCACATATTTTCCTACATAATTTGGATGTCCTTGAAATCCTAGCCATTTCCCTTGAATTCCAAAAATCTCTATTGGGCTTGTGTCAGAGTATCCTCAGATCTCACAGTTCGGAGGAAGGCTTGTTATATTATCTCCGTGGTTTTCAGCAACTTTATATTCTTCTCTAGCATTTGAAAACTTTTCTCTGAATTCTGGGGTTGTATATACAGACTCATATTTGACTATATAAGTATCAGAAATTTTTTCGACTTTTCCACCAAATGTCTCAGCAATAATTTGTGCTCCAAGACAAATCCCTACAAGTTTTATATAAGGGTAGTCTATATTAATTTGTTGTAAGAATACCTTTAAATTTATTAATCAATCATACTCATCATATGCAGAATATTTGCCTCCAAGAATAACTATACCTTTTAGTGTTTGCAAAGCTTCAGCTGAAGGGAGTTGGTTTTGGGTAACGCAGTAATGCTGCCATTTTTCATGACTTGAGGAGAAAATACTTGATCCCCAGGCTTCCAAAAACCCAGCATAAGGTTTATAATAAGGAAAATAAAAAGTCGCATAATCAGGATTGCTAATTAAGATCGGGACAAGATAAGAGAGTGCTTCATTTTGGAGAGCTTTTTCAAAATAGTTATGTTCTAATGATCTATTGTAATTACCGATTAATAACTCTTCATATACATTAGAATGATGGCATGTGCCTAGCCGAACCTCTTGCACAGTCCTGAACTAACAAAAAGCCGAATTGGGACGGACTCTAAGCGCAGCTTCAGCAGATATGCATCAGTAGGCTTGGCTGCTTCCTGTGATTGGAAGAGAGATACCCAAAAATGTACTTTGGATTCATCGAGAGTAGTCATTTTATATTGCTTTCAGATGAAGATACTTTCGCATGCGACAGCTTGATGGAGCCAATCTTTGGTATCGCCAATAGCGCATAGCAGAGACGCAGAATATATAGGCTGGCCACTCAAGACTGAATGCTCAAGCGAAGGAGGAGATTACTGTACCAGTTATGACCAGACCTAGTTATCAGCTTGTTGAAAACATATGAGTCTCTCTCATACAGTTTGTTGCAAACAGAGAGTCTCTCATACAGGCGCCTTTGGTAGCTGTATACTAGATATGGTTAATGCCGTTTTCTTAATGGCTTAACCTAACCTCTTCATTTATGGTAAAAGCTTGGCTGATGGATTCTCCGTTTAAAGGTAAATGAACAGGGACATATATGCAATTGTCTGATTCTAAATAAGAAAAATAAGTAACATGAATCATAACAGCTTTTGTGGACTCATCAAACGCTCCTCTCAGATTTTCTCATTCTTCTTGACTATAAATTTTTATTTTACACCATTCCGCAATTACTCTAGAAGCTGCAATGTAAACTCCAATATCATTTTGTGTCATTTGGTATTGAATTGTATTGAACGTCATAATAACCCTTTGATTTTCCACATGATAAGGTATGACATTTAACATCATTTTTTTATTTCTCTCCATTTGTAACTCTTATTACTATTTTATTTAAATTTTACTTCATCGCTTGCTTAAGCCTAACAAAATCATCTTTTCCTATCGGCGGAGGAATCTTCATAGCCAGCATATCGCTCCAATTAATACTATAGAAAAACGGGTGTTCCTTTACATCTTGTATAGAAGGTCTCTCCTCTGGGTTCCTCTTCATAACGGCTTGAATCAAATTTTCGGCTTCTTCATCTAGACCTTCAGGGAATTTCAACTTAGACTTGGAAATTCTTTGATAAAGGACGCTTATGTTTTCTGTATAAAATGGAGGCTGGCCAGTTAATAATTCATATAGGTTCGCTCCTATGCAATAAATATCTGCTGGCTTCCAAGCTCCAGTGCCTGCAATTTGTTCAGGTGGTAAATAAGCAGGTGACCCACAAAATGACATGGCTGGGTTTTCTTCTGTGACGTTTTCTTTAGCTAATCCAAAATCAGCAAGCTTTATGTGCCCATTTGAGTCTAATAATAAATTTTGAGGCTTTAAGTCACGGTAGACGATGTCTAAGCTATGCAAATATTCAATGGCAAGGATGACTTCAGCAATATAAAACTTAGAAATGGAGACATTTAAGGACTGGGCATACTCAAGAAGTTTTGACAAATCACCGTTAGGGCAATACTCCAAAACCATATATAAGCTATTTGGCGTTTGAAATGCCCAATATAATGGTACAATATAAGGATGTCTAATATTTTTCAATATTTTACACTCTGCAATTGCATATTTTAGCTGGTTTTTCTCTCTCAGCATCTGCTTGCTTAAAACTTTCATAGCGTAGATTTCTCCAGAGTTCTTTTTAACCACTTTATAAACATGCCCAAAACTTCCAGCTCCTAGTTCTTCTAATACATCAAAGCTATCATAATTAATAGTCTGGCCTTCATCGTGGTGGTATTCTATCGCTTCTTCTTCAAAATTCATATTTGTCTTTATTCCTCTTAGTTTCATAGAAATCCTTTCACCTTCTTGGTTTTCAAGGAAATCGCGATTTTCAGGGTTATGGGCATAAGTTTGGAAAAAATTAACACAATTTATTAGCTTAGATACCCATGAATTGGTGAGATCTTGAGTATTTGTATAGTATTTTAGTGTGATATCTTGGGTATTTACTACAAAAAAGAACTTATTCTCTGCAATGCCACTATTAAGATTTTTCACTTCTTGAATATCTACAAATGGTATCAAAACATCAGGATTTTGCCCTTCCAAATAAGAATTTTTAGTAGAATATTGGCCAAAAAGTCCACGCTCAGTATCCATAACTAGAAATACAAGCTTATCATTAATTTGCCAGGTTGCAGTTGAAAATGCTTCTCCAGTAAAGGCTTTAGGCTTTTCATTAGATTTTTTGCCGTACTTTTCCAACATTTCTTCTCCTAGATACTTAGGTATCAACTCAGCAACTTTGATATTTGTAGCGAGCTCTAATGCAGTTTTCCCATATGGATCTTCTAATTTAAGTGAGGCTTTGTGGTTCAACAATATCTCAACAATTTCAGCATGGCCCATGCTGGATGCTAAATGTAGCCCAGTTCCTCTTTCAGCAGTCATTTTATTGATTTGGATCAGCGGATGACTAACAAGCATTTCCACACAATTTTTGTGGCCTTGATATGAAGCTATTTGTAAAGGCGTTCAATGGTCATCTGTTTCTATATTGCAATTTCCTCCCAAATCAATATGGCTTGAGGCTCCTTTTGGCTCGAATATCCCAATTCAATCAGGGAGTTTGGGTTTACCCGCATTTGCTGCTAAAAACAAATTCCACAGATAACAAATCTCCATAAGGAGTGGACTTGCCATCTAGGAGTTAGCTTCACAGCAGATAATGATAAGCCAAATCCTGATTGGTGTCGGAATAGCCCGAATCAAAAGGATGCTTTGGCTATAATCTCTTTTAATACATTTGCATGCCCCATATAGCAGCAGTAATGAATGCAACTCCATTTATCGTTGTATCTAGCATTTAAAATTTCAGCAACAGACTCTTCAAGGACTTTTAGTGGACGGGCTCTCATATAATCTTGCAAAGCTTCTACAAACATTTCAGCCTCTCCCTCTTGGCAAGCCATTATGCATCTCGTTAGTCATGGCTCATGCTCATCTTCAGGTATTTCTGGCTCTTGAGGTTCTTCTTCTTGGACTGGCTCTATTGATTGAGCTGGGGCTTGTGTTTGGACTTTTGAAGATCGGGCTGTTGGTTTTGATGACACTCTTGGCTGCAGAGTGTGTCTTCTCACCATTCTTTTAGGTTCATCATCCAACGGTGCTTCTGGGGCTTGTGCATTTTCTATAGCTTTCTATATAGATTTTACTTCATCTAAGAATATTTCTGCTCCATCTGATATGTTATAAAGTGAAATTTTTGAAGAGGTAGGAAGGAGAACCTATGTTGAATTTACTTTCATTCCAGAACTGAATATACTCAATTTTTGGAGGGGCGGAGGAATCATCGTGATACGGGCAATTTCGACCTTTAAATCCTTGACTTTGCTATTAGGACCAATATTAACTTCAAAGAAATTATCTGAACCTCGGATAATGAGCTTCATTTATATCTTATGAAATCTAAAAATTTTTTATACTAAAATATTATTATTTCACTTAAAATAATTGAGAACTAATCTACTTGAGCATGAAAGCTATTTGATAAATCATTTTTATTAGTATTTAATCCCTGTACATTTGGCTTAGTCCCCCCCCTCCGTGAGTGAACAAAACCATTAGAAAAATCCCTATTTTTTGCCCAAAAACCCACCTTCCGTGAGTGAACAAAAATTTTTTTATGGAAAAAAATTTTGATATATAAATGATAATTAGTATAATGAAATATAGAGCTAATTCTGTTTAATTTTAAACGAATTGCTTTTTAAAACATAAATTTTGCAAATTGAATTAATATTTGCTTTCCAATTTTTGCGAATTAGGATATTTTTAAAATTTTCGAAAAAAAATATTTCTTACTCCCCCCCCATCCTTGATCGAACGATTGACTGTAAAAATTCCTAAAAATTGGGGAAATTAACCCCCATCCTTGATCGAACGATTTTCATATCATGCAAATTTTTATATATATAAAAATATAATAGTTATCAAAAGCTTGGGAAGATGTACTTAATGAAGTTGTTTTCAGAGACTTTGAGACGATAGAAAGCTTCGGAATCAACCATTCAAAGTAATTTAGTTATCAGCCTAGGCTTAAAAACTCAATAATCTAATAAAATAGAGATTTTTTAAATTTTTAAAAAACAAATTTTAATTTAATAAGTAACAAATTAAAATTTATACAGTTTAAAGGGGTAACTAATAAATTAAAATATAAAAAATTGGTATTTTTTTTATGAAATTAATTCAATTTTTTGCTGTAAAAATAATTATTAAAAATACTCTTAACCCTCTTATTTAAAAGTAAAAAAAATTTATATATATATTTTATTTTATATATAAATTTTTTTTCCAAAAAAAATTTTTTTTAACCCCCATCCTTGATCGAACGATGGCGAGTCGTTCGATCAAGGATGGGGAGGGGGAGTTATATAAATTTTTTTAAAAAAAAAAATTATTATGAGTGAACAAAATTTTTTTGTTCACTCACGGAGGGGGGAGTTAGTAAAAGCTTATTTTTTTGTAAATAAAATTATTTATGCTGGATATGCTGTTAGGAAAAGTAAAGTAATATTAAAGGACGAAAGCAAGTGATGTATAATTTCTAAGTACTGATAACTAAGTTATTGCAGATACAAAGCGTAGCATATAGTGTAAGAAATCACTGCACCTGCTTTTATTCAACAATCAAGGCAATAAAATAACTACTTCTTTAATTGAAGCAAATAGAAAATCTATTGATATTGAACAGTCAACTTTTATAATCTTCTGATAAGAAAATAGCACAACATTTTAATCTGACTGTATATAAGAATTCGATCTATATTCTGATAATCATGCCTATAAGTTTATAGTGCTATAGTCTTCATTATTAAATCAAAATTCCCAACTTTTTTAAATTTACTAAAACGAGTCTTTAAATTGATTATTTCTTGTCTCCATCCACAAATCTCTTCAACCTTATGTAAAACATCCAAATTAGAGCTTGTCCCATGCTTCTCTCTGTTCCTCTAATTAAAAGTCCTTTTGTGAATCCTTGCACCCCTTCCTGCTCATAAATAATTTTTAGCCCTTTAATTAATCCAGGATATTCGGTGTGACCGTGAAACTGATACCCAGACATTGCTCTGTTTTTCATGACGTCAAATGGCTGAGTAACTAGGGAAGCAGAAAATCCAGATAAGCCTCCTGCTACAAAGTTAAGGAGATTTGATCTTTTATCAGTTTCTGTTAATCTTCCAATGAATTTGGCATACTGCTCATAAAAAGGGACTGATAAGGCTGTATAAGGGACATCTCTTAATAGGTTTGGAGCTAAGCCTTTTCAGAATCCTTTGATTTTGTGCTTACCATAAATTTCTGAAATAGCACCTAAAATTTTTTTTCTCCCATGAGATGGATTTTCCATCTGAACTTTGATTACTGAGAGTGGGCACTGAATTGTAACAGCGATTCCCCTTCCAATAAAAGAAGCCACACTATCCGTTAATATTTCTCTTAATAATCCTCCAGAAGATCGGCCTAATTTTTCCCTTATAAGTTCTAGGAAAAAGAATAGTGTTCCGCCTCCTATAATTGACCTCATAAATGAAGCAGAGTTTCCTTTTCAAAAACCTAAAATCCCAAATTTTTCATGAACATATTTTATGCAGCCCATAATAGAATTGACTTTATGCTGGTATAGAAGAAGTGTCTTTATAACATCTAGAGGTTGTAAACAACTTGAAGTCATTGCAGCAGCTCCGCCACCAATAAGGAAATTTTTGAACTCCATTTATATATATAGATTTTAAGATATAAGAACAATTATTTACGATATTTATAACTGACAAAGAAAAATAACTCTTTATAATGGGCTATGAATTATTCTATTTATAATAACTTATTTATCTGTTATTTAGATAATTTACTATTGCAAAAAATATGTAATTGAGTTTACTGTTCTTGTGATAAAATTTCACTCCTTTTTGCTATTGTTAATACATTTTTTATATTTTTGAGTTAAAATGCTATCGGAGTTTTATGGTTTACCAAGATCAGACATAGAGTTCAATCTATTCTACTTGCTCCTAATTTAAATTGGAACAAAACCTCGGTAAAATTTGTATTTTTTGGGTAATTTAAGCCCCTTTAAATTGAAACAAAATTTGTTTTCAATAGGAAATTTTTATTGATGCAAGTACTAATTTTTATAAAACATGTTTTGACCTAAATTTAATAGACACAATGCAAAGTAAAATGTTATTAAAACAGTTCTCACACTGAAATGATGGAATTCTTTATTTAATTCTTCATAAAATAAACTAAATTAAAATTTTGTGCTTAATTTTAAAAAAATATTAAAAAGCTGAAAATCAAATTTTATTGACCTAATTTAATAGATAAAAAGCAAGTAGAATGTTATTTAAACACATTTATCACACACTGAACCAATTAATTGCTTTAATTTATTCTTTATAAAAAATAAATTAAAATTCAAAAGTATCGCACTAAATTTATATTTTTTTTTTAAAAATTTTTAAAAAGGATTTTTTAAAATAAATTAGTTATGACTGAGTTTAACATATCAAAAACGCAAGTAGAATGTTATTGAAGCAATTTTTAAACAATAATCAATTAATTGTTTTATATAATTCCTCATAAAAATAAATTAAAATTTAAAAACAATTAAAGATGAAAATACAATTTTTATAAAATTAATTTTGATCTATTTTAATGGAAAAGTGCTACTGGAATGCTATTTAAGCAATTTCACACTCACACGATAATCTTTTTAATTATTTTCTCATAAAAATAAATTAAAATTCAAATGATTGCTATCAATTTATATTTTAAGATTTAAAATTTAAAAAATGTTATAAAGAAATTTTAAAATATTAATTATTTTTTTAATAAAAAAATCCTTTAAATTTGGATTTTTAATTTTAATTAACTTACCGCTGATTTCAACATTTTTCACTCCTTTTGCAAACATTATTAAATAAATAAAATAAATTTCAATTTAAAGGGGGGAGTTAGAACCTCAAGAAGTTTTAATATCATCAGTCGTCGTATCTTTAAAATCAGGAGACTTCGAAAGGTAAAAAAAATATAGTGAATCTGGAAAGCTACATTTGAACACAAGATCTTTTATCTTTCAGCCTACTTTTTCAAAGCATCCTTTATTAAAATTCAAGCTCTCGAGCAATGATTTTTCCTACTCGTTCAATTTTCCTCCATCTCTTAGTATTACTCAATCGCCAAACTCAAAATCTCATAGTTCCACAGTTGACCGGGAATCTCGTATTATTCGTCATGCAAATGCTCCAGACAGAAATCCCTCCTCGAAGTCTATAAAGCGAGCAAAAATTCATAGAGGTCACCATACATCTGATGGATCATCAACCTTAATTATTAGCGTAAAAAGCTACGGAGTAATATCACGAAGCCCTCCTTCCCCTTGCCAATCTCAGCAAGTGGCTGAAACATTTTTCTTCGAAATGTCTCAAGGCGATCTCCTAAAACTCAGTACTGAGCTAGATATGATAATGAGAAGCACAGACGAAAAAGCTATTACTTCACTAGTCTATAGTGTGAGATATAAAGAATCCCTCTCAATGTTGCAGAACGTGGACGATTTTAATCCTGATGATATTCTTTTAACTCAAAAGTGCAAAAGAATTTTGCCTGAAGGCGAACAATGAGGCTCATTTGTGATGACCCAGGAATCTCTGCATTTTTACCCCTTGATTAATGCGAAGCCTAAAAGAGCTGTTCACATACAGTTCAAAATAATTTATTCTGGAATGAGATATAGATACTTGTGGAGAAATAATGGACTGAGAATTGATTATTATGGATCAAAGTACCCTGTTTTATTTATATTCGAGACTGAAGAGCAGAGGGAAAATATTTATAATTTTTTATTAAATAGAGTCAAATTTAAATCTCCAGCTGACCAGCTTGTTGATGCAATGGAAAAATGAAGAAATGGGTATCTATCGAATTTCCAATACTTGATGTTTTTAAATAATATCGGAAACAGATCGGTGCTTGACATGACACAATATCCCATTTTCCCGTGGATTTTATCAAAATATCATGGAGAAGGTAAAGAATAATTAGATTTACCGCTTTACGACTATACTAATTTTAGAGATTTATCGAAACCTATAGGATCTCTGGATAGATCCAAGCTGGAAAAGTTAGAAGTAAGGTTAAATAGGCGCTACAAGTGGAATCAAAAAACCAGATAGAGCCTCCAAGTCTATATTCTTCCTTTTATTCTACATCTACTATAGTTTCATATTTTTTATTGAGGCAAATTCCAGAGTTTCTCGTGAGAAATCAAAATCAAATTTATTCCACCCAGGATAAAATGTTTAACAGTGTAGAAAAATCTTGAAATTCTAGTATAAAAATGATAGGAGACAACAAAGAGCTAATTCCTGAGTTTTACTCAAGAAATCCAGATTTTTTATTGAACTTAAATGATATGGAACTTACAAACGATGAAAAATTAAGCGATGTTGAAATCCCACCATGAAGCAGGGATGCGAATAGCTTCACTGAAATTATGAGGGATGCTTTGGAAAGTGATTTTGTCAGCGAAAACTTGCATAACTGGATAGATTTGATATTTGGGTATCGTCAAAGAGGAGAGCAAGCAGTTGCTTCTTTAAATACATTCCCGAGCACGTGCTATGGTATCAATTGAAATTCCTTTAAATCAACATTAGAAAAAGATGCATATGAAATTCTTTTAAGAGAGTTTGGCTCATGTCCAAAGCAATTGTTTTTTATTCCTCATTCTCCAAGATCGTTTAGGCTATTGCCTGAAACCCAAAAACCAATAGAAAAAAATGAAGCTGTCCTACGACAAGAAATTTCACAACTAGAGGATTATTTAGATCAAATACAAGATTATCACCAAGAGCAACTGAATAAGCTATTAAAACAATATCAAGCTGAAACTGATAGTTTGAAGAGAAATCATATTATAGCAGTTGAGGTTTATCAAAGTAAAATTAAAAATAAGAAATAAATTAGTATAAATAACAGCTTAAAAAAATATATGATAATATTTCAATACTTAATTACCAAAAATTTTCTCTGTTATTAGAGCACATAATATTTTAAATACGGCTAAGTTTTTTTAGCTGTTGAATTAAGAGTATTATAAATTTGTAAACACTTGATTTAAAATCATCTATAATACAATGACAGAACTCTGATGCTAAAAACATAAAATCTGTCACAGACTATTTAAGAATTAAATTTATAAAATGGATAAATTATCTGCTCTAAAACAAGCTCTTGAAGCAGAACGAAAGAAAAATCAAGACTTACAAGAGCAACTTAAGCTCAAAGATATAGAAAACGATCTCTATGTAAATCCCACGCAGAAAAAGCAACTTCTGGAAGGCTCCCCCCAGCAAGTCTCCAGCATCAGACGTCCAAGTGTAACAAAAAGAGTATATTCTATTAAGGAGCAAGAAGCTTTCATCCAATCAGTGGAACGTGAAGAAGAAAACATCACAAACAGGCTTCAAAAATCCTTCAAAACTTTACTTCGAGAAAAAATCGATCTTGAAAACACGCTAGAACAAGAGCAAGAATTTATTGTGAATACAATGAGTAAGCAGCTAGCACAAGCAATAGGCCAGAAACTGTAGAAATTATATAGAGAGCTTAAAAAGAAAGTAGAAGCACAAATCAGGTCAAGATCACCTTCTGATGTCGACCTATCTAAAGAGGCTGAGTTTGCAGCTGAAGAATTTAATTCTAGCTTTAGCAGTGACAGTGAAAGCAGTAGAGAAAGTATCGGAATCGAGGAAAAAAGAAAAATGAAGGCATTGGAAGCTGAGTTAAATTACATAAAACAACAGATTGATTTAGCAAAAAATGATATAAAAAAATACAAAAATTTGTACATCACAATGATGGAAAATCAGCAAAGGTTGGTTAAAGAAAATTTTTTACTTACTCCCCTCCTCCCTCCGTGGGCGAACAAAAATTTTGTTCGCTCATATATGGATGCTAATTTTTTTTAAAATTTATAAATTTATTCCGAAATTTAAAATTAATTTAACTTGTAAAATTATGTTTAAAAAAAATTAAAAAACGAAAGCTGCTTAAATCTTAACAGAATTAAAAGCAGTTTTCATTATATAATTATTATTTATATATCAAAATATTTTTTCATAAAAAAATTTTTATATTAAAAAAATGTTTTGCTCGATCACAGGGTAGGCTTGCTTGCAAAAACGGAGGGGGAGTCAGCAAGAAATTGGGAGGAAGTGAAGGAGAGCCCGATGACATTGACATTAGGAGCGATATTTCGTGTGGAAGTCTTTCCAGTAGAAGTTTAGGAAACTATTTGGAATTTCGCTCTGAGTCTAATACTCCGCACAGCTATTCACGAGAGGCAAGTAGCACTCCAAAGAGGAAAAGGTAAAGTTTAATTTTATAAATTAAAGTCTAATATATTAAAATGAGCTCTAAGAGAACTCCATCACGAAAAACAGAAAGCCCAACACTCATAAGATTTCTCAACCGAAAATCCGTTGCCAATACCTCTTCGGAATTTTCAGCAACCCCAAAATCGTTAAAAGTATCTCAAATGTCTAAAAAATATCAACTTTATAGCTCAGCTTTCCAGAAATTTAATGCAAAATTAAACAGTAAATTTTCTCTTCGAGAGTCTTTAACAGTAAAAAGAATCGGACTTTCTCCTGCCAGATTTTCTGCATCACATCCAGTATCCCGTTCGTTTACCTTAGACACAGCAAGTACCAAAACACTTAATACTACCAATGGCAATGCTTTTAGCTGCCAGCTGTTAACATATTCTGAGCAAGATGGTGCATCTGATTGTAACCAATTTGCTATCGAGGCAATTTGCTTGCCAATTCCTGAAGAAAAATATCGTAAAAAAGTATTTACGCCAAGAAAAGAACTAAATATTTTGAAACCTTTACAATCAGCAACTACAAATACATTTCAGAAAAAAGGATCGAAGCAGAAGATTCCTTTTAAAGAAGCACAACAAATTAAATCCTGAGTACTCAAAGCAAGACCTGAAATAGAAAAAATGTGAAGAAAATATATAAATAGAAGCAATGGGATTGATCCTATTGTGCCTGTAAGCATGAATTATAAATTTTATATTGGGAAAGGAAATAATTCTCAATTAATTAAAAAATTCCTGTCAAGTAGATCTTGATGGACTGCAACCTCAAACCCTGCTGAGGCAAATTTCATATGAACTCAATGAAAAGATAGAAGTTTGCTATCTCAATTTGAAACCGCAAAAGATAAGTCAATATCAGTTGCTGAAAATGCACAAAATTCTTTATTTTGTCCATTAAAAGCCAAAGGTAACAATAAAGTATACCAACCAGTAGAAATTGATTCTCTTGGTTTCAACCTTAATCTTAATTATAATTTATGCACCATAGTAGATCACTATACCCCTGAAGAATAATGACCAGGAAAAATATGGTCCAGGACACCGCTGAGTCTTATTAGGTATATAAAAACCATAAATGGAAAATATTTCATTTTGCTTGCAGCTTTATAACATTTACATGTGTAAAAATTATTTTAAAAATTAAGATGGATGGTTATTAATGATCTTTAAAATTCCAGGGCTATATTATAGTTTGGGTAGCTCACTGTTTTAAAATGCAAGCTTCTTAAAATTTATTGAATTAACGAGTGATTTAATTATAATTATAATAATAATTTATATATCAAAATTTTTTGTTCGCTTTTGAGACGGTTGGATTATGGATTTTCCAATGATTTTTTTTGGCTCATAGAGGGGAAGAATAAAGGTTTTCATCTCTCCACTGGCTCGGACTTACTAACAATATGCTCAACTTGGTAGCCTGCCAGAGAATCTAAAAAAATGAATTCTAGTAAATTTTCTGCTCGATGTGAAATATGTGGCCTGGGAGAGACACCAATCCCATATTCCAAGAGGCAAAACCTACTTTGAAATTGATTGGGTTAGGTGCTATCACTCTATTGCTATTTCTGTCCATTTCTTGTCGAGCAAATACTTAGTAGGCATAATTCAATATTTGCTTGAGAAAAACAGGCTGGAAGGCTAGCTCAGGGCCATAAACCATATTTAATTCTTGGGTTTCAATCAATCATTTACTCCTCATCATATGCAACTTTATGTGAAGAGCAGATAAACTCAATAAATCAAAAGATGCACAATCGATTAGAGTTTAATCAGCATTTATCTAATAAAAAAGGATTATATACAAGCATGAAAAATTATTATGAAGCGATTGGAGCAGACCTTTTCTCTTTTTTACCATTAACATTTCATATAAGAAATGGGGATGATGACTCTGAGTTCGAAAGATTTAAAGAAGCCTTTGCCGACATGGAAATGCAAAAAAAAATAAAACCAAGATTTCAAAATCTTTGAATTATTAAGCCAGGTGAAAACACTAATAGAGGTGTAGGAATCACTGTTTGCAGCTCAATTGAGCAAATTAAAAATATTATAAAAAATAAAGTTAACCCCAAAACAGGAGAAGAAAGGACATTTATTTTGCAGAAATATTTAGAGAGGCCTTTTTTGATACATAAAAGGAAATTCGACATTCGTTGCTATGCTTTAATTACCTCTATAAACGGAGTCATTCAAGGATATTTTTATACTGATGGATACTTACGAACTACCTCTCATGAGTATTCAATTAAAGACATTTCTAATAATTTTATTCATCTCACTAATGATGCCATTCAAAAACACTCTGAGGAATATGGGAAATTTGAAAATGGTAACAAGCTCTCTTATAGAGACTTCCAAAGGTATTTAGATTTTCATTGTTCTGAAAAGAAAATAAATTTTTACCAAGAAGTGCTACCTAAAATAAAAACTTTAGTCAAAGATACTATGAATGCAGTGTTTTTAAAAATCGACCCTAATAGAAGAGCCCACTGTATTGAAATTTTTGGGTATGATATTATGCTTGATAGCAAATGTAAGCCATGGCTTATTGAAGTTAACACCAACCCATGCTTAGAACTTTCAGCTCCTTATCTTGCTATGATAATCCCAGCTATGGTTGAAAACGCTTTCAGAATAGGTTTAGATCCCCTGTTTCCTCCTCCTAAAGGAAAATTCGGCTCCGACTCCTTCTCCGAGAACAAATTCGAGCTGATTTTCCATCAAGAAACTGATGGAAAATCTCTCCTTTCCTCAGCTGGAATCCGTAAAATACTGCTTGAAGAATCTAATATAGTCTCAGACAATGAGGAATTATTTTCAGACGACGAAGAAGAAAAAGTCTCTGAATAGAAATTAATTTATTTACTTTATTCTAGGAAAGTTTAAGAGCCCTTGAAAAATGGATAATCTGCATAATTCATATTAAACTATTAAATATTTAATAAAATGCAAGATTACGGCAACCTAGTGAATTCCTTTAATGACTATCTGCTTTACGATGAAAGGAAAGGAAGGATTCTGCACACTCGCTATCTCAACAAGGCTCAATTTATGGAAATGTGGAGATTCCACTTCAATAGGCTTAGACCTGATCTGAGCAATTCCCAGCATCAACAAATGCTCACTTCGTTGAAGGCTAGCAGATATATTCAAGGGTATTTGAGGAGTGCTAATATTCGCGAGTTAGGAAGATGCTACAATATGAGCATTGCAAACTTCCCTGATGAAAGAGCTCAAGAAATCTACTTAAACCAACTTAACTATGTGTCCCCTGCTGCTGGGCAGCCTGTAGGATTCAAGATGACAAGCTGGGAAGATGCGACCAGAAATGCGATTTATGTGAAAAGAGTGCTTGGGAAGATTGCTAGCTTTGGACTACATTACCCGTATTTCGCCTTGGAATATACGCAGGAGCAAAAGGCTCAGCTTGAAGAGCAGACCTATCAGTACTTCAAAACTCTTCTAACTAGTTAATAGAAGAAAAGATTATTCAAATTAACGATTAAGGATGGCTTCAAACTGCTCCTTTGTTACAGCACCGTAGCGGTCTTTGCAAGCTTCATATATCATTTCTCTTAATTCGTCTTCGCTAATATTTTCTCCCAATTCAAGTGCAATTTCTCTTAGATTCTCGTAGGTAATTCTGCCCGCTGAGTCTATATCAAATAAGTCAAATGCCTTCTGGATTTCATCTGGGTTATCTTTTTCACTCATCTTCATTGTCATGATTTCTAAGAGCGAACAAAACCATTAGAAAAATCGCCATTTTTTGACCAAAAAACCCACCTCCGTGAGTGAACAAAAATTTTTTTAATAGAAAAAATTTTAATGGAAAAAAATTTTGATATATAAGTGATAATTAGTATAATGAAATCTAGAGCTAATTCTGTTTAATTTTAAACAAATTGCGTTTTAAAACATAAATTTTGCAAATTAAATTAATATTTGCTTCCCAATTTTTGCAAATTAGGATTTTTTTTAAATTTCGAAAAAAATATTTTTTATAAAATTTATATATAAATTTTTTTTAAAAAAAAAAATTAACCCCCCTCCGTGAGCGAACAAAATTTTTTTGTTCGCTCACGGAGGGGGGGGGGGGAGTAAGATTCTTTGAAATCGATTGTGCCGGTCACGTCTCTTTCTTTGTCTGAGCGGTCAACTTCATTTATGAGTCTTTTTATTTCGTCTTTTTGAGGCTCAAAGCCAAGAGCTCTTAAAGCTACCTTAAGCTCTTTAGCTTCGATTACTCCAGAGCCGTCAGTATCGAACAAATCAAAGGCTTCTTTTACTTCAGCTTTTTGCTGCTCTGTTAATTCTTGCCTGAAGTGACTTCTTGCAGTATTTCCTTTCTTGCTACCTGTTTGCATATTAATAACTGATGAAAAATTATTAAAATGATCATTTAAATAGAATTTTGCTTTTGGTATTTAAATTACTGAAGCTACTTATAAATTAATGCAGATTTCTAAATATTAGTCATGAGTATTGAGATATGTTGAATTAAGCTAAACCTCTGATGATACACGCAGTGCAAGTGAATTCTCAGTGCTAATTTTTAATCTAGGAGCCTTTTAAAAAACCATGATAATATGGATGAAGTCTTAAAAGTGCGTATTCTCATAAGTGACCAAGGAGACCCAAAACTATTTATTTCATACCCCAAGCAAAAAGATTTAGAATGTTTAAGCTGAATAACTCCACACAGTGCTTTGCAATCCATATTAGAAACCCAAGCAACTGCTTTGAAGCATCTCATAGAAACCAATGACGAATTGGTATCCTTTAACAAATTATCTGAAATTGAATTAGAAGAGCTTAGTCTTAAGTTTAAAAAATATTTGCCTGCTATTAAAGGCATGTCAGAAGACCTAAGTGCAATCCATAAAAGTATTGGAAGAATGAAAAAGAAATTAAAAATATAATGTCTTGTATTAATCTCAATTTCTTATCCTCTCTCCGTGAGCGAACAAAATCATTAGAAAAATCCCTATTTTTGGTAAAAACCACTCTCCATCTCCATAAGCGAACAAAAATTTTTTTATGAAAAAAAATTTGATATATAAGTGATAATTAGTATAATGAAATCTCTAGCTAATTTTGTTTAATTTAAACAGCTTGCATTTTAAAGCATAAATTACAAATTAAATAAATGTTTGCTTTCTATTTTTACGAATTTACAATAAAATTTATATAAATTTAAAAAAAAACTCCTTGAGCGGAAAGAGTTTTTTTTATCGCTCACAGAGGGGGGAGTTAGTAAATTAGTGCGGGTAATTAATTTAAAGAGAATGTGTAATGCTTTGCATTTTCTCTCATCAAATGCACATTTTTTCCATCTTCAGTCCAGCTTAGCGTAATCGTATCCAGAAATTCCCGATATGTGACTACAACAGGGTCGATTTCTGGGAGTATTATAATACGATTTGCTCTTATTTCTCCTCCCATAAAGCCTAAAAATCCTCCATCTAATTTTCATATCCTTATTGAAAAATCTTGATAGCTATAAGAAGCCAGTGTGCTTCCACTTGGGTTGAATTCCAAAGCAGATATTGATGAATCATGGCCAAACAGCTCTTTAGTCTTGGTAGCTGTTTTAAGATCATAAATCATAATGCTGCTCTCAACAGTTCCAATGGCAAATTTTTGTTTTTCTTGGTTGTAAGCTACCATTGGCAAAGAAATCACGAGCTTTTGCAAGCAATCAACAGCTTTTTCGATGCAATTTTTCCTTATACCGGAGGTTGAGGGGTCTAAACATGCTAGTAGCACATTCATGACGTTTGGAAGAACCATTGAGATTTCATCATATCTTTTTTCAATAAATGTAGACAGGGCTGATAAGCAGTTGGCTGAATAAATTTTGTCTGAAGATTTTTTGGTGCCATTATAAATGCAGTCTAGAAATACTTGAATTTCGCAAGAAGCAAGTCTCAGGATTGCTTTATAAAGGGTTTTCTTTATAAGAGGATCAGGACTGCAGCTATGAGTTAGCAATTCATTTATAATATCTTCAAGTTTATTTTCTACAAGATCTTGCTTTCATTGCAATACACAAATAAATAGCGACATCATCAGCCCGTCCTCTCACGAATCTGTTTCTGGTTTGGGGATCTTGCTGTACAACCATATTTTAATTATCCCAATGTTCTGAGAAAATAATCGTTATGAAATATGCGTCGTTTGAAGGAATCCAAAGGCAGCATTTAGAAACAAGACCGAAAGCTGAAGGAGAGCTATCTCTGGTGGAAATGCTGACATACTCAGGTAGGTTTCGCTGGCAGCTGAACGAGTCTTCTACGGAGACTACTCGATTGAGATGCAATAGGAGAAAGACTCCTAACTATAATTAATATAATACAGCGTAATGCTTTCATTGCTGCATCCCTTTACCTAAGAGCTCAGCAGCTATTGTTATATTCCCTTGCATCCCAGTTTTTAGCATGCATCTATAGACAGTCACCAATTTATCTGTTGTCTCTGAATTAATATGATCTGAATTTATAGAGATATATCCTAAATATGTGACTATTAAGCTTTCCACAAATGGAATATATGTTCTCTGCTCTTTTTGAGGCATAAAGCAATTTATATTAGGAACAGAGCTTAGCTTCTTCGAAGGAGACCTACATTTCACAGGTTTTGACAGAAAAACTGATAAAAGAACTTCAAAACAGCTTTTCTTAGTGTCAGGGTCCAAAATTTTCATGAAAAAATCTTGCAAATGCTTGGACGGCCTATTGTCTGATAAAGAATGCAGTATAAAGAACGTTAGATCTGGGAATTTGAACTTATAATTTCTCATGTATGACTCGGCAATTTTCTTAATTGCAGCTTTCAAGTTTACCTCTATAGAGCTTAAAGCTACCAGTAAAGACAAATTCGCAGTCATTAATTGAGCTGAAAGGTAGCCAGAGATTTCATAATTGCTCTTCTCTTTCGGCAATGTAAACGATAAAGCATGATTCAGCCCAATCGCCCCAATTCCTGCGCAGACTCTGGGCTCACTGAGTTTCATCAAAGATTTCAAGTTTTCCACAATTTTTATCTGTGTTGCAAACTCTTCATTTCAATACCCTAGCAACCCCATCACATATTCCATATAAGGCAGCGCAATTAATTTTTTTTCAACTCTTTTTTCGATGCTTTCTATATTCAAAAACAAAACTTGGTACTCCCTTCCTCCAATCCATATATTTCTAATTACGAAAGGATCAGAATATTTAGAGACATAATTTTGCCTTAAATTGTAGTGGATAATTTGATGGTATTGCGAAAGACCTAAATCAGTGCTCTCGTATGAAATGTGCAAGGTTGCTTGTCTTTTGGATTTCCTGAAAATTTTATGGGCTTCGTCTTTTGAGATGATTCTTTCTAAAGCCTGCATGATCATGTTGAAAAGATAGATGTAGCCATCATCGCATTTAACCAGGAGGTATTCTAAGCCTACGTGAACTTCTGCTTCTTTTATTCTGGAGCTGAGAGCTTGGAAATAGCATAAAGATGCTTTGTTGGCTAAAGTGATAAGTAAAATTGACCCATCTTCGCACTGAGCTAATAAAGTTTGCTCCCACCTTTCTTTGCTGAACTTAAGACCTTCTTCATTTCCAGCAGCCATAGTTTCTTTTAAGCAGGAAACTGGGATTAAGGTCTTGACTGGGCTGCATCAGACATTTAAGGTCTGCAAAGGCTCAGTTATTACTGTATTTCGGTCAATTGCTTTCACATATGCTCGAAAGTTTCATAAGCAAAGAACGTTATCTGAGCTACAACTGATGAATTTTTCTCTGTTTAAATAGACACAAGTAATAGGTGATTTGTGATAGCTATATATGAAAATTGAATGGCCCAATGTGGTTGGTGTTACTAATATTCTTCCCAAAGTAGTGCCAATGATATAAAATGGGAGATACTCATAAGCTACTAAGGCTGAAACAGTAATTTCTTCTCCAGGCTTTAAATATGTTTCAAAGCTGTAATCTGCATAGCAATAAATATCGTGCTTTTTCGTTGAAAATTCAGAAATATTTTGCAAAGTATATTTTTCTTCATCCAGCACGTTGGTAATAAAAATTTTCGAGTTATGAACAGATATGATATCATCCTTGAAAAATTTTGTGAGGGTTACCGGGATTTTAGCGTCTATAGAAATATGGTCTAACTCAAATTGATAAGTCTTTTTGGTTAGAGGTTGACCAGAAAACTTAGTATTTATTTTTGTGACTTCAATAGTGTTTAAAATTTCATCAACATCATATTTATAAACTTCCCCATTATCCAATAACACATAAAAAAATTCGCAGTCGAGCTTGGCGTCAATAATTTTGCTGTTCACATCTAAAATTGCTTCATGTGGAAAAGGCAAATCAAACCAAGAATAATGAATGAACCACACGTAATACTCGTACACAACTGCTAAAAGTCCAGCGTCACTTGAAGATTTCATCAATGACGGCATTTCTTCCTTCAGCTGAAAATTCTGCCATGGATCAGGATTAATCTGAGGCAAATTATCTCTATCATAGTAATAATCTTTTAAGTCAGGTATTGTCCAAACATCGAGTTCTCCTGTTGCATCTAGCGATAACAAATTAAGATTATTGCTAAAGTATGCGGTTTCAATATAAACCACCTCTCCTGGCATTGAAAAGTATGCAATTCTCTCCATTGCCCATGTATCTATGAAATAAATATCAGAGGATTCCCCAGAAATTGCGACAAACCTGTCCTGGATTTTAAGCATTTTGTTTAGCATCACATGCTCTGGAAGTATGGCGGATTCTGAAATGCTCATGCATCTTCCATCGTTTAGGTCCCAGCATCGTAATCGATTGTCTTGATGTAGAGAGATTAGCCAAATAGTGCTTCCAATTAACTCTGGGCACGGTGCTTTGATAAATTCGAGTGCTCGGCATACAGATTCAATACCTATTGTGCATATTATTTCTGGAGAGTATTGGTTGCTGCTTGGTCTTCAAATGCAGATATCGCCTGTCTCACTGCCTGTGCAAATTAGATTATCGTGGCATGCAAGAGATGAGAAATTATGGGTTAATTCTTGTCCTTTCTTGTTCCAAAAGATAAAAGGGATTTGTAGCGAGCAGTTCATATTTCTTTTTATAAAATACTTATGGTTTGATAATAATGGTGAATCATATCAATAGATAAATGCATAATTTTATTATTTTTATAAGCGAAAATATCTTTGAGTTTTTGAACAAATAATTCTATAATTTTTCAGAGATTTTGATATTGAAAATTAAATGCTATTATCAAGCCATAAAGTAAACCTATTAATTCTTGAGTAAATTTCGATTATATTGTGAAGCTTAATGCTAAACTACAGTATTTCTGCTAACTCCCCCCCTCCGTGAGTGAACAAAACCATTAGAAAAATCGCTATTTTTTGACAAAAAACCCACTCTCCGTGAGTGAACAAAAATTTTTTTAATAGAAAAAATTTTTTATGGAAAAAAAATTTTGATATATAAATGATAATTAGTATAATGAAATCTAGAGCTAATTCTATTTAATTTTGAACGAATTGCTTTTTTAAAACATAAATTTTATAAATTAAATTAATATTTGCTTTCCAATTTTTGCGAATTAGGATTTTTTTTAAATTTCGAAAAAAATATTTTTTATAAAATTTATATATTATTAAAATTATCTATCGCTGCCTGAGCAGCATTTCTCTCGTTTTTAAAAAATAAAAAATAAAAATCTTCGAAAATCACCAGACTTCTAAAATTCTCAACAACAAAAAACTTCTAAAATTCTCAAAAATCAATTCATGCATGAAATTCAAGCTGCAGATCTTCCAGTATCCATCACTTTTCTTCAAATTCCAATTGAATCACCGATTCGAGCCTCCGAAATCAGCCAATTAAAATTTGACTCAGCACACATTCACATGCTGCAAAACCTTTAGCACTTGCTTCAATTCATATTGTCCAACACTTTTCACAACTCCAATCACCTCCTCAATTCACTACGCTGCACCCGCAACCGCTGTACCAACCAAGAAGTTTGGCGCGAAGTGCCAAATAAATGTCTATTATAAAATTTATATATAAATTTTTTTAAAAAAAAAAATTAACCCCCCTCCGTGAGTGAACAAAATTTTTTTGTTCACTCACGGAGGGGGGGAGTAATTATAAATTATTGCTAATATCTTTCTCAACACTCTTTTCTTCATTGAAAAATTCGCTATTTACTTAAAAAATACTAAAAAATTATTGCAATTAAGATCACCTAGATGAATGAACGATTAATATTCTGGATAAGAATAATAAAATGGCAGAGAGGCGTGCAGTGATAAAGAATGCTGATATGTCTGAAGAGATGCAGCAAGATGCTGTTGATTGTGCAAATCAGGCTATGGAAAGATTTAACATCGAAAAAGACATCGCAGCCTACATCAAAAAAGAGTTTGACAAGAAATACAACCCAACCTGGCATTGCATTGTTGGAAGAAACTTCGGCAGTTATGTTACTCACGAAACAAGACACTTTATTTACTTCTACTTGGGACAGGTCGCGATTTTACTCTTTAAATCTGGCTAAGCTAAACAAAATTAATATTTTTTAGAGAGAATTAACCTGAAATTTCCTATTAAACCTAAATAACTGTTCTATTTCTAGAAAACTGCTGATGTTTATTTTCTAAAGATGCTTTTAATTAATAAAACTAACTATTTAGCGCTTTACAGCATCCATGCTCTCCATTTTAGCGATCATTATGAGGACTTCTTCCAGCTCTTGGTCCTCTTTTTCTTCAGTTTGGATGATGTTAAAGTCTGCTTGGTTTTTTTGTGTGTTTCCCCATTTATTCAATTTAAATGGGCTGACTTTTTCTTCATGTTGAACGATTTCGAGATTAGGCTTATGGCAGTCGATACTTCCCCATGGCTGCATCTTGGATTTAGGAGGCGGGATATAGTCTAATGGCTTGGCTTTAAAAAAAGTATCGGTGTCTGCCCTTTTTCTTTTCTCTTGAGGCTGGATTTGTGGGAAAGGGATTTTTTGTTGGATTTCATCATTGCCGGAAAATGCTCTAATTTTAGACTTACTCCCCCCATCCTTTATGAACGATTGACTGTAAAAATTCCTAAAAATTGGGAATATTAACCCTATCCTTGATCGAATGATTTTCATATCATGCAAATTTTTAGATCTATAAAAATATATTAATTATCAAAAGCTTGGGGAAGATGTGCCTAATGAAGTAGTTTTCAGAGGCTTTAAGACGACAGGAAGCTACGGAATCAACTATAAAAAGTGCTTTAGTCATCAAACTGGGCTCAAAAACTCAATAATCTAAAAAATAGAGATTTTTTTAAAATTTAAAATTTTTAATTAAATAAGGAACAAATTAAAGCTTAAAGGGGTAGCAAAGAAATCAAAATAAATTAATTAATTTTTTGCTGTAAAAATAATTATTAAATACTCTTAACCCTCTTTATATTAAAAAAAATATATTTCTTATTTTTATATATAAAATCTTTTTCCCAAAAAAATTTTTTTTAATTCCCATCCTTGATCGAATGATGGCGAGTCGTTCGATTAAGGATGGGGGGAGTTAGGCTTTTTCTTTTTTTTAGTGCTTTTAGCTGTATCAAGGAGCTGGATAGAAATAAAATCACCTTTTGTAATAAATTGTTGGATTCCTTCAAGAAGATTGAGAAATAAAATTATGACGTTGACGGAAATTGGCTTCCAAGGAGCACTCCCTTGTTTTCTCCTGAAGGTTTTGCTGTCCCTGCAAGATGGGCTAGACAGGTTTTTACCTTTTGCATAGCCTTCGTCTATTAGGGACGATCAATTTACCCGACAGAGGGTGACTCTAACCTAGGAAAATTTAAAGAGGGTGAAATTTTAGTTGTGCCTAACACCATTTGCACATGCACCCAACATAGGCCATTTTCCTGGACTCAAGTTGTCTGGCAAGAGGGAGTCCCGCTTTATGGCCTTATAAAATTTTTTAGCTAACTTTAACTTCAAGAAGATGAGGCTTGATTGCCAAAAAATAATCAATATTAGCAGGAGTTAAATAAAGACTCTATATAAAATTTACAAGATTTGTGGCGATGAATTTTTCACTTATTAGCTTGAGATTGCTACAGCTAAAAATATCTGAGTATAATAAGAGCTCTGGAGCTGTACTAATATTCTAAATCATTAATACCAAAATTTCAATTATTTTTTCTTCAGCTATATCAAATAAGCTTGGCATACTTGTGTGGGGATTTGGTTTTTTTTCTGGGATAGTAGTTCCTATGATTGCAAAATAGTGATTTTGCTGAAACGAAGCCTTGACACATCCTCTTAGCAAAGGACATTTCTCAACTCCGCTTGGCAACAATAAACAGAGATTTCGCTTTATATCAACAGCAGTTGCGATTTTCCCACTAAAAATAGATTTAATTTCATATGCAAATTCCTTTAACTTGTAATGTGTTCTGCTATTAATTTCTGAGTTTTGTAGCCAATGCAATATATAAAAGCTGGTCAGGACATAGACTGCATGCTGCGAGATAGCTAATGATTTTACAGTTCCAGATGCCCCACCTGGGAGATGCAGTTGTATACCTGTTGCCAAGAATAGCCCACTAAGGAGAATTTTTGGTTTGCCATTCTTAAATTTGGTTAGCCAGAAAATATGGCATGCCAACGAATTTGGCAAGCCAGATATTGTCCGGCAAAACCAAAAAATGCTCATTAGTGGGCTATTCTTTGTAAATAAGTATAGGATTTTTCCTGATTCATTAGATCTTGCTATGCATTCTGAGCTCATTTGAATGCATGAAACATCTTCTCCAAGCTCAAAATCCACAATAGTATCATCTCTCGATTGTATTAAATTCAATGGATTAACTTGAATTATATTTTCTCCATTCTTTTTAAGGAATAATTGATATGCTGAGTCGTCTCCTCATAAATAAAGGTCTCCATTCTTATTCATAGCCCCACAATGATTTTTCCCAGATTTTATTTTCACAATAAAAAATTTTTTCAATGCAGTTAATATTGTTGGGCTGACGATATACTCTACCCCTGGAATCCCCAATTGGCCAAATTTATTATCGCCCCACACAAAAATATCACCTTCATTGTTTAGCTACATTAACTTTACACATAAAGTATGGCTAACTCCTATTGCGATTTGTATAATTGATGTAACCGGGACAAGAGTAGGATTAACATAAGTTTGCTCATTGCCTAACCCTAAAATTCCTTTTCTCCCTGATCCAAAAGTCCAGACATTCCCTGCGTCAGTAAGACAAATTGAATGATATTTTTGTGCTTCAATATCAACAATATTTCTGCTTGGGACTTACATAGGAGGAAGATGTGATGGGCTAAACTCAAGTTTTTTGGGGTTTATTTGCTTTTCTTTAGCATATCCCAATTGATAGTCTGGGCCAGCTCCTCAGCTGTAAAGCTGGCCTAGATTTGGAGATTCATTTATAGGAAGAAGATCACAAGGTCTGTTTAAACTGCTATCGAGTCCAGTTAGAAGAATATGGGACTTTTTAGACCTTTGCAGTATATAATGGATTCATTGTAGTTCCCTAAGCTGGCAAGCATAATGCAATATATTTCATTGTCTGGTTGGCGATTTTTCTATTAAATCCTCAGGAAAAAGATTCAAGGCTTCAAGATTTTTGGACTCAAGGGCTGCATAGCAAGTACATTGGAAAAGGGACTTTATATTAAAATTCTTGACATCCATATGAATATTATTTTACATGTATTTCAGCATATAATTTACCTAAATCTCCTAAAAGCAAGCTTCTTATGCACAAAATTTAAATATTTCTCATAAATGAGGCCAACTGATTTGCATTTTCGAAGCCCAAAAGAGCGCACCCCAGATCATTACAACCCAAATCTCACATATGACGGCAGAAGTCTCTCAATTCCATCCAGATCAAGAAAGCAGCTTTTTGCAAAAAGTAAAAGATTCGGCCAATATGATTTTGAGTACTCAAAGACTGATCCTTGCGTTGGTCCTGGCTCTTATCTTTCTTCTACAACAAGAAATAGAGTAAAAGGTGTAGTTCAAATAAAGCCTTTAATTGTTATGAGAAATACAATAAGTAACGGATTTACATACGTTGGTAACACATTAGTGTACGACCCTCTCCTCCTCTCAAAAAAACAAAGAAAACTGGACCAATCCTTCCTCAACGACTCAACAAGATCGACAGTCGCATCATTCAAAGCTTTATCCCACAAATCTTCTCCGAGAGACCCTCAAAGTGCTTCTCCTTTAAAAGCATCCCTAAGAAATTATTCTCCCCAAAGAAAAAAGCAAAAAAGCCTAGTAAAAAGCAATTTAAAGACAATAGAAAAAGTGCTGAACGAAATAGAAAAAAAAGAAAGGGTGGAAAGAAGCAAAACGCTGGGATTATTGTAATGCAATATAATTAAAAGGAATTTAATTTTCAAATCAATCTTTTATAAGCATTTATTTTGGCTGCTGCATGAAAGGAGAGTAATAGTAGGGATTTGCAGTGTAAAACTGGTTCATTGCAGGCATGTAGTAGTTTCCAGGCATTCCAGTATTGAACTGCATCGCTTGAGGAGGCATGGCAGGATAATTCATAGTCGGGTTCATTGAAGGATTTTGTGGGAAACCTTGACCACCTGCATTTGTAGTGTTTGGTGGGGCATCGAAAACATCAAACGGGTTTGATGACTGAGGAAAGTCTGGTAAAGCTGCTGGCTTAGGTGCAGGTGGCTTGGATGCTTGATTTGGTATTGAAGGATTTTCAAATAAGTCTCCATGAATTTCTGTTCGAGTTTGCTTAATTTCAGGAGCGGTAAAAATGTTTTGGCTTGCCGGAGGAGGCTGATTTATTGCTTGAGATTTAGGAGCCTGTCTTTTTGGCTCAGGAGGTCTAATACCTATTGGTTTGGGTTTTTGCTCATTAGCTGGAGCTTCTAGAGTTCCCCATTGATCATATTTATGTATTGGCTTCAATTCTTGCTCTCTTGCGTTTTCTCCATCATTTTCATAATAAGGCTCTTCAAAACATTCGTCAAATGGATTGCTTGGGACTGCTTTTGAAGGATTAAATTGAGTTGGCGGGTATTCGTGCTTTTCTTCCTTCTCTGAATACTCAGGAGCTTGTCCGAAATTTTCGTTTCTTTCAAAGCCTCCAGGACCAAATCCTCCATCCTCATTGTTGCTAAAATTATCATCAATATACTTCTTCTCATATCCAAACTCTGCTTGATTTTTTGCTTGCAAGAACATGTGCTCAAAAGATACTGAATCGACCCTAAGATCATATGAGTCGCCTTGCTGGATGACATTTAAATTATGATCCTTTCATACGAACGGATACTGAAGCATCCCTACACTTTTGCTGCTTTGATGCCGAATATCACCATTAACTACAATTTTTCTTTTACCTGAAATCTTTGAGATATAGAGATCAACTTGGATTTGGTCTCCTTCGATTTCAAGTCTCCATGAATGCCTTTTTTTGGAAGATTTGAACCTTTTCCCCACTCCTTGTTTGTCGTAGCTGATCACTTTTACACCTTTTGGCATATTTAATTATTAAGTTTCTGATGGAGTTTGAAATGGTAACTTATATAAAAAATAAGAAAATTTATAAGGAATTAGTAATGAGGAAATGAGAAAGAACCCTGCAAATTTTCAAAAATGAAACTTACGATATAGAAAAATAATGAAATAATTAGTTTTAATGATTAAAAATATAAGATGATAAAATTAAAATTAAATTAAATTACTTACTCCCCCCCCCCTCCGTGAGCGAACAAAACCATTAGAAAAATCGCCATTTTTTGACCAAAAACCCACCTCCGTGAGTGAACAAAAATTTTTTTAATAGAAAAAATTTTAATGGAAAAAAATTTTGATATATAAGTGATAATTAGTATAATGAAATCTAGAGCTAATTCTGTTTAATTTTAAACAAATTGCGTTTTAAAACATAAATTTTGCAAATTAAATTAATATTTGCTTCCCAAATTTTTGCAAATTAGGATTTTTTTAAATTTCGAAAAAAATATTTTTTTTATAAATTTATATATAATTTTTTTTTTTAAAAAAAAAAAAATTAACCCCCCTCCGTGAGTGAACAAAATTTTTTTGTTCGCTCACGGAGGGGGGGGGGGGAGTTAAAGTTTTCCAAATTTGGTGCCTCCTTGCGCTTTTGACTGCCAGACCCTTGCTTACTTGGGGTAGCATCTGTTTGCGAGTTCCATCAACATCAGTCTTTTCCCAGCACTAAATGCTCGCACTATGTCCCTGAGGTTCGAAAGGTTAGGAAACCCCTTCTGTGCTGTATGTCTGGCGCTATGGAGGCAAAGGTTAGCAGATACCTCCTTTTGGCCACCTTGAGTAAGGTGACTCAGAAAAAAAGAAATAACCCGCTGCTCAAAAGCCATCCGGATAGCTATACCTAGTCGAATGGCCACCAGCTGACTCCCAAGGTCACCTACACCATATGGCTGCTGTAGCAAGCTTAGGTTTAAAATCATGCCTAAACCTTGGTTTAGGCCATAAAGCCATTTTGGTGCCTAATATGATGTGATGTCAGCAGGACATATTTTTCGTCACAATATTAATTATATCCAAGATGATAAGGAATTGCAGATTTTATTAATCCGTTTTATTTTTGAGAGAACTTCGTCCGGTAACCATTTTGATTATTTCCGGTGACCTCAATATATCCATAAGCTCAAAATAAAGCTCTTCCTCTCTCAACAAATCTCCAGTCATTCTGCTGACATAAATGCCTGTACAAAGATTAATCAGAGGATCTGGATTTGGCATTTCCGTCATTTGGATGTTATAAGCCCCACCAATGACTACTATCCTCAGCAGCCTTCCGACTAGATAGACGACAGATATATAAAATGTTATGACCGAAAAATTAAATGTCACAGGGCTGTAATTATAAGAAATTACATAAAAATGCATCTGCTCCAAGATAGAGCCTTTAAGGGAATTAACCTGTCAATACCCTCCTCCTCCATCATTGACTAGGGTTAATACTATAGCATCTACACTGCTATAGCACGCCTTGGCGCACACTTCTCCACAGTTATTGGAACTCTGGCAAGCCACCTAAAGGTAATAATTATCTTTAAGTTGACAAATCCTCCCAAAAAGGAAGTGCTTTTGTCAACTTGGTGTTTATTGCCACCTTTAGGTGGCTCGTCAGAGCTCAAAGTACTACGGAGAAGTGATAGTAGTGAAAGACACCATACTCCCATCATATAATCTGTATCTGAAGCAAGTGTAGGGACTAGTGGGGAACCTGAGCTGGGGATTTTTATAACTTGTGAAAAGCAGTTATCACATTGAAAAGTAGAGGCAGTTTGCTTACAAATTATATTATTCATATCAGACACATGCTCAGGGGATAATCTTGTTTTCTCGTTTTTTTGAGAATTTGTTTGGATTTCTGGGTAGTCTCTATTGAAGGAGTAGGTCATCTGTAAGTAATAAGCCTTATTTGTGCTGTTAGAGGCTAAGCCAGAGCATAAAGCAGATTTACTGGATGGTGAAATACTTCAAATATCATCAGGATTTGGGTCCAGAACAACAGATTGCATAAGCTCTCTATCAGAAGCTTGAATTTTCCCGAAGTTGTCGAATTTCATGTTGTTTCATTCTTTTTCTGAAATTTTGCTGATTGATGATACTTGCGACCCTTTAAAGAATTGATAATAATTCCCAATATCGGTTTTAAGCCCAATTTCAATTGTAATTGCTTTTACAGGATTTGTATCAATAATCGGGTTTAAACTGCTGAAAATGATCAAAGGTGCTAAAATGCATAGTAAAATAAATAGCAATATGCAAGCACCCATAAAGGTTTTTTCAACTTTGCTGATTTTTTGTCCAGGCTTTCTTTTCTTTTGGTCTTCTTCATCACATTTATTAATATACAGTCTTGCATAAATATCTTCAAATTTAAACCACTGAAATAAACTTAATGATGTGGTTGTAAAAGTCCAATCAATCAATGTCCTCAGCTCAAAAAGAAACGGCAAACCTCTATAGATTTGGAAGAAAACAAGAGCAGTCATACTACTGCTTTTCATCAATGGAAATGCTCCAGTTCTAAAAATAGGAAGTCCAAGCTGCAGCTGCACAGCTATAATAGTGAAATAGCACATATAAATGATATAGAACCACTGCAATGATGAGTTAATCTGAAAGTTATTGCATCTGGACTCATCAAATAAATGCTCACAGTAAGAAGTGCCAGACATATCAATGTTCCCATTTATTGGAAAATACCAAAAGACGATTAAATGAACTGCAAGGAGGAGAGTTAAGTGCAAAATCAAAGCTGTGACGAGCTGCCAATTCCAGTTGATTTTCTTATGAAATTCTTGAGGTTTTGATTCAAGTTGGGCTGTCTGTGATGTCCTTTCTAAATAAAGATAACGCTCCATCAGCATTACAAAGATATGAAAAATCAGCGCGATAACCATATGCCCAGGAAACTGGTTTGCTCTATATAAAAATTACTGGAATGAGTTTGAAATATTTTGCGAATCTCCACTCATTTTTGAAAAGAAGCAAAAAAGATAAATTAAAATCAAAAACTGAATCAAGATAATTGATGTATACATGTCCTTCCCTGGCTTTTCTTCCTTGCATGAAGGCAAAAGCCGTTGAAATAGTGCTTTAACTCTTCCTGTGCAAGTTAGCTTTGGCCTTGGATTGAATTCAGACCATTCTTCTCTAGAGCTTAAAGCAGAACTCACAATACTTTCTCCTTCTGGATTTCTCATATAAGCTTCTTCAAGAGTTTCTAGCTCAAACTCTGTATATTCATGCAAGCCAACTTTTAAAAGGTAAAATTGGTGTATCAACAAAATAAGCATACACAAAGCATCCCAAAGGACATAATCCACTAAATTATTACTATATGTGTTTTCTGCCAAATTAAACCCTATTTTTCCTGAATCTGTATACCCAGTCAGAAAATTATTTTGAAATATCAATTCTCAAACATTCAGTTGCAGGCTGTACTTAATGAAAAATATTACCTCAGAATATAGCTGCATTATTAGAAAATACTGTGCAGGAGGTCTTGGGTATTCTAATAAAGCATAGCCGCATACTGAAATTGGATAAACCAAAGATTCAAGACTTGCATTGTAAAAGTGATTCAAGAAAAATATCAAATAAACTAACCCTTGTGTGTTGCTAGCAATAATGAATAAAATAATCAAAAAGTAATCTTTCACAGTCAGTGTAAATTCGCTTTGACTATCTTCTTCATTTTCTGGTTCTTTTTCAATGTTTCCAAAAGACAGGCTCTCTTCCATCTGCTCGTCCAGTTCCTCAATTTTTTCTTCTTCACTATTGAACTCAACAAAGGATTCTTTCTTTGGGTGTTTTAGCTTCTCAATGTATTTTCGATATAAAATTGGATTCATCTGTCTAATTAAAAATCTTTGAAATTTAGTCTTAAAGCTGTCTTCTTGAGGTGGAGGAGGTATTTTCAGAGTTTCTTGACGTTGCAGGAGAACAGTGGATTTTCTTGGCCTGAATATTGGGTGCCTGTCGTTTTCGTAAAAAACCCTGTTCCAGCTTTCAACAGTTCTATCAAGTCGCTTAACGCCGTGCTCAAAATGCTGCTGTTTGGTGCGGTAATAGACATTCTTTTTTATTCTGCCATTGTTAAAATGATGAGCCATGCCGATGCCAATGCATTTTGATTTTATTTTTAGCTTGATCCTTTGATCTTCCAAATAATTTTTAAACTCTTGGCTTTGCATGATGCGATAAGCAATTAGCAAGGCTCCGTATGCGTAAATTCTAAAATATACATCATATTGATTGCTGCTTATATCTGAAGGAGGGTTATTTTCTCCAGCGCTTCACAGCTGTACAAGGCCAAGAGCACTTAGCCAATCCTTTAATTCATGTGGATAGTATGATATTGCAGGAATTTGGTACAAAATTTGGCATGTAAACTCGATAGCCATCCACCTAATCAAATAGTTTCTATAGAGTCTTATATAATTGTCAAGAGCTTCCTTGCTTTTTAATACATCATTTGCCCTCCATATAAAAGAAAGACAAACAAAGCAATATACAAGCGAAATAAGTCCAGTGCTTTTGCTAATGAACAGTAAACCCACACACAGTATGATATAATTAAAACTTGAATAAAATTTCTTTTTGAGGCTAAATAAAGTTTTTACAAGCTTTGACTGCTCCCCTTCTGGATTGATTTCAGTTACCTCATCTGCGTCTTCTTTAATTTTCGAAAAATATAAGAAATACACTTGGATTAGCAGCATCAGCAGTATTTCACAGATCAAGTCATAAACTTGGGCATGATTAGTCCCAAGGTTAAGAAACGTAGGATAGTCACTATTAGATCAGCTTATCGTCTTATATCATGGCACATTTAAGTATGTCTGCCCTCCATTGGGAAGCTTTCTAGGAGAATTCGAGTCGTCAAGGTTGCTCAAATAAATGGCATATTGCAGAATAGTCATCGCAACTACTATATAGTTGCAAGATTTTACTCTTTTATTAGTTGATTGCATGCCAATAGTGCAAAGAACTGTGAAAACATAAACAATGCTTACCACTGTAAGCTTTTTGAATGCTATTAATAGCAGAACTGCGGGTATTAAGGACTCAATAATGACTTTTACAAACTTTAGCAGCTCTATATGCATGTTATCATTCGAAGTTGATTCTTGGATTCTTTCTTTGTGGGATTGGACATATTCGATACAATATCTTTCTATTATTAAGGTAATTACAAAGGACACGTACTCATAATTTTCAAGAAGCAGCAAGTTGTTGTCTGGAGATTTGTTAAAGCCCAAAAAAAAATAAAGCCAAATAAGGACGTTGAAATTTTCTGTGTTGAAAAAAGACCTACTTATAAGAAAGCATAAGTATGAAGCTATAAGACACAATATACTCCATATGTAAAGATAATTCCATAGGCTGCATCTATGCTTTATCTCAGCCTCAGCATTTCTTTCTTTTCCTGATATAAATTCCCTTGTTAAAATAATAGCATAGTTCCCAATAGCCACAATATAAAAAAGCATGGATAATGATAATCTTGCATATATTGAAATCAAAGAGGCAATCAAAATCATAAACAATGCGAAATGCTTTCCACAATACACGAGAAATAAAGCAGGGGCATTATTTATCCTTCCTTCATCTTTGTGAATTAATAGTGAAAATGTCCCAATATCATCTTGCACACATGAGTGCAATCTTTTGTAAATTCTAGAAAAAATGACCCCAACTATAGCCCAACCCCTATATAAATTTCTTTTTATCGAACAAAATGTAATGGATGGTTGAAAAACCAAGAAAGACTCTCTAAAAGGGACGGGCTAGATCTCTATATCAAGAAGTGCTAAAAATTGGCATGCAAAAAATGGTTGACAAGTGCGAAAAAGTTGACAAGTAAGCGTGCCAATTTTTAAATGGCTTTATTATTAAATTAATTTTAAATTTAAGATACCCTTTTAGACTGGAGATGGTAAATTAAAATATTATTGTGAGCTATTAAGAACTTCATAAAGAATAATTAGTGTTCAATTATAGAGTAATTGAATCATAAACAAATTAGCATAGCTTATTTAAAATTTACCATTCCACAAAAAGGAACACTATTGATAGGTTTTAAGTTTAAATCCATTTTAATTTGCTAAAGAACATCGAACTTTATATTATGAGCCATTAAGAACTTTATAAAGAACAATGACAAACTATGCCTTTTATAGAGCATTTAATCATAAATAAATTGGCATTGCTTATTTAAAAATCTACTTAATTTAAAAGAAAAGCAAAAGAAAGTAAGATATTAATTAATTCCAGTCTAAATGGTATCTTTAAATAAAAAGCCATTTAAAAATTGGCGCGTTTGCTTGTCAACTTTTTCACACTTGCCAACCATTTTTGCCACTTTTACACTTCCTGCTATAGAGATCTAGCTTGTCCCTTTGAGAGAGTCTATTTTGGTTTTTCAACTGTCTATTGCATTTTATTCGATAAAGAAATCTGTATAGTGGTATTAGCTATACAACAAATAAGCAATCACTTATCATACTTTGGTATAAATGAGTAGGACTGTACACTTGAATCCCCAGAATTTTCGATTCCCAGTAAGTAACATTGCTAAAGAACTCCATAAATTGAAATAAATATCTAAAAACCAGCAAAAATCCACTGTAGTAATTAAAGAGAAACCATCATCCATGAACTCTGGCTAAGTTTTGAGAAATAGTTTTTGATTTGTCTAATAAAAGCATGCACAAATAAATGCACATCAAAGTAAATCTAAAAAAATTAAAAACATTCAAATCAGATAGGAAAATGATGAGGAAAATTATTGAAAATGCTATGTATGTGTACAAATAGTTAACCCATTGGTTCAAAACCGATCCAACCCGAGTAATTATGGAGCTTCTATAGCTAGATGATCCAAAATTAAAATTTTTAATAAAGGCCCTATAAGCATTTAGCTGCATAGCAGCTGATAAAAGTAGTAGTCATTCTAAATAATTATCAGGGAAAAATCCAAGTACTATATCTTTTGATGTGGGTAGTCCTATAATTTTGACAGAAAGCCAATTAAAATTAAAATTGCCAGATGCCATAATAAGGATTCAAATATACTTGACCAATAAAACAAGTTCTGTATATGCCACTAAATAAATCCAATATTTTTTGGAAATGGCTGAATTTAATATGAAAACCAAAAAGAAAAGCATATATCCCAAGTGCACAATGTTTATTGCTGATAGTCCAATCACAAAAAGGACACATAGAGAAAATTTATTGGAGTTTTCTAGAAGTATTGATAGAGAAAGTCCAAGTGCTGTCACTTTTCTGCTGCTTCGCTCAAGCCCTTTTTTTCTGTCTGTCTCATATTTAATAACAATAAGCATAATAAATATAGTAAACAGTTGAAATGCAACATCAAGGGGCCCACTAATTTTATGTCCTCCAAAAGCTTGATTAAGATTTATACCGATGATATTAACAATAAAGAATGTCAATAAATCGCATGATAAAATTGGTATAAGTGTAAAGCGAGTCACTTTGATAACTCTGCTGACGTCAAAATCAATCACAGAATAAAAAAGCCATAATAGCAAGCATATTCCTATCCAGCTCATAAAATAAAAAGCCCATATAAATATAGAAAGTCTTCCAATTGTATAAAGGGCGTTAAATGAGATATAGTATCTATAAGTCGATCTTTTTTCTTTATGGACAATGGGCTCTTCTAAATACTCAATGTTATTAGACTCCTTTACTTCGCAGTCACCTTCAACTGTATTTTGCATGCTCTCTGATGAATCATACCCAGATGATTGATATGTGATATGCAAGCGCCTGCAATAAGTGCTATAAAAAAATAGCAAGAGCATAAAAATAAAATTCATGGCATCTCGAATCTCGAAGCTTAAAATTCCAATTTTTTGGGCAATTTTCATAGATAGGTAGTCATTTATTAAAAAATGATACCAATACATACATAAAAACTGGATTAAAGATATACATGATAGAATGAAACTTCCCGATTTAAAGCCGATTAGTGATATATCTAAGCGCCAGGTTAAGCTTCAACTTAAAGCGATCAATAGATACCCAAAATTCATTATTGTAAATGATGATACAGATATCAAGCAGAGTATAAAAAAGCAGAGCAGTTTTTTAAAAGAAATGTGAAAGCTAGTCTCTTCGTGTCTCTTTTTCACTTTCAGATAAACTCAGCTCAGTGCTGATGCTATATTAACCAAGATATCAGGCAAAATAGTATGAGCAATATCATTTGTTTTATTTTCTCCATTGCTCAGAAATACTCCTAATAATTTCATAGCTCATCCCTCATTATCTACAAAGTTCCCAGGTCCAGCAAAATAAAAGATACAAATCATCACAAACTTGTAAACAAAAAGAATCAAAGAAGTGCAAAATAATAATTTGAATACTTGTAGGTGAGGAATTAATTTATGGGTGATATCCCATCAAATAAATACTACAAAGGCTAGATATATCCCAGATAGCACTGACGGCATCCATAGTGAGCATAGGAGAATAATAGTGCTGAGGAACTCAATAATCATATTAATTTTGTTAATTAAATTTAATAATGAATATTTCTGTCACTTTTTTACTTGCAGTATTTCTGACAGTGAACGCTGATTTTATAAACCCAGAAGAAGTTCACTTATAGAGGTTTCCTCTATATAGCGCTGAAAGCACAGACATTTTCCCAGGAGCCTTCCAAGTTCGTCGGACCGAATCGCTTTTTGGTCCGACCAAGGCATTGATTGGTGCAACCAACCGATAAATTCCGATCAGAATTTATCGGCCTTACAGCGCCAAACATAGGAAACTTCTATATCTTGGACTGAAAATCCCGGCGAGATCAGAATTACATGGGCGACCAAGCTCCCATCCAAGTCCTACGCTACTTTTCGGCCACTGCTCTGCGACAGTGTAGTGAATCCTTCAGTTTGAAATCAATCAAGAAGCAACGATACGAAATTTATTTATGGGTCTCCTGAAAAATACAACCATCAGTTTATTCATACAGCGACCATTTCAAACTTAAATCCTAATTGCTTTTATGAATATTATGTTGGATGCAATTGGGTAGTCAGCGAAAAATTTGTTTTTTCAGGTAGAACCCCGGTGCTTAGCTCGACAGCAAATGACGCGCAGGCTTTTAAAGCTTTGATATTTGGAAACTGGGGATATGGGATATCTGGACAGTATAGTGTCTGCACCTCATTGCACACCTTTGCACAATATTCTTCTCTGAAACTCGGAGTATTGGCGAGTCTCCTTGGGGTGGTAAATCAATCCCAAGCTGGCACATCCTGCCATAAGTATATTCTTTTGTCAGCTTGGTGTTGGCTTGCCACCTTAAGGTGACTCGTCAACTATCCAAATTGCGAAGAATAAGATTGCATCAAAGTATGCAATTAGTGCGCAGACACTATATACTTCTTACCTGATGAGCCGAGAAAGCCAAATAAGGGATTTTGACGCGGTGTTTCATTTAGGCAATATTGCTTACTCACTTGATTCACACAATGGAGAGACAGGGGACGACTTCTTTAGCATGATTCAGCCAATAGCTTCTAGCTATCCTTATATGACAATTCCAGGAACTCAAGAAGACTTGGCAAACTACACACAGTATCATATGAGATTTCTTATGCCGAAAAATAATGATAATAAGGGAACCGGATTCTTTTATTCGTTAAATATAGGCCCTGTGCACTTTGCCATGATTAATTCAGAGCTATATTTCAATAAAACTCCTGCATCATTAGCATTAGAACAGACGAACTGGCTTAGAAGTGATTTAACGTCAGCAAATCAGCAAAGAACTGCAAGGCCTTGGATAGTGATATTAATGCATCGTCCTCTTTATTGTGCATCTAACTTGTCACTGACACGACACACAATTTGTGGAAGCGAAGCCACAGTTCTTAAAGAATCTTTGGAAGAAATTATTTATGACAATTCAGTGGATTTGGTAATTTCAGCACACTTGAATGGCTATGAAAGAAGTGCTGCAATATATAAAGGAGAGGTCTTAAAAGGAGCAAATAGTACCGCAAATTATTATACAGACCCAGCTGCCCCTGTTTATATAGTTAGTGGAGCTGCTGGCAATTCAGAAGGCTTGGATCCGCTATATCAAAGTGTTTCAGTCCCTGAAACGACTGAATTCGTTGGCTCAACGTATGGCTATGGAAGAATTTATGCATATAACACTACTCACTTGTACTGGGAACAATACAATGCTGCAAACTTAACCCAGGTAGATTATCTCTGGATAAGCAAGTCTCAAGCAAGATATTAAATGCTAAAGCGTTAAATTGACTTAAAATAGCTAGTTAAACACATCGCTAATCAGTGATGATTTTTGTTTTTTCATTAATAAAGGTCGGTTAGGCTTCGTGACTGAAACTTTTTTGGTTCCAGCCAACCGATCAATGAAATTTTTATCCACAGCCGACTTGGTTCTTGTAACTGTTTTATTTTTAGAGCAAATAGTTTTTGTTGCATAGGTAGGTGTCTTCTTGTTAAAAGGGGAGATGCTCTTTTTGTTGGATTCTTGAGTGCCTAGATGGGACTTTGACTTAGTGTTACTTAACGATCTCCTCTTTTTTGTGGGTTTACAATTTTCTGTAAAATTTGTTCTTTCTGTCAAAATTTCATTTGGGGCGTCTCCGTCAGCTTCCAAAACGTTTTTGAGATTGGAGATCTTTGAAGATGATTTTTTTCTATGGGATGGCTTGTTTTCTCGCTCTAGTTTGACTTCCATAAGCCTAGAACAGAGGTCATGGTACTCGAAATGAACTCCGTATTTGTCCTCAACTGTAGGCTGAGGGTGCTCTCCGAGAATTTGTTTATATAGACCATTATCACCTAACATTTTAAATTATAACGTCATTAAATTGCAAAAATTAAATTACAGTTGCTTATTTGAGGATCTTTTCATTATTACGGGGCGGACTGGCATTTTGACAGATTTAACACAAAAATTTGGAAGGACTTGATTTGTTGTTTCCTTAGCAAAATGAAGGGTTCGGTTTGCTTTAGGCCTTGACAAGTGCTTTACAACGGTCCTAATATTTCGGTCAGGAAGGCTCTGCAACTTTGCTACAGCAGATTTATTGCAATCGACAATAAAATTTGGTCCTAAATTTCCATTTCTACTTGTAGAAATGCTTCTTTTTCTGGTTTCTATTTCGTTTTTTCTCTCAATGTGCGTCCTGGATCTTGAAGCACTCATAAAAGGCTTAAAAAACCTCGATCTATACGTTTTATTATTAAAATTTTCAAAGGAGGTCGAATTGATAATTTTTGGCGAGATTGAAGTTTGAAAATATGTAAAAGTTGTGAAGCAAGCTCCTATATCAGAAGCTGACACAAAACTTTTAAGCTGACTGGGCTCATCTTGAAGGTATATTGGATTTTGAGGGATAGGAATTTTGAATTTAAATGGTTCGTCTTCTATTAAGCAAATCGATGAATTTCTGCTATAAATTGAGGCACTTTCTGATTCACTATCGCCGCTGTCACTTCCTGAAGTGTCATTTGAGCCTTCATCTTCTAAGCCTTCATTTTTCTGAGCTCTTTCTATTTCCTCTAAACTGAAATATTTTGATAATGAAGTATCAATAGGAAATTCATCGAAAACTTGATTCCATTCATTCTCGCTTATTTCTCTTTCATGCTTAGGCTTTATAGAGTTTTTCCTTTTATTTAGCTTCTGCTGTCCTTCTTTTGTGCTCGGTCTTCTTGAATTTATTGCGAATTTGGCTTTTTCTTTCATTTCTTGCATTTTTACCTCTCTTTTTTCTTCTTCAAGTTTTTTTTGTAGCAGCTCTTGAGCAGGAGTTCCTGAAATTTCTTTCATTTTGGACGGTTTAAGCCATCCATGAGTATGGAGAAGCTCAATTTCGAGATTTCTTAACAAATATGTATATTCAAGCAAGCCTTGCCCAAAACTTACACCAAGCTTAAATAGCTCGCATTCATCATAGGGCTTGATTTCTTCTCCATGCTCGTAGCCATAAAAGCTTGTTTCTAGCGTAAAACTGTTTGTAATTCTCAATTCTTTCCATACAACGACTCGCCCGGTCCCCATTTTATCTGCACTGACACTAAATCTGCAATCTTTATATGAAAACAAAGGCGTAACTTTGGCTAAAACCCTTGGAAATAGCCTTACTTTAGTCCAAGAAGCAAATCCACCATCAGCAGCTGTATTACAACCATAAATAAATGAATTTTTTTTCTTTGCGTGTGCATGCAAATCACAAAAAATCGTCACTTCTCGTTTTGCTGCTAACTTTTTCATCATCATTTTTGTATGATAAATGCAAGGGTGAAGTTCCATGTTTGGATTTATTCATTGTCTATTTAAATCATCTCCACTCAAAGATGTTCTATAATTGCCACATACAACTCCGTCTGGATTTAGCATAGGGATAATTTTGAAGATATATACATTTCTAAGTGCAATGGCCTGCTTGCTATTATCTAGCTCTCCTTCGTGAGCGTACAAAATTTTGGCTCGCCACAGATGAAATTATTTTTAAAAAATTTATATTATAATTTTTTATCCTTAAATTATAAAAAAAACTTAACTTAAAAGCTATGCTTTAAAGCATTGATTAAATCTATATCAAAATATAAAACTCTTTTTTCTTGAAAATGCTAGGATTTTTAAAATATTTGGCTCGCTAACAGAGGTCGAATGCAAGAGAAAACTGATAATACTTTCCATTACAAAAGAGCCTGTAGTTTCTCCTGCATGGACTCTAGCAGTTATGACTGCTCCTTTTCTTTTATAGAAAGGGATTCCAGAGTGCTTATCAGCTGTGATAGTAAGCGCATATAATGGAAGTCCGCCAAGAGAATTACACAAAAGCTCTCTTCTATAATGAAGCTTATTTTTGTCTATTCTTATTGGGACATCTTCTACGATGCCTAATTTTTGTTCAGTTTGAGCAATAAAATTTTGCAGCCTTGAGAAAGTATAAGGCCTTGAAAAAGCGAAAGTAACTTTATCATTATAATGCTCAAACTGAAAGGTAAAGCTCAGCATATAATATTTTTTCCCCGACTCCGATTCATATCTATGATATTGCGCATTTTTAATCTCCCTCCATTCATTTTCATAAGTGGAAAATGACAATGGCTTCATTCCTCTTTGAAATAAGCTGCTTCCTTTACTAAAATTCAAAATATTGATTTTTATGCATCCAATTATATCATTTTTCACCTCAAAATAAAACCACTGGGAGTGTCCTTTCGAATTAGTATCAGTTTTCATAAGTAAATCAAATTCGGCTGAGGATTTTTGGAAAACACTTTCCAGGTTCCCACACTCTATATAGGAATTGAAATGGAAAAGTGACGATGGGTTCTTTTTAGGAGTTTCTATAGATGAGGATATAAGTGATTGCAAAAATGATGGCATCTCACTAGTGGAGTCAGGCTGTGGAAATGAATATATCAAGGTTGAAGGATTCACTGGGAAATGAGCTCCATAACTGACTTTAAACGACAGTGGAGGCGGAGTTTTTAACTTCCATCTAAATAAAGGTTACTGTGGCTTTGGGAGTTCGGAATATTTGCCAGATTCTGGAAGAGGAATGGGGGCAGGAATATTATAGTCATACATCTTTATACGTTGTTATGAAGACAAAAAAATTATTTATAAATTAGATTGTTAGCCTTTTTGGAAATAGCTTTTACTAAATGACTAAAAGGTTAGCTAGAGCTGTGGGATGAAGAAACTTGGCTTTAGTCTAATATATTTAAATTGGGCCTTTGTTGGCCTTTAAATATAATTCTGGGCTAAAGTGAAGAATCGGCTTGGAAATTCAGGGTCAAAGATACACTAATAAATCATTAGAAATATAATATTATTTTGTTGTTAAAAGAAAAAGTTTCAGTATATATCTGATAAAACACCATATTACGCAAGTATAGTTCAAATAAAAGATTTGGCAAAAATTGGAAAAGAATGAAAATTGTACATAATGTCTTTAACAGTAATTGGATTATCTTATGGGATTTATAAATTTTGTAAAAGATTAGAATTAATATTATTATACATTTATACTTTATATTAGGATAAATTAGATTGATTATATCTAATTAAAATTCTGTATAAAAATGATATATTAAATAATTTGTGAAGGGTCAAATGTGATAAAAGTGTTATAAAAATTAGTTAGTTATTAAACGATTTAAATGTTAACTGCTCGAATTGTTAATTATCACTTTTAATAAAATTCAAAATTTCTTTAATTTGAAAAAAGGATGTATTATTGAATGTTATATAAAGAAAGAACATAAAATACAAATTAAAGCTTAGATTGGAATATATCTTTTCATTTTAATATTTGTTTGAAGTTTATAAACTTAATGCGAGTTAATATATATGTTGAAAAGTTCAATGCAGCTTTATGAAAGAAAATTTCATATGGTCTAAATTTGATAATAATTAAGAATAAAATAGATAGAGCAGTAGAAATGAATAAAAACATTATATTAGGCTATTAAAACAGTGTGTTTGCCAATGTTTAAAAAATGAAAGTTGAGCTTTAAGGCAGATAGCTTAAATACGATAGAAAATTATACAGAGAGCAGCAATGTAATAAATAATAAACGAAATTATTAAAGATAAATGGTGTTTACACAAAATCAATATATATAAAAAAAATAAAAAAAACAAAATTTGACAAAATTAAAGTATTGATAAGCTAAACGGAAAAAAGGTAAATAATTAAGAAAAACACGGTAAAATTAAAATTGGCATATTAATTGAAATATAAACTATAAAAAATCTCAACTCAGGAATTTCCAAGCCTATTTTTTTTTCTCCATAAAAATATTAAGATAATTTGGTGCTTTTAGGATATCAATAGAATTGATAGATAAATAAACAGCAGAAATTAGTTAAATCTGTTTAACAATATATATTAGGAAAAGCTCCACTTAGATAATGAATGCGATTTAAATTTTAGTAAAAGTGCTATGATTGTTTAATAAGCTAATGTTTAACAAGGCTAAAAGGGGTTATTGAGATTTCCTTCAGAGCGCTTATTATATTATGCATCTTCTGATAACAAAGATTAGGTTTAAGATTTTGTAAGTTAGTATTATTACAGAATTCTCGGTAATTCGACCGATGCGGAATATATTCTGCTGCATGGTTATTTAGACAAATAATCTGTCAAGATATATTTAGTATTCCAGAATTTTAACCTACTAGCTTTACCAAGTTTCTGTAAGAAATTAGTGCTGCTGGGTATTTCATATAGTACTTGGCTCCTTTAATGGTTGATTGCTATATTTACATTAGTTGCTCTTATCAATACTACACTTGTTATATTAGTATAAAATGCAATAATTAATACATTGGATTTAATACACTTTCCAATTGAAATTAATATACTTTGGGCCATATTTAGGCTTACTCATCCTTGCTATTTCATTCCATAACTAGTCTTCCAAGTATCTGCAAGATTTTACAAGCATTTCTAATTCTTAAATTTCTATTGTAGAAGATGTGTATATTCAACCTAAAAACGTATATGCTTCGCTTATGCTATTTTTAGATAGGAAAATATATTTTAAAAGGCTTATTATCTTCTCGTAATTTAGATATTTATTTATTTTATACAAAATAGACAAACTAAATAAATTTAAATAGGGGTCTTTATTTAATTAAATAAATTATGCCTGGCAGACAAAATCTACAAGTTTTATTGTTGAAGAAGATGAATTACTGACTGACGAAGAAATATTAGCTGAAGACTGAAGACTAACTCAACTGATTGCTGAAACTACTAGAATTGAATCAACATTGCAATGATGTGCAAGGCATCGCCTAATTGCCAACCGAATGATATGTGAAAACTGTGATGATTTTGGTACTTTAAATAGACTCAGCAGAAGGTAAGATTTTTATGAATGAAGATGCAGTCATTGTAATCGCTCACATACAATTCGCAGTAAATCAAATTTTTGAAAGCAGTAATCTTTCACTGCAGCAAATCCTGCTAATCATCTATTTTTGGTCCAATAACTATCTGCAACAAACTACTGTTCATGAACTTAATGTTTCTAATCACACTATAATCGAATGATTCAGTCTTTTAAGAGAACTTTGTGAAGAAAGCGTTACTCAATTTAATGAAGAACTTGGGGGAATTGATTATATGAACAATCCTATAACAGTTGAAATAGATGAGTCTTACTTCTTCCATAGAAAATATCATAGAGGGAGATTTACAGGAGGGCAATGAGTATTTGGGGCGATTGAGCGTGGTTCAAACAAATGCCTACTAAAACAAGTTCCAGATAGAACTCGTGAAACACTGGAAGAATTAATTAACAAGTGAATACTTCCTGGAACAAATATTATCAGTGACGGCTGACCAGCTTATGCAAGAATCGACGAAATTAACGGAGGAGTCTATAGCCATGAGATAGTTATCCATCAAGAATGTTTTGTTGATCCAGTTGACCCAAGCATCCACACTCAACACATTGAAAGCCACTTGAACTCATGTGAAAAGAAAGCTCAAATATCAATTTGGAACGCAGCGAGAATTTTTTCCATCATATTTAGCAGAATATATGTGGCGCCACTCTATTTTGAATAGGAGTCCTTTTGAAAATATGCTTTTATGTATTTCTCAATACTATCCAATTTAGACAATTAAAATAATTAGAAACTTAAGCATATGTTTCTTTTAAGGTATTTATTTGTGGTCTTATATAAGACTTATATTTTATTTTTCTGAGTTTAATTTCTCTTATTAAATTAAAGTATTCAATTGCATAATTTAACTAGATTATAATTTTTAGGTGGATTCTTCAAAATTTGGTGAGGAAAAAATTAAATTTATTTGGCCTGAAGCTTCATATGATAATCTTATTTAATCAAAGTTATTTAATTCTAAATCTTCTCTTCTTGCAATTTTATATGCCTAATTAATTTTGTTAATATTTGAATTTATTATATAAAATGCATTTCTATCTATCATATAAAATGCATTTCTATCAGGCCACAATTTTTTATTCTATATATAATCGTGTTATTAATTAATTAATTAATTAAAAATCGTTCGCCTTGCGGCATGGGTCGAGGATTTGCACATCTACATGCTCATCGCCTACGGGGAGGTCCCGGCAGACATCCATCCACTCCGCCTCTGAGTGGGGTTGCACCTACTGAATCGGGCTTCTGGCTCCAAAGTCCTAAGGGCAAGCGCTCTGGGCCACAACTCCCATTATCGTGTTGAGCACATGCCGTCTCTGGCCAGGTGAGGTCATCGCCATCTCCATGGGCTCAGCTAACCATGCCCTTTCCAAGCGCCTTCAGAGGAAAAACCCATGTCCCAAGGATTAGCTCCTGGGACACGAGCAAAACCCAGTTGATACACACCAAGGACTACCCTACTATTTCTCAGCTTGGTTTCCCCACCTGGGTGTTCCCTGCAGGTGTTGAGAAAATTGCGCCAAGAGGTCTGGTCGGCTGCACCACCATCATATTCATGTGTATTATATGATCGTGTTAGAAATTTGGTTTGCAGTATTAAATTCAATACATTTATTATTACATTGATTTTATTTATATATAAAATACAAATTTTTAAACTGTCATCATACTGAGTATTGATATTAGAACGTTACATCTGTATTTGGTGCGATTTGAGATATTAAAAATAAATTTCAGCTATATCTTCTATTATAAAATGCTCTTTATTCTCTGAAAACCGTTGCTAAAAAAATTAAATTTTTCCACTTGACAAACATTCTTAATCGTTTTTAGATTAAGATATTATCAGAGTTCTACTGTAAAACTAGATGCAAATAATATGCTTTACAATTTATCATATATTTATATAGCTAATAACTCTTCAATAATTTCCAAGCCTATTCTTTTTGGTTACAAATTTTTTAAATTTTTGATATTCCAATTACTTTAATTAAGGTATATTATTAAATTAAACATATAAATATATTCTTATTACAACAAAAATAATATTATATTTCTAATGATCTATTAGTGTATCTTTGACCCTGAATTTCCAAGCTGATTCTTCACTTTAGCCTAATTCTGTTATGCTTTTGCAAAGAATATACTTGAAGATAGAAAAATAATCCTGGAGATATTTTAAGTTAAATGAAAACGGCTTGCTTTTATTTAATAGTCATTTTATTAATTAAAATATATAGCCCATAACAGCTTTTAGCTCGCCTGGGCTAGCGACTTTTCATCCAGCTCGTGGAGTTGAGTTGAATTAAATGTTGCCTAACCAACTTCCTAAGTTTATAAGTGTGCATGTACTTGCCATTTGTCAACTCTTGGAGTTAATTTGACAATTTTTTGATCCCTAAAGTTGAATAAAAGTTGCTAGCAGTGCAAGCAAAAAGCTATCCAGGGCTAGTGAATAATTAAGAAAGCCATTTAATAGAAAAATAGAATTTCTGGGTGTTTTAAGTATTAGATTATTCTGCTTTAGCTTCTTCTTTATGCTGCTTGCGAGCAAGTGGTCCGAAGAATGCATATTTTTCTTCTGATGTTTGCCATCGGCCATGTCCAAACTTGCTGCTTGTATCAATAAATTTAAGGGAGATTTGTTCTGCAGCAGCTCTTGAAACGTTAGTAATCAGAGATTTTCTAAGAGTGATGACTCTCTTTCTTGTTCCGATAATGGCTCCTTTTACCATTAAAAAGTCGTTCTTGACAACTCCGTAGTGAGCGAATCCTCCCATTGGAGTGATTTTCTTTTCTGTAATGTCTTGATCAGTGCTGCCATTCTTTGGGTCTTCTGCTTTTCCAATTCTGTAAATCTTTTTATTGATTTCAGTTCTATGGTGATATCCTCTTTGACCAGCTCTTGGGACAGCGAAGTTGACTCTTGATGGATGCCAAGGCCCAATACAAGCAATTTTTCGCCTACCTCTGTGAGTTTTTCTTTGTAGAAGTTTGACTCCCCATCTTCTTACGACTCCACTGAAGCCTTTGCCTTTGCAAACTCCAATAGTGTCAATCATTTCGTTTGGCTGGAAAACTTCACTGACAGCTACCTTTTGTTCGAATTTAGCATAAGCCCAGTCTACTTTCTCAGCAATATTGCTACCACCGTTTACTTGAATTTCCATGATGTGAGCTTTCTTTTGTGAGAATCCGACAAGCTGAGTTTGTGTGTGAGCGATGACTCTAACAACAGAGCAATACTTCTTTATTCTGTCTAAGGCTCTTTTGATTTCTGTGCCAGACTCATACTTTGCTGCATATTTTACTTACTTACTTAATTATCTGGTGTTTAAGGTGTCTAGTGCCGCAGCCCAAAATGGACCTATGGCAAAACTAATGACGTAGGCGAGCCATCTTGGTACAGGTCAGCCCTGGCCAAGCCTTCTATCAACTCCTGCTACACCAGCCTTGCTGCACGTCTCACCGGCGCGATGCCGTCGCCCTTGTCTAGACTCAGCTCCTGCGCGTGTTCCGCCTGAGGGTCATCTTCCCTTGGAGATGTGCTGAGAGGTAAAAGCCCGAAATCTTGAGAGGACTGAGGAGCAGTTCCTCTGGTCATCCCCAGAGTTAAACCGCTATTGCTGTCCAGAAGTTCTCGAGTGAAAACCTAACCCCATAAATAAAATTCCATGAGGGAGAGAAAATTAGCAAAGCTAATTTCTCTCGAACCGAATGCCATTTTATTTATGCTGCATATTTTACAAAAGCGCGTTTCTTTGATTTGACCCAGTTTCTGTAAAATCTTCTCTTGCATTCTTCGCTAAGGTGCTGAGCCCAGACAGTGGTAAGAGCTTTGAGACCTCTAGGTGTTTCAATGTAGCCAACAAGCCCTACAATTACCATAGGAGGGGTTTCTACAATGGTGACAGCTTCAATGACTTCTTTTTGGTGAAGTTTGGAGCCTGGCTTATTGACCTCACGAAGTATGTGTGTCATTCCTGCTTTGTAGCCAATAAAAGCTGTGAGGTGAGGAGCCTTGCTAGGGTCATCCTTAGGGAAGCTACGCACTCTACCTCTATGATGCTTCGCTCTTTTTCTTGGAAGGAAGCCTAGAGACCCATGTCTTGGACGCTCAAATTTGCGGTGTGACATTTATTTTTAACCATAAGGAGATATGTCTGAAATATGAAGCATAAAGTTATTAATAAAATCTCGAAAACTTAATCAAATCCTAGCAGAAAAATTGAGCGTAAAGCTTTATATGAGAGTGCTTTATTATTTTTTTCTCCAATTGAAGTTTTTGGCGCTTAGGAATAAAAAACCAATAAATTTTCCCAATAAGAATTCGCTTTTTCGATTTTGTAACTTTTTATAAATCAATATTAAGTAGATGTAGTAGGCTGAATCACAGATAAATAATAATTCTTAATTGCCATATTAAGCAGTTATGTTCAAGAATACTTTCCAGTCTGGCTTTCTCTCAATTCTCTACAGCATAGGCAGTAAACCGCTCCAAATCTGGGACAAAAGTGTAAGAAATGGTCACATTAAAAGAATCACTGACCAAGATATTCAAAGTTCAGTACTCGAAATAATGGGCACAAACGTAAGCACCACATTCATAACTTGTCCAGCAGACCCAAACCAAACTCTCGGAATAAAGCTCCCGTTTCTCGTCATGATTATTAAAAATCTCAAAAAATATTTCACATTCGAAGTGCAAGTTCTGGACGATAAAAACATTAGAAGACGATTTCGAGCTTCAAACTATCAGAGTACAACCAGAGTGAAGCCTTTTATTTGTACGATGCCTATGAGACTGGATGAAGGGTGGAACCAAATCCAATTCAACCTGTCTGATTTCACGAGAAGAGCGTACGGTACAAACTATATTGAAACTTTGAGAGTACAGATTCAGGGTGCAGGTCCAATGATATTGCCTTTTTATTAGTGTCCTTTCACCGAATTATTTTTGGCCGAAAATTGGTTGAAATTTTTTGATAGTGAGGCATTTGACCGAAAAAAAGCGTTAATTTTCGACCAAATGCTACACTATCAAAAGTGAAATGTATACTGTCAAAAATCCACTGTCATTTGACATGGAGCCACAGATTCATGCTAATTGCAGAATGAGAAGAATTTACTTCTCTGACAGATTGTACTCTGAAGAAGAACTGCCACCTGAGTTCAAGCTATTTTTGCCTCTTCAAAAGCAGGCTTAATTTAATGAAGCTTCGATATCATTCTCAGTCTAGGATTTAAACTAAGAATATTCTAACAAAACTAAATTCAAAATGGCCGAGCGCCTTCAGGAGTCTATACACCTCGCTTCTGGGAATGCTATTACCAATAATGCAAACATTGAAGAAATTTTTAAGTGCTTTATATGTCTTGGCAAAGTGGTCGATGCAAAATTATGTCCATCATGCTCGAAGCCTTGCTGCAACCATTGCATTACAAGATGGCTGACAGAACAAAGACCGCAGTGCCCTCATTGCCGAGCTCCTTTAAGACTTCAAAACCTAGTTAATGGCCGCATAGTTTCAGAATTATCACAAGCTTTAGAATCTCTCCAAATATCAAAGCCAGAACCAATTGAAAAATGCTCAACACACTCCTTATCACTTAATTATTACTGCATGACCTGCTTTAAAGCCATTTGCTCAGACTGTGCGATGTTCGGAGCTGAGCATAAAGGCCATGAATTTCAGCATTTATCCACGATCCATGAAAAACACGTCAAAAGTATAAAGCACAAATCATCAGCCCTCAGAAAAAGAATTGCTGAGTTGGGCTCAATACTGCGTGAAATTGATATAAATATCGAGAAGGTTAAGAAAAGCAAAGAAGAAAAAAGCAAAGAATTAATTTCAACTGCTGAAAAAATGCAGGAAAGACTAGAAGCGCAGGTTAAAAACAAATTGCAAATCCTGCATGAGCAAAAAGAAGCTATAAGTGAAGAAATTGATAATTTAGAAAATATGCATATTGACATTAATAAGCAGCTGAGCCAGGATGGGAAAAGCAAGCTGATAGCGAAAACTCCTGAGTTGATTAAGATGCTGAAAGAATTAAATCAGAAGCCTTTATCTAGATACAACAAAGTTGCTGTTTCTACTGATATACAGTCAGAAATAACCCCGAGCTATGATTCAGGGACTTTTGAAATTAAAAATTATTCAACGCTGCGGGCAACTACTGAAGTGATTTATTCTGATACTTTGCAGACTGGTGGGATCACTTGGAGACTTAAAGTTTACCCGAATGGGAATGGGGTAGCGAGAGACAGCTATCTCTCTGTATTTTTAGAAATGATGAAAGGACTTCAAAACTCTTCGAAGTATGAGTACCGAGTCGAAATGGTCAACCATTTAAGCTCAAACCTATGTGTTGTTAGAGAATTTACTTCAGAATTTGAATCTGGAGAATGCTGGGGCTATAACCGCTTCTTTAAAATTGAATTGCTCAAAGAAGAAGGTTATTTAAGTGAAGAAGATACTATATCACTGACTCCCCCCCCTTTAAATTGGAACAAAATATAGGTAAAATTTCCACTTTTTTGGTAAATTAACCCCCCTTTAAATTGGAACAAAATTTAATTTTATAATAAAAAATTTTATTTATATAAATCATAATTTTTATGTAAAAAGTTTTGATATAATTTAAATGTTTCTTCTTAACTAAAATTAGAAGTTTAGTTATATCCTGCTCTTGTTTAAAGAATAGAGTATAAGAGCATCTTATTTAAATAAATTTATTATGCTTAATTGTAAATTTTTAAAAAAATTTCCAAAACAATTTTATTTTTTTTGATAAAAATGATATTTTTTTATTTAAATAGCTTTGATATAAATTCAATACGAATTCTTTACAAAAATTCAAAATTTACTTATCTCTTGCTTTATTTTAAAGAATAGAGTATAAATAACATCTTATTTAAACAAAATTAGCACTTTGATTAATAAATTTTCTAAAATTTTTTTTTAATTTTTTTTTTATCAATAAATATAATAATTTTTGTGTAAATAGTTTTGATACCAATTAATAGTGGCGTATTAATTAATAATAAAATTTTAGTTATATCTTGCTTTGTTTTAAAGGATAAAGAGTAAATAGCATTTATTAAACAAAAATTATTAATCTAATTCGATAAATTTTTTGAAATTTTTTTTTTTATAAATTTTATATATAAATTTTTTTTTTATATAAAAATTTTATAATGATTTTTTTTTTAAAAAAATGTTCTTAACCCCCCTTTAAAATTGGAACAAAATTTTTAGTTCCAATTTAAAGGGGGGGGGGAGTGAGATATTACATAAGGCCGCCTACTTATTTTCAGAAATGCAGAGACCAAAAGCAATATATAAAATATTTAGAAGCAAGCCGAAATCAATTATTACTCCAGCTTAAAGAGTACCAAGAAAAATCAGAAAAAAAAGAAAGCGAAGATGTCTCAGTCTTCGACTCAAATGAAAATCCGCTTGAAAAAATTGAAGAAGAGACCAAAGAAAGACCAGCCATTGAAGAAGCCTCAAAAGAAGAATCCTACAAAGAAGAGTCAGATGACAGTTTCGATAAGGTTTTGCAAAAGCAAATAGAAATCCAAACGAAAATAAAAGAGGATCTTAAAAGCAGAGAAGAAGAGATTTCAAAAGAGCAGTCAGCAAATTCTGCCCATGAATTATAGAATTTTCCCATAGATGGCGCTGTTTGCCCTTGATTTGCCCACTGGGAAAATTTTTTGGTTTGACCAAACCATATGGTACTGGTCGAACCAAAAAATTTTCCCAGTGGGCAAATCAAGGGCAAACAGCGCCATCTATGGGAAAATTCTATAAGCACCGTTTTGCAAAGATACATGATGACGCCTGAAGAAGTCAGCTCCTCAGGGTCAGACTCCCCTAGAGAACAAAAATGATCAGAAGGCGAATTAGAAACCCACAGCTGCTCTGATATTCTTTCTCACGATCCTTTGGACTCAGAGGAAAGAGACTGGGGCAGATTTGATAGCCAAAACAATCCTGAATTGCTAGGGTAACTGATATTTAGTGACAGCTTATTGAGAGCTTATGAAGCCTTGAAAAACCATAAGTGAGCCCAATAATTATTAAACTAAATTATTCTGCATCTAATTTATTTACCTTTATATGGAGATGGACCAAGCATTTGTTCAGGCTTTACCCAGTCATTGAACTGCTGCTCGGTTAAGTATCCAAGTTTTAGTGCTGATTCTTTAAGGGTTGTTCCCTCCTTGTGAGCGGTTTTGGCTATTTTCGCAGCTTTATCATAGCCAATATAAGGATTTAGAGCAGTGACAAGCATTAAGCTTTCATTCATAATTTTGTTAATTTTGTCTCTGTTAGCTTGGATCCCTGAAACACAATGATCAGTAAAGCTTCTCGAAGCATCCCCTATAAGTCTTATTGAATGAAGGACATTCTTAATGATGACTGGCTTGAAGACATTTAGCTCAAAATGTCCATTGCAGCCTCCTATGGTGACAGCTGTATGATTTCCAATGACTTGAGCGCAAACCATTGTCAAAGCTTCACATTGGGTTGGGTTCACTTTTCCAGGCATAATTGAAGATCCAGGCTCGTTTTCAGGCAGTAATAGCTCACCTAGCCCGCATCTTGGTCCTGATCCTAAAAATCTAATATCATTAGCAATCTTCATTAAAGAAGTAGCTACAGTGTTCAAAGCTCCGCTGAAATAAACCAAAGCATCATGTGTAGCTAGAGCCTCAAACTTATTAGGAGCTGTTTTGAAAGGTAGTCCTGTCTCTTTCGCTACATCTGCAGCAAATTTTTCAGGGAACCCTACATAAGTGTTAATCCCAGTGCCTACAGCTGTGCCTCCTTGAGCCAGATAATAAACATCCTCTAAGCTTCTCTCAACTCTTCTTATTCCATTTTCCACCTGTGCAGCATACCCACTGAATTCTTGTCCAAGGGTAATCGGAGTTGCATCTTGGGTATGAGTCCTCCCAATCTTTATGATGTCAGCAAATTCTTTGGATTTGTCCACAAGCGCTTGATGCAATTTTCTTAGTCCAGGAATGAGGACATTGTGAGTTTCTACGGCTGCGGCAATATGCATAGCAGTAGGAAAAGAGTCATTTGAGCTTTGGCTTCTATTCACATGGTCATTTGGATGGACGCTTTTATCACCTATTTTTCCACCCAAGATTTCAATTGCTCTGTTTGCAATGACTTCATTGCAGTTCATATTGGATTGAGTGCCTGAGCCAGTTTGCCATACGACAAGTGGGAAATGGGCCATAAGTTTCCCTTCTATGATTTCATCGCATGCCTTTTGTATTGCAGATGCGTGCTCAGCTGAGAGTCCAAATTCTTTATTTACTCTTGCGGCACATTTTTTCAAAATTCCAAAAGCTTTGATTAGAGGGGCTGGCATCCTCTCTGTTTCGCCACCAATGTCAAAGTTTTCAAGGGATCTTTGAGTTTGAGCACCCCAATATTTATCACCTGAGACTTTGATGTCTCCAAAAGTGTCTTTTTCTATTCTAAATGTGGAGAAGCTTGCAAATGGTTGGGTGTAGATATTCTTACCACTTGAGGAGAGTATCTTGGAAAGGAGTAATCGGTTGGCTCTTGATAAAAGCATAATATGAATTTATATCCATTATTCAATCTTTTAGAAATAAAGATACAAATTAAATGTGATCAAAATCTAAGGATTTATAGCTTATTTTTTGTCAAGGAAGGATATAATGTTGATCAATTTTATATTGGGAATCTTGATGCTTATAAATTTAATTATACAATTTTCCCATGGATGGCGCTGTTTGGCCTTGATTTTCCCGCTGGAAATTTTTTTGGTTCGACCAGTACCATATGGTTAGGTCAAACCAAAAAATTTTCCCAGTGGGAAAATCAAGGCCAAACAGTGCCATCCATGGGAAAATTCTATATGTTTTTTTAAATGCAATGTCTGTGAAATTCACAAATTTTATTATCAAAAATTTGCCCAACCAACAGATACTGCTTCACAGATATTAGTATAGATAGTACGAATGGATTCGTGATGACATTAATTAAGTTCCATGATTTAAATAAAAGATGCGCACAATTTTTGCAATCAGTGCTATAACTTTATGTCTTTCTATTATTGAATTAATAAGCCATGAAGAACTTGAAAGCACTGGTGCATATCTAATAGAAAGAATCCAAAGTTCCCGAAGTGAAGAAAGTGACGATTTCTTTCTGATGATTGGAGCTGTCACAAGTATTTGTTTCTTTCTTGTAAGCGGCATCTGCTACTTAGTTGGATACAAAGATTTCGGCTTATTAGGGATTTTTGGAAGCCAATTAGGTGCCGCTTTTTCTGGGATTCTGAAAGTTGCATTTGCGCATCCCCGTCCTTTTTGGAAATATTTCAATATCGATGCCTTGCTCTGCTCAAAAGATTTTGGGGCTCCATCAGGCCATGCAATGTCAGCAGGGGCTAGTTTATTTGTGCTTGGATATCTGTGAATGAAATCTGGAGGCTGGCGATATTTGAAACTCGTCATTATAGCTATTATTGTTATCATCACTGGATATGATCGGATGTACTTAGGAGTTCATTTTTACTTTCAGATAATTTTGGGCTATTCTTTTGCTTTATTAATTGCTGCTATTATTGTTTATCCTCAGACGACAAAGCTAGTCCAAAGAATCGGAAATGAGAAATTGGCATTTATAAAAAGCCAGGTACTGTGGCTTGTATTATTAGTATTATCTACTATTATTTGCTTATTTAGGAACTCAGAGTGGGATCCAATGTGGTCTCAGAATTATGAAAAATCATGTGGAAAACAATTTGTGATTGAGGATGTTCTTGTAAAAAATGCTGCGGATTCATATGTGTTTAGCTTGTTGGCAGGCTTAACAGCAGGCCATTATTTGCAAAGAAATAATAGTGCTACTGAGCCTACAGTATTAGTTGTAGTATTTGCAGCATTTTTGCACTTGGGATTTATTAATATATTTTTGAAATATTTAGAAGGATTTATCACGCTAAGCTCAACGGATCTATCTGGCTGGGTCTTTTTAGCTATAATAAGATACAGCTGTGGTCTAATTTATGCCTATTTCCTGCCCCTTGTGGTTTCAAAGCTTTTCAGGAAAAATAAATCTTTAGCAAGAGAAAATCCATCCTTTTCTGTATTGACTTTTAAAATCAAAATCTAGTAATTTTAACAAAAAGATTTTAATAAATGGATATTGAAGATCTGTGCTGTGGCATTTGCCAACAGAACTTTGATTCAACCCAAAGAGAGCCACGCATGCTCCAATGTGGGCATAGCTTTTGCTCACTTTGTCTTCAAGAGTTATTCGGAAGAGGTATAAAATCTTGTCCTGAAGATAGCACTGCCTTTAATGTGTCATCAGTAGAAGAGCTACCTAAAAATTTTGCGTTGCTTAAATTTTTAACCAAAACAGTCCCAAAAGTTGACAATAAGCTTTGCATCAATCATAAAAAAATACTTGAGTATATATGCATACAAGACAAAGTCAAGGTTTGCGCTAGTTGTGCTTTGTTTGGCCAGCATAGAGGACATGAAATCAAGCCACTTGATGATATGGTTCAAGAAATCACTATGCGAGCAGAATTATTGCTTGATATGCTCCAAATTATAGAAAAAAGCCAAAGCAGCGTTATGGATAAAGATGTGAAAATAAGGCTAGAGCAAGTGTTTGATCTTTATAAAAATAAAAAAATCTTCATAGAAAAAGAGATCAAAGATGGGTTTGCAAGGCTAAGAAGCAATATAAACGAGTTAGAAAAAGCAGCAGTCAGCACAATGCAGAAGAATTTTGAGTATATTGAAAGTAATATAGTCAATATTCGAGATATTCCAAAACTAATAGACTCTCAAACTATTGCTTGGAAAGATAGAGTCAAAGAAAAACTTGGCAAATTTACCCGACAAACAGAAGATCCCACATATGTGGCTCTAGATATATTATTCCCCCCCTCATGAGCGAACAAAATCATTGGAAAAATCCCTATTTTTTCTCAAAAACTCTCCCTCTCCGTGAGCGAACAAAAATTTTTTTTAACTCCCCCCCCCCCCCGTGAGCGAACAAAACCATTAGAAAAATCGCCATTTTTTGACCAAAAACCCACCCTCCGTGAGTGAACAAAAATTTTTTTAATAGAAAAAAATTTTAATGGAAAAAAATTTTGATATATAAGTGATAATTAGTATAATGAAATCTAGAGCTAATTCTGTTTAATTTTAAAACAAATTGCGTTTTAAAACATAAATTTTGCAAATTAAATTAATATTTGCTTCCCAATTTTTGCAAATTAGGATTTTTTTAAATTTCGAAAAAAAATTTTTTTTATAAAATTTATATATAAATTTTTTTAAAAAAAAAAAAATAACCCCCCTCCGTGAGCGAACAAAATTTTTTTGTTCGCTCACGGAGGGGGGGGGGGGGAGTAAGTGATAATTAATATAACGAAATCTCTAGCTAATTCTGTTTAATTTTAAAAAGCTTGCATTTTAAAACATAAATTTTATAAAATAAATTAATATTTGCTTTCCAATTTATGCGAATTTTGATTTTTTTTTTTAAATTTCAAAAAAAAAATTACTATAAAATTTATATATAAATATTTTAGCAAAAATATTAACCCCCTCCTTGAGCAAAAACATTTTTTTTTGTTTGCTCACGGAGGGGGGGATTAGACAACAGCGGTGAAGACCTATTTCAGCAAGGCGAAAAATTAATTGTTGACTTAGAAGGACTAAAAGATATCCAAATTGAGCCTCTTGAAGAAACAGTCAATGAACTCAGTGTCCAATTTTCGGACTCACAGCTTGTTAATATATGCAAAGTCAAACCATCAGGACGCAGTCCTTCGACCCCCAGATCTGAAAAGAAGCATCCATCTAAGCCTGAAGAATTCAAGTCAATTGATGAAGAAGACTTAGATGGCGACTTAATCCCACAATTCAATGAAGAAATGTTCAACCAAGCTCTTGATGTCCTAAAATATAACACAAGTGAAATCGCTGATTTCTCCAATGCAGGCGATTTAGGAGACAAAGCAGCAATCATAGCCACTTATCTGGTCAATAACACAAACCTTAAGTCCTTAAAGCTTGTCAAAAATAGCATCTCAGATTCTGCTGCCATTGAAATTTTCAGGGCACTTCAGGAAAACTTTTCATTGCAGTCTCTTCATTTGTCGCAAAATCCTCTTGGGACTGAAGCTCTTGATGAGTTGATTGAAATGCTTAATGTCAATACAACTCTAAGAGATATTTACCTTATTGGAAACCAAAAAATGAGCCCAGAATACAAGAGTAATTTTGCTCAGATGTCAAGTAGATTTAGAAAAATTTATACTTAATTTGGAATAATAAATAGGATTAAGCACTTGGGCTTTGATAAAAATTTACGATCCATTTTGGTTTTATTATAATAATAAATTTAAGGGCTGTACTCCACACGTTGTATGATGATTTTTCTCGTTCGTCTTATCTATATGATGAGAAAAAATACTGATGCATTTTCAATTTCATAAAGGAAAGCTCTTCATTCTGGAGGTTTATCAATAAAATTTTAGCTTTATTATGAGCATAAGAATTTTAATTGTTTTATGTATCAATACAATTTTATGTGATTTACAAATTAAAATTGCATTAGATTCAATTTAGTTAGGTAAATAAAATATCTTTTATAATTCCATCTTCTATGCTTTCCACATCTGTATCTCCTAACTCTGATCTATAAAACATACAAAACTGCAGCAAAGCCTTGGCGCACCTGTCTAGATCTTCAAAACTTCCTGGGGCTTCTTGGCCAAGCTGCATTTTTCTTTTCACTCTTTTCCCTACATTTATTTCTGCCCTTTTCCTTTTCCTAAGTTTTGCATTGAAGCCATTTAAAAATGTTTTTGTGATAATCGGCATATAATTTTCTACTGGGTTATAGTCGAATTCTACTTCAGGGATATCAATCATGTAAATCCACAGAACATAATTTATCTCTTCAAAATCCAACACTATCATGGTATCTAATAGTTTTAATGCTGAAAGTGTGTAAGATATGTTGGTTGTGTTCGACATATTGTACAAAAGCCTTATGTGAATATCAGGAAATAGATATGATCATATGTATTAGCTTAATTAACCCAACTTCTAGTTGGGGCCTCTAGTCGCGCAGCGCGAGTGAGGTGCCTTTTTTCTCAATCTTATCACTACTCTCGAGCTCATGTCGGGACTCACAGTCTAGCTCTCCTCCTGATCCCCACGAAGCCATTTTGGAACCAGAAGTACGGGAAAACTAGCAGTTAGGTACCCAGCGCTTGCTCGGTCCAAAGATCTCGCCTTTAATATCAGCAGCTGAAAGAGGCAAAGCACAAGGCTAGCGAAGTATAAAATTCCTCACCATTTTCACTCTTATACAAAAGTTCGCATGCAGAAACTGACCCTATGAAATAGCTTTTATGAAAAAGGAATTTCGCTCCAAAATTCCTTTTTCCTCACCCAACTTTGATTATTTAATATAATAGAAATGATCAAATATCCTTGAAAGTTGGCAAATTAAAGCGAATTGACATAACACGGGTAAGCAGCATGCAATGAGGGAATAAATCAGAAATTTTAATGCAATCAAGAAGTTTTGCTCTTAATGCTTTTGCTGCAGGGAGATAATCATCAACTTTTCCACTCAAAATGACTAAAGATGCTATAATCAAATACTTTTTTGACATTTCAATTGTGTCTTGCGAGCTCGTCCAGAAACTTGGCAGAAACTTATAAAGAGCATCATTTAAAAATTGCGTTTTTTCCTGATAGCAAAGCTTGCTTATTTCATAGCAAATATTTTTCCAATATTTTAAAGACCCATTTGAATTTTTGCAGCTCAAAATAAACTCGTCAGACCCTAAGAAATCAATGATATCTTTCTTCAGTTCCTTGGCTACAGTATCTCCTCCTTTAGTAATAAAAGCTAAAATTAAAATCCCACATTCCTTCGCTCCAATTTTTGATTTCGATAAGGTTGCTCTTGCATTAATGGAAGCCAGCACAAGTTTTGAGCTAACTCTTTCATTATCATCAGGCCATGCAAATGACGCTACTTCATGTCCTTTCAGTGATAGAGTAATCTGATTAAGCTGGTAAAGCTTGAGCTCTCTTTCAGTTTCAAAGCCCGGATATTCAATAGGAAAAACATCTCTTTCCCATTTCTGAGTAGACACAGTAATTTGGTCAAATAAATTCCCAACGAGCTCCTGAAGATCTTTTTTGATTTTTTTGTCTGAGAATAAATTAAATGAATACACACAATTTCTGAGCCCATAAACCGTATCTAAAATAATTAGAGGCATTTCTTCTCATGTTGATATCATTAAGCATTTAAAGAGTGTTAAGAGCTTGCTTCAAAATAGCTGTTGAGGAATCACTGGAATGTTTAACTTTGTTATATTTGCAGTTAAGTGATATAAAAAGTGTGCAATGCAAAGTTCTTTCCCATCCGTTTTTTGAGCCTTTTTTTGAATAGTCACCAAATCTTTTTCCAATTGAGTATAAAAATACTCAAATATAGTATCTAAGTTCAGCTTAAAAGTTGGAATCATACTTATTAGAACTTGCATGTGATGCCTTGAATTGAGGCTATCAAGACTATATTTTGACCACAATGTTGTGAAAGAGAACAAAAAATCATTGCAATAATTTTTAGTCAGAGGAGAAAATAAAATTTCTAGCTTTGAATTTAGTATTGAATGGTTTATTTTCATTTCATTCAAGGTGACTCCTAAAGCAATTACACCCTCAAGCTGTCGTAAGACATGTTGATGCCATTCCATTTTACTGTTTTCTTTATTGTCATTTTCATCTTGTGCTCTTAGTACGTGGTGAATTAAAAATGTCAAACCGTCCAGCATATTCAAGTCATAAGAATTCGCAATTATACTGATATATGCATCAAGAAGTAGCTTTATATAGTTGGATATAACAACATCAGGAAGATACATTGTCATGAAAAGGATATAATTTGTTATAAAATCATTCATAATTAAATATGGCGCCTCGGCCAAGGCATGTCCTCCTGGACATACAGTCTCGAGCACATTTTTATTATATCAGCAAGGTTTTGCCAACTAAAAAATAGACAGCAATATCGTATGCGTTATAAAATCCATTCAATGAGCCCTTAAAAATAATTCTTCAGTTAGCATCCCTTTTGTGATTGATTCTACTACATAGCTTTCAAGGAAAAAAGTTTCACATTTCTTTCTGTCAGCCTGTATTTTACAGTTGTAAATCAATGGTGGAATTATTCTTACTCTCCCTCAAAAAACGAACAAAACATTTGAATGAGCCCAATTTTTTGGGTAGAAAAACTCACTCTCTGTGAAAAAAATTTTTTGATATAACAATTTTTTATATAGAAATATTTTGATATATAAGTGATAGTGATAATTAGTATAATGAAATCTCTATTAGAAATTAAATAGTTTGCATATTAAAATATAAATTTTACAAATTAAATAATTTGATTTAAGAATATTTGCCATAGGCAAACAAAGTTTATTTGTTCGCTTAAGGAGGGGGTGCTAGCAACTGGAATTGAATGGTGGTGTTTTTATTTTCAATAGCTCTATGCATGCAGATAAAAGAGCTTTCTAACGCAATAAATGCTAAATCTGATGACAAGCTTTGGAAGATTATTTCTAATATATCGCAGGCCAAGCTCTGAATGATGCTGTTTTCATGACTCATTTCACTGCACTCTGTATTCAAATACATCAGCAAACCATATTGCAAAACTTCTAAATAAGTCCCACTATGTATTTTATGCAGCGCTATATACTCTTCAGCTAGCGGGCTCAAATAACAAGAATCCATTGCAAATTTCAAATTTTCTTCTCCTATCCTCAAAATATTTCTCACTTTTTTAAAAGCGTCCATAACTCTTCTCGCATCAAAAGGCTTATTATATACATAGCTGCATTCGCTTTGCTCTTCTCTAACTGTAAAAGGATGGAAAATAACAAAAAATAAAGAATCAAGTAAGCACGGAACGTTAGTTCTTGAAGACAATATTAAAAATGTCAGTTAGGAATAGGTCCTAACTCCTGCTAAGCAGGTCCGGGTCTTATTTATCCGAGCTTAGTGAGAGAAGTCAAGCTTCTTGAGAGTCTCGGCTTGAAGAGAAGAAGTTGGTGCTGAGGCTGGCACTGACTAGAGAAGTCTTAGCGGGCTTATTAACTTTAACGATTCGACGGTTAGGCCGGTCCACCTACCGTTGTTCAGAGCTGTTAATATAGCTTGGACCCTCAACCAAAAGAAGACTGAAGGCAATTTGCCAGAGTAATTCGTTAAACTTAAACTTAAACTTAAAGTTCTTGAAGTAATTAGCCACTCTTTTGAACTGTGACGAATAATAGGATTTTCATCGATCAGGTGGTCGAGCATGATATAAATGCTCTGGCCTTCATCAATTGTTTTTTTCAGTTCTTCATTTTCTGTGAGTGTCCAGAAAAGGCTGAAAAGGTGAATTGATTTGATTTTAGACATCAGCGAGCTTGATGTTAGCATGTAGCATAAAGACTCCTGCCATTTATTGGGGATGATCTGGTGGCTTCTTAGTAAAAGATCTAAGGCTGTTTTCTGATGAGACGTGTCTAGGAGGTGCCATAATCGCTCCAAGCTCTCATGGCTTATAGAGTCTGGCTGAATGAATAAAAGCATATTGACAGAAATTAGTAGCAGGTCTGGGCTTTCTTCAAGTATAAGCTCTTTTGCTCTATAGGCAGCATCGGAACAGTCAAGGCCTAAATTTGACAACAATCCTATTATGTTGCCTAGCTGAGAAAGTATTTTGTAATTCATAGCTTTTTCATGACTTAAACTCAAAAATACACCAATTGCTGTCTCCCCTCCTTCAAAAGGTGTTGCTTTAACGAGTTTGCATAATTTCAAGCATACGTCAAGTGTTTGCTCTTCAATAGATATGCATGGGAGATTAAGCAAAATATCATCAAGCACTGGAAACAGTAATTCTTTATCATTTTCAAAATGTGCTAACGCAAAGTCCAGCATAGACATCCATATCGTTATTTCATTGTTTTTAAGAGCTTTCGGCAAGTATTTATGAAAACTTTTCCAAAATAAGTTCGATCGGTCTTCTCTGAACATAATTATTACTCTATCATTGAATTTTTCGTTAATAAAGTATAACTTATCAATCATTGTATGCTTCATTAAAGGAATGGAAATTTGTTCTAATATTCGGTCTCCTATCCCTTCACTTTCTACAAGAACATCAATAATCCTTACTCCCAATTAATTATGAAATTTCTGAGGATTGATTTAAAAAGTTTTTTTAAAATAGTTTTTAAAAATTACAATAATTATTATTAAAAATTCTCTTTTATATCATTCTCCAATTTTTTTATAAGATCTAAAATAAGCCAATTTAAAAATATAGACTCTTTATCAGGAATTTAGTAAATTTACTTTGATTTCTGATCCATCACCTTTATGAGTTTCTAACTTTTTGTGAGTTGTCTCCAATATAGTTATTATTGCAGGTTTCAAAGTTTTTAAAACAAGACTAATTTGGGATTCATCAAACTCGCCTGGAAAAGCCCATTCCCATAGTCTCCTTATAAGAGTGCTATCTTTATTTGCTAGAAGCTTTATTGACCCTTCCATTAAGGCTATTTTTTGTTTTGTTTTAAACTCTTTGCTCGTAATTGGAAAATGTATTTTAATAAGATCAAGCACATGCCTTTTTATAATTGTGTTAGGATCAGACAAAGCAGCAAGTATAGCATTTACAGCTAATTTTGTATTCGAAAATGAAATTGATTTTTTTTGAAGATAAATCAAAGGAGATGCCCTATGCCTAGATGTTCTGAGAATAAACCTAAAGACTGCTTCATAAGTTTCCTCCTTTAATCTTTCAGCGCACATATCTAAAATATCTGAAACTTTCAAAAAAACGTCTTGTCTTCCTTCAGCCCCACTTAATAAACAGCTTACTAATCCACTTAATATATTTTTTAGCTCAGTAATTCTGATTACATATCTTTCCTCAATAAGTAATAGAAATTCCATCTTATTCTGAGCAGAGCAATACTCGAAATAAGGAAAAAGTCCAGCAGAAAACATATGAAATGATTCAATTGGGGCAGATTGCAATATAAGTTTGTAAATTTCAAGAGTTTTGCTATGCAATCCGGATGGAAGATTTGGATTGAGACACTGAGATAGCCTTTTGGCTAAAGCATAGTTCTGCTCAGGAATAAGAGTGCTGTCTTGATATTTCTCTAGAAGAGATTTAATTTCCTGAAGCCATGTAATTAAATCGCTTCATTCTCACTCCTTAGATCATTTTTCAAAATTATTCAGACTTGCTTGAATTTTCTTTCTAAACTTATTTTCCATTATATTATCTTTAGATGCTCCAATTAAATAGAATAAGTAAGAATTTCAATGTTATTATAGAAGATGTCTTTTTGAAACGAAAATTTAAACTATTTGTAATAATTAATAAATCTAATACAAAATATGAGATTTTTACATAGAAAATTATAATTAAATAATTTTTTTATCAAATTGATTGATAATATAAAAATTCTTTTTGAAATTTGAACAATTTAAAATTTTATTTTTTATAAAATAATTTTATCAAAAATGTATTATAAATAGATGAGTAGATATTTTACACCAATTTAAAATTTAATTTATTAATCTATTAAATTGCTTTTACGAATTAGTCGGTAATCATCTTCATAAAAAATGGGATGTAGTTCATCACACGTAGAGACTATCAAAACAAATTCAAATAAAGAAGAGGAAATTATTTGCAGCTGAGAAAAATATTTGAATTACTATACTTTGCAAGATATTGGGTTTCTTAAAGTGATTGATTCGCAGCAAGACGAAGATGGTTTTATTCCTATTAAATCATTATGGGATATATTTTATTTCTGCAACTTTCCCCCTCATTCCTATCCTGTAAACACAGGCCCGGTAAGTATTTTTTATAAAACCATTAGAAAAGATGACAAGATCAATGCACAGAAATTGATGGCTTTGATTATCTTGACTTCATAAATAAAATGGCTTTCGCTCAAGCGAAGTTAGCTCCGCTAACTTTCTCTCACCCAAGCAATTTTATTTATGGGGTTTGGGTTTTTACCTCAAGAACTTCTGCACAGCAAAAGCGGTTTAACTTTGGGGATAACCAGAGGAGCTGCTCCTCAGTGCGATCAAGATCTGAAGTTTTTACCCCTCAGCACACCCGAAGGAAGGTGGACCCTCAGGCGTAACACGCGCAGGAGCTGAGTCGAAATAAAGCCGTGGCGGCAGCGAAGCCCATCGAAGCTGTAACGTCTTATTTGCCCGTGCCCTGATGATCAAAAGGGATCGATCCAGCGGTCCACAGGCCCGACACACGTGTACAATATGGTTGCAGCTCTGGAGTTGGCTACCCCGTAGTGGACGTTTAGCGTTATAAATTTTATAAGATAAGATTATCTTGACTTCATCATTTGAACACAAAACAAAAGCTCAACTTATCTACAAAATCTATAGGGACACCAAAGATTTCATAAAAGAAAAATCTCTAGAAAGGCTTTTTATTGATATTTCAAATATTTCGATTAACCTTATTTGGGTAGCTTTGGGAAAACAGCCAAATCAAATTTGCAAAGACGTTCTGATGAAATATGAAAGCAAGCTTGAGCAAGGGCAGCATAATTTTGTTGAGAAACAAAAGAATTTGATTATTAACACTGATGGATTTACGACAGAAAAAACTTTTATTAATAGAATTGAAAAATTTCCAAAACTTTTATCAGCTCCAGGTATTAGAGAATGCATTTTAAGGGAAAATAAAGAATCATCTTTATTAGGCCGGTCAAAGCCATATATAAGGCTAATGTCGATTAAAACAAGTGACACACTTGGAGAAGCAGCTGAAGATGAAAGAGGCAGAAAGAAGCTGAATTTTGATTTTGGTATTAGAACCATATCAAAAACTCCATCGAAAAATTCTCAATTTTCAAGTAAAATTGATGAATCATACTTGAAAAATTCAATGATGATGAAGAAAATAGTAGAGTCTTATTTGAGCAACCTTAGAGCAGCTGTAAATATGTGGAGAGGATAAATTAAGAAATGAATAAATTAAATAGCATTAAAATTATATGCTATTTAAATTTCAATTGTTTAAATTATTTATAAATAGTTCTATTCTATATAACTTAGTAAGATATCTCGCTATTAGAAATTTACTGAATCCAATAGAGCTATAAATTGTCTATAATACATATTATGAACTATTTGTATACCTTTATATTACTAGCATTAAAATAGTTAAAAACAACAATATAAATTAAAATAATTATAAGAAATTTCCTTCAGTAGTTATTTGAAGTCTTGGTATTTGCAGTTTTGCATTGGGAGTTGATAAACGATTTGGAAAAGGTTCGCACTTTTCAGAAAGCTCTCCAATCTCTTTTTTTGACTCAAATGAGCTTGATCTGCAGAATTCTTGAGAAATAGCCTTACGATGTTTAACAATTTGATTCTTAGGAGAGCTGGATTTATGCCTTTTTAAAATATGTTTATGATCGCTGGGGTCAAATGATTTCGGAGATTTATTTCTTTTAAAAACTTTTTTCGTAATTATAAAGCCCTTTGGTGATATTAGCTTATTTTGAATTAGTATCTTTTTTCTTGGAAGATGTGAAAAGAATACTGCTAAGTTGGAATCAACTAGGCCATTATACTCTTTCAGCTTGCTATCAGGTGTTATACAGTCCAAAACGAACATAGGCTTCTTTGCTTTTTTACTCCTTTTATGCATTATTTATTATTTCGCTACAAAACTTTATTTATTTTGCTTAATACTTGCAAAGTTTTTCACTTTATATCACACACAGTTCTTAAGCAAGGCACCCTTAAATTTTTTCTATTTGAATTGAATAGACTAAAAGATTGTAAGCATAATTAATTTAATTAAAATGAACAAATCAGAGCTCAGGCAATACTTTAAAGAAAAATATTCAGAAATAGATATCAAAGAAGGTATTATAAAAATATCATCAAACGCTATTAAATCTTCAGCAACCTCCATCTTCAGCAAAATTGTATCGCGACATCTAAAAATATCAGACAACCAAAAGGACATGAGTGCTTTAATTGCGAAAATGACATCGAAAACTGACCCAATTGAATCAACCATACTTGAACACAGATTGAAAGAAGCCTTAAGACTTAAAAATGAACTCGCCAGCAAATTAGAGCAAGTAGACGAATCAATTAACGCCCTTTCAACGATTGTCCCTACCAAAGTTGAAAAGTCAGAAAAAAAGCATATAGGAAAAGCCATAAAAGAAGAGGAGAAATGACAGGAAGAAGAAAAATTAGAGCAAGCTCAAGAGCTCGCCAAGACTTTAAGGAAGCAACAAAAACTAAGACAGAAACGGCTTGAAGAAAGGCAAAGGCTGCTTGAGGAGAAAATTAGAAATGAAGAAGAAGTTGAGAACTATGAAAAAGAGCTGGAGCAGGAGAAAAGGGCTGAAGAGCGAAGACGAAAGCTCGAAGAAGTTCAAGAAAAAGCTCAAGAAAGACGAGCTTATCTAGAAAATTTAAAATGAGATCTTCATGGAGCTCCAGTCCAAAAAAGATTATATCAAAAAATGCAAGAAGAGTTCGAAGTGAAAGTGCTAATGCCAGAACTCGAAAAAAGAAAAGAAGAATTAGCCAAAAAGAGGATGCTCCCAATAACAAAAGAAGAAATCATGCATCATGCTAAAGAATACCAAAGCAGAGTCCAAAACGAAAAAGAAATAAGAGAAAGGTTTCGAAAAGAAAATACAAGTTCTATTAAAACATCGCCAAGGACCAAGGCAATGCAAACAATATTGGAAGCCGATGAACAAGAAAAATTGAAGAAAACTAAAGAAGAAATTGAAAGAAAAGAGCTGTTAAATAAAAAGAAAAGATATGCAGAGCTAATCAAGCAGTTATACCCGCCTGAAATAGACCAGTTGAAAAAGAAGGAAATGGAAATGATTAAAGAAAGGCTCGCCATGCCTGGAAGAATTAGGCATTCGCAAACGCCAAGTATGAAATCTACTATTTTTACAGCAAAAGACACCAGTCGTGACGGAGAAAAGTCAAGTTGTTCAGAGTCGACTTCAACTCCTAAACGAATGAAATCAATTTCGCCATTGAAGCCACCACCAGCAGAAAAAAAAGAAAAAAACAGCAAATCCCCAGACTATTTATCAACGAGGAGGGAAATTAATAAAAAACTTGAAAAAGAGCTAATGGAATCGAAGCTTGAAGATATTAAAATTTCAGCTGATTTAACTCCTTCAGATGCAAAGAAGCAAGCACACAACTTGGAGACTCTTTCAAAAAGGCATGAAATTATGTTAAAGCACAATGTTAATAAGTTTGATTTGTCTGCAATTGATGCGGAAGAAAAAGTCAATAATATGATTTTGGAAAGTGTAAAAGCCAAGCTGTCATTGGTATCGGCAAATACTCAATAAATTGTAACTCATTTTTTTAATTATAATTAATTGAAAAATGGATGGCTTAATGCTAATTCAGGTGTAATTCTATCGGCAGGATCTAGTGTTAAGCATTGTTCTAATAAGTTTTCAAAAGATTTAAGTCTTTTGAGTTCTTCAGATTCATTAAGTTGATTCTGGCTTTGTAATATTTGGGAATTTGGCTCTAAAATAACTCCTAACTCTATTAATAAATTTTTTTTGGCTACAGAAGACCTAATTTATCATATTTCATATAAAATTTTAATAAATTGCAAAAAACCCTGCTTAATGCAGGATGAAATTGTCTTAAAAGAAGAGTAAGCTTTTTTCTTTTTTAATTTCAGAGATAGGGACTAAGTGAATTTGCTGACTATCATCAGATGTAAAGAAAAAGTTAAATTGATCAAAATATTGAGAGGAATATTCACCTACTGATCTCATTCGCTTGGGCATAACTCCTTTAACTTCCATTATTAATTTCAGCATATGAGAATTAGTAGCCCCTGGGAATAATACTCGGCTTGTATATAACTCAAATAGCGTGCAACCTAAGCTTCAAACATCAACAGCATAATCACACGAATACCCCAAAATAATTTCTGGAGGTCTATAAAACCTAGCAACGATATTTTCGCTAATAGCATTTTCTCCTTCAACAACAGCATTTCCAAAATCTGAAAGCTTAATTTTCCTCAAATCTTCGGTTATTAAGATATTATCAGGTTTTACTATATAAATCTTACTGTCAAAATGCATCATTTTTTGTGTTTTCATAAATGCGAGAGCTATAAAGGCTTGCTTTCCATATGATCTTACAGCAACCAGAGAAATTCCAACTCCTGCTCCATGCTTATTTAGAACTTCTCTGAGATTCATTCCAAGTTCTTCAAAACAAATGCATAAATGAGTTTGATGAGTGAAATTCCCTTTTAGCCTGAGTATATGTCTCCTATCCTTTGGGTCCGCCTCATTCAATTGTGCTAGAAATCTAATTTCTTTTTGTCCTGATTTTATCATGACCTCGATATTTCGCAGTATTTTTATTGCATAACTTTGGTTTGATTCCATATCTTTAGCTTGGACAACGCAAGAATAGACCCCTCTTCCTTTCAAAGCTTGAATTTTGTATCTTCTCCTGGCAGCTAAATCTAAAAGTACTTCTCCAACTTGAGGGACAAAGTATCCATGCGTGTCGTCCATTTCTTCTCCTTTTCCTCTTATAATGTCTTCGTCTCCGCTTTCATCAGAAGGGGTTTTTGCAAACATATCATCTTCGCTATCTGAAGTGGTCTTTTTAGCTTTTTTTGGCTTTGGTGATAGAGGTTTAGGCTGAATTGTGCTTGGAAGTTGCTTATTTTCTTCAAAAATTGGGCTTTCTTGTCTTGGAGTGGGCGGTGACCGACTTCGAGATCTTGGACATTCTATGCCTTTATATTCAAATACTGGACTTGGTAAAAATTCTTTTAGCTCACTTACATTTGGGATTGAAATTTGAGAAGTGGAGTATGGAACTGGAAATGAGGGATTCTCATATGTGATATGCTCAGGGGATCTGACTGGAGAAGGAGAACTTAAGTCCATATCTTCTGATTGCTTATCCTCATTTCCATGATTTATAATTTTTTGTTCTGATTTAGCCTCTTGTGGTACTACTCACACTTTAGGTTCAATTACGATATCAAGCTTTTTTGCAGGCTGTCTTCCAGGAAATTTAGGTCTAAAGATCATATTTAAAAAATTAAAGATTGATGCAAACAAATTAAGTGATATGGTATTAAGGTTTTCATTATATTTTAATAATTTTTATATTGCCTAACATTATTCATTACAAAGTAATTTTTATCTAATCTTTCAGTATGCTGAAATCTATAGATATAATAGAAGTATCTATAATCATAAATATTTGCTTCCTACTTGCCCTCGATAAGCTAGCAAAATAATTGGAAATCCAGATTTTTGGCAAAAACTTAGCCAAATTTCTTAGAGTTGGAGGCATGCTTTAAGAAATAAGATTCGCTTTAAATACGTCTCTAAAGGATATAAAAATTTATTGATTAAATAGTACATACTCTAAAATAACTTATATGGCGAAAAACTACTATTGCTAAAAGTCTCTGCTGAGGTTCTTTTGCGGACTGATGTCCTTCTTCTTGGTATTGCTAGTGTTTCCATATCATCTGCTGTTCTCATCGATTTCAGCCTAAAAGTTTGGTGCTCCTTGATTCATTTAATTAGCTGTTTCACTTTTTCATTTGTTGGTCCTTTTTTAATTGTCATAATTCCATTCAAGGCTTCAAAAGAAGGCCTTGGAGTCAAGCTTTCATAGCCTTCAGCAGCTCTGACAGAAAGATTAATATTTTTTTCTTCAGCAATTCTAAGCCTCTCTTCTAATTCATCTTTTTCTTTATTGAAAAAGCTCAATCTTCCTAAATAGACTTCAGCCATTTCTTTCATTTTATTATTTTCTTCTGAAAGCTGATTGATATGATTTTCTTGCATAATAATAGTTGCATTTAGGCTTTTTATTGTTGACAAAAATTTTTCTTCTTTTTCTCGTAATTTTTTAATTGTTTTTTTACTTTTGTACATTTGATCTTTAAAATCACTCATCTTGCTTATGAGTTCATCTAAAGTTCCTTTATTTCGAATATTTTCATTAAGCAATCGAGATTTCTAAGTAGGCGTTACCTCTTCTTCGAGTTTACTGATTATATGTTCATTATTGCTTTTTGCATTAAGCTTATAATTTTCAAATTCTTCTTTCAGATCTTTTAAATCTTGGTCTTTTTTCATAATATCAGCAAAAAACTCTACATGGTTTATACCTTTTGCTTTTGCTGTCGCAAGATTTTCTAAGTAAAGATTTTTATTAGCTGCATTCATATACAACTCATTGAGAGACTCAACAACATAGAAAAGCGGCAAATCTTTATTATCAATTAAGCAATCTTTTTAGATAATACCTGTATGATTTTCATATATGTGATTGATAGCATCTTTACTTATTTTTTCTTTTTCAATAAAAAGCGCTTTATATATTTCAGCAGAAATCGCTTTCATTTCTTTTTGATATAAAGTATCCTCTGAAGCACATAATTCTAATGCTCTATACGCCGCCCGAATTCGCTTTAAGCTTGGCTTAAATTCATCTTCGTTTAAAGATTTAAGAATAGTTATAAGCTCATGCTTGGTCTTCATTGATTCTGATTGGAATCTTTGGGTAGAAATGCCTGATTCTTTGGCTGAGCTTGGAGAATTTAAATTAGAGAGGTTTAAAGCACTTCTGGAAGAAATAATTCTATCTGTGCAGATTGACCTAAACCATCCAGATGATGTATTTGTAATTGAATCGTCTTCGTTTTTCTCGAAAAGAGTTTTTAGATGGGTTTTTCTTCTTTGGGTCAACGATAAATTAGTAGTTGACTTAGAGGAAGATAGAGAAATCAATTTTGGGTTCTTCAATTTATCAAGCCTGATGGAAAACTTTGACGCCATAGATTTTTAATGCCTGAGATTAAAAATAATTCAATTTAAGGAATTTAATAAACTTAAAATTAATTAGGTTGTTGGAATTAAAATTTATGTAATTGAGTATTAGTCAATTGAAATATAAAATTTTACCAAAATTTCTTCAGTAGGAATTTAAAACTATTTTTTCCTTATTATTTCACTTATCTTCTTAATAAGGTATAAATTTATCCGAATATTATAAAATATCAATACATACATATCTATTAAGAGATTATCAATTTTAAAGCCACCATATTTTGAGCACTTCCCAAAGAATCATTAGCCATGCATATTAGAGAATCCTATTTATTTAAAATATTTTTTAATAATCTGCATTTATCCGTTTATCAATAAGTTTAATTTTTCTGTATATCTAGCATAGCCACTCTGTTTAAATATGATATAAATATGGGCAATCTGTCAACAAAAAGGTCAAAGGAAGTGAAAAGGATAGCAGATGTGATCACAGCCCTTCAAGAAGGCACCGATATAAACTTCAACGAAAATGACAAATCATTAAGAGTTGAAGCAGTAATTTCTATTAAAGTATAATTGAACTTTTCTTCATTTAGCAGTTTGGTATGGAAATATACCAATTGTAAAAGAACTATTGAGACAAGGATGGGACCCGGATGCACAAGATGTGGTAATTTCTAATCAGCATGGAGAAAGTCCTCTGCATCTTGCTGAGTATACAAGCAATTATGAAATCAGAAATTTGTTGGTTTCAAGCCATGCAAATGAGTTAATATTAAATAAAGTAAAAATCATATAGAAGCAACAAGTTCCAAGAGATCTTTTTACGCTATATGAAACAAGAAATACTGAGAGCAGTTTGGAAGTTGATTAAATTAATACCAGCAATTTTTTTAATCGAATCTCAGTTCAACAGAATAAATATTAAACAAATGATTAATTTTAAAAATAATTGCAGTTTATGTCTTGAATATCATTTTATTGTTTGCTGATATTTCCATGTTAGCTATCACAGACTCCAGGTCTGCGCTTTTCTCAATGATTGCTTTGTCAACTGCTTCATACATAGGGATATTGGGCTGATCCACGAGATGGAGCTCCATTTCTTTTCCAGATCTTGCTTCATATACACAGACTAAATAATATTTATTGTTCCTCTTTATGCCTTTTTTCATCAATACTTTTCTGTGCTCTTTTGGCTTAATATCTTCGGTGGTCATACTTGGGGTTGCTTGTTGAGGCTCTTTTTGCTTAGATTTATAAGGAGACCACATGAATTTTACTTCTAATTTTGCGTTGCCGATATTTACTGTTGTTGGAGGAGTTCATGATTCAGGAACTGTGGCTGCATGGCTTCAGTCTACAGAGCCTGAAGCGATTTCAGTTCTTGTTTCCAAAGCATAAATTTTTATAGTTAAAGGAAGGATTTGGCTATTTATTTCAACATCAGATAAAGCTATCTTTTTGGTTCAAGGCGGACCTGCAGTCGAATGAACAAAAGCTTCTCCATATTCAACTCTGCAATAAGAACTTTTTACGTTCACGCTACTTAAGATTTCAATCATAACTCCTCCTTTAACAGCTTGACTTGTAGCTGTAGTTTTCTTAGAGGGGAATTTTTCTTCCTCAGCTTGCTTTTTGGCTGGAAACTTAACTTCTTCGTCCTTAGTCTCTTTTTTTGATGGGAATTTAATTTCTTCTTGCTCCTTGGCTGTTGGCTTCTGTAATATTTTAGTTTCTTCTGCTTTTTTTGTGGGAAACTTAGGCTCTTCATTTTTGCTAGGCTGCGCGGCTTCTTTAGAGTAAGAAAGTTTTTGGTTAGCCAGAACAGACAAGTTCTTAAAAATATCTTCAATCGGTTGTTTCGGTACATTTAGAGAATGCAGTTCTGTATACATAGGAAGACTGGGATCATCTGCTGGATTCAATTCAACTTTATAATTTGTATCTTGTTCATATATTGTCACCATATAATATCTTCCGTTTTCTTTCCACACTTTTCTTGCCAAAATTTTCCTCTTACTCTTCATCATCGGCTTTACCTCTTCTCTTGCTTTGTTTCCTCTAAAAATCGCTTGGATTTTTGTGGCAGCTTTTTCTTTACTCTTTCGTCCATGAGTGAGCAAAAAATTTTGTTTGTCTACTGTGAATTTTTTTGTTGAAAAATTTACACATAAATTTTTTTTCTTCAAAATTTAAAAAATTTTCAATTTGTAAAATGGAGGAGTTAAATTAATTTAATTTCAAAATTTATGGCTGTTTAAAATTAGACAGAATTAGCTAGAAATTTCATTTTAAAATTATCACTTATATATCAAAATGTTTATATTAAAAAAATTTGTTCGCTCACACAGGGGAGTTAGCTTCATCTTCTTCACTTATCGGTGTCCATTTCATTCGAATTGCAAGCTCACAGTCTCCATCTAAAGGAACTTTTAATGAAGGAGTCCAATTGGGAGAACTAGAAATTGCCACTTCCATTGATAAATTTTTCCACAAAATCATTTGGAGAGTCTCTGAAGACAAAGCTGTAAACTTTAAACTAGGTATCAGTTCATCAGCTTTTAACGCAATATCTTTTAACGATGCCCCCCCCTTCAATCTTCATGTCTACTACAACAAAAATTTTTCGAAAAAATCTTCATGCCTACTGCAACACAACATTTTTATAAAAAAATTAATGCATTTTTCTCTATGTGAGGTTCTCAAAAAAGCCATAAAACAGCGCTGCTATAGGCGTGTCAATAACCTTCTCATCGAGATTTTGACGGCTATTGTCATCGCTCGCCATTTTATTAAACTTATCTAGCTAAAAAGTACGGAAAAATTTAAGATGCGCATCTAAAATTTGTTGCAAGAGGATTAGGATTAGAATTATTACAGACAGGGCGCTAGCCATATTGATGACGCAGTCACCAAAGACCTCTCGTACGGAAGGTTCTACCGCTTTTCGACTCCAGTCCAGAGGGTCTATCCCTCTTACGAGTGCCCTTTCGGTACCTTCTGTCTCCTTCTTGCCTTGCGGCTTCAGTCTTGAGTGGGCGGCTTATGGATTTCTGCGGCCCTGTTACGGGAGATTGGAATAGCTTGATTTCAAGGATCCTTGGAGTCTATCGGGTGTCAAAGTGCCTTCATTCGACAGCTACAGGAAAAAGACTGTTCCCCTGTGGGCCTGGGCCGAAACCCCCAGTTTCTCGGTAGAGGAATGCCCATGGGTCCTCGGATCCAAAGGACTTTGTTGAGCACATCCATTTCCAACCACAGGAAAGCAGCCAAAACCTACCCGGATAACACTTCTTGAGCCTGCGTTTAATTCTCGGCTCGGAGTCCTTTCCAGTTCCTCATAGCCATAAGGTCTGGACTGCTGCGCCAAGAGGGCAGATTGACACATGTCGCCATTTTAATGTATATAATTTGTTGCAAGAGACATGAAAATTATTATTTTTTTTATATAAAATTTTATATTGAAAAATTGCATTTTTGTTGCAATAGACATGAAGATTGAGGGGGGGGTCATCGTTATTATTAGTTCTTCAGATTCTTTTAAGTTTCCCATCACATTTTGTGTTCCAACAGCAAGCTGTACACGAGCTGACCCAAATCCAGAGCAAGATAAAATTTGGAGAGATAAACTTCCACTGCCTTCCATTCTAAGAGCATCTTTGGGCATTCACATCAAATGGATCATCACTGAGCCATGCTTTCTATTATTTGGTTCTAGGAGAGGGAAATCTGATTTTATCGCCCATGAGTTTGGGAAATCTAAAACTGAAAGCCAATTTATCCTGCAAGAAGCGATCATGCCTCGATCTCCTAGAAGTTCAAGGTAAAGCTCAGAATCTATCTGAGCTGTAGATGTGTCGAAGAGTTTAAGTGTGCTTTTTAGCTTCCAATCAGGATCAGGACCTTGAAGAAATGGGGTTTTAAGAGTTTTTTCGGTGCCTTTTAGAGTTACCTGAATAGCAAAAGTCCCCTGGCCAAGCCCTTTTCCTTTAACGACACCTACAACAAGGCTTCCATTCAACTTTCGTGACTGTTTTCTTTCCACCTGCGGTTTTTCTGGCACTTTTTGGTTTTCTTCAGCATTTTCTTGCTTAGGCTGCTCTGGAAATTTAACTAAGCTTCCTAAAGCCATAGGGTTCGCTTTAATTTTTTCATTAAACTCTGATTTAAACCGATTTTGTGTTGGCTCTTCCTTTTTCGGAACTTCTTTGGCTTTCGGAGGTAGAATTACAGCCTTATCAATTTTTTCCTTAAATTCGGCAAGTGATATTGATCCTCCATGATCACTATCAAGCACCGCAAATAGCGAATGCCTATCTTCTCGACTCAACGGCATATTAATAGTGTCTAGCGCATCTGAAAGCTCTTGGAAATTAATATTCCCATCCCCATTTACATCCAAAAACTGAAAAGCTTGGTCAATATCTAGAGAGCTCTTATCGAAATGTTGCTTCAACTTACTAAACAGTTGAGTCTCAAGCTCAGTCATCCTTTGTTCTCTTCCATTCAGTATATCAGCAATATCACTCACAGCAATTAATGTCACTCCTGGTCGAAATCCAGCGATTCTTAAAATTGAGACAATGTCTTGCGGGACTAATGCGAGCTGAGCAAGCACTTTTGTTAATTCAACTTTTGTTATTTTGCCATCTTTGTTTGAGTCTGCGTCTATAAGCCTTTGCTTGAAGCTTGGATGGTTGCCTTTTAATGAAGCTTCTAGCCTTTGCAAAACTTCATTGTCTTGCAGATGAGCTTTTCCTTGAGCGAATTCAGTTCCTTCATCTTTAAAGTCAAGGCCTTTCAGCAGAATTTGCCCTGCCCTAAATCTTAAAGCTCTGTCGTCAGATTTAAGCTTTTCAATGCTACTTTTAAGCTCTTCCACCTCACTTTTGTTTGGCATTGAATCAAGCTCTTTTTTAAGCTCTTCATTTTTTGCCTTTAAGTCTTCGCACTCCTCCTTGCTTTCTTGAAGTTTTATAGTGATTGAGTTTAACTGCTTTATTGCTACATCTTTTTCTCCTTTGAGCTGCTTAATTTCATCTTGGCTTGGGATTAATTTTAGGGCTTCTTGATTTTTTTCACGAGTTTCTTGGATTATTTTTTGAGCAGTTGCAATTTCTAGTGTATAATTAAAATGGTGTGCGAACCAAACTACCCTCTTAACTGCTGCAGTTTCCATCTTGCATTATGAACAGGGACCCAGAGGAAGGGAGGATTGTGCTCGGGAATGTGCATCCAGCCAGGTTTTTTGGTCCTACAAAATTATCCAAAACATCAGAAGGGGTTTTGAGAAATTTTCTGGCCGTTTTAGAGAGCTTCTAAAAATTTGGAGATAAAAAAATCTATATAAATCTCAATCTCAGGATATTGGCAATTAGGCGCTAAAATTAACAGAAATGTTGGCAAACCCTTAAGCTTTCGAAATAAAATCAATAAATCTGAGTAAACAAAATGAGATGAGATTGATTAATATAAATTTTAAAAACTGCTGATGATGCAAAAAATATATAAATATATATATATTTTAGTGTCGTGATTATCAAATCATTTGTAGCAGAGAACTTAAAAACCATAACAGGTCGGCTATGAGAACTATAGTAAGTTACCTCAAATTTTAGTATCCAATACGGTATAGCCGATTAAAAAAATAACTAAATTAAAACTTTTTATTTTGTTTATATTTTATTCAAATTTACTATTTTTGTCAAAAAAAGAGTTTAAATGTTTTTTTCTAAAACGACTTACAGAAATTACTCAAAAATAGCTCCTGATGTTTTGGATAAGTTTGCTGAGCCCAATTTTTTCTGGTTTTGTGAAGCGAAATGTCGAGCTAGCCTTCTGCAAGCTCTCTCAGATCCCAGGTTTTGCCTCATTAGGAAATGGGTCCAAGAGTTGGGAAGGGATTTCTCAGCAGAACCCTTGGTATGTCTCCTGGCCAATCAGGACGATTCCCCAGCGTGCAGCTAGGAGTTACGCCGTTAGCTTCGGGATTCCAATTTAGTCAAATCGACAGAAAATTCAAATATTTTTAATTTTTCATATTGGGCGACCTTTTTTGGCGCTCGGCAGGGTGACACGACTCATTCAACTGCTGAAAGTAAGTGTAGACCCTCGTCCGCAGGAGTTCTCTTTGTAAGGCTGTGTATAACTGGTGAGCAGGTAAAAAAGGGGAGCTATGAGTGCCGATAGTCCTTATAATCCCTTGCATAAATTTCATTTTGCTTATTTATGGTAAATTGATTTTAAAATGTCAAAAATATTTTAACATACCATAGACTCAGTTTTATATATATAATGACATGTAAAAATTTTTTTGACATTTTAAAGTCAATTTACCATAAATAAGCAAAATAAAATATTACCAATGCATTATAGTGAATTACAGCAGGTTTCTCAATAAGTAATATAATATTAATGCTAATGCCATTTCTTGTGTTTTATTTTGCATCAGTAACTGAAGCTCTTGGATTCTTTGATCCTTGGATAGTAAAGCTTGCTGCAAATCAAACACTTTTGAGTCAGAAACTTGAAGGAGCTGCTGGAGTTTCAATATTTTTGAGTCATCTTGCACTATCATTGTAGGATCAGATCTTGGAATTGCAAAATCAGCTCCTAAATTTGAATTTTCAGATAGTCCAAAGAAACCCATATATTCAGAAGGATCCTCTTGTGGAGGAGGCAGAGCTTTGGGGTATGGAAATAAAACATTGAAAACTTGTAAGACAGCTTCTGAAGGAGTTAGTTTTGCAAATTCGCGATGCAGAGCTCCAGCTGATTGAACTGAATTTAGTCATGCTGATGAGTATATTTGAGGCTTCAGTGCATGCTGATTTGTGTTAATCCCAGCTTCTTGGATTTTTTTCAAAAATGCTATCAATTTTTCTCGGTTCTCTGAAGATTGCACTGATGGAGGTTCAAAGATTGGCTTATCAGGCTTTGTTTTCTTTATGCTTGGCAGCTTATCTTCTGTAAGTTTTTGGTCATGGCTTAAATTTTGTATTGGCTCTGGCTCATTTCCATATAGTAAAACAAGCTGCTTTATATTTTGATTTGCTGCCAAATCTACTGGAGATTTCATCATTGAGTCTTTCGATTCAATATTTGCCCCCCACTTAAGTAAGATCCTAATGCTTCTAGGCTTTCCAGCTTCACATGCATGATGCAAAGGAGTTTTATTGTCTGAATCAGGAATGTCAACAGGAATTCCTGACTCAAGCAATTTCCTTATAATTTCAACTTGTTTAGGATGAGGATTAAAAATTGCATAATGCAGAGCACTTCTTCCTGTGTAATCTTTCCCATCAAGCGCTCTTGTATCTTTATTTAATAATACAGTAATAGCTTGTGAATTTGTTGAGCAAGCTGCAAAAAGCAAAGCAGTCCGACCCAAACTATCTCTTGCATGAATATCAGCTCCTTTTGATAGCAAAAAAGCGATAATATTTGCATGACCATTTGTGCAGGCTAAATGCAGAGGGGTTGAGAGCAGTTTATCTCTGGCATCGATTGACCAGCCCTTTGCAACTAAACTTTTTACTATATCGAAGTGCCCTTCTCGAGAGGCAAGATGCAGACAGCTTTTTTTGGTTTCATCAACTGCATCCTTGCAGGCATTTAAATCACTAATTTTCAGAAATTCGTCGAGTTTTTTGAGATCTCCTCGAAGTGTTGCTGCAAATAAAGGAGAAAACATGTTATCGTTTTGCCGAGTTAATCATTTAATGTTAAATTTGGCACGCCGCAAGCGCTCATCTGCTTTTTCTTGGAAGTTGTGTCAATCTTCTCCCGTAGCGGTTTTAAATTCTTCGGGGAAATTTGGAGAGGTTTGAGTTATCGCAATTTCTTCTAGTGTGAGATGGTTGAAACCTTTTCTTTTGAATTTGTCTATTACATGCCTTATAGATGGGTCAACTGCTTTCATATTTAGAAAAATTATTTAAATTAATAAATTTGCTGTAAATCGAAATTATGATGCTCATCTAGGCAAGATATAATAACTTTAAATTGATCTTATACATAATGATTATTACTAAGATGTTTATGTATAACGATTATCGCACTAAGATATATCTATGATGATAAAGAGGCCCCAATCTTGACTTTAGCTAACAAAATTTTTCTTATTCCCCCTTTTAAATTGAAAAAAAATTGATCCATCAAAGGGAGGTTAAAGTTACCAAAAAAATGGAAATTTTCACCATGGTCTTGCTCCAATCTAAAGGGGGGAGTTAATAGTTTTTAAATTCAATAGGAATGAGTAATATGTCTTTTTTCAGTCATATATAAAAGATTAATCAACAAAAATGGCTCTTGATTGTCATTCAAAATTTAGAAAATTTCAGGACTTAGAAAGCACTAAATTTCATCCAGGACAGTCAATGTCAGGAACTTACAGTACGTCATCTTCTAATCAGAGTCCAAAGCAACAAATTTCACCTCAAAACAAAAATACAAGGTTCATCAGGCGATATAATATGCTGATGAATAGATTCGCATCTAAAGCACTTTATAAGCCTATAGAAAACGCTAGTTCTGCTCAAAAACTTAATGACAAAATAGAAAAAGTTAGCATAGATTTTCCAAGCTATATTATTGATACCGTTGATAATACTGTTTTACCACATTTTGGCGATATAAGTTCAATTAAAATAGAAGAATCTCGAGTGGACTCTATAAATGACGGATTATTTTTCAATGAAAATGAAATCGACTCATGCTTACAGCCATGACACTTAGCTGAGCAAGCTGGCAATGTCCTTCAGAAGAGAGATATTGACGAGTTTGTTAAAAGCTCAATGAAGTACGGAGAAAAAGTAGCCAAAATATTAGTAAGCACTGGAGTCGTTCCTCTTACTCCTCCCCTCCATGACGAATAAAACCATTGGGAAAAATCTCTATTTTTGCCCAAAAACCTGTCCTCTGCGAGCGAACAAAAATGTTTAATAAAAAGATTTTTGATATATAACTGATAATTATTATAACGAAATCTCTAGCTAATTCTGTTTAATTTTTAATAAATTGATTTTTAAAACATAAAATTTACAAATTAAATAAATATTTAGTTTCCAATTTTTTCGATTGGAATTTTTTTAAATTTCGAAAAAAAAAAAATTTACTAGAAAATTGATTTAAAAAAATTTAACCGCCCTTCATGAGTGAAGGGGGGAGCTAGTAAACTTAAGCATAATCCCCAAAGTCCTACAATTAAAACTGAAAGAACTTCAAAATTCAGGCCAATATCTGAAGGACAAATTGACTTTTTGAAATACAGATCTCAGACAGCAAGAACCACTGTCAAGCATAAGAGCGAAGTACCATTTAGCAATGTAAAGCATATTACGGTCCGCCTATCACCAGCAACATCTTCAGTTGAGTTACTTCAACAGATAAAAAGCAAGTCATATAAAGATTTGTTGGTAAATAAAAGGCGATAAAATGTATTTAATTAGTAATTCTATAAATTTTATAAGAAATAGAGCTAAAATTATTGGTTGTCCATTTCGAATAAGCCATCTACATCAAAATAAAATGTGTAATCAAAGAATATGGGAAATGGTGGTCCCAAGTTCAAATTTGAAAAAATAAATTTTAAGATAATTGATTAAAAATATATAAGCTAGATTTTTGTCAAATACTTTAATAATTAACTTACTCCCCCCCATCCTTGATCGAACGATTGACTGTAAAAATTCCTAAAAATTGGGGAAATTAACCCCCATCCTTGATCGAACGATTTTCATATCATGCAAATTTTTATATATATAAAAATATAATAGTTATCAAAAGCTTCGGAAGATGTACCTAATGAAGTTGTTTTCAGAGACTTTTTGAGACGACAAAAAGCTTCGGAATCAACCATTCGAAGTGATTTAGTCATCAACCTAGGCTTAAAAACTCAATAATCTAATAAAATAGAGATTCTTTAAAATTTTTAAAAAAAAAAATTTAATTTAATAAGGAACAAATTAAAATTTATACAGTTTAAAGGGGTAACTAATAAATTAAAATATAAAAAATTGGTATTTTTATGAAATTAATTCAATTTTTGCTGTAAAAATAATTATTAAATACTCTTAACCCTCTTTTTTAAAATTAAATAAAAATATATATAAAATTTTTTTCCCAAAAAATTTGTTTTTAACCCCCATCCTTGATCGAACGATGGCGAGTCGTTCGATAAAGGATGGGGGGGAGTTAGCAAATCAAAAGCATAACAACTAAAAGTTATATTAGCTTCACCCTCCTGCTAAAATAGTCTTTAATCTACTGAGATTTGTTACAGATCTATCAAGGAAATATATTATTTAAATTATCAATTTTCTATTTTGCAAATTTTTTCTTTAGCTTTTGTCTAAGCTCTTCTTCGAATAGCAGACCTCTTGGGACTGGAGGAGCTTCAGACTCAGAATCTTGAGAAAAAGAAGAGCTAAAACGGTCTTGCCTCTCACTTGCCTGCTCTGATTGCTCATCTTTAACTGAGTTTGGTTGAGCTGCAGGCACTGGGTCAGGAATTTTAAAAACTTGGGGGGCTGGTGTTGGTTCTGACGATTGCATATTCTGATTTCTTTCTTGTCGCTCTTTTACTCGTAGTGCAATTTCATCTTTCATGCTTAGCTTGGCTGCTTGAGGCTTTGAGGAGCCATAAAGAAGATTTTCAATTGGCTTTGGTAGACTTGCAGAGCTAGTAAGTTTGTGCTTTGTGTCTGCAGAAGGCTCTAGCTTTTCTCTATTTGAATTAGATTTTTGTTTGCTCACAAAAATGTTAATTAATTTTTTTACAAGTTAAAAAAAAAAATAAAGTTCAATCATCACTATAAGCGAGCTTTATATTAAAGCAAATTACACAAAAGAATTTTGTTCGCTTACGAAAGGGATTAAATTCAAAAAAATAGGATTTTTAATGGTCTTGCTTTCTTACCAAAGTGAGAAGTAAGTAACTCAATGCAGATCTTCCCCTTAACTGAATTACATTCAATAACTCTCAATTATCAATTTCTTCATGTCAGCAATATGTCTCTCTGGTGATGATACCTTGGATGAATTTTTCTTTGAACTCATTTATAGTGAAAGGTCCAACCTGTTCATCGTTTTTAGCTTCATCTATATAATATCAATGTATTTCTTCTAATTTAAACATTAATTTATGCTTGATTTGCCTGAGTAAATTACTTGATTATAAACATTGGCTTATTGATAAAAGTACTTATTATAATAATACAATTTGAGATGATATTATCAATATTTAAGACTTTATTTTCTCTCTAATCAACATTTGACTATCTTACTGTCAAGAAATAGCATTATAGCAACTTTCCTTCCTTTTAAAATTATTAAAATCATGGCATTCATTCATTTCATAAAAATGAAATCTAGTAAATTACATAATAACTCAAAACTAAAGCAAACTGCCAATAGCTTCTGCAGATAATTCAAAAATTGAATGTGTTATTTAATAATTATTGTTAACAAATATGAAAGGATCGAAATCCCACTTCTCACATCCACTTACTCTCCCAAGAAGTCCATCAACCAAGCTCAAATGCAGCAGTTTAACCAGAACAAAATCTCCTAATATAATTTCTACTATAAACCCGTCATTAACTCTCACATCGTATAAATACAAGCTCCGAGCCTTAAAAAGAGCGAAAAGCCCAGGCTTAAATATTTCCAAAACTTCTATAAATCCCCAGAAATCAGTTTTCTATTCTCCAAAATCTGCCTGCCAAACAAGTGAAGCATTAATAACTTCTCCTTATTTATCGAGATTATACGAAAATGATTCTGAAAATAGTTTTGAGTCAACCAATACTTGCCTGCGTACAAACTTAGACAATTATCCAAAGTCACCTGACATGATCACATCGGGGATCTTTTCAAGATTGGAAGACCAAATCCCCTATAATTCTCGATCAGTCCAAAGTTTTGAAAGCAAATTCACATCAAGTCCTCAAGCCTTCACATCTCTTAAAGAGGAAATTTTAAGCGCGAAAGAAATATTTCAGACTGAAATCCAAGCAATTAGAAATGATATGAAAAATATAAAAATTGGGGTTATTAATAAATATAGGGAAAGAGAAGAGCAAAGCACAAGTGGAAGTGAAAGGCTGGAAATGGAAAATTTGTATATACAAAAAATAAAAAATAACCAGAAAAAGATTGATATGCTGAAGAAAGAAAATGAGGTGCTTAAAGCAAAGCTAAACCAGCAAGAATTATTTTCGGAAGAAGAGAGTAAAAGTAAAAAAAGTAGGAGACTACAAAAAAAATTAGAAGTGATACAAAACTCTATTGATAAAGAATATGTATAATATTAAATAGATGAGTTAACTCAGCTTTCCAATAATTGTTCTTTCAGATCTTCCTGATGATTTGCTGTTTAATACATTGTTTGCTGCTTATAAATTACTGAGTTCGTCAATCTGATCCATCATGATACCATCAATTAACGCTTTCTTTCTATTATGCTCTACAATTTTCTTTTTCTATATAATTCTTACTTGTGAGTCGAAATATTTTTTTTCTTTTTTCAATTTTTTCAACTTTTCTTCTTCCTCACTCTTTCTTTTCATAGAAATCTCTATCTGCTCTTTTTCCTTCAAAACTCTGAGCTCTTCAAGCTTCTTTTTTTGCTGCTCTAAATACTTTCTTCGCTTTAATTCCTGCAGTTGCTGCTTTATTTCATCTTCTTCTTCCTTTTTTCTTTCTTCTTCAAGTTTTTCAAGCTCTCTTTTGATTTTTTCTTCTCTATAAGCCTCAATTTTTGCCAATTTTATCATATTATTTTCTGCAGCCTTCATGAATTTCTTCCTTTTTTCAGTTTCTACGTACTCAGAATATCCAGCGGTTTCTTCAACCTTTGCGCTGCTGTTTCTATATCGGATTGTCATATGTTTGGGCAATCCATTGAAAGAGAGATTGGACCGAGGAGTTTCAGTATTTTCTGATCTGACTGTGGAAGAACGAGTTTGTCTTGGATAAGTAGGCAATGGCAGGACTTCTTTTGGAGGGGTCTGTGGCTTCGGAATTTCATCTGATGATAAATAGTGTTTGCAAGGTGGTTTTAGGGTGCAGATTGGACATCTTCCTTCTTTTCCAATTTTGAACTTCAAGTTCTCAACAGCATTTTCTAAATCTTTTTTCCGTCACTCTTCCAATGTTGACTGTATACCAGCTCCAGATTCTAGAGCAGGCAGAATATCCTTTATTTGAGGGGGTGGAGGAAAATCGCGAACTTGATTGGATGATGAAGAAGATTTGGATTGAGATGCTGTCACAAAAAATGAATTTTCTGTTGAATCCATTTGCTTAAAAGTTTGGAGTTCCAGCCTTAGGTTTTTGTTTTCTTGTTTAAGTTTTTCCACTTCTTCAACAGTTATACTTTTTAAGAGGTTGCGAGTGGTAAATAGGTCAGGGCGACTGATGAGTTGATTTGGGCTGAAATAATCCTTAAGACTCGCTATAATTATCTTAATCTAATCTAATCAACTGTTATGTCTCGAGTAATTTTCTTAAGTCGCTCATTTTCTTCCTTTAAGCTTCATATTTGCTGATTGATTTCTTGAAACCCTCCTTTTTTCCTTAAATTTAACATATCTTTTAAATGTTGTATTTCTCTCTGGAGCTTTGAAACCAATTGATCATTGGTGGCTGAAATCTCATTTTTCTTTATTTTAACCATCACTTGTTTAGCCCTGTCTGCAAATTTTAAAGTATTTATTGTCTCTTCTATATATTCTAATGAAGGAGAAACAGTTGCAATTAAAATTGTTCTTGTATTGACTGCTAATGAGTCTTGCAAAATCCTTGTCAACTTAGACTCTCTAAAAGGAATGTGAGCAGAATTTTGAGACCCAAGAGCGCTTATAACTTTCCCTAATATTGATAAAGACTTATTAATAAGTGTCATTTCTTGGATATGCTCTTTAACCATATTGGAGTCTTTATCATATTTTTCTGATCCTGCAAGATCACAAAGATTTAGCTTAGCTTTCTTCAAAACTCCTCGCTTATTAGCTTTATCACTTTCTAACAGAATTTGAAAAATCGTATGTGACCTGCTTGAATGATGGTTATATCGAGTTTGCCTGACTATTCTATTCTTATCTCCTTGCTCAAGCAAGTAAAAACAATCAGCTGCATTTTGCACGACATATTCTGCAAGGTTCTCCACAAAAATCCCATTCACTTTGTCTTCTCTTATATTCAAAGGCTTATCTCTTGTTGCATTTTGGAGTAAATCATATATTTTTTCATTATAAATCTGTAGAAAGGAACAATAAAATGTAAAAGATTTACCTTCAGCATATTCCATTAAATGATGAATCGAGTTCAATATGATCCCGTATTTAGATGGATCATTGAACATATGGCTGGGGCTTGCTGATTTATACTTTCGAATACTTCTGTTTTGTGGCTGCTTATAATACACTTGGGGAGCAGGATTATTTTGCTCCCAATCAGATCCAAACATTGTATAGGTTTTGCCTGATCCTGTTTGCCCATATGCAAAAATTGTGCAGTTGAAGCCTTTTACAGTGCCTTCGACTGATGACTTTACATATCCGAAAACTTCGTTTTGTGAAGAATCAGATGGAAAAATTCGATCATAAGAAGCAGCGATGAAATGGTCGCCATCACTTACTCTAATATTGTTATTCTAATTATAAAGTACTTCTTCTAAATAGACAACAGAATCCTGGAATTTATCGATAGGCAGGATTGGCCGAACTCTAATTGCAACTTTTAAATTCTCTGAGTTTTCTTCCATTTTAACTTATTAAAATTCAATTAATGTTATTGCGATGAATTTCTTTTCTTTCTTTATTTTGGCAGTTGAATAAACTCAAATAATTAGTAGCCTACTAAACATGCTTTATTTTGCTGGAGCCTTTTGATTTAATTGTAAAATAAATAATTATATTAGTTTACTGATTAATTAAAATAAACTGTCAGATGAGAAATCACTTTCACTGTTACTAATATCTCCATAGTATAATAAAACATCATCTTCAAGTGAGCTCATCAGATAATCAATCCTGGCAATCTCAAACTTAGCTTTTTCCAATTGAGCCAAATGATGCTGCTTTACAGCAAAATTAGATTCTTTATCAATTAGAAACTCCAATATCTTCTTCTCTCTTTCTCTACTGATTTGTTGTAATCTAAAGCGGGCTTGAATTCTATCCATTTTATATTTAAATCGAGTTATCTTATAAAATGGCTCATAAACTAAAATACTCGCATAAATAAAATGCTCAAAAGTAAACCAAACTCCTCACTACCTCTCCAAGTTCTCATATTTTTAGATGAATATTATACCTGGTTCTGGTTTTTGATTTCTTTATCTATGTTTGTTATCAAAGGATATTCACTTGAATACCCTAAATATACAGTTGGAGGCGAAGTGGCCGGGATTTTCTTAGTCACTGCTGTGCAACAATATAGACTATTTCTAGGTAACTAAGAGTCAGGATCTGTTGGAAACAAAACTGAAGGTGTTATTTATCTTGTTTGGTTTATTATATTCAGCATTCCACCAATTATTGGAGCGATTTACTATATAGTTATTCAAACTTATGTGTAAATTTTATTCAGACTTATTTTAGATGTGATAATTAATGCGGCATTTTTGGTATTGGTAGGATTAGAGTGTCTTATGAGCATCATGACAATAATAAATTTCAAAAGTGCAGAGAAATATAGCTAATAAATATTGATTTTTTTTTCATACTAAAAATTAATTTATCTCAAAACGATTTGATAATAATTTTTAGCTCTTATGCAATTTAAAGAATTTTATTGTGACTATGTTTATATTAAAATACTTTTAACTGAATGTGTAAATTATAAATTATTTTATATAATTATGCATTTAGTACCGATTTATTACATAATATTGCAATGATATAATGTCTGAGTTCAAAACAAATTGTTATGAATGCAAGCATCCAATCTCTATTCAAGGTTGTGACGGCCCTCTAATAGATTCTAATGATATACAGAACTTAGATGCTTCACTATACGAAGATGTTATGAAAACAGATCGCATATTGGAGCTTGCTTCTTCAGACACTCAAGATACTCAAGTCCTTTGCATGAACTGTTTGAACCAGCTGATTTCTTCCCTTCAAAAGCGGATCCAAGAAGAAAACGATACGAAACTTCTCTTAGATATTTTTTTAATGTAAAAATATTTTTTGATATATAAGTGATAATTAATATAATGAAATCTTTAGCTAATTCAGTTTAAGCAGCGTGTATTTTAAAATATAAATTTTAACAAATTAAAATTAATTTTCACTTTCCAATATTGGAATAAGGATTTTTTTAAATTTCGAAAAACAAGAATTACAATAAAATTACCACACAAATTTTAAAAAAAAATTAACTGAATGAACAAAATTGTTGTGTTTACTCACAGAGGATGGAGGTAAGAATAAGCAAAAAATCCTATATTTTTAACGAATCACAAATTATTTTTATAAAATAGCCTTCACACATAGTATTTGATATATAATTGATAATTATTTTAATTAAACTTCCAATGACTCTATTAAATTTAGGTGTTTTAAATTATATAGTTATTACACTAATATTGGAAGGGGTTTCTACACTTAGAGAAATCATCCAACGTACGGAACTAATATCTAGATGTGGAGCTATTCTGATCAGAACTCCAAATGTGGATTTTCCAAAAATAAAACAGTCATATTTAGAAATTTTGATAAAAATAAACCTCTAATTAAGAGTAATTTTTTTGTCTGAGAGCTAGAAACCAACTCGAAATCTTTTCTCAACAGCTCGAAGAAGACTCTAGCGAAGATTCAACAGAAGAACAAATTGAAGAGCTGAAGTCGAAAATCATGGAATATAAATTAGAAATCAAGGCACAAAACAACGAATTCAAAAGCGTCCAAAAAGATTTAAACGAGCTTGTACAAAAAGAGCAAGAGTTTTGAAAGGAAGCGAGTGCATTAGAAATCAAGCTGCTTGATTTCGAAGAGTCAAATGCTGAAGTGGCTCAAAGAATGAAAATTGCTGAAGAAGAACTTTCACTTCTAAACAGAATCAATGTGCTTAATGAAATATTTTATATTAGCTCAGAAAATCAGTTCGGTACAATAAGCGGATTAAGGCTAGGACGACTTGACTCTGAAATCGTGTCATGGGAAGAAATTAATGCAGCTTGGGGGCAATGCGTACTTTTATTATCAACTCTTTCAAGAATTAAAGGATTCAAAAGTGCACAGTGCAATCTTTATCCGCTAGGGAGCTTTTCAAGAATTGCTCCAGTGCATGATGATTCAAATCGATTTGAACTGTAAAGATAATATAGGTTTTGCTCTGACACAGCTTTTGCAAAAATGATAGGAAGATTTAATACAGCTCAACAATATTACTTAGATTGCTTACTGGAACTTTCTTTATTGATGGAAACAGAAGACCAAGGGCTATCCTTGCCATACAAAATAGAGAATCATAAGATTGGGCAAATTCCAATAAAGCTAGATATAGGAAATAAGGAAAACTGGACAAGAGCTTTGCGATTTATGCTTCAAAATTTGAAATATTTGTTGCTAACCCTTTCTTGGATAGCGAGAAATAAATTTTTCTAGAGATGAATTTTATATAAAAATTTAGATAAAAATATCTTTTGATAATCTAAAAATTCATTTTGTAAGTATTTTAAAATAAGAGAGTCTAATTTAATTTATAGGATTCAAGCTGTCTAAAGTTAAACATAATTAGCTCTTGATCTCATTATTATAATCTTTAGTTATATATTAAAAAAATGCACCAAAAAAATTGACTCTAAATCATTAGATCAGGAGTATTTAGGGTAGTGTGGACATTTCCTCTGAAAATTTTTCCTCGTGAGACATAAGCTCGGAAAAACCACCAAATTTCAATCAAATGTTTCATGAGGTAAAATTTTCGTACAAATATCGCAAAAGAAATCCCTTGCACCATAAGTCCAGATAATAAAGCATGCACCAAAAAATTTATATGAAACAATTTTTTCTTGCCAACGAAGAGGACTATTTTCTTAAAAAATAGGATTTTGAAAAGATTTTTCTTGCAGAGGAAGAGGGAGTAAGATGCATAAGAGACTAATAATTGCTAAAATTTCTCTTTTAAACTTAGCTTTAGTGATACTTATTTAAATATATGCTACAAATATATCAAAGTATTAAAAAGCCACTTTAAAATGGGATGCCAATGCACAAGAGATTACCCTCCTGATGAGCTTGATAATATACGCTATGAAAGATATGCAAGATTACATGTAAAAGAAATTCGCGGTGCTAGAGAAATCATCTCGAACTTGTATATTGAACTACTTCCGCCAATGAGCGAATTATTGTAATTGCCCGAGGATGGCGCTATCTTGCGCCATCCTCGGGCAATTTAAAAAAATGGCCCCACACCGGAGAATTGAACCCACGTGTGGGGCCATTTTTGGTTCGTGGAAGTCGATGTTCTCCACATATCAAAAATGGCCCCACACGTGGGTTCAATTCCCAGTATGGGGCCATTTTTGAATTGCCCGAGGATGGCGCAAGATAGCGCCATCCTCGGGCAATTACTATATTTTTTTCAGACACAGATGGTGGTATGCGCTATAAAATATCTGGCTGTTGCATATCAGGGCAAGATCCTCACAATTTTTTCATCCAAAAATGTAAAGATAGCTTCTTTGTGGCTCAGACTCCAGAATCTTTAACTTTAATTTTCGGGATATTTGATGGTCATGGAACTGAAGGAAGCAAGGTAGTTGAGTTTTGCAAAGCTTATATGGAAAGATTTATTATAGAAAATGAAAATATGTTTAGGAATCGCAGAAAAGAGGCTCTTGAAACGATGTTTATTTCTTGCGACGAAAAATTAGCTGATACTGACATTGATTGCACCATGTCTGGAACAACAGCATTAATGCTTATTATTGATCCTAAAGAAATTTCTGTAGCGACGATTGGCAAAAATAAAGCTATATTAGCGACTATTCCAGAAATAAGAAAAGAAGTGAGCTCTCTTGTTTTGTCTGCAGAAAAAGATATAAATTAAAACTGCGTCTCAACCAACCACACTAGAAACCTTGTGGAAAGCAGGATGGCGTTTGATGATGTGTATTCGGCTAGGTTTTACTTGGGTTTGTGTTGAGTGTAATGCCGGATTAGCCCAATCGCAACTCAGGATTTGCGCCCTAGACTACAAGTTTCATCTTGGTCGAGAGCTCGACCAGACAATCTTTTTAGATTTTTCTGGAAGGGCAGCCCAAGTAAGTGGTGCAGCATGATGATCCAGCCACTTAGTCTCCTTTTAGCGTAAGCCCCAGAAAGAGGAGCAATAATCAGGAGAGACTGCAACAGCTGAGCAGTACGAGGTAGAGAAACGTACCTGCAGGTAAAAACGAGAGCTTGGGTGCAGATCAAATAACATTGCTTTTTTGATAGTGTCAATTTCACCGAAAAACTTTGTCCGAAAATTGTTTGAAAATTTTTGATAGTGAGACATCTGACCGAAAAAAATCCTTAATTTCCAGCCAAATGATGCACTATTAAAAATTATCAACCAAATGTATTTCGATGAAATGTACACTGTCAAAAATCCACTGTCATTTGGCATGGAGCCCGAGAGCTTCTCTAAAATCTTAATTAATTTAAGTTAAGCCTGCAGAAAATCGCCCAATGCAAAAAATTCTTACTCCAGTCACTCTATCGGCCGACCATAAACCAAGCAACCCCGAGGAGTTTAAGAGAATCTCAAAGGCTGGAGGAATTGTAAAAAAACTTGTAGACTCTGATGGGAAATCTATTGGACCTTCAAGAGTGTTTCTTAAAGGGGCAAATATTCCAGGGCTTGCAGTTTCAAGATCGATTGGAGATATATTAGGTCACAGAGTTGGGGTGATCCCAGACCCAATTTACTCTAATTTTTACTATAATAAAGCCACTGATAAATTTATAGTTGCAGCTTCAGATGGAATTTGGCAAGTGATGGACGATATAGAAGTCATTAATTTTGTGGATAGATACAAAAAATATTGCAAAAAGCATAAGGGTAATGGGGAATATCCTGCTAGACCAAGCAACTCAACAATAGCTCGCTTATTATGTGAAGAAGCCAGAAGAAAATGGCTTCTTGAAGTAGAAAAGAATGATGTCATTATTGATGATATTTCATGTGTAATTGTAGAATATGCTGGTCTTAAAACAAACTATATGACCAGTAATGATGAAAAAATAGAAGAGCATACAGAAAGCTTCAATGAAACTGAGGTAGAGCCAATAAGTATCAATCCTGACGTTAACTTCATCACCAGTAGTATGATTTATATTGAAGAAGGTCTTGAATTGTCTGATATATATAATACAATTGCTAGCTATAATAGTAAATAATCCATTTTTATTTTTACATGTAACAAAAGAACGTAAATGGTTATCTAAATCAAAAAGCATAAATTAAAATTTATGCTAATTACCCCTTAAAAATGGAATAAAATCTTAAAAATTTCAATATTTAGCTAAATTTTAAATTGGAACAAAATTTTAATTTTGAATAAAACCTTAAAGACGAAAATATTAAATATATATTAATAGTTTCATTACAATCATGCTTTTTAAGCAGTAGGATTAATAAAATTTAAAAAATCTTTAAAAAAAAAAAATTTATAAAATTCTTATTATAAATTACCCCTTTAAATTGGAATGAATTTTTTTGTTCAAAAAATAAAGGGATGGAGTAAAAATAATTTAAATTCACCGGTTTTCAACTGCTAGGAACTGCGGAAGCTGCATTAGCCAAGCTCATATCAAAGTTCATGAATGGAAAGGCATCTAAAGCAAACTGTTGTTGCAGCTGCTGCACTTGAGGCGATATTATAGAATTAACTTCGCTAGGAGTTTCTTTTAGCAGCTTTGGTTTAATTTCCCCTTCAATTACATCATGAGTTCTCTCATGAGCAGTTAAATTGCTTGACTGAGTAAATCTCTTCATGCACCCAGGAAATGCACATTGATAGGGTTTTTCTCCTGTATGGACTCTTAGATGAGTTTTCAAATTGAAATCGAGCGAAAATCTTTTTCCACAAAACTCACATGTAAAAGGTTTTTCTCCTGTATGAATAAGCATATGTCTCCTCAATTTTGAATTATCTTGAAATTTCCTGCCGCAAGTCTCTATTGAGCAGACATATTGTCTCTCTCCATGGGTGTTTTGATGCTTTTTTTGTGGTTCAATCTTTTTCAAAGTTTTTTCGAGAATTCTAAATAAATGATACTTTTCTTTATTAGGCTTAGCTGCTTCTTTTAGAGAAATAAGAGGCTCTTCTGCAGCTTTGTATCCCCTTGAGACTTTTTTAATCTCTAACCTTTTTTTTTTAAAAAACGCTTTTTGATATATGCTTATATAAAATTTGTATATGCTTTTTATTTTTTATACAGATTTAAAATAGCTATAAAATATTTATTTATAAATTTTGCTCTTTATTGAGTTAACATTTTGAGAAAGCAATCTATATTAATTATTTTAAAGAGTAAGCATACTGGATGTATTTTCATATTACGAATTTTATCTTGATTGAGGGTGGATATAATTAAAATATGAGTCGAGGCTGCATGGCCGGGAGGCCATGCCCAGACGAAGACGCCATATTTTAATTATATCCGGCAAGGTTTTACCATTTCAGAGATGGACAGCAATGCTAGGTAAGCAATTCTGGTAGCTTTCAGAGCCTAGCCCTAGTCTAATCTCAGGGGTGGATTTTTCCTCGTGGGGAAGGAGGGTACAAGGTTGGAAAGGGAAGCCCAGCAAAGTCCTCTGGACCATTCGGGCAAATCCCTAGCGTGAAACTGGGCGTTACGTCCCAGGCTTTGTATTTTTCCTTTTGTGCCGATAGCTGACCAGAAAAATCCATTTTTTGGGTTTTTCGGAAAAAGCAACCCATGTACAAGCAAGTAGCTCATTCATGAGCCGTCGAAGACGTGGACATTTGCCCTAGAAGCACCTTGGAGATCGAAGCGAGTCTGTCCCCAGCGGACTGGTGGGCCCGATGCGACGAAAGGCGAGTGATAAACCTGGGGTCGTAACCCCGTAGTGGACGTTAAGCGATATAAATTCCATAAGATAAGATAAGATTGAGGGTGGATTGGGATTTCGTTGACTGTTTACTCCTCAAACCAATTGAAAAATCTATTTTACAGTTGCTTACTCCCCCCTCCGTGAGTGAACAAAAAAATTTTATATATAAATTTTATAAAAAATATTTGTTTTCGAAATTTAAAAAAATCCTAATTGACAAAAATTGGAAAGCAAATATTAATTTAATTTATAAAATTTATGTTTAAAAAAGCAATTCGTTTAAAATTAAACAAATTAGCTCTAGATTTCATTATACTAATTATCATTTATATATCATTTTTTTTTCCATAAAAAATTTTTGTTCACTCACGGAGGGTGGGTTTTTGGGTAAAAAATAGCGATTTTTCTAATGGTTTTGTTCACTCACGGAGGGGGGGAGTTAGTGAAGCAACTGAATTGCGGCTATCTCCCATATTTCTGATAAGGCAGAAAAGGCAAATAAAATACCTTTTCTTTAAAATTCTCAAAGGATCAAATAAAAAATTTATTGGAACTTAAAAAAAAAACTGGGCTCTAGATACTTTATTGGAACATTAATGGAGACAAATTAAATGGCAAATTTTTAATATTAGATATCGAGCCATTATAATTCTATCTTCTAGCTTATTATTTAAAAAATGGCTCTGATTTTAATTATATATAAGATATTTACAATTAGTTATAAGCTAAAGCTTTCTTATATTGGCAGTTTATTTAAGAAGCGTCTTACTTCCCCGGTAATAAGAAAGTCTTGTTTTCGTGAGGAGTTTTCAAGCAAAATTTTCAAATAGTAAATTTTATATGAATAAATAGAAATTTGTTTATTAATGGCTAAGTGCCGAAAATTTGCATTTTTAACTTTTTATTTGAAACCCTCCAATAAACAATAAGCAAATTTCGATCTATTCATATAAAATTTACGATATGAAAATTTTGTGCAAAACCCTATTGTGTGTGGTTATGTGATTTCATCTAAATAAATTCCGCCAACAACGCTGTCATTATTGTCCAATGGAGGAAAGTCGCTAGTTGAGCAATTATCTTTATCTTCGTAAATAATTTTTAAATCGCGATCATTTCTATTAGCTGCTTCTTTGATTCTTTCAATAGTTTCGATACTGAAATCATATCCTGAAATATCAATAATCTAAATATCTATTACTTCTAGTGCTTTGTGCTTTAATATTAAAGCAATTACTTCTTCTCCAATATCATTTTGATCTACATCATTATATTCTATATGCAATTCAAGCAAGTGATCCGAGGATCCCAGGGAGCTTAAAATTCCTTTTATTCCTGAGTTCCCCAAGCATGCATCTCCGCAGGCCAAAATGCTTAAATATTTTAGACCTCGAGAAACTTTTGCCAATGCTGAATAAGCACAGGATTCATTGATGTAGTTTCCTTCCAATTTCAAAATCTGGATTTTTTCATTAAAAGCTAACCCTCTGCATAAAGAAACAATTCCTTGCTTCTTAATATCATTTCACGAAAAGTTTATTTCTCTTACTCCCTTTTAAAGTGAGGTAGGTAGAATCACGTAGCATGTCTTTTGTCTAGATTTTTGCTGGGCATACATTTCTTGGGAGCCATTTGGTCAAAATTTTTTATCGAGAGACTTTTTCTTTATTATTCGACCAAATGGTAGAGAAATCGCTGTAAAAGAATGCTCAAGTGAAATGGCACTAGCCAAAGTCTGCTTTTCAGGAATTAGCAGCCTTTTATTATGTTATATGATCCACGATTTTATAATAATGAGATGACAGGTTATTCTATGAAAATTTATATAGCTATAGCATTATTAATAGATTTCTCTTCAAATATTTGCAAAATCAATTTTTAGAATCTGAAAAAAAAAATTAAATTATTAATTTAATACAAATTTTAAAAAAAAAAACTTTCTCCCTTAAAGGGAGTTAGGCTCCTCATGTCTTCAAATGCATTGCTAATAGCTACTGCTCCTTTATCACCTATACTACATTTTTCCATTGATAAAGCATGCAATTTGAGTTCTTTTGCGTTTTTTAATGCTTCAGATAATGCCAAGGATCCTTCAGTACCCAGAGGGTTGAAATCCAATTTCAAAGTTTTAAGTGTTGGTGTGTTTTCTAGTAAAAATCCAATTGTGTCCATGGACTGCTGAACCAAAAAATTATTCGACAAGTCAAGTTCTCTTAATTCTCTGAAGCCTAAAAGGGTCTTGGCTAAAATATCCAAAATCCTTGGAGAGCTCATTTCATCTCATTCAGCAAAGATATGGCTTAAGTTGGCTGTGTTTATATTTGGGCATTCTTGAATTGTCTCTGCCAAGCTTTCCATAGCTTCTTCTGTATATGTGTTGTGACTGAGTCCGAATTCAGTAACATCTAATTTATACGCATCTAGTTGAGAGCAGTATTTATAGGTGTCTTCTGAGGTCTCAAAATGCTTCTCTAAGGGTGGGATTTCAAATACAGAGAACTCTTCTTGTGGTTGTTCTGAAAAAAGAATGCCCATTAACGTTTGCAAATTCAATGCTTTTTTTTGGGCGCAATAATAACTCTAAAGTTTATACTAGATTTTTAAAATCATTAGTTATTTTAATTTAATTTTATAGAAAACAATGAAATCAAGTCCCCAAGGGCAGCATAGTATTAGAAATGGAAAATTAATGCTTTTTTAGATCACTAGTTGTTCTTGCAAACTGAGTGCTCCTTGAGCTTAATTCTGTGCGCTCCAGATAAGGCCTCAGCGTGGATTTTGCTCTGACCATTTTGAATGTAGATTTTGATGTCTTATTCATGGGTTTTGAGGAATCCTCGAATAATGAAAGTTTCTTTCCACGATCTCCAGTAAATACTGAAGCCGATCTTCTTTCTGGCACGCATTTTGCTTCACTCAATATCCTTTTAAGAGTGCCTTGAGGCTTGTGGCTAATTGAATCTCTGACTTAAAATTACATTCTTTTGATGACGTAAGTTCTCAAATTATCAATCTTGGAACGCAGCATTTTATTACTATTGTCAAGTGTCTATGTGGTAGATACATTTAAATCGTTGGCTGCTTCTTGTATTGTTTTGAATCTGATACGGTTAGTGTACATAATTTTGTCTAGGGATTTTTCGTTATATTTAGATTTGATTTTTCCAGTTACAAGGTCAAAATTTTCATCATATGTACCTATTCCACATTCAGCTACTTTTACAGGTTTTGGAGGTGTTTCGTATATTGGACTATACATATTCACATGGGCAGATATTTGGCAGTCTTCTCTGGGTGGATGGCGAATAGGACTTCGCTCAAGTAAAGTATCAGCAGACTTTATAGGTGAAGAACTGATTGTTTGTATTGCTTATGTTATATATTAGATTACTATGAACAATATAATAACTAATTAGCAATCTAAACTTAAATACGCCAAAAAGATATTTTTCTGGCAGTTCAGTTTTGAACGGAAAAGTGAAGCCTAAAATGAGAATTGCCCATTTTACACAAATTAGCTTTTAGATTTCTTTTCGCGCCTTTAGTATTTTTAACATGCAATATCAATGGGGTATTCGAGCTATACTGCTCTGCTACTTCTGCTTGGGAGTCTATGAATATGCTCATATATGCAAGAGCGTAATTGGGCTTCTGCCATTTTATTTTAAAAATGATATATTTATTATCATATTAACTTTGATCCTCTTAGCTTCTAAATACGCATCTAAAGCAGCAACTATAAGAGCATTCTTGGCAATAAAAGGACCCAATTCGTTTAATTTCCCCTCGGCAAACACCACAACTGTAGGCATTTCCTCCATATCTTTTAGATGTTTGATAATCCCAGCTAAGCTCGTGGCCATTTCTGCATTTTTTTATTGGGCGTTTAGTAGCAGCATCATAGAGCTGAGATGAACATAAAGAGCACAAATCAAAATTGCACTCGATGCATCTAAATCTCTCTTCCAGCTTTCGTTGGCAGCATCCATCACAAATAAAGTTTCCCTTAATAAACCACCTCAACAAATGTTTGTCTGGGCATCGAATGATAGGATGGCCTGGAGCTGGCAACTGTAGGAATAAATAGCAAACTTGGCAAAGAAAGTATTTGCAAGGATTACATGTGTAGGTCTCTCCTTTGAAAAACTGTTTGCACATATCACAAGAAACTGGAAGACCAAGAAGCAGAACCGCAAGGTTCAATTCCAATTGATGCTTGTTTTTGCATTTTGCGCTAGTTGCAACACTGGTATACCCTGCTCTTTCTGCACAATTATTGCAAATATCATACAAGCATGCTCTGCAATGCCAATGAGCCACCTCTACATTTCCTTTGCATCTGGCACATGAAGGATCTGCTTTGCCTAAGTTTGTGTAGTGCATTTTCACGTCAGATTTTCATTCTAACTCATGCCCAGAGCTGCAACTCAAAATCGGAAGAGGCACGCCCATTGATAAACTGCACTCTCTGCAGACATCATAATGGCATTCCCTGCAATTCCATGAGGCATACGAATAAGTTTTTCCGCATTGATCACACGATATATAAAAAGATCCTGAATTGGCAAAATAATTAAAAGGAGTATTGTTGTTTCATGAAAGGTTGTGGCCTTTTGCACATTTAAGGACTTTATTGTTTTCATTCGGAGTTATTATAGTCTTGCTTCTTTGAGGAATATTTTGCGTTTCTGCTGGCTTTGGAGATTGCTCTACTAAAGAGACATATATAAAAATGGCCTGAGCTCTTGGCGCGATTTTCTCAGCCTTATGACTGAGGCGAACTGGACGGTGGCCCAGGGATTAGGATTCTTTCTTGTAGCTTCTGATGGTATGCACCCAACACTCGTCAAGCTACTTACCAAATCGCCGATACAGGGCTGCTAAACTCCATATCTGCCCACTCAAAACTGAAGCATTCAAGGCGAGGAGGAGATGTGCTCAGAGCACAGCATTCCAGGCCATGGTATAAAGCTCGAGAAGTAGTAAGGTGGTATGGATGCTTTTCTTGCCGGCGGAGCTATCTCAATCGATCAAGTGCCCAGCAGGGAATGTCACAAAGAAGACAAACCGTTTGTATTAAGTGTCCTTGGGACTGCGTAACCAATAAGCCAGTGCCTATCTTTTAATTTAAGTTTAAGCTTTGCTAAAGAGGCAGCTCTTTGGATTCCTTTAGCTTCTTCTCTAAAATTTTCTTTAGTCGATACTCTAGGATAGTTGCCATCAGCGCACTTCTTTGCAGGCGAGGTCTTGCTTTCTTCTCTAAAGCTTTCTTTCGCTGAAACATTCGGATAGCTACTATCGAAAACTTGCTTCTGAGGCGAAGCTTTACTCTGAGTCTCTTTTATTTCTTCTCTGAAGTTTTCCTTTATCGAAACACTAGGATAGTTGCTATCAACGCATTTCTTTTGAGGGGAAATTTTAAAAAACTCAATTTCTGGTCCAAAAGTGTTGCTTTCTTTGTCAGCCAATAGCAATACATCGAGCAGTCTGACACTATCTTCAATAGAAAATAATTCTTGGAGTCCTAATTTTATAGGATTATTGTTTATATTTAATTTCCCTAGAATTCAAGAGCTGCATTCTTCTATGGCCTCTTGTTCTCTTCTTGTAAGAATTGATAGAATCCTTCCTGGAATAATGGCTTTAGAAGAGCTATTTGCTGCAGAAACTTGCTGCAACAACAAATCAGATTTCCCGATGATGTCATTTAGATATCTGATATGGCTGACGCAGCACCTTTCAATGATATTGATTAGAGAAGCAGTCTCTTGCATGATCCTTGTAATATGCTCATTTGCTTGATTTTTAATATCCTTGAAAGTTTTTATTAAAATTTTTTTGCTGTTTTCATTAATGACAATTGCATTCCTAACAATCGGGTGGGAAGGGACAGATTGGTCAGTTAGGTGATCTCGGATGTGGCTATCGCACAGATTGATACGAGGAGCTTTGCAGCTGCAAGTCCAGACACTCATTTCAGGACATAAATCACACCTGCCAGACATTTTTATTGGTGCTTATTTATTTCCTTTCTATAAAAATTATAGGGCTTCTAGACTGATCTATTAAAGCTTTAACAAAAATTTAAATCACATTAAAAAAGAACCATGGAAGAAGTTTAAAAATATTAAGCTGAGCAATCATCAACATATTCAATTATCCAAGGAATACATACTGAGAGATAATTTAACTATAAACTTGGATAAATTACTCCTCAGCGCCATTTTTTAAAATTTGACAAACTAGATGAACGATTCTGAGGCCTTTATCGAAATCCAAAACTTTATTGAGCAAGAATATAAAGACCAGCTAGAATTGATTTGCAGCTCACTCCCCCTTTTTTTAGGTAAAATCTAAAATTTTTGGGTATATCATTTTAATACGAACAAAATTTTTGAAAAATTTTATAGTGAAAATACTAATCTCTATATAAATAGCTTTAGAGTAAGTGTAAGTAGAATGTCATTTAAGCAGTATTACACTGAATAAATTAATTTTTTGAAATAATTATTCAGAAAAATGAGTTAAAACTAAAAAAATTCAATTTATGTTTATATTTTTAAAATATTAGAATTGTTTATAAAAATTAATCCCATTAAATTGGAACAGATTTTTTTGTTCTAATTTTAAAGGGTGGATTTAGAAAATTCTGATCAAAGATTTGATCTTGAAATCGAGTAAAATTTATGCAGTGTATCATTATTACTTGATTACACAACTGTAGCAATTCCTCTTATATACAACGCGCCTTCTGAATTCATTGAAGTCCTCAAAAACCAAGCCCAAGAGCTGCTTCTATACAGAGGCATCGAAAGAAATATTGATATCCGTCTCATATCCCCGCCTACTTCATTTTTTAAAGCTGATATTGGTAACATAGGGGTTGAAGATGACCAAAAACTTATCACTCTTTCCGGCACAATAACTAGATGTGGAAACGTCCGATCACTTGCTCACAAAAAAGACTTCAAATGTGTCCAGTGTGGGACTATATTTCGTTTGGAGTCGCTTATAGAGCTTTATAATGGGTTTGACTTACCTCCAAAATGCCCTTCAAAAAAATGCAGAGGAAAGAATTTCGAAGGGGTCGAAAAAAGCGAGGAATGGAAAGACTATCGAGAAGTCAAAGTTCAAGATTTGTTCAGTAATCAGCATAGAGGGAAGCTACCTCCAAATTTGTGGGTTGTGCTTTCAGGGAATCTTGTAAATTCATGCAATCCAGGAGATGATGTGACTATTACAGGAGTTCTTATAACTAGATGAATGCCATTACTCAGGACTCAGCAATGCGACTTAGATTTCTGCTTAGTTGCAAGCTCTTTGAGAGTCCACTCATCAAAATTAGAACATAATATAGCTGAAGTCGAAACAAAAGAAAAACTTGAAGACTTTGAGTTTAGGGCAAAACTTATTGATAGCTTTGCACCAAAAATATTCGGAAATAATCATATAAAGCTCGGGATGCTATTGTGCGCTATTGGAGGAATGAGAGAAGAAATAAGTGGGCTACGGCTGAGGGGGCATTGCCATTGCCTAATTGTGGGAGAGCCTGGGACGGGAAAATCACAGCTGCTGAGAGAAGCATGCTTACTTCATTTAAGAGGAGTTTCTACAAGTGCGGTTGGAGCAAGCATAGCAGGCTTAACTGTTTCTGCAGTAAAAGAAGGCTCTGAATGGATGCTTGAAGCTGGAGCTTTAGTTCTTGCTGATTGCGGGATTTGCTGTATAGATGATATAGCGATGCTTGCAAAAGAAGATTTAAGAGATATTTATGAATCCATGGAGTCTCAAACGATTAGTGTTGCGAAAGCAGGCATGGTATGCACTGTAAATGCAAGAACAACTATCATTGGAGCATGCAGGCCGAAGAAAAATAGATTTGATTTTGGGGTTGGCATTGATGAAAACTCAGGCTTGCCTTCACCTCTTCTATCAAGATTTGATCTAGTTTTCATCTTAATAGATCAGCCTGATCCTGAAGCAGATGCCATTAAATCAAATTTTATACTATGTGGCGGCCACCAGTCTAAAAAATCTTTGTTTTCTCCTGGCCAACTCCAATATTTTTTAAAAAAATCAAGAGAAATTCTTCCTCCGATTACAGAAGAGGCATCTGAAATACTTGGTAGATATTTTGACTTAATAAAAAACCATGAAGAAATAGTTGTTACAATCCGGCACCTTGAGAGTTTGCTAAGACTTTCCCAAGCACATGCAAGGCTTTGCCAAAGAGATGAAGTAAATAGTTTTGACACAACTTCTGTTATTTTGCTTATGGAATCTACTTGTAGAGGAGCTGGATTGCTGTCTATTCCTCCAGAAGACTGCTTTAAAGATCAAAATCTTTTTAATCAGACTCAGAACGAAATACTGGTAAAACTTGGGTACATGCCAATAATTCCTAAAGGATTCGCAATTGACGATTCTATTTTAGAAGACTAATTAATTTATTTTAATTAAAAATTAAAAAAAAGTGCCGTGACCCGGGATTGAACCGGGGACCTTAAGATCTTCAGTCTTACGCTACTCCCAGCTGAGCTACCACGGCGCAATATTATTTCATTGTTCTCCTATTCATAGATATTTTATTTGTAACGAATTAAAAGCTTAAATAAACCATTCAAATATATTTCTATACAGAGCCTATATAGATAAGGGAGCTAATTCTTAAGTTTAGTTAAATTATAATAATTTAGCCCCCATTATAATGTTCGAAGCTTTAATTTCAAATGGTTTACTTGCCAAGAAAATTGTCGAAGCCATAAAAGAGCTGGCAACAGAAGTGAATTTGGAAATTACAAGTGATGGAATGACTATTCAAGCAATGGATGCATCTCATGTTGCACTAGTTGTGCTCTCTCTAAGATCTGAAAAATTTGAAGAATATCGGTGCGACCGTCCTCAAACTCTAGGAATCTCTATTGGGAATCTTTCAAAACTCGTCAAGGTTGCAGGCAATGATGATTCTATTTCACTGAGAGCAGATGACGAAGCGAGGGTTTTGATCTTAACATTTAGAGGCAAAAATAGTGAAAGAACTAGTGAATTTCAATTAAACTTGCTCACATTGGAATCTGAACATTTAGGAGTTATAGATCAAGAGTATGTAGCTGAAATTACAATGCCAAGCTTAGAGTTTGGAAGAATATGTCGAGAATTAGCTCAAATAACCGACACAATTACCATCGCAGCTGATAAAGAGATAGTCAATTTTGCTGTTTCTGGAGATATAGGATCTGGATCAGTTGCTATTAAGCCTAATGACTCAGATAAGCCTGATGAAAAATGCATTATCAAGGTATCAGAACTTGTAAGTATGAATTTTGCATTGAGATATCTAAACTTGTTCAACAAAGCGTCGATGCTTTCCAATGAAGTCTCAATAAGTTTGTCTCCTGAAGTTCCTATCTCCCTTCAATATGAATTCGAGCTTGGAGAGTTGAGATACTATTTGGCTCCTAAAATTGCTGAGGATGCATAAATTTAAATAAAAGTTTATTGTAAAACGCATAATGAAAATTAATTTTTTATGAAGTCAATTGCTTGTTTTTAGCATACAGCTTTATTTTGCTTCTGCGTTATCACTTAAAGATCAAGAAACTATCAACTCAGATGATTATCTCGATGATTATTCAGCAGCTTTAGAAGATGCGAAAAACCCGACATCAGATAAAATAGTTAATTCTTTAATTCCTCTCAGGAAGGATAATTCTGATCTTACTTTTGACAGTGATGGAAAGGCTCCATGCCAAATAACCGTGCACTTTTGATAGTGAGAATTTCCTGGGGAAATTCATTTGAATTTTTTTGATAGTGAAACATTTGACCGAAAACCATTAAATTTTTACCAAATGATACCTTATTTACCATCAAATTATTCGATGAAATGCACAATATGAAAAGCGGACCAGCACCAGATGGAAAGGTTTTAATGGTTTTTCTTGGCAAACTTAATGATTTCCAATATGACCAAGGTGAAGAAATAAGAATTATTAAAGACACTTTTATTACAGCTTATCCTGAGCTGAAAGATATATGCTCAACATTTGAGTCTGATGATATAAAATTAGAAGTATTTCAGATGCTAGGAATGTCTCCTTATGATAGCTCAGATGGAGTAATAGAAATCTATATAGATCTTTCTGATATATTTAGGCCTTGTCCAGATCCAGATATTGCTGATATGGAGTGCCAAGCGGAAATTCCATTAAGCGGAAATGAAATTCCATATGGCCAAGATATTCCTTGGTATTGTCCAGAAGATGGGGAAAGCGTTTCTCAGGTTTCAGGGGACTGGGTTCAAGTCAGTGAAGATCACTTTTCTTGAATGTGTGATGAATGGGAATCTTCATATAATAATAGAATCATTAAAATAGTGTTGATATGGTGATCCGTAAATTGATCAGACCTAGAGGAGAAGAGTCGGATTGCGTTAGTTATCCTGTTTGAGTTTTTTGGTCCAGGGACTAGCCCTCAACTGGGTTGCAGACTGCCTACCAGTGCAATATCCTTCAATACTCCATGGGAGCATTATCAAGTCTGCGATACGGCACAGAATGGTCATGAAGGAGGTAAAGATGGCTTGCCCGCTCATATCAGAGGCTTTTGTTTGATAGGATCCATAGACAGGTAGAGTGATCTCCTGATAGACCTCCTACGTAAGAGGTCAGAGTGCAAATGCAGGCGTGAGGACAGCGCGAAGCTATCTGCGAGACACAGAGAGGCTGAAATGATCCCAAGGCCTACTAGATTTTAATTTAATCTATCATATAATAATGAAGATATATATGAAAATAGGCCTTGGACTGGACTCGGATACACATATAACTGGGGATCTTATAATCATGTAGGCTGTAGTGAGTTTGCAATATTGGCATATACTTATGCTGTTTTTAATCAAAAAATGTCAATTGAGGATTACTGCAATAATATTTAACAAAAATTCGTAACAAATTATTAGTTTACTCGACTTTTGAGTTTGGAAACTTGTGAAGATGATAAGAGTTTCGGAGATTTTTCTACTGAGGTACCTTTTATACCGTTTTGACTCTTGGAGAGGTATGGACTTGCTGATCGCAGATTGCTTGTAGACTTTTCTTCTTTGATAGGTGACTTGCTTAGCAGTTCTTTTTGAGTATAACTATTTCTTCTTCTTCTTTCAATGTAGCTAAAATTGTGATCGCTAGCTCTTGTTCTTACTCTACCTTATATAAGCGAGCAAAAATATTCGGAAAATTATCATATTTTCGAGCAAAAAATAAAATTTTAATGTGAGTTGCAATTTTATAAGATAGTTTAATATATAGCAATGATTATTATAATGAATATTAAGCTAATTCTATTATATTTTAAAATAGCTTGCATTCTAAAACATAAATTGTAGTTAATAAATTAAAAAAATTTATGTGCTTACAAGGGGAGCTAGCATTCTTATTTGTTTCTCCAATTGAGCGACTTGCTCACATTTTTCTTCAAATTTCTTTTTGTAAAAATCAGTTACACAATTGGCACTGTCAGATCTATTTTCCTTACTCTCTTTTAAATATATTCGATCTATAAAAATATTCATAAAATAAAATCTGTTTTAATTTTCCTAAAAATTTTTTTTAGAAAAATATTTTCAATTAGGTTAGATCTCTCTGGCTTTTTAACTTCAGGCTGCGCTTTCTGCATTGAGACTTGCATTTCAAGCCTCTTTTTGTCTTTCATTAACTCAGCAATTTTTGCAGAATCTTTTTTCAAGTTCATCTTCAATGTTGAGATTTCTTGAGTTAATTTTCTTTCATGCTTCACTTCTGAATTGCTGCTTCTGGATGTCAAAGGAGAACTTTCTTCTCTTCGATGGGTCGGTCTATCAGTTTGTCCTTCTTTTCTTAGTTTATCAATAATAGATTTGCTGGTTGATGCAAGTTCCAGTCGAGCATTTTCTGATTCAATCAGTTTTTGCTGTGTATTTTCAATATGCAGCTTCATTTGCTGTTCAATTTTAATGTGAGTCCTAACTTCGTCTTCAAGTTTCTGAAGGGCTTTGTGGTATTGGTCACAGTTTTGATAATTTTCAAACTCCTCCATGAACATAAAATCACGCTTGATTTTCAATAAGTCTTTGAGCTCTAAGTTTATTAAAGCTAGTGCTTGCATTGCATCCATTTTGACAATTTCGTTAATTGAAGTGTAAATTCGGTCAGGTTCTTCTTTCTAATTATGTTGTACCATTGAGGATAATTCTGTATATAAATACACGCAGGTTTCGATTACTGCTTTCTCAATTTTTGAAATCTTGTTTTGCTGCATATTTATTAACGATTTAATTGAATGAGTATTTCACATTTTCAAAAGAAGACTGCATATGCATTATTTCTATTTTGCTTAAAAAATAAAGGTTAATAAATAATGATATTGTGCAATGCTGCTTTATTTTAGATAATGGGATTAATGAATAAAAAATTAAATGCTAAGAAAAGCTATCACTTTTTTCAATTATTTTAGCAAGTCATTATAAATAAGATTTTACCGAATAAACTTACATTAAATTTTTATTAATTATATACTCAAGTAAATTAATCAACAATGCGATTATCAAATTTAATGTTTTAAATTAATAATTTGTATTAACAAAATAATTATATTAACCCACCCAAAATTATCCTATTATTATTAAAATTTCAATCAAAGCGTCTATGCAGAAAAATTCCCCTCTAGATAGCATGTGGTAAGAGCTTTTCATTCTGACAAAAAGAGAAGATTGCGATGCTGCATTCATATTTAATAATTTAAATTTATTGGAAAGCTTTAATTCTACAATCAGAAGACAAATTGTAATTTATTAATAGCAGCAACCTATTTATTGGCAATATATATTTCAAATAATTTGTTTCAGAGCATAACAGGCTCCGTGGCGCAACGGATAGCGCACCAGACTTCTAATCTGGGGGTTGTGGGTTCAAATCCCACCGGAGTCGTTTTTACTAATTTTTCAAAATTTTGTAAGAACTTTTGCATGACTAAAAATTAATTGACTCATTTAAATTGGATATTTTATCATTTTAATTTATGCCTATTGATAAAAACTACGGCCAAAAATTAAGAATTTTCTACTTAGTAAATTCACTTAATATGATATGAAACTTGCAATGCTTATGTAATAATTTCCAGATTGAATAAAATGACAGATCCTTCATTACTAAGCAGCCATTCAACAAGCCCAAGCTCATCTGATGATGATGAACACAAAAATTTTAAATTTCCAAGTGACTTAGTAGAAGGCAAACTTTTCAGAACTAGAAGCTATTCCTCTAGCGGATCATTCTTGGATAATATTCCAGAAGAGAATGAGGAAGAAATAGAGGAGTACAAAGGGCGAAGGGGTTCACTGCCAGGAGACTCCCTCAGCCTCCGTGGATCCCCTAGAAGAAAAGATGTTTTTCATAGCTTAATTTCTGGTGAAAAATTCTTAGACGACATCAGTTTAATTGATAAGCCGAAAAAGAGGTTTTCTTTTGGAACCACTGAAGAGCAAGTTATTCCAGAAGAGGACTTGCAAGTTAGCGATAAAGATTTTGGGACAAGAGTATCCCTTCCTGTTGACAAAAAGGATGAGCCCTATAGTGTCAAAAGAAGGAATCCATTTGAGGTCCAAGAAAGCATTGTTGAGGAAAGGGTTGAAGAAGACAGACAAATCGTTAAGCATGACGAATTTTTAAAAGTGTTGGAAAGATATGAGCCAGAAGAATCTCCACATGCAAGCTTCGTTTCGATTTCTGCAGAGCCTATTAATGAAGTTGAAGAGGAAGAAGAAGTGCTGTTAAAGCATGATGAATTTCTTAAAAAAATTACAAAGCAGGATGAGAATTTTGTAAATCAGGATGGAATGAGAAGCAGCCTGCAAGAAACTGTGGAAGAGGAGGATGAAGATATAAAGGATAATTAAAGTAATTCATTTCTTTTCGCTGTACTTTAAATATACCGACTAAAATAATCTAATCAATAAAACATTGTTTCGCCATGATTGATTATTTAAAAATAAATTAATTAGATGCTCATTTGAAGAATGCATGGTAAATGGTCGCTTCCATAAATGTCAGTTCTGATGTATGCTTTTTCGATGTGTTGTTTAAAAATTTCAGAAACTAAAATATAGTCAACTCTCCACCCATATCCTTTTTCGACTGCATTAACTTTCCTTCTGCTATAGTGACTATATACTCTTAGTCCTGGATTCAAGTATCTAAAAGTATCAACCAGCTTGCACTCCTCTAATGTTGTATGGAAATTTCTTCTTTCTTCATCAGTGATGCAGTCCATTTTTTCTTTTCCTTTTATGTCATAAATATCAATATCCTCATTGATCACATTGAAGTCTCCACATCATATTACAGGCTTCTTTCTTTGAAGCTCTGCTATATAATCTCTTATCGCAAAGTCCCATTGTTGTGTTCTATAAGCATAGTCTCTACCTGCGCAAGGAAAATAAGTATTGACTAAAAAGAATTCTTTATACTCCGCAGTGAGAGCTCGCCCTTCAATATCATGCCTCTCTGTGCCTATACCATAAATGACTTGTTCAGGTTTTACTTCTGTGAGAATTGCAACTCCAGAGTAACCTTTTTTACCATGAGAGCAGTTTCAATACTTGCTAAATGAACTAGGAAGGAGCTTTTCAGCAGCCTCTATATGCTTATCCTGCAGTCTTGTTTCATTAAAACAAATTATATTAGGAGCCTCTGAGTCAATGAGATTCTGAATCCCATCTTTCATAAGCATTGATCGAAGCCCACATACGTTTCATGATGCTATCTTTATTTGTGTCTTTTCTTCTTTCTTCAGGCGTTTTACCGGCTTTTTCTTTTGTTCAGTTCTTCTTCGTTTCATATTTTTTATAAGGTCATTAAAATTATTGCCTTCTTTCCTTTTATGTTCAATATTTTCTCGATTTTCCACAAAATATCCTCCTTCTAACCTAAAATCCGATTTGGAATCCAAATTATTGAGATTCCATATTTTTCTGTTATTAAATATTGCATAGAAATTGTTTATAATATAATCGATTTTCTTTAAGTGGCTGCAAAGACTCCAAAATTTCTTGTCGCTAATTAGTGACATATTGCACTGAATATATATAAGACTTTTAAGCCCTTTAAATTTTAAAATTGTACAAAGAAATGAACTGGCTCGAGAAAATATTCCCAAATTGCTGCCAAAGCCGAGATACAAAGAAAAAGAATCCTAATAGCATGCTTGAGCAATCAGAGCTAGACATCAGCATTGTAAATTTGAAGAAAAGCCAAACTCAAGCAGAATGCCCAAGTCCGAACATGTCTGAAGAGACAAGTGGCAGCTCATTTGATTACAGGACAATCATGAAAGAAGAATATAAATTCTTCGAATCAGGCACAGAAAACTCACTGGATCAGATTTCACTCGATTCCCAAGGTAGTGTTGTTGTTCGTGAAACGAAAAATTCTATGATAAGGCTAAAACCTTGCTTTGAATGCAAAGATGTAGAAAAAAATAAAATAGAAAAGGTACAAAATGACGCACAAAACTTATTTTCTAAATTCCAGTGTGTAGTATGTGGAGGCAATGCGACTGGCTTTTGCATTGGCTGCCTTGATAAAAGGTATTGTAAATCGTGCCATATTAAAACTCATTCATCAAAATCAGTCATTCATCAGTTTTGCTCCTATAGCAGGAAGACAAAAGGCCCTTAATTTCTTTTAATTATATCTAATCACTATCTTTCACAACATTTAATATTGAGCAGTTTTATCCTAGTTTTTAAAAAATATTTTATATTACATCATAAATAAAATTCTTTTTTAGATTTTAGAAATTCCAATTGCTAATATTTGAAGGAATTTTGTTGTCTAATATATAAGAGAATTTTGAAGACAATTATTCATTATTTATAAAAAATATTTTTCCTCGCTCTTTAAGGAGTTAACTTTCGAAAAAATTGTAAAATTTAATGGATTTGTTTGCATTTAAATGGCTGAGTAAGTACATATTTATTATGATTTTATTGTATTAAAAATGATTATACAGAATTTATTTCAAAAGATATAATGATTAAAATGTTTGAAAAAACTCAAGTGGCAGTAGATAAGCTTCTTCCATAAAATTTTGAAAATGCTCAATAGAACTAAGGTTATCTATATGATGGCCGACCACTGATAAGTCGTCTATAGGCATTAATTCATCATATTCTGAACTGTCAGGAATTTCCAACTGATTCTCTTCATTCAGGATTTTTTTAGAATTTTTATGTTTTAGTCGTTTTAATATTGATGATATAATATTTGATGTCAATAAGTGATCATATTTTTTTAGTTGATCTCTATTGCCTTCAGACCCATATAGCTTCCGATACTGACGCTTCATTGAAGAGTAAAAGTGATTTTTTATTGAATTATCAGTCCGGCCAGGAAGTAATTTTGAAATTTCAGCTCATTTATTTACAAGTTCGAGATGTGATTCAAATAGGACTTTTTCTTCTTCTAGAGTTCAAGGAGTTTTATTTATTGAGGGAGCTAAGTGATTATGCCATCGTTCTCTGCATTGTTTTCCACTCCTCCCGTGAATGTTGTATTCTAAACTTAATCTTGCTGCGATATTTGCCCACTGTTGCTTGTCATTTTCTTGAACTAGCTGCTTGATTGCTTCATCCTCGTAAGGGGTTCATGGTCTTCTTTTTACAGATGTAGGGGGGATAATTTTTGCTTTTTTGGGTGGCCTTCCTCTTGGCTTGCGAAGTTTATGTTTTGTCATAACGTTAAAAAATGGTAGTAGTCTTATAACTGGAATCAATATTTAAATATTTAAATTTCGCATTATTATTAGTTAAAATAAACAAAAATGAGTGAAGATAAAAAATTTCTATGACTATTTGCCTTGATAATTGATTAATTATATCATGGATAATTTATTTTTGAAAGCCATTTAATTTTATGATTCAGCAATCAATTCTTTGAAATCAATTTTTTCGAGAATGAAATCACAAATAGATATGTATAAAAAAGGATTCGGCTGCAAATCTAATCATTTTGTGAGTTAATAAGCATTCCTGAATAAAGTTTTAAAATCTTATTTTAGGATATTTTGAGTACCTAAAGTGATGACTTATTTTTCATTTCAAAAAGAGAATGATATAATCTGCAATTGCAGATTATATATGGTTTATAAATTTATATGTAAATCAAGCGGCTCTAGCGTACTCAATTGTTGAAATGATATAAAATATTTCTTTATAGCAAATGCGCTGCTGTTTCTTACCATTGGCAATTTTATGGCATTTACTCCACATTAATTATTAAATCAAAAATACGAAACTCACAAAATTTTTTGATTATAAAAATTTGTAATAGACATTTAAAAATATTTTTAATATCAGGAAGTTGATGGCGCAGGAAAATTTACACAAAGTTAATTCATAGTAGTGCTTTAATTATATATGTCACATGTAAAACACATATTAGAACACGTAAGCTCATTAGAATTATTTTAAGATTTCTTCGGCTTGCTCGACCAGGTCAAAGGGTTTTTCTTATACCAAGGCCATGGTGGGACTACCAAGATAAGAGATACATGGTCAAGCATAGGTCGCAACCAGACACCCCCATCCCCCCTAATAAGGGAACCCCCGCACCCCCACCACCCTAAAAATGGTACCCCCCACCCCCCTTTCACAGATGGCACCCCCACCCCCCCTAAAAAAATAAAGTGTTTATCATATAGAAGTAATTGATAGGAAACAAGCGGAATAATTTAAATATAATCCAAATTAAAACACTATATCATAAATTAAGTCCATAAAGTACTTTAATATTTATGATTAATTAATAAATTTAAATTAATTAGAAAATATATTAAATTTGTTTGTTATATTTATAAATATAATGCCAAAGATATAGATAATGGCATTAATTATTAAATTAAACACAATACAATAACTTGCATTAAATTTATTGATTCATAAATTAAAGCTAATATGATGCCCATTGTACAAGGATTGCAGGACTGAATAGGTAACAGAATTCAACAGTGGGTAATAAAAATAGTATTTGCTATTGTCAGTTTTACTTCTGGATCTCTAATTCGACTCTTTAGCCATTTTCCCACAAAGTTCATAAATATATGCAGGATATACTTTAATTAATACCAAAGATCATTATTATATAACAAATTTCTTCAGATATGGTGTCTTAGTAGTTATAGGAAATTCTCACCCCATTCCACCTACTCCTTAATCGATTGTGCTCCTATGTGGATATTGTATAAATCAGTAATTTTGAATATTTAAAATAATAATTTATTTATTACGCCTGCTCTAAATTAGCATTTGTCATATATCTATGCTATATTAAAGGGGGGTGGGGGTGGGGGGTGCCATTAAAAGGGGGGTGGGGTACCACTTTTAGGGGGGTGGGGGTGTCTGGTTGCGGCCTGTGCATGACCAGATACAATTGTGGAAATCATTGCTGCATATCCTGTGTACATAAATTGCTTTGTTATGCAAGAAATAGCAAACCCAATCAAGCAGCTCACAAGAATAATAACTTTGTATAGGTACTCTGCCTTCTTCTGGCCAACATAGTCCTATGTTAATTTTACGATTTCTCCCATGATATTCCAAAATCCTCTTGCCATTTTAAAATAATTATTAAATTGTCTATGAGACGTAGAAGTTTAGAAAGCTCCGTAGAAAGGAGATTCGCACCTCAAATGGCAGAACCTATGCCAAACGACGCTAATATGGAGTCTATCATTTCAAACCTTCAGTATAAGTTAACAGGACTTGAGCAAAAATACAATCAGTTTGTAGGCCAATGTGCCAAGATATTCAAAGAAAATCAATTAAGATCTTATAATGACAGCGGCTCGGAAGACGCAAGTGCTTTGCAGCTTATGCAGGAACTGTCTTCAGAAAGAACGAAATTTGATAAAGAGCTTTACTCTCTTATAGGCTCTCAAAACAGTCGAGTTGAAACAGACATTCAAGAGATGTTTAAAAGGATTACTCAGAAAATCAGCGAAGCAAAAGATATAGCAATCCAACAATTGCCTCAGCGTGGAGACTATAGAGAGCGGGTTTCTGAAGTCTTTATTGGTCTGACTGAAAGTATATGAGCCATTATGTCTAATAAAGAAAGACAAAGGGAAACGAATAGCTGAATTCGGAATATTATGGATCTAGAAGATAATAAGCGGCAAATAGAAAGGGGCAATAAGGATTACTCAGAAGCAAAGAAATATAAAAATCTATATATTAAGATATTTGAAGAAAAGCACGATCTTGAAGTTAAGCTAAAAGAAATGCAAGAAATTCTTAACAGAAAAGGGGCTGAAGTGTCAAAATCTGAGCAAAAACTGCACCATATTCAAGGCAAGTTGGATACTCTAATGGATGAAAACGACAAACTGAGAGAAACGCTCAGTGACGCAACTAAAAAATATGCGAGACTTGAGCGGTCTTCGAGTAAAAATCGACCGAACCATTTAAGCCCTGCTCGAGATGAATTAGGAGGGTCCCATCGTTTGAGGAAAACATCTCCTAATAGCTTTAAGTTTTTCCAAGCAACTGATGGATTTAATTTAAGTTTAAAGCTTGAGCTAGAGCGAGCACATGATGAAATCAAAAGAATTCGCGAAGAAAGAGACTCCTTAAGAGCTTGAAAAGAGCAGAAATCTCAAAGCCTTACGCAAGATTATGAAAATGAAAAAGCGACTTTCCAAAAGAAGCTTAACAGTCTACAAGATCGTCTATTGAGCTTCTCAAATGTAGCAAAAAATTTAATTGAAAACAGTCTTCAAGCAGATAAAGCACAAACAGATAGAGATCCAGCAACTTTAAGGAAAACTAGCCAGATTAGAAAAGAGCTAATTCCCGTGAGTGAACAAAACCTTAGAAAAATCCATATTTTTTTGCCCAAAAACCCACCCTCCGTGAGTGAACAAAAATTTTTGTAATAGAAAAATTTTTTATGGAAAAAAGTTTTAATATATAAATGATAATTAGTATAATGAAATATAGAGCTAATTCTGTTTAATTTTAAACAAATTGCTTTTTAAAACATAAATTTTGCAAATTGAATTAATATTTGCTTTCCAATTTTTGCGAATTAGGATTTTTTTAAATTTCGAAAAAAAAATTAACCACCCTCCGTGAGTGAACAAAATTTTTTTTGTTCACTCACGGAGGGGGGAGTAAAGAAAAAAAATCCAGCAAATCAAAACTGAAAATCCTGGAAAGCAAAACATCGAGAGCCCGATGTTGAGTCCACTGGGATCTCCAAAATCTTCAAGTCGAGGAAATAGTCCAATGGTTGATGTGTCATTCTTGATCAAAACAAATAAATCTCTAGAAAAAGAAAGAACTCGCTTGGAAAACGCTGTTAGCTATGAGAGAAATCAAGCAGACAAGTATTGTGAAGCTCTTGAGCTTAAAAATCAAGAATTAATTGAAAAGGAAAAATTGATTGATGACCTCAACGAAAAAGAAAAATCTCTCCAAAATGAGCTAGAGTTGATGGAAAAAGAAAAAGGAGTAATTATTACTTAAATTATTATCGAATAGCTCCCAGGCAGCCATCTCGGCTTTTCACGTACCTTACTTCGCTCCATTACCTACTCTCCAATCCGATTCTATTGCATAAAGTCATGTGCTGCTCCCTCCGGAAGAGGGCTCACATTCACAAACGAGGAGGCAAAGATGCTGGATCACCTTACTGTATGTCAACGGGGTTGGCCTTCCCGAAAATTCAAAAATGAATTTTCTGGTAGACTATCGACCAGACTAAAACTTGTAGCCCAAGACGCAAACTCTTGGTATAGGTTTGGAAAAATATTCGATTGGCCAAGCGAGCTCTTTGGCCTTGCTGGGGCTATCCCTTTCCAGCTTCCAAGTTTCATCCTCCCTCAGGCAAAACATTGCCTTGGATTGGGTTGTGGTCGGTCACCCCAATTGCGCTCCACCAAACCAAGTAAAACCTGTCGGACTAGCCCATAGCACGCTGCTCTCCCTTCCACAAGGCCCCAGACTCCTGTCTGTCTACAGGTGTTAAAAGGGCAGGTTGGTTCGCCATATCATTTTATGTGTGAGCAATTATTGCAGACTTGGAAACGAGAGAGCTAAAGGCAAAAACTGCATTGAAAGAATTGCAAGAAGACATGAATGAGCAAATTTTTGAATTGACTCAAGAGTTAGATAGCCTCAAAGAAATTCATTCAAAATGCAAATTGATCGAAAAGCTCGAAAACGAACAAAACACATTTAAAAAGACTTTCCCATTTATGCTGAAAAACATTGAGGATATCATTAATGGAATTCATAAGCAAATTGGTGAGAAACTAAATGAAAAAAGCAGCAATCTAGAAAATCTGATCAATGAATTTTATCCCAAATTAAAATCTATCAAGTCTTCTCAAGCTGAAAGCAAAGAATACATCACCCTTTTAGAAGAAAAAGTAGAGCATCTTGAGTTTATGCTACAACAGTCTCAAGAATTAAATCTTGGGCAGATAAATGAGTTTGACGAAGATGTTCAGCAACTAGAAACTCAGAAGCTCAAGGATCAGAAGCAGTATGATCTTATATTGCAAGAGAACAGAGAATTAAGGGACATAAAAGAAAAATATATACTGTTTTATATAACCGAAAACTTTCTGTATTAAATATAGTTTATAGTTAGTAAAATAACTGCTGGCGTATATATAAGTTACAATCACGAAGGATGGTGTATTATTGTAGAAGAGCGGCTAAAATGTATGCAGGATCTACAGAAAGACGTTGATTTCATGGAAAAAGGATATAAGAGCATGTCGAAAGAAAACACTCAAAAATCACTAGAAATTGAGCAGCTGAGATATGAAAATAATGCACTGAGGGAAGAAAAACTAGAGCTACTAAAAGAAGGTGATCAGAAAGAAAAAGATATGATGGAACTGCATTCAAAATTCCAAAATGATATAAGAGCTGCTAATTTAAGCATAGAAAGACTTGTGTATGAAAATAGCTTGCTAAAGCAAAGCAAAGAAGAGCTTGATAGTATTAAAGAAACTTTGGAAAATGCCAATAAACTAATTGCAGAGTATGAGTCAAAAGAAAAAAACAATAAGTCTGCTTTGGCCGAAGAAATAAACGACCTAAAGAGATCTCTAAAAGAAATCACTGGAAAAAATAATGAACTGAAGGCTTACTCAGAGAAATTAAATGGTCAACTTAAAGATTGTAATGAAAAGCTTTCTGGAGCGCTAAACGAAAATAGTATTTACCAAGAAATAATTGATGAACTGAAAAAAGGAACAATTCAAGAATTACAGGAAAATCTAAAATCAAGTAGTAAGAAGCTCCAAGATTGCAAATCCAAAAAAAAAGTGTACAAGACCCGCAATAATGATTTGCAGAAGGAAATTGCCAGTCTGCTTTCGAGTTCAGAAAGTATAGAATCGATACTCAAAGAATCACAGTTAAATGAGAGTCAGTTGAATTCTCAGATTAAAAACTTGGAAATGACAATCGCAGGAAAAGAAAAAGAAATTGAGAATTTGAAAGTTCATATAATTGCGAAAGAGGCTCAAATTGAAAGCCTCACTAGTATTGAGAGCCAAGCAACTGATGAAACTAAAAAACAATTAGCTGTATTGCTAGAACTAAAGCAGAAATTAGAGAATGAAATTAAAATTGCTAATTTAAAAAGCAACGAACAGCTAGAAGAAATTGAAAAATTGCGAGAAGAGATCAAAACTAAAAAAGATGAAAATAACAATCTCGGTACTATAACTAGCTTGAAGCTTGCTGAAATTTTACAACTCAAGTCAGTAGCTGGCTCTAAAGACGAAGAAATTGCAGAGCTAAAGCACAGCTTAAATAATGCTGAATCTGACTTAATTATTAGAGAGAAAGAAATAGAAAAATTGCATAAAAACATTCAATCTCAAGAAGAGCATATTACTGAAATTAAATCTTTGTATGAAGATAAAATTAAGCATCTCGAAAATGAGCTTGAGATAAAAATTCAAGACAGCAAAAATTCATTAGCATATTTACAGCAAACCAATAAACAACTAGAAGAAAAAAATACTGCCCTTGGAAAATCAATACAAAAATTAACTGATGAAAAAGACCAGCTTTTATCATCTCTCTCATCAGCTTCAGAAAACATTTTCCATTTGAATGGAAAATTAAAAACATCTTCTGAAGAGTCTGCTAGTTTATTATCTCTTACTCCCCCCCTTTAAATTGGAACAAAATATAGGTAAAATTTCCACTTTTTTGGTAAATTAAACCCCCTTTAAATTGGAACAAAATTTAATTTTATAATAAAAAAATTTATATATAAAAATCATAATTTTTATGTAGAAAGATTTGATATAATTTAAATGTTTCTTCTTAACTAGAATTAAAAATTTAGTTATATCTTGCTCTTGTTTATAGAATAGAGTATAAAGAGCATCTTAATTAAATAAATTTATTAGTCTTAATTGCTAAATTTTTAAAAAATAAATTTAATTTTTTTTTTTAAAAAATTTTCAACAAAATTTTTTTATTTTTTTGGATATTTTTTATTTAAATTATTTTCATATAAATTCAATGCTAATTCTTTACAATAATTGAAAATTCACTTATTTCTTGCTTTATTTTAAAGAATAGAGTATAAATGGCATCTTATTTAAACAAAATTAGCACTTTGATCCATAAATTTTCTAAATTTTTTTTTTTTTAGTTTTTTTTTATCAATAAAAAATAATAATTTTTGTGTAAATAGTTTTGATACCAATTAATAGTGGCGTATTAATTAATAATAAAAATTAGTTATATCTTGCTTTGATTTAAAGGATAAAGAGTTAAAAGCATTTTATTAAACAAATTTATTAATCTAATTCGATAAATTTTTGAAAATTTTTTTTTTATAAACAATTTTATATTGATTTTTTTTAAAAAAATTTTCTTAACCCCCCTTTAAATTTGAACAAAATTTTTTAGTTCCAATTTAAAGGGGGGGGGAGTTAGACAAAATATAGAAGAACTAAAATCGCAACTTAGTGATTCAGAAAGCTCAATAAAAGCTCTATTAGATACTAACTCCCTTCAGTGAGCGAACAAATAAAATTTTGTCCACTCACAGAGGGGGTTAATTTTTTTTTAATATATAAATTTTATTGTAAAAATTTGTGGTCTAGTAATTCGCAAAAATTGAAAAATAAAAATTAATTTAACTCGTAAGCTGTATACAATTCAGCAAAAATAACTAGTTATTTCACTATACTAATTATCACTTATATATCAATATATTTTCTCCAAGAATAAGGATTTTTTCAATGATTGCTGACTCACGGAAGGGGAGTAAGAAAGCTCTGAAAAGTAGAAATGATGAGCTAGAAAAGCTAGAAATAGAGAAAACAATTTTGATTGAAAAACAAAAACTCTCTATTCAAAATCTGCAAGGCCAGATTCAAGAAGCTGTGAGTCAGAACAGCAATGGAGAAGGAAAGCTGAGAGAAGAATTAAATTTAAGGAATGATGAAATTTTAGAGATAAATGCCAGAATAAGAGAACTTGAGGAAAAGGTAAAAGAGTTATCACAAATCAGAGACAATTTGAAGAAAGAACTTGACGCAAAAGCGAATGAGAATCTAGAAAAAGATAAAATTATAGAAAATAAGCAGACTTTGCTTGATAATGTGTATCATTCCTTAACAGAATCGAATCAACTTGAAAAGGATGAGTTGAAAAAGGCAATAGATACGCTAAAAGGGCAGGTTTCAAAGCTTGCAAATGAAAAAAAATTAATAGGAGAAGAATTGTCAGAAAAGAATGCATTAATTCAAAAATTAACTCTTAAAAATCAAGAACTCACAAAAGAGTGTGAAGAGAGCATAATTAATGTCAATAATCTATCAAAAACAGCTAAAGAAACTCAAGAAAGGCTACTTGATGAATTAAAGACAATTGAAAAGAGAGCAAAAGAACTCGAAAGCAATTTAAAGTTAAAAGATCAAGAGATCAAGGAGCTTTCTCAAGTAATTGCCCATGAAAAAGGATTAAATGAAATTAAAACAAAAGAAATAGACGATCATGAACAAAAGGAAAATCAGCTAATAAAAGAGAATAACGAATTAAAGTTGAGCATTTCTCAGTTAGAGTCAACAGTTATTGACAAGACCGAGACAATTGAAAGCTTTCAACTAGAAATTTCAAGCTTAAAATCGTTTAAAGAAAGCCTTGAAGAAAAAAATTCTAAAAAAGAAAAAGAATTAAACGAAGTCAAACTAAAAATTAAAGAATCGCAAGAAAACAATGAAATTAAAATAAATATTTTAAAGGCTAGTTTAGAGAAAGCCAATTCAGAACTGCAAACTGCTGAACAAAAAAACAGGGAGCTTCATAATAAACTCAACTCAGATCAAAGTCCCCAAAAATCAAGCCAGAGGGACGCTGATGAAGCTGAAGATCAAGTAAGAGAAGCTTTGAAACACACCATTAACAAAATCGAAAATGAAAAAAATGAAATGCAGACTGAGTATGAAGACAGGATCGCAAAACTAGAAAAAGAATGCAGCAACTTAAAGCTTCAAAAGAATTTCATAGAGATTGGCTTAGAAGAAACAGGCAAACAATTTCAAACAATAAAAGAAAAATATGAGCAATTGTTGAACGAAAATAAAAAGAGAGCTGAAAATGTAATTGAAGAGAAAAAGGAAAGGCACTCGGATATTGTAAAAAATGATAATGAGTTTAAGCTTGACTCAAATCAGCCTCAAAGAGCTTCAATTGACAGCAAAAAGGAGGACATGAATTTAGAAACTGAAATTTCAAATATTGCTGTTGATATTCTTGAGAACCCTCCCTTTACTATTGAAGTCCAGGATGATCTAACAATTATAAAGCAGGCAATTGAAGTTCTTATTCAAATTAAAGAGATTGTGAAAAATGAAATTCTTGAAGGGGACGTAGTTTTGCCTGAAGTTCTGGTTATAGTCCTTAACGACTATAAAAATAGAATTAAAGATTTAGAAAGCCAAAGCATTGAACCCCAGAAATTGCAACAGCAGCTAATGCCAGGGATTTCAAATAAGGACCAGCTTCCTTTAGAATCTATTCCCGAGGATAATGATAGTGCTGTTTTTGAGTCTTGCTCAAGAGTTCTGGTAAAATCAATAAGAATTGATTCAATAATATGGAAACTATTTAGAACGGTCGATGGAAATTTCGATTGGGAGCCTGAAGAAGCATCATCTCTCACTCCAGAAGAGGCAATCGATGAAGATCTTGATAAGATTAAAGCTGAGCTTGGTGATTACTTTAAAGAGGGAAGCATCATAAAATCCATTCGAGAGCTAAAAGTTTCATTAGAAAAATTAAAAGAAAACAAAAACAGCCGTTCAAGCTTTTCATTCAATGAAGACCTTGAAATCATGCCAGAAGCTGAAGGCGAACACCTCTCTTTTGACTCATTGTCATTCCGCAATGAATTTGGGCCAGGTCTTGGCCTAGCCCCAGTTAAAGAAGAAACTGAGCATGAGACCTCAGAAGATAAAATCAAGCTAAAAGAAGAGCTTGAAAATTGTCTGCAGGAATTAGAAAATGTAAAAAATGAACTTGCCAAAAAAATATTAAAAATTCAAGAAAAGAAAAGAGATATTGAAAGGCATGAAGAACAAATTTTAACCCTCAAAGTGCAGCTTCGAGAAACAGATGAGAAGCTGCAGCATGCAAATACAGTGGATACCGCTTATCTCAAAAGGCTTTTCCAAGAGCTTATAAAGGGAATCCCACCACTTTCACAGGAAACTGAAAAAATTGTGAAGATATTTTGTGGGATTCTTGGTTTTACCCCGAGCGAAGAAAATAGCATAAGCATGGAGAGGAAAGGCAAGAGAGGCAAAAGTGTTTTAAGTTTATTTAGATAAAATTATGTGAATTTATAATAAATGTCCAAGGATGCTTTAGTAGTCAAGCTTCTAATAAATTTCATAAGCAGATTTCAAAGATTTTGCTTCCTGCATAATTATTGCGATTAATTGCCTATTAATGACCCCTTGAAATTTTGGTTTTATAGCTAAACTAATCAACATATGGCTATTCTTAATATTTAGCAATGGCTACTCCACTCGTTAGACAGCACAAAATCAAGAAGCACAGAAGACAATTCTGGAGATTCCAAAGTGACAAGTTTAAGAGAGTAGGCCGAAGCTGGAGACAACCTCACGGTATCGATAACAGAGTCCGCCGAAAGTACAGAGGAAATCAGGATATGCCTGGAGTTGGCTTTGGAACTGACAAGACAACAAGATTCGTCCTTCCAAATGGCTTCAAAAAATTCCTTATCCATAATGAGAAAGAACTTGAGGTCCTCCTCATGCACAACAGATCTTTCTGTGCTGAATTAGCTCATTCACTAACGCTCCTTTAAAATATTAAAATATTCAAAAAAAGAAATAATTTTTTTTTCTTTTTGACAGAAAAAATCATTTTGAAAAGGTAAGCACAAGAACCAGAAAAAGACTCATTGAGAGAGCTGCAGAATTGGACATCAGAGTGACAAATGCAAGTGCTCGCTTAAGAACTGAAGAAAAGAAATAAGTTATCTTTACTTCCAAATAAGTTTATTTCCAAAATAAAGCATTTTATTATTACTGTCCTCCTATAGGGAAATTTGACTTCTTGATGGCGTCTTCATACTTTACAGCAATTTTCAGCTTTGTTATCAGTTGCTTGGCAGGCTCTAGAGAAGGCACCTTGACGTCTTCTGGTTTCATTTGAGTAGCTGGCTTGCAGAGCTTTTCCACGATCCCCATGCCTTCAAATCTTTCCTTTTTGTCTTTTAATTCGTTTAGTGTTTGCCTAATCCCGCTGATTTGGTCAGATATCTCTGTTTGAAGCTTTTGTATTTCTTGGCCCTTAATAAGGTTTGTAACTTGCTCAATGCAAGCTTTGGTGCCATCTTTAATACCTTTAATCAACAATTTTTCAGCTTTTTTTAGTCCTTCAATATGTCTTTCCCCACACTGGTTTATTTCTAACAAGTTTGTATTTAAATCTTGCATCACAGCCAGTCATTTGTTTTGAATAGCTTGGAGCTCTTTTTCCTGCTCATTAATCAAAGCTTTTTTGCTATCAGCCACTTCAGAGGCTTTTGGATCCGTAAGCATAAAAGCATTATGGTCTTTATGCTCAAAAACGCATGCCCCACACAGCAGCATTTCATGGTCTTTACAATATCCTACAATTTCATGCTTATGTTTAGGGCAAGTTTCTTTCTGAACCATTTTATGAGCTTCAGCAATTTCTAGGATCGCATAATTTACAGGCAAACTTTCTATTTCATTAAAACTCATAGTTCTGCATACTGGACACTTTAATATTGATGAATCTTCATACATATTTTGCAGGCAGATGATGCAAATTGTATGTCCACAGCTTGGCAATAGCAGCGGAGAATAGGGAGCTTGGTTAAAAATTTCAAAACAGACCGGGCAGGTTCCAATGTTTCTGCCTTGTTTTGAAGAAGGCCGAAGTGGGTAGACTTTTGGAGCTTCCTTTGGGCCTTTGGCAGCTTGAAAGCTGAAGACAGTTGCGTTGAGCTCTCTGCTTGGAAAGTGAATGTTTCGGTGGTTAGTTTGAAGGATCCTTAAAGCTTCGTTTCGAAAATAGTGCCTTTGAGGAAGGGCGGGCTGATTATGCCTCGGCATTGCTGCATAGTTAGTCCTGTTGAACTCTAGAAGATTGGCTGCAGGAGATGTATCTCTTGATTCTGATGGAATTGGTGGCAATTCAATATTATCACCTAGAGATGACAATGAACTGGAATTTGAATGGTTTGCCATGTAATGCATTGAAAATGGCAATTCTTCATCTGAGTTGGATAAATCGTGTGGCAGATTGTTAGCGATTGATTCGATCAAAGTAGATCTTCGTGAGTTTGTTTGGGATCGATTGATTAAAGATTCATAAACTTCACAGCAATCCAAATGATGGTGCAATTCAGATCCCGTTAAGTCTTGTTCACAATAAGGGCAGTAGTCTCTATCACCTTGATTTACTTTTAATTCTTCGAATGAAAATGTAATTGGCCGTTCCATCTTTCTTAATATTAGTCAACTTGATGAGATTTTTTAATAAATAAAATGCATTGATAGTCTCTTAATCAAAGACATAAATTAAATTTTATTTTTGCTTAAAATTATTCATTTTGGTAAAATCATTTCAATTAGTCTATTTTTGAAATTAAATAAGAATGTTTATATCATTATAAGTTTAATAATTTGAGATCATTTTGATTTATTTTTTATATTTATTTGATAAGATATTGCATTCTATTCTAAATTATATGACTTGAGTATTTCATATAATCTACAAATATTAAATGGAAGCATAAATAAACTAAAGCCCTTCTATAATTATCAAAAAAAATATTGTAATTATTTGAATATCTTACTCCCCCCCCCCCCTCCGTGAGCGAACAAAAAAATTTTGTTCGCTCACGGAGGGGGGTTAAATTTTTTTTTTTTAAAAAAAATTTATATATAAATTTTATAAAAAATATTTTTTTCGAAATTTAAAAAAATCCTAATTTGCAAAAATTGGGAAGCAAATATTAATTTAATTTGCAAAATTTATGTTTTAAAACGCAATTTGTTTAAAATTAAACAGAATTAGCTCTAGATTTCATTATACTAATTATCACTTATATATCAAAATTTTTTTTCCATTAAAATTTTTTCTATTAAAAAAAATTTTGTTCACTCACGGAGGGTGGGTTTTTTTTGGTCAAAAAATGGCGATTTTTCTAATGGTTTTTGTTCGCTCACGGAGGGGGGGGGGGGAGTTAGAACTATTTTAAATTATTTTCTTTTTAAAATTTTATTTATTTTTGAGGGGTTTTTAATTTTATTTTTTTGCTCTAAATAATTGATAAATTTTCATAAATTTTAATTTTCTTCAAATGTAACACAATTCAAACTGCATTTGGCGGTAAATGATAAACCAGAGTATATAAATAATATATGTCAGTGTGCCATTATAAAGAAATATATAATGGATATGATCGAAAGCCCTATAAAAAGAAGCTCAACACTGCCTGATCTCTATCCTGCAAAATTGAAGCATTCTCCAGCCTTAAAAGCTGTTTCAAAGCACATAAAGCTGCCCACAGAAAGGCCACTCAAACTGAAGCCTTTGAATAGCCTTATTATTAGTAAGCCAACAAAACCAGTATTATCAGTTTCAAACAAGGCCACTTGGGACCTTCGCGCATCATATTCAATGGGAGACCTAAAGCTTGGAAAATGCTTGGGGAGAGGAACCCAAGGAAGAGTAGTCTTAGCTACTATAAAAGACAAGGAGTGCGCTGTAAAAATAATGCACAAGGCCGAAAAGAAGGCAGGCGAGCTCGAATGAAATATCCTTAGCTCAAGCAAATCCCCATTTCTTATAAGCAGCTATGGAAAAATAAATGATAAAGATCACATGTATCTTATTTTGGAATTAATGGAAGGTGGTGATTTGTTCCATCTTATCAGAAAAAGAAAATTAAATCCCACAGAAATTTCGTTTATTTGTGCAGAAATAGTTTTGGTATAATTAAATATGACGTCTTCGTCTGGGCATGGCCTCCCGGCCATGCAGCCTCGACTCATATTTAATTATATCCGGCAAAGTTGTACCATTCTAGAGATGGACGGCAATACTAGGTAAGCAATTCTGGTAGTGTTTCAGAGCCTAGTCCTAGTCTATTCTCAGGGGTGGATTTTTCCTCGTGGGGAAGGAGGGCATGGAGTTGGAAAGGGGAAGCTCATAAGAGTCCGTTAGGACCAATCGGGCAACTCCCTAGCGTGAAACTGGGCGTTACGTCCCAGGCTACGTGTTTTTCCTTTTTGCCGATAGCCGACCAGAAAAATCCATTTTTTGGGTTTTTCGGAAAAGCAAACCATGTATCAAGCAAGTAGCTCATCCATGAGCCGTCGAAGCCGGAACACTTTCCCGAGAAGCACCCAGGTGGTCGAATCAGGCCATCCCCAGCGACCTGTGGGCTCGATGCGACGCAAGGCGAGTGATAGTGCCTGGGGTTGTTACCCCGTAGTGGACGTTAAGCGTTATAAATTCTATAAGATAAGATAAGAAATAGTTTTGGCCCTTGAGCATCTCCATAGCTTAGGGGTAGTTTATAGAGACTTAAAACCCGAAAATGTAATGATTGACTCATCTGGACACATTAAGTTAGTAGATTTTGGCTTGTCAAAAGTTATTGGAGATGAGCGAGCATGTACAACTTGTGGATCTCCAGAATACATGGCTCCTGAGGTTATAAGGAAGCAAGCTTATTCCTATAGTGCGGATTGGTGAAGTTTCGGAATCCTCGTGTATGAGCTATTTCATGGATATACACCATTTAAAGGAGAAACGAGTGCTGAAACTTATGAAAACATTTTGGAAGGTGAAATCAGCTTTTCCAGAGTTGATATTGTAGCTGAAAATTTCATTAGGAGTTTATTAAACCCGGATCCTAAATTAAGACTTGGTCACTCGGAAAGTGATATTTTTAGAATAAAGCGTCACAGTTTTTTCAGAAAAATTGACTGGGCTGCTACACAAGAGAAATCGCAGTCTTTATTGAATAAGAATCATTAAATGATTCAATAAGTACACTAAAATAAACAATAAAATATATTAATTTCATTTTCAGCTAATGACAATAATCTAGTTTTTAACATAAAATTTCTACTTTCAGCCTTTTTTTAAGCACAATCTTAATTCTGCAATAGGTTAAATTAGATGTGTCATTAAATTTAGAGTCTCCTACTATAATACACTAAAAAGAGGCGATTTATCTTCTGTCATGTCCTGCCTAAAAGCTTCTAACTCTTCTTCTATTTCATCGACACTCAAAATTTCGCTTTCAGATTCTGATGCTGCAACTTGTCTTTTCCCGGGTAACTCCAGCAGTGAGTCAACCATTTCATCATAATCCTTTATGCTTTTTCTCTTTTTGGTACTGCAGATAAGACTATTGTATTTAGCGTTTGCTTCCTTAATGCTAGCAGTTGCCGAGCAGTCTGTGATCAAAAGCCAATTATTGAAGCTGAGCTTGAAATTAGCAAAAAGTCTGTTTAGATGCTGCTCAAAAGGCTCCATATCGTCGTTCATACTCATTTTTGCAAGATAGGCTGTATAAATAATCAAGAGTCTGGGCTTGATTGATCTGTCTTCCATTGATGCGCTTTCCAAAAGTACTGCTCAGTATAAAATCTCTATTTGATTCAGTAGAAGGAGATCAGCAATTGAATTAATCATTGAATAAACTTTCTTGCAGCATCAAGATAGATTAAGATGGGATTCTAATGCTAGTTTTTTTAGTAATTGCTGTCTTATATAGCTTACACCTGAAGCATGGAATTCTCGATAAAGTTCATTGTAAACTAATAAAAAAGGGGTTTGAGGGGGAGATTTGAGAATTGCTGACTCAGCAAAGTCAAGGGGGGAGAATAGTGAGTCACTTGAGCGGATATTGCATTCAATGTTCAAGCCAAAGTTTCTAATTCTTGATACCATTTATATTTCTTTTATGCTCATTGAATATGGAATTATTTTTATCAATGCCTTGCCGAGTTCAAATCTGTTTCAATTACAACTCAGCTTGCAGCCTTAAATTATTGGCTTATTTATTATTGTAATTAGCTCTCAATGGACTAAACCTTATACTTAAATTAATTTGTTTAGTCGGCTTAGATAATAAATTCAACCTGCTTTAACTCTACGTTGTTAATATTTTCATCTTTATATTGCGGTATATATATAATTCATGCTATTTTAGCATTAATAAGCACACTTAAATCACTTTTGCTTTATCTTGCTAATGAATTATTTTTTTGAAATTAATAAAATTTCTTTTGATTATTCTAGAAATAAAAAGATCGTTAGTTATTTAAAAAACTCTCTTACTGGGCTTTCTTTGAATAAATTTCATAAAGCATTCTTGTTTCGACCAATATTGCCATAAAATAGACCACAGCAACCCAAGCAGTTAGCATGATTCCAATCGGACTTCTCTGCCATAGAGCATATCCAAAGAAAGTCAAGGAGGAGCCCCAATACATCGGGTCCGCACAAATCGAGAAAGGAAAAGTCACAATTGGCTCGTTATGTATAAAAATTCCAAAGTAGTCACCAAGGAATGTGGCATAAAATCCAAGTTTGTAATATGATGTGAGGACAAAGAATTGTCCTAGCAGTATACTAAGCCAAGCAATAAAATCTATGAATATATTTGCAGTCTCAAATTTGGGCTGGCTGTTCATGGCTTCTTGGAAGCAGTATCCTCGAGTAATGTTCAATACTAAGATTAAAATTGCTGATGCAATGATTGCTATTTTTTTGCGCTTGCAAAACAGCATTGAAATAAGATTGGATCTGTACTCAACCTGTGCGATTGCGTTCCATACTACTGGATTCAGAGCAATCATACCAATTGCATGGAGAACTGTAGGATGGTTATAATTAATTAAATCCATTTTTGTATATTCACTTAATTTTTATCAAAACGCTTAGCGGGCTGAAATTAAGCGTTTATATATAGATTGAAGAAATAAATCATTCAAATGGCATTAAATATTTTATACCATTATAGATTAAATTAGAGAGAAATAGGATATAAAATGCTCCAAACATCATCCCGCCAAGCTCAGTTTAAGCCAGGATAAATATGGATGAGAGAGATTGTAAGTAATAAATAGCTGAAGAAGTTCCATCACTAGATTTAGAAGAAAAAGAGGAAGGCACTAATTGAATTGAATGATTTTGCAATATTGATGGTCACGAATTCTTCTGCCAAGTCCCTGAAGACTTTATACGCAATTCTTTTAATTTATATGGCTTTCGCTCTCTAATCCCTCGATTTGACGAGGCAATTCACATGATTCTTTCAAAGGAAGTCCCAGATGATGAAGACTTCGATAATGAAGTATTCATGGGCGTATATCAATCAGCAATTGATTTATACGGACAAATTCATGCAAGATTTATTCGATCTCCTTTAGGATTAGCCATAATGAAAGAGAAATACTTGTCAGGGGAATTTGGGATATGTCCTAGAGCTTTATGTGATGGCCAAAACGCACTTCCGCTTGGGGAATCTGAAGAGTTAAGAGAGTATGGAGTTAGGCTATTTTGTCCTAAATGCAAAGAAGCCTATATTCCATCGAGAAGGTACGAGAATGTTGATGGAGCCTGCTTTGGGATGTCTTTTCCACATATATTATTAGAAACTTACACAGATTTGTATATATATGAGAAAGGGGAAGAGTTTATCCCAAAGCTGTATGGCTTTAAAATATATGGGCACAGAGGCTCTGAGTACTATGAGGAGCCAATTGAAATAGAGGAAGAAGAAAAATTTGTTGAGGAGGCTAAAGAAGCTGTCAATTAATTATGAAGAGCTTTAAATAATTGAAATGGGTAGGCTGAAGCAAAAGTTAAAAAATATGCTAAAGTTAATAAATAAACTGCACATTATTTCATAAAGAGCCAACAAAAATTATTTAAGTGCACGCGGCATATTTAATTGAAGCTCGACACTTTATTATAATAAGTTATTGACTTATAGTTGTTTTGTGATTCGGCTGTACTTCAGATTCTTCGTCATCGCTTTCCTGTATGCTATTAGTAGAACTTTCTGAACCCAGCAAACTAAGAAAGGTTGGACTTTTTATTAAAATCGATGTCGCTGATGGCTGGATTTGCATGACAGGCGCATAATAAAGTCTACAAGCCTTGTAACTCAAATTTATTCTGCTTATCTTAGCTACCCTTGCGACATTCCTGGCGTATGCGAACAACCCCATATTTTTATGATTATAATTTTCTGCATGAATTATCTTATTTAAATCATATAAAATTAACTATGGAATACCCTCCTCCTGTGGAGATCAGGATCGAAACCAGAGTATTGCCTAAGACCAAGAAAAACCTTGAGGAGCAGGCAAAACGAGAAGCCTATGAAAAGCAGCTGGAAGAAGAAAGAAAACAGCAAGAAAAACTCAATCAGGCCCAGCAGCAGAAACTTCAAATGGAGAAGTTTGAAAAAGAAAGGCATAAAATTGAGCAGGAAAAGAAAAGACATGAAGAAGAACGCAGAAGGAAAGAAGAAGAGGAACAAAAGAGCACACTCGAAGGGAGGCTTGCCAAGTTTGTATCAGATCTTACGCATAACCAGACACCATCAGAGTTTTCTTTATCAGGGGTAGAAATGAGCAATGTGAGGTGGAGGATTTTGGCAAGCTGCTTAAAAAAGAACCTAACACTGAAAGATCTTCACTTGTCGAGAAAAGGAATAACCGACGAAGAAGGCGAAGAAATAATCAAGAGTCTCAAGCACAATAATACGTTGGAAAAGCTGGAGATGGAAGGAAATCAGCTGGGGAAAAGCAGTGCGAGACAAATTGGGGAATATTTAGCGACTAATGATAAGTTGAAATATTTAGACCTTGAAGGAAATGAGCTATATGATACTGACATTGTGGATACCACAAGTATTATTGCTTTAGCTGAAGGAATCAAGAAGAATCAATGCTTGATTTCGCTAAATTTAAGCTACTGTAATCTAGATCGAGAATGTGGCCGAATACTAGCCCAAGCTATGCGTGAAAACCAAACCATAATCCACTTCGATTTCAGAGGCAATGAATTTCCACTCGAAATTGTACGAGACATCACAAACAGCTTAAAAAGAAATAAAGAGCTCTACAATATGTATAGACTTGAAGAATGGAAAGAAAGAAAAATAGCTCACAGGGAAGATGAATATACTGAAATGATTGACATCACTTTGCAGCAAGAACATATCAAGAAAATGAGTAAGAATTATTATAGACATTATCAGCAGAGAAGAAGCAGGAAAACGAGAAAAAGAAAGCAGGTGGGAAGAAGAAAGGCTCAAAAAAGAGTATGAGATGAAGAGAGAAATGGAAAAACTCATGAACGAAGCCAAGAAAAGACAAGAAAAAGGCAAGAACAAGAAAAGAGGCAAATCGAAGAAGAAAAAGAAGTAAACTCGTATTTTAAGTTATTAAATGCAGCAATTTACTCTAGACCTTTGCGTTAGCTGAGGAATCAGCACATTTCCAAAACTTTCGTTGGTTTTCATTCCTTTGTGAGTTCTTGATTTTACAGAGTATATTTCTATATGCCATTTACCTTGGAGAAGATTTTCAAACGCTTCCCTGACTCTTGTAACAGTCACAGCACTAGTTTCTTCAAACAGCATCCCATGTTCCTGACTCCCCCCCTCCGTGAGTGAACAAAAAAATTTTGTTCACTCACGGAGGGTTAATTTTTTTTTTTAAAAAAAATTATATATAAATTTTATAAAAAATATTTTTTTCGAAATTTAAAAAAATCCTAATTCGCAAAAATTGGAAAGCAAATATTAATTTAATTTATAAAATTTATGTTTTAAAAAGCAATCCGTTTAAAATTAAATAGAATTAGCTCTAGATTTCATTATACTAATTATCATTTATATATCAAAATTTTTTTCCATAAAAAATTTTTGTATTAAAAAAATTTTTGTTCACTCACGGAGGGTGGTTTTTTTGGGCAAAAAATGGAGATTTTTCTAATGGTTTTGTTCACTCACGGAGGGGGGGGAGTGAGCAAATTTTTGCCCCATTTCTGTGCTCACTTTTTTCATAAGCGGTGTAGTTTGACACAAATCGATTTTATTTCCTACTAGCATAATAACAATATCTTCTTCGGCATTTTCCTTTAGATCAGCCAGTCATTTTCTCAGATTAATAAAAGATTTTTCACTAGTAACATCGTAAACAAGCAAAGCCCCAACTGCTCTTCTATAATGTGCACTGGTAATTGATTTATACCTTTCTTGTCCAGCCGTATCTCATATCTGCGCACGAACAGTACCGCCTGATAATAAGGGAACAGTCCTGGTGGCGAATTCTACTCCAATTGTTGAAGTAGGGTTCTTTGGCAAGGTTCCTTTTATGTAGCGCGAGAGAAGATGAGTTTTCCCAACCCCTGCTTCTCCTACTAGCTTGCCCTATTATTAAAAATGTTTATTCGAATTCCAAAAAATACAAATTATTAATATGTGAAATAAGGAAACTAATTTATTTATTAAATTTATGTTTTTGAATATAAACTGCCTTAAGCTTAACGGAACTAGACTGAGAATTATTATAATCGTTATTATTTATATAAGAAAATGCCAAAAAAAAATTATTTGAAATTTTTTGCTTACTCATTGAAGAGGGGCTAGCTCTCCCCTTTGTTAGCTTTCAAAAATTATTTTAATATAATTTTATTATAAAAAAAATATATTTTAATATATAATTAATAATTTCAATAATTAAGTCTCAAGCAAATTATATTAAATTTTAGACAATTTTATATAGATAATCTGAGTCTTCGTCTTGAGAGTCTTGCATATATGAAATTTATAAGTTGAATATCTGAAATTTGGATTTATAAATGGCAGCCAAAGACATCAAGAAAATCGTCAATATTCTGGCTTATGCAGGAATTGCAAAACCAACTGCCAAGCTAGGCCAAGCTCTAGGGCCACTTGGGTTGAATATGGCTCAGGTTTGCAAGGAATTAAATGAAATGACGAACCATATTCGCACAGAAACACCAATCAAAGCCAAACTCTATGCAAGATTCGACAAAACTTATACAATTGAGCTCCAGTCACCTCCTACAAGTTGGATGATAAGGAGAGCTGCAGGAATTGTTGTAAAATTCAATTAGAAAGGATCGCCTGCTCCTGGGCATGAAGATGTAGGGGTAATCTCTGTCAAAAGCATTTATGAAATCGCAAAGCTTAAGCAAGAAATGGATAAGGAATTCCAAAAAATTAGTTTACAAAGTATTTGCACTGTAAAATATATGTAGCAAATTGTAGGAACTTGCAAGTCTATGGGCGTGAGAATAGTGGAAGAAAGAACCAAGCCTAATTCAAGAAGAATTCTTGTTAGAAAAATAGGACAAAAATAATAGGCTAATAAGTTTCTATTCTAACTCTCATATTAGATAGTAAACATGCATTTTGCACGCAAATGAAAAATAATATTAAAAAATGAATAGAAAAATTGTGGGATAATTAAATATAGATTTGTCGATGCTAAAAAGAAGGAGGTGTAAAAGTTTTTAAGTTTTATAATAAATATTAAACTGATATTTGCATGAACTAAATAAAGAAAAGAAGAAAGTTGAATGAAGCTGATAAACTGGCTAGAATTATAAATCCAGCTAAAAAATTCCAAACTACCTCAAATAAATATTTATGCATCTCTCTTCTCCAAATTCTATAAGTAGTGAACCAAAATATTTAATTAGTTTTCTTTCCATTGCTTTTCTTTGGCTTTTCTCCCTCTGAGCTTGAATCTTCATATTCTTCTGACTCTTCCGCGCTGCTTTCAGGCTCCTCCTCTCCCTCTCCCTCACTTTCACTTTCTTCGCTAGCGTTTTCTTCTAATTCCTCTTCAGAGCTGCCTTCTTGTTCCTCCGTATGCCTCTCTCTGAACTTTATATACCCAGCTAAATCAAAATCTTCATCTTCTCCGTGTTCTCCCTCATCAGATAATAATGGCGGTTCTTCTTCGGATGACTCTGAAGCGTTAGGAGCGAAATCTTCATCTGAACTTTCTCCAGCTTCTTCTAAAATTTTTGCTTTTTTTGCAGGTTTTGGCTCATTTTTGCCATTGGCTTGGGTAGTTCTCTTTGCTGGGGTTGGTTCTTTGCGTTCTCCTGACATTTTGCTATTTAATATATCGAAAAGAAGTGTGGAGTAAGATAAAGCAAAAAAAATAATAAAAACTCCTTAACCCGCATAGCTTACACAGAGTTTTATATAACTCCACCCCATCCTTGATCGAACGACTCGCCATCGTTCGATCAAGGATGGGGGTTAAAAAAAAATTTTTGGGAAAAAAAATTTATATATAAAATAAAAAATATATATATTTTTTTTTATTTACTTTTGAATAAGATGGTTAAGAGTATTTAATAATTATTTTTACAGCAAAAAAATTGATTTATTTCATAAAAATACCAATATATAATATCTTGATTTATTAGTTACCCATTTAAACTGTATAAATTTTAATTTGTTCCTTATTAAATTAATTTTTTTTTTTTAATTTTTAAAGAATCTCTATTTTATTAGATTATTGAGTTTTTAAGCCCAGGTTGATGACTAACTCCCCCCCCATCCTTGATCGAACGACTCGCCATCGTTCGATCAAGGATGGGGGTTTAAAAAAAATTTTTTTGGAAAAAAAATTTTATATATAAAGTGAAAAAGATATATATAGATTTTTTTTATTTACTTTAAACAAGAGGGTTAAGAGTATTTAATAATTATTTTTACAGCAAAAAATTGAATTAATTTCATAAAAATACCAATTTTTAATATTTTGATTTATTAGTTACCCTTTTAAACTGTATAAATTTTAATTAAAATTAAATATTATTTTAAAATTTTAAAGAATCTTTATTTTATTAGATTATTGAGTTTTTAAGCCTAGGTTGATGTCTAAATCACTTCGGATGGTTGATTTCGCAGCTTTCTGTCGTCTCAAAGCTCTGAAAATAACTTCATTAGGCACATCTTCCAAAGCATTTGATAATTAATATTTTTTATATATATAAAAAATTTGCATGATATGAAAATCGTTCGATCAAGGATGGGGGTTAATTTCCCCAATTTTTAGGAATTTTTACAGTCAATCGTTCGATCAAGGATGGGGGGGGGAGTAAAGCACTTCGGATGGTTGATTCTGTAGCTTCATATCGTCTCAAAGCCCCTGATAGCAATTTCATTATGTACATCTTCCCAAGCTTTTGATAACTAATATATTTTTATATATATAAAAAATTTGCATGATATGAAAATCGTTCGATCAAAAGGATGGGGGTTAATATCCCCAATTTTTAGGAATTTTTACAGTCAATCGTTCGATCAAGGATGTGGGGGAGTAAGGTAATATTATTTTATAAAATTTTTAAAATAATATTTGATTAAATAAGTTGACAGATATTTCTCTGAATAAAAAATATATTAGAAATTACTGAAAAATTATAAATATTAAAATCAAATAAAAAATAGTTTTAGAAAATTAAATGGCTTAAGTTAGGAGTGCATCAACAGCTCTAGATTTTATGTGAAAATTATAAATAGGGCTGACATCATAATATATAAAGAGCTTATGAAGAAGATTACTTATTTAGCTATTTCTGCTGTAAGGGCGTTTTTGGCTCCTTCCTCTTCTGGCTTAGCTTGAGTGGAGATTTCTGGTGCATCTTTGTAAAGCTCCATAAGTTTAGCCACATCGATCTTTGGTCTCTTGATAACCTTGACTTTCCTGACATAGACATTCTGTAGTGGGAAAATGATTGCGCACTCCTTCACAATCCTCTTGTTGATATCAGTTCCAATCAAAACCTTCACAAGACCTTTTAGGTCGTTTGACTGAGCTTCGTTTGCTAACTCCACTCCACAATCAATCATGATAGTTTTTGAGTGCTAAATGAGAGATTTAATTTATTTTGAGAATCAATTAAATTTTTTTCCCTTAAATTTCATAAAAACTATTAAATTTAAGTTTAGAATGAAAGCTGTTAGCATTTATCAGAATTATAATTATTAAAATCATTAATTGTATTTAAAAATAAATTGATATTTTAAAAATTATGAAAGGCTAATTTTCAAAAATGTGATTTTTCGATAGTTTTGCTCTCTAGCAAAGAGAGTAAGATGTTCATCATAGTCTTTCTGATTTGTTTAATTTGTGAGGTCTTGGCATAGCAGGTCTTCTTAACTTGGTTAGCTCTTTTAGCTGTAAAGCCAATGCAGAACATCCTGACTTTGAAGTTATCCTTGGTCTCAACATCAATGTGGGCTTCAATGAGTGTCTGCCACTTTCTCAGCAGAGAGCAAAGCATGTCTCTGGTGAAATCAAGGCCATAGAAGTTTGTAAGGCATTGCTTTCCTTGGACTTCATCAACAATAAGCTTGACTTTTCTGTAGGCGAGTTCATCAGAATTCTGGAGGTCTGCGAGGTTGGCTTCGAAAACTCTTCCTTTAAGAGCGTCACTTGCAATTTTGGTGCCTGAGGTTTTGTTTACAAAAGTCTTGCCAACGTTTCTGACTGTGAAGGTTGAAGGAGCTTTAACTTCGAAGACTTCTTTTTTTGAGAAAGGATCTCCGACGCGTTTCTTTCCTCCTTTACGAGCACGTGAAGCCTGCTTGTTTTTGCCCTGTGCCATTTAATGTTAACCACAGCTAACATGGAGCATAAGAATAAATGCTTATTGAGGATTCAATTAAAGGAAGAGTTTATGATAGTTTTAAAATGCTAGAGCAAGAGCAGTTGCAAGGAACCTAATGGTGAATTGAGTGACAATACAAGACTAAAAAAGATTAGAGAAAGTAAAAGCGAAGTTGTTAGACTGAGAAAAAAGTTGATGGATTCTTTTATAGTGATGTTAAGGATCCCCCCTCATTTGTTCAATTTTCTAGTCTTTTATCATTGGTCCAGTTTTCTAGTTTTTTTATAGGAAAAACAAATTTTTTTGGACCTCATTTGTCCAATTTTCTAGTCAAAATTTTGATAGAAAAAAAAATTTCAGGACCGAAATTGTTACATTTTCTAGTTTTTTTAAAGTAAAAAACTAAAATTCAAGACATTCGAAAAAATCCAAAAAAGACTAGAAAATGGAACAAATCATTTGACTAGATTTTGAGACAAATGAGGTCCTGAAATTTTTTTTTTCTTACTCCCCCCCCCCTCCGTGAGCGAACAAAACCATTAGAAAAATCGCCATTTTTTGACCAAAAACCCACCCTCCGTGAGTGAACAAAAATTTTTTTAATAGAAAAAATTTTAATGGAAAAAAATTTTGATATATAAGTGATAATTAGTATAATGAAATCTAGAGCTAATTCTGTTTAATTTTAAACAAATTGCGTTTTAAAATATAAATTTTGCAAATTAAATTAATATTTGCTTCCCAATTTTTGCAAATTAGGATTTTTTTAAATTTCGAAAAAAAATATTTTTTATAAAATTTATATATAAATTTTTTTTTAAAAAAAAAAAATTAACCCCCCTCCGTGAGCGAACAAAAAAAATTTTGTTCGCTCACGGAGGGGGGGGGGGGGAGTTAGAAAAAAAGACTAGAAAATTGGACAATTGAGGGGGATCCTTATATGTGTGATTTTGAAATAAAATTGAAGTGCAAATCACTTTATAATAAGAAGAGAGAGTAATTTATTAATCCAAGAAATTATAATCCATAAGTATCTACGTTTAATTGCATTTAAACTATTCTTGAATTCCAATTCGTTATTAATTGCAGCTTATGTTGAATTTACTATTAGGAACGAACTATTAGCTTGCTGCTTTATTGCAGCAAATCCTTTTTTAATACAACTTTTCTAAATATGAAAAGAAAAGTAACACGCGACAGCAACAAGTTTAAACTTCGTTATAATTTGTAATGGCCCTAAAAAGTAAAGCAAGCGGAGGATTTTTACTTAACCTATTCCAAGCTCGACTAAGCATCAGTGTAGCAAGCATTGGCACAATGAATCCCCAAGTTCACATCCACTATGGATGCTTAACTATGAAATCAAAAACAGCCACAGGCCAAGACCAGAACCCTCATTGAAACGAAGGGTTCAGCTTCGAAATAACCGAAAACGAATTAGAATTAATTGTATACCATAAACCTCTCCTTCTTAAAGAAGTCGAGATCGGACGTTGCAATGTCAAAATCGAAGATACTGCAGGCTGATTTGAAATTACAAAAGAAGGGAAAAAGGTAGGATCGATTAGAATTGCCTTAAGGGAAGAAAAAGAAACAAGTGTGCAGAGCACAAATCACTCTAGCAATAATTCCTGGGACTTGCAAAACGAATATACCAAAAAATTAGCAGAGCTTGAACTTGAAAAAGAAGAAGTCAGCTTTTACAAGAAAAAATATAAGCTGAAATTAGAAAAATTGAAGCAAGAACGAAGGCGATTGCAAGGGTATGAAGAAGGAGTAATAACTGACGAAGCTTTAGGAATTTCAACTTCATTGGATGAGTTGAAATATTCAAATTTCGAAGTCGCAGAAGAAAACAACTATTCAAGACATGATGGCAGCTTGAAATTAATTTTTGAAAAAATTCAAAAGCACACGAAAAAAATGCAGAACGCTCAAATGGAAATTATTAAAAGAAAACAACTTTTGAGGGCTCAAGAAGAAAATTTGGTTCAAGAGAAATTAAGAATTAAACAAGAATGGGAAAATATGGAGAAGGCGAAGATTGAGTTTGAAGTGGTCAAAAAAAGAATAAGTGATGAGTACCTGAAATTGAAACATCACAAGCAGAAACTGAAATTACAGAATAAGCTAATTGAGATGAATAAACAAAGGGCTAATAAAACAGCAAGGCAAAAAGAAAGGCATCAGCAAATTCTGGATAAGATCAAGAATTCGAAGAGTCCTGAGCAAAGCGATTGAAGTGAAAACCCTATTTGGACTGATAATGAGCCTAGTTTAAAGAATGATGCGATTGATTTCTCTTATACTCAGCCGAGAAGGGCACAGAGTATTGAAGGTCATCCACTTATTGATTTTCATACAGCCCGAACACCTCAAACTTCAGAAAAGCCAAGGCCTCCATTGCACCCGCTTTCAGCAAATTCATCGTCACGATTAATTTGTTTTGAATAATTATACCTCTTCAGAGACGAAATAAATTTATAATTAAGACAAAAATTTTATTTTCTAGAAATATGATTCTGCCTTCCAGCATCCACGCATTTATCTCTCTTAAAGGGGGTATATATAATTTTAACAAATTGATAATATGAAATCTGCATAGACTGAGCAGTGATCTGAGGCCCAAATTTTCTCAGATTCACCATATCCGCATACTTCACATATGGGCGGAGCTTCAATATTTCTGAAATAAATTCGGTCAAGCCTTTCTTTTGGCCTTCATGAAGGGAAAGTGAGCCCATCTCCTTCCATATTGCCATTTTTCCAAGAATCTATCAATCCTCCTTTCGAAGATTTAAACAGATATTTTCCTTCTAAAAGGCGCGACGGAAGCTCATAATATTTTCTTATATTCATATGCTGTTTCTTTGCAAATTGCCTACTTTATGTACTTCCAGCCATTTATCTGCAGAATATTTACAGAAAAAAGTATATCCCCCAAAAGAATTTGAGGAGTTCCATCATTTTCTTCATTCATAAAATTCAAAATATCTTGGGCTTGTTTTAATTGCCCTTTAGGATCGTAAGTCATATGAGTATTGAAAACAGAAAAAATTTTTTTTGGATGCTTAATTGTCACTTTGAGACATGCTCTTTCTTCAGAATCACCTAACTCCCCCCCCTCCGTGAGTGAACAAAACCATTAGAAAAATCGCCATTTTTTGCCCAAAAACCCACCCTCCGTGAGTGAACAAAAATTTTTTTAATACAAAAATTTTTTATGGAAAAAAAATTTGATATATAAATGATAATTAGTATAATGAAATCTAAAACTAATTCTGTTTAATTTTAAACGAATTGCTTTTTTAAAACATAAATTTTATAAATTAAATTAACATTTGCTTTCCAATTTTTGCGAATTAGGATTTTTTTAAATTTCGAAAAAAAAAATATTTTTTATAAAATTTATATATAAATTTTTTTTAAAAAAAAAAAATTAACTCCCCTCCGTGAGTGAACAAAATTTTTTTGTTCACTCACGGAGGGGGGGGAGTAAGGCTTTAGTTAATTGTGCAGTTCTAACATCAATGATAGGATATCTTGATATTATAGCGATTCCTTCAGTAGAGCCGTTTTTATAAATCATTGACTCGTGAGAATAATGATAAGGATATTCAGGTAGAAGCTCTAGCTTTTCCTAGCTAATAATGAGCAGACTTACAAGTTTTAATGGTTATTAATGTTTAACAGAAAATAGTTTTTAAATAGTTTTGTATTTTTTCAAAATAACACAAAGATGATTTTTAAATATTATTATAATTCTATAGAGTATAGCTTGAAAGCACCAACTAAAACATTTTATTATATATCAAGTTGCTATTCTTCCCGCTTAAAAGTAAAAAATCGTTGATGGTAGTAAAAGTTCATCAAGCATATTTCTTTCACGAGCTTTATTAAGAATAGAAGAACCGAATATTTTTGATATAAAATTAGTCATTGAGTCAGCCCCCAAGTTTGGATTCCTGCATGCTTCTTGTATCCCGATAATATCTGGGTTTGCATTTTTGATTTGTTGTGCTATTTTGTGGATTCGTACATCTCAGTTTGAATGCTTAGCGGCAGTTGCAAGATTATAAGTTTGAACCCTGATTATAGATGGTGTATCTAAATAAAACCTACTTCAATAATTTTACCCTAATAAATTGAATCAGGTTTAAAGCAGTTTAAATAGTGCAATTGCAATAAGTATGAGTATATTTGCATTTAGCCATAGCTCAATTTAACACAGAATATATAGACCAGTGGGGATACTGAATTGATAATATGGCGAGGACTTCGGATGCCCCATGGCAGATGGTGTCAATCATTTTAATGCTGGGGGAGGGACCCAGCTTAGCCGACGGCAAAGTGGATGAACCCTCGAGAGTCTCAGTGGTTGCATCACCAATAGGCGGAATCCAACTTGCAATTAAGAATTGATAATATGTGTCTCATACGTTTCATCAGTAATAGTAATTCAATTACCTGATTGCAAAACTTTCAGCTCAAAGTCGTTTGAATAATCTTCTAACACTTGAGCAACATATCTATTTAAATCCTACTGTTGAAGAGCATATAGTGGCAAGGATCGAAAATTAAAGATTTGGTAAGTTCTTGATTCAGTAATTAATTTGAGAGGTGATTGCATCTCCATGATTTCACCAGAATTTTTATTGTTTTTAACATTTCATTATTTTCTAAATTAAAAAATATGAGTTTAATTAATTTTTGGAATGAAAAAATGCGCGAATTGCTTTTCTTTGCCAATAAAATGGAATCAGCTAAAACTTTTTAATGAAAATACTTTTATGAGCTAAGCTTCATTGTATTCATAAAAATTAAAATAAAACTCATTAAATTAAACAAAAGTTTTGATATAATCCAATTTAAATCGCTTGAAATTGGAAAATATAAATCTGATCAATCGAAAATAAAAAAACGACACCTATGAGATTTGAACTCATGCGGGGAGACCCCATTAGCTTAGCAGGCTAACGCCTTAACCACTCGGCCAAAGTGTCTGTTCAATTAATTAAGCCCATAAGAGTCTTTTGTATATTGAAAAATGAAAATCTGAAAATGAGAGCATTTTAATAATATTTCTTTGTAAATTGCATTCTTCACTAAAATTAGCTTTTCAAATCTTTGCATAAATAATGCTATAATGTTCAATGCAGACTCATTTATATCGCTGTTTTGAGGAGTCATTTATTCTGGTACCTATTCTTATCATGGAACTTAAATAGATTTAAATTATGTCATTAGTCCAAGAAATTAAAATTGGTGACAATAGACTAACCACCCACATATCAGACCAAGAGCAAGATACTCTATTAGAAGTCTTAAATTTAAATTTAAACTTATTGCAGGATTGCTGTTGCCTATTGTTAGCGCAGTCACTAAGGATCATTGCAGAGGATTTACCTTCTTTTAAAACGTAGGTAGGGAAAACTTCTTCGAGTTAGATGACTCACCGGGTGGGTTGTACGGCTCTTTGCACCACCTTTCCTCTTCTTCACCACCTGAGGCCATGACACCGTGAAGAAGGGTTATATGTCTCCATCTCCCATTGCCTTGTCAAATCCAGTGTTGAATGGGAAGGCTTTAGACTTCTGCGGCATGATGCTTTGGCTGTACGAAGGTTGATCGCAAAAAAAATCCAAAAAATGAAATTTCGGTCGGGATATCAGCAAAAAGGAAAATTCAAAGCCTGGGATATAGCTCCCATTTTCACGCTAGGGAATTGCCCGAATGGTCTAAAGCATTGTCTGTAGACTCTGCTGGGCTTACCCTTTCCAAATCTGAACCCACCTTTTCCCTCGAGTTAATTTCAATCCCGAAAATAGACTAGGGTAAGGCTCTTGCATTGCCAGAATCGCTTACCTAGCATTGCTGTCCATTTCTAGGTTCGTAAAACCTTGCCAGATATAATTAAATATGTGCTGAAGGAAGTCGGGGAAGCCGATCGCGAAGCGCTGAGTCGCCATACTTAATTGGAAATACTCTATTAGAAGTCACTTTCCCAACTGTTCCCTGCCTTATTACTCATTTTTCCTTCTTGGTCAGAGACTCAGAGCAAGCAAATAAAATTTTTAAACTCAGCAGCATTGAGGCAAAGCGAAATGAAGAAGACGATTACACGAGTCTTCATGACTGCGAAATCCCTAATTTGGATCCCAATGTTGAGTTTCAACAAAAAGGCACAGTTGTGATGGTCCCTGCTTTAGGAGTTTCCCACTCAATCCGAATTATCTTTACATGTCATAATGATCCTGAAGACTGTGACGCTGAAGTAGCTGCTATATCAAAAAGAAGCCATTGGGCAGTCCAAGCATTTCAAGACTGCTATAGTGCTGTAGCAATTGTGGGGTTTAGTTTAAATGTGAGTCCTACAGCTTCTCATGTGGTAACTTTGCTCAATATTGCAAGCATTTTAAGAAAAGAGCCAGAAGGATCAGATGCTGACTATTTGGCAGGCTTAGCACTCATGAATGCAAGAAGATTCGTGCAGGCTTCAGAGTTGATAAGAAGAGCTGAGTCAAGATTTGTAGGGCCTCTTGATATGCCAACGAAAACACCAAGAAATTTTGGAACGCCTCATACAAGATCGCCATCAGCAACAAATAATAAAAAACTGCTCCGAGCTGCCAAACTTGAGCTATTGGTTGCTGAAGGGTTCAATCAGCATGGGCAAATTTTGGATAAATTAATTGCTTATGAGCATGCAACTGAACTGTATTTAGGAGGAACAGAATTAGATGCAGTGAGCTTAGACAGTGATATATATAGCAGTTTGCAGCGTTTACAGCCTCATCTTGGCAGACTTTTACTGAAAAATTTGCATGATAAGCTGGAACCTTTGAGAATGGCATGTGTAAGAGGGCTGGAATTTCTGATGGAAAACTTAGGCTGCTCTTTAGGCACTCAACTAATCCAAACTTTGAAAATTACAATTAAATCTTACCCGCTAGCAGCCCAAGCATTTTCATCAGATTCTTTTAACAATTCTTTAATGTCAGCAATATCTATAAGTGATATTATACATAAAGAAGAGCCCCCATCAGCGGGATTAATTGATTCTTACAATCGTTTACTAGAAACCTGTTTGAGCACCTTATCTTCTGCATCTCCTCAGCTGTTGCATTTAATTTTCAATGAAGTTCTCTCTCATTACTTGCTGATTTCTGAACTTCCTAAAGACTTGAAAATCTATTTATTAAAATTCACTGAAAAAGTTACTACAATTTGCGAAGCTGATCTGGATTATTCAAACTCACTTCTCACTGGGATTTTAAGTATGAGATCTTGTGAAGAGATCAGTGAGCATGCAACGAGAGTGTGGGAGCTTGTGAAAACCAAAGTTTTACCACATTATACAGCTTCAAGACTCGAGTCACTTGTTAATTGGATTGTAGATGTACTGAAAGGAGACAGCTGCGAAGAGCACATCTCAAGTGTGCTAGAACTTGTTATATTATTAGGAAAAAGAGAAGAAAATCAAAATTCTTTGATTAAGCCTAGACAAAGGCCTCAACTAAATCAGCTGATGAACCCACTGTTACAATGACTAGACTATTCTGCGTCAAACCAAGAAAGGCTTGGACTATTTCAACAAGTGTGGGGATGCATCGCGGGAATTTCGATGAGCATGCCTGAAATCAATTTACTCCCCCCCATCCTTGATCGAACGATTGACTGTAAAAATTCCTAAAAATTGGGGAAATTAACCCCCATCCTTGATCGAACGATTTTCATATCATGCAAATTTTTATATATATAAAAAAATATTAATTATCAAATGCTTTGGAAGATGTGCCTAATGAAGTTATTTTCAGAGCTTTGAGACGACAGAAAGCTGCGAAATCAACCATCTGAAGTGATTTAGACATCAACCTAGGCTTAAAAACTCAATAATCTAATAAAATAAAGATTCTTTAAAATTTTAAAAAAATATTTAATTTAATTAAAATTTATACAGTTTTAAAAGGGTAACTAATAATCAAAATATATTAAAAAATTGGTATTTTTATGAAATTAATTCAATTTTTTGCTGTAAAAATAATTATTAAATACTCTTAACCCTCTTATTTAAAGTAAATAAAAAAAATCTATATATATCTTTTTCATTTTATATATAAAATATTTTTCCCCAAAAAAATTTTTTTTTAACCCCCATCCTTGATCGAACGATGGCGAGTCGTTCAATCAAGGATGGGGGGGGGGAGTTAGTCAAAATTATGATGCCGCTGCTACAAAAAGTTAATGAATACTGCAAAATGGCAACTCTTCCACTGCCAATGCTCAAGTTTTTAAACGTTGTGCTTTCAGATCTTAAACCAGATTCAGCTTTTTACGAGTTTTTACTAGACTTTTTACCTAACTTTTGCCAATCAATTCCGAGCAACGTGCATGATGAAGTTTTTCAGGTTTTAAATCAGATTCTCAGCTTTATTGGTGGATGCTTAAGTGAGCATCATTTAGAAGCGTTAATTGAAGGAGTTCTAGATCAATATACTGTAAAAAGCCAATCCCAAAAGCAGACGCGGACTTATTTGACTAATCTAATTGTCAGCCAACAAATGTACCTAGAATTTGTTCTTGATTATTGTTTTTTATTAAACCAGGATAACAACCTAGACCATTTTAAATTTGACAGACAAAAAATTATTTTAGAGCATGATCATTTTCTTGAGAAATTGTCATTCGCTATAGAAGTTCTGTCATTATTAGAAAGTCCTCATTCAGAAATAGTCATTGGTCATATGGAACAAATTGGTAACGTCTGCCAAAAACTTCTAACAAGCAAAGACTCTCATGTAAGAATTAGAAGCTTAGAAGTTTTGAGGCTTTTAGGAGAAATCACTTTGATTTCTGAAGAAGATGACACTCTGTGTGTCAGCAAATTAATAGCAGCCACTGTGAAGCCTTATCTAGAAACTGGAGAAGACGCAAAAGTTGTTTTTTATAGCTTGCAGCTTGTAGATATGATATTCAAAAATTTGCTTCCTCCAACAATTGATGAAGAGAGATACCAAGAAGCAAGGATGCTTGAAGCCCTTAAGCTTTGAAACGGGGTTCAAAACCAGATCTATTCTCCATGGAGCAATAACCGTGCCATTTCTTTCTCAATATTATGCTCTTGGGTGCAAATTGATATAAATCAGCTGAGAGCTCCTCTTCAGTCAAAACTTAAACTAAGCCTGCTTCCCCTTCTTTTATCTCTATTATCAAGCAAAGAGTCAGAGTCCAGAGCTGGAGCTTTAAACATTATGGGCTCCTTTTGCGGATTGAGTTTACCTGACACTGCGACCGATGTTAACACCTCTGTGTTTAAAAAGCACAGTGAGCAAATCCCAGTTGCGATTTGGGAGCAAGTTTTTCATTTGCAAGATGACTGGGATCCAATGATTAGAGATGCAGCATGCGTTCTTATTCAACTATCAGCACCCAAAGAAGAAGTAAGGCGCTGCTATCAAGTGCAAAAAGAAGAACTATCGCTAACTCCCCCCCCTCCGTGAGTGAACAAAACCATTAGAAAAATCCCTATTTTTTGCCCAAAAACCCACCCTCCGTGAGTGAACAAAAATTTTTTATGGAAAAAAATTTTGATATATAAATGATAATTATTATAATGAAATCTAGAGCTAATTCTGTTTAATTTTAAACGAATTGCTTTTTAAGACATAAATTTTATAAATTAAATTAATATTTGCTTTCCAATTTTTGCGAATTAGGATTTTTTTTAAATTTCGAAAAAAAAAATATTTTTTATAAAATTTATATTTAAAAAAAAAAATTAACCCCTCCGTGAGTGAACAAAATTTTTTTGTTCACTCACGGAGGGGGGGAGTAAGGACTTTGAATATTGCCAATCTGGAAATTGAAGAAGGCAGTGAAAGTCCTGCTGATGAAAACATTTTTTGAGCTGAAAACTACTCAAGCCAAGAACTGGTACAACTTGTGAGCTTATTTAAGACAGATACGAAAAACCCAAGCCAACTGTGGAATGAGCCCAGAGAAAACAGAGAAGGAGGATTAGAGTTTGGGAAGACTGAGGAGTCAAAGCCAGAGGATGAAGAGGAAACCTTAGAAGCCCTAGGAGTCATTGATATTGAGGATGAATTGCTTGAAGGCTGTGATGATGAAGCCAATAATTTCCCAGTCATAAAAAATAACTACGCAAAAAGGAAACCTCAGCAAAAGCAAGTCAACCAAACAACTGAAGACCAAACTTGAAGCCGGCCTTTGAGGCCTCATAATTCATCACTGAGACCTTGCACTCCTCCAGCAAAAACTCAGCATGATCTACCAAGGGCAATAAGGCCTCAATCCCGGCATGCTATGCGTGATCCTATTATTATAGAAGATTCGAGCTCCAAACCGCAAGAGCCGATAGCCAAGCAGATGCCTCAGCCTCCTCCTGATTCTAAAGACCAAAAAAAGGAGATTCCAGAATTTGATATTGAAGAAGATATTGATATTGCTGATCTTGAAGAAGAAAAAGAAGAAGGACACTTTAGGCGCAACAGCTTAGAAGATTTAGAAGATCTACTGAACCCTGAGCCTGAGTTAAAATTAACCCCAGATTTTGATATACGAAATGGCAATAAATCACCTCAAAGCTCAAGGAAAAAAATTGAAGAAGAGCTTGCAAATAGACTAAAAAATTCAGTTTCTCAGCCTACAACTTTAAGCAAAATTTATCTTCAAAAGCCTGATCTTACTATTTTTAAAAAAAAATCTCGATCCCTGAACAACAGTTTACTCTCCTTTGAGGAAGTAAGAACTTTTTGCTTGCTATATAAATTATAGTGGAGTTTATATAAAATTTCTATTGCGCCTGAATCATTATTAATTTCTGAGGAAAAATACCCTTAAAGAAAAATCTTTTTGGCATTTTAAAATATTCTGAAGTGTCAAATTTAAATTTGGCAAATAGAATATAAGATAAAATTCTTACTCCCCCCCCCCCTCCGTGAGCGAACAAAAAAATTTTGTTCGCTCACGGAGGGGGGGGGTTAATTTTTTTTTTTAAAAAAAAATTTATATATAAATTTTATAAAAAATATTTTCTTCGAAATTTTAAAAAAATCCTAATTTGCAAAAATTGGGAAGCAAAATATTAATTTAATTTGCAAAAATTTATGTTTTAAAACGCAATTTGTTTAAAATTAAACAGAATTAGCTCTAGATTTCATTATACTAATTATCACTTATATATCAAAATTTTTTTCCATTAAAATTTTTTCTATTAAAAAAATTTTTGTTCACTCACGGAGGGTGGGTTTTTGGTCAAAAAATGGCGATTTTTCTAATGGTTTTGTTCGCTCACGGAGGGGGGGGGGGGGAGTTAGAATTTTAAATTAATTTTTTCTTCCAAGAGACGTCGCTCTTAAAAATCTATAAAGGGCACCTGCTATATATAATAATAATATTTAAAATTTTTGAAATAAAAATCTAATTTAATTAATGATTCAATTTTTCTATATTTTATCGAAATCACTTGAAATTTCATAATTATCATCATAATTATATATCTTAAAAAAGACTCATAAACTAAGAGGATTTAAGTTCCAATTTTTTTCCCTGCTAACCGAGGAGCGGAGTTAGTGAAAGGGAGAAGAGGTAGCTCTGGTAAATCAAATAAAAAACTGAAGCCTTAATTATAAATATTATAATAATTTTTTGAAAAAATTAAAATCGATCTTACTATAAGGATTGATTTTAAATAAATTATTTTAATTATTACATGCCTCTTGAGCCATTTCACTTCGCAAACAATCCCATTCTAATAAAAACTGCTTAAATTCATGTATTGTGCACGCGTTTCTTATAAATGTATGCTTTTTTAGCATAGATGCGGTCGCTCTTTCAAAAGGATTCTTTTTAAGACACTCACTTATAAAGTTTGTAAACGAAAAGCTCCACTTATTTTGGCCTTCCAGCTGTGGTTCAGGGAGCTGAGGTAAGCAATTCATTACCTTCATTGGAGATTCATTTATGAAAGGAGGGTCACCTTGAGCAATCTCAATGGCTAAAATGCCAAGAGACCATATATCACATTTCATATCATAATGCTTTCCCTCGGCTACTTCTGGAGCCATCCAATAAGGAGTTCCAACTATTGTAGTTCTTGATGAGTTATCTGAGGTCAATTGCACACTAAATCCAAAGTCATTCAGCTTCACATAGCCCTAAATATAAAATACGTCTGAAGATAATAATACATTATCAGACTTGATATCTCGATGAATTCGATGCTCTTGATGCAGCCATGATAAGCCCTTTAAAATTTCTCCGCATATATAAGCAATAATATTTTCTGGAATTTTCCCGTAGTTTTCTTTTATTAGAGCAGTTAAGTTGCACTTCATACACTCTAAGGCGACCCAGATTTCACTAATTGGAAATTACTTTTTATGCTCAAATGCTTTATAGCATTCAATGATGTTTTCATGCTTACTCCCCCCCTCTGTGAGCAAACAAAACCATTAGAAAAATCCTTATTTTTTGCCCAACACCAACCCTCCAGAGCGAGCAAAAATTTTTTATAAAAATAATTATTATAAGTGATAATTAATATAATAAAATTTCTAGCTAATTCTGTTTAATTTTAAATAAATTGCGTTTTTAAACATAAATTTAATAAATTAAATTAATATCTGCTTTCAAATTTTTGTGAATTGGATTTTTTTAAATTTTGAAAAAAAATTTATGGGCGAACAAGTTTTTTTGTTCGCTAACAGAGGGGCGAGTTAGAAATTTGAAGCAGTCCAATCTCATTTAAAATTTGGTTTTTCTGCTCTTTAGCTGTCACTTTTACCCTTTTCAGAGCCACTTCCCTGCCAGTCTTCTTATGGGTTGCCCTGAAGACTGATCCCGATCCACCATCGCCAATCTGAGAAGTAATTACATACTCTGATAGAGGGTCTTTAAGTGAAAGCTTTATTTTACTTTTCATTAGGCGCTTATACTGCTTTGATGAAATCAAATCTGCTAGATTTTCATCATCTGATTCTTCTAGGCAAGGTGAATCTGTATCAAGACGAACTAGCTGGCTCTCCATATCTCCATTAGGCTCAGGAGATACCCTGCAGTTATAAGAGAGGTGGCCTTCTTGTCTTCTGCACTGATAGCAAGGAGAACAAAATTGATAAGATTTAAAGGGCCAGAGCACATTGTGCTTTACAGTAAGACTACACCTCCGACAAAAAATTTTTTCTAATTATATTCTACTGCAAACTTTGCATTTTCGCTTTTTACTAACCCCACTATTGATTAAGCGATTCCATTTATAATCTGTTGACATATTATTTAATGTGCAAGGCATGCAGGAAATTTCCTCACATGTCAAAAAAATTTTCACATGTGAAGTCTTCCATAAGTGCAGGCTTTACATATGGAATATTTTTTGGTATGTGTGGAAATTTCCCACATGCCCTGCACAGTAAGAAATACGTGCAACAGATCTTAAATTTTTTATTATTAGGAAAATTAACCAATCTTGACGGTTTTTATATAGTCAAGCATGAAACCCATTCCCCAGCCCATCCCTTTATCTAACTAGCTATCTTTGATGATAATGAATTTAGATATAATAGAATTAATCGTTCCTATGGTATTTAAATGAGATTTTCATATATTTGCTAATATATTGTATGCTCTATCTTTTGTGGCTATCGCTAAAATAATTTACATGGAGAAAATTTTTATATAAAAATATTTTCAAATTAATTTATTTTATTGTTTTTTAACTTTTTTATCCTATCTTTATCAAACGATAAAGATCAGTTCGATAGAGAATAAAGGCTAGAGTAAAGAATGTAAATTCATAATGACAGTTAGTACACTCCGAACCTCGCCTGGAATGTGTTGTAAATGGATCCATTTATATGATATAGCATTGAAGTTTCAAATAAATATTGGCTCTATTAGTATTTAAATGTGAACATGGAGCAGTTGTATTTAATTTTTAATATAAATCAAAGTGTATATAAAAATATCTATTTATATTGAATCGGGAATACAATATATTTTCTAAAACGAATTAATTTCTTTTTAATAAGCAGCATGAAAGCTAAAAGTATATATTTAATAAAAGTGTCCTTAAATTCTTAAATAAACGTCCCTATTATGCATTTAACTTCTAGGGTAAATTAAGTTTTCAATTCTAAAAAAGTCACGATCTTGAAGCGGAACAATCATACATGGAATCCCTCCTTCCATAGTTACTTGAATACCTACATCCCTTGTTCTAACTATCGGTGTTTGGGTCTTTTTATTTTCCATGTCTGCTGTAATCCTTTCATATACCTCTGGTCGTGCCGTAAACTTCCCAGTAAACTCTTCAGCTTGTTTTTCATCAAAAACTGACTCCCCCTCCATGAGCGAACAAAACCATTGGAAAAATCCCTATTTTTTTGAGTAAAAGCCCATCTTCTCTAAGCGAACAAAAAAATTTTTTATAAGAAAATATTTTGCACATAAATGGCAATTATTATGATGAAACTCCAGCTAATTCTGCTTAATTTAAACAGCCTGCATTTTAAAACATAAATTTTAAAAATTAAATTAATATTTGCTAAAAATTGGGTTTTTTAAATTTAGAAAAAAACATTACTCTAAAATTTATATATAAACATTTTAAAAAAAAATCCTCCCCGTGAGCGAACAAAATTATTTGCCTATTGATATAGGGGGAGTGAGTAATTTTTATTATTTTCCTCAATTTCTTTGGGTGGCTCTTCCTCTTCAATTGGAGTTACTATCTTTTCAACCTCTACCTTCACCTCAGTTTCAACAGGCTGCTCTGCCACTTTAACTGGGAAATCAATAGTTTCAAATTCTTCTTTTTCCTCCAATTTATCTTGATTTTCAGTTTCCTGCTCAACTTTCTCAGGAATTTTTGCAACTTCGATCAGAATATCAGACGATTCCGTGTTCTTTTCTGTACTTTCTTCTAATTCTTCAGGCTTTTTCACTTTCGGCCTATATCTTGGGGTGTTTTTTTTTTGATAGCCTCTGACTTCTTCACTTTTTCTTGGCATATTGTTTAATTGTGATTTATCCTTTTTCCCTCTCTTATTGTTGCTCTGTTTTCTTCGATTATCAACTTGTTCCCAGTCGTCAAGATAGACACCGATGCTACTTCCATCACTGATTATTTTCTGGACAGCAGCATCTGCTTCTTCTTTGGTCGTGAACTGACTTACAAAAGTTTTTAGTCTGTCATCTGGCTCATTAGGGAAAAATGATTTTAATTCAGAGGCATAGCCGTCTAATGGATTCGAAGGAGGAGTTATTGGCTCCAGTGGAGCTGGCTGAGTTTTCGCTTTTTCTCTTTGCTCTAGAAATCGTCGCAAACTCGCCATAGTTAATGTGTGAATTATAACTCATAATTGCTTGATGACAATTTAAATTAAAAATTTAGAAAGGGCAATGGAATTTAGGATAGAAAAAATTCTAGGTATAATACATGGAACTTAATTTAGCTTGAACAAATTGGGGCTGCCTTTCAGCATAAAGCGGTGAGCAATATCAAAATCTCCTATTTCTCTTGGAGAATGGCAAATTATATCAGAGCCAGCTTGATAGCTGCAGTTACTCATCTCTCCAGCAATTCCATAGCCTCATCCAAAAATTCTTCCTTCTTCTGTTAAACATACAATACTATTGGCCCCACAATTTGCATCAATGATTTTTCCATTAATTTCAATATTTACAGGGGAGCAGCTTGTTTTCACTCCTGTACCTAGAGCTAGCTGGCCAAATTCATTATCCCCCCAGACGAACAATTTGCCAGAGCTTGTCAGACAAGCTGAAAATAGCATGCCAGCTGCAACTTTTATTGCAGAATCTTGAATTGCGACAATAGTTGCATTATCACTCGTCATTTCGAACTCTATTCCTAGCTGGCCGTATTCATTTCATCCAAAAGAGTAAACTTTTCCTTCAGTATCCAAAGCGAGTGTGTGAGCTTCTCCACATGCAACTCCACATATTTGTTTTGATTTTTGAAGAAAATACTGATTTATGCAGGGCTCCAGCTGGACCAAGCCAATTTCGTCTTCTTCTAAATTAGAAAGGCCTAGGCCGAGCTGATTCACATCTCCTCTACCTCATACTCATAGATCCCCTTGTTCTGATATAGCTGCATTATGATATGCCCCAGCCTCAGCATAAAGGAATCTTTGATTGCTCACTGATTCTATGTGTTTGGGAAAAACTAGTTTTTCTTTATTTCCATGCCCAAGGGCTCCACTTATTCCGTTTCCTCACGTGTATAATTTTCCGCTGCAAGTCACAAATATACAGTGTTCAGATCCGCAGGAAATTCACTTGACAGAATGATTGTAAGCAAACGTCAAAATGTCGTTCGAAAACCATGAAGTTAGTGATGGGCTCTGTTTTAAATAAGAAATAAATCCTATAGATGCTTTTTCATGCATTGAAAACTCCAGTATAGGTAAAGAAGTGTATCCACACACTGGAATCGCATATAAAATCCAAACCAAGCCTTCTGATTCAGTACGATGGCAGAGACAAATTTTTCTTATTAAAGGAGAATGCATATCATAGCCATCCAAGTGTATTGATTCGTGAATTTTGCTAGCTATAGAGTGTGTTGTAAACATTGATGGCATCAAGACTGACCCTTCTTCCTCTGGGGATGAAAGGTCTTCTCAATAACTCTGAGACATAAAGTTATCTGAAAAATCTGACGGAAGGAATAATGATATATTGTTATCGTTATTTTCAGAGACTAGCTCTGCCAAAAAGTCATTAGATTGGGTAGGAACATTCGGGACTGTAATATAAGCTTCCTCACTTGACAAAATTTCATCTTCTTCGTATATAGTTCTATTATTTCCAAAATAGCTTGTACTTATGATGTCTGTCAAATTCGTTATCTCATAGCTGAATCCTTCATTTTTTCTGACAGGAGATAGATCAGGAGATGTTTGTATTGAGCTGGAAGAAAAATAAATATTTTTCTCGTAATTTTGCATGAATCCTTCATGAAGCTGAATTATTTTTTCTCGATTTTCTCTTAAAATGGTTTGGCGATCTAATTCTTCACTTTGTGAAGTATGATCAATGCTTATTGAGGAGCTAAACTCCTGAGATTTGCTGACGTCAAGATTTTTCTCGAAGATTTCTAGCTTGAATTGATCGTTAATTGGTATTTCAGGATTTTCAAAAGGGGATTGATCAGAAAGTCGATTTATATAATTAATAATAGAATTTCTTTCAGACTTAACAAAGTCGAAGTCATAAATATAACTGCCAAGTGATTCTGACTTAGATGCCCTTATTATTGGAAATTTGTAAGTTGGATCTACATTGATGTTTTTGTACTTGCTAAAAGATTTATAGGTTTCTGGGAGTCCTCTGTAAGTAGGGTTGGGTTTAATAGTTACAGGTTGATAGTTTGGAACGAAAGAACTCAGTTTTTGATAATTTTATTAATTCATTAATTCTCAAGATATAACTTATTCGAGGATTTTGCCTTATTTAATGCTCGAATTGCAGTTTAATAAAATCAAAGAACCATTTGATGCAAAAATAGCTTATTTAATAGCATCCTAAGTTTTAAAATATTATAAGATGCGAAAAGACTATAGAAAGCAATAATAGTAACATTTTAGAATTTCTGATTAGATACAGTTAATCTTAAATACATCTCGGGAAGTCCAGAAATGCTATCTTTGTAAGCACTAAGTATATTTGATTAAAATTTTTGACTCACCAAAGTGTGTCTTGACTTAGAAAAAGGTAGTTTTTTTGCCATTACCCAACAAGAATATGTTAAATAAATATATACGTTTTTTAAAATTATAATCAAATGGACTCAGACACACAAGTAGACAAAGCTTATAGAGATTCAATTTTTATTAAGCTTAGGTCTTTACCAGGAAACCAAACCTGCTTTGATTGCTCAACAAAAAACCCAATTTGGTGCTCAGTAAAACTAAGTTAAGTTAATTGCTATAAGGCCATAAATGGAATTCCACTAGTCTGCCTATCTGGCGTAAGCCTACCTACCCTAAAGATTAGCTCCCTAGTTAGAGCGATCTCTTGCGAGTCCCCCCACTAATCCCGATATTCAAAGGCTAAGTGAGAGGTAGCCGATCTTGCAGCAAAACATTCAGGGGAAGAAAAAAAACTTCCCTCTTCGGAAGGCATCTCTATACCTTAAGGCCTACTTCAAAAAGTGATCAAGGCACCATTTTTCGCTTTATCAGGACAGGTCTTACCTTTTTCATAGGGAGTGCATCTCAGAGCCCATCTTCCGTCGGTGCCACCATTTTATTTCTCATGAAACTAGGAATTTTTATTTGCTATGGATGCACTTCAGTACATAGATCTCTTGGCACCCATCTCAGCTTTGTGAGATCTAGCGATTATGATATGTGAACTCTACGACAGCTAGCTTATATAGAGCTAGGTGGGAATAAAAGAGCAAAAGAATTTTTTAGATCTCATGGAATCCATGGTGCAGTTGACTATGCATCTCAAGTTGCAGAAAGATGGAGAAATGAATTAGCTGAACGAGTTGAGGAGTTGTATCCTCGGGCGATCAAAAGGAAAGAATCTCACCCCGAAATTGATGAGAACCAAATAAAACAAATTGCTGATCCTCAGCCTACTAATAATATTGCTGAAGAGCGTAAAACAGAAGAAGTCAAGCAAAATGTCTCCAAGTCTTCAAATGTCACAAAACAAACAGTTCACATATTGAATAAACCAAAATACACCCCACCAGCAGAAACTCAGCACAAATTCAGGAAAACCAAGGTAGAAGAAACTGCATCTCCTATTAAATTTAAACCAGTCAGCTTTAAACCACAAATAGAAGAAGAGGAAGAGTTTTTCGATCCGCAGCCTTTAAAAGCCCCAGAGCGATCTCAGCCAGTGATACAACAAGAGCCAATTATACCTCAGCCAGCCCCATCTACAATTCAAAGAAAAAATATAGAGAAAAAAGGATTTGGAAATGAAGACTTCGAGCAACAAAGGATAAATGAGAGGGCAAGCAAGCAAAGATTAGCAGAGCTTTCATCTGCGAAATCTATTTCTAGTGACATGTATTTTGGAAAAATTGACAATAGCAGCACAAATAATGAAAAAATCGACTACATCAAAGAAGAAGCAGCCAATCTTGCAGAAGCTGCACGTGAAAAAGCAGGAGAGGTAATGAATATTTAGCTAAAATCTAAAGCAGCAAAGATATGGAGTTCCTTGCACCAAAGGTTTACATAATATTATATAGCAATATAAATCTAATTACAAAAGAATTACATTTGAAATTTAAAAGTGCTTGGATAGGAGATCAGAGAATTCTTTGAGATCTATTTCTCCATCCCCGTTTTGATCAACTTGCTTTATTAACTCGTTTCACATTTCAATATCTTCTGAATTTTCATCTTTTAGTACGTATTTAAGCTCTTCAGCTGATATCTTCCCGCTTCCATCTTTATCGAAGGCATCAAAAGCATTCTGAAGATTTGCTACCGAAGTGAATTTCCTAATATCTGTAGCAGCTTTGAGAAATTCAGTATAATCAATGTAGCCATTGTTGTCTGTGTCAACTTCGTCCATGATTTGGTCCAATATTTCTGGAGAAAAACCATCCAAATTTTCAAACCCATTTTCAAGCTCTTCCCTGCTAAGCTTTCCATCTCCATTTTGGTCTAATTTCCTAAATATTTCTCGTGCTTCTCGTAAGTCTTGAGAGCTAGCTAGTTGTGTGACTATAAATGTAATAATTGCGTCCTTTATCTTATTTTCATTTTTGAAGCCTAGTAAGTTATATCTTGATGTGTGAATAGATGATTTAAATGAATTTTTATCATATAAATGGCCATCAGATATTGGTACGCTATTTATGCTGAGGTGTTTACTCAAAGAAGCTTTAATGACTTCATCTGACGTAGGTGGCTCTTGGAAATTGTTTTTGATCCAATCATGCTCCAGCGCATCTGATGCACTGATCCTTTCTTTTTCAGGAACCAGCAAGTGCTTGATTAAATCCTTCGCTTCCCTAGAGAGGGCTTTAAATGAGGTAGTAGACTCACTATTGTACTTTTCTTCTTTGATATGGTTTAAAATCTCCACCTCTGTAGTTCCATCGAAAGGTGGCTTTCCAGTTAATAATATGTACATTATAACACCAGCGCTTCACAGATCGCATTTCTCAGTATAGCAGTCTGCCAGCACTTCTGGGGCGATATAATAAGGAGTTCCCAATGATCCATGAAGAAATTGGCCATTTTCATAATGAGTGGCTGCTCCAAAATCAATAAGTTTTATGCCTCAGCAATCAGACTTATCGTCGAGTAAAATATTTTCTGGCTTAAGATCTCTATGTGCAATTTTTTTCGAATGCAAATAAGCGAGACAAGAAAAAAGCTGTCTCATTATCAAAGCAGCTTCATGCTCCTTAAAGCACTTTCTCCTTACAATTGCATCAAAAAGTTCTCCACCTTTGCAGTGCTCCATCACAATGTAAAAATCCTCGGAGTCCTCGAAAAATTCGTAAGCCCTTATGATGTTTGGATGGTCCAATAACTTAAGAATTTCAATCTCTTCAAATAGCTTCTGCAGAGAATTGTTCTCACTCCCCTCCTCCATGAGCGAACAAAAAAATCTTGTTCGCTCACAGAGGGGGTTATTTTTTTTTTTTTTAAAAAATTTATATATAAAATTTTCTCGAAATTTTTGTTTTCGAAAATTTAAAAAAATCCTAATTCGCAAAAATTAGAAAGCAAATATTAATTTAATTTGTTTGAAATTAAACAGAATTAGCTAGAGATTTCATTATACTAATTATCACTTATATATCAAAAATGTTTTCCCAAAAAAATTTTTGCTCGCTCAAGGAGCGTGGATTTTTAGGCAAAAAAATAGGAATTTTTCTAATGATTTTGTTCGCTCACGGAGGGGGGAGTCAGAAAATTTTGATTTTTTAAAAATTTTTACTGCTCGGCGATGCGCTGTTTTTTTATGGATACAAAATCTGACCTCTCCGAAGGCACCTTTTCCTAGGGTCCTACCTGATTGATAAACTTTTGTAAAAGGCTGATCATTGATTTTTATGAAGGTGCTTGGTAGGATTTTAAGTTCATTGATCTGATTTAGCATAAATGTGGACATTGACCTAATTCTCCGTTTCTTGCTTGACGTGCAACCCATTTTATTATTGTGATCAAAATTTAAACTTACAAAATGGAAAACAATTAACTGCTCATTTAGAATTCGATAAATATTTGCTTTATACCTTAAGACCGAAAAAGTTATTAATTATAAATATCAGATATATACATAAATGGCCTGTGATAGCGGCCAGTGCTTTTAGTTGGGTGTCCTTATGCATATCCAAACGTGATTTTTGGCACAGGAGAGGCCCAGCAATATTTCATTTAATTAATGCTCTGATCAGAGCAGCAATTTTTTTATAAGCAGCGCCCATGTCTAGATTGAATATCCGATAGGAACAGAGCAGCTTATTTTCTCATACTGTTTGTTCCTACTCTGAGTGGCGTAAGTTGTTTATCTTTTCCTTTTAGATAATCCAGGCATAAATGGAAGGCAGATTCGACAACTCTTAAGCGCGAAAGTATCTTCAATTTACAAAAAATGGAATCCACACTTGACAACTCTTAAGAGCGAAGGTATCTCCAATCTAAAGGACTCTATGAAAAGCATAGGGTTCTCAGTGCTGGCGCTACATATGAGAAGGCTTGAGTTGGAAATGAAGGCTTTCGAAAAATTGCATAGAGAAGATCAATTCGATAAATCATCTATCGAGAACCAAAGATTTGGCCCTTTGTTATGCTAAGATTTGAGGCCACTTATGTTGCCACTGCCCACATTCGGGATTATATTCACAGAACGATCCCGTTGGCATAAACTAATCTAATAAATCTCAGATGGGCTTGGGATGCTAAGATATATAAATTATATCTTTCTTTTACTTCATTTTGAAACTTCCATGGGGCAATTTGATCACATAAAATGCAAAATACTTAAAACTAAAGCCATAAATAATATGCGTAATATTCTTTAGGCTAATCTTATCTGCACTTTCTGACAGCTTGAAATTATAGTATCATCCGCAAGATAATGCAGAATTAGGGTTATATGAATAATGGCAAAAGAAAATAAGGAGATTGTAATCTAAAGTATAATGAAATAACTATTAGACTGGTTTGGGATAAAAAAATATTTTCTCCAAACTTTAGTAGGCTCCACATCAAATTGTAGAGAATTTGAATGCCGACTTATCCATATTTCTTAATCTTAAATGTGAAAAACGCATATACAAATAAGAATAATAGAAATTTATAATCAATTATAAAAATTATAGTTAGTTGATTTCTCGAGAGTTTAACTCTAAATAGAGGTATTTTGATATAATCCATCATTTCCATTATGAATTGATTGCAATTATATTGCAAGAGCAAATGGATTAGTTTTATTTGAAAATCAACCTAGTTCCTAAAATCTTTTTTATTTTGATAATTTTTAGGGCATCTTTTAGATTATTTTATCCTAAATAGCACTCTCAAGAAATGAGTGAGTTTAAGTTTTATTTATTCATTAAATTCATCTTGAAAATCTAGAAGTTCCTTCGATAAGACCTCTAAATCTTCAATTTTTTCAGACAGTTGCGGTGGGGGAGTTTTTCTCACTGGTGTGTATGTCTTTGGAACATCTGTTTGAGTTTCTATGGAAAATGTAGATTTTTTTTCATTTAAAGTTTGAAAAAGAATATCTCTATCTCTTCTGAGTTCTCTGCATTGCTGCTCTAATTTTGTGATTTTTGATTGATGAAACTCTTTCTCCTTTTCGACTTCTTCAATAATTTGCTGTTGCAAATTATCACAATCCTGATTTTTAGCAATTATTTCATCATTTTTATATTTAATTTCTTCTTCTAGGGCTTTAATTTCGTTTTGAAATTTAGATATCTTATCATTGCATTCAGATTCTAGGTCATTTTTAGTTTTCTGGGTTGAATTTTCAATTGCAGTTATAGAGTTGTTTAATTCAATAATAATATTATCCTTCTCAATTATATTTCCTTTTAATATTTCAGTATTTTCTTGATATTCTTTAATTTTTTGTTGAAGCTCATATATTATATCTCCTTTTTGTTTATTTTCAATATCTTTAAACTCGCTCTGCTTATGCTTATCTTCAATCATTGCTTTATAATCATCATGAATTTTGCTTATTTCAGCTTTATGATTTTCAATAATACCATTTATCTCACTTTTGAATTTAATTTCCGTGATTTTTATCTGCTCTTTTAATAATTCAAGTTCATTTTTTAATAATAAATTTTCTCTGTTTTTTGCTTCTAATTCAAATATACATTAAAATGGTGTGGCAAACAAATCTCCCCTCCTAGAATCTGCAGCTAAGATTGTAGAAGAGAGAATAATGTTCAGTAATATGCATTAAGCCAGAATTTACATGGTTTGGTGGAGTGCAATATCGAAGAGCCTAACCGCATGGCTACTGGGGGAGGTGCTGATTCGGTGATGATAATGGGATGTCCAGAAAGTCAGCTTTGCCAATTGGGCATTTCTCTAACCCTGCACCGTGAGTTATTTCCTGGGCTTCGAGTTCCACATTGTTGTCAATTCGACCAGAAAATTCGTTTTTCGAATTTTCTGAAAGCGTAGTCCATGTCTGGCGCACGGCATGGTGACCATCCAATTTGTGCGCAAGCCCTCATTTCGAGGGAGCAGTAATCGATAGGCAGACTGCAGCTGCCAAGCAAAGCAAAGTAAGGTGAGAGAAAGAGTTACAATTAGAGAGGGCTAAGACTGGTTCATTTCAGCTCCTTTGCAGTAGAGCTTCAGCTTCACACTCATTTGGAGCTAAGCGCTAAAGCCACCTGATGCTTTTCCTTCCGAAGGCCAAAAATGGTGACCCGAAGCTGCTTGGAGGGGGTGCCCAGTCAGCTCAAACCTCCAACTGCAACCCTTGGGCTTTCCAGCAATTTTATTTTTTAATTCGGCCGAAATTTTGGATTTTTGTTTTCTTTTGCTCCTAGACATGATAGCAATTTTTTAAAACAAGGTGAAAAATACTTTCGGGTATTGCAAGAAGTTCCTCTTATAATCTTAACTAAGGCTAAGGTTTCTAATTTCAACCTCACTTAATTTAGCTTTTAAAATATCCTCCCTCAATTTTTTGGTCTCTTGCATTTCTTCGCTAAGTCTTGCTTTTAATGAATTCTTTTCTCGATTATGTAGCATTTTGATTGTTTTGATTTTGCTCAAAGCAAAGGTCAGTCTATGATAATAGGTCTCAATCAAAGCAAGAACTCTTGTCGATCTTTCAATTTGATCACTCATATTGCTCTGCACACTCATTAAAACAGTGGCGCTCACTCCTTGCTGTCCAGCAGATTTTGCTTTCTGCTGGGAAATTTGTAAGTCTTTCTGCAGTCTCAAAATTTCAGAATTTAGCTGGCTTACTTGCTGATGGGCGCCTTCTAAAGAGTTTCTGACCTCTTGCTCTCTCACCCTTAGCCTCCTTTCCTCTTCTTTGAACCTCTTAACCTCAATAGAATGTGTAATTTGCTGTTGCTTATTCCTAACCAACTCTTCAAATACTTTAATTCGTCATTTTTTAGTTATTTGAAGAGGGTCATTGCTTTCATATTCCGCAAGAAGCTTTTCTAAGACTTCAATTTTCATCTGCAGGCTGTTTGAGCTTTGCATAATAAATTATAAAATGGAGCACGTGAGCGTTTTCCCTTTCAGTCTGAACAATTCAGCTGAAATTGTAGTCCTCGTCAGGAGAGATGGAGATTTTTATAGAGACCTTGGGGGTCATGTGCATGGGCAGCACTCCCCTCTTCATGCAGCTGCTAAGTATCTATTAAAGCACTCACATGGAATGATAGCGCCTTCGAATATTGAAAGATTAATCAAGAAAAAGCCTCTTATCCCTGAAAATGATGAAGCTTTATTCAGAGAAATTTTGGCAAAGTTAACCACTTTGCCAAGCCACATGTGCATAAGAAATGTGAGTAGCCATTTTGCATATATGGTGCCAGTTCCACATGTTGATCCCGAACTCCTTAATACAAATCTAGAAGACACCAGCCTACATTGGATAAGAATAAGCACACTTTTTAGTGTTGAAGAATACCAGCGATTTTTCACTGCTTTTGATCTAGCTATTCTGAGCCAAGTTAACACAAATATGCTAAAGCAAGCAATTACCCTAGGAAAAGATCCTCTATATCGTATTATGAATTATATTGGAATAATCAATTTAGAAGACGAAGCCCTGTGGCAGTACCATTTTGAAGCTTTAATTCTGTCAAACTGCCTTCAGGAACCTTATAGGAATAAAGAAGTTAAATGGATGTTTTATGAATCAGAGCTGCCAGCTACAGAGGAATTAGAAAGAATTACAGCTTTCGTCATATTTGGATGGAAAGATAGACCAAGTGATGCTTTGACTGACTTCTTAGAGCGAATTATTCCAACAAAAAAAATCCTTGCAATCGGTTCTGCTGCAAATATGCTTTGCGAGATGCTGGGAGGAAGATTGGAAACTGCAGAAGAAAACGCCCTTCCTGAGCTCACAGCTATTCATTTCACTGGAGAGTACTCAAAAGTCCCTTTTATTAGAAAAAATACATCAAGGCAAGAAGCAGCTCCAGAAGAAGCTGATATGTTTCTTTATATGTCAAAATATGTCCGAAGCCTTCCTGAGCCTGCAGTCATCATTGCAACTGCCAGAGAAAGTATTCCTGTTATTTATAATATAGACAATGTCCTTTGTGTCCACGGCCACCCTGAATTTACTACCTCTTTTGTTGAAGAAATGATAGCTCCTGATCTGCTTGAGCAAGGGATCTGCCATGAAGAAGACTTGGAGAATATGAGAAAAGCCTGGGAAAGCATGCCAATACACAGGTACAGAGAAATTAGAGAAATTTGTGAGTTCTTTGTTTTAAGCTAAATTTATTTTCAAAAACGTTAAACAGTTATTATATTTGTGTCTCTTGACAGAAGGTCGAACTCATCAATAACTTTATCGAACTCAAAGGAATCCAGTTCTGAGTAAACGTTAAAGAAAGGGTGTGTGTGAAGTCTGGCAAAGGTCAAAGATTCTCTTATATAGCTGGGTGGTTCTAGTTTTTTGACTTTCGGCCGCTTTCTTCTGTTCGCACAGTCTTCTTTTGCCTTCTTAATGTTTTCCAGCTGATTTTCCAACTCTTCTAATGTGTTTCTATGATGATTCTCTTCAAAAGCACTTTGGTTCAAAAAATTCGCAAGGCTATCTTGAAATCTCTCATAAGATCTTGTGCACTCTTCGACAATGCATCTTAAGTCAATGTTAAAATTAGAAAGCTTATGAAAATCCCTAAACTTAGGATTCCCAGTTAAAAGTTCAAGCATGATCTGTCCATACATTTCAAGCAGTTTGGCTTCTGTTTCATGATGCGTATCTTCGTTTCTAAAATCTCCAAACTCGACCCCTTTTAAATAAAGCTTTAAGCCGTTATCCTGAATAAATATATTAGCGCACGTGATGGGGTATAAAACACTGTGGGTGCATTTATGCAAAAGATCGGTGAATGCATTTAAAAGCTCTTTAGCTCAATATTTGATCAATGTTGGTAGTTGCTCAATGGTTCTCTATATGACTCTTACCCCATTTAAAATCTTCCTAACAGTTATTCCTTTGAGTGTTTCAAAAAAATACAAGTTGCTTGTATCTGAAGAAATATCATCAAAGCCAAGATAATTATGGAAGTACTTTGATAAAAATAGCTGCTTATGAGCAGAAATTTTGTTAAAGAGCTTTGTAAGTACTTCACAATCCAATAGCAGCCTCGGAACAACTAATACTTCAACAGGAATGTCTCTTTTAGCGCAAAATCCTTGTTGCCTAATAGTTCCGTCAGGATATTCTTGAAGCACTTTAATAGGCCGATTTCTATACTGCACGCTTCTCACTCTTTCTTTATGTCAAAGCTTTTCTATGTTTGCGGACTCCTCTTCTTGAAATATATGAGCTGTTAGGATTGTTTCAGATTTATCATAAATTTTATCATAAACTGATCTTTGAACGTCTTCGCTATAAGTGCTCAGCCTTGATGCCACATCTTGCAAAAGCTCTTCAGACTTTTGAATGGAGATATAGGATTTATAGATTTTATACAGAAGTTGAGCAAGCTCAGCTTCATTGAGACTTCCAGGATAGTCAAGCATGAAACACACCAGACTAACTAGTCTTGATAATAAAAATTGCAGTAATATTGCAATATATTCGATCTTTCGCTCTTCTAACTCTATTTTCTAGAATGTTTGCTAATGCATTAAATACTTTATTTCATATCACTAGAGTTTTATATGTGAACAAAATTTATGCTAAATAAATAAGAAAATTAGAAGAGAAATACAAGTATTTCACTTTATTATCTAATTTTAGACATGAATCCACCCGAATTCGGCTTTAAAATGGATAGAGACAAAATAATTCAAGCATAATTATTCACCTTAAACACACAATCTAGCATTAATTTGCTAAACCAATCTGCTTTATTAATTTAATCTATTATAGCTTATTATTCATATAAAACCTAATATATCCCAATTAATTAATATAAAACATATGGCTCATATCTGCTAATCATAGTTAAATTTTTCTAATATATATATTATTTTTAGAGGTGAGATATAAAGTAGGTTATACATAAGCTTATATTCTATAAATCGCATTTGAATAATTTTTAAGAGATACAGGAACATCTCTTATATTTTTTATTATCAATACTAGGTAATTTACTTTTGAAGAGTAGTTTCATACTTGACCACAGGATTCCATAGTTCAATTGCGTCGCGGGCTTGGATAAGCTTTGAATGCAGCTTAAGTGAGTATTCAATTATTTTGTGAAACTCAGGGTTATCGACTATTTGCGCTATTGTTGCTATTGCACATTCAAAATTAACTGGTAGAGAAGGGCGGAATCTTTCAATTCTGCTTATGTCTTCAGTTGAAAATAAGTTGTTTTTCATAGCCAAAGCAATGAAAACGTTCCATGACTCTATGTTTTTTATTGCCTCATCTTGCGCAGCTGACAAAAAGCACTCATGCAATTTTAGGAAGAGCATATACTTAAATGATTTTTAAATAATAAATTTTGATTTAATATAAAATAGTACAGCTAATCATCTTTATTCTCATACTGCGAATTTTGACTTTTCAATCTTACAGGCAAAGGCTCAAAGCTAGGCGTCTTTGTAGGAGCATAATCAAAATCGCCCATAGAATTATTTTTGGATTGCAAAAGTGATGAGGCTACTGCTAGGCTAGCGAGAGTGGAAGCGTTTGTAAAAGGTTTATCTTGTGGAGGGCAATCAACAGAATGCAGCTTTAATAATGGGACTCTGTTTACTGGAGGATTTGGCTGCGGATCATATGAATATCGAATCATGCTTTCTTTTGCTTCGTTTTTGTCAAGCAAGGTTTGAAGGGCATGGTCAGCAACTTTGATCAGGTCTTTTAGCTCACTATTGGTATTCACACTTCCACTGGAAGATATAAAGCTTTGGTTTGCTCTTATATTTGACACTGATTTGCTTCTATTAAAAACTGAAACCCCATATCTTGGCTTAACATTCTTATATTTAGAAGGAGTGCTGGTTCTTGGCTTATGGTCATTTTCATCTTGCTCCCTTTTCTTGGTGGGAGATCGAGCGTTCATTAAGCGCTTTCCAGATTCTTGTGCCTCTTTTAATGTGAATTTTCTCTTCATTGGAGAACTTTCTTGGAATATTGGCTGGCCAGGTCGCCCATAGAACTCTTCAATTATTTTCTTTTCAGAAGTTAAACGTTCTTCTATTTCAGGGTCCAGAGGCCTAGTAGGATGCCTTGCTTTTACAATTTGAATTAAAGACTCTTCTTCGAGTTTTTCCTGATCTCTTTTCTTTTTTTCTAATTTTCCAAGTCTTCTTCGTGCATCATCTAAATAAGAAATACATGTAAGTCTTTGTATCAGCTCTCGGGCTTGGGATCTGTTGATTTGTCTGTTATCTCTTTTGAGATCTACAGATTCTTCTTCTTGTTTTTTCATCAATTCCCTCTGTTCATGCACAAATCTCCTGTTTTCTATGTCTTCTTGCAACCTTTGGTACACTTTGTCAGCCATTGACTTTGGTATTTTCTTGATTGACTGGCTAATTTGGTTTTTCTCTTCCATTTCTGTGTAGGCTTTGAGATGTGATTTAATTTTAATTCTTCTATTTACATCTTCTAAAAGCCTATCAAAAACTTCAGTTTTCTTGGTAATCGAGGACCTACTTTGTGTTTCATTATATTGCGACATTGATTTTTGGAGCAAGGTTTTGCGATTTATATCAAAAACCATGCGGTCTACAAAATTCATACTGCTGGTATCAATATCTTTTAGTAACTGGGAAACTTCTTCAGGATTTATTTCAGCCATTTGTTCTTCTGTACTTGCAGGAATCTGCGAGGACAGAGGAAATTCTTCATCAGAAAAAGCATGAGAGTCTTTTTGAAGCAGCCTGTTATTTCACCCAGGAATTTCAACTGATTTATTCAGCATGGTTGATTTGTAACAAACTGGAATTGATTCATCGTTGCTGTTTGGTATCATTTCTGGGGTTTCCATCTTTTAAAACAGTTGCAAAGCAATAAAGAAACTCATTATGAGCTCGTTATAATAACAGCTACCTGTATAGAAAAACTAGAAAATTATAAATATGCGCGAATCAATTATGGCCTTTTTATTGATTTTATTTTCATATGTAAATGCAGTTACCCTTGAAGAGATAGATGGAAATATTGAACTACTAGAAAATTCTTTATATAAGTTTCAAAAAGCGAGAGATTTACTATTATTTGATGAACAAAACGAACAACGCAAAGAGACAGACATCAAAGCACTTTCAGAATTCGTAAACAAAGAAGACTATTTGCTTAATAAGCTTCTACCTAGAGGGAAATTCAACTCTAGCTCTGAAGTACTCACAATGGAATTTATTACTCTGAGGCCTTTATCTTCATACAAAGATATAATTAATGGCAATAATTTAGGGATTGTTGTGACATCAAAGGATGGCTATATAAGGATTTATGATATTACAGGCAACTTGCTTATAGATTATGAACTAGGATATCAAACAAAATTTATAGCATGCACAAGCAACTATGATGAAATGAAAATTGCAGTGATTACCCCCAGTCACAAACTTCAAGTTTTTATGATCTCAATGGAAAGAGTCAGACAAAACCAAACCGATGAAAACGAGAGGATCCCAAATAGAATTGATTTTAATATCACAAAGGAGAACGAGGATGACTTATATGCAGGAATAAATGCATCTTCAATGATTTATTACGTAAAAACAGGCAAAAAATCTTGAGTAATAGGTGATGAAAAAGGAGGATTAAGCATCCATAGCTTTAACGGAACGTTTTTAAAAAGAGTAGAAACTGGATTTGGTGAAATATTATCAATGGACAGATTTGGACATCACCTTGTATTTGGCTGCTCAAATGGAATTGGACTAATTAATTCAGGAAGCTTTGAAATTCATCACTTCTGTGAATCTGCAAAATCTACTTTGGTACCAAATAAAATAACTGGAGTAGTCATTGACACATCTGTCTCTACTTCAATTGTTTATGGAGCAACAGAAAAGAATGAAATTATTATATTAGATACTCGCCCAAATGAAGAATCAGAAGAATTAGGATGCCACAGTAAAATTTATGCTAGTTATTAAAAAATTCGATCATGGATATTCATATGGGAATATTAAAATAAAGTCAATCAGAGGCTATTTATTAGCACTCAGTGAAGATGGAGAATTAAGATTTTATAACTCAACCGGCGTAAGAGAAAATGAATTCTCAAAGACGTTCAATGTCACAATTTCAAATGCTTATGGAAATAGTTTATTCAAAGTTAGCAGAATTCAAAATGGTGGAAATTTAATATCTATTGCAAATAAGAGGGAGATAATGGTTTTTGAGTATGTTTTGCCTTATAAAGAAGGAGCAGGAGTCGAATTTGGTGGAATGAGATATATTATGTAAGAATCATATAGATTATTTGTAGCGATTGGAGGAGCAGTTTTATGGCAGTATGTGAAAACAAACGAAAATGATAAGAAAAAGCATAAAAATAGTGATGATGAAAGCGAGATTGAAAATATCATTAGAAGAGCGAGATAGGGATAGTACTTATAATTAATAATCATATATTACCAAATATAAGGATTTTTAAGTTTATATAATTTAAAATGTGTATGCTAAGGCAGATCTCAAAACAAGTGTGGCTAAATCAATTCCAGATAAAATAGCTTTAATTGATGGAGTCCCTATGTTTAACACATGATTTTTCAAGTTGTTAAAAGCTGAAATAACTCACAAATCTGTATACAGTTTTTGAGAGTCGAAAAACAGGGTCTTGGCTCTCTGGTTTACTATTCTATGTTTAGAATTTATTGCCCTAAATATTCTATTAGTAGCTTGCGGCTTGGTCTTCTGAAAACATATTTTATACCAAATTTAATTTAACAAACCAACACATTATTAGTTTGCTGAATCTGGTCGGGATATGAAATTCAATTTCCATACAAGAAAAAATGTCTACAGATTTTAAAATACATTTTCTGATATCCTTTTTTAAGTCCCTAAATTAATTTTAATTTTCTATTAATCTTGGTCCTATATTAGAAAAAGAATTACTGAGCATTCTACTGGAGATTTTAGATGATATCAATAAAGAAGCTCTAAGACTTCAAGAGGCATCTATCTCTCTGTGTCGGCATGTCACCCCATCGAATTCGTATTTTTTAGTTCATGTCCTATTTTTCCAGTTCAATTCATTTTTAATGCATAATCCATAAGTCTGCATTCTACTTGAGATTTTAGATGATATAATACAGAAGCTCTAAGACTTCAAGAGCATCTATCTCTTTGTCGGCATGTCACCCCATTGAATTTGTATATTTCAGTTCATGTCCTACTTCTCCAGTTCAGTCCATTTTTTTATGAATCATCTATAAGTCAGAATTCTATTGGAGAGATTTTAGATGAAATCGATACAGAAGCTCTAACACTTCAAGTAGCATTTATCTCTTTGTCGGTATGTCTTATCTTATGGTATTTATATCGCTTAACGTCCACTACGGGGTTACGACCCCAGGTTTATCACTCGCCTTTCGTCGCATCGGGCCCACCAGTCCGCTGGGGACAGACTCGCTTCGATCTCCAAGGTGCTTCTAGGGCAAATGTCCACGTCTTCGACGGCCTTTGTCGGCATGTCACCCCATTGAATTTTTATATTTTCAGTTCATGTCCTATTTCTCCAGGTCAGTCCATTGTTTTATGAATTATCCATAAATCATCTAAATCCAAATTCTACTGAAGATTTTAGATGAAATCGATACAGAAGCTCTGTCATATCAAGAGGCATCTATCTCTTTGTCGGCATGTCACTCCATTGAATTTGTATATTTTCAGTTCATGTCCTATTTCTCCAGTTTAGTCCATTTTTATATAAAACATCTATAAGTCAGAATTCTACTGGAGATTTTAGATGATATCAATACAGAAGCTCTAACACTTCAAGTAGCATCTATCGCTTTGTCGGCATGTCACCCCTTTCAATCTTTGTTAAAATCCATCCTGCCTGCTTAATCAAAAAAAAATCCTTTATCCTTAGCAGGTAGCTCATCTGCAAGCCCAGCAGGAAAATCCAGAAGTTTAAATTAAGTAGGCAAACTCAGCATGCAAGCACAGCATGCAAACAGAGAGATAGATGCCTCTTGAAATCTTAGAGCTTCTGTATCAGAAAATGTATTTTAAAATCTGTTGACATTTTTTCTTGTATGGAAATTGAATTTCATATCCCGACCAGATTCAGCAAACTAATAATGTGTTGGTTTGTTAAATTAAAATTTGGTATAAAATATGTTTTCAGAAGACCAAGCCGCAAGCTACTAATAGAATATTTAGGGCAATAAATTCTAACATAGAATAGTAAACCAGAGAGCCAAGACCCTGTTTTTCGACTCTCTAAAGCTGTATATCTAATAGATCCAATGAGCTTAAAATTGTTCTTTCTTTTATCAAGCAAGCTAAAATCTACATTATAAATACCTTAAAACAAGATTTAAATGATTCTTTTATTTCAATTTCATCAATATCAGAAACTGTTTGAATAACTACACTCACAGTATCAGAGCCTTTAAATAAAGCAAAAGTTTTGTCCCTTATTTTGATCATCTCAATATCTACAAAAAACAAAGATTCTTTTGTGAGAGAAACTATAGAAGACAATCCATTAGATTTACTAATCCTTTTAATAAATGGCACATTAATAGCAGAAAGTCTTTCAATACATATAATACCACTTTCCTATATGAGCATTACATAAAACATCATCTTCAATTTTTGGGGAATAATCTTTTGACAAAGAATAAGATTTATATTTAAATCAGTATGCATTTGGACAATTGAGCCAAATAGGGAAGAAAATTCATCGAAATTTACTATAGCTGATGCATTTTTATCAGAGGCTGTAAATGACTCAGGCAAAATCGATTCAATATATAACACTACAAGATATCTCTGCTCTTTTACTTTTAAATTATAAGGCACTTCGAAGAGAAATCCATTATATTGAGAAATTGGAGAGAGTGAACTAGAATTTATTCTTAAAAATGAAACTCGATTCGATAGATAAGGAATATTGTCATCTGAACAATCAATTGTTTTTAAGAAGCATTCGAGAATAATCAAACATAAATTTCTTTTATTTGTAAAAGGGCGAAGCTTATATAATGACTGGCTTAGAATGTCAAGTATTAGGCTCATTTCTGTAAAATTCAGTCTAGCTAAATTCGCATTTAATTCTCTTTCAATTTTCAACTTTGATGCGTTGAGAGCTTTAGCAGCTTTAAATCACGAAGAGTATGGACATCTATCAAGAATTTCAATCATAAATGAAAGCATAAATATCCCTAAACTCCCATAGCTTTTATTAAATTTAATTCCTTCCTCAATAATTACAATTTCCAAGCAAGAGGATGCAGAGTCTTTTAGATATTCAAGTATCATCTCTTCAGAAACACACAATAATCCATCTTGGTTACAGATATTTCCGTTTAGAGCTTCTTTCAAGGATTCTTTTAATAGAATCATACTTTCCACCATTACTTCTAAGCTCAATAAGATTCAATTTAATTTTTATATCTCAATAGTTTTTCAATAAAAATCATCGAAGTTTGAGATTCTAAGCCAGACTTAAAGATGAAAAATTCGAGTTCATCTAGAGAAGTATATAAACTTGAAAATAAAATGATGGATCTTATTTATTCTCTTTACTCAAATACCGATAATGAAACATTATATAATGATATAACCCCAAGAGATTATCAACTAGAAATATTAGAGATTGCAAAAGCTCGGAATACAATAGCATTCCTAGATACAGGAACTGGCAAAACTTTAATCGCAATTATGCTAACTAAATGACTTTCAGGAAAAGCTGTATTTCTTACCCCCACAAAAGCTCTGATCGAACAGCAGGATAGTGTAGCTAAAAAGTTTAATATTCGATGCGACTGGCGGTCAGGCAAAAAAGGTGAAAGTTGGAACTCTATAAAATGGCAAAATTGGATATCGAAATTTGATTTATTATTTTTAACTCCTCAGCTCTTTCTTAATTCTCTCCGTCATGGGTATCTTCAAATGGAGCAGTTTGATTTATTGATATACGATGAATGCCACCATTGCAAAGGGGAGCACCCCTATTTCTCGATTCAAACTGAATTTTATTTCACCTCTCTGAAAAAGCCAAAAATCCTTGGGCTCACAGCGTCACCAGTTGTTACTGGACCAAAAGAGATCAAAGAACTGAAATCAGAGCTTAGCGATTTATGCTTATTTTTGGATTCTGACTTTGCTCAAGTAAACCGACGCTCTGTCAATCAAATTGCAAGTCAGGCTAAAGTAATAGTTAAAGGAGTAGATCATATTTCTGAATGCAAATCTGATATTATTGAAGAATTAAGTCTAATTATGAAATCTAATATAAACATGAGAGACCATTTTGACTCTGCAAAAACTGTATTTGAAAAAATAGGTGAAATTGGATTAAAATATTACTTGAGGGATTTTCCATATAAAAATGAATTATTACATTATTTTGAAACGCAACTTGAGGAAGGATATTCTGAGCTATTCTTAGAGCTTGTGCATTTATTAAATGAGCACTTTAGTCTTGAAGAGTCTAGCCAAGTAATCATTTTAGCTGAAAGAAGAGTAACGGTATGATATCTTGTTGATGCATTAAATTATTTTAGCAATTTATATAACTTGAATATAAAAGCAGGAAAAGTAGTCGGAATAAATCAAGGATCAAGAAGTTCAGAGATATGCAAAATGAAAAATTCCAGCCATGAGTATTCTTTGGACGATTTCAGGCTAGGGAATATTAACGTCCTTGTAGCAACAACAGTTGTTGAAGAAGGGATTGACATTCCTTCATGCAATTTTGTCATTAGATATGATAGCCCGCCTAATAATTTAAGATCTTACGTGCAATCTAAAGGAAGAGCAAGGGATAAAGATTCAAAATTTATTGTATTGACTCCTATGCACAATCAAGCCGAAACAATCGATTTGATAAGAAGATTTGATTATATGATAGTATTTCTCAAAAATTTAGCTGATAAACCTATAACTAAGCCAGAAAGAGGAATGACATCATATGTATCTTTTAAGATTCCAGAAACAGGAGCAACTATAAGCACTGCATGAAGCGAGCTGTGAGTCAAAGATTTTGAAACAGCGCTGAAAAAATTGACAGGTGAAAAAATAAAATATGAAACATCATATATCCGAGAGGTCTCAAAAGTGAAAGGATATTCGGGAATAGTTAAATTTCCTTCCCTTTTTTGTATTGAGGATGTCAAATCAAGCAGACTGTATTGCAGAGAAAATGATGCTTTGAAAGATGCTATTGTTCAGGCGGCTGAAGCTTTGTACCAAAATGAATTCATAGATGAGTTTTTATTTCAATGCATAGAAAAAGGATTAAGAGCTACTGACTCAAAACTGCGATATAAAAATTCAAAATCCAGCGTATGCAGCCCTTTTGATGATAAAGCTTATCTCGAACAAAACTCAATTGAAAAATTCATTGGAAATCTCGATAGTTTCTATCATATATACAAACTAATCATTTCTGATCAGCAAAGCGAGCTATCACTAGGATTATTTTCAACTGCAGACATTCCTGAATGTCCATTTGATTTATTTTCATCAAAATATAATATAAATTCTTCAATAAAGCAAACTCAAAATCCATCCAGAATAAGAATGCAGCTTATAAGAACTGAGCGCTTTGATTTGAAAAATCTAAGCATGGTTAAAGCATTTCATTTAACAATTAATTCAATTTTATGCTCTCAGTTTAACAGAACAAAAAGAAATATTTACGAAGAGCATATTGGGAATGCTGTATCTGATTTAGAGATTCAAGTGCCATTGTGTGTAGTCCCAATTTTAGATGACAATATAAATTGAAATATAATTAAATCAAATATTCTATTTTTAAGAAATCCAGCCAAATTTGACTCGAAATCTTATGAAAATCTTGCTCTGAAGCTTGATACCAATGACTTGTATATTATCTTACTCCCCCCCCCCCCCCCTCCGTGAGCGAACAAAACCATTAGAAAAAATCGCCATTTTTTGACCAAAAACCCACCCTCCGTGAGTGAACAAAAATTTTTTTTAATAGAAAAAATTTTAATGGAAAAAAATTTTGATATATAAGTGATAATTAGTATAATGAAATCTAGAGCTAATTCTGTTTAATTTTAAACAAATTGCGTTTTAAAATATAAATTTTGCAAATTAAATTAATATTTGCTTCCCAATTTTTGCAAATTAGGATTTTTTTTAATTTCGAAAAAAATATTTTTTATAAAATTTATATATAAAATTTTTTTTAAAAAAAAAAAATTAACCCCCCTCCGTGAGCGAACAAAATTTTTTTGTTCGCTCACGGAGGGGGGGGGGGAGTTTAGATATTTTATTTGATTCCCCAAAACATGAAGTTTATAATAATAATTCAAACCTAGTTGCTTGTATTGAAAGAGAAATTAATGAAGAATATTTATCTGTTCAAAAGTTTGATTGCCATGCAAATACTCAAAAAAAATATAAGGAATTTTTAAGGCGCTCAGATTTAATTTTTAGCCCAATTCCTACGTATTTCTTGAATTTGTGCAGAATGCTTCCAAATATTATAACTCATTTCCATGCAACTTTGTTTATAATTGAGTATTCACATAACTTAAAATTTTTGAAATTTTCCTATTTTAGGATCAGATAAAGGATTAAGTTAGTTAAGATTATAAAAAAGCTCTTTGTGATACCTTAAAAGGGTATTTAATTCTATCTTGCTTCCCATCTGTCTGCGGTAGTGAGATGGTCACCATACCGCACAACTTACTTGGGTTGCTTTTCCAGAAAATCCGAAAAACGAATTTTCTGGCTGAGATGTTAACCAAAATGAAACTCGTTGCCCAAGATTCAACTCCCTGCATCGAGCTAGAAATTTTCCCTATTGGCACTAAGGACAATGCTGGGACTTGCTTTCCAAACGCTGAGCAATCATCTTCCCCAAAGTGAAACCTTGACCTGGAATGAGCTTCGGTATGCCTATCCAATATTGCGCTCCATCAAACTAGATAAAATTAGGTCGTATACACATCACCGAATGCTATGCTCCTTTTTCTCAAGGTTCCTGGGTCACCCCAACAACAGATGCTAAGAGGGTGGGCTGGTTCACCACATCATTTTAATGTATATCAAGGATTAAGTAAAATAGATGAATTTTTATTTGGATAATTCCAAGCAGCTGTTAAATATTTTATTTTCCAAGCATGCTATAATTTATTTCTTATTGAATTTAAAATTCTCCAAATTAATTAAAAAGTAATTAATTTTTCCATTTAATATCAAATTCCCAGCAGATTAAAAATTTAAAAATTCTTCATCATTTATAAAATTTTTTCACAATAGCGAGCGGTGTGAGTCCTGAGTGGCTGGCGAGTTGATCCCAGCCCTAGATATGTAAATCCCAAACTTTTAAAATTTTCCTGATCAGAATATTATTCCAGAATCTACTTCAGCTCACATGAAATAGCCAGATTCCTATAGGAAAACCTCATGGAAGGGCAATGCTGAAGAAAAAAGATTCTTGGACATCAGTCTAACTTTTCATCCTCAGGTAGAGCTTATACCACCGCTAGGAGATGCTCAAGGAAGTACCTCAGTGTCTCCCTAATAGAGGTCGATCTTACAATTTTTTGAGTCGTCAATAAATAAAAGGTGCAAGTGTCAGCTGGTGCATTAGGGCACCTTGCTTGAAACCAAAAAGACAGAGAACGCTGAATAAATCTCGGAGATGCAATAGAATCTTAATCTAATTTAATATAATCACCCTTTATAGAGCCGATACTCCACCCTAAAAATTCCAATGCATCATAATCTGTTTTTTATAAACATATCATATCAATAATACCCTAATCCTAGAAAAATATTCCAACTGAAAATGAAGCCAGGACAACTGTATATTTCTATGTAGAATCGTAATGAAGACCATGACTTGGGGCCGGGACTCACACAATTTATTCGACTATGAGTCAAGGAATTGCATCAAAAAGCAATTTCAAACATCAAGCCCTTGCCAAGTCACTCGCCTAGAGACCGATATCAATTTACTATTTTCTCAGGCAGATCTCAAGCGAGCCAGCTCACATCCCGATATTCTTGCTACTATATATCAAGAAAACGGCTCATTTTATATTAAATCCGAAGAAGAGCCGCTCTGGCAGGTTGTAAGATCTTTGAAAACCAGTAGTGGGCCAGGCCATGTACTGCAAAAAGGCGACACCATAAAACTAGGAAGAGCTTGCTATAAAATAAAAGATCTGAATTCTGGCAATGACGACTCTTCAAGTGATCGGACACAAGAAAGCGAAGAAGAGTCAACAAATGAAATTCCTGAGGAGTATGAAAATGGCGTCTGTAGAATCTGCTTCTGTGAAGGCGAGCCTGGGAATCCTCTTATCGTACCTTGCAACTGTACTGGGTCTGTAAAGCACATTCACTTGCAATGCTTGCAGAAATGGCTGTCTTACCATATGTCATCTAAGCAGTGCGAAAATTCTGCAGTTTATCACTGGAAAACAATTGAGTGTGAGTTATGTAAAGGCGTATTTCCATTTAGTTTAGGTATAAAAGGAAAAGATTACAATTTATTCCAAGTGGAAAAACCAGATATTCCTTATATTGTTCTTGAAGCAGCTGGCCAAAACAAAGGAAATGAAAAAGGAGCGCATGTCATTACTTTTTCGCAGCAGTCCTCAGTTATATTGGGAAGGGGACATGAGAGTGATGTCAGGATCGCTGATATTTCAGTTTCCAGGTGTCATGCAATTATAAAGTATGAAAAGAATCAATTTGTCTTAGAAGATAACAACTCGAAATTTGGGACATTGCTGCAAGTAGCAAGGCCGATAGAAATTCCACTGAATAATACAGTTGCATTACAAGCTGGAAGGACAGTGATGGCTTTATCTTTAAAAGCAAGCAGCTCAAATATCAGTGCTCTATATGATGCGTCACTGGATGAGGCTGAACATTATGCTCCTCACAAAAGGTCTCTATAGTAGTGATTTTAATGATATAATTTAGTTTATTATCCTCTCTATACGCTTTATTCTATATAATTTAAAAAAATTTGAAAGCAAGTTTGCATTCCACCTTCAGTTAGGAAGTCTGAGATACTTGAAAGGTTTATAAAATCCTATAAATCCCAAAATTTATTAAAAACAAAATATAACTGTAATAATCAATTCGTTTGTAGCTTGTAAGCTACTTGAAAACTTAACAGGGTAGTGATAAGCTATATTGTCTCTTAAAATCAGTTAGAAGGAAGGAAAAATTAAGCTCAAGATATTTATTGTATAAACTTAAAAACATTTAAAATGGAGCATGGAAATGTGCGAATTCGACCTGTGACTCCTCGAGTTATTGAAAGCCGGCAAGAAGACTCTCCAGATGAGTATGACATTCAAAAGCTTTTATCAAAACTAGCAAACATTTCGGTTTCTTCTTTTCAATCAATCAAAAGGCTTGAGTTGTGCATCAACACCGATGAAGTGCCTCTGCATAAAATTAGTGAAGAGTGTCCACAGCTCACAGAACTGAAATTAAATGGAAGTTCCTTACTCAATTCGGAAAAATTGAGAAGTATGTTTTAAATTCAAAAGAGTTGGCCAGAGATTTCATTATAATAATTATCACTTATATATCAAAATATTTTATCCCGAGCCTAGGTTTTTATCCAAAAAAATAGGTATTTTTCCAATAGTTTTTTTCCTCACGGTGTGGGTGAGTTAGAATCACTGAGAGATCTTGGCACTGGGTGGAATGAATTAACAATTCTATGAGTTGTTCGAACAGGATTGGTGGAATTCGAAGGGATTTCTGCATTCCCCAAGCTTTCTGAACTTTATGCAGCGTTTAATGCAGTTACCGATTTGTCCTGCTTGATGTTTAATGATACTCTGCAAGTCCTCGATATCGAAGGAAACCAAATCGGCGAGTGAAGTCAAATCGAGCAGCTAAAATACTGTGATCAGCTCTGGTCTCTTAATTTAGAAAGCAATCCAATAGTTAAGAACTTAGAATATCGGTCGAAATGCTTAGAAATGCTTCCACAGTTGCAGATTTTAGATGATAATCCAAGAGAGGCAACTGTGAGTGCACAAACTGAGACAAATTTTAATATAGATAGCAAAGAACCAGACGAGCTAGAACTAGTATAATCCCTTGCATAAATTTCATTTTGCTTATTTATGGTAAATTGATTTTAAAATGTCAAAAAAAATTTTAGCATACCATAGACTCAGTTTTATTTATAATGACATGTCAAAATTTTTTTGACATTTTAAAATCAATTTACCATAAATAAGCAAAATAAAATATTACCAATACATTATAACAAATTCGGTTAGAGAATCAACTCCCAAGCGGAAACAAGCAGAAATAAGGCCGAAAAGTGCAAACCCAATGTTCAGAGACGAAGGAGTTAGCCATCTAACAGAAGAAATTTTTAGCGGAAATCCGCTAAAAGCAATGAGGTATAGAAGGAACAGACTGTTTCAAGATAGAGCTAATTTTGATATTATGACTCTTATTAAAGAATTCAAAGTAGAAAACACCAAAGACTTCAAGCCTGTCCATGTTCCTCAAATGGTAAGAAGAACAAGAAAAGTAATGGCGAGGGAAAGGTTTACAGCAGATTATGAGACTAAAAAGAATGAAATGTAGCTGAATTATAGTTATCTATATCAAGTATTTTGAGTTCTATTTAATTTCACAATTTTTAAATTATCGCTTTGAATTTGTGCTTATTTTCTGTTCATTGATGCGACAAATTCATCAAAGTCGACATAGCCGTCCTTATTACTGTCAGCTTCTGTTATGATATTTCTCCATTCTTCCTCAGAAACTTTATTTTTATAGTCAAGAACCTTTTTCAGGTCACTTTCTGCTATTTTTCCTTGAGAATTGATATCCAAATTTTTAAATATTTCAAACAAATTGTCTTTTGAAACGTACTTTGACTGCTCCAAACATAAAGTTAGAAATTCTGAATATGAAATTGTTTCTGAAAGCTCAGCGATTTTGCTGATTAGCCGATCTACATCGCCATGAGCATTCTTTATTCCTTCTACATGAGAAAATCCTTCCAGTAATTCTTTTTTACTTATAATTCCATCTCTGTTTGTGTCGAAAACTTGAAAAGCTTTGATGATTTCCTTTTCATCATCAGGCTCTATTGTCTGACTTATATATTCAGATACTACTTGAGAGAGCCCTGTTTGAGATTCATACTTTCTCAGTTTTCCAATAATACCAGATATACCTGAATCCTTTTTGTTCGCTTGTACAAGTCATGGGTGAGTTAATGCTATAGAGGCTGAAATCCTAGCTATAGGGTCAATTTCAAGTAAATGCTGAAGCAAGAGAATAGCTTGTGAAGAAATTCCTTTTAATTCTTTTAAATTCAACTGAAAAGGTCTTGTTTTTATTTCTTCAACGATTTCGATATCTGATTTACCTTCGTAAGGGATATTGCCTGTGAGAAGGATGTACATTATCATTCCACAGCTCCATTCATCGCACTTTTCATTATAGTATCCCCTAATCATTTCTGGCGACATAAAGTATGAAGTCCCTTGCTGTCCCATCATCTTTTGCCCAGTAAGGATATATTATAGTCAGTGTCACTAACTATAGATTAAATTTTATACTGCCATAAGAGGGATACCCATTGACTCCAGGAAAGGCGGCCTACATTGGGTGCGTGCACACCCTATGCAAAGGTTGTAAGGCTCAACTGAAATTTAGCCCTCTTGAATTTCTGAAAAGATTCAGCTCCTTATATTAAAGCAATCTACTGCCTTGACATTCCTGATAGATAAAGACTATGGGGTAGGCAAAAACTGTCTAGCCCATCTGAAGGACAAGAAAACCTTCAGGGAAAAACAAAACTTCCCTCTTTGGCAAGACATTTACCAAGCCTGAAGGCCTACTCAAAAGGGGCAAAGGCCCTGCTTTTAGATTCATCAGGATGGGCCTGACTCGCTCCATAGAAGTGCACCTCTGAGACCAATTTCTGTCAACTACACCATTTTATTTTTCTTTCCCCAGTAAATTAAATTAAACGATTAAACTGGCTATAAGCTGGCGATCCACTAGCATTTGCCTTGTCTCGGCTCCAAGACAGCTTCCTCCTCGCCTTACGAGAAAAAAGAGGGAAGAGAGAGGCAGTATCTTGAATTTCCGACCTGAGCCACCTGCCCAGAGGGCTAGCTCCCTAGGGAAAGAACCATCTTCTATAGAGTAACCCGATGGTTCCGACAAGGAAGGATCATGCTGTAGGCACCTTCTTGGGGGAAACAAAACTTCCCTCTTCTTAAGGCAACCGAAGGTCTAATTCAAAAGGGACATAGGCCCTGCTTTCAGCTTCATCAGGATAGGCTCTACCTGCTCCATAAGGATTGCCGTCAACGTCGCCGTTTTATTTCTCTTTCCCAGTAAGGAATGTGGATTTTCCGAAACCAACTAATTTAATATGCACTAGAGAGCCATCTTCAATTAAAATATGATTAGGGTCAATATTTCGATGTGCAATTCTTTTACTATGGAGATACGCAACCGTTGATAATATTTGTCTCATAATTATAGAAATTTTTTCTTCAGTTTCTTGAAATTCTCTAAGTTTATTAGTAAGCCTTTCTCCTTCACAGAAATCCATCACAATATAATGATAATCACCTGTTTCATTAAGCCCATAGCATCGTGGCAAATTTGGGTAATCAAGAACTTGCCAGACCTTAATTTCTTTTGGTCTTTCGATATTTTGATTTAATTGGTTCTCTGATTTGTTTTTGGAAATTCGCTTCAATATTCTTAACATTCTTGTAGATTTGTCTAAACATTTAAAAACTTCAGAGCGGTTGCTGCTTGAAATTAAAGTTACATCGGTAAAGGCTTCCAATGGATCTTCTTGACGAATATTTAGAAGGGATTTAGGAATAACTTTTGAAACTGATAAGCTACTTTCAGACATTTTCATTGGAGCTGTAGCTCTTTTTGACTTGCTTTTAGTGCAGCCCATATTTTATATGTGTTCAAAAACAAAATTAAAATCCATTACTTTTCCGTTTTTGCCTGAAAAAATTATAGAAAAGCACATATATTACACTAGTGATTTATAAAATCAGCCTAGGCTTGTTAAATTAAAAATATTCATATATATTAGCAATGTAGAAAAAGTTTAATAATATTCAATTTTTGATAAAAGAGGTTTTGTTGTATTCCAATTTTATATTAAAAAGCATCTTCGATCAGTTTTAATAATTTTTTTAATAAAAGTTAAAAGCTAAATTAATTTAATGCGTTTTTATTAATGAGTTTTAATAAGTTAGAAGTTTCAAGAAAAAATATATCGTAAAAATGAGTTAACTATAACTGAAAGTTCGTGCTATAAGCCCTTAAATCTTTGAGTTTTTGAAGACCACTGGCAAATGATCAAGATTTAGTGATAGAGTCTGCCTTATTAGCCGAAACTTAAACTGTCTATAATCAGAATATTCCTAAAATTGAATGAATTATATTTTCATTTTATATTTATTTGGATAATTACGCACCAAGCAGAATATATAGTATCATTAAAAGAGATTTAATTTGTGCATCCCTTGAAAATTCATTGATTTTCAAAATATCAGAGGTGCAAATATATTTAGTAATAGCAATAAAATATGTCGACTTGTGAAAAATTAGATATATGATGCCTACTCACAGCGTTTAAATTATTTATTAATATATCCAAAATTATACCTCTTTTAAAGAGGAGAATCGGCTTCAGTGCTTTCATATTCGCTTGACATCCACATATCGTTAATTTTTATTTGAATTTTCTCTAAAACGTGGTCTAATATTTGAAGATCAAAAGGATATTCCTTTCCAACAATTTTTAACCACTCTGCTTTAAATTCTCTAACCCTAAATTTATCAAATGCACAGCAAATTGATGCTAAAGCAAGCAAAAAAGGCTTCTTAAATGCTAAATCTGTATCCAAATAGCATAATGCTGCATATGAATCAGCATTTTCTATTATACAGGAACAGTCGAAGTCTTGGCAAGTGCAAGCCAGTATATGTCTTATTATTTCAGACGCGGTAGGGATATCGAGTTTCCAAGCTAGAGTATTAAGTACGAACAATTCAGTTTGAATAATTGCTTCAATAGGAAACACCTTTTTACAAATTTCATACATTTGTGTTGGGTTTAGTTCTTTAATATGTTCATATTTAAATGCAATGTTAAGTGCGACGATGCCAACTAGTCTCAAAACTTTTACGTGAGAGATGGATTTCAAAGACAGAAAAGAGTCAAAATATCTTATGCAATATTGAATTGAGTTGGATGTGCCACCCAAATAATCATTAACTTGGAAAAGCCAAAGAAGGACTTCATATCGGTCTTGAGGTTTAATTTTTTCATTTTGAGTTTTGGTGAAATAAAAACTTATGTCAGGATATTCCTAGATAGACTTTACCTTTGATAAAAGGTGAAATAATGTTTCTTTTGAGTAAGAGTGGGTGTGGTCTTTATTCATTAAGTTTTAAGGTAATCAAGGGCGCAGAAATATGATACTGTAAAAGCTGCATAATTGCCATTAATTTATGCTTATGCTAAGTAAAGTGCGCCGCGTCAAATTTTATGTATTTGAAATATTATGGGTGCTGGCTTAGAACTGTTTTGCGAGCAATATAAAAACTTTCGAAAAATTTCAAATTATAATCCATTAAAATGGTCGCCACTATAATAGCTTAGCTTATTTAGTCAAATTGCTTATTACAAGATTAATTAAGATAAATTTTAAATGCGATAATTGGTCAATAAACTGGTAGATATTTATAAAGTTAATTAATAAAGATCATAGATATATTTTAGGATGATAAAGCTGCATTAACAATCGCTATCTTTTGAATCTAGATTTTCGAAAAAATTATCTTAAAAGATTTTCCTTTAATTTGCAGATCAAATTCGGATAATAGTTATTTTTTCTAATCAATTTTTAAAACAACTAATTAATATCTGCAGAAGCATTTGCTGAAAAAATAAATCTGAAAATTTATTTCCAAGAGTCAAAGCATAAGAAATAATCACAAAAATGGAGCTTCATATAAGCATATTTTAATTTAATTAAGTTTATATTTCAATAAATATGAATATAGTATTATAAAGCTTAATCAGATCTTATAGGAACTATTTAAAAATTTCAAAACAACTATAATATTTTATTTGATTAGAAATATAATTTCGTAATTATGATAAGAAAGTTCGCAATTAACTAAGATAAAAATGGTTCTACTGAGAATTGAACTCAGATCTCAGGATTCAAAGTCCTACGTGCTACCACTACACCATAGAACCTTAGTAAGAAAACATTTCTCTGATATTTACTTATACAATAATTAATATTCCATTTATTTGTTCATTGTATTAAAACATTTGCATCTAAGGCATCGAAATTTGCCAAGTTTAATAATAGCAGAGAGCTATTGGATTTATACACAGGATAAGAGCCGGATTCAATTTCAGAAGAGAGCATAGAAAAAATAGTGAAACAATATCCAAAGTACGAGTCAATGAGGTCAAAACTTTGGGGAGGCTGGAACAGATAGAGTTCGAATGGGTGAGAGACAACTGAGTCAAGAAAGAAATATACAGTGAGGAATTTGAAAGAGAGATGCAAGCTTGGAGGGAATAAAGCAAAATGCAACATATCGCAAGAGTCGACCTGGAAATTAAAAATTTTTCATTAGGAACTTGTAGCTGAAATTAACGAGAGAAATGGAAAGAAAGTACAGGGAAAGTCAAGGGGAGGATTCAAGCAGCTAAGAATTGGCATGTGGGCTAAAAAGTAATATAGGACTGCAATTGGGGAGCCCCATTTAATTTAAGTGTAGAAAAGTGTATCAAAACATTTAATCCTATTTTCCTTATTAAATATACATTATTTTTAGTTATAATAATAGATTCGCATAGTTTGGTATCCTTTAACCAAAGGTTAATCGATTTATAGTCTTCGAACGGAACGTTGCATTGAAAGTATGAGCATCTTTTTCTCTTTTTTGAAAGGGCTTTGATAAAATTTCTTTGGGACTGACAGAAATTCAAATCTTGATGATCTTTTAGATTTCTTAGGTCTATACTTTCTTGGTAGCTTTGGAAATTCAAATGAAGAAACAGAGTAAGAAGGAGTCATTTTTGGGGAGTGAGTTCGTGTTCGAATAATGGAAGATTTAAATATATTACTTTCCTCAGTAAATGCATATGCATAATCTTTTGGAGACTTAAGTTTATCAATCATTGATTTATTGACGACAAAAGTTTTTTCTCGGTTTGAACTTAGATTTTCTTTTAGGCGGCGTAGAGATCCAGGCGATTTATCGAGGACACTTCTCCAAAGAGACTTTGATGCAGAGAAATCATTTGAATTGTTTCCCTGATATCAAGGACCTATGTCATGCTTTTTCTCAAAATATCCAGAGCTCATTTTAGGCTCAGCAAGATCTCTAATGTAGCTTACTTCTGTATTTGTTTGAGTTTCTTGAGTTTTTGGATTATTTTGAATTGTGTTTAGGGTAGCTGGAGAAGTCTCTGATTCTTTATTGACTTCAAATCAACTGCTTTGAGATTTTTCTTCTTTTAATCAGCTGAAATCAAAATCTCTATTATTAAATCTATTTTTCTCCAAAGGAGTTTTCTTATTCTGGCTGAATAGCTCATCTAGTTTTATTTTTCTCTCTTGTCTAATCTGAAGTTTTCTCATAATAAATAATATAAACTCACCTTGAAAAATTAAAAATAAATAGAATCTTAAACACTAATTTATATTTTCAAATTTTAAAAGAAATTACAGTTTTGCGGCGAATTTCTTATCAAAACATTTTTCATTTAATCTTCCAAGAATCTTCCATTTATTTTTATAAACATTGAAGTTTTATTTAAAAGTTTGACGATAATATGATGTTCTTCTATGGAACTCGTAAAATTTATCAAAGTTTAGAATAAATTGTAATTTAAAAGAAATAATATTTAGATTTAGGACAGTTATATATTACAAAAATGTCAAATAATGGAAAAGCCTTTAATAGACCGAAATCTTCAAGTACCTCAAATCTTCATAGAAAAGTAATTTCTATCTACCCTCACTTTATGGGCATATTTCCAGCTCATGGAACTCTTTAATTTTAGTATCAAAAAAATTGAAAATCTATATAAAATTTATATTTTAGAATACAAGCTATCAAAAAATTATAGCAAAGAAGTATAAGAGATTTAATTAAAGATCTAATTAAAATCATTATTTATATAAAAAATTTGTGTTGGTCATTAATTAACGATAGATGAGTTAGAAACCTTGGGACGAACGATTCTGACTGGGAAAACTTGCAGAATATGAGACAGAAAATGATCCCAACCGTATTATATAAATAGAAAGAGAAATCCTCTCACGTGGAAATGAGTCTCAAAGAAACATAAGAATTCCAAGAATTGACCCTTTTTCTCCAGGACAAAGTCCAGATAGAACCCCTGTAAATGGCCGACGTCGATTGAGTTCTGAAGAATCTGTTACATCTTTGCTGCAATCAATCGAAAAAGAATGAGAGAAGCAAGGAATTCCTCAACCCCAGCGAGAAATGTTTAGAGTCTGTGTTTTTGGCATTCCAAGGCACAAATTAATCGCTGTAATAAACAAAGAAATTGAAGAACTGCAACAAAACAGAGCCCCAGTTCAACTTGCTTTGAGAGCAGTAGCTGCTAGAGAAGAAAGCCTCAGAAGCATCAAAGAAATGAATGAATATCTTGAAAGGGCTAATGATTGAGAAAAAATGAAAGATGTCCAGCTAGAAGCTGCAGAACTGTTGCATGCCCATCGAATGTTAAGTCTAAGCGCTGTTGAAACAATTGTCAGATGAAGAGAACAGCTAATGAATGAAATGCTGATAAATAATTCTGAAAATGCGAAAAAAATAAAAATTTTGCCATTTTTTTGAGAAGGTTGGAACTATTTGGCAAAAATGAAATCAGATATGGACTTTTTATTATACACAGACTATGCCAAAATTTTTCAATTTAAAGAATCTCTTGATCCAATGCTCATTAATCCAAGCATCCCAGGAAAAAAGAAGTCAAGTAAAGCTAAAGATAATTATTTTGTCGCAGACGGACAAGTATTGATACCTATACCAAGTGTCCTAATGAAGCGAGTGAAATGAGCTGAATCAATTATTTTAGATGAGCCAAATATTGAAGAAGAAGTTTTAGCATCCAAAGAACAAACTATCAAAGATCCAGACTTTAATAATCTTCCTCAAGCAATCATGCTTGAACTCTTTGAAGAAGGATTTGTCCGTGAGCTTGAAGACGCTGTCAATATTGCAAGAAATATGGAAATGAGCAGGCTAAATGAAATTGCAAGCAAGAACATCTGTGAAGAATTAGCAAAACAAGTAGCCTCTGAAATGTGTGAAGAGGTCGGTAAGCAGCTCTATAATGAAACTGCCCAAGACATCCTTGAAAAATACTTTGCAGCAAAATTAGAAAAAATGATCGATCTTGAAATAAATCAAATGTACTCAGCAATCGCTAAAGAAGAGCTTAAAAATGCAAAAGAAGAAGTAAAAATGGATAAAAAATTAAAAAAAGCCAGAAATGAAGAGAATATTGCATTATCAAAATTAATTTTCCAGGATTTGCTAGATGAAGCTCCTGATGCTTTAATTGAAGTTGCATTTGCAGAATCTATAGATGAGCTTAATAAAAAGAAAATAGCAGACGAAGAACAAAAAGTTGCGATGCAAGCCAAAATTTCTGAATCCCTTGAAAAACACTTTACCACAAAATTAGATAAAATAATCAGCGAAGAAGTTTTCAAACAAGTTGAAGCAATTGCAAAAGAGGAGTTCAAGCTTGCAAAAGATGAAAGGCAAAATGCCTCAAAATCAGAAAAGTTTTTTGAAGATGAACTATCAAGACAGCTCGAAGCAATTGTGAAAGAAGAATTAAAAATCGCTAGAGATGAGAAACTGGGTGTCACGATGGCAGAAAAGCTTGTAGATGATGAAATCTTAAGACAAATAGAGGCAATTGCAAGGGAAGAGGTTAAAATTGTCAAAGACGAGAAAGAACGATTTTCAAGGGTAGATAAACTTATTGAGGATGAAATTATTGGCCAAGTTCAAGCTATTGCAAGAGAAGAGCTTAAATTGGCTAAAGATGAAAAAGAGCGCTTTGCGAGGGTCGATAAACTTATTGAGGATGAAATTTTAAGCCAAGTTGGAGCTATCGCGAGGGAAGAACTTAGGATTGCCAAAGAGCTAAAACAAAGCAATGCAAAAATAGATAAACTCATTGAGGATGAAATTTCGAAGCAAATTGAAGCAATAGCAAAAGAAGAACTTAAAGCTGCTAAAGATGAAAAGCAACGCTTTGCTAGGGTAGATAAACTCATTGAAGATGAAATCTTAAGCCAAGTCGGAGTTATTGCAAGAGAAGAGCTGAAGCTTGCTAAAGAAGAGAAAGAAAGGTTTGCAAAAGTTGACAAACTGATTGATGGTGAACACATATAAAAATGGTGTGGCGAGCCAGCCTGCCCTCTTAATACCTGTAGCCAGACGAGAGTCTGGAACCTTACGGAAGAGAGAGCAACGTGCAGTGAGTATATCCGGTCGGGTTTACTTGGTCTGAGAAGCGCTATGCCAGCCTGGCCGACTGCAGGGCAAGGTTTACCTCGAGATAGATCTTGGAGATTAGAAATGGCCAGCCCATCAAGGCTAGGGCGCTCGCTTGGCCAATCAGACAGTTTCCCAGCATGATGCTGGGAGTTTTCCTGAGCTAAAAAATTTTCAGTCGGGCTGATAGATTAACCAGAAATTCACTTTTTGAAATGTCAGAAGGGTAAACACGTTGACCTACTGCACGATAATCCAGCGTCTTTATCCCCAGGTTACGAGTGCAAACCCTATTCCGCAGATAGAAAAGGATGCTTTAGGCCGTGGAACCAGATGGTAAGCAAAAAATAGGGTCTATAATAGCTTAAATTAAGTAAGATCTGATGGTGAACTTTTAAAGCAAATAGAAACTATTGCAAGAGAAGAGCTAAAAGCAGCCAAAGAAGATAAGCAAGACAATTTACTGACAGATAAGATAATTAATGAAGAAATTCTAAGACAAGTCGATGCTTTGGCAAAAGAAGAGTTTAAGATTGCAAAGGAGCAAAAACAAAAAGAAATGGAAGAAAAAAAGGCAAAGGAGGAAACTAAAGGCCCAAAGGAGCAGAAGCCAAAAGAAATTGAAGATAAAAAAGCAAAAGCAGCTGAAAATGCCGCTCTAAGTAAAATATTTACACAAGAAATCTTGGAGAGCTACTTGGAGGCGATGGAAAAGGAGTATTCTCAATGAATCAATGAAGAGCTTGGAGAGCGAGAAAGAAAGTTTACAAGGGACATGACCCGACAGACAAGCATAAAGGCCAGGGACTTAATGGATTTTCAAGTAGCAGAAGCCATATCAAGAAATCTGATTGAAATTGCAGTAAATGATCTTAAACTAGATCAACTAAGTGAATCTGCATTAAAAGAAGCCATTGAACTGCGCAAAAAGACAACAAAAGATGAAGAAGCTTTAAAAAGGCTCCAAGAAAAAGAAAAGTCTGTGATGAATGAAAAAATTTGCAAAATTATATGCGAAGAATTAATTGATGAAATGGCTAGTACTGAAAAAATGAAAGTTATGGCTGAAAATATGATTGCAGCTGTACAATCAGAAAGGAAAAAATCAGTGCTGATGCCAAAACAAAGCCTAACCAAGGTAGAAACAGTTGAAGACCCTGAAGATTATGGGAATGAGAACTTCACACCAGGCATACACAGCCCTAACGACTATTCTGTAAATTCTGAAGAGGAAGAAGAAAAAGATTTCTCAACAAGCAGCAATTATATAATTGAAGGCTTAGGTCTAGATTTCGCAACAATTGATATGTTCAGAGATCTAAGCGGAATTGTTTTTCAACCATTAGGAGTGAAGCGTAACCAAATCGTTCACGTTCTCAATGAATACTATAGATTTGTACCATCACTGAACCGTATAATTATCCCCGATATCGATCATTTATTAGATGAATTAGTCACTGGAAACGATTTAAATTGGTATTGGGCAATTAAAAATGATAGAATTTTTGGAATGGTTGTGTACTCATTGGACTACGAAAGCTCAAGTACAAAAAACCTGATCATTCATCATTTTTCGTGCTTATATGAAAGATCCTTTAGGCAGTTAGCTGAGCTCGCTATGGTATTTTTATTCCAAAAAGAAACTTGTGATGAGGTGAGGTATCATTTATTGACACCTCCTGGAGCTGAACTTCAAATAGAGTATAAGAAGATCTTTTCAGATCTCAGCTGCCACTGGAGAGCACACAGATTTGTCCAGGAATATAACGCTGAAATAGTGGTAATGGGTCGAGAGCGAAATGAAAAGCCTGCGAAAAGATAAAGTTTAATAGTGGAGTAAATGTAACTAACAAATTCAAATATATATCATAATCAACATTAATTGTAAAATTCAGTAGAGTTAATGATTCTTTATAATATATTATCCCTTTGCCATCTTAATTTACAAAATAAATATGATAACCAGACTTTTGAGAAGAAGCATAGGCCTCACAAAAGTCCCTCATGCGTGGTTTGAGCCAGATCACCCTCTTATAAAGTCTGATAATGATTATAACGACTTTACAAAGCATTTCGAAAAATTAGCGAAAAAAGAAAGAGAAAGAGGAAAAGGAAAAGAAGACGACTCAAATGCAAATTTGAGCTATATGGAGCACAATGCCAGTTCTGAAAGGATGTATGAAGTCAAAAGAGAAGACTTCATGAAGAATCAAGAACTAATTGCCATGTACTTGAAGCGCTATGCCAATTTGAATCCTGAATTAATTATTCAAGATGCTGAGGAAATTGAAGCAATCAAATTCGACACAAGGCTTCAGCAATTAGAACCTTTCGATACAAATTACCTTTATCACGAAATGGAAAAGCTAGAAGAAGCTGATGCAAGGTACATCTTTTCACGATTCAGCTTGCCCGGCTTCAAAAGACTATTAGATGTAGTTTTAACAAAAGCGCCTTTATTTGGGATCATGGTCCCAATGGCTGAATATGATAAATTGGCAAAAATCAATGTTGAAGTAGCAACTAAGATCTACTCGTTTAACTATGGAGATGGTATCACTTTTGACGATAAAGAAAGATCTCTATATAGAAGCATGCTTCTGCAACAATCAGCAACACAAGATTGGCTAGATAGCAGACCTTATCCTATGATCAATGAAGCTGAAAATAATTTTGTGACAGGGATGATCAACTGGCCTGGAACAGAAGACCAGGAATATACCACTCTTTATCGTCCCTATTATAGAGACTTCCACATTACAGATGACACATATGATTTTAATGAAAAAACACCTTTTTTAGGAAGGATCGCTCGATCATTATGGCTAAGAACAATATACTAGTAAGCTTTATTCAGTAACCCAACTAAAGAAGGAAGTATATATGGCCATAAAATTATTGAAAGGCTTATAAAATACTTGAGCTGTCCTGAGTTCAAATATGGTAATTTCTATTCAGCTTTTGACCTGCCTGGAAGCTTTCTATCAAGAAACAACATTTTTTATATCCACATTTGACTTGTAAACGAAAGGCTAAACAATATTTGCAATGGAATCGTCGAAGATTTATCCCATATCTCAGTTTTCAAACAAATCATCTCTTCTCAAGCCAGGAAAAGAGTAAGATCTGCTAAAACATTAATCCGAATGATTCAATCAATGATCTCAACATTCGAAAAAGTGGCCAAAATAGAGACAAAGAAAAACATAGGCAGAGTAGCAATTGCTGACCAAAATAAAAAGAGGATCAATAATCTAAGTGAAAAATTCATGGAGCAAGTGACAAGATTGTTTCATGATCACTTTGTCATCAATCAAAAATCGGTGGATGGACTAGAAGAATTAATGCAAAAGACCTTTTTCCCTGGCTCTCCTAAGAGCATAAATAAGCCCTTTGTTCATCAAATTGGTGAGTATGTAATTAAGCATAGGGAATATTTAAGCACATTATCGATAAATGATATCTGCCTTTGCAATATCGATTGGAATATTGATAGAATTGATAAGGAAGCAGTGAGAAAGAAAATAGAATTATTAAAGCCTGAAGAGGCAACAATCAAAGAGACAGAGTTTAATAAGGAAGAGCTTGGAATTATCCATAATTTAGAAGAGTTTTTGCCAGAGCCAAAGAAAAGAAGTGAAGAGCCAGATATCAAGCCGAAAAGAAAATTCGATGATAAATACAGGCCTATTAAGTCATAATTTATTTTTAGAATTAGTCTATACACTATAAAATCAATAATAAGATTATAGTTAAAGATTTAAATATGCCCATTCTGCAAAATTTTTTGCATTTCAAAAATACTTTTCTTTTAAAGCTTGAAAATTAAAATTTCTCTAATGAACAATATGGCATTTAATAGAAATGATTTTAAATCTATTCATACTAAGATTTTGTAACGCTTACCAATAAAAGATCTTTAAAAACTAGATAGAGTTAAAAATTTAAACTTAAAAAATTATTGATAATGATGCCTTATGTGATCTGTCGGCATCGGAATATAAATACACGCCAATACTGATTAAAACTAATTTCTCGATTCTTAAGGGTGAATATAAAAAATGTCAACCTCAAGCGGAACTTTAATCGTGCGTCCAATTTGTGCCAAGCTAACCCACGATACAGAAACATTCGGAAAGATGGATCCATACTGTGTTGTCACTATAGGTGGCCAAAAGCACCGAACTGTTGTAGCTCACAGTGCTGGAAAATATCCAAATTGGCAGGACCAATTAGTTTTCACTAAATCAAGTGAAGACATTATTTCTTTCGAAGTATGGGATAAAGACACAGCATCAGCTGATGATTTAATCGGAGAAGCTTCACTAGCAATTGCAACAATTCTGGCAAAGCCAAATTATGAAGAATGGGTTCCATTAACCTATAAAGGAAGAAAAGCTGGAGAAATTAGAGTTAATATAACTTTTCAGCCAAGCGCTCCTGTCCCTACTGTCCATGGAATACCTGCTAATATGGTTAACATGGGCGGATATCAGTATGCTCCAATGTATCCAGTACCTGGACAGGCTCCTTATCCATACCCCTATCCATATCCTCCACAAAGCTATGCACAACCTCCTCCGTATCCTCAATCGATGTACCCAACATTAAACCCAAATCAACAACCCCAACCATACTATCCTCCTCAGCCAGGTTATCCTCCACAGCAAGGATATCCTCCAAATGCTCAAAGACCACCTCAGCCTTATGGCTCAATCCCTCCTCCAGTGTCCCAACCTGGATATCTCCCATCTAACATTCAACCTAGTTCAGCTCCTCATAACGCACCTCCATCCTACCCTCCTCAGAACCCTCCTCCAAGTTATCCTCCTCAAAATATGCCACAAGGCCAGCAAGGATTTTATCCTTATGCTCCGAAATAAATAATTACATTTTATATCGATTATTATAAGAGTTTACTATTGACGTTAATAAAATCATATTCAATACCTTCATAAATACTATCCCAGTCAGTTTCGCTCATTTCTGAGTTATAGAGCATGCAGTACTGAATTAAATTTTTCATCATGATTTCTAATTCTTCATAGTTTTCCGCTTCTAGTCAAGGAGTCTGCATTTTTCTGCTTAGTACAATTCCAACGCCTGCAGTGTCTTCAACTCTTCTGATCCTCTTAGCTACTGCTTTGAATCCTTTAATAAAAGGTTTTACCAGAAGAGGCATAAAATCATTTGAAACTCCTTCTGTGAGTTCAATTTCAGGGACGTCAAACAGATATAAGCACATGATTTCTTGGAACTGCAGAAGTTTAGTCGCAAGAAACATATCTACAAGCCTGAGTATTGAAAATATCGAAAACAAGCGGTTTCTCTGAGGAATCGTAGATATTAAAGTTGCATGAAAGTGGGGCCAGATTTGAATCCAGATATCTTTGAATAAAAAATTATCAAATTTTAGTGAAATCACTCTGATTAGTAAGCAGCAAGCAGGGATTAATTTGTCATATTTTATGTGTTCAGCAATCATTTCGTTTAAAGATTGTGTAAATTGTGCATAATCATCTTTGTTACCACTGTAGATTAGCAATGAAGCTGTAAGTAGATTTCTTAGAGCTGAGCATAAGTCACTTTGTGGCTTTCCAAATGTAACTTTTAAGAGATTTGACACTGGAGAAGAATTTTGGAAAGAGGAAGCCAATGAAATTATTTTAGTCCACGACTTAAAAGCAGAAGGAGAAACACTGAGGGCTTCGAAGAATCCATTGCTTGTGATAAATTCGATGATAGTTTTTAGCACTGATTTAAAAATTCTTTCTCCCCCTGAATTAATAAGTACTCAGAGCAAAGAGCTTGCAGCATCAATAGCGCATGAATACTTGTCCAGCTCTGATAAAATCCTTTTCGATACTTTTGTCATGATTCCAGTTTCTCTTTGCTCAGCATACTGCTCAGGCCACCCTAGCAAAATAGCATTTAAGCCAACTTTCGAGAACGCTCCCAGTACAAGAGCTCCTATATTTTTCCAGTTTCCACTGATTTCTTCTGGGTAATATAGCTTTAAAGGTTCCTGATCTCAATTAAGCGCCTCTTCAATTTTTTCAAACAAATTTTCTATTAAATCTTGCAGTTCCTTCCCTATTCTTCGATCTGAAATTGGATTATAAGTTTTTGTAAATTTAGATAGAGAGTTAAATATATATATAAGATAAACCAGCATTTCCTTATATGTTGAATTTATAATCAGCTTTATGATAGATATTGAGATAATCCATATATTTTCTTCAAGAACCTCTAAATTGGAATCTGATTGATAGATTTCTAAGCATATATAAAAAAAATGGGCCATATTTAATTCTTTTCCTTCATAAAATTGTGGCTTTCTTCCTTTTCCATTTGACATTAATTCTAAACTGTCTAAAAGAATCTCTAAAAAACTATCCAGCTTCATATGGAAAAATGGGATGATTTTTCCAAAGGTTGGTAAATGGACATATGATTTCATCATCGATTTGCTATGATAAACCCAAAAAGAAAATAATGAAGCCATAAACTCCTTGGGGTATTTGTGTAAAATAGGAGAAAAAAGAGACCGCAGCTCTTCACCAATTTGCACTAAAACTCGAGTTGTAGATTTATAGTCCTTTTCAACAAGAAATGAGTTAGCAAGTGAAAACAAGCACCCAAATTCTTTAAAAAGCATTTCTTTTACTTGAGCTGGACACCAAGCTTTAATAGTGACTGTTTCATCAATTTCCAAAATTTGAAGCACAAGTGATCTTAAGCCTGATAAAAGGATAGTATTTTTGGTACCCACAATAATACTTACATACGAGTGAAGTAAGGATTCGAAATATTCAGTTAAAATATGTGGAGGTAAATAACAAATCATGAACCCTATTACTCTTGTAATAAATTTCATTCATAAAATACGAAGATATTGGTTTTCAGTATTTAGTCGCTTCAAAATTGAGTCTTTGAAAACAGATGAGGCAAGAATTTCAGTGCAGAAAGTTGGGTTAGATTCAATTTCAGAGTTAAAAAGAGCAGTCTGTATGACTACAAGTAATTGATTTTCCAATACAAAAGTTTTAGAAATTATTGAGTAGTACAAGCAGGATAAACTGGTTTCTAATATTTTATAAGCAATATCGCATGATACTCCTTTACCAAGCAGCTCCAAAATTTCGCACGCCACTTCCTGTATAGCTTTATTTTCTATTGGATTTTTTTCGCTTTCTGATGTAATAAACAGAAGTGAGCCTCCTATAATTACTTCCAAGTAAGTCTCTCCATTTACTTCATGTAAGCTGATGCAGTCTTTTGCATATTTACTTATCTCAGTTGATTTTATAGCTTCAATAAATGCGTCTTCTCCAAATTTGATAAGAGAAATTATTTTTTTCAATGAATCAAGAACTCGGTTCACATCAAATAGCTTGCTGTATCTATATGAATTCAAAGATATGTTTGTCCTCTTAGTAGAAGGATGAAACATTATTGTGAAAATAGGGTCAATAAGGCAAGATACTTTGCATTGAGCATGAATAATTCATTCTTTTGCTGTATGCCGAATAATTGGACTTTCATCAGTTAAAAAATCAATCATAATAAAAACCCCATTGCAGTCTAACAAAATTTTTTGCATTTCATCTGGCCAGCTTTGTGCAGCTTTTTCTCAAAAGGTGATAAAAAGCCATATTGATTTTTCTCTTAACTCCCCCCCATCCTTGATCGAACGATTGACTGTAAAAATTCCTAAAAATTGGGGAATCCTTGATCAAACGATTTTCATATCATGCAAATTTTTTTATATATAAAAAATATATTAGTTATCAAAAGCTTGGGAAGATGTACCTAATGAAGTTGTTTTCAGAGACTTTGAGACGAAAGAAAGCTACGGAATCAACCATCCGAAGTGACTTAGTCATCAACCTAGGCTTAAAAACTCAATAATCTAAAAAATAGAGATTCTTTATAATTTTTTAAAAAACAAATTAATTTAATAAGGAACAAATTAAAATTTATACATTTAAAGAATAAATAATAAATCAAAATATTAAAAATTGGTATTTTTATGAAATTAATTCAATTTTTTGCTGTAAAAATAATTATTAAATACTCTTAACCCTCTTATTTAAAAGTAAATAAAAAAATATATATATATATTTTTTACTTTATTATAAAATTTTTTTTCCCAAAAAAATTTTTTTTAATCCCATCCTTGATCGAACGATGGGCAAGCCGTTCGATCAAGGATGGGTGGGAGTAAGTGAATATTTCCGTCTAATAATTGCAAAGCTAAAGATTCGTTTCATACAGCCTTCAGGTGGTCATAGGATTTTATTAAAAGCTTTATTGCAGTGTCTTGAGATGATGATTGTAAGAGACGTCAAAGAATGTGCAAATGCGCATATGTCATATGTGTATATTTCATATTTATTAGTATTTCCAAGCTTATGAGCTGCATTTCAGAGTTGCACCCAATAAAATCTTCGCTTAATTTTATTATTTCCCAGCAATTCAAGCCCATCATATTTAGTTTACACAAGTAATTTCCAAGCTGAAGAAGGAAGTTTTTATCAGGCTGAGGCTGTTTTGCAAGATTCAGATATAGTTCTACAGCTTTAGCTCCTCCTTCATTAGGCAAGCTTTCAAGATACTCATTCAAAACATCACAAAGTTTTATTGCTTTTCTCTTATTTTCAATATTTGATAAGCAATATAAAATTGCATTCACAATCAAAAACGCAAAGTCTGGAGGACAGTCAAAGTACTTTGTACCGAACTCGAGAACTTTTAAGCAGAATCCAGATCGGTCTTCTAGATGTTCTAATAATAGTTTTTTGAAAGATTTCCAAAAGACTTCAGTTCTTTCATCCTTAAAAATCAGCAAAACTCTATTATTGAAATTATCCTTGACTTTCCAAATCTCATCTTCTACTATATGCCCAACATAGCTCATGGCAATGTTTTCCAAAATTAAATCCCCCATACTTTCATCTTCTATAAGTACGTCAACAATTTTCATGCTTTTAAGCTTAACCTCATCACTTGCTCCTGCTTGAATTAATTTGTGATGGCAGTCGAATATTCTTTCCAGGGCTGTTTTTAGCGTATTTATGAAAATTCGGGTTTGCTTTTCATCAACTTCGTTTGGAAATGCTCATTCCCAAAGTCTTCGAATTAGCGTGTGGTCTTTGGATTCCATTAAGAGTAAAGACCCTTCCATAAGCAAAACTTTGTGCTCAAGTTCTATATTAGGTGAAGATAAAGGAAAATAAGATTTTATATAGCAGTTTTATAATCTCCATAAAATGGCATTCATTATGATCCTATTCTTTCAAATTCTCTTTATACTTATTTTTATTTTAAGAAGTCATATTAAATCCATTGCATGCCTTTTCACTTTCATATTTGAGTCTGTCAAAGCTTCAAGTATTGCAGTAACAATAAGATTTCTATGAATACTGATATCCAGCCTTTTCGATAAATAAATTAAAGCAGAAAGTCTATGTCTTTTGTATTTGAGTAAAAGCCATAAAAGAATTCCATGAGTCTCGTATTTCATCACATTTGCACATCGATCCAAAATCTCAGCGACTTTTTGAAAATATTCCTGCTTCTCTTCAGCCCCTGATATCAGGCAGCAAATAAGCCCGCTTAAAATATGTTTGTTTTTGGTTATTTTCCCTATAAATACACTATCTATTAAATTCAGAAATTGTTCTTTGTTAGCGCAATATTGAAAGAATGAGAAAAGGCCTGCACAAAATAAATGAAAGTACTGATCTTGCACAGTTGATAGCAATGATTTATATATTTCAAGAGTTTTGCTGTGCAGACCTTGAGGAAGGCCAGGATTTAAACATTGAGCCAATCGAGTCGCCAATGTGGTTGTCAATTCTTCATCAAGTGTAAAGTCTTTACAAGAGTCAACTACCTGCTGGAGACTTTGGAGCCATTTCATTAAATCGCTTCATTCTCATTCTTTTGAGCTTTTCTCAAATTTTGCAAGCCTATTTTTGACCTTTTTATGATATTTTTCTTCCATCTTATAATTGATATAATGATGTATTATCTCAGATTTAATGATATTATTGTACTGCTTAGAGTTTAAGACTAAAAAAATTGTTTCAGACTAATTTTTTGTCAACATTTATTTTTACTGTTGTAAGGCTTAATATTATTATGTCTGTAATCTAAAATTTGGACTTTTGCTTAAAACATAAAAAAATATTCCAGAGATGAAATATATAATGGACATTAATATTTATTCGTTTGCTTATTTAATATGGAAATCTTAATACTGTTGGACTTATAAGATAATTCTTGAGAGAATATATCTCTCTTCTATAAAGAAAATATGAGTTCTTTTTTGAAACTTCTGAATCCTCTGAAATCAGAAAAATCTAGCCAGCATTGCAATATATGTAATGCTTCATTTAATTTGACTTTGAAGCCTCATGAATGCTCAGAATGCTATACTTTAGTTTGTTCAGAGCATGTAAATAATTCTCCCACAGACGATCCAGTTTGTGACGAGTGTCTTAAAGGAAGAATCAAAAAGGAGCTAAACGTAGAATACACATATCATCTATCATCTCTCAAAAAGGAACTATCTGAACTTAAAGCATTTAAAAGCGAAAAGAGAAAAGGGATAGCATCGATGGACACAAAAATTAACGAATTGATAGATCAGACGAGATCTGAAGAGAAAACACATCATAAGCAGGTCGAAGATTTTGAGCAAAAAACAAAGGCTTCATTAGACCAAATTAAACAGCTTGAGGAAGAAGAAAAAAAATTAAAAAACGAAATAGAGAGATCTCAAGCAAACACAAAGCAATTAAAAGAAAAATTAGTTTCAGTTAATGGAGCCCAACAATCCAGGAAGCTTGAAAAAACGGGATTAGAAACTGAGGTTGATGAGTTTAATGAGCAGGAAACGAAGCTATTAGAAGAAAACCAGCAGCTCATAACGTATCAAAGAGTAAGGACTATGTCTTGTTCGAAATGCCATAAAACTATAAAGCAGAGATTTAAAGAGAAAATTATAGAAATTCTGAGATTTGAGGGTCATGAAGAAATGATAGCAAGCCTTGAAGGGGAGATAAAGACTGGCAAGAAGGACCAAGAAGAGGTAACAAGAAATCCATGTGCTTGTGCTATAATTTAGGTATATTTAATCACTCATCAATTCAGATTTTTTTATCAGATATATTACTAGTGGAAATTTTATTTATTGCAATAAATAATAAATTAACTTTTAAAAATTAATGAAATATTTATTTTTAACAATAGAAAATAAATTAAATATGCTTTTTATTATAAATAAATAGCTATTTCAAATTAAAAAAAGCTAATAACTTGATGTGAATATTGTCCATATTTGCTTGTATTTGTTATAATTAAAATTTATAATTTAGACAAAGTTTTGTGAAGTCGATTTCTTGGTGTAAGTGACTCATGAAATTTTCTTTGAATTAATCTGTTCTTTAGAAAGCTAGGACGCTGAGTTTGATTCTGAGGTGTCAAATATCAATATTCCCTCATATAAAGCCCTGAAAAACTTGTTGTAAATGGATCTTGGCTGACTTCTCGCTCCAATGGCATTTCTCTCACTCTTTTAACTCGATATTTTACATATCGAATATATTTGCCCATAATATAAAACTTATAGCTCAAATCGTCTCCAAAATCATAAAACTTTTCTAGCTTCCTTGCAATTATTTCTTTGGATTTTTTGATTAGTCTAGCCCACTTATCGATTATTTGAGTAGAAATTGCTTTGCGATGTTTCGGCGATTCCAATTCTTGCATTTGAATTGGGATTTTTCGGATCAATAATATTAATTCATTACTCGCATCTTTATCAAGCATAGAAATAATTGTTGATTTATTGGCATAGAATAGCCCTGTTCCTAAATACCCTCTTAAAAATATTGTAATATAATCATCAACCCCATCCATTATTCTTCTAACTATTACTCTTTCTCAGATTTTGGCTGGGTTTTCTAGTTTTTTAATTCCAAGAGATTGTGTTTCTATATCAAACTCAGCGCGATATTCTTTGATAGCCAGGCTGATTTTTGTGGTTTCTTCATTTATTCAATCTTTAAGCAATCTTTTTCCCTCAGTTTCATCTGGCTCATATACTTTTTTTAAAACTGGGAGTATTTTTTTAAAAGAATCTTTATTTTTTTCTCCCATTTCCCTTTTTTCTTTTAATAGTAATCCTTTAATCAAATGTCCGTAAGAGTTATAGAAATCGTTAATCTTTGACTCTGAGTCTGTCTGCGTAAAAACACTGAATTTATCTCTAAAGTGCTCTTTAAGTTTTGAAACCAGTAAATCTTTCAATTTTATATTTTCTCCTATTTGATAATTTATTAAGTCTTCCAATTTCGCATTTTTATTCAATTGAAAATTTACTTGATGCTGGAATAAGGTTTGGTATAACGAGTCTTGGAATGATTTAACGATGGATGATGTTTGCTGTCGGATTAATTTAGAAGAGTTGTTATAGGAATAATCAATTTTATGCTTAACTCGAGACCGAGATGTAGCTTCAGTTGACTGAGAAGTTGGGTGTTTATCAATTATTTCAGTAGTTGATTGAGGAAGTTCGAGATTGATTTTTATTTCTTGCTTAGCTTTTATTGGGGTTTCTGGCTCTTTTAAAAGAAATCCTGATGGATTTTTGCTTTTAGACTGTAAGTTTAAATTGTCTTGTTTCGAATCAACTAGAGAATTAGACAGAATATCTTTATCTTCCTTATCGCTTTTATCATTTTCTAGAAAAGTCGATATTTTCTCGGTTTCAGTCAAAAAAATTTGCGACTTTTTCTTCGCACTAGGCAATCTGGTGACTTCAACAGTATTTTCTATTTTTTGGCTTGGTACAGATTTATTTCGAAAAATTTCACTACTTCTATCTGTTTCTGCTCTTTGCGATGCTGATTTATTTCTTTTATTTTCCTCAATAGCTAAAATTTCTATTTTCGGCGGTATAATTTTTTCAGGTACTTGGTCCAAATCACTTTTTTGGTAAGCTGTCTTGTTCCTTCTTCTTCCTTCAGCTCCACTTTTTTCTTCAGATTTCTCTTCAATAGCAAGCATTCCTTGCTTTTCCTTTCACTCCCCCCCTTTAAATTGGAACAAAAAATTTTGTTCAATTTAAAGGGGGGTTAATTTTTTTTTTTAAAATTTAGCAATTAAGGATAATAAATTTATTTAAATAAGATGCTCTTTATACTCTCTTCTTTAAAAAAGAGCAAGATATAACTAAATTTTTAATTTTAGTTAAGAAGAAACATTTAACTTATATCAAAACTTTTTACATAAAAATTATATAGTTAACTACACTGATTCGCACAGGGTGCTTTTGGCTCGAAACTGAGCCAAAAGCACCCCGTGCCAGTCAGTGTAGTTCACTATATATATAATTTTCTATTATAAAATTAAATTTTGTTCCAATTTAAAGGGGGGTTAATTTGCCAAAAAAGTGGAAATTTTACCTATATTTTGTTCAAATTTAAAGGGGGGGAGTCAGAAATAAAATGGTTAACAGAAGAAGGACCTCCAGGTGCACTCCCAATGGAGCTGGTAGACTATCCCGATGAAGCTAAAAATATTGCTCTGTCACTTTTAAGATAGGCCTTCGGTTTAGGATGGCTTGCTGAAGAGGAAAGTTTTGTTTCTCCCCGAAGGTTTCTTGTATGCTAGATGGTTGCAAAGGATTTGCTACCATGCGGTTTTCGTTGTCAGGACCATTAGGGCATCGTTCAGAAGATGGCTCTGTCCTAGGGAGCTAATCCTTTGGAAATTTCTCAAGTCAGAAATCTAAATGGTATCCTTCTATTTTCCTCCTTTAAACTCGAGGTATAAAGAGACTGGCGTTTTGTAACCGACCGCTTATGGTCGTTTATTTTTAACTAACTAACTAACTAACTTGTTTTTCTTCTTTTAAAGCATTTCTAATAGATGGCTTAGCCGTGCTTCTTCTTTTAGGGTTTCTCTGAAATGCAGCTGCTTTTAATTTTGCCTCAGCTTGCTTATTTTTTTCTAACTGTTTGCAAGCTTGCTCTTGAAGGGTTGAATCAATCTTATAAGAATCAATAATTTTCAAAAGCTTTTGCTTTGTTTCATAGTCACATTTCAAAGCCATGCTTGACAGAGCACTACGAAAATCATTGAATAAAGCTATGAGCTTTTCAACAGTTTTTTTCTCTTCAAATTCTTCTTTTTGTAATTTAGATTCAAGTTTCTTGAATTTTCCTTTGTCAACCAATTTGCTGCATATATCTTGGTGCTCCTTAATGAAGTAGGTTTTCTTTACAAATAATAAAGAACAACTTTTTAGCTTACTAATATCTTCTTTTATTAGGGCATTTTCCTGGAATAATTCCCTGTTTTTTTCAACGGTGATACTAATTTTATTTTCTAGCCCTTTGATAATTCTTTCTGAATTTCTTAATTTTTTTTCCAAAATACCTTTTGCTGCAGTAATAGTTGAGATGGCCTTCATTGCGCTAGGCAAATCATTAATTTGATCTATCGCTGTCGCCTTTAATAAAATTTCATCTTCTCTTAGCATAGTCTCATATTCCTGACTAAGCTTGTCATTATATACCATCAAAATTCTATCAAATTCTTCCCTATGCATAGCAAATCTTTCCTCAAGTAAATTTTCTAATCGTTTAATTTTTAGCCCGCATTTTTCTTTAACCCAACTTAGCTTATAAAAATTTTTCCTTACCATTTCTTCATATCTTTTCTCAAATGCTTTCATTTCTTCCTTCAAAAGAGATTCTGCTTCTAAATGATTACTTCAGGATTCAGTTGATATATCCCTGATATCTAAGAAAAAAGGAGGCTCATATTCTGACATTTTGCTTAAATGCTTAACAAGCTTTTCGCTTTCTTCTGCTGTTTGAGTATTCGGAATAATCTCTTCGTCCATATTCTCTAATTCCTGCTTGGTATATTCAGAAAATATATCCTTAATTATACACAGTTTTTCATTCAAATTTTTGTAAAGCCCAAGAAACTTTCTGGCATCATTAGAAGCTGAGTATGCGTAATCATATTCTAATACAGAAAATTTATTTTCCTTGGCATTTGGAGATGCTTCTTTATTTGGAAGGTAGCCAAATTTCTCTTTCACAACTTCATCTGTTATAATTGGGTAGAGCTTTAATATTGTGTTTAAAATTATTGATTGCACAGACTTTAATTTTAACATGTGCCTTGCTAGTTTTCGTTTTGTTTGGCCGCTATCTCCAAGGAGAGATTCTTTATTCAGAAAAAAAGAAACAAAAAAATCCATGACTTCTGTTTTCAGCTCTTCCATTTAGTGTAGATTGAATTTTTATAATCAATTAAATATGAATCCTTGATATACTTGAGAACTAAAGAAGCTTAAGCTAGATTTGAAATAGGATAACTCAATCCTTTAGGAATGATAAAGCTTGACTTGATGAATTTAAATTTTATAAATCCTTTAAGCAATAAAATTAGCGATGCCAATATCATTCTGAATGCTCAATAAACGAAAGTTGGAGCTATGTGCAAAATAAAATATAGGGGTTTCCCCTAGATAGCCCTTACAGGGCTTTGGATTCTGTCCGGAATCCTTTGTTTGGTCGAACCAACAAGTGAGTTGGTCCGACCAATGCAGTGAGTTGGTCCGACCAATGCAGTGAGTTGGTTCGACCAACAGAAGGATTCCGGCCAGAATCCAAAGCACTGTAAGGGCTATCTAGGGGAAACCCCTATAGCATTGAATCTTTAAATATTATAAAGATACCTTTAAGTTTCGTTAGAATTTGATCTTTAGAATTTTATTGAGACCTGAGAGAGCAGAGCACGTGGATTTCATTTGGGTTCAAGCTCCTCTTCATTGCTTAATAAATCTTTAAAAATTCAAGCTTTGGATGGATTATGTTAGTTCTAAGAAAGTTCTATGCACTATTTAATGTTAAACTTCATCCCATTTCTTAATAAAATTAGAGGCTAGAAATGCTTATTCTCTCAATAAATGCATTTTATTTTACTAGAAGCTTATTTTTTTATTATTTTTAACTTATACAATAAATTGAAATATTTGGAGGGAGTTAGCAGATTAGCTCGAGTCTCAGCACGTTCATTTGGTGCTAAAAACATTAAGTTCGGCAGAGATGCCAGAGCTCTTATGCTTGAAGGCTGTAACAAGCTTGCAGACGCAGTTCAAGTGACTCTTGGCCCAAGAGGCAGAAATGTTGTTATTGATCGCCAATTTGGAGCTCCAAAAATCACAAAAGACGGTGTGACTGTTGCAAAGGAAGTCGAACTCGCTGACAAATACCAAAACATCGGAGCCCAGCTCGTCAAGCAGGTCGCCAACAGAACTAATGAAATTGCAGGAGACGGGACAACCACAGCTACAGTCCTCGCAAGAGCTATCTTCACTGAAGGTGTCAAATCAGTCGCTGCAGGAATTAACCCAATGGGCATCAGAAGAGGAATCTTAAAAGCAGTTGAGACCATAATCAAAGATTTACACAAGAGAAGCATTAAAATCCAAGACTCAAGCGCAATTAGAGATGTTGCCACCATCTCTGCTAATGGCGAAACCTCAATTGGAAACTTAATTGCTGAAGCCATGGACAGAGTTGGAAAGGACGGAACAATCACAGTCCAAGACGGAAAAACCCTTCACAACGAGCTTGAAGTCGTAGAAGGCATGAAATTCGACAGAGGCTACATTTCCCCATACTTCGTCACCGACACCAAGACACAAAAAGTTGAAATGGAAAACCCTCTGATTTTACTCACAGACAAAAAAGTCTCCACAATCCATCAAGTTTTGCCACATCTTGAACACGCCATGAAGACTGGAAGAGCCATTCTAATTGTTGCTGAAGACGTTGAAAGCGAAGTTTTGGCCACTCTTGTAGTCAACAAATTAAGAGGAGGTCTCAAAGTATGCGCAGTCAAAGCCCCAGGATTCGGCGACAATCGTAAAAACACGATGGTTGATATTTCAATCCTTTGTGGAGCTCAAATGGTTTCTGAAGAACTTGGAGCCACCTTGGAAACCTCAGAACCTACAGTTATGGGAACAGCCAAGAAGGTTGTGATCACCAAAGACGACACTTTAATTCTTGATGGTGCTGGAGAAAAAGACTCAATCAAGGAAAGAGTTGAACAAATCAAGCAGCAAATTGAGATCACAAAGAGTGATTATGATAAGGAAAAACTTCAAGAAAGACTAGCCAAACTTATAGGAGGAGTCGCTGTCATTAAAGTTGGAGGAGGATCTGAAGTAGAAGTAGGAGAAGTCAAAGACAGAATTGTCGATGCTCTTAACGCTACAAAGGCTGCAGTACAAGAAGGTATTGTTGTCGGAGGTGGTGCTGCTTTATTGTATGCTTCTAAGACTCTTAGAGCAATCAAGAAAGAAAGCGATCCAGATGAACAAATTGGAATCAAGATGGTAGAAAACGCTTGCAAGATGCCTATTATGGCTATTGTTGATAATGCAGGAAGAGACGGAAGCGGAGTCGTTGACTATTTATTAGAGTTAGGAGATGAGAAAATTGGATATGATGCTAACACCCACAAATATGTTGATATGGTTAAAAGTGGTATTGTAGACCCAACTAAAGTTGTCAGAACTGCTTTGGAAGATGCTGCTAGTGTTGCTGCTTTAATGACAACTACAGAAGCAATGATCGTTGATGCTCCTGAGGACAAGAAAGACAAGCCAGCTGGAGGAATGGGAGGAGATATGTACTAAGGCTCAAGGTTAATTATCTAACTCACCCCCAATCACAAGTAAAAAAAAATTTTATTACTGGGATTAAAGACATTTACCCTAAAAATAAGCAAATTTCGATTTAATCATATAGAATTTACTGCTTGAAATTTTTTTGCTAAAACTCCCCGATAATAAGTAAAATTTTGGGTACTATAGGTATGAGGTGAGAGTAAGTTACTTTAATTTTTTAAAATTCTTGAGTGGCATATGTAATCACTTTTGATCTTAAAGATTTATAGGAATTTCTTAATTCTTCATTTTGTGATAAAATTTGAAGCTTTTCAATGTTGATTCTAGAGATTTCTTGCTCCAACGAGTAAATTTTTTCAGATAACTTTGTATTTTCTTTCTCAAGATCTTGGATTTTGTTTTTTTCATTACGGTTTTCAATAACTTCTTGTGCCAGTCTGTCTACAGCTTCTTGAAGTCTTTTATTTTGCTGGTGGAGCTGGGTTTTTTCCATTGCAAGGTTTAAAATTGTATCATTAGCTTTTTGTGTGCAATTTTTAAGTTCTTCTTGAAGCTGCTCGAGTTGAGTTTCTTTGCTGACTTGCAAATCTGACTGGAGCTTTTTAACTTGCTCTCTATAGACCTCTAATTCTTCTTGTAAAGCTGCTGTTTTTTGGTCAATATATGGAATTGACGATTGATCACTGTGCCATACCAAATCAGATCTAGGAGAAAATCCTATGTTGGAACTGGATTCTAACTCCCCCCCTCCGTAAGCGAACAAAAATATTTTGTTCACGGAGGGAGGGGAGTTAATTTTTTTTAAAAAATTTATACATAAACTTTAAAGAAAAAAATTTTTTTCGGAATTTAAAAAAATCCCGTTTTCGAAAATTGTAGGCAAATATTAATTTAATTTGTAAAATTTATGTTTTAGAACGCAATTTGTTTAAAATTAACAGAATTAGCTCGAGATTTCATGATACTAGTTAACACTTATATATCAATTTTTTTCATATAAAAAATTTTTCTATTAAAAACATTTTATTGGCTCACTGAGGATGGGTTTTTTAGCAAAAAATAAGGATTTTTCTAATGGTTTTGTTCGCTCACGGAAGGGGGGGAGTAAATGAATTTTCTCAGAATAATTTTGATAGTCTTCCATTTAAATCAAAATATTTTAATATTAATTATCGAAATTAAATTGATTCCCAAAATTAAGTACGCTGTTTGTAGAGTTGAATTGACAATGAAAAGCTAGTCCTATAAATTTGGTTCTTAGCCTTTCCTAAGCTTCGAGTTTTGGAGACTATTTTTTTCATTCTTTCTGCAGAATCCACATTAAGAACAAGTTGCTCAGTATTTCTAAGAATTGCCTCCACCACGCCAAGAAGAATTTTTCTCATAATTCTTGGTGTTCCGCACAATAGCTTGTCCAATAATTCGATGGGCAACTTAATCCATAAATCTTTGGATAACGAAAGCAATGCATAAGTAATTAAAGATAGAAAATTGACTCCTTAGGGTTATAATTGCTAATATAATGTAATAAAATAACCAATGCAATTTTCTCCATAATAATTGATTAATTTAGAATCTATTATATTTATTTCAAGATGAGTATTATTTTTTTTTTTTTTAAATTATTTCAACTATATTATAAGGAAGTAAGTTTCTATAATTCTTAATTAAATAATTTTGATAATATTCCATTTAAATCATAATTGTTTTAAATATTTACCCTTAAAAAGAAGTTTATAATTGACTTCCAGAGTTAAGCTCATTGTTTTCCGCATCGATTTTATGAGAAATTGATTGCTCTTGGCTTTGGGCTCTTAACCTTTCTTCAGCTTCAAGTCTTAAGAATTCATTCTCTTCATCCTCGCTGCAACAGTTGCATTTAGAGCAAGCTACCCACTTACTCCAATTATTACCTCCCCAGCCCCATATCTTTTTAGCGCAAGCAAGGTTTGTTGATGGGTTACAAGTTGGTGAACCTCCACTGCATGAGGCCCAGTTGGAAGAGTTAATTTGCCATAAGCCAATGTCATTTGACCCATTAGTGTTATGGTTTTGTGCATTAGCATTCCCACCACTTTCATGAGAGGCAATGCATTGGCAGCATGTTTGGCTCCATCCTGAATATTGAGAGCACCAAGAAGCAATATTTACTACGTTCTTTGTAGTTCCACACAAGCAGCTTGTGCAGCTATTTGATGGGCAATTTCCTCCACAGGTATTTGCATAAGTACAGGCAAGGAATAAAGCTATTAGTACAATGCTCTTTATAATGATTATAGATTAATTTACTCCACTATTTAATTTCCAGCATTCTACAATTTTTTATTTAAGATGATAACTTTTTGCACAATTAAAAATTAGAATGAAACTTCAAATTCCAGATAATCCTACTAAATGCATGCTTTTATATTGTTTTTAAGCTCAAAGAACAGTCTAGGATTTATTTTCACCAATAATTAGTAGAAAATATAATTAAAATTATAATCTATATTTAAATATTTTATAAATTAATATGTTATTCTAAAGGCTTGAATCATATTAAACCTGAGAATCATACCTAAGACCCCTATTTTTAGCAGCAAGTTCTTCAACTAATCTGGCTTGGTCTTCTATTTCTTTCATTTGTGCTCGAAGTTCAAGAATTAATTTATCTCTTTCATCAGATGAATTACAACATCCACATGCTGAGCATGCAGGCCAATATTTTCAACTATTTCAACCCCAAGCCCAAATTTTTTTTGCGCAATTTAAATTTGAGGTTGGAGAGCACGGTGGGTTACCATCGTTGCAGGATTCCCAATTTGTGCTGTTAATTTGCCAAACACCTATTTGTCGAGATCCATAGGAATTATAGCTTTCAGTATTTGCGTTTCCATTGCTTATATTTGATGCAATACATTTTCGGCCAAAAATTTTCAGTGAAATGGACACTATCATTTAGGCAAAGTCATTTGACCTGCTATCTCAAGATCTTGGATTTTGTTTTTTCCATTACGGTTTTCAATAACTTCTTGTGCCAGTCTGTCTACAGCTTCTTGAAGTCTTTTATTTTGCTGGTGGAACTGGGTTTTTTCCATTGCAAGGTTTAAAATTGTATCATTAGCTTTTTGTGTGCAGTTTTAAGCTCTTCTTGAAGCTGCTCGAGCTGAGTTTCTTTGCTTACTTGCAAATCTGACTGGAGCTTTTTAACTTGCTCTCTATAGACCTCTAATTCTTCTTGTAAAGCTGCTGCTTTTTGGTCAATATATGGAATTGACGATTGATCACTGTGCCATACCAAATCAGATCTAGGAGAAAATCCTATGTTGGAGCTGGATTCTAAATGAATTTTCTCTGAATAATTTTGACAGTCTTCCATTTAAATCAAAATATTTTAAATATTAATTATCGAAATTAATTGATTCCCAAATTATGCACGCTGTTTTTAGTTTGAATTGATAATGAAAAGTTAGTCCTATTAATTGGCTCTTAGCCTTTCCTAAGCTTCAAGTTTTGGATATTTTCTTTATTCTTACTGCAGAATCCACATTAAGAACAAGTTACCCAGTATTTCCAAGAATTGTCCACACGACGCCAAGAAGAATTGTTCACATAATTCTTGCTGTTCTGCACAATAGCTTGCCCAATAATTTGATTGGGAATTTACTCTATAAAATTTGGATAAACGAAAGCAATGCATAAGTAATTGAAGTTAAAAAATTGAGTCCTTAGGGTTATAATTTTTAATATAATTTAATAAAATAATTTTCTTCACACTAATTGATTAATTTAGTATCTATTATATTTATTTCAAGATGAGTGATTATTTGATTTTTTTAAAATAATTGTTGAGGCTATTTAAACTATATTAATAAGCAAATAAGTTTCTATAATTTTTAATTAAATAATTTTGATAATATTCCATTTAAATCGTAATTTTTTTAAATATTTACTCTTAAAAAGAAGTTTATAATTGACTTCCAGAGTTAAGCTCATTGTTTTCCGAATCGATTTTATGAGAAACTGACTGCTCTTGGCTTTGGGCTCTTAACCTTTCTTCAGCTTCAAGTCTTAGGAATTCGTCCTCTTCAGCCTTGCTGCAACAATTGCATCCAGAACAAGTTGACCATAATTTCCAAGTATTGCCTCCCCAACCCCATACCTTTTTAGCGCAAGCAAGGTTTGTTGATGGGTTACAAGGTGCAGAACCTCCACTGCATGAATCCCAGTTTGCTGAGTTAATTTGCCATAAGCCAATGTCATTTGACCCATTAGTGTTATGGTTTTGTGCATTAGCATTCCCACCACTTTCATGAGAGGCAATGCATTGGCAGCATGTTTGGCTCCATCCTGAATATTGAGAGCACCAAGAAGCAATACTTACAACGTCCTTTGTAGTTCCACACAAGCAGCTTGTGCAGTCATTTGATGGGCAATTTCCTCCACAGGTATTTGCATAAGCACAGGCAAGGAATAAAGCAATTAGTGTAATGCTTTTCATAATGATTATTGATTAATTAACTCCACTATTTGATTTCCCATATAGAGAGCTATCCACAATTTTTTATTTAAGATGATAACTTTTTGCACAATTAAAAATGCTAATTAAACTTCAAATTCCTGATAATACTACTAAACGCATGCTTTTATATTGTTTCTAGGCTCAAAGGACAGTCTAGGATTTATTTTCTCCAATAATTAGTAGAAAATATAATTAAAATTATAATCTATATTTAAATATATCATAAATTAATATGTTATTCTAAAGGCTTGAATCATATTAAACCTGAGAATCATACCTAAGACCCCTATTTTTAGCAGCAAGTTCTTCAACTAATCTGGCTTGGTCTTCTATTTCTTTCATTTGTGCTCGAAGTTCAAGAATTAATTTATCTCTTTCATCAGATGAATTACAGCATCCACACGCTGAGCATGCAGGCCAATATTTTCAACTATTTCCACCCCAAGCCCAAATTTTTTTTGCGCAATTTAAATTTGAGGTTGGAGAGCACGGTGGGTTACCATCGTTGCAGGATTCCCAATTTGTGCTGTTAATTTGCCAAACACCTATTTGTCGAGATCCATAGGAATTATAGCTTTCAGTATTTGCGTTTCCATTGCTTATATTTGGTGCAATACATTTGCAGCATGATTGGCTCCAGCCTTGAAATTGAGAACACCAATAAGCTATATCAATAACATTTGAAGAGTACCCACAAGAGCAAGTGTCCTTAGGGCAGTCATTTAAAGGGCAGTTTCCACCACAAGTATCTGCATAGGCTAAAAACGCTAATCCTAGTAGAATAAATATTCCTTTCATATTAATTATTTTTGAATTAAAATAGAATATGTCAAAATTATCAGTTTGGATATTAAATATCATCCAAAACAACTAAATTTTCAATTTAAAATTATTTTCTTTGCTCTGTGTTTTATGGGTATATATGTTTGATAATTCTAAAGAAGTATGAACAGCAAGCTATTCTTCCATTTTAATTGATAGTCTTAGAATCCAATTCTTAGAAATTCTTTGAAGCTTAGTCAGCTCTAAGGCTGTCTACGCATAAACCTTAAAGAAACCGAAGGTAGAAAGTCAAATTAAATTTTAGATTGGAGCTGAAAATATTAAAGATTTTTATGAATTCATTCATATCGATTTAGCCACGTAATGAATGATAAAAATAAATAAAACAATTGTTTTATATGTATCAGGCTTAGATGTCCCTTACTTTGCATCACCTATCAAGGTAAATTTATCATCAGTCAAATATTTATTATTAGCCGGCCATTTAATTATATTTTATTGTTATGGTCTGGGCCTCATTTGGATCACCTTGGCCTATACGATATCCAATCAACTGATTACGTTGTCTTGGGCAAATCAATTCCAACAGTTGATGAATGAAAGCTTTAGTATCACTTGTCAGCTGGTGGAATTGAATGGCAACTGATGCCTCCCAAGACAACTACACCAGTTAGATGAATATCATGCAGGACAGGGGGATCCAAAAGAGGCCCTAGGCTATAAATTTATTCCTCAACTCCAAGCATCCTTCGATGAGCCACATTCAGGAGCTTCCTTAACTCAACATTTTCAACCATGAGCTCAAACATTTTTTTCATTACATCATCGAATTTTTTTTGCCCTTTGGTTTTAAATCTATCGAGATCCAATTCTCCTCTCTCTATCCTTCGTTCAGATTTCGTGACTATATCAATTAAATACTCATTTAAATTTTTCTCAGTTTTCGGCATTTGTCCATTTGTAATTACTTTATCAAGTGATGAAGTTTGTATTTTTTGATAAATTCTTCATAATGTTTCGACCATTTTGTTGTAAACTTCTTTTTTCTCAAGCGTCCTCTCAATTTTTGTAACTTCAGCTACCATATTGCTGAATGCTGTTCACAACTGAGCTTGGCAATATAAAGAATCAAGCACAAACTTCAACGTATAAGCCGAAAAATGTGACATCCCCATGGAAAGATCACTGAATTGGCCTCTCTTTTCCATAATTTTTGACGTGATTTTTTTACAATGGTAAAGGCTTGCATATCTTAATTGCTCTTCTGGAGGTTTTATTTTGCTGATTCCTTCAATGAAGTCAGCTAAATTTACATAGTTCTGTACCTCAAGCTTTTTCTTATAGCGGTTCATTGCAAGTGATGTAATTTGTATTGATCTAAGAGATATAGAATTTTCCCATAGATGGCGCTGTTTGCCCCTTGATTTGCCCACTGGGAAAATTTTTTGGTTCGACCAGTACCATATGGTTTGGTCAAACCAAAAAATTTTCCTAATGGGCAAATCAAGGGCAAACAGCGCCATCTATGGGAAAAATTCTATATGGAATCCTGCATCAGGTCTGCAAGCATTTTTTTGAATTTTTCGACTTCTTTGTCGTCATCAGGACTGTAAAGTGTGGAAAAAAATACAAAAGCTTGCTCTCTTGCTGCATTCAGTTCCTGCATAATTAATTCAAACCACCCTATGCGCTTTTTACCCTTCGCTTCGTAGTTTTCTTGAACTTCATCAACAGTTGAGTCAATCTCTTTTAGACGGCTATGCACTTTGTAAAGTTCTGTTAGTACAGGTTTTAGATTTAAAGCAAGAGCGTCGTCTGCTCTTCCTCTTTTAGAAGTAGCCCTTGAAAACTTAGATCTTGTACTTTTTGCTACAGATTTTGCTACAGACCTTGCTTTGGATGATTTTGACATTTTAGAGACATCTTGTGATGCAATCTGATTGATTACAGCTGCTGAGGTGCCTCCACCTAATTTTGCATCTTCCTCTTCTTGCTTTTTTATTTCTGCTAATTCTTGAGAATCAATCTCTTGAGAGCTGTTTAACTCTGAATCTTCTTCAGGAAGCTTTGGGATTGCTAAGACTTGGCTGCCTCTAAATATCAAAGTTTCGACAGGCTTATTTTTAAATGTTTCTACTTGTTTAGGATGATCTACATCTACCAAGGAAGAAAGACCTAGTTGTCCAACATCATTTTGACCCCATGAATAAACACCAAAACTTTCAGTAATGATATAAGATGAATTTCCACTGGCAAAAATTTGACTAGCAAAAACGCCATTAGGGAACTCAACTTGTTCTGGACTTCAAAAATTTGGCTGATTTTTCTCATGGCCTTGGCCGCATTGAAAATTCTTATTGCTGCCCCAAGTAAACACAAAGCCGTTACTTGCCATTGCAATTACATGATTATCTCCGATTACAACATCCTCAAACACGACATCATCTGGAACTTGTATCTGAATTCTCTCAGGAATTTTTGCTTGCTTCCTGTCTATGCCAAGGCCTAAGCAGCCTTCAACATTGTAGCCCCAGGACCAAACATGTCCTTGTACATCAATCATGACTGCAAACGAAACGCCTAGTGCCAATTTTTTAATTTTGCCAGGAGTGTCAAACTCCATAATCAGAGGAGCTGTAATATTTTGTGACCATTTACCCCAGATATAGAATGGATCTTTTTCCATTATCTGTATATCTCCTTCCATGTACTCTTCTCCTGATTCCATTTTTCAATTATAAGAAATATTTATTTCGGTTTAGGATTCAATAAGTTTGATTTCAGATGAATTATTTCTTTACTTGCAGATATAATTTCTGAAGAGTTTAGTATTAATCTTATAATAAGGATACTTATTGATTTGGCAGTCTTTCATTTTCTTGACTTGGTAATCTTTCATATTCTTGGCTAGACTCCTGGTCTTGAGGCCTGCTATGAATTGAATCATAAGTTTCCCTGGCTTTTCCTGCAATAGAAGTCAATGCGCTTTTTGTTTTATCTTTTATATTTTGCACTGCTGAGCTTTGGCTGATTTCTTTAATTGCGTTTGTGGTTTTTTCTTTAATGTTTTGTACTGAAGGAGCTTCACTTCATTCTTTTGTTTTTTCAACAGCTGCAGAAAAGGCTTGCTTTGTTTTTGCTTCCCATTCCTGTACGATAGGTTTTTGACTGATTTCTTTTGTTTTGTCAGCAATTTTTTTCCCAATATTCTGGGTCATAGTAAGAGCAGAGCCAAAGGTCTTAGTCCAAGAAAAGCCTGATGACGATTGTTCAGCTTGCTGACGTGGAGGTTCTGGAAACTTTCTTTCCTCTTCTTCAATTGGCAAGATTCCGACTTCTTGTATTGGCTGAGGTGCTTCATAGTTGATTCCTTCTGCGACGATCTTTATTTTATCACGATAATACTGGGCTGCGCGAGTCTTATACTTAGAAATATTGGATGGAAGATCAGCTGGGATATTGTAATTTGCAAAGAAATCTGCTAATGCTTTATTGCCACCAACTGTCATAATTTTAAGCTGTTTGATAGTCCATGTGTCCATTGATAAAGATCTAACAAAACTGATATGTACTCCATAACCCCTATGAATCCCTGCACATTGAAGGCATAAGAAAATTCCATTGCTCACAGAAGCCCAGTCTGGATTTCTTGAAGAGCAATCGAAGCATACATTGTTGAGTGGATCTTCTTTGAGGCGTTGAAATATTTGTTCTGAAGTTTCCTTTGATACCATTTTTATAGTAGATCATCATAATTCAAACTAAATCCAAAAATATTTAAATGTCCAAATCTGAAGTATTTTCTTTGTGAGTAGATTGGAGTCATCTAAAGTGCTTCATATTTAAATTTAAATGATTTATTAATAATAACACAAAATCTTAAGCTTATTATCAGCTATCTTGGAAGTATGAATTTTTGTTGACTTTTATAGAATTTCTCTAGTACTGCTGTGCCTTAAGTCCTCTTTAACTTGAGATCCAGCTTCAATAATAGCTCTGAACAACAGTAGGTGGATCGGCCTAACCGTCGACCCATTAAAGTTATTAAGCTTTTCCAGAATTCTCTAGTCCATGCCAGACTAGCATAGCCTCTCTTCAAGCTGAGACTCTCAAGAAGCTTTAACTTTTCTCATTAAGCTCGGATAATAGGGCTAGACTGATAAACAGGCCTAGGTCCCATACCTAACTGCCATTTTAACTATTGTGAGTATGGATTAAATTCATTAGGACTCGCAATATTCAAATGGCTAAGAAATGCTTTTGTTGAAAAATTAAGAAATTGAAATCAAAGATATTTTAATAGATTTATTCAAGGTTCTCTTCGTTATTATGCTTTCCAGATGATTATTTAAAAATGGCTTTGCAATTAGGTTTTACTTGGAATGAAGAGCCAATAACATTCAAACATCAGCCAACTGTTAGCCAACCTATCGTAAACCAAAAGGAAATATTTACTCTTCCAGAACAGCTCGACTTTAAAGCTTCAGATCCACCAATGATTGGAATCGAAAAACCTCAGCCAATGAAATTTTCTAACAAACCGCCAAGTCCTAACTTTCCCTTGTGCGAATGAACAAAATAAATGGAAAATTAGTCCACTATGAGCTCATAAATGGCTTTATATGTATATTATTTTCTGGGTACAGGTCTAGTGGTAGTGCCTTTTTGATAGTGTGCATTTTACCGAAGTACTTTTGGTCGACAATTGGTTGAAACTTTTTGATAGTGAGACATTTGACCGAAAAAACCCGTTAAATTTCACACTATTTAAAAATTTTTGACCAAAAGTCTTCTGTGAAATTAGACTATTAAAAATCCACATGGAGCCTTATTTTCTTATTAGATGTTTATGCGTTTATTTTGAATATGGTTAATTCTATTAAATTTTGACTAAAAATAAATTTTATTCTTGCTAGTATGGGGAGTAAGAAACTTATCCAATACCAAGGCCTAACAAAGAAAAAAAGCTGAAATGGTCCTCAAGCTAATGTTATAAAGAAGCCAAAGTTTTCGAATTTTACAAATCTATCAAAAGATAAGCTCAAATTACTTGGAAAGAAAAAAGAAGTAAAATCACATCCAAAAGTTGCTATAAAACCTCAGTGGAATGACAACACAGGCACAGCAGGCCTATTTGATCCAGTTATTTCGAAAAAAATCCCAATTGAGATCAAGCATGCTATGAATAAAAATAAACTAGATGTTTCCAAAGAAAAGATTACTCCACCTACTGTTTTTCAGGCTTGAGATGAGGTCCCAAGAACTCAGTCAAAACCATCAAAGCCGCCTGCTCATAAAAAGCAAGTAGATCCAATTTTGAGACAAAAAGAAATTCTAATAAAAGAAAATTTGGACATCAGATTTTTTGAAGACAACGAAAATATCATAAAAAAACTCGAGCAGGAACTTAATCATGAAAAAAAGGCAAGAAGACAGCTTGATTCTCAATTTTCTGAAAAAATGAAAGAACTAGAAAGATTTAAGGCTTTAGACCAGCAAATAAAAGTGGCAAAAGAGCAGTATATCAAGAAAAACAAGCAGCCAAGCCCAGAAAATGTCAGAAGCACCTCAGTTGGAAGAGCAACTGAACCACTTGTAAAGAAAATTCAACCTGGCATTGTCCAGAAGCCAAACATAAAGGAAGATGTAAGACTCATCAGACCTAAAACTGAGCCTCCAACATTAAAAAAAGTCACAAGTGAGCAGCTTTTATCACAAATCGATGTTATGAAAGAGTCTCTTAATGAGGATGAAATAATTCTTGATAAAAATGGAGGGAATATGTTTGAAATTCCTACTCGTGACACAAATAAAAATAAGCCAATGATTATAAAACCTCCTAAAGATTGAAATAGAGCCAAATCTACCACTCCTGAGCTGCATAATGCTAAGACAAGCACTAAGCAAGAAAGCACGCTGCAAATAATTGAGCAAAGCGAGAGCTTTGCAGCTCCAGTTCAGCGTTTTGAGATAACAGAAGTCAGATCTAAAATGGATCCTTTACTTAATGAAGAAATAAATGGTGACGTTGACGAAAATGGATTCTGAGGTGCAGCCATCCTGAATAAGCTGAAAACAGGAGCTCTTTTTCTTTTGAAGTAGGCCTTCAGGTTTGGGAAGCCTTGCTTAATAGGAAAGTTTTGTTTTCCCTTAAGATTTTCTTATCCACTCCAGATGGCTAGACAGGTTTTTGCCAACCACATGGTTTTTCCTTACCAGACCATTTTTAGTACTTTCCAGTAGGGAGCTAATCTCTTGGACAGGTGTTCGGGTCGAAAATCCAAATTGGCGGCTTTTGGAGTCAAGATGGTCTACAGCTAGTGGGTTTGCCCTCTTATTGCTAGTATATAATATCACTAAACTTACTAAATGCATTAAGCAGTACAATTACCAGACTAAATCGCTCAGAAAAATATGGTGCTCATTCAGGGATTGGCTTAATCTCTAGAGTGTCAGCTAAATATATTGCTTATTATGCAGACTCTCTAACTCTCCCCCCCTCCGTGAGTGAACAAAAAAATTTTGTTCACTCACGGAGGGGGTTTAAATTTTATTTTTTTAAAAAAATTTATATTTAAATTTTATAAAAAATATTTTTTTTCGAAATTAAAAAAATTCCTAATTCGCAAAAATTGGAAAGCAAATATTATTTAATTTATAAAATTTATGTTTTTAAAAAGCAATTCGTTTAAAATTAAACAGAATTAGCTCTAGATTTCATTATACTAATTATCATTTATATATCAAAATTTTTTTCCATAAAAAAATTTTCTATTAAAAAAATTTTTGTTCACTCACGGAGGGTGGGTTTTTGGGCGAAAAATAGCGATTTTTTTAATGGTTTTGTTCATTCACGGAGGGGGGGGGAGTAAGCGATCTAATTATTGATGATATCTTAATTGATACTGTTCACGAGCTCCAGTCAATTGAAAATAGAGTCTCAAATAAAAATATAAAAGAATTTAAATCAGAATCTGAAAAATTCGTTGAAGAGCTTGTGAAAGACTTTCATGAAGAAACCAAAGCACTCCAAGAAAAATACGCAAAGCCCATAGAAAAGAGAAAAGAGTTAGTTAAAGATGCAGAAGATGAAGTCGAAATTCTTATTGAAAAACCAAAAAGATTTTGGACTATTAATGTTGATGAAATGATTATTAAATCTATTAAAAATTATAGAAGAGAAATGAAGAATTATTTGGAAATATATGGGGGAGGAAGTGAAGGCAAGCTTTGGGAAATTTATGGGTTTATAGGAGATGAGTTTGTGGAAGAAGCAGTTGATAGTGTCTTGAATGATTATTTGGGGGTTTTAGACGAATTTACTGATAAAGTGATAGGACAAGAGTTTATGTAGCTTTATTAAATTAGAATTAAAATAAATTGCGTGATTTATATAGAAGTCTTTTAAAGTTAAATTAAATTAAAACTTGCAAATTAATCCAGCATGGGCACAAATTATATTGAATCCCAAGAAAATCCTTATCAAGAGTCTCCTGGAAAAAGAGTAAAGATCCCTTATAATTGGGAAAAAGAACCTAACTGCGACTCAAGATCAGAACTTCTAAATAACCGTAAAAGAGAAAATCAGCAAAGCAATATTACATATGAATGGTATCATGAAAAGACTTCTAAAGGACAAGATAATTTATACAAACAATCAGGATTTAACGAAGAGCAAAGGAATAATAAAAACTTAGTTGACTCGATAAATAATATTATCAAATGAAGAACTGATGGCTCCGACACTAATCGTTCACACAGAATAATTATAAAAAAATCCGAAAAATTACTTACAACAGATGATATCAGCCCTCTAAGATACTCAGAGTCTCAAGCAAACACTTCTTTATCTGATATCAAAACGAAATCTCAGTTAACTGAAATGAGAAGAAATGAGATAAAAGAAGCAGGGATTAAAATTGGGAAAAAATGAGAAGAAAAAACAAAGCAATACTTATTTTTTAAACGTGATAATCCACCAAAGCAGGAGTTAGAAAAATCAGCTTCGTATTTGGAATATAATAAGACGCCAAAGTATAGAACGGGTGCAGGTCTAATGATAGTGCCTTTATGATAGTGTGTATTTTGACCGAAAGAAGTTAAATTTCGACCAAATGTCACAATTTTTAAAAATTTTCGAACAAATTTATTTCGATGAAAGTACCCTGTTAACAATTCACTACCATTTGGCATGGAGCCGTATAGAACATCCAGTGAACTTGTTGAGGCTCGAAAAGAAACAATGGTAACTATCATATAGCTCGGAAATTTAATTTCTTCCTCAAACTATACGCATAAAGATGCTTCTAAACGGCTTAAAGAAAGAGAAGCTCAATCGCACAACCGAATTGATGTATTATCTTGAAAAGAAAAAGTTGAGCAAAGAAAAAATGAAGATATGAGTATGCTTATTTATTTTAAATAAGCTGATCAAAATAATGCTATAATGTTTAGTATATTTAATTAAAATAGTATAAATTGCAAGAAGTATTTGGAAGCGATTCAAATGGAATTCGAAGAAAAGAACTCCCCAAATTCTTAAATAATAATAGAGAATACTGAAAAAATGAAGAAAATGAGAGAAACAGAGAAAATTCAAGAAAAACCTTATGACAAAAAAGAAAACTTGGGTATTTATTATACAGCGGAAAGCCTGAATCTTTAATAATTGATGAATCTATTCCAGTTTCTCCTATGTTTGACTCATCAAAACCTCACTGAAAAATTGAAGAAACCCCAGAAAAAATTGCAGAAAAACCAACAAGAATTCGCCATGACAGTTATTCTCCTGAATCCCTCAAAAATCATCATAAATCCTCATGATCAAAATATCTTTTACAGTTTTCAGGCCAAAATTCCAAGAGCGAGTATCAGATAACTTCAGCTATAAACTCTCAATCGCCTGTGAAAAAAATTAGAAAGCAATGGCATACCCCAAAAAAGCAAGAAAGCTATTCAATGCTAAATCGGCTGATAAATAAAGGCAATCATTTAACTCCCCCCCTCCGTGAGTGAACAAAAAAATTTTTTATGGAAAAAAATTTTGATATATAAATGATAATTAGTATAATGAAATCTAGAGCTAATTCTGTTTAATTTTAAACGAATTGCTTTTTAAAACATAAATTTTATAAATTAAATTAATATTTGCTTTCCAATTTTTGCGAATTAGGAATTTTTTTTAAATTTCGAAAACAAATTTTTTTATGAAAATTTATATTTTAAAAAAAAAAATTAACCCCCTCTCCGTGAGTGAACAAAATTTTTTTGTTCACTGACGGAGGGGGGGGGAGTAAGTGCAAGCCCAGCGAAGAGAGCGATGCTATCTACAGGTTTCGGTACAGTGAATTAATCTAAATACTATTTAATGAAATTTTTAATCCATAACTTCATCTCCTTCAATATCGCTAATAAAACTTTCTTCACCAACATGATGCTTATCTATAGCTTTAGGCGATTTTCGAATTGATGAGAGCTCTTCAAAAACTTGGTAGTCATCCAATCGATATTGCTCTTTAATTTGAGGGTTTTTAGCTTTCGGTCTTGGAGGCTTTTGAGAAGAGATCTCAGTTTGGTATTTTTCATCTTCAGAGCTATTAGACTCGGTCACCAGATCTGGAATTAAAATTTTGCTGCCAAGCTTTTCAAGCTCATCATGGATATGCTTTTTTGCCTTGAGTGGCGCGGGCGCCACTTCGGCAAGCTCCTTCTTCCAGTTGACCGAGCCAACTCAGGTTGGTTCGGCCAACTAGAATTGACACGTCTCCCCAAAACGCCTCACTTGTCAATTCTCCAGTTGGTCGAACCAACCTGAGTTGGCTCGGCCAACTGGAAGAAGGAGCTGGCCGAAGTGGCGCCCGCGCCACTCAAGGCAAAAAGCTATACTTGAGACTGATTTTTTATTTGGGGAGTATGCAAGCATGGGTGTCTTCCTTAATCTTGTATTTTGTGAGGACTGAGAGGGATGAAAACTTTGGGTCACTGATTTCTGAAAAAGCCATTTTTTATATGCTTTTTCTGCAATTCTTTTTCTTTCCCATTTTTCTTCTTCAATTTTCTTCAGTTCTTCATTTTTTTGCTTTTTTTCTTCCCTTTTCTTTTTTCTTTCTTGTTTCAGCTTTCTTAAATTATCCATAAGTCATTCTTTATAATGGTTCTTAGCTTCAATTTTCTTTTTTGTGTTTATTTCTTCAATTAACCTTGTCTCTTCTTGCTTTTCTTTCTGTTTTTTTCTCTGCTCTTTGATTTTTTGCTTTTCTCATTGTCTTGTTTTTATGATACTTTCATTGTGCTTTTTAATTTTATTATTAAGCTCATTAATTTCTTGCTCTCTTTCTTTATATAAAGCATCATTAATAAGTTTTTGTTTCAATGATTTTTCTAATTGCTTTTTTTGAAGTCATTCATCATATTCTAATTTGCGAATTTTATCAGGATTTTTTTGGCTTTGATATAGCGAATTAAGTTTCTCTGTAAGCGCAGGGTTAAACCTTTTATAACCTTCTAATGATATATTATTTTCAAAATCTTGAACATCTTCATATTTAATGCTACCAAACTCTTCATCTTCAAATGAAAGTTGCTTTGAAATCATCTGGCTCAATGGAAGTTCATTCATTTGCTTTCTGACAACTTTGTCAATTTCATACTCAACTTTTTGTGGCAGACATTTATCACTTACTCCTCCTCCGCTGGCGAACAAAAACTCATTCACTCAAAGAGGTTAATATTTTATTTTTTAAATATTTATATATAAATTTTATTACCAAATTTTTTTTCGAAATTTAAAAAATCAATTCACAAAAATTGGAAAGCAAATATTTATTTAATTTGTAATATTTATGTTTTAAAATGCAAGCTGCTAAAAAATTAAAAGAATTAGCAAGAGATTTCAAATTCTAATTATCACTTATATATCAAAATTTTTTTCGCAAAAAATTTTTAGTTAACTCACGGGAGAGTAGGTTTGGATAAAAAATAGGGAATTTTCCAATGGTTTTGCTTGTTCACTGAGGGGGGAGTTAAGCATTTTCTAAGAGTATTATGTCCAGTTAGCGCCCTAAAATATTCGTTCGAACCAATTTTATTTAAAGGCTCGGAGGATTTAGTTAAATCCTAGCTAGATTTTACTATTTTGCAAGCGAAGCTTTCAGTTTTAATAATATGTTGCTTTCCAGAGCTAAGTAAATTATACCCTTCGATCAATCCCATCATAATTGCAAATAATTTATTATCTAATTCAGATATTTAAACAAGTAAATATTTTATAAAAAAAAATACATGAAATTATTATCATAATTCACAAGTTTTTAGAGAGAGTGTAATATACTGGATAGGCTGCAAAAAAGTCGATAAATATTAAATGAAGTATTTTTAGTCTATAAGTTAAACCCATTAAAAAGTGATTAATAAAATACACCAAATATTAAAATTTCATTGATTTAAATTGTTAATAGTTTAATCTTTGGTACTGCTTTCAGTTATTGGAATTGGATAAAACGCAGCAACAAATAATCTGACAGAAATCACTTTTCCAATATATGGGAATATTTTCACTGCAAGTGCCCATTTGAGATTCTTATGGTCCATCTTGAAGAAATCTCCCGCTTCATCCAAGAAAACAGTTGTGATTCTGTCAGGCTCAGGGTAATTAAAATGAGCAGGAATTGCACTAACTCTATAATGCTTTGGCATAAACTGTCTTATTTGAATGCTTCAATCTCTTTTTTTCGCTTTTATTTCTTCTTCAGTAAACTCCCCTCTTGCACACTTTTCTAGAAAAACCAAATGTAATTCCATAAGTTCGACCACAGGGTCTTTCTGACTTTTCCACGAAGTTCCTAGGTTTTTACCACTTCTCAAGGCGCTGATTCCAATATTGACTTCTTTTAGCATAATTAAAATATGGCGTCTTCGTCTAGGTATGGCCTCACGGCCATACATCCTCGACACATATTTTAATTATATCCGCAAGGTTTTTCTCGCCTTGAAAAGGACACGGTAACCAATTCTGCAGGAAGCAGAGCCTGGCCCAGTCCAACTTCGAGACTGGTTTTTACCTCGGAGGAAAAGAGGGTTCAGATTTAGAAAGGGCAAGCCCAGCCAGGTCGACAGGTAATACCTAGACCAATCGGGCAACTGCCTAACGTGAAGCTGGGCGTTACGTCCCAGGATCTAAACTTTTTCCTTTTGCCGATAGGCTATCAGAAATTCCATTTTTTTGGAATTTCGGAATGCCAACTTCGTACTCCCTCAGCCTCAGGAGGCCGCACAAACCCGTAGCCTGCCCACTCAACACTGGAGCTTTTTACAAGTAGCAAGGAGGAGTCCGGAAGGAAGGAAGGTCGCAAAGCGAGTGAATCCCCTAGGGGATCCTCGATGATTGCGTTAAAATTAAGGGCACGAGCCCGTCTATCTAATAAGATAAAACTTCTTTTAGCAGTTTGCTTTGAAGTTTATTTGCTGGTCCTCTTAGCAGTGGGGGAGCAAAGATGGGTGCTGAGTAGTAAGGAGTGAAGTTTCCTCCTCTTGGCAAAAATGGATGCCAAAGAGTTTTATCATATAAATCATAAATAATACGTGAAGGGTCAAAGTGCTGGAGGTTCATCCATGCATTTTTATTGTTGAAGATAATTTCAATTGTACGGTATGGGACGTTCACGTCTTGAGCTCCAGGTAGCAGCCTTGGTTCTTGGACAATGCTTGTAAAATTTGATTCATCATTTTTTTCAATCTCTCTCTTAGCATCAATATAAGACTTAGCTGGAGCTTTTGTTTCGAATTTTTTATCTTCTGAGTCTTCGTCTTTGAATCCAACTTTTTTATGCTTAAATCTCGTTTCTCTTTGCCCCAAATCTTTTTCCATAATCCTAGTGTCACCTAAAATTTTATTCAGCCTTTCTTGTTCTTTTTCCATAAGTTCTTCAGCTTGTTCTGAATCTTCACTTGCTTCGTATTCTTCCTCTTCTATCTCTTCATTTACAAGCATTTCTGTTTTGTCCTCTTCAGTTGCAGATGGCTTCAAAACTGTCTTGTCCACTTCTTCTTTATTTAGGAACTTCCTAAGGTCCTCAGGAGACGCTACTCTGTTATTAAGCTCGAAACACTTCGCGTTTGTGCTTTCCCAGAATTTAACACCTTTATAGTCTTTTTCGACCGTCATAACCCAGACATGGCGAGTTTTTCTTTGCTTTAAGCTTCCCACACAGATAAAAGTCCTTCTTTCCATAGAATCAGTGAGGTCAACTACGTCATTTTTTGATTTTTTTTCTTTTTTCTTTTTAGGTTTTTCCACAAGTGTTGTTTCATCTTCATCGTCACTGCTGGATTCATCGCCTTCTTCTTTTTCTTCTTTTCTTACTGCCATGAATAGATTTGCTAATAAAATGGCGTGATCAACAGGCTGGCCTTTTCCCATATAAATAAGGAAATCAGGCGATGATCATATATCGGCTCCAGTTTGAGCAAAGGGTACCAGGCTTACATAGTGCGCAATTTGTTTTAGAGTCTCGACGCGAAGGTATTCTATATTTGAGACCTCAAATGAGCCTTTCACTTTAGGTGGGGGCGCTGGGTAGCTAGTCTTAGCTATGAATAACGGTAGAAAATGTTTTTTGCCATGCTCATCACTTTCTTCATGGTTGTATTCTCTTTGAGTTTCATCTGGGAAGCTTTCTTTCATATTGTTCCCGTTTTCAATCCATCTTTCTTTATGCTCTTCATAATGCGGAGGCAGCTTATCTGCTTTTTCCCTTGGCAAGTCTTCATAATCAAGTTTCTTTTCATTTTCAAATAATATGTAGACCTCAATATACACATTAGAAATTTCTCCAGCTGCAATAAAAGGTGATTGCAGCTGCTTTTTGCCAGACCAAACTCTTACTTTAAACACATTGATTCCTTGTATTGATTCGTCATAAAATTCTTTTTCTTGAATTTTTCCACTATTTAGTTCGTTTAAGAAGAAATTAGTTGACCCTAAACTGTCGTTGGATAATTTTTCATCAATTGCCCAAAAGTTGAACGAGACTATAGGGCTTTGTTTTAATTCTTCTATAATTGCTTTAAGTCGGTCATTTTCTTTATTTCCGCCTAGTAGAGAATCTTTTTGGCTAATAACAATGGGAAAATAAAATAAATCATTGAAGATAGGCTTATAACTTTTATATTCAGTTTTGGTTTTTTTGGTGTATCCTCCCCAGAGCACGTCCATAAAAGTATTGATGACTCCTCTATCTGTAGGAAGAACAATATTATCGACACGCAGGACTTTAACACAAAGATATTGGCTGTTTGAATTCAGCATGATGATTTCACCGCTCTGCTGGTGTCTAGGAGTTTTGACGATATTAATTCTTCCTTTGACTGAGCAAATGTGAGGGCCTCTTCTTTTATATTTTTGAAGAATATCAGCACTAATACCACCAAAATCAGTTACCCCAAATAAATCAACAGTTTTTCTGCCTAGTAACGATGACCCCCCCCTCAATCTTCATGTCTACTGCAACAAAAATTTTTTTCGAAAAAATTTTCATGCCTACTGCAACACAACATTTTTATAAAAAAAGAATTAATGCATTTTTCTCTAGGTGAGTTTTCTCAAAAACCCCATAAAACAGCGCTGCTGTAGGCGTGTCAATGACCTTCTCATCGAGATTTGGACTGCTATTATCATTGCTCGCCATTTTATTAAACTTATCTAGCTAAAAAGTACAGAAAAATTTAAGATGCGCGTCTAAAATTTGCTGCAAGAGGATTAGGATTATTACAGACAGGCGCTAGCCATATTGGTGACACAGTCACCAAAGACCTCCCGTGCAGAAGGTTCTACCGCTTTTCGATTCCAACCCAGAGGGTCTATTTCTCTTACGAGTGCCCTTCCGGTACCTTCTGTCTCCTCCTTGCCTTGCGGCTTCAGTCTTGAGTGGGCGGCTTATGGATTTCTGCGTCCCTGCTACGGTCAATTGGAGTAGCTTGATTCCAAGGATCAGCTCCTTAGAGTCTATCGGGTGTCAAAGACCTTCCTTCTACAGTTACACGAAAAAGACTGTTCCCCTGTGGCCTGGGCAAAAACCCCAGTTTCTCGGTAGAGGAATGCCCATGGGTCCTCGGATCAAAAGGACGTTATTGAGCTAATCTATTTCCAACCACAGGAAAGCAGCCAAAACCTGCCCGCATATACACTTCTTGAGTCTGCGTCTGATTCTCGGCTCGGGGTCCGTTCCAGTTCGCATTAACCATAAGGTCTGGAATGCTGCGCCAAGAGGGCAGGCTGACACGTGTCGCCATTTTAATATATATAATTTGTTGCAAGAGACATGAAAATTTTTTTTTTTGTATATAATTTGTTGCAAGAGAACGAAAATTATTATGTTTTTTATATAAAATTTTATATTAAAAAATTGCATTTTTGTTGCAATAGACATGAAGATTGAGGGGGTCATCGTTAGTTTTCTATTTAAAATTCCTCCGTCATACAGATTAATTTCTAATTGTTGGTTGCAAAGCTCATTAACTGTCCCTCTATAATGAATTCCACCTTTAATCATTGGCCACATTGGGTTTGCTTCTTTATCAATAACAATAGATTTTACTTTTTTCCTCCAAAATCCTTGAGTTAGCAGAGATAATTCAATTGAAGGGCTTACAGAGTCACTGCTGCCTTTTTCTCCCAAAATATTTGAAGCACTCCAATCTGAAAAAGTGAGCCAAAAATCCCAGATTTCTTGAAACGCAATATTAAAGGTCAACTTACAAAGCTTCTGTTTCTTTTTAACCCCAGATTTTCATATATCAAGTTCTTGAAATACATCGCCACTCGCAAAGTTTATTAGTGGGACTTCTACTCTGCCAAGAAAAGTGTTTAAATTTCAGCCCTCCAGGTCCCATACGTCGATTCTCATATATTGTTCTTGGATATCGAAATACGACCCATGATATTCATGTCAAACCCTCGTTTTAAAATCCCTTTTTTCTTTGGATTCTAAGTTCGGCAAGACTTCGGTCTTTTTTGTGTAGCCCAAAGTTCCTTTGTATTGGTTTTCAATTTTTCCACCCTTGACAGCTTTTTGAATGATTTTAAAATCGCCTCCTATGACAAACTCGAGGAAAGGGTCATAGCTGTCTGTAAACAGGTTTTCAATGGATATATCCGTTATATGAATTTCCCACCGGCGAATCTGGGCCATCTCCATCCATCTCTCACGAGTCATGATAGGTCGCTTTTTAACTGGCGCTGTGATAAGAGGTGGAGGATCTCTGCGGCCATCTCCTTGATCTCCTTTATCTTCTTCCTCTTTTTCTTTGCCTTCTTCTTCCTTTTTATTTTCCTCCTCTTCCTCCTCTTCTTCGTCTTGCTTTTTCTTTTCTTCTTCGTCTTTTTTATCTTCACGACCTTTCTTAAAGTAATTCATAAAGAATTTTTATAATAGTTAATAGATTTTTGTTCTGATCATATTAAAGAAAAGGAAAGAAATAAAATAAGGACAATAGCAAAAAATTTATTTGATTAATGGATACAAATTCTGGGATGTTGTTCAATTGAGAACTTAATTTCTTTTATCCTGTAAAAGATGTGAAAATATCAGAATTCGAATTCAAAGAAATTAAAAGAAACTTTGCTTTCTATTGTGAGTAGAGGTTGGGATTATTGGATGGGTCATTGATGGTAATTTTCAGCTTGTTTTATTATTGATGTTTCTATTTCTTTGCAATTGATAGGTGCAACTTAATATGATATAATCTATTAGATGCAAATTTTTATTTTTAGCTTATTTTAAATTGCACTAGCCTTTCAACCCTAGAAATGGAATGATAAAATACACCACAAGCCAACTTATTCCGAGTCAAAGTATTAAATAAGTAATTAGTAGTAATTATTGAACCATCATTTTTTAAATTAATATGATTTCATTGAACCGTGGCCATGCAAGACCACTTGGCGAGTGTCGTGTATCTGAGATTATTAGACCTTTTCCTCATTTCACAGTAAAGCATCCAGGAAAACTTAATCCACAGTATTCTATCAGAAAATTAAGTTTCAGAAGTCCTAGGAATCAGTTGAATAAAAGTAAAATTAGCATAACCGGCTCTGATGAATTTGAAAAATTCAACTTTGATCGGAGCAAATTTAATGATTTGATAAGAGTCAGCACAGAAACAGAAAGAAAAATCTTTGAATCAACATTCAATATTGATAGGGAAGACAAAATGCCTACAAAGAGAGCTCTTCGAAGATCCTTGACAAGCACACCTAGTGTAGACAGCTTGCCTGAATTGAGACTACCTAGAAAAAATGTAAGCAAAAGCGTTGATAGTCAAAAACCAAAATCAATCTTGAGACTTAGTGATGGCTCGCCAACAACAAGACAGCTGAATGCAAATATTAAAAGTTCAGCTGTGTGCTTCAATACTTCTCAAATTATTTGTATCTAAAATTTCAATTATAAATTAAATTTATTATGAAAATGTTAAGTCTCTATTAAATATATAGCAAAGTAAACAGATTTTCTAAAAGTTTGATTCAATGTTTGAATCAATAAATTTACTGTTATTTTTTTATCTGTTATAATCTACCTTATGATTCATCATCGTACTTTTTACTCATTTGATGCTAAATATACCCATTCAAAGCAATGCCTTGAGTGTGCTCAAAATTTAGTGTCTAAAAAAATAAAATTTCATTTTATAATGAGCTCCGAAAGTTATTCATATTTTCTCTCGAATCATGGAAATCAATAGAGCTAGCCTCCTCAGATTTAATACACAAATGATTAACTAAATGTCTGCAAGTGTGTAATAATTTAACGCCATTTTTATAACTTAAAAAATATGATACTCTAATCTTATCATGTTTTCTATATAATCAAAAAATGTCGCATGCTCTTCCCATAATGGATTTTTCCCACTTATGCGCTAACCGTGATAAGACTTTTAAGGACCGGTGACCTATTCTTGCAGTCTTCTGACTGGGAAATAGGAAACTGGCTAGGACTAACTAGCAGGTGCATCAGGCACTCAATGCTACCAACAGACTATTCGTTTTTATAATAAGCTCTTTAAGAAGATAAACTATTAAAATTATAAAATTCGTATTTCTCATAAAGTGTGTGTTTTAAATATCTTACAATTCGAGTGAAAGGCTATTCTTTTTTCCATAACTTTGATTTTTTCATAACTAAGTAAATTGAATAAAATACAAGAAAAGCAGTTATTGATAACCCTAAATTAAAATATGAATCAGATCTGGATGATTTTAACAGGTCCCTTTTGTGACGCTCATGTGCGGCACCTGAGTTGCCATGAATTAAAAGTGGATCACATGAAGATTCTGCAAACCCAACTCTGCTTTCACTTCTATCAAAAATGACTTCCATTCCTCTCATAAATATATTCCCAAGAACAATAATATCTTCTTGTGTGCTATAAATCCCAACGCAATATATATCTGCATACTCAGGATATGAAAATAAATAATTTTCTGGCAGTCAATTAATAATAATTTTATCAATAGTCATCGATATAGTCGGAAACGTATCAAAAAATTCATAAATACTTTGATGTTTCTCTTTATTACGCTTATAGCAAGACTTTGGCTCATTGTTAATAATAATAACTTCTCCATCACAAAAGTTATCATTTTTGCAATAATTTTCAAAAACAACTCAAAATTCTTTATACATTTCTTGAATGAAATATACAAAAGTTGTTCCTGAGTCTATTATTGTTTCTATTTATAAATTACTTTTGTGGGCTTTTTTAAGATCGATAGGTAATATTTGATATCCAATTGATACTGATTTCAACCCAATTGTATAAAATAAGTCTTCATATAATTTAGTTCATTTAATAGTATCAAAATGCAATGATTGGTTATATCCACCTATTGTCATATACCCATCATCTTTTCCCAAGCATATTGCTAATAGATTTTCAGATGAGTCAGAATTCTTATATATCTGATCAACAATCGTTGATTTTTTATGGCTGAATGCTAAGCCCATTATTCCATCTACTTTTTGTGATTTGAACAAATTTGTTTCTTCTTGATGGCAGCCAAATTTATATGAAATATTTGCTAAGTGTTCTTTATCATCTCCAATAAGAATATAATCTTCTATCATCAATCCAGAAATGATGCTTCCTTCAGCGTAGCTTATTTTATATTCGCATTTATCATCATTGCAGTTTGTACAGAATTCAGAATCATTGCACGCTACAAATTTTGAAGTCTGGGATTTGTCAAAATCAAAATATGGATTCATGTGTTGGCCACAGGTTTTACAGCCTTTGCAAGGGAATGCTGTAAGTCTACTTCCAGTGTCAATAATTATAGATAATTCCTATAAAATGCCCTTAAAAGACAGGAAATTTGAGATGGAACTTCTCCAATTTCATTCCCTTATAGGGCAGATTATAGGAATTACCTATACTGATTGCTTAGCTGGAGGATTTCCTACAAAAATATCAATGTAATAATATCCAAGGTCTTCAACATTACCATGAACTATAATATGCTCTAAATTCTGGCAATCTGCATAAACAATTATGACAATTGCTCATAAAATCATTTTATATGCTAGAAAAAGATTATGCTGTAATTTTTACAATACATTATGAAAATTTTAGGCTCAGAAATATCTTTAAATAGCTCTAAAAATAAAGATTTTTGTGATAAGCTCGCAATATTAAAACAAAGGCGAATAAAAAATAATTCATCTTAATATGATAAAACTATGAGCTATAATGATCATTTTAAAGTAACAGATGAGACAACAATGTCTTCTTCATCAAGCTCTTCAAAATATGCAGATCAGAGTGCTTTTACCTTCAATAAGCTTGCAATGGAAAATTTTAAATGTGGAAACTATGATATTTGTCTTAGATATTTAAGTCAAGCTTTATCAAATGCCAAAGCTGTAAAAGAAACACAAATAAAAAGCAAGCTGCTTGCTTCAACTTACAATAATTATGGATTTTTATTTAAAAAAATTAACAGATTCACAGAATCAATTCAAGCAATGCTTAAAGCAATTGAAATAGAAAAAAATTTACCCAACGAACTATTGAATATCGCAAAAACTCATTTAAATATTTGTGAAATGCTATCGCATATAGGAGATCACGAAAGAGCACTAAGGCATGGTCTTGCGTCTTTATATATGCTTAGAAATAATTATTGCACTGAAACTAATTTAGTGACGACATTAGTAATATCTTATCACAATGTAGGGGTAGAATACGAATATTTATCACAGTATAAAGATGCAGTTGAATGCTACCAAAAAGGCTGAGAAATTAGCAGAGACTGCTTAGGTATAAAACACCATCTCACTTTAGCTCTTAAAAAGAGCTTAATTGAGTGCTCAGGGCAAGATCAATTTTTAACTCATAAATATGAAGACAGGAGATTTCCTATTGAAATTACCAAATCTGGTTCACCAAAGCGAAATCCAAAGAAGCTTCCAGATGATTTTAAAGAAAGAACAAAAAGTCAAGAAAATACAAGACGACAAAAAAACCCTGCAGTCGTGGCTCTTCCAATTAATATATTAAAAAAAAGAATAGAAGTTTTGACAAATGGAAAAACAACCCCTACAAATAATCAAACAAGTTTAACAAGGCCTTCTAAATCAAGGCAAAAGAATTTTTTTAGTGAGTTAAGAAGAAATTCGAGACCGCTTTCTATTGATAGAAGAAGCGACCATAGGGACTCTGTATTAAGCAAATCTCCAATAAGCTCGACTAATGATATATCTCGCTCAGATACAGAACATAAAGAAAAGAAGATAGATTTAGAAAAGCATAGAAGGCAAGAAAGAATTGCAGCAATAATGATTCAGTCACGGTGGAGAGGAATTAAGGCAAGAAAAGCATATGAAGTTTTGAAATTAAGCAAAAAACTGAACTCTGCTGCAGAAAAAGCTAAGCAGGCTGTAAAACAATATGAAGAGTTGAAAGACCAATTTTTACAAATGAAGCTTGATAAAGCCAATAAACAAAAACCCAGGCCTAAATTCAGACACCGAAAGTATGGTCTTTTGCCAATTTCAGAGATGAATAAAGAAAATGATTACGAAAACGAAATCATAAAAATACAATCCACGGTCAGAATGTTTCTTGCAAAGCGGAAATACCAAAGGCAAAAAAATGCTTCCAAGATTTAAAAGTAAAGAATTCCCTCAATGGGATTTGAAAGTATTTATAAATATAAAATATTGTTCTGATATTAAAATATGATGAGCAAAGTTTTAATAATTGGTGGTTCTTTTGCAGGCCTTACAGCAGCTCGAGAGCTCTGTCAAGACTTCCAAGTCACATTGGTAGACTTAAAAGAATACTACGAATACACTCCAGGAATTTTAAGAGCTATGGTAGACCCAAATGCATACCCATCAATATCTGTGAAATACGCTGATATTTCTCAATCAATGGGTTTTGACTTCATTAAAGGTGAAGTAATAGAACTGTCTTCTCATTCAGCAGAAATACAAAATGCTCAAGGTATCGTTATGACCACATTTGACTACTGTATAATTGCTTGTGGGACAGATTATTATGACCCTATTAAGCCTCATAGGACTTATGAAGATTTGAGCAATGAAAGGCATGAAACAATAATAGAAACTCATGATGAAATTGAAGAAGCTCAAAGCATTATGATTCTTGGAGCTGGAATCGTAGGAGTAGAACTTGCAGGAGAATTAGTCTCAAAATTTCATGACAAAAACATTACACTTTATTCTGCTCAGGATGTTATTATGCCTGGAATGCCGAAACTTGCCCAGAAGTATGCTGAAAATTTTTTAACAGAAAAAGGTGTAAAAATTGTTTATAACAAGAAAGCAAGTGAAGAGGAGTTCAAGGATTTTGACTTAGTTTTTAAGTGCATTGGGGTTATTTATAATACAAAATTCTTGCAAAAAAATTTTCAGGAAAATTTAAATGACCGTGGCAAAATTGTTGTAAACGATTTTCTTCAAGTCAAAGAGCATATTTTCGCAGCAGGAGATGTCGCACAAACAACTTTGAATTTAGCAGGGACTGCTTATGCTGCTGAGCAAATGGGAAAACTTTTAGCAAAAAATATTAGAGCAATAGCATCTGGGAGCAGACTACGTGAAATGGGAACTTTGCCAATGCTGTACTGTGTAAGTTTAGGTCCAGAATTTGGGGTGACAGTCTATCAAAACTTAGTTATCCCAGGTTCCTGCCAAGCATTTGTAAAGTTTTTTATACAGTATACAAAAGTCAAAGAATTAGAAAATCCAATGTTTAATCTTATGTGGAAAGGTCTTGACTTTGCAGCTGAAGCATTGAGTCATTTTTTTTAATAATTTTAATAAATATGAAAAAAGCTGAGTATCCGGATGAAGAAGTCTTTGATATTCACACGAACAGAGTCACTCCTGAAGTCTCACAATTTTTGCAACATACAGATGGAGACCATGAGAAAACTAAGTTTATCAGTCCTAAAGGCGATAAATCGCCATCTATCAACTGAGAAGGGGATTCTGTAACCAAAAGAAATTCTGATGAGAGGTTTATTGACTTTAAGAATATTAATATACATCCTCGATTCGACTCTTCTTTATTTGAAATCTATCAAAAAATCGTGAAATCTAATTAGGAAACGATAAAGGATGCTCCTATTGAATATTATGAATCAATATTATATGATTTATGCAGGCGTTTCAATGTGGAATTATTTTCAAATCAATTGACAACTAAATCCCCTATCTTTGCTATTAATTGATTTATAACTTAAAAAATATTAAAAAAAAAAATTTTAATTTTTCAAAAGTTTTATTTATATTAAATGCTCTTGGTTCATATGATTTAAAATACTATGAGTAGGCAAAATTTATAAAATAAGTAAATAATTTCAATTAAAAGCATTGAAAATATTAATAAGCATCAGTTGAGACATAACTGTTAAGTTTTTATGTGAATTGTAATAATTATAAAAATGTAAAAAATGACATTCCAAATATTGTCTATAAATTATTCTGAATTCATTTGTATTTAAAATAAATTATATTTGAAAGATTGATTAAAAAGATAATATATATAATTTTATTTAAAAGGCTCGAAGATATTATAACCATCATAAATTGGAGTTAGAATCAATTTTTATCGTCCCTTGTGCCTTTTTGGACACAAGTATACAGCCATTACTGGGGGCCAGTTTCCTATTTTCCAAGTTTGGGATACGAAGCTGTCAGAATGGGCTGTATAGCTCATACCCCTTTATAGATTTCTTTATCGAGCAAAATGTACTGGACTATTGAACGACCAAGAAAGACTCTATTAAATGAACGGGCTGATATCTATATTAGGAAGTGCTAAAAAGTGACATGTCAAAAAATGGTAACAAGTGTGAAAAAAAGTTGACAAGTGAACGCGCCAATTTTTAAAATGGGATTTATTATTAAAATAATTTAAAACTTAAGATACCCCAATAAGACTGTAATTGATTAATAACTTAAAATCTTATTTTAAAGGTCTTATAAATTAATGATAATTATAATAATGAAGACTAGAGCTTTAATTTGCAAAGTGCGTGCGTTGCAAATGTCAATATATATATAAGTTTTATCGACTCATATGATGAGTGTTTAGCAAAAGTTAAATATTTGAAATTTTTTGAATATTTTATTTTTTAATCAATGCTTAATTTTGCTAAGTACTTCTCATATGAGTCGATAAGAACTTCGTATATATTTATATATTGAGAATCACAAGCCACGCACTTTGCAAATTATAGCTCTAGTCTTCATAAATAAATTAGCATTAAAATAAAGAGATTCTATCGTGCCGGAAAAATGCACATTGAGTTGCAAGTTTTTGATTTTCACTTATAAGCCATATTGAATTTTTGCTAAATATTTCTCATATGAGTCGATAAGAACTTTCATATATTGAGATACACAAGCCACGCACTTTGCAAATTATAGCTCTAGTCTACATATATAAATTAGCATTAAAATAAAGAAATTCTATCGTGACGGAAAAGTGCACATCGAGTTTCAAGTTTTCAATTTTTAAGGCTATTATTAAATTTAAATATATTAATCAAAATATTTAAAGCCAATATATAATGTGTAATTATTATCCTCATAATAATAATAAAATGGCTCAGTGCGGAATTAGTTCTCTCCGAGAACTATTCCTTCCCTCGCTTTTATTATTATGGGGTTCAGTTTCCACGTGGCCTTTTATCAGCAATACCAATATGGAATACCGCATAGGGTATTTCTTTGGTCCAAGATAATAAGCTCCACCTGGGTTTGCTGCTTGACACACCCGAGGAGGGTGACCCTTAGGCGGAACACGCGCAGGAGTCGAGTTCGGGCGAGGCAACGCTGCCGGTGCGGGATTTCTGGCCCTGCTGGGGCGGAACTTTATAGACGGCCAGATCGGGCTAACCGGTCCCAGGAGTGCTTGGTGACGTCACCAGTTGGGAGTCAAAAGGATGGGCTTAAGCATGCCTAAATCATCCTGCTGAAGAAATCAAAACACCTTAAATACCTAAGTAAGTAAGTAATTATTATCTTCAGTCTAATTGGTTATCTTAAGTTTTAAATTATTTTAATAATAAATCCATTTTAAAAATTGGCGCGTTTACTTGTCAACTTTTTTTCACACTTGTCACCATTTTTTGATATGCCACTTTATAGCACTTCCTGATATAGATATCAAGCCCTTTCCTTTAATAGAGTCTTTCTTGGTCGTTCAATAGTCTAGTACATTTTGCTCGATAAAGAAATCTATAAAGGGATATAAGCTATATATTTTTGCCCAAAAAGGCACAAGGGACGATAGTTTTTTTAGACTTGAAAAAATATTAGAAATATGCTTTTTTTAAATCTAGTTAGACGGAAAAATTTAGGAAAGAAATGTGAGTTTTGTTCTTATAAAATGCAGTGAGTAGTAAGTGTGTAGAGATATTCCATCACATTTATAGGTTAAAATCTGAAGAATGTGACTTATCAACGGTTGAATTAAATCAATTGAATCATCATTTTGAAGATGTGCTGAACGCTCACCCAAAAGCTTTGCAGGAATATGAACTATTCAAAGACACCCTAAATTTAATTTCAGCGCTCGGAATTAAATGAGGGGTTGTTAATCTCAATAATTTTTCATATAGATTGACTGGGAGATCATTAAATATCAAATTACTTGATTTACAAGAATTGAACTCAAACGTATTTACTTGCGAAGCCATATGAATCGCTACGATGGTAAAACAAGAGCCATTTCTAAGAATTGCAGACGATCAAATCGTTCAACTATCTTTATTACTCATTCAGATTACAACAAAATTAATAAACTCATTGCTATCACTTAATCAGAATATTGATTTTAATAATGTAGCAAGTATTGCTGGCCTTGTTACTTCCAAAAACCCCAAAGCAGTCAAGTTTACTGGAATTGAGCCTGACTTTCAAGCTGATGTTGTTCCTTACCAAAGATTGAAACTGAAAAGAGGAATTCTCAGCTTTTGTAATAAAGACCAAGATCTAAAAGCTGCGAGGGAAATAAAAAGTTTGATAGAAGATTTTGAGAGTGTATATAGACAATTTGAGCAAACCTTAATGATAAACATCCTGATTATGTCGAAGAACACAAAAGATGTTGCTTAATCCCTCAGTTGTGTTATTATATAAATAAGTCTATTATTCATTAAAATGAAATAGAAATAATTATAGGCATATAGGTGCCATTATTTGTACTGATGGCATTATCTTATAAGAATTCAAATAAAATAATCGTTTAAATATAATGGCATCATCTTATCTGACGACTGATGCAGCAAGAAACCTCCAAAAATATACTTATACTGGAACAGACAATTCCCTTTCATATAGCCTCATATTATCTCCACTATCAAACACTTTAGTTCAAGCTATTCCTACATGATTTTCGTAATTTTAATTTAGTCCTAACTTGGTAAAAATTATCTAGATAACAATGCTAGGGATAAATGCGCTTTTATTAATTTACGTCTCAACACTTTTTCACTGTGGGACAACTTTAGCCTGTCAACTTCCTGATTCAATTTCAATGGTATGTTCATTGCTTTACTTTGCATGGATTATTTTTGATAATCTAGATGGAAAGCAAGCAAGAAGGACTCAGGCGTCAACACCTTTAGGATTGATTTATGATCATCAGTCCGATGCTTTAGAGATTACTGTAATGGCAACTTTCTTTGGAATTATTTCATTATTTGGAAATTCCCCTTATACAATTGCAATCTGGACGACTGCAGCGATTCACTGTTATTTTGAAAATTGGGAAGCGCTCTATACAAATTCTTATAGTATGTCAAGCAATAAATACCTTTTCGTGGGGATGCTTGCTTTGATTTATACTGCACTTGGCTCTGAATTTTTTATAAATACTATGGTATTTCAAACTGAGCTTAGGATGTTGGTATTTTATGGATTTTGCAGTTGGGTATCGATTGAAGTTTTAATTCGGTAAGATCTATTAAGAATCTTCAACGTTCTAATGAAATCTTCAAACAAAATGGAGGCCTTTATGAATTTGGGATCATTATTCTATATTATCTTTTGTGTGGTAGTAGTTTTGGTGTTTTCACCAGTTGGATTAGCTTATGCAGGGACAAGAGAATTTGTATTATTTTTAGGTTTTATTTTTGCTAGAGAAATGGGATTTTTGCAGCTGGCTCATGTCAGTAATTCAGAATATGAGCCATTAAACATCCCAAACTACATTCTCCTTTCTCTTCTTATGTTTAACACATCATGCCATGCTTGGGGATTTCCGCTTCTAGATGAGTACAATCTGCTCTGCTTCCTTCTCCTTTTTGCTGGTCTAAGCTATCTTCATTTCATATACTCAGTCACAAAGGAAATCACTAAAGAACTGAATATCCCAATTCTCACAAATTTGCGTAATTTCCACATAGAGAGAAAAATTCAATCAGTTTAATAAATAATAACTCGTTTAAGACTATATAAATTTAACGCTTTTTCTACTGGTTTTTGGCTTTCATTTATTATTATCTTTAGCAGAGTTGATTATAAGTGCAGATATAGCACATGAGATCTTACAAATCCTCGGTTTTTGAATGACTTCTTTTGGTTAGAGGCTGAGTAGCTTTCTGTTGAAAAATAGCTTGATTCATCAGGGATTTCGCTATCTGGGATGCTTTGTATTTCTGAGTCCAATCCCATCAAGCTACTTACAAATGATCTATCATCATTTTTGTGAATCAATGACAGATTTGGATGATCCATTGCTTTATAGTCAATGCTTCTCATCATATAAAAAGATTTGGCATGGGAATCGGATAATGACAGATTTGAAATATCAACACTTGACAGATAAGTCGAAATTTTAAGATTGTCTTCTTTAGCTTCTTGGATTCTGGTTTTAAAGTTATTAAGAATTCTCTCTTGGCCTTCAAGCATGCTTTTGATTTCATGAACCTGCTCTCTCAGGCTGGACATTTCAGCCTCTTCTTTTACTTCATTCATTGAAGGCGAATAGGTTGGAGAAGACGAATGCTTAAAATCTACTGCCGTCGTGGATTGCTCAAAATCGAAAGTGTTATATTCAGATCTAGGAGATAATTTATCTTCCGCTTCTTGAATATGTATTGGTGTGGGCCTTTGAGCAGCATCCATAATTTTAATGACATTCAAATAAATTGGCAAATTGAGATAGTCTTTATAGAATTAAAAACTGATAAATCATTTTTTAAAGGTAATTGTAAGATATTTAAAAAATATAAAATTAGTTTGAATCATTTACAATTTCTAATTTTTATATACAATGTCCGATGTGAATGATATGGGTAAGATGCTTCTTGGCATCCAAGAACGATTATCAGGCCTAAAAGATACCTTGAAAACCCTGGATACAACCTACATTCCACAAATTACTGCAATTTCTTCCCAAATGGAAAAAGTTCAAACCAATTTAAAGCAACAATCAGAGCAGTTGCTATTCAAAGTTATTAATGGCGATACTACCCAAGATGTTTCAGGCCAAAAGCATCCCAAAAGAAGCTCACTGTCTGCTGCTGGCGAGCTCCATATGAAACCTCCAAAATATTCATATGTTTCCAAAGCTTCTTTAAACAGGAAATCATCAGGACAAAAATCATTTAAAAAATCATATGACGAAGATGTCCCTTGCATAACTGAAAACGACATAACAAAAGGAATGTTTAATTTGATAAATCGAGGAGTTATACCCAAAGATGTTGATCTTACCCCAGCATTTACTCGAGGTGCTGCACCATTTGTAAGCAAAACAATGACAGTTTATCCTGGGAACTTGAAGCCTCAGCAGGTTTTTGTAAAATCAGAAGAAATGATGCCACCTCAGAATTTCCGATTTGATTTCACAGTTTCAGCGATCCCAAAAACGACGAATATGAATATTAAGCAGCTTAAAACTAGTAATTATGAAATACAGTTTGAAAAACAAAATACCTCGCTTACTTCAAAAATCTCAGAAACTGACCCAAACCCTAGAGGCTATAATGAGCTTATGGACACTTTTTCATCTCACTTCTTCATAATTAGAAAAGGGGTTACCTTAGACACCACACCTGAGTTTATATCTTATCAGAGAACATATGTAAAAATATGAGAAAAAATAGCTCCAATAATTAGGACTATTGAGAGTTTTCTAGCAAATTTTCAGGTACCGAAGGCAATACTAGATGGTAAAAAAATAGTTGATTTAATAGGAAGAAGAATAATTGAAGAAGATATCATGGACTGCTTTGTTAATAAAGAAGAAGTGAGGATTTATATAAAGATCCCAAGGATTCAGTTTCAAGGAGAGTCTGGAAAAGAAAAGGCCGCAGTTGTTATACAAAGCATGTGGAGAATGCACAAGGCAAGGACAGCTTACTTGCAGCTTCAATTTTTGATGAAAAAAGCAAGCTGCATTCAGAGAGCTTTTCGTAGATTTATGGAAGTAAAAAATACTAGGAGGAAAACTGCTATGGTATTTAAAGATAAACTAGCTGTTTGAAAACAATTGCAGCAGAAATTCAAAGAAGAGTGGCCAGTGATATCACAGAAAAAGAGACTGGAAATACATATTAGTTCTCTTTCAATAGATGAAGCTAGAAGAGTCACAATGCAAAAGTTTTTAGTTAGGCAGAATTTGCAAATATCAAGGATATTCAAAGTACAGGACCCAAATATTGATATTTTGTATATAAGTGCTTTTGAAATGACTCCAGAAATTGTGAGCTATTATATGAAAATTTTGGAATTGGGAAATATTGCTGACCCTATTTCAAGGCTTAACTTGGTTTCTCCTGATCTTGGAAAACACATTCCAACACATATTTCAACCACAAAAGCTGTATTATTTTCACCTAAAACCATTGCAAGGCTTAAGCATTTAGTAAAGCGTAGAACTGCATATATTGTCCCTGGCAATGTCAGTAAAGATGAAATTGAGCTTGCAGTCATGCTAGGAGTCCCTATACTAGGTGGAGACCCAAACAAAGCTGCATTATTTTCAACAAAATCAGGCAGCAAACGAATATTAACGTCAGCAGAAGTCCCAGTCCCTCCTGGTGCTTATGATATCTATGATGAAAAAGAATTTATGGCCACACTTACACGGCTAATTGCAAATAATCTCAATATTGATGTTTGGCTGTTTAAAATAGACAACGAATTCAGTGGAAGAGGCCATGCTAGCCTAGACATAATGCAATGTAAATATATAAAAAATTTGAGGAAATCCTCTGATGAGCTTAATGAAGAACAGCAGGAAAAAATTTATCATTATTTAACAAAAGCTCTGAGTAAAAAAGTAAAAATAGCAGTTCCTTCATTGTATTCGAATTGAAGAGAATATATGAAAGAATTTGTAAGGGTAGGAGGTGTAATTGAAGCGACTCCTCTGTGTCTTCCAGCAAATGTTGGAAGCGCTTGCGTTTGCTTTTGCATTGAGCCTGATGGAAATGTGGTACTTTCAGGGGCTTATGATAAACTTGAAGCTAGAAGATATGTGACAGCAGGATATATGTTTCCTCAAAATTCACTGCCAAACATGAACTTTAAAATGCTGGCTGATTCTATTGGAAAGGTATTATACGAGAAAGACATATTTGGGTATGTGTCAGTTGATTTAGTTTCATTCCCAGACCCATCAGGAAATTCACCTCACCCACTCTTTTGGGCAGTCGATCTAGACTGTCAACTCTCAGTGTCTGGCTCTGTTATGCCCTTTTTTGATTTTTTAATGGAAGGCTCTTTAGACATGGTTTCTGGGCACTATCATATAGACCATTCAATTGACCAAAAAACCACTGAAAGATGTTTTATGTATCTTCCTGTAATTGAGCACCCTGGGATTAGCAAAGTTTTATATAAAACCTTCTTTTATATGTGTAGAGTCCAAGGTATCAGTTTTGATCTTGAACTGAAAAAAGGCACTACTTTTATTCTCCCCGACTGCATCCAATCATCAGTCATAGGACTCCTCACAATGGGTGGCTCCCCCTTAGACTGTTCCAAACTCCTGCTAAACAGCTTAAAATTCGTAGAAACCCAAGCAGGCGACTTGCCACTCCTAAAAGACGAATCCCGCGACGACGCAATTTCTTTTTCAGAAATCCTCTCAATGGTCAAACTTATCAACAAAAAGCTGACACCAAAACCTAAAAGAAAATAACTTTTAAATATTAATATGCGCTTTATAATAAATCGCGGGAAATGGCTGAGAGATATGCAGCAGGGCTTCTGAACGAATTAAGGATAAATGAAAAGGTCAGCATTATAGGGAAAGTTGACGGAGAGTGGGAAAACGGGATATTTTTAGCTGACAACACTGCTAGGATCAGAGTTAAGGATATATCAAAAGGTCTTACTGGAATTGTGGAAATCAGAGGGGAAGTTGTGGGAAACTATGAAGTCAGGTGTGAAAGTTATAACGAATTTGAAGCTACAAATTTTGATTTCAGCAAAAGAGCTGAACTTGTGAGACTTTATCAGCAGTTCTCTGAAATTGGGGTTTAATTGATAAAAATTAGTTAATTTACTATAAAAATCATTATCGATCAAGCAGGTGAGGTTTACTGAGAGTGGAGATCGTTCTTTTCAAGGACTGAACTCGAATTATCTTTTTAGATGAGTTTGATTTTCAAGCAGGCCTTACAAGAGGAGACTTGCTGTTCCTTCGAAGACTTGGCTCTGTATATACTTGGTCAAAAGGAGAATGAGAGCGGCTTTGCCGCTTTCTAACTTGCCAATTTTCTAAATTTTTTTGTATGCTTAACACTTCCTGGCATTTTTCTTCATATTTATGTCTGAATTGCTGAGAAATCGAAAAATTCCTCTGATTCCGATCATTATAGAGACGCTTTTTAAGTAAGTTATATTGATACTCGAGTTCTCTGCACTCTTTTTCTTTTTCTTTGATTTCTTCTTCCATCCTTTTATTATCAACTTCAATCATTTTAGAGGTTGTTCCTCCTGTAATATCAAAAGATAGACTTTTTCTTTCTCCTTCAGAAAGCTCGATTTTCTTTGGATTTATCATACGCAGTCTGTGAATCTTTTTGTCCTTGCGTTGGAGCTCCAATTCTAACATTTTCTTTTCAGCTTCAAGCTCCTCAACAGTTTTATAAAACTCAAATTCGATATTTTTAGCTTTATTTTTGCTTTTTTCTACATCGCTTTGAAGCTCGTCTATATAAAGACGGAGTTGGTGTTGGACTTTGTTATGGTTTCTGCTTACTTCTTCTAACTTCTGAAGAGATTTTTGATAGGTTTTATCTCTTGGCAAGCCTTTAAAAGTCTGGAAAACTGTAAAATTTCGCTTAAGCTCAATTAGCTCTTTGACTCAGTCACTCACATATTGAAAACATTCGTTTGGTGCTATACTTGATTTAGCTAAATATGCTTTATCAAATATGGCTATTTACTTAATATATAATTAAAACCTATAAATTGGAATTGTGGATAATTTTTCAAAATCTTGTGGATTCAACATGCTCTCATCCAGTTCTGTTTTCTGCATAATTCTTACTTGCTCATGCAATTTATTGTGTAGTCTCATAGCAAATTCCTTCACGGTTGTTTCTAAATTATTTTCTTCATCACTCATCAAGGTATTATAAAGAAATGCAAAATTTAAATATCGAATTTGACTTCAAAAATATTTATTCTCCCTTATTAAATAAGCATAAATACCTTTTCAGCAATTTACTGCATGAACTAATCCTTGGCCACATATCTTGATAAGTGATTAGCATAAAAGCAGCATAATGAATTAAATTAATATATAATTATTTAAGAGTAGCTCAATTTTTCTTTATTAATTTCTACCATTGTCCTTCTAAATCAGGTGTTGGACAGCTAGACCCAAAAATGTTTTCATTTGATTCGATTTGTCGATCTAGTAGCATGATTCCATCAGCAATTTTCCTTTTCTCATTTTTTAAGTAGTGGATTTCTTCATCAATTTCGTTGAATACTTGATACTGATCATTTGATAACTCATTCAGCTTTCCTCTAAGACTTTCGACTTCGTCAATAATTTCAGTATTTAAATCATCACGTAACTTCTTGTTATCGTGCATCAAAGTTGTGAAATTTGATCGAAGGATTTGTGATGCTTTTACATTATCAAGCAATAACCCTCCAATATACTGTATCCTGTCTTCTATTTGAGCTATCTGCTGTGTGGCTGGTAAAATTCTTTGCTGCATAATTTTTATATTATTTTTATCTAAATCTTTAAAGTCTTACTATTTTTAGATTAGTATTTTTGGAGGCCTTTAGCTTGTTTTTAATGCAGCTTTGTTTTCTCAATTTTTTTCAGTCTTAAATATGATTTTTAATTAAAATTAAATTTTTGTGTGCCTTTATAATTTTAAAATTTAATAAACAGAGAATAAATTCAAGAAGCTAAAGAATAAATAATAAGATAATAAATTTAAGCAAAATGAAATCTTTTTCAGTCCTTAAATATATTTGGTTTATTATTTGAGCCGTATAAATAAAATATATTATCATATTAATTCTTTGAAAATCCAAATTAGTACTCTAATAGAAAAAAACACAGAATAAGAATTCAAAAAATAGTCAGTTCATTTTTGAATTGATCTCAAAGGATATTTCATCGCTCCTGCCAAAATTGAGCTAATGATAAAGAGTAGTCCTGAATCATCCCAAACCAAAGTATCTCATGAAGTTAGTTTTACCAAAGATATTAGCAAGCTTATATACCCAATTGTTAGTAGCAATCCTTGAACCAAAATATTTATGCACATGTAAGTGATTTTTTCTGTATGACTTTTGTAGTTTTCAATATAATTTTCAACTGACTGATAGACAAAGGTATTTATCATTGTCACAGCGATGGTATAAAATGATAAAATCACTACATAATAAGCCAACTCTGGTATTGCTTTTTTAAGAACTGGTAATAAGAAATCATGCTCATAATCATATAAAAATGTTCTAGATCCAGATGATGCAATTAAATCAAAGACAATATCAACAATCATCATCACATGAGCTGAAAAAATTGTAAGCAAACATAATATGATGCACCTAATCCGTAATGATTTATATTTGAGTATTCTATTTTTTTTAGATATTAAAAAAACTCCATGCTTTATAAATTCTAAAATTGCACAAGTATCATTTAGGCTTTAAAATTCATAAGAGGTAAAACCATTATAAAAAGTATTTATCTGTCAGATAATTAGTATTAAATTATAGGAAAAGACTAGAAATCTACTGGGCTAATATGTTAAAAATAAAGTTAATTTATATTTATTCATGAAAGAAGAGAGTTAGGAATTATCCGGAGACCTCTCAGCTGGCGACGATATAACCTTCTCACTCATCTAGTTGTATAAATTCCGCTTATAGCTAGAATTGCATAACTAGTTATCATAATTCAATAACTGTGGAATTTTGATAGTGCGACATCTCCTTTTTGATAATGATGCATTTGACTGAAAAAAAATTTAAATTTTGGCCAAATGGGCACACTATTTAAAAATTCTCAATCAAAATACTTCGGTGAAATGCACACTATCAAAAAGGCACTATCATTGGACCTGCACCTCAAAAGTCACCTTCTCGCCGCCCTTTACATCAGGCTAAGCTATGGGTATCCTATCAAATGACCCACCACCACTGGCCAAAAAGTCTTCACGGAGCTGCGTTGCCTTGTTGTCACCTGTCTTCTCAGGTGTTTCGTATAAGGGACTCCTTCCCCAGGAATGACTATAGCCCTATGCGTTAGAGCTTCACGATATAGCTGGATAAAGGTTCACTAGGAGGATAGAATAGTTTTCGAGAACTAATTCCGATGATGCCATTTTATTAATTGAGGATGGAATAGTTCTCGGAGAGAACTAAATCCTAACTCCCCCCTCCCTTTAAATTGAAACAAAATAGGTAAAATTCCTACTTTTTTGGGAAATTACCCCCCCTTTAAATTGAAACAAAATTTTATTATAATAGAAAATTTTATAGGTAAAAATCATTATTTTATATGTAAATACGTTAATACCCTATTTAATATGCTTCAAACATATAAGATTTAGAAATTAAACTCTATTTTGTCCAATTGTTATGGGGAGAGTTAGAAGAATACCATTTCAGCAAGTTTACACTTTGAGATTGAGAAATTTATGAATTAATTTTTCATGAAATTCTTTAAATTTATATAATTTATTTTCTATAAATTTTATCTCTGAAAAAATTTTTATATATAAATTTTTTTATAAAAACATTTTCTTAACCCCCCTTTAAATTGAAACAAAATTTTTTGTTTCAATTTAAAGGGGGGGGGAGTAAGATCTCATTTTATTATTGTAGTTATCATAATTCAATAATATAACAATTATAATGAAATAAAATATTATCTATCTATTCTAAGCTGCATAAAAATTAATTCTATGTCTGAGCTTCCAGATTATAATAAATGTGGCGAAGATTGCTTTCACGAATATTAATAAATAAATAAATGATATGCAAGACATATCTATTTTCTGCATAGCATGACATATTTGATTGAAATTAAGCTTGAAATGATGATAAATATTGAATCTTGTTTTTGAGCAGATGCAACTAGATATGATATTGCAGATACTTTAAATTAAATTATAAAGTATGATGATTTACGTAATAACTCTGCATTGAAATTTTTGAATTTAACTTGTGCATGCAATAAATTATTTAATCAATGCAATTGAAAAAATCATAAAAAATCATGAAAATAAATATATTTTCAGATAATATGCAAAATTCTTTCAGATAAAAATTATTATAACAATTATTTCTGAAATGCTTTAAAATTCACTGATATCCTATTTTTTAGTGATAAGCTTTTGCTACATATATGATAGATTGCATCTCAAATGACATATATAAAATCTTTTAGCTATAGGTCCTGCATTTTAATAGATCATTTTGACTATCAATTTTAATTTTTTAAAATAAATTCACATGTCCGAATTTTTTGAAAAGTACGAATGAAGATCACAAATTTCTATTTCTAGTTTGAGACGCCTAATCTGACTTAGACTGCATAAGGTAATGCTCTCTACTTTTTTTATTCTGATCAGAATGCTACTTGGCCATATTGATCTATAATTGTGAATAAACTATAATGGTTTTGATAATAAGTAATTAGCAATTTAATCTAATTAAGTAAAAAAACACAAAATTCAATATAAATTGAAAAAGCCGGCGAAGTTCTTTTATACTTACATTTAATTTAAATAATGAGCTACATGGAGAGATTCTCTGAATATCAAGAGAACTCATACTCTAGAAATATATCCCTTCAAGCTAGTATTTCAGAGCTTTGGTCAAGGCAACCCCAAGACAAGCGACTTGTCTTAAGAATTCAGTCCATGCTACCACAATTTAAACTGACATCTGATGTATTAAGGTGCTTATGGGAATATAGCATAGACCCTGATCCTCAATTTACAGGCGTAATTACAGCTTTTAAATACTCGCCTCTACACTTTTTAAGTCTAAAAGCTACTGAAATTGTTTGACTACGAAAAGGGGAAAATCTGCCTCAAGCAGATTATTTGATGCATTTATCGCCTCAATCGGTAGACTCAGCAGAAAATTTATGCTAAATTTATAAGTTTCCTAATCGCTAATTATTAAAAAAAATTGTTGAAAAATTAAAGGGAAATACCATACAAATTGAAGAAAAAATCTTTGATAGTATGATGAGAAGCGCTATGAGAAGAATCGAAAGAAATCAAGAGCTTGAACCACTTGATGTGTGCAGGGCTTGCATTGCGTTTACAGCTGATGAAACTACTCAGCGGCTGCTAATGAAATGTGAGATCTTATTTCCTGCAGTTTCTTTGCAGTTTACTCCAATTCTACCATTGAAATTGGTCTCAACGCCATTAAGCTCAAAATTAACAAAAGGGTTAGCAAGTAAATATCAGGCTGGGTATTTGACACTAGATCAGTCGGGAAGAGCGCTGCCACTTCTTGACACAGATCCACTTGCAATGCAATATCCTATTGTAGGTATAGCTCATGAATCTTTATGAATCGACCTCGTTGAAAAGTAACCGCTCTAATGGACTTCGCATCTTGTACATCTTAAACCAGACCTCTCACTATTTAGAGAAATATTTCTGCCCTATCTGGAACTTCTCATTTGATTTAATAATAACAATTGCTTGTAGCTTTAATTTCACTTTCTGGACAAGCTCACTTCTATCTTGAATTCCATATTTTAAGTATTAAAATTTGCTAAACAATATTCTTCTTAAATTAAAAGTTAATTTTTATAACATTTATATGAAATAAAACAGTTATAAACCTCTTATAAAAAGAATTAAATTAAAATTAATTTTATTATAAGCCCCATTTTATAGATAGCTGTCAAGATGGTTCATACTTGTCAAAAAATTTTTGGCTAGTCATTTATAATTTCTACATTTGGGCCAAGACATTTTGCTGCCAAATTACCACTTTTCAAGCATAAAGAGAGAAGAGCCGTTTTAATTTCAAAGTATGCCTTGGCTTTATTTTGCCAAGGCCCCCATGCTATTTATTAGAAATATTTTCGAAATTATTAAAAAAACAATTATATAAAACTATATTGAGCTAGTTTTAAAACTAGGGATGTTTTATTATAATCCGAATATTTGTCTAAATATTGAGGGGTCTGGTCTAAGACATAAAAGATGTAAAGTCCATTAGAGCGTTTAAATTTTCAATGAGGCCGATCCATAAAGGTTTATAAGCTATATCTGGGTAACTGGAATCCCAGAGTCACAGAGTAATAGAAATGCACCGATAATTCATCCCTTAGTTTGGACAAGTTGCATTCAATATATTGAGTCCAAAAATATCAGGGACAAAATTTCTCCTGATCCTGAAAACTTGACTATGCTGTTTGTCCACTTTGCAGGAAAGCCAAAGTTCTATGAGATTTCATGTGTAGGTAATCCTCAGTGAAGAACTGAGTCGTTTTGCAGCGAAATTCCTCGAGAAGAAGAGTCATATTTTGCTCCTTGCTTTGCTACATTTTTAAAAGAAGACCAAACAGTAAATTCTATCGAGCTATCTATGGACAATTTTCCTAGGCACTCAGTAAACTCTTCTATAAGTTATGGATCAAGAATAAGCACACCTTCGAATTACCAAATGAAGCCTCCTCGCCAATCCGGAAACCCAGGGATGTTCACTCCGTCCTATAGCCGGCAGCTTTCTAGAAAAAATTCTATGGAAAGCTTAAGAGGATCAGGCACTTTTTCTCCGAGCGCCGAACAAATTATTGAAGACCAAAGTAAAATGCTTGCTCAGCTCCAAGCACAAATAAAAGAACTCCAGGCACATGTATTTAAACCAAAAATACAAAATAATATAGGAGGAGATCTCGTAAATGCTGGGACAAATACGACTTTCAATACAAAAGATATGAGGGAGATGTCAAATGCAGAAACAAATACAACTTTTGTAACGACAGCGCCTGCTGAGTATTTGACAATGGGAGATTTAAGGGTAAGTGAAGAAGGTATGCCAAGTATGAAAAACACGTCAATGATTTCAAGTAAAAGCAACGCAAATAAGCCTCCATGCTCAGGAAAATCGATGACCTCAAGGCCAGTTTCGAAGCCTCTTTCTTCTTCGTCAGAAGATCATAATGAATCAAACGGTCCTCTAGAATACAACCCTCTCAGATACAGCTCAATGGAATTTCAAGACTCCCCAGGCCCTTCTCCTCATCCTTATAAATCAAAGATTTCCCAATCCCCTTCTATGAGGAGCAAGCAAAATTCTATGGATTTGCCATATACAGATCGCTCTTCAGTTTCTAGTATAAAAATGAGTGACATGAAGCTGAAGTTTAGTGTAGAATCTTCAACAGACATGCCAATAAATTATCAAAGGAAACTTGCTTATTCCCCAGCTAACACGACTAAGCCAGTTAATGAGGTAGCTCCTTCAGACCAAACTATATGTGTACCAAAAATCATGTATGAAAGCAGTAGTGAAGGCTCAGATGACGATAATGTGCTGACTGCAATAGAGAAAAAATATTTACGATAATAAGTTTAAGTAAAATTCATAAATGGCAATCAACCGTAAAAGCACAAATCAGAGCTTCGACTCAAGCCCAACTTTTGCAAAAACTGAAGACAAGATCACTGAGTATTATAACCAATTGCATGATACTTTAGAGAGCTTTGATACAAAGGTAAACACAGTGATTCACTCCCATGAAAAAGACTTTCTCGGCGCCTTCAGGAATATCATGGCTAAAGTTAAAAAAGAAATGACAAAATTGCGTGAGTTGACTGATGAGCAAGCTTTAATGATTAAAAGAGACCAAGTTGTGCAAGAATTACAGAATTCTTTATATTGATTTCAAAATGAAGCTGTTAAACTTGGAGAAGCCTGCTCCAAAGTGCAAGCAAGATACGACAATGTTAAACAAAAAGTCCATGGGCTTGAAGCAGAAAATATTGCATTAGAGCAACAAGTAAAAATCTTGATGAGGCAAAATGAAACATTAAAAGAAAATTTAGGATTTAAATTTGAAGAAAGCGATATAAAGCTCGATCATTTTGAAGAAAAAAAAGCAAATTTAGAAACCGATATAAAAAATGAAGGCTTTTTAACAACTTTAGCGCTGTCTTATAATATTGAAAACAAAGAATTTATAGGAAAAATTGAGGATTATTTAAGAAGTCAAGAAATTTCTTTTTTGAGAACTTTGGATCACCAGAGGAAAATTATTTCCAATTTGAAAAAACAATTAAGGGAATTTACTTCTGAAAAAGCTAAAGGCTTTTTGGAAAGAAGTGATTTAGAAGATCTATTTTTAGACTGTGTAGAAGAAGTAAGAAAAGAAGTCGTGAGAAGGAAATCTAGAGAAAACTCTGAGAAAAGAAATCGCCAGACTTTGCAATCAAATGTGCATTTAACTGCAATTGATAAGCGGCTGATTTTAGAAAAATTCATTGCAAATGAGCAAGTTATTGCAGTTCTCTATGATACTTTGTTTCCTTGAAAAGGCGAAAAAGGTTCTTCTGAAGCTTCACATCCATTGTTTACTCCAACACAGACGAAAGAAGAGAAATCACCAAGAAAAGGAGGGTTGTTCCCTGAAGTTGATAATGCTTCAGTCTCATCTCGAGGTTCCCAATCGTCGAAAAAGCGAGGTGTTGTGGTGAACGGAAAATTATTGATTGATAAAACAAGTTAACTTTAAAATAACTCATTTTTACAGAGAATCAAGCACCGCTAGCTTAGCTTTTATGCTGTCTATGTACACATTGTTAATGCTGTCTTGGATTTCCAAGCTTTGAATATTCTTGATGTGCTTAGGGTTAATGCTGCGTTCATAATTTTGTGCTCGAAGCTCTATAGACTGAGTTAATAGCTTAATTTTATTGATCTTTGCAGACTTTTCGGTATTTTCATCTGATAAAATTTGTGTCCAATTGACAGGTTTTAGTAGTGGGCTTCCGTGGTCTCTTGACTTTTGCCTTTCAACTCGTTTTTGCAATAGATAATCGACTGACTTATTGACAGATGTATCTGGGCTTGTATCATTTCTTGATGAAATTGATGAGCTTCTTTTTGAGGGCTGCAAATTTCTTTTATGGCTTGAGGATTTATAAGATTTGATAGAGTCTCCAGGGTTTGATGATAGTATTTTACTATCAACATTTTCCAAGTTTTTAGAGTGGCCTCTTAGATCGCCTGCTGACTTTACATCATAAGGCTTTAAATTGATCATATTTTCATCAATGCTTTTATTTAATCGGTCATTGCGGATTTTTCTCCTTCTTCATTCAATTTCTAATTGTTTGTTGTAAGAGATTTTAGGCTTAAATAAATCAATTGCAAGTTTTCCATATTCCCTTGCTTTATGGGCTAGCACTTTGCTGCTTTCTGATTTTTCTGCTTCTTTCTGGATCTTTTCTTCGCTTTCAATCATCATAATGTCTAGCAAAGGAGATTTGTAGTAGTTTATGCTAGCTTGATGCTGGGCAAGATCATAATAATTTTGTGATAATTTATGCTTCCTAAGAATTTCTGACTCTTTTATAGCTCGTTTGTACTCTAATTCATGCTTGTTTGATTTCGTCTAACTGACCGCGTGCTCAAGTTTTACCTCAAGGGAAGATGGTTGGCTAGAGTTGGAAAGGTGCGCCCAGCAAGGCCAGAGGTTGTCGCTTGGCCAATTGGGCAAATCCCTAGTACGATACCAGGCGTTGCATACTGGGCTCCGGATTCCATTTGGTCAAGAGCTAGACCAGTAAATTCGATTTTTCGAAGAGCGAATCCCGTTGACCTACGGAATGATGACCGAGCGTCTCTGGCTCTCGGTTAGCGAGTGTAAGTCCTAGTTCATGAGGAACAGCATAGTGGAAGGCCGTGTCAGGACTGGCAAGCTAGCGGTGGAGCGTTATGCAGAGGGGACTTCTCTATAAGTAATTCAAATAAGCAAACTTGTTGATTTCATCAAATTTTATTGGTCGATAGAACTCTTTTTGTCTTGCCAAAATTTCCTTTTGCTTTTCCATCTCAGGCATCACTGAATTGCTAAAAAATCTGTCTTCCAATTTCTTGTAAAGAGGTTTCGAGTCCTCATATGTATCTTTATTTTCAATTAATAAAAGCTTTTTTCTTTCGATTCTATCTGATTCTACCTTATTTTTTATTTTTGTAATGTTTTTCTGCTTTTCTTCTGCCCTTTTTCTTTCTTTTTCCGCACTTGATTTATGTTCTTCTTGAATTTTTTGTAAAATTTTTGCATTAATATTTTCAATGTTAGTTTGATGCAGAATTTGTGCTTTTTCTCTTTCTTTTTTCATTCTTTTAATGAAATCGAACCTTTCTTTCTCAGTCATTTCATTTTTTTCAGAATCAAAAGAGCGAGTAATTGCATTATCCTTATCAATTTTTGTAGTATCAATATTATCTTCTCCTTCATTTCTTGGATTAGAACGATATTCTTTGACCCTCTTTTGGGAATTCTTTGATTTGCGAATATGAGAGTGCCGTTTTAAATAAATTTTGTTTTTTATCTGAGTAAATATTTTGCTTAAAGAAGTTATAATAGAATCATGCGCAGTTAAATAATCATCATATGCTACTTGCTTGTATCTTTGAAAAAAATAAGACTTCACAGACTTCTCAATCATTTTATTCAAATTACTAAAGGAATTAAAATGAAGGAAATTTTAAAGAATTATTTTTCACCAAAATTAAGGAAATAATTTTCCATTATTTAATCAACTTGCTCAACGTTTGGTCCATTAAATGGACTTGCTCCTTGGCTGAACCCTCCATTGCTCATTCCATTTATATTAGTTGCTCCATTCTGTTGATAAATTTTTACTATGATTGGATTGCTGATACTCTCCAGTTCTTTCTGTTTGCTTTCAAATTCGCTTACCTCTGCTTCTGGATTACTTTCAATCCATCTCTGAATTTCTTCAATTTTTGCCTCTACAATATTTTTCTCACTTTGGCTGATTTTATCCTTCACTTTTTCATCATTTATAGTATTTCTCAAGTTATATAGATAGCCTTCCAATCCATTTTTTGCTTCAATTTTCTGCTTAATTGCATCGTCTTCCATTTTGAATCTTTCAGCTTCACTAACCATCCTTTCAATATCACTTTTGCTGAGTCTTCCATTTTCGTTGGTTATGGTAATTCTAGTGATTTTATCTGTAGCTTTTTCTTTTGCTGACACATTTAAAACCCCATTCGCATCAATTTCAAAAGTTACTTCAATTTGAGGGACACCTTTGGGTGCTGGTGGGATTCCTTCTAAGTTGAATCTACCCAGAAAATGGTTGTCTTTAGTCATTGATCTTTCACCTTCATAAACTTGAATGCACACACTTGACTGATTATTTGCATAAGTAGTAAACATTTGGGATTTTTGAGTAGGTTTTCCAGAGTTTCTTGGAATTAAAACTGTCATAACTCCTCCAGCTGTTTCAATCCCAAGGGATAAAGGTATTATGTCTAATAACACAACATTTTGTACCTGACCTGAGGTGACTCCTGACAAAATTGCTCCTTGCACAGCAGCTCCATATGCTACAGCTTCATCTGGATTGATATTTCTGTTTGGTTCTTTTCCATTGAAAAACTCTTGTATAAGTTGTTGAACCTTTGGTATCCTAGTCGAGCCTCCTACAAGGACTACTTCATTAATTTGATTTTTCGAAATACCAGAATCTCTTACTCCCCCCCCTCTGTGAGTGAACAAAACCATTAGAAAAATCGCTATTTTTTGCCCAAAAACCCACCCTCCGTGAGTGAACAAAAATTTTGATATATAAATGATAATTATTATAATGAAATCTAGAGCTAATTCTGTTTAATTTTAAACGAATTGCTTTTTAAAACATAAATTTTATAAAATAAATTAATATTTGCTTTCCAATTTTTGCGATTAGGTTTTTTTTAAATTTCGAAAAAAAATATGTTTTAAAAAAATTTATATATAAATTTTTTTAAAAAAAAAAAATTAACCTCCCTCCGTGAGTGAACAAAATTTTTTTTATTCACTCACGAAGGGGGGGGTTAGTACTCTCTCAACAGGCTCAATGCAGCCCCTAAAATAGTCCATGTTCAATTCTTCAAACTTGGCCCTTGTCATAGTAGTAAAATAATCATTACTTTCTGCAAGAGCATCAATTTCAATGCTAGCTTGAGTTGCTGACGAAAGTGTTCTTTTAGCTCTTTCACATGCCGTTCTTAGTCTTCTTAAAGCTCTGTTGTTAGTTGTTATATCTATTCCAGTTTTTTTCTTGAAGTCAGCTGCACAGTAATCCACCATACGGTTGTCAAAATCTTCTCCCCCTAAATGAGTATTCCCTGATGCAGCTTTAACTTCAAATACTCCTTCTTCAATAGTAAGTAAAGACACATCAAAAGTGCCACCACCTAAGTCAAATATTAAAACATTAGATTCTCCTTGGTGCATCTTATCAAGACCATAAGCAATTGCTGCAGCAGTTGGCTCGTTGATGATTCTTTTGACGTCAAAGCCAGCTATCATTCCTGCATCTTTTGTAGCTTGCCTTTGAGAATCGTTAAAGTAGGCTGGAACTGTAATGACTGCATTTTTGACTGTTCTCCCAAGATATGATTCTGCAGTTTCTTTCATCTTACTCCCTCTTTAAAAATTTGAATAAAAATTCCTGTTCCAATTTAAAGAAGGTTAGTTTTTTGTTTTAGAATAAAAATAAATTTTTAAATTTTTCTTTAAAATTGAGCATAATACTTTGAATTTTAATTGATTTTTATGAAGAATTAATTTAAAAAAATAATCAATTTAGTGTAAAAACTATTTAAATATCATTCTACATGGATTTTGTCTACTAAATTAGGTCAAAACTGATTTTATAAAAATTAGTAATTTCGTCGATAAAATTTTCCTATTGAAACACAAATTTTCTTTCTTTTTTTTAAGGGGGTGTGTAAAATTACCCAAAAATGCAAAATTACCGATGTTTTGTTTCAATTTAAATGGGGAGTTAGTTAGCACCATTGCCGAAATTTCTTCAGCATAAAATCTTTTTTCTTGGCCTTTAAAGTTCACGACAATTTGAGGCCTGTTGTCTTGCCCACAGATGACTCTAAAAGGCCAAAGTCTCATATCGTTTTGAACAACTGGCTCATCAAATTTTCTCCCAATGAGCCTTTTTGCATCAAACACAGTGTTTTCTGGATTTCTTGTAACTTGGCTCTTTGCTGCATCGCCTATCAGTCTTTCTACATCTGAAAAAGCGACATAAGAGGGAGTTGTTCTGTTACCTTGATCGTTTGCTATAATTTCAACTTTATCATTTTGCCACACACCTACACAACTGTATGTGGTTCCGAGATCTATTCCAATGCACGGTTCTTCGCTTGACATATATTCTTAGGTTTGGTCAGTTTGTTGTCTATTTATATCTGATAGAAGTTTCGAGAATAATTTTCATAGAAGTTTCTAGAATCCATCAAAAATAAATATGGAGCATTATTTTATTTTATTAATAAAAGCTTATAAATAATTGAAAAAAGACATGTAAGGAATTTTTAGAGGTTTTTATAAAGAATTTGAAGTTCACTGAGCAGAATTTATTCTTTTTCTGCCAGTTGAATTGAATTATTGCATATTTACTAAAATAGGAAATAAATTATTTGATTTGTGTTTTGTATATAATTTAAATATCCTTGAATTTTTGAGTCAATGTTTTTAAATATTTTTCAAAGATTTAATTATTTAATTGAAAATTTATCTTATAAAGAAAAGAAACTTCCAATAAAATTATTTCGAATATATGTCTAAATCAAGGCATTTACTTACTACCCCCCCCCCCCCCTCCGTGAGCGAACAAAAAAAATTTTGTTCGCGCTCACGGAGGGGGGTTAAATTTTTTTTTTTTAAAAAAATTTATATATATAAATTTTTATAAAAAATATTTTTTTCGAAATTTAAAAAAAATCCTAATTTGCAAAAATTGGGAAGCAAATATTAATTTAATTTGCAAAATTTATGTTTTAAAACGCAATTTGTTTAAAATTAAACAGAATTAGCTCTAGATTTCATTATACTAATTATCACTTATATATCAAAAATTTTTTCCATTAAAATTTTTTCTATTAAAAAAATTTTTGTTCACTCACGGAGGGTGGGTTTTTTTGGTCAAAAAATGGCGATTTTTCTAATGGTTTTGTTCGCTCACGGAGGGGGGGGGGGGAGTTAAAGAAAAAGCATCGACAGTCAGAACATCTAATGAGCCTACTTATTCTAGCGTTGAAGAATTAGAAACCAAAATAGCTGATCTTCAAAAAGAGCTAGAATCTGCTGAAGAGCAGACAAAAAAGGTTTCGGAAATAAATCTAAAAAAATTAGACCATCTTGTCAAACGAGAGCACGAATATAGGACGACAATGTCTCAATACGAAGACCAACTGCAAGGAAGAATATGAAACAAGCAAGTGCAGCTTAATCCTTTAACATTGCAAAACCTTGAAAAAATCAATAAATTCCATAAAGACATTAACGATAAAATCGGCATTGTTCAGTATAAAACTACTCAAATTATGATTGACAAAGAAAGAGATATCGTAAAAGACTATAATTCTAAATTCACTAATATAGAAAGTGAACTAAACAACCAAAAATCCACAAATATTATAAAAATTGATACAGCTGAGAAGAAAGAAAAGCAACTGCTAAAGCGACGTGAAAACTTGCAGAAGAAAATGGTCAATCTTGAAAAAAATCACCAAAAACTTATAATGGAAAATCAAGCTTTAAAGCTTGACATGAAAGACCAAGAAAATGACATAGAAAACCAAAAATTCGAGCTGGAGCTACTTCATGTCACAAATTTACAGCTAAAACGAGATTTAAGGCATTTCTCATCAGAAATGGTAGATTTAAAAAAAGTAACACCATTAAGCACAGAAAGATCAAGACCTCCTCAGCATTTTGCATCAACTGGAAATTTAATAAATAACTCTTATGATACTGATATTGCATCATTAAAAGTAAAAATCAAGAAAGAGCAGGAAAATAATCGAAGGGTGAAAAACGAGCTTATACAGTTGCTAGAGTCAAAAAAAGAGCTCAAAACATTTTTAAGGCAGTGTATAGATGATGTAAAAGATAAAATTACCCAGCATCTTACTAATATCAAATTAAATCAAAGTCCACTAACTGAAGAGCAACAAGAAAAGCTGATGGAGCTTCTTTTATCCCAGGAAAGAGTTTTAACTCTTCTTCACGATAAAGCATTTCCTCAACAAAATGGCTCTCAGAAATTAAGTGGCAGTAAAGAAGCAGAAATGAAAAATAACATTGTAGGCATTGAAGGGACTATGGAGAGAATCGATAAAGTGTATGATCACTATGAAAACATATTAAAAAGCGATTCAATCCATTTCAAAAATAAAAGAAAGCAAATTTTAAATATTGCAATTTCCTGTGGATGGCGCTGTTTTGGCCTTGATTTTCCTACTGGAAAAATTTTTTGGTCCGACCAGTCTCATGTGATTTGGTCAAACAAAAAAATTTTCCCAGTGGGGAAAATCAAGGCCAAAATAGCACCATCCATGGGAAAATCCCATAATAAATTCTATGCATAGTAACTTGTAACTAGGGTATAGACTTATATCGAAAAAAGGTGAAGGCACGTTCAGCGTTGTTTTCAAAGCTCAGAGCATTAAAACCGGCAAATGCGTAGCTATAAAGTGCATGAAAAATCATTTTACTTCAATTGACCAGGTAAATAATTTAAGGGAAATTCAAGCATTGAGAAGGCTTTCCCCACATCCTCACATAGTAAAACTTATTGAAGTTATTTAGTAATTTTTATACAGTGATGAGCCTACTGGAAGACTTGCCCTTGTATTTGAATTGATGGATTTAAATTTATATGAGTGGTACAGAAGTCGGAAAAATCGAATTCCTGAAAGCAAAATCAAGCTTTTCATGTATCAGATGATGGTCGGCCTAGAACATATGCATAAAGCTGGAATATTTCATCGAGATATTAAGCCAGAAAATGTGCTATTATTTGAAGAAGCATTAAAATTAGCTGATTTTGGGTCGTGCAGAGGGATAAATACTAAACAGCCGTATACCGAGTATATTTCAACAAGATGATATAGACCTCCTGAATGCTTAATGACTGATGGGTACTATAACTTCGCCATGGATAACTGAGGAGCAGGCTGCATTTTTTTTGAAATTATAGCATTATCTCCTCTTTTTCCTGGGAAAAATGAATTGGACCAAGTTCATAAAATTCATAAAATTTTAGGAACTCCCCCGAAAGAAATTTTAGACGAATTCAAGACTAAAGCATCCCATATGGAATTTAATTTCGAAACTTGCACAGGTTCAGGTATAGAAAATTTAATCCCTTCTGCTGATCCTCAAGCTATTGATTTGATTCAAAAACTGCTGTCTTATGACTGGGAGAAAAGAATTTCTGCTCATGATGCTTTAAAACATCCTTATTTTCACGATGTTAAATATGAGAGCCATGTAAAGCTCTTCCAAATGCCACTAAAAACTAAGTCGCCTGAAGGAGATAATGCTGCAGGAGAAAGATCTAAAGAAAGTAATATTTATTTACCGCCTATTGAAAGTAAAAAACAACAAACACTCCCGAAATTTGGGCAAGGATTTACACTTTCGAAAAAGAATATCACTTTGGACCATAAACCTCAAAATGTAGGGAAACCTTATTTCTCTCAATGGAAATCTCCATATGCTGCTAAGCATTTTTATAAGTCTCATTTTTAATTGATTGAAGATATAATATATTTTCTGAAAATGTGCATACTCTTAAAAAAAATATTTTTATCTCAAATATATTCTCAATCCTTTCAAATATAAATTTATATCTTAATATTTTATTTTCTATGATATCCTCTGCTTGATAATTTTGCCTACATTTCGTGCTAATAAAAATTAGGACATTAATCTAAATTTGTTGATCACTTATAAATTAAATCTAGAATGAAGAAATGCACTATCTATGACATTAGCACATAGCAACGATGCAGATTGAAGCAAATTACAAATTATTTGACATTTTTAGCTTAATAGCAAAAAGTTTTTTTAATGAAATTATGGGTAGAATTCTGATAAATTTTTAAAGGATTAGTTAAAGTACTGATACATTAGCTCTTCACAAATCTTCCTTTGATTCTCAATTTTTGCTTTGCAATTATGCTTCGGCCAGTAAATTTTCTCGATAAATGGCTTTTCTGTCGACGTTCTTTAATTTTTTGCTTGTATTTAAGTATTTTTTGTTCACGAACTTCTCGGGAATAGGCCCCAATAGAATAGCTGCTATTATCTACATTTGAAGTTGTACTTGCAAGTGACAGAGAGCTATCAATTCTTGGAATTGGTTTAAATGGTTCAGCAAACCCCAGTAAAACTTTTTCAAGCTGTAGATTTTGGAATTTTGCTTGAAAAAGTTCACGACTAAGGCTCATATTTTCATCTCTTGCAGCTATCAACTCAGTCGAAAGCTGGCTCCAGAGGTTTTGCCCACTCCCTAATTGATTCACACGGATAGGAATAGGGACAATGATTTGATCTTCGTTGTGGTTCATAATAATATTAGCGTTTTTGATCCCTATTTATTCTAAAACTTCTGTTTTTGAATTTTTTTACACTTATTTAGTATTAGATCATTAGGAATTTAATTAAAATTTTAAATGACAGACAGCCAGATTATTTTTATCTTTAACAAAATGAGATTTACTCGTCTATTTATATTGTCAAAACTCAAAAAATTCTGAGAAAAGTGTGCCATATTGATGACATCATCACTAAGTGCACCAATATGATATGATTTTGTTGAAAATATGAGCTGATTTGCAATACAATATAAGCTTCTAAGCAAGATTATTGCAATTTATATAAATCAATTTTTTGTGATTATAATTAATGATAATTCAATTATACTAAATCTGAAACAAAGAGTGCAAAAATTTTATCTAGCCTCTTAAATAGGTGGAAGTAAATTTCAAAAAGTCCAAATCAGTTTAAAATGGTAATTTTTTAAGTATAGGATTTTCTTAATCAAAGCGTGAATCTTTTTCAAATTATTTTATCTTTGGTTTCAGTTACTACAAAATTAGATGCTTGAATATTGATTAAAACATATTAGAAATTATCTTTTTGCATTTTTAAGTAATAAAGCATCTTTCAGGCATAAGAATTCATATTTAATAATATATTTATCATTACAAATCAAAAATTATCATCAAACATTTTCTGCAAATCTCCTTAAAATAGATCCTCAGAGTTAAAATCTTATTCTATCTACATTCATTCTTACTAATTATAGCAAAGTTACTATTTATTATCTTCTTGAATTATGATAGTCTCTATACTGCTTATACCCATCTCTGTTTTGATATCTATACCTTTCTGGCGAATCGCTTCTGTTTCTGATTCTCATATGCTCTTCTTGTAGCTCTTTTTCTTTTTCAACGATCTTTTCTTGTCTTTTTTTAATGATTTTTAGCAGAAACTCGTACCACGATTCTTCAGTAAATCCAAAGTTAAAGAAATCAGAAATTTCGGCGCCAGGGATGAGCCAAGGTTTATCAACTTTTTCCATGGGTGTAGGCTTATAGTCGCTTCCTACATATTGGTGAACTTTTTTCCTTGATTCTACCCAGTCTTCAAGCAAATAATCATTGCAGTCTCCCCAGTAAATTTTTACGTCAAGATCTTCTTCTTCACTTTCCATATTAATATGATTATTAAGATCTTAATAAATTAAATATTTTGCAATGGATTTAAGCGTTTTCTATCTTTTCGAATTTAGAAATTACAAGACTTCCTGTATCTTTAGTCTCTCCTTTATTATGAGTTGTGTAGACGATTAAGTCACTTTTTATATCAAAAGCATGGACTATTGCATTTTCTTCAGCAAGTCTGATAGTGTTAATAACCTGTTGTGATTGAAGATCCCATCCATATAGATTTCCATCTTCAGACCCACTTCATATAGATTGATTGTCATCAGAAACTTGAATTTGACATTTAAATCTTTCGTTTTTGTGACCTGTGTATGTCCGTAAAGGAAGACTTTTGATTTCTTCTATATCCCACATATAAATTTTATTAGTCAAGCATGCACTTGCAACCAGTCCATTGTCGCCTACAAATTTAGCTCTTGAAATAGGGGCATTTTTGGAGTAAGAAATCGTTTTTATGCTATTTAAGCTCATAGTGTCTCATACATGCATAGTTCCATCATAAGAAGCTGTTAAAAACACTGAAGAATCCTTGGAAAAATCTACAGAAGTGATAGTTTCTCTATGAATATGAAAAAAACTATTGATTTCACTAATATTCCTTATATCCCACAAAAACACTGAGCAGTCATTTCCTCCAGACAAAATCAATAAATTCTTAGGATCAATAGATAAAGACTGAACATAATTCGTATGCCCAAAAAGGGTTGTCATAAGTTGTCCTGAAATGTCTCTTATCTGTGTAGTTCCGTCATCTGCACAAGAAAAGATATATTTTCCACATCTGTCTCATAGCACTTCATTAACTCCTAAGGTATGAGCTTCAATTTCTGATTTTCATTTTTGAGTCACGAGGTCTAATACACGGACGCTTCCATCTATGCAGCCTACGACTAAATTTTCATCAAACAGCTTAAGGGTGGAAATTTGAGAAGAAATTTCGAGTTCAATAGGATTAAGCAATTGCGCCATAATTATAAGATATTACCTTTTATATAGTAAGTAGTCTGTTTTTCTGCTTAAATGCATATAAGATAATGATAATTTATTAGCTATCTCTGGAGTAGATCCCTTCTACTTGTGTTATGAAGCTTTCCAAAGCTATCATAACGACAGTAATATTGTCCAGGGTTCTCCTAATAAGGGCGGTTTTCATTACATTTTCTACAGCATTTCCACATTGCCTGTGGCAGTTTTGAGCTTTTCCTTCATAAACGCTTGACCAAACGCATTGGATGACTTCTTTATTCGTGAGTTTGTCAAAGATTCCATCGCTTGCTAGCACGATGAAATCATACCCAGCATGGACTTTAAACGCTTTGATTTCAGGGCTTGATATGAGCACTTCAGAGTTTCCGCCTAAATCTTCATGCTTTCCTTCGATATCTCCAAAGGTTCGACTTACTGATAACCTCCCAGGGAAAACTCTATAAGGTCCTGCTATTTGCTGATTTTCTTGGCCTTGAACGGTGCTTTGATATACTCTTCCACCTTTCGATATAATTCTTTCGTATTCTTTTTCTTCATATGGTTTATGATCTTTAGATAATGGATATATTTTACTTCCTTTTTCACCACTCATTATAGCTCTAGAATCCCCTACATTGGCTGCATAGCAAATTTCGCCCACAATTACTATTACAATAGCACAACTTCCTGATCTGTCAATAGGAGTCTGAGACTTTGCAAACTCCAAAAATGTCCTTTCAGCTGCTTGGAAGCCGGCTTTGATTGCTTCTTTAGGGTTAAATGGGAAATTAGGATCTCTGATTACAAATTGGTGTAAATTATCACGTAAAAAATCAGCACATGCAGAGCCACCATGACCATCATAAACTCCGAAAAATGAGCAACGAGGCCAATTTTCATTGGCACGATTTGGAGGCTTCATTATGTTCAGAATGATGCTAACTCTGTCTTCATTATAATTCCTTACTAATCCTTGGTTTGTGCAAGCTGCATAGGCTTTGACTATGCCGTTTTCTTTGAGTGAGCATTTTGTGAGATCAGGGTTTATTGTGAAAGGCATTTCTATAGATTTTCTTTCAGAATTTCTAGCTGTTTGGCAGCGGATATTGCGAGGAGTAGTTCGGGTAGAAGATGATGCAACTGGCTTGTGAGACCGAGAAGTCTGAACGCTAGGAATTCTCGGCGATTTTAAGGAGTCCATAGATAGAGGCTCCAACGAGCTGCCTATGGATTTCCATTTGAAGTTTGAAATAGTTTCTTTGGCATTAGTTTTGTCTTTTAGTGGTAAAACTGAATTTTGGCTTGAGCTTAACATTTCCTTTTAATTTCAAAAATTATTCAAATTTAGAATTAAATTTTAACAGATTATGAAAAGATTCAAGAGCGGAATAAATGGAGATTTAGAATATTTTATGACATTCGGAGTATTATTGAATGAAAAAATGGATAAGATTATATCAAATATTTGTTCTGAATAGTCCCGAAGCAGGACCATTTTTCCGTTAAAATTGTATTTTCCTTAAAAATAAGGGCTTATTATTAATTATTTCAATGATTATGAAGCTTCTTCTTCTAGTATTAGAAGCTCTTCTTCTGAAACAAATTCACTTTCGCCATTCGTAATGATTAATACTTCGTCTTTTCCAAAATTCCTGACTAAGTCTTCATCTGTAAGTGTAAATTCTCTAATACCTTTTTTGTCATATTGAATGTTGTTTATTACAACGATTTCGTCCTCTGCCATTACCAAATAAAGCTTGATAAGCGCAATAATGTCTTCATTTAATTCTCTTTCAGACACTGAATAAAACCCATATTTGCTATAGTCTGAAACTGCATGATCTGCGATTCCGTCAACAACGGCTATATATTTAGATTTTAGTTCTTGTCGTTCCTCTTCAGTAAGAATTTCTCCTGTTTCAGGGTGATAAAACACTTCAGTAGGCGAGTTTATTTGATTTTGTGAGCTATTCTTTGACAGGCTGCTATAAGCTGTGTAAGTTAAAATACACAAGGATAAGAAATGTATCATTATTTAAAGCCATTTTTTTGAAAAATTTTAGTTTAACTGTTTTTAATGAAATTCATCGTATCTTGAATTTGCATAAACATCTTTTAACTATTTTGGGATGCTTTTATTAATAAAATTTATTTTTAATTTCTTGATTATTATAAGGGCTAGTAATCAATAAATGTGAAAATTGTCTTTGCAAATGTTTTATCAAAGATAATAAATGGCCTATGAAGAGAACAAACGAGTTCTCCATGTTAGAACTCCTGTTGTTTTAGAAGAACAAGAAATCAATACTGAGCCCAACGCAAGTTTATGCACGAAATCTGTTTTTCCAAAATATGATAGTTTTAGTCAAAAATTCCCTTGCTTGCGATCAAATGCTGTAAATCCAGACAAAAAGAGCTCTCAAATATTCCAGAGATCAGCAGAAAATATTCATATAAATAACAAATCACGATACCAAAGCCCTTTAAGCATTGGTTCAAGAAAAAAATGATCTCCATCTCCAATTCGTGACTGTGAAAGCGACTTAGAATTAACATTTTTCCAAAGATCAATAGTCCCTAGAAAAGACTCCCGATTAAGAGCACATCCTATATCAGAAATTTCGCTAGAAGTTCCTATTATAGAAGCTGCCCCAAATCCTAGCGCACGATCTAAAGATTTAAATTCAATTAAAAACTGGAAAGCTCAACAATCGTCGAGCCATAAAAGAATTAGGTCAAATGAGCCTAAACGAGGATCAGTTAAAGTCTTAAGAAAACGGGCTTCAACTCCTCTTAAAGTTCAGTGCAATAATCTATATAATATTCATATTAAAATACAAGAACGGCAAATCACTCCTGTTCATTTAGATTATGTAACACAAATCATGAAAAGGCCGTGGCTGTCAACATAATTTAAACAATGTTTAATTTATAAATGGCTCGTTTAATTTTCAATTATATTATGCTTCTTATCCCTCGCAGCTTCAAATTGAAAATTTTTTTTTATAAAATGCTTGATAAAAATAAATAATTAAAATGGCTACTATTATAAGGGTTAATTGGATCAATATTTTTTTCTTCATCAATAGTGTCAGCAGAGCTTTCTGAAGGAGTTTTAACAATATCTTTTAAAATTTCATCTTTAAGCTTACTACACAATTTATCAAGATTTTCTATTTTTTTGTCAGCAGATAGTTTTCCTAATTTATTTTTTGGATCTGTTTGGTTATAAATCAATATTTCTGTATGATTATTTACTAATGATATCAATATAATATTAAAATGTATAACTCCTCTGTTAAACCCTTTTTCAATAGGTTTCTTTTCATGCTCGACATTACAAGAAATAACAGCCACATTTTCCCCACTTGTTTTTATATAGGTTTTAGTGACATAATCATTTTTATACCCTAAAAGCATGACACTTTGATAGACGTAAAATAGACCAGGAAACGTTCCATCAAAAATTTCAACAGTTGCCACATCATCTCAATTTTTTCGTTTTTCTGCTAATAAAATAACGTCTAAAACTTTTTTTAAAGGCACTTTTTCGTCGAGATGAAGTCATACTTTGCTCACAGGTGATGTCTTATCGAATTTTGAGCCTCTAATAGATTTTACATAAAATCATAAATCTTCTTTGATAGTATTTCATGATGCTTCAGTGTTCAATTCTTCAATATATTTTAGAAGGTCATAAGGTTGAATATCAAGATTTTCTTCAATTGGTCTGATGCATAATCGCTGAGCTTCAGAAATTATTGAATTAATTTTAGGATGATAAGCGCTGTTTTCCTTTGACCCTGATGCAGATTTCTAACTCCTCCCCTCTGTGAGCGAAGAAAAACTCCGAACGAGCAAAAATTTTTTTATGGAAAAAATTGATATATAAATGATAATTATTATAACGAAATCTCTAGCTATTCAGATTAATTTTAAACAGCTTGCTTTTTAAAATATAAATTTAGCAAATTAAATTCGTTTTAGCTTCTCAATTTTTACAAATGAATTTTTTTTTAAATTTTGAAAAAAAATTTTGACCCCCTCGTAAGCGAACAAAATTTTTTTGTTCGATAACGGAGGGGGAGTAAGTAGAAAATACATCTCGCGAAGCACAGCATCCCATATTGAATATAATAATAAGTAAAAAGACTATTACTTCAGATTTTATTTAGATTTTGATGATAACCGGTTTTATTTTTTGGGTACTAATAAACCATTTATAATAATAAAAACCATAATTATTTTATATCGGAAACAAATAACTAAAGAGCTTTTCAGATTTTATTTAAAAATAATAATTAATTATTAATATTTAGCTATTTTATTTATTTTATAGGTAATTAATTAGATACATGCTCAAGAACAGCTAATTTTGCTCTAATTGAAGAAATCAGCATTTGATTTACATCTTCACTTTTTTCTAGTGTTGATAAATTATTTGGGGTAGTTGAATTTAACAGCAATTCTTTTCTTCTTGCTTCTTTTTCTATTTTCTCTGCTTTTGCTTTAATTCTCTCTGCTTTTTGCTCATTTGTCAACTCTAAATTCAAATCTTCTTCTCAATCCACATTGTGCTTTCTGGCAGTTCCTGACTTGCTAGCAGCATCTTCTCTAGCTTTCCTTCTTTCTCCCAAATAATCAATTAAAACTGGCTCTTTTTTGTTTTTTTCTTCAGGAATTAATGGATTTTTAGGGTATTTCCTTGGCTTTCACATTTTTTTGCCTTCTCCATCTGAATATGACTCCACAAATGATTTTTCTTGGCTTGACTTCAAAATTTCTTTTCTCACAGGATGCTTCAATTTTTCTACCCTCAATTCAAGCTCTTTTTGCTTGAATTTATCAATAGATGGAGTAAACATTTCTCTGACTAAGTCAGCATATTTTATTTTCCTGTCAACTAGTTTGAGTTTATCTTGGATAGATTTTTCTTTTTCGTCTATTGACTTTTCTAATTTATAATTTTTAGAAACTCCAAGCTGATTCATCTGGTGGTCAATACTTTTTTGAGTCATTTCTTTATCAGTCTGAGCGTTATGCTCTTTCCTTAGCTGTGAATACCATTTAGAATGCTCTGCAAGATCGTCTTTGCTTAGTGGCTGAAATAGCAGTCTCTTCTTTGCAAGCTCTGCTTTTCTTTTTTCAAGCTCTGGCATTTCTACATCTTGCAGGAATTTTTCTTGCATTTTTTGATATAGCGGCTTTTGCTTTTTTATTTCAGCCAATTCGATTTCTCTTCTTTTCATTTCTTCCAACTCTTGTTGGCGTCTCATTTTGTTTTCTTGCATTCTTTCTAGTTCTTGCTTATATTCTATTTCAAAAATTGCGTTTTTTCCTTCTTTTTCGAGTTGCTTTCTCTCTTTTTCTTCTTCTAACTGTCTATTAATTTCTTCTAAGTGTTCTTTTATTTTTTCTTTCCTTCTTCTTTGCTCAGCTTGGTATTCTTTCACTTTTCTAGTATTTTCTTCACTTTTCCTTTTTAAATCTTCATAATACTCTTGCCTTGCTTGTTTATTTTGTAAATTAGGCTTTTTGTATTCGAAATCTTCTAACTCCCCCTGTGAGTGAACAAAAAAATTTTGTTCACTCACGGAGGGGGGTTAATTTTTTTTTTTAAAAAAGCTTATATATAAAATTTTTATAAAATTTTTTTTTCGAAATTTAAAAAAATCTCACTTCTATTAAAATTGGAAAGCAAAAATTAATTTAATTTATAAAATTTATGTTTTAAAACGCAATTTGTCTAAAATTAAGCTGAATTAGCTTGAGATTTTATTATACTAATTATCACTTATATATCAAAATTTTTTTCCATAAAAAAATTTTTTCTATTAAAAAAATTTTTGTTCACTCACGGAGGGTGGGTTTTTGGGTAAAAAATAACAATTTTTCTAATGGTTTTGTTCACTCACGGAGGGGGGAAGCAAGGAGTTAAGATGCTGCAAAGAGTTTTCAATATGATTTAACTTGTTTTCAAGTTCTTGCTTTTGTCTTTTTATTTCCCTCACCTTCGCTTTCCTCAACTCTGCATCAAAATCATTATTTTTCAGTTTTTCCTTCTGCTTTTCTATCATCGCTTGCAAGTTACGCTTTTCCTCACTAATCGCAATCACTTTTTCTTTCAAACTTCTTGTTACTTTTCCCAAAATAGTTTCTAATACTTCATTTATTGCCTTAGGCAACTTATTATCAGCTCCAATTTGACTACTTAGTTTTTTAAGATAGGCTTCCACCATTAATTATTAACAGCAAATTACATCAATCAAGGCTCATTCGTATAAAAATATGGATCGTAGAAGCCAGCGCACCTTCATTATGGTCAAGCCTGACGGCGTTCAAAGAAAACTTGTAGGAGAAATTATTAGCAGATTCGAGCAAAGAGGTTACAAGCTTGTCGCTATGAAAACCCTGCACGCTTCTCCTGAACTCCTCAGACAGCACTATGCAGAACACGAAGGAAGAAGCTTTTTCGCATCTCTAATCGAATATATTGGCTCTGGCCCTGTTGTTCCGATGGTCTGGGAAGGTACTAACGTTATTGAAATTTCAAGAAAAATCATTGGAGCTACCAAACCAGCTGAAAGTGCCCCTGGGACTATTCGTGGAGACTTTGCTATCGAAGTAGGAAGAAATATTGTCCATGGAAGCGACAGCGAAGCTTCAGCCCAAAGAGAAATTGCCCTTTGGTTCAGAGAAGAAGAACTCGTCAGCTGGAATGACCATAGCAGTGCTTGGATTTATGAATAAATAATTGCTCAAAATAAGGGAAAATTAAATATAAATATGGAGCCAGGGGTTAAAGAAATTAGAATTCATGCTCAAATGTCATGTGAAGGATGCTCAAACTCAATCACAAGGATTCTTAATAAAGTGGAAGGGGTTAGAAGTGTACAATGCTCAGTGCCGAACCAGACTGTTGTTGTAGTAGCTGACCAAGCTGTGCAACCTAATTTGCTGATAGAAAAGCTCTCAACTTGGGCAAGTGCATCAGGAAAGCAAATCAGCTTGATAGCTTAGATCATTTAATTAATAGATGACTTTTTATAGTTGTTAGGATTGGTATCAAGTTTAATTTAATTTTATACTTGCTAACAAAAATGGATCGCCAATAGTCCTCATCTATTTCTCTTTCTTATCTCTAATGAGCCACATCCCTAAACACAATTTCTCTGAAATTTCATTATAAATTAGAAAATAATTTTAAATTTTGACTGCTTCCATCTCCATAAGGTCCTTTCTCCTCATTTTTTTCCTCAATTTTTCTCTCTCCACAAAAGCTTCATTAATATCTTTCCATACCCCTTTTCTCACACACTCTTCAGCTATTTTTATCATCATGCTATCTGCAATTTTGTTTTGGTGTTCTTGCAATAAAGCTCCTTCAACGACTGCATTTGTTTCTCTTGAAGGATGGGTTATATAGCCCATTGTCCTAAAAATGTCCAGCTTATAAGTTTCTTTGAATTCTGAAATTATGAAATCATTTGCTTTGTTTTCAATTTTTTCTTTTGGGTCCATAGACCACCTTCTAATGCCTTCTTGAGGAGGTTCTTCTGTGACAACTCCCCATACGTGAGGGCTTCTAACGTCATAATTATAAGTTCGATATACTTGCGGTTTGCATAGAAACACTATTTTTCAATATGCCCAATTGAGAAACCTATAGAAGGGCTGGAAAATTACATCTCTGTAGATAGGAATTATAAGGCACCAAGCAATAAGAAGTCTGACTCGATATCTACGACAGCTGCGGATTCACCATATGAACTTTCTAGTTGAAAAGCCTCCTTGTGTAGGTCTGAAGGTATAAAACATTATTTTTATTAAAAGCAGAAAATATAATTAGAAATATATCAATATTTCTAAAATTTTGTATCCTCTGAATAAAAAGAGATCAAATTATAATAAAATCAACTCTATTACTTTGATTTATACTTAAATTATTGCGTTTTTAAATAAAAAGCTTACTCCCCCCCATTTAATAACGAACAAAACCGTCATTTTTTTTTCCTAAAAATTTTTCCTTAAGCCATTTAATAACGAACAAAATTTACTATAAAATTTATATAAGCTAATTTAGTCTTTATAGTTTACTAATTTTAAGTAGTTAGAATAAGATAAGGACAAATATAATCGATCAAAGAATAATAAATAAGAGCTAATAAGTTAATAGTGGCTTAATCTTAAGCTGTTGCTTTACTCCCCCACTCCGTAAGTGAACAAAAAAAATCTCGTTCGCTTACGAAGGGGGTTTAATTTTTTTTGTAAAAAAATTATTTTTTCAAAATTTAAAAAAATCCTAATTCGCAAAAATTGGAAAGCAAATATTAATTTGAATTTGTAGAATTTATGTTTTTAAAACGTAATTTTGTTTAAAATTAAACAGAATTAGCTCCAGATTTCATTATAATAATTATCATTTATATATCAAAATTTTTTCCATTAAAAAATTTTTCTATTAAAAAACAATTTATTCGCTAACGGAGGGTGAGGGATTTTTCTAATGGTTTTGTTCGCTCACGGAGGGGTGGGGAGTTAGCAATAGTTATCTTTTCGCTTTCATTTAGGCGCTTTCTCTTTCTGTTGCCATCATTTGAATTCTTCTATTATTAACTCTTTAATTGAAATTTTTATATAAAAAAATTATAGATATTTAATATAAATTTTATATATATAGAGGTTTCCTCTATATAGCGCTAAAAGCGCAGACATTTTCCCAGGAGCTTTCCAAGTTCGTCGGACCAAATCGCTTTTTGGTCCGACCAAGGCATTGATTTGGTGCAACCTACCGATAAATTCCGATCAGAATTTATCGGCCTTACAGCGCCAAACATAGGAAACTTTCTATATTTTTTTCCAAAAAATTTTATAAGTTAGACCCCATTTAATAACTAACAAAAAAAGTGTTCGTTATTAAATGGGGGGAGAGTTAGAAGTTTTCTATTGAAACACTTTTATATATCACAAAGAAAGAATAAAGCGGCTCCATGTCAAATAACCGTGGATTTTTGACAGTGTACTTTTCATTGAAATCCATTTGGTCGAAAATTTTTGATAGTGCGGACATTTAACGTTTTTTTTTCGGTCAAATGTCTCTCTATCAAAAATTTTCGATCAATTTTTTTTCCAAAAATTTTTCGGTGAAATGGACACTATCAAAAAGGCAAAGTCATTTGACCTGCACCCGAATAAAGCACTTCTTCTCAATAAAAGCTTCTTCTTAAAGCACTAATAATTTTATTTAATAACTGTAAATATGAGTGACTACGAGCCTGATTTCGATGAAAGTTCTAGCTCAAGAGCTTCCCCCAAGAAACGAGAAAACAAAGAAAAGTCCCCTAAAAAAGAAAAAATTGAAGCAAAGCCAGGCTCCCTGCCTTGAGAAGAAGAATCCATGACTTATTCAAGAGATGATGGAAGCAATCTTATTCGACTGCAACGAGAAAACGTTCAGTTAAGAAATAGATTAAAAGATCTTAGTCAAAGGCTAAATGATATTATAGAAATCACACAAAGAAAGCGGTCAAAGAAGAGAGGAAGAAAGGTAGACACAAGCAAAGAAGAACTTGAAACTGCAACGAAGAAGCTTCAGCTCTATGAGTAAACTCTATGTAGGAAACAATGAAAAAAACTGTCAGATAGGACAGAATCGTTGAAGGATCCAGAATACGAGAGAATTCTGAAAGCAGATATTGAGAATGATGAAGCAGTTTTGCAAAAATTAGAAAATAATGTCAAAAAAGGTGAAGCAAGCCAAAAGAAAAGAGGCAAGGCTTTAGGAGGCGTTTTAAGTACTGGAGAAACTGAAGACATGTATAAGCTCTACAATGAGCTCATAACTGAAAGCACAATTTATTCGAAAAAATTAAAAAAAATCGAAGACAGAGATCAACAAATAGAAAGCAGTTATAATGAAATTGCACAAAAATTAAATAAATTGGAAAGTTATTATATCTTACTCCCCCCCTTCCGTGAGTGAACAAAAAAATTTTGTTCACTCACGGAGGGGGTTAATTTTTTTTTTTTTAAAAAAATTTATATATAAATTTTATAGAAAATTTTTTTTTCGAATTTTAAAAAAATCCTAATTTGCAAAAATTGGAAAGCAAATATTAATTTAATTTATAAAATTTTATGTTTTAAAATGCAATTTGTTTTAAAATTAAAAAGAATTAACTTGAGATTTCATTATAATAATTATCATTTATATATCAAAATTTTTTTCCATAAAAAAAATTCTCTATTAAAAACATTTTTGTTCACTCACGGAGGGTGGGTTTTTGGCAAAAAATAGCGATTTTTCTAATGGTTTTGTTCACTCACGGAGGGGGGGAGTTAATAAATTACAGAAGGGCAGAATGCCTTATTGGTTACACAGTCACCAATGAGTTTTATGAGTTTATCCGCTTTGCGGCGCCCTTGACTTAGTTTTATTGAATGCTGCGAGAATGCTCAAGCACCATCTTTCTTCTTCTGAAGAATCTGCCTCAATGCCAAGACGGATTGAGTGTGCATGAGGAAGATACGCCTCATTCTTACCTTGTTGGGTCATTGGAGAGTAGTAAAACCCTGGAGTCTAACGAATGCTGGGTCCCTGCCCTCTGCAGCTACAGGAAAAAGGTTTAATCCTTTAGGCCCAGACTACAATCTCTGATATTGCGGTGAAGTCCACCTTTATGGTCTGAAGGACATTGCCAGGTTACTTCTTTGCACGGTTTCTTGCCCAATTCTCCTTGACCATAACTTGAGAAAATTGCTTCAAGAGGTCGGGCGCGCTTAGGTCGGCATTTTATGTATATAAAGCTATTATGATCAACTTAAAGACTTAGAAGTCCCAGAACAAGATGAGTCTGAAAAGAAAGTCAAAGATAAAATATCTCAACTGGAAAGAGAGCATGATATAAAAGTTAAAGATTTTAATAGTAAAATAAGGAAACTCAATGGAAGGATAAAGGAACTTGAAGGAGAAATTGGAGAAGTTGACAAAGAGGAAAGTGAGCTGTACTTGGAAATAGAAAGAAGGAATTATCAGATCAAAGAAGCCCAAAATAATATGTCGAAAATGAGAGGAAGCATGGAGTTCATGGGAGAGAAAAAAGGCACAAAAACACCATCATCGAATTTGTTTGAAACTGAGCTTCCTGAGGATATGATTGACAAAAAAATTTATAGGTAAAGTGAGGATAATAAATAGAAGATTGTAACCAAGATTTTTAAAATTAGACTGCAAATTTTATTTCTATTTATACTAAATCTCTTAAATTCTCTAATATCAATAAAATTAAGACTTTAAGAAAATAATTTAAATAAATATCAATTCAAATCTTGCATTGCTTGAGAGGTTCTTGGCTGTCACTGATTAAATTTGTTAAATATTTTTAGAACAGAAAAATCCTTACTCCCCCACTTTGTGAGCAAAAAAAAAATCTTGTTCGCTCACGGGTAAATTTTTTAAAAATATTTATATATAAATTTTTTATAGAATTTTTTTTTAATTTAAAAAAAACCCAATTCACAAAAATTGGAAAGCAAATATTAATTTAATTTGTAAAATTTATGTTTTAAAACGCAATTTGCTTAAAATTAAACAGAATAGCTAGAGATTTCATTATAATAGTTATCACTTATATGTCAAAATTTTTTTCCTTAAAATTTTTGTTCGCTCACGGGGGGTGGGTTTTTGGGTAAAAAATAGGGGATTTTTCTAATGGTTTTGTTCGTTCATGGGAGGGGGAGAGTTAAAATTTTCCTTTTATTAAAAATTTGAAAATAAATGTGGCTGATGCTATCAACCATAATTTAAAAATAATATACTGTTATGGGGTGTGTATCAAGTCAGCAAAAAACTGCAAAATCAAGCATCAGGCTCAATCGAAAATTTATTGAACTCAAATCCTTAGACTCAAAAAAATTATATTTCATTAAAACTCCAGAGTTAGAAAAAAATAAAGACGAAGGTACTCAAATCGGCATTGATCTTGAAGCAACATTCATGAACAAAGTCATAATTAATAAAGAGCATCACAATTCAATGCACTCTCAAAAATTCCAGATAATTGGCACTATATAATTATAAGCTTAGCAATATTTAATGAAGTTTATATAATTCCTTATTTTTTTGAAATTATTATAGAAACTATTCAAAAAAATTTTATATATAATTTAAATTTAAAAAATAATTAGTGTGATTTTTTGAATTATGTTTAAGAAAACTACGATTTAAGTGAATTGAACTACCAGTCTAAGAATGGGTCATCTGAAGCTCTTACAATAGGTGATAAATTTGGAGAGTCTGGATAACGTGAAAAATTTGAAGTATCATCAGGTGATCTCACTGTTGGTCTATATGGCATATCTATTCCTTTTGCCAATAGTCTTAGTCAGTCCAATCCTGAAAACCATCTATGATTTTTGATATCATTGACTCCGTTTTTTAAGTTTCCATATCTCTTTGATAAATCAGCTACAAGTAGATGCTTCACTAAGCTTTTTGCATTTTTGTCAAAATTTCTGGGAAATTTTACTTTGCCTTTCAAAATTTTTTGGTAAATGGCCATCGGCTCTTCGTCAGTGAATGGGTCTATTCCAGCAAGCATTTCATAAATAATAATTCCCAAAGTCCACCAATCCACTGGTTTACCATGCCCTTTATTTAATAGAATTTCTGGAGCCAAATACTCAGGCGTCCCACACAGTGTATAAGTTCTTCCTTCAACTACCTTCGCAAATCCAAAATCTGTCAACTTTAAATATCCATCATGCCCAATAAGTAAATTTTCTGGCTTTAAATCTCTATAAATAATATTTTGTGCATGCATATACTCAAACATCGTTGTTATTTGAGCTGCATACAGCCTTGCGTGGTTATTATCCAATTTTCCAATAGTCCTCAAATAACTAAACAGTTCTCCTCCTGCAACAAACTCTAGAGCAAGGTATAAATATCTATCATCTTGGGTAAAGCCAATTAAATTCACCAGAAAAGGATGCCTTATAGTCCTCAGTATTGAAAACTCAGAAATTACGTGGTCTACTTGTTTCATCTTGAGAATATCAGATTTTTTGAGGATTTTCAATGCAGCGTAGTCGCCTGTGGACCTAACTCTGCATAAACGAACTCTTCCAAAGGAGCCTGTGCCTAGAGTTTGAAGAACTTCTATATTTGATAGCTCCAACCGTCTATCCATTTATTATATATGAGAATTTGAGAATATTATTAAAATTTTCAAAACATCAAAGTCTTGGCGCAAATGAGAACTAAAAGGATTTCAAATGTATGGAAAAAGAGATTAATTAATTATTCAAATAAATCGAATTCAGGTTCTGCATTCTGTGGAGTGGATGACTCAAATGAAGGCTCAGGTATCCCATCTAAAGTATTACAAGTAGTTCCAAAAGGCCCTTCCTTTTGGAAATGACTAAAATGTTGGGCTTCTACTAAAGATTTTCCACATAGGTTGCAGAGTGCTTTTTCACCTCTGCAAACTGGAGAAGTAAGATGCATCCTTATTATATAAACGAAAAACTCTTATAAAAATTTTTTTTACATAAGTTTAATTCTTCATTTTTATATGTGACAAAAAAAAATTATTTCTTATAAAATCCATATTATAAAAATTATTTCATGAAGCATCTTACAAGTAATAAAATTACAGCCATCTTCTCTTTCAACAGCGCTCCCACAATTTGGGCATCTTTTCCAATTTCTGCTCAAAAGCATATCATTTAAATTTTCTTCAGGGTTTACCTTTTCGTATTCCTCACAAGTGAGCCCTGGATGGCTGCCTCTTTTACAAGGAATACATACACCTGCCTTGCATTCAGAGCAAGCTGTTACTAAATCTTCGGGGAAAATATATCCAAATCCTTTACAGTCTGGGACAGGACAATGAATGGCTTTTCCTTCTGCTACAAGTTTTTGTGCCTTTAAACTGACTCTTAAATCTTTGATTTTCTGCTGCTGGTCAGCTGTGATGTGTTTATTTACTATTGTGTCAGGGATCATTGCTTTACACTCTGGGCAGGCAATTTCCTCCGCAAAAACTTTGCCTGTGTCAAGATAATTAACTAGTACAAGATTTATACATGCAAGACAGAAAATGTCAGAACAGTCTAGCTTTATGAAATCTGACTGCTTTGACATACAAATAGGACATTTTACAACTGGCTGATCAATTTCTGCATTGTAATATGCAAATTCACGGCAAATTTCCAGTATTTCTCTTTTCTTTTGTTGCAGTTTTATCTGTTCCGGATTATAAGCAACGTCTTCTAGTACGTCTAAATCTGCAAAAAAGTAAGCAAGACATTCTTCTTCATCTTCGACAGCGGGTTTCTGTATTGGAGCTGGAGCAGGAGCTTTAATTTCAACATCATCATCAAACAGTCCCATCCCGAAAAGACCATCTATTTCATTTTTTTGTTCTTCCTTAGCTGCTTCTTCGCGATCATTAATGATCTTTTGGTCTTCTGCAAAGAAATCATACGTTTGGATGTCGTGATCTTTTAATGGAAGCTCATCTTCTATTAGCTCTTTAAATCCTAGAGTGCGGGAAGCATCAATCAAAATCTTATCTAAGCTTGTTCCTCTTGAAAGAGAGGGTGGAGGATCAATGATTTCGTCTTCTAATATGTGAGAATTAAATATTTTCTTAAGTGGAGCATGCAGGGATCTTAGTAAACGGGCTAAATATTCCATATTTGCTTTATAAGAACAGGTCAGATTTCAAGCATATTTGTTTGAGTAATTAAATAATTAAATCATTTTTTGTATAACTTTTTAATGCGACATTATTTTAAGATATTTATATTATGAATAAATATTTGAGCATTTTGCAAATTTTTATTAATTCTCAAAGTCTCTAATATTTATCCTGTGTTAAGTTTTCACATCTTCAATTAAAAAAAACTGAAAAATGTCAGTTTCCTCTGCATCTTGCAAAATTTTTGATTGCACCATATTTCTGATCTGATGAAATGTATTAATAATATACTTAATTAAAATAAACATAATTTTATTTTAATTATTAATTCATTTAAAATTTTCTTTCAAATAAGCGTACATTCTTCATTTAAAAAAATTAAAAACCACCAAAAAATTAACTTATAAAAAATTTAATTCACTGCTCATTTAGGCTATTAACAAATTTTTCATCACTAAATAACATTCGATTTGAAATTGCTTCAATTTATTCATTTCTTAAATGTCGGAGAGAAAATTTCGCAGCTTGACTCCTCGCGTCCAAAAAATTACCGATACAAGCTACATCAGTGAGCCTCTTCAACAAATTGATGAAGAAAGCAATGAGGTCAGCAACCAGCTGCGTCTTATACGTAGCAGATATGATAAGCTTAAAGATCTCAATCGAATCAAACGACTAAAAGTAGAAAAACTAAAAAAAGAAATTGCTCAAGCCAAAAAAATCGGAAATTCTATGCAAGGTGACAAGTACAATTTAGAAGCCAAAATCATAAAACTCGAAAACTCAATTGAAATGGCCAAGGCAAAACGAATTGAAGAAGAAGTTTATGCGAGAAGTTATATGCATATTCTCAATAGAATGAGAGAAGAAAAACTTATTCTCGATAAACAAGCACGCGTCAGACAAGATGAACTCAGCACTAAGAAACAAGTTTTGACTTTAGAAGAACAAAAAACTCGGCAGGCCTATGAAAGTCAATTAAAATCACGAATTGAGCTAAAAGAACTGAAACATCAAATGGACACTGAGAAAAGGCAGCAGGAGGAGTCTTTAAAAGTCATAGAAAAGAAAGCTCTGGAAAGAGAAAAAGCTTTATCTAGGCTTGAAGAAAGAACAAGAAGGAGGGAAGAATTAGCAGAAACTGCAAGAAATGAGGCATCAAGCCAAGAAACTTTTGATTTGAGGCAAAGTTTGCAGCTTCATAGGTTTTGGTATAGAATTTTCCCATAGATGGCGCTGTTTGCCCTTGATTTGCCCACTAGTAAAATTTTTTGGTTTGACTAAACCATATGGTACTGGTCGAACCAAAAAATTTTCCCAGTGGGCAAATCAAGGGCAAACAGCGTCATCTATGGGAAATTTCTATATCTGATGATAAATAAAAGGATAAGTTATGAGCTAGAAAGAGGAAGTGACATAGAAAAAGCTTTCCAAAAAATTCGGGTCGCCACTGGGCTTCATGATATTGAAGAAATTGTTAGAAGATTTTTAACAAGAGAACAAAGTTACACAGAATTCATTGACGTTGTAAAAGAAACTGAAAAAAAGCTTGAAGAAGTTAGAGACAAGACAGATGCTGCCAGATCCCAGCTACAAGATATACAGTTTGATAGAGAAGGTGATGGAAAACTACAAAAAAAGATCAGAGAAATTGAAGAAGCTTACAATGAAGAATATAAAACTTATTTAATTGCCTGTGAGAAATGCAAAAAATATCAGCTGGTTACTGATAAAGTTAAAGACTGGGTAGTCAAACACTTGAAGATTTTGAACAATGAAGACGAAATAGGAGAGCTAACTGAGCTTTTTCAGAAGCTGAATGATTCTGTAATTTTATTACTTGATAAAGTAGCAGATAAGCATGATAAGCTGATTGAAAATGTGGAGACTTATCGCAAGAAGAAAACACAAGACATCATGCGAGAGCTAAACTCGTCACCTTTGTCATTAAAAAATAAGAGATTCACTCCTATACTTCAAGAATCAAACTCAGAAGAAGATATTAAGCTATTAGGAACTGGAGTGCCCTCTTAAGATTAAATTGCTTTATTATCTAAAACACAATGTTATTTTCGTCTATATCATCTGCTTGCTCTGGGTAGCATTCTGGAGGCCCTTTTCGCCATCGCAGTTCTAGATCTTTGATCTTACATGAGAATTCTTGCTTGTTTAGCTTTTTGTTTATAATGTTATGGACTTTGCAGAGCCAAAGTTGGAGGCTTTCTCTTGATTCGGTTTCTGGAGGGGTTGAGGACATTAATTCTTGGAAATCTTTTGCACAGGAATAGCTGGGATAAATATAAGGAAAAGTCTCGAAAAAATCTTTGTAGGATTGCTTGGTTTTTTCTGTTGGGGTTAGAGGGAAATGGGCAGCAATGCTGTGAAGTAGCACCCAAGTTTTGTGCCCAAGAGAGTCTTTGCTTTCAGGACACTTCTTGTCGTCCATATTGCTTTTAAAAAAGTATACAGGTTACCCGATGATGGCGCTTGCCATCATCGAGCAACACCAGGAAAAGGGCTCCACACGGGAAATGGTTCCACATTTGGAGCCCTTTTTGGCGCATGGAAGTGAAAGAAAGAAAGAAGCATTACTTTATCCCTATCCTACATTAGAAAAATCAAGCACAACTCCCCCAACATCAGAAAGCGTGGAAGTGAGGATTCTCCACTTTTCAAAAAGGATTCCACGTGCCAAAAAGGGTTTCATGTGTCAAAAAGGGTTCCACGCGTCAATAAGGGTTCCACGTGTCAAAAAGAACTCCACGTGTCAAAAAGGGCTCCACGTGTCAAAAAGGTTCCACTTGTGGTGGTTTTACCCGATGATGACACATTGAGCACCATCATCAGGCATTTATTGTATGTAAATTTAGCTATCTGTACCTTTCATGCAATTGACGGCAAATGCTATAGTTTTAATAGATTATATGAATTTTAATTATCCAAGCCAAAGTTATTCTATATAAAATTTGATATTTCTTTATTAATTCTCGAGAAAAAATTTTATCATAAGGTTATAAATTTAATTTCCTGAAATGATTGAGTATGATGCTGATTTCATTTTTAATTATATAATTATTATATTTATACTATTACTTCCCCTATTATTTCCTCATTTCTAAAATCATTCTAAACCTCATATTTTCTCAATAAAACCAGTGTAAATTTTACTTTTTTCCCGAATTTTAATTCTTCTCTTCACATTTCAACTGAAATTTACAGTGTTGACACATCACTCTATAATAAAAATGGATATCGATTATGAGTCTGAAGGCCAAGAAACTTCTTGTTCTAGTTATATGTACCAAGCAAAAGAAGAAAATATTTTTAGTTTCCAAAGTAAAGCATTCAAAAATATAAACCCAGTGACTGAAATGGGGATTGGATATCGTCAATACACGTTTCTCTTAAAAATCTCCAAAAGAGGATTGCACGCCACTTCATATCAACTTCATGACTTTTTTAAAGCCATGTGCGAAATATGTGACCTATTGAAGCTTTCTGATATAGAAATCGTGCTCTGAGCTATATATTTAGAGCGCTTTGGCTGGCAGGAATTTTTGCAAAATTCAGAGGATTCACTGCTGTTTGCAGCATATGCAGCTAAGTGTATGCTGAATGAAAACACTATAGAGTTTTTAGAAAGGCTCCAACAACGATCGGAATCCTTTTCTAAGGAGTATAAAGAATGAATAGGTGCCCATCAGAACAATATAAATATAGATTTTCTAGAAATGAATTCGGTTTTCAATGAACTGAATTATTTAGAAATCGAAATCCAAGAAGAAGAGAAAGTTGATTATAACGACGTAGTAGATGATCTGATCGATAATACACTAGAATCACAGAGAAAGAGATTAGGGTCAGAAGACAGCTACACCGAGAAGAAGAGAAAAAATAAGCTGTAGGAAGATGTAGAATAGCTATAAATAAGTCAATTATTAAATTATTCGCCATATACAAATTATTATGAGTTACAATTTTTTCTTAAAGCTTTCTCATGAATATCGAAGTCTATTCTATTTGCAATGAGATTTCGAAATTAATTTTTATTCTCAAAGATTCAAGTAAAGCTTGTTGCTAAAGATATTTATTTTAATAGAAGTTTTGCTGTAATTTTGGTGTAAAAATATTGTAACGCATATTCTTAATTAAATATTAAATTTAATTTGCAAAAAAATTTCCATATAAATTTAAGTGTCTTAATTAAATTTTAAAATTATTTAAATTCAATATGTGCTGCCGTAGAAAAACTGGAGAATTTGTACCTGAAAGAGTCCCAGAACTAGAAGAGCCAAATAATTTCTTAGACCTTCTTGAAAGCTTAAAAGTAGAGTTTAAAGGAACAAAAGAACTTGAAATTTTAAGAGATCAGTTAGTAGCAAGGGAAGAATGGAAAAATCCGAATGCCAAAAATTATTTAGCACTTAGAACTGAGGCACAAAATTTAACAGCGATTATGATAAGGCAAATTAAGGTTATGGCAAGAGGATTAAGAACTTTGGTGCTTATTAATGAAAAACTTGAAGATGGAGTGAGGAACTCTGCTGACTCCCCCCCCCTTTTAAATTGGAACAAAATATCGGTAAAATTTCCACTTTTTTGGTAAATTAATCCCCCTTTAAATTGGAACAAAATTTAATTTTATAATAAAAAATTATATATAATTTTTATCTAAAAAAGTTTTGATATAAGCTAAATGTTTCTTCTTAACTAAAATTAAAAATTTAGTTATATCTTGCTCTTTTTTAAAGAAACAAAGTATAAAGAGCATCTTATTTAAATAAATTTATTATCCTTAATTGCTAAATTTTAAAAAAAAAAAAAATTAATTTTTTTTTTTTAAAAATTTCCAAAAAAAATTTTTGTTTTTTGTTGATAAAAACGATATTTTTAATTTGGATAGTTTTTGCTATAAATTAAATAGGAATTCTTTATAAAATTTCAAAATTTACTTATTTCTTGCTTTATTTTAAAGAATAGAGTATAAATAACATCTTATTTAAACAAAAAATTAGCACTTTGATCGATAAATTTTCTAAAATTTGTTTTTTTTTTTATTTTTTTTTATCAAAAAAAATAATAATTTTTGTGTAAATAATTTTGATACCAATTAATATTGGCGTATTAACTAATAATGAAAATTTAGTTATATCTTGCTTTTTTTTTAATGGATAAAGAGTAAATAGCATTTTATTAAACAAAATTTTATAATCTAACTCGATAAGTTTTTGAAATTTTTTTTTTAAATTTTTTTATATATAAAATTTTTTTTTATAAAAAATTTTATATTGATATTTTTTTTAAAAAAATAAATTAACCCCCCTTTAAATTGGAACAAAATTTTTAGTTCCAATTTAAAGGGGGGGGGAGTGAGTAAAATAATAAAATTTTACATGAAATTAAGTTTTACTGATACCTTAAGTTAATTTTGTGAAAAGACTAGGAGGTTTATATGATATGCAATCTGATTCTATCAATTTTAATAAATATTAATAGTAAATATATATAGATTACAAGTAAAATTAGCATTAATTGCTTATAAAATCATATTTTTATAATATATTTAAATATAAACAACTTACTCAAATAAAATTTAAATTTTCTTTCATCATATTTATAAAAATGGGTTGTGGAGGTAGCAGCAGTCAGCCTTTTCCAACAATCAACACTCATATGGAAACTCTCGAAATCCCTATCTACGATGAATTCTATCAGCGTGCTGCCAAAAATTTAATGAGACTTGACAGAGCTTCTCAACAATTAAATGGCCTGCTCGACCAATTTCAAGCTTGTACCGGACTTCATGGTCCTCCAGAAAGATCAATAGGACATGGCTTAATAGCATGGCTTGTAGGAGTTGCTGCATCTTGTGATGGCGATTTCAAAAAAGTTAATATAAGGTTTATAGATAACCTCCCTGGCATATTAATAGACTCAAAAAGCCTTCCAGGGATGCTTGATACTGCTTATGATAAATGAATGGGATTATGCATGATGATTGATAAAGCGATAGAAGAGCTGGAGGAAATCCATAAAGAAATGCTTGAAAATATAGATTGGGCTAATGTTATTCCAGATAAACTGCTAAAGCAAGCTCTTGATGATAATACGCCTATAATAGAATTTAGAAGACTTGAAGGGTTGGCATTGGCCAATGCAAATAATCTTGAAGAAGGAGGAATTTTACTAGACAGATTGCTAAAATCTGTTAAATCGTCGGTGCTGGAATCGACAGATGTATAGCCCTAGAAATATTTTAGACCGTTAGTGGTCATTCATTTTAATTTTTAAAATTAATTTGTACTTGTAGCTCTTTTGAAAAGTAAAAACGAAAATGAAAAATCTACGTTTATTATGTTTAAGATGTCTAATCTGACTTAGACTGTATAAGGCAGATGCCCTGGACTATATTTTTTCTTGCCATATTCTGCTGGGGTATATAGTGATCTATTATGGTGCATAAATTATAATTGTGGAATTTTCAAAAGCAGTAAACTTAGTTAAAATCAAAAATTTAGGACAAACTGCAAAAAATCAAAATAAAAGTGACCCTAGAGAAATTATGGAAACCTTTACCACTGAAATTGAAATACTATTATCAGAAACAGTAATACCTCCTCAGAGTTCTATTTCTCCTACCCTTTATACGAACGCTTTTTTGTATGGCTTATAAAAAAATAAAAAAATATCAGTCATATATTATGAACTTCCTCTCTTTATTTTCTAGCTATAAATTTAAAATTTTATAAGTTTTGTTCCTTATTAAAATACAAGAGTAAGTAATTTAATTTCTATAATAAATTAAATCTTTAATTAAAATCCAATAAGAAGCAAATAGCTAATAATTTTTAATTTAATTAATTCAGAAAATAGTAACTTTTTCTCATTTCAAAAGAATGTTGGTCAATAAATATACGCAGCTATTATTTTTTCAATTTTTTATAAGGATCATCCTAATTTCGGCACAAATCTTGAGATAATGTTTTCATCTTTATCAATTTAGCTTATTTTCTTAATATCGCAAATATACCATTAAAGAAGCTATTATCAGAAATGCTATTAAATAATGGTTACTGTTTATTATTATACTTCTTGGTATCCGGTTTTTATTTATACTGAAATATCTCTGATTTACTAAATAATTCTAATCTAATTGATAGTTTGGCAACAAAAATGTCTAAATAAATCAAGAATAGATAATCGCTGGACCACTTTGCCGATGAGTAAAATAGAGAGTAGATACCACTGAACACAGATAACTCTCCCTCAGCTCCAAGAATTTGTATTTACTGACGGTATGAATTATTGGGATAATCCCATTGATTCTCAAAACTACAAAGTTTCTGGAGCAGGTGTATATGCAGTGTTCCATGGACGAGTAATTCAAATAAATACTAAGCCGAGCCACTTATTACTAATTACAGATCTTGATAACACTCTTGTAGGCTGGAACCGTGAAGCTAAAAACTCACTTAAAAAATTCAACAACTTTTGAATTTCAAATCATTATTTCAATGGATCCAAACTTGTTTATAATACAGGTCGAAGCTTTGACGGCTATATTGATTTATTTCAGCGTGGCTTCGAATTGCTTGATCCTGATTTGCTTATTGTTTCAGTTGGAAGCAATGCATATACTAGATTAGATTAACGATATGTATTTAAGGTCCCTGCTTCCATGCGTGACATTCCTCCGCGCTCCCGTGAGGAGCCGTGCTGGCACGAGCGAAAAGGATGGACTTCCATCACTGGTTCTCTGAGCCCAGGCCGAAACCCTGGTTTCTCGGTAGTGGGTTGCCCTATTGGGTCGTCAGCCGACCGTCGCCGAGCACCACCATTTCCAACTCAGCCTTCCGCCCCGAGTTACGCCAGTCTTTGTCTCCGGTTGGCCAGGCCGTCCTTCTTTTAAGGACCCTTTTAAACTGGAGAGACCGCCTTGTTGTCTAATCTGCCTCCCTTTTTCCCAGCTTATCCGCTTGAGAAAATCTCAATCGCTTCCGCGATTCGGGGCAGACCACAGTAGCAGCTTGAGCAGGTAAGTCGCCCTGCTCCATTTCGGGCACCCACTGGCTTGGGCGCTGCTGGAAAAAGAAGATGCTCCTAACTGCCCTAGGATCTGGCCACGATCAGCGGGTCTGTGTTCTCCCCTGGTTATCACCAGGGTCCAGATATTGCTGGGCTAAGTCGCTTCTCCTGAAAACCATGCCCGGATATACATGGGTTACCGTCACTGGGAGGACGGATCGGACGTCATACGCCATTTTATGTATATGGAAGCAATGCATATACTATCAATCCGAACAATGGCGAATATGTCAATAGAGAGGATTATAATAGCTTCATTCAAAAGGAAAACTGAGACTCATTTATTATAAATAGGCTGCTTCTATACGAATTCAAATGATTAAAACTCCCAGGGTTTATTCATATTTTTCCTGGGAAAATTATCTTGAAATCGTCAGTAGAAGATATGTCGGCAAACTTTTCAAGATTTAAGGAGTTTTTAAGAAATAAAGGAAATCATGAAAGATGTGAAAAAGTATATCTATTTATAGAAATAAATGGCTTTAAAATTACGCTGTTCTCATTTGCTACAAAAAATAGTATGAAGGCTATTGTTGTCAAAACATATTATTATTATCCATATAATTATAATAAATGCAAGGGCTATTCTGTCAAGAGATGGGGAAGACTATATGATTGATATTGTACCATTAGAAGGAGGGAAAAAATTAGGTGTACTGTTTGCTCACTCCCCCCTCTATGAATGAACAAAAAAATCTTGTTTAGTTTTTATTTTTAAAAAAATTATATATAAATTTATAGAAAAATTTTTTTTCGAAATTTAAAAAAATCCTAATTCGCAAATATTAATTTAATTTGTAATAAAGCGCGCAATTTGTTTAAAATAGTAACAGAATTAGCTCGAGATGTCATTATATTAATTATCACTTATACATCAAAATTTATTCTATAAAAAATTTTTGTTCACTCACGGAGGATGGGTTTTTGGGCAAAAAATAAGGATTTTTCTAATGTTTTTGTTCGCTCATGGAGTAGGGAGTCAGGAAATGTTTGGGTTTAGAGATGAAGAAACTTTGGTAGCTGGGGATTCAGAAAATGACATCCAAATGTTTAGAGGAAATCATTGAGGAGTTTGCGTTGCCAACTCTCAAGGTGAGTTGGTGGCATGGCTTCAAAAGAAAAATAGATCTAACAAGTATAAATCGGAATGCCAATATGCAGATGCAATTATAGAAGCTGCACTTAAAATTACTAGCTAATAATCAAGCTTTTCTTGATTAATATACTTATTAAATTCTTACTATCTAACTCAGCCTTAATTTATTTATCTTTTCGACTACTGTCTAGATGTCTGTATAATAAATATATCAAAATCAAAGTCAAAATCCCTAACTTCCCTGTCTAAGAGTAATCAAAATTGTTGGAAAATCCTATTTTGTGGAAATTAGCCCCTTTAAGGGTAGCAAAAATATTTTTGAGTATAAAATTAATAATTGATATAAAAGATCTTTGGCTGATTGCATTAAATTTGCAGCTTTTATTATTATTTAATATATAATTTAATATGGTCTATTGGACCTATTTTGGGACCAATAGGCCAGTTTACTGGTTTCAAAAAAGGCCCAATTCATTTCATAAAAATATACCTTGCATCTTAAGCTATCAAAAAATAATTCTTGCTATTAAAAAGGGTGATTAAGCTACACCACACAATTCCTTGATATAGCTCTAGCCTTCTAATATCATTTGAAGCAATGCCCCACACCACTAAATCACCGATAATTTTCCCAAATAGCACTGCTTGTGTTGAAAGAAAGCCACTATCTGCTAATCCTTTTGATATTTTTTTAGGCAATTTTATAGAAATTAACGAATTTGAAACTCCATCTGCCACATCAGTTGCTAAAAATATAATAATTGAACTTATCCTTCCTCTCTTTAAATTGAAACAAAAATCCTGCTTCAGATTTTTTTGTTTTAAAAATTATATTAAACTTTTCTAAAAAAAAATTAAAAAAATATATATTGAACGAATTTTATTTTATTTTATGTAAAATTAATTTAAGATTAATTGCTACAGTGTGAAAAATGTTTAAATAATATTCTGCTTACACTTTTACCATTAAATTAAGTCAAATTTATAAAAATAGTATCATCACCTATAAGAAGCATCCAAGAAAATGGAAATTTTACATATATTTTATCTCAATTTAAAAGGGGAGGTAGGGTAAACTGGAATTCTGAAATATCTCCAAAGTCCAGAAACAAGCCACTCCCTACTATAACAGCAATTCCAGCAATAAATAAAAATTCTCTCTCACTAAATTTAACAGTCAAAACCCCAATGAAGCAGTGAGATATCATAGGAATTAGGCACAAACTTGATATTAAAATCCCTAAATAGTTAAAAGAAAGCTCATTGTCCTTGAAAAATGGGAATTTGGTTATAGGAGCTGACGATATAAAGCCTTCCTGTATCAATGATGCTACTATAAGCGTTCACACACAGAGACCTACAGCTCAATAGCTATGATTCCAGTGGTTTGAATTATTAAATCCATTAATGATCAGCTCTTTTGAGGTGTCTTCAAAAACAAATAGAAATATAATTAAATATAGAACCATTACACATGTCCAGATGATCGTCGAAAATATTTGTTCACCATACGATAATACAGAAAAATTAATGATGTCAAAAAATACAGCTAAAAGTGGGCCACTAGCCATGCCAATTGCAATGATTAATACAAGGCCTGCGCTTCATCTTGCTCGGTTTTCATTAGATACATGCTCAGCCATGTACATTTTTGAGATTAAGCCTGAGCCGCCTATTCCTAATAAAAGACGGCCTAAAAATAATAGACTTCCAAGCTCAAAATGCAAGGCAAGTCCATTGGTGATATTACCTAGTAAAATTCAAAGTGCTGCAGTTCCTATAGGCAATTTATAGCTATATCTTGTCCATATCCCTGTAATCATACCAAAAACCAATGATGCCATAGGCGTACAAGCATTTAGCAGCCCAACATAAGATTCTGCATAATCAAGCTCTTTAAGATAATATTTTGAAGTAATGCAAAGCATGCACACATTGCTGGAATATAAAAACACTAAAACTAATATCAATACTAAGTTTCTCATAGGCGAGCTCCTAGGTTCAATTATAACTGGGCCTTCAATATCATTACCCACTTGGTGATAAAGATACACAGCAAGAGGCTTATTGTTTTTCACTAATTATATAATACGCTTGTAATGCTTATTTTTAAAATCATCAATTGTGAGATCAAGAATTTCTAATTTGTCTTTTAAACTAGCACCCAATAAAGATTCTTGGTTTTTATGCTCAATTAAATTTTTGCATTTAGGGTAGTGGATATTTTGCAAGTCATCAAGGATTTTTTGTAAAATATTTTCTGACAGGGCATTGCTGAATTTTTTGTTTATGTTATGTAGTCTATTTTGAATTATATCTCTTGCTCTTTTTTGGTATTTAAAAATATGTGATTCATATCTCTTAATAAGAACTCTTGTTGCCTGTAAGTTTAAAACCATAAATAAACAGATTTCCATTGACTCGTGAGCAAGCTTAATCAATGTTTCTAAATAAACATGGAGGTCCTCTGAGTGCCACTTTCTTAATGATTTTTTTTCTTCTTTTAAATTTAGCCTCATTTCTTCTAAAGAAACCAAGGTGTGAACATAAAAGCTAGTAAATCGATCGACTTCTTCTTCAAGCTTACTAAAAAATGGACTGTTTTCTTCTAAAGAGATTGAAAACTCAAACCCACTTAATTCTGAAATTGCTGGTAAATCTAGATATTTGTTAAATCATTGTGGCCGCTTTGAGACTGCAAATTTTTCATCAAAATGCATGATTATTATTAATGGTTTTTAGCAAATAGCAATGATACTAATTTCTAGGTTTTGTGAAAGATATTTTAAATTTTGTTCATTAAGCAAAGAAATAAATAGTAAATACTAGCGAAATTTAATTTGAAATATAAAATTAGGACTTAAGTTATTTTTCGATTATTCCGCATTAAATCCTAATAACTCTTATTATAATAGCAAAAAATTCATATTAAATATGCGCATCTTTTGTAAAATTCGTCCTATACACACTCGATTTTGGGTGTATTGGTGGTAAATATTCTTTTTTATTTCCAGGGCTCAGTGATCTTTGCCGTTTTTCTCTTTCCACCAAGCTCAAAATTTTAGTTAATTTTGTATCAAGCCCATCCAATTTATCTTCAACCCCTTTCATCTGGCTTCTCATTGCTACATATTCAGTCTCATTTTCCTGTCCAAATGATTGCGAAAGTCCTTTATCCATACTTTCACTTAAAATGGAAGTCCCTGTTTTTTTCCTCTCCAATTTCCTTTCAACCCTTTCTATTTTTTGTTGTCCAGCAATATTATTAAAGCTCACTTCTTTTTTAAGCTCTACTGTTTCTAATAGATCAATAATTTCTTGTTTTGAAGAGTTATTTCTTCGTTTTCTTTCTTCAGAAACTTGCTTTAGTTCTTGGGCGACTCTTGGATATTCAATCATCATGATGTCGAAAATATTTTTTGTAAGGATAAGGAGCTCAGTTTTTCACTCTGAGAGGACTGAGAACTCACGTGGGGATTGCTCTATAAGCTCGATTTCTCCAAAATATGACCCAGATATCATATTTTTAAATACGAGGTTGTTTCGGCCGTATACAAAGCCAACTCTTCCATCAACAATGAAATAGGCTTCATCTGCATAATCACCTTTTTTATATAAAAATTGTTTTGGTTTGATAATGGTGTGCTTTAGACGTGGGAGAATATCAGCTAAAAATGCTACTTCTTTATTAGAAAAAAAATTAATTTTTTGAGCTGCACATTGGAACATTGACATTCCAATGTCATATCGTAAAGTTTTGGGAAGGTCAGAAATGATATTAGATCTTTCATTGTCGTCTAATGTTAAGGTTTCTAAATGGATTTTTATCTTTTTTCCTATTTCAAGGGTTAGATTTGGAGGAAGCATTGTGTCTTTTGAAAATAGATCAATTAATTGCATTTTGGCATTTATTAAGGAAAAAAATTTGGATATATAAGTGATAATTAGTATAATGAAATCTAGAGCTAATTCTGTTTAATTTTAAACAAATTGCGTTTTTAAAACATAAATTTTGCAAATTAAATTAATATTTGCTTCCCAATTTTTGCAAATTAGGATTTTTTTAAATTTCGAAAAAAATATTTTTTATAAAATTTTATATATAAAATTTTTTTTTTAAAAAAAAAAATTAACCCCCCTCCGTGAGCGAACAAAATTTTTTTGTTCGCTCACGGAGGGGGGGGGGGGGGAGTAAGGATTTTTTTTTCATCCATAGAGCTAAGGACTGAAGATAGAGAACCAACTACAAATGAATAAAATCCTATCCCAAAAATCATCCATATTATAGAAATTATCATTTCAGCTTCTGTCGTTGCATGGATATCTCCAAATCCTACTGTGGTCAAAACAGTTACAGCCCAGTACATGCTAGCTAAATATAAATATCCGCTGGATTCATCTACCATCTTACTAACTACAACCCATGTATCCGGATTAAAATTATCCAATTTAGCTGAATAATATCACATGCACGCACATAGATGGACTAATATTGCTATGATCGCTATACCTGAAAACAGCCTTGCAACTCCTTGGTGAGATGTAAAAAACAAGCCAACTTTGTCTGACTTTAAAAATGTATCGAGGATTTTTACTATTCGACTAGCTCTTACTATTCTTGTTAATCTTGCCATTCTTAAAAGACGAACTAAAGAGCTTGAATTATTTTCAGATGCTGGTAATAAAGTAAAAGGAAACACAGAAACACAATCGATAATAAAAGTACCTCTTATGTAATTTAAGGCTATTGATTTTCTTGAATAAATAACTTTTCCGTCTTTATTTGTATAGGCTGTGTTAAATATCACTAAAATATCTAATCCGAATCCAATAGCGACTGTAGTGTCGAAATAATATCAAAACCCTTCTCCGTTTAGATTATCAGTAAACGATATGAGCCAAGGCATGATAATTAAAGTATACCCTAAAAAAAACAAAATAATAGTGTTTCATATAGATAAGATTATGGAATCTGGAAGAAAAACAGTGTATCTAACTTTTATTGCCTCAGTTTCAACTTTTTCTTCCACATATTTTTTGGCAGCACAAAAGTCTTCAAAACTAATCTTCTCTATATTTTTGTTTTTTTTCTACTGATTATAAATTTTTCATTAGAATATATATAAAGCTCATTATCTGCAGTTAAAAAACCTACGCTAATTTTTTTTTCATAACATGCTGAATATTTTTTTTATAAGAATTGTGAGCGTCAAATAAAAGCGACCCAGTTCCATACAACCTGATATCTTCAAGCATTAAAGTAAACATACGAAAACCCTTCATTTTTCTCTTTGCTCTTTGAAAAATAGCGTAAGCACTAAAATTCTGCACAGGCTTACTTACTCCCCCCCCCCCCTCCGTGAGCGAACAAAACCATTAGAAAAATCGCCATTTTTTGACCAAAAACCCACCCTCCGTGAGTGAACAAAAATTTTTTTAATAGAAAAAATTTTAATGGAAAAAAATTTTGATATATAAGTGATAATTAGTATAATGAAATCTAGAGCTAATTCTGTTTAATTTTAAACAAATTGCGTTTTAAAACATAAATTTTGCAAATTAAATTAATATTTGCTTCCCAATTTTTGCAAATTAGGATTTTTTTAAATTTCGAAAAAAATATTTTTTAGAAAATTTATATATAAATTTTTTTTTAAAAAAAAAAATTAACCCCCCTCCGTGAGCGAACAAAATTTTTTTGTTCGCTCACGGAGGGGGGGGGGGGAGTTATAATATAAATTCTCTGCGCCGAGAAGTCAGGCTTTGTTCGAGTGAACTGTCAGAATCTTCATCTATTGAAATTAAATTTGGCATTTGACTGGTTGTGAGCTCGCTTTCTTCAAATGAAGGGACTGAATCATATTGATAGCGTAAATTAGGCTTTTTAGCCTTCACATCTGATAGTTTTAGTGTTTCTTCTGCGCTTGACATTGAATTTTTTGAGATTATTGATTAATTAAATATGAATCCGAAAAATCACAAAATAGAATTATTTGAAATAAAAGCAAATTAAAATAAAGAATTTTTAAAAATTTAGGTATTTAATGCATTAATAAATAAAATAGTGGAATCATTCATTTTTCTTTAGTTGAATTATGCTAAAATTTTGATAGCACTTAGAATAAGTCACACATTGTCTTCGAGCTGAATCTTGTGCTATTAATAATAATTTGACAATCTATTTTTAAACAATTATATGAGCTATTCTTTTTAAATAATTAAATAAATATTTTATTTCCATATTTTTGCTGTTTATGATATTTTATTAACAATTAAATTTTGAATCTCCAGCATATCACTTTCTAATGCTCCAATTCTCCACCACAATCTTATTACAGTAATGCACAATAACACTATTATTCCAATTAAAGCATACATAACCCAGTCGCTTTCTTTTGATTTGGACTCCTCAACATTTATTGGTGGCAAAGGGGCCATTTCAACCTTTATTCCTAGCTGCTCTCCGATTTTTTTCTGTGCCATTGGAATTCACATAGTCTGAATTATCATTCTTCCTTCCTTAGTACCGGATCCTTCCATTTTCCCACCAAATATTGTGGATTTATTGAAAACAAGTCCATAGTGAGCTTCAAGGTTCGACTTGTCTTCTCCGTATATTCTTCATTTGAAATAAGCTTTAAAATAATCGCAATATGGAACCCCAATAATATCAACTACTGTGTCTATCACAAATTCAGTTTTGGATATAGCGCTTTCCCGAGGATGGCGCGGAATGGCGCCATCCTCGGGAAAGTCAACTAAGCATCCACACGGGAACTGGGAGTTCCACGTGTGGATGCCATTTTTGACATGTGGGATCCAAACTTCCACATGTCAAAATGGCATCCACACGTGGAACTCCCAGTTCCCGTGTGGATGCCTTCCTGGCTTTCCCGAGGATGGCGCCATTCCGCGCCATCCTCGGGAAAGCGCTATATAAGATGCACTGTGTGTTCTTCAGCAGTCCCACATGAATCAGGCATAAATGGCAGTTTTTCACGCAGCTTGTGATTAAACTTCAGTTTTCTTGTCGATATTCTAGGCCAGGATCCTTCTTCAGCTCCTTCTTTATAATAATTCTGAATAGGGGGCGATCATTTGGTGATCTCCATGTCATATTCCCCTCTTGTTTTCAAATAGTCCATTAAAAAACCATTATCATCATCTGAAAAAAAATATTCAAAAACTTTTTGTGGACAAACATCAAGAGCAATAGGGCGCTGGATAAGATCGTATTTGACATATGACATAAATTAAATCTAAAATAAAATTATTATGCTGTTCATAATTTGATATAGCGCTTTCCCGAGGGATGGCGCGGAATGGCGCCATCCTCGGGAAAGTCAACTAAGCATCCACACGGGAACTGGGAGTTCCACGTGTGGATGCCATTTTTGACATGTGGGATCCAAACTTCCACATGTCAAAATGGCATCCACACGTGGAACTCCCAGTTCCCGTGTGGGTGCCTTCCTGGCTTTCCCGAGGATGGCGCCATTCCGCGCCATCCTCGGGAAAGCGCTATAGTGCACTAGTCTTCACTCATTTTGGCACAAAAGCTTGCCCTTTTGAATTTAAGATATGAACCACTGTTCAAGGAATTAGCTTTCAAGGGCAGAGCCACCGTCTGATGGGTTTGAGAGAAGGATCCGTGTGATAGGCAAAACCTGTCTAGCCCATCTGGCAGGTGCAGGAAAACATCGAATGAGAAGCAAAGCATCCTGCTTCAGTAGGATTATCTTTAAAATATTTTACTTGGCTTATGAAGAGCTTACTTTTGCAGCCAATCGTTTCGGCCCACCTCTCTATCAGAAGTGTCTCCTCAGGGCCCTACTTCCGTCAACTTCATCATTTTATTTCTCATATGACATAGGAAATTGTTCCACATTTACTACAGGGGTTCCTTTGATATCCCTCATTAATTTGCTTACTTCCCCCCTCCATGAGCGAACAAAAAAATCTTGTTCGCTCACTGAGGGTTAATTTGTTTTTTGAAATTTTAAAAAAATCCTAATTCGTAGAAATAGGAAAGCAAATATTAATTTAATTTATAAAATTTATATGTTAAAACGCAATTTTTTAAAATTAAACAGAATTAGCTATAGATTTCGTTATCTAATTATCACTTATATATCAAATTATTTTTTCATAAAATGCTTTTGTTCACTCACAGAGGGTGAGTTTTTAGGCAAAAATAGGGATTTTTTAATGGTTTTGTTCACTCACAGGAGGGGAGTTAGCTGAAGCCTATGATTTCGTGTTTCTACTTTAAATTCACATAAAATATGTGATCTTTTTGATGTTTGTGTTGGGGACATTTTCAGTAAATTATTTATGGTCGCCAAAGCTTGATCTCGAAATAAAAATGATGCGAATAAAATTTCACTGGAATGGGTAGTTATAGATAAAGCTGTATCAAAAATTAAGGCAATCTGACGTTTTTCTACTTTTATGATGTCAGATAAAGGTATAGCTAATAAAGTTTCTCTACCAAAAAGGGTGCTGGAGTTAAAATAAGAATGAAAACAGAGATGGGAAGTCGTCAGATACATCCTGCCATGTAGAAGAATTTTTTGACTCAATGCACAGGTGAAGCTATCAACAATTTGGGTTTCTGGGCTCAGCCCGAATTTCGTGATCACATTTCCTTCTGGCTCGATCTCTTCTTCCTGAGTGCCAAGCTCTTCGCTTTCTAATGAAGCATTTCTTGATATTTGGGACATTTGCCGTATTTCTTTTATAGAATCATCAGTAAGCTCTCTTTTCTGATATAAATTGATGTCTTTGTATTCTCCTTCAATCTCAAGCTCTCCAAGCTCTTTTTCTGCTCTATCAGCAATATCATCTATTGAGTTGTACAGATCTTCTTCAAGCCTATGCAAGTCTTCAAATACTGCTTTTATATTTTCTATGCCTTTTTCTTAAATATTTATAGTAAGTTTAATATTTTTAATATAATTTACTTATAGACCATCCAATTAAAAAAGAATAAATTATTTTTTTCCTCTTCATTGCTTTCAGATAAAGTCCCGAGAATTTTGGACAAACTTGCTGATTTTGAATTAAAGAATTCTTTTATATTAGGTGAGTTCGTAGCTGATCTAGATGAATATGATCCTCTTTGAGATCTGTCGGTATATATAGGATCATTTCCTTCCACAAAATTTAAAAGTGACACCCTTATAGATCTTTTAATATTTTCTTGGTTTTTTAGGACTTCAGAAAAGGGCTCAAGTCCTAGTTTTCTTATTTCACCTGCAAAGATCTGATAAACCTTTGCAATTTCAGTAAATGCTGAGTAGTAAACATCCCAATGGCTTTTTCCAATATTTTTTGCAGCTACACTTATTTACAATGAATAGCCCAGTAAGAATAAGCTTTCTAGTTAATAAAATATGAAAATCTCATTTTGCCTCTTCATGGGAAAGTAAATTAGTATAGCTAGCAAATAAATCAGCATTTTTTAACTGTAATGAACCATCTCTTTTATATTATTGATAGGAGTCAAATTTAATCCTTTGGTTCGCCAAAAAAAATTAACAAACAAATGTGAAGGCATGTAAAAAATAAGTTAGAAATGTATGATCAGCTACAAAATTCAAAGAAATATGGAACATACCAGATTTTCCAGAAAACATTTAAATTATTCAAAATAAGGACTTTGCATCCGTGCATTTATTACTATTGTGCCTATAAAAATAATCTCTATGTCTAAAGTGAAATAATATTTATCTAAAAATTGATGTATAAAGAAGCAAAATGAGAGTTTTTTATACGTTTAGAGTTGTCTGGTATATCCTAAAAATAATTCGCACTCGGCTATTCAAGGTAATTAAGTATATATAACTTGGTAATTTAAATGTACCTAAAGTGTTTTCTAATGACTTCCCTAAATCTTCTTCTAACTCCCCTCTGTAAGTGAACAAAGCCATTGGAAAAATCTCTATTTTTTGGCTAAAAACTCACCCTCCGTGAGCAAACAGAACTTTTTAACATAAAATATTTTATGAAAAAAATATTTTGATATATAAGTAATAATTATTATAATGAAATCTCTAGCTAAATCTGATAAAATTTAAACGACCCTCAATTTAAAGCATAATTTACAAATTAAATTAATATTTGCTATATTATTTCGAATTGAAAATTTGAAAAAAAAATTAATATAAAATTTACATATAAATTTTTTAAAAAAAAATAACCCTCCTTCGTGAGCGAACAAAATTATTTGTTCGGTTAGGAGGAGAGAGTAAGCAAATCGTGCTGAAAATAAATTCTTTAAATGCTTTTATCATAGTTGTCCTTTCATCAATAAGCATAGCTTGAGACTCAAATTTTTCTTTATTCATTTCATTGGTGAATATATTAATCTCTTTGCCTATTTTGATGTCAAACGTAAAGTCTTCGGATTCCTCAATGTTTTGGAACCTCGTCAAGGCGTATTCTTTTCTTATGACTATCATTTTTTTGATAATCGCTACCATTGCATAGTAGCTGCTTAATAAGATGTGGAGAGAGTCAAATTCAAGGTCTAGCACAGATGAATGGGTGGTGTAAAGAGTATTTTCTAATGCTTCGTGTTTTTCAAATACTAGCTCAGCTTGAGTTTCAATATCCGACTGTATAGTTTTTAAGTCTTTGTTGCTGGTTCTCAGTTTCTCTTTAAATTTCTGAGCCAATCCGAGCTGGTAACTATTTCCAGGCTCACTTTTAGCTTTTTCAAAAGCAGCCTGCATGGACTCAACCTCTTTGGTCTGCTTTTCCAACTTAGCTTTAAGCTTAAAATAATGGATTTTTGCTTGACTTAGCTCTTTCATACCCATTGAAGTGCTTTCTTTTATTCAAGTTTTGCATGAGTTTATATCAGAAACTAGCTGGTTGAACTTTTGCATAATACTGAAATTTAATGCCAGGCCAGATTTACTATAATCTTCTCCAAGCTTCTCACTAAACTCACCAAAAAACTTTAATGAATTTGCTAACTCCCCTTCGTAAGCGAAAAAAATTGATATATAAGTCATAATGCTATAAATGAAATCTCTTGCTAATTCTGTTTAATTTTAAACTAAAAAAAAACTCAAGCCTCCTCCGTGAGTGAACGAAAGTATTTGCTCACTCGCAAAGGGGGGACTAAGTTCTTATTCTCATTAGATGTATTTTTAAATAAAGCCGTTAAGAATGCTCTGCCTGTTTTGGAAAGAGCCTTCCCATATGTATCAAACAAAAGCGTTGTGTCATTAAAAAGTGTTCTGATAATTTTTCAGTGTTTTTTAAGGCTGGATAGTTTTGATAGTCATTGCTCAACATATTGTGCCTGCTCAGAAAAATGCTCTTTCATTAGATTTTTATATTTTACTATTGATGGTGCTGGAAATTAAGTCAATTTTTGAAAATTTATGTATATTTTCATTGGATTGAAATTATAATGGAGCATTTAGTTACTCATGTCAATGGATTTGGCATTAAAAATAAACAAATCATTAGATTTTAGTGAAAATTATCATTGCATAGTTAATATTAATAATTGAAATTTCTATTTAATTTAGAAGAGAATAATAAGTAAGTGATGGAGACTCCTTTATTTTTGCGCAAGAAAAAGCTGTTCTTTGTCTTCACAAGTGCTGCAAAGCCTGTATGGACTCGATATGGCTCAGAAACTGATTTATCCACATTTATAGGCTCGCTAGCAGCAATTTTATATAAGTTTCAAAATTATTACACAGGAATTCAAGACTCGCTGCGATATCTTCGCACGGCTGATATGTATGTTGTATTTTTATGCACCGAGGCTTTATTTTATGTTTGCATATCTAAAGGCAAAGACTCCCTTGAATCTTTGTATAATCAGTTAAGAATGCTCCACACAAAAGTTATATACTGTTTTACTCTGAGCTTTACTTAATTTCTAAATCTCTCTCTCTGAGTGAGAAAAAAATGAAAAATTACTCTTTTTTTGAAAAGGCCCCATGTGAGCTAAATTTTTTTAAAAATATTTTGCCCTCAATATTTCTATTTGATATAACTAATAATATTATAAGCCAAGGGTGATCTTCTAGATTTTAGAGACTTTACATTTTAAACATAAATTAATAAGATTTACTTTCAAAATTTGCAAATTAGAGTTTATGAGGTCTGGAAATTTATTTTAATATATAATTTAAAAACTAAAGAAGGAGAGGGAGTAAGAAAAGTACTCTATTTTTTATAATCAGAATGATTACTTATAAATATCCAAATATTTTAGAAATTCGATAAAGAATATCAACATTAACAGACAACATAACAACAATGCTAATATCAAGACCAAGCTACGATGCTAGAAACCTAATGGGTGGCACTCACTCTGCATTAGACTACTTAATAAGAACAACTGCGGTAAGTCCCAGTATGCTTGATGCTTTCATGCCAGTTCCAATGCTAGCTCAGCATCGTTCTCAAATCCAGCTTTCTTTTAAGAGCCACCTAGATGACGATCTTTTATACGGTTTCATTATGACCTCGACTTCAATCATTTACCGCTACTGCCGAAAAGGGGAAAATATTCACCATATCGACACCTCTCTACTCTTCAACATGCTGGCTTCCCATAGTTCATTAAGATCTACCATGTCATGAACCCCAATTTGCTTGCCAAATTTCTCCGATAAAGGCTTTGTGTACGCTTATATAACGTTTTTGCAAGACTCACAAGTCGGCTTAGCATTGCTTTCTGATAACTCAGCAGCGTTCAAAAACTTAAAAGCATGTGGAGATGCTATAGAAACAGAGATTAGAGGACTATTGCCTATTATAGAAGAATCAGTTAAATCTATTCCTTATTCTGTAAGTATCTGTGGGATCAAAGAATTCAAGCATTTTATATACATGACAAAGGCTGTTGACCAATACACCATGTCAGGATTTACCCCATCTACAAGAGATTTTTTACCAGAAATGCCAATTGATATTTATAAAAGAACGCTCAGACGATATTTTGCCGCTTATAAATTGTCAAATATTCCTGAGTTTTTTAAAGGTAATTATACAAAAATCGACACATATAAAAATGAGCAAATTGTAGCGCTCAGGACAAATGAATATGTATTATTTGCGTCATTGTCTTCAATGCTCCCTGCAGCAGCTGTAGTACAGTTAACGACACAGCTTTTGAGATGGCTGAAATCTCAAGAGCAAGATTTTTTCATCATGAGATAAAGAAAAACAAATACTTGTCGTATTATTAACATTAAATAAACTATTTAGAGTATATAGTAAATGGAAACAATATACCCATTACAAGTCACGTATTGTCCTATATGTACACTACCAGTGGAGTACTGTGAATATGGACCTGATTTCAACGCTTGCAAGAAGTGGATTGCCAATAACTGCCCTGAGGCTTATCCTGAGCTAGCTGAAGAATTTGAAAAAATTAAGCTTGGTGAGGAGCCTGCACCAATTGAAGAAGCGAAAGCTCCAGTACAAGCCCCAACTAAAAAGGTGAAGTTTGAAGGGATTTAACTTAACATAACTCAATTATGACTATAGAAAAGCCTTCAATAGGCTTGCAGGTCTCATTCACCTTCTTATTTTGCTCCACCGCTTGTTTTTTAATCCTAGCACGACCTCTCATGGTCTCGCTACTCACGGCTTGCACTCACCACCCATGAGTCATGTCGCACTCAGCCTCAGGAAAATTTAAGAAACCAAATTTTCTGGTCACCTTTTGGCCAAAATGGAAGCACGTACCCATGACGAAAACGCCTGGTATCGTCTCGGAAGTAATCCCAATTGGCCAGAAGTAACCTCACTTGTGCTACTAGCCTACCTTTTCCAACTCCGCGTCCAATCTTACACGAGGTAAATCCTTGCGCTTCGCCAAGCCAAGCAAAAACTAGCAGGATATAATTACTGAACCCTATCTTCTTCTGCAAGGTCCCTAACAGATACTAAGAAGGGGGTAGGCTCGCCATAACATTTTAATATATGCAAAGTTTAAAGGGCCAAAACAAGTGAAAATTGCATTACTTAAAAGAGGAGCAACAAAAAACATTACTGCTATTTCGGGACTGAAAGATTTTGGAATTGATCTCAAGGCTGAGGCTAAAAATATTACTCCCTTATTTGTTTGTAATAACTGGTTTTTTATCTTTTATAATTTTCTGAAACAACCTATTTTTGATTAAAAGTTAAAGATAGCAAATAAAACAATTTAAAAAGCTGCTATTTTAAAGAGCCTAAAATTTTAGATTTTAGAAAACAGATTTTTTTATTAAAGGAGGAGAGTCAGAAAAAAATTTGCCTGTGGGTGTAGCGTAGTTGATGATAGCATTGAATTGCAAGGAAACTCAGTCAACCAAGTTTATGATCACTTAAGTGAGATTTATCCGGACATGAAGCTTGTGATTGAAGAAGAAGGTGGGAAAAAGAAAGTCAATAAAGGAAGTAAAAAGTAATACACAATACAAAGATTAAATAATGGCAATTCTCCATCATTAGTTAGCAGATATTTGTGGTAATTTTTGCATAAAACTTATAAGAACTTAATTCTTACCTAGAAAACATGAGAAATCAATAAGATTTAACTGAAAAACTAGTTAATATAGCAGAGTTCCTTATGCAAAAGCTGCTAAAAGTTATCCTTATACAATATTTAAGAGTGACAAAAATCCTCAAACTATTTCCATAATACTTCAGTATCATAATTTCTGACAAGAATCATCTTTTATTACTATGATTATTATCTTTCATATAACAGCACTTTTTCTTCTTATTAATTATTGTAGGCCTCAATTCTATTTTTGGTTGTGGAACTGGCTTAAACTCTCTTCTTTCCTTCCACCTTTCAAACAAAACCTTGCTGAACTCATAAAAAGCTTCATTAACATTAACTCCGCTTTTAGCAGAAGTTTCAATAAACCCACTCAAATGATGTTTTTCTGCAAATATCCTCTTTAGATTTCAATAAATCTCAATTTATTAGTACCAAGATCACATTTTCTTTCAAAAATAATCTCACTCTTATAAAATAAATACTAAATCAATAAAAATCCTATAATTTTCCTTCTTCATATGTAACTTGTCTCGGCTCTGCCCCCTTCTCTATTAGATCAACCTGATTAGCTACAAGATAAATCACAACATCCACAGCTGAATTTTGCCTGATTTCTTCAAGTCAGTTCTCACAATTTTCAAAAGTGTGTCTTGCAGTAGCATCATAAACCAATACGACCCCATCAGCTCTCCTATAAAAACTCCTTGTAATGCTCCTATAAGTTTCTTGCCCTGCAGTATCCCAAATCTGCAACTTTATAGTTTGAGAACCGACCTGTATGTTTTTTGCGCCAAACTCGACACCAATTGTTACACTGTGTTGCTCTTTGAATGAGTTCTCGCTAAATCTTAGCTGAAGACAGGTTTTGCCAACTCCTGTGTCGCCCACAATAATTACTTGGAAGAATAGTTCTTGGTCCATTAAGAAAATATTTTTAAATGAAAATTTTTGTTGTTGAACAGAGGAAATATGGATGGTGGCATTAATGAGGATTTAAGGTTATTTACGATAATATGTAGGAAATTGAGGGAAATGAGGATACATGGAGGAATAAAGATTTTTTATTAGGAATGGAAGAAAACAATAAATAAATGTGGATTTTGACTGAAGCAATTATAAATCAAATTTGTAAGAGCCAAAAGCAAGGTGAAGAATATGGAATATCTTGAGGAAATGCCAGATAAATTTGCAGAAGTGTTGGTTTTGCCAAAAAGAGATAGTCAAATTGGTAGAAGTTTAAGTTTGCACTTATGAAGAAAGGTATATTTATCTTGAAAAGAGTGAAAGTAGCAGAATTCAGGGTGGAGGCTCAATGTCTACGCATTTTTAATAATCCGTTTCATCAAAAAAATTTTTAAATAGTGTCGAAAATTTAACGATTTTTCGGTCAAATGCCCCACTATCAAGAGTGCTTCGAACAAATTTTCCCTGAGTAAATGCTGCGTTATCAAAAATGCACGGTAAGCCGAATTCAGCAACCTATTGTGATAAAACTTCTGAAAAGCCTTTATCTCAACGAAGAGCCTCTTATTAATAAAAAAACATCACTAAGACGCATTTAATCAATTCCTTTTAGATGTTTAAAAAGAAGTTTATTTGTGTTTATTTATCGCTTTAACTCTCAATTCTTCATACTCTGCCTCTAATTCATCCAGCAAAGCTGTCGATATTTTTGTCTCATTTACGTCTCTAATAAAACTGTCATCAAAAATTTGTATCGGACATGTGGGCTGGCTTATTGTTGTTATTACAAGCATTATTTCTTCAAACCTTATCTCTTTAAAAGCAACTGAAACTCTTTTAAGGATCGTAATCGCGCATTTAAAAATAGCTTTCCAGCCTTCTAATACAAACAAGTCTCATATAGCTAACAAAATATCAGTTTTACTTTGTAAAATGCTGGCAAATAGAGTGAGAAATCATGATGAGCTAAAATGAGCTGAGTTTATACCTATTTCGTTCAAAATTTCATGAACTTCAGGGAGCATAAGCCCAATTAGCCTATCTAACTGATAGAAAAACTGCCTCAATTTGGGTAGATTATGCTTAAAGAGGGCTTTCATTTGATATTTTTCAATCAGTCCAATTAAGCATTTAAATACAATTTCTTCATCTGAAGCACTTTTTACAAGATGGTGATAGGTGATTAGGCCCAGGGTGATGATGAGTTGGTTTCAGCCGCAGATAAGTGGATCATGCTTTTAGGAAGCCCGGGGTGGGTTTTGTCTAGTCGGGACTCCACAATCGGCTTTTTTCTTCTGCTCAAATCGACATACCGAAACACAAAATCGTGTCGTACTTCTGGAAAGTAATTTTTTGCCTGGATAAAGCAGGGTAGTCCAGAATGGAGCAGTGGGTGCTTCTGCCATGTCCTAAGCACCACCAGAGTTAAGAAAGTCTTATATCGCACGTCGACAGAAAAAGGGCGTGATGCTACGCCTGTGCTTAGGACCACCTTGGCCTGAGGCCTTTGGATGGTGAGGGGCTGGATTAATCCCCAGAGACCTACTAGAATCTAACTTAATCTAATCATCTTGCAGCTGCAAATAAAGGGTTCCTGCTATAAAATTCATCCCTTGGCAGTAGCCTACTTCAGGATTAAACGCAGCATAAGCTCTAACTCCCCTCTCCGTGAACAAACAAATAATTTTTTTTCACTCATAGAGGGAGATAAAATATTTTTTTTAAAATAAATTTATATATAATTTTTTTTCAAAATTTAAAAATTTCCAATTTGTAAATATTGAGAAGTAAAAATTAATTTAATTTGTAAAATTTATGTTTTAAAATACAAGCTGTTTAAAATAAATAGAATTAGCTCGAGATTTCATTATAATAATTATCACTTATATATCAATTTTATATTAAAACAATTTTTTTTGGCTCACGGAGAGTGGGTTTTTTGGGCAAAAATATTGATTTTTCCAAGGTTTTGTTCGCTCACTGAGGGGGAATAAGCAATCTTCTTAAGATATCCTGTGTAACTATTGAGTTATTTTGGAAAGATCTGAGAACATCCATCTCAATAACGTCATTCATGCCACTTCTGCCATCCATTTGATTACCTCTTGATAGAAATACATCATAAATAATAGAGCTGGAGCCTGTTTTTAAAGAATCTATTCAGATTTTATTGCGAAGCTCCATTTTTTTAGAGTATAGCTTAAGCAACTGTATGGATCGCTAAATCCTAAAGATTCACCGTCCAAGTGTTTGATCAGCAAACGAACTTGGCAAATCTACAGTATCTTATAGATATATTAAAATTGAGAAATGGGTAGCCAATTGTAGCTAACTAAACAAATTCCCCCACTTGAACGGTAAATCTTAAGACTTGAGCAATCCATATAGATTCTCAAATTATAGCACAAGCTGCTTCGAATCAGGAGACGCTTTTCAATACGGTTTCTGAATGCCATTTTCCAAGATTTGCAGACTTGGAGGGCTGAGGTTGTCTCTTCAGGCATCAGTCAATCCAAAGAAAGAGCTATTGGCAGCAGATTTCCCCATTTATTTAAGCGCTTTAATGAATCTTTTTTCATTTTAGCCAGAATTTTATACGATTTTTGGTTAGCCTGTATTTCTGAAAGGAGTAAGCATGTCCTTTCATAATCCATATTGTATTTTTTAGATAAGTTGAGTATTATACAATTTGCCATTTCTAGTGAAACTCCTAACCTTAACATATGATTGCTATATTGGCTGATTATAGTAAAAGCTGCTGATTTTTCAGCCCTTTCAAGCTCTGGGTCCTTTTGGAAAGGAATTTTATTCGCAATCTGTTTTAAAGTCCCCAATATTCCAGAATCCTTTATTTTTGATCGGTTTTTTTCTATTGCTTCTTTATTAGATTCCAGCCTATCAGAAATTGCATAATCCATTGCTTGAATTCATCTGACTCGATCTAAAAATATTTGGTGATGAATATAAGAACAAAGGTAAACTCTTTTCTGATTATTGTCGATTGTGTAAAAACTGCGGGAAAATATCAAAATCCTGATAAATTCCACGGCTTCTTGAGAATTGTCATGGATGATTCCTGTCAAGGCTTCTTTTATAAATTGTGAAAGTTTTTCGATTTTTTCATTTGATAGCTCTCCTTTGTGCCGTTTTGTATCTAAAATATCAAAAAAATTGGTTCTCCCTTCAATAGTGCTTAATATTCTTGAAAATCTTATCCCTTATATAAATTAGTAAATAACAATGAAAATAAGATAAAAATATAATTATTCAATATATTTAGTATAAGAAATGTGACGATTCAAATAAGCTAGCCTCAGGATCTATTTCTTCCTCAGACTCTGGAATCAAAAAGTTTACGACCTTCAAAATATGTTCAAAATCAGGGTTTTCAGTATCCGGAACTTCACTATTCACCTTTAAAAACACCTCATTCCTCCTTTTACTTCAATCCTCGTAGCTTACAAACTCTTCTCTATTCGGTCCAGAGTCCTTTGATTTATTGGAATCCACAAACACCATAATGTCAATATTACTATTAATATTCCCCACAATGCTATTCACTTCTTCTATAATATCTATGCAATAATTCTGATGTTTCTGATAGTGTTTCACATATCTTTCTAACGAAGACTTATAGCAATTGCCCGAGGATGGCGCTATCTTGCGCCATCCTCGGGCAATTCAAAAATGGCCCCACACCGGGAATCGAACCCACGTGTGGGGCTATTTTTGGTGTGTGGCCAACATCGACTTACACGCACCAAAAATGGCCCCACACGTGGGTTCGATTCCCGGTGTTGGGCCATTTTTTGAATTGCCCGAGGATGGCGCAAGATAGCGCCATCCTCGCGCAATTCCTATAATAAAATGTATCTTGCTTTCGTCACTTTGCTGCAAAGATTCCATAATCTGAGGCATAGATTTATCGTATTTGTTTCAGACTTCATTAGTAGCAGAGACTGCTTGCATGTAATATTTGCATTCTTGTGAGACGTGGTCCCTATGATAAATCAGATCACGTTGGGCATTTTCTTTGAGCTCTTGATCAGCATCATCTGAGCTCAAAGTTCTTATAGGGTTTTTTTCCTATATAGCCCTATAAGGTCTGTGGATTCTGTCCGGAATCCTTTGGTTGCTGGAACCAACAAGTGAGTTGGTCCGACCAATTGTTCCACCAAACCAAAGGATTCCGGACAGATATAGGGGAAAATCTTATACTCTTTTATTGGCTTTTTCTGCTAATGAAGAAGTGCTGTAATACTGGTATCGGATTTTCTCCATTTGTTCCCTTGCTTTTTGAAGCTCTTTTGTAATAGCAAGACCTTTCCTTATATCATTTACATTAGCTTGTTGAAATTGGTCTGCAAATTGTTCGAGAGGCTCAATTATGTCAAGCTGCATATTTCTTGCAAAAGTGTTGGTGGAGTTAATGATTTTTTTGATGTGAGAGCTTAGGGAGCAGATTGACATAGAAAGAGTGTCCATGGTTCCTTCTTTGGGTAAGCTTTCTTGGAAGGACGCTTCGAGATTTATCAAGCTATCACTGAAAATATGGTAATTTGGGGGGACTGGTAAAAAGTGCTTTATTGAAAAAATTCTGAATATATAATGTTGTTGAGTATATCAAGAATATTAGAATACTGCTTGAAAAAGCTGCAAATTGACGTCAGAGTCTTTGAACTCTTTTCCATATGTCCTTGAACGATGTCGAACTTGTCGCATATTTCAGTGTAACTCATAATTTAATGAACTGATAAGAAAATGAATTAGCCTAACAAATAATATATTTAAAATGGATTGAGCTTGCAAAGGGGGCATCTTGGATCTCTGCTGTGCTCTAAAAATCATTCTGTTATACAAGTCTTGTGAAATATATGCTCACAATTTAATTGTCTTATTAGTACATCTGCAGTAAAATCTTCTAAGCATATAGAGCAGGTTGTCTGACTATATTTTTCGTCTTCCTCATAATATTTCTCTGGATATTTTGAATTTATGATAGCTTCAGTAAGACTAGGGACTGTGTCTTCACTATTAGCCGCAATATAAATTTCAGGTAAGACCCGTCGTCTGCTTTTACAATATATAAAAATAAATACCGACATGCAAAGAAAACTCAATACTATCAATGTAACCCCAAAAGCCATGAGAACTCCAATTTCTCAGGTACTGCCACTGGAAGGGCAATCACCTTGGTCGTAGTTGCATGCTTTTACGTTGCATAAGTCTTGGCAGACTCCATCTCCCATCATAGCAAGCTTACAGCCAGGAGAGCATTGAGGGCAATCTATTCCATCATAGTCACAAGATTTAGTAAAGCATTGTGTTTGGCAGTTAGTATTGTTTACATCGGATCATGTGCATCCTGGAGAGCACTCACCTAAGCACTTTCCTCCTTCACAGCTGCTTAAATCTCTTCTTTTCATAATGTTTTTGATTCCTTTATTTTCATAGTAGTAATTGAACTGCAAATTTCGATAATCACCAACAACCTCGATAGAAATAATATTCACAATCAAATTTTTCAAGTGAAAGGCTTAATATCCAAATAAATCTAGCTAAAATATATATTTAATAAAGATAATCACCCCCCTCATAAATAATTTAAAAAAATGGAGACTCAAAATGTAAATGACTACATGTCAAAGATCCGCTTATGCTCTATGCAAGAACTTCGAGAAATCGCAAGGAAACTCGAGCTCAAATCTAATGGAAAACGTGAAGAACTCGCAAGATTAATCGTATCTTTTCTTTTAACCCCAGAAGGCCGAAACGAAGCATATCGAAAGCTGGATTTAAATTTCGCGAATTCTTTTTACGACCAAATTAAAACATCAAATAGGCTCCCAGAAAAATTCCGCTGCATATGCGAAGGAGGCTCTGGTGCTACAATTGAATGCACCCGCTGCAAATTTCATCAGCATACTTCCTGCATGGGCAGAAATACTCTTATTTCTCCATATGAATGCCCAACCTGCCAACTTTATCAAATGCAGCCTCTTGACGAAGTCGTTGAATTTTATATTCTCCCTAACTCAGTCCCCCGAGATTTTATTCATGGAACTCAATGTGAAAGAAATTTTACTTTTTTACAGTCTCAGCTTGATAAAATCCATAGTGCTAAAGGTGCTTTACAAATCCAAGCTCGATGTTTAAGGATCGATGGGATTGGATACACTCATCAATGGCCTAAAGTAGGCTGTTTAATAGTCAATGGAAGAACTGCAATGGAGTTTCGAGGTCCTGAGCATTCTAATGCAAAAGCACGAAAAGACGAGCCACTAAATTTGACCACACTTTTTGTTCCAGGCAAAAACTCAGTGAATTTATTAAGAGTTGCAGATACTGAAAGCTTTTTTTGGGCTCTTGTGCTGATTAAAAAGAGAAGCGACGATCATTTTATTAAAGAAGTTTGCTCAAAACCTGGGCTATCAGTAGAGCAAGGAAAAGCGTTTCTTATCAAAAAATTGAATAGTGGGGATAGTGATATTCAGTCGAGAAGTGTAAAATTGTCGATAAAATGCCCATTTACGATGACTTTGATGGAAATTCCTGTGAGGGGGACAAAATGTGACCATTTACAGTGCTTTAATTTAGACCCATTTGTGAGACTGCAGAAATCGTCAAAAGTAAATAGATGACGGTGTCCGATTTGCAAGGGACTGGCGTTTGATTTAATTGTAGACAAGTTTATGGCTGAAATTGTGGAGCATGCTCGAGTCCTTAATGATCCTCATAGCGTTGAGTTGATGTCTGATGGAACTTATAGGATAATTTCTTTTGAAGAATACCTTGAAAGTATCAATAAAAAGGAAGAGGAGTCAGGAAAAGCAGAAAACGAAGCTAAGAAAAAGAGAAAAACCGAAAAAGATGACAGCATAAATCTGAATGAATTGATGCCAGCACCAGTTCAGATACAGAAAAATAACGGAAATCCACAAGTGGTTGATTTAATAGATCTGGATTAATATAATTAAAAATAAAGTATAGTCTCATAAGAAATATTCAAAGCAATAAGATAAATAATAATTGTTATCACTATTCGTTAATATATGAAGCTTGAACATCTTTTACCAAGTATTTGAATACATATTTAGCTGTTTTCGTATTCTGAATTAAATGTTTAGGTGCCTGATCAACAATAGTTTTGAAATCTGCAAGATAAGCTTCTATAATTTTCAGTTTCTCTACAACTTCACTTGATTTAGAATTCATATCATCACCTTTAGAAGCAGGCTGGACTTTTAGATTTTTATAGTGATTTATATTAGGTCCTTCTTTGCATCTTCTATACAAATTATCAATAGCCCTGCATAACCATTACATAAAAATATGTCCTATTTCCACTTGTTTCTCAGTCGCTAAAGCACTATTAACGTCCACTTGTTTAGTTAAATCCAGCCTTTTGGAGTCCACATCTTCATATTGTTTGCTTAACTGAGCAATTTCAATATTTAGCTGCATGATCTCATCTTTTTTCTTTTTCTCCAGCTGATCTCTCATTGTCCTGATTTTCTGGTTTTCCTCTTCAAGCTCTTTTTGCTGCTGTTTCAGCTGGTTATTTGCATTAATCAGCTTTGTATGTAAATTCAAAATATCATTTATATCTGTAAACTCTTCTGGATTTTTAAGTCTGACTTTTTCAAGAAACTCTTCATACCTTTTCATCGACTGGACTTGTGCTTCTAAAGATCCAGCTTTTTCTTTAAGTTGGACAACTTTGGCCTCGAGTTCTTCTTTTTTCTTCTGTTTAGCCTCAATTGCTTTTTTCTCTTCCTCGATCCTGTTTTTGGCTCTTTGGAGTTTTGCTTCGTTTTCGTTGATCACTTTGGAAAACTCGACGAATTTTTCTTGGACAGCCAAATCTCTTGCACGAAGTTCTTCTTCTTTGCTGTTGAAAATTTCAAGGCGGCGGTTTTCTTCTTCTTTTTGACGTTCAAAAGCTTCTTGCACTTGGTACATAAGGCGCCGTTTGTCCTAGATAGAGAATACAAGCAGTCTAGTTGCAGGAGAAACAGTGTCCATTTTAAGCTGTTTGAGATTGTACTTCGTGCCTTTCATCTATTATGCTAATTTTATTAATAAGTTTAGTTTATGATAACTCTTCAAGTCCCGTGCTTCTTTACCTCAGGTTGGACCACAGCTCTGAATAATGGTAGGTTGCCATAACCGTCAGAAACAGTGTAGACCCATTCTCTTAAGCCTAGACTCTCAAGAAATCGTGAATTTCTCTCACTGAACTCGGTTGTAGGACCTGAGACATTTTTAATTATTTTATTAATAAAAATGTATTTTACAATTTAAAAATCGCAAAAGGAGACTTTAAAATATATAAAAATATTAATTTATTCATCTTCTTCCGAAAGTTGGCTTTCAGGGGTATTTGCAGGCATCCTATTCATTGGTGTTTCTTCAGTTGATGGAAATTCTATTAATGGAAGGATTTTATTAGATGCCTTTTTTGGTGGGATTGGCTCTTCTTGAGTTACAATTTTAGGCTCAATTTTTTCTTGCTGCTGTTCTGGCTGCGGATCAGGGAATTTTCCTTGGTCTACCAATGACATTCTGAATTTTTTGCTTCTTGCCTGCTCTTCTTCATCCTCTTCTTCTATATCTTCTCTATCTTCATTTCCTTCACTATCCAAATAAAACATCGTATATCTTGGCTGGGCTTTTCTAGCAAAAGATTCATTTCCTGGCTGTTGATTTTCGTAGCCAGAGTTTGCACTTGTGCTAGAACTAGATGCTCCATTAGGCCCTTGTATATATTTTTCCAAGTATCCTTTGATTTTTGGGTACATTTGTGGATCCTTAGGGAACATTTTTATGGTAGGCCTTGGGACTCCAACTATGTTTCTAGAATTATAATGTATAGAACCCATACCTTTGGGAACTCTATGATAGTTTGGCTCTGCATCTTCATGAGCATTGACGTATTTGGTTTCTGGAGCTCCCCTCTTTTCAAGCCATTTTTTCTTTGTTTCTTCATGATCAAGGTTCAGCAATATTTTTTTACATCTAACAGACACGTGTCCAAGCTCATGACATATATAGCATTTGACTAGTAATGAAGAATAGTCACCGTCTTCACATTTTTTCGACATCGCCTCTGTGGAATCTTTTGCTTCTGGGAACTTTTCGAGCAGCATATTCATATTTGTCCTGGACAAGCTTAATAAGTCAACGAAATCCAAACATTTAGCTGAAGCACACCTAGGCTTTTCAGTGAAAAATGCGATTTCTCCAAAATATTCGCCAGGTCCTAGCTCTTTAAAGGTCGATTTGGTTTGATGATGGTAAATATCAACCCTCCCGTTCTGAATAAAATACATTTTTGAGCTCATTTCCCCTTCTTCAATAACCGTGTCTCCAGGGGCATATGTCTCGCTTTCCAGTGCTCTTGTCAGTTGAGAAATAAAATGTGCCTCATATTTTTCAAAAATTGGGCAAAGTTTTATAATAACACCATGAATATGTGCATAAATTTCATCTCTAAGCGGCTCTGATAACAGTGACAAAATCTGTTTTTCGTCTAAATTATTTTTCTTTTTATTTTCCCATATATATTCTAGATATCTTCTAACTCTAAACTGAAGATCATGAGGCAAATCTTTTTTCCTCATATATCGGTTTACAGCAACCACTTGTTCTCTATAAGCGTTTTCTACTGCATTCTGCTTGCTGACTAAAGAGCCAATACTACCTACTGTATATGCAAAAACACCACAGGCGACTATCATAGAAAACATCGCATAAATTTTTTCTCCTACTGTAAGTGGGACTATATCTCCATAGCCTACTGTGGTCATTGTTGTAAAGGCTCAATAAAGAGAGGTAATGTATTTGTCAAAATTGGGGGAATTGTCGATTTTTGCTGCCGTTACCCAAGTTTGAGGATGATCTGACATGTTGTAGGCGCCTAAAAAATATAGCGCTTTTCCCGAGGATGGCGCGGAATGGCGCCATCCTCGGGAAAGCCAGGAAGGCATCCACACGGGAACTGGGAGTTCCACGTGTGGATGCCATTTTGACATGTGGAAGTTTGGATCCCACATGTCAAAAATGGCATCCACACGTGGAACTCCCAGTTCCCGTGTGGATGCTTAGTTGACTTTCCCGAGGATGGCGCCATTCCGCGCCATCCTCGGGAAAGCACTATACCACCAGCAAGCTGTCCAGTGGGCGATAAAAAAGACTACTGCCAAAAGTCTTAAAAATACGAAAAAGGTGGCAATTGTATTGCTTGCAATATAATCTTCTAATTTTATCAAAATTCTTTTGAGTTTTGCTATACGCACGAGCCTCAAAATTCTCAGAAATTTGAAAATTTTCACGAATCTTAAAAGTCTTGAGGCTTGGCTGTAGCTTGCACCTCCACTGGAGCTTGTATCTCCTTGTTCAAAAACCCCATTGGTGAACCATGTATATGGTATACTTGATGCTAGATCAGCAATAAATCATCCTTTGAGGTAAAATATAGCAATTTCTTTTCTATTCATAATGAGTGCTCCTCTTGAGTAAAACCCAGTATTAAAACTGAAAGCAATGTCTATCATAAAGATTATAGCTATAAATTAAATTAAATTGTAAACCCAATAGCTGTCGCACACCTTGGCTACAAATATCGCCATTTGGGATTTCCGACCTTTACTACCTGTCAAATGGATCAGCTACCCAGGTCAGAGTCACCACCTGTAGAGTACCCCGATGGCCCAGAGAAGACTATTTAGTAGCCTTAACCTGTGTAGCCATCTGGCAGGGAAATTCAAAATATCCTCACCAGCCAGAAATCGCCACATCGAAACAAATTCTGAAAGGGACTGAAATCGATATATATATAATAAGCAGCATTGCAAGAAAGTCCCAGCCCATACGAAACATGGACTCTGGGTGAAATACCCATTTCGTGAGATATTTGTTCCCTTCTTCATCTTCAGCTATTGGAGTCTTTGGGGTGAAAGCGTCCTTTTTTATCGTTTTCAATTGAGAAAGTGCTTTGTTATTGCCGTGAGAAGGGTTATCTATGGGTCCTTGTGAGACGTTATCTTGAATAGCCTTCCAAGTTTTGTCTTGTTTTCTTTCCATATAAAATTATTATAATTCATTAGAATTCTGGTGGTTTTCAGATTAATGTAAACTGGGAGTATTTCTGCATAAAAATATTAATTTTTGAAATTATGACAGTATTTAAAAAAACTCTGAATAAAAGAATTAATTTTGATTGAATTAGGCAAAATCATAATGGTTTTAGTTTTCTGGAATTAAAGTTTCAAGTCTTCTATAAGTTTATCAACGATTGAATCATATATATCATAATTAAAATATGGCGTCTTCGTCTGGGCATGGCCTCCCGGCCATGCAGCCTCGACTCATATTTTAATTATATCCGGCAAGGTTTTACCATTTCAGAGATGGGACAGCAATGCTAGGTAAGCAATTCTGGTAGCTTTCAGAGCCTAGCCCAAGTCTATTCTCAGGGGTGGATTTTTTCCTCGTGGGGAAGGAGGGTGCAAGGTTGGAAAGGGGAAGCCCAGCAAAGTCCTCTGGACCATTCGGGCAACTCCCTAGCGTGAAACTGGGCGTTACTTCCCAGGCTTTGCATTTTTCCTTTTTGCCGATAGCCGACCAGAAAAATCCATTTTTTGGGTTTTTCGGAAAAGCAACCCATGTACAAGCAAGTAGCTCATCCATGAGCCGTCGAAGACGTGGACATTTGCCCTGGAAGCACCCTGGTGATCGAAGCGAGTTTGTCTCCAGCAGACTGGTGGGCCCGATGCGACGAAAGGCGAGTGATAAACCTGGAGTTGTAACCCCGTAGTGGACGTTAAGCGATATAAATTCTAATGTAATGTAATGTATCATATATATCGTTATTAAGTTTTAAAGCTTCAGCTTGATCAAGAATAAGGCTAGCACTTCCTTTCTTTTCTTCTTGATCAGCGATAATTGTAGCAACTTTGACTTCTACTTGAGCCTCTTGGCTTGTTAAAGCAACTGGTGTTACTGTGTATGAAACTGGAGCTATTATATTTTTCGATGCCTGTCCGCAACCCATAATAAATTACCAAAATATACATGAATGGTTGCTTTAGCGTTCTGAGGTATCAAGAAATTTAGAAAGATAACAGTTAATTAACTATCATTTATTGATCTATTAAGCAAGAAAAATATGTAATAAACTATATTAAATTTTGAATTTTTAATCTGTAGCTAGTGTTGTGCAAGCAAATATTCGCTATATATTAATTATCGTATATTTTCGTAAATTATCTTGGCGGATATTCATTGAGAGTTCTAAAATAAAATTATAGCTTTTTACTTATAAAATAAAAAATATCTTTTAATGTCTATACAAAGCTAATCTATTGCTGAAATATATTAAATTCTGATGTATAATTAAAAATAAATGAAAATCTATAAAAGGCGCGTCTGGCAGCATTATAAAGCTCTGATCTATAAAAATTGAATTCTATGGAAAAGAAGGTGGTTCGGATCTTTATTCGAATTACTTTTTCCTATCCTGCTTATTTTGCTACTAACTCTTATAAGAGTTTCAGCAGGAAGAACAAGCCACAATGGAAAATCATACTTAAAGGACTATTCAATGGTCGTCACACCAGATGACTGATTCTCATACACGATTCCAGAAAATCCTTTTGTATATGTAAAATTAAATTCATTCACAAAACACACTCATAGTTATTGTGAGTCTTATTTAAACCTTTCTCCCTTATGATCAATAGCGATAGTCCCTGGGAATATCTCTATTTCAAATGAGCTCGCTGATATGATGGCTATTAATGGATTTGAAAGGTCAAAAATAATTTATTTTTCTGATGAAAATGAATTATATGTTTTTAGATAATATCATCCTTTTTTATCATAATCTGCAATGTAATTTATTATAGACTATCAGGATAGAGAAAAATATCACAAGTGATCATTATGACGATGCAGGAAATGGCAAGATATGCTATGCTATTGTATTTAAGCATTGAACCGAAAACAACTTCCAATACAAATTTCGTCACAATATCACGTCTTCATATCCACCTTCAAACCAGCAAGTAGGAAACGTAATTGATATATTTGACTATCAAACCTATGAACCTACTGATGATCTTATAAGAGTTCCTAAGCCAGAATTCCAAGAGCAATATTTTGATAGTAATTTTATCCACGTCATGAACTATATTGACAATATTATTCTTAGGAATATTACAAATAATGCCAGCGCTTATATTGCTGCAGGCTTTGTGCCTATGTGATATGATGATTACATCACTGATAATTTTATCACATTAATTGCGAATATGCTGCCATTTTTTATAGTAATTTCTTATGCTATTCCTGTGTGTAGAATGATATCGCTAATAGTGCAGGAAAAAGAGTACAAAAATAAAGAAATGATGATGATTATGGGATTATCAAATTTTGCGTATTGAACATCGTGAATAACTTACTATTTCTCTATATATACAGTCATTGCAGGGATAAATAGTCTGATTTGTATGGCTCTGTTTAATTATAGCAGCACAGGGCTCATTTTTTTAATGTTTTGGTTATATGGGATTTCTTGTATAGCTTTCAGCGTCCTTATGAGTATGCTTTTTTCTAAGTCAAGAACTGCGGTAATGCTTAGTTTGATGCTTTTTTTTATTAGCTATTTTATAAGTTTTGCAGTAATGGATCCGATATTAAGCTTTGGGCAAAAAGCTGCAGCTTCTTTGCTGCCAAATGTTGCACTATACTTAGGAATTGATATCTTAGCGAAGCTTGAAGAAGGAAGATCTGGAGTGCAGAATAGCATTAATATTAATACTAAAAAAACCTTTTACGTCCACTATGGAGTCACCTTCTTCTGAAGCTTTTATCTTCCTTGCACTTAAGGGTCCGCAGGCTACAGGGTTAGCCTTCTTGGCCATAATTGTATGCTTTAGAGCGACTTTACAAACTTCTAGGCTCACGGATGAGCTAATTTCTTTGACGTAAATAAGTTGTCTATATGAAAAATTCAAAAAAAAGTTTTTCTGGCCAGCTCTCCGCAAAAAGGAAAATTTTGAAGCCCAGGGAGTACTTCTGGTTTCATGCTGGAGAGTTGCCCTGTAGGCCTAATAGACTTTGCTGAGCTCCCTTTTGCAACTCTATATCTCCCTTTTATTTGAAGTAAAATCCAAAACAGAAAGCGGACTACAGCTCCACACACTGCTGGAATTGCTTATCTGCCATTACTGTCCATTCCTGGGTTGAAAGAATCTAGCCGGATATAATTAAATATGTGCTCGAGGCTGAATGGCTGGGAGGCCATGCCCGGTCGAGACGCAATATTTAATTATGGAATACAGAATAGCACTTGCAAAAAGAAATTGACCATTATACGTTTGAAACTTTTTATATTTTCATGGTAGTAGATACGGCCATCTTTGTGATTTTAGCATGATATTTAGATCGGATCTGGCCGAGTGAGTGGGGAATAAAAAGGCCATGATACTTTTTATTTTACTAACTCTCCTCCAAGCTAGATAATTAGTTGCCAGTAAGCTATCCTAATTTTTTTTATTTAAAAGCCTTTTTTTTATTAAAATAGGGCACATTTAGACTAATTTCCTAATTTATTATTTTTGTCATAAATTATAATTAGTGTACCATAAAAAGTAATATCTTAAAAAGGATAAATATTCTAACTACAACAGATAGAGACTAAGGATTTTTGGTGCCATGAGAAAAATAAGCGTAGTAAAGATATTATTGAAAAAGAAATAGCATGAGGAGAAAATGTTGAGCCCGTTGACATAGTGATTGAAAAACAAAAAGAGTTAGGCCAAGCGTTGATTATCAGAAATTTTACTAACTCCCCCCTCCGTGGGTGAACAAAAAAATTTTGTTCACTCACGGAGGGGGATTAATTTTTTTTTTAAATTTCGAAATTTAAAAAAATCCTAATTTGCAAAATTGAAAACTAGATATTAATTTAATTTATAAAATTTATGTTTTAAAAAGCAATTTGTTTAAAATTAAACAGAATTAGCTCTAGATTTCATTATACTAATTATCACTTATATATCAAAATTTTTTTCCATAAAAAATTTTGCTCACTCACGGAGGGTAGGTTTTGGGGGAAAATAGCAATTTTTCTAATGGTTTTGTCGCTCACAGAGGGGGGAGTAAAGTATTTAGCAGCAAAACAGCAGTAGATGGCCTTAATTTAGACATCTACCAAGATCAGATTTTTGCGCTTTTAGGTCACAATGGTGCAGGGAAGACCACAACTATATCAATGATGATTGGCATGATTCCTGTAACAAGTGGAGAAATGCTTGTAAAAGATTTATTACTGTCCAAAGATTTAGAAAAAATCCGGATGCTTCTTGGTGTATGTCCACAGCAAAATGTATTATATAATGACCTCACTCCTAAAGAGCATTTATATTTATTTTCTATCTTTAAAGGCAGGGTTAATAAAAATGAAATAAATGAGGATATAGAAGAAAAAATTTTAGACGTAAATTTAAAGGACAAAGAAAACAGTAGAGTTAAAAATCTTTCTGGTGGGCATATACATAAAAATGGTGACGACAGAAACCTGACCTCTCGGGCCTATTTCTTGCAGCCCAGTGTTGGAGATTTATGTGGAAAGGAGTGGGCAAATGTTTTATGTAAGCCGGACTAAGTTTGTCTGAGCCACTGAGAGCTGATACCTTGGGCTTTTCATCAGAGACCATTATTAGAAAGGATAGGACCAGTAACAGCCCCAAGGCTGATAAACCCCTCGAATAGGGCTCAAGAGGCAACATCTATCTAACGAGAAACTGGGGGCTTCGACCCAGATGATGGGCCCTTAGGCTACAGGAGTGAGGAGCCAGAAAGTATGTGCGAATCCCTTGCCTGCGGCGGCGAGGAGAGCATCTACCAGGTGTCTCATTAATGAAGATCATCTAGGTATGAAAATTCCCAGCCTGTCAAGAAAGAATGCCTATAACTATATAACTAAACATTTTTCTGGAAGGACAAAAAAGAAAATTATCATTAGCTATAGCACTTATTGCAGATTCTCCTATTGTTATTTTAGATGAGCCTACATCAGGTATGGATTTGAATTCGAGAAGACAGACTTGAGATATGCTAAAAAATAATAAAAGCAACCGAATAACTATATTTACAACTCATTATATGGACGAGGCAGATGTCCTTGCTGATAGAATTGGGATAATGTCACAAGGGAAATTACGATGTTGTGGAAGTTCTGCATTTCTAAAAAATCGATATGGGGTTGGCTATTATATAAAAATCGTCAAAGATTTAGATTCAGGTAATTCTTTTGATGATAATGCCGTTATTGATTTTATAAGAAATCATATTTCAGAGTCGAAGATCTCATCAAATACTAGAGCTGAGATAACATTTCATTTACCTATTTCGAGTGTTTCACAATTCAATGATTTTTTTGCTAGTTTAGATGCGTCTTTACAAAAATTAAATATAAAATCATATGGAGTCTCAGCCACTACCTTAGAAGAAGTTTTCTTAAAGGTAGCTAGAGGAGACGACACAGAGTTAAAAAATCTTGACTTTGAAGACATTGAGATAGAAGAAAATACATTAAAATCTGATTTTAGGCTTTCAAGAGACAGATTAAAAGGATCTCTTTTTTTTAAACATTTTTTTGCATTACTGAAGAAAAGAATTTTGTGGTCAAAAAGAGATGTGAAAAGCCTTATTTTCGAAATTTTCATCCCAATTATCCTTGTAATTATTGGGTTAGGGCTAATGCTGATTGCTAAAAGATTTAAAAATGAGTCTTCACATCTGCTTACAGTTACTGATTACCACAAGCCTCAAAATATCTTATATCAAGCTCAAAAAGGAAACAGCTTTATTCCATATTTAATGGCTGAAATTGAAAGGAAATACAATACTAAAGGAAAAAATACTATGAAAACGACTCCATGGGCTGACAATAATGATATTGTATCTTATGACGAATTTATTTTTAATGACAGAGATAACGTTAGTCCTTATAGGATGGGGGCTTATTACTTCTATAAAATGGATAATTTAACCCATCGCTATGAGCCTATAATTTTTCAAAACCAAACAGCATTCCAAGCTGTAGGAGTCTATTACAATTTGATATCTCAGGCAATTCTTCAAAGCATCAACCCTCAAATCAATGTAAAAGTATATAATCATCCTCTCCCTTATACTGCAAAAGTAATGAGTCTTAATAATATAGGAGATGGGTTTATCGCTTCTATTATATTTTCTCTAGGATTTAGTTTTATTCCTACAGGAGTTATAGCACTAATTGCGAAAGAAAGGGAATCTAACATAAAACACCAGCATGTGATAAGTGGAGTGTCTTTATTTTCTTATTGGACTGCAAATTTTGTATGGGATATAGTAAAACATATAATTCCTGGAGTGATTTGTCCATTATTAATACTAGCATTTGGTGTTACGATATTGACAGAGCCTGGAGAAAGCTATGCTGCAGTCTGACTGCTAATGCTTCTTTTTGGGTGCTGTATGGCGTCTTTCACGTATTTTACAAGTTTTTTCTTTAGAAATTACCCAACAGCGCAAGTTGTAACAATTTTGCTAAATTTTGTGACTGGAAGTATCTTGGCTCCTGGAATTCTTGTAATGTATCTTTTTGACCAAACTAGATCAGCAGCACATGGATTACGTTGAATTTTCAGAATTTTCCCTAATTTTTGTTTTGGGTTCGGAATTCTAGAAGTTGGCAGCAGAAGATTACTTGCATCATTAGATGGAAGAAATGAACCTTATGATGCTTTATCTTTAGACAGTGCAGGAGGAGATATTTTAATGATGGGAATAATGACACTTGTTTATATGCTTTTAATATTTATAGCAGAATATATGGAAATCCATTTAAAGCTATTCCAATTTATTTTTAAACCTCACAAAATCAAGACCAAAAAACACTCAAAAGATGATGATGTTGAAAAAGAAGCGAAGAAAGCAGAAAAAACAAACCCAAAAGATGTGCAAGTGAACGCTAAAGAGCTTCAAAAAGTGTTTAGAAGTGGAAAAACGCATTTGGTTGCTGTTGAAAATGTAAGCTTTAATGTAAATTATGATGAGTGTTTTGGGCTTCTGGGGGTGAATGGGGCTGGAAAGACAACAACTTTTAAAATGCTTACGGGAGAAATTGCTCCTTCATCAGGAGAAGCATATATAAGCGGCTTTAGTATTAACAATGACTTCAATAATATAAGAAAAGTTATTGGATATTGTCCTCAATTTGATGCAATCAGTGAGCTGCTCACAGTAAAAGAGAATTTAAATTTGTACGCTGATATTAAAGGAATTCCTAAAGTATGGAAAAAAGAAATGGTTAATGAAATTATTATGAATATGGACTTGGAAAAGTATGAGAATGCATTATCAGGAAACTTATCTGGAGGTAATAAAAGAAAATTATCAGTTGCAATTGCTTTGATTGGGAACCCTTCAGTTTTATTTTTAGATGAGCCTTCTGCTGGAATGGACCCAGAGACGAGGAAAAAGCTTTGGCAAGTATTATCAAATATTAAACAAAATGGATCATCTGTTTTGTTGACAACTCATTCAATGGAAGAAGCTGAAGCTCTTACTCCGATAAATAAATAATTTAAATGAAAAATTAATATAAAAGACTTTCTTAAAATAAATAAACTTAATTTATTTTAAGCAATGCTAAATTAGTGATAGAATGGCCATTATGGTTGCTGGCAAATTTCAATGCTTAGGCACTCCAACTTGAATTAAAAATAAATACGGAGATGGCTATGAACTCCAAATCAAAACAGAGCCCCCATCTGATTTTGAATTAACAGACAGAGATAAACAGTTAGATAGAGAAATCCAAGATAAAGATTCGATTCCTAGCTCTCAAGTTTCGAAGTGCCTTGATATCTTAGGAGCCCAATTTTTAAAAGAAGAAATCCATGAAAAAGGATCAGGCTCTGCTTTTTTTTACCAGCTAAAGCGTGAAAATTCAGTTCCTAGAGACTCTTTTATATCATGAGTAATATCTGAAGAAATTATAGATAAAATTCACGAATGGTTGAAATCTGAGTTTAATGATGTAGAAATCATTGAACGATATGGAAATTTATCAAAATTCAAAATATACAGAGTAGATTTAATTACTGCTCAAATAAAAATTCAAAATATACAGATTTTATTTAATAACCACTCAAAATTTACCCAAATCAAGCATATTAAAACAAGAAAATAGATCCGTAGGCTATTTATTTTCAGTTATTGAAGAGAAAAAGCAAGAACTCAGAATATCAGAATACTCTCTATCCCAAACTTCACTCGAACAAATTTTCAACAATTTTGCAAGAAATATAGACGAACCTCAATAAATAATTTTTATATTACTGCTCACTAATCAATTTATTATCAATTTCCCTAAATTCACCGTCCGCAACGCATGATCTCTGCCTTATTAGTTTTTCATGCAATTTCTGCCATGTTGATATTTTTGACTTCGCTAATTTATTTATAGCCTCTATAAACTTGGTGGCGACTTCTTCTTTTCTCCATCCTTCTATCCAAGAATAAGGATCTATTGAGTTTATCACGATTTTTAGCTCTTCAAGTTCTTTAGGTAAGTCTTCAAAATTAAACGTTGGGTCGCATTGCCCTATTTTAAGGTTTTGAATCAGATTCCCGAAGTCCTCATTATTTTTTTCAGTCATATTTCCCGTTTCTCTTATAGCTCTATGAGCTGCCTCTATCCTTCTCAAAACTTGTATGTAGTGTATATCATCATTAGTGATAAATAAGCTTGTCATAAATGCTGTATGATTAGCCCAATAAAACGCTTCATTTATATTCCCTTTTGCGATCTCATAAAAAATATTTGAAGTTAGTCTTAAAACTAGAATTTTATTTGCATCGACAGGGATTTTTTGATACTCAGTTGTCGCATCATTTCCTAGAGAAAGGTGAAATGCAATTCCATGGAAAGCGTCAAAGAATTTCTCCTGAATCAGATTTTCTAGAATATATACACAGATAAGTGCATCACAATAGTTTGTGAAAAAAGTGGTTTTTTCTTTGTTTATACTTTTTCATTTTATTATCTTTGAGGAAATGGTGTGAATAGTTGTTGGGCAATCCAAGGCAAAAGACTATAATTTTTCTTTTTCTGACTGAGTAAGTTCAAATCTAAAGGGAAGATCTTTGCAAACTGACTTAAATTGGCCATTAAGTTTGGCCCATAGAGGCTCGGTTTTGTCAAGTTCTGATAAAGACCTATAATCAGGGTTGCATTCTTTAACACATATATCAAGGATAAAATACCTACTAACTCCATCTAAATTTGGAAAAAATTTATTTTCCAATTTAATGCTGGCTGATTATTTTCAAAAAATCAGAGTTTTAATTTATTTTATGAAGAATTAATCTAAAATTAATCTATTCAGCACTCTATCTGTTATAATAGCGCTCGACTGAACTTACTTCATTAAATTAGCTCAAAGCTATTTATATAGAGATTAGTGAGTTTAATATACCTCAAAAATGGAAAATTTAGTGATATTTTACTCCAATTTAAAATGGGGAGTAAGCTGCTCTTCATAGCGAATTTTTAGATAAACAGCGAAATTAATAAGTTCATGCTTCATGCTTTCTTGTCGTGTGTTTTTTTGATTAAGATAGCTTTGGTATTGAGCATAGGCTGTGGTTTGTCTCACAGTATATAAATCTTGAATTGCTTTTATTATTAAAGACAGTTTATATTCTATTACTTCATCATACGCTTTTTTATTTTCTTCATCAATTTCTCGTCGTAGGTCATCTGGGACGAGAGATTTATAATGATCTTGAGGAATTTCATTAGGAGTATTTAATGAATAGCTGCGAAGACGACCTTTTGGGAAATTGGGAATCAAGTTACTGTCGATGTAAATTAATCCATAAGCAGAATTCGAGCCATGGCCTCCTATAGCTTCTGCCATTACTTCATATTCTTTTACTTCAGTAACGTTCACATCATTGTATTTTCTCCATATAGAGTATTCAGGATCATAAATAAAAGCATAATAATGCCCTCCTTCCACTGAGCCTTCATGCATTAAAATAGAATGCAGTTGATAACGGTGCTGCTTTAGCTCATTTATGTCAAAGATCGCCTCGATTTCTTTTTTGTGGCGATCTAATTGTATTTCCATATCATTAATCATGCCTTGTACGTTCCCTGCTAGCTCCTCAAAAAAGCACTTAGATTGGCTGATCTCTGGCAGCATCCCAGAATCAATCTCAACCCTATCAGCTTCCTTACCAGTATTTTCATCAGTTTCCATAATTTCTGTTAAATTCAATTGGTTCCCTAAAAACACCGCAACTTGTTGAAGCATGACGTCAAGTCTTAAATCATTTGAGTTAAATTTTTTGAATTTCTCGATAGATTGTTCTAATAAAACAACTCTTTTTTTAAGGTTTAGCATTCTTTCTCTGAGACTTAAGCTTAATTCTTTATTTTTCAATAAAAATCGATCAGTGTAAATACTATTAGGGAATTGAAAAGCATCACTGTTTTTAGTAAGTGAGCCAGCTTGCACTCTTTGGATTTGGAAAAAGAGCAGTCCTGGCAATTTATCAATCCATATCTCTTGATGAGCATTTGTATATGCATTTTCGTTTGGTTTATATTCTTGGATATCTCTGTTAAATGCACAATCCCATGCTCTGTAAAGATTCTTATCTTTTAAATCTAACAAAATTTGCCCAAATGTGCCTGGGCTATTAAAAACATCAGAATCTTGCGATTTCAAAAAATAAACCTGTCTTCCATAGAAAAGCTGCGAAATTATTCCTTCAGGAAGCTGCTCTTCAGTTAGGCTAACACTTTCTTTTCTCCTCCCTTCTGAAACATTAATTTCTTGGTTATCATTCCCCCTTTCCAACAAAAATTTAGTTTTAAACCCTTCTTCAATTTTTGATATAAAATTCATATTAAAAAATCCTGCATTTTTTTGGTCTCCTAATTCCATTTGATTTCCAGAGTCATCAACTAGGGCATTTAATACTCCAGACGGATCAGCGTATTTTTTATTGCTTTTGATCATATGAGCAAATAACTGTCTAAGCTGCTCAATGAGCTTAATGCTAGTTTTCATTTTAGTTCCTTCTGATCCTGATTCTAATTGATATAAAAGAGATGCACTGAGACGGAATTGTAATATTTCTTGGGTGATTTTTGGCACCATAAAGTAAGATTGAAGCAAAGAGTTGAAAGCTGAGGCATGGTCAATATACTTAAGTCCCACAGGTACTCCTTCAGTCCTTTGCCTTTGTTCTGGGTTAAGAGGCTCAAATGTATAGGAAGGAGATGATCAGCTAGTTTCTTTAAGGGAATCTTCAATTGCTTTTGATAAATTTTCATCATCTTTTGATACGACATTACTTTCCATAAAGTTGGTTTGCAGACTTTGGTTAACTGAATAAAAAATTACTTGCTTCTTTAAGTTCAGGGTCATAACTCTCTGTGCCTTGATCTAATAAATAAGAAAGCGCTTCTTCCTGATTGTTTTTGAATTTTTGTAAAGCCTCTACAGCTTGTGTTCTTGAAAATCCCATGTCAATAAGCAAGCTGATACTGTTTTCACTAACAGGAATCTGATTCTGAACCATTTATAATTAGTAAAATTGATTTCCATTTATATTAAATAAAAGTACACTATACTAAAGAAACAGTTTTTCTTGCCTGTTTCGCGTGTTTTTTGAGCCCTTTGAGGCCTATTAAGATTAGTGTCAAGTTGTCCATGCTCCTTCGTCTCAATGCTGATCTTATAACATCATTAACAGCTTCAGCACATTTATTAGGATAAGGAACCAAAAAATTTTCTGTTACTGAGTTTCAAATGCATTCTACCATTTCTTTGTTGGTCATTCTATCAAAAATCCCATCACATCCCATTGCGATAAAATCGTGCTCGTCTTGGATTTTAAATGCTTTTATATCAGGATCAGCAATCAGGCATTTCGGGTTTCCCCCTAAATGCTCATCTTTAGCTTCAATGTCACCAAAACTCCTGGAAACTGAAAGTCGTCCAGGTAAAATTCTATATACATGTTGAAGCCCTTGCTTTGCACTATTTGAAGGGATTGACGCACTCGTATATATTTTTCCTCCTGAATTTAAAATTCTTGACCGCTCCGGCTCTTCTCCAGGTTTATGATCTTCTGTCAAAGGATAAATTTTCAAGCCTCTTTCTGAGCTGAGAACTGATCTAGAATCTCCAACATTCGCCACAAAGCATTTCGTATTGACTACCAAACAAACTGTTGCACATGATCCTGATTTATCATTATTTTGCTGAGCTAAATGCAAAAATTCTCTTTCTGCCGTCTTAAATCCATTAATAAGTGCTTCAGTTGGGTTCTTTGGGAAATGCGGATCTCTTATTACAAAATTATGCAAATTATCTTTCAAAAAATCCGCACATCTGCATCCTCCATGTCCATCATAGATTCCATAAAACGAGCATTTTGGTCAAGGCTCATTTGCCCTTTCTGGCGGACTACGAATATTTATAACGATTGAAACCCGGTCTTCATTATATTTTCTTATCAATCCTTCATGCGTGTTTACAGCATATAATCTGACGTTCCCACATCTTTTGTCTGAAAATTTTGCAGGATATAAATTTGGGATAGAGTCATATTGGTTTATTTTCAAATTGGTAGAAGAATAGCTAGGCTGAATAGGAGGCAGTCTATCAAAAATAGGAGTTTCGCTGCCACTTCTTGGCATTCTTCGAGATGTAACAGCGTGATGATTTGGGGTTTCAGGCGGTTCTGAATAATGAGGCGACAGCATAAGTTTTTCAAGTTTGGGAAGCGATTTATAGCCTTGTAAAATTGCTGGTCGAGAAGGATTTGGAAATGAGGACCGTGATAGAGAAGGTTTTTGATACTTCATTTTTGTTTTTGTGAGACCGTTTTCATGGCTGGAATAGTAAAATAAATATAACAAAATAGAAATAATTAAGTTTATTTAGTGTAAAGAAAAGAAAACATTGAAAACTTTATAGATGATATTTTTGCTGAGCATGACTGAAATTATAAAAATATAAAAATTTGGATATAAATAGACTTTGTAAATTGAAATGGAAAGAAAAATTCTCCATGTCTTGCAATGCCAATGATTATTCACTGTTGCAATATAATAGCAATAAGCAGATTTAAATAATCAAAATCTATAAAATATAGCCACATAAAGGGTGCATTATTCTGCTTTGGCATTTCGAGAAGTTAAATAATTGATTTATTTTTGAGTTCTTAAAATTTTGAATTAATTTTAATTCGTTATTGGAGCAAGCGCAACACGATTTCTTCCTTGCGAAGCTGTTCTTTGCGTTAGTTTTTGAAACTCTCTGGCCTTATCTCCTACAAGACACTTAATAATATGCAGCAACCCAGGCTCCTTGATATTTTCAGTCGGCTTAATCTGCCTTGAGACTCTCAAAATTTCTTTCTCAATCATATTATTCATAACATCAATAATCCTCGAAATATTTTCTCTAACCCATGTAATTTCGCTGTGAATCGAAATATTTTCAGTTTCAGGGGCAAAATCTGTATCTTTTTCACTTACTCTCATGCTTTTATTTAAATGTATTGGTTTTCCTTCTCTTGAAGTGCTGAGCTTTTTTATTCTTAATTTTACTGTTTCTAAAATATCTCTTGGGGTTCTAGTAAAAGAGCCGTTTAGCTGCTTTTGTTTGATTTCATCTTTAAGCCGGTCAAGTCTTGCTTGGAATTCTTTTAGTTCGATGTCTTTTTGAGCCATTGATAACAAAAAGTGAGCTGATTCGTCATCAAGGAACTTAGGAAAAGCAGAGACTGGGACTGGCTCATTCATAGACCACAATGCTTTGATGACCCATCTTAGCCCTTCAGACCGAATATCAGACCCATCTTTTAAAATTCTGCAATAAACATTTATAAGCCTTGCTTTTGCTTTTTTCAGTTCTTTTTTCAAGTTTTTCCTCAGTTCTTGACTGTTTTCAAGCATTTTTTGATTTTTCTCTAGCGTATATACCAAGTCATCATGCTGCTTATGAAAATTCACATACAATGCCTGCTTTTTCTGCCTAATTTTTTCTTTCCTTATAAATCTTTCATTTTCTGATCCTAAAGGTTCTCCTTTCACTTTATTAAACAAAAACTCCTCAGCTTCTTGCTGATGATACTCCACAACGTCATTTTCATATTTAACTTCTAGATCCTTAATCTTTTGCTTTGTTTCTTCTACTTGCTTCTTCCAATCATGAATAGCAAGGACAGAGTTTTCTATCTCCTTTTTAATTCTTGCCATTTCTGCATGTGTAGCTTCTTCAAACAGCTTGTTTGCCTCTTGAAATCTTTTTCTTTCATTTTCTTCTTCTCGCTTTCTATTTCTTTCCAAGTGCAAAACTGACTGAATGGCTGAGGTAATTTCATCAAACTTACTAGAGTGATTCAATAAAGAATGAATTGGCTCAATACGTGTGGAATGAGAAGTTTGGTCAGGAGTTTGAAATTTAAAAGTGAAGCGCTTTGTAGGGGATCTTGGAGATTTAGGAGATCGAAGTGGAGACCTGTGGATTTTTCAGTCTGAAAGGATCTCGACTTGGGCTTGCTCTTCTTGAGCTTTTATCTGCTTGGTATCAAGTTTTCGAAGCTTGCGTCCGCGGAGTAGATCTTTTAACTGCTCGATTGTACTTGTAGTATAACGTTTTTTATCTTCTCTGCTATCATTTTCTCTGCTGGTAGAAAGAACATTTGGAGGCTGGACCATGATGTCATCGTTAGGCAAAAAGATTGGTTTTAATTTAACTCCTTTCATTAAGATCACAGTTTAATTAACATATTTGATAATTAATTAACATAATTATTGAAAATTTAACTATTTAATGTACGATCTTTATTGCTATCTTTTAATTTTATACAATATTTGGAAAATATGTTTCTTTTTACATATAAATAATTATAATAAAACTATTTATATAATTATTGCCTAGGTATAGGAGATCCTTTGCTTTATGGTTTTTTAAGAACTATTATGTATCTATTTGAAATTTTCGCAGCTTGTAAAAGACTCAAACATTTTTATTTGTTAATATGGATTAAAAATGCATCAAAATTTATTTCACACTCTGTAAAGTGCGCAGGAATCGAATGGCTTCATTTTACTTGTCATCTTTAACCACTGGTGAAAATATTCTCACTATATAATAGCTGCATATCATTTATTTTAAGCTGTCTTTAATAACGTCCAATACATTTCAAGTCCAAAAATATTGATTTAAAGAGCTTTTATATATTTATGCTTTATGTAATAGGGGCTTACTGAGCAGCTATAATTCCATAATAATTAAAGAAAATGAGTCTGTTTTGCGAGGCAAGAGAGGAACTAGAAAACGATTTACTCAATTGAATGGCTGATATAAAGCGTGAGCTTACAGAGTGCGCAGAAGAAAGATCAGCTTTCTATGGGTTCGATTTTGATACAGAAATTCCTCGCACTAATGAAGACCAAAGATATCAGTGGGAGGGGCTTTATTCCTCTTCTATTTCGAAGCTGCGGACTTCTATAAATTCAGAACCGGAATCGACAAGATCAACACTGGCTACATTGCAGAATGGTGTTGACGAGATTCGTGAAATCGCTGGACTAGTTCTGTGCATTTCTGTAGAAGATGATTTTTTGAAAGATCATTAATTACAGTTGCATACACAACCACATAATTTAATTCACAATTTTCTGTCTATAAGTATCATTGTTGCAATTAAATGCATTTAAAATAGTTTAATAGGTAGATGGTATAGGTAGAAATTAATAAGGTATAATTTTTTTGGATTATAAGTTATCTTTGGGTGCAGTAAGTCATTCCGCCATTTTCATATTGTGTATTAGACATTTACTCTCATCAATCTATATTTAGATGTTTATTAAAATTTCACCTGCTTTAAAAGCTAGACGTGTGAAGTAAAAATCCATAGTCATATACTTATTTTAAATAAACACTTAATCCTCATACAAGAAAATATTAATTAGGGTAGGTAAAAATATTAATTAGGGTAGGGTAAAGTAAACATTTTTCTTCATAAAAGAAATAGGACAATTTCTAGTTTTTTTTTCTTCATTCAAAATTAATTTTCATTATAACAGTCTATTTTTGAGGTAACTAGCTAGCAAAGCTCGTCTCACATGCGAGAACGTTAAATTGGCTGTTTAAAAGGGATGCCACCTTGTTGCTGTTAAATTCTAGAAATAAAAGGAAAATTCCAAATAAATTAAAATCTTCCAATATTAACCTCTCTCACCTCCATAAACCTCCAAAAGCCTCTTAAAACCCATCCGCTGTTTCTCCCTTCTAATCTTTTTCTCCGCGAATTAAATATGAAATGATTCTTACAAACAAAGAGAGAGAAAAGCTCCATAAAGCAATATACTCATATCTTCTCTCGCAGAACTTCACCACATCAGCCCAAGCCTTCATGCAAGATGCTAGCGTCACAGAAGACCCCAGCTCCTCTGATTTGTTAGAAAAGAAGTGGTCATCTGTCGTCCGCCTTCAGCAAAAAGTCATGTCTCTACAATCTGAGCTAGATCAGCTCAAAGAAGAAATGGTTTTTTACGGCCCAGGCAAGAAAATCTCCGACTCAAACTCAAATAAACTTGTAGGGCTCCCAAGAGTCCCCGAAAAGCATACCTTGACTGGCCATCGCGAGCCTGTAACATGTGTCGCTTTCCACCCAGTCTACTCAGTCATAGCTTCCTCCTCTGAAGACGCATCAATCCGCATCTGGGACTACGAGTCAGGTTCTCATGAGAGAAGCTTAAAAGGCCACACAGCTGCAGTCAATTGTGTAGCATTTGAACCCAATTCTGGAAATTTACTTGCGAGCTGTGCAGCTGATTTAACTATAAAACTGTGGTCTTTTGATTCTTTTGAGTGTACTAAGACACTGCATGGACACGATCATAATGTAAGCTGTGTCCAATTTTTCCCTGCTGGCGATTTTTTGCTGTCTTGTTCAAGGGATACGTCAGTCAAGATGTGGGAAGTCAGCACTGGGTTTTGTGTGAAAACGTTCCAGGGACATACTGATTGGGCAAGGCAGGTAGCAATTAATAGCTCAGGGAATTATTTTGCATCGTGCTCAAATGATGAAACTATTCTGGTGTGGGCAGTAGACGCACAGAATCCTTTGCAGACACTTGCAGGGCATAGTCATGTGGTAGAAAGTGTGTGCTTTGCGAACCAAAATGCAACAGCAAGCTTGCTGGAGGCTGATTTTAGGCATAAGACAGAAGAAGAAAAGATGAACTCAGCCAGGGCGCCTGAGTTTATCGTGACTGGGTCAAGGGATAAGACGATCCGCATATGAGAAGCATGGACTGGAAATTGCTTGATAGTCTTGAGAGGTCACGACAATTGGGTAAGGAAACTTGCATTTCACTTACTCCTAACTCTTGGTTATCGAACATTTTTCAAAAAATCTATACCCTATGACAGCGAATATAAAAAATTAAAATAAAAAGAAGAATAAAATGGTGATTAGACAGAAGATGACTCAAGGCACAATCTCTATGTAACAGGTAGGACTTTCCTGATGAAGCTGAAAATAGTACCTCTGTCACTTTTGAAGCAGGACTTCGGTTTGAGGATGCCTGACTAAGAGGGAAGTTTTACCTGTCTCTGCCAGATGGACTATACAGGTTTTGCCTCCCGCTGATCCTTTGCTACTCGGGACTCATATGGGGGATCTAAAAGAGGTTGTTTTACCTGGGTAGATAATTCTTAGGCTAAGTTGATTTACACCAGATCAGTAGGCTAGTGGTCTATCCGCTTATGGCCTTATAACACTAACTAACTACTGGCTGCCTATTTCAAATAGTAAAAGGATAACTGCCAGTTAGTGGAAATCTTGTTTTTCAATGCAATTAGGTATAAATTTTTAAATACTTGAGGGAGAATATAACTTAATTCATAATTATGTTTTAGGATGTAAAGGATAAAATTGACTAAATTAGCTGGATTCCATCATAATTATCATTAATTATATCTCAAATTATTATTTCTATTAAATTTTTTACTTACTAATGGGTTTAATTTCTCAAAAATAAGGATTTTGGTCGCTAATCATGAGAAGAGCTAGGAGGAAGCTATCTATATTCTTGTAGCGACGATAAGTCTATAAGAGTCTGGGATTTGAAAACTGGAGGCTGCTCCAAAAAGCTGCTTGACGTCCATGGGCACTTTGTCTTATGCCTAGCTGTGAATCCACGGTATAGCGTGAGCACAATTTTAGCGTCTCCTAACGTCACTTCCTCCTCAGCAGCTGGGAGATTTGACTTGCCATTGAAGGTGACGAATCAAACCCAAGTTGACAAAGCAAGACCCTTATGACTGGATTTTCCAGCTTAGTGTTGGCTCGCCACCTTCAATGACGAGTCAAATCCCCCAGCTTCTGAGGAGCAAGAAACGCTAGGGCACGCTAAAAGCGTGCCAATACTATATCCTCTGTTAGCCTCTGGCAGTGTGGATAAAACAATAAAAATTTGGGAGTGTCTTTAGATCTATTAGCTAATAAATAAAACGACGAAAATGGAATCATTTATAAATGTTTTTTACAGACCCGAATAGAGATTATGGAGCTGTTTTGAAAAGTTGGTGAAGTGGTGTGCCAGCATATACAAGATTCATTATTTATGTCGCATGTGGAACCTATATTTTGTCATGGGTAATGCTTGGCTTTATTGCTAAATTACTCCCTCGATAAGTGGAATCCAATAGAAAAAATCTATTTTTGGATATTAAGCCTCCATGAGCAAAAGAAAAAAATGTTTTTATTAAAAATATTCATATATATAACGATTAAATAGATTAAATTTCTAGCTAATTATGTTAAATTTTAAATAGCTTACTTCTAAAAATAATTTTATAAAATAAATTATATTTTTTACTTTAAAATTTTTAGGATTTTTGGTTTTCTAAACATTCAAAAGCATATGAACTCCCCTTTCATGCAGGCAAAAACATTGCTCGATACAGATGGGTCTTGTAAGCTGATAAACATCCCGATCCTTACTATCCAATATTTCCAGTTTTGGAGGCTTTTTACATCACCTTTTATCGCTTATAGCTTACTTACTTTACTTTTTGAGATGATGTCATATTTGCCAACTGCATGTAAAACAGAGAGAAGACTGGGGACGGCTAAATACGTAGCTTTTTTTATGATAAATTTTCTGATACTAGAGCTAGCATTTTCTGCGTTATTATATGGGCTTTCGTTTATACCATCACTTTCAGGGCTGTCTCTAAATCCAACAGCAGGACTATGGCCACTTATAATGGTTGAAATGGTTATTAGATGCAATATGAACCCAGATTCTCCCACTTCTTTTTTTTGCTTCCCTATTCAAATAAAAGCAAAATATATGCCATGGGCTTTTCTCTTATTATTTTCATTATTTGCTGGCGTGCTCTGGGATTTACTTGTAGGGATTATACTAGGATATTTACGTAACCTATATTTAGATGTCTATAAGTTGATGGAATTTACTTATATCTCAAACGAAAAAGCTGCAGCACTTGAAAATTCTATTTTGATGAGTGGGCTTAAGAATATTACTAACTTCATCAATTTAGCTGATGCAGGAAATGAGGAACCAATGTCTGTAGTCCAACAAGGTAGCTCAGGGATTGCTCTTCAGCAGCCAAACATACAAGTCCAAAGGTCTCAGCCTTTTGTACCTTTTGGCGGGCAAGGATATAGGCTTGGAGGAGAAGATAATTCAGGGCCTAGAAGACATCACAAAGTGATTTTTATGTAGCTTACCGAGGTAGAGAATGTAAAAGAAGATGATTCTTTAGTATAGCTAATTATTTTGCTTAAATCTTTTATTTGCTATTGCCATATAATAATATGGAAATTAGCCAAGACAATAGATATCCTCTTATATAAAAGTATTGCCTATACAAATTCTTATTTTCATATAAAAATGCCCTGGTTATCCCAACAGTCTATTTATATCAAAAAATCGAAAAGGTTGGGGAAGGAACCTACGGAGTAGTCTATAAAGCTTTAGATATCCAATCTCAAAGCATTGTAGCTTTAAAAAAAATCAGACTTGAGTCTGAAGACGAAGGAGTCCCTTCTACCACTATAAGAGAAATCTCGTTGCTCAAAGAGCTTCGACACCCCAACATAGTCCAGCTCCAAGACATTGTTTTTACCTCAAATAAGCTGTATCTCATTTTTGAGTTTTTAAATCATGACCTTAGACGTCACATGGATTCTGTAGGAATGCTAGAAGAAGAAAAAATTAAATCATATCTTTATCAACTCTTACAAGGACTTTATTATTGCCACTGTAGAAGAGTTATTCATAGAGATTTGAAACCTCAAAACTTGCTAATTGATAAAGGGGAAACTTTAAAACTTGCAGATTTTGGACTTGCTAGAGCGTTTGGGCTGCCAATGAAAACGTATACGCATGAGGTTGTGACACTGTGGTATAGAGCTCCGGAGATCTTGCTTGGAGCTAAACAGTATTCGGTGCCAGTTGATATATGGAGCGTTGGATGTATTTTTGCAGAAATGGTGCAAAAAAGGCCGCTTTTCACAGGTGACTCGGAGATTGATCAGCTTTTTAAGATATTCAAAGTGCTTGGAACACCTACTGATCAAGTTTTCCCAGGAGTTACATCATTTGCGGATTTTAAGCCAACTTTTCCTAACTCTCTTAGACGAGTTTTATTAAAAAAAAATTAAGAAACTACAAAGCGTGCAAACAGATATTCTAATATAGATAATTATATATATAAAGAGTGTTGGCCCATAATTAATAATATTTTAATTAAAATCAATTGATATGGATATTTTAAAAAAAATCAAGCCTATCAAAGAATTCTGGCTCATAGCGGATGTAAGTGAAGAGGAGAAAGCCTGAGAACTCTTGTCCCAAATATCAGTGAAGATGGACTTGATCTATTGTCAAGCATGATTTGCTATGACCCGTCCAAACGGATTTCGGCCAAAAATGCTTTGAAGCATCCTTACTTTAGCGATCTAGACTGTTCTTTACTACAAATGTATGAAAGAAGATAAAGTTTTGCATATATTTTACATAAATTCATTATCTCTTGCAAATAAATCTAGGAAATCAGCTCCTAACGAGCTTAGAAACATCAAAGGTTCCTTTTGCTTTTGCTTATTAGCACTGCTTATAGCCCTTCCAGATTTTTCTTTAAATTTATTTCCTTTCCTCTTCGGCGATTTGTCAAATTTATTTTCTTCCTCTTTTTCTTCTGTTTCATAATCCCTGGACTTTCCCCTTTTTGGCGAAATTGGTGTCCATCTCTTTTCTCTTTTATTGAGAATTATAGGAATTTCTTTATTACTTTTTTTAACTGGTATTTCTGTTCATGCTTTATTTTGCATTTTCATAGTGGGGTCATTTTCATCTCTGATTGATTTTGTTTTCTGTTTATTTTCACATTGAATTTCCAGCTTTTTTCAAGAATCCTTTAAAGCTGGCTTACTTTTTTCTGAGAAAATTGTTTGTGTATTGGAATACGGCTCATTTTCTTCAGAATCTGAAGAGAAATGGCAGTCGTACATGTTTTCTACACTTATGAAATCTCCATCAGGATGTGGGGGAAGTTCAAGACCAGTCGCTTTTGGAGGCGTTTTATGTCTTGATGGAGGCCTTGGGTTGCTTATTGTGTTTCTCATTGGTCTGATTTCAACTTGCTCTTTAGGATTATGCATAAATCCATTAAGCCTCTACTTAAAATATACAGTGAAAAATCTGTCTTCAAGATCAAAAGCTTTATCATTCTGCCTGCTTGGAGGCCTTGATATTTCTATGTCACTATCGCTGCCTTCTGAGTCGTCTTCTAGCTCTCCCAGTCTCAGCTTGCTTTGTCTTGTTCCTTTTTCTAGCCTCCCAGATCGATCTGGAGACATATGAGGGGATGTCTGATGTCCGAATTTCCTGGATTTTGTGTTGGATGGTTTTATATTATTTTGATAAAGCTTTATAGGGTTTCTTGATCCTTGCTGTTTTGTGTATGAAAACAATTTAGTGGAAGTTTCTGGGGTTTGTTTGGATTTTCTGCCAAAATTATTATCTTCTTGGAGAGGTGCTGTACCAGCTCGCAGCATGGATTCTCTGGTTGGATATTACAGTTTGGTGCCAAAAGGAAGCTGCCAAGGAGAAATAGCTGCCGTAGCTTGACTTGTTGGGTTATGCATGAAACCTTCTTGTCTTCTCATTGTTTATAGAATTATTTTAATTTATTATGAGCTTGTATTGATGAATAATCAGATATTTATATAAATAGTAAATATCATTCATCTGTATTTTGTTGGAAAAAATATGCTTTGATATTATCTTGCTTTGCGTTTTCGAGAGTGAGCGAGTTTTTTAGCTTACTCCCCCCCTCCGTGAGTGAACAAAACCATTAGAAAAATCGCTATTTTTTGCCCAAAAAACCCACCCCTCCGTGAGTGAACAAAAAATTTTTTTAATAGAAAAAATTTTTTATGGAAAAGAATTTTGATATATAAATGATAATTATTATAATGAAATCTAGAGCTAATTCTGTTTAATTTTAAACGAATTGCTTTTTAAAACATAAATTTTGAAATTGAATTAATATTTGCTTTTCCAATTTTTGCGATTTAGGATTTTTTTAAATTTCGAAAAAAAAAATATTTTTTATAAAATTTATATATAAATTTTTTAAAAAAAAAATTAACCCCCCTCCGTGAGTGAACAAAATTTTTTTGTTCACTCACGGAGGGGGGGATTGTTAGCAATTATAAAGGATCCTTATGCATCAAGCTTTTATTACTTATTTTCTAGAATATTTAAAAAAATCGTATAATTTAGCCCTATTTTATAAATAATTGTTAAATCCTCACAAAGTTAGATATTTTTTCAAGCAATTTGATATTTAATTATTTTACAATTATGAAGCTAACTTAGCTCATTTCACATACTTTAACAATCCGGTTAATTTTCTTTTTCTGAATTAATTCTATAACAATAATTTAAGTCCTACTCTAGCTTGGTGAACATTTCTTTGACATTTTAACGTTTAAGAATTCTATTATTTGTATAATAATATCAAGATGTTCAGACCTCTTCTACACTTATCAAAGCCAAAAATTGTATTAAAACCTTCACTGTTTACAGATCAGGCAAGAATGGATGTTGCTGCCAAAATCAATAGCGAGTTCTCCTTCGCTATCAATTCCGAGAAAATCGAGAAAGATCAGAAGCCTACAAGACCTGCTGTTAATAAATAATTTGTTATTAATAAAGAACACAATCCAAAGCAAGAAACTCAGGCTTTGATTCATAAATTCATAATATGGACTCTTTCGATCCAGAACAGAAATTGAAAAAATTCTGAAATTTTGATTTGCGGATTGACCTTGATTCTGTTCTTTAAGTTAAAAATAAGACAGATTGGACTTTTTGGAAGATACTTAATAAATCTCAACAATAGAAAAAAGGAAAATATTGTTTGAAAGAAAAGGAAAAAAGCGCGAATATTTTTGCAAGAATAAAACCTAAAGGTATAATTGCTAGAAATGTTGAAAAGGGTTATAGAGCTGTTAAATAGAAATATCAACAAGTGCTAAGTCCTGAATAAATAGAATAGTAAAAAATTAAAGAGGTCAGTATATGATGAAATTTTATTTATGATAAATGAGCTTATTTTTAGTCATTTTTTCATACTTTTTAATCGCTTAATAAGCAAAATATACAGAAGAATTTACTAAATTTATTTTTTATAAAATTTATTAAAGAAGAGAAGTTATATAATCACATCACTATAAGGGTGCTTAATGAAGAGTATTTTCACAGCTGAATTCCTGAGTGTCAGATGTTTCCACCTGAATTGTATTATGGTTTATTCCATATTTATTTTGTAATAAAGATGTAGCTTTCTGCAATGCAGCATGTGTATCTCTAGCAATAAGATGGCATGACATTGAATTCTTCCCAAGGCTTAAGCTTCAAACATGCAAATCATGCACTTCTTTTACCTCTTCAATCTATATAAATCATACGCTTAGCAGTTCCATATACATTGCATCAACATCAATATCTATTGGGCTTCCTTCCATAAGTATTCCTATACACTTTTTGATTATTGGAAAAGTCGTAAATGTCACTAATATAGAGAACACAAAAGTGCATATAGGATCTGCAATACTCCAGTCAGGATTTCATAAAATGATGGCTGCAGCTATAATAACTCCAATACTTTGAATTAGATCACCTAAAACATGTAAAGTTGCCGCTTTTATATTGACATCTTCTTCATGAGCATGGTCATGCCCAGTGCTTATATCTGAATGGCTGTGAGAAGAGTGCAAGATAACCCCCATAACAATATTGCTTAATAATCCTATAAGTGCCGTTATCATCATAATTCATCCATCAACAATTCCTGGACTTTGGATTCTTTCGATTGCTTCATAAACAAGCCAAATTGTTAACCCTCATATCAGGGCAACACTAATGACTGCTCCAATAATTTCGGCTCGATGATAACCATAAGACATTATCATAGAAGCTGGCCTTACTGCGATATAAAGTGACGCTATCGAAATAGCAAAACCTGAGAGGTCTGAAAACATATGAGCAGCATCTGTCATAATTGCAAGTGAGTTTGCTAAAAGCCCTCCTATTATTTCAACAATCATAAAGAAAAAGCATATACCAGACGTAATATAAAGCTTAGTTAATGATTGCTTATTTCGTCGATGGCAGTGCTTCTTTTTTGTATCGGATTGAATAAGAGGCACTTTTATAGTGATATCTGACATTGCTATTAAGATATTTTCTATTTAAAATAATATCGGTATCTCATTTTACTAATGGTGCATATCCGAAAAGTAACATATAAATTTTTTATATTACAAAAATTCTTTTTAGACTAGATATGTCGATCATCATATTTATGTAGATGCTCAATATAAAATACTATAGCCTATTGACCTTTTTGGGTACCAGTAAACTGATTTACGGGTCGAATAGTTGTCTATTTCCCAGTCAGAATAGGTGACTGGTTGCGAAAATATACCAGTTTACTTGCGCGCAAAAGGCTCAACGGCTGATATTTTTAGAATTCGAGTGTTTGTAAAATTAAATACAAAAGAAAATTCAAATAATATAAATTTTAAGCTTTATAAATAGCCAACTTATTAATTGTTTTGAAAATAATTATAAAAATGAGCAGATTTAAGCCCATAACAGATGACTTAAAACTTCTTACCCCTCTGTGAGAAAAACCCTTTGAAAAGTCCTGCTTTTTTTTTTTTTATTACCATCTGTGAGCAAGCAAAAAATTGTTTATAAATATAATTAATGAAATCTCTAGCTAATTAATTATATTAAATTTTAATTAAATTAGCATTTTTTTAATAAAATAAAAATAATATCTAAAATTAAGCTCGCTCATGAAGAGAGGAGTTAGCAAAGAACTAGAAAATTTAAGAAGGATGAAAAGAGGAGAATGCGAACAAGTAAGCACACCAACTCGAGAATTAAGTGAAAATGGGCTGAATGAAGAGTGCCCAAGTTCAAAAATTTCAATTGAAACTAATAGAGAAAGAATTTCAAATGAATCAGATATTAAAAAGATTCGTGAAAAAATTAAAATTGAACCTATTGAAGATTATAAAGGCATAAGACAAAACGATTCACCAAAATATCAAAAAGTCAGCAACACAAACTTAGTGCTTGAAAGAATCAGAAATATCTCGCTTCCTAGAACTAACTCCCCGGTTTAAATAGCGAGCAATACCATCATTTTTTCTTTAGGCGCCATTTAATAAAGAGCAACTTTACTTTAAAATTTAATTCAAAAAGTTATTTTTTATTGATTTTAACTATAATTACAATGGTTTATAATACTTTCGAGTATAGCTAAAATTTTTATTATTTATACTACTATTTTACACATTCTTTCATTTAAATTCTTTTAAAATATTGAAAAAATAATTTTTTAAAATATTTAAAAATCCTATTATCATTAATTTGTATCTCAAATAATACTTGTGAATATTTTTGGCGCTTTTAATTATATAATTCTTTACTTATTCTGTATTTTTTCTACTTATAATTTTTTGAAATCAAGTACATCTGAATTTCATAAATAAAAATTCAAATAATTATTTTATAATCCAATTATTAGTAATAAACAAGTAACGTGTTCATTATTAAATAAGGGGAATAAGAGGAATTTTTCATCCACCTCAACTCCATGCAAGAATGACTCATCATTTAATGCTTTGCACTACAAATACTCAGAGCTCGAAGAAACAATCAAGAAGCCAGAAACATCAAAAGAAATCTTAAAAGAACAAATTATGAATATTTTAGAATCTCTCGACCAGGATATGCCTTACACCGAAAGAGCTAGTGACATAAAGCCTCCTGCACTTTATTTAAAAAACATAGAATCAGCTGGTGCCTCACCTTCCCAAAACAGTCCCCACTCAGTCGCAGAGTCTTATTTCTTAAATAAAAACTATTCATCACTTGCATCACACTTAAGGAAACAAGAAGAAACCAAAATTCTGATAGACGACGAAATAGATAATATGAAGCATAAAATATCAGAGCTTAAAGTAAATAATGCTGTGAAACTAGAAAACGAAAAAATAAGGAACCTTAAATTGCAAAGCAGCATCAGTAAAGTTGAAAAAGATCCCCAAATTTCTGCATTAATAGAAGTCTATGAAGATGAGATCTGAAAACTTGAAAAAAATATTCAGAATTTAAGGGCAGATTTAATCAAATTTTGTGAAGAAGTAGAAAAAAAGAACCCTCAGCCTACTACAAATAAGCATAAAACAATTATGCTAATTCAAACAATAAAAACTCTCCAGCAAGAACTGCAAATAAAAGAAATGGAAATTTATAATCTTAAAAAACATGATAGAATATTCACTATAAATAGAAAAACTCTTGAGATTACAAACAGCAAGGTGAGGCAGCTTCAAAATAAAGTGACAAAAAAAAGCTCAATCCTAAAAGAATGCGAATCAGTACACAAAGAATCAGAAGATACTTACAACGCAATGAAACAAGAAAATTTGTGACTTAAAACAAGCCTAGAAAAGGCTAGAGAAGATTGTGAATTTTTAATGCAGGAATTAAAATCTCTTAAAGAGACATCTTCAATGCCCAAAAAAAGCTCCCTAGCTACTGAGGATAAAAAAGCAATCTTTTTGATAGATAGGCTTGAAAAAGCAATAAATGAAACCAATTCAGCAAAAGCAGCTGATTTGATAAGATGCCTGAAAAATGAGATTGAAAATATATACATCGACTTGCACAATAAAAAAGAGCAGGAGCAAAACCTTTTAGACATGCTTGTAGACATGAAATCTGACACTTCTAGCATAGGAAAAGAGATAAATAGGAAGCTTAGGAAAGATTTGCTGTCTTTAATTTAAATGTATTTATGAATGAGTAATTATAAAAATATTCATATGATTTTTTTCATCTTTTTACACATTGCTAGTGCAGCACTTTTAGGAGAAAGAACAGTTTTGACGAGTTCAGCTGTAGAAGGAGAGCTTCTTAGGGTCAGGTATGTTTTAAATAATACTTTTGAACAGTAATCTCAAATTAGTGAAATCCGTAATGTGGCTCTTTTCGACCCGAGCTTTACAAGATCAAATGTAATCTTTGTTGAAGGCAAGTCCAAAGCGAAGCTGACATATGGCACCATAAAATCTGGGAAAGCTTACCATGTTGATTTAGACATGATCCCTAGATCTCCAAATAAAATACCATTACTCATAGCAAATGCTACTTATGAGCTTCCAGATTCATCTATTCAGACAATTCCTTTATTTTCTGAAGGGGAAATCAACGTAATATCTAACTCCTTCATATCGAATGATTCAATTGAAAATTTCTTAATAATGGGGAAATTAGCATAGTCACCTGCACATTAAATAAAATAATTATAAGGTCAATAAAGAAATTTATATATAAATGTCTTCAGAAGTTTTTTGTTCTCTATTCTATCAATTATTCCAATCGGCTCAATCAAAGATTGGGATAAGCGAAAGTCTTTCCTCAATGACGTGAAAGTATCACAAGTATTTTATCTTTGGCTTTTTATGTGCCTTATCACAATTGTCCCAATCCTCTATTCTTTTCAAATCAGAAAAGCAAAGAATAATTTAATTAAGTCAAAATCAAGCTAAATTAGTATCTAACTCCCCCCCCCCCCTCCGTGAGCGAACAAAAAAATTTTGTTCGCTCACGGAGGGGGGTTAATTTTTTTTTTTTTAAAAAAAATTTATATATAAATTTTATAAAAAAATATTTTTTTCGAAATTTAAAAAAATCCTAATTTGCAAAAATTGGGAAGCAAATATTAATTTAATTTGCAAAATTTATGTTTTAAAACGCAATTTGTTTAAAATTAAACAGAATTAGCTCTAGATTTCATTATACTAATTATCACTTATATATCAAAATTTTTTTCCATTAAAAATTTTTTCTATTAAAAAAAATTTTTGTTCACTCACGGAGGGTGGGTTTTTGGTCAAAAAATGGCGATTTTTCTAATGTTTTTGTTCGCTCACGGAGGGGGGGGGGGAGTAAATAAAAATGTTTAGAGCCAGGTCTCTAGCAAGGTCTTTTTCAATACTAGATTACAAAAACTCAGCCTCGCTTTTAGACTCTTACATGAGCAGTATCCCTGGGCCAGGCTTGTCCCCAGCAGCTGAGTATGCAGCCCTCCCAAAAGTTGGTATGCTTTCAGGAGTCTATGAAGCCACACGTGATTTAGCAATTGTAATAGCTACATAGGACATAATTACTGCAGTTAACGACATGGGCTATGGAATGGGAGTTGGCATTATATGTATATCTGTTGGTTTCCGTATAATTTACAGCCCAATTCTCTTATGGTCGCAAATTATTGGGCTTAAGCTTAAAATGATACAGCCAGAAATGAATAAACATAGAAGCGATATGCAGCAGGTATATCAAACAGGAAATAGAAAACAGCTAGCTGTATTGAACGCTAATTTCAGCAGACTTAAAAAAAGCTTTGGAATCAGGCAAGATGCTCAGTTGTATTCATTGACTCAAATTCCATTTTTAATCTCTTTCTTTTTTACCTTGCAAGAAATAGCATACTCACCAGATATTTATCCAGGGATGCTTACAGATGGCTTTTTGTGGTTTCAAAATCTTACAGAGCCAGACCCTTATTATATTTTACCAATAGCGTTTTCGGTCTGCAATTTTTTGAATATTCTTAAAAGTCCAACTACATCGGGAGCAGCAGGCCAATGAGCTAGATATGCTAAATTTATGAAATATTTTACGCTTTTAACTATTCCGGTATCAGGGCTGATGCCTGCCGCTATTGTGCTAAATTGGTTTATTATGAGCTTTTTCCAATTGATATGCAGTTCTTTGGTTTATACAAAAACTGGTAGAAAATTATTGACAATCCCAGAAATTCTGCCAGGAAGCCATACAGATAAGATAGCAAAAAAAGCAGCTGCGACGCAAATTATAAAGCCAGTAATATATTCACAAAAGCCGACTAATAAGTAAGAATTTTATTGAGCTAGAGTAGTATAGTAATTCTATTGATTGATCTTTTTACCAGATCATAATGTTTTTGATTATATTTTAAACTAAAGCAGCTTAATATAAAAATTCAGTTTATAGTAAAGTAAAATTTCTACTATAATATGCTACTTTAATAAAAAATTTATAATTTTGTATGGGAATTTTAGAAATGCTTCGTTTGCATTTCTTTTTTATTACAAGATAGCAATCTTTTATGGCTAATTTGAAATGATACTTAACTTTTGTCTAATGATTTAGGATTAAGATATAATTATCAATGATATCCCATATAATTTCATAAACTAACTCTGTCTTATTCATTCAATACTAATATTTAGCATATGAATAAAATATGCCTAAATATTTATAGATATAAAGTAAGAGCTTCAGAAATAAATTTATTTAAGTATAACATGAATTTAAATTATCAAAATCAGCAATCACCCTGAAACTTTTAAAAAAGTTTCCATTTATTCCCGACATACTATTAATCTTTTTTCTTCTTAATTTAGATTTGAAACTCTCATTTTTCAAGCTACTTATTTTCCTTAAAAAAACTTACTGCTAGATTAATCTTTTGATAACACTTTAGCATTATTTTTTTCTGATGCTGTAACAAAATTTTGCTCATCTTCATTTATTCATTGTAAAATAATCAAGTAAATGGAAACCCCTGGCGTGAGCGACGATGAAGAATTTTTTGATGCATTTGAAACCACAATGCAGCTGAAACTGAATCTATCCAACATTGACATAGAAACAAAAAGCTTGGACTCTCTGAGTGTCGCAGAATCAGAGCCTAAGCAAATAGAAAATTCTCATAGTCCTTTATACGACTCAACTCCTCAAATTTTTTTATCTGACTATTCCACCTATAACTCCTTATCCCATAAAGACCCAGATCTTTCGAAATCTAACATTTCTACGCCTTCAATAAAAAATCTTATTAAAAAGCATCACAAAGATTATTTCGAATTTGCTGATGCCGAACAAATCCAAGAGATAGATTTGGATTCAAACACCAGCAATAAAATATTAGTACTTAAATTCAGCCCCGACGGCAGATTTTTAGCTATAAGTGGCCAAAATCCTGAGATTAAGCTATATGAAGTGTACAGACAGAGGGTCCATGGACCTCAGAATTTGTTTTATGATGTGCCTTATAATGTTATGATTGGGCATACCTTGCCAGTTCTTGATATTTCGTGATCTCAAAGTTCGACTTACTTTCTTTCTGCAAGTGAAGATTGGAATGTTTTTCTTTGGAGTATTGCAAACTCTACTTCAGTTTTACAGTTCAAGCACCCAAATACTGTGAGCTGTGTTTGCTTTCACCCATTTAACGCAAATCATTTTCTATCAGGCTGTCATGATAAGACAGTCAGGATTTGGAATATTCCGAACTACACCGTTGTATGCTCAGCAGAAGCTCCTGAAATTATAACAGCGGGAAGCTTTACACCTAATGGAGATTTGATACTTCTTGGCTTACTCCATGGCCAGTGTCTTGTATATGAGCCTCAGTTTGAAGAGGAAAAATTAAACTTACTCACTCAAATTAACTGTAAAAATAGTAGAGGTAGAAAAAGTATGGGCAGAAGAGTGACTGGGTTTGACTTTTTAGATGAGCAGCAGGCACTTATAACTACAAATGATTCAAGGATGAGGCTATATAACTTAAAGGATTTCACATTAAAACAAAAATACAAAGGCCTAGTCAATGAGAAGTTTCCTATAAAATCGACTTTCTCCCACAACTTAATGCATGCAGTATCTGGGTCAGAAAATGGATGTATATATGTCTGAAACACCTACTGCACATGGGCGCCTAAAATAAATCCTATTTTTTCAAGGAAAAAGAACTTCAAAAACTACAGTTATGAGTGTTTCCCTGCTTCCAACACAAGAGCTCTTTGCTCTGCGATTTTTGCCCCTGATAAAGTTGTAAAGGAGGTCCAGACGCGCAATAAAAGTTCAAAAAGTGACCATATAGTAAGTCATATAGTTGTAGTAGCGTGCGAAGGGAAATTGAAAATTTTTTATAATCAATTTAAGATCATGACATGGTAATATATCTGTTTAAAAATTAGCCCGAAGTTATATAAATCTAAAATAAAATTTCACCATATAAAAAACGATAGACTCGAAATTTTTTCCTTATATTTTATAAGCCAAAATATCAAGCATAATGAAAATAATTCAAATTGATTCATAAATTAGACTCATAAAGAAAAAATGAACAGTGCTCCAGAAGAAGACTACGACTTTCTATATAAGATTGTTCTAGTAGGAGACACAAGTGTAGGGAAAACCAACATCGTTTCTCGATACATAAAAAATTCTTTACCAAAGAATCAAAATCCTACCATTGGAGTTGAATTTGCAACAAGAGTCGTGACTCTTAAATCTGGAAGAACTGTAAAAGCACAAATCTGGGATACTGCAGGACAAGAAAGATATCATGCTATTGTATCTGCACATTACAGAAGAGCTATTGGAGCACTGTTAGTCTATGATATTACCAATGCCCGTTCTTTTGGCAATGCACAGCGGTGGATTGAAGAATTGAAATCCAAGGCTGAGCCAGATATCGTTATTATGCTTGTTGGGAATAAAATTGATTTAGCGGCAAAAAACCCTGAAGCTAGGCAAGTGAGTACAGATCAAGCTAAGAAGTTTGCACAGGCTGAAGGGCTGATGTTTATTGAAACCTCTGCGGTAACTTCTACTATGATTAAAGAAGCCTTTGAAACGCTTTTGGAAGAAATTTATAGTAATTCGATGAAGAAGAGAAAAGGATCGATGGATGTATTTCCGAAACCTGATGGCCCACAAGTGAACTTGAGGATGGATAAGCCCGTAAATAAGCCTTGCTGCTAGGACTCATTAATAATTTAATTCTTATATTCTTTATTTATATAATTTTAAAATGGCGGAGGTACTAGACCTCTTGAAGCAATTTATTCAAAACCTGCAGACTTTGCCAGGAGAATCAAGTCGAGAAATAGAGTTAGCGCCCTTATTGTATTCGGCAGAGGCTTTAATCAAGCCATAGGATATGATGGGATTTTTCTCCTGATATGGAATTAAAATAGCAAATAGGAAATCGTCCCGAGATTAAATTCCATCCCTACTTGAATTAGTGACTCTTAACACAGCAGGTGCTCGGCATGAAACTGAGAGTTTCGCTCCAGACTCCAGACATTAGGCAAATAGATGTCCCAGTGCAGGTCAGATACGACATAGCCAAAACAAGACAATGATGCCAGTTGGTAGCTCTTTATAAAAGCTGATAAGCTTGCAGAGGTAGACATCATCGCCAATTTCATTTACTTTTTAATTTATTCTTTATTTAGCTTATAGTCATCAGTATACTTGCTCAAAAATAGTCAGAAACCAAAAATTAATTTATTTTAACTCCCCCCCCCCCTCCGTGAGTGAACAAAAAAATTTTGTTCACTCACGGAGGGGGGTTAATTTTTTTTTAAAAAATTTATATATAAAATTTTATAAAAAATTTTTATTTTCGAAATTTTAAAAAAATCCTAATTCGCAAAAATTGGAAAGCAAATATTAATTTAATTTATAAAAATTTATGTTCTAAAAAGCAATTCGTTTAAAATTAAACAGAATTAGCTCTAGATTTCATTATACTAATTATCATTTATATATCAAAATTTTTTTCCTTAAAAAATTTTTCTATTAAAAAAAAATTTTTGTTCACTCACGGAGGGTGGGTTTTTTTGGGCAAAAAATAGCGATTTTTCTAATGGTTTTGTTCACTCACGGAGGGGGGGGGAGTAAGTATTTCAAAAATTTTCTGCTCCTCTGAAATAGTGTCAGAAATTTAATTTTAAGCATAAAATTTATTAATATATATAAAAATTCATTTTATTCAGCAATACCGCTCAGGTAGATTAAACGGGTTCACTCAGACTCAAGATTCAAATGCTTGAAACCGATTCCTATCCCCCTTGAGCGAACAAAGCCATTTGGAAAAATCCCTATTTTTGGTAAAAACCCAAACCTCTTGAGTGAAAAAAATTAATCCTCTCTGTGAGCAAATCTAATTTTTGTTCGTTTATGGAAGGGGGGAGGTAAAGAAAATCATATATTTAAAAATTTACTTAATTTAATCTAATTTACTTTTGAAGTTTAAATTCTATAGAAAAGAGAAAAAAGTAAGTAAGATATTAATCAATCTCATTCTAAGCGGTTATCTTTATTTTAATATTAATTTAATAATAAAGCCATTTTAAAAGTTGACGCGTTTGCTTGTCAACTTTTTCACACTTGTCAACCATTTTTTGACATATTACTTTTTAATACTCCCTAGTATCGAAATCCGCTCGTCCCAAAGAAAGAGTCTGTCTTGGCTGTTTAGCCGTCCATCACATTTTGTTTGATAAAGAAATCTTTATAAGGGTATGGGTTATATGCCCATTATAGTTTTAAGATGCTTTTACTCAAATATTAATTCATAAAACAATAAATCGTCAAAAAATTTTTTAAAAGTTAATTTTTTTGGCTTGAATTTGGAATCAGATATTTTAAATTCTTTAGAATTGGTAGGGCTTATTGAAAAGATCTTTAATATGGGTAAGGGGACTAACTTTCTATTAACAAATATACAATAAAAACCCATATTCAGCTTATATTAAAATTTCTATTAATTTTGTTTGAATTTAGAGCTATTACTGGGATTCTGAATTTTGCATAAAAAAGTCAGCGTCTAGGAATCAAATTTCGAGCATTGGATCTTGATTCTGGGTGCACCCATATTAAACTAATATATAACTTTGATACCGACAGCAATAAAAATAAATGGCACTGCTAATTTTCTGTATCTTGCCAATAGTATTAACATGCGATTTCCCTGATTTGCCTCCACTAATCTCTTATTTATCGCCTGCATACGACGAAACAAATCATTTGGAAGCATCAGGAAGATTTTTAGTCCCAAAAACCTCAATTACTTGGGATATATCAGTTTCAGTTGATTCATGATTTAGAATCAAAGCAGAGCCTCTTAATCATGATTTACAGCTATCCATTTATCAGAATAATTTTATTCTTAAGGCAACAGAATCAGTTCAAGACGAATTTCTCGCCATTTCTCAAAAATTAAATATTGGGAATTATAAAATAACATTTGAGTTTATAAATACCATAAATAATGGAGAAACAGATAGCCTCAATGAAAACGACTGTAAGCTGCCCAATTTATATTTGAACATCGGAATTCATCCTTACACAAGACTAAAAGAATTAATCCCAGCCACTTTAAGTGACTACCAAGAAGGATTTCCTGATTTATCAAAAGTGAATGACGCATTAAAATCTTTAGACTTATTTAGCGAAACTTATTCAGAAAATTATATAAAAATTTCTGATATCCCCAATGAAGATTCTGCGTTAAAAACTTATACTTTTCATAATCCAGTTATCAATGACGATATGAAAGATATTGGTTTTACAGGAATCTGGAAAGTTACTTTGTCAATCCATCATGATTTCTTAACCAGTGGAGGGATCGGAATCCTGCTTTCTAACAATAACAAAAAAAAGATCACCAATTTTTCAAAGCTCTCTTGCATAGCTAAAGGAGACTGTTTGATCGGAAAAAGGGTTGACAAAAATGCAATAACTTTATATACAGGGTTTAGTACTGGAGATTTTTATTTGACAATATTTTATGCTGGCATGACTTCAGAAGAAAAAGAAATGCTTAAGTCAATTGGAAATAAAATCCCATTTTCGATCCATGCAAACTTGGAGCCGGTTCTTGATAAAGAAGATAGGTTTAACTGTGAGGCTGCTCATATTCCTCATTCTTTGAATTCTCCAGGTCTTCTAGACTCTAAAGGGTTTTTAAGATATTCTGATAGACTTATTGCTGATTTTTTTTCTCCAATTCAATACACTGAGTTTGAAATCAGCCAAAAATCAGTTATAAGGATTGTTACTGTGGAGCCTTCAGGAATTGATGTAGATATATTGCTGAAAGAATTAAATGGAAAAGAAATCGAAAAAAGCAGCGCTACAGGAGAAAGTGAAGGGATATTAAAGGTGATAAATGAAGGAAAATACAGAATTGAGTATAGGCTTGCGAATAGTCTTATGTCTAATCCAAGACATAAATTTTGTGAAACTTTTATGCTGGAAATCGGAATTTCCCCTTTTGAAGCAGTTGAAGGATTAGTTGAGTATCTTGGACTTAATTCGTGCAGGGATGACTCAGATGAGCTGCAAAATGAATTTTTGAAAATAAATACTATTTTAAGCTCAAAAAATGCGAATTTTGAGATGAATGCAGATGATAAAAAATTTTATAAAGTTCCTATAAAATCAATATGGATAGGCGAAGAAGAGGTTTTTAGGGCAAATTTTAATATTGAAACAACTGCTTATTGCTATTTTGACATTTATTCTGATTTTGTTATTAATGATTTCACTATTTCGTTAGAAAAACAAATCTCGAAGAAAAAGCGACCAGAATTGATAAGAGGAGATACCTCAGATATGCTAAAATTAGGGAAGCATAATAGAAGATCTTTTCAAGGAGAGCTTGGGCCTGGAATTTATACTTTTAAAATATGGACTGGGCCAACTTCTAAAGAAATAGTTTATGGTGAAAGCGTAGTTAAAACCAAAAAAGACAGCAATTTAAACATTTTGCCAAATTGTGGAGCATTTCAGTTAAGAATTCATGTATTTGCTGTAAAAGAAGAAAAATTAAGAAATTGGGCTTGCTATGAAAAAGATGCACAGCTAATACCTTCAACTTTTAATACTCTTGATAAATTAGGAGTTAAAGATACTCCAACAGGCTTATTGCCAGCGACTCACTCCCCCTTTAAATTGGAACAAAATATCGGCAAAATTTCTATATTTTAGGTACTTTAACCCTCGTTAAATTGGAGCAAAATTTATTTTTCAATAGGAAAATTTTATGTATGAAATTAATAATTTTTATAAAATTAGTTTTGATCTAATTTAATTAAAAAATGCAAGCAGAATATTATTTAAACAATTTTCATACTGAACCGATTACCAATTCTCTATAAAAATAAATTCAAAATTCAAAAATTTTTTTATAGAAAAACTTTATATAATTTGTTTTAAAAATTAAATTAAACCTTTTAAATTGGAAAAAAAAATCTTTTGTGGAGGGGGGGTCAGTATTTTTCTTTAAATATAGTTGCTCCAAATTCTAAGCAAAATGATATAAGTCATGACATTACATTTTACTTTGAAGCAGAAACCTTTCTTAGGGTTATTATTGAAAGCCAATCGTCACCAATGAAAATTAGCCTTAAAAAAGGCAGCAAAATTGAAATTATTGATGAATCAGCTACAAAGAGGCTTCCTTCTATCTACTCATTAAACCAAGTTTTAGAAAAGCATCAATTATACACCCTAGAAATCTCATATTACCCCATTAATTCTGATTTTTGCCATACTTATAAGGATCCCCCCCCTCATTTGTCGAATTTTCTAGTCTTTTTTTTATAAGAAATTTTTTTTTTTTCAGGACCTCATTTGTCCAAAAATCTAGTCAAAAATGATTTGTCCAATTTTCTAGTCTTTTTTGGATTTTTTCGAATGCCCTAAATTCTAGTTTTTTTTAAAGTAAAAAAACTAGAAAATGAGACAATTGAGGTCCTGAAAATTTTTTTTTTCTCTATCAAAATTTTGACTAGAAAATTGGACAAATGAGGTCCAAAAAAAATTTTTTTTTCCTATAAAAAAAACTAGAAAAATGGACAAATGATAAAAGACTAGAAAATTGGACAAATTAGGGGGGGGATCCTTACAGCATTAATATCTCTAATTCCCACAGCTGATATCGAAAAAGGATACCTAAAATCGTGCACAAACCTCCTTCCAGATGCAAATTTTATAACTGAAAGACTATTGGATACTTCCACATTTTCTTTATTTGGCTTTAACAATGAAAATGGACTATCTTCACTGTCAAATGAGCCTTCTTATCAATTTTTGCAATCTTGCAAACCATTGAAAATTGAAATCCCTTTTACGGTAACAACTGAAGCTGCTATGATGACTGGCCATTTGCAATCAAATTTTGCACTATCTGGAATAATCCTAGAACTAGCACAAGATGACGAAATAGTCCATTGGGGCAGTTTCTATGCATCCCATCGTTTTGAGCTTCCACCAATACCAGTTCCTAAAGGTGAGTACACATTGATTATTGAAGAAATTGAAAAATCTGCTATAAAAACCTGTGCATCATTTTCTGCAAGTGTGATAGCTGAGGACGTTTCTTTATGAGATGATTTAGAAGCTCTTGTAAGAAAAACAGAAACTTGTGCATACATTGACCAGCCTCAGTCTCTGAATCTTGTAGGTCAGCTTCAATCAGGAAATTTGCATTGGCATAAACTTTTAAAATTAGACACAATTCTTGAGTCCACAAGCTTTGAGTTTTCAGTTTTCCAGGACTCAATAATAAGAGTTTTTATAGTCCCACAGACTGAAATTTTATTTACAATCAACTTAATTAAAAAATCCCGACCTATTGAAAGATTGTTCACTGTCGATATTTCACAGCTTTCTGATGGGTTACATTCAAGAATAAGCCCAGGAGATTATATATTAGAAATCACATATTCTAGTGAATATGGCATGACATCTCATAAGCTCTGCCCTACATTTGAGATGGATTTAGATATAAAACTGCTTAAAGACTACAATAAACTAGCATCAAAATTCATTTGTTCTGGGACTGCTGAGTTGCCGACTGTTTTTGATGGTAAAACAAGCATATCTGAGATGTCATATATGCATAATTCAAAGCCTCTTAACCATTTAATTGAGGTAAATTTAGATAAAGATACTGAAATTGAGGCAAGAATTGCATTTGAAAACATCTTTTCAGGGTATATTTCTATGGAATTGCTTAAAAATAATGCGGTTATTGGAAAATCAGTTGGAATTGAAAACTTCAGCGAGTTATTGCTGCCGCTTCCTAAAGGGAATTATAAACTGCAAATAATTTCATCTTATAATGCAGAGCTTCCAAATGCCTGCTGGCCTTTAGAATTATCAATTCAAACAGAAGAATCTAAGCTAGAACTGCCTGTTGTAGGTGCAATGTTGCCTGGATCATTAAAATCAAAGGATGCTGAAGCTTTTGGAGGGCCTCAAGCTAAAGATGGATCTATAGATTTTGAAGGAACGTTTATTATAAAAGAAAATATTGATTCAGAGGTCATGAAAATCTATGCACCGGAGCATGCTACAGTTAATATAAAAACTGTCTCTAATAGCCCTGACGTTATGATTGAAAGCGGGATATATCAAGATAAAAATTTCAGAGAGCCTTTAGATATAATAAAGCATAGAAAAGGATTTAAAAGCCATTTTTATGAATTGCAGCCTAGAAAAGAACCATATTATTTATTGCTGACATACACAAAAGAGCAATCATTTAAAAAGAGCACAACTTTTGACCTCAAAATTGTGATTAATGCTATTAAAGTGGTAGAAAAGCCACAAAAGGAAAATATTGAGAGCACTAATCAAGAAATAAAGGAAAAAGAAGTTGTGGCTGTACAAGAAAATAATGAAAATAAGATTAAAGCTACTATTAAGAAAGCAGAAGATATTAAAAATCAAAATAATGATGAGCCTGAAAATGTGAGACCAACAGATCCTGTAGATCCATATAATATTGAAAAAGATTCACAAGAAAAACCTTCTGAATGCCATAAAAAGCTTGGGGAAAATAAGAAAAATGATTTTAATAATGAAAGCCAGATAGAATCTGAAAATAACGATGGAATGAAAGATAATTTTGCTAAAGCCAAAAAAGACCCGTTTAGTAATAATATCAAAATTAAAAGAGATAACGAAATAGGATGGAGCACTTATGTTTATTATATATTTTATATCACAATTGGTTTAGCTGCTGTTTATTTTATTTCTCACATGCAGAAAGCTCCTGCACCAGTGAGATATGAACCAATAAAAATGAAAAAACAGAAGCACACAGATGAGGATGAAGATATAATAGATCTTAGATCTACACGATTTGACAGTAAAACTGCAAAAATTGAAGATAATTAATAAATATTTATATACAAAACTATCACTTTATGTTGTTTATTAATTTTGTTAGCTTCATTAAGGAACCGAATTTAGGATACTTATTTTATCAAGAAAAAGCCTTTATGAGCTTTTTTATTAAATTAAAATTCTTCATATAGATTAGTGATTCCTTATAATGAAATATAAATAACTAAATATTTCGTAGTTATTTTATAAAAAAATGGTCTATTCAAAACCGAATGATTAATAAATTATGAATCACTTTCATAGCACTTTCCAGCCACACTCTCAATCTTTTCTTTTAACCCCTCAATAATTTTTTCTTGGTCTCTAAAATTCTTCTTCATAATTGTTAAAATTGTTGATTTTACTTCCAATTCATTATTTAGTTCGTCCACTGTCTTTTCATATTCTTCATTTTCAGTTTGTATTTTGCTTTCCTTGGTCTTTTGAGTTACTTGTAGCCCCACACATCTTTTTTTTAGCTTGCTCTGGCCCTGAGGTGCTTCTCGGATTCTCTTTTTTATGTACTCTAGGAGAATTTTGGTCTTTAAATTTTCTTCTCCATCATCAAGTGTTTTTTCATAGTCCTTTATCCAAGCCCTAATTATTGTTCTGAATTGTGGGCTGCTCACTATTCTTTCAAAAAAGTCAGTGCAGGTGATTTTTAATTCTTTTTCTTTATTTAAGCTTTCAGGGTTAATTGAGCGTGCCCATTCTCAAAACTGTTCATCGGTTATTGAAACAGCTTTTGATTTGTGGATCCAAACGAAGAGTTCTTTAATAATTTTTTTGAATTGAAAAGCTTTGTCAGCTGGCTCAATACCTGACAAGGTTTCGTTCTCGATTGTTTTTTTATTTTTTCTATTTAGAGCTTACTTAGCCTGATGGGTAAATTTTAGTCCTTGATTTAAAGAATGGCTTAGATTGTCCCTGAAAATTTCAGTGGACATGTCAATAATGTCTTTATCGAAAGGAAATTCATTCTCTTGCAAAAATGGGTTCATATTTATATTTATAAGAGTTGGATTATATCAAATCTATTATTAATCTTTTATTAATTCTCGTAATAATTTTTAAGATAGAAAAATATTGATGAAAAACCTTTTAAGCTATGAATGCCAGTATTTTCCTGGTATGCATATAGAAATAAATTATTTAAGACATAATAATGCAAAATAGACATAACCTTATCTAAAAGAACTGAAGCATCTTGCTTATCAATATTAATTTCAGCTCTCAAATAGGAAGGAATTTTTGAGTCAGAAATTGTGGCTGAGAGCAGCTCATAGTTAAAAGTGTTCCCATCCTCTCCAAGCACAAATACAAACTCATCCTGGATATTTCTGACAATTATCTTAAATCGTCCTAGTCCTAATTCTTCAACTGTGACTCCACTAGCTCCCCCTCCATGAGTGAATAAAACCGTTAGAAAAAATTCCTATTTTTTGACCAAAACACAAAAAATTTTTTATGAAAAAATATTTTGATATATAAGTGATAATTATTATAACGGAATCTCTAGCTAATTCTGTTTAATTATAAACAGCTTACATTTAAAACACAAATCTTACAAATTAATATTTGCTTTCCAATTATTTCGAATTTTGGATTTTTTTAATTTCAAAAAAATGACTGTAAAATAAAAAAATAACTCCTCTCCATGAATGAACAAAATTTTCTGTTCTCTCACTGGGACGTAAGAGTTTTATAAAATTCAATTATTTTCCTCAAATTATCATTATCTCTTTGCAGCTCTTTATCCATATTTTCTCTTTCCCTTCTAATTCTTTTTATTTCACATTTCAAAGCTTCTTTTTTCTCTGCAGATTTTAAATTTATTTTTTCACATACCTTATTTTTCTCATGGATTTTAGCTTTAATTTCAGAAATTCTCGCTAATAATTCTTCTTTTTCTTTTATTTTCAGTTCAAAAAGTTTTATTAATTCCTCAGATCTTTTATTGATTGGGAAAAAAGCCGAGTCCACATTTAAATTCTGGGCTTTAGAAATTTCATTTGTAAATGTTTCTGAATGATTGGTTTCAATAGTTTTTAAGGCAGATTTGCCTGGTTCGGTATCTTTTATGAGTTTTGAGAGCTCTACGAAGTTCAGCCCAGCTGGGTTTGTGTTAACTTCTTCTTGATTTTTTTCATCATTACTATTGATAGCATTTTTTGGACCTGGAACCATAACTGTGTCATTTTCATTGGTTTTAAACCTTTTGTCTTGTTCTTCATCGCTTAGTTGCCTCTTCAGAGGGCGGGCTTCTTCCATTTTAAATCTGTCTAGACAACGATTATTATGGATTAAAGATTAACTAATGTATTGACCTGTATCCATTCTGGCTCTATATGCGATTTTGTATTGTAAAGCATCTTCTAACTGAGCTTTGATTTCAGGAGTAAAATCAGTTCGCTTGCTTAATAGCTGCAAGTATTCTTCAAGCTGCACAGGTGAACACATCTTTTTCTTTTCAAGTAATATAGGATAAATCCATTTGCTGAAGAGCTTTTCAGCCAAAATGTTTCTTTTAACGCATCCTCTGACGACGTTTATGCTTTTTGTCTCAGAATTGAGAATTGAAATAATTACGCTATATACCATTTTTTATAAAATATAGGATTTTCTATTAATTATTTTATAACTATTCTTATAAAAAAAATTTTAATAAATCTCTTCCATTTATGTATTTTATATGGATTGGAGCTACCTCAACTAATTTCTCATAAAATTCTGGAGATCCTGTCTCAATAAATGAATTGAACGTATAAGCCATCCCAATAGGCTTGATGCTGTGGATAATTCTATTGATATTTCTTTCAAGGGCACTCCACAAGGCCTGATCATTAATCTTCAATCTCGAGCATGCATGTGCAAGAGATGTTAAAACTAGGCAATTATATTCAGGTGCCTTCTTTGTCGCTTGAGCAATAGCTTTTTTAACATTTTCATGGGTGTTCCAGTCATAGCCTTCAGGAGCGCCTTTTCTCAACCCTAATTCTAAGAGTGCACAGCTTAGTTCGCCATCTCTGAAAGCATCTGCGTCTTTGAGGTGATAAAGAATTTCATTTCCTGTAAATTGCTTAAAGTTTATAAAGTCGTGACGAGGAGGGAGGACAACTGGAGTTTTAATGTTGAGGTTAGGGTTGAAGCGCCTCTTTTTTCCAAATCGCTTTTGGCCCCAGTGATTAAATCTAGCTATAACCTTGGAAAGCATTATAATAAATTAAGATGGGAAATGATATAGTGCATTGCATTATTTTTGATCGACACTCAATATATAAATTTTTGTTTGGCATGTGAAGGTTTGTAAAGTTCAGGTCTTAACGTGTCAAAAAAATTTTGAAATATGGAGCGCCGATAAGAAAATAATACAATGCAATATGGAAAAGCCTGCAAAATAAATTTCTTTAATGCAATTATACTTAATAGGTATTTTTGAGATCGAAAAAAAATAGTATAATTAAGATTTTTGTAAATAATGACGCAGATTAGATTGTTCATTAGCAAAATTCAATGTATTAAGTAATAAATTATAATTCTAATTGAAAATAATAGTTTTATTTTAAAAATACTCTCACAAATTATGTAGAGAAAAATCAGATATGAAAGCATTATGAATTTCAAAATTGCAATGGAAAATTCAGCGCAAAGAGTCAAAAGAAAAGCGAAATCAGTAGAAAGAGAGCGTATGCCTAGTTTACAAGGTCCTAGGTCTAATGTATCTATTGAATGTATAAGCACTCCAAAACGAAACCAAAAAAGTACACCAAGAGCAAGCATAGAAAAAGGCCAGCATATTAATGCTTCAAATTTCCATAATCCTTTCGCTAACTTCTCTCCCTCCATGAGCTAGTATCGCTATTTTTCTAAAAAACCTCTGTGATCGAGAAAGAATTTTTGTAAAACTATTTTAATATATAAATAATAATTATTATAATGAAATCTCTAGTTAATTTAAATTTATTTACTTAATAACATAAAATTTATAAATTAATTTAATTTTTAGTTTCTAATTTTTGCAAGTTGAGATTTTAAAAAAAATTTATTATATCGCTGTATATATTTAAACCACAATAAACTTGTCCCACTGGTCATGACTAGTAGATAAGTTTACTGGTGATCAAATATTAACAACCACAATAAAAAAAATTAATCCAACCATGACGAGCAAAAATTTTTCTGTCATTTTATAGGAACTTTTTCCTTGTCTCGGACTTTTGGTTGTAATTTTTTCTTTGTGTGGCATTTCCTCAGCAAAAAACCTTAAAAGCTCTATCAAATTAATTTTGAGGGATAAAAAATCGATCAAAATACCGAGAAATTACAAAACTACCAAAATGATACAATCAAATGACACGGAGTCAAATTTTCTGCTGCTCATAAAGAGGGGAGTAAAAATTTTGAAAATAAAATTACTTCTGAGCAAATGAATGACTTCGAGCAGCGAAATAAGGAGAGGCTCAAAAGAATGATTGAAAATAAAATAATTATAAAAGAAAAGGCAAATTACCTTAAAAACGAAGGGTTTTTGATTTCTCGATCAAAAAGCCCTGTAGTCGATTTCTCTAATTTTTTTGACAAAAATGAAAATAGCAGAGATGAATTATTGAACAATTTTAGCAATAAATTAGACAGGCGAATTGAACGAAGATTGTCTAGCTCCCCCTTTAAATTGGAACAAATATAAATCAAATTTCCAGTTTTTTGGTACTTTAACCCTCTTTAAATTGGAAACAAACTTTTTTCAATAGGAAAATTTTATACCAATCTAGTTTTGGCAAGTAGAATATTATTTAATCATTTTCCCACACTGATTCTATTATTTTGAAATTAATTCTTATAATATTGCATTTAAGTTTATTTTTTTTAAAAAAATTAACCCCTCATTTCAATTGAAAAAAGATGTTTTTTTCCAACCTAAGGAGGGAGTAAAGAGAAATATAATAATGCTGCACATTTAATTGGAACAAAAACACCCCGGATCAGAAATAATGCATCTCCTCAGTTTTCTGATATAAATAAAAACCTCAGCATTGATTCACTACAAAATAAAAATCATTGAACTACTGAAGACCAAAAATTATCATCCAAAACTCCTGAAATAGAAAATAATTATTTTTATCCATATGAACGTAACTCAAAACAGCATAAAAGTGAAGAGAGATCACTATCATTAAAAAATGCTTCACAAAAACCCTCACACATTAAAAGAACAGAAAGATCTTTCCGATTACCCAATTCTTCAAACGAATCTTATGGCTATTCCTTTCTAGCCAATAAACGAAAATTAAGAGAAAAAGTGCTTGATATAAGCGAAGAGGATAAAAACCTCCAAGAAATCATTGAAAACGGGCTAAACGATGATAGCAGTATTAAACGAATCAAATCAGGAATCCACAAAATCGAAGCCAAAGCTCTAGAAAATGAGCTCGCTCTAAAATCCGGCCGGAACGACACATTAAAACAGTTTAAGCTTAACCAAAAGATTTCAAACTTGCTTATTCTTTCAATCAAAGCAAAAATGGCTGTCTTAGAAAAAGGAAACCCATAGTTTGAACAATTTTTATTTCACACTTTTCAATTTTTCTAAATATTTAAAGTTTTTATGATAAATTATTCTTCCTTTTGCTTCTTAACTACATCATTTTTTTCAAAGAACTCCATCAAGGTCCCTTTCTGGTGCATATCAGTAATAATATCACATCCTCCCACAAATTCTTGATTTATATATAATTGAGGCAGAGTCGGCCAATCTGAGTATTTCTTGATTTCTTCTCTAACTTCTGGATCCTCCAGGACATTCACAGCTTGGTAATTTTCCACCCTGTAATACTTTAAAGCTTGGACAACATAATTGCTGAACCCACATTGTGGGCTATCAGGAGTCCCTTTCATAAACAGAACTACTTTATTTGCCTTAACAATCCTATCAATGAACTCATGAGCGGATTCTGCAGCTTTGGACTTAGGCAAAAAATCTGGGTCAGAGGACTCGTCTATGTTTGAAAATAGCCTGTAAGGCTGGATTCTGAAGAATTTTAGTGAGTATTTAGCAAGCATTATTATTTAACCATAATATATTTGCTGAATCAATAAAGATAACAATATGAGATTGCAATATTTAATAAAGGCTTACCTAATTATCTATCCCTCACTATAAAAGATTTCAGTACGGGTCATAGAAAGACAGTCTGTCAAGGCTTGGTTTTGCTCAATGCTGCCTCCAAGTAGTTGAATGTTTGGGATTTCCTCAGTCGCAATCCTTCTTGCTTCAGCTTTATTTCCGCTTGCTAGATTCAGCAGCACTTCTGCTGCTTTTTTAATGACTCCTTGTTGGCTGTCCTTTATTTCAATAGCTTCACTATGAAGGCCGGCTTTATAAAGAGCCCAGATTACCATTGCACAAACTAAGCCTCTTTTTGCTCCAAGGATTTTCTTGCTTCTCAGAATTTCTAAAAATTCAGGGGTTAAATATCCAACTACGTCTCTACCAAAGAAATCTAAATAAAGCAGCATTGCTAAGCTGTTAATGACATTTACAGAAGCCCACCAATTTCTTCCCAACACATGGGTCCTGAAAATTTCTTCAGCTGCTCCAAAATTTCTTAAAAACACATTAAATATAGCCAAATGCCACCAATTGTGGGTATAAATAAAGTTTCCTTTCCAATCCTCTGAGTGTCCTTCCAAGACTCGGATTCCATTTTCAAACTCATTTTTAGCAGCGTAGATATGGCCAATATTATGCTGCGCCCAGGCATTGTGAGGATTTAATTCCAAAGCTCTTCTGCCATAATTTTCAGACTCAATCAAAAGATTGTTTTCTAAATACCCAAAACAAATAAAGCTGCAGCACTCTGCAGACTGCCAATGATCACTTTCTCTTTGGAGATAGCTAACGATATTTAGCATTTCAGGCTTTCTCCCAGTGCAGAGGCACATAAAAATGCCAAATTTGGCAGCAAAAAAGTCTTTAGGGTTTTCGTCCACAATTTGAGACAGGATTGGAATAGCCGCACAGACTCCTTCATTTAATAGTGTAAGAAGACTTCTTATTCATAGTCTTTCTCTACTATTGCAGTTTTGAATTTGAGGTAAAAGGGTATTTGCAATTTCTTTATTGTCAGCTTCTTGTAAAATCATGAGGTAGATATAAAGGATCTTGAGCGTTGGACATTCAGGATCATTGTCAATTAAGGTTTGGAAGGTGGTGTAGCTAGTATCTCCATAATTCAAATCTCTTTTAATGCAATCGTTAATGGCAGCAAGTGATTCTTCTTTAGAGCCAGTTACTTCAAGACCTAGACAATCAATCATTTATATCAATTTAAATTGACCTATATTTTTTTATAATGCTCGCAATAAATGGCCATATATTTGCCTATAAAGGGAATATAGACAATATATACATAAAATGGATGATAATTATTCGTTGCTGAAAAATCGCTTTCTTAATGAACATTTTATATTAAATCATTTAAAGCTTATTTCAAATAATAAAAAAGATTATGATTATTTCTCAGATAACCATCTTATCGCTTCTGTATAATTTGGATTATTCCAAAAAATTAAAAATGCTGCCTCTTGTAATTGATAAACAATCTGTTATAACTTGAATTTGTTCAATGCTGCCTCCCAAGAAATGCATTTCATTATAATTCTCATTCACAATCCTTTGTGCTTCTACCAGATTATTCGATGCATAATGCAGCAGAGCTTCTGCTGCCGATTTTGCTACCCCATTTAAGCTATCTTTTAATTTTGCTGCTTTATCTTGCTCTCCCACTTTAGCTAAAGCCCATACAATCATAGCATCCAATATAGGGGTATTTCCTTGCATTCTTTTATCTTGAATAGTTTCTCTAAATTTCTCAGTAAAAAATTGTTGTAAATTTCTTCTCGAATGATCCAAGTACAAAAGCATTGCCAAGATATTTATCATATTTATTGGTACCCACCAATTTTTTCCTATAATATGGGTAGCAAACAGCTGCTCAGCTTCGGAATATTCTTTCAAAAATATATGAAAAGCTGCTAGATGCCAGAAATTGTGAGTATAAATGAAGTCTCCTTTTCAATCGTCTGACCGGTTTTCTAAAACTCTTTTTCCAAGCTCAAATTGGTTATTCCCTGCATATGCATGGCAAAGGTTGTGCTGGGCCCATGCATTGTGAGGGTTTAGCTGTAATGCTCTTTTCGCGAATATCTCGGCTTGGCTAAGGTCACCGTTTTCTACGTATGCAAAGCTGATAAAGCTGCAACACTCTGGGGATTCAAGGTAGCTATTATCTTGCTTTAATGACTCTACAATTAAAAGCATGCTTGACTTTTCTCCTGAAAGCAGCCCAAGAGATATTCCATATCTTACAGCTAAATAGTCTTTTGGATATTGCTGAACAATTCTATGGATGATAGGAATGGCAGCGCACATTCCATGATTCACTAATGCCCTTAATGCCTCCTTCCAAAGCTCTTCTCTTGGATTGAAATTTGTCAATGTTGAAAGGAGATTATTAACTGTTTCTCTTGAATTTTCAGCCTCCATAAGGATATTCATGTGAGCAAAAAGAATATTTAGCATTGGGCTTTGGCTGTCTTTATGCAAAGCATCTTTTAGTTGGTCATAGTCTTGATTTTCGTAATTTAGATCCTTTAAGATGTATTGGTTCATGACGAGCAGTGATTCAGAATTGCATGGTGTCATATCATTGCCTAACTCTTCACTTATCTTTAATCGAATTAATCGCTATTGCTAGTTCAAAGATGGGATTAAAACAATTATATTATTAACTTGAAATTTTAAATCAGAATTTTTCAATATGAAATATTTTATGCACTAAAGACAAGAGAAATAATGTGCAATATATTCCTAGAATCACAATGAATTTTGTAGGAGTGAATATAGGTGTAAGCTCTAATATTCATGTCTTTCAAAGGTAGGTAGTTAAAATTTGATGTATGCATAGTGTGCAAGATCAAGAGTAAGTAATCTTGCATTTTAATGGTTAAAATAAATCATGAATGATCAATAAATTTTTTAAAAACAATATAAAATGGTTTATCAATAATATAGTGAACTCAAAATAAGATTTGAAATTTTGACATAGAAGAAATTTATTTAAAGGATTTTTAGAAAATTAAGTTGTTTCGAAATATGCGGAAATTTTATGCATTTTGAGTATGATTAATTTTTAATTGATAGCAATATCAAACTGATGGTGGATTATGCAAAGAGTATATGAAATAGGATTTTATTTAAAAATATGAGCCAGAAAATGAGTAGCTCGACTATTTCAGTTTTGTCTTTTATTAAATTAGTTTTCTCCTAGGTAAGCTTTTTCTCATTCTAAGCCTTTGACAGGCCGTAAATATTAAGATAAGATATCTTGAGAGAAGGACTGGCATCAAGGCATATAAGACGAAGATTGAGCAATGAGGTTGCACGAGTCTGTGGATTCAAAGTCTGCAAAGAGTTGGATCTGAGGCAGGATGGAAGTATTTTTGTTGGTCATCGAGCTCCAATTCACGAATGCAAGTTAATTGGGCGTAAGCATATAGAATACAATAAATAGCATGTGCAAAATTTAAAGATAATCTGCCTTGTATTGCAATTAGCGGGTTTCATCAATCTTAAGGCCTAGTTTAATGACTATAGCTTTAGTATAAAATGATTTTATGGCCTTTAAATATAAATGTATTTACACATGGATTTTATTTTTTTCATAATTGAGTTCTAATCCTGATATTATCTACGATATATAAAAACCAGAAGAAAGTAAAATTATTGTCAATCTTAAACTACAGCATCACTTTTTAATTGCTCAATGCATCTGGCTTCAATCATAAAGATTCTAATTTGACTCTGATTTTCCAAATTATTTGATTTCATTTTATTATGGGATAATTCCTGCTAATTTACTAAAAATGATAAATTTAGAAGAAGTTAGAAGCTTTATAGCCACACACAATGCCAAAACGTAAAAACAATATAGAGTCGCCTTACAATTACACAGCTCAATTTCAGATTTATCAATCACTGTATCAGACGCTTTAAGAGAAGCATTCCCAGAAGTAAAATTCGCCATAATCGGAGACAGCCCTTTTTCTTCATGCTGCACAGATTACATTTCAGCCAAACACATGCCAGCCCAAGGAATCATCCACATAGGCCACTCCTGCTCAACTGAGTCTTCAATCCCAGTTTTAGTTCTGCCAGAGCCAATGTCCCCTAATTTCCAAGCTTTAAGGGAAAATATCCACACATTCCCAAATAAAATTTTCCTAGTTTTAAGCCATCCAAATGATGCTATTGAGCAAGAAGCAGCTCAAATAATCCGCCAGGCTGAAAAAGAAGTCACAAATAGCAGAGATGAAGCTGACGGAATTTTATTTATAGGAAATGGATACTCAATACCCTGCTTAATCCAAAAAGCTGAGCAGGACATTTGGACTTTGACTAATTCTTCATTGACTCGTCACAACTCGTACTCTTTTATTTCAATGAGATATCACTATGTAAGCATAGTCCAAGACGCAACGATTTTTGGACTCTTGATTCTCTCTCTGCCTTACTACAACTCAATTTCTGCGAAAATCAAAGCTTTGTTGAGAAAAAACAAAAAAGAGGCGTATCCGATTTACCTAGGAAAAATCACACCTTTAAAGCTGGGGAATTTTTCAGATATTGATATGTTTGTGCTTATAGGCTGCCCCCATACCCCTCTTCCTGACAACCGTGAATTCTTTAAGCCTGTAATCACTCCATTTGAGCTTGAAGTCGGGTTAAACCACAACTGGGACGGAAGCTACTCTACAAAATTCGAAGGAGACTATGAAACCGAGCACATTCCTCTATCTTCTACCGAAAACGCAGAAAGATTCTCTAGAAGATCTTTCAAAGGACTGACCCCAGAAGTAGAAGGAGTCAAAGAAATCGAAGAAGGCTATAAAGGGATCGCAATGTGCTATGAGAATGAAATAGCTAAATAATTCACAAAAAAATTCAATTAATTATCTCTGCTTGTTTTAGATGAGCGAGGAGAAAAGAAAGAAAGACCAGGAGTCTTGCTGAGCTCCAACTCTTCAAGCAGCTTGGTTTCTCTGAGCTCATCAATTAAATTCGCTTCTAACTGTTCAAGTTCATCAATTTTCTGCTTGGCTTCTCCAGATAGACAAGCTTCCAGCTCAATTCTCTGATGGAACTCAGCTTCTTTTGACTTTAAGAAAAGCAGCGAATTTGTGCTTTTTCTATGATGGTGGGCTCTTTTTTCTTTTACAGCTGATCTTGCTCTTTCTTGCACTTTTTCTTGCTCCTCCTCTTCTTGCTTTTTCTTCATCTCTTCAAATTCTCTGCTTTCTCTTTTTGCTGCTGACGAGTTGGCTTTATTTTTCTGCAACAATTTTTCCTTGGCTTCTTTTATAAGTTCTTTTTGCTTTCTGATTTTTTCATGCACAAGCTTTTTCTTTTCTTCTTGTTCAATTAATTTTTCCATCTTTTTAGTCTGCAAAGCTTTGACTTCTTGTTCCCATTCACTCTTGGATTTTGCTTCTGCTTCATGTCTTTGTTTGCAGATTTCAATATGCTTCAAAGACCTTTCTTTTTGAAGTCTAAGGTGGTTGATTCTGTTTTGGAGAGTTTTGACTTTGGCTTCGAGGTCTTTTCTGGATTTGGTTGCATTTCACATTTCACGGCCTTTTGTTGCTTTTTCTCGCCTTGGGCTTGCGTTTTCTTTTACGAAGGAGATATCACCTGTAGTGCTGAGATTTTTCAAAATGGACCTCTTTGGAGAAGGAGTTTGGACTTCGTTAGGCAATGGGCTGTTAGATATTGGAGGTGGACTATCCATATCCGTTAAATTTATTATATAGAAACAGAATAAATATGGATAACAATAAAATCAAATACTATTATTATTAAAAACAGGATAAATTGGTGTATGTTGATATTTTTGAAAATTATTTACCTTTAAAGATTGGCTTTCGCTTTTCATTGAAAGCTTTAAGTGCTTCTACTCTGTCTTCAGTTGGAATCACCTGCGCATAGCAAAGCTGCTCAATTGACATCCCAGTTGCTTTGTCTTTTCCATATCCTAAATCTATAGCTTTTTTCGCCATTCTTATAGCCACTGGTCCATTATTTGCTATTGTGTTCGCAATTTCGAGCGCTTTTTCATATGGGTTCTCATGGACACTATTAAAGATCCCATATGAATGGGCAGTGTTTGCATTATACTGCTGAGCTGTATATATCATTTCTTTTGCCCTGACAATTCCGATTAGTTTCGCCAACCTTTGAGTTCCTCCTGCGCCTGGGATGATTGCTAGTGCAGTTTCAGGGAGACCAACCTTAGAATTCGGGCCTGAAACTCGCAAGTCACAAGATAAAGCAAGCTCTAAGCCGCCTCCAAGCGCATAACCATCAATGCAAGCAATAGAAGGGATAGGAAGGTCCTCTAGCATTGTAAATGAACTTCTCAGTTTATCCACAAAAACAGCGACCTGGTCGGGAGTCATTTGAAGCCTTTCTTTAAGGTCAGCTCCGGCACAAAAAGTCCCAGAAACTCCACTTTTTAGTATAACAACTCTAGCTTCATTGTCAAATTTGAGACATTGCAGATGAGATATGAACTGGTCTATCAATAAAGTGCCTAATGCATTTTTTCTTGCAGGGTTTTGAAGAGAAATAACTTTGACACCATTAGAAAGGCTTTCTAAAGCACAGTGCACCTCTGTTGAAAATAATCTTTTTATTGACCTTCTTAGCATAAATGCTAATTTTTATATTAAATTTCCTTGATTTTTATGATTGCATGGTCTTTCTTATTATCCCACAAATTCCTCTGAAATAGGCATCTGCAGAAACTGCTTATTTTCTTTAACAACTCCTATCAGTTGATATTAAAAAGTGAAGATTAGAGTTTGTTATGAAATTACCATTCATCACCTCCGAACAAGTCCATTGCGCCCTCAATATCCTCGACTTCTTCCTTTTCTTTCTTCTCTTCCTTCTTCTCGTCTGCTTTTTCTTCCTTTGCACCTTCTGTAGTTGTGACTGGAGCACTGCTAGCTGCGGCGGCGCCAGCAAAAGCTTGGAGTTTTGGAATACCAGCTTTAATGACTTGGGTTAAGTCTCTTTCTGCCAATAGATCACAAAGAGATTCAGCTCGGCTTGTGTCGAAATCTCCTCCAATGGCGTTGATGATATCTGCTAAATCAGAAGCTTTTGGTTGTGTCTTTCCACTCAGCCGCTGTCGAAGCTGGCAACACTGCTCCAAGCGTGTCCTGGAGATCAAGAAAGGTTGTCCCAGCAGCCTGTGGGCCCGATACATGGAAGAGATGGCGGAAAGGTCTGGGATGCCTACCCCGTAAGGGACGTAAAGCGTTATAAATCTTAATAGTAATAGTCTTTCCACTCAGCCAAGCTAATGCATAAGCACACAAATACTTCATCCCTATTTTTATACCCACAGATTTTTATGCTGATTTATAAAGACTAAATACCTTTTTTAGCTTGTCAGACTAGCAGTTAATAACTTTTGAAAAGGAATAGTTCTTATCTGAAGAAAATTTTGTTTTTATTATGAGACTTTAGCTTAATTTCTTTAATTAAATTATGAATATAATCAAAGGGAGTGTCAGAATTTCTAATATGAAGCTGTGCGATATTTTGAATGGGTACATAATATCATCAGGCATAGCAGGTATCGGATTTGGTGCTGGGGCATGATAATTTTGAGTCTCATCGTCATATTCTACATAGCTGATGACCACCGTGTTATAAAACTTTTGCGTTTGGGTTTTGTCCTTCATCCTAAACACCCACTGAGTATTAGCTTGATAGCTACGTTGAGCATAAATCACTTTAGGCTGAGGGTTGCTAACAATCCCGACTTTAGCAACAATTATTTCATAGTGCAGCAAATTTGGTATTGTGCATGTCCCAGTTGTTTCTGAAAATGTAGGCGTTGAAGAACTGCTACTTGTAGAAACTTCGACTCAGTCATCAGGATTTGAATAATCAATGCTGCCAAATTTTCCAATATGGGTTATTTCTGAATGAGTGGAAAAAATAGGCAACTCGGTGTTATCTGTGGTAGAAGTGCAATAAGTTTTTAGGTCTTCGTAGGACATTTCTAAGTAGCAGTTATAAATCATTTCATGGCCGAAGTTTATAATTGGGGAGTCTGATGTCAAAAGATCGGTATCTACACATTCACCTATAGTGCTTGCCCCTGAAAGAGGAAAACCACCTTCATATACGTTCATGGTGTTATTTGTTTCATTTTTATAGCCTATTATTAAAGGCTTTCCTGAAATATAACCAATATTCCCTGACCTTATCTGCAAGTCTGCAGTTCCAGTATAAAATTTGATTGAAAATTTCTGCTTGATCACAATTTGTTCACTAGGACAAGTCGTAGCTGAAAACCCCACATTTCCAATGACAATATTCACCCAAATCTCACTAGGTGTATCTTGAGCAGTATTTGTGTACACAATATAATTTGCTTCTAATAAAGCATTAGAGCAAAGGCAATTAGCAAAAGTTGTTGTAGCTGTGGTTTGGTCATATTTACGAATACTTTCGTCATCAAGATTTCTAAACGTGATATTTCCTATTGTAATGCTGATATGGTCAGAGTTGCTAGGATAAGGCTGCTTTGAAATAGAGAGGCCTGAAACATAAGTAACATAATTTAATTCAGTATTGCATAATGATTCTAAGCTAGATGCCATTATTGTCCTTGTACAAGAGTCAAAAGTCTGTGAGTATAACCAACTTGCAGAGTTCATATTATTGCATTCTCCAAAAGAGTCAGCAGAAGGCAATGATCATACTCCACTATAAGAATTAACAAGAGCTGCCATGCTGTCTCCAGGAGAAAAAGCATTGCCAGTCGCATTTGGCTGATTAAAATAAATTAAGTCAGAATATTCAGTTGACTTTTCAAGACGGTCTGAGATTGTGCTGGAGTCAATGCTGCTTTCATCAACTGAGTCATAAGTGTTGAACTGGTCAGGGGAGTTATCATAATAAATGCATAATAAATTGTTAATTGAATCGGTCGCGACTTGCATTGCTCTTCTTCCATTGTCTATTGAGTGTTTTTGGTTATTTTTGCACCGAGTAGGGTAATTTGTGAATTTTTCAGGTGCACATAGATTATTGCTTGAACTTTGTCATAAACTTATTACTGATGAAGAACAGTCAGGATCACAGCAGCAAAAAGCGTCACAGGACTCCGCAGTTAGGTCACAAATGCAGCTACCAGTTGCAGTTTTAAAGCACCCTAAAACCAAAATTGCCGCTAATTTAATTGAAATCATTATTTAATTTAGCACAAATCATACAATATATTTACTATTATCAAAGATAGGCACTTAGATTTAAGTTGAGATTGGGGCTGGGTTTCAAGCTTGACCATATAGAAATTGTTGAATCAAGGTTGTGCTAATTTTACCAATTTTTAGGAAATTTAAAATTGAATAATTCGATCAAGGATTGAGAGGGAAGCTAAGACTCTTATTTTTTGAATTTTGCCCTTGACAACTACATAGAAAATTACCTTAAAATCAATATAAAGCGAGTGCAAATGTCCGACTAAAACACTCAGCCAGCTAAAAGTGAGGTCTAATAATAGATGATTCCTAGAAAGTCCTCCTAAAGAGCTTATTCTCAAAAAGCTATAATAATCATGACTTGTTATATGAAAATCACCTGCAGATATTCCATTAAGTAAAATCTCACACACAGTTTCATGCCTCATTGGAGGGCCTTCTAAGTCTTCAATTTCTTTGGTGCAGGACTGCTTATGCTGATAATATCCAGGTGTGTCCATCGGTCCAGGAGAAAATAAATATACTTTTACATTGTATCGGGCAAGTTCTGGCCTGATTTCATTCGCCAAACACGATACAGCAGCTCTTGATGCCGCCCATGCACAAGAGCCAGGGATTGGCAAATACGAATGGGCAGACCCTACCAAGCATATATGTCCCATCCTTATCTTGCTCATCCTTTTGGCTACAGGCATGACTGTATTAATAGTTCCTAAATAATTTGTTTCCATCATTTCTTTGAACTTATTCAAGCCAGTTTCTAAAAAATATCCACCTGAAATATTCCCAGCAAATGCAAAACATAAGAAAATTTCTCCAAATCGATTTTCCGCCCTTTCAATGACAGCTTCCATCTTTTCTGCATTGCTTATATCAACATCAAAAACTTGGACATATTCGCCTTGGCCTGAATTATCAACGCCTCTGCAGATTTTTTTTGCGGTATCAATTAAGGTTAGCTTGTCACGAGCTATGAGAGTCAATTTTGCACCTTTCATGAAGCATTCTTGGGCAAGCTCTCGACCTAGGCCAGAACTTGCTCCAGTGATTAAGACGTGCTATATACATTAAAATGGCGACGGCGATCCAGCCCTTTTTCTCAACACCTGTAGCCTGCGTTCGCAGGGGACCTTGTGGAAGGGAAGAAGGCGCTCGGAATGTTTATCCGGCTAGGTTTTACCTTGGTACAGTGGAGCGCAATGTCGGATTAGGCCGACCGCAGCTCATTCTGACACCAAGGGTTTTTCCTCAGGGGAGATGGTTTCCAAGGTTGGAAAGGGAAGCTCAGTAGCATCAGGAAGGTACCTCCTGATCAATCGGGCAACTCCCTAGCGTGAAACTGGGCGTTACGTCCCAGGCTTTGGATTTCCATCTTAGCCGACAGTCCTACCAGAAAATTTGTTTTTCGGAATGGGCAACCTCTGTTGACGTACTGCTAGTGGCGTAACTCATCCAACTACGGGTAGCGAGTGCACATCCTCGTCCAGTAGGAGCAACACTTTGAAGGTCGTGATCGACTGGTAGTGAGCAACGGGTGAAGGTAGGGCAGGGGGAAACCCGAGCCAATACGACGGGCCTCTCTATAATACTAATTAATGTTAATGTTAATGTAATTAAGACGTGCTTGTGATTTAAGTTAAGAGGCCTGAACTGGCCACGAATGTAGAAGTAGAGCCTGAGACAGAAAATTGTGATAGCAATTGCAACTGCGTAGATAGTAAATCCGCTGCTTTCCTCTTCCATTTTATAAAGTTAGGTAGGTCATCATATTGGGATTGGTCATTAAGCTCAACATATTAAATAATTTTATTGGAGTTTTGGGTATATAGCACACCCCTTGTGGTTGCTCGCCATTATGTACACCCTCCTTATGTCACCCACCCCTGACGGTCCTGAAAATTTGAAATGTTAAAATATTATTTGACAAGTCCCCCTCAAATATTTTAACTTGTCAAATTAATATTTAACATTTAAAATATTTGGGACCGGCAGGGGGTGGGTGGCATAGGGAGTGGGTGCTAAAGGACGATCCAAACGGGGTGTAAACTATAGGAGATTAGATGAAAAATGCATTTAGAAATAATTTTTTCCATTTTGTTGGAAAAGGATGAAGGGTTTTGGAAATATTAGGTTTTGACAATTTTAATTGTAGGAGCAGATAAATTATTAGTGTGGTTTTATTGTTTTCATTATTAAATCAATTTTTGATGGAGATTACAATTTTATTAAATAGGATATGCTTATAATTGTGTAAGAATTGCATTCATCAGTATAAGAAATTAGACTGCTATTAATTTTAATTCAGAGAGATATCAAATATATTTTCAAGGAAAATTATAATTTATCTCTAATGCAAAACTAATTATTATTGTTATTAAAAAATTCCATATTCCATCAGGCATTTTATTATCATATCCATCAATAATTTATTCTAATAAGGCAATTCCAATAGATAACCTCAGCTTATGCTGCTTTAAACTCCAAATTTTTAATAATCTCTGCAAATTTTTAATTAATTAAATTAGAAAATTAATATGAAAATCCTATTCAGATTGCCTGACAATATTCATTGGCCATAAAATAAAGATGGCAGGGAGATTATACAGCTCAGGGATTTTTTTAGAAGGCGGAATCCAGCCAAAGCTCGTCAAAGAGAGGTTCTCCCGAAATGAAGTGCAATGCCAGCGCTGCTATCGGCCCGAATTCACAACTAACCAGCGAGGCGAAGAAGCAAACGAAAAAATTTGGGAACTTATGGCAGAGTACAAAAACACTGAAAAAGACACCATCCAAAAATCAATTGTGAACCACGTCGAATACACGCTTGCAAGGACCAGGTTTAATTTCGATAAGAACACTTGCTTCAGAGCAGTCGCTCTATCTGTCAAAGATAGGCTGATTGAGAGCTGGAATGATACTCAGCAATCATTTACTGCAGAAGACTCTAAAAGAGTTTACTATATGTCAATTGAGTATCTTATTGGGAGATCTCTACAAAATGCATTAGTAAACTTAAGCTTGGAGCATGGGTATAGAGAAGCTGTACAAGAAATGGGATTTAAGCTGGAAGAGCTATATGAAGAAGAGGTAGATCCAGGACTTGGAAATGGAGGACTTGGAAGACTCGCAGCTTGTTTTTTGGACTCAATGGCCACTTTAGATTACCCAGCCTGAGGGTATGGTATTAGATATGACTATGGAATATTCCGCCAGATGATCTTAAAAGGCTACCAAGTTGAGATGCCTGATTATTGGCTATCACAAATGAACCCTTGGGAAATTGAACGATCAGATGTCACATATGATATCCATTTCGGGGGAAGAGTTGAAAAAAGATTAGAAAATGGCATCGAAAAAGCCACCTGGTACCCTGTAGAAACCATTAAAGCTGTGGCTTATGACAATCCGATACCAGGCTACGACACTTTTAACACCATTAATTTAAGGCTTTGAAAATCTTTTCCGACCAATGAATTTGATTTTCAATCTTTTAACCAAGGAGATTATTTTAGAGCTATTGAGTCCAGACAAAAAGCAGAATATATCACTTCAGTTCTCTACCCAAATGATAGTACTATAGCTGGCAAAGAACTCAGGCTTCGTCAGCAGTACTTTTTTTGGGGTGTAGGTCCAATAATCGTGCACTTTTGATAGTGTGCATTTCACCGCAGTACATTTGGTCGAATTTGGTTGAAAATTTTAGATAGTCAGTCTTTTACCAAAAAATCCATTAAATTTCAACCAAATGCACTCAATGCACAATATCAAAATGGACTGTCATTTATCATGGAACCCTTTTTTTGTAGCGCTTCAATACAAGATATCATGCGCAGATTTTTGAAGCGGAAAAGGTCCTGGGATGAGCTTCCTGAAAAAATTGCGATTCAGCTAAATGACACACATCCTGCAATTTCCATTCCTGAGCTGCTGATGATCCTTGTTGATAAACATGGATTAGATTGGCCGACGGCGTGGAATATTTCTTATAAAATTTTTGGCTACACAAATCATACTGTCATGTCTGAAGCTCTAGAAAAATGGAGTGTAGATCTTTTTGGGAAATTACTGCCAAGGCATTTGGAGATTATTTACACAATAAACCACATTTTTATGAATCAGATAACAGCCAGGTATCTGAATAGCCCCAAGCTTCACGATATGATGGTCGATATGTCTATGATTGAAGAATCAAAGCCCAAAATGGTGCGTATGGCAAATCTTTCTATTATAGGCTCTCATGCTGTCAATGGAGTTGCCAAGCTCCACACAATGCTTCTGACTGACAAGCTTTTTGAAAAATTCAATGAGTATTTTCCTAATAAATTCCAAAATAAAACAAATGGGGTCACTCCAAGAAGATGGATCCATTGCTCCAACCCTGAACTTTCTAATCTTTATACTCGTTATCTTGGCTCTTCCTCATGGCTCACAAACCTACATGAGACAAGAAATCTTTTAACTCACCATGAAGACCCAGAATTTAGAAACTCATTTAAAGAAATTAAAATGAAAAATAAAGAAAGACTTGCAAAATGGATTGAAAAAGAATGCGGAGTTATTGTACCTGTGGATGCTATGTTTGATGTTATGGTAAAAAGATTTCATGAATATAAGCGGCAGCATTTGTTAGCATTTTATATGATTTATAGATATCTTAAGCTAAAAGAAATGACTGTTGATGATAGGCAGAGGCAAGTTAAAAGGGTTTTTATGATTGGAGGAAAAGCAGCGCCTGGGTATATTACAGCGAAAAGGATTATCAAGCTGATTACTTCTATTTCAGAAGTCGTCAATAATGACGAAGATATTGGTGACATAATGAAAGTTATTTTCCTTCCAAACTATAACGTATCCAATGCCCAAGTTATAATTCCCGCTGCAGATTTGACTCACCCTCCCTCTTTAAATTGGAACAAAAATTCCAGTTCCTATTTAAGGGGGTTAAAAAAATTATATTTCAATTTTTCTCTATAAAAACTTCTTTAAGATCTAAAACTATAAATTGAGCAAAATACTTTTAATTTTAATTTATTTTATAAAAAAAATACTTAAAAATATTAATCGATTCAATGTGAAAAATGTTTAAATAGCAGTGCCCAAAAAATGCAAATTTTACCGATATTTTGTTTTAATTTAAAGGGGAAGTCAGCAGATTTCTACTGCAGGGACTGAAGCTTCAGGCACCAGCAATATGAAATTCGTTATGAATGGAGCTATTATTGTAGGAACAATGGACGGCGCCAATATCGAAATCGTCCAAGAAATAGGAGAAGAAAATGCTTTTATATTCGGAGCCCGGATTCATGAAGTGGAAGCCTTAAAAACAGCTCATGAAACAGCTATACCTGAGCTCCAAAAAGTATTTGATGCAATTAGACGTGGAAATTTTGGAAACCCAAAGGAGCTTTCAGTAATTGCTGATAACGTAGAAAACAATGATTATTATCTCCTTAAGCATGATTTTATATCTTATATAGAAATTCAGGACAAAATAGATGAGGTTTATAGAAACTATGACCAGTGGCTAACTATGACTATTCTAGGGGCACTGCAAATGGGGAAGTTTTCAAGTGACAGAACGATTACTGATTATGCAGAAGAAATATGGGATATTGAAGCTGTGCATTTACCAAGGCCTGAAACTCAAATTCCGAAGATCAAAAGCAAGCCACATTTAGTACCGGCAGTTAAAGATATTGATGAAAGAAGACAAGAAAATGCTGAATCACAGGAAAATATATTGCAGAGCATCCCTATTAATCAGCTGGAAGCAAGTTTACAAAAGCCTGACGACATAGAGAAGATTCCAAGATACTTTTACACGCTTTAATAGAATCCTTTATTCAAACTTTCTTTCTTGCTATTAAATTCATCATGCATTACTATTAATTCATTATGCCTTACATGATTTTCACGCAGGCACTTTATCTTTCAATTTCATTTTGGTAAGTGAAAGGATGAAGATATAGAATCTACGTGTCAAAATGTTTTTGAAAAGCTGTGTGCCTCAATTAAATTCAATCAAGCATTATATCACTTTTCTTTCGTTTATTAGTATTAAATTTTATTTATTTATTCCTCCCCTTTAAGAGTGACAAAGCCTGGTCAAGTATAGGTCGCAACCCCACACACCCCCACCCCCCCTAAAAGTGGTACCCCCACCCCCTAAAAAATGGCACCCCCCACCCCCACCCCCACCGCCCTTAATATAGCATAAATATATGACAAATGCCATTTTAGAGCAGACGTAATAAATAAATTATTATTTTAAATATTCAAAATTACTGATTTATACAATATCCACATAGCGTAGCACAATCAATTAAGGAGTAGGTGGAATGAGGTGAGAATTTCCTATAACTACTAAGCATACCACATATGAAAAATTTGTTAGCAAGCATAATAATGATCTTTGGTATTAATTAGCAATATATCCTGCATATATTTATGAACTTTGTGGAACAATGGCTAAAAGTCGAATTAGAGATCTAAAAGTAAAACTGACAATAGCAAATACTATTTTTATTACCACTATTGAATCCTGTTACCAATTCAGTCCTGCAATCCTTTGTACAATGGACATCAGATTAGCTTTAATGTATGAATCAATAAATCTAATCCAAGTTATTGTGTTGTGCTTGGCTCATTTAATAATTAATGCCATTATCTATATCTTTGGCATTATATTTATAAATATAAAAAACAAATTTAATATATTTTCTAATTAATTGCTAATTAATTTAAATTTATTAATTAATCATAAATATAAAGTAATTTGTGGACTTAATTTATCAATATAGTGTTTTAATTGGTTTATATTTAATTTATTCTGCTTATTTCCTATCAATTACTTCTATAGAATAAGCACGAGAGGAGGTGGGGGTGCCATCTGTGAAAGGGGGGTGGGGGTACCATTTTTAGGGGGGTGGGGGGAGGTTCCCTTATTAAGGGGGGGGTGGGGGGGGGTGGGGTTGCTACCTATGCTTGACCAAAAGCCTATTGAAAAATGCCTATTTTTTAGAAAATAATCACCTTAAAATAGAAAAATAGTCATTTTTTTTGCATAATATTATTAGGTATCATTAAAATTTTTTATATCCTAGCTAATTATATTAGATTTTTGATAATTTTTTCTTAAATTCGATCTCTATAAGTTTAAGCAGATTTTTCTTTTTAAAGTTAGTTTAAATACATTTTTTTTCAAAAAACAAATTCCCTTTAAGAGCGAGCAGAAAATATTGCTCTATCTTAAAGGGGGGCTAGTACACAAGATAGTAATGCAATAATTGCATAATCTTATTATATAAATACTCCCTTAATTTATCGAAATGGAGGGATGACAAAATTTAAATGGTAGACACACCTTTCACTCCTTTCACACCTCATACCCCAAGGCCTGCTCTGGGAGATATTTCAAATCACAAACTGCTTTTTAGTGCATACAAAACACCTTTACAGTTGCCACTCCCTGAATCCGAAGAAGAAATCAAAGGACAAATTCATTTGAATTTAGACGAAATTGAAGAAATCACCCAGGAGAGCTTAGGAATTCAGCTTGAAAGTCCTATTGAATCCCCTAGAATAAGCATAATCCCTGATAGTATTATAGAAATTGATGAAAACGATGTGTTCGAAGATCTCGACTTTGAAATTGTACAAAATGAAATTGATCGTTATTTAGATACAAAACCTGATTTATTTCCTAGCATAATTGATTAAACCTAGTTAATCAAGCTATTTGTTTTATCAAATAAATTATTAAGCACAAATTTAAATTTTTTATATGGAGCTTAACACTTCGATGATCCCAATAAAGGCTGAAATTGAGCAGCTTCGCAGATTTTTGACGACTTCGCTATCTAAAAAGGCTGAAACTAAAGACATAGAGAAATTTATGTCAACTTTGGCTCAAAAAGCAGACCACGAGCCTACAATTGAGCTGATTGAAAAAACTAAATCAGAGGCTAAAGAGCTCATTGGTGAGTGCTTAAGAGATTTGAAAATAGAAAAAAGAAAAAGAATTGAAGAAATGATAGAAATAAAGAGAAGTCTTGAAGAAGAAATGCACTATATTAGAGAGCAAATGATTAAAGTAATAGAAGACAGAAAAAAAGAGTCAGATGAGCACAGAAAGCTCATAATGCAAGAAACAGCATTTTTTAAGACTGAAACTCAAAAAGAAATGACCACGATAATTGAAAAATTCAATGATTTAGAAGTCGCTAAAAACCTTCAAAAAGGAAAAATTGATTCATTAGAGAGATCAGTAGATTTGATGAAGGAAACAAAAGTAGACGTAAAGGATTATACTGAAATTAATACTGATAATAAAAAAGAGATATTTTTATATATTGAAGAGCTGGAAGACCAAATTAAAGATAATTTATTGAAAATTGAAGCTGACCTTGAAAAGTCTCTAGAAAATAAAGTAAGTGTAGCTGAGCTCTTTAAAGTGCTCGAGCCTAAGGTAGATGTCAGCATTTTCAATAATTTTTTGGCTCAAAAAGCAGACCAGCAAGACTTTGAAAATCTTTTAACTAGCCTTGATCATTTGCAAGCCGAAATTCAAAAGAAAAGTAATTTGCACGATCTTAATGCTCATATTTCATACACTAAAACAGCTCTTGAAGAAGTGGCAAGAGATATGCTTGTAAAAGCAAATATTAAAGATATGTGCACCTTGCTTGATATGAAAGCAAACGTTGATGATGTCAATAAAATCTTAGATTCCCCTCCGTGAGAGAACAAAATAATTTTATTCGATCATTGAAGGTAAATTTTCTAGTAAATTATTTTTCAAAATTTATAATATCGCTATTTTACAAAAGGAAAAGGAAAATTAATATAATTTTTAATATTAATGCTTTAGAATGAGAGATGTTAAAAATTCTACATTATTTATCATTTTTTATCAAAATATTTTTCATAAAAAGATTTTGTTTGGGGTGGTTGGTTTAGCAAAAAAGGATTTTTCACTTTTGCTCACTCACGGAGGGGAGTAAGCGATATTCATAAAGAACTTGACTCAAAAGCAAGAGGTGACAACTTTGCATCATACATAAATGAACAGCAAGGAATAATAGAAGCACTATGTGCTGAAAATTGTGTCGCAAGATGAATATGAAAGTCAGGAGAATTAGATGGAAATAGCTGTGTGCCATGGGAAGTTCAAAGCGTAAATACTGCTCCAGATAATTATATGTGGGAAAAAGATAAAGCTGTGTTAACTGTGGTAGCGCCTGGGCTGTATGAAATTATGATTGGATTTTATGCAAGAAAAAAGCCAACTATACAGATTTTAGTTAATGGTGAGCCAATTTTAACAGCAATAAATTCAGCAAGTTATGCAGTTCATCATAGTTCAGGAAAATTGAGATCTGTAGGAAATCATTCTAATGGAAATATTGCTGGGCTTACATTGATTGATTTTATAGCTCTTCCTGCAAGAGCTAGAATAACAATTATTTATAATGGAGAGCTGCATGCTGAAGGATTTTTAGGATTAAGAAAATTATAATGTGGATAATAAGATAAATTCGTCATACTTTCATTTTGCATAAAAGATTGGAAAGCTGTCACATTAAAAGACTATTATAAATGATAGTTTTTAGATCAGAAGAAATTACAAAATATATTTATTATCGAAAAATCATTTAAGATACCTCTGAACTGTTTATAATTTCTTAGTCCCTACTAATCATTAATGGATTATATATAAAAATGCAAAATGTTGCTACAAGGCAAGAAAAATTTTCTGGTGGCTTATATATAATAGAAATTTCTATTTTCATTAAATTATTTATTTAAATAAAGAAGAAGTTAGCGCCAAAAAATGGTAAAAACACAAAAGGCTCCAAATGCAAAAAATTCTAACTCCCCCCCCCCTCCGTGAGCGAACAAAACCATTAGAAAAATCGCCATTTTTGACCAAAAACCCACCCTCCGTGAGTGAACAAAAATTTTTTTAATAGAAAAAATTTTAATGGAAAAAAAATTTTGATATATAAGTGATAATTAGTATAATGAAATCTAGAGCTAATTCTGTTTAATTTTAAACAAATTGCGTTTTTAAAACATAAATTTTGCAAATTAAATTAATATTTGCTTCCCAATTTTTGCAAATTAGGATTTTTTTAAATTTCGAAAAAAAATATTTTTTATAAAATTTATATATAAATTTTTTTTAAAAAAAAAAAAATTAACCCCCCTCCGTGAGCGAACAAAAATTTTTTTGTTCGCTCACGGAGGGGGGGGGGGAGTAAACAAAATAGTAAAAAGAAGCTTGATGCTGACCCATTGCAAACAAAAATACCATTTACTGTTAAATCTTCCAAACCTACTTCAAAGACATGCATTAAATGCAAAGAAATTGGCTCGCTCATTTCTTGTAAAAAATGCGCTGGATCATTTCATTTAGCTTGCCTAGGTTTGTCAGAAAATCAAGTTACATTTACTAATTGAATTTGTGTTGAGTGTTTGGGATCATATGATAAGCAATTATCAACTGAGGCAAAACAGCACTTAACTTTACAAAAAAAGGAAAAAGAAAGTTTTTCAGGGAAAATCTTTAATAAATTGTCAGAAATCAAAGAAGAAACACAAATCCAAAAATTCAAGAATAAATATCCTGAGTACATTAAAGGCGATAAGATTAATTATACTTTGTTAATCTGAGCTTCAGATTAATCACTATTATATAAAGTATTTATTTTTAAATTTTAACATTAAATAATACTTAACTATGCATAAGTATACCCTATTCCAGATGAGCTATTATGAGAAAACCAAGGAATACATGAGATTTCATTAAAAGAAAAGCCAATCCCAAATAAATCTCATATTGACCCTAAAATCTTGGGCAATATTTTATTTATTTGTGATTTTCTCTATACCTTTAAAGAAATTCTCCAAATTGATCCAATTAGCTTTGAGGACGTTTACAAAGGATTATCATCCAAATACGAAAACGAAATTTCCAAAAAAGTTCACGTTTCCTTACTAAGACCTATCTTGCAGCATATGGCAAGAAAAGAAAACACTGATAAATCCATTAACCGAGGCCTAAGCTATCTTCTTTATAAATCATCCAAAATAATTGACTTGGATGATATCTTAGATTCCTCATATCTTGTTATATATGATTATGCATTGTTTTCAGGGTTATGAAAAGAAATTATTGAAAGTGCTGGCATCGAAGCAAATGAGTCTTTAAAAGCTTACCCCTTGCTTTCTCAATATAACACAAACTACTCAATTGAAGATAAAATCCAGCTGATCTCAACCCTCATAATTATTTTGCTTGATTCCTTAGCTTTTTATCAAGAAATCACTGATAGAATTGAAAATTTATCCAACCTTAAGAAAGAAAAACATGAAATTAATGCTCAACTGAGAGCCATCCAAAAATCACACCCAGAAAAATCACAAAATAAAGAAGAGCTACAATTGCAAGACAGACTTAAACAAATATTAGGAGAAATTAAAGAAATTAAAACGAGGACAGAATGCATTGGAAAGGATAGGGATTATAATGAATATTTTATTTTTCCATGGGAAAAAAGATATATTTTTGTTAAATGCTATAAGCCGATTGAAGATGGAAAGGAATCTGAATCAGGGTATTGGTATTATTATGATAAGAAAAAAGAAGTTAATAAATTACTAACTCCCCCCCTCCGTGAGTGAACAAAAAAATTTTGTTCACTAAAATTTTATAAAAAATATTTTTTTTCGAAATTTAAAAAAATCCTAATTCGCAAAAATTGGAAAGCAAATATTAATTTAATTTATAAAATTTAAGTTTTAAAAAGCAATTCGTTTAAAATGAAACAGAATTAGCTCTAGATTTCATTATACTAATATCATTTATATATCAAAATTTTTTTATTAAAAAAATTTTTGTTCACTCACGGAGGGTGGGTTTTTAGGCAAAAATAGGATTTTTCTAATGGTTTTGTTCACTCACGGAGGGGGGGAGCAAAATACTTTAATAGTAAGGGTGAAAGGGAAGCAAAACTTACTGAAGCTTTAAATAAAGCTCTTGAAGGCCTTGAATTAACAGAAGATGGACTCAAATTTTCATCAAAAAGCGAGGAGGTGGAACATTCAGATTTAGAATCAATAATTGAGCTTGAAGACCCAACTGAAGATCTAAAATCCAAGCTCAAAAAGTTATATGTCTTAATGAAAAATAATCTTGGAGTATGCAACTCGGAAATTGAACTTATACTCAATGAAGAAACAGCCAGTGCAGAATCAATTAAAAAATATTTCAAAGCAATTTCAGAAATTACAGGCTGCGAACAAATGCTTCAAGAGTCAGATGAAGAAAAAGAAAAAGAAGAAGAGCCTTCAAAGCATAGAAAAATTGATATTATGTCTTTTGGTTGATTTTTACAGCACATCTTTTAGTTTGACGCTCTCAATAAGGCATTATTTGACGCAATTTTATTGAATTTCTTACTCATAAGACAAAAACCGATATTTTTCAATAGTTAAAAAGCTTCGAACAAATGGCGCCAGGAAATGGCTTCAAGAAGAAATGTCTCTAGGAAAAGACTATAGTCAAAAAATTGAGCTCCAGATATGGTCAGACTTTAGCGATATTCAATACTACTGGTCCCAATACTTAGAAGAAGCCAAAGACACTCACGAGTTTTTCATCTGCTATCATATTTTAGCAGAAATTGTCAAAAAATATATAAAAGAGCACCAGCATCACCCAACCCTAACTTCTCTTATCCTTAACCGATCGTCATCGCTTGATCAAGGATAGGCTTAAAAAGTTATATAGATTTTTTTTAATATTAAATTTATTCATAAAATATTTTATGCATTAGCCACAAAAGATAGAATATCCAATATTTTAGCAAATATCTTATATATCACATTAGAATTACATAAGAGTGATTATGCTGCATAATCTCCAACATTTATTACTATCAAATATAAATAGCTAATTTAAGACAGGGTAGGGAAGTGGGTACCACACTTAGCTATATGAAAATTGTTCGATCCATGATAGGAGAAGGATTAAGAGAAGAAAATTCATATAATCTTGCAAGAAAATCTTATAGACTAGCCAGGCTAAGTAAAATTAAGCATTATGAAGAAGATCGCAACCAAGCGCAGGATGATGAATGCTTTATTTGTGGAGAAGATGACGGAACTTTGCTATGCTGTGATGGCTGTCCAAAAGTGGTTCATCAAGAGTGTGTTATGCTTGAAAAAATCCCAGAAGGAGATTGGTATTGCAATGAGTGTGTTGAAAAAGCAAATGCAATGAGAATGACAAGAGGGAGATTGAAGCTATCAAAGCTTAGAGATAATTTATCAAATAATTAATGAAATTTATTAATAATTTTTATAATTTATTAACAAAATAGTTTTGTCAACTAAATATTTCTGACCGCCAAAGCAGGCCGCGGATGGATATTACTTCTATTAACTCTGCCTTTAGAAATGATATTTATTTTTTTCTGGACAGATAAATAGTCTTTGCAAGCTTCAGTTTTGTCTTGCTCAGAAAAGAATTCAGTGTTTTCTGATGATGTAATATTTTTAATCTGCTTCATGTAAGTTTCCTGGCATCTTTTAAAAAGGGAGTTTGTGCATTCTTTTTCTTTGCTAAATATTGTTGAAATATGCTTACATTTCAGTGGGCAAATATTTAATTTATTTTTTTATATAAAAATTAATTTATAAATAATTTATTTATTTTTCACAGAAGTTAGATATAGACTCTACAAAGGTTTGATTAACATCTTTAGGGCTTAAATTCCCTCTAGACACTGCTGTCGAAATAGTCCCTCTTTTCGCTGAACTTGTTCCTGAGCTGGTAAAAAAATCGGATTCGTTAAGAGATCTTCTCTTCATTATTTTTCTTAATCCGATTTTCGCTTCTCTAATCATAAGTTTATTTCTCAAAGGCGACGTATTTTTATATTCTTTTTCAATGTGGAGATGAGGCAAAGGTGGTCTTTGGGCTATGATTTGCCTTGGCTGCATTTTACTTAAGTTGCAAGGCTGCGGCTTTTTGTATAAGTAGAAAATGTCATGAGGCATCAAGCCTGAGTTCTTCTTAGCTTCTTCAACTAAATCTTTAAACGAAGGCCTCGGAGCGCTTTTCGATCTATCAGTCATTTTTAACGGATCAATATAGATAACTCGTTAATTTACTTTTTTCTTATTTATTTATAATAAAATTAGGTGAGAAAATAATTAATGAATTTTATTGAAAATAGTAGCCTGGACATAGACAATTGTTAAGCATCTGGCGGCATTTCAAACAGATTACATAATTGCAAGTCTGACAATGCACTCTCTCAAGTCCATCCCTCACCTGGATGAAATCACGGCAAACAGGACAATTTTGATAGGTTACAGATGCAAATCCACAAGTGCATTCATTTCTTTTGCTTTCACAAATAGAACAATAATAAATATTGCATCTATCACAATAATGGAGTTTAGAATTTGGCACTGATCTTATTATTCTATAGCAGTGTTTGCACAATTTATTTTGTGGAGGTTTGGCTTTTGGCTTTGGGTTGCAGCTGCATAGATTTTTCAGTGTCTTGCAGCGGCCACATATTAAGTATTTGCATTTTGGGCACATTGAGTCAACATCAGTTAGTTCGAAAATTTCAGAGCAGAGATTATTAGGGCATTTTATGATATTTCCGAACTCTCCTTTTAAGAGCCTTTTTTTGAAGGCATAGTCATTGTATATTTTCATTAACTCATTGGATACGTGATTTTGAATATCGGCTGGCTGAATACTTTTTTTGCAATTATCTTGAGGGCAGAGGATATCAACAATTTCAGCATTTATTTGGCTTTCAAAGTAACTATTTAAGCAAACTCGATGAAAATAGTGAGTGCATGACCTTAAGGAACACCTATTTTCTAAAGGTATGTTGCCTGTGCAGTAGCCGCAATTTGGACCTTTCGGGATTTCAATCGGCTCAGGAGGGAGTCTTATAACTGGAGCAGGAGGCTTGACTATTGCTGGCGGTCGTGGGATTATAATTGGAATTTCCATAGGACTTGGAATTACAACTTCTGGCGGAGGCTTAATTGGGATTTTGACTAGAGGCAAAGAATTCAGCATTTCATTTGCCTCACCGATGCTTCCCTGATAAAGCTTGGACTCTATTTTATATTGGTTTTCTGCAGATATAGCTCCTGCTTTGACTGATTCGTAGAGTCTATTTATAAAGGTGTAGATGACTTGCGTTCCTAAAAATGTTTTTGTTCTCATGCACCCAGCTAAGTAAACTGCTCGTGGCTGAAGATTAGTTGAAATTTGGTTTATTGTATTTAACTCTCTGATGATTTCTTCGTCAGATATCATCGGCTGTATTTTTTATTATTCTAATCAATAATTTTAGAATTTTTATTATATTTTATGGTATTTTGCTGCAGGTCTTGCTACTCCTAATAAGCAATTGGCTTATTAGTATCAAGATATATGAGAAAATTAAAAGAGGTTCTTATTTTATTATTGGTTAAATTTCGAGTAGCAGTTACAGTTATATTTTCATTTAGATAATAAGAAAGCCATTATTAGAATATATAAGCCAGCATAAATGCAATGCTGTTATAAGTCAAGCCAAATTTTGCACGATAAATATTTTTCTAATAAACTCAATAAGAACACATATTAAATATGAATAATTTATGTTGTTAATTTTTAAAGTGTATAATTATATATACCATTATAAATTATATTTAAGTCTAATTGCTTAAAATGTAACTAATATTATTATTAGCTTATTTATGCGATGCCTATAGATTTATCATTTAGTGCTTAATTATTCAGATTTGGTCTAAAACAGTTTACTTAATCTCTATTAATTTATTCATTGTGACATTTTTGTCGAGCTGAATATAAGTGTGAAATCGTTTTTTAGGTTGCATTCCTGGACATAGGTTTTATATTTCTTACCCCCGCCAGCAAAGATATATAAGGAAAGCCTTTTTGTTTTAGGAAAACCACCCTCCTACAAAAATTTTATTTAAAATAAGCAAAAATTATTATAATGAAATCTCTCTTAATTCTAACTCCCCCCCCCCCCTCCGTGAGCGAACAAAACCATTAGAAAAATCGCCATTTTTTGACCAAAAAAACCCACCCTCCGTGAGTGAACAAAAATTTTTTTAATAGAAAAAATTTTAATGGAAAAAAATTTTGATATATAAGTGATAATTAGTATAATGAAATCTAGAGCTAATTCTGTTTAATTTTAAACAAATTGCGTTTTTAAAACATAAATTTTGCAAATTAAATTAATATTTGCTTCCCAATTTTTGCAAATTAGGATTTTTTTTTTAAATTTCGAAAAAAATATTTTTTATAAAATTTATATATAAATTTTTTTTAAAAAAAAAAATTAACCCCCCTCCGTGAGTGAACAAAATTTTTTTGTTCGCTCACGGAGGGGGGGGGGGGAGTAAAGAATTTAAAAAGTTTGCATTTTAAATTATTTTTCAAGTTAATGCAATCCCCATTTTTTTACATATTGGGATATTTTAAAAATTAAAACAAAAATTTATACATAACCCCTTCTGTGAATGAGCAAAATTATTTTGGTTGCTCATGGAGGGAGAACTATGATTTACAAATGGAGGAAAAAGTGGATCCAAAGCAATTCTAAGCGCATTGTCTAGCATTTCAGGGATTAATTTAGCTAGATAAGATCCACTTAGCTCTAAGCAAGGATTTGTATTTGCTTCAATTAGTCACACTTTAAATTGCTGATCAATCATAAAATCATATCCAAATACTTCAAAAGTCTGTTTCTTTTTTTGCAAATTTAATATTTGATAAGTCGCTGCAATACTATCAAAAATCAATTTTTCAATTTGTGGTAAAATATCTGTATAGAAATCAGTGCCAGAATAGTTCGCGTTTAAATATCTTTGGAACTCTGCATATGAAAGTTTATTCCCTGACTCGTATCTTCCATAGTCTTCTGATTTATTTTGTATTGCATCATTCGTTAAATGTACATATTTATCATAATTTTTTAAAGAAAATTCTTTTGATGAAGTTCGTAAATAGCCTTCTTTGTAAAAATATCCTTGGATTTGGCCTTCAATTCCAGTAATCAAGGCATAGCACCTTATATCGAACTTTCTCTTATTAACAAGAAGCGGGTTTTCTATATATTTTTGTATGATATATGTTCGAGATCCTTCGTTTTTATATATTAAATTCCGAATTTCAGTTAAATCGCTGGATACCAAAATGCCGTTTCCTCTATTTGTGTTTTCCCCTGGCTTTACAATTCAAAGGCTGCCTGGAGTGTATGAGTTTTCAAATAGTCTTAAATTGTCGTCATCAAGGCCTTTTTCGATATGAAAAGTTAATGGAATATGGTCAAAAACAGATATTATGCGTAAATTGTTTTAAATCCAAGCACAGAAATTTTTAAAAAATATGGAATTTTTATTTTTTTAATTCAGATTTTAGCATAAATAATGGACTTAAAATTCTCAAATTAATATACACCTTTGGAATGATAATATTTGGAAAGATTTTTAAAGAGTTTCTTTTTCAGTCCTAAGTTTCCATTATCAGGGAGATGATTATGGATAATTTCATCATTTCCACACAATAGAGATATGATATTTAATTTTGTGTAACTTCTTGAGTTTGTAATTTTATGATATCCAAGCTCATTTTCAAGATTTTCTGCATTAAATTTGGGCAAAATCGATGTGGCTGAGGGTGTTGAGTCTACTATTTTGGAATAATTGTTGCAAGTTGACATTTTTTCTAATACAAGAGGCTGCTTAAGTTGTGTTCATATAAAATTTGCATTAGTTGGAGAGTCCACTCTTATTCACCATCATCTTTGCTTCATTAGTCGATCTACCAAAGCAGAATTGTTCCCTTTTCCAATAAAATATTTATAAACATGCCCTTGGTTTAGAGACTCATAGCCATTGCTGGCTTGAATTAATTTAATCCAGCTATGAAATAAAATCTCTTTGGCATCCTGAATTTGCTTTGAAATTTGTCTTACCTTTGTTATAATTTGTGAGTTAAACTTTGACTGTGAAATTGATGGTTTGGCTTGCTTTTGGCTAAGTTTCTGAGCTCTAGAGTGCTTACTCCTCCCATCCTTGATCGAACGACTCGCTATCGTTCGATCAAGGATAGGGGTTTAAAAACATTTTATATATAAAATAAAAATATATAAATATTTGTTTTTATTTACTTTTAAATAAGAGGGTTAAGAGTATTTAATAATTATTTTTACAGCAAAAAATTTAATTAATTTCATAAAATACCAATTTTTAATATTTTGATTTATTAGTTACCACTTTAAACTGTATAAATTTTAATTTGTTCTTTATTAAATAAAATTTTTTTTTTTAAAATTTTAAAGAATCTCTATTTTTTTAGATTATTGAGTTTTTAAGCCATGGTTGATGACTAATCACTTCGAATGGTTGATTTCGCAGCTCTCTGTCGTCTCAAAGCTCTGAAAACAACTTCATTAGGTACATCTTCCCAAGCTTTTGATAACTAATATATTTTTTATATATAAAAAAATTTGCATGATTTTAAAATCGTTTAATCAAGGATGGGGTTAATTTTCCCTTTTAAAGTCAATCGTTCGATTAAGGATGGGGGGGAGTTAGGAGATTGCATGCCTTCAACAGAAATATCGTGATAGTTGCTTAAAACTTTATTGTAAATACTTTTATCTCCTTTAGTTTGTTTAGCATACAGTGATTCAATTGGTCTTCGAATATATGAATAATCTAAAGCTTGAGCTTCATGAGAACTTGAATCATAGAAAAACTTGGTCTTCTCATTATTACTAACAGTCCAAAACATTGTTTCTACAGGAGGCTGCAAAATTAATGTCTCAAAATTTGTTCCCAAAACAGAATGTCTCTGTAACCGATATGGGGTTACTATTTTTTCGTTAGAATCAAAATCTAGTAATTTTCTTTTTGCCAATTCGCTTCCATTATCAGAATACCTTTTGCCTTGCCTCTCATTTTTTGAGACACTTTGAGGTCTTACTTTTAGACTTAAAATTGTCGTTTTCGAAACTAGTTCATGGTTTTGGTCCATGATTTGATTTTTACCATCTTACTAAATTCTCTACAGCATAAATAGTGTATTTCACAATAATAAAATGGTTTCTACTTATACAACATCAGACTCTTGCTCTGAGATCGGATTTTCCAGATTCCCTTACGTCTCAATCAAGATCTGTGAAGCCAGAAATTTGCAGGCTTATAGTGAATACAGTCAAGAGCTAAAACCATATATAAAAATTTCGAAGGGCTCTCACAAAAGCCAAACAAAATCTGCAACAACCTCTGATGATGTAATATGGAACGAGAATTTTGAAGTTTCAGGCGACGGTTTTGATTCTTTGATAATTTGTCTGATGGATCATGATGAATTTGACGGGGATATCGTTTTGGCTGGGTTGTCATTTCCTATGGAGTTATTAAAACAATGGAGAGAAGAAAAAGTTTTGTGAGTCAGACTTATTGATCCAAAAACTGTGCAGGATTTGGCTGAAGAAGATAATATTCTTACGTTTACAGAAGATATGGAAATTTATAACCCGGCGGATACCCAATGTCCTATATTAAAATTAGAAATTTCATATTTTGGGATTGAAAGCTTGAGGGAAATTTCTTCGAAAATTGTGAATAGTGAGATTATAGAGAGGGATGGAAAAACATATACAGAATATGAAATGGTTTTGACAAGAAAAGATGGATTTAACTGGAAAGTCAATTTCAGATATTCGCAGCTTATTCCCCCTTCTCCGTGAGCAACAAGACCATTGGAAAAATCCCTTTTTTGACCAAAAAACCCACGTCCGTGAGCGGACAAAAATTATTTTAATTGAAAAATTTTTTATGGAAAAAAAAAATTATATATAAATGATAATTATTATAATGAAATTTCTAGCTAATTCCGTTTTATTTTAAACAACTTGCATTCTAAAACAACATAAATTTCGCAAATTAAATTAATTTTTGCTTCTCAAATTTAACATATTGGAATTTTTTTAAATTTTGAAGAAAAAAAATTAACCTCCTCCGTAAACGAACAAAAAATCTTTGTTTGCTCACGGAGGGGGGAGTTAGGAAAGTAAGGAAAAATATGATCAAACGATTCCCTGAGCTGAAAGAACTGAAGTTTCCAGGGAAAACGGCACTTTCTTTTCTTCATTTGAAACGAAGCAATAAGTTTAGTGAAGAAAGAATTGAACAGAGAAAGCAAGTTATGGAAAAATTTTTGAACTATACGCTTAAATGTCAATATCAGCAGAAATGTAGCGATTTTTACCAATTTTTGCAAGTTCCCTATAATTAATTATAACTTAAATTTTTTTTACTTTGTTTAATGGATTATGTCACATAATATCAAACAATTAATGGCTGAAGAATGCGAAAAAATATTCTACCACGTAGAAGGTTCTATAAAATGCTTAAAATTGCATAAGTTTTTTGATTTGTTATCAAAATTATCTTCATTATTATCAAATATTAATAATTTATAAACTTAAAATTATTATAGAATTTTTTTATTCTTCTCTGAATAAAATTGCACATAACATATCCTTATATAAATTGAGATTAATTTCTAAATAGATCTATAATTAACTTGCTATTTAGGTATACCATAATAATTAAAGCGGCATTAGCCTTTGAATAATAAAGCTCTGAATGGGGAATGGCAGAAAAGTTAAAAAGTTCCCAAAAATGAAATGTTTCCAATGCCCATAGCTAACTCCTGTCCTAAGACTTCCTAACAGCGATTTTGCATAGTCATCTGGGAGGACAGTTAACGGGTATTTTTGAATCTTCATCGTCGCAGACAGGTCAGTAATTACAACTCCTGGCCTTATAGTAGCAGTATCAATACATTGCTTATACTCATACGCCGTAGCCTCACTGAAAAAATGATTATATTTCTTCGTCGCACTATAAACAGCACTATTCGGAAAATAACCTAACTCCGCGGTTGACGAGAAATTAATGATCAACGATCTCTTTTTTCCTACCTCATACCTTTTTAAGAACTCTGGAATTAAGTAATAAGCAAGCAGAGTCGATGGGTAAATGTTTATAGCTCATGCACCTTAATAGATCTCTATACCCCAGCAGAATACCGACCAGAAAAAATATGGCTCCGAGCACCTGCCTTATACAGTATAAGTCTGATTAGGCACCTTAAAACCATAAACAGAGACATGCCATTTTCACTTTTACTTTTCAAAAAAGCTGACAAGTGCAAATTAATTTTGGAAATTAAATAGATGAACAATAATGATCTAAAATATTTCAGGGGCTATACACCTATTTGGTTCTCAATAATTCCATCATCTTCATTCAAAAGATCTTTTTTATCTGACACCCCAACATTATTAACCAATACTGATATTTCATAATTTTTTAGCTTTTCATTGAGACTTGCGAAAAACTCTTCACTCCCCCCCCAATCCTTGATCGAACGATTGACTGTAAAAATTCCTAAAAATTGGGGAAATTAACCCCCATCCTTGATCGAACGATTTTCATATCATGCAAATTTTTATATAAATACAAATATATTAGTTATCAAAAGCTTGGGAAGATGTGCATAATGAAGTTGTTTTCAGAGACTTTGAGACGACAGAAAGCTTCGGAATCAACCATTCGAAGTGATCTAGTCATCAACCTAGGCTTAAAAACTCAATAATCTAAAAAAATAGAGATTCTTTAAAAAACAAAAAAAAAAAAATTTTTTAATTTAATAAAGGAACAAATTAAAATTTATACAGTTTTAAAGTGGTAACTAATAAATCAAAATATTAAAAATTGGTATTTTATGAAATTAATTCAATTTTTTGCTGTAAAAATAATTATTAAATACTCTTAACCCTCTTATTTAAAAGTAAATAAAAAAATATATATATATTTTATATATAAAATTTTTTTCCCAAAAAAAATTTGTTTTAACCCCCATCCTTGATCGAACGATGGCGAGTCGTTCGATCAAGGATGGGGGGTGGGAGTCAGCATTTTTGTGAGACATAGAAAAATCAGCTTGAATAAACTGGATTTCTGAGTTTGCGTATAAAGCCTCAATTTCTCTTTTCACATTTTCAAGCTTCGATTGGTTCCGTGATATCATTAATATTTTAAACCCACGCCTGGCGAACTCTTTGGTAAGTGCTTTGCCAATTCCGTCAGTTGCACCAGTAATACAGACATAGCCATCGCTGTATTGCTTTAAATTAATGCAGCAGAATAGTTTCCAATAAAGCCAAGGCAATATTACACAAAGGATTTTAACAGCCCCAAAGATTGCGAAAGTCAGTCATACAATTTCCCAATCCTCCATAATTATTATGCTGATTTATTCGCCATTTAGCAAAATTACTATAATCCTAAGCCATTTTCTTACAGAATTAAAATGGAAGACGAAACCAATTCAGGATCATCAGGAACTGCATCATGATTCAGTGAAAAAAACTCATCAAACCTCGAAAGGCCAATGGACAAAGAAAAATGAAAAAGCGAAAAAAGATGCCAAATCTGCAATGCCCAATTTGGGGTCGTAGGTGTAGTTTACACAAAAAAACAATGCTGCAAATTTTGCTATAAAGCAGTCTGTGACAAATGTTCAGCACAAAAATCAATGCATCCTGAAACAAATACCCAAGAAAGAATCTGCAGCAGCTGCTATAATGCAGCTCTGGAAAATAGGTTTTCAGAAAGCATGAGTAATGAAGTTTTAAAAAATCAGGCACAAAAAGAAGAATTAGAGATTAAATTAGAACAAGAAACCAGAAGGAAAAACGAAATTATCGCAAAAAGGAAAATGCTGGAAGAAAAACTGAATAATTGTGAGGCGGAGTTTTCGAAAAAGAATTCTGAAATGATGTCAAGACTAAATGAGCTGGAAAGGAATAAAGGAGATTTACTAATACAGCAGGAAGATTTAAAAGAAAAAAAAAGTGAGGTGGAAGATAGAATTAAGCTAAAAGATGAGAAAAGAATTATGCTGACTACGAGGATTGAAACAATTAATAAAGAAGTGGCTGAGAAGAAAAATGAGCTAGCAGAGGCAAAAAATAAATTAGAGGAGTATCAAAATGAAGGGGAAAAGTTAGAATTGAGGCTGCAGGAATTGTCGAGCTATTTGGAAAGCCATGAAGAGTCTGACTCTGAAGATGAAAAAATGATGGTGAAGCTGGGGAAATTGGAAGAAAGGGAAAAATTGGAAATGGAAGAAAATCAAGCGCTGAAAAATGAGCTAGGGGAGCTAAAAGGTGAAGTGGAGATGAAAAAGGAGAAACTGAAAAGTGCGAAAGACAAATATTTAAAGAGAGAGGTGTCGAGATCATCGGAAAAAGGCTTGTTTGCATTAAGCCAAGAGGAAGAGGATAATATAAGAGAACTTAAAGCACAATTAAAAGAGCAGCACTCTCTTATAGAGAGACTAAGATATGAGCTTGAAAAATCCAAAGAGAAACACGTAGCAAGGAAAAAAAGAAGATAATCCACCAAATTCAATTTTACTGCTGCGGAAATATTTTAATCAACTGATAAAAAATTTAAAATTTCTTTATTCTAACTCTCCCCCTCCGTGAACCACAAAACCTCTATTTTTGGGTAATCCCGCCCTCTTAGGCGAATAAATAAGTGATAATTAATATAATCAAATCTCTAGCTACTTCTGTTTAATTTTAAACAGCCTGATAAATTTTGAAAATTTAATTAATTTTTACTTCTCAATATTTATGAATTGAAATTTTTGAAATTCTGAAATTTGGCTTTAAAATTTATATATATAAATTTTTTAAAACAAAAATTAATCCCCCTCCGTGAGGGAAAAAAAATTCTTTTGTTCGCTTACGGAGGGGGAGCAAGTATTTTAAAATTTTATTAATAATCAGTTTCCACCCTATAATTATTTGCCATTCCAATTTTTTTCCCGATTATTATATTTCCAATACTCACAAGTTAAATTAAGCAATATTTCATTAAACATAATTATCCACAATACAGTAAAGTCCATTTTTTAAATAATTAGATGACGGCAATTGAAGATCTTATGTGGAAAAGAGCTTCAAGCTCTGAGCTAACTCAAAGTTTGGAAGTTATCTTATCCCGAGAGGACTCATCAATTTCTCAGTTACTTGATAACGAAAACGCAGCACAAGAATTAAAAAATAAAAATCCCAGGATTATCCAATAGTGAATTTTATGTAGCCTTAATAGTGCAAGACTTGTTGAATTGATTGATATGATAGTGACTATTCCTTCAGAAGACTCAACTGATAAAAGGAAATTCAAATATCCACTTGACGCTTCAGAGCTGCTTTGTATAGCTGCTTCACCTCTGCATGATAAAATCTTAGCAGATGAGACTATTTTAGATAAAATTTTTTCGATTTTTGATGGGCCTGATATAAACGATATACTTTCAGGCTATTTTTCAAAGCTAGTGATAGCTTTAATAAGCAGAAATCCAAAGATTATCCTTAAATATATTTTTGAAAAAAAAATTGACATCAAGATCTTGCAGTTTATCTATATGAGGAGTATGGCACAGGTTGCTCTTCATACTTTACAGCTTGAAGAAGATTTAGAGGATTTATGCTAAATTATATAAGCTGGGTAATATAGGAATAATAGCTGACTCCTTATTTATATAGTCTGCTGGGGAAATGAAATCTGTATTTTGTATGTCAAATCTCTTTTAGCATGTGAAAGTTAAGAATATATAGACTTTCACATGCCAAAAGAGATTTGCTATACAAGAACTAAAAGATATTAGCCTAAAATTATATAAAAAAACTAGCCAATTACTATCATATTAAACTATTAATCCGCATAAATATGCATATTTTTAGAAGAAAGGTCAAACTTAATATCTGATTTAGTAAAGCAACTGAATAATTCCAATATTTTTTCAGCCTTAAATTCTGGAATAGTAATAAGCCGATTTTTAAGTGGCAGCACAAAAGTGAATTGCTGAAAACAACTTGTATGCTTATTCTTACGAGAAGAAAACTTAAATGCTATTTTTTGCAAATTTAATGGAAACCATCGAATTAACGGAGAAGCAGAAATACTTAAGAGCTGCCTATCAATGCCAAATCGATCTGAAATAATGAGCATAGGCATCGATGAAGAAGGAATTTCCCCATTAATGCGATACTTTGTTAACTATTTGTCTGCATTTGCCAACATATTAAGAGCCCCATATGAAAGTAGAATAACAGCTTTTAAAGAGACTATTGAAATTCTTGGAGAATCAAGATTTATTGTCTTAGAAATAATAGCTACTGCTTTTGATGCTCAATCTGGGTATATTACTTTAGGGCTGATTAACCAAGAAATCCTTGATTTATTTATCGAAATATTTTTTAGGTTTGAATGAAACTCGATGCTTCATAATTTATTTTATAATACTGTTCAATCAATAATGAACATGAGCTCTTTAGAAGCAGCTAAATATTTGCTGAATAATACAAAATTAATAGAATTTATGGAGACAGCAGGAATCTTACTCCCCCCTCCGTGAGTGAACAAAAAAATTTTGTTCACTCACGGAGGGGGTTAATTTTTTTTTAAAATAAATTTTATATAGAAAATATTTTTTTTCGAAATTTTAAAAAAAATCTTAATTTGCAAAAATTGGAAAGCAAATATTAATTTAATTTATAAAATTTATGTTTTAAAAAGCAATTTGTTTAAAATTAAACAGAATTAGCTCGAGATTTCATTATAATAATTATCACTTATATATCAATTTTTTTTTTCCATAAAAAAATTTTTGTTCACTCACGGAGGGTGGGTTTTTTGGCAAAAAATAGCGATTTTTCTAATGGTTTTATTCACTCACGGAGGGGGGAGTTAGCAATTACAGTGTCTATTAGTAACCGGAAAGGCTTATCTGGATATATTACAAAAATCGGAAATTTGATTGCAAAACATATGTCTCCTATAATTAAAGAAATAATTGAAAATAATCCTCTATGGAATAATTTTGTGGATAGCTATTTAAAGCCGATGAACCAAATTCAAGAAGCAAAACCTAATTTAGCACAAGCTCAAAAACGATATGACATCAGTACTGCTGAATTCATGGATTTAGAAGGAGTAGAGAAAAATCCAAAAGAAGAAAACAAAGAAAAGCTTGAAAAAATTGCGAAAACTTTAAAAATCACAAATCCTGCATCCAAACCTACAGATAGGATTGTGGAGAGATCACTTTTGACGAGAAATAAACTCATGAATTTAGATACAGAAATAACAAGCCCAAGAAAAGGATCTTCAGAGGTTTTGAGCACTGAAGCAAATCGTGATCCTGCTGAAGAGTATATTAGAAATATGCTGAATACCCAAGAAAGTAAAACAAATACAGAAGATGAAATGAAGGTAGAAAGCAATGAATCATTGAGCACGAGTGAGCAAAACTATGAGACTACTGATGCATTTGAATATAATGATATTGAGTATTGGAGAGTGCCTCCAGATTATCTTAAAATTGGTGAACTTGATTAATATTAACTAGAATAGCGATTTTCATCATTATGCTCATACATATAAAAAAATCCTTAATTAAATAGGATGATTTTATTATATGCAAAATTCTTCTGAATTGCCTAATAAAGCTAGCGACCACGCAGAGTTAGAAATCGTTAAAAATTCTATTTCAGAGATAATCAATAAGAACAGTAAGTGTTTAGAAAAACTTGAAAACGTAAAAACAGAAACCAAAGCAAGCCTGATTAATTTTCAAATAAATTTCCTTACTAACGATCTCAACAGCAAGCTCATAGAAACCGAAAACGCTTTAAACGTTCTTAACACCTTAAAAAATAAGACAGCTGAGATTTTGAGTATACCAATCACTCCAATATTAGAGACTGATTTTAGGGCAACTTGTTCAGCATATCAAAGCTGTCCTAGTATTTATGATCCACCGCTAATGCAAGCTTACCAAGATTATCTTAATGCTTATCAGCAAAAGACATCTCTTTATAATCTTTCAGAGTGTAAAAGCAACAAGACTTATTTACATATATATAACACTGAAACTGAAACCAAAGAAGTTAAAATTTTGGAGACTCCACAATCACTAAACCATCAAACTAGCATAACTCAACTTCCAAATGGCAAACTATTCTGCTATGGAAAGTATCCATGTTCTGGTATTACAGCGATAGTTGATGTAAATGGTAAGGTCGAAATTTTGGCGTCTGGGGTTCCTTGCTCTTCCTTATCATGTATCTATTTTGACAATAGCATCTATTGCTTTGGAAGAGCAAATAATTACTATTGTCTATCTAGGAGATTTGACTTGGATCAAAATCGGTGAATAAGATTTACCTCAATTCCAAACGTTGAACCTTATTGCATTAGCATAATATTTAAGCGGAATATTTTGATTTCTGAGTATTTTAATAAAAATCTTTTGCTATACTCAATTGATATTGACTCCTTCTCAATAATTCCTTATAAATTTGCAGCACATAAAACAAAGTTTCTGATAAATACAAATAGATTGTATTTAATTGAATGCGGCAATGGATCAATCTATGAAAGTGAAATTGAAAGTTACATAAATTGGCAACGAATAGCAGAATCAACAATTGATTTTAGTTCTCAACTGTATTGTTCATATAATAAAGGAGGAATATACATTGGTATGATCTCAAATAATTTCAGTGCATACTATTAGTTCGATTTGAATAGCAAAGTAATCAGCAAACTACTTTAAAACCTTATTGTTATTATAAAAATCTTATTTTTATTGTTAATATTATATTAAATTTAGGTTTTTTTAAAAATCTCCCAGTATCTTTTCAACAAATACCTGTTATAAAATTTCACAGAACGCTGAAATCCTATTGAATACAGTTTTAGATGTCATATGTTTTCAAGCTTCTTATCATCAGAACTAATACTTTCAATATAGCCTTTTTGAGTCTGTAAATTGATTGGTATTTTAATTGCTTTTGAAGGCTTGTAGTCTTTCATTGTTATAAAGCTAAAATATTTTAGAATAAATGAAGTCTTTTCTGTAACTCTTTGAAGAGCAGATAGTCCCAGAGAAAATCTCATTGAGATGTCTTCAAAACTTGTATTGTGCTTGGAAACTGGCTTTGTAGTGTCGTTAGATTTAAGCTTAATTTCAAGTTTTTTTGGTCTAGGAGGTTTCGCATGTGTCTCTGTTTTGAGGTTTCCAAGTACTTTTGTGCATTTATTTACTATTCTTGTATTAGTGAATGGCTTATGAATATATAACCTAAGCCAGAGACATATTATTAATAATAGGATAATACCTCCTATTTTATGAACTATTAATAATAAATAGGATAATTGTTCTTCATCATATGTGTTGGATCTTATTGGCTTAGAATTTGAAGTCTGTCTAATTCTTTTTAATCTTTCCTTCAAATTAAAATCATACTGCTGCCTTAAAGCTGCTGAACTTGCTTGCTCAGATTTCATAGAGCTTGATGATCCAGACCTCGAACTACTTTTTGGGGTTAACTTTACTATGGACCTTGGCTCTCTGCTTGGAATATTTGAGCTGCTTCTTGTTGTTTGAGCCTTAGGCTTTGGTGATGATAAATTTTCACTGTTTCTTTTTGCATGAGGACTAGTAATGATTCTGAGCGGAAGCTTTGGAATAATTTCTCTTTGGTAAGGCTGGTTGATGACTATAATATTTTCATTGGATTGATCACTGTTTTCTCCTTTTTCTTTATATATTTCTTTATCGATAGCAGAAAATGATGATGACTTTAAAGTCATGTTATTTTGTCCTTTTTCATCAGAATTTATCGAAAAAATGCTGAAATCATTGTCTGTTTCTTTGTACTTAGAAGATGAAAACTTAGAGAAATCTTCCATTCTAAGGAATTCATAAGATTCGTCCTTAGAGAAACTTGGAGGACTTAGAACCATTTTCGGGCTTCCAAACGCAAATTTTGAAGAAAAGGTTGTGTTTTCAGTTAAATCTGGATCTGCTATTTGAAGCTTTGAGTATTTATCTTTGTAATCACAACTATATCTAGAAACACAATTAAATGCTTGATATTTTCTTTTTGAAATTATTTTTTGCACTATTGCTGTAAAGCAAAGTAAGGATTGCCTACTAATGCTTGCATTTCCAGTGTTTTTGATTAGAATATTTTGATTTTTTAATTTTGGTTTAATATATTTTAAGCGATTTTCCTTTCATTTTGATATTGCTATCCTAATCAATTTGCTGTATTTTTTCTTCAAAATAATTTCAAGCTTCTTATTCGCATTTCCTTTCAATTTGTATTTATCAATTTCTCCTTTCAAATTTCTAAAATATCTTTTAAGAATTATTGTTTTTAAATATTTTGCAATATCATATTCTGCAGATTGAAAAACCTTATTTGAAGAAGTTTTTCTTATTCACTTTGATCATTTTTCTTTTAAAATCCAATAATGTCATTTTTCTGAGTTTTTAAAAATAGTTTCCAACAAATTCTCTTTATATTTCTCTTTAACAGCACAAGTCTTAAGTGTTTCTATAAAATCAGTTTCTGCTTTATACAGTCTCTTTTTTAATATTTTCTTAATGATTTTCGCTACCAATTTTACTCCATTATCCATAAATTCCTGCTGCTTATTTTCCCTTCTTTTTTTATCAGCAATAATTTTTGTATACCAAAAATTTCTTACTGAAGTAAATCCAAGAATAAGTTTTCTGTTTCTCTCTTTTGTAAATACCCTCACTCTCCCCCCTTTAAATTGGAACAAAACATAGGTAAAATTTCCACTTTTTTGGTAAAATAAACCCCTTTAAATTGGAATAAAATTAATAATTTTATAAAAAAATTTTATATATATAAATCATAATTTTTATGTAAAAAGTTTTGATATAATTTAAATGTTTCTTCTTAACTAAAATTAAAAATTTAGTTGTATCCTGCTCTTGTTTTAAAGAATAGAGTATAAAGAGCATCTTATTTAAATAAATTTATTATCCTTAATTGTAAATTTTTTAAAAAAAGTTAATTTTTTCTGTTTTTAAAAAAATTTTCAAAAAAAATTTTATTTTTTTTAATAAAATTGATATTTTTTATTTAAATAGCTTTGATATAAATTCAATACGAATTCTTTACAAAAATTGAAAATTTACTTATCTCTTGCTTTATTTTAAGGAATAGAGTATAAATAATATCTTATTTAAACAAAATTAGCACTTTGATTAATAAATTTCTAAAATTTTTTTTTTTATTTTTTTTTATCAATAAAAATAATAATTTTTGTGTAAATAGTTTTGAAACCAATTAATAGCGGCGCGTATTAATTAATAATAAAATTTTAGTTATATCTTGCTTTTTTGTAAAGGATAAAGAGTAAATAGTATTTTATTAAACAAATTTATTATCTAATTCGATAAATTTTTGAAATTTTTTTTTTTTATAAAAATTTTATAATGATTTTTTTTTTTTAAAATTTTCTTAACCCCCCTTTAAATTGGAACAAAATTTTTAGTTCCAATTTAAAGGGGGGGGAGTTAGCAAAATATTAGGTAAGCTTGCATATTTTATAGCTTTATTTAATGCTTGGTTTTTTTCAGAATATATTTTAATTCTTCCAAAAATCTCTTTGAATAAAGGTGAAATTAAAGGGGCTAAAGACTTATTGATTTGTTCTCCTCTTTCGTGTTCTAATCTGTATCTGATAACTTTATCCATCTCAAAATCAGCTGGATAAAGAGATTCTTGAGAAGCTGTAACAAATCGTTTAGGAGATCCGATATAAGGAGGAGTAGAAAGCAGAGGGGCATCTAAAGATTCAAAAACGGAATGAACGAGCTGATGAGTGAATAAATCTCTTTTATAAGGATCATAAGTGCCTATTAACTCTCCTAGCCCTACTGGCTTAAAATTGATTTTTGACTCAAAAATAAATGCAATTCCTCTTTTTTGGTTACTTGCAAAATTTGGCTTGATGTAGGCAGGATCCAATTTGTATTGTGATCCTGGCCAAGCTGATATTGAGCAAATGCTTTTTCCAGCGATAATTAGAGTGTTAAGCATGTTATTTGCTGAATATTCCATGACTGGCTCAGTCCACTCATATAAGCATTGCTCTGAAGTCAGTCCAAAAATAGATCTGTGGCATGCTGCAATTGTTTTTACTTTACTCCCCCCCTTCCGTGAGTGAACAAAAAAAATTTTGTTCACTCACGGAGGGGGGTTAATTTTTTTTTTTTTAAAAACATTTTATATATAATTTTAAAAAAATCCTAATTCGCAAAAATTGGAAAGCAAATATTAATTCAATTTGCAAAATTTATGTTTTAAAAAGCAATTTGTTTAAAATCAAACAGAATTAGCTCTAGATTTCATTATACTAATTATCATTTATATATCAAAATTTTTTTCGTAAAAATTTTTCTCTATTAAAAAATTTTTGTTCACTCACGGAGGGGGAGTTAGAATTTTCTTCACTTGGCAGCCGATACAGTTCCATGCAATCATCAAAAGCATAAACAGCTCCTTCTTCTGATAAAACAGCTATAAACTCATTTCCTGCAGATATATCAACAACAAAATGCTGCTCCAGCTCAGGAAGTGTATATGGAGCATTTTTTATTTCTCGGTTCGGTGAAAGCACTCCTCTTGGGGACTGCATACTTTTTTGCGAACTTCTTAAAAATGCTTCTGATTTTTTGCTTGATTGATGATGGCTCCCTATAACACCTAATATATAAACGTAGCCTCCACTTGTGCACATACATGTATGCTATAAAATTTTAAGCCAGTTTTCAGCTATAGACTATTTATTTAAAGATTTCAAATAAAATTGAAAAATTTAAATTTATTTTTTGTAGAATAAAACTGTCTCCACAAATGATTTTTATTACAGAGAAATTTCTGGCTTTGTCAATTACCAATGGAAGTGCTCTTTCTTCTATTAAGTTTATCCCACCAAGTTCTCCGAATTTCCCGCTGCCTCATGTATAGACTAATCCTTGTTCATCTATTCCAGCTGCATGGCCAGATCCCAGACTTATCTGATTCAATCCATTTGCAGTAAGTCCTTCAATTAGTCGAGGCATTGACGCTCTATCAAAATTAATAAAAATCCCAGAGCGTAAAGAGTCATTCCCTAATCCATAAACTTCATGATATATAGATAGCAAAAGAGACGCTTCAGAGTTGCACGAAATGGAGGTTATTTGCCGAGGGATAGTTATTTCTTTATAAATATCATCAATATCTGGATTATCATTGCTATCGGTAGGATTTCCAAGGATTCATACCTTTCCTTGATGAGTAAGGATTAATGAAAAGAAATCGCTGCTTATAAAATCTTGGATTTGTTGGCTGTCAGGTAGAGAATATATATAAGGGATTGGTAATATTAGGGAATGAGGTGAAGCTATAGATAAAGCAGCCTATATAGATGTCACTTTTTTATGAGTCTGCATTTCAAATTTTGAGGTTTGTTATTATTTCAATTTTTAGCTGATTAAGATCTCTAAAACTAAGAAATTCAATTTAATAATAAACAAGATTTTCAGATAAATTAATTTTAGCAATTTAATTATATTCTTAATGATGCTGTAATTTTACTGTAAAACTTGTTTATATAAAGCGCTATTTCTGATATATCAAAGATTATATTATTTGCTTAATTAATTTTAGATATGCTAATTAATAGTACCCTAGACTTCTTGCTGGCTTCTGCTCTTTTTCTTTTGAAGTTGACAAAGAAGATGAAAGCTCTTCTAACCCTAACAAAGCATCTTCCAAATTTCTTGGTTTTTCTGTCTTCTGCTGAGTTTGAGGAGCTTGAGATTGAACAAGAGAAGGGCTAAGCTTAAGCTGGCTGATAGAAACCCCAGAAGTAGTATCTAAATTGTGAGAAACCTTTATATGAGAATTAGATTTCGCAGGAGACAACGGTTGAGTTGGCTGCACATAGGAGGATTGAATATTACTGGGCTGCGGCAAAGGCTGAAATAGATCTGGGATATTTTGACTAGATGGAATTGTGGGATGTGCTGGGATATTCTGGGAAATAGAAACAGATGGAAACTCTGGAATGGCTTGAAATTTTGGTTGAGAAAGAGTTTGGGATTGAGGATTAAGAGATAAATTTGAAATTTCTTGCTCCCAGCTTGACTTAGGAGCTGATGGAGGAGATTTTGTATTTAAGTCTTTAAATAAGCTTCCTTGCTGCTTTGAAGGAGAAATTACTTGTTTTGGAGCTGTCTGAGTAATTGGCTGAAAATTATTTGTTTGCACTTTCGTAGGAGGAGGCTTATGAATTGGCTGAAAAACATCACCCATTGGCTTTTTTTGTTCTTGAGGAATAGGAGGGAAATTGTGGTTTCCAGCCTGGGGCTTTTGGAAATGAGTCGGAATCGGCTGAAAAATATCGTTTGGCTTTTGAAATGGCTCATGGTTAGCATTTCCTTGAAAATTGCTATCTGCTATCAAATCACTTTGCATTTGGTGATTTTCTTCTTCGTCTTGAATTAATTCGACCTCATTCACCACATTTCTCTGCTGATAATGATCTGACCTTCGTGCAGGCAAAGGAGCAAAAATATCATGTGATGGCTGGCCTTGAATCTCTTGCGCTGGCCAAGAATTTCCATTTGAAGGAATTCTTTGTTCTTGCCTTTGAGGGTGATTTCCTCTATTTTCGCTTGATATTGCATTCATTCTAGTATTTCTTTGTCTAATTTCTGCAGCGCTGCTTTGATTTCCGAAAATTTGGTCAAATCCTTTATCAATCCTTTCATTGGAAGGTGCTTGATAATTGTGGCTTTCATTTCTAGGTTCATACGAATTATATTGCGCTTGTGATGAGGGTGCATGCCTTTCTGGGAGTCTTGTTGATTCTCCTCTTTCTTCTTCAAGAATTCCACTATTTGATAAAAGATAGTTGATTTGACGCGCTTTATCTCTTATAGTGCCTCCTCTTTCAATAATTCCATTTTCCCTATAGCTGAATGACTCAAATCCTCTTAAGATGTGTAAGGAGTTTTTCAGCTCGCCTACTAGTTGGTGGCTTCCTGATAAAAGGAGTGTGTGGATTAAGCCTAAAGTTTTATTTATTTTTCTCCATTCTCTATCAGGAGCTCTTACATTTTTTGAGCTAATTTTGTTTTTTGAAATTTAAATTTATTTATTTTTTTATTATGATTTTTTTTAAAGGTAGGATTTAGATTTTCGTAAAGCGATTTCATAATAGTTTCGATATCTGTTCCAGAAGTCGTTCTTTGTGCAATTGCAAGTTGAACATTTTTTGGTGGGGTGTTGTCGTCATCTGTTGTGCAATCTATTATAAGAAGCTCAAGTTCTGATTTGGTTATTCGATTGCTTAAGTTTGTTGCTGCCTTTGCGACACTCTCCATCAATTATTTATCAATTACGAAAGCAATATAATCTGAATTATGAATTATTTTTACTTGAATATCTATAAGTAAATTAAGTTAATTATAATTATAAAATTATTTTTTCCTTAGTATTCTAAATTTTTTATGCAAAATAATAATTAATTTAATATTAAAAATTCCTGTTAAATATCTTCATGATGATGCTTACTCATTTTTGTTTTATAAAGAAAATCTTTTAGTCAATATTTTGATCTTGCTATGTTCTTATTTACATCCTTAAATTTTTAAAAAAATACTTAAATCAGTGTATATAAATTAATACACTAAATAGCTCACACTGCTGCATAAATTTAGTATACCAATAACAATAATTAATGCTATTGTATGCTTTGCATACCCCTCAATATGTATTTTAGATGTTGTTAAAAAGATGCTAAAAGCCTTTTGCTTAATTTATTTTAGCTATGTCTTTAGATTTTGCGTATATAGAAATTAATAAATTTCAGGTGTAAGGAAGCACAATAAATGAAAAGCATGTATAAAAATTAAATAGGAAATATATTATTGAAAACGAATATGGATTGTTAAAATGTTTTGCTCTAATTCATTTAAAATTAATCAATTTTTATTATATTATAAACTCTAAACTCTTATTGTCACGCCTCAAAAAAATCCTATAGAGCAAAATATATAATTATAGAGATTGCTTTCTCTTTTTGAATTAAGATTTCACAAAATATCTCTTTTATAATCCACATCAACATTGAAAAGCTAAATTTTATATAAATCATGCTTAGCTCATTTAAAATTTTTAGAAAAACTCAAAATTTCCAATCAATTTCTATCAGTTATTTATAAACATGAAACAGTCAAGAAAACTCCAAGCAAGTTCAACTGCAGATTTATCTCCTGCAACCCTAAGAAAATCCCCCGCAAATAAAATAGAAGTCCAGCGAGAACCAAGTCCTCCCCATTCTCTTGAACAAGAAGAGTCTAAAGAAAATTTTGACTTCTGGATTCCTGACCAAGCCCTAGAAATAGAAAATCTAGTAGCTTCCAAGCAAAGAACATTAGACTTATTAAACCCCAAAACTGAGCATTTAGACCAAGATCTCCAGCTTCAGCTGGAAGCCAGAGACAAATACATAAACGAGCTCAACAAATCAATTTTATCACTAAGAACCAGCCTAAAGCTTAAAGACGAAAAAATGAAGCAAGCCAAAGAATTAGCCTCAGAAACAAAAAGGCTTGAAGAAGAGCTCACTAATGAGCGAAAAATAAGGCTAAACGAAGAAAAAAAGTATTATGACTTAAAGCACGATTTCGAAAAAGCCACTGAAGCTTGAAAAGAAGAAAAAGAGTCTCTTCAGCTTCTTCAAGAAGCAGTCACAGAAGAACTAGAAGGATGCAGAGCTCAAGTCCTAAGTAAACAAAATGAAGTAAATTCAATCAAATCCGATATTATTCACTCCCCCCCCTTTAAATTGGAACTAAAAATTTTGTTCCAATTTAAAGGGGGGGTTAATTTTTTTTTTTTAAAAAAAATATCAATATAAAATTTTTTATAAAAAATATAAAAATTTAAAAAAAAAAAATTTTCGAATTAGATCAATAAATTTGTTTAATAAAACGCTATTTACTCTTTATCCTTTAAAACAAAGCAAGATATAACTAAATTTTCATTATTAGTTAATACGCCACTATTAATTGGTATCAAAGTTATTTACACAAAAATTATTATGTTTAATTGATAAAAAAAATTAAAAAAAAAATTTTAGAAAATTTATGGATCAAAGTGCTAATTTTGTTTAAATAAGATAATATTATATACTCTATTCTTTAAAATAAAGCAAGAAATAAGTAAATTTTGAAATTTTATAAAGAATTCCTATTGAATTTATGTCAAAGCTATTTAAATAAAAAATATCATTTTTATCAAAAAAAAACAAAAATGTTTTTTGAAAATTTTTAAAAAAAACAAAAAATTAATTTGTTTTTAAAATTTACAATCAAGGATATAAATTTATTCAAATAAGATGCTCTTTATACTTTTATCTTTAAAAAAGAGCAAGATATAACTAAATTTTTTAATTTAGTTAATAAGAAACATTTAATTTATATTAAAACTTTTTTTAGATAAAAATTATATATAATTTTTTATTATAAAATTAAATTTTGTTCCAATTTAAAGGGGGGGAGTCAAATATCTAAAATCGTTGATCAAATGACAACCCTTAATAAAGATCTACATGAGAAAATTGACAAAATGAACGGAGATATGGAAGAGACAAATAAAAGGTATTATGAAGCTAAAGTTAAAGCTGATAACGTAGAGGATTTTGAAAACACAATTGCACAGTATATGTCAGAACAAACCAGGCTGCAAAAAAGCAATGCGAAATTGCTAAGCCAGCAAGAAGACATGAAAAATTATTTGGAAAATATTGAAGACACTTTTAATAAAATTAAATCAATAGAAGACAATATTAAGCAGAAGGCACAGAGCTTGCCAGGAATAAAAAGTGAACAAATTGAAGAAGAATTTCAGCATATTTCTGTTTTCCTTCAAAATATAGGAAAAAGTTTAAATGAGGCAAAATCGTCACTAAAACAAAATATGCCTAAAAGTTTCAGCATAAGCGATAATGAAGAATCTGTGAGAGAAAGAGTTGTGCAGCTTGAAGAGCAGCTGAAAATCATGAATGATAATATGAAAACTGCATTAACTTCTCAAGGCCCACTCCTTAGCCAAATCGAAGGACTGAATAATATATTGAAAAAAATGAAAACTGAGTATGACGAAAACACAGCCAAAATCCGAAAACACGCTGATATAATGAAAGAACAAAACGACTCATTTAGAGAAAAACTGGATTTAGCTAAACAAGAAATAGAAAAAAAGGAATCAGAGCTCCAAAAAACTCTTACTAAATTAGCGAACACTAATAACAGAGTTGAAACTTTGCTTAAAAGAGCAAGAGAACAGTCAGGAAAAGAAGACGAGCTTAAAAGAGAAATTTCTCAGCTGCGCACAAAGCAATCAAGCATTGCCCTGGATAAAAGAGGAAGCAATGGAGCTAATGCTCAAAGAGAATTAAAAATCAAGAAAACTATTTATCAGCTGCATGCATTAAGAGAAGAAATTTATAAAAAGGATACAGAAGTCATTGCAAGGCAAAAAGAAATAGCTAAGTTAGAGGCTGAGCTGCAAAGTAAAAACGAAAATATGCAGAAGGCATTTTCTAAAATGAAAACTGTTGAAGCTGACATTTTAAGTAAAGTCAGCAAGGATTTAGATGAAAAAGATAAACAAATTCAGCTGCTGAAAGAGATGCTGAGAGGAGCTAGCTCAGAAGGAAGAGCGAAAGAAGGGAAAATGAAAAAGAAAGCAGAATCGTATAGTAGCTATCAGACTGATTCAAGCAAGCGCCGGCTTTAAAAAATAATAAATATACAGAATTATGGATAATTATGGTGCTGATATAGAAAATATAATTATTGTTTTGATAAAGATAATCATATAGTAGTTATTTTAACAGTTTATAGCAAATATTTAAAACTTATGCCTCCCCATCCCTATTCCTCCATTCTGTCTCCCAATCAAGCTTGCCCCAAACTGTCCTAGCCCTCCTCCAATTTTTGCTCTGCTCGTCGCTATATTAGTAGCTGGGTTCCTCATTTCTCCAACACCAATTAAAATTCCTGACCTTGTATGAGGTCCATCTGATAAATTATGCTGATTTTCTGCAGAAAGTGAGTGTACCCTATTAATAGCAGACTTCGGGCCCATATCAACACTTAAAAAGCTAAAATTTTGCTGTACCCTAATCCCTCCCGTAAAGAACGGATGCTGCAAACATTGGTCTGCTGATGGTCTATTAGCAGGATCCCACGTAAGAACTTGTTTTATAAAATCAATTGCGTCAGGTGAAGCATTTGGCATTAACTCATGTAAAGGCATAGGAATATACTGAGGAAAGCAATAACTCAGCTGAGTTGCTAGCCTTTGTCCTTCAGGCCAGTCATTTGGAGTGCCTAGTACAGAGCATATGCGGTTAAGCTGATCCACTTCATTAGTCCCAGGGAATAAAGGTCTCATCATATATAGCTCAGCCATAATACAACCAACTGCATATATATCGACTTGCCAGTTATACCGCCTACTATGCAGTAAAATTTCTGGAGCTCTATACCATCTGGTAGCTACATAATCTGTATAAGGCGGCTGACTTCTGATTTCTTTTGCAAGCCCATAGTCTGCGATTTTAAATACCCCTTCACTGACCAAAATATTATCAGGCTTCATATCTCTATGAAAAAAACCATTCTTATGTATCGCGGAAAGCCCATTCAAGATCTGCCCAATTATATCTCTCACTTGTATATCAGTACAAGGCGTTCCTTGATCTGTCATCAGCTGGACTACGTTTTTCTCGCAAAATTCAAAAATCAAATGCAAATCGTCGTTGGCCCTGATCACTTCTTTGAGCCTCACTACGTTTGCGTGAGTCACCTTTCTCAGTGCTTTGATTTCTCTTAACTCCAAGCATTCTTCCCAGCTGTAAAATTTCTTTTTCATTCTCTTAATGGCAACAATTTCATTGGTTCCTTTTACAACTGCTTTGTAAACTGAGCCGAAAGTCCCATCCCCAAGAGTTTTGATAATTTTATATCGGTCCATTTCGGCAACTTATTGTTATAATAAAGATCATATCATTAATTTAAAATTATAGTGGCTTATCTTGAATCGCCCTGGCGCATAACAATATTTAAAATTTTGGACTATTTAAGTCAAATTACTATACTTAAACAAATGGTTAATGGCATGATAATTTGGGATCTCTTAGTAGCTAAACCCAAGCCTATGTTAATTTTACTGGTTTTCAAGCTCAGGGTAGGTTTTCACTAGCTTGGAATAAATTCTTTTCCCAAATGGACTTCGCTTTAATTCTTCTAATAATGACTTCACTTCTTTTAGCATTTTTTTCAGCAGCTGTGGGGATGCTAAACTTAACGCTCTTTGAACGACTACTTAGGAATTACCATAGTTTGCGTATTGGTCAGAAATCATCTTGGCTAGGTTATTTGGCTTTCCAATTTCTTGGATCATTGCTTGTTGGATTTCTCCTTTGTTTTGCTGGAGGCATTTCTCAATTACATTTGATGAAAACTTCTGAGTAGAGAGTTCTTGTATACTCGCCATAAAAATCTGAGCAAGTCTCGCATTGACGTCTGGCCTGTTTAAATCAATCACATACTGCACAACATAATTCCCAAAGGCATCTTGGACCAAAACTACAGCATTTTCCAGAATTTTATCAATCAGCATTTCTAATTGTTCAGGAGACGCTGCATCAATACACCTTTGGAGGACACAGCAGCCATGTCTATGTGTCGCTATATCAATAACATTGCTGCTTGCAGAAACATAAATAAACTGATTATTTGCAGCTCCAAGAGTATGCAGGCATTTTTGGATGACGTGGTTTCCATTGATATCTTTAATTAAGTCAATCACCCTTTCTTTTAACCCTTTAACAATGACTTCTATATGAGCTGAGCTTGTTGTAGCAATATCAATAAGTTTTTGTACAGCTCGAGTCCCATGGGCACTTAAAGATATGGTTGAAATTTTTTCTGAAATATTTTGGATTATCAAGCCTAATGTAGGCTCCTCACAGACCTCAATAAGCTTTTGGAATAAATAGTTTCCAAAAGGATCTAGCATTAAATCACTTATATTGGCTGCAATTTGGTCATATATTGTCTGCAAGGTAAAAGGGTTTCTTTCTTCTAGTTTTTTTTGAAGCAGCCTACACCCGAACTGGTCTTTTGCCATTTCTAAAGCTTGGGTGTAGATGTGCTGAGGGGTGAACTGGGAGTAGTTTGAATAGTACTCAGGAGGGAAATGATTATTGAAATCAGTCATCCCTGAGCTAAAGGGGTTAAAAAACCCGTTCTTGGCTGGCTGTTCTTCATCTTTTATGCATTGATCGACGATATCGTTGACTAAATGGCTTGTTGATAACGTAGATGACTGATTTTCATCATAATCTGAAAGCGATGAGTAAGTTCTTGGCTTGGAATCGAGCGATTGGAGCTTGTCACTAGATGAAGTGTCGCTGAACTGAGTAGAAAGGGTGTATTTGTCGTCAGGGCTCTCAGATTTTTCTTTGATTGAGCGTATATTCCATATATCTGAAAAGGCTGATGAATACTCTGAGGCCACTGGGAATGCAAAGAGCATGTTGGAGTCCAGTGATGGTGGAGCAGAAATTGATCTAGAAAGAGCCACTTCACCTGGATCAAGAAACGGTGGGCTATAAGGAACAGACATTATTACCTTTCTTAACTAACAGAATATTCGATTTTAGGGTTTAATGGAGCTTTTTTGAATTTTTGACAGTAAGAATTCAGAAATTATAAGCAGATTGATAGAAAGGTAGGATATGGCCCTTATAAAATTGAAAAAATTTATTCAAATGAAATTAAAAATCTTATGCAAAAAACTAGGAATTGAAAATGATGACTAAAAGAAATTAAAATTTTGTGGATATGGAACTGTAAAAGTGATTTTTGGATTTAATTTATAAATACTCAAAAATATTGTTTAATAAATGGTCGCAACCAGAATTGACATATTTTTGAGTATCAAAATAAATATTGAATGATGAGTTCCATTTTAAGACGTTTAAAAGTTGAATCGTGATTTATTTGAATATAAACCCAATCATAAAACTACTTATTAAATAGAATTTGACTGATGCGACCTATATTGCATAATTTATAGTGCATTGTGCTTATATTGATTTGCGTGTTCCGCGCGTGAAAAATTATTCAACGTGTGGAGACTATCCCAATATTAGTGTATAAGCCCTTCCTATAGATGGCGCGCAATGCGCCATCATCGGGCCATGTCGGGAGAGGGTTCTCCACGAGGAATGGTTCCACGTGTGGAACCCTCTTTTTGGCTCGTGGAAAAAGAGGGTTCCACACGTGGAACATTTCCTCGTGGAGAACCCTCTCCCGACATGGCCCGATGATGGCGCATTGCGCGCGCCATCTATAGGAAGGGCGTATAACGCACTATAGAGTATTCAGAACAATTCAAAAATTTTATTTTAATCAAGTGTTGTAAGAGTAATTATATTTCTTTAAAACTAAGACAATCACCAGCTTAATTTAATCTGAAAATTTGCTTAAAACAATAAAGCATCTAATTAGTTTTTATTTCTTAAATCTAATAATTTCAAAACTTTTAGAAAATCAAAAATCAAATTAAACAATTTTTCATTTTATTGATATTTATTGAGGTTCAATTCTAAAGAATAATAAAATGTTTTTACGCAGATTCTTTTCAAAAAAGATAAAGATACCTGCATATAATGTCCGTCAAAGGCAAACATATCAGCCTCTAGAAAAGGGTTTTATGGAGCCTAAAGATTATTCAAGGATCTCAACAGATTTTATGAACAGAATTTTCTTTTCATTAAAAGAGATGCTGGAAGCCAATCCGACTGCTAAATTGCAATGAATCGATAAAGGACTGAAGCTGGAAGACACAAATTTTCTCCTAGAAGTGACAAAAGACCCTAAAAACCAAGAAATTCATTTGATGGTTGGAGATAGTGTTACACACAGCTATTCCTTTGACAAAAATAACGAAAGATGAATAAGCAATCGAGACGGCCATTTAATCGACGAATTGATCTCAAGAGAAATTTCACAAAAATTCAAAGGGTACTTAAATCTTTAATTAAAGCTAAATTCTCAATTATTTGTTAAGCTATTTTTAGGAATTTGATTAATATATTTGCTAAAATATTCGAATTTTCTATATCTAAATGGAATCTGGACAGTTATCAAATGTTGAACCTAAAAAGTCTGCTTTAGAAGAAAGGGCTGAAGTGCAAAGCAGAATCGCAGACTCAATATCAGAATTCAAAAGCACTTTGGAAAGCATGAAAAAATGCAGAGCTGAAAGCCAAGAAGAAAAGCAAAGGAAATTAGAAGAAAAGAAAAAGCAAAAAAGAACACAAAAACTTTTTGCCACGAAAATTGATGGCTTGAAGAAAAAGAAAGATTTTCTGGGAACTGTAGCATCACAGTAAGGATAAATTAGGGAAATATTTTCAAAGACAACGTTTTTGGAGCATGGACCGCTATTTACAGCACATGAAAAAGATATGATTACTTCGCCTGTAAAAATTTGGGAAAAAGGACATACATGGGTTCCTACTGATGATGTAAGCTAATATGTAGCGGCATGTATATTTTGAAACAACTTTAAGGGCAAAAGAAGGAAAATAGTTCGTGATGTTCGTTAATAACTTAACAATAAATTAAATATATTTAGTTTTCATCGATATATAGACCGAAAACAAAATAAATAGGAAAAATATTATTATCTTGCATGATTAAAAAGCAATTATTTTATATACTAATTGCCCTACACACCGGGAATTGAACCCACGTGTGGGGCCATTTTTGGTGTGTGTAGAGCATAGACTTCCACGCACCAAAAATGGCCCACACGTGGGTTCAATTCCTATATACAATTAAAAAATAAATAATCAATTATAAATTGCAATAATTAGACTTATTTCTTAATCTCTTATCTTTAATCAAAGATCTATCAAAGCTCGTAAAAAGATGGGGTTAAAAGCCTTATAAAATATTACTATAAAATAAAATATATGATTTTTATAGATTGAAGGTATTTTTTAATTTATTATATAAATTAAGGGTTAATGAAAATAGAGCCAAACTTATTTTTATATCTATTTCACTATAATATGATAAGATTTTAATATCTTACTCCCCCCCCCTCCGTGAGTGAACAAAAAAATTTTGTTCACTCACGGAGGGGGGTTTTTTTTTTTTTTTTTAAAAAAAATTTATATATAAATTTTATAAAACATTTTTTTTTTTCGAAATTTAAAAAAATCCTAATTCGCAAAAATTGGAAAGCAAATATTAATTTAATATATAAAATTTATGTTTTAAAAAGCAATTCATTTAAAATTAAACAGAATTAGCTCTAGATTTCATTATACTAATTATCATTTATATATCAAAATTTTTTTTCCATAAAAAATTTTTCTATTAAAAAAATTTTTGTTCACTCACGGAGGGTGGGTTTTTTGGGCAAAAAATAGCGATTTTTCTAATGGTTTTGCTCACTCACGGAGGGGGGGGGAGTTATATAAAAGCAATTGATTTTTGACACATTTTCGATTGTTTGCTTCCATTGATAATAAATCAAAATGGGAAATAAAAATGTAAAAGCCAAAGAATTAGTGTATGAACTCTGCAAAAATGACATAACGTCTCTAAGTGTCACATTGAAAACCTTTAAATCTTTAGATTTTTTACTTGATATTCCAAGTGATTTGAGAGAAAAATTTAAGATTCCTTATCATTGGCAGAAAAAAAAAAATGGTGGCGTTAACGGAATCCGAGGTGCACCCCTTTATGGAGCAGGCATAGTCTGATCACTGCTTTGGATCGGGGTTTAGGATATCCTGATAAAGCTGAAAACAGGGCCTCTGTACCTTTTCAAAAAGACTTCAGTTTGGAGATGCTTGCAGAAGAGTGAACCTTGCTTCTCCCCTCTACAGATGGCAGCTCTGACCTAGGGAGCTGATCCCTTGGATAGGTGGTTTAGATCGAAAAACCAAAATAACAGCTCTCCATTTGCATCTTTTGTCTCATGGGGCGATGGAGACAGCTATTATGGAGCCAAAACAAGGGTAAAGACTCGCTTACGGCTAGCTTAATCGTTTAATTAATCATTATTATTGGCACCCATCTCCTCTGCACTTGATTTGCTATTTTAAAAACTATGATTTGCTAGAATTTGTATTTGAAGCATTCGAGCATATTGATTTAAATATCCAAGACAACAATGGCTACACACCATTGATGAGTTCTATTCGAAAAGAAGACATACTTAATTTCAGTAAATATAAAATTTCTCTGGTTGCCGTTATTCTATTTTTAAATAGAAAATAGGACAGCGACTAGTCAGTAGAAATATTTATATCCACTGTTATCAGGCATATATATATTTTTGTGAAAGGCTGCTACTCCACAAGATATCAATTAAAATTAAAAAAAAAATTATTATTTTGTCTATTGTTCTATCGTTAGTTGCTTAAATTGGAACATTGCAATCTGCATGTGTAATCTTTATCCACGTGTGAAAAGATGATTCCACATGTGAAGCCCTTTTGATTTCACATGTGGAATCATCTTTTTACACGTGGAAAAGATTCCACATGTAGGTTGCAATGTTTCAATTTAAGCAACTAATAATATTAATAAATTAAATAATTATAAAAAAATTTTGCTATTAATAATTATAATTAAAAAATTAAATTTGCTCCTCATAAATTGAGAAGTTAGAATACGGAGCATTGCATACTACCAATAACCAATTTGACAATGGAGATTCTCCTTTGCACTATGCATGCGACATTGGCAATATAAATATCGTTAAATTACTTCTTGACTATGGAGCAATCATAGATATCCCAAATGCCTTAAAAATTACACCTCTCATGTACGCAGTCCAAAAAGAGCACTGAAAACTTGTCAAAGTTTTGTTATCATATAAATCAGATCCAACTATTAAAGACATTTACGGAGATACAGCGTTGCATTGGGCAATTAAAAAAAAGGCCAAAAAAGCAATTATTGACGAACTGATACGAGGCAGAGATCTAACTGAATTACTATATGATAAAAACGAAGAAGGCATTACTTTGCTCCAGTTATGAAGAATAAACATGCCCAATGAAGATCCATTATTTTTAAACCAATCAAATACCTCAGAAACAGTTACTGATCGAACTGCATCATTTGAGAAGTTTGAAGAAGAAAATCCCATTGTGCTTGAGCCAGTTCAAAAGCCAAATATTGTATTGAAAAGTGTTGGAAAAATTATTGATTTTTTTATTACTGATGAATTATCATGGACAAATAATTAAGCGGAATATAAAAGCACAGTCAAAGTTTATAAGATTATTAAAATAATACTGAAATGAAATAAGATATAAGCAGCCTTTGAAAGGCTAATATATAATTTTCTCATATTTTTAAATGTCAAAGTTAAGAATCGAAGTTGACTCTTATTCCGGGCCGAAATTATCACATTCCAACCTCAAAATTAATACATCTTATTCTCCTACACAACAGGAAATTTTTTATTTTCCTTCTGGATCTTTAAGTTCACACAAAAATTCTGTCACTTATACAGAAGATGACCTGGAATCAAATACAGATACCCGTCAAGAACAAAGCCACAATGAAGAAGAAGCTTCTCAGGATTTATACCTAATGAATAAAAAGCGTATAAACTGACAAAAATTATTATATTTGATATATAAAATAGAATAAAGGCTAGTATGAATGTTTTTATTCATTGTAATTTGTTATAAAACTTTATAACCTATCTTCCTCAAACCCCAGAAAATGAATATAAAGGCTTAATATTTGAAGCTGAAAATATGACTAAATGAGACCAAAATAGCATAAATCAAACTGACTGCATGATGCCAGCAAAAATAATTAATGCAATGAGCACTGAAAATTGCTTAATCATTGACATTAAGACGTTGGATTACATAAAAATGGAGGCTGAAGCGCATCAGAACCTCTTTGATGCAATTTTCTCAGCCTTATGGCCAAGGAAAATTGGGTGAGAAACCATCAGTCGAGATTCAGGCCCGATTAAGGTTTATAGCGCGCTTTCCCGAGGATGGCGCGGAATGGCGCCATCCTCGGGAAAGTCAACTAAGCATCCACACGGGAACTGGGAGTTCCACGTGTGGATGCCATTTTTGACATGTGGGATCCAAACTTCCACATGTCAAAATGGCATCCACACGTGGAACTCCCAGTCCCCGTGTGGATGCCTTCCTGGCTTTCCCGAGGATGGCACCATTCCGCGCCATCCTCGGGAAAGCGCTATATGTATTCCGGTAGTTTTTGATTCGATTTCTATGGTTGGATAGGGTTGCCTACATATTCTTCGGGACTCTTAAGGTGGACCTTCACCGCGATACTAGGGGATGCAGTTTGGGCCTAGAATTGAGCATTTTACCTGCAACTACTGAGGTCAAGCACCAGCACCTACTAGGCTTCAGGCTTTCTTTCCTAGATCAAACTCTTCTTCAATCGCCCAATGAAGAATCGCGAAGTCATAGTCCACCCACTCAACACTGAAGCCGAAAAGGCAAGGAGACAGCATTTCCAAAGCACGATACCTGGTATCTGGGCCCACAGAAGGAGCATGACGGTATTTCGGGGCAACTTGCCAGCAATCTCAACCGTTCAAGTATCCAGCAGGGAGTACCACAAAACGGATGAGCCCACAAGAATTCTTTGTGACTGTATAACCCCTATTGCCCAAGCCCACCTATTAAATAAGTTTAAACCATTAAGCCGTTGCAAAATACAAAATTAATAAAAGAAGAAAACGAAGCTTTGAAACAGTCATTAGATTTGTATAAATTTGAATGTGAAAGATATGCCAAAGAAAATTCCCAGCTTATTTGTGAAATCCAGCAAAATTCTAAAGATCTTCAAGATCTGTTGCAGGCGGAGAAAAAAATAAAGTATGAAATGAGTGGGGTTTTGGAGAGGAAAAAAGTTATGGAGGACGAGATGATAAAAATTTTGGAGCTGGTTGAAGATGCTAGTGAAGATGAAGGAGTGACTCAAAGGAGCAAAATGGCAAGACCTGGAGTTCATTTATTTAATCATATTTGCAGCAAATTAGAAATTATAAGGTCAAGGATGCACAGATATAGAGCGAAAACTGAGAAATTGCAGCATGATATATCCTCTATAACCATAAGCACATTTTTTAGTTTAAAATAAATACAAAAGCTAACATTTTGAATAATAAATTCAATTTAATGATTTTCAGCATAAACTTCCTGAACTCTACCATTAAAAATCTTGAAGAAAAACAAAAAAATTCAGACGAAAATTCCAATTTAGGAATAAAACTAGATTTAATTGAAAAGAAAAATGCTCTTCAAGACGACCAAATCGAAAGTTTGAAAAAGTCTATCAAAAATAAAGATATCTATATTTCACAATTAGAAACCCAAATAAAGCATCTTAAACTTGAATCCGAAAAAAATTGTTCTAGCAGGCTATCACTTGCTACTGACGGATCATTAAATGGATATAGTGGCAAACAGGCCTTTGAAGAAGAGACTAGAAAGCTAGGGAAAAGAGCTAACAGTGTTGCCCCTGAATCTGAAGAAAGCCTCCACACTGAACATTTCAACTACAATGATGTATTGAAAGATTTAAGAGAAATTACATCAAGAGCTTCTAGAGCATTAGATCAAAGCAATGTTATGAGAAAATCAAATTCGGTAAAAGCGTCTCATGCACATAGTGCTTCACCTTTTCTAAAATCAAAAGAGCCATCTCAAGCTAAGCCGCTGGCAAGAAAGCCAACTGAAGAACTCTCTAAAAAGTCATCTATTTCTTCAAAGCAGCTTGACTATGAAAGATTAAAAAGGAAATATGGGGGAATCTCTCCTTTTAGCCCAAGGCAGATGATAAGTAAAGGAAAATATGATGTGTAATTTAATTTTTTTATATTGAATATGCATATAATAATATATATAAAGATAATAATAATATTAACTATACAATAATATACACAATTTTTAATAAATATTATTTAGGTAATATGACTTATGATATTATCTAAGATCACAAAGAATTAGCTTAAACTCAAATAATTTACAATAAAAATGAATAGAGAAGAGCGAAAGTCACATCGACGTATTCCACCCCCAATAATAGAAGCCCACGAAATTCAGCATGGCCAAGGCCAAGAAGCTGCTCCACTATATGCAGAAGACCCTATTTCTACTGAGCCTCACGATTTCCGAAATGAAATCCCAACATTGGAAGTCTCATTAGACGCCCAACGAACCCCTCAAAGGAGTGACCTTTCTCGAAACCCCCTCAGGTCTCACAATCCTCGTTACTCTTACGAACACAGCATTCAAAGTGACAGTGGCAGCATATGAGAAGACCCTCGAGCTCTGCAATTCGAAGTCAGAAAAAAGCGTAGAGAACTAGAAGAAGTCAAGCGACGCTGCATACAATCAGAAAGCGAACTACAAAACGAGCGTTTAAAATCAGCTTTACTAGAAGAGGAAAATGAAAATCTCAGGCGAGAAATCAGAAGAAAAGAAAGAGATAAAAGCGGAAATCAAAATACTGAAGGAGAAATAGAAAGACTAAAGGCAAATTTAGCAAATAAAATAAAAGAAATTGAATTAATCACAAAAGAACTTCAAAGTAGCAAAAATGAAAGGGAAAAGCTTAAAGAGCATATAAGAGTGTCATGGCTAGATTTTGAAGCTTTTAAAAAACAAAGCGAAGAAAATGTGAGATTTATTTAGAGAGGAAGGCTGCAGCAGACTTTAGAAGAAGTTTCGGCTAACCAAAGATTTGGGTCTCAGAGTGAAGCGATTTCTCAGATTACGCAACAGAAAAATAAAATTGCGTCAGAACTGCAAAAAGCGGAGAAAAAGATCGGAGAGATGAAAAAAGTGATGGAAAATTTAGAGATAGGGAAAACTGAAGAAATGGAGAAAAAAGATAAAGAAATAAGGAAACTTAATGAGATTATATCAAAACAAGAAGAAATTATGCTATGTACTAAGATTGAGAAGGAGGAGCTCAGCAGAAAAGTGAAAAATGAAAATAAAGAAACCCAAACTTTAGTAGAAAGACCTCCAGAGGTTATTTTGCCACCGAGTACTGAAGTGGAAGAATTAAAGCCTGAAAAAGTAGTGAAAATTCGTAGTGAAAATGCGCCAGATGCTGAAGAAATAAGAGAAAGCATAGTAGAAGAAATTTTACCTCCTGAGTCTGAAGAAATGAAATTCGAATTTTCGGCTCCTTCAGAAAATTATTTTGAAAGGATCAGCTATTCAGACCCTTTTATAGCTAGTAATAATGGAAATAAGAAAAAGAAAGAAAATACCTCACATCAGACTTTTCAGCCAATTTCTAACCTTTTTGGTAGTTTTTCAACTCCTTTTGAGGAAGATATAAACCCTGAAATAACAAGAATTCCGTCTCATGATGCAATTAAATCTGAGGAACCTGAAATCCAAACTTGGTTTCAGGAGGAAACTAAAGAAAATGAGAATGAAAAAATTATAGATAATCCTCAAGTGCATTTATTTGAGGAAAAGACTAATTCTGATTATTTTTTTAGTAATGGACCGGCTGATGTGACAGATTTCTTTAATAATGTCGACCAGCTTAACTCTTGTGAGCCTTCAACCCAGGCTCTTAATTCCTTACAACAAAGCAATAAACAAAACTGATTTAACCAAAATATTGAAGACATATTTGATCCTAAAATTAATGCATCCTCTAAAATTACTTCGGGGTCTCCTCAAAATCTATTTAACAATAGCCTAGAAAATTTATTTGACCCTGAGCCTCAGCCGCTATTAAATCAGAAAAATTTATTTGAAATCCAGCCTCAGCCGCCTAATCAAAAAAATTTATTTGAAATAAAACCTCAGCCACCCCAAAATCAGAAAAATGTATTTGAAATAAATCCAGCTCAGAAAAAATTAGCCGAAGCATCTCAAAGCACAAAACAAGCTAATCAAAAAATGTTTGATGAAAACATAGAAAGTCTATTTAATTTAAACTCAAACCCATCAAGTTTCCCTCAATATAATCAAAATATTGAAAATAGATTTGAAATTCCCAAAGCTCACAAATCTTCTCAAAGTCAAATAATTACTAAAACTTCTAGCTTTATGCCTGAACCTCAAGAAAGTGCTGATTCCCCCTTCCGTGAGGAACAAAAAAATTTTGTTCGCACAGGAGGGGGGTTAAATTTTTTTTTAAAAATCTATATATTAATTTTATGGTAAATTTTTTTTTCGAAATTTTAAAAAAATCCTAATTTTGGAAAGCAAATATTAATTTAATTTGTAAAATTTATGTTTTAAAATGCAATTTGTTTTAAAAAAAAAAAGAATTAGCTAGAAACTTCATTATACTAATTATCACTTATATATTAAAATTTTTTTTTTTAATAGAAATTTTTTATATTAAAAAAATTTTTTGTTCGCGGAGTGGGTTTTTGGGCTAAAAATAGAGATTTTTCTAACGGTTTTGTTCGCTCATGGAGGGGGGGAGTGAGGATTTTTTTTCTAATCTAACAAACAACAAAAATCCTGGCTTCGCCTATGGAGGCATCCCAAGCAGCTTATTTGATTAATATATTTTTATGCTAATCAAAATAATTAACTTATTAGCCTCATTGCCAATGCAAAATTCGGAATCAATTCAAGTTCTTGCAGCGTTTTTCCATCAGATAAATCAAACACCCTAGCAGGGAATGTTGACCTTAATTCATATCTTCCTTTTCCTTCTCTATTTTCATCAATATACCTTTTCAGTGTCTGAAGTGTATCAGAGAATCATAATTTTATTATAAGATTTCTCATTCCAGTCTCAGTTTTAATCCTCAGCGTTGTAATTGTTTTGGCTGCTTCTTTATTATTAGCGCCCTCAGGAGTTTGAAGATAATTATCAATATGGGTTTTTACTTCAATAGTCCCAGCTTTTCCTTTATCAAACATTTTTGATATATCTTCTCTTATAGGAACAATATTGCCATTTCTTATGACGTTTTCAGGCAGCTGGTCTAAGAATTGGTCTTTTGATAACAGTCCGTTTCCAGGGTCATTTGCCCCAAAAATATTGCTGGAGCCTGCTTTATACATTTCTTCAGTTTTATTAGTATTTAATTAAATGGAGTGTTGTGTAGGGTAGCAGTAGGCATCTGGAGTAGGCTTTTTTGTGTGCCCAGACTATAGGGACACCTTTTTGAGCCTTGAACACTCATAAATGGAGAAAGCAATGCCTTGATTTACTTATCCAGGCGAAGATTTATACTAGGACTTTAGTTAGAAGCGCGGGGAGAGGAGAATCATCAAAAAATCATCTGCTGTCCCCCTAAGCTGAGAGGAACTTGGGCGCGCTGACAAGACCAAAGTCTTACCAGGTAAGAACTTTGACAGAGACCTTACATCAGCATTTTTGGTGCTGGGTTTGAAAAATGGCGCTAGGTGGAGTTAGCGCTTACTCTCCCCCCCATTTAATAGCGAACACTTTTTTTGTTCGTTATTAAATGGGGTCTAACTCATAAAATTTTTGGAAAAATATATATATAAAATTTATATTAATATCTATGATTTTTTTTATATAAAAATTTCAATTAAAGAGTTAATAAATAAAGGATTCAAATGATGGCAGCAGAAAGAGAAAGCTCCTAAATGAAAGCGAAAAGATAACTATTGCTAACTCCCCACCCCTCCATGAGCGATCAAAACCATTAGAAAAATCCCTCACCTCCGTTAGCGAAATAAAATGTTTTTTTTAATAAAAAAATTTTTTATGGAAAAAATTTTTGATATATAAATGATAATTATTATAATGAAATCTGGAGCTAATTCTCTTTAATTTTAAATAAATTACGTTTTAAAACATAAACTCTACAAATTCAATTAATATTTGCTTTCCAATTTCTGCGAATTAGGATTTTTTAAATTTCGAAAAAAACAATTTTCGAAAAATTTATAAAAAAATTTTTTACAAAAAAAATTAACCCCCTTCGTAAGCGAACGAGGTTTTTTTGTTCGCTCACGGAGCGGGGGAGTAAAGCATCAGCTTAAGATTAAGCCACTATTAACTTATTAGCTCTTATTTATTATTCTTTCCTCGATTATATTTGTCCTTATCTTATTCTAACTACTTAAAAAAATTAGTAAACTATAAAGACTAAATTAGCTTATATAAATTTTATAGTAAATTTTGTTGGTTATTAAATAGGGCCTAAGGAAAAATTTTAGGGGAAAAAAAAATGACGGTTTTGTTCGTTATTAAATGGGGGGCAGTTAGCACCCACAAACGCGAAGCAAGCTCTCGACGGAGGTAAACTCTAAAATAAGGCTGCTACGCCTCAACTCTAATCTAATCTCATCTAATCTAATCAGTTTTATCGACAAGCCTGAGAGGTATTCCATCAGGGTATTTTCTTTTTAAATCATAAGGAAAATACCCATCTAAAATATCGCTCAAAATACTTTGGGCTTCATTAGAAGAGTAAGGTTTAAACTGAAACCCTTGCAGTATTAATCCGTTTTTATAAAACGCTATAGAAATGCTTTCAGGGGCTTTAAAACGGTGAACAGCCCCTTCAGCGACCCATCTTGCAGCGTCTTTTTCAGCGATCATATTAAGTTCTTGAATTCTTCGTTCAAGCACAATAACATCGATTTCTCTAGGCAAGTTATATCTGTATACAGGCTCATTGCTTCCTATATCTTGCTTTAAGCTATTTATATCAAAATTCCCTTCTTTTTGTCCGCCGACCCATTTTAGTCCATAGTCTGATAAGAAATGTTCCATTTCACTGATTTGGCTTCTTAATCTATCATTTTCTTGCTGCAGTTTTGTATAGGCATCAACATATTCAGGAGAGCTTGTAATCTTTAGTGTTTCAATTTCATTTTGGAGACCTGAAATTATTGTACTTTTTTCTTTTATTTCTTTTCTTTGAAGCTCAGAAAGCTTTTCTACTTTAGAGAGTTTTTGAGCCATTTGGCTGAGGAGATCAGTATCTGAGGCTTTTGGTTTCGCCTGAGGATGAGGAGGATTTGATGATCTTTTTCCTGTATAATTTTGCTGATTTTGGATTGTTATGGGTTTTGATGCTGGATAAAGATTACCTGGCAATCCTCCTGGTGGGAGAGCTTTTTTAAAATTTTGGACTATTTTATTGGTTGTTTTATCGTCTAATAAATCAAGAATGTCTTTGTTGTTAACGTTTCTTGAAATTCCTGGGATTCACTCTCCTTCTTTTTCCATATTATAATATTCAAATTTTAATTATTGAAATTAATATACTGATTTAACGTATTTTTTATTAGTTTTTGTAAATAATTGTTAAGGCTTAATACAGACTAGCTTATATAAAGTCTCCACACTTTTGAGCTCATTTGTTGAGATGTCTTCTGATGCAATTGGAGGTTGATTTTACCAACTTAAGTTGCGAAAGTCAAACTTAAATTGGTAAATCTCTATTATTAAAGGTTGATTTCACCAAAATAAAATGTTAAAGCCAACCTTCTGATCGTCTTGGGGGACATAAGAGTGATGGAGTTTAAAAGTATTGATGTGCTACAATATTTTTTTTCTAATTTAAAACTGCATTAAATCTGTTAATAACACTATTATTTATAACGATAACAATATTTTTAATCTATTTTTGTAGCCATGACATCAATATATGTGATATGACATTTAGGCATATTTCACCTTAGCGCGTCTTATTCATGATTTTTTCTCCAGCAGACATTCCCTTAATCATTTAGCTAAAACTTTTTTCCCGCCAAACATTAACTTGGAGAACCCGCTATTTTTCTATCAAATATTTGACGAAGAAAAAGTTTGAACGAAATAGTTAACTCCCCCTTTAGATTGGAACCAAAATTCTGTTCTAATTTAAAAGGGGGTAAATTTTTTAATCTATAAAACAAATTTTATTAAAAATTTTAAAAAATTAAAAGCATATAAATAGAATACGATATTTTGTATTTTAGTTATTTTATGAAGAATTAATCAAAAAAAAATTAATCAATTCAGTGTGAAAAATGTTTAAATAATATTATATTTGCACCTTTCAATTAAATTAAGTCAAAACTAATTTTATAAAATTATCATTTTCAATTATAAAATTTTCATTTCGAAAAAAATTGTTCAAATTTAAAGGAGGTTAAATTAACAAAAAAATGAAAATTTGCCCATATTTTGTTCAAATTAAGGAGGGAGTAAGAGAAAATATCTATAAGAAGGAATAGCTTCTAGAAAAAGACATGCAGCCTATTTCACACTAGCTTTCCCAGGACTTTTGCTGCTTCTTCCTCTCGACATTGACAGCGATATTTTTTCATTTTGTTTTTTTTCCAAAATTGCAATTGCTTTCTGGTTTTCTTTAATAGCCTTCATCATAAATTCTTGTTTTTCACTAATATCCATCAGCATAGCTTTCAATGACTCATAAGACCTCTGCGACTGAGCTGACTCAAACGAAGCGCTATCAATGCTTTGTTGCCTTGACGAAGGCCTATTTCTCGACTCATTTCTCTTCGACAGTTGTGTAAGTTCATTCATAAACTGATCGACCTCTTCTTTTAATTGCAATCTTTTCGGAGAAGTATGATTACTAGGCATCTGCTCATAAGCTTGAGGATTATTCTGAATGCTAGAAATCGCATTAAACAGCCTATTTCTAGGCCCTATAGGAACATTCATATCATTTAAATCTTCTTTAGTCAAATACTGCAGATCTTCATAGGAAACCTGATTTGCATCAAAAATCGGCAGCAATTCTTCTAAGCCCAAATCATTTAAAAATTCACTCAGTGGGTCGTCAGCTTTTGTCTTTGTTCATCTATCAGGACTATGTTTTTTAGGAGGAGTTCGGGCTCGGATTTCAGATTCTTCATGATTAAATCTCATGGAGCTTGAGCTTAGGTTATTAGGATTGCGAGCTGGGTATTTTTGGGCATGATTTTCAGGTGTCTGTGGCAGAGATCCGTATTTGGATTTAAGCAAGCTTTGAGATTGCTTCATGGAGGCTGAGATTTGGTCAACTCTTTCTTTTATGTTAGAGAGACTTTGGTCTTGGCGTGCTGACCTTTGGGATGAAAATGTCCCTCGGCTATGAGCTCCGTTTTGGTAATGAGACATAACTTTAATTTTACCGTTTGATCCCTCTTATAAATTAAATGGAATTTTCTTATCTCCATTTGAATTTGATGAAAGAAAAAGCTGGGATATTCAAAAGTTCCATTAAAATCAATTAAATTGATTTTTTATAATTAGAGATGCATTTTATTGTGGAAAATCTATAATTTATTTGAACTGCTGGGCTATTTCAGTTATTTAGCCTTTTATTATAATTTATAGATTATCATCAGCAGTCTTATTATAAATAATTATAAATAGTCTATCAAATCATAATTTTTTTCAGATAATAATTAGACAATAATTGTAACTTAATTTTATTTGCGTTAATCTCATATAACCTGCATCAAAATTGCTCAATTCATTAGAGTTAGCCTATCATATTATCTTTTACTTATTTTTGTCGCAAATAACTTAATTGCTTTCCTATTCCTGTCTTATATTTATCAACAACAAATTTTATAAATATGAATCCCACAGACGATATTGGGAATAGAATTCTTCGTCTAGTCTTTAACCAGACCAATGTAACCCTTACTCAGTCAAGCAAAATGGTGGCTTCGACGGAAGATGGACTCCGAAACATGCTCCCTTAGAAGCAGGTAGGACTCGTCACGATGAAGCTGAAACAGTGCCTCTGCCACTTTTTGAAGTAGGCCATCGAATTTGAGGATGCCTACTGAAGAGGGAAGCTTTGTTTCTCTCCGAAGGTTTTCCTATCCCTGCCAGATGGGATATATACAGATTTTGCCTCCCAGTCAGTCTTTGGACATCCGCAAGAGGCTGCTCTTACTTAATAATGAGCTAACTCTTAGGTTAGAGTCTATTCTAACTAGCCAGACTATTGGGTCTACCACTTATAATTTTAACTTAACTAGCTTACTCAGTCCAATCTTGTCGCAGGAACTTCTAAAGGTTTCAGAATCGTCCGTCTTGAAGACTGCAAAATCACATCTCGTCGTGACAAAGAGTCTGAACTACACTTTCCAGGCGGCTTTACTTGTTTAGCCCCTATGTTTTCTACCCAGCTTATCTGCTTGGTCGGCAGCCGTGAAAACCCCCGCTACCATCCAGCTATGTTAATGTTAATTAAGATTATCGAAAAGCTCCCTGTCGGGGCCTGAAAGCCCTTATTCCCTTCCATAATGCTCGACTCGCCTGCTCGCCAACAACCGTCTCACGGCCTTCAAAGTCTCGCTCCTACGGATATGGGGCCCGCACATACACCCCGTAGTCGGAAAGTTTGGGTCACCATGCCGTACGCCAACGAAGGTTGCCTGCACAGAAATTTCAAAAAATGGAATTTCTGGCCGACTTTCGCAAAAGGGTAAAACTTGTAGCCCAGGGCGAAACTCCTGGCTTCTCGCTAGAGAGTTGCCCGAATGGCCTAGAAAGGCTTTGCTGGGCTTCCCCTTTCCAACTCCAAGTCTCCCTTCCCTCGAGGTAAAATCTAACTCAGAAAATAGACTAGGGCTAGTTATCTAGCATAGCTGTCCATTTCTTCGCTAGCAAAACCCTGCCAGATATAATTAAAATAGGGCTCGATACTGCTTGGCCGAGAGGCCAAGTCAAGTTGAGACGCCATATTTTAATTATCCCCCCGTTACCATCCAAACGTGGTTTATTTTTGGGACGAATACCAAGTAGATATGAAAGGCGAAATCAGATTTAGGTCAGAAGTCAAAAATGTGCTTATCAGACGAGATAAAGTCGTCATTATTTTACAAAACATGGTAATTATTACTTAGACATATGTATATGAGCTTAATAATCTCAAGCCAGTTGCTTCTATTTCTACAATTGATAACACAAATGGGGTTGGCTCGATTTCTTATGATAAAGATAGGTTCGTTTTAGGGACTTTGGATACAAAGCCAGGATGGATTAGAATAGAAAACTTTTCAGGTGGAGGGTTTAAGACTGCGTCAATTCATGAAAATCCGATAGCAATCCTAAGTATTGATTTTAGTGGGACATATGGAGCTACTGCAAGTGAACAGGGGACTATTATAAGGGTTTTTGATTGTATTACTTTAGATATATTGCATGAGCTTAGAAGAGGTAGCAGTGCTGCCAAAATTTCGGCCCTTGTGTTTAGCCCTGATCATAGCTTTCTCATTTCTTCTAGCAATAGAGCTACAATTCATGCTTGAAATATTAAAAATTTCCAATCAGTATCTGTAAGTGGAGCTATTAGTAAATTATTGCCGACTTATTTTCAGTACCAACGCAGCTTTGCCAAGCTGAATTTGCCGCCTGAGGTAGCTTGAACTTGCCCAACTACAATTGATGAAGGCCCAAAAGCATGCTTTGCGAATGAGACTGACTTTTTTGTTGCGCATTTGGATGGGAACTTATATAAGTGCCAAATCAATGAGACTCAGAACACTATAACTGTGCTAGATACTAAATCCCTCTGTGAGCGAACGAAATTATTGGAAAAATCCATATTTTTTGAGTAAAAAACAAACTCTGGGCGAACAAAAAAAAATTTTTTTAATATATAATTGACAATTATTATAATGAAATCTATAACTGTTTCTTTTTATTTTAAACAGTTTGCATTTTAAAACATAATTAAATTAATTTGCTTTCTAAATTTCACGAATTGGGATTATTTTAAAATTTCAAAAAAAAAAATTAACTCCCAGCTCATGAAGGGCATGAGTAAGCCATTTTTAAATTTCAATGAAACTATTGTAGAAGGTGAGAGACAATGGACTTCTTTTGAATAAATGTAACTATTAATTAAGCCACAATTATGCTGATTCTGTTAATTTAGTTTGCTTATATAAAAGATAGCCATACAGCTTTGACGGCCCTTCACTTTTAGCTATTCCTGCATACTCCAGCCCATCACGCACAATAAACGCCATACATCCTGCTAATGGGGAACTATCTTTATGATAATTTGGGTTTAATTTTCCATGATGCCCTCTAGCTAATTGTTCACATTTCTCTATATTTTCAAATGAGAAATCAAAAGTACTCGCTTTTTCTTCAATCATCTCGCTCAATGTTTTTCCATCATGGGCATCTTTATTTCTAATATCAGCTAAATATGTTTGACACTGAGCCCAAGCTTCTTCATTACTTTCTGGAAGAGATTGGCCAGCAAGCTGGAAGAATAATCTAACTCCCCCCACCTCCGTGAGTGAGCAAAACCATTAGAAAAATCGCTATTTTTTGCCCAAAAGCCCATTCTCCGTGAGTGAGCAAAAATTTTTTTAATAGAAAAAACATTTTCTATGGAAAAAAATTATATATATAAATGATAATTATTATAATGAAATCTAGAGCTAATTCTGTAACGAATTGCTTTTTAAAATATAAATTTTATAAATTAAATTAATATTTGCTTTCCAATTTTTGCGAATTAGGATTTTTTTTAATTTAGAAAAAAAATATTTTTTATAAAATTTATATATAAATTTTTTTGAAAGAAAAAATTAGCCCCCCTCCGTGAGTGAACAAAATTGTTTTGTTCACTCACGAAGGGGGGGGAGTAAATATTAAAATTGTGTCTACTGGGGCAAGCTGTGTAAGGTAAAAAAGCTCTTCTTCGATAATATTGATCACTTTAAGGGCTTCTTTGGATTTTGATAAAAGTGTGAATGGAGGAGGGTCAGGAATTTCAGAGCCATTTTCTGTGAGCTGTTTGAGGGCTTCTTGCACTTCTGCAAGAGTTGAATATGAAGGCCTGTCAATTTTTATTTCAGCAACTGGCTCTTCTTTCTTTTCTTCTTCTGCTTTTTTGGTTACTTCTTTTTTCTTTGTAGGGCTAACTTTCTTTTTTTCTTCTTTCTTGTCTTCTTTCTTTTTTGGCTCCTTTTTCTCTTCTTCTCCAGACTTTTTCTTTTCTTCTTCTTTTTTCTTTTTCTTTTCTTCAATCTGCTTATTCTTTTCTTCCAACTCTTTTCTCTTTTTCTCAGCTTCCTGGGCTTGTTTTGCCTTAAACTCTTCTTTTTTCTTTGCTTCTTCTTCAACTTTTTTCTTTTTTGCTTCTTCTTTTTTCTTATTTTCCTCTTCTTTAGCCTTTTCTTTGGCTTCGCGCTTTTTCTCCTCCTGTTCTTTTTTCTTTTCTAGTTCTTCTTGTTTTTTCTTTTTGATTTCATCTTGATGTTTTTTGATTTCTAAATCTTTTTGCGCTTTGAATTCAGCTTTTTTCTTGGCTTCTTCTTCTTTTTCTTTTTTCACCTCTTCAGTTAAGACTTCTTTTCCTAAAGAGACTTGTGCAGTTTTAGGCCGCTTTGGGTTATCTGGAGAAGAATGATCTTCGACATTCGGCTTTGGTCTGACTTTGCCAGCTGATCCAGTTCTTTTTTCAGCTTTCTTAGAAGCTTCTAATTTGTTGATTAGATCTTCGAGATAAATTGTTTGAGCGTGAAAAGCTTCCTGGAGACCTGAAAGCTTTTCAGTAATCAATTCATCAACTACTCCTTTGATTGCTGTCCAATCCATATTTATTATGAATTTTTTGAGACTAAAATAGTCCAATGACTGTATTTTTGATGATTTATAAGGCATCCGTGTAGATTCCTAGGGTAATAATATTTTCCAAAGTCTTCATAAACAGACTCCTTAAATTACCTTAAAAAATACAATTTTTAATTATTTTTTATAGTTAGAACTTGTTCAGATAAAAACTTTTAAAAATTACTTGTTTTATTTTATTATCATTACGTTATTTTAACACAGATTTTTCAGCATTTCTCTTTTTGATCTTCATAGCTGCATAAATAAATTCTTTATTAATTGCCAATTTCCTCTACTTTTTTCCTCCATTCTTGATCCATTCCACAAATGTCTGAGAATAAGTGCAATTTCACGCATCATGAATCTCTCCCTAATTATTTCTTCAATTACACTACTTTCCTTTAATCTCTATAAAAATTCCACTCTAATATTAGTTTAGATTTATTTTATATTAAGTAATCAGCATTATATTTATATAATAAAAATTTGTTTTTTATTGAAATTACATTTTGCAGTAGTAATATAGGTCAATAAACTTTAAGGATTATCAAAAATTGCCAAATAAATATTCATCTTAATCATAAAGAGAACAAGATCTATGCTGTTGAATTCTCATCAAATCACAATTTTCAGATATTAAATTTCAGGTAAACAATTTTGGATATCAATTGATTCTTAAGTCTAAAAATTTTCTGAGAATGAAAACCATTCTAACATCTATACTTTATGAAGGTTATAATAGCAGAATAAAATTATTATATTAAATAAAAAGCATATTTAGATAAACTGAAATCTATAATTAATCGACAAAATTAGCAAGAAAACATATTTATTGCTGCTAGTTGCTCTAATTCATTTTAATAGTATAAAAGATACTGTAAAGCATTTAGGGCCTTCACGGAGGGGTGCTAATTTATTTTTTTAAAAAAAAATTATATAATTTTAAAGTGAAATTTTTTTTCTTCAAATTTAAAAAAAAAATTTGTAGTAAAAATTAATTCAATTTGCAAAATTTAGGTTTTAAAATACAAGCTGTTTAAAATTAAACAGAATTAGCTCGAGATTTCATTATACTAACTATCACTTCTATATCAAATTTTTTTTTCATAAAAAATTTTTCTATTAAAAAAGTTTTGTTTGCTGATGGAGGGTGGGTTTTTGGGCAACAAAATAGGGATTTATTTAATGGTTTTGTTCGCTCACGGAGGGGGAGTTAGATTCTTCTTTTTCTTTACTTCATCTTCGGCTTTTCTTCCCTGAAGTCCAGTCCATATTTTATTATTAATTTTTAAACTAATAAATTCCGATGACTGTATTTTTACTTTTTTAATTGGGCAGCCTAAGCAAAGGCTATCTAACTCCCCCCTTTAAATTGGAACAAAATATCGGTAAAATTTTCCATTTTTTGGCACTTTAAATCTTTTAAATTGGAACAAATTTTATAATTTTATCGATGAAAATACAAATTTTTATAAAATTAATTTTGATCTAAATTAAAGGAAAAAAAAGTAGTAAAATGCTATTTTATCACTAAATTGATTATATTTTTAAATTAATTCTAAATAAATAATTAAAAAATTCAAAGTATTGGGCTCAATTTTAGTTTTTTGAAAATTTTTTACTCCCCCGCACACGGAGGGGGTTAATGTTTTTTAATATTTAAACTCTATAAAAAAATTGTTTTTTCGAAATTTAAAAAAATTCCATATCGTAAAAATTGGAAGGTAAATGTTAATTTAATTTGCAAAATCTATATTTTCAAAACAAATTGTTTAAAATAAAAAAAGAATTAACAAGAGATTTCATTATACTAATTATCACTTATATATCTAGTATTATTTCAAAAAAAAATTTATATTAAAAAATATTTTTGTTCGCTCACGGAGGGAAGCTTTTAGGCCAAAAAATAGGGATTTTTTCAATGGTTTTGTTCGCTCGCGGAGAGGGGGAGTTACGAAAACTTTAATATCAATTTGCATTGAAACAGAATTTTATTGCGATTTAAGGGCCGGCAAAGTTAAATAATATTGAGCTCTTTATACCTATTAATAAAAAATTAATTATAAAAAAGGATTTCTCCTATCTCTCTGAAATATGATTTTTCTTGTATAAAAGATAACCATAAAGCTTTGTAGGTCCTTCCCCTTTTGCAACGCCTCCATATACTAAAGCATCGCGAACTATAAACGCAATAATTCCAGCTATTATGCAAGTATTTGAATGAAAATTTGGATCTAATTTCGAATGATGCCCTTTAACCAACGCACCACATCTGCTTATATTGTTAAAAGAAAAATCAAAAGTATTGATTTTTTCTTCAAGTATCTCACTCAACAATTTTCCTTCAAGAGCTGCTTTGTTTCAAGTATCAATAAAAAACGCTCTGCACTGTGCCGAAGCTTCATCAATTTTAAACGGAAGTGGTTGGCCTAAAAGCTGGAAAAAAAGACTGAAAATTGGTAGTGATTCTATTTGGAAAGGCGTATTAAGGCAAAATAGCTCTTCTCCTAAAAAGTTCATAAGTTTAAGCACTTCTTTTGATTTTGATGATAATGAGAATGGAGGCGGATCTGAAGTATCGCGTCCTTCTTCAATGAATTGTTTTAATCCATCTGTTATTTCTTTTAGTGTTGAATAGGAGGGTTCAGCAGTTTCCACAATTTTTGACTCTTCTTTTTGATTTATTTTGTTTGACTTTTTCTGGTTATTTATTTTTGTACGTGGTTTCTGGTGTGCATGGATTATGTTGTTTTGTTTTTTTTGGCTTTCATGTTTTTGCTTGATTTTAGGCTCTGTAGTTTTCTTTGACTCTTCTAAAACTTTTTTCTTCGGAATTACTGCTTTATTCGTTTTTTTATTCATGTTAATGTCAACTTAATATTTTAGTATTTGAACAGAAATTATATCATCAAAATGAAATTTAAGTCAGATTAAATTTTTGATAGTTTAATCAATCTTTAAAAGCAACTAGTCATAATAAATGATATTAATTTCTAGGCTAGTCGCAATCAAAATGAATTTTATCAATGTTCAGATAGTTAATATGTTAATATATAGAAAATTTGCATTTATTTATAATATATGTTTTACTAACTACAAAAAAATTTTGTTCATCACCTGGGGGTTAATTTTTTTGTTTTAAATAAATTTATATATAGAAAAAAATTTTTTTCGAAATTTAAAAAAAATCCTGATTTGTAAAAATTGGGAAGCAAATATTAATTTAATTATAAAATTATGTTTTAAAACGCAATTTGTTTAAAATTAAACAGAATTAGCTCGAGATTTCATTATACTAATTATCACTTATATATCAATTTTTTTTCATACAAAATTTTTTCTATTAAAAAAATTTTTGTTCACTCACGAAGGGTTGGTTTTTTGTAAAAAATAGGGATTTTTCCAATGGCTTTGTTCACTCACGGAAGGGGGGGAGTAAGAATGTCATAAAATATTTTGAGTTAAAATGCGCAAAGAAAGAAAACATTAAGAGCATTCAGATGTAATAAATAAGTATATATTTACGAGATATGCATAATGTTTCATGGGAATGTTTATATTTTAATTGCACTTCAAAGCTATAAAATAGTAAATGCAAAGTATGGCAAAAATCTAACTTTTACCCTAATCTGCGAACAAAAAATTTTTTATATGAAAAAATACTTTGTCGTATAAATAAATAATTATTATAATGGAATTTCTGGTTAATTCTCTTAAATCTTAGATAGCTTGGATTTTAAAATGCAATTAAAATTTTAAAATATACAAATTGGAATATTTTAAAAAGAATAATAGAAATTGCTCAAGGTTAAATAGAGTATTTTTAAATGCATAAAATTATGTTTAATAAGCTGCTAGAGAAGTAGACTATTACTTACAAAATAAAAGATTATCAAAATATTTTAAATGCAAAGGCTCAAATGCTTACTTTCTCTTCGTACTGCTCAAGAATGGCATATTATATATAAAATCAGACAAGCAAAAGAATGCTTGCATTTTTCTCCTATAAATAAACTTTTCCAGTCTCGCATGGCATATTTTATAAGCAGTTTTCTGGCTTTGTGAAGGTGTTGGGTACTCAAACCAAACCGAACTTTCCGGCTCTTTGGTAGCTGGCTCAATAACACTTAAATTGCATTTTCTATTATTCTCAAAAGCCCCAAAGGTCCCTGTCATCGTCGGACTATGCAAAATAGAGCTATTCTGTATTTCTTCTTTACTAAAATCAAACGTTAACGACTGTTCTCCATCATTTCCTAGCGCTTTTTTAAAATTTCCCATACATAATTTCAATCTTTCTTTAAAAATTCCATCAACTATTTTCAATCCTTTTTTTTGCTCTGCAATACTGCATGCTTTTGATGGATTTTTATTATGCTGTTTTGGGGGTTTTGGAGGTAAAAGCTCGCTGAAATCTAGCTTTGGGACTTTTACAGCATTTGATTTTGGCATGCCTTCTAAGCTTAACTCAATATCAAGCTCAAGCCCTTTTGGAAGCTCTGTTATATCAGGGTTAAACTCAAATGATGCTTCTTCTTTGGGCTTTTTTGACCCAATGGATTCATTGAATCTCAATGTATGCTTTGGCTCGATTTGTCTACTTGACGCAATTCCAGGGGAATCTAATGAAGATTCATAGAAATCCAGCTTTATTTCACTGATTTCATTCATATCTGATAAGTTTTTCTTTTTCGAACGCGGAGATGCGACTATTTGATCCTCAGAGTACATTACAAGGCTTAATTCATTGTCGTGAATTATCTCTTTTGGCTCTGGAGACCCTCCTTCTTGATAATATAATGACCTTTTTGAAGCATTATGCTCAGTTACTGCACATGATGTGGTTATATTGCAATCTCTTATCATAGGCTGAGTTCTTACTAATTTTTCTGGTTTTGATGGCAAAATTTGTAAGATTTTTTCGTGAAATCTTGGTGAGAGCTCTTCTTTGGTGGAACTTGTAAGAAGTGTCAAGGCTACAGCATTGCAATGGCTGCATTTAGTAAATGCTAGAGGATTGTAATTTTGTACTTGGGTTTTCTCGAGTTTCCGCATAGAATCTCTGGTTCTTTTAAAAACCAGTTTTTCTAAAATTAAGCTTAAAATTTTTATTTCTTTGGAATTATTTTTGGGATGCTTCCATTCTTTGTTGTATTTTTCATAAAAAGAGAATTCTTTGTTTGCTGCAAATGTACGGTTGTGTCGACTTGTACTGAGAGCATCTAGCTTTTTTTGCAAAAATGGACTTACGTTACCCAGTTTTTCTTGCAAATTTAGCTTGAAAACTTGTTTGCCTGCTACTTTTGAATTTTGAAAAAGCTTGTTAACTCTTTCAACAAAACTGTTTTCAGGGATTATATTTTCTGATAGATTTTCTTTTGGCTTCAAAACTCTTATATTGCGTCTATCAGTCGTCATATTTTAATTGTTAGAGTTATACTTCATATATAAATTTAAATTTCTTAAATTGAATAAATCTTCTTAATAAATTAAAATTTTAATATCAGAAGTATATTTTTAGACGATATTTAGGTAGAAATAATTATCTTGCGTTTAAAAACTTATTATAATGTTAAAAACTGGAATTATAATCTATAAAATAACTTAAAAATACTTACTCCCACCTTTGTTTCAAATTTTAATGAGCTAATTTTTTCGTTGAAAAATATTTTGGCTAGATTTTATAAAAATTAAAAAAATATAATTGAAATATTTTTGAATTTTAATTTTATTTAATTTAGCCACTGTTTAAATGATATTCTATTTACTTCTTCTATCAAATTATTTATGTAAAAATTAATATTTTCACCTATAAAATTGACTAAAATTTTGTTCCAATTTAAAGGTGAATTATATAACCAAAAATTGCAATTTAACAGATATTTTGTTCAAACGAGTCAATAAATAATTTTTTTGATGAAAATCTTAATTAATATAAACTTCAAGTATTAAATGAAAGTTATAAACATAACCATTACTAATTTCATATCTTATACAGCACCTATTGGCTAGCTTTTCTAGTCAATTTCGCAAAAGTTCTTGAATTTGTTCTTTTGCTTGTGCTTGTAGGTGGATAAGGAACCTGATTTTCCAAATTAAAAGCATCAAAAGCAATGCCCACATCAATAATGCTCAAGTTTTCTTCTCCACATATATCAGAAATAATTCAGGGCTCTTCACTTATAAGCTTTGCTGGGTCCTTACTCCCCTCCGTAAGCGAACAAAAGATTTTGTTCGCTCAAAGGAGAGGGTTAATTTATTTATTAAATAGTAATTTGTTTTTCAAAATTTAAAAAAATTCCTGTTCGTAAGTAAAATTTATGTTTTAAATTGGAAGCTTTTAAAATTAGACAGAATTAGCTTAAGATTTCATTATAATAATGATCATTTATATGTTAAATTGTTTTTAAAAATAAAATTTTTATATTACAAAAATTGTTGTTAGCTTGTGGAGGGTTTGGTTTTTGGGCAAAAAATAGAGATTTTTCCAAAGATTTTGTTCGCTCACAGAGAGGGGGAAGTTAGTATTCATCAGAACTCTTCTGACTCTTACAAAAATGTCATCGCCCAATTTACTTCTTAGGAAGTCTCCCATTAGCATTGGTCTAATTGGAGAGTTTGGGCACTGTTTTAAGATGCTTTCTGAAAATGTAAAGCATTTTTGAGAAGATCTTGATGTAGCAGAACCATCGTTTTTAGATGGAGGAGATTTTTTGCCCTGCTGCAAATGAGTAGCTGTTTGGACATTTGCTGAGTCCATAGGGGTTTCTGGCTTATGACTTGAAGGAGCTGATGTAGGGTGGACTGGATTTGATTTGTGGGGAATATGGGTAGGGGTTGGAATATTAATAGAAATTTCTTTTTGATATTTTTTAGTCTTCCTCGTATTTACGCTCACTCCCCCTCCATAAGTAAATTTTTTTTGTTAAAAATTAATTTTAAAGCAAATATTAATTAATTTTTAAAATTTAATTTTAAATGCAAACTGTTTAATATTTAGCTTATTTATATATCAAAATAGTTTTTTCATAAAAAGTTTTTGATCGCTCACAAAGGTGGGTTTTTTACCCAAAAAAATAAGGTTTTTTCTAATGGGTTTATTCGCACACCGAGGGGGAAGTCAGCTCTTTTCGCTCTTCTGTAGAATTAAATATCGGCATTGTCCAAATGGCTGCTGCTGAAGGTCTGAGCTCTTTATCTTTGCTCAGCATTGATGACACCAAATTTTTCAAATTCTGACTATACTTGTCTGGAATTGGATTTGGCTCATTATTTATTATTGAATTTACAACCGCAATCAGATTTTCCCCTTCAAACGGTCTTCTCAATGTACAAAGTTCATATACAATACACCCCAGACTCCAAATATCAGCTTTATTATCATAAGGTTCTCCTTTACAAATTTCAGGTGCTAAATAATAAGGAGTTCCTACACTAGTGACGGCTAGTTCATCACTAAAATTGAGGATTTTTGAAATTCCAAAATCCCCAACTTGGACACCTCCGTCCTTAGTCAAAAATATATTGTGGCTTTTCAAGTCCCTATGGATAATTTTGTTGTTGTGAATGTGATTTAACGCTTCAGCAAGCTGCCCAATTCACTTCCAAACCTGAGACTCGTTAAAACTGCTGTTTTGGTCTTTCACTGATCGAATTCGAGCAGCGAGGTCTCCGCCTTCGGCGTAGTCCATAATAATGCACAGATAGCCGTCATCGATAAAGCTTTCGTGATACTGGATGATATATGGGTGGTCAAGCTGCTCTAATACGTTTACTTCTTTGCAATTGGGCTGCTCTGTCTCTAAAGGTACCTTTTTCATCGCAACCAGAGCCCCGTCTTCTCTTTCGACAAGCCAAACTTCTCCATAACGACCTCTGCCTAAGTTTCTAACTCTTTTATGAGAAATCAAAACATTTTTGCAGGCTTATATAATTAATTTTATAATAAAATTTTTATTTTCGAAACTTATAAAATTAGAATCGCAAAAAATTAATTTAATTAATAAAATTTGCGTTTTAGAGTTCAAGCTGCTTAAAATCGAGCAGAAATTATCAAGACATATAAAGACGACCCCCCCTTCAATCTTCATGTCTATTGCAACAAAAATTTTTCAAAAATTTTCATGCCTACTGCAACACAACATTTTTATAAAAAAATTAATGTATTTTACTTTAGATGAGTTTCTCAAAAAAATCATAAAACGGCGCTGCTGTAGGCGTGTCAATGACCTTCTCATCGAGATTTAGACGGCTATTGTCATCGCTCACAAACTTATCTAGCTAAAAAAATACGGAAAATTTAAGATGCGCATCGAAAATTTGCCACAAGAGGATTAGGATTAGGATTATTACAGACAGGCGCTAGCCATATTTGTGACGCAGCCACCAAAGACCTCCCGTACGGAAGTTTCTACCGCTTTTCGACTCCAGCCCAGAGGGTCTATCCCTCTTGCGAGTGCTTTCCGGTACTTTCTGTCTCCTCCTTGCCTTTGCGGCTTCAGTCTTGAGTGGGCAGCTTATGGATTTCTGCGGTCCTGCTATGGGCGATAGGAGTAGTAACTTGATTCCAAGGATCCTTGGAGTCTATCGGGCGTCAAAGTGCCTTCCTTCTGCAGCTACAGGAAAAAGACTGTTCCCCTGTGGCCTGGGCCGAAACCCCCAGTTTCTTGGTAGAGGAATGCCCATGGATCCTCGGATCCAAAGGACGTCGTTTGAGCGCATCTATTTCTAACCACAGGGAAAGCAGCCAAAACCTACCCGGATACACACTTATTGAGCCTGCATCTGATTCTCGGCTCGGAGTCCATCCCAGTTCATCGTAGCCATAAGGTTTGGGCTGCTGCGCCAAGAAGGCAGGTTGGCACGTGTCGCCATTTTAATGTATATAATTTGTTGCAAGAGACATGAAAATTATTATTATTTTTTTTATATAAAATTTTATATTTAAAAAATTACATTTTTGTTGCAATAGACATGAAGATTGAGGGGGGGTCATCGTTACTAGTTATCACTGTAACTCAAAGCATTTTTTATATAAATTTTTTTTGAAAAAATAGGATTTTTTTCAATGGTTGGCTCGCTCATAGAGGAAGAAGTAAGCTTTCTGTATCGATCCATGTTAAAAATTTATTATACAGAGATGAGAAGATGATTTCATGGATATGGAGATATGGAAATTGCAGGTGTTTACTGCTTAAGCTGTTTTATAGATTTTTTGGGGAGGTTGAAGAATGCCGTTATTGAAAAATATTCAAACGAATTCTTAATTCTTTAAAAATTGTATAAGTATTTAATCGTCAAAGTACTGTATATAACTCAATAATTGACTAATTAAATCTTGATAATTAGTTTTGGCTAATAATTTATATAAAAATGCGAATTTTTATAGATTAATTTGGAAGTAAGTAATCAGAATTGCAATTTAGCAACTAATTAAAGTTCTTTTTCTCTTATGAAATTGGCGAAGTTTTGATTTTGATAACTGTTAATAACAAAATAAAAAATGGAAGACAAATATGAGAGAAAGAGTCATTACTCTCCCTATTTAAATTTCAGCCTCCTGAAGGTAAAAAAGCTCAAAAAATTGAAACTTTAACCCACTTTCATACTTAAGCTATGCTTTATGATCATTATACACTCCACAAAAACTAAATGATTTATTAAAATGATAAATATTGAATTTTAATATCCTAAAAGATTCAATCACATTTAAAATTTCTAACTCCCTTGTTCTGTGTGCGAAAAACAAAAATTTGTTTGCTCAAGGACGGGGTTAATATTTTTTTATATATAAACTTTATAGTAAGTATTTTTAAAAAATCGCAAATTGAAATATTTAATTTATGTTTTAAAATGTAAGCTGTTTAAATTAAACAGAATTAGCTAGAGATTTCATTATACTAATTATCACTTATATATCAAAATTTTTTTTTAATAAAACATTTTTGTTCGCTCACTGAGGATGGGTTTTTGGGCAAAAAATAGTGATCTTCCCAATGGTTTTTATTCGCTCGTAGAGGAAAGGTAATTTCAATTTTCTAATGCTTTTAATTCATTCCCATATTTATCTCTGTTCTTAACTAATATGCCTTAATGCTCTGATTTAATTCAGTATATTTATAGCACGACCTAGTTATTAAAAATAATTTTTAAAATTCAAATTATCCTACTATTCTTTATTTGATAAAATGAGCATGGAATTAGAAGATGAAGTTGTATGCGAGCTTGATGTAGTATTAAACTCCCAATCAGAAGGCCAGCTATTTTTAATCCAATACCCTCTTCGACCTCGATACCGACCTTATGGCGACCAAGGCACTCTATCTTCTGGCAAAATCGGAGCCAACTCTTTACAATTAAATTATACTCTAAACTCATCTGGTCCTAATTATGATAAAAAATCCAACGAATTCAATCACAAAGAACAGACTCTCCAAAGCAAAACCATTGTCCCTTTAAATGACTATTGGATTGGAGTAATCAGAGAAAACACTCTTTCGCTTTCTCCATTAGAAAAAGTCTATCAAATGAGACCTGCAATGGACTATGTTGACGCTTCGACCAAGACAAGATATATTGAAGACAAAGATGAAGAAGAAAATCTAAAAGCTGAAAAAGAGTCTAAGAAAATGAGGATTTTTAAGAAAAAAAAGAGCACATAAGGTAGATTATATTATCTTAGATTAAAAGCTGTAATGGGTCTTCAGGGTTTATATTTCAGTCCCTCTCTGCATTCAGGCTTTGGTGATGTCGACAGAAAAGTGCATAAGTTCGACCCGGTGCTTAGAGCGGCGTCAACATCTATCGGGGAGATGCACCCAGGCACTTCCTTGGGAAACTCCTAGAAGAGGCGGCCGAATCCTCCTTCAGTGCTCAATTACCCTTCGCATTCAGAAGTGTAGAGTTTCTTATGGACTCTGGTCTACTTGTCTCTGAGTCATGGTAAAAAACCCTGTCGTGGTGTCCCGACCAGGATAAGAAGCACATAAGGTAGAAGAAGAAGAAAAATTGAAGCCTGTCGAAGTTTTAGATATGAATAATGAATCAAGTATAGAAGCTTTTGAAAGCTTGATACCTAAAAATTGTGAAGAAATTGAAATAACTACAAATTCAGCTGAATATGTGGCTAATCTTTTGCCTGAACAAACAAAAAATTTTGGGTTCAGAAATACATTAAGAGAAATGCCAATATCACTTCAGGTTGAAGAAATATTAAAAAAAGCTGAAGTCATTAGTTATGAATTTCTAATTGAAATGTTAGGAAAAAATGACTCAAGAATAGATCAAGCTTTATCTCAGAAAGCTACAATTATTAGGGGCAGGTGGGTATGCAAAAGTGACTTATTGCAGCTTGGGGATTCTGAAAAAATCAGAGACGTCTGTTTAGCGATATTATTTTCAAAAGGATTTTTAGAAAAATCAAAGTATTTTATATATAGGCTTGTCCAATCATTTAAAGATTTACACAAAATTAGCTCAATAATTACAAAAATCGCAGTAAAAGAGGCTTCGAAATGGTTTCTTAAAGGAGAAGAAGGAATGATGTAATCATTATTTAGAGATGAAAGGTTAGAAGCTAAAAGCAATGAGTATTGGAAACAAAAAATGAAAACTTTCAAAAAAGAATTTCCTGAGCTTTTTAATTAGGCAGAATAATTTTAATTTTATTATACCCAATAAATTTATTATTTGTTAAACGTAAGGTTAATGCCAGCCATCTTCAGCAAGCCAAACATGGGTTCGGCTTATCACACAAGTCAATACTAGGCTTTTTACTAATAAAGAAAGTCAAATATGCAAGAATTTAATTTAATTGGCTATTTTTAATAATGAATTAAAATGGCGGTGGCGAACCAGCCCTTTTTCTCAACACCTGTAGCCGACATCCCACAGGGTGGCAGGGACCTCATGGAAGGGATTTTGCGCTCGGTATGTGTGTATCGGCTAGGTTATTCCTTGGCACAGTGGAAGGAAACGTCAAATTTGGTTGACCGCAGCTCATTCTGATGCCAGGGTTTTTACCTTAGGGGAAATGGTTTCCAAGGTTGGAAAGGGGAGGCTCAGCTATACCAAGGACTTCCACTTGGCCAATTGGGCAACTTCCTAGCGTGAAACTGGGCGTTACGTCCCAGGCTTTGGATTTCCATTTTGGCCGACAGTTCTACTAAAAATTTGTTTTTCAAATTTTCGGAATGGACAACTCTGTTGATGTACTGCACTGTGGCGCAACTCATCCAACTTCGGGTAGCGAGTGCACATCCTCGTCCGAAAGAAGCAGCACTTTGAAAGCCGTGAGACGGTTGGTGGTGAACAACCGAGTGAAGCGTTACGGGTGAAGGTACGCCCTTAGGTGGGAATTACAGCGGATTCTCTATATATTAAATTAATGTTAATCTTAATGCTATTTTTAATCGACATGCTGATGAAGAATTGCTGGAATAAGAGTGGACCATCCTAGCTGAATTTTTTCTTTCATTGCATCCAAAATGTCTCCACAAGGATCAAGATTAACTAGATATGTAACTTTGCATCTAGTATCGCTAATCGGCTCAATATATAAAGTTGACAGATTGAGGGTTGCTCTAACGCATCCTTCTGTAATAGGCACTTCAGGCACTTCTAAACTCTTTTCAAATATGACATATGAGTTTCCTCTGGTCCTGTAATCCTGAATGTAAATAAATTCTCTATTGGTTACTGGCCATTTCATCTGGAGAACAATGAAAATTAATTTTAGACTGCCCTCTTCAGCGACGATTTCAGCACTGGCAGGACCGTCATCAGCTATAGGGTTTATACTGTAAAACTTCTTTTAGCTAGCTCAAGACATTCCAAAAAAGTCTAATATTGGCATAATCAAGGAAAATCTGCCATAATAAATGGATTTGCCCGATTTTAATGTTAGTATAATAATGACTTGGAAGCATTTAGATTTCTTCAGAACCCCAAAGTCTAGGGCAAGTAAAATAAAATCGTCCCTATACAAGGTTTCCTTTGCCCCATCTAGTTTCAAGAGGCATTGAGATGAAAAAGTTAAACATTTCTTCAGCAGAGTGAGCAAACTCAGTTTCTCCTTTTCCTGCATGAACTGGGTTGTTAAAAAAAGGTCGAGTGTAAATCTTAGCATTGTGTTTTTCCTCTTCAAATGTCCACTCACTGTTCTTCAGCTGGTCTGATTCCTTTAATCCATTGCTGATAAGTGCATTTGCACGTGAAACCCAATCCTCCATTTTATAAATAAACGCATAGAATATGATTCTGATAGCATAAAAAAATTAAAATATTAATTTATTTGTTTCCTGAGGGTTATTTTTGTGCAAATTTAGGTCAGTTTATAGATTTTAAAATTAAATGATTATGATTTAGAATTTTCATTAAAAAAACTCATAAAATAAAAAATCGAATAAATTCAGCTAATAAAAACTATCTTCAGTCCTTTAAGTTTGGTCACACAATACATTTAAGACTACCAAGTATTATACCGAACAAATGAATATATGACTTTATTAAAATGGATTTAAGATATATATCTGGTAGAAATAGAAGAGTGCACGAAATGCTGCAAAAGAAAGGCTATGATCTAGAATCTTTATTTTCAGCTTCTGCTGAACTTATAAAATTAATCGAAGTTCTTCAGCTCCCTCGTCAAGACAGTTTAGGTTTTGTGGAACGCCTTAAAGATGCTTATGACGAGTCTCAAGGAAAAGAAGTCGAAGCTGAAGTTAGTAAAAAGAAATGCAGAGACAGGATTTCTGTTCAAAGTAAAGCTACAAATCGGATTTATTTTTTCAGAGCCACTGAAAATCCCAATCAGTTTGAATGTGAAAATTGTGAAGAAAGCGTCAAACTCAGTGATAGAGATTTAATCTCACACATAAAGTCGAAACACAATGCTGGGGAAGAATAATGCGAATATGAAAGAGAAAATTAATTGCACTAGGTTCTTATAGATTTGGAATAATTTCATTTGTTTTCATTAATGTGCAATTATAGTTATCAACCAGAAATAATTTAAGTATGTAGTCTTGATACTTTGTTTATTATAGAGACTTGCAAAAATATTAAACATAATAACCTGATATTAATTCTATTAGGATTTTTGCACATATGTTGATTGCACATACTGAAGCAGCCTTATACAAGTTTTAATTCCCCAAGACAAAAATCTTAAAATTGAATTTTTTTATAAGAAAATACAATTATTTATATTTAAATAGTTATGATATCTAATTTAATGTCACAAAAATAAAAAATTCTTTTATTTTAAATGAGGATTGCAAAAAGCATACCATTTAAACAAAGCTAGATTGATAAATTTCATAAATTTAAAATTCTTTAAAAAATAAGTATTAACTACTCTTTGCATTAAAACAGATTTTTTGTATCAATTTAAAGGTGAGGAGTAAGCTCCTCTTCCATATCCATGCAGCTGAAAGCATGATCTTTTTCTCTTTGCTCCTTTTTGCAGAGAATAAGTTTTCTCTTTAATGGCCTGCATCCCACTCTCAAAAGCTTTTCATTAATATCATATTATCAGTCGCGTAAATTTCTGATCGGCTCCCACTAGCCAAAGATGGGTTTCACACGTGAAAATCCAGAAATTCCACGTGGAAACCCATTTTTGGCTAGTGGAAACCGATCAAAAATAACGCCAAAAGATCATATTTATCCCTAGCTGAAGCTTTTCACCATTCAAGCCTTTCGTCTTCTAAAAGTCTGCTTATTTCTTACTGCTCTTTGTCCATCGATAAAATTATGATATGTGATTTTAATAATGGTAAAAGCAAAACTTATAACTATTTTTCTAAAAAATTATTTTAAATAAAAGCAAATATGACTATATTTTATAAAATAATTAATAGAGAAAGAATTTATTAATGGAGTTCTCTTTAATTAAGCATAATTCTTTAGTACGCTCAACTGAGCACAATGACCTTTTACATATTCACATAAACCGACCGAAAGCATTAAATGCTTTAAACAAGAAAATCATTAGGGAAATTGCAAGCTTAGTTCGTGAGGCGCATAATCAAAGCAAAAATGTATTATTCACAGGCGAAGGAAGAGCTTTTTCTGCAGGCGGAGATGTGGTGAGCATCTTAATTAACAGACAGGCATAGAGCCTTATTGGTTATGCAGTCACCAAGATGCTAAATTGTATGCACCTATGATCATATTAAACTCGGATTGAGCGTATTCTCTATTAATTCTTTTCCACTAGTGTAAAATTTTTTACCATATAAAAATTCTATATATAGTAGGGATATGAAGAAGATATTATAGAAAATGCTATAAATCGCGCTTTAATATCATATAAAGTAAAAATACTGCTATCTCTTATATTTCTTATTATCAAGGCTAGGTAGTTTGGTATTGAGGGGATAGGGCAGGGTTCTTACACTTGACTAGACAAGCAAACCTGGGGTGGGATTTATGATGCCAGGGGACGAGAGGGGTGCATCTACGGAAGGTTGGATCTGTGCTTAACGAAATTTCTTTGGGCCCAGGCCGGAACTCCTGGCATCACGTGGGGTCCACCTTAAGGGCCCCGAAGGACACTGCCAGGCTACCCCTTTCCAACAATAGGATTAGGCTAGGTTAGGTTAGGTTATTAAGTCTGACATTAGCCATATTGGTGATGTAGCCACCAAAGACCTCCATTACAGGAGGTTGAGGTCAAACCGCTTTTTGACTCCAACCCAGAGAGTCTTTCCCTCGAAGGTGGATGCCACTTCGATACCTTCTGTCTCCTCTTGAAGCTTCAGTCTCGATTGGCGGCTTATGTTTTCAATTGGCCCTGCTGCAGCAATTGGAGTAGTTTGATTCCATGGATCCTTTGAGCTATCGGGTGTTGAAGTGCCTTCCTTCAACAGCTACAGTGAAAAGACTGCTCCCCTGTGGCATGAGTTGAAAACCCCAGCTTTTCGATAGAGGAATCTCTAGGATCCTCGTATCCAAGGGACGCTGCTGAGCATCTCCATTTCCAACCACAGGAAAGCAGCCAAAACCTACATCTCTCGAGCCTGTACTTGATTCTCGGCTCTGAGTCCCTCCCCAGTTCGCCGAGACCTTAAAGTCGGACTGTTGCGCAAAAAGGGCAGATTGGCACATTACCATTCTAATGTATTTCCAACCATAGGAGCCGAGTCATAAACTTACCCGGAACGCATAAAGCCATATCGAACCTCTATCTAGACTGATTTTTTGCTCAGTTCGCCTTGACCATAAGGCTAAGAAAATTGTGTCAAAAGGCCGGATGTACCTAGTCCACCATTTTAAGTATCGAAGTGATGAGCATTATAAAAGCTGATATAACCCCTGAAGAGTTTTACCAAGAAGAGTTTACCCTGATTTATTTTGTTTCCAGGATGCTAACTGAGAGAGTTGCCATCATGGACGGCATTGTTATGGGTGGAGGGGTTGGGCTATCTATGGCTTGCTCCATAAGAGTAGCGACCAATAATACAGCATTTGCTATGCCTGAAGGAGCTATTGGCTATATCCCTGACGTCGGAGCTTCCTATTTTTTATCTCGTATGAATCCTCCAGAGCTTGGTCTTTACTTGTCACTTACTGGTGAAAGACTGAGCGGCGTCGACTGTTATTTATTTGGCCTTGCTCAATACTATATAGAATGTGACACAGATTTAATCATTTCTGGACTATACGAAGGGTCAATAGAAAACGTTTTACAAGTATACCACGTAAACCCAAGCTGAGAAAAGTCCTCAATTATCCCTTACTTAGACCAAATCAAGCAGTGCTTTATTATTGATGGTACCGTAGAACTAGTAGTAAAAAAACTCAGTCAATTAGACACCCCATGGACTGTAAAAACCTTACAAAAAATCCAAACAATGTGTCCGTTATCTTTGAAAATTTCTTATGAAGCTTTTAGGAGAGGAAAATCAATGACTTATAAGGACTGTCTAGCAATGGAATATAATTTAGTGGTCCAAATGCAGTCACAGAGGTCAATCAACTTTTTAGAAGGCGTCAGGCACAAGTTAGTAGTCAAAGCAAGCGGGACGCCAAACTGGGTCCCTGACGATTTAATCGAGCTCGGAGATGGGAGCATTCTTCCGTATTTCGCTAATAAAGAAGGTCCAAGACTGGAACTTCCTAGGCTTTAACTAATTAAATATGAAATAATATTAAGGAAGAAAATTACATTTCGTTTCCAATTAAATCAGTCGAAGCTAATTCGCCATTTTGGTCTTCTGAAGCATGCAGATTTTCCTTTGGAATCTTATTGATGATGCTTGATAAGCTCTTTTTTCTGCTTTCTAACAGGGTTTCAAGGGCTTCTTTTCTGTTAAGGCTTAATATAAGGTTAACTTGGTCTTTTATTTTTTCCATAATTTCAGAAATTTTTACAGTTTTGTTGTCAGTAGATTCTATGTTTGCGTTGGTGAGGGCATTTATTTTATTTGAAAGCCTGTTTAGCCAGGTCTGGATTTTTATTTTTTTTATTTGTAGATCCACTTTTTTGGCTTGGAGTTCAATCACATCTTTTCTTTTATTGTGGATTTCTCCTTTAACATCTACTAGGTTAGCAGGAATTTCTGAGTTCTGTATAGCAAAATTTGTTACGAAATCTTGCATTTCGTCTATTTTTCGTCTATAGACATTGCATTCAGCTTCTTTTACCTTAACTGCGTTCATAAGCTCTTTATAAGTTTGCTCTTTTGTTAAAAAATTGCCTACAATAGATCCAATTTCTTGTAGTCCAGTAGAAATTTTTATTCTCTGATAAGCATTTTCATAAATGCTTGAATTTTGACGCTCATTTTCAAATCTTTGATTATGCCTTTTACAATGAAAATATCAATTTTCTATCATTTTCTACAAAAAAATTCTTATGTTTACTGCAAATAGGTATAATATAATTGTGCCACAATCTTTGGACCATCAAAGATTCTCTCAGCCTTTCATCTCTTTGGCTTCTGTCCTCTATAATTGCTCTTTCTAGCATATCCGCTCTTCTTTGTTTTCATTCATCTTTTCTTGCTACCCCAGCTTGTGCTGTCTGTATTCCTCTTTCAAGCTTATTCATCTGTAAACTTCTTTCTTTTTGGTCTCTATCCACAATATATTTAAACTGTTTTCACGCATAGTAGCTTTTAGATTGGGACTCTTTTGAATGGTCAACTCTAGAAATTTCGCTAAAAACTACTGAAATTTGGTTGTTTAAGCTGTGGTTTAGCTTCAGATATTTCATTTCTAGATGAACCCTATTTTCTTTCATTCTCTTCAATATATGAATATATATAGCTTTTTGCCTTGAGTGGCGCGGTATGGGCGCCCACTTCGGCAAGCTCCTTCTTCCAGTTGGCCGAGCCAACTCAGGTTGGTTCGGCCAACTGGAGAATTGACAAGTGAGGCCTCTTGGGGGAGACTTGTCAATTCTAGTTGGCCGAACCAACCTGAGTTGGCCGAACCAACTGGAAGAAGGAGCTTGCCGAAGTGGCGCCCGTACCGCGCCACTCAAGGCAAAAAAGCATATTTCTTTGTTTTCATTTTCTTCTTTCTGTGAAACCAATGCAGCTTCTATACTTTTTTCAAGATTTTCTATCCGATTTTCGCTTTGTTTCATAAAATTGAGTTTTTTCCTTTCTCCTTGTTCTAAAGATTCAAGCTCTTTTTTCAGTCCTAGAAGCAAATTTGACCGCTTTGAGCCATGAAGACGATGCTTGTCAAAATTTGTTTTAAAAAGCCGCAGCTGAGTGTTGATTTCAGATTTTTCGTCAATTTTAAACTGAGAAGGGTCAAATGTAATTGCAATAGGAGCATCAAGTAGCCTGGAAGTTTCTCTGTCCGTGATGATATCACTTAGCCGCCGCGTATGGTGTATAGATGGGTTTAAGGTCTGATTCATACTCAAATGGAGAGGCCGTAGCTTTGGAGTTTTTGGGGCTGATTTTGGAGCAGTTATAGGGAAATGTATCATATAATTTATATATGAAAATTTTTATATTTTAATGTATTTAATTGCTTGAAGAAAAGACTTATTTAAAGAGTCAGGGTCTTTGAGGATGCCACCTAAGTCACCTATACAGAGTGCACAGGATTATCAATGTAAATCGCCTATAACTGATAAAGATAGCAAGTATTGTCCTGGAGAATTTCCTAATAAATCTTAGGCCAAAAAAACATTTTATTTAAAATTTAACTACTGTTCATTTTCATAAAAATATGAACTCAAGTCAATGAATAAAGACATTTTGTATAGTCTCATTTGATGAAGATTTCGGACAAAAACTTGAGTGGCAATATCCTGAAATCTTCAATGAAGAACAGCAGCAGGCTATTGCGTTTTTAGCATTCCCTGATTCTAATTCAATGGATAAAATTGGAGACTCTTCATATGTGTTTAGAATGAAAGAAGAAAATTATTATGGATTTGTATATTTCCGTCAACAAAAGGATACAGGAAATAAACGAGGATACAATCAAAGATCAGTTATTTTATAACGTCGTCATCGTGATTGCTTGCTTTAAAGTAGGTTTCTTCAGATCTGACGAATTAACATAAAGGCGACAAGTCAACTCAAAGTTGAAAATTCTTGTAAAAAGGATGTGCTTTTATTAACTTGGAGTAGACTTGTCATCTTTAGATGAGTCATCAGATCTTCAAATTACTGTGAAGAAGCCTACTTAAGCCAACCAATAGCGGTGATTACACTATAATAACCCAAAATCCTTTTATATCGCTGTTTAGGAATATTATCAATATAATTGCCCCAGCTTATTTTGAGGAAGGGAGGAATATATTAAATAGCTCATGGGAAGAAATTGAAAGCTGGGGAAACTTAAACCCAGGAGAAACTAGAGAGTTTTCTATATTAGGATCGTCAGTAGCTTATTCTATTCCTTCAGAGTCCGAGCTTTCTTCTCTTCAAGCCTGTGGAAGCAATTTATCGATGAATTTAGACGTCGTGAACCAAGGATACCCTGGCCAGCTGCAGGATATAAATATATACCAAATTTTTGGGTCACAAAACATAAAAAAATATATTTGGAGGTTATGGGAAATTGTGGTTTTAGGGGAGCCTTTATTGATACTTACTAATTATCCAGAAACCTGCAGCCTTATGGTTCTGGGATTAGTCTCTTTATTATCACCTTTGAAATATGAAGGAAATTTCCATCCTTATTTTACTATATTTGATAGTGAATTCAGAGATATAGAATTTTCCCATAGATGGTGCAGTTTGCCCTTGATTTGCCCACTGGGAAAATTTTTTGGTTCGACCAGTACCATATGGTTTGGTCAAATCAAAAAAAATTTTCAATGGGCAAATCAAGGGCAAACAGCGCCATCTATGGGAAAATTCTATATCCAACAGATGATAGAAAGCCAAAGCCAAAGCGCCGTCATTTTAGGCGTAACAAATCCCTTCTTTTTAAAAGTAACCATTATTTAGGCTCTCAATACTTGCAAAAATATTTTTGAATTCGAAGAAAATGGAGAAATTGTGCTAAAGTCAAGGATTTCTAAACATAAAAGCCTTATACATCCTATAAATCAAATTGTATCAGAATTTCTTCAGAATGAGTCTGCTGAGACTTCAGCAATCAATAATTCCATAATCAGAAGGCATTTTCGGGAGCTAAACCAAGCTTTGCTTGACCCATTTTCTCAATACTTTTCCTTAAACCTGCAAAAGTTAAGGGAATCCCCATATATAGAAAGCCCAACATTCAAAGACTTCAGAGATTTTGAATTTTTAAGAGAAATTGGCTCATCAGACTCTACCGCAGTCCCGCTTTTTAGGTTCATTTCTAAGCAAAATGCGGTGAAATTTTACGAAAAATTCATCAAAACTTCTACATTTAACCATTGGTTTGCAGAGCAAAGACAAAAAGCTAATGCGTCTGTCCATATTTTAGTACAAAATGCTATACATAATTTCGATTTAGAAAGGATTTTGCCAACTTTAGACAGAGAGCAATGCCTGCTAATTTATTCGAAAATAGAATCAAGAATTAAATATGAGGAAACAATTGAAAATAATGAAGCTGTTATAAAGAAGCTGAAAGACCAACTAGAATTGTTGGCTAGGGCGCTCTTGAAACTTGACCAGGAATATGTGTTCATTTAATTTTATGCAAATTTCTATTATTTATATATAGGTTTATAATAATCTATTTAATTATATAGCTGTTTATCAGCCTAGCTTGAATGAATTAAGTCTTTTGGGAGGTTCAAGATAAGAGCTTCTTAAATTTTTTTCATTTTCGCCATGAAAATTGTTATTTTTTAAGAGGTATTCTCCGGTTGAGGAATAAGAAGAGCTATTATTCTTAAAAGGGTCATTTGATTTTATTCTTGGTTTTGGGGATTCGAATGCAGGCTTTTGCTCCAATTTCTGGCAGGGATAAGGATCAGGGGAGTTTTTGAACCTCGTTTCAAGAGATTGCCTTATTCTGTATTCTGGAGGAGTTTCAGAACGAAAATGCCGCCAGTTGTAAGGTGTTTTATAGTCTTGGAACTTGAAACTCTTTTGGGGAGTCTGAAGCTGATATGCAGATTCTGCTGATTCATTTCGTGAGAAAATCATTTTTGGGTAATTTTTTTGAAAAATATTGTCGATGTTGTTTGCATAAATTTGTCCATAATCTGTGTCATCTTTTCATATTGGAGATTCTGTCCAATCTCTGTCTGGGGATTGAGATATTGGAGGTCTTATTGGAATATCATTAGATTTTTGTGTTTTTGGTAACTTTTTAGGTTTTGGTTCAGGCTCATATCAGTCTAATTTTAGATTGGAGTAACCTCCAGGGGCATAGTGTACTCTTACTGAAGTAAAATTTGTCCCATACTGAAAATTTGTTTCGCTCATATATAATTCTTAAAATTTTATTTCTCAATAAAAAATTTTATTCTATAATAGCTCCTACATCACTATTTCTATCTTCTATTTATCCTAACTTATTTACCAGTTCCTCAAAATCCTCTACTAATATAATTCAATTTTTTTCCTCTTCCTCTCCATTTCCAGTCATTTATTTTCAAATATAAACCGCATCCTTCTATAAAAACAACAATTGTTATATCAAAAATCCTCTTCCTTCAATATTATCTAAAAATCAAATAATTAAACATGGCATCTCCAAGACCTACAACTCAACGTCGTAAAGAAGACCAAGAAAAAATCTCTTCAAACACCCGTGACAAAGCCCAGCTCGCCAAATCTTATATCGAAGGCAAGTACTCCCGTCTTAAACAAAATGAAGAAGAGCGAAAAGACGGATGGCAAGAACTCACTACCAAAATGGACGAGCTTTCCTTATCTGTCACTGAGCGGCAGCTAATCAAGCAAGAAATCCTTCATCGAGAAGCCGAACAAATGCGCCAAAAAAGACAAAAAATCACAATTTTCGATTTTGAACCGATTGCGATCATCGGCCGAGGGGCTTTTGGAGAGGTCCGGGTGGTCCGCAAGAAAAACACAGGCGAGATTTTCGCTTTAAAAAAGATGGACAAAGCTGAAATGCTGCTCAAAAACCAAGTCCAGCACGTCAAAGCAGAAAGAGACGTCCTTGCGAACTCTGGAAATCCATGAATAGTAGAATTGAAATATTCTTTTCAAGACGAAAAATACCTATATCTTGCTATGGATTACCTTGGAGGCGGGGATTTAATGACTTTATTAATCAGAAGAAACGTCCTAACAGAAGCTGAAGGACAGTTTTATATAGCTGAGCTTATTTTAGCTGTTGATTCCATACACAAAATGAATTATATACATAGAGATCTTAAACCTGACAATATTTTAATAGATAATCAAGGGCATTTAAAACTTTCTGATTTCGGACTGTCAAAGCACGCTGATATAAACCCGAGTCAAAGCAGAGAAGCATTGAGAAAACTTGAAGAAGCTAGGATAAAAAGCTATGTGGAAAGGAGAAATGAGTTTCAGAGAAACAGAAAATTGGCTTTTTCGACGGTAGGGACACCTGATTATATAGCCCCAGAGGTGTTTTCTAGGCAGGGGTACACAGAAACAGTAGATTGATGGTCTGTTGGAGTGATTATGTTTGAAATGCTGGTGGGGTATCCGCCGTTTTATGCAGATAAGCCGAGAGATGTATGCCAAAAGATCCTTTCGTGGCAGAAATATTTTTCTATACCAAGAGAAGCCAGGCTTAGCAATGCTACTATAGATCTTATTAGAAAATTAATATGTGAACCCAGCACAAGGCTTGGTATTAGAGGTGTTGCTGAGATTAAGGCACATCCGTTTTTTGCTGGGATTGATTGAAATAATATAAGAAGCAGCCAAGCACCATATGTCCCGGAGTTAAATGGGCCTACAGATGTGTCGAATTTTGAGCAATATGAAGAGCTGGAACCGTTTTATCCGCCAGTTAGTAATAGAAAACGACCACAGAGAAAAGATGTGAATTTTATTGGATATACTTTTAAGCGAGAAGTAGAGTTTCAGCAGACTGGACTTACGTCAGCCTTGCAGGAGCTTGACTCAATTAAATCTACAACCTCAAGAGAAAGCCAACCAAAGAACTATATTCCTACATCAGAAGAGCTCTATAACGGTTTGACATAACTTTAAAGGATTCTAATAAATAATTTATATTGTGTGTAATTGGCTACATTATAATATTAAGTGGGACTTCGCCAACAATGTATAATTTCTTCGGCTCTGTTATGTATTTCTGCTTGATTATGCAAAATCCAATTGTTTTTTTCTGTATTGGGTGATAAACGATTGACAGAATTGTTCCAGCCTGTCTTTTAAAGCCGTCAAAAATATTAGATCCATGCAGACCATGATGACTACCATTAATTTCGAATTTTACCAGCTTATCATGGTTTTCCTTTAATAGCAGCTGTTTAACAGCCTCTGCACCAATCCAACTAGTAGATTTTAGCTTTTCTTCAGTAAGTTTTCAGTTAACTTCTATTGGATTTATCGGCACAATCAACTCCTCTTCATTCCAAAATCCTGCTTCAATTCTCATAATCCTTTGAGTTTCCAAGCTAGCTATCTGAGCTTGTTTTTTGCTTATTATTTGCAAAAAATCAACTAGCATTGGTATTTTTTCTGTTTTCATTGATATCAAAAACCCGCTATGTCTACTAAAATCAAGCCATGTAATAAACGCTCATTCATTATTAAAAGCTTTAAATGCAGTTAAGAAACAGTGTTTTGAGCTAAATGAGTACGGCCTAATATGCCTTAGTGCTGAGCCTAAGAAAGTTTTTGATTTGGGGCCTTGTATACTTATAAGACTCTCAGCTAGAGTTTCTACCTCCACATTTTTGCCTTTCTTGATAAAATCTTCTCTGCATTTATATATATACTTTTCTGTGTTTTTATTAAAAGAAATAATGCGAGATGAGTCATCGTTCTGAGCTATAATAATTCTATCAAGAATGTGTCCATTATCATTTAACAGTAAAGAATGCGATGGGCAGCCTGGATACAAAGAGCTAAAATCTGAAACTGATATATGGTTAATAAACTCTAATCTATCTTTTCCAGAGATAACAACTTGCCCCATAGCTCCTTGATCATATATGACTGAATTATTCACACATGATAAATATTCGTCATCTATTTGGGTGCTGTTATAGAATCTTGGCATTCAATAGTCGTTTTTTGTTTCAAACCTCGCTTCTTTAAGTAAATGCATGTCATATAAAGGGGTTTTTAAACTTACAAATCTCTTTATGAGTCGTCCAGCCATAGTAATATTAATTAGAATGGATTATTTATAGTTAACTTGAGTAAAGTTCTTGGGAATTCATTACAAATTGAGGCTTATTATATTTTTGTACTGGCTGAGAAGCTGGTGCGGGGATTGATGATCTGACTGCATCAAGCTCTTGGAGGGCTGTGACTAAACTAGTCCTTTGGTTTTCTAGCTCCTTTTTATATGTATAACCAATAAAATTATTGTCTTTTTTTGATTTTCGCTTTCTTTCGCCTTCGGGAGGATAAAAAGGCTCGACTTCTTCAAATTGGTCGAAATTCGAGGTATCGATTTCACTTTTTAACTAATTCCTCTCTATAAATTTTATTTTCTATAAAACTTATAATGAATTGGTAAATTATATTTTGCAAATTGCATATAAAATTTATGACGTGTTAAAGTTTTTTAAAATTTAAAAATCATCTCACTTATGAAAGCAAAAAAAATGTATGCAAAGGATATATCTCAAATAGCCAGCAAAAATATTTTTATAATATAAACTTTTTTTGATATAAATAAAAATATTATAATAGAAATTCGATTTAATTTGAAATAGTTTGCATTCTAAAATAAATTTTATAATTAAATTTCATTTTAGCATATAAAGAAATAATTCCTTTCAGCGAACTAGCCAAAAAAAATTATTCACTTACAGAAGTGAAAAGTAAATAAAAATTACTTCTGGCACCCAAGGTGCTCTGGAACTTCTTAAGCGTTCCCAATCTATCCCTAAAAAGAAAGGATGCCTCTGAATTTCTTCTACACCATTGACACCAAGCCGATTTTGTGGGTCGCATACTAATTTTCTTATAAGATCAGAGACTGATCTACTTAAATTTGCTTCTCGTGGGATTGCTAAAGTTTTACTTCAGTGCAGGATTTTTTGGCAAGTGATAGAAGGCTCGTCTGAGAAAAATGGAGGATACCCAACGACCATTTCATACAAAATTACTCCTAAGCTTCACCAGTCGACTGTTTCAGTGTAGCCATTCCTTCCAAACACTTCTGGGGCTATATAATCAGGAGTTCCAACAGTTGAATAAGCTAGGGCTCTATTTCTTTTGTAATCACTTTTTTTTTCGATGTATTGTTTAGTTTTTGCATCTTCTTCGATTTTTCGTAAATTTGAGTAAGGGTGGTCAGTTTGGATTTCGCTCATTTTGCAGAGCCCGAAATCTGATATACTTTTGATAATAAATATATTAATGACTTTGGTGATTTTTGGTGTTATATGCGGATAGAAACCACAGAATTTGCCTAAAAATTCGAACCTAATGAATTTATGGAAAAAGATCTATATTATCCTGTAAAATTGCACATATGTGTAAAAATTTTAGCATTTAAAAAAAATTGTTTTTAATGAGTTCCAATTTCAAGTTGATATTAAGAAAGAGAATTTTTTATTTTAATGAATAAATAAATTCTTAAATTTTATTCTTATTTATGCGTAAAAAGAACGCGAAAATAGAAATATAACTATGGCTTGAATTTGCATTATATTTAGAGAATATGTTTCACTCTTTGCCATGCGTTTCTGCATTATTATTTGATGCCCAAAAATAAACAGAGATATAATTTTTGCAATTTCACTTTGGCATGTAATAAACCCTTTTGTTTACTCAAAAAGTGAACTCTTTTTGTTTTTCTATTAAACAGTCGAGCAACCCAATTTAATAATATATTGGCTATTATAAATTGACGAAACAAGTATTTATCGTTTTTACCTGTTAGTCAGATAAGGGTTTTATTTTATGAACTTCCTAGGATTTCTCTTATTATAAAATGGTGAGACTTTCCTCTATTGAAAAAACAGATTATTTTTTTATTGGCTCAAAGATTAATATTTTAAGAATGTGCATTGTTATTGCTAGTATGAGAAAAAAATCAAATTTTTCCTTTAGATTTTATAGTAAATTTACTTATTAGATTATTATTTGTAGGTAATAATGGATTCGTTTGACTATGATTTGAATGAGATCTTTTCTATAGATTCATTAAGTTCTATTTTTCGGCAAACCCTGTGGTTTCTATTGTTTTAATAGGCCGTGATTTTTAATTAATTTTAATAAAAATCAAGAGCCTAGCTTCTTTACGATATTACACGATTTCTTAATAAATAATAATTTTACATGTCCTTCAGAGTCTACAAGGATATTGTCTGGCTTTAAGTCTCTATGTATATAATTTAACTTGTGAACAGAGTCTACTGCCATGATCATTTCAGCTAGATAAAATCTAGCCTCAGCTTCTGGGAGAATATCACGCTTTATAAGGATTGTCATTAAATCACCTCCAGGGAGATATTCCATAGTTAAATAAAGGTATCTTTCATCTTGAAATGAATATTTTAACTCAACGATCCAGGGATTATTCGCCAGCGCTAGAACATTTCTCTCAGCTCTAATATGCTGCACTTGGTTTTTCCTTATCATTTCTGATAGGTAGGCAGAAAAATCACTATTTTTAAAGCCATTTTTCTTATAAAATTAATATTATTTTTGTTTAAAAATTTTTAGAAAAAAATAATTTTTTAAGTTTTTTTTCATTTCTGACTTATTCATCTTCTTCATGGCTAAGATTTCACCAGTTATTTTGCTGCGAACAACTCTGACTTCTCCAAAAGCACCTCTCCCTATAATAGCAATAGGTTCAAAGTCGAAAACACTTGTCCTTTTTCGCTTTTGTCGTAGCTGTTCAGCTTCCTTGTGGAGGATTTCTTGCTTAATTAGCTCTTGATCTGTGGTAGACAGGCTAAGTTCATTCATTTTGCGTGACAGTTCATTCCACCCTTCGCGTTTTTCTGTTTCTTCTCTTTTTAACTTTGAGTATTTTTGTTCAATATAAGCTTTTGCAGCTTCAGCTTTTTCTCTAGAAACAGCTGAAATCTCAGGTCTTTCACGTGTTTCTGGCTTCTTTGCAGCAGTTCTTTGTTCCATGCTATTAATTAGTATAAGATTATATTATTTGCTCATATTCAGTATATATTACAAAAAATTCTTTATAAATTTGCATTCTTTAAATGATCTATTTTCCTAAAAAAAATTATATTTGTAATACTTTATAGAAAATTTTTTCTAACTGCGAAATAAAAATATGAGTGATAAAAGCCCTCAAAGTACTTTGACACAAAGAAGATCAATTAGCCGCAAAGACTCAGAGCTACCAGAAAAGGACACTGCAGCTGACGAAGTAATAGCAGAAAGCAAAGGACATATCAACGTTGTCTGCAGATTCCGCCCTTTCAACGACAAAGAAAAGGAATATGGGGAAAAAACGTCAATTGAATTTAATTCAGATCAAAAATCAGTAGCAGTGATTGGCCACGATACTGCTCCTTTATTATTTTGCTTCGACAGAGTCTTTCCATCCAGCACACTCCAACAAGAAGTCTATGACGCTGCTGGCAAGCCTATAATCGAATCAGTTCTTGAAGGATTCAATGGCACCATTTTAGCATACGGGCAAACCTCATCAGGCAAAACTTTTACCATGAGCGGGCCTAGTGTTGACGACCCCCTCTACCAAGGTATTATTCCTCGTATGGTAAAAACCATTTTCCAAAACATTGATGAAGCCAGCGAGCATCTTGAATTTACCGTTAAAGTAGGCTATTGTGAAATTTACCTTGAAAAAATCAGAGACCTGTTAGACCCTTCAAAAAAGTCACTTAAAATAATGGAAGATAAAGTTAAAGGGATTTTTATTGAAGATCTCACTGAAGATTATGTATATCAGGAATCTGATATGTACCAATTAATGAAATTCGGAACTAGGAATCGAGAAGTCGCTGAAACTCAGATGAATGAAGTAAGCTCTAGGTCTCATGCAATTTTTATGATTACCATATCACAAAGCAATACACTTGACCTTTCTGCAAAAACTGGGAAACTTTATTTACTCCCCCCCCCCCTCCGTGAGCGAACAAAACCATTAGAAAAATCGCCATTTTTTGACCAAAAACCCACCCTCCGTGAGTGAACAAAAATATTTTTAATAGAAAAAATTTTAATGGAAAAAAATTTTGATATATAAGTGATAATTAGTATAATGAAATCTAGAGCTAATTCTGTTTAATTTTAAACAAATTGCGTTTTAAAACACATAAATTTTGCAAATTAAATTAATATTTGCTTCCCAATTTTTGCAAATTAGGATTTTTTTAAATTTCGAAAAAAATATTTTTTATAGAGTTTATATATAAATTTTTTTTTAAAAAAAAAAAATTAACCCCCCTCCGTGAGCGAACAAAATTTTTTTGTTCGCTCACGGAGGGGGGGGGGGGGAGTTAGTAGATTTAGCAGGATCTGAAAAAATTAGTATCCTATTACAAAGATTGCGAATTTCATGGATTTTTGAGTGCTATCCTATTTTCTTATAAAAAAATGATAAATCGGCATTGAAATTTTTAATGCCTTTAGTAAGGTATAAAACAGGAGCTGAAGGAAAAAGACTGGATGAGCTTAAAAAAATCAATAGGTCTTTATCCACCTTGGGTCTTGTAATTTTTTCACTAACAGATGGAAAATCTACACATATTCCTTATAGAGATTCAAAGCTCACAAGGATTCTTCAAGATTCTCTTGGGGGAAACTCTAAAACATGTTTAATTTTGACCTGCTCGCCATCACTTTATAATGAGCAAGAAACAATAAGCACACTTAGGTTTGGAATCAGAGCTAAAGCTATTAAAAATAAGCCAAAAGTGAATAAGGAGCATACAGTGGCTGAGCTGAAAATTTTATTAGCAAAAGCTAAAGAAGAAATTATTAAAAAAGACTCAAAAATAACACTATTAGAGAGACATATTAAAGATATAGGAGAAACTTTGCCAAATCAAACGGAAGATTCTGAAGCATCAAATGAGTTTTTATAGACTTTTCCTATGAATAGACATATAAGGTGGAAATTTAGTCGAAAAAGGAGCGTAAAGAGTCTATTTATCAGAAAAAAGTATAAAATCTGCTGAATATCAGGAACTTCTACAGGAATTGGAGTTTGAAAGGCAGCAATACTCTAATGAAATTGAAAAATCTTCAAAATACAAGCAGGAGCTGAACTCACAGACAATAAAAAATCAAAATTTAGTAAAAGAGAATGATATTTTGAATGGAAAACTAATGGCACTTGTGATGGCTAAACAATCGATTGAAGACAAGCTTAGGGACTATGAAGATACTATTCAGCAGCTGAGAGCCAAAAATGAGATGCTGGAAAACCAAATTTTAAGCTTTACAAATTGCAATATGCAGCTTGAAGAAAAATTATATTCTTTGCCTTAAATTTCTTATTCTTAGTCCCCCAAATTTATTATAATCATAATTTAACTTAAAATATATAACAGAAAAAGAAGCAGAAATAAAAAAATTAGCAAGTGAATTGTTATCAGTAAAAGAAAAAGATGAAATCATAGCTGATCTCAATCGAAGATTAAAGAGCCAAGAAGAGCAGCTTAGAGTCAAATTATTAACAGAAAGCAATGGAAGAAAAATGAAATCCGAATCAGTCTTAATTTCCCAAAAAGAAAACTTAGCAGCCGAAATTGAAGAAAAAAATGAAACTATTTATAAACTTAACACAGAAATAGAAGACCTCAAAAGAATTCTGGAAAAAACCAAAAAAGATCATGAACAGGCTGAATTTTTCGTAAAAAGCAAAATAAATATAGGCATATCCTGTAAATAGCCCGATATGGGCTAGGGATAGAGGCCAAAACTTCCCACTTGGTTCGGCCAAAATGAATTGGTCGAACTAAGTGGAAGAGGCTTATTTGCCACTTTCCACTTGGCTTGACCAGCCCATTTTTGTCTCTATCCCTACCCATATCGGGCTATTTACAGGATATGCCTATACATTAGAGCGTAACTTAGAGTTGCTTACTTTGATGTATTCAAATATGAACACACAAAAAGCTATGGCCAAGATGGAAAATGAAATCACTGAGAAAAAAGTAAAAAGAAAAACTGAAAGAATTGAGCAGCTTGAAAAACAGCTTACTAAGATAAGTGAGCAGGCTCATGGGTATAAATATAAAAATAATGTTCTCTCAAAAGAATTGAATGAGATGAAGGATGATTTACCAAATCGAGCACACAATAAAATTAAAAAGATGATTAAAGGTGGGAATACCAGAGTTTTAGGTATAATATCGCCTTATGCATTTCAGAATGATGTAATAAAAAATAGTTAAATTAGGTTAGGTTATTAAAAGCCAGGCGTTAGCCATATTGGTGACGTAGTCACCAAAGACCTCCCGTAACAGAGAAATAAAAAATAGTTAATATAGCTAATTACCTTGATTATATTAATTTAAGAAATCTTACAAATGCAGTTAGCATTTTAAATCTGAATAGAAATTACCCTCAAACACCTTGGCTTTGGCCATACCTATTTCCATTTCAATACTTTCAATTTCAGTTTGTCTTTCTATCTTAGCAAGGCTGAGCCTTTGTCTTTTCTTTTTAATATTGCATATTTTGCGGTTAACGTTCTCTATTTTCGGCTTAAGATCCTGATTAGAAAATACAGAAATCTTCCCTCTGTAAAAATCAATCAAATTTGAAGTTACGATATGGTCTTTTATCCAAGTTTCTGATTTTTCTAAATTCTTTTCTAATACTTCTACGACTGAAAATTTCTTTTTTAATTGGCTTTTTATATTTTCTTTTGCGATCTTTTTCTTATTATAGCCCAGGACAGATTTTTGCTCACCTAAGTTATTTGGCAAGGAAGCAAGCGATACTGCCAAGCCACTTTTTCATTAGATGGGTGGTATAATGCTAAAATCTGGCTTAGTCTATAGAAACTTCTTTAAACAATTCTCCTCTTTTTTCAGCAAATCTAATTTTAGCTTCTATAATTAATTTTTCTTTTTCAGAAATATTTTTTTTACAGTTTGAGACTAATTCCTTAAGGTTGCTAATGCCTGTAAGCTCACGAACGTTTTTATTTACCAATTTAACTATCTCTTGAGAAACCAATTCATCATCATTCGATATAGTGCTTCCTTGGTCTTCTGTGATTTCAATATTAGTAGGAGTTTGGCTAAGAGTTTCTTGAGATTCATTGCTCGATCGATTTTCAGCTTTAATTTTAAGGTATTTTTCCTCTAGCCTTTCCAATTTTTTTCCTTTTTCCGCAATCTCTAAAGTGGTTTGTTCAATTGTTTTTTGTAGCTTTTCTATCTGTAATATGTATATCTTGCAAAGTTGGTCTTTTTCATTATATTCTTCTAATAAAAGCCTTGCTTTTTCAGAGTAAGAAGCTGTGCCAAGCCTACTGTCAATTTCTTGGATTTCTAAATCAAAATTATTTATTTTGTTAGTTAAAGCTTGTTCACTATCTATCAATTTATTATATTCTGCTCTTTTTTCTTCGATTTTATGCTCAATAACGCTTAAATTATTAGCTAGTTCTTGAGAAAATTTATCCTGTTCCTCGCTTAAAGATGAGTCTGCATTCATATCTTCCATTTTTATAGTCAGTGTTTTGAGATAATCAATACTCTTTGGCTACTCTAAAGACAGAGATTGAATTATTTTCAGAGATTTTAGATTTGATTTTTAAAAAAATTATTTAAAATTAAATTATTTATTTTAATTATTATATTGTTAAAAGCTTTTCAGTTATTGGATACAAGATTATGAATTTTCGGGAATCACCATGACGCTTTCAACAAAGAAAAAGGGTGAATTAATAAAATTTCCATTTTTACAATTAATAGAAACATCATATTTGTAATTCTTTCAGTTACCTATTAACTTAAAAAAAATTGAGCTTAATAATTATCTTAATTTCTATTATTTTACTAACAATTTTGACTTTATATAAATGCAATCTGATCAATTTCAATTATTATAAATAATGGCATCGATTTCTCTGTTCGCCAAATAGAAATTCATTTCTTGAAATTGTGCCAAGTCAGGAATTTTAGTGAACTTAATTCCTCATATCCAGGCTGGAAGACTGGTGAAAGATCCTATCAGGCTAAGTTCAAAGAAACCACTGTTGAAGCCAATCTATGTATACTTAAGTGGCCAAAGTCATGGAAGCCACATCTTTCAGGGCTGAGGAATATACATTAATGCCCATTATTGTGTTGTAAATAGTTAAGGTTCGCTTTAAACTATTCAAGTGAGATAAGATAATTTTCAATTAAAATGCAACTTAAAACACACAAATAAATTTTGAATTTTTTATTTTGATATTTCAGTCATTAACTTATGCAAAGGAGTTTAAATACAAGTGGTTAATTTATGAAAACTTATCAATGCTATACAAAATTTTTTTTTAAGCAGTTTTATGACCCACTTTTAAATTAGATTTTAAAAAAAAACTGTTAACTTTCATCGATATAATATAAGCTTAAAGCGAAATATAGCATGCTAAGTACTTTTCATTCATTATTGTAATTAAAATATTTTAAAATTAGCATCCAAAATTTTAAGTCGCGTGCTAATTAAGCCTATATATTTTTAGCAAACTCTAATCTCCCTAATGTTTATAGTTTAAATCCCGAGCCTCTCGGCTTTATTTTGATGAAGCACAAAGACCAATATGGAATATCGCATGAGTTTAATAGCGGAGAAATATGAAATCACTAAACAGATTGTTCTAGACTTAATAATTTATAATGCTTCATCTTTGAAATACACCACTGATTTTTTAATCACATCTCAGTATAAATAAAATGCAAAATAATACCGAAACGAACTGGAGAGAGTTCAAAGTTGATGGAAATTCAAGCATTAAGGATTCAATATTTCCTAAAAATTTGGCAAAATCAACACGGTATACACTTCTGTCAATTCTCCCTACATCCTTATCTCTATAGCAGGTGCTTGATATGGTGACGTTAATTTTGTTTTTAAAATTTTTATATGCTTAAATTTTGTTTGATATTTAAAATCCTGATAGTTCAGATATTAGAAAATTGAATTTTTAAATTATTTTTTGATCTCAAATGTTTAAAATTTCGAATTAACTCAAGATTTCATTATAATTTATATATAAAATAAATATATATATTAAAGTATTTTTTCTTTCGATCATAAAAACAAAGATTTCACTGGCTTTGCTCGCTCACAGAGGCAACAGTAAGAACCTTTTTGAGCAATTTCAGCGTTCGTCTAATCTGTGGTTCCTTATCGTTTCTATTTTCCAATTAATACCTATAAACCTAAACCCAACTGATTCATGAAGCACTATTGCACCTCTTGCATTATTACTGTTTTTTACATTCATAAAAGATGCTCTCAATGATTTTCGTCGATGAAAAGACGATCAAAAAATATATCAATCCCAAATATAAGCTTTTTTTTCCTATTTTTGCAGTAAATTATCTATATCTATTATAAAACAGAAATAAATTCAATGCTTTATAGCTGCTGAAACGGGGAGAGATTCGAAAAAATTAAATCAAAAGATTTACTAGTAGGAAATATTGTCCTATTGAGAGATGGAGAAATCGTACCAGCAGATATGGTTCTTTTATCGTCAGAAAGTGATAACCAAAATGCATATTTAGACATCACAAGTATCATAGGAAGCGCCAATTTTAAAGAAGTTAAAGGGATTTCCGAAATCCAGAGATTCCTAAACTCAGCTGAAGGTGATGCAATTTTAAAAAAATTTCAAGGTAGAGTCAAAATGGAGGAACCCAATAACGATTTTTCGAAATTTAAAGGAAGGATAAAACTGACTGGTTTCCCAAAAGCATTTGAAATAAATGCTGAGCAAGCTTTATTTAGAGGTGGAAAACTAACTCCCCACCTCTCTGTGAGTGAACAAAACCATTAGAAGAATCCCTATTTTTTGCCCAAAAAACCCACGCTCTGTGTGAGTGAACAAAAATTTGTTTTAATAGAAAAATTTTTTAATAAAAAAAAATTGATATATAAGTGATAATTAATATTATGAAATCTCGATCTAATTCTGTTTAATTTTAAACAAATTGCATCTTAAAACATAAATTTTATAAATTAAATTAATATTTGCTTTCCAATTTGTGCGAATTAGGATTTTTTAAAATTTCGAAAAAAAATTTAACCCTCCTTCGTGAGTTCGTGAGTGAACAGAATTTTTTTGTTCACTCATGAAAGGGGAGTAAGCGGAACTTCATGGGTAACTGGGCTGGTTGTTTATACTGGCCATGAAACTAAAACTCTTATGAATACCAAAAGGCCTGAAAAAAAGACAAGTCTGCTAGAAAAACGTATCAATAAATGAGTAGGGATAATACTGCTGGTTTTAATAGGACTGGTAATATTTTCTATTTGTACTTATTATTATTTATCAGTCAGCAACTATTCTTCTGTTACTCTGCCAGAAGCATTTGTGAGTTTTATTCTTTTGTATAATAACATCATTCCTATTTCTCTGTTTGTAACAATGGATCTTATAAGGATTCTTCAAGTTATGTGTATCCAGCGAAATATGAAGCACACTGTCCATTTTAAAACAGGAGATGTAAATGAGGATTTAGGGCAAATTGAATATATTTTGCTAGATAAAAGTAGGACAATTACTGAAAATGATTATTATGTCCAGCTATGTATTATCGACTCTGATGTATATATAAGAAGTGATTCACCTGATTCAAGTTTAGCTTCTGATGAGGATGGTCCATTATGCAAACAAGCAATAGGAAATAATATTCTGTCTACTGAGAGAGTAACTTTTAATACTCCTAAAGAGCACTCACTTACTTTTTGTAATTTAAGGCTGGAATTGCTGAATAATAATGATGAAAAAAAGCTCCAATTTGCTAAGTGTATGGCTTTATGCAATTCTGTGACACCGTCTAGGGATAAAATCATAGGGCCAACTGCTGATGAAAAAGCACTAGTGAATTTAGCTTCTGAACTTGGTGTAAATTTGGTAGTAAAAGCTCAGAAAGCTTGTCAAATTGATATAAATGGATGCCAGGAAACTTTTAATATATTGGGATCAAGGCCTTTTCAACCGATTTCTAAAAAGACCAGATTACTAGTAAAAGGAAAGCCTGAAGACCCAGCTATATTATATATAAAAGGATCATATGATACCATTATCCCGTTACTGGACGACGAAGAATTGCAAGCAAGTTTGCTTTATGAATCCAAAAAATTGAGCTCAGAAGGTATAAGACCTGTTTTATTAGCTTATAAAATCCTATTTTCGCTCCAAAAATGAACAATATTGTTTGTATGCTCATGGTACATCCAATATAATTTTTATTACTTTTATCTTTAAAAACTGAGTTTTATAAAAAATAATTATTAATTATATATAAAAATATTAGAATCATATGGATATAATAAACAATAGCAATGATAATTTTCTTCTTGGAGGGAGTAACTGACTCACAAACAAAGGATTTTCTCACCAAACTAGAACTCGCAAAATATTCTCCTGTAAATATGAACCACAAATATGAAGCAGCCTACTCTGAATTTGAAAAGAACCCTACTTTCTTACTTCATCCTCTATAAGTATGCATATTTTTCAGTCTAACTCATCCCTCCGTAGCAAATAAACCATTAATTTTTTGATCAAAAATCCACACTCCGTAGTCAAACGAATTTTTTAAATATAAATATTTTTTAAAAAATATTGATATATAAGTGATAATTATTATAGTAATATCTAGATGATATTATTTAGTTTAAAACAGCTTGTATTCTAAAGCATAAATTATAGATTAATTAATTTTTACTTTTGTTATAAAAATTCATATATAGATTTTTTAAAAAATTAACATATCCGCGAGTATACAAAATTTTTTTGTTCACTCACAGAGGGAGGAGTAAGGAGGGATAATTTTTTTTATATATAAATTTTGTAGTAATTCCAATTAACAAAAACTAGAAAGTCAATTAATTAATTAATTTATATATTTATTATTAAGAATGCAAACTGTTTATATATTTTTTATAATTTTTTTATCTCAAGCAAGAGAGTTAGGAGTTGCCGGGATTCGAGATAAAGTTCTTCCTGAAACTCTTGAATGTGTAGAAGCCTTAAAAAAAGGTGGAATAAAGCTATGGCTTGTAAGCGGAGACTCAGAAGAATGCACCCTTGAAGCTGCCTATAGCACAAAGCTACTGACTTCTAGACTCCCACTAGTCCAAATCAAACAAGCTACCAGTGTTTATGGGGTCACCAAAATTCTACAGCGGGCAATTGGCACTCACATTTACCACGAATCCTCCAGAAACAGGTCTAAAACAATTGTATACCGCAAGCCTGAAGCTCCCAAAATCGTCAATGAAATTTTTGATAACGACGCTGAGGCTCAAATCGCCGCCTCAGAAAGTATTGTAAGCGAATTCCTCGAAGAAGCCTCTATCATAAAAGACGAAATTCAAGCCAAAGGTGCTCATCTTGCCTACCAATCCCTTATGGCAATGAATAATTCTCGTTCTCTCTATGATGCTTTTCTTTCCCGGTCTTTTTCTCCCAAAACAGTCAGTTTTGCGATTTCAATAGACCGAAAGTCTTTTGAGTTTGCGTTATCTGACGAAGACTCAAGAAAATTATTGGTTTGTTTACTAGTAGCTTCTAAATGTGCTTTATTTTCTGATATGCTGCCTAAAGATAAAAGTAACCTTGTAAAGCTTCTGAAAGAGAACTTATCGTTTAAGCCAACTGTGCTAGCAGTTGGGGAAGGAAATAGCAATATTTCTATGATCCAAGAAGCTGATATAGGCATTGGAATTCAGGATAAAGAGCATAACCATGCTTCAAATTTTTGCGAAATTTCTATATGCCATTTTTCTGTTCTAAACGAACTGATTTTATTGCATGGATATAGGAATTATTCGAGGATGTCGAGAATTATATTACTGTTCTTTTATAAGAACTTTGTATTGATTGCTATAACATTTGGGTATATTTTTATGAGTGACTACTCAGGAGCTACTATTTATAACTCTGGGTTATTGGTTGGGTATAATTTGCTATATACTACTTTTCCTTTGATTTCACTTGCTACGTTTGACGTAAATGTAGATAAACAGAGACTTTTGGAGACTCCACAGCTTTATATACAAGGTATTTTAAATAAGCTTTTTAGCTGGAGAACACTTATGTATTATAGTTTTTTGTCAATAGTACAAGCTGGGGTGTTACTGCTTTTAATAAGCTATGCTTTTCATAGCGCAATAAATGAAAATGGCTATGCAGAGGATGATGCTTTGTTTGGGACTACTTTATATATTGCGACTGTTCTTACAGTGCTGGCACAGATGTGGATTGACTGCTATACAAATAATATGCCATTATATGTGTCGTATATTAGATCGATAACTTTGTTAATCATATATGTGGTGGTTTCGAATTTTACGCCATTTCCTGATTATGAACAACTTGGAGTGGGGACTGAAATCTCGAAATTTCCAATATCACTTATAGCATTCCTTATAACTCCCTTTGTGGCTGTTGTTCCAAGTTATGCTCAATGATACTGCTCAACGATTACTTTTTATAAATTTAATTATAATTAGAGCTCTATTTCTACCAATTGTAGTGAGGATTTATCAAATCTAATGATCTTAATCTGTATAAAAATGTATATCTAATAAAAGCCCATATTTTTCTATTCAGACATAACTCGAAAGAAATGATTATAGTCGCAGCTCAAAGCATAGAGGATCCGGAACTTAATAGATTGGAGGACTTTGCAGATGGTCTCAGAGGAATGTATAGGGTTTCATCAATTTGGAAATCAATTCATGGAAAAAGCCAATTTGACATGAACTGGGCTCTTAGATTTGTTTCTGGATCTATGGAGAAGCTTTATAGAGAGCATTATATAAAAGAGCATATTCTTATGTTTAGATTAGCAAATTTCGTAATTTGGGTTATTTTGATTCTTTGGACAGTTTATGAGCTAGTAGCAGTTGATACATCGGTCTCTTATACAGTTATTCGAATTATTTTGGTACTTGGGTATTCAGCAGTTTTAGTCATAGTAATGTTTGATTTTTTTAGGAAACATTATGTTATAATCCGTAACTTCATATGACGCTTTCTCAACAACGATTATTTTTTTGGCCTGCTTTTTCACCTATTTTTGTGGCCTTTTTTTGACCTTTTTGTTTTTTTTTGCCTATTTTTTTAGCTATTTGCTTTGGAAATGATTCTATGTTGGCTATTTTGAACTGATTTTTAATTTATTTAATTTATTGTTTTTGATAGAAATTATATTATAAAATTTTAGCATCAAAAAATATCTCTAAAAAATAGTTGAAAAAGTAGGCTAAACAAATAATCCAAAAAACAGTCCAGCAAAGATGGCAAAATAAAAATAGCCTAAAAAAAGCTTATAGGCGTAGGTGCCGTGGGAAGGAATCGTTATAATTACACTCATTATTATATCTATAGCTATCGCAGCTATAGTTGCTGCTGATATTGTTTATTATAAGCTAGGACTTGTGCCAACAGCAATGGTACCAACAATCAGCTACATTCTTTTCAATGTAGATTTCGAATATATCACGATTTTGAACATCATTAATGTGCTACTGTTCCTTATTTCATTGCTATTTAATTATTATTTGCATTAAAATTGCTAATAAACCAACCTGCTCTCTTAATTCGTCTAGCCTGTAGGCTAATTGGGACAGCCGGGAACCTTGTGAAAGGGAGAACAACATTCAGAAATGTTGGACAGGCCGGGCTTACAAGGCTTCGTATGGCACTATCTCAGGTCAATGATATACTCTGGGGAAATGGTTAACTGGAGCTGAGAAGGGAGCGCCCAGCAAAGCCAGAGGATGCTACTTGACCAATCGGGTAAAATCCTTAGTGCGATACCAGACGATACATCCTTTGCGCTAACACCAGAAAATCTGATTTCGAATTTTCTGGAAAGCAAACCCTATTTGCATACGGTATGTTAGCCTAGCGTCTCTTACTATCTTATAGCGAGTTCAAGCCCTCAACTGTGAGGAGTAATAAGTAAGGCCATATCGGATTGGCAAACAAGCGGTGAGGCTTTATGCAGAGATGATTAGTTGTCTGCGGTCCTGCAGAGAACTTCTATAAGTAATTTAAGTTTAAATTAAACCTATTTTATTATCTTGGCTCATCAGAGTATAACAGAACTGAAGAAACCTTACTGCTTTTGACAGCTCTGCTATTAGTAGTTGCAATCACTGCAACATCAGGGTTTATTGGCTATTTTTTGGATAAATCCAAAAGGCAAGAGCATAAATTAATTAACATTGCTAAAAACGGAGTAGAAAAAATCCAAACAATCCTAGGATACTTACTACCTGCCTTTGTCAGAAATAGAGTAAAAAAAGGTATCAGATACATTGCAGAAGACCAAGGAACCGTCACAATCCTATTCTGTGACATTTACGATTTTGATAAAATCTGCAAAGAATATTCGCCTATAGAGCTAACTACCTTTTTAGACGAAATTTTCCAAAAATTCGACCAAATTTGTGACACAGTCGGCGTCGCAAAAATAGAAACAGTTGGAAAAACCTATATGGCGTGTGCAGGTTTAAAAGACAGTGAGCTAGAAATGAGTAAACAGCTGAGAGAAGTGACTCACGCTCGCAGATGCATAGAAATGGGATTAGCAATTATAAGAGAAATCCAATCAGTCAAGCTAAAATATGGATCAACTCTACAAGTGAAAATTGGGATAAACTCTGGACCGGTAATTGCTGGTGTTGTAGGGTACCATAAGCCTCAGTTTTCATTAGTTGGAGATACAGTCAATACTGCCAGCCGTATGTGCTCAACCTTACTCCCCCCTTTTAAATTGGAACAAAATCCTGCTCCAATTTAAGTGGTTAATTTTTTCAAAAAAATTCTTAAACTCTTAAAAATCTTAAAAATATAAATTGAACGTAATATTTTTGGATTTATTTTATGAACAATTAATTTAAAAAATTTATATTGACTCAGTGTGTGAAAACAGTTTAAATAATATTCTACTTGCACTTTTACCCTTAAATTAGGTCAAAACTGATTCGTTAAAATTATTATTTTTACCTATAAAATTTCCCAATTGAAAAAAATTATTCTAATTTAAAGGGAGATAAAATACCCAAAAATTGAAATTTTACCAATATTTTTTTCCAATATAAAGAGCCGGGGGAGCTAGAACAGACCAATACAATCCAAATCTCTAATGAGACTTATGAATTATTAGAAAGTTTTGATGGGCTGAAATTTATCCCTAACCAAGTTGAGGCAAAAGGGAAAGGAATTATGAACACTTTTCTGCTATCAGAAATTAACGAAGGCAATATTGATTATGACCCATCTCAGCTTATGGACACAGTTTTATTAAATCCAATTTCTCAAGTACTACAAGCTGAAACTTCTGCTCTTCAAGAGGAAGAAGAAGAGTCCCCAGAGCCGAAAAAAACTAGAAAATATACTAGATTTGACATTGATAATAGAAAAGATGTATTTAAAAAAAATGATCCAGAAATCATAAAGCCAGTCAATCTGTTTGATTTTTCCTTAAAAGAAAGTGAAAACCAAAGACTGTTTAGGATACAGCATATGGAGGCAAACTATGTGACTGTCTTATTAGGACTTATAGCTGCTTTTATTACATATGGCTTGCTATTAGTAATTTCTGTCCTAGAAGAAGAGTACCTACACGATTATTCTGATAAAGACACTATTATTATGCGATCTACAGTCGTTGGGGCTTTGTTTATCCTTATAATTATCCACCTAACCAAAAACAAATACAGGTTTTATCAGCTTGGTGCAGTCCCTGTCCTTCTCTTGATGCTGGCAACTGATATTTACCTTAATTTCCGTTTAAAAAAGATAAACGGAGACTATATCAGTCTTGAAATTATGTACATTCTTGTAATCCTAAACCACGCCTCCAACCTATCTGTAAGAATGGTCATATTTGTAAGCTTAGGAATTTTTATACCATGGGTCGTATCAGTATCTTCAAACGCTGAAGACGTCGCTAATGCAATTTTGGTCTTCGGATTTGCCATAATTAACACCTTTGCAGCATACTCAAGAGAGCAAAGAGTCAGAATTAATTTCAATTTGCAGCATTTGGCTGAAAGAGAAATTGAAGAAACTGACAAACTTTTAGTACAAATGATGCCGCCACATGTCCTGGAAAACATGAAACAAGACAAGTCAATCACTGACAAACTCCAAGACGTGACCTTGCTATTTGCTGACATCGTAGGATTCACTGCTTGGAGTTCTAATAAAGGCCCTAAACAAATTGTCAAAATGCTTAGCGAGCTTTTTACACAATTTGACAAAAAATGTGTAGAACTTAACGTTTATAAGGTCCATACCATTGGAGACTGCTATGTAGTTATGGGCTATAATGGCAGCGTAAACAGAGATATAGGCCAAGAATGCTTAAATATGCTGAAAATGGCACAAAGTATGATTGAAATTATAAATGCAATGAACAAGCTCCATGGGTCAGAGCTGAATATGAGAATCGGCCTTCACACTGGCACTGTAATTGCAGGTGTAATCGGCACTAATATTGTCCGATATGACATATACGGCCCTGATGTCTTAATTACAAACAAAATGGAAAGCAATGGGAAACCTGGCGATATCAATGTCAGTGATGTGACAAAAACTTTACTAGAAAGAAATGCTGAAGGCCTATACGAATTTACCTTCAACAAAGAAGTAGCTGCCAAGTCAATTGACCGAGTCCACCAAAGCTACTTTATAAAACCAAAACCCCCTGCTTAATTTAAAAAAATTGTGTGATAACTCATCTTAATATTATTGAAATCCTTGAGGATTTTGCTGGAAATTCTCAAACAGCAGACTTGCGGCCACTTCTTTATTTTTATCACAGCTTAAGTATACCTGTATGACGTCTTCTTGTGAAAAGCCAAGCTGGATCAGTTCTCGGACGTCATTTTGTTCTTCAGGAGATAGCTGGATTTGAATAGTTCCTCTTGGCTGCCGTCTTCCGCCTAAAATTCTGATAAACTCGTCCATATTGCTATTTATAAGTGCCAATAGTTCTGGGTTGGTGGCTTCTAATTGTTGTAAAAAGACGTTGAGCTCTTCAGGATTTTGCAGGATAACTTCTCTTATCCGTTGGAACTCAGGGGATTGCAATAAAAAGTCAAATGTGGAGGATGTGACTTCTCCGCCGGCTTCTTCTAGATCTTCTTCGTCTACTTCAAGCTCGTCGCCTTGTTCGTTTGTTATAGGGATTGCAGAGGACACGAGGTATTCTATAGCGAGCTCAGAGTTATTGTGGGCAGCTCGCAAGGCAGCGACGACTTCTTGCTGGGAGTAACCCATTTCCATAAGGCGAGAGACTTCAGCTTCGTTGACTTGGTATTGGGCTTGCTCTTGGCGCTGTGGAACTTGTGGAACGGATTCTGGCTGAGGTCGCTCTTGAGGCTTTTTATTGGAAACCATTAGCACTAAAATAGCGTTTTCTGTGATTTGGAAGTCTGTAAGAGGTTTTTCGTCTTCAAGAATTTTACCTTTGTAAAGGAGTTTTTGAGACTCTATAGGATGGCCTTGGCCTGTTTGGATTAAGCGCTTAACTTCAATCACTTTGATCTGGGGGTCGATTTCTAAGCTAGTTTGTTCACCACGCAGATTTTTTATTTGGATGATCATTTATTATATGCCAGAATAATTTCTTTCATATTGTGATTTTAAATACCTTCATAAGAAATTTATTTCCTTATTAAAATTATTCATATAATTAATGATTGCCAGGAATAATTAAAATTTTTCTATTGCAAAGTGAAAGCATATTTCTGAAGCTAATTTGTAAATAAAATGAGCAGGCTTGCTTGGACAATAAATTTCAGCGGAAAGGATGGATCTAATCCTGGATTTGTCAGCAGAACTATAAAAAATGCTTTATTTGATCTGAGGTTCCACAAAGATTCGAGATCATGGCCACACCAGACCCCATCATCAATTAAATGGAGTAGAGCACCTGGACAAGAAAGAAGAACGCGGTTTAATGAAAAATCAAGACAACTGCTTAGATGGGAAGCAAACCAGATGATCACTCAAATTCTATCTAAAAATAAAATTATGAATCCTCCACAAAATTTGGCTGAGATAGCATATAGAATGGGGAGAATACCTAAATAAGTAAGAAAATTAGAGGATAAACGAAAATTCTTGGATTAATTTTTAAGATTTAGGCTATTGGGTAAAATTATTTACTCCCCCCCCTCCGTGAGTGAACAAAACCATTAGAAAAATCGCTATTTTTTGCCCAAAAACCCACCCTCCGTGAGTGAGTGAACAAAAATTTTTATGAAAAAAAAATTTGATATATAAATGATAATTAGTATAATGAAATCTAGAGCTAATTCTGTTTAATTTCAAACGAATTGCTTTTTAAAACATAAATTTTATAAATTAAATTAATATTTGCTTTCAAATTTTTGCGAATTAGATTTTTTTAAATTTAGAAAAAAAATATTTTTTTATAAAATTTTATATATAAATTTTTTTAAAAAAAAAAAAATTAACCCAGGGGGAGTTAGAAAATTAAATTGTATATACGGCCTTCCTATAGATGGCGCGCAATGCGCCATCTATAGGAAGGCGTATATTAACTACTTCAAATTTCATGTATGAATTGAAGAAGGCAGCTTTTTGGCTTTGGCTTGCCTGCTGCGACTGTTGAGAAAATTTTGAACTGATTCTACTCTTTGATTTTAAATCCAGGCTTTTTACCTTGTAAACCGGTCGTAATAGACCCTGAAATTGTGCTAATTAAGTCTTGGACATATATATTTTTATAGTAATTAAAAAGGCTTAATACTCTTATATCATCAACAAATAAGCAGCATTCATATATAAAATTATATTTTCCTCATGCCATTCAGCTAGCTCCCGTTTTTTGATCTTGCTCTAGCTTTCTTTGATGCTGTTATTGCATCTCCTAAAAATCTTCTGCTTCAGCCTTTGAAGCTTTCAGGCCGGACATCATGTCCCTTATTCTATTTTTGACTTTTTTCTTACCGAACCCTTACTTCTTCTGCATTAGTACGTTTAATATTATCGCCTGGCGCGTAGCCAGAATAATTATTCTTGTATCTTTGTATATATGTGGAAATCAGTAAGGCCCTCGTCTGGCATCATTTTTCCCACCCTTAGAAGTCAAAATTTCATCCAAAAAAATCTTCACCTAATATTTCAGATATCAAAAAATTTCTTATTTTTGCCTCTGACTCATTATTTATTATAATTTTCTTGACTATGATTTGCACTAAAATGAGAGCATTAAGAAGACTCTTCGCAACAGTTGATTTTGGCTCTCGTGAAGTCCCTAAAGAAGAAAAGCAAAAACTAGTCAATGAAGTCTTTACCAGAGTTGCTGAAAAGTATGACATAATGAACGACGCCATGAGTTTGGGGATTCACCGACTTTGGAAGGACCAGTTTATCAGCGACATGGGAAATTTCCACACAAATTCCAATCTTTCATTTCTTGATGTCGCCGGTGGGACAGGAGACATTGGCTTTAGGATTGTGGAGAAGCTAAAGCAAGATATCCCTAGTTTTTACAGTGGAAATCAAACATGGGATCTTACCATTTCAGACATCAACGCAGAAATGCTAGAAGTTGGAAAACAAAGAGCCTCTGCATTGGGATATAATATTAACTGGGTACAAGCTAATGCTGAAGAGCTCCCATTTGAAGACAACAAATTTGATTTTTATACAATTGCATTTGGGATCAGAAATGTCACTGATAGACTAAAAGCACTAAAAGAAGCCAAAAGAGTGCTGAAACTTGGAGGCAGGTTTATGTGTCTGGAATTTTCAAAAATTAATTACCCTGTATTAGACCAGGTTTATTCGCTTTACTCACAAAATGTTATACCTGCCATGGGGAAAATTATTGCAAATGATAGAGACTCTTATCAGTATTTGGTTGACAGCATTGAGAAGTTCCCGAGCCAAGAAGAGTTTGCGGCATTGATGAATAATGCTGGGTTTGAATATATCACACATAGAGATCTCACGTTTGGAGTTGTTGCCATTCATTCTGGAATTAAACTTTAAGTTATGGCTAGCTAAAAATAAAGTATCTTATTGATCTAAGTATTTAATAGTAGTAGCTACTAAGGAGCTGATAATTAAATATTAAATTGCTTGGCTACATAATGATCATAGAATAGTGCATAAAGTTAAAATTTATAATATTTAAGCTCTTTTTTTATCCTCGTGGCCTGGAATAACTTCATTTTCAGTAGTGAACCTTTTAAAATATTTTCCACACCCCTTCAGACCCCGGCAAATTGAATTTCCACATTTTTTATCAATTCATGCAATTATTAAAGGTAGGATTATACCATTCGTAAACAAAAATAAAATCAATGCTTTTGTTATATAGTCTAAATATGCACTCAAATTATTTAGAGAGTGTTTTTGCATTTTCGATAGCGAATAACAAAATTCAGCAACTATCATTACCCAGCTCATAATAAATCCTAAAATGACACTTGTATTCCAACCCTCATCTAATTTGTTTTTCTTGAACTGGGTGCTTAAAACATTATATCTGAAAAACAGCTTTAATATCAATGGTATCAGCCCAAAAAGAACTGAAAGTAAGAAAATAACAAGTTTTTGCTCTTTAAAAATGATAATCAAGTCTACTTCTTTATTTATATACCGCATGTTATTATCAAAAGCTGAAATAGCAATAGTGATTTCTGTCAGCACCGCAACTAATAAATAAGTAAGCCTAAACTCTCGTGGGGAGTTCAAGTTAGTGAATCCTCAAACTCCTAAAATATCATTGTGCATCATAAAATACTCTATAAAACGTTTGTTGAAAGTAACGTTATTTATGTTTTCATTTTCAATTGCTGTCATTGCTTTAGATAAAAGCGTTGAAGACTCATCTTCAAATTTGTCTTCATTGTGTGAAGGATTACCTACAATTATACCAATATCTTCAATGTTAAGGGCACTTTCACCTGCTTCTTTATTATTATCAATGGTTTCTGATTTTTTAGGTGAGCTAGAATGCTTATTAGGGTTCTCTTTTAGTTCTTCTTCAATAAAAGTTTGGTCTATGCTAGGCGATTGATTCAATATGTACCTGGATTCAGCTGGAATCTGTGGTGGATCAAGAGGAATCGCTTTTTTCTCTAAGAATCTTAATGCGATTTTATTCAATCTTTTTAGTGAATTCGTCAAATTTATGTGTGATGTGCTTGCCAATTGAATTTCGGCATATTTATAAGGATCATTCATTAAGTCTTTGTCAATATTCAATTTTTCCGTATTATTTTTTTCTTCAATTAAATTCTTGAGTTCTTTATTGTCGAGATTTTTATTTGTGCCTTTTTTTATCAAGGCTATTATAGCAGCACATCTTATTATATCAGCTATGTCTTGAAACTTAAATTTTCTTTTATATCATCTAATAGCTTCGCCTAATTTTATCATTTCAATTATTCAGTGTTGCTTTTTAAACAATTCTTCTACTTTATCTTTAAATTTTTCACAGTTTTCTCATAAAACCTTCATCACTATTTTTAGATCATCAAAATTTTGTATATCAATGCAATTTTCAATATAGTTTTTTACATTTTTTGGAGTCAGCAAGTTATGGATTATAATTTCGTCTTTCATTAAACTTTCTAATTTTGTCTTTATGTTTTCTTTAAGTTTATAATAGATCTGATTACTATTTTCATATTCTTTATCTTCATCATAATACTGCTTTTCCCTATTTCATATTTCCAAGAGATTTTCCCAGTTTTCATTTTCAGTACAAATAGCGTTGATTTCTGCAATGATAGCTTTATTAGCTTCTAATACTTTCTTTTTTAAATCTTCTCCATAGAACTTATCATATATTTTAACATCTTTTCTTGCAATTAGGTATAAAACTATGAAGAATCCATAGATAGCATATGCAGGAATAGTACCAACAGTAGGAATATCAAGCTGAGTTATTTCTAGAGTTCTTTCTTTCAAAATAGATCAAATACTTGGATAAGGAAGAACTCCAACAAGCCCTGCAATGTCACAATAGCATGAAGCGATTCCATTTTCTTTCAAAGCTGTCCTGCAAAATTTAAATGAGAATTTTTTTATATTCATATCATAAACAGCACAAGTTGGACTCAAGCTTTTATCAACAATCTCATAAGAGACCTTATTATTTACTTCAGCAATTTCAGAGCTCTCTAGTACTGGGTTAATTAAAGTCCCAGTATTTTTAGATATACTAGATTGTACCAAGTTTGTCGTAAATTCATTTGAATAAGAATAAAGTTTGCTTACAGTAATATTTGAGATCACAATTGACCCATCACGATACTCAACATTTTCTGAAGCAACATAAGAGTGATTAGCATAATATTGAAAAGAATCAGATATGTTATCTAGTGGAGCAACTGAAAGAATTGATAAAAAATATGTTGTTGAGTCAGAGTTTTTAGAAGTATCTATTTTAATCTGAGCTGAACTTTCTCCTGAAGGGGAATCAAACTCAATACTGTTCATTGCTGATTTACCATCAACAGAAAGAGTAGTTGAGTTGTATTTTTGGCCTTTATATTTTATAGGACTTTCGTTTGGATTTGTGGTCATTAAGTACTTTAAACTTCCTTCACTATAAGTTTGGTTGATAAGTCTAAAAAGATCTGTTTCTGATATAGAAGAGTTATCTTTATTGTTAATTAATTGTGTCTGAAGGCTGTCAAGCAGCTTATCAAGAGTATAAAGAGTTGTGTTGTAGGTATGGAAATCAAGAGTTTTTGTGTGGTTCAAAGCTTGGCTATGTGTGCTGTGAATGTCAAGCAAAAGATCTTTATCATAGGTTTCTGATTTTCCAAGTAAGGTGTGGACAGCATCAATTACAGTGCTGGATTCGGATAGTCCTGTGCTTGGCATTGAAGAATTCATCCACTTGTTTAGGGTTCCAACCAAGTTTTGGACACAAATAGTTACTCATTTCCTCAAGGAAAACTAATTGAAATTTTTTAAGAATATATTTTTTAATATATAATTATTTTTATATGACATCTTTGATACGTGAGTAAGCAATTCAATTAAATTTGAAACAGTTTGAAATCTATACATAAAATATATAAATTAAATTATTTCTTTACTTTATAATATTTCCAATTTGAAATTAATAATTTTTTCAATCTAAACTTTTCAACGCTTTACTAACTCCATAAGTTAATAAAAGCATTTACAATATTTTTTTTATTTTATATTAAATTTTTTTCGAATTTCAAAAGCAAAATTAATTTATAGAAATTTCCCATAGATGGCGCTGTTTGCCTGATTTGCCCACTGGGGAAATTTTTTGGTTCGACCAGTCCCATATGGTTTGGTCAAACAAAAAAATTTTCTGATGGGCAAATCAAGGGCAAACAGCGCCATCTATGGGAAATTTCTATATTTGTAAAAATGAAAGCAAATTAAAATTCAACATAATTAGAGATTTCATTATGATAATTATTACTTATATATCAAATATTTTTTTTATAAAAATATTTTTATTAACTTAAGTGGCTCGCCCAAAGAATCAGGATTTTTCCAATATTTTGTTCGCAAGGTGGGGGAGTAAGTAAAGTTAGGTTTTTTTGATCCTGGACATTATGAAATGCATATGACGCTACAGAATTTATTGAAGAAATTATCATATTTGAATCCATTGTGTCAGCCCCATTATTCAGCAACACTTCTGATCTTTCTTTAGCATCCACATAATCAGTGTCCTTAATATTTACATAAGCTTCAACCTCACTAAAAGTCCCACGTGCATCATAAATTCTACCTATAAGTTTGGTCTTCCCCCTCTCTCCAAGCACTATCTGAAAGCTATTTCCCGTTGTTTTTGGGGTTAGCGCATAAATTCTGCCTTCTTTTTCCTTAAAAACTTGATAATAAAAAGGTTCATCGCCTTCCAAGTCACTTCACCCTGCAAATAAAACATTAAAATGGCTGTCCAAAGCGCTGCCTTCACTCGGGTCTACTTCAAAAGTCCCTGAATTAGGCGGACAGTTTACATATCTTTTAATAGAAGCTTTAACAGGTACAAAAGAGACTGGATCGACTACTTTAATTTCAAATTCATAGTCAATTCCACAGAGCATGCTATTTTCTTTAATTGTCATGCTAGGCTGGTTCAAAGGAGTTGCAGCTATAAAGGGGTGGCCATATTTTTCTATTCAATAAATTATCATCCTCAGAGAGTCAGGGACTTCAGCTATTAGTCTTACGGGTGATGAAGGGTCTAAATAAGGAAACTGTGATACAATGTAGACCCTTGGGATATTCCCTTCGACTACATTAAGCCAGTTGACTTCAGATTCATATTCAGGGTAATCTCGAAGCTTGATGGTAAATGAGCAATTAAATCGAGATTCTTTGTTAAATACGTTAAGTTTAAAAGAGTCTCCGGCAAGCTCAATAAATTCGCCATTTGAGCAGTCATGTTTTTTAATAAAGGCGAAGCCTGTATCTAGATTTATAGGTGCATTGTTATAGCTTGCAGTAATGTTTACTGTGATATTTGAATTGGCATAGACGTAGGTGTTAACTCCATTTAGGACTATGTTTGGAGGTGGGAGGGTAGCAATTATTGTAGCATTTGCTGAGATCTTGTAGGTGTTGTCGTTAAAGAAGGCATCAACGATTAATAAATATTCTCCTTTTTGGGTAAATAAATAAGAGAACTCAATCCCTGTAGACTCATAGATTTTATTTCCTAATAGTAGTCTTGATATTGAACTATTGTATAAGCTTCACACAACACTATAGTTTGGGTCAAGACGGATTTTTGGGCTTTTTATTATTTGAAATTTAAGCTTAGATATCGTATTATATCTTTAATATTTTTAATAGGAAAATTCATATATTTAATTATTTTTTATCAAAAATTAAGAATTCATATCAAAGTTAGCTTTAAATGGCTTTTAAATAATATCAGTTCTGAACTGAATATTAGGATCTTTTCATGCGCTAATTGCGACATCTTCAACTGTCATATTTACTGTAATACTAGAAGAAGCCTGCTGGCCAAATTTGTCCGTCACAATTAAAGTGACATTAAATTGGCGATGCTTATCTGCTACATTGCAGCTTTCCAATGTGATATTTGCAATTCTCTGGGTATCATCTCCTGACCATAGCATAAAATCGCTTAAAACTCACTGATACTTTAGACTTCCCAAGCGTGTTGGAGATCTTGAGCCATCAAAAATAACATTACATGAGCAGCAAACTTCAGGAATTGGCTCAATCAAAGATGTAGGCATAGGTGGATTTTTATATTTCCAAGGGATATTTAAATATTTAAAATTTGTCTCATTATATTCACTAATAAATACTTTTTCTCTAAAAGTTATAGAATCTGTATGGTCATTTATATGGCCTACGTATATTAAAATTGCATTTATCCCAGTATATACGCAGTCAATGCTTTTTCCAATTGAGGAAATAGAATCTTGGGATAGTAATTTTTCACAAGCCACATGTGTGCAGTCTTCATCACTGCAGAGGTCATTATTAAATGATAGCCATTTATCTGGTAATACTTGAATATAATTGTAGCCTAAATAAAACACAACACCGAGACGTTCAGGCTGATTCATGAGGGAGATAGAGAAATCGTCATAATAAACAGGAAACGTAATAGGATATATATATCCTTCATATTTCAGTTTAATTGTAATAGGACCGTTTTTATTATTGTAGCTTGGATCTACAAATACTTTGAACGAGCATGTAAAGTTTTCGTTAAAAGGGCTGAAATCGCAAGAATTGCTACTAAAGGTTACATTATCATTGTCAATGAACTTTATATTTTTCATCCATGGATGAATTGTATTAATAATAAAGTTATCACTTCACATGCCAACTTTAACCGTTGTATCTGCATCATCCCCACATCATCCACCACAGCACCACAAGATGACAAGACCACAACATCAAAATACCGCAACCACAACATCGATGCCAAGAATTGGCACAATCCCTACAATTCCCGCAACTTCCACAACTCCCCGGATTGGTAGCTCCAAAAAATGCATATTAGGTGTTTGCCAACTACCTGCATTTTATAGGGAAGCTAGGCATCAGATAAGAAATAAGGAATCCTGGAGTATATCTGGAAAAAATGGATCCAGTATTTTTCTGTGCTATTTTCAAATGGAACTCTAATGCAAGATAATCTATCTAGAGATAAACAGTATTTGTCAATGCATTTGCATTTTTTGGCTCCATAAGCATAAGGGACACATTGGATGCAGAGGTTTTGCCCGAAATTAGGACAAACAGCACACAGAACGTCTTCACAAATATTGCATGTATCTTTTCTAATGCACTGTATGCTTCAAAATCCGAGACAGCATTAAGAGCTAAGCCGAAAGAGAGCGATCTCTGGTGGAAATGCTGACATAACTTGTCTCGGATTAGACCTAAAAGGAGGAAAACCCTAATTTATAATTAATGGTAATGTTTTCTAATGCAACCTCTATCACATGAAGAAAGACATTTTTCGCAAGATGGCTCTGATCCATTCCATATTTGATAATATTCGTCAATACTACAAAGCAGCAAGCAGGCTGAATCTTTTTCAATCCCACAAATTTCATCATTAAACTCAAAAGAGAAATCAATCTTCTCAAAATTTCACATTTTGGGATAGAGAATTTGTACAGATTTTAAATTATCTATTATCATTGTATATGGGCTTTTCTTGTTAATAGCCTAATAAGGGCAATGGCTGGCTGGATAACTATTTTGATCCAACTAAGTAAAACTTTGACCAAAAAACTACCCCTGTATTCTAATCATGACCTTATGATGCTATTTATAAAAAAAAAGTTAAATAATCATATATACTAATTATCAATTCCATTCTGTTAAAAATAATTTTTTTATAATATTTTAGAGAAATCCCACATTTTAAATCTGTATAAAAATCCGTTGAAATACGATCGCGGGCTTTTCGCTAGAAAAATCTTGGAATCAGGAATATCTCTGAATAGTAAATTTTGAAAACTCCACAGATACATACTGATATCGTTTAAGAAGATACCTAAAGAGGTAGTTGAATTTACATAAGATATTGTAATTGCCCGAGGATGGCGCTATCTTGCGCCATCCTCGGGCAATTTAAAAAATGGCTCCACACCGGGAATTGAAACCCACGTGTGGGGCCATTTTTGATGCGTGGAAGTTGATGCTCTCCACATACCAAAAATGGCCCCACACGTGGGTTCAATTCCGGTGTGGAATTGCCCGAGGATGGCGCAAGATAGCGCCATCCTCGGGCAATTACTATACAGTAAATGAAATATAAGTTCACTCAGAAAAGTTCATGCCTGGAGTAGCAAACGTAAATTCTTTTAAATCCCTGTCTTGAAAAGTTATTGACAAAGACCCATTGCTTGCCAATAAAAGCCTATTTTCATGCTCTAAAACATCTCCTGTCCCTAAAACTCAAAATCAGCCGCCTATAGTAAAAATATGTCCTATATAAGTCGAGTTTTCAGTTTGGAAAAACATATTAACCCCATCATGATAGAAACCCCGCTGCTTTGTAGGAACTGGGTCATCTTTTTCATGGTTATTAAAATGATTGAAGGTCTCTTTGCTTGATCCGCTTATAAAAATTCCATAATTTTCACTAAAGCCTTTATTTGGGTCTATTTCTGTGACAAGGCAAGGCTGGCCTGAGCATTCATAATATCCAATTGGAGGCTCATCAAGACAAACTGTATCTACAAGAACACCCATGCTGCAATTTAAGCATTCAAAATGCCCATTATTATCGCAGACTGCACAATAATTATAATCACAATTTTCACAATAGTAATTTGAACTATTTTTAATAAAAAAAGCATTATCATCACAAATACATTCATTGGTATATAAATTATGGGCAAGTTCTGCACAATGAAAACAAGTAGATTCTTCATAAGGCCCAGAGCAGTTGCGGCATAATTGGTCATAGCATAAATTGCAGTTTGACTCTCGTATGCATCCTATGGAGCATGAAGATTCACAAGGGAAGCAAGTGCTGTTTTGGTTGTAAATGTAACTATAATCACAAAGAGGTAATGAATTTAAAATTAAATCATTGCTCAAGTACCCTTCTTCAGAGAATCTGAAGTGTTGATTTTTTATTATTTTTATGCATTGAATTGCTATTTTAAGCTTGAAATATTATAGTTTATTGGTAAAAATAATTCAAGCGTCAAATTCTTGTTGGCTTGTAAGAGCTCTTTCACATATAAAAAAATTATAAATAAGGGATATAGAAGAAATATAGCCCCTTTGCTTAATTTTAGTGATCTAAAATGGCATAGGCTAATATGTCTATTTCTCCAATAAAATACTGGAAAATATAAATATAGCCATCATAGCTACTATCTTGATTCTTGCCTAAAAGGATATAAGATAATTCCTCATCTCTGAATAGTAGAGGATAATAGGAATATAAAAATAATAAATTTCTATTAGAGTATATCGATAATGTAGTAGTCGAATTGTAATGGCTTCCCCCATTTAAATTGAAACCAAAAAATCTGATCCGATTTCAATGGGGTTAATAAATTGAATGCAATATTTTTAAATTTATATTATGAAGAATTAATTAAAAAGATTAATTGATTCACTGCTCAATGATTAAAGATTACTCTCTATTAAACAAGGCCAAAGCTATTTATATTAAATTATTTTTCATTATAAAAAAATTTTCCAATTAAAAAATAAAATTTTGTGCCAATTTGAATGGCATTAATTTTCACCAAAAAAATAATCGATATATTGCTCCAATTTAAAGCGGGAGCAAGAAACAATTAATGTAAAATATGTCCAATTTTTAAGTGGAAAATCACTATGAGTAATAATATGTGTCAAATTATTTAATGGATCTTGAAGAAAAATGCTTGCTTTGCCATTAGAATTGATATAGCCCGAGCACTCTTTTGGCTCAAGCTTCCCACGAAAAAGGGAATTGGCTTGGCAAGCATCGTTGATTCAATTAGGTCCCCTTTTCTGTCAGGAAAGATTAGGAAGCCTGAGCCAAAAAAATGCTCAGGCTATACTTGTATTTCCTTTCTCAAAAAAGTCCCCATTTTTAGGATTGATACAAAATATTAGAGTAAAGCTACAAGATAAATAAGCCTCTTGGCTAGAATTCAAATATTTTCCATCACTAAAATACAATCCACGGCCTTCTATCGGGAAGGGGTCTATTATTTCTGGATTATTAAAAGGATGATAATAGTTTTTAAATTTCCCAGTCGTAAAAAACCCATATATTTCTTTATATTCTCCATCCCCTAATTGTGTATCAATCGCAATATAAGGCTTGTCTTTTTCGCTATCTCAGCCTGTTGGGACCCATTTTAAGCACACCCCATCAATTAATTGATAATTTCCTTCACATTTTTTGCAATCAAAATAATTTACCGTCAAGCATTGGCTGCAAAAATTACTGTCACATAAATCACAAATGCTTGTAGTTTCATTAAAAAAAGTGTTTAAATTGCATTCACATACAGATCCTGTGAGATTTCCTCTTGTTACACAGGTGTTGCAGACTGAAAAATGATTGCATGAATAGCATTCTTTGGTTTCGCACAAATTACATCTTTCTAGTGTTCGGCAGCCATGTGCACATTCACTTAAACAGTTTACACAGGTGCCATTATTATTGAATTCGTTAAATTCGCAGTCATCTGGACATGTAAAATCTGAAGCACAAAATAAGCATCCTGACATACAGGATAAATCTTGTAAATAATCATTAAGCCCTTCATTTGGGTTGTCATAATATCCTATTTTATATAAAAAACCAATAAAAGATTGGCTTACTGCAGGATCGTTTCCAATAAACCCTATGCTGTGATCGCGATATAAGTCTGTAGAAGGTGTTTGATATTGACTAGCTATTACTCCGTTATAAATAAGCTGAATATTTGTGAATCATTCATCGATAATTAAATTGCATGTGATGCTAATCTGATTCCAGTTCTTAAATAAGCTTTGCATATGTAGGCTTAAGTTATTCCCATTATGAAATAGCATATTTAAATAGATTTCCTGATGTGAGTCGATTGAAAGACTTAGTCATACTTTTGTGGAGTCTTTTTTAAGAAAAATATTTCCATTTGAATATGGTTTTATCCAGAAAGAAACTGTAAATCAAGGCGAAAAATTAAATTTATCTGAAGTCATATACGAGTTTGTATGAAAATAATATCCTCTTAAATAAGCAGGGATCGGATCATTTACATCAAAATCTGGGTATTTGTTTGTTTTATTTGACCCAATTTGAAAAATCCCATTCACATCCATTCCAAGAGTAAGTTGGTTTCCGAACGGAAATTGTGTGCTTTGTAGAGGAATAATAGGCAAGCAAAGATGATTCAAAAAGTAATAGCTAGGGTAGCATGAGTTGCATTGATACCATCAAGCATTTCCAAAACAAGTTTTGCATCCTTCAAAACAGCCTACACAGCTATATCCAATCACTAAATACCCATTATCTGTAGCGCAAGTTAGTCAATCGCATTCTGCTTGTCTGAGTAAGATAAAAAGAGCAACCAGTAACTTTTTCATAACTCAATAAATGTTCTATAATTATGTCAAATTATAAAATTCGAATTCAGATTATAATACAGACTAATTTTGAAGGAATAATAGAATAGATTATGACTGATTTTTATTTTATTAAATCGAGCTAAAGCTAAATAAAGCATTGATATGAATTATAATTTTAGGAAATGCTTATGCTTTTTGGATTTTCTTTAAAACTGAGTACTTCTAAAGTAAGAATAGTTTTATTTTAAATATAAAAATTCCTGAACTTGAAGCAGTCTGGAAAAAGATCCCATCCCATTTATTAGTAGATCATATGTACCATTTAGTTCTATTCATCCCTTATCACTATGATGTGGACTTTAATATAATTAGGCTCAAATTTGTTAGAAAAACAGCCAAACCTTTTATCAAAACTTCCTTTTTCCACCGCCCCTATATTTAAATAAAACAAATTTATCGTTTATTATTACCTAATAATTTTGAATATTTCGAACAAATTGAATAAGTAAAATCAGACGAATGAAAATTAGAATTTGAAACAATAAACAATTCCTCAGTTCTGCTTTCTCCATTTAGTGTCCTATTAAGATTTATAATAGAATTCGCAGATTCTAAATAATTTTTACCATCTTCTAAGTTAAATTCATATTCAGCTTGATCTGTATTGCAACTGCACTTTGTTCCCATTCTATTATTTTATTATCAATTATTTAAATTTTTTACTCACATTTTGATTATCATGAAATACTAAATTTACCTAAATATAATGGATAAATCTAAATTAAGTATCGGGAGCTTAAATGCTTTGAGTGAAATCTTTCAATCTGCAAAGCAGCCTAAAAACAGTTCAAGCACCAAAGATTTTGTAGAAACCGCTACTGGCATTGAGCCAAAAGATATATTTATTTATGGAAATTAAAAATTTTTTTTATTGAGCTAATTTTTTTATTGTAGAAGTTTTAAACTTTATGATAAGGTATAGTGTGAAAATTGATAGATCTCTAACGAAAGAAGAAACAAAAAGGTGTCCGATGGCATACAAGTCTCCACAGGAGGATAGTAATAGGCAAGCTAATTCTAAGTCTCCTATGATGATTACACCTAAAGGAGATGAAGCACCTAATTATTCAAAAACTAGCACAAGGGATTGGTATTTTGAAGAAAATGAAGCTAATAAAATAGCAAGAACAAATCAAAAAGACAAAGAAAGTGATAAAAATCAAAAATTGCAGGGCCAAAGAGATAATGTATTAGAAATTAAGCAAACTGATCATCACCTTGAGAAGAAAGAAGTAATAAATAAAGGATTCAGTTTGTCACCTCAAAGGAAAAAGCCTGAAAATCCAAATTTCTTTCAAGAACGCAGCAAGATTGAAGGCGCTACATCAGAATCTAAAGTTTCTGAAGCAAAAGAGATCGAAAACCCCAAAAATAAATATATCAGTCCTCAAAAACCGAGTATACTGCCACCAACTGCAAAGAATAATCAATATCAAAAATTATTTCCCACTCAGGCAGCTTACCCAAGTCAACCTTCTACAGAAATAATTATTCCCGAAAACTATCAAAATGGCGGTTTGCAAAATAAATCTTCAAAAATCTCAATCCCACCACAAAATCAGCTACCAAAATCTCAAGATTTCCAACAAAAATCCGATTTTTTAAAAGAGCAAGCAGTCAAAAAAATTGAGCCGAGATCAGAAGAACAAGGAAATTTTCTTTTAATTAACGCTTTGTCTGATATATTTTCAGCTAGAAATGAAGATGAAAAAATAGACAATTCAGAAGAAATAAAAATTTATAAACTGCCAGAAAAAATCCCACCAATTAAGTATATCCAAATTGAAGAAAAAAAAGCTCAGCCTATCCCAGATCCAAAACAAAAATCTTACAGTCAATTTAGTGCTTCATATGAATTCAGGAAGCAGCCAGCTATTCCACAGCCAAAAATAATTAATCAAAAATTGAAGAATGACATAAATTATGATCCTATTTTTGATTTTATTACGAATTTTAATCCTTCCTTATTAAGCTGTGAAGATTTGCCTGAAATTCCTGATACTTTTACAGATGCTGCACAATATGAAAAGCTATTTTTGCCGTGGTTTTATGAAGAGCTTAAAGAGCACGCTTTGCATGGGTTTGCACTGATAGATAGAGCGAAGTTTATTTGCTCTAAATTACGTTTCACCAAAAAAACAGCTTTATTTCGTGATACTACAGGCTTTGAAGTAAAATTTCAAAATCACGATGTTGTAATAATTATTCCTTTACTCCGCCTCCCTACGAAACCAATGAAAAAATCCCTATTTTTTTTGCCAAAAAATCCACTCCGTGATCGGACAAAAAATTTTTTAATGTAGCATTTTTTAGGAAAAAAGTTTGATTATAAATGATGAAATATCTAGCTAATTCTGTTTAATTTTGAACAAATTAATAATAAATTTTACAAATTAAATAAATATTTGCTTTCTCTAATTTTTGCGAAGTGGGTTAATTTTTTTTTTAACAAAAAAATTAACCTGAGGGGAGTTAGAAAATAGTAAAATACCTCTATTCTCAAGCTATATTGAATCTGCAAAAGAGTATAAGATTGGAATTATAATAAAAAACAAAAAAGAAAACTATAAAATCCTCCTCAAAAAGGAGCAAAATCTAAAAGGATTAAATGGAGCATCATCGTCACCAAGTAAAGAAGAAGCCAATGAGCTCAATAGATGGAATTCAATTGATAAATTTGCTGTTGTATTTATAGAGAAATTAGTTCCAGATATGAGAGAATTTAAAGCTTTAAAAATTTTGTCTAGATTTAATCTGCTCAGTTATATTCTCAACCCAGCTCCACCTATAAAATCAGAATTATCAAAATACTCTATTGAATTTCTGCAGAAAAACAAACAATTTTTCAATGAGTCACAATATTCAGCTATCAGAGAGATTTTACAAGTTAGAGAAGGGATTTCGCTCCTCCAAGGACCCCCAGGAACTGGAAAAACAAGGACAATAATGGGACTAATTTCTGGATTTTTCGAAAATTTAAAAGGCACTAAGCGTCCGAAAATCTTAGTTTGTGCTCCAAGTAATATAGCTATTGATGAAATTGCTTTGAGAATTATTCGTGATGGACTTCTAGTAGAGGGTAGATGCACTGACGACATTTATCCAATCAGAATTGGGAAGCGCAATGGATGAGAAGAAGATAAAGATTTAAAATATGAAGAACCAGATGAAGTAAAACAAATAAGACTAGAATTTTTGACAGAAAAAGGTTTATCGCTTAAAGGAATTAAAAATCCTTTAATAGAAATTGAAAATTTAAAAGCAGAAATGGACAAAAATAACGAAAAAATAAAATATATGAAAGGAAACACAGAAGAAAAAAATAAATTAATCTGCTCAATAAAAAGCTTAGAATACAAAATTTCAAATTTACAATCAAAATTGGCTGAGTATTATAAACAAAAAAATATAGAAAGAAGTAAAATTAGAAATAAAGCAAATATCATTCTTTGTACATTAAGTGGAGCTGGATCTGAAGCATTGCAACAAGGAATTTCTTTCGATTACGTGATTGTTGACGAAGCTTGCCAATGCATTGAATTAAGCTGCATAATTCCTTTCCAATACGGTGCTAAGCACGCTGTTCTTGTCGGTGACCCCAATCAGCTCCCAGCCACAATATTTTCAAAGTCAGCAGTTGACCATAATTATGATCGATCTTTATTTGAAAGACTATGCTTCAATGGGGCAATCCAATGCCATTTTTTAAGCATCCAATACAGAATGAATAAAGAAATTTGTGATTTTCCCAATAAATTTTTTTACAATGAGCGGCTCGAATGTGAGCCTGGATTTTTTGAAAATCGCAAAGCTCCTGAATGGATTCCTCCTTTAAATACAGTTTTTATTAATCTAGAAAGTTCAGAGGAATCTCGAATTGGCAATGAAATGAGCTTTAAAAATAACGCTGAAGCTGCATTTATTGCTGATTTGTATGATTTTATAAAAAGATCCTTTGCTAATCAGAAAACAGATTTAGGGATTATTACACCTTATAGAAAACAAGTAGAAAAAATAGAAGAAGAATTAAATTTGAGGCATTCTAACTGGGATAGCCATATGGAAATAAATACCGTTGATGGGTTCCAGGGGAGAGAAAAAGATGTGATTATTTTGTCTTTGGTTAGAACCACAGATGTGGGGTTTTTAGTTGATAAGAGGAGAATGAATGTGTCACTTACAAGAGCTAAGTTTGGCTTGTGGGTGGTTGGAAATGAGTTTTGCTTGGAAAATGATGAAAGCTGGGCTCAATTTATGAAGTATTGCAAAGAAAATGATAAGTTTATTTCCTGCAGCAGTTTTCATGACATTTATAAAATTTTTGGGAAAAATATAGAAGGAAAATGGAATGGAGTAAAGCTGCAGGAATCTGAGAGTGAAAGACAAGATGAAGATGTTCAGAGGCAAGATGATGAGATAAGGCTTTATAACTCATGGGAGGAATGCTAATTTTACAATTTTTTAACACAATTAAACAGTCTCTATCAAAAAATTATTCATAGCAATATTATTTTTCAAATTTATCTTCATTTATATGTAAAATTATTATTTTCATTTATTTCTCCCTCATTTGTTCACAAATTTTTTCATACTCTTTTCTTGCCTGGACTATCATTTGATTTGTTACTTTTATATACCCCATTTCTTTAAACAAATCATTATCAAACACATTCACTTTTGCAAACGGGCCATGAAGGCTTGACATCAAAGACAAAATATCCTCAAATTTCTTATGCAAAATATGTCCCGATATCCTAGTTAGCAGCGCAATGCTGACTTTAAATATAACTTTTCAGCCTTTCTAAATAAATCTTACATAAAAAAACTGGTCCCAAATTTTAAGCAATATTTCTATTTTGCTGTTTAGAATCCCTGAAAATAATGTAATAAATCATAAAGACGCAAAATGGTTAGAACTGATCATTTCAGCGTTAAAAGTTTTATGGACTTCAGGCAAAAGATACGCTAAAAATCGATCTAATGTAAAAAAGAAAAGTTTTAGCTTGGAGAGGTTGGAAGAAAAGAGTTCCTCCATTTTAAATTTTTGGATCATAGTGGAGAGGCATCAAAAGACTTTTTCCTCATCTCTTAGAACGTAAAAAAGTGTCCCTGCTATAAAATTCATCCCTTGACAGTACCCTACGTCAGGTTTATAAGAAGCATAAGCTTGGAGGATATTTCTGAGTTTTTCACTATCAACAATAGGGTCGTTAGGGTATGACCTTAATATGTCCATCACAATGACATCTTGGACTTTTTCAATTGAAGATTTGTCGACTTTTAGCTTATTAACAAGATCTGTATAAGAAATTTTTCCTGGCTTGCATAAAATTGAGGTTCATGCTTCGAGTCGGACTTTGTCATTTAAGTCTTCTATTAGAGCTCGCTTGATGATTTTAAGCTTTAAATTAGAGTATCAGTGCTTGCAAACTAGCATAAGCGGCAAATAACACTCTTTTGTGAGAAACTGGAGAGAAAGACCTATAGGCATGAACCTGCCTCACTCATCTCTTTCAGCAGATCTTTTTTTAAGCGATTTTGGCTTTCCGAATTCTTTTTTATAAAATTCAATCTGCGCTGCATGAAGCTCAGTCATCAATGAAAACCTTCTTTCTTCGTCCACTTTAGTCCTTTGGGCTGATTCAGATATTATTGATCTTGCTAGTTCTAAAGGAACCTTCAAATTAGCCATGTAAAAGTTAAATTGATTCAGCAGCAAAGTCGCCGTATTTTTTTCTGATTTTTCTACCGAAAATTTAGAATTTTTGAAATTTTTCGGCTGGACCTTATTTTTCCTAATTCTTTTTCGAGCCCTATGAAAAGCTTCATTATCAGCCAAAACTTTTGAATTAATCGCACATTCAATCGTCTGGCTTCACATTTTTCTTATCTGGAAAATAGGATGATGTGACAAATGCTCAAAAAGATACCCTTTTTTTACCCCAGCGGTCCTGAATATATGAGAAAGTACCACAATTTTGTAAAATAAATTATAATCACAGTCAGCTTCATTCATAAGTGAGCTTAAAATAATTGTCAAAAAATTCGCAAGGGTTTGCAGATGCTGGATTTCTAAATCTGGGCTTGATTTTTTGGACTCTAGGAGCTGGATAAATATTCTTCTGCCTTCAGTTGTAAGAAGCACATCTGTTAACGAGACAATGGTATGGTTATTAATTCTTTCTTCAGTGTCAGTTGAAGAGCTCATACTATCAGAGCTTGAGCTGCTGAATGATTTTTTCCTTTCTTTTTTCGGAAACAGCCTATGTAAAATTTCTTTAATTAAAGCAAGAGTGGTATGCATTGGAACATATCCAATGCCTGGACTGATATACCCTTGCTCCATAGCAAGAGGATCTTGCCCTAGTTTTTTAAGGTCATTTTTCCAGTCTTCATAGATCGCCCATTTTTCTTGAGGGAAAGGCTTGAATAAGTCTAAGCATTCGCTTTCAAAGCTACTGATGTCTTTAGGGGAAACTTCATTTATTGTCTCTGTCAGCTCAGCAGTATCAGCTTGCAGTGATTGATAAAAGCTGCTTTTTGACTTCAAATATTTTTCTATTGTTTTTTTAATAAATTGGACCCTGGTTTCTTCATTATCTCTTAAGGCACAGCATATTTTTTTCCTCAAGGCTTCATATTCGCCCCAATGTCTTTTCTCTTCAGCCATAGAAGAAAAATAAATTTCTGAGGCCTTGTGGGCTTGGTTTTTCATTTCTTCTGCATTCAATGATGCAAGAGTTACCCTATCAAATTCATCCTCTAGCTCTAAAACCCGCTGGGCCTTTTCAGCTTGGACACTGGCTTTAAAATATGCATTCTTATTGAGCTCTAGCTGCTTTTTTGCCTTAGAAAGTGAATGAGCATTACTGTGGCCTTCATTAATAAAATGTACATAGCTGTTGGCGAAATTTTCTCTGAAACCTTCTATAGGCTCAATAAGCAGGGATTTTAGCGTCCTAATTTGAAAATTACTTTGCAAAGTTATATTGATGGGATGCTTCAAGCCTCAAGGACTCAGAAAAGTCGGAAAAAAAGGACTGCAACGACGATGTATTGTCAGACAATTTAATTTCTTCAGTAAGCTTGCTTATTTTAATTGCTGCGTCCTCAGTGATTTCAGTATAAGCTGAAAAGAACTTTGACAGATTTTCGAGATTGTAACTGTTTAAGTTAAAATAGTCTTTACTCCTTAGGTAAAATTTTTGAAAAATAAATAATTTAGCTTTAAGTCATTTATAATATTTTTTTTTTATGATAAAAAGTTAGAAACCTGATAGCATTCAATACTCATTAACTAATTTATTATGCTTTCAAAGACATTATTAAACTCTACGCGAGAATATAAATTTACAGTCCATCCCATAATAAAGAATTATTATTTTTATTACAGCATAGACATATCAGGATCATGCTTTTTGTTAAATAAATACGGCTCAAACGGGATTGCCATTGAATAATTCAGCTCTGGGCTAGGACTCAGCGATTTTATAGCTTTCGGTTTTGTAATTTGGCTTCGGGAAGTCTCAAATCCTTTAAATCTTTTCAGTGTATTTTTCTTATATGACTCATATTCTTTCAGATAAGGCGATACAGACTTCGAAATAGTCGCTAAGCTTTCATTTGCGCAGCCATTTATAGGGCTAAGTCTTTCAAAAGTCGGGCTCTGTGAAAGAGTCCTCTCTATAGGTGGCAGCTTGCTTGTCTTAGTTTTTTTCCCTTGAAATTTCACTAGCTGACACCTATATTTTTTATTTTCTTCCCAGCCCTTATCCATAGCTTTTTTTTCAAGATAAGGCGATTTTTCTTCAATTCTTTTAGCAATCCTCAAATTCTCATATGCGATTTTTTGTGCTTCTTTTTTCCTCATAACGCCGTTCATGCTTTTCGGCCAAAACATGTAGGAAGTTATATGAGACTGTTTAAATCTTACATATTTCTTGCGAGATATTTTTGTCAGTTTGTCTAAAAGCATTTGGTTTTCTTTTGAAATTGCGATTTCTTTCATTTTATTTGTAGTGACTATCTGTGGCCTTTTGGATTTGTAAGTTGGAGACTTTGTATAACTGTCTGGGGATGAGCCGTCTATTAGGTGCGATCCTTTTTCTTTAATAGCTTGTAATTTTTTCTGGTGGATTAGCATGGAGTAGTCTTTGTAACGTATCATTTCAGGATCGGATTCAACATACCCAGGATTGTGCATATAATGGCTTTTAAAATAATTAAATAATGAAGAGGAAGAAATTTAATTAGATTTTTGGTATTATGGCGTCATAAATATTTAGAGAAAATAAAGAGTGATGGTTGGAGAAGTATAATTGAAAAGAAATAACATATTGGTTTAGAAAAGAAACGAAACTTATGGGATTGTTCATTAAAACTAAAATTTAATAAATCAACAATAGTGATTTAATAGAAATTTTAATTTTTAAAAATATGTGAATTTCTAAATAGAGAGCCGCTGAAATATTTAATTTGTGTATGTCCTATAAACTTATATTAGAGATAATAGCATATGATTTAAATCAATCTTAGAATTTTCATAGAAATTGCAAAAAATATGAAATAATTTGTTTTAAAAGGATTATTTGGATTCAAATAAGATAATTTAAGGTTACAAAAAGAAGAGTTTTAGCTGAAATTCCCCCATGCCCTTTGTCCTTCAATAATAAATTCAGTGTCCAAATCTAAAAATGTAGCGGAGCTTTCTATTTCTATAGCTTTATTATCTCTGTTATATCTACATCTATAAATAACCCCACTCAATGACCCTATCAAAATGCATTCATTATTTTGAATTCCTATAACTGGGCCATTTGTTTTTGAAAAAGGGCAGCTTCAATTAGCATCATTTGGCAAATATATAAATAATCCCTATAAATAGCCTATTAGATTTTTAAGTCAAATTATTTTAATCTCTATATAATAAAAATCATTATAATTTGCAGCTACTTGGTTTATTAGTAAAATATGAAGGCAAATAATTTTTTATTCCAAAATACGAACCAGATTGATCCCCATCAATATCCCACAAATGCACAGTATTTTTTGTATTTGCAGCTATTACAAAACTTTGGCCAAATGCAATTGTTGAAATCCTAGAAGGGGTATTTCCTCTTCTTAATTCATGCAAAACGGCAAGCGAATTACAATCAAAAACCCTTATCAATGTGCCTTGTTCGCTTGCACTTGCTCCCATTCTTGAATCAGAATTTAAAGCGATATAGACAATAGGGTTTTCGTGCATCGGATTTTGCCTGATTTCGCCACTATCAATATTTTCTATTCTGATCTGTCCGATCTGTGTGGTAGTTGCCAATATAAATTCTCCTTCATATGAGATAGCACATGCTCCATAAGAATTCCCTTCAATTCTTATCAATTTTAGCTGCTGATTGTCTGGGTATGAATATACTATTTTTAAGATTCGAAAACATTAATTTTATAGCCGATACCCCTATATAGATTTCTTTATATAACAAAATGTAATGGACTGTAGAAAAACCTAGACAGACTCTCTCAAAGAGACGAGCTGGATCTTACAAAGGTGAGTGTTAAAAAGTGGCATGCCAATTAAGGATTGACAAAGTGTAAAAAAAAAGTTGATAAGCAAACGCACCAATTTTTAAAATGGCTTTATTATTTAATTAATTTTAAAATTAAGATACCCTTTTAGACTGGAGATAATAAGGATCCCCCCCTCATTTGTCCAATTTTCTAGTCTTTTATCATTTGTCCATTTTTCTAGTTTTTTTTACAGGGAAAAAAAATTTTTTAGTACCTCATTTCATTTGTCCAATTTTCTAGTCAAAATTTTGATAGAAAAAAAAATATTTTTCAGAACCTCAATTGTCTCATTTTCTAGTTTTTTAAAGTAAAAAACTAATTCGAAAAAATCCAAAAAAGACTAGAAAATGGGACAAATCATTTTTATCTAGATTTTGGACAAATGAGGTCCTGAAAAATTTTTTTTATCCTATAAAAAAAAAACTAGAAAATTGGACAAATGAGGGGGGGATCCTTAAATATAAAACATTATTGTTTATTGAAAAATTTCTTTCCGCAAAAATGCAACTCGATCGATTAGTTGTAATTTTTATATCCGTTTAAATTTGCTAACGAGCATCATATGATCTATTAAAAGCTTGATAAAGAAAAAGAATCGTTCAATAAAAACTTTGGCTTTTATAGAGCAGTTGATCATAAACAAATTAGCATTGTTTATTAAAAAATGTATCCTTCTGCAAAAAAGCAACTCGATTGATAAGTACTACTTTTTAAATCTATTTAAATTAGCTAACGAGTATTATATGAGCCATTAAGAGCTTCACAAAGAACAATAAGCGTTTAATAAAACTTAGGCTTTTTATAGACATTTGATCAATATCAAATTGATATTTTTTATTAAAAATTTATCCTTCCGCAAAAAAACAAATCGATTGATAAGTTTTTAATTTTTAATCCATTTAAATTTGCTAACTCTCCCTCCTTGAGCGAACAAAACTACTGAAAAAAACCCTATATTTTGCCTAAAAAACCCACCCTCCATGAGTGAACAAAAACTTTTTTAATATATAAGTAATAATTAGTACAATGAAATCTCTAGGTAATTCTGTTTAATTTTTAAACAGCTTGCATTTTAAATCATAATTTTACAATTTAAATTAATATTTGATTTCGAATTTTTGCGAATTGGGATTTTTTTAATTTCAAAAAAAAATTTTACTAAAAATTATATATAAATTTTTGAAAAAAAAATTAATTACCTCCATGAGCGAACAAAATTCTTAACTCAAAGGGGTAGCAAGAAGACTCTTAGCTTTCAAGCTCTTTAAATCAGCATATATAAAAATCTGAATAGTTTTTACAATATTTTCACAAATTACTACAATTTTATCGTATCTAGCTAAAATATTCAAGATTTTGTAGTCAAAATTTTTCTCATCTGAAATTCCTTTACTCTATACCTTTAAGAGTTAGCAAAAGAAAAATCTAATTAATTTGTAAAATTTAGGTTTAAGATTGTAAGCTGTCTAATATTTAATAGACTCAACAAGATATCTCGCTATAATAATTATTAATAATATTAAACCATATTTTACTTGCTCAAAGGATTAATTTTCCAGTAGCAGTAATTTATATAATGATTTGCCTTAAAGGAGTAGAGAGTTAGAATCTTCATTTCAATAATATAGAGTATTCGGATTTTGGCGTTGGTTTAGCACACTAGCTACAAGTAAAGTTGTATTAGAGTTAGGGACATTGCAAATTAACGAAAATCCTCCTGGAAAATTGATCCCTTTCTGCAGATCATATTTAAAAACTGCGTTACTGCTATTAGTGTCTCAAGCTCGAAAGCCTAGTGTTGTTCCTATATGTATTTTCGACTATTTATAGCCTACTTCTCTCACATCAATAGAAATTGCTAAAATCCTGCAGCCTAGATCCTGGACTTCATTCATTTTATTTATATTTAAATACCGATTACATTATTTTCTTTTATTTCCATTAAATCTTGTCTCCACATTGTTTTGCCTTTGTCTTGCTCTATAAGACTCAATAGTGTCCAGAAAATGATAAAACGTTATCTTAGCCTGCTTCTTAATATCCAGCGCTTTAAAAATTTCTGCTGACTGCTGCTCATTTAAGTCTCCATTTATACTAATAAAATCCCCGATTCCGTATTCTCCTAGTACATTTATTCTTGAATTTAAATAATTTTCGCATGTTCCTATTTCATTTACGTCTAATTTTTGGGCTATTGATTTCAATAAAAGCTGGACTTGCTCACTAGTGTTTGATTCCCATACATAAGGAAGCGCTGGGATTTCTTTTATTATTCTTCCATTCTCTATGCAGCTTCTATGTACATTAGACGGTTACTTGTTCCAACCTGTACTCTTGGCACAACAATCCATACTAGAGCTACTGTGAAACATATAGGTTGGCTGCTTTCCTGTGGTTGAAATGGAGATGCCAACAGCGCATTCTGCTCAAAGGGCCCAATGGGCATCCTCTACCGAGAAATTGGGGAGTTTCAGCCCAGACCGCAAGGGAGTAGTCTTTTTCCTGTTGCAGTCAATCGTCTGACAGACCCCAGGGCGTTGATCCTTGGAATCAAGCTACTTCAATCACCCGTAGCAGGGCTGCAGAAATTCAGAAGCAGCCGACTCAAGACTGAAACCGCGAGCCAAGGAGGAGACAGAAGGTCCCGGAAGTGGCACCCATTATTGGGGGATAGACCCTCTGGGCTGGAGTCGAAAAATTGATGAACCTCCCGTATGGGAGGGAGGTCTTTGGTGACTGCATTATCAATATTGCTAACGCCTGTCTTTATAGCTTAACTTAATTCTATGCAGCTTCTATACAAATCAAATGGGTGCAGTCATGCACATTTCATCATACAATTTGGCCGAAACATTTGGATAATGAGAAATTTGACCGAAAAACTTATTAAATTTCGATCAAAATACTATTTAAAAATTTTCGACAAAATTTCTTTGATGAATGTCACACTATCAAAATACAAAATCATTTGGCTTAGAGTACAAATCAACTCTTGTCCATATTTGAAAACCAAAAATCCTCTTGTTATCTCTTTTGTCTATTTCTCTAAACAATTTTTCTGCAGTTTCAAGACTCAGCCCGAGTTTTACATACATATATCTAGCAAATCTTTGTGTATCAAAAAGATCATGAATATTCATGTCACTGAAAAAGTCAGCAGTTTTAACATTTTCAGGGATTTTTAATGCAAAAGTTGTGAGGCTCTCTGTCTGATTAATTTTAAGTCCAGTATTTTTACAATAAGTTTCAAGACATGCGAAAAAATGATAAATTTTGATACCAGTGCAGGTAGGGACTTCTAATGCCCTAAAAAGCGCAGTTGCTTCAGGTGGGGTAAAATCACTAGAAAAAGTTCTAATAAATCCTGACAAGTCAAGAACTTCTTCAGAGTCTATGTTATTTTCTACATAATAATGATAAGCATTTTTATTATGTTCGTCTAGGCTTTTCGCAACTGTTTTTAATATATTTTTTACGTCTTTTGGGGCCTGCTGATTGTTATTGAAAGGAAAACTCCCTAATTCTCCTCTGGCAAAGTGAGCTAAATCAATTAAAGCCATTATTTGATGAGCATGAATAAAGCTTCTCCCATAAGGATTAAGAAAATCAAAAATATTGACCAGCATTGGCTTATGGAACAGCGGAAAAAGTCCTGAAAAATCCTGTAGCGTAATCGTCGAGTCCATCGTCAAATTTTTCGACACAAGCCAGCCTAGTGCTGAAATATTTTTTGAGACATATTTATTAATCTCATTTATTTCTTGTTTCGGCACATAAACTGCTAATAAAGACGAGTTTCTATAAGTGTCCAAGACAGTTATCAGATGATAAATCGCAATTTTTGTATTTTTATTAAATTTCAATAATGACAAATAAGTGGACGCTTCTTGTTTTCGTAAGTTTAAATGCCTTTCAAATAGATTGCCAAGCTCGTCTTCTGTTAATTGAGATATAAGGTTTATGCCAAAGACCGCTAGAGGCTGGGTCATTATATCAGAAACTCTTTTATAAAATGATTTTATTCGGATATCTAGGTCTTCTCGTTGAGAAATCGGGATTCTGGGAAATGGAAGCAAGATGCCAGGCTCTGGGAACATGCTTAAAAACATATCAAAATAAGTAAAAAATTGATAGACTGGCTGATTTTCGTTATCAGTTCCATACACAACTCGATATAAAGTATCAGATTCAACCCCATTCAGCTTAAGCGCAATAATTATTCTATTTATAAGCTCATCTTTGTTTAAATAGTCACTGACACTTAAATTATATGGAGCAAAGTAAATTGGAGCCTGCTGCCGAATATTGTTTATATTAAATGCACAGAGCATCACTTGCTCTCCACATAGTGAGATTGAGTACTGATAAGACTGCAAAACAGCTGCTAGATGGTACATATAGCATTTTGCTGGAAAAAAAGGCTTGACAAGCTCAAGCTCATGGTATTCTACATTCAAAAATGTTAAAAGTCCCCAGTCTAAAATCGGGCTTGATAAATCAGGTAGCTGTCTATATAACGGACGATTTTCATTAAAAGTTTCCGCTGCTTTTTCTAATACAAAAATAATAGATTTATCAGCTTCTGGGTTTTGAGGAATCGGCAAATTAGAAATATTATATCTAAAAGAATCAAGTACAGTAAATAAAGTATAAGCATAAACGCTTCCTTGGTTACTTGTATCAAGCACCTTTAATATTTCTCTACAATCCATCTCATTAAGGTCATGGGCAAAACCTATCTTTGCAAGCCTTGCTAAATTTATCAAATTTTGAGGAAAAAGCCCAAAATTTTCAAAATATTGGTGGATTGGAAAAGAACTTGGGCATTGGATTATCAATTTTTGGAATTTATTTATCAGAATTTCATTTTGTAATAAATTTCTTAATGGAATTGGTGGGAGTAAAGATCGCTTCGGTTTAATTGAGATTCCAGGAGTTCTTGGTATAGGAGGCAGTAAATTAATTTCTTCATCATTTCTATTAGCTTTAGTTTTGCCATATTCCTCTAGGAATGCGTCACTGTGACTGGACTCTTTTCCGTCTTTTAGCCTTTTTATAAACTCCGGCAGCTCAATTGTACCGTTTTTATTAATATCCATTGCTTGAGAAATATAACAAATATCTGTGTATGTCAGTAAAGACCCAGGTAAGCATTTTTTAATAGCTGCCCTGAGTTCTTGTAAATCAATTTTCCCATCCCTATTGGCATCTGCATAATAAAAAACAGTCTCAGGCGCCACCTTAAGCTTGGAAATCCCATTTTCTAGCTTTCTCAGCCAATAAACTTCTTCTACACTAAGTCCATTCTGATCTATCTTATTTGGCTCTTTTTTGGCAGCTTGCAGGAAAATTGCTTCCACATCTTTTATAGTAATTTTATTTTTATTAAAAAGTTTCAGGGCTTCTCTCGTCAAATTTGGGTCAATATGTCCTGCAAACCTTACTATTGTGTTTTGGAAATCAGCCAAAGAAATTTCGCCTTGGTTATTTTTGTCAGCAATTCTGAATAAATTTATTGGCTTTAAGCCAAACTTGTGGAGAGCATTGAGAAATTCGTCAACTGAAGATTGGGCTGCACTTCTTGGGCTTAAGGGCCTAGGGGTTTCAAGGATAAGAGAGTCTTCTTTATTTTTATTTTCATATGGTTTAAGAGCGGCAATTAGTTGTTTTAAAGAAATTCCTCCGCGTCTTTCAGAGTCTAGATAATTAAAAAGCTGAATTGAGTTGTCCTCAGACAAAGAAAAAAATTTTTTGCTAAAATTAATAAAGGTACTTATATCAATAACACTAGGAATTCGGTTTCCAGAGCAAAATGATGAAAAATCTCCTTGTTTAGATATGGTTTTTGCTATTGATCCGAGGGTTTGTCGTATAGAAAACTTGTCAGAGTTTGAATAAATTGTAAGAAAATCCTGCATTTCAATCAAATCAATCATATTGTCCTGGTCAATGTCCATATACCCAATCAGCTTTAGCAGGTCGCTTTGTTCCATATGTGGGTACAGTCTAGCTAAATTTCTTGCAAAGGTAGAAAGCGTGATTTTTCCGTTTCGGGTAGTCTCAATCAGATCGAAAGCTTCAGGAATCCCAAGTCCTTGGCTTTCCATTTTGTCAACTGTTGCCTTTACTCATTCACTTCTCCTTGTATTTGGTCCACCTTTTTCAGGAATTGCTGAAGTCGCTATATTTTTTTCTATATGAAAATACTGGACAGCTTTCCCTACATGTTTTAAAAACTCTTCCCTGGAGAGTTCGCCGCTTTTATCAGTGTCAAGAAATGTCACCAATGCATGGAAATCTTTAATTTTAAATCCAATATTCATACTTCTTATGAGTTTTTCTAGTTCTTCTAACTCTCTATTTAGGGTAAGATTTTTGTTTAGTCGCGGTGGAGAGGTTTTAATTTTGATATAAAATTAGATATTAAAAAAACAATTTTCGGCCTAAAGCATAATAGAATTAGCCATAAAATTATTAATATATTTTTATAAAAACTTTTTTCATAGAGTAAGGAAATTTTTCCTGAATTGTCTGTATCACATAAGTTGAAAAGCTCACTGGGTTCGATATTTTTTGAATTCATAGCATTAATAAACCTCATCAGGGTTTCTTGTTCATATGTTTTATTAGATTTTCTCTGTTTTTCTGTTTCTACTTTAAAGGCTGACAGTGCTTCATAGAACTCATTAGCTTCAATAGTCCCATTGCAGTCTTCATCAAGAATCAATATAAATCTGGTAAGCTGAGATTTATTTAGTCCAATATCAAGTTTTGATAGAAATTTTGAAAATTCTTCACAAGTCACGACTCCATCACCGTTGATATCTGCTGCTCTAAAGCATTGCTCAAGAGTAAGTTTTCGTTCAGAAATAGCTGAGACTACTTGCTTAATGATTTGTTCATCTGAAACTTGGCTTTTTTCGAAGGTTTTAGATTTTTTAACTTCGTTCATGATCATTTGATAGAATATTTTTCGCTGCTTGTAGCCTTTTCAGATCTTTTGGATATTAAGCGAGGCATCACATCACTTTTTTAGGTTCTTTAAGAAGCGATTGTGGACTTCTTTGTCAAATTCTAACAGCCCAACCCCATGAACAAGCAATTTTTTATGATTATAAAGATGAATTAATTTTTTGTTCTATAATTTTTTATGATATCTAATATCGTTATTTGCAGATTTTTGAACTTTACTATCTAAGTGTGGAATTTTTTCCGCGTGTGAAAAGAGGATTCCACATGTGAAATCAAAAGGGCTCCACACGTGAAAAACACCTTTTCACACGCGGAAAAAATTCCACACTTAGGTGGCAAAGTTCAAAAATCTGCAATAACGATATAATAATTCTCAAAAGATTGAAAAAAATAATTAAACTTATAATATTTATGCTTTAGAATTCAAGCTAAATAGAGTTAACAGAAATTACATCATAATAATAATTATTATTTATATATTAAAATATTTTTAACATTTTACCCTCAAACATATGGTGAGTTTTTCTCAAAAATATGACTTTTTTCTAATGGTTTTGCTAGCTTACAGAGGGGAAGTAAGTGTATTTTGACTGATTTCTCAGCGAATTCTATTTCTGTGTCTCTTAGTTGTAGTTCTGTTGCTTTAAGCTGGGCTTGACATTGGAAAAGTTCGTTTTTAAAAGAAAGTAATGCAGAATTCTCTTTTTCTAGCTGTTTTACCTTTTCTCGTAGAGCTATTACTTCGGCTTCAAGCATCTTTTGGTCATTATCTGATTTTGATTCATTTTCTTTTGTGATTAAATCTTGCTCTTTTCGAACCTGAGGAGGACCATTTCTTTGAATTTTATTTTCTTCTTTGTTTTCTTCAGCTTTTGGCCTAATTTCTTTTATTTCAGCTACTCTTGATTCGTTATTTTTAGGAGTGGAATCTTGCTTGTCTGGGTTTTCTGGCTTTGGTGGCTTTTGCTTTGGCTCTTTATCCATAAAAAATGTTTATATTTAATTTTAAAATTAAATTCAAAAAATCACCCCAATTTTTTTATGTATAATAAATTTCTATTTTTAAACTAAAAATTAATTTTTGCTAATTATTATAAGCATAATAAAAACTGTCAATTTTATATATAATAATAATGCAGATTTTTATATAGCTATAAGCCAATAAAATAGCAGGATTCAATCAAATCATTTATCTTTGCTTAACTAATCAGCAATAAACAGCTAAGCTTTATCTTTAGCATCTAACCTCTTTTTTATTAAATTAAGCCATTATGATATATTTTCGCCAAATATTTGGACATGATTATTTTATAAAACTCCTCCATTTTTTGTAATTTATGCAGTGTTCCATTCAAGGTTGTTCCGATAAGGCAAAATCTTTCTGCAGCTGCACTGAGTCAAATCAATACCTTTGCGACTCCCATACAGATCTTCACTTAAAATCCACTTCCTCTTCTGATCACAAGCTCGAAAATATATACACCCAACCGGTATCCCAGACCAAGCAATCATTGTTGCTCCACATCGTCAAAAAAATCAGCGATCTCAAGAAGTCTAAAACCAAGTCTGTCGTGGACTCCAATCAAGAAATCCGTGAAATTCAAACCCACATGGAAAGTGCCTTGGAAAAGTTTGATTCTGACATAAAGTCCTACATCGACCTGATGGCAGAAATCATATCAACCGAAGAAATCGTGAAAAATGATATTTTTTTCAAAATAAATAGAAAATTTATCATATATTTTTTTTTAAAAAAAATAATTAATATAAACAGGTATAAATCCTTTGTTAGCACTCTCCTTCAGCTTCCAGAAGAAGACGCCCTCAGGTTTCTAGACGAGTTTTATTCATCTTCACCAAAAACTCAAGACTTTTTAACCTCGCTGAACATTTCTAAAAATGTTCAAACAGAAGCCTCAATCCCAGAGGAGACCAAAAATCACGAAAAAATGGACAGAATTTACATGGACGGCTGCTTTGACCTGATGCACTCAGGACACTTCAATGCCATCAGGCAGGCCAAATCTCTAGGAAAAGTTCTGGTGGTCGGTGTTCACTCTGATGCAGAAATCACGAGGAATAAAGGCCCACCAGTGATGAACGAGCAAGAAAGATACCAATTAGTCAGAGCTTGCAAATGGGTCGACGAAGTTATGGAAGAAGCCCCATATTCGCCCACAATTCAGCTTCTAGACTCTTTGAACTGCCAATATGCAGCTCATGGGGATGATTTGAGTATTAATGCAGACGGCTCTGACTGTATGTCAATACTAAAGCGGGCTGGAAGATGCAAAATTTTCAAAAGGACTGAAGGGATTTCAACAACCACTTTGGTTGGAAAATTATTACTAATGACCCGTGATGAGCTGCTAAATATAGAGCAGCCTCGAAAATCAAATGAAATTTCTTCAGTAAATGACTCTATCCAAGCACAGTTGGACAGGAAGTCAATTCTCACCACAAGTCGTAGAATAAGCGAATTTTCGAATAAAAAAGAACCAAAAAATAGTGACACCATTGTGTATATTGACGGGACCTTTGACTTGTTCCATGCTGGACATGTAGAGACTTTGAGAAGAGCCAGGCAGTTTGGGGATTATTTATTAGTAGGAATTCATGATGACCAAACAGTAAATCATTATAAGGGGTCAAATTACCCTATAATGTCGCTCCATGATAGAGTCATGTGTGTGCTCTCAATCAAATATGTTGACGAAGTTATAATTGGCGCGCCTTGGGTTATTTCTAAAGAATTACTGACTGGGTTTAATATAAAATATGTATGTGGAGGAACAGTGACAAAAGGGACTTCAGGAGCTTACCATTGGAGAAAAGGCAGCATTGAGGTAGAGGACTGTGATCCATATCAGATCCCAAAAGAAATGGGAATTTATAGGCAAATAGAAAGCGCGTTTGATTTGGACACTGATATCATCATTTCGAGAATTGTCAACAATAGACTGAAATTCCTGTCAAAGTTTGAGAAGACGTCTCAGAGGGAGGCAAAGTATGTGGAGAACAAGGAGTATATTCCAGAAGCCTAATAACTAATAAATTTCTAACTCCCCCCCCCCCCTCCGTGAGCGAACAAAACCATTAGAAAAATCGCCATTTTTTGACCAAAAACCCACCCTCCGTGAGTGAACAAAAATTTTTTTAATAGAAAAAATTTTAATGGAAAAAAATTTTGATATATAAGTGATAATTAGTATAATGAAATCTAGAGCTAATTCTGTTTAATTTTAAACAAATTGCGTTTTAAAACATAAATTTTGCAAATTAAATTAATATTTGCTTCCCAATTTTTGCAAATTAGGATTTTTTTAAATTTCGAAAAAAATATTTTTTATAAAATTTATATATATAAATTTTTTTTAAAAAAAAAAATTAACCCCCCTCCGTGAGCGAACAAAATTTTTTTGTTCGCTCACGGAGGGGGGGGGGGGAGTAAGTGAAATAAAATTCTTTAATCAATATAAAAAACTTTAAATAAACACAATAAATCCTTACAAATTAAATCAACTTTATTTTATACGTTTAACAAAAGAAATATTAAAGTAATGTTTCATTTGAATTGTATCAGTGAATTCGTATTCGCAGTTAACTCCAAGCATTATTATTAATTTGGCAGTCAAACACATCATCATTAAGTGTCAAATTATATTCTGTGCTTGGAATTTCGCTAGAAAATACAATTGAGCCTCCAATACTTGGCTCCATATTTTCTGATCTTGAAATCATATGCTTTCTCACAAAATTTTTTCCAAATTGGAAAGATTCTGGAAGCAGCTCATTTGGCATCTCAGAATCATGGGAAACTTCACCAAGCTCTTCTTCTATTAATGCCAAACTTGAAGCGTTTGAGTACCTTGAAGAATTCATTTGGTATAATCTAGCTTTCGCTACTAAGGAGCTTCTGTCTTGGAAATTAGCCAAGTGCTCTTCACGCCCAGGAAGATTTTTTGTATCATATCTTCGGAATTGTTCTACTTGTGAAATTTTTTTTCTGTACATTTTGTTTTTTTCAGCGATTTTGTCTCTGCTGACTATTTTAGAAATTTGGTATTTTCTGTGATCTGCCTTTTTTATTACTTTTTTATGATCAACAATAAATACGTATTTTTTACAGTCTCTAGCTGCATGCCCGATTTCAGAACAAAAATAGCATCTAACTCCCAGTGCACTTAAATCTCGCTCACATTGTTTTGCTAACTCCCCCACCGTGAGCAAACCAAACTATAGAAAAATCCTATTTTGAATAAAAAATTATTATGTATTGCAATAGTTTCTTATTATGCATATGCATGCCATTTTCAATTTGGTATGTGAAAACCAAATATGCGTTTCAAAACGCAGGTTTTAGTGCTGCAAATTCATAATTTGAAATTTCATGTGAAAATGGTGCGTATAACGTCCATAAGAAATTTTACCAACGGATTATACCATTTATGATTGAATAAAAAAAAAATCAATATAAAATTTTGATATATAAGTGATAATTATTATAATAAATCTCTAGATAATTCTAGCTTGCATTTAAAAACTAATTAATATTTGCTTTAAAATTATTCGAATAGGATTTTTTAATTTCGAAAAATATTTTACTATAAAATTTAACAAAAACAAAAATTTTTTTGTTCGCTCACAGAGGGTTGACTAAGAGATTTGTGGTTTCTTCTTCAGAATGCCGAGTGCTTGTGAGCTGATTGAACTTATACCGCTTCAATTCAAAAAGCTCAGTATAAGTTTTCGCCTTGGCCGAGGCACATCTTTTCTTATTCAGAAAAAAACCAATTTCCCCGAAATATTTTCCTTTAAAAAGATCCCTAAAAGTGGAAAAAGTTTTTTGGTCATAGATTTCGACAGATCCATTGAAAATTCAATAAATATTTTTCCCAATTTCTCCTTCTTTTATGATTAAATCTCCAGGACCTTAAACCTAATTTAGATTATCGGTAGGCCCTGCTGAGCCGCATTTGCCTCCCTATCATTCAGCCGCTTGCTTGCTAGTCTGAGCAAGGCCTCTCACTGTGCTGCTCCTAGGACTTGCACTCTCCACCCGTGATTCAGAGGCGCTGGCCGCCATACCATACGTCGACAGTATATGGCATCCAGAAAATTCGTTTTTCGAATTTTCAAGATGAAAAAATTGTAGCCCAGGACGCAAAGCGTAGGGAGCGTTCTTATTGGCCAGGAGGAATCTCACTGGTATTGATGGGAAACCCCTTTCCAATTCCGAACTTCATCTTCTTCCAAGTAAAAAATTGATCTGAATGTAAGCATGTTGTCCGCTAAATCGGACATTGCGCTCCACCAAACCGGGTAAAGCCTGGCAGCAAGCACTTAATGAATGTCATCCTCCTTCCATAAATACCCCGGTCTCCCCAGCTGGTTCGCCATAATACTTTATAAACCCCAGGACCAAAAACTTGTATTTCTAAAAAATGCACTAACTCCCCCCTCTGTGAGAGAACAAAAAAATCTTGTTGGCTCACGGAGGGGGTTAATTTTTTGTTTATAAATTTTATAGAAAATGTTTTTTTCGAAATTTAAAAAAATCCTAATTCGCAAAAATTGGAAAGCAAATATTAATTTAATTTGTAAAATTTATGTTTTAAAAAACGATTTGTTTAAAATTAAACAGAATTAGCTCGAGATTTCATTATAATAATTATCACTTATATATCAATTTTTTCCATAAACAATTTTTCTATTAAAATAATTTTTGTTCGCTCGCGGAGGGCGGGTTTTTGGTCAAAAAATAGGGATTTTTCTAATGGTTTTGTTCACTCACGGAAGGGGGGAGTAAGTATCTTAAAAAATAATGACTATAATTTCTGAATGGAGCACTATTAAACAAGAAATATCCTCTAGTTTTTATAAGGATTTCTTCCTTTAGTGGTAAAGATAATGACTGTAAAATTTCAGTTTCATCCAAAATGTTCTCATCAGCGATCCTTTCAAGATGTTCAATAAATAAAAACACTCTAGATCGCAGACTAGATGGTATTTTGTTGTTTGTCATATAAAACTTCATTCTTAATACTGCACTGCGAAAATATGATTGTTGCTGCTGGGACTTCGAAATGGCTTCTCGAATTCCTTCTATTAAATAGCCATAAATAAGCCCTGACATATACATTATAAGTAATATCAAAATTTTTTCTCTGGGGTCTGTAACTATAGAAATTGCCCAAGGATGGCGCTATTTACGCCATCCTCGGGCAACCGAAAATCGGCTCCACACGGGAAAGATTTTCCACGTGTGGAGCCATTTTTTCACACGTGAGAATCCTGACTTCCACGTGTGAAAAAAATGGCTCCACACGTGGAAAATCGTTCCCATGTGGAGCCGATTTTCCGTATTGCCAGAGAATTGAGTAAATAGCGCCATTCTCGGGCAATTAGTATATCGATATATAGCCAACAGTCGCCATAGTCTCAAAGACATAAAAGAAATAAAATAGCCATTTGTCACTTCTAGGAATATCATATTTAATTCATATTTCTGGAATCGTTTGGAATGCAAGACGATGTGAAGCATAAATGATGCAGGACATCCAGTGTGTTGCATAAGGCTCCATGCCAAATGACAGGGGATTTTTAATAGTGTACATTTCATAGAAGTACACTCGGCGAAAATTTTAAATAATGTGACATTTGGTCGAAGTTTAAACTTTTTTTTTCGATCAAATATCCCAGTATTAAAAAGTTTCATCCCATTTTCGACTAAATGCACTTTGGTGAAATGCGCACTATCAAAAGTGCACGATCATTGGACCTGCACCCGTTGCAAAAAAAGCAATTCCAAAAAACGTCAATATCCTCACCAAAGCGATCAAAATTGGGTGGGGAAACTCATCCATGATTTGGTATAAGACTTTTTTTATTTTTACAAATCTTAAGAGACGTAATAATCAAAGGGTTTTTACAAAATATAAGGCATGGAATTCAAAAGGGTTTCCCCGAGTATCATCTCCCAAATCCATATATGGCATGATATCTTCAAGTGGAATAGAAGAAATCAAGTCCAAAGGAAATCAAGATTTCAAATATCTATTCCAAATTGATTTGTGGTCTGTAATAAAGCTGCCGCTAAAATAAAAGCCTGTGTTCATATTCACCAAAATATCGAAGTAAAAAAAAGCTTCAATAAACTTGATTATAAAATTAAAGTGACGCACATTTCCATAGCTTAAAGCAAAAGGTAAAATAAAAGCTAAATAAAGAATCTGAGAAATTCCGCAAATGTCTCATAGCAATTTTCAATTACTGTCCGGTTTAAAAACGCCGAAATTTAGATGTCACCTATGTCTGGCATGAGGATCTGGAAAATAAGAACTTCTTAATGTTGAAGCGGTCATGTTTTGCGTGGCAAATGTACTCGTCACGGCTCGTTTCAGTACGCTTTGAGCTATAGATGTGCTAGCTCAGATCTTCCTTGTGTTTTTTGATATTGCTCTTGTACTTTTATTCATATTTATGTTTTAACTAATTCCCCCCCTCATGAGAGAACAAACCATTAGAAAAATCGCTATTTTTGCCCAAAAACCCACCCTCTGTGAGCGAACAAAAATTTTTTATGAAAAAAATTGGTATATAAGTGATAATTAGTATAATGAAATCTCGAGCTAATTCTGTTTAATTTTGAACAAATTGCATTCTAAAACATAAATTTTGCAAATTAAATTAATATTTTTACTTTCCAATTTTGCGAAGTGGAATTTTTTTAAATTTTGAAAAAAAAAATTTTATAAAATTTACAAATAATTAATTGTTTTAAAAAAAATTAACCTCCTCCGTCAGCCAACAAGATTTTTTTTGTTCGCTCCCGGAGGGGGGGAAGTAAGGAAAACAGAATAAGGTTTCTTCAAATCTAAAGGTGTTATTAAAAGGAAAAGAATATAAAGAAACTGCCTTTTTTTAAAAAAATTATTCGACAGAAAACGAATTTTATGGAGGTTTGAGGATTTTTGATATCAGGCATTTTTGAATGTATTAAAAGGACGTCCGAATGCTTACTCCCCGCAATGGGCGAACAAAAAAAGTTTTGTTCGCTCACGGCAGGGATTTAATTTGTTTTTTAAAAAATTTATAGTAAATTGCTTTTTGAAAATTTAAAAAATTCCGATTCTAGTAAAATTTAATTTGCGAAATTTATGTTTTAAAATGCAAGCTGTTTAAATCTAACAGAATTAGATAGAGATTTCATTATAATAACGATACTTACATGTAATTTTTTTTTTATCTTAAATATTTTTATATTAAAAATATTTTTATTCGTTCACTGACAGAGGATGGTCTTTAGGCGAAAATAAGGATTTTTCTAATAAATTTGCTCTTTCATGGAGGGGAGTTAGAAAAATAATTATTTCTATATGTAGCGTGGATGCTACAGTATTCAAGCTTAAAACAATCAATAAAATAATCAAACAGTAAAATGTCGAAAAATCGGTTTCATTGCTGTCATTTCATAAGGAAAAATAAGATATATTTGTATTTATTATTTTTAAACTTCAGAAAAGCTTAAAATGATCAGCAATTACTGACGATGAATTAATGTTTTGCCATAAATTAATATAGAAATAAGTACTTTTAGACATTTTTACGTTCTCTATATCAATGAGATAATCTTAATATTGATAGATAATTTTCATAATTAAATATGGCATCTTGGTCCAGCATGGATTCCAAGCCACACGGCCCCCCAAGTACATATTTAATTATATCTGACAAGGTTTTGCCAGCTCAGAAATATGCAGCCGCCCTAAAACAATTCCAGCCCTAGTCCACTTTCAGGGTTGGATTTTACCTCGAAGGAAGCTCAGTAAGGTTTACAGGCAATCGGACAAATTCCTAACTCGAAATGGATTTACAAACTTTTCCCTTTGCAAAAATTCGGCTAAAAATTTAATTTTTTTGATTTTTGTGCGGAAAGCCTTCGTTCAACTCAAGAAACCGTCCCCGATCTCTGCTTTGGATCGGACTTGACTGATGACAGAAGGTGTCAGACAAGTCCGATCTAAATCAGGAATCATGCTATAAATCAAAATAGCTGAATAAGGTCTAAATAATATTTCCAAAGTAGAAAATTTTCACAAAATAAAAATATTCATTTATTCACAATAATATTTCTAAATCGCTTATTTAGCTTAAAATCCTAATTTCCTCAGCCAAAGCTTGACACTCTCAGAATGTAATCCTTTCACCTCAATTCTACCGTTTTTCTCATATATTGGTGAGTTGCTTACAACTTTTTGCAGCTCAGTCTTGAACTCTTCCACATCTCCCAAGATTTTTCTAATAATTGTCAATTTTCTTGATCTATCATTTCTAAACTCAGTGTACACTGGCAAATTCCCTGTCCATGTTCTTGAAATTTGAAAAGGAATGGCATTTGTTCCTCCTAGAGGAGTATTCCATGTGGTATCAGGGCTTGGCAATTCTTGAAGTTTGTATTTTAATGGCAATAAAGGCTTAGTCAATTGGTTGTGGATCTCAAGTACTTTGGGATGTGTGTGAATTTTATCGCTTACTTTTGGAGGCTTAAAATTCACAAATTCTTCAGCAGCTTTCTTTAAGACTTTAAACCCTTTCGTTCTTCCCATTTTTAATAAATCTTAACTTAATACCCTCTACCCTTTACACTGGAACAAAATATCGGTAAAATTTCCATTTTTTGGGTACTTTAACTCTTTTTAAATAGAAAATTTTATGGTGAGAAAATACTAATTTTTAGTTTTCTAATTTAATGGAAAAGTGCAATTATAATTTTATTTAAATAAATTCATACTAAATTGAATTAATTCCATAAAAATAATTAAAATTATTATGTTTAATTTATTATTTTTATTTTAAAATGCTTTATATAAAGTGAAATTATAAATTTTGTTTAATAAAAACATTAACCCTATTTAAATTGGAACAGGATATTTTGTTCAATTAAAAGAGGCAGGGAGAGTTAAGAATTGTCTTTTATAAGTAAACTTAATATTTAGGCATTTTATCAATTTTTTCTAAAAGTTTATGCATTTGCTCACTCCCCCCCTATCCTTGATCGAACGATTGACTGTAAAAATTCCTAAAAATTGGGGAAATTAACCCCCATCCTTGATCGAACGATTTTCATATCATGCAAATTGTTATATATATAAAAATATATTAGTTTTCAAAAGCTTGGAAGATGTACATAATTAAGTTGCTTTCAGAGACTTTGAGACGACAAAAAGCTTCGAAATCAACCAGCCGAAGTGATTTAGTCATCAACCTAGGCTTAAAAACTCAATAATCTAATAAAAAGAGATTCTTTAAAAATTAAAAAAAAAATTTTAATTTAATAAGGAACAAGTTTAAAATTTATACAGTAACTAATAAATCAAAATATTAAAAATTGGTATTTTCATGAAATTAATTCAATTTTTTGCTGTAAAAATAATTATTAAATACTCTTAACCCTCTTATTTAAAAGTAAATAAAAAAAATATATATGTATTTTGTATTTTATATATAAAATTTTTTTTCCCAAAAAATTTGTTTTTAGCTCCCATCCTTGATCGAACGATGGCGAGTCGTTTGATCAAGGATGGGGGGGAGTCAGTCATATTTCCTTTTCTTTGAGTCTCGTCTTCCACAAATGATATCAATTTGTCAATATTTGCAAGAAAATTGTGCTCATACATGATAAGGGAAAGCGTGGCGTTTCTAATAAGCTTTAATTGCTCTTCTCTCATATCACTAATAAATGGTAAAGGAAGCTCTCTTTCTGAGAAATCTTGTGTGTTATCAATCGTCAATTGAATTTCTGATACACTTCTCGTGTTTTTTACAAGATTTATATCTGAACGCTGTGTCGCGTTATCATAGTCAGTTTCTGCTGAATAAATTTGCTTTACGCAAAAATTCCCCCATGTTTTGCTTCTAAATTTGGGGTGATTTCATATACTAAGGCCTATTGAAAATATTGACACAATTATTACGATAACAAATAGTCATTGAGCTATCCTTGCGTCTATTGAGCGCTGCTTTCGAATAGCTTGGTCTATAAAAAGATTATATTTTTCTGTTAAATCTGTAGGCGAGTTTGTCATAGTAAAATCGGAAAAAGCTTTATTAATTTTTTTGATATCAGAAGAAGACACTCCTTGTCCATTTAACTTCGAGAAACTAATATGGAGGGGGTCGGATTAATCCCTATAAGCTAAAAATAGTGACTCTATCCTTTTTGAAGTAGGCCCCGGGCTTTATTTAGGAAGCCTTGCCGAAAAGAGATATTTTGTTTCTTCCCGAAGGTTTCCTGTCTCTGCCAGATGGGGCTAGACATTTACCTCATTTGCAATAAGAGGTATATTCAGACTGATTTTTGAGCTAAGACAAGCCGATGCCTGTGGGTTAAGTCCGCTTATGAATAAGCATTAACTTAACTTGTCCAATTGCCGCTGCAAATCTGTAAGGCAAAAATGGGCTGCTTGGCAATACATAGTCAGAATACTGCTCAGCTTTATAAGCAAGAAAGCAATGATCTGAAATCAGTCCTAAAACAGTTTTATTTTTTAGGTACTCTAGTGCCACATCAAATTTATCATAAAAGTTATCATCAAACACATAATAATAAAAAGCATACTCCCCAGCCATGTCTTGATAATTTGGGTCTACAATCACAAGCTCCCCAACCACATCAGCATAACTGACTACAAAAGATTGAAGCTCTTCATATGTTGTTATAACATAAGAAGTTATATAGCCATAAAACATCATAGTCATCGCAATTCCTATGGCGCAGCTTAATAATTTTCCTACTCCTTTGTCATCTGCGTCATTTCTTACTCCCTCTTCATTAAGCAAATAAAAATTTTATCCACATGAGGGTTAATTTTTTTGAAATTTAAAATTAAATTAAAAAATTACAAAACTTATGCTTTAGAATGCAAACCCTGTTTAAATTCAGCAGAATTAGTAAGAAATTTCATTATAGCACTTATCATTTTCATATCAAAACATTTTTTGCTACTCACAGAGGTGGTTTTTCCAATTGATTTTATTTGTTCAGGGGAAAATAGCATTCAGCTTGAATAAGAATTCCATATAAGTTCAATTAAAGTATCAATATCAGATAGCCCTGGCATTAATTTCCCATGAATAATATTCGCATACCCCCAGCTTATAAATCCTAAAATAAGTGGAGTAACTAGCAATAAAATCCATATTTCTATAGCAAATACTTTAAAAAGCTTCCATGGGCTGCCTGATTCTTGTTTGTTTACTAGAACATTTAGCCCTGATGTCATTGTTGGGTAGGAAAATGATATTCCTTTTTCCATTCAGAAATAAAATGGTGGCGTTGATGGGAACAGGACCCAGAGGTGACACTTCCTGATAAGTGGTGAACCGGTGCGATTGGCTGCGAAAGTGAGCCGTTTTTAAGCTAATTAGACCATTTGAATGGGGAGCCTACTGAAGCAGGATATTTCGTTTCTCCCATATCCCCTACCAGATGGGCTAGACAGGTTTTGCCAAGCACATGGATGCTTCATATCAAAACCATTGGAGCACCTTATGACAGTGGCTCTGACTAGCGAGCTAATTCATTGAACAGGTGGCTCAGGTTGGAATAAAGATAGGTGATGACCAGTGGATTATCCGCTTACAGCTATAGAAATTGCCCGAGGATGGCGCAATTTTGCGCCATCCTCGGGCAATTCAAAAAACAGGCCCCACACGGGAATTGAACCCCCGTGTGGGGCCATTTTTGGTATGTGAGGAATATTGACTTCCACGTACCAAAAATGACCCCACACGTGGGTTCAATCCCGTGTGGGGCAATTTCTATAGCATAATCGTTTAATTTCTTTAATTTTTCCATTCAGGTAGAAGTAATAGGGATGCCTCCTATTGCAATTACATCATCTGATAATAAAGAATTTTGAGTATCATCAGTTGAAGTTTCACAGGATATCGAAAAATCAGTATTTTCTACTAAATTACTCTTGGCAAATGACTGTAATAAAAATTCTACTTCATAGCCTGTACGGTCACAAGAGGAAAGAGGATAGTTGTCTCTGACAATTACTTTGAAACCACTTGCTAAGGAGAGAAGTAATAAATATAAAACCATTTTATTTGGCGTTACCTAAAACCAAATTTCATTACAGATTATTTTTGGAATATCCCTGGATAAATTAGATACTTATTATTAAGGGTCTAGCCTAAATAATGTGCAGGAATTCAAATAAGAGGCTTCTGCTAGCTCGCTTTCTTCAATACCTTTAATTGCAGCAACAGCTTCTAATACTTGTCTAAATAAATTTTACATTGTATTGCATGGCTCATTTCGCCCTCTCACCAAACAGTTAGGGTCTTTTTTTTCTTTGTTTTTTGACTGAAAATGAGTTTTTACATACTGATAAGCTGGGCTAGATTTTCTGATTTCACAGTAAGGACAGTCTGTTTCTAGCATAATTTTCTGAATAGGGACATGTCTCACAACTTCAATGTTTTCTAATGTTTTAAGAGAACACCCATTAATTCCTATATATAAGTCCATATCAAGCAGCTGCTGTAGCTCATCTAAAGTCCCAGTAAAAGAATGCACAACACCTCCTGAAATTCTGTCTCTGTTAGTCCTCATTAAATTTATGAAATCATCTCCTGTGTTTCTGTTGTGTAAATACATAGGAAGCCTCAATTTTTCAGCCAGCTCAAAATGTTTAGGAAAAGCAGACAATTGGCAATTCCTGCCACTGAAATTCAGCCGATCATAATCAAGGCCGCATTCCCCGACAGCTACACATTTATTCCCGCATTCTCTTATTAATTCTTCGAATTTCTCAAAATTATCTGCAGGATCCACAGTCTGATTATTATTTACATTTGCATAACAAGGATGCACCCCAATGCAGCAATAAGCATTTTCATTATGTAAAGAAGTCTGATATGCGTGACGTGATTCTTGTAAATTAAGCCCTGCAAGGAGAAATTTTGAGACTCCAACGTTGCGTGCTCGCTCGAAAACTCGTTCTAAGTCATGTGCAAAGCTTTTGTCTGATAGGTTTGCAGCAATATCAAATAGTCTTACAGTCTATTTTATATGTACCCTAGTAGCCATATTTTAGATTATAAGGTAAGGTATGGGTATGTAAATCTTGATTTTAAGAATTAAAGGAAAAATATTTTTATTTGCCAAGAAATGAAACATAAATTTTATTGTTTAAATTTTTGAAATAGAAAAATATTAGATGAGGCGATACTAAAAAATTAAATAAAATAAAAGAAATAAAAAGGTAAAAGTTAAATTTAAAGAGCTGAAAATAAGCGTGATTAAAATGTGTAAAATTCTTAGGCAAATAATGATTAAAATGGCACAAATTTATACGCTGGTCTGGTTCCTGATAGCCATTGCTATCCGGGAGACGGGGCTAGCTACACTAAGGCACGCAAATCTATGCATAGCAACATTCAAACAATTCAATAAATTTCATTCATTCAGCTGCCATAAAGAAATTTCTTATGCAGTCTTTAAAGAAATAAAATGGGGGTGTTGACAGAATTTGGGTTCCAAGGTACACTCTCTATAAAGCAGGTATGAACATCCCGATGAAGCTGAAAATAGGGCATCTGTTCCTTTTTGAAGTCGGCCTTCAGGTTTTGACAAAATGGTAAGTTTTATTTCTTCCCGGAGGTTTTGCCTGCCTTACCAGGTGTGCTAGACAGATTTGCCTCTTGTGTCGTCTTCGTCTATCAGGACTATCGTAGAAAATTCAAGAGGGTGAGAAGGTTCGGTCTTACACCATTTGCAGTCCGGTGTATACGTACCCAGCATCGGCCAACTATTCTGGAGTCAAGTTAGCCCGGTAGTAAGTTGCCGCTTATAGCCGTGCAACATTTTACTTTTTAATCTTATGCAGGCTTTATTTCTATCTGAAATTTTTAGCTTGATCCAAAAAAGCCTAGCCTTCTTTCAGAAGTCTTATTTCTGTGGTCAAATAAGGTTTATCTTTAGAATGGCTGGCTTGATCCACGTTATCTGCATGATTAAGTTTTTCCTTCTTATCCATAGTAATTTATTACCCCAAACCTCAAATTAGCTTCTATCTTTCTTATCGTTACCTTAGTCTATGCTATTCTTTCTAATTTTACCTTTATCTATGCAATTATATTTTAGAATCTTTTATGATTTAAAATTTAACTTATAATTTACAAATATGGGAGGAATTGAAAGAGTCAGAATTTTAGAAGAAGTTATAGGGAAGAAAATTTAAAATTCATGAGATTGTGCTTTATAAGAGAAATTTGGGAATTGGCTAGAAGATGAAAATAGAGAAAAGGCAGAGAAAGTGGGCAATTTATAAAAGAGAAATGCTGAAAATCAGCGTTAAATTAATCAGGAATAATAATAAAAATAATTTACAAAAAGTTTTCAGCAAGATATCTCAGCATATTTGGAGGAATTCTAAAAATCCCTTCCTTTTTTCCTTTATTCAAGCGAACAATCCATAGGAAACCCTTTCGTCTTTCCCAAGGCAAGCTTGATTTTACTTCTTTCAAAATATACTCGTGCACTGCTACAAACTTCGGGTTTGAATTTCTCAGCAATTTTGCAATTTGCACTGGCGAGGAATTGGAACTAAATAAAAATTACTTTGAATACGGATTTGTAAAGATTTTGATACCCTCTATTTCTATAACGACTTTCAGGGCTGGCAAATTTGCATAGGCTATGCTGAAATCTATGAAGAGATGCGCTTTCCCTTCATTTTTTCAATATTTGTAGTATTTTTCTATGACTTTTTCATCAGTTTCAGTCCTCAGTTGCTCAGCTATAGTGCTCATTTAAATTTTTACAGTTAGACCAATTTCGCATGTTACTCAGCTTTGTTATTACTCACATTACACCAATATACTAATAACAAAAAATTAATTTAATTATGCATTAATTTTTGCGATTTTTTCATATAAAATTCAAAGGCTTTTTGCAGCCCAAAAGTTCTCCTATTTAATTCCCTGACATCTTCTACCACTGCTAAATCTTTTAAATAGTGCATTAATTTCAATAATTCTCTATCATCTTTATCATCATGCCATGCTTTAATAGGGATTCCATTATCAATTTGATTTCCAAAGCTATAAATAGAGTTATCAATGATAACAGTATTTGACAGACTTCTACCTACCAAAATACTTAAATCTTTCACCCTAAGCCCATTCACCAATAAACAATTTTCTCTATATAGTCTATGACTTATATACTTTTTAGTAGGGTCTAATAAGTCAATAACAGGATCTGCGTAATTTCTGGTACTTGCAGTAAAAATGATCACTTCAAACAGTCGGCTTGCCATCCTTAATATATCACTTGCATATGGGCGGATATTTATTCCTGCAGTCACTGTGATGCCTAGCGGGATTTGCAATTTTTTGTCAGGGTTTTTTAGATTTACTGAACAGAAAATCAGAGTTTCGTCAAGGTCAAAAATCACCGTTTTTTGGTGCTGGGTAAGTCTTGGCAAGTTTATTTGCAAAGAATGGTATTCACTGTAAGAAGGCTGTGGAGAAGTTTTAACGAGCTTTAGCAGGTAAAATGGGTCAACAGTGCTTGGTTTTCCAGAATCAATCTGGACATCGTTTTCAATGCTTTGATTTTTTTGCATTTTTTCGTTATATTTCGCTACAATATCAAACCTTTCTGAGGGCTGTCCTGTGCTACGATTTGCAATATTTGGAAGACTTGGAGTTGCCCTGCTCAATAAATGTTGGTCATGGTTTGAAATTTCTTCAAGTTTTCTATGATAATTAACCCCAGGCGAAAGGCTGATTCTACCAAAATTCTGCCTTGGTGAAATCTGATTTAGTGTCGCCAAAGTCGCTGTTGATTTTCAATGCATTTTCTTTTTGTTAGCTGTTTTAGGCCGAAAAGTTCCTGCAGGAGAGGCAAAATCTACGCTTGAAGATTTTGAAGGCACAGGAGTTTCAGCAAAAAGCTTGGTCGCTGGAAATGAGAGTTTGTTGTGGTCAAAACTAATGAAAATTTTTTTATGCAAATTGTCAGACATTATTTATTTGATATTCTTATTATTTCATTTGATTAATTCTCCATGCTACAAGTTTACCCTTCAGCCACATCTTCATTGCGATTCTTTGTGTTCTCAAGACTCTATTTAAAGCTTTTTTCTGCAACTTGAAAATTTTTAAATCCTGCTTTAAAATTTGAAAATAAGCGGATTTTGAAACATTTTTTGATTTAAAAAAATTGTCCAAGCAATTAAGCCCAGTTTGGATATAGATTTAGTGATAATTGCGCGCTTTCGCGCGCTTTTTGGTGTCATTTTATATTTTTGTATAGTGTGCTATTTATAGGAAAAGATATATTTTTTAAGGCAAGAAACATTGTCCCAGTTTTAGGTCGCCGTCTAGGGGATAAGTACATTTGAACCCTGCTGAAAAAGCTATTGAAATGCTTTTTCTTGATACTGAATGTAATAGATGTTAAATGTCTGAGCCCACAACTGACATAGCTGAGTTTATATTTGGAGACCTTTAAGTAGCATTTTCATATAATTAATGACTTTTGTTTTTCATTTGATAAATAATTGGAAATTGCTTTCACAAATCTTGAAACTTTTTTATATTTTTCTGAATCAAATTGTTTCGATTTTCTATTCGCAATATGAAAACAGCTCATAGCAGATTTTATTTGAGTTCTTATTAATGATTCCAAGATTTGTACATGGGCAATTGTTTTGAGGGAATCATAGTTTTTCTGCTTTATTGAAGAATGCCAATGAGTAAAGCACACAGAAAGTCGATAATTTATATCTTTTGATATATTTTTCAGCAGAATTTCTAATTGTTTCGCTTTCTTTTTCTGCAAATTCGCAATAGCTGACAAAGTCTGAAAAGACTCAGAAATTTTCCTATGGTTTGTAGCTTTATAAGCAGAATTAATAGTTTTAAATAAAAATGCCGGTTGTCAAATGACAGTGGATTTTTGATAGTGTAAATTTCATCGAAATGCATTTGGTTGAAAATTTTTAAAAGTGTGACATTTGGTCAAAAAATTACAGTTTTTTTGGGTCAAATGTCTCACTGTCAAAAAGTTTCAATTTTTAGCCAAAAATACTTCGGTGAAATGGACACTATCAAAAAGGCAATGCCATTGGACCTGCACCCAAAAATGCCAAAGAAACTTGGTAAGCTTTTGTTTTCTGGTAGCAGGATTTTAAGTGAGAAAAAGACTCATGAGTTTTAGAAAGCAGCTTGGCTTCAATTATATCAGTAAGCGATTTTAAATAGCTTTCAGTTTTTAATGTATATATATGGGTTTCGCTTTTTCATGCCTGCTGCTTGTATTTCTCTTCAAATCGGGTTTGGATTGTAGAAATCTTTCATTGGTTAAATCTTTTATAAAGATATTTATTGGCTTGAGTTGTTAGCTTTTCTCGGATTCTCTGCACAAATGCAGCATGTTTATATATAATTTTGAAAGAAATTGACAATTTTTTGGAAAAAATATTTGAAAGCTTTTTAGTTGCCTTGTCTAGCAAATTAAATACGAACATTTTCATTGTGTGCCTTTTGTATATCATAAAGCTCTTTTTGACAAGTCTCCGGTTAATAAAAAATGTTAAAAGCTTCAAGCCTCGTTTTTCTGCGGACTCAGCATATCCTCTTCTTTTCAGTCTCTTTGATTTTTCTATATCAATATAGCTGGCAGCTTTTTTAATCAAATCGCTTTCAGAGTCTGAATTTTTATAGCTTAAATGGATTGTTTGTGCTAAATTGTCTTCTTTGAAACTACTTATACCTGCTTATAGAGAATTTTTTTTATTAGTTTAGCTTTATTCTATTTTATAATAAATAAGAAAATACTCAACAGTTTGAAATCTATATAATTAGATATATTTTAAATGGACTCTTTTTGGCTGAATTTTCTCGTGATGGCTTTTTGCTGCTTTTTAATCGTTCCCCATCAGAATTATTGCTGGATGAAATCAATAAAGACTCATAGCTCGATGCGTTCCCTGAGGACTGTTTCGAAGGAGTTTTGCTGCGGGATGGGTCTTTTTCTTTTACATTATGGGCTTTTGGCACATGCAATGGTGGCTTTAAGTGGTTTTGGCTTTGTGAAAGTGGGAGACTTTTTGCAAAAGAACTATTAGCAGAGCTTCGTTTAGAGTCAGCGCGCTCAGTCTTGTCTAAAGTTTCATAGCTAAACTGAGCCACAATTCGTGATGAAGTGTTTGCATACTGTTTTTGCTCATTGTCTACAACTTTTCTAATACTTTGACTATGATCTCTTGATGATGAACTTTTGCTTGAACCTTGGGTGTCTAAAATAGCTTTCCTATCTTTTTTTTTATAATATAAGCTTTCTACTACATCTTTATGGTCAGTTCCTTGGGTCCTTTCAGTTTGTTGGTCTATGTATTGTTGGAGTGTTCTAGCTGTGTGCTCTTCACTATGATCTAAATAGTCTTGAACTAGAATGGGGTCTGTGTCTTCTAAAGAAGAAAAAAAATTTGAAGCATGGTTTCTTTTGGAATTTTCATGAGCTGACCTACTGTGATTTGAAATTGAAAAATCTGGAGACTCGTGGTGATTTTTCATCCCGAATTCCCCTGTAATTCTTCTTCTGTTATGCTCTCCTGAAGAAAAATCTTCTATACTTCTTCTGTGGATTCTTTTGGTTTTTTTCCCATCTTGCTCTTCAAGACTTGTTTGTATTGCTTCGCTTTTTTTAAGACTTTTCATAACTCCCAGTAAAAATAGTTTTGTTCGATCAAGCAAAAGGTTAATTTTTTTTTCTTAAAATTTATTTATAATTTTAATTCGCATAATTAATAAATATATTTTAAAATGCAAGCTGTTTAAAGCTCAACCGAATCAGCTAGAGATTTCATTATATTAATTTCACTTATATAGTAAAATATTTTTTCATAATTTTTTTGTTTTCTATCACGGAGGGTGGATTTTTACCCCAAAAATAGATTGGCTATGCTTGCTCACAGAAGGGAGTAAGAAAATTAATAGAATTTGTCTCTTTCATAGCTTTGAATACTACTTTTAAGGTATTTTTGTACATTTTTTCAGTGTAGCATAACAGGGTTTTTGTGACTAAATCTTTCCTATAAGCAATTTTTATGATTTCTATAGAATCCCTCTTTGCTTTTTTTGCTGCTTTATTTAAAACTCATATAATTTTGACATAGCCTTCTGTCCTATTAAACACGTTTAATTCTTTAGAAATAGGTGATAAATCGATTGATTTTCTTTCTGTAACTGGGCTAGATATTTCTGCCTCATTAACCTTTCTCACCTCTATATAACCTGAGCATCCTTTTGGCTCGGGCTATTCCGATATCTCTTGACGTCAGTAGGGAAATTGGTTTTGCTGTTGATAAAACCAATTCGAATTTGCTATCTGGGGAATTTGTTTTACCAAAAATATCAATAAAGCCAACTCCCCTCTGATATTGGGAGACCTCAGTATAGTCCAAGCCAAAAGGAAGTTCGGGCTATAACAGATTTTTTCTCTCCATAATTTTGCAAATTCCTGGGCATCTCCTGATTGTTTTCTGGCAAAACCCTCAAGCTTGCATTTGCTGAAAACACTTTTCGGTATTTTCTCCCATCAATACTATTAGCATCAAACCATACTGGCATAGTTGTATCTTTAAAGCTGATTTCTTCAGGTTTTTCATTAATACTTGTTCGGCTGCTAGAAATTCTTTTGGAGTTAAGAATCAATTCAGTCCTTTTGGAGGCTTCTTTTTTTCATATTCACAGATGTTTACATATAAACCTTTTAATGCAAGAAAAAATTAATTGGGCTGCATCTAGTTTATATGTCCGCAATTTTTCTTTAGGATATCGAAATCTTTCAAGAAGCTCTAAGGTAGATCTGGGGACATGAGAATAATGTGTCCTTTCAGTAGCACACATGTCTGGAATATTGTATTGGGGTTTTGAAGGTCCATAAGAGTGAAAAAGAGGGGTGTTGCTGCGCATGCTTTCGTTGGAAACCGGTTTGATTATTTTTTGAGATTTTTGGTGGGGAGATGTACTGCGATGTGGATTAGAACGAAGAGGAGACCGGGAGAGGGTGCGCATTCTTTTTTTTCTAGCGAGGTCTGTTTTAAAGTTCTCAAGAGTTTTAAGAAGGTCTGAAATTTCCATTTTCAACTCTTTGAATTAATTAAAAGGAAATGAGAAGCTAATTATAAATAATTTTTTAGGAATAATTTGAAGATTTGTGGGGAAAAAGACAAAAATTGATAATTTTAATTGATAAATTAATTAGATAAATTAAATATTAAAAAATTATTTACAAAAAAATATAGGTTTGGGTATTATAAACTTAAAAATCAATTAATATCTATTTTTGTTGGAGTGATTATTTTGAGCATTCATTATTTTATAAATATTCACAAATTTTAGTTTCTGTTTTTAATACATATTTTTCTGATAAAAAGTTTTTGATTTAAGATTAATTAACAATAAAATAATTAATTCATAAAGCTTATGAATTCTAAATCTTTGTAAATTTGAAAAATTGAATTCATACAGGACTAAAATTTATAAAAATTAATAATTTAATGGATATCTTTAATTTATAGCTACCGATCTGATCGCTATAAAATCTACTTTTTATTTATAACTGAAAAACACACATATATTCACAATATTTTTACTTAAAAAACGCTCTTATCTTGGCTTTTTTACTTTTTTTTTAACTATACCATGAAAAAACCACAAAATAGACACTTTTCTTATAATTATATATCTATTACGACATATTGATTAATAATGAATGACCTTAATTTCTTACATAAAAATATTTCTGACATTACTTAAAATGAAAAATACATTGCCACTCCCAGCTCCAAAAGAAATCCTTTGCAGCCAGAACCCCGAGTCTGAATTCAAATGCTCATACTGTAATACTTCATTTCTTACTTCAGATGATTTATTGCATCACAATTCAGTTTATGAATATTCAGTTACTAGTATACCCACTGGAATTGAGACCCCAATTCCAGTGAAAATATTTTCAAACGTTGAAAAACCGACTTTAATTACTGGAAGTGAAATTAAAGCAATTGAATGCCATGAATGCCTTACTCCTAAGCGAGCAGAGCCTATTTAAAATTTACAAAAATTTTTTATATTTAATAAAATATTTATATTAATTAACAATTAAAACTTCAGCTAATTCTATTAAAACATATTAAATTTAAAAAAATTATTAATACCAAAATCTATATAAAATAAAAAATTAAGACTACGCTTACTAGAGAAGAAGCAATTTTTTGCAAAAGGAGAAGAGGAATTAGACTTTTTTCTTCAGAAAAAGGCCTAAATCAGCATGTGGGCAAAGTCCACAATTTCAATCGAAGATCAGTAAAATGCCATTTATGCATCAAAAAATTTAGAGAGGGCTCAGCATTGAAATTTCATATAAGGCAGGTGCATGATAAAACTACAAGAGTCAAGTGTGATGATTGCCAAAAGGTGTTTTACAGTAAATATGTGCTTTTAAAGCATAGGAATAAGTGCCTTATGAAGATGAGATCCGAAATTTAAATAATTAATGAGTTAAAAAGCCAAAATATAATTTTCTTTAATTATTGAGAGGATAATTTTTATGATTTTGCTTTGGTGGTATAAAGAATAATTTCTAGAAATGATAAATTTACAAGGTAAAAATTATGATTAAGCAGGGTAATAATTTTAATTAAAATTTTGCTTTAAAAATAAAATCTTTCATTTTTCGTATATAATTTATTAATACAGCTTTAAAATATATCATTATAAAATAAATGGCAGATATAAGAGACTTTTCTATAAGCCCATCTTCATTGTCTGAAATATTTAAAAATAGAGACTCTAAAATCCAAAACTCATTAGAAAGTCTTAAAGCTTATGGTGGGATTGAAGGTCTTTGCCATCAATTGCAGACTGATTTATGCAATGGGATTGACGACAGTCCTACAAAGATTTCTAAAAGAGTTAATCATTTTGGAACTAATAAATTTGAACCAAAAGTCCAGAGAGCATCATTTTTTGAGTGTTTAAAGGACCAATTAACGGACTATACATTATTACTAATACTATTTCTTTCTTCAGTGTCCATTATTATTGGAGTCTTTGCAGGGACCACTGAATATATAGGAAATTTTAAAGTTCTGGTTTCGGTCTGAATTTTAAATGCGATTTATGCAGTTTTCAACTATAAAAAAGCATATTAGAATAAATTGAATAAATAAATTTTGCTTAAAACATTGTTTTTTCCTAGGGAAGCTAGAGCTAAACAAATTTGGTATAAAAAAATTTAAGTACTTTGAAGGCACCGAATTGGAAAGTAAAGGTTATAAGAGCTGGGGTAGAAAAAGAGATTTCGAAAAATGACTTATTGACTGGGGATCTATTAATAGTATCTAAAGGAGACGTTTTGCAGGTAGATGGAATTCTTATAAAAGGGTCAATTCTAGACATAAAAGAAAGAGAAAATCTTCATTTATCGAATGAAATTTCTCCTTTAGAGTCTAAAAATCCCTCAAATCCATTTATATATTTTAATTCAAAAATCCTTGAAGGCAATGGAGTGGTGCTTGTTTGTGCTGTAGGAAAATACACAAGCAAGCCACAAAGTATTCCAGAGCCAAGTGACGAAGAAGAGACTTTAATTGAGACTAAAATTGAAGAAAAAGCAGAATCTTGGGGAAAAATCGGGCTTATTTCATCAATAATTATTATTTTTGTGCTTCTCATTATATTCTTTTATCATTCAATTGTTGCCTGAAAATGGGGAGCTGCAGGAACAATTGAGGTGCTGTCTATTTTTGTAACAGGATTAGCCCTTATTATTGTTTCGATTCCAGAAAATTTTACTGTTTTCGTCAGTACATATTTTTGCCATACTACTAAACAAATTGAAAAAGACAATATTTTCATTAAAAATGTTAGCCAAATTGAACTTATTGGAGAGGTTACAACTGTGATTATAAGCAGTAACAAGGAAAGCGCAAAAAGTTTATGCAATTTAATGCAAAATTTTGAAAATTCAGGAATTGCAGTCATAATTGTTACTGAAGAAGATGTGAAAACAGGGAAAGAAATTTGTGAAAACTGTGGGATCACAGATGATTTTATAATGGACATAGAAATATTAAAAAAACGGGTCCCAGGGCTAATTAGTATTTTAGATTCAAACAAAGAAGACCCAAAAGTAGAATATATTATAAAATCATTCAAAAAGGCAGCAGAAAATGTCAAAGTCTTTGCGAATTGTGCACCAAATGATAAAATCATTATAAAACAAGCGTTGCAAGCTTCTGGAGAAGTCATAGCCTCTATAGAAGCATGCCAAACTGATTCTTCATTATTAGAAATTTCCGATGTAGGGATTTTTACACCTTCAAACAGTCAAATTTGTATGGCTGCTTCCACTATTTTTTTGCCTGACACCAACTATGAAGCCTTTATTCATTTTTTACGAAGAGGCCGAAATCTTGTGTTATCTACTCAAAAGCTTATAGTTCATCGAGAAGCGTCAATTTTTGTGTTGCTTTTTATCTGTTTAATTGGAGTTTTTACATCTGGAAAGCTGCTATTTAATGGCGTCCAATTGATTTGGATGTGTTTTTTGCTTGATATACTAGGAACTTTAGTTTTTACGATTAATTATGATGGAGATAGTGAGACTAAGCCTTTTAAAAGGGAAGACGAAATTGTGAATGGAAATATGAAGATCTTGATAAGAGCTCAAATTCTTTATCAGGCCTTGGTACTTGTTTTTCTATATTTCGGAAGCCAAAGCTCATTAATTTTTCATACGTTTATTTTTTTGCAAATATTCAATGAATTGAGTTTGGTGAATTGGAGCTTTAAGAATTTCAATGCAATTGCAGTAGTAGCATTAAGCTTTATAATGCATTATTTCGCTATAGAATATGCTGGAAGCTGGCTAGACTGTGAAAAAATGAGCTGGGAGGGCCATTTTAATTGCATTAAGCTTGCAGCTGGCTCTCTGGCAGCATTATTCATAGCAAAATTACTATTTAAGTTTGGCGAAAAGAAATAAAAACAATAAAACTTAAAATTTCATACAAATAGCGAGCTATTTATAAGCGAAAATCATTAAAAAATTTTTTATTAGCACAAATCCTCTTAAGTATATTATGTAATTCCTATTAAATTTCCCCAAATGGCCTTATTTCTCTTTTAAAAAAAGGTTTTATTTTAAACAGTATATTAAATTTCTGTGCCAAAAAATGAATCGAAAGATCATTTTAGTCCAAAGACCCCAAGGACTTCCTAAAGATGAAGACTTCAAGCTCATTGAAGAACCCCTTAACACAGCTTTAGAAATTGGAGAAGTTCTTGTCAAAGTAGAATGGATTTCTATCGACCCTGCCCAAAGAGTCTGAATAGGCGCCGGAAGATCATATATAACCCCTGTAAGTGTCGGATCTGTCGTCAAAGGAATGGGCGCTGGCATTGTAGTTTTTTCTAAAAGCCCTGCATTTAAGCGTGGCTCCTTTGTCACAGGGTTTTTACACTGGCAGGAATACGCAAAAGTCAAAGCGTCTGACATAATTCGTCTTCCTTCATATGTAAATCCACAGCTTCACTTACTCTTCATTTTAAGAGAGAAATAAACGATTAGAAAAATGCCTACTTTTGTGAAAATCAATAGTGAAACAAAAATTAATATAATAGTTATAACAAGAATTATATTGAATTTGGTGCTGCTTGTATCCTTAAAAAATAATTTTTATAAATTAAATGAGTTTGTTTTTAATCATCTCAATTCAGTTTTTAAAATTTCAAAAAAAAAAAATTGCCCTCATTTGAGAGCAAGCGGAAACATCTTACTCGCTTTTAATAGGAGAAAGTTAGGGGTTTTAGGTATGACAGGACTGACTGCTTATGTAGCTGTAAATGAAATAGCGAAACCAAGAAAAAAAGAAACCATGGTTGTCTCCACAGCCGCAGGCGCAGTCGGGTCTATAGCCTGCCAATTGGGAAAAATCCGAGGTTGCCGCGTTATCGGTATTTCTGGCTCTGACGCCAAAAATAGGTGGCTTACAGAAATAGGTGTCGACGGTGTTATTAACTACAAAACAGTGCCAAACCTGACACAAGCCTTAAAAAGCCTCTGCCCTGAAGGTATCGACATTTACATTGACCTTGTCGGTGGCGATATCCTGGACGCAGTCTTACTAAATATCAAAAAATACGCAAGGATCGTCATGTGTGGGGCCATTTCTTCTTATAACCTCAAAAGAGCCCCGCCAATCCGTTATTACCCTCTCATAATCTCCCAATCAGCCTCAGTTGAAGGATTTATTGTATGGGAACACAGAAATAAATTCGACATTGCCGTAAAAAATCTGAGTAAATGGATAAAAGAAAACAAAATAAAGCACAAAGAGCACATCGTGGACGGCATTGAAAACGCCCCAAGAGCATTAAGAATGGTCATGACTGGCGAAAATTTCGGAAAAATGGTGGTAAGAGTGGAACATCAGAGTCCTAAAATTTAACAATTAATTATTGAGTTTCACAATTTTGTGAGTAATCAGAATCACGCTGCTTCAGCTCTTTTCGGTCCTTTCGGCTGTTTTTTAGCTCGCTCGGGAGGAAGCCTTTTTTCTTTTCACCACGCTTGCGAGGCATGATGTCAATTGGGGACATTTCTTGGAGTTTTTTGAACTTTTGCAGCTCTGATTTGAGGTCGGAGTTTTCGTCTTCGAGGAGACGTAAGGATTTTTCTAGTTCTCGCTTTTGCTTGGTGAGGTTTCGGCTGCCTTGGAGAAGCATTTCGTTGTCAATTTTGATGCTTTCATAGCTTTTCTTGAATTTTGTTAGCATTTCCTTTGATTATTAGCATGGTTTTATATACTTTAGTATCGGATTTTTTTTAAAAAAAAATTGAGGCATTTTTTTTAATAATTTTGCTGATGAGCAGAGTAAGTCCTCTTCTGAGCATTTTTGCTTGAATTCAGCGTCTTGGATTTTCTTGTGAAGATCATGCCTTTCAGACTCAAAGATTGACTTTACCATGTTTTCATCAATCAAGTCACTTTGGAGTCTTTTATAAGAATTCCTCCTCTTTAAGTTTGTGATTTCTTCTTCACTTTTAGAGATTATTTTTTCTTTTTTTGAAAGCAAATTTGATAAATCAGAGTTTTCTTTTTCTAGCTGCTCAAGGGTGTCTTGGAGCTTCTTTTTGTCATCTTTTATGTCTTTTAAGGCCTTTTCGTGCTCTTGTACTTTTTCTTTCCATTGCTCTACCTGGTCTTTAAGCTCAAAAATCCTTTCTTTATTTTTCTCATTACTTCTATTAATAGCTGCCTGCTGATTCTGATAAAATTCTTCTTTGAGCTTTGAGTATTCTATATCCTTCTGTATCAATGCTTGGTTCAATGATGAATTTTCTTGCAAATATTTGTCTAGCGTTGCCTGCAATTTATCATGGTCTTTATTTATATTATTTTTTTCTAATTCTTCTATTTTTGACACCAAGTTTGAGTTTTCTTCATTTGTCTGTTCATAAGCCAATTTTACTTCATTTAACTCTGTTTCACAGTATTCCAGCTTCTGTATAAGTTCTTCATTTTTTGTTTTTAAGCTTGACAATTCAGTGTCCAAACTGTCTTTTTCATTAGAGTTTTCTTGCAAAAAATCAGACAATTCATCAAGTCTTGACTGAGCAGTTGTATATAAAGCTTCATAATCTGCCATCCTGGCTTTAAATTCATTCATCTCATGCTCAAGTTTTTCTTTTTCATTTGTATTCTCTTGTAGATAATTGGAAAGCTCGTCAAGTTTTGATTGAGAAGCATTGTATAAAGCTTCAAGTTCTGATTTTTGGTCAATAAGAGATTGGCTGTCTGATTGGAGAGATTTTATTAGAACTGAAAATTCTTCAAGTTTTGATAGAGAAGAGTTGTATGAGATTTCTAGGTCAGAGGATTTTTTCATTAAAGACTGGCTTTCTGCTTGCGATAATGATAATAAGGTTGATAGCTCAGCTATTTTTGATTGGAAATTGGTGGAAATGGAGCTTAGCTCAGAGTTTTTGGAAAGAAGTGCATCATTTTCTAGCTGAGTGGATTCTAAAAGACTAGTGATCTCTCCTATAAAGTTCAATTGCTCATTTAAATTATTTTGTGATTCTAATACTTTTTTATTTAATTCTTCTTTTTCTTTTTCAAAACCTTCTATAATCCCTTTATATTCCCTTATCGCATTTTCAATATTTTCATAATTTTTGAGCTTTTCTCTATCCTCATCACTTTTTTCTTTCATTATTTTCATCTCCTCTAGCATTTTTTCTAACTTTTTACAATTTTCTTCATTATTCTTTTTTTCTTCAAAAATTATTCCTTGGTACTCATTAATTTCGCCACACAAAATTTCATTTTTATCTGCTTCAAATTTCAGCTGAGACTCCAAAGTTCTGACTGTCTCATTTAATGGCTTATCTTTGCTTTCAATGTACTCATACAGAAATTTCAGCTCACTTTCTAATTTCTCTAAATCCTTACTCCCCCTCCGTGAGCGAACAAAAAAATCTTGTTCACTCACAGAGGGGGTTATTTTTTGTATAAATTTTAATAAAATTTTTTTTTCGAAATTTAAAAAAATTCCAATTTGTAAAATTTGAGAAGAAAAAAAATTAATTTAATTTGTAAATTTATGTTTTAAAATGCAAACTGTTTAGAATTAGCTAAAGATTTCGTTATAATAATTATCATTTATATATCAATTTTTTTTTCATAAAAATTTTTGTTCGCTCACAGACAGTGGGTTTTTGGGCAAAAATAGGGGATTTTCTAACGGTTTTGTTCGCTCACGCAGGGGGGAGTTAGCGTGCTCCTCAGTTAGATTTTTATTGACTTTTTCTAAATTTTCATATGAAGATACAGCAGCTAAACAAACTTCTTCATATTCCTTGACTTTAGCTTCCATTCCAAAGGTTCCTTCTATTTGTTTTTCTAGCTCGCTTATCTGGATTTCTTGCTCTCTCACAATTCTAGCTTGTTCCTCAAATTTATCTAGCAAAACTTTATTTCTTTCATTAAGGATTTCAATCTGAGTTTGCCTTTCAGTTTTTTCTACTTCTTTCATATTCAAAATTTGAAGCAGCTCCTGATAGTCTCTTTCCAGCTTGCTTAGCATCAGCACATCATCCCTCCTTATAAACTCATCAATCTTTGCATTCAAAAACCCTATATTTTCCCTCAGTCTATTATTTTCAGCCACTTTTTCTTCAATTTCTTTATTTTTCAGAATTTTCATTTCTTCAATTTGAAACATTAGCATTTCTTTTTCATTTTCCAAAGAATTTATTGAGTCTATATACTGCTGGACATCGATAGTATTTTCTACATGATTTTGGATTTGTTCATTTAAAAGCTCGCCTTCCATTATGATAATTTGGTATTTTTCTTCATAGTCATTTTTTATTTTTTCTATATCTTTTCTTAAACTTGCTATATTTTCGTCTCTTTCTATAAGCATGGTCTCTAAGGTCGCTATGTATTCTTTGTCTTCAATTGTTTGATTTTTCGTTTTTCGGCTCATAAACAAGCTTGATTGGATTCTGCTTCTTCTTTCTTCGTTAGAAGCTGGAGTATTAAAGCTTGCAGGGCTTGGCCTTTCTGAATGTACAATCCTATTTTGGATTTCTCTGAGCTGGTCTTCTTTTTGAATTAGCGCTTTTTTTAGATTTTCGTTATCATTTTCGACCTTTTCTAAAATTGCTGAGTGATATGTATCTTTTTCATTATTTTCTATTTTCAGCCTCGTCAGTTCATGGTTTTTGTCATTTAATGAGTCTTGCAACTCTTCTATTCTGCATTGCAGCTTTTTCATCTCGTCCTGCATATTTTTCAGCTGACTTTCTGAGCTGACCACTTCATTGACTTTTGCATTAGTTTTTATTCTTTTCGCTTTGGCCCCAAACTGTAACGTATTTATTGATTCTTGGAAATACGCAATTGCAGGCGTCACATTGCAGATTATTGAAGTTTTTGAATTCCCTGATAGTGCAGGCTGCAGAAGTCTTGTCATTTTAGAATCCCTGTAGTTTACAAAAGGGTTAATCCCTTTAGCAGCGCCTTCTGAGAGCTTTTGTATAACAGTTGAAAGAGATAGCAAGCTTTTGTTTATATTGGAGCCTTCTCGGAGCCTAACTCCCCCCCCCCTCCGTGAGCGAACAAAACCATTAGAAAAATCGCCATTTTTTGACCAAAAACCCACCCTCCGTGAGTGAACAAAAATATTTTTAATAGAAAAAATTTTAATAGAAAAAAATTTTGCTATATAAGTGATAATTAGTATAATGAAATCTAGAGCTAATTCTGTTTAATTTTAAACAAATTGCGTTTTAAAACATAAATTTTGCAAATTAAATTAGTATTTGCTTCCCAATTTTTGCAAATTAGGATTTTTTTTTAAATTTCGAAAAAAAAATATTTTTTATAAAATTTATATATAAATTGTTTTTAAAAAAAAAAATTAACCCCCCTCCGTGAGTGAACAAAATTTTTTTGTTCGCTCACGGAGGGGGGGGGGGGAGTAAGGGGTTTTCTGCTTTGGTTTGTTGGACGCCTTCACTTCCAGCGAGATCTACAAGATTTAGCTGAGAAGAAAGGATTTTTGACTCGTCAGAGCTGCAGGAAGACTCTATATAGATCCGAAAAACGGTGTGGGAGCGGGAACTTTGAGAATTCATAGAGGTTTCCCCAATTTTTCGGTTGGCTTCACCAGTAGTGAGGAGGTTTAAAGCTTGAAATTCATTAGAAATAGTGTATTCAGTCAGCTTGTCGACATAAACACCTTTATCAAGCCTTTCTCGGATGTCAAGATTGGCTTTCGTAGGGTCTAAAAGGTCGTTTACTTGTTCATTGTAGACTTCAAGATAGGAAACGCGCAATAAAAATTCGCGCTCAGGCTGGTTTTGGATTGCTGAAAAAATTTCTCTGATTGAGAGAGGGATAATGCCAGGATTTTCAGGGTTACCTCGGATTGTGTAGGTTTTTCCTGAAGAGGTTTGACCATAGGCAAAAATTGTTGTATTGATACCATTTAAAGCGTTTAAAACAAAAGGCTTTGCTATAGACTCAAAAACCTCTTCATTTGAAGAATACTCAGAAAAAACTTTATCATATGTGAAACTTTGCCTCGTTTTTGTATTCAAAATTGTGTTTTCTTCTTGGAAAATTTTTCAAAATTCTGATGAAAAATTTGCCTTGAATTTTTCTTGATTGGAGCGAATTATTTCTTCTTGCTGCACGAATTCTGCGTTAGAAAGTGGACGAAATCTAACTGCAACAGTGATGCTTTCCATATAAAAATTATTACCGCCATTTTGAGAATTTAATTAATCTTTGAAAAATTATTCATGATAGCGTGAAATATAGAAAAAGATGTTTATTTGCTCAGCCATATATAATTAATTGATAATTATGAATTTAATATCATAAAACTGGCTAGCTGAAATAGGAATAGCTTTTAGAATAAAAAAATTAAAAATCAAGGCTCCTAATTCTATTTAAGCTATAATTATTTAACTTATTAATGCTACTCAGCAGCAATAAATTATTAGATTTCCATTGTCCTTTGAAGCAGACTCATAGACTGATATATAGGCTGTTTTTCTTTTGGCTTTTGTTTTAGCCATCTCAAAAGTTCAAAGCTGGACCACAAAACTATAAATTCATATACCATCACTAAATAAGTCCATATATTCTTATAAGTTATAAGAGGATACAAAGGCCTTTCATGTGTCAAAGTCCAAGGCATATTGATTAACAATGAATAAGCGCTTACAAATACAATAGCAAAAATCCAATGTTTCCTAATAAAATAAACTTTATTTAAATACACTTCAATAAGCATAAAGATAGGGCATGCAGCGTGCACGGTCAAATTATAACGACCCCCCCCCCTCATTTGTCGAATTTTCTAGTCTTTTTTTTATAAGAAATTTTTTTTTTCAGGACCTCATTTGTCCCAAAATCTAGTCAAAAATGATTTGTCCAATTTTCTAGTCTTTTTTTGCATTTTTTCGAATGCCCTAAATTCTAGTTTTTTACTTTAAAAAAACTAGAAAATGAGACAATTGAGGTCCTGAAAATTTTTTTTCTCTATCAAAATTTTGACTAGAAAATTGGACAAATGAGGTCCTAAAAAAATTTTTTTTTCCTATAAAAAAAACTAGAAAAATGGACAAATGATAAAAGACTAGAAAATTGGACAAATGACGGGGGGGGTCCTTACTCCCCCCCCCCCCTCCGTGAGCGAACAAAAAAATTTTGTTCGCTCACGGAGGGGGGTTAATTTTTTTTTTTTTAAAAAAAAATTTATATATAAATTTTATAAAAAATATATTTTTTTCGAAATTTAAAAAAATCCTAATTTGCAAAAATTGGGAAGCAAATATTAATTTAATTTGCAAAATTTATGTTTTTAAAACGCAATTTGTTTAAAATTAAACAGAATTAGCTCTAGATTTCATTATACTAATTATCACTTATATATCAAAATTTTTTTCCATTAAAAATTTTTTCTATTAAAAAAATTTTTGTTCACTCACGGAGGGTGGGTTTTTGGTCAAAAAATGGCGATTTTTCTAATGGTTTTGTTCGCTCACGGAGGGGGGGGGGGGGAGTTATATAAGTGGCACTTTAATTTCTCTCAAAGGGTAAACATAGGTCCAGTAGACGATAAAAATGGTCGACTCTATTGGAAATACGAGTTCGAGATATAAATGAGCCCAACTGTGAATTGAAAAATATTTATAGGAAAGCAAAGATATCAGAAAATAAGTAGTCGTAAGCAAAACTCCTCAGTCTGTGAGGAATAAAAAATAAATCGCAGGATTAGTTGTAAATCCAATTATGAGAAACACAAAAATATAGAGAAAAGCTAATACTCTGAAGAATGCCATGGCTAAAGGATATCTTGAGTGAATGAGGTTACAGTAAGGCTCCGTCCATATCTTTTTCAATATGCCTTGGAAATTTACCATTACCTGTGTATTATTATTATTCCATTTTGTGTATTTATCAATAAGAAAATTATCAGTTTCTGCTCTATCTTGAAAACAAAAAAATTTTATTTTAATAGCCAATTGAAAGCTTATTTATCCATAAAATTCTATAATTATACTAAATTTTTTATAAAAGTCCTATAATTACAACTGATAATAATTATAACTAAAAAAATAAATCCATTTATGCAAGACCTTACTGCAACAGACACAAGATCCCAAAGATCAACTTACTCTAAATTTCTTGGAAGCACCAATGACTCTACTAGTTCTGACGCTTTGCATTTTGAAATAAAAAAACGTGAAGAGCTTCTATCAAGACTTCTCACAGAAAGTGAAATGCTAGAAAGAGATTCTATTGTACCGGACCAACATAAACAAATTAAAGACCTAGAAAAAAAGATAGAGGAGCTGGAAAATAAAATGTAAAATCTATATCATATATAATTAATATAATAGAAATGGAAAGAGTTTATATTGAGCATAGAGATAATATTAATAGGAATAATTAGAGAATTGGAAATCAATGATGAAAAAATTTTGAAAAATGCTTTACATAGATCAGCAATGACCGCATCAATATGAAAAATGAGGGCCAACGATCTGTATAATAAAGAAAAAAAGATTGCTCTGAAAATGAGTGGGGCTGAGCTTATCGTGGATGATATTTCTAGCACTTGTAACCAAGAAAAAGCCAAAGTAAAATATTTAAATGACCATTTAGAGCTAACAAGAACTACAAGGACAGCTCAAATGGAAGCAAGAATTAATGACGCAAAATCCCTTAAATCTGAGTTAGAGCCTGACTTAAAAAAGACTGAAAAATCATCAAAAAATCTTGATCTTTTTGTCCATAAAGAAAGAATGAAATCTGTATACGCAAAATTATCCAAACTCGACAAAGAAACAGTCTCAAGAAAAGAAGAAAACGAAAAAAAGGTAGAAATCATCAATAAAATGTACAAAATCACTGAAACAAATAGCTTGGAAAAAGCTTTACAAGAATATGAAAAAGTTATTGGAATGAACGCAAGTCTCAGTCAGCAGGCTGACTCTATTTTAAATGACATAAAATCTTCTGAATTAAAGAAAAAAGAAATTTTCATAGAAAAATCACAGCTTTTAAAAACAGAAAATACAGATCCTAGACAAGATTTAGAAAAAAAAATGGAGCTGCTTAATGAAGATGCTTATATTGAATACCACCAAGCTATAACTGACTCAAAGTTTATTGAAAAAAATTTCCAATCCCTATATGCCCTTTTAGTGCATTTATATGAAGGTGTTTTATTAGTCGCAAAAAAAATTAATAATACAAGCATAAATAAAATCTCAGACCAATCTATAATAGAAACTCCTTCTCCAAATACCCAAAGGGAGTATGAAACAGAGCTGAAAAAACTTTTGGAATATTTATCTATACAGATTTCAGCTGCTGAAACTTATGTGTTAAGCTCAGTTAATAAATCGAAGATGGCCCGATCGTTTAACCCTAAAGTAAAAATTGAGAATGGCCATCCGTATGTAAATATTGAAATCTCTGTGCCTAGAAGAGAATATACAGAAACTCCTCAATCACTTACAAGTACTTTTATACCTTTTATGGAAAATTATATTTTTTATAATTTTTTTAAAAAAATTAAAAAATATTTATAAACAAAAGGATAAAAATTCCTCGCATTTTTTAAGACAAGATTTAATGAACCGACAAAGCTCAGTCGTTGATATGATCCTTGGGGCTGAAGATATAGAGAGAAATGCTATAAAGCTCGTTAAAAACAGGCTAAAACTATCAGAAAAAGCTGAGATTTTTGATACAAATAATGATACAAAGCGTTCTGATTATGATGAAGATACTTATCAAGACAAAGAAGATGAAAATTTATTGAGCCCAGTCTCAGAAAATTTTACAAGAGAATTTGATGAAATTACAGGGATAAATAATATTAATAAAAAACTGCAGACTATTACAGCAAAAGCTCACCAATTTCGAAAAGTGCTGTCTACAGAAAAAGAAAGCTTAAGAACTTTAAGCTTAGAATTAGCCAAAAAAAGGTATTTCATGTTTAATAGATTTATATTATATTTATTAATGATATTTATTATTAACAGCAAGGCATAATTAGTTTATGGTCTCTTTTAATTGGTATAATAATTATTCAGAATAAAATTAGCCCGAGAGCGGCATAAACTTCAATCATTTGTGCTGACTCCTAAAGTCAAGCACATAAAAAACCTCGAGCTCCCCCCTTTACAAAAAGAAAAGCGGCTCACCTCTACCCCTTCCGCCAAAACAGTCCCAAGTACTCCCAGTAAGCGAAGCCCTACCAGCAGTGCAAAATCCATCATAATGCAAGACTACATCGGCCGCATAAAAGCGATCTATGAATTATAAATATAACTGATATTATTTAACTGCTTTTTGGCTTACATTCATTACAATACCATTGTCCATTTGGCTTGGCCGTCAGTCCTGCACATTGAAAATGAAACCATTCATATTTACAATTTCCCCCATCGCAGGCTACCATTTCTCCATAGCACGGCTTATTACAATAACAATAATTATGCCTTATATTGCTTTGGAACTCCTCATCTAAATACACGCTAAACTCTTCGTCAGCTACTGTCGAGTCTTTTTCTGATTTTTGGCGTTTTAAAGGGGACCCTTCTTCAGATTTCACGTCACTGCTGTATGTTAATAAGTCTTTTTCAAGCCTCCTAGACTCTGTGTCGGCCATGTCTAGGATTTGTTTACTTATAGCGATTTTTTCGTCAGATAAATTAGAGACTTCTTCTTGTTTTTGGCGGATTTTTTGTAAAAGATTCGTGTTTTCGAGCATGGTTTTGCCATCTTTGGTGAGGGTGTTAAAGTAGTCAGTGGTTAAGTATTGGAGCTCTTTGGTGAGCTCTTCTGCTTTGTAGTCGAGCTGCCTGATAAGATCGAGAGAACGTGCTAATTCAATGGGGAAATAATTGATTGAGCTCAGGACTTCTTCTAAATACGACATTATTGATATGGGGGATCATAGAAAAATAATTTTTGTGAAAGTAAGAAGCAACTTTGGGTCTTTTGACTGATTTAGAAGAAAACGAGGATGGGATTGGTGCTTTATGAGATAAAAAATCAATTTTACAAATTTATGATTAATTAATCTTAAATTATTATAGATATGATTAATATGAGAACAGACTATTTAGACTCTTTAACAAACACTGATTTTGACCGCTCAGAAGCTCAACAATTTCGAGGAAAATGCAGAACTGGTGAACACTCTGGCCCTACAACTGGCTTCTGTATGAAATTCGTCCAAGCAAATCTAGTAATCCTCCCAAAATCTTACGCCTACGATTTTCTCCTTTTCTGCCAAAGAAACCCAAAACCGTGTCCTCTTTTAGAAGTGACTGAACAAGGCAGCTACACCCCTTCAATCCTCGCCCCATCAGCTGACCTCCGCACTGATCTCCCTAAATACAACATTTTACAATCCGGGACCATCACTGACCAAGTACCAAATATCTCAGAATATTGGTCAGAAGACCTTGTGTCTTTCTTATTAGGCTGCTCTTTTAGCTTTGAAGAAGCGTTATTATCTGCCAAAATCCCAGTCAGACAAATTGAAGAAAATAAAAATGTTCCTATGTACGCTACTTCAATCCCTTGTAGGGATTCTGGGGTTTTCAGGAATTCTAAGCTGGTAGTGTCTATGAGGCCAATTCCTGTTGAAATGGTTAATGATGCTATAAATGTGACCGCAAGATTTCCTACAGTCCATGGATCTCCTGTGCAGATTGGTAAGCCAGAGGAAATAGGGATTGAAGATATTAATAAAGTAGACTATGGAGAAAGTGTGACTATAAATGAAGGAGAAATACCTATATTTTGGGCATGTGGGGTAACGCCGATGAAAGCTATAATTGATGCGAATTTACCATTTGCGATAACCCATGCTCCTGGGCATATGTTTATCACTGATAAACTAAATTCAGAATTAAATATCTTTTCTATATAAAATTTATATAGCGAATCATGGTAATATCACTAGAAAAATAAAACTTATTGCCTATTAGTATAGAAATTCAGGGATATTTGATTCAAAATAGATCTAATAAAGTAATAAGGTATACAGAAATTTCATATTTTCTTTATAATCTCTAATATGAACGTCGAGATGTCAACTCCTTATTCCCTTCTTCGCAACTCAATAGTAAGGAAAACTTCAATTGACAAAGTAGTCCAAAATATTTATGAAGAAATAAGCAAGCGCGCCACCACAATTGACACTATTGCCTATAGGCATATCCCTAAGATAGCCCAATATGGGCGAGGGATAGAGGCCAAAACTTTCCATTGGGTCTGACCAACTCAGATTAGCCAAACCAAGTGGAAGGAGGCTCATTCGCCACTTACCACTTGGTTTGACCAACTTGAGTTGTTCAGACCAAATGGGAAGTTTTAGTCTCTATCCCTCGCCCATATTGGGCTATCTTAGGGATATGCCTATATATTCTATACTGACTGACCCATCAGAAGAAGTTTTATTTATAGGAGGGGATGGGACTATTGATGTCTATCGGTTGTCTAATTATGAAAAACTTTTCACGCTAAAAGGCCACCAACAAGAGGTCATTGCGCTGGCGATAAAATCTGATAACTCGTGCTTGTTTTCAGGCGGCAGAGATAAAACTATAAGAAGATGGGATATGACGAATAGAAATAATAAGGTTTTATGCCTTGTAAAAAAAATTATATGTCTATATAAAATTTGATAGTCTAATTTATAGGGAAATCTGGCTTTAAAATACCAGAAAAAGACTTTATATATAAAAAATAGTATAGAAGGCCACGAAGACGCGATATCAGCACTTGTCCTGGTTGATGATAACAAGCTAATATCCTCAAGCATAGACAAAACTATGAGGATTTGGGACTTAATTAACATGAAACTGGAAGCAAAGCTAGAGGAAGAAGAAGAAATCTACTCAATTTCATACACAAAGGTAGGAGGACTGATAGCAGCAGCCTGTGAGGACTCTTCAATTAGAATTTGAAGCCTTGGAAAGCTGCAAAGATTATCAATATTAACAGGCCACAGAGATAAAATTATATCCCTCGCCTTTTTGCCTGACGAAAGATATAGAACTTTTTCTTTAATAGCGCGATAAAGCGTGCATCCTGGTTTCACTAAAAGGTCTTTGGACCATGAAAATTTGCTATTCCTTCTCCGTAAGAGATGAAAATAGTGGAAATGAAGAGTTCTGCCCGATCCAGCTTCGATAACTGGAAGGGATTTTTTTGTTCTGAATTAAGAATACCTGAGTTATTGTGGAATTTTTATTTCTTGCAAAAATTTTTAATTTTGCAATTTAAATTGTTTTGACGAGCCAATTCTGGCCAGTACTTGGAAAAAAATTTAATGATTCCCATAATTTTTAATTTTCTGATGACAAGGATAATCAGAAATTTTAATAAATGGCATAGGATCAGAATGTCTGAACTTTAGAATATAATCAATGATAAAAGGCAAGTTTCACATATTGGAAGGTAGGACTATATTAGTAAAATTAAATTAGATATTGACTATGTACTAAAATTTTTAATGCAAGTAGCATTATTCGAAATAAATTTAATTTTATAAAACTTTACTGAATAGTTAATTTTAGTATTTTAAAAAGTTTCTAAAAATGAATTTGTGCTCGAGTCCAGAAAGCGGAAAATGAAGGAATTAAAAGGCTGTTTTTAAATTTTTGATGATCAGAAATTTTATTTATTAATAAATTTTAAAAAAAAATAATTATTTTAAAACAATTTAAAAAATTAGTATTTTATTTTAAAAATATTTTTTTACAAAAATTTTTTTAAATTGATATAATTATTTTAAAATTTTATTTTTTAACATTTGAAAAAAAATTTAAAAATATTATAAGAAGAAAATTTTAATATCATTAGTAAAGTTTGTAAAGAACAGCAAGCGCATAGCACAAACTTTGGCTTTTATAAAGCAGTTAATTATAATTAAATTGGCATCATTCATCTAGAAATCTATCCTTCCGTTTAAAAAAAACACAACTCGATCAACAAGTTTTTAATTATAACTCCATTTTAATTTTCTAACGAAAAACCATATGAGTCATTACTAAGTTCGTAAAGAACAACAAGCGCTTACTCCCCCCCCCCTCCGTGAGTGAACAAAAAAATTTTGTTCACTCACGGAGGGGGGTTAATTTTTTTTTTTAAAAAAATTTATATATAAATTTTATAAAAAATATTTTTTTTCGAAATTTAAAAAATCCTAATTCACAAAAATTGGAAAGCAAATATTAATTTAATTTATAAATTTATGTTTTAAAAAGCAATTCGTTTAAAATTAACAGAATTAGCTCTAGATTTCATTATACTAATTATCATTTATATATCAAAATTTTTTTCCATAAAAAATTTTTCTATTAAAATAATTTTTGTTCACTCACGGAGGGTGGTTTTTTGGGCAAAAATAGGAATTTTTCTAATGGTTTTGTTCACTCACGGAGGGGGGGGGAGTTAGCACAAACTTTGGCTTTTATAAAGCAGTTGATCATAATTAAATTTGCATCATTTATTAAGAAATATATCCTTCCTCAAAAACACAACTCGATCAGCAAGTTTTTAATTATTAACTCCATTTTAATTTTCTAACGAAAACCATATGAGTCATTACTAAGTTCGTAAAGAACAACAAGCGCATAGCACAAACTTTGGCTTTTATAAAGCAGTTAATTATAATTAAATTGGCATCATTCATCTAGAAATCTATCCTTCCGTTTAAAAAAACACAACTCGATCAACAAGTTTTTAATTATTAACTCCATTTTAATTTTTTAATTCATATCATCTGTGACTTTAAATATGAAAATACCCCTCAGGGAGCGAGTTTCTATGAAAAATTAAGTGTTGAATTATTTATCAATCCAGCAGCATAATTAATTGATAATCAAAAATTTAAATCAACATGACGCATATTTAAGCAAAGATCTAACTCCCCCCCCCCCCCTCCGTGAGCGAACAAAAAAATTTTGTTCGCTCACGGAGGGGGGTTAATTTTTTTTTTTAAAAAAAATTTATATATAAATTTTTTATAAAAAATATTTTTTTCGAAATTTAAAAAAATCCTAATTTGCAAAAATTGGGAAGCAAATATTAATTTAATTTGCAAAATTTATGTTTTAAAACGCAATTTGTTTAAAATTAAACAGAATTAGCTCTAGATTTCATTATACTAATTATCACTTATATATCAAAATTTTTTTCCATTAAAATTTTTTCTATTAAAAAAATTTTTGTTCACTCACGGAGGGTGGGTTTTTTGGTCAAAAAATGGCGATTTTTCTAATGGTTTTGTTCGCTCACGGAGGGGGGGGGGGGGGAGTAAGCGAAATTAATAACATTTATGCTTACTTTCACTATTTTTTAAGTTTGTTTTTTTGATCTTGTGCGATTTATTAAAATTTCTGATCATCCTTAACATCAGAAAAATAAAAAATTATGACAATTATTTATTTTTTTTCATTTCATGTGCTAGCCAGAATTAACTCGTCAGAACCATTTGACGAACCAAAACCTATTAAAATTAAAAAATTTTTGCAAGAAATAAAAATTCCACAATAACTCAGGTATTCTTAATTCAGAACAAAAAATCCCTTCCAGTTCTCGAAGCTGGATCGGGCAGAACTCTTCATTTCCACTATTTGCCTCTCTTATGGAGAAGGAACAGCAGATTTTCATGGTCCAAAGACCTTTTAGTGAAACCAGGATGCACGCTTTATCGCGCTATTGAAGAGAAAGTTCTATACCTAATATCAGGAGGGTGGGATAATACAGTTAGAATATGAGACGTAAGTGAATTAAGGTGTATAGATGTACTGGAAGGGCATAATGACAAAGTTTACTGTGTAGCTGCTACGCATGACGCTAAATATTTTTTTTCTTCAGGAAGAGATAAGTCAATAAAAATTTGGGATGGTCAAAATAGAAAATTAGTATGCAATCTTGAAGAGTTAGGAGAAAGCACAACCACTATGTTTGTGTCACAAAAGAATACGTATTTAATATGTGGAGCTGATTCCAGAGTCTGAATATGAAGATTAAGCGAGCAATACATTGATTTCGAGCTTTCTGCACATACAGGGAAGGTTACATGTTTATTAACAGTCCCATCAAGTCCTGAAAAATTATTCTCTTACTCCCCCCCCCCCCTCCGTGAGCGAACAAAACCATTAGAAAAATCGCCATTTTTTGACCAAAAACCCACCCTCCGTGAGTGAACAAAAATTTTTTTATATAGAAAAAATTTTAATGGAAAAAAATTTTGATATATAAGTGATAATTAGTATAATGAAATCTAGAGCTAATTCTGTTTAATTTTTAAACAAATTGCGTTTTAAAACATAAATTTTGCAAATTAAATTAATATTTGCTTCCCAATTTTTGCAAATTAGGATTTTTTTAAATTTCGAAAAAAATATTTTTTATAAAATTTATATATAAATTTTTTTTAAAAAAAAAAATTAACCCCCCTCCGTGAGCGAACAAAATTTTTTTGTTCGCTCACGGAGGGGGGGGGGGGGAGTTAATAAAGAATAAGGCCAAAATATAAAAAAATTATTTTTTTTATAATATTTTTCGAAGATAGAATAATTTCAGCTGGAAATGATAGAACACTGTGCCTGTGAGGAATCGAAGATTTAAGCCTGCTAAAGCAAGGAAAAGGGCATAATGGCTCTATTTGAACACTAGCTTATAACAAAGAAATCAACGCTGTAGCTAGCGGCAGTGAAGATTGCTCAGTAAGAATCTGAAAGATAGATGAACTTAACAGCGAAATGGCACTAATTGGCCACACTGACGCAATTTTCTGCTTAAGTTTCTACAATAAAGGAAAAAACTTAATTTCAGGCAGCAAAGATTGCAGTCTACGTACTTGGGACTTAGAAAAAGCAGTTGAGCTCAGAAAACAGCTATGCGACGACATAGTAATCTGTACAGCTCTCTCACATGACGAAAATGTCCTAGTCGTCGGCTGTGGCTCTAACGTAGAAATCAGAAAATTTCCTTCTTTGCAGCTTAAGGTTTCATTAAAAAAGCATGACTTGCCTGTGACCACCATTTTAATGGTGCAGGATACCCATATAATTTCAGGCAGTGTTGACGGAAAAATCATTATTTGGAGCATTGAGCTCGAAATGTTCGAAACCGTCCTACAGTCCCACACAGCAGAAATCACCTGTTTAGCCAAAACTCATAATGACCGCTTTTTGATTTCTTCTTCAAAAGATGGATTTATTCGCTTCTGGGATATTACGTGGCGAAAAGAAATAGCCTCAGTTCCTCTAGGAAGTCCTATATCAAGCGTCACCTTATGCGCTGGATTTTTATTTGCAGGTATGGGTAAAAGTGTCCTGGCTATGAAAAACCCTCTGTCGAAACAGTCAAAAATCAAGCTCTTTGGGCCAGTTCCTTATTCTTTACCATTAGCGAGGTATATAAAAGAATTTATTGATGATTCTGCACATCCTCCTCAGTTTCGAGAAGATATGAATAAATGGACTATTATGCCATGACGTATAAATATGATCCATTTATATTGTTATTATGGAAATGCAAAATATGTGAAGCAAGGATTGTCAAGTGGCTGCAGCTTTATTAAAAATAAGCTGGAAGAGACACCACTATATATGAGTATGAAAAGGGGGAACCAGAACTGTGTAGAAGCCATTGCAAAACATGTAGCGACTGAGCTGGAATTTTATCCTGGCGTGCTTAATATTTTAGAAGATGAGCTGCCATTGTTAAATTTAGCTGCCCCTAAGTCTTTACCAATTTTTTACCAAAAAGTTTTTCAGCAGCCAAAACAGGTGCTTCCACCCTTTGGGATCCCAAAAGGAAAAGTCCCCCTTTATCATCTGTCAAAAGCACCTTTAATTGAGCCTAAACATTTTATCAAACATAACAAGCCAGGGAGTAGCGATACTTTTGATGAGTCTCATAATGAAAAAAGGGTCGTTTTTAGGATATCAGCATTCCGTATGAATTTTGAGATGGGCTCTAATCAGGGCATGCAGTTTGTCAAAAGCTTGACAAAATGCAAAAACGCTGATGTCTTTGGGACTCCTTTTGTCCAAGGATATTTATAGCCAATTTTATAAATTTATACAGGAAATTATTAAAAATTAACTATTTTTATGTAATAAAATTAATTTTCGGCAAAATAGAGAATATATTATTACTACTTTGAGAATACAATATAAATGAAATATCGTCAAGATTTTTTTACAATGTCAAGCCATTTTATATGCAATTCTTATGCTTCTTTTAAGCTTGCATGTGATATATAAAGACGAATATCCAGGACTTATGGGAGGAATTTTAGCTATAAATACCATCTTTACAGTCTATGAGGCTTTTCAAATGACGATTGGGCCTCTTTTATATCTGAAAAGCTACACAAACATCCTGGACATGCTTAAAGTTACTTTTATTTATATTTATAGCATCATTTATTTCGCAGACTCTTCTTCACCTATATTTTTAGGCATCGTCGTTGGGCTGGTATGAACCCGAGGCTTCACCTATTTTCGTGCATTTGACCCAACCCGATACCTAATCCGAATGATTCAAGAAATTATATTAGACATCGTCCCCTTTATGATAATCTTGGTATTTTCTACCCTTGGTTTTTCATTTTTATTCATAAGTCTTTCATCAGATATCTCTTTTACTAGAAAATTTATTTATTTGTTTTTTAAAAATATCATAATTCCTACACAAAATAAAGCTAATTTTTTTAATAAGGCAGCTTATTTTTCTTTATAAATATATGACTTTTATAGACGCGTTTTTACAAGTTTATCGCCTTGACTATGGAGATTTCGACACAGAAAGCTACACAACCTCTCAATGGTTTTGCTTCTTAATCGCGTCTGTATTAAACCCTCTGATTATGCTGAATTTATTGATTGCTATTATGGGAGACACCTACGATAGAGTCCAGAATTCCTTTTTAGTTGCAAATATGCATGAAATTGCAGATGTAATTTTAGAATACGAGTCATTGCTATTTTGGAAGCGAAATAAAACGAAAAAAATGTACTTCCAAGGCTGCACAGTCTTTGAAAAAGAATATGTCCAAGACTCGTGGCAAGGAAAAGTGAGGGAATTAAAGCTGCAGATCCAAAAGCTAGAGACACTTACAAGTAGAAATGAGGTAAAGATTGACTCGCTTAGCGATAACGTAAAAACGCAGCTTTCCAAGATACGCGAGGACAATAAAATAAAATTCGAAAGCATAGAAGGCAAGCTTGAACTTCTGCTTGCCCGTATGAGAATAAACCGCTAATAGTAGATAATATGAATAATTATGAATTCTATTTAAATCAAATGCAAATCATAGATTTTCTATTGAAAACTATTTTCATATACCTTCCTAAAGAATTTAATCAAAATCTGGGAAAAATAAGAAATAATGAAGGCAAAATCCTTCTAACCTCACAAGAATAGACACTAATTAGACTAAAAATGATAGGTAATATGATTAAATTAATGATTTCTGACGATCTCATCAACTATCATATCAAAATGCGGAGTTCCTGAAATCTCCACAGCGCCTGGGTAGGCCACAATTTGTTCATCAGTAAATGTTACACCTGCAGGCACAGGCAGCTTGAACCCTCCTGACAGTGTCAATTGTTCATTTAAATATGTGGCAATTGAATAAATGCACCAGTTAAGCGCCATTTGGACTCTGCTGATATTAATAATTCCAATATTACTGTTTTGGGCTACAATATTAGTGATAGTTGTGCTGCTTGAATCGACATTTGGAATTAAATAAAGTCCAGTCTTTTCTTCATTTAAGGTAGCAGTAAGCACTGAATTTAGCTGGAATTGGAGCCTGAAGGCTGCTGGGTGGGATGTTGAGCTTTGCATAGCTAAGAAGTCACAGTAAACAGGAGCTGTAATGTAAACTTCGTCAGTCATAAAAATGTTTGGAGGGTTATAAACTTGGCAAGAAGTGTCAATTGGGATATTTTGGCCGTAAACTTTGGCAATATTAGGAAGAATGGAGGCTAGGCCAGTTGTAGTCATTTTGAATGGTAAAGAACTAGGAGCTTTTGCACTTGGGATATAAAGGTTGAGCTGTCCTGACTGCTGAAGACCCCAGATGTAGGTGTCAAAGAAGTATTCGGAGTATTGGACTTTTAAGGTATTAGTGGTCTGGAAGCTTGGAGGGGAAGTTGCATAGTAAGGAGGCTCAATGTACGGACCAAGATAGCAGGTACCGTTAAGATCTCCTTCAATATAAGAGGAGGAGACTCCAAAATTGAGGAAGTGGTAGTCTGCTGTCATGTTGGCGCCATTCAAGGAATCAACATAAGAAATCTTAGCTAGGATTGTTTTTATTGCTGGGCTTAAGTATTGTCCCATAGTGCTGAAGAAGTTGGAAGCAATGTTGGTCTTGAAAGGCCAGATATCTCCGACAAGCTGCATCATTTTGTAAATTGGGTTTCTTGCATGGACTTTCAGTTTAATAGCGCTTAAAGTACCAGTGATATATTGTTTTTCTTAAATTATTATATATATTTTTTCTATAAATAATTAGGATAAAATACAATTAAACTGGTATAGTTTGAACTGCTGCGGATAAAGTCCCATCAGAATTTACAGTGACAGCAAGTGGGATCGTGAAATTTCCATTTGTCAAAGAAATTTCGACGGTTCCTTTGCTTGAGGCCAAAAGCCAGAAAGTCAAGTTGCCATTCATGACAAAGCTGAGGTTGGTTATGGCTAAGTTAATCGTATTTGTTTTTGGGTTTAACACAATCTGAGTGTTGCTTGGCTTAAGAGTGAAGCTTGAGAAATGGAGATTAGTGACGTTGTATGTAAACACAGAAGTGGTGACAAGATGCTGCTTGACACTGTAACTTGCACACTTCTTAATATAGCTTTGGATGTATATTTTTTATAATAAATAAATATTTTATGTGAAAGTTTATACCAATTTATAATAAGTTATTGCCTATGATATTTATTTTATTAAAATTAATTAATTGCTATTAATGGGTATATAAATAAATCAATATTTATTTGTAGAAGAATAGTCGTTTTTAAAGTTTTCGATTGCTGCTTGATCAAGAGTGAAACGAACACCTGGATTCACAGCACCGTAAATAAGTGGGATCAGAAGGAAAATACTCAACAAGGCTACCATATTTATATTAGCTGACATAAGGTTGAGATATTTAGGGAAAATTCAAAAGGATTTTATTCATTTCTGATAGGAGGGTTTATTTAAGGAAAATAAAAAGAGCAAGTAGATTTAACATTTTATTCAACAATTCTAATTTTAAGTTATTGGAAAGCCAAAATGGCGAATGTTTAAAAAGGATTGAAAGAGCTATAAGAAACCCAGTATTTAGTGATTTATATAATAAATTAATGTAGAAAGTGTAGATGTCTTCGATTTAAAAGTAAAATTAATTGATGGGAAGAAGGATGAGAAATTGAATTAAGGTTGGAGTTCATAGGCAAAATGGTGATAGGAATTTGAGATCAAGATATTTTAGCTTATCCCTATTTCCTTTAAATTGGAATAAGATTACGGTAAAATTTCCATTTTTTGAAGCCCTGAAACAATTTTAATTTTTCAATAGTGATATTACGAATTATTATATGCATTATTGGCGAAAATGCAAATACTATTTAAACAGTCACGCTGAATCTCTTGAATTAATTTCATAAAAAGAAATTAAATTTTAAAATTCTATATCAACTTATGCATTTTTGAAAATATAAATTAATATGAACCCTTTAAATCGAAACAGATTTTTTCCAATTTAAAAGTGTAAGTTTAGAACAGATAATTCGAAAGTCTGAATAATAAAAATACTAGCATTTTAGAATAAAATGGGCAGATTGTTTATAGGTATCTACTTGAACTCTAACAAAATCATTCAGGATGTTTATCTTAAAAGTTAAAAAATTAGCTTTAATAGAGGTGTTTGCGGTGAACTATACTAACTCTTCTTTATCTTATTCAACCTTGGTGATCCATATTTGTTGAAAACTTGAAAATGAGCTGAGAATGCATCTTCCCAATCAGACTGAGTACTTTCTTTGGGGCGAAGCCACAACTTTAATTATACTTGGTAGTAATTTTTTCGATTTCTAAGGAAGCCTGAGCTTTGATCGTCTCAATAGGATATATAATTTGAGAATAGCCTCTATTAGCTTGTACCTCATCACCAATGTAAACTTCTTTTTCTTCTGATCTTACAATAATTCCGTTTTTTTTGTACGGCCGACGATGCTTGAGAATACTATCCTCGGAACATCATCGCCAGTTATGCCAGCTCCTAGCATTCCTAGTCCATTGTCAATGATGAGAGCTCGGACATTCTGATAATCCAACCTGTGGAGTCCTAAACTATAATGAAAATGGCTCTGATAAAAATATTGAAAATCCCAAGAATAAATTTTTACTTTCAAATTCAAAAATAATAGTAAGAAATGATTAGCTGTAATTATTTTACAATTATAAAACTGAAATAGAGTGTTAAAATGCAAATTATATCTATCTGCTTAAAATGTGATTATATTATTCACTTTGAATGTATATTAGTTTAAATAAAATGGCACTTAATAGGTAAGAGAGAGCATTCTTAAAATAAAAATAAGCTCCATATATTATTAAAAATTAAATTATATTCAAAAGATATAAATTCTAACCTCATCGAAAATGCTATTACCAATCATCAACAATTTTTATAGTTCTCTTGATTTTTCTTACTCCCTCGATGAACGACAAGAAAATTTTGTTCGCTTGCAAAGGGGTAAATTTTTCTATTAAAAATTATATATATAGGAATTCTCATAAAATTACCAGGAAAGGGTAGATATTGGAGACAAAAACTCTCTAATTGGCTGGATCTGCTCAAGTCAGTAAATCAACTGGAAAGAGGCTTATTTTTCCAACTCTCCAGCTGGTTTAACTATACTTGTTGGCCCAACCAATTGGAAAGCTTCTGTCTCCAAGCACTTGCCAACTAGAGAATTCCTACATATTTTTTGTTAAATTTTTGTTTCAAAATTTAAAAAAATCCAATTAATTTAATTTGTTAAATTTAAGTTTTAAAAAAATGCAAGTCTTTTAAAATTTAACAGAATTAGCTCGATGTTAAATGATAGCAAATATCATTAATATATTAAAAATATTTTTTCATAAAAAGTTTTGCTCATTCACGAAGGGTGGCTTTCGGCTAAAAGATTTTAATTTTTTCTATGGTTTTGCTCGCTCCCAGAGGGCAGAGTTATGATTCTTTTTTCTTCCCCATCAAATTTCATTCAATTTCCTATTTTATTTCTCGATTTTTCTATCTCTTCTCAACTATAGCCTATAATATCATTTAGCTCACCATAGACCCTAAATCTCTTGCCTAGCTAAAAATAACCTTCTTTCTAGTTATCAAGCACTATCTATATTGCCACTTGCTGCGTGCTAAGTTGTATATAAATTATCTTCCTTCACCTTTTCTTACCTCTCCTGCTTCAAACATGCTTTACTTTTCATTCTCTAAGCCAATCCACATTAAATTAATTTAAAATCCTTCTATAAACCTATATATTCTTTTACAGTCCAAATAGTATATTTCTTCAACATATATAAATGTGGAGAGTAATTCTCTTTCTAAGCATTGGGGTGTTTTCTTTATGCCCAACTTATAATTGTCACTCCGGAGGATTCGACCTAGGAAATACGTGCGCATTTGTTACACCGAGCAAAAACGTCCTGATGCAGATCTGCGACGAAAATAATCTCGCACCCATGTGTATGGTGAATCCACAAATTTTCAATAACTTCACATGTGGCCAAGTTCCTCCATACACCGCTCCTTTGGCTTATCCTGGAGAATCTTGCCGTGCCGATTCCCAATGTAGATCTGGGCAATGCTACCAAAACGTGTGTCAAGGCAGGTAAATATTAAAAAAATATATGATGATCATTTATAAAATTTTTTTTCAATACAAATTTTAATATAATTTATTGGTTCCTTCACACGAGGTCTACTCCATAAAGACTATTTTTTTTTTGGCCTAAATTTTTTTTGGCCTATTTTTTTTTTGGCCTATTTCATGACGACTATATTTTTGGCCTATTTTTTTTTGGCATATTTTTTTTTGGCCTACTTTTTTTTGGCCTAATTTTTTTTTGGCCTATTTCTTTTTAGCCTATTTTTTTTTGGTCTATTTTTTTGTAACCTATTTTTTTTGACTTTTTTTTGGCCATTAAAAGCTATTTTTTACTAATATTTGGGCCTAATTTTATACTAATGAGAAATACATCCGTTACCCATATATTATTTAGTTCTCTCAGCAGCTTCATGAATTATCCTCGATAGAAAAAATAGACCAAAAAAAAATAGGCCAAAAAAAATAGGCTAAAAAAAAATAGGGCCAAAAAAAAAAATAGGCCAAAAAAAAATAGGCCAAAAAAAAAATAGTCGTTATGAAATAGGCAAAAAAAAAATAGGCCAAAAAAAATAGGCCAAAAGCCAAAAAAAATTAGGCCAAAAAAAAAATAGGCCAAAAAAAAATAGGCCAAAAAAAAATAGGCCCAAAAAAAATAGGCCAAAAAAAAATATGCCAAAAAAAATAGTCGTTATGGAGTAGACCTCGTGTGAAGACACGAATTTATTATTAATTTTATATGAAATTTTTATTTTAATTTTTTTTCTAATGATTTTTCTGAGAAAATATTTACATATAATTTTTTTTCCACCTGCCAAGGCCAAGCTCTAGGTTACAGCTGTATAAGTGATGCTGATTGCAATGTCGGCCTCCATTGTGGGATGGGTGGACTGTGCACAAAACAGCACCCTTACAATCAAGAATGCAACTCAGACTACGACTGCCAGAATGGCTTTGGCTGCAACAGGACTATGTATGCCTCAGGCGCATGCTTGCCTTATTATGGAGTCCAGAATGGAGAAGCAGTAGGGATCTGTGTGGACGTTTTAGGGGAAGGAAACTCAAATCTTTGTGAGTCAGGGTCATGCATGCCTATTTATCCAGGGACTAACGCAGAAGGAATTTGCCAGCCAAGCTTTAGAAGTGCAGGAACTTACCCGATGACTTGTCAGGTTGATTCTGACTGTATAGGAACCAATGGGGTAAATAAACTAACAGGAGCTTGCCAATGTGGAATGGATAAGGACGGCTTAGCTTATTGCAGTGCCTGGAGTGGTGATTTACCAGCTTATACAGTTAGAAGCATACTAAAACAGCATGTAAACTCAACTGCAATTAACAATTGTCAAACTATGAGAAGATTCAGCCAATCTTGCTTAGCCCAAACACTGACACCACCAGAAATTTACAATTTCACCCAAAACAATTTATCGTTTTTCCAATAAATTCGAGCTTTTTCAGAAAAATCTTATTTATTTTTTTATAAAAATCATAGAATTCACAAATTTTTATTAAAATTACTATTTTATAGAACAGAATATTAGCTCAAGAAACTGCCCGCTACCAAGGTAACGACGACTGCACTCAGGCCATTTTTAACACAAGATACTGGGGTGTAAATACCAACTCTTTTACATGCAAAGCTTACAGCTGCGGTACTGGTGCTCAATGGACAAATGAAGCCTGCATTGCTTACCAAGAAGCTACCAACCACTTCGCCTTAAAAGACTGCCCAACAGGCCAATACTGCAACGTCGCCCAATCACAAGCTAACAAATGGACTAATGCGACCTGCACAACCCCTCCTACCTCAGCTCCATTATACCCAGGCGACCCTTGCAAAGTCAACACTGACTGCATTTCAGGCGTTTGCAGCACCAAAGGCCTTTGTGTAGGCATCGGATGGGACAATCAAACAACCTGCGCTGATGATTCTCAATGTAACCCAGGGCTTTACTGTGTAGAAAATGCTAATAGTGTTTTACAATTTACCTGCCAGCCACTTATTAAAGTAGGACAATCTGGCTGTGCTTCAGAATTTGACTGTGTGCCTAACGCAAACTGTAATTTTACTATGAATAATTTCCCAGGGACCTGTGTCGCTTATTTTTCAGCACCTAATGGTACTCCAGTCCCATGTGCAGTCTCAGGATATTCAAGTTTCTGTCAGAGTGGAGCTTGCTATAATGCTGGGTTCAGCGATTTAGGAGTTTGTGCCCCAGCCCCAGTTTCTCAGCAATTGCCTAACTCTTGTGTTACAAGTAACAGCTGCATGGCCATGAATTCTTTGGGTCAAACGTTCCAGGGAACCTGTACATGTGGATATAACCCAACTGGGACCAGCTACTGTTCAGCTCACATTGGAGACGCCCCAGGAAAAGCTTATTTGACTGTTGCAAAGGTACTTTACTCTTCACCAGGTATGACAAACTGCCAGACAAGCCGAAGGCATTATTCCGACTGTTTAGACAGAGTCGCTGCCACTTTGGGACAGAATACCAATGTGTATTATTCAGCAATTTTGAATTTCACTAATTACCCATTATATATCAACAACGACAACTGTGTGAAATCCATAATTACCTATGACTTCTGGACTCATCTCCCACCTACACCAACCCCTCCTACTCCTCCTCACAACGACACGTCATCATCTGGAATTTTAATCTTGGGACTTGGCTTATTCTTCGCATTCCAATAAGACTAATAGATCTTTTAGAATAAATGTTTAAAGTAATAGCATATGGTCTTTTACTGGTCTGTTTACTTGTCTATTGTGCTTATCAAGCTATCATAAACCGTAGCAAGATCTCGGGATTCATTGAATATGTCACTCCTCCTAAGTACTCTCCAAATAACCCAAAAGTAAGCACTGTATCGAAAAAGTATATTACCCCGAGAATTAATAATGCAACAGAAATAATTGATTTTAATAGAGATTTTCCTGTCCCATCTTTGCCTTTTCGGTTAGATGATACAGATTTGCTGAAGGCTGAAGAACTGACATGTGAGCCGGAGTCTTTTGGGTATTCTAGAGAAAAAGGGGAGCTAGTTTTTCCAGAGTATATTTACCCAAAATGTTCTCAAGTAAACAACCAAAACGACACACGCTTAAAAATCAATGACGGATTTCTTTATATGGACTGTCCTGGAAAATTTAAAGGGAGATATGTGACTGGACCAGTCAATAGTCAGAAATTGGCAACCCAAGATGAGCTTTATGACCTTTGAGAAGTCCACGACTACAAAAAGCCTGCAAAGCTCTCTGAAAACACAGAATTTGCTATTGGTTCATGTGAAGAAAACCCTACAAAAACTTACAAAGAAGCTTACATGACCCCGAATTTCAATGAGCCAGCCTATAAAGAAGCAAAACAAAAAGTCACAGGTAAGCCAAAGATCATATTTTTGCTGACCTTGGACTCAGTATCTAGACGGCACTTTTTCAGAAAGCTTCCAAAGACAATAGAATATTTAAACGGACTTAATAGAAAAGACGAGTATTTTGTATTTGATTTTAAGCTGCACAATATTTTAGGGGCCACGTCAGTAGGCAACCAGGTGCCGATTTTTGGTGAAAAAGAAAAATACAATGAAGATTATGGCGGAAGTAAAAATATTGATTATATAGGAGAAACTGCTTTATGAAATATATTGAGGGAGCATGGATATATTAGCTTAATTGGCTTAGAAAATTGTGATAATTATTTTCCTAAGTCGTTAGGAAGAATTCCACATGCGGATTATGTGATAAATCCGTTTTATTGTGCTGTTTATAAATATACAGATTATAAACTTGATATAGAATTTGCATTGAAGCAAAGATGTTTAGGAGCTTATATGACTCATTATTATGCTTTAAATTATACTTATAACTTGGCAGGGATGAATCAAGGGGTAAATCAGTTTCTTTATCTGCATTTAAATGCTGCCCACGAAGCTACAGGGCTGCATGCAGCTACACTTGATGAGGATTTGCCTGATTATTCTTTTTTCCTCTAAATTTACCTAGATTATACCTTATAATAAGTAATTTTTTTTAAAAATACCAGTCAATTTAATGCAGTTTATATAGAAAAATTTTTAACTTCTTATGGCAAAACTCACGATATTTCAATATTTTTAGGTGCTGACCATGGCATGCGCTATGGAGACTGGTTTAAAGAGCTTTCCGCCTATCAAGAGCATAAGCTTCCAAGCTTATTTTTAATCACAAATAGAGAATTTTTATCAAAATTCCCAAATGCTTATGAAGCTTTATCAATGAACACCTTAAGATTGACATCAAAGCGTGATATCAGAAAAACCCTGCTGTACATGGCAGGAATTGATGAAAACACTGAATTTGGGGTCAATTTAATGAAAGAAATCTCTCCTAAAGCCAGAACCTGCAAAGACGCAGGTATCAAACCATTAGAATGCTCCTGCTCTCAAATGCTACCAGTTGAAAACCCTGACCCTGAATTTAAGCATTTTCTAACCAGACTGCAAAACCTTGTAGAAGTAACCATAAATGCTCAGTCCTATGCAAGTCCTATACACAGTAAAGGCTCTATCTGCCAAAAAGTCTATATAAATCAAATAGAAAAAGCTTATTCTCTACAAACTTCTAATGTCGAAGAATTTATCCGCATTGAAATGTCTGTGATTGGACACCCAAAAGTAAGGTTCCAGGCAACTATCTTTGTGAGTTCTTATTATTCTGATTTATTGACGTATTCTTCTATGAGATATAACTCAAATGCTGAGGTGTTTAGGTCTTCAAGAGTAAGAAGCAAAATTATTAATATTTCGAGGCTTGATAAATATGCAGGAAAATGCGAACTTATTGCAATTAATGCGGGGCTTAGAGCGGATACTTGTTTATGTACTGATGAAGTATTAGAAAATATGCTTGTAAGGGGTAAATAGGAGAATTATTTGGATAAAAAAATAATTTTTATATTAATAGGTAGGGGAGGATAGTTAATTAATATCGATATCTATAATTATACTGTGTTGAATAATCCCAAGTGGGAGATGATAATTCTGACCTGGAATTATAAGTAAATTCATCCTCATATCGCTGCGAACTTGTAGGAGATGTCTGTGGAGAGCTAAATAATTTTTTAGCTGTAATCAGCCGATGAGCTTGGCCATGGTCTCCATAAATTGCTTTGAATTTGTCAGTGGTTGAGTAGTCGAAGTCAAAGGTGAATTTTCTTTTGTAATCTTCATGATTTTTGTTGATAATAAAAAAATAAATATTTTATATGATTTTTGGTACTGAAAGCTGTTATTTTTGTAATTAATAGTTAATTTGCAATAGAAAATAAAGTGCTGTTCTAGGAGGTTTATTCTCAATTTATTCACAGTTTTATATATATGTAGATAGGAATATTGCAACAACAAAAAATTTTTTATTTTGTTGATTCTTAAATCATAATCAACTAAAAATTGCTGCTGAGGTCCTAATACACTTCCAGGTCTGCAAATTCTGCACCATCCTATGAAATCTTCAGCAGGGAAACTATAATTTTTTATAGCATAGCAGCCTATCAATGTCCCAGTTCTTCCTAAGCCTGCTTTGCAATGCACAGCAACTGCGCCAACTTCATAGTCCACAATTTGGTTAAAATTCTCCACAATTTCATCTATGGGACAGCTTCCATCTAAAAAAAATATTCCAATTTCTGTCAAATTCTCTGCATAAAATCTACAGAAATATTATATTTTTTAAAATTTTTACCTTATTAATTTTCATTGTTTTGCTATATAATTCATAATGGTTAATCCCATACCTAATAAACCTCCCTTCGTCATATGTCTTCTCATTAAGCCTTATTACAGCTGAAATTCCTATTCTCTTAAATAAGTTCACATAATCCTCTGGCGACCAATTTCCTGTCTCATAATTATTCGAAGGGCAACTAAATGCCAATAATTTCCCTGGAATAATTCAGTTTAGGTCTCCGTTTTCTATTTTTTCATGATATTCCACAAACTCTCTGTCAAAATTGTAATAATCAAACCAATTTAATTGAATTGCTTTTTCAAGACCCCGCAAGCAGTGCAAAATTGTGCAATCATAATAGCAGGGTCCGAACAAAGCGTCACGAAATGGGACAAAAGGAGATTGTAAAGCAAAGCGACGCCAAGCTTCATTCGCAGATTTTTTTAAAACGATTACTTGGAATGCAGAGATTAAAAACGCTGCATTTGCTCTTTTCGCTTGATTTGTGGAACAGTAGTGAAAAATTTGAAGATTTTGATAGCGAGAGTCACAGAGAAGTTTCTCCAAGTTTGAGCAGTACCGATGAATCATAGAGAGATTTAATGGGCCAAAATCTTGGCAAAATGCGATATATTGAAGTTCCTGAGTTGTAAATTACATCGTCAATGCTGAAACAACAGGTATAATCGTCAGAAGGCGGAGGTGCGTAATCACAAATTCAAAAAAGACGGTTTGGGATTATCTCCACTATAGAGCTCATAGGAATTAAATTATATTCAATAAATTTTAAATATGATAAGACATTTAAACGCTATTTGATAGCTTTATAGCCCTAGCAGCATATTTGAGAGACTCTAGTAATTTTAAGCCTTGAATATATTAAAATAAATTGCTAACTTCTTCCTCTGTGTGTAAGGAAAAAAGCTTTGCTGATAAATTTTTTTCTGGAGTTTGATGCTGGAGTAAAAGCAGAAGATGTCATTGCCAAAATATAAAACATGTCTAACTCAAAATTTTGATATAGTTTTAGTTGAGAAAATCCTATATTTGATAGAGATATGGCAATTAGTTCCAAAAAATAGCCTTATTGATTCTTTGCCATATAGCCTACATCATTCTGAACTAAAAGATGACTCAAATAGCATAGATTAATTGATAAACTCTTATCGAAATCAAAAATAAAAATAATAAAACTAAATGAAAGAATTTTTAGCTGTTTTATAACAAATAGAAAGCTTTCCATATGTAAGATATTTTTTTGCACATGTCAAACTTGCTAATTGGCTTGCTTTTAAATTTTAAAAAGTTTTGAGCAGGTGGAGTAGAATTCCACACGCGTAAGGCAGCAAGAAATTACAGCAATGCATTATCAGTTTTATGCAAGAAATTGAATAAAGAAAAGCATATTCTTTCAATTAGATTATTTAGCTTACATAAGCAAAAGCTTAATTTATTAATTATAATTTTATTAAACACTCTTAATTATTTATTAAATAGATCAATAGATAATCTTTTATTAAATTTATATATATTGTTGGGACTTCAAAGGATTAGATAATTCTTCATTTTAAGATATTATTTGAAATTTCCTTATTCAAAATGGTTTTTATTATATACAATTGCCTTAAGCGAAATAGCTATCTAAAGAAAATATATTTTCAACCTATATGATAATGATGATTTTTCAGCATTCGCTTTTTTCCTTTAAAAATCGCGAAAACAAGTTTTACAGCAATAATTCCCTATAAATCTTATTTACCAAATCAATATTGAATTCCAAAATAGTGCTCTTATGTGTAAGAGCTTAATAATCATATATTCTCAATAAACAAATTTTTATTAAAATTCTGTCAAGTTTATCATTCTTATTTTATGCCATTTATTATCTCACTAAAATATTAATCGAATAGATTTATTAATATTTATTTAAGAAATTTAGTTTAAAACAATTGCGAAATTCTATTAGATTGTTCTCAAAAATATTACTTCCAGATGTGATAGTTGAAAAATTTTATCTAGCAAAATTAATGATATTGAATGCCACACTGTAAGATGCTAGAATTATATTGGCTAGAAATTTTTCCTTAATAGAATTAATTAAATTATTTCCTTTTAGAAGTAAAAATTATAAATTTTTTGGTTAATTATTAAAAGCTGTTTCGGCCTGAGGCTTTTAAGAATATTGCTTAATCAACTACTTAATTCGATTTAAAATTGATTAATTATAAGTCCCTGTAAAAATTTCTGATTTTCTGACAGAAATTAGTTGCAAGTTAACTGAAAAATTTTTCTAACCATCTTAATTAAATATCATCTATTACAAAATTCCTTAAGCAATAAGATTAATCCTTTAGCTCTATAAGAAATTCGATTTTTCTTTTTAATAATTATTAAAGTATGCGGTTTTTTTTAAGAGTTCAAACACAATGAACTTAAATATTTTTAAAATCTTGCAGTTAAAATTAAATATAAGACTCTAATCACCAAACTGAAATATTATTTATTTTTAAGAATTGGCGATGAAAATCTTTCAGTTTGCCTATTTTCAAAAACTCTAAGCCAACTTCTTATCTTCTATTCAATTTTTTTCTACATCTCGACCTCAATAAAAATAACTTCCTCCTAAGAATTGTTTATTAAACTCTCAATAGCTTTTGAATTTCTTCATCTTTAGTCAAATTCTTATTTCTTCTTCTTAATCCATATTTAACTTCTTTAGCTAATCCAAACGTAAATGTGTGATCATCGATCAATAATTCGAATTTATTATAAAAATAATGTTTGGTTTGCTTTGTTTAACATTGCTCTCAACCGTATTAGGCCACCAATGTGGTGTAGGCGAGGATTGGCAGCCTACAATTCATAAATATCCTCATTCAGGCCGCCAGCTGGAAACAGGCCTAGACCGTGGTGCAGACCTAAAGCCACTTCGTCTCCACTTTGAGTATTTGGACCTTAACATGGACTCATCACAAGAAACTATCCTCAAGGATCAAGTAATGCCAGCAGTTATGCACTGGTTTAACACTACCCTTAAGGTTTATTCTTTCTCTTTAATATTATTTTTTTTTTCAACCCCTTTTTAATTATATTGCAATTATAATAATTTTATATATAGAGGTTTCCTCTATATAGCGCTGAAAGTGCAGACATTTTCCCAGGAGCTTTCCAAAGTTCGTCGGACCAAATCGCTTTTTGGTCCGACCAAGGCATTGATTTGGTGCAACCAACCGATAAATTCCGATCAGAATTTATCGGCCTTACAGCGCCAAACATAGGAAACTTCTATATCCTTTAACAGCAAACTTAGTAGTCTCAATCTCAGAATGTAATGGCGCATCTGTACCTGCTGATCACCAATCGACAGGAATTCCCGACACTGATTTCGTTGTCTATATTACTGGATCAGCTCAAGGATCTGCAGCTGAAGTAGCTGTTGGTGGAACTTGTTTGCAAGACTCTGCAGGCAGAAAAAACCCACTCGCAGGGTCTTTTGCAATCAATACAGACGCCTTCTTTTCTAGTGATACAACTTTGGCACAACAAATTATCATTTCTATGCATGAGCTTACCCACGCTTTGGTCTTTTCCTCTGACCTTTTTAGCGATTTTACAGACTCAAATGGAGACGCTTATGCAAGTGATGGAGTTGTAAAGACCGTTACCCTATCAGATAGGTCAAAAACTGCGACCATAGTAACTCTGCCTAATGTTTTATCAGAAGCTGCGGCATTCTTTTCATGTAACGAACTTGAAGGACTAGAGCTAGAAGACTACGGCGGGACTGGGGTTGCAGGAAACCATTGGGAAGCTAAAATTGTCAGAGAAGATTACATGACAGCAGAAATCCCTGACCCCCCCCCCCCCTCCGTGAGCGAACAAAACCATTAGAAAAATCGCCATTTTTTGACCAAAAACCCACCCTCCGTGAGTGAACAAAAATATTTTTAATAGAAAAAATTTTAATAGAAAAAAATTTTGCTATATAAGTGATAATTAGTATAATGAAATCTAGAGCTAATTCTGTTTAATTTTAAACAAATTGCGTTTTAAAACATAAATTTTGCAAATTAAATTAGTATTTGCTTCCCAATTTTTGCAAATTAGGATTTTTTTTAAATTTCGAAAAAAAAATATTTTTTATAAAATTTATATATAAATTGTTTTTAAAAAAAAAATTAACCCCCCTCCGTGAGTGAACAAAAATTTTTTTGTTCGCTCACGGAGGGGGGGGGGGAGTGAGCATCCAGCTTTATCTGCTTTAACTTTAGCTCTATTTGGAGACTCAGGCTGGTATTCTGTTGATACCAGCAGAGCTCAGCCTATGATTTGGGGTAAAGACGAAGGCTGTGACTGGGTCAATAAGAAATGTATTGTTGATGGCACTCCCTCAGACGGCTTCTGTATAGACGATACTAATGATGATTGCGATTTCTATTCTCTAGGTAAAGGTAAATGCAATCTTAAAGAATATGACGCTGATCTTGATACACCTTATCAGTACTTTTCGGATCTGAAGAAAGGAGGAAGTGACGCATACTCAGACTACTGTCCAACAGTGAAGGCTGACAAGACTAAAATTTGCACTGACCCAAACACTAGTGTTGATAGTAACTATGGAGAAGTTGCAGGATCTAGCAGCAGATGCATGAAGTCAAGCATTGTTAGTAGCAGTCTTGGTGAAAGCCCTACAGATGCTCCAAGATGCTATGAGGTAAAATGTGAGTCTGACAAACTATATGTAATTATTGATGGCACTAGTTATGAATGCGCATATGGCAATACTTTAACGGTTTCTAATTATGATGGCTCCATAACCTGCCCACAAGTAGAGACTGTGTGTGGAAGAACTCCTTGTCCTGATTTCTGCTTTGGCCAAGGTACCTGCTCAAAAGGTGTTTGTACTTGCGATGATGGGTTCGCAGGCACAAGCTGTAGTGTCAAATGCGATTCCAAGTGCAAAACTTGTGATGAGTCTGCAACTAGCACTTGTCTTTCCTGTTATGATACAGCTGAGGTGCAAGATGGCACATGCGTCTGTCCAAGTGGGTATGAATTCGACGCAGTAAATAAAGTGTGCAAAGAAGAATCAACCCCTATAACTGGATGTGCAGATAGTTGCAATGGATGCGCCACCGAAACGACTTGCGAAGCTTGCTATGAGGGCGCTTCATTAGACACAGAAGGCAATTGCAAATGTGATAATAGTGACAAGACCTTTAACCCTGACACCAAGAAGTGTGAGTTTACTTGTGATGCAATGTGCAATGGCTGTGTCTCAAATACAGAGTGTGATAGTTGTTATGATACAGCAACTAAAAATACTGAAGGATTGTGCGAGTGTCCTTCTAAAACTGTTTGGAACTCAGGGGAAATGAAATGTGATTCATGCGCTGCTAACTGCACTGACTGCTCTGCAGCTAATGTCTGCACCACATGTTCTGATGCTAACGCTGGACCTGTCGAAGGAATATGCAGATGCAATTCAAGGTTCTATTTAAAGGATACCACCTGTGAAGGTAATTTTTTACATAGCTTGTGGAGATAATGCAAAAGAATGTGACGCTAATGGAGCAATTTCATGTGACGACAACTATTTCTTATATAATGATGGAACTACCAAAACTTGTAAATGTAAGAGTTAATTTAGCTTGCTCTGCATCTTGCAATAGCTGCACTTCAGATCCTGAGTGCTATCAATGTGGAGCTCAAGGAACCACAAGTGGGTCGACTTGTGCAGATGTCTCAGTTGGGTATAAATCAAAATTCAGCAATGGAATTTTGACGATTACTTTTGCAGAAGACTTGTCAAAGACTTTAACGAAGAAAAATTTCCAGATCTCTACTAGTGGTTCGACAATTGATACATCGTCATGGACTTTGACAAAGGTGTCAGATAAGGAATATACCATAGAGACAAATTTGAAGAAGAGTGACTTGCCGATTTCAGTCGTGCTTGATTTCAATCAAGAATAAGTTATAAGTAACCAGATTAGAAAAATAGTTTTAATTATGAAAAATGGAATTTGGACGGTAAATAATTCATTTATTGCTGCAAGAGGAAGATAAAAATTTTAGTAAGATTTTATTTATTTTATTTGGAGTTTAATTTATGGTATAAAGTGATTGCACTTATGAGTGGTATAAATTTATTTTTAATTTCTTGGCAATTTTAATAAAGGAATTCATTGCTTTTAACTAATTAATATCGATTTTTAGATCATTGTAGTTTTCAACTTTGCATTAATAATTTTCACTAATTAATCAACATTTTTGTATAAAGAAAATCTAATCATATTTAATTTTTGTGTGGAATATTTCATCAAATATTTTCTTAAATGATAAAAATTAAAATAATTAGTTGAATTAAGTTAAATTATATATAATAAAAGCTCATTTTGATGCTTATTCACTATGAAATTGATATTAATTCTAAAAGAAGAATAGTAAAATAAAGTAGTAAATAACCTAAAACACTTAAAATTATTCAAGGATAAAACGATTGTTCCGTTATAAAAATAAATAAAACTGAGCAAACTTGAAAATCATCAAGCTATTTAAATCCAAAATACTTAAACGCATTTTCAGCAATTTTATCCTTAAATTATTATAATTTTTAGTGTCCTGAGTCTAAATTCCTAAATGACTTTTATCTTCAGTGTTTTCCAATGAAATTGTATACGCAACATGATGAATAGAAAATCCTCCACTTGTCATCCATTATTCTATTTATTGAAAAAGTAGTATATTGATTTTGAGTGTAGAGCTTTTACTTGCTTAAAAGGGTATATCTTATACATTTTATAAGAATTTATAGAATTATTATCCATATTACAAAATTTCAATATGGAGGCATAAAATATACGATGGCATTAATGATAGATATTTAAGACTCTTTTTACTATGCCCATACACAGTGGCGTGTTTAGGAATGCATCTGAGTCATAATACTCCGAAAGGCCTGCACAGGAAAAATAAGACACCTGCGCAAATAGTCTCCAGGCATTTTTTTAATCGCTAAATAAGAGATAATTTTTCAATAATTTTCATTGAGCTATAATATAAAAATGTTTCTCGTGCTGCTTTTGAGCTTCATTTCTTACTCATTTCAGCATGAATGTGGTGTAGGCCCAGACTGGCAGCCAGACCTTAAGCAATATCCTCATGAAGGCCGCAGCTTAGAATCGGGCTTAAACCGTGACACGCACTTTAAACCTCTCCGCATCCATTTTGAGTACTCTGCCCTTACCTTGACTGAAGACCAACTATCAATTCTCCAAAATGAAATTATTCCTCCAGTGCAACATTGGTTTCAATCTGTCCTCAGCGTCAACCCTCTTATAAATAATCTAATTAATCCTTTTGACACCTGCAATGGCCTCCCAGTTCCCTCTCTTCACAAAACTAAAGGAATTTCAGATACAGATTTTATTATTTATTTAAACAATGAAGACAGCCCTTTTACCCCCTCTTTAAATTGTACTCTAAAAAATCGGTTTTAATTTATGCTAATTATTATAAAAAAAAATTAATGTGCTGACTTTTTAAATAAAATTGTATTATGCTTCCCACTTTAAAATAGAATAATTATATATAAAATTTCAGCTGCATTAAATTGGCTATCAGAGGCTTAAAATATATTGGGCTTAATTTACTTGCAAAATTGGAATATACACAAATTATTGGTTCTAGTTTAAAGGGAAGTTAGCAATTTTATTGCATATGCAGCACCGTGCCTAATAGAATCAAGGGGTAGATTTAACGTATTAGCTGGATCATTTACAATAAATGTCTACTATTTTTACAACATGCCAAGATACCAACAAATTGGTGTAGCTATCCATGAACTAACCCATGATTTGGCCTTTTCACCTTCGCTTTATAATTGGTTTGTAAAACCAGATGGCAGCCGTTATAAACAAGAAGAAATTTTTAAAACGGTTTATTACCCGCACAGAGGCAAGTCCTCAACATTATTAATTTTGCCGACTGTGGCAGAAAAGGCTAGAGAAATATATGGCTGTGAAACTGTCGAAGGGTTAGAGCTTGAAGATTACGGAAGTAGCTCTGCAGGTGCACATTGGGAAATGAAGATTGTAATAGAAGACTATGCCTCAGTAAGGCATATAGATTTCTATAAGAGATCATTAGCCTAGAAAATGAGCCAGCTGATGAGTCAGTGCTGATAGCCACAGACCCAAATTACCAGTATTGGCTTGCCAGTTTGAGCGATTTATGAGCTAAATGATAGTTTATAAAAGCTATATGCATCCCCAAGCTATACATGGTTTCTGTTTTCCCTGATTTCCCTTCTTATTCCAACTTAACTTTAGCTCTATTCCAAGACTCTGGCTGGTATAAAGTAGATTTCAGCTATGCACAACCTATTACTATAGGAAAAAATGAAGGCTGCGAAAGATTTGAAGAAAAATGCATTACTGGTAGCATAGTCCAGGCTGGGTTTTGCACTAAAACTAATACTTGTGACTATACCAGGACTACCCCAACTAGGTGTGATCTATATAATTATTATGAAGGCATCCCTTCAAATTATCAATATTTTCAAGACCCAATATATGGAGGAGGAAGGTATTCTGACTATTGCCCATTAATGTATTCTAATCAGAAGAGATGTAGAGATAACAATGAAAATTATGATACATCTTATGGGTGGAAATATGGGTATTCTAGCAGATGTTTTGAGTCTTCTCTAGTGCTAGAATCAGCTGGGCAATCACCTGTTTTTGCGCCTTCGTGCTATGAGGTAATACGCTGCGAAGAAGATAAAGTTGTGGTTGGGATTGGAGATCAAAATATAGATTGTCCGTTTAGTGGAGGAGCGGTGACAGTCCCTGGGTACGATGGATATCTTCATTGCCCAGATTCAAGTATTTGTGACGAAATAGTCCCTTGCTTGAATAGTTGTTATGGGCAAATCAAATTAAAGTAAGAGTCTTAAGGTCTTCCAAATTTGATGCCTCCGCATGCTTTTGACCACCGATCTTTAATAGTTAGAGGTTGCATCAATTATCTTGGCCCCATCAGCAGTAGTCTTCCAAGAACTAAGGCTTACACAATGCCTCTGAGTTCGATGGGTTAGGAAGACTCTGTGCTGAATATCTTGAGGGTGCTATGGATGCAAGCCTCCTATCGGAAACCTTGAGGAAGGGTGATACCCTGGAAAATAGAGCCACAGCCCTCTGGAAAGAACTTGCGGCACAAAAACCATCCGGGTCATCAATGCCCGAACTGGAATGGCCATCAGCTGATTCTGAAGGTTACCCACTTCATAAGGCCGCTATATACAAGCTTAGGATTAAAATCAAAGGGCCTGAACCTTAGTTTAGGCTATAAAGCCATTTTGACACTCAAAGCGATGCGTCTTGCAAGGGGATATTTACCATATTAGTTATGCTATGGGCAAGGGAAAATGTGACAATGGGGTTTGTAGATGCGATGAAGGGTTTGGAGGAAAGGACTGCAGTATTGTTTGTGTGGGAAATTGCAAATCTTGTAATGATTTGTCTTCATGCACGTCTTGCTATTCTATTGCTACACTAGAAAATGGAGTGTGTTATTGTCCTGATGGGGCAACTTGGGATGATACTCAAAAAGTATGCATGCCAGGGACAATAATTGGTTGTCCTAAAGAATGCAATGGCTGTGCTGATGAAACTACATGTGCGGCCTGCTATGGGTCTATGACTTTAAACGATAAAAACCTTTGTGAATGTCCAAGTGGGACATCTTTTAACGTGAATTCTAATACTTGTGAAACTATTATAGGGTGCTCTGACTCCTGCAATGGATGTGACACTCCTCAAGCTTGCTTATCTTGCTATGATACAGCTACCTTACAAAATGGTGACTGTATTTGCCCAGATGGCCATTACTTTAACCCAGAAACCAAAACTTGTGACATTTATATAACTGATGGCTGCAGCTTAGGCTGCCAAGCCTGCCAATATTCAGGTGAATGCGCCAAATGTACTGACGAAAATGCTATAATTCTCTATAATAAATGCTTCTGCAAAAAAGGATATTATGAAGATGAGTCATTAGGGTCAGCTAATTGCCACAGTAATTTCTATATAGAATGCAACGATGACTGTACATCATGCACTTCCTTAGAATCCTGCACCAGTTGTGATGATCCTCTAATGACGCCTAAAGCTGATGGCTCCTGTATATGCCCAGACGGCTATTATGGCTTAACCTTATATGGCTTTACAAGTTGCTATAGTAATTTTTACATAGAATGTGTCAGCGGCTGTAAAATTTGTGACAGTGAATATAACTGTTTAGAATGCACCGACCCTAATGGGGAAAATTATGACAGCTATTGTGGCTGCAAAATTGGATATTTTAATGGATGGGATCAAGACGGAGATAGAATTTGTTTACGTAAAGGATTATTTAGCTTGCGCTGATAGATGTGAAAGCTGCTATAGTCTGTATTATTGCGAAATGTGCAAGGCAGGATATATAATGGACGCGATGGGCTATTGTCGCTGTGAGACAGGGTTTTATGATTTTTTTGATGGAGAAAATACAGTTTGCAAAGGTAAAAAATATTTAGCTTGTGATAATAATTGTGATAGTTCTTGTGGGGGCAGTGAAGATTGCTATAAATGTGCGGATACCGCTATTAATTACAGCCAGCAGTGCAAAGAAATTAATTTTGGTTATAAGACAGCCTTTAAGGAAGGAATAATTACAATCTTTTTTGCTTCTGATATTAGCTATTATTTGACTAACTCTCTAAAGAAAGGAGGCTATTTTTTTTAACTGAAATTAGTAATTTTATAATTCTCACGTAAAGTATTTTGCTAGCTATAAGAGATGCAGTATCCAATATATTAGAAATCATTAGAACTGCTTAGGAGTGATTATCATCATATTGGCTATGTAAAAATCGTCTAAAAAGGATTGAGATTAATTTTCTCGAATTTTCAATAGAATCGTTTTATTAAGAATGGTGAGGTGTAAGAAGAATTTCAAGGTAAATTCTAATGACGGAAGAACTTTTGATACAGAAAGTTGGTGGGTAGAGCGTTATAACTTGAAAACTTATAAAATCCATACAGACTTGGCAAGAAGTGATTTGCCAGTAAGCGTTGTTCTTGATTTTAATCGTGGATAAATTAGTTTATTTATAAATTCTTTTTAAAGTCATTAAAAAATAAAATTATGGGTCATTGACTCTTTAAATCTAATTTATGGAGAAGTTAAATGAAAACCATATCAATGCAAATTTTTAAAAACTTATATTAAAATTTTGCATTCAAATATATATTACTTTTAAAGATTTTGGCTCTATTGCTCTATATAAAGTTCTTATTAAGATTAAATTTAGGGTGAGGGGTAGCGGCCATTATTTCAGGGTACCTCCACCGAAGGCCAGCTTTAAATTTGTGAGCCTTAACACTAACTCCACCTAACATCATTTTCCAATCATAGCTCCCAAGAAATGGCGATTTAGGATTGTCTAAGGGAAGACTTATCCGGCCAGACGACTGGCATCCTCTTGCGCAGCCGGTTTCCTCTGTAGCTGGTTTGGGATCACAGGTGATTGACTGCCGCTCCTCCTCCCTGAGCACCTAACTAAAGTCCTAGGTATTGCATCTTCCGTTGGGTGTAGTCGCGGAAAAAAGGTGCTCCTTTGCATTGGGATGTCTAGTTACAATGGGTGCCACTATGAACCTAAGTCAACCAATAAGACATCACAGCCTATCACAAATGCCAAATATAAATTAAGCTTATATAAGAATTTCATTTTTCAATTAGTTGGCTGATTTATATTGTGAGACTAAATATTGTTTTAATTTGAAGAGTAATGCTAGATAGCACAAACCTTCCGACTTCAGGGGCAGTGGATAACCTCTCATGGAGGTCCAACAAAGTGTAAGACCCTATGGAGACTAGTAAGCAAAGCATATCAAAGGGAATAAGGCCCTTCAGGTATCTATTCTGGACTATTCAATAATCATAAATAGAGATGACTAAAATTTTTCGTAAATTAAATCTACAAGCTACAAATGAAAATAATTTTATTATTTCGCAAGAGCCGAACTTATAATAACTAAAATGAAACTTCCTTTAATATTTATAAAAACAACTACAAAGAAATCATGAGACATTGAAATATTAGCATCAAGCTTTATTTTATCTTAAAAATTTGTTCAGATTTATTGTAAAGATTTTGCCATTTGTCTCGATAAGAAATCCAGTAAATAAGGTCATCTCCATAATTAAAAGTTATATACTTAAACTTATCAGTTGGTATAGCATCTCACCTCATGATTTTTCAAAATTTTCAATAATTTTCGATATAGATAATTTTTTGTATAATTTTTAAAAAATCATAGAACAATTGAAAGTCTATCACTATCAAAATGGATATTGAATCGATATTTATTCAAAAAAATTTATTGGATTATAATAAATATGCTTATTTGGCTGCTTTTAAGCTTTATTCCCTTATCCTTCCAATTTGAGTGTGGTGTCGGCCCAGATTGGAAACCAGACATAAAACAGTATCCACACCAAGGCCGCCGTTTAGAAACTGGCTTAGACCGTGGCACCACATTTGAGCCTATTCGCATTCATTTTGACTACAGCAACCTCACCTTAACTTCTACAGAATTAGATACTCTTAGAGACGAAATAATTCCATCAATCCAGCACTGGTTCCAAACCGTTTTAAAAGTAAACCCACTTCTTGGCAGTTTACAAGTCCCTCAAGAGGATTGCAATGAAATACCGATTCCGGAATCCCACAAAACTGAAGGAATTGCCAATACAGATTTTGCAGTTTATTTATCCAATATAAATGAAACTGAAAGCAGTATAATTGCTTATGCTGGGCCATGCTTGCAAGACTCAGGAGGAAGATATAATGTTTTGGCGGGGTCTTTTACTATAAATACAGCAATATTCAACACCTTGCCAAAACACCAAGCAATTGCAGTTGCAATTCATGAATTGACCCATGCCTTAGTATTTTCTCCTGATCTTTATACCAAATTTGTGAAGGCAGACGGAAGCCATTATGAAGAAAATGAACTTTATCAAGAAGTTTTCTATGAAAATCGAGGAAAATCTGCTATTTTAATAACTCTGCCAACTGTAGCTGAAAAGGCTAAAGAAATTTATGGTTGCAGTAGTATCCCAGGGCTGGAGCTTGAAGACTATGGAAGTGGTTCTGCAGGCGCGCACTGGGAAATGAAAATTGTTGCCGAAGACTATATGGTTTCTGTGCTGCCTGATTTCCCTGCTTACTCAAACTTGACTTTAGCTCTATTCCAAGACTCTGGCTGGTATAAGGTCGATTTCAGCTATGCCCAGTCTATTATTATAGGAAATAACGAAGGCTGTGAAAGATTTGAAGACAAATGCATAGCTAATGGCAAAGCCCAGCCTGGGTTTTGCACTGAGTCTAAAGAGATGTGTGACTATACTAGAACTAATATAGGAATTTGCGGAATATACAATTATAGTAGCGAATTACCGACACAATACCAATATTTTGATGACCCTTATAAGGCTGGAATGCCATATCCTGATGGTTGTCCTATAATTATTTCAGATGTTAAAAATTGTAGAGATCCAGATGCTAGCGCCGATATAGCCCAATCCCTGCTTTGAATCGGATTTGTCTGAAGTCTGACAAACCAAAGTTTATGCAAAATCAACTCCCCAGATTACAAATACTCTTGCTCTTGTTAATTTTCATCTGGGGAGTTGACTTTGCGAGCAAAATTTGGTTTGCAAACTCCTTTCTGACGCCTCCCAACATCTATTAGGCCTGATCCAAAGCAGGGGTTGGGCTATAGTTCTTTTGGGGAAATTGTTGGGGAACAAAGTAGGTGCTTTGAAGCGTCTTTAGTTTTGGACACTCTAAATAAAGAATCTGAGATTTGGCCAACGTGCTATAAAGTAGTCAGCTGTGAGGAAGATAAAGTTGTGGTGGGCGTTGGGGATCAAACTGTAGATTGTCCATTTAGTGGAGGGGATGTGACAGTCCCTGGGTATGATGGAGTTCTCACATGCCCGGATTCGAGTATTTGTAAAGGTATTGTTCCTTGTATAAATAGCTGTTATGGACAAGGAAAATGCCCTAACTCCCTGTGAGAAAAAAAAGTAATTTTTGGCTATAATTATTATTTTAATAAAAATTCTATATCTAAGTAATGCCTCTTCTATTTAAGGTAAATTTTATAAATAAATTCCTTTTCAGATTAGACAAGTCCATAAATAAAATACCTCCATTATAGTACACCAAAAAAATACTAGCCTCACAGAGGAGTAAAGGAACTTGTATATGTGATCCTGGATTCGGAGGAAAAGACTGTAGCATAATTTGTGGATCAACATGCAAATCATGTGATGATAAATCTTCATGCGCTTCTTGCTACTCTACTGCTACACTTGCAGATGGAATTTGTTCATGTCCTGATGGTTCAACTTGGGATGATATTCAAAAAGTTTGTATGCCAGGCTCGATAACTGGATGCCCTAACCCTCTCTTATAAATAATGTTTTATTAATAATTTCGCTAAAAATATATAAATTTTATCCTCTATTTCCCAAAGTATTTTGAAATAAATAAAATTTTATATAATTAATCCAGCATTTTTTTGATCAGGAGGTTAAAGAATGCAATGGTTGTGCTGATGATTTAAATTGTGCAGCCTGCTATGATTCCATGACTTTAAATGATAAAAATTTATGTGAATGCCCAAGTGGGAAAGCATTTAGCACAGACTCCAACAGTTGCAAAACAATCGAAGGATGTCCAGACTCCTGCAATGGATGTGACACACCTCAAACCTGCTTATCTTGCTATGATACAGCCACTTTACAAAATGGTGAGTGCTTCTGTCCAGAAGGGCATTACTTTATCTCAGACACCAATGTTTGCCAAGCTTATTTAACTGAAGGCTGCAGCGCAGGTTGCGAGTACTGCAAATCTTCCAGTGAGTGTGTAAGATGCAGTGATGAAAATGCTGTACTTTATAACGGAGAATGCAAATGCAAAATTGGGTATTTTCCTGATGAAGCATTAGGGTCAGCTCAATGTAACAGTAATTTCTAAATAGAATGCAATGATGGCTGCTATAGCTGTGAGTCATTGACTACTTGCAAATATTGTGATGATGTTCTTGGAGTTATCCAGGATGATGGCACATGCATATGCAAAGATGGCTATTGAAATGATAGCGATAACACGACTTTAAGCTGTTATGGTAACATCTATTTAGAATGCAGGACTGGCTGCAAAATTTGTGATGGCTATTTTGAATGTAATGAATGTATGGATTCAATGATGACTCTAAATGATGGCGTCTGCGAATGCCCTAATGGAATGTTTATAAATGACACAGATAGTACCAATATTAAATGTTCACGTAATATATACTTAATTATAAAATTGGGATATTAAGGCTACATTATTTTTGATATTATATAATTAGAATTATAAGTATATAATTTAGCTTGCAATGAAAGATGCGAAAGTTGCTATGATGAGTATTATTGCAAAGATTGTAAAGAAGGCTACGTTTTGCAAAACGGCCAATGTATTTGCGGAGTTGGATATTATGATTATTATGACGGAAATACAGCAATTTGCAAATGTAAAAAATATTTAGCTTGTACTGATCCTTGCGATGAAACCTGTGGGGCAAATGCACCATGTACTAAATGTGCAAGTACATCAGTTATTACTGATGATAAGTGTGAAGATATAAGCATTGGGTTCAAGTCAAGCTTCAAGAATGGGGTTATCACTCTTTTGTTCTCAAATCTTAACTATTATTTGACTAATTATCTCCTTTTAAGATCATGAATATATTTTTCATTGAAAAATAAATTTTTTATTACAACTCTAGGATGCGATAATTTAAATTTTAATAAATACAAAATTTCATTATCAGAAAGTTAAGCAGAACTTCATCGTGAAATCCAACAATGGCACTTTATATGACACTGAATACTGGTGGGTTGAGCGTTATAGCGATAATATTTACAAAATTCATACAGATTTAACAAGCAGTGATTTACCATTAACAGTGACCCTTGATTTTAACAGGTATTAACCTTATTCTTAAGATTTTAGTTAAAACATTATAAATTGAAATTTAATTAAATATAAGTATATGCAATATATGAATGATCATTTTTATTGCATTTTATGATAAATAAAAGCTAATAACCAATATTTTAGATTTAATTTTTCTAAAATATTCGAAATGGATTCTGTTATAATATATACTTATAGAATATGACCAATTTGCTGCTGGTTTATTTATTGTCTTTGAGTAATCAACTCTCTATTATTATTTATATTAGACTATAGTTGCATAAATATAAAGTAAACATAGAAAAAGATTTAAATAGCAAGCATTTATTTAGATAGCAAATTATCTTGAAGATTTGATAGTAATAAGAAATAAAAATAATATGCTTTACAGCAATTTTCTATTATTTAGATGCATAAAGCATTAAAAAAATTATTATAAATTATAATTACTTTAAATTTCTAAATAGTTAAAATACTGCATAAATATATATATTAAAATTTAAAATTTTTATCTAAAATCCCGGAATAGTCTGTCTACTTTTTATTAAAAATGAAATATGATTAAAATACTTTATTAATCTATTTCCACTTTTATATAGTGTTAATATAACTACCCTATATATTCTATACAATTTTGCTTGAAATAGATTATTTGTTGAGCAATAATTTTGCAAGAGCCTTTTGTTTTATGCTACATATCAAAAATATTAATAAAAAAGTCTTTAATTATACTCTTAGAAAATAGCTTTGACTAATGTTTTTTATTTATATAAAAAATATATATATTTTCTTTTAATTTAAATATCCATAAACAGTTGCTAAACATGCTTATTTGACTGATCAGTTTTATTGGGATTTCTAGTTCTTTTCTATGTGGGGTGAATCAAAGCTGAAAACCAAATATTCAGGGAAACACTTACCCTGGTCGGAGCCTTGCATCATCTATTACCCGAGGTTCTTCTCTCAGCCCGATTCGTATTTATTACGAGTATTTGGATTTAGGGATGAACTCTACTCAAGAAGACCAGTTTAAAAACGAGGTAATGTCAGCTGCTGACAATTTCTTTACAAATGCTTTATCTGTTTACCCTGTTTCAGAAACACTACTTATCACAATTTCAGATTGCAATGGAGCTCAGGTTCCGTCAGACCATAAGAAAATTGGGGTCGATGCTGATTATGTTCTTTATATATATGGAAATAGAAGCTCTGAAAGTTTTATAGCAAGAGCTGGGGCATGCGCGCGAGAGACGGGAGGGAAAAATAACCCTGTTGCAGGATCTTTTGAAATAAATTTAGATCTTTTTTGGAATTACGAAGTGTATGATCAAATTATATTAGCAATCCATGAAATGACTCACGCATTAGTTTTTAGTGACAGCTTATATACACATTATGTAAAATCAGATGGAACTCAATATGCTTCTGATGAAGTCACAACAAGCATTAAGTATGAAAACCGAGGAAAGAATGTTACAGCAATTGTCTTACCCACTGTTTTAGCTAAAGCAAAATCAATATTTAACTGTGACAGCTTAAAAGGAGTAGAACTTGAGGATTATGGAGACTCTGGGTCAGCTGGGTCTCATTGAGATATGAGAATTTTGCCCGGAGATTACATGTCTCCGACACTTTCATTTGAATCAGTCCTCAGCGATATCACATTAGCTCTTTTCCAAGATTCAGGATGGTATACAGTTAATTTTGACTATGCCCAGAAAACTATCTGGGGAAATGGCGAAGGCTGTGACTGATTTGAAGAAAAATGTATAGAAGACGGCTCAGCCAAATTCCCTGGGTTCTGCACAGTAAATGATCAAAAAGGCTGTGATGTTTTTCATCTCTCCTCAGCACTATGTGCGCAGAGTGATAAATATCCAGATATTCATAAATATGAGCAATATTTCAGTGACCCTAAAATAGGCGGAATAAACCCATTTGCTGACTATTGTCCTTATATGTATGCATACTCAAATAAACATTGTAGAGAAACTACAGCAATGTCCCAGCCTCTTTATTATGGAGAAAAAGTAGGATTTAGCAGTAGGTGTATAGAATCAACATTATTAAATAAAACCAATGTCTATCATGGAGCAATGCAAGGCATTTGCTATGAAGTGTTAAGCTGTACGTCTACATATGCTGTTATTCAGGTAGGCAGCGAGACTACAAAATGTCCTTTTTCTGGTGGAAATGTAACTGTAGATGGATATAATGGAGTTTTAATTTGCCCAGACTCGAACATTTTGTGTAGAGAAGCACCATGTTTGCATGCATGCAGAGGGCAAGGGAAATGTGTAGATGGCGTTTGTAATTGTAATAGTGGGTTTGGAGGAGATGATTGTGAGGTAATCTGCAATGCTAGGTGCTTGACATGCACTTCTGATGGAGCAAGCTGTGCTTCGTGCTATTCGAATGCGACTTTAAGCAAAGGGGATTGCGTATGTGATGATGGATATGTTTTGGATACTAGCTCAAAATCTTGTGTAAAAGGAGCCATCTGTTTAAGTGGATGCAAAACTTGTTTCACTTCAAGCGACTATAATTGTGAAACTTGCAAATCTGGAACTTATCTACTTTATAATTACTGTTCTGAAAATGGGTTTAATTAAATAGTTTTTTAAAATTAATTAAAATATGTAAAATTTATTTTATATTTAATTTTCATTTCTTTTGAAACCCTGAAAAATGTCCTTATGGTTTTAAAGCAAGTAAAAATTCTTGTGTCCCAGAAAGCTCAGAAGTTTTTGATGCTATTTTTGATCTTTGGAAAAATTCTTACCCAAGTGATAATTCTGATTTAACTTTATATTTTGGGTCATCTTCTGCATTCATGCCAAATCCTGATGCAAATGATCCAATTTTAATGTATAACCAAGGATTATTTTACACAGGAAAATCTTACGCACTGTTTTCACCAAATCCTGATAGCTCAAAACATATTATTTTATCTCCATCACATTCAGCTTCATTTTGGATACGGCCAAATAATTTATCTGACCAAACAATCCTTCATAAATTCTCTGGAAATTCTACTATAGAACTAAAAATTGTAAATAAAATATTGACACTAGATATTTTATTAACAAATATTGAAGACTCTTCTTCTAATTCCAAAACAGAAACTTACACAGTTACCAATGGAAATGTTACATCAGAAGCATGGCAAATGATAGCATATTTTATTAAGTATGACACCACGACCTTTTCAACAGCAGTCTCTTTGCAAGTAAATTCTGATATACAAACAAATACAGTAATATTTCTAAATTAAAAATTTTTTTAATTAATATAATTATATTCTTATTTATCTTTTTTTAATCTTTTTTTTTATAAAAAATTAAAAATATAATACTGTACAATTGCAAATGCAATATTTTTGGATTCAGGATCTGAAACTGATGACAAGTTTGTACTTGGAGCAAAATATTCAGCCAAAAATTATCAAAATTATTATGCAGGCTTTATAGCATCAGCAAAAATCTATAACACAGAAAAAGCTCCCAGCTATTCATCAAGCTTATCTTTATCATCAAGTGTTACTTTGACAAACTGCAATTGAAATCAATGCTATGAAAATGATACCTGCCATGATTGTTTATCCACATGCACTTATGGATGCTTAAGAACCACTGACTGTGTCTTAAGTCTTGATGCAAATTGTGCAGATCCTATAATTTATTAGAGTAAATATTCCTCATTTTTATCATCCAAAAAAATAGCTTTTAGATAAATATAGAAAAATAAATATAAAATTTTGATTAAAAATAAATAATTAAGAATACTGGATTTGACACATGCGATGAAGGAAGCTCTTGTGATATGGGCTCATACCCAATTATCACTATGTGCATTATTGTATTTTTGTGGACTATTATGTGCTTTATTTTCCTATTACTTGATCGAAAAGCCCCAGATGATCCTGACGAGTTATTCAAATCAAACTGCGTAAGATTCTTCAGATACCATTTATTTATAAGCCAATTTCTAACTCCATCTCATTAAATTGGAGCAAAAATCCTGTTCCAATTTAAACGGGTATTTTTTAAAATTTTTAAAGTATGGATTAAATACAATAATTTGAATTTTAATTTATTAAATTAGGTTAAATTTTCATTTTAATTTATTTTTAAAAAAATATAAATTGAGTGCAATAAATTAAAATTTAAATTTATTTTTATGAAGAATTAAATAAAAAAATTAATCGATTCAGTGTGAAAGTTGTTTAAAAACATTTTATTTAAATATAGGATATAAAATTAGGTTAAGCTTATTTTATGAAAATTATTATTTTTATCGATAAAATTTCATATTTTGAAAAGCACCAAAAAAAAGCAAAATTTTGCCGATTTTTGTTCCAATTAAAGGGGCGGAGCAAGGCAGCCTTCTGTAAAGCGGTCACAGATGACTTTAGAGCTAATGACTGTTTTATTAGTAGAATTAGCCGTTATTGGAGCAATGCATTACCAATTTGATAACGCGACTTCTTCAGGCAAAGATGGAAATTTTGAAGAATTAGCCAAAAGTTATGATGGAGAAGACATATTAAAAGCTGTTATTGGAATAATTTGTGGAGAAGTAGTAGCTTTTCTTCTTGGAATTTTAAATACTTTTCCTATATGTATTTCGATTCCAAGGATAGTGTCGACTATCATAAGCATAGGGCTAAGCATACTTTCTGTCGTTGTGGTTATTTATTTAGATGTTGATTTTTGTGCAGAGTATTCTGCTAAATGGATAGTTAATTTTGTTATTGTGGCATTTTTTGAACTATTTGTGTGTGAATTGCTAATTGCTATACTATTTTTCACGTGTTTTAAGATTAAAACTGCAAGCGAGGCCCCACCCTCGGCAAGAGAGTCGAATATGAAGGGGTATGGAGAGCCTTCCAAACAGGTTTAGATTTATTAATTTATTATTTTACATTTAATTGGACTTATTATGTAACTCATACGCAAAAATAAATAATGATTTTTAGTAATTATTATTACTTTAATTTTCAGTCTTCTATGTAATAGCTTATTATGCAAATTTTTTTTATTCAAAAATTTTATTTAAACGTGAGTAAATAATTTATAAAATAGAATTATATGTCTCCCAAAGACAAATAAATGATAATGAGCACCAAAATTGCAGATACAGCAGCAACACTAAATACCAACGTTCCCCAAGCAGTTTTTACATCATTAAATTTCGTATCATAGCCTCCTTGATTTGGTACCAATTTTCTCGTTGCAATCGCTGAAAGCGGGATAAAAATTCCAGACACCAAAATCGATATAATCCCTTTGAATGCTGAAATATAGCTTAAATCATAAAAAATCCCTGCAATTACAACAGGTGGAAGGGAACAAATTAGCCTATAAAATGTCAATTGTCGACATGTAAGCTCTCTTTCCCCAAAGTGGCTGTGAAAAACGCTTGTAAGATTATCACACAAATTTATTGCGCAAATTGGAAAAATTGACATAGCATCAATAGCTGGGCATATAACGATAAATCCAGCTATAATATAAGCCCACGTAGGCCTTTCTGATGGGTTATCTCCAGCGGAATAGTCATACCAATTTAGGTTGATCATTTTCTCTACATTTTCAACAGCAAAAGGTACAATTAATCCATTTTTGGGAAAAACAAAACTTATGTAATTTAAATTATATTTTTTCTTTAAAATAAAAAAAAATTGTTTAAAAACATATCTACCAATAATCCAATACACAAAAATAATAATGACACTATAGACAGCGACAAAAAGCATATCTTAGGAGCTGTTTCTCGTTTATCCTTAACATACTGTATACACGTCGGAATAGCGCTATGAAAATACGTCGACATAAGAACTATCGGAAAGCAAAGCCCAATATAATAAAAGTCCATAGTATCAGGATCAGCTTCATTGGCGCCTGTGTCATCTAATTTTGTGTCAGAAAAAATTGCATACCATGACGTTACTAATATAGTAATATAAGCTATTAATCTTATAGAACACATGGCGATCTGTAGCACTGCTTGCTTAACTAGACCTAAAACTGTCAAAGATGTAGTCACCGCAGCAAAAAATGCTAAAAAAATCCAATACTTTGCCCTGCAGTCGCCATCGAAATCTGAGTCATCATAAATATTGCAGGTATCATGATAAATCGGCAAATATTTTATTGCGGAAGAGGCAAATACTGTGGCGAGGCCGATAAGTGTCCCATAAAAGCCGAGAAATATGATAACTGTAAAAAGGACGCCAATTCTGTATCCAAATAAAGTTATTACGATTTCACAAAAATCATAGCGTTTATTGTCTATATAAGGTAATAGGTCTTCAGGCTCTATAAGATATTGCTCTTCTGCATTTTCTTGAGGAGGAATTAAAAAGTCTTTAGGGTTTACTTTTTTAGTTATTCTATATAAGTTAAATCGGAATTTTATATAAAATATGGCTTTTTTTTAGGTAATTTATATTTAATTGTATAATTGGTTTGGCTTTAATGGTTTAATTATATATCCACGGTCTTTTAGCTCATAGAGAACACTCATGCGACTTAATGTTTGTAATACTTGAAAAACGAGTAAAGAGGAATAAATATAAACGATAAAAGCTGATAAAATACCTATTGATCAGCCTGCTTTTGAATAGGCTCATGGGAGACTTAAGACCCCTATTCCTACTTGGGTATTTAAGATATAGAAAAAGCCTACAATTCATTTTTGATCACATTCACCTTCAAGATCGTGTCCTTTACCCATTTATAAGCAATTTCATTATTGGAAAACGGATTTTTTCAAAAATATGTATTCTATTAGCAATGCTTATACTTTATTCACAATAAAAAAAGCATTAATATTGTTGCCTTGGACTATTTTTCACATAATTTCTACAAGTAAAATCTTTCTATTTATTTTAAATGGGTAAAATAATTTATGATTATCAAAAATACCATTTTATATAAAATATAATTAATTACTGCTAAATGAGAAAGTATTTATATTTTTATCGGATATAACACGCTTATATTAATTTTTAACAAAAAGCATATCATTACATTATAATAATATCTAATAAGCATCATGAACAGTTTATTTTTAATACATCAGAAAATGAATTCGAAAAATAGCAAAAAATCTGGTCTAACAGAAAGTTTTGAAGAGATTGCGCGATTTGCTTATTTATTCTGAAATTTCTGATAAAAATAGACTCAATATTCACTGAAAATAGTGTTTGTTGGCTTAATGATAATGGGGAGAACTTAATAAAATTATGAACTTGGGCTTGCCCAAACTAAGCTTCGGCTTATGTTTATTACTTGTTTGTGTGTTGTCGAAAGAAGAACCAGAACCTATCAATGAATCAGAATTTCACGATGAAATTGCAATGTCTCAGACTCGGACAAAATGAACCGCATGCATGTCACTGGCTGCAGCCAAACTCGATCAGGATGCCCGTGAGATAGACACTATCGCTTCAGACAATAAAGTGAATAGAACTCTTTTGGAAAAAAAGATTGTGGCTGATATCATTGGGAAATGCTATGACGTATTAACTTGAAAGCAAGCAGAAAATATTTTGTTCTTAGAAGAGTTTTAAATCATATAAATTGCTATTAGACCATTTTTATTGATTTTCATATTTTTGGATGCATACTGTTTAAAATTTAATATATTAGCTTAGAATAGGCTATAATTATATTTAAAAAAAAATTATAAATAGTCTATTGCATAATCACAGAATAGATAAAAATATTTTTTACTTGATCCAGGGAGGTTCAAAAAAAAAAAGATTTCGAGAGAAGTTAGAGAAATTGATTTAAACAGAAATGACATTAAGGCTTTGGTTACATTGGAGAAAAACTCGTATAAAGGTGATTTATCACTTTCAATGTCTCAAAAAGAGCTCATTGGCATGATCGCAAAAGTAATTTTTATTTAGGATATGCACACCACTGATGACGGATTTGATTTTGAACCCACTTATGTGCCTGGGTATGAAGAAACGGCTAAATCCAGTAAGTCATTATCAACATATGGTGGAATCATCTTTTCTTTCGTAATTAAGATTAAGATTAAGATTCGCCTTTCGCCTTGCAGGGCCGGGGATTTCCACCCCGACACGTTCATCCCTCCCGAGGAGGCTTGATGGGCACACTCCCTATTGCCGCAAACAGGAGATTCGTGCACCAGTCTTGACATCCATAGCTCCTGGAGTCTAACAGCCAACCTTCCAGGTCTAAACTCCCAGTTTCTCGTTAGGAAAATCCGTCTTCAGGGTCTGAGGGTCATATATCCCTTCAGACATTGGCCGACCTTGTCCTTTCCAATGATTGTTCTGGAGAAAAAACTTAAATCCCAAGGATTAGCTCCCTGAGGCCCGAGGAAAGCCAAGCCCGACATACATAAAGGATTATCAATCCCTTTCCGCCTAAATTTCCATCACTGGGCTGTTGCCTGCTGGTGTTGAAGAAATAAGGTCGAGAGGTCGGGTGGTATGTCATCACCATTTTTATTTATATATTCTTTCGTAATAATTTGGGTGGCGGTTCAAGCCATCAGTTTCTTTACGAGCAAAAAGGCTGACTCCGATAAGCCAAAGACGACTTAACTTAAACGTCATTTAGAAAAATAAATATAACAGAGTTATAACAATTAATTTCTCGGAATTTACAGAAAATGATACCTTTGGAGACTCTACACAGATTTTTTTATAGTAGCTAAACTCAGTCCCAGGTCTGCACGAGCAAGCGCCATCAATTAAGTCAGCACCTTCTCAGCAAGAACTGCAATTAAATTTTCCAGGCCCTTTACATGATTTACAAGTTAATTCGCAACCAGGGGTGCAATCATCTCCTTCAAATCCTTGATTACAATGGCATTTCCCATTTATGCATTTACCTTGGCCACTACAAGCATGAAAGCAAGGCTTTTTATTTTTTTTTTGAAATTTATTTTATGCTTTTTATTAAAAAATAATTTTTAAAAAATTATTTAAGGCTTTTCACTACAGAGAACGTCACTATTAGGACAGATTAAGACCCCATTATAGCCTTTTATCGTAATATTACCCCCATCAAATGGGCAATTAACTTCTTGATCCCCTACTCTGAGCGTAGCATACGTATAAGTACAATTAATGACTTCATAGCAGTTTCCTTTAATTTCAGGGCTGAACTTGTATTTTTTATTCAGCAGGGTCGACTCAACACATCTGCTATTTACCCCTACACTTTCCCCATAATATTTTGGATACGAAAGTGACGATAATTCTCTGCATTTTCGATTGCTAAAAGGGTACATGTAAGGACAAAAATCTGCATAAGAAACTGAGCCACCTAAATCAGGGTCATTAAAATACTGTTCATTTGTAGGAATATTATTAACAAGTTTTGAAGCGCAAAAAGATTCTGAAAGATGATAAACGTCACAGCCAGTCCTGTTACTTGGCTTGCAAAACCCTGAAAATTTAGGATTTTCATCACGAAAGCATTTATCTTCAAGCCATTCACATCCTGCTTTGTGTCCTCATAAGATCTGCTGGGAATAGTCAAAATTGACATCATATCAGCCAGAGTCTTGAAATAGGGCTAAAGTTATAGCAGAAAAGACTGATTCAAAGGAAAGCTGAGGAGACATGTAATCTCCAGGCAAAATTCTCATATCTCAATGAGAGCCAGCTGACCCTGAACCTCCATAGTCTTCTAGCTCAATCCCTTCAAGGTTTTCACAGCCAAAAATTTCTCTAGCTTTGGAAACGACTGTAGGTAAAGTCAATACTGTCACTCATTTTTCTCTATTGGGAAAATAAATTTCTTTAGTTATTTTAACAGTTTTCATATTGAATCGATTAATTTTTTGAATTAATTCTCCATAAAAATCAAAAATATTGGTTCAATTTTATTTTTTTTAATTTTAAAAATTTTAACAAAAATGAACCTCTTTAACTGGAACAGATTTTTTTCAAATTGAAAGGGGAGGTGAGTTAGTTATTCGTCATCAGAATAAGGCAACCCATTTGGCTTTTTAAAAAGGTCAAATAATTCTGGGGCGAAAGCAAGAGCATGAGTGATTTCATGGATAGAAACCATAATTTGGTCTTGCAGAGGAAGCTTTAAAAATGAATTTAAATTTACTTCAAAAGATCCTGCTAATACATTATTTGGACTATTTGCTTGATGTGCACAAGCGCCACCTCTAGCTATATACTCAGTTCCAGAATTATTTGTTGCATGAATATAGAGTATAAAATCTACTGGTAAGCCTTCATTTTTATGGTCCTGAGGATAGTTAAATTAGGTGTTTTAAGATCATAAGCGGGTAGACCACTAGCCTGCCTATTAGGTATAAACCCATCTAATTAGCTCCCCTAGGTTAGAGCCCACCTCTTGAAGATCCCTGTTAGCCTTGATAAGCAAAGACTAAGTGGATGGCAAAGTCTGTCTAGCCCATCTGATAGGGACAGGGAAAAACCTTCAGGTCAAAAATAAAACTTCCCTTTTTTGCAGATATCCCAAATCAGAAGATGCACTATTTTTAGCTTCATCAGGACGGGTCCGACTTGCTCTATAATGTGTCTCAGAATCTATCTTCTGTCAATTTCGCCATTTTATTTCTTATTATCCTGAGGAATCTGAATGCCATTGCATTTATTTATTTTTAATGATAAATTGTCAATAAGTGGATATACTGATAAAAGGTTGGAAAATCAATTGAAGCAAGCTGTCATTACTTGGTATTTAAAAATATTTTCTTCAGTTTGGTTCATATACTCTTTTTAATAAATAAAAAACAGTTGTTTTCTATCAAAAAATATATATGTTAGTTAATTATATCTAATTAAAATGAGTATATATAATTCTGAATATTCAAAATGCAAGCGAATAGAAGAAAGTGTTGTGCCCCGAAGCGATTTATCTTGAAGTTCTCGGCCTATATGAACATTTGGCTCAAGGGTAGGAGATCAGTCAGAACCAACACCACATTTTACCGTGTATGCTAAAGTTAATAGCAAATTATAGGCCAGAAATTTGACCATTTTTATCAAATATATTTAGTACAGATATAAAATAATGGCTTGAGTTTGAAGCTGCTAAATTTTCAAAAAATATTAATTTTGCCTTAAATTTGTAGGCATTTTGTATTTTTCATTATTACAGTATTATTGCAAATGAGACGTGCATGTGTTATTGAACTCATCTAAAAATAATAGCTTGTGCTGTCAATTATAAAAGTAAACATAAAAATTTTGGTCAAATCTAATTTGACTATATATAAATTCTAGTAATTAAAATATGAAAAGACCATCATCTTTATCACTAGACCCAGGCGTCTCTTCAAAGCCAAAATTTGAAAGCCTTGAGTTTATTGACGGAGATGATCCTTTTCAGACACATTATTCTCACCGCTCTTCTACTTCATCAAAATCTACCTGCCTTCTATCTTCCCGAGAGCTAGCTTTATCAAATGTTAGCACCCCCCTTATCAAGCCACAAATTCACAAAAAATTATTACACACAGACTCCTCGTCCTCATATCTCGACCTTTTAGGCAATTATCTTGATGTCTTCTTTACCCTTTCTTCCTCTTACTTTGAAGAATATCAAAATGCTTATATCCTTCACATATTGAATCACTTATACAAAACAAAAACACAAATCACCAAAAATGATCAGCTCCCTGATCCAGTTAAAGACCAAGGATTTTCTCCCACAAAAATATTAGTGTTGTTTCCTTACTCCCCCCCTCCGTGAGTGAACAAAACCATTAGAAAAATCGCTATTTTTTGACCAAAAACCCAAGCTCCGTGAGTGAACAAAAATTTTTTTAATAGGAAAAATTTTTATGGAAAAAAATTTTGATATATAAATGATAATTAGTATAATGAAATCTAGAGCTAATTCTGTTTAATTTCAAACGAATTGCTTTTTAAAACATAAATTTTATAAATTAAATTAATATTTGCTTTCCAATTTTTGCGAATTAGATTTTTTTAAATTTCGAAAAAAAAAAATTTTTTATAAAATTTATATATAAAAATTTTTTTAAAAAAAAAAATAAACCCTCCGTGAGTGAACAAAATTTTTTTGTTCACTCACGGAGGGGGGGGGGAGTTATAAAAAAAATGCAAAAGTTTTTATTGAAAAATTGGTGGAAATTCATTGCAAAGGCAAGAAGAAAAAAATGACAAAATCATCAAGAAGGAAATTTACTGAGGTTTTTGAAGAAGCTGAAGACGCAGAGGTTTCTGATGCGTTTAAGTTAGGGGTGGTGCTAGGAGATAAAAGAGAATTGCAGCTATTTACACCTTTTAAGGCTTCTGATATGATTATTGCTAGTCCTATGTCGCTTAGGCAAGCAATATTAAACGAAAGTGAAGACGAAAACGCAAAAGAAAACTTACTCCCTTGCTTAATATAATAAGGAAAAAATCTGTCCAAATAGAGTATAATTATTTTCAAATTATTATAAAATTTTATTGAACTTTATTGATTCAAAGTGATTATTTGGTTAAATAGTATTCTAGCTTTTTTCAATTGAACAAGATATATATAAATCAATGATTTTTGTGACAATAAATTAAGTACCAAAGCTATTTAAATAGAAAAATTATTATTTTTCTATAAAATATGAAATTTAAAGAGGTTAAGAAATTTTACAAAATCTACTAATTTAAATGAAGAAATTAGGAATTTTATGCTCAATTGAAATGGTAGTCATGGAAAATTCTGAAGTATTCCTAATGCAAAATTGGGACCACATAGAAACTATTTTTAAAGCCATGAATCGAATCCCTGACAGAGATTCTATGACAGCTGACATAAACCGCATAAGGGATCCTTTTATTGAAGAAAAAAGCAAAGAATACCGCCAATTGATAATTTTCTCAGAATTTATATCCCCTTTGCTTTTATCTCTATTTAACAGGAATGAAAATTATAAAGGAAAGGCAAAAACAATTGACCATTATCCAGGAGTAAACCAATATGACGTCGTCCAAAAATACAGAAAATTCAGGGCAAGCTCACAGCTTTCAGCAGCCGACGAAAGATTCGAATATTTCACACAAAATTTGTGGCCGAACATAAAAGAAGATCTATACCCAAAATCAATTTTATTTGTAGCAAGCTATTTTGAGTATATAAGGGTTAAAGCTTATCTTGAAGAAAATGACCCAGGAGTGCTGTGCATAAGTGAATACACACAAAAATCAGACAAACAAAGGTCAATTGCAAACTGAAAAAATGGGAAAAATAAAGCCATTTGTGTGACTGAAAGATTTTTATATTTCAGACCACAGAAATTTGATGATATAGGTCATTTGGTGTTTTATTCATTACCAGAGTTTAATAATTTTTATGAAGAATTTGCAAGGGAAAGCAAAGAAGTGATATCAGTTTATTGCAAATTTGATGGGTACTCGCTACAGAGAATCGTTGGAGACAAAAAGGCAGGGCAACTATTAAAATAATGCAGATTTTTCAATTTTAAATGATTTTTAAATAGATTTTAACGTGCAGGTTTTCCTTCATTTTTTGGGTTAAAATTGCCTTGGTTTCTGTTTTCACTTACCCTAGGGTATGAGGTCTGAGTTGTGTCTTGATTATTTTGGCTTTGGACTGGTCTCCTATATCATGGCTCCTCCACAGGCATTTTATCATATGATAGCTCTCCATAAGGTGCCTGAGGGTTATAAGTATCAAAAGGGACTTCTGGATGTGTATTTGGTGATGCAAATTGTGATGGAAAATTCGGATTTTTATTATTTGGGAAAAAGTTTTTGTTGTAATTATAATCCACATTATAAGTTCTCTCTTTTATCTCATTAAATACCTCTGGTTTAGTATTTTGTTGATAGTAAATCTGTGGTTTATTCTTTTGCTCATGATAAATCTGAAGCTCTTTATGCATAGAAATCAGCTGTTTTTCATATTTTTCAGCCATTTTGGCACGCAGATCCATCTTCGATTTTCCTCCTCATATTCATAATTCCACCCAATACAGTCGATACCCCTATATAGATTTCTTTATAGAACAAAATGAAATGGTCTGTTGAACGAGTAAGATAGACTCTCTCAAAAGAGATGAACTCAATCTCTCTACCAGGAAGTGTTAAAAAGTGGTATGCAAAAAAATGGTTGCAAGTGTGGAAAAATTGACAAGCAAATGCGCTAATATGTGAAATGACTTTACTATTAAATTAATTTTAAATTAATTAGACTGAGATAATAAATATTAAGCAATATTGCTTATTTAAAAATTTATACTGCCGTAAAAAAACTCTATCGTTAATTTGTTAATTTTTTAAATCCGTTTAAATTGCTAACGAGCATTAATATGAGCCATTAAGAACTTCATAAAGAGCAACGAGCATTCAATACAAAACTTTGGCTTTTATAAAGACATTGATCATAATCAAATTGACATTAATTATTATAAATAAAATTCCATGAGGGAGAGAAAATTAGCAAAGCTAATTTCTCTCGAAACCGAATGCCATTTTATTTATAGGGTTAGGTTTTCACTCGAGAACTTCTGGACAGCAATAGCGGTTTAACTCTGGGGATAACCAGAGGAACTGCTCCTCAGTCCTCTCAAGATTTCGGGCTTTTACCTCTCAGCACATCCCCACGGGAGGATGACCCTTAGGCGGAACACGCGCAGGAGCTGAGTCGAGCGACAAGGGCGACGGCATCGCGCCGGGTGAGACGTGCAGCAAGGCTGATGAAGCAGGAGTTGATAGAAGGCTTGGCCAGGGCTGACCTGTTCCAAGATGGCTCGCCTACATCACTAGTTTTGCCATAGGTCCTTTTTGGGCTGCGGCACTAGACACCTTAAACACCAAATAATTAAGTAAGTAAGTAACAAGTAAGTAAGACATTAATTATTAAACAATGCATCCTTCCACAAAAAAGCAATTCGATCGATAAGTTTTTAATTTTCAATTCCATTTAAATTTCTAATGAGCATTAATATGAGTCGTTAAGAGTTTATAAAGAACAATGAGCATTAAATAAAAACTTTTTTTATAGAGCAATTGATCAGAAACAAATTAGCATTGTTTATTAAAAAATGTATCCTTCAGCAAAAAAGTAACTTGATCGACAAATTTGTATTTTTTAAGTTCATTTAAATTTGCTAACGAGTATTATATTAGTCATTAAGAACTTGAGAAAGAGCAGCAAGCGCTTAGCATAGCTTTGTCTTTTATAGAGAATTTGATCACATTCAAACTGGCATTATTTATTTAAAATTAAGACGATATTAGTCAATCCCAGTCTAATTGTGCATCTTAAATTTAAAATAAGTTCAAATAATAAAGTCATTTAAAAATTAGCACTTTTGCTTGCCAACTTTTTCACAGTTGTGCCATTTTTTGACATGCCACTTTTTAAAACTTCCTAGTATAGAGATTGAGTTCATCTAGAGAATCTGCCTTGTCGTTCATCTATCCATTAGATTTTGTTCAATAAGAAATCCATATAAGGGTATGGGCTATACGTCAGTATAGACGATACTGCATATAGAGCATATTTTCCTTTATTAAATTTTCGCTCATTGGGAAACTTGAAATAATATTTATCAGCATAAACAGTGCCGACCATAGCAAAAGCACACACTCCTAATTGCTTTCAGAAGGTTTTTCTTTCCATTTTTTCAAAGGCTTGATCGAGCTCTTCTTCTTTAATTTTTAATTTTCCGGATCTTTCGTCATCAACAAAAAAGTCAAGGAGCTTTTTTTTGTACACAGGGTTATTGTGAGGATCCATTTATACTGCAGGATATTTATAAGAAAATCATAGGATTAAATGCATTGATTTAAATAATTTATTAAATTCTTAGAACTATGATAGGAAAAAAGTTAATTCTAATGAATAAAATTTAATTTTTTTATCATTTAGAAGAACCGATTATTAAGTTAATTAAGATGTTTCATCAGTTTTTGTAGCGATTTCGATTGAGTCTTCTTTGGTTTGCTGGTTTCCTTTGGCTTCTTTTATGAAAGCATTATGCTCTTCTTTGATATTTTGAAAGGCTAATTCTAGATTAGGGTTATTCTCTCTCAGCTGTTTTTCATATATTTTACCCATTTCTAATTCATAGGCATATCTTTTTCAAGGTTTTTGCAGTCTATTATTAGCAATAATCGTTGCGCAAATTCCAATCAAAGCACATCGAAATCGTGTTCTAGAATCTAAATTTCGAGGTACGCATACAAAAAAATCAAAACAAACTGTTCCTACCACTCCTACAGCGAAAATCAATTTCTGATTCTTAGCATAGTTTTTTAGATAATTATCATATTTCACATCTTCTTGGTTATTGAATTTTTCAAGCTTATTTTGATATCAGCTTTTTCGAAAAGCTTCTGTAAGTAATCTTTCATAATAATATTTTGTAATTTTCTGGGGTTTTGCTGCAATGCTCTCAGTATTACTCTCATTGGATTTTTGATCCATATTATTTATTTAGCGAAAGTATATTTATGAAACAATTTTTAGATCTAAACCCAAAATTTCAAGATTTTTTGAATGAAGATTCCTCTGAAGGAAATCACCGTGAAAAAGAAATCTTCCGTGAAACAGAAATTGAACAAGTGACATCTTGGTCTTATGAAGAAGCCTTCCCTCAATTCGAAGCCATCCCCATCTCAGAAGCTGCAATGCAGACTCACATGTCCAATGAAAAAATTGGGCTTGTCAGAGAATTTCCTTTTGAAGCTTACTGTGAGCTGAATTTTCGAGGAAAAACTTCTTGAGGAGTCAAAGTCCCACTGACCGACATTTTAAGTTTCAGCTCCAACGTAATTAAAAAGCCCTTGCTTAAAATGAACTCAAAATACCACAAGTCAGCACGTCAGACCTTTAAAAGTAAAAAATAATTAGACATCCTTTCATACATGAAGGAAAGAAGCTCTTCAAGACCTTCAATACATCATGCTAATAAACTGCTGAAAATAGGCATGGAGTCGCCGCCTGAAATTTGTGACGAAATTTATTGCCAATTGGTAAAGCAGACTAATAATAACCCTAAAATAAAGAGCACGCTAAGAGCTTGGACTTTGTTTGGGATATGCTCAGGAGTTTTTGCGCCATCACCGAATTTAAGGCTGCCTTTGCTTAACCATTTAGTAAAAATAGTAGAAAATGAAAGTCAGGAAATTTCGAGCAAAACTTGCTATTGTATTACGAGACTAGAAAAAATATACCAAAATGGCTCAAGATTGGTGCATCCAACTGAAATGGAGCTAAAATGCATGAAAGCTATGAGGCCGATCCCTATAAAAGTTTATTTAATGAGTGGCTCATATATTTGTATGCTTATATAGGGTATGCAGCCTTATAAGTTTGCATAGGGCAAATTTAGCAAGCCAAATAGGTTTTGACAAATCAGATTTAATCAATTAGTCTGAATCTGGCTATAGGGATCAAGTTGAATCCTGCAGCTATAGAGTCTTATGATAATTCAAATGATTTAAAATGTGCAGTACTAAGAAGACTCGATATTTCAGTCTCAAAATTTTCTTATTTCGGATTTTACGAGTACTGTGAAGCCTCCGAACTAGAAGAAAGATACATAGAAGACTGTGAGCTGATTCTTGATATAATTTCTAAATGGAATGAAAATGAAAACCCAGAAGCTTTTAAATTGGTTTTAAAAATCAGAGTTTGGTATACACCAGGGCCAAAAGATATAGGATCTCTATGTTTATTACATATTCAAAGCGTATTTGATGTAATTTCTTGTAAAATTCCTGTTTCTTTAAAAATTGCATTACTGCTAGGGGCATTAAAGCTGCATATTGATATGGGGAATTCTAAGCAGTTAGATGCATTTTTGTATCAAAGATTATTTAATTATATTCCAGAAAGACTTATTCATTTACTAGCAAAAGAAGACTGAATAGCGAAATTACTTCAAAAAAGGATGAGTTTTGATAAGTACTCGAAAATCGAAGCGCAAAGGAAATATCTTGAAGTTTTGAGCTCTGAGCCGCTATATGGGTCAAATATGTTTTATTTGATTTCATATGACCTAAATGAAGAAATAACAATGCTTCCGTATGATGTATTATTGGTAATAAATTCAAATGGAGCGATGATTTATATTATTTAACTCTGCCTTTTTAGATTTTACCTAGACGGTACCTTAATTCTTACTTCCACTCCCTTCAAATTGGAGCAAAATATATGTGAAATTTCCATTGTTTAGGATACTTTACCTCCTTTAAATTGGAACAAATTTTTTCAATAGGAAAATTTTATTAATAAAAATACTATTTTTATAAAATTAATTTTGACTTAATTTAATGGAAAAAGTTCAAGTATTATCTCAATTATAAACATTTCCCGCACACAATGGCGCTTTTTGCGCCAAAAGTTAGGAAGTGCTTATCCTGTCAATTCTGAAAGGAGTTGCAGTGTGAGAGGAGATTTTGCGTCAGCAGTAGTCTCTTCAGTGCTGAATTCATGACTGCAGGAGTTGAAGCGAAGATGGAAGCGTGGTGCAATGGGTGATGGCATGGAGACAGCACATGATACAGGGCAAAAATTTCAGTGGCCTGCATTGGAGGCGCAAGCAGGTAGTGCATTGATTTTTTGTGAAATTACTTTTTACCTTTTACTCTTATTTTTATTTTTTCCTTTTTAGAAATTTTTTGGGAATTTTTCACAAATTTCTGGAACTTTTTTGAAGATCTTTTAATTGGTCCACATAGTTGGGCGATAACCATTAATTCATTCATTATCTCAATTAATTCATTATATAAATAAATTAAAATTCAAAACGCAATTAGCTCAATTTTATTTTTTTTAATTACTTATAAAAGAAAAAAATTTAATATAAATTTTGAAAAAAAAAATGAAATCCTTTAAATCGAGCAGGGAATTTTGTTCCAATTTAAAGGGGGAGTTAAATAAAAATATTATTGGGCTTACCAATATTATACTTAAATAATACAGAATATTATATACGCGCGACCATAGAGAAGAATTATTAAAATTTAAATACTCAGAAATAAGCAGCTGGGGGGTGAGTAAAGATATGTTCGCGCTAATAGTAGCTAAAGGTGGAGCACAAACACAATATATGTTTAAAACAGTATTAGCAAGAGTTATTAGCTCCCTTATGGAAGCATATGTAAACAAATCACTAGGAAGACCAATAGGCCAGCTGCCTACACAAAACACAAATTTAAGAAAAATTGGGCTACAACGAGAACTTATTACAAAATTCCCAAGACTACAAGCAGAATTATTTAAAATGTAAAAATTATGATATTCCAATAACTTTTTAATATTTTCTAATTTAATTTTTTAAAAAAATAATGGATAATTTATATGAAAAATTAACACAAAAAGTATATATAATAAGCGAAGAAGTGTTTACTGTATATGCTGTTGTTGATAAAGAATTTAGTGGCGAACTGTGTGCAGACTTAAATCGCGTTTTCTTTAATTTTCGGTCTTTAGAACTTTGAGCGGTCTGTGGGCTTTGCGGGATATTATTTTTTATTCTTGTTGATAATCTTGAAATTTTTTTCATAAAAGGCTGGGGACTTGTGACAGCTGAAGCTGATTTTTCTAATTTTTGTGATGCTCGCTTATGGTAGATTTTTAAGTCTTTTAGCCTTTTATCTAGATTTCTAGCTTCTTGGAAAATCCCTTGGTAACGCATTGTAGGAGAAAGCTGGGGAAGCCCATTAGACAGGCTTCGCTTTAGTATTTTTTGTGATTTTCCTGGGCTTTTTTTAAGATCTTCTGTTTTTTCTTGATCTGGAGGGGCTTCATAAACTTTTTCTATCACTCTGTATCTAGAAATAGGCTCAGTGTCTTCAGTGATAAAGATTCTTTGCTTCATTTGATCTTGTGTTTGCTTTTTAAATCTTGGCTCTTTATAAACTCCTCCTGGCATATTAATTTTTAGATTTTCATAGAATGCATTAATTTTCTTCGGATAGCGCTGTTTATATAAAATCACTATGTCTTTAAATAAAGTATTTGTGGATGTTTCAGTTGCTGTAAAAAATCTAAGAAAAATAGTAAAAAGTGTCAAAACTTGATTTTTGAAATTTCTATGGATTTCTTCTAACAAAATAATGATATTTTTTTCAATATTTTCCCAATAATTTTCAAGATTTTCTTTATTTTTTTCATTTTTCAGATAATTTATTAAATTTTCTTCAGTCAATAATTGCCTTATAATAGGTATAGAATTCAACAATTCAATGAATTTTTTTGAGTTTTCTTTTTCACTAGGAAATATCCTTAAATAGACCTCATCAATTTCTGCGTTAGACAAAGGTAAATAAGGTAGCATTTCTTCTTCAAATGTGCTTTCACCATTCTCTTCTTCATGCTTTGAGGTAGCAGTCGATTTCATACTTTCACGAGATCGCGCTGCTTCTACACGAGATAGTGGTTTTTGAATAGGCTTTTGTGGCTTAAGCTGCTCAACTATTATTCGCTTTATTGAGCCTTTTCTTAAATTTGGGAGCTCTATTGACGTATATTCATAAACTTCATTTACATTAGTGCCTAAATCGTTACTGTATTTTTTAATTAGCCCCAAAACTTTGAATGACTGGCTTATATCGCCAAGTGCTTGATATAGAATTTTCCCATAGATAGCGCTGTTTGCCCTTGATTTGCCTACTGGCAAAATTTTTTGGTTCGACCAGTACCATATGGTTTGGTCAAACCAAAAAATTTTTCCTCATGGGTAATCAAGGGCAAACAGCGCCATCTATGGGAAAATTCTATAATAAATTTTCATAATTAAATTATCAATTCCATGGGCTTCTTGAACTGAAAAATTTACTGTAACATCATTAAGACTTGACCTAATATCATTATAAGTCATAGGATTTTTAGGTATTTCATTTAAGTCTGTGTCCATTTTTAGCAGTTCTAATTCATTTTTTAATTCCTCACACAAGTTTTCGTCAAGAATATGCTGGCTTGTAAGCTCAGTAAACATAGTGGATAATGAAATTTCATGAGATTTTAATTCTTTAAAACCTTCGATTATTTTTAATGTATCTTCATCAGCAATTCCATTCATAAAATTTATATGGTAGCCTTGAGTTTTTAAAATTTCTTCAATTATTTTGAATTTTTCGTGATACGTTTTTAAATTCTGGGCATTCATCTTTGATAATTCTTTAATATTACTCTTATTAAAATTAAATAGAAAAGTTAATATATTTTTATAATATTATCGCATAATTGCAATTTAAATAGGAATAATTTTTTCTTTTACTCCATTTTCTAGCTCATTTATTAAATTGATTTTGGCTTCTTTTTTTGCTTTGTTTTTCATTCTCGCATAGGTGATTCTTTCTATTAAAGATTGATATTGATTTTCAACTTTTTCTTTTTTTCTCAGCATTAAATCATAAGCTCTTCTATAAGATTCTTTCATATTTTCTCCATCATTTTTGCATTGGATCACTTGCCCTTGTGCTGATGTGAGCTCATTTAAAGCTAAAAACTGAGCATTTTTTATTTCTGTATAATTCGTTGTAAGTCTTTTGAAAGCATCAGCAGTTTCAACTGACAATTTTTTGCTTTCCCCCATCTCTTTTCTTTTAATTTCTAATTTTGTTTTAAGTCTTTCAGTTTCAAACAATTCTTCTTCGATTTTTTCATTCATTTCATTAATATCTCCTTTGATTTTTTCAATTTTTTCCAAATAAGAGAAAATTATTTTTTTTAAAATTTCAAAAATTAAAAAAAAAAAATTTCTATTTTTTATAGCTACTGAATAAGCAGAAAAATCAGAATCTCCTCATTGCGCTTGTTTTAATTCAGATACGAGTGTTGATAAGCAATTTAATTGGATTTCTTTTTGTGTATTTCGTGCTGTGGCTTCATTAAGGGCTTTGAAAAGAGTTTTTGTTTCTAAATATTGTGAGGTTTTTTGTCTTTGAGAGACAATATGGCTTCCATATTCTTTATTTATAAGGCATTCAGTTGCACTGTATTCGTCTCTTAGCATTTCACTTAAATTCCCTTTCTCTTCTTGATTCGTCGCGATTTCTGAAACGCTGAAAACTGATTCATTATTTAAATTTATTTCTTCATCTGGTGCTGGAGGTTTAAGCATTTTTCTTAATTATTAATATATTTTAAAAGAAATTTTAAAGATGTTTACTAGTTTTCTCAGTAATTATAAATTATTTGCAATCTTTTTTGCATTAATTATGAAATTCATAAATTAAATTAAATTAAGAGCCTTGTTTAAAAACGGCCGAGGGTTTTATTTTCACCTCTGCAAGTTAATCAGCATCAGTTAAGAGCGCCCTACTGACACGTCTGCCTCGCTTAGGCATCGACTACCTGACTTGCTCCTGGGGCGTCCGTTCGCTATCGGCTGGAGCCTGGACTTAACTACCTAATCTTGGGGGCAATGGCCGACTGTGCCCTTTCCAACTCCATTGTCAGGAGGAAAAAAACCCATGCCCCAGATATCATACCCTGTGGCAACGGAGAAAGCCTCTACAGGAATGCATTAAGGATGCCGAGCCTGTATCTCAAATTGGTTCCTCCACCTGGGCGTTCCCTGCAGGTGTTGAGGAATTTGCGTCAAGAGTTCGGGTGGTCGCCTCCGCCATATTAATGTATATGAAATTCGTAAATAAAAATAAACTTATACTCCGAAAAATATAATGAAAGATTTAATAAAATATATCCGTGGAAAGATGATAACTTTTATGATCCGAAACCAATTCTTGTCTCATTAGATTTAAATGGATAAGCTATTGGTAAATCCAGATCCAATGGCTCATTTTCGCCAAATTTGCAATTTTGATCTTTTTAGAGCTAACAAGCAGGATCAATTTCTCGAAAATAATGTTCCAGAAAGGATATATTTCCTGAGGTTAACTTTAAGTATCAACCGAAAAAATAACGAAGCTTAAATATTTTATTTCAATTAAACCAAAAAGAACTATTTAATAAATTCCTGATTTCATTTATTCTAAACTTAAAGCCATAGTAAAATAATGGTAGACTACAGTTCAATTCCAGATTGGCTGATCGCTATTGTTGCTCAGAAGCCTAAGTTTAACATGCAGTTCACTGAGTACGAAGAAAAGCTCGTCGCGAGTCGCCCAGATCCCAAGCTTCCAGAGGATCTTCAAAAATTATTTGACAATAACCCTGAAGAGTTCAAAAAAAAGTGCTTGCTGACTTCTTATTCAGGTGTCGACAATTATAGAGAAAACTTCGTCATTCGCAAACTCCTTTTACTAGCTTATAAAAAGAATATTTTGCCTGAATTTGGAGCCACCAGTGATGAAAAAGATTTTATCTCTGCAAGAAGGTGGTATAAATTTTAATTTAAATAAAAAAAATTATTAATTATTGTAAAAAATAAGGAATTTAAAGTAAATTAGTATACAATTTCTATCATTTCATCTATAATTCTATATTTATAGGTGCATTTGGCTTGCTAAATTTTGCTTATGTCCTTCCCAGATTCTCTGCAATCGGTCTTCCACTCGCAATTGGCAGCAATGCTTCATTGTATTTGTCTTTAATGTTTCTAAAAGATCCTTTCCTGCACAACTCAAAGATAAAAGCAAGAATAGCCCAATATAGAGTTGCGGATAAATACAAAGAAATTCTATTGAAATATCACCAAGAAAATCGTCTCTTATATAGATTCCACCCTCGCGCTGTTTTCCCACCAAACCCTCTAAATAAGGAAGAAAAGCTTTATGACCGAGTCAACTTATTTTGGAAAGCTTTGAATACTGACCCGAGTGATTTGGAGAATCAGCAGAAGACCTCATTACTTAGATATAAGTCAGAAAAGAATTTATAGCTTAATATATAAGCTTCTTTAATTATTGTACGCTTAAAATATGAATTAGGTGCATTTGGCTGGCTCATATCCTTCCCAGATTTTCTGCAATCGGTCTCCTCGTAATTAGCAGCAATATTTCATTGCTTTTGTACAAATCAAAAATAAAATCAAGAATTGCTCTAAATGCTCTATTTATTAACCAAAATTTAAGTAAGCATTATGAGGAGGGTAATTTCTCTAATTGATAAAATTTCAGAATGGCCTAATAATTTAGTAAAATTAGAGAAATAATTACTGTGAAACTGATTAATTGCATCTGAATTGAATTTGAAGAAAAAGCTCTAGATATCTATAAGCCATAGCTTATAATTACATCTTTAGTAGTAGCGAATCTGAAGTTAAATATAAATTCTATTAAACGAAGTGATACATGAAGAAAATAGTTAGATTATATTTGAGAGAGAGCAATGTATTTGTAAGATAGTTATCTCAGCCATGGAGAAATCACCTAGGATTTATTTTCCCCAATTTTGTAGCACCTTTTTTGTTGAGATAGTCATAATTAAGGAGCATCAAAACCTTCAAAAATAAACACAAAATATTTTAAATATTAGCGAGAAAGGATGGATTGATAATTTAAAGGCAAAATGAGGATATTTGAAGGCTGTAAATTTTAGGTATTATTATTGCTGTTTTGTTTATATCTAAAATAACACTAATAATGGCTTAAATATCTATTTTTATTCGACACCATTTTGGGGAAATAATGATTAGCAATAAGATAATCTTTATAAATCTTGCTGTTCTGGTCATTTTTACAAATGGAAGCTACCCTGATATCAATTCTTCTTTAGATCTGCCTTCAAATTTGTTCTGGGGTAAAGAAAAGGGAATTAGCTATCTTACGGTATCAAGAAACATAAAAAATCTTGAGTATTGTTCAGGTTCTTGGGCCTTAGCTGCCACTACCGTCCTTTCTGATCGCTTTAAGGTCCTAAGGAATGCTTCATGGCCTGACTATAGCATTTCTCCACAAGTCGCGCTTAGTTGCATATCAAGTGTCCAAGGCTGCTCTGAAGAAGGAGACCCAACACTAGTCTACGATTATATTTTAAATAATGGAATTACTGATGAAACTTGCGCAATTTACCAAGCTCGCGATTTTTCAAACGGAGCCCCTTGTGATAGATTAGCCATATGCAAAACTTGTTTCCCTAATGGAAAATGTGACATTCCTAGTAAATATTATCTTTATAATATCACAGGATATACTGTAGCTAAAGGTGAAACTCAAATGCTAACTGCTTTACAAAGTGGGCCAATTGCATGTAGACTCAATAGCACAAATGAGTTTGTAGAATACAACTCTATGGATGATATACTTGTCCCTACAAAATCTCCAAGTAATGGTACAATTTATGTTTCAATTGTTGGATATGGAATTGATTCTTTTGGCACAAAATACTGGATGGGCAGAAACTCTTGGGGAACAAGCTGGGGAGATATAGGATTCTTTAATCTAATAAGAGGAACAGACGCTTTAGGGATTGAGGAATATTGTGTTTACCCTACTCCTAACTTAACAGTTACTGTTGTCACTACTAACAGTCAAGGAATAGAAGAAAGAACATTTATCAATAATTTTGAGCTCCCTAAGTATCTAGAAGAACCAGCTAATTCTTTTAGAGCCAAGCAAGCTGAAGATAAAGCTTTAGCTGCTGTTCCTTCAGCATGGGATTGGAGAAATGCAAAAGGTAAAAATTATTTATCATGGGTCAGAAACCAAAATATTCCTCAATATTGTGAAGCTTCTTGGGCCTTTGCTCCTGCATCTTCTGTCACTGACCGCTTAAATATTTTGCATTTTAATGACACTTTTCCTCAATTCATTATATCGCCACAAGATATAATTAATAACGGTGTAGGAAATTGCAGCTCTGGAGACGTGTCAGCACTCTATAGAGATTTCTTACAGAATGGGTATTCAGACGACACATGCTTGCAGTATGTAGCGGACAATTCAAGCACATTTGACTGTTATAATTGTGTACCGCCAGCACCTCAGGAAGGTAAAAACTCATACTGCAGCCCTATTGCGCCTCCTTTCTTATTTAAAGTCAGCAGGTATAAAAACCTTGCTGGGGCGACCAAAATGATGCAAGAAATTTATACGAATGGACCAATCACATGTGGAATCTACGCAAGCAAAGGATTTGCTAACTACACTGGAGGAATTTATAGTGAAATTTCAAAAATTTCCACAATAAGCCAATATATCTCTCTTGTAGGATGGGGAGTAGACCCTTCAACGAAAATTCAATACTGGATTGGAAGAAATTCTTGGGGAACAGGCTGGGGTGAGTATGGATTTTTCAGAATGCAAATGTTTAGAGATAACCTTGGGATTGAGACTGATTGCGTGGCTGCAGTTCCGATTTTTGGATAAATTAATTAATTTATTCAGTTATATGAAAGTTTAATTAGCTTGTATTTTTTCATATAGCTCTGTCAAAGTTAATATGCTTAGCCTAAAATTGGTTAAATAAATTAAAAAGAGAAAAAATTAAATAACTGTTAGAATAAATATTTCAAGCATTCTAATTAGCTATTTAGATATGTAATTTCAAGAAATGGAAATAATTGACTAATATTAGCAAAAAAGAGAAATAATGTCACCAAATATGTTAGTCGACACTAAATTGTATTCAAAGAGAATAATTAAAATATCTAGAAGCCGAAATTTTATAATTGAATTCTGAAAATCACTAATGCATAAAATAATACAATATTTCAAAAGTACAGCTGAAAAAGAAAATATAAATTTATATGCTATTTTCAAGAGTTAAAAATCCTTCAAAGAAGCCAATTAAGCAAGGAAGCGCTAATTAGCACCTATATTGAAAAAGAAAATTATATTTTAAAAACCCAATGCTCTGGACTCGACTTTAATTGGGTTATTCCTAAGAAAATTCAATTTAAAAGGTTTAAGCTTGCTTTAAAATAAAAAAAATATTCAAACGTTTGTTTCTTTAAAACCTTTATATTTTCTTGTGTATTTCATAAAGAAAGCTTTTATAATAGCCTAAACTCTTATTTTTTAACTGGTGACCATTTTTGGGGAAATAATGTTTAAAGCTCAGCTAGCCATTTTAACACTTGCTACTTTCTTGACTTTTGCAAATCAAGGAAATTCTGATTTTACTTCTCAGTCCTTAAGCTTGCCTACAAATTTGTTTTGGGGTAAAGTAAATGGTACCAGCTACCTTACGGTAACAAGAAACATAAAAAATCTTGAATATTGCTCATCCTCTTGGGCCATGGCCGCCACAACTGTCCTTTCAGACCGCTTCAAGGTCCTTAGGAATGCTTCATGGCCTGACTTTAACATATCTCCACAAGTAGCACTTAGTTGTATATCAAGTGTCCAAGGCTGCTCTGAAGAAGGAGACCCAGCGCAAGTCTACGATTATATTTTAAATAATGGAATTACTGAAGAAACTTGCGCAGTTTACCAAGCTCGCGATTTTTCAAATGGAGCCCCTTGTGATAGATTAGCCAGATGCAAGACTTGTTTCCCTAATGGAAAATGTGACATTCCTAGCAAATATTATGTATACAATATCACTGGATATGCTGTAGCCAAAGGCCAAACACAAATGCTAAACGCTTTACAAAGTGGGCCTATTGTATGCAGACTGAATAGCACAGATCAGTTTGTGCAGTACAGCTCTAACGATGATATACTTATCCCTACACAATCAGCAAGCAATGGCACCATTTATGTATCAATTGTTGGATATGGAGTCGATTCTAAAGGCAATAATTATTGGATCGGCAGAAACTCTTGGGGAATTGGCTGGGGAGATGCAGGATTCTTTAATATTATAAGAGGAACTGACGCTTTAGGGGTTGAAGAATATTGTGTTTACCCTACTCCTTCTCTAATAGTTACTGTTGTGAACACTAACCAAGGGATAGAAGAAAAAACTTTAATCAGTAGTTTCGATCTCCCCAGAATTCAAGAGCCAGCCAAATCTTTCAGAGTAAAACCAGTAGCTGATGAAACTCTAGCTGCCGTTCCTTCATCCTGGGATTGGAGAAATGTAAAAGGTAAAAATTATTTATCATGGGCTAGAAACCAAAATATCCCACAATACTTGGATGCTTCTTGGGCCTTTGCAACTGCTTCTTCTGTTACTGACCGTTTAAATATTCTATTTTTTAACGACACTTTTCCACAGTTCATTATATCCCCACAAGACATGATCAATAATGTTGTATAGCCCGTTCCCGACTATAGATCGGGCTTAGCCCGATCTTTGCCGGGAAACTCGGGGGGTTGTCTCCTTCACTTTGAGGTGACGAGTCAACTCCTCGAGTTGGCAAATAGCCGCTATATGGTGATTTGCCAACTCGGGGAGTTGACTCGTCACCTCAAAGTGACGGAGACAACCCCCGAGTTTCCCACAAAGATCGGGCTAAGCCCGATCTATAGCCGGGAATGGACTATAGGAGCATTCGGTTCTGGAGATCTATCCTCACTTTATAAATATTTCCAACAATTTGGGTTTTCAGATGACACATGCCTGCAGTATGTAGCAGAAAACCGAAATTCGTTTGACTGCAGCATTTGTGTATACTATTTATTTAGGCTAAAAACATAAGGCAAGCTTGTTTTAATAAAAATTTTAAAAAATAATTATTTTACAGCCCTTACTGTCTTACTCCTTTATAGTGATATAGAACAGTGAAAAATCCTTTATTTGAAATTAGACTATAATGAGGCTTATTTGTGTAAATTAATTGTTTTGATATAAGAAATTAATTAAAGACTCAAGTACTCAAGTGGCTGACATTTTAAAAATAAATAATAAAATTGGATTTTGGAGGTCAGCTTCGGAGAAGAGCTAGAAGATATATTCTAAAGTTCAAATATACCTCCAGCACCCGCTGATGTAAGCGATAATTCATACTGCAGTTCTGCTCCGATCCCTATAACATTTAAAATCAGCAGCTACAAAAACCTTGCCGGGGCGACAAAAATGATGCAAGAGATTTATACAAATGGACCAATCACATGTGGAATTTATGCAAGCGCAAAGTTCGCTAATTACACATCAGGAATTTATAGCGAAATTTCAAAAATTTCCACAATCAGTCAATATGTATCAGTTGTAGGCTGGGGAGTAGATCCATCAACAAACAATAAATATTGAATTGGGAGGAATTCTTGGGGCACAGGCTGGGGTGATTATGGATTCTTTTTTATGCAAATGCTTAGAGATAACCTTGGCATTGAAACTGACTGTACGGCTGCAATCCCAACTTTTAAATAAATTAGTTTATTCACATTAAATAATAGGAGTTTATCTGATTTGAATCATAGCAAAATCGCTAGTATTGAAAAACCCATTTAATAAAAAGTAAATATCTATAGACTGGTACCTGGATAGATAAATTACTCTTGCTATTTAAATATATACTCTTCTTTACATTTCTATCCCAAAAGCTCTTTTATACATATTAGATCAGCATTTAATTGGTTAATACTCATTATAACCCTATTTAAAGGCTTATAGTAGCTCAGAAAATGATAGATTAATATTAAGTCATAATTTTTTGATAGAATTAAAAGTTTGTAAGTAGGCTCGACTTGCTCAGTAACCCTATATTAAGCAAATATGCAAAAATGATTGGCATAGTAATTTATTCTAATGGCTATCTGAAACAAATAACTTTACAATTATAGCATTTAAAATGAAAGGTAGCTCAATGATTCTTTAGAATTATGCTCTTATTGCTTTAATATATGAAAATCAAGGCCTAATTATATTTCCATCTTTATAAACTATAAAATATGAGTATATTGCATGCATATATATAATTAAAAATATTCGCGAACCACTCTGGAAGAATTTAGCGAAATTGCAAGGATCTCTAGACTTAATTTGTATATTTTTGTTGTAAATGCGTTTCAGAATCTTAAATATTGATCAGGAAGTAATTATTTAGGAATAGGCTGTATGGATATGAATTTTTTAAGATGCAAATGTTTAGAGATAATTATGGAATTCCTGCTGATTGAGCAGCCTAAGCTTTTAAATAAATTAGCTATATTATCTAATTTATGAAAGGGCACTTTTACTCGATTTAGTATGTCTATACAAGATTTGGTGATCAAACTGATGGGGATCAGGCAGAATTTACTTTTCCTTGCAGATATAGTCATTCAGATAATGCATGTCACCAGTATATTGGAGCCCAATATGTTGAATATACTTGATTTTTCTATCGCCAACACCTAAAAAGATTTGAATTCAAATTACATAAGTATTAAGCCTCTTTTCTTATTTAAAATCAGCTTACAAATACCTTGTTGGGGCGACAAAAATGATGCAAATAATTATGCAAATATATCTATTATGTGTGAATCTGCGAAAGCACAAAGTTTGCTAACTACACTGGAGGAGTTTATATCGAAATTACAGGAGATTCTAGAGCTAGTCAATTGTGTCAGTTGTAGGCTGTGGAATAGACACGCCCACGAAAACTCAATACTGGATAGGAAGAAATTCTTGGGACATATTTTGGGGCGAGTATGGATTTTTCAGGATGCAAATGTTGAGAGATAACCTTGGTATTGATACTTATAGTGTCTGTATTCCTATTTTTTATAAATTAATTGAATTATTCAATTAATTAAAAAGGGTTTATTATATGGCTCTATCAGAAGTTAAATCTAAAACTTCATTTATAGAATAATGATTAAGGCAAATAATGTAATAAATAAAACACTTGGCAAAAAGAGTATGAGCTTGTGCAAATCATAAGAAATTAATAAGGCCAAATATCCATTTTTTAATTCAACACCATTTATGGGGAAATAATGTTTAGCTCGAAGCTAACCTTTGCAACTCTTGCTATCCTTATCGTTTTTACGGCTTCCAGATATGCTGGTCCCAGCAACCATGCTTCTCAGGAACTAAGTGCTCCTACAAGCCTATTTTGGGGTAAAAATAATGGCATCAGCTATCTTACAGTAACAAGAAACCACAACATTCCTCAATTCTGCACAAGCTCTTGGGCTGTCGCTTCAACCACAGTCCTTTCTGACCGCTTCAAGGTCCTCACTCCCCAATGAAAAAATTAAAAAGATTTCCTGTCAAGTGTATTTAATTTTTATTTTTTAAATCTATATGATTTGTGTGCCAGCAAAGCTCTGAAAAGTAAAAAATTGCCTTAATTTAAAAATATATTTTAGAAATAAGATAAAACAGAAATATTTCATTAATATTCGAAAATATTTTACAACACAAATTTTAGTTTATTTCACAAAAAACAAATTTATAGATTTGACTTCTTGTTAAGAAAGAGTCAGGAATTCTTCATGGCCTGACTATAACATTTCTCCTCAAGTGGCCCTAAGTTGCATTTCAGGAGTTCAAGGATGCACTACAGAAGGTGACCCAGTTTCAGTCTACCAGTACATTTACCAAAATGGAATAACTGACGAAACCTGTGCAAGCTACCAAGCCCGCGATTTTTCTAATGGAATTGCATGTGACAGATTAGCTGTATCCTTTTCTTATTAAAATAGCAGCCATTTCTTTATAAAATGATTATAATTATTTTTAATTTATAATAGAATATGCAAGAATTGTTTACCTAATGGAAAATGTGACATTCCTAACAGATACTTCATTTACAATATCACTGGGTTCGCAGTCGCCAAAGGAGTAACTCAGATGGTAAACGCTTTACAAAGCGGCCCTATTGTCTGTAGGATTGGTGTAACATCCCAATTCCAAAACTATCAGAATGGAATTCTTACACCGACTGCTGGCGCTCAAGTTCTTTTTACCTCTTACGTTTCAATTGTAGGATATGGAGCCAGTGCTACTGGGACTAATTACTGGATTGGCAGGAATTCTTGGGGAACTGTATGGGGAGATGCAGGTTTCTTTAACTTGGTCAGTGGAAATGACGCTTTGGGAGTCGAGGATTATTGTGTTTATCCAACTCCTAATAAAACAATTACTGTAGTTACTACTAACAATCAAGGAGAAGAAAAAAGATCTTATGTAGATATTGCTGATCTCCATAAGCTTGAAGAAGAGCCAATTCAAGGCTATCTTAGAGCCAAGCCAGTAACTGAGGAAACTCTTACTTTTTCCATTTAATAAAAAATGATTTTATTATTTTTTAATAGGAAAAAAAATTATTGTTTAATTAGACTAGAATAATTAAGGACTTATTAATAATTTTTTTTTCGTAATATCAAGCCTAAAATTCAAAAATCCATATCATTTAATGATCAAGTCCAGAATAGATTATAAATAACAAAATTACCCAAAAAAACTTCGTCATTAAATGTGAAGAAGAATTAGCGCTGTTCCTGCAAGCTGGGTCTGGAGCGACGTCAAAGGTAAAAACTACCTATCCTGGGTCAGAAACCAAAACATCCCACAATACTGTGAAGCTTCCTGGGCCTTTGCTGCCACATCTTCCCTTACCGACCGCTTCAACATTTTGATTTTCAACGACACTTTTCCTCAATTCACCATTTCACCACAAGTCCTCCTAAACTGTGGAGTCGGAAACTGCACTGGTGGAGATCCAACAGCAGTTTACAATTATGCTCGCATGAATGGAATCCCAGACGACACCTGCCAACAATATGTAGGCGACTTTTCTGAAACCTGCAATAGTGCACAAGTATGCCAAGCTTGCGTATTCTATTAAAAAAACATAAAAATTAATTTTAATTATAAACAGTTCATAATTTATTCAATAAAAATAGCATATCTCCAGCACCAGCTAATGACACTGAAAATTCAGTCTGCAATCCAACTACTCCTGCACACTTATTTAAAGTCGGGAATTATGGCAATCTTGCAGGAGTCACCAAGATGAAGCAAGAAATTTACAATAATGGGCCAATCACATGCGGAATCTATGCAAGCAAAGCTTTTGCAGCCTACACTGGAGGGATTTTTAAGGAAATTTCTAGAAGCACCACAATCAGCAACTTTGTGTCTGTTGTGGGTTGGGGAATTGAAAAATCCACGAACACTGAGTACTGGGTTGGAAGGAATTCTTGGGGAACCAGCTGGGGTGAGTATGGGTACTTCAAGATGCAGATGTATAGAGATAACCTTGGGATTGAAACTGACTGCACTTGGGCAATTCCAAGCTTTTAAGCAATAAGTTAATTCATTAAACATCGCCACAATTTTTAAGTTTCAAATAAAACCGTTTTTATATATTGCAAGAAAAAATATAGCGAATCTTTGCTTCATTATATTTCCTATCGTAATAAGCACATTTCTCTGTTATTTACTCACATTTTATACGTGGAGAATAATATGTCGAGGTTTTTGCTTCAACATTTACTGATAGTTCTTTTTATTTCTTCTGCTTCTGGCTGCTTTATTAAGAACAATGACATCGTCCCTCCGCATTCGGCCCCAGAAACCCTTGTTGAGGGGTGAGGCGAAAAAAAATACACTGTATTTTTTTCCTACAGTTTCCCACAGTCAAATTTGACATAAAATTTTCCAATTTTTTGAAAACGATAGGAAAAAAATACATGGAAAAGAAAAAAAAATTCGAAACCAGGGCGGAAAAAAATTCAACCCCCAAAAATGAAAAAAAACCGCATGAAAAAAATACACATAAAAAAAAAAAATATTAAATTACTAATATTTAAAAAGAAGCAAAGAAAATGCTTTATTTAAATATGAATAACAATAGCAGTCATTGCATTTGCTATAAATTCACATAATAGATAAAAAATAGATGCAAAGAACTGTATCATATGCTTTATAGTAAAAAGTTTTCTGTGTTTTTTTCCAAACCGCATGAAAAAACTACTATAAAAATTTGAAATACAGATCTTTAAGTCAAATAGAGTTAAAAATAACGAAAAACAGTCCCAGCTTAAATCTCTCTTTAATAACGAGATTTCAAGAATAAAATTACTGCCTAAATGTTAAAGATCAGTTTAAATAAAAAAATTAAAAACAGAAGGAAAAAAAATTCAAAATTTTTTTTTCTAAAACAACAGCATGAAAAAATATCAGTAAAATTTTAACAGTCTAAATTTCGGCATGAAAAAAATACAATAGAAAAAATTTAGTAGGAAAAAAATACATATAAAATTTATATATTTTTTTTTAAAAATTTTTTAATTAAAAAAATCCAAAATATCTAACTCCCAATAGCGGACGAAATCAATGTTTTTTTTTCCCTAAAAATGGACTCTTAGGTACCATTTAATAACGGAAATTTTTTTACTATAAAAATTTTAAATTATATAAGATAATCGTTCATTATAAATTTACTAATATACATAAAATGGCGGATGACTTCCGACCCGTCCTCTTGAGACAGTTACCTGTGTATATCCGGGCATGGTTTTTGGAGCCAGGAATTGGCCCAGCTATGTCTTTGTACCTCAAGGCGAGAGGTCTAAGCGCAAAGATCGCTGTTTTTGTGACCAAGACCCTTGGGCAGTTATTCGTGACTCCTTTTTTCCAGCAGAGCCCAGCCTAGTGGGTGTCAGAAATGAGGCAGGGCGACATACCTGCCTAAGCTGCTTTTGTGATTTGCCCCGAATGGCGAAAGCTGTTGAGTTCTTTCTCGGGATGACCGGAAAAGAGGGGAAGGCAAATTAGACGAGAAATCGGGGTTCTCCCCAATTAAAAGGTGCCCTTCAGTGGGCAGATTTGGCGACGTACGGACAGAGTTGACGCAAGATTCAGGGCGACGAATCAAGTTGGAAATGGAGGCGGCCAGTTGGTCATCACCTCTACCGAGAAACCGGGGTTTCGGACCGGGCTTGAAGCGGCCACGCCTTAGCCACCTTACGGGGTTATCTCCATAAAACGTCACGGCGGCGAAGTAGGGACTTAAAAAATACATAGCATCTTAACATAACATAACATAACATAACATAACATAACATAACATAACATAACATAACATAACATAACATAACATAACATAACATAACATAACATGACATAACATAACATAACATAACATGACATAACATAACATAACATAACATAACATAACATAGCATAACATAACATAACATAACATAACATAACATAACATAACATAATATAACATAACATAACATAACATAACATAGCATAACATAATATAACATAACATATAACATAACATAACATAACATAACATAACATAACATAACAAAGCATAACATAAATTTACTAGAGCCAATGAATAAAGATGGGAATATTTAAATAGAATTAATTTAAGCGCAAAGGTATTAAAAAATTATGAGAGCTAATAATATGCATCTGGCTTTCTTTTCTTTAAACCTTGATCTCCCTTTTCAATTGATGAATGCCTTTTACTAATTCGCCGACACTTGACTTTGATATATTGAACTTGTAGGCTATATCTTCATATGAAAGACCTTCATTTTGATGATCCAGGTAGTATTGTGCAATAACTAGCTTATCACCAGCTGTTAGTCTTTTCTCTTTCTGGTTTCTCCATTCAACTCCATTTTATTAGATTTAGTGCTTCTCTTTTGACTTAAAAATGCATTTTTTTTCAGCCGTTTATAAAAAATTTTAAATAGAAAAATATTTATAAATATCGAACTTTTTTAATAGCGGACGATTTTTTCGTTCGCTATTAAATTGGGGGGGGAGTTAGAAACTATCCAATAGGCAATTAAAAGAAGAGTTGATCAGGTGGACTTAAGCGCAGTGTAATCGACTCCAAACCAGAAGGAATAAAACTTAGAAATATAAATAATTAATCGTTTTATTATAAGTTATTATTACTAATCACACACAGTAGAGTTTGGATAACTCATCCTTAGATATTTTGGATTTTTTTAATTAAAAAATTTTTAAAAAAAATATATATAAATTTTATATGTATTTTTTTCCTACTAAATTTTTTCTATTGTATTTTTTTCATGCCGAAATTTAGACTGTTAAAATTTTACTGATATTTTTTTCATGCTGTTTTTTTAGAAAAAAAATTTTGAATTTTTTTCCTTCTGTTTTTAATTTTTTTATTTAAACTGATCTTTAACATTTAGGCATTAATTTTATTCTTGAAATCTCGTTATTAAAGAGAGATTTAAGCTGGGACTGTTTTTCGTTATTTTTAACTCTATTTGACTTAAAGATCTGTATTTCAAATTTTTATAGTAGTTTTTTCATGCGGTTTGGAAAAAAAACACAGAAAAACTTTTTTACTATAAAGCATATGATACAGTTCTTGCATCTATTTTTTATCTATTATGTGAATTTATAGCAAATGCAATGACTGCTATTGTTATTCATATTTAATAAAGCATTTTCTTTGCTTCTTTTTAAATATTAGTAATTTAATATTTTTTTTTATGTGTATTTTTTTCATGCGGTTTTTTTTCATTTTTGGGGGTTGAATTTTTTTCCGCCCTGGTTTCGAATTTTTTTTTCTTTTCCATGTATTTTTTTCCTATCGTTTCAAAAAATTGGAAAATTTTATGTCAAATTTGACTGTGGGAAACTGTAGGAAAAAAAATACAGTGTATTTTTTTCCGCTTCACCCCTTGTTGAGCCTTCAAGTCTTCCTTCTTATTTATTTTGGGGAAATTACAGTGGCATCAACTACCTCACAGTTTCAAGAAACCAGCACATCCCTCAATACTGCGGTGGCTGCTGGTCCTTTGCCTCCACTTCTGCCCTTGCTGACCGCTTTAAGATTCTCCGTAATGCGACATGGCCTGATTACAATATTGCCCCACAAGTTCCAATCTCTTGTGATTATCTGAGTTTTGGCTGCAATGGGGGAGATCCTATGACTGTTTATAAGTACATATATGACCGTGGGATCACTGATGAAACCTGTGCCACTTACCAAGCCAAAGATAGAGACAATGGGCTTGAATGCACAAGGCTATCAAGATGTAAAACTTGCTACAGTAACGGAAAATGCGACATTCCTGACACCCATCTTGTTTACAACGTAACTACTTATGGCTCAGCCATTGGCGAAACCCAAATGCTAAACGCTTTACAAAATGGTCCAATTGCCTGTGCAATGGATGCTACAAATGAATTCGAAAACTACACAGGAGGGATTTTCATTCCTACAGACCACGAGGTTGTCACCAATCATGTCGTAGAGCTTGTAGGCTATGGGGTAGAAAATAATACCAAATATTGGATTGGGAGAAATTCCTGGGGCACTTATTGGGGAGAAAAAGGACTCTTTAGGATCATTAGAGGAAAAGATGCCCTAGCTATTGAAGAATACTGCGCTTGGGCAACCCCAGATCCAGTTGTAAAACAGGTAAATAAGACCTTGGTAGAGGAAAAGACAGTAGCGGAGCTCAAGATATTAGAAGCTTTTGAGAGACCTGAAAAAGCAGGCTGTAGAGTAGAAAAATCAGAACTAAAACTGCAGGCAGAAGCAAATGGGTATGTGATAGAAGAAAACGCTGCTCCAGCACTCCCAGCAGCTTGGGACTGGAGAAACATGTCTGGGCTGAACTACATGTCCTGGACAAGGAACATGAATAACCCACAGTTCTGTGGGGCCTGCTGGGCACACGCAGCTACGTCTTGTATTGCAGACAGAATCAATATTCTAAGAAATGACACTGTTGCCCAGATTTCTATATCTCCACAGGTAATTCTCAATTGTAATGCAGGCGGCAACTGCACAAGTGGAGACCCAATTGGGGTTTATAAATTCGCCCAGCAATATGGTCTTCCGGATGATACTTGCCAACAATATCTTGCAGAGCCAGTAGAAAATGCGACTTGCACAGCACGACAAGTCTGTGAAACCTGCATCCCGCCTCCTCCTAAAGAGGGACAAACTTCTAATTGTTCAGCTATAACAAATCCTCCTCTCTGGTATGTTGGGTCTTATGGGTTTTTAGCTGGAGTTACGAAAATGAAGCAAGAAATTTATACAAACGGGCCAATCAGCTGCGGAATTTACTACTCAAAATCTTTTGAAAACTACAAAGGTGGCATTTTCAGCGAGCTAACAATGACTACAAAGGTCAATTATGAAGTCGCCTTAGTAGGTTGGGGAGTCAATAAAGCAGGCACTGAATATTGGATTGGTAGAAACTCACAAGGCACAATGTGGGGCGAAAGTGGATTCTTCAGAATCCAAATGTACAGAGACAATCTCGGTATTGAAACAGACTGCAGTTGGGCAATCCCTAATATAACCAGAACTAACTAATTTAGATTAATAAATATGCATAATGTCAAAGCTATACAAAAATTAAACGAAGAAGAGCTGAAGCTAAATATTTCAGGCGATGCCTCTTGGCATGCGAAATATAAAGATAGCGCTTATGTGTTTGTAGGAGGACTGAATTATGACATGAATGAAGGGGATATTATACAAGTTATGAGCCAATGTGGAGAAATAGTGGACTGCAATTTAATAAGAGATAAAGATACAGGAAAGAGTAAAGGATTTGCATTTATTGCGTATGAGGATCAGAGGAGCACAATCTTGGCTGTTGATAATTTTAATGGAATTACTCTGTGTGGAAGAATGATCAAGGTAGATCATGTAAATGATTATAGGGTAGGAAAAGAATATTTGCAAGTAGATGAAGAAACTGAGATCAAAAATCTATATACGCCATCTGGACCTGAAGGGAAAGGCTGAGGCAAATTTAGGAGGCTAAATGAAGAAGAACTAAAAAAGCATGAAGAAAGAACAGAGAAATTAGTGTACGACGAGGACGAAAAATGAGAAAAAGAATTTATGAAAAATAATGAGAAAAAGCATAAAAAACATAGAGAAAAAGAGCACAAAAAGAAGCATCATAAGCATAGAGAAAAGGAGCACATAAGAAATGAAAAAAGTAAAAAGAAGCATTCAGAAGATTAAATTAATTTATTTGTATACAAAAAAGGATATTATAAGTTTGCGCTGAACTGGTAAAATTTGTTATATTAACTGAACAACTGTTTTCTCAGTTTTTTAGCATTTAAAATTGCTCACATCTTTCTTTTAGACCGTATCCTAATGGGTTGCAATTTATTTAAGCAGACGGGGTATAAAATTCCAGTCCTTCTTCCAGACTCATCCAAGCTGTTGGACTCATTCATCAAGCATTTATAAATGCACAATGATAGACCCCAAACATATGAAAAAATCTCATAGGTCATGGTTTTGCTTGCCCTCAGCAATATTTTCTCCTTTGCTTCATCTTACGTAAATTATTATCTAAAAAGCTTGCAAATGCGAACCCCTTTATTCCCTCCAGCGGGATCAAAAACAAAATTCCATAACTCTTGGTGATATAAATCAAAATTTTTTATCCCAATCAAGCAATGGCAATTATTAGGGATTTTCATTCTTTTCATATTATCGCTGGCATTATATTGAATAAATCCAAGCCTATGTCTTGAAACAGCAATCATTTCCGATAAAAGTTTCATAGAGAGAATTGCTATTTTTCCCTATAAAAGAAAGCTTTGCAAAAAATTTGATAAAAATTGACGGTATCTTCAGAGTTTAGTCGATGACTTGAATATAAATTTTATTTTAAGAGCCAGGAATTCTTGCTATATCTTGAAATTGGCCAAAGACTTGGCTTTCTTCTTATTAGAGCCCAATAATTTGCTTGGATTAAGAGGAGGCTGAAATAATTTTGCAGAAAAATATTTTTTAGACCTGGGGCAGCATTTCCAATAGCAGTTCTTCTTCGATTTAAATTTTTATTATAAAAATAATAAATTTAGCAATAAAATTACATTAAAATACAAAATAATTCGATTATGCATAGAATATAATCAGAAAAGTTCATATTTAAATTTTCTTTTTCGTGATTTATTTCCTATTATTTTCATTTTTATATACAAATATGGGAAACTGTGCTTGCCTCAAAGATCAATCCTCGACCGAAAAGCAGCTTCGAATTAACAAAGATGGGACTGTAGAGATGGAAAAATCCGATCCTCAAAGCCGCTTAGCATCCCAAGAAACAGTCGCTTTAAAAGAGCTAAAAATCTCCTTATGAGACATAGTAAAGCTGCAAAGTGTCCTTAGAGGCTATATAGATCGCAAAAAGATCCAAAGTATTAACCTAACAAAATCAGTTGAAGTGAAATTCACCCAAGCTGCTCCTAGTAGCTATCAAGCCTACTCTGCCCCTTCAGATTCAAATATTCAGTATAAAGTTAAAACTAACTTTTTTCCTGCAAGTGAAAATATCGTAAGATCTAGCATAAAAGAAATTCCTGAAAGCCAGATCCCTGACTACTCAACTGCGGCTACAAGACTTGCGTTTTCAAGGCTAGGGCCATTTGCAGCAAAAGAGCTTTTTAAAGATAGTGAGCCTAGAACCAAGCATGGGCCTGTTGAAATGGAAAACGGAGCTATATATATTGGAGAATGAAACAATAATTATCAAAGACATGGCTTCGGCGTCCAGCTTTGAAATGATGGATCTCGATATGATGGATTTTGACTAAACGACAAAGCAAATTTAAAAGGAAGACTGATCCATGGAGATGGAGACGTCTATGAAGGAGAATGAAAAGATGATAAAGCCCACGGCTTTGGAGTCTATGTCTATATGGACGGAGCCAGATATGAAGGGTATTGGAAAGATGATAAACAGCATGGAGAAGGCACTGAAACTTGGCCCGACGGAGCACGATACCAAGGAGAATATGCAGGCGGGCAGAAGCAAGGAAGAGGCAGATTTGAATGGGCTGATGGGAGCATTTATGAAGGTGAGTTTAAAGATAATGACATTCATGGGGTGGGGATTTATATGTGGAGTGACGGCAGAAAATATGTAGGAGAGTGGATACATAACAAAATGGAAGGGACTGGAACTTTTACGTGGAGTGACGGAAGGTCATATAAAGGAGGATATGTTGATGATAAAAAACAAGGATATGGAGTGTTTGAGTGGCCTGATGGAAGAAAATATGAAGGTGGCTGATATAATGGAAAACAACATGGGAGTGGATTTTATTATACTTCAAATGGAAGTAAAAGAGAAGGAGAATGGAAAGACGGCAAAAGAGTGAAATGGATGACTAACGATCTAGATAAGTAATATTTTAATATATGATAATAAATTTGAAATTTTAGGAAAATGATTTTTAATGTATTTGAGAAATCTTATCCAAGCTAAATTTCACTGATTTTATTAAGAAATAGACTACAAAATCTTATTTTCTATAGAATAAACTGTCAAAAAGCATACCATTATTATACTATTTTAAAAATTATGGGAAATTGCTCTTGCCTCAAATGTCCTGGCGAAAACGAAAAATCTACTATGGAAAATTTCCACGAAATGCAAAAACCCAGTCTCAAACAAAAACTCCTATGTGGTGACAAAAAGCCTCAAACTGAAATTCAAATCAGCATGTGGGAAATCGTCCGCCTCCAAAGTGTCCTTCGTGGCTATTTAGAGCGTAAAAAAACTCATATCATTAACAGAACAAAATCAATAAAAGCACAATTTAGCTCAGCCATACCAGACCCCTTAACTGAAAGCTCTCCCCAAATTAAGCCAAAAAAACAATTTCTACCTTCTTCTCTGTCCACAATTACCAGATCATTTTTAAAAGAAATCCCAGAAGAAGATATTCCTGACTACTCCACAGCAGCAAGTAGAGCTACCTTAGCCAAGCTTGGGCCTTATAAAATAGATGAACCATTTCCTGAAAATGAGCCTAGAATGAAGCACAACCCAGTCGAGCTGGAAAATGGAGCTATTTATATAGGAGAATGGAATAAAAATAATCAAAGGCACGGGTTTGGGCTGCAACTCTTTACTGACGGGTCTCAATATGAAGGGTATTGGATAAAAGATAAAGCAAACATAAAAGGAAGATTAGTCCACGACGATGGCGATGTCTATGATGGCGAGTGAAAGGACGATAAGGCTTGTGGATATGGAATTTATGTATATATTGATGGGGCAAGATATGAAGGAGACTGAAAAAATGATAAACAAAATGGCATAGGGACTGAGTATTGGCCTGATGGAGCGAAATATCAAGGAGAGTATTTAGCTGGCCTAAAACATGGAAAAGGAAAATTCGAATGGGCAGATGGAAGTACCTATGAAGGGGACTTTAAAGACAATGATATTCATGGGCTTGGGGTTTATACATACTTTTTGTGATAGTTTTGATTATTTTTTGAAAGGAAATTGGAAAAGAATATTTAGGTAAAAAAATATATGATGTGATGGGAGAAAATATATAGGAGAATGGGCAAAGAATAAAATGCATGGGAGAGGGACTTTTACTTGGAGTGATGGGAGATCGTATAAAGGGGAGTATGCTGAGGATAAAAAGCAAGGATTTGGAGTTTTTGAGTGGCCTGATGGAAGAAAGTTTGAAGGAAACTGATATAATGGCAATCAGAATGGGGTCGGCTGGTATTCAACTACAAATGGGTTGAAAAAGAAAGGTGAGTGGAAAGATGGGAAAAGAATAGCATGGATTACTGAATAATTATATAATTTTGTTTATGCCTGCTTTTTGAAATATTTTTAAAATCATATTGGAGTAAACAGAAATATAATAGACTAAGGCATGCCAGAAAACTATGAATAATAATATTAATCGATAGAATTATATATAAATAGAGATTATTTATTCAGGAGTTTTCATATTAAGAGCCAAGCTATATGGATATAGCATAAATTTGAACTTATCTAATTTACGAGTGCTATCACAATTAAACGAAATATATAAGATTTCTATTATTCCAAACAATAAAGATCAAAATATAATAAAAATGAACATAAGGCAACTCCTAAATGAGCAACACGAAATTGCTAGTTTTCTCGGCCCCAACGATTTTTCTGACTTTGACTTTATACGAAAATCGAGTTTAAGAGATTTAATTCCTACACTTCTATATGGCTTTCCCTTGAGTTTTCCAATATAATTTTAAGCTATTATCCTCGAGCAATTTAATGGAATTAATATATTTACTTATTTGGAATTTTCAGTAAGCTATTTCAATGATCAAAATCTTATCCTTAAATTTCGAGCTTTTCTTTTGAGTAAAGCAATCTGAAATAGAACTGTTCAAGAGCTTGACTATATCATTGGAAATACGGTGGCCAATAAAATATCCTAATTATATTAATATTCCTTATTTTATAATTTTATGTATTTTTTTATTATTTTAAATGAAAAAGAATAAACTTTTTAAATGAAATATATGCCGATTTTTTTGAAGATTTAAAGAAGGTGGCTGATAAATTGAGCATATCAAAAGATTTCTCTGAAAAAAATGTTTTATTTCACATAATGAAGATTATTACTGTAGATCTAGAGTTTAATATAGTTATTTTTAACAAAAATAGAAGAAAACTATTCCATAAAAGTGCTGACAGCTATTTTTGTATTCCTATTTTTAGAAGAAAAGGGAACTTTTATGTTTTGTATCCTTCTAATCCGCAGTATCTCCAAAATCTTTATGCAAATACAATTGAAAAGAAGGATAAATTGTTTATGCACTGTGGACATCATTTTGAGCCAAATAGGGTTTCAAGTACAAATATTAGCTGCAAAAAATGTAATGAAAGGCTATATTCAGCTGAAATAAAAATTAGTTATCCCGAGCAAAATAAAAAAGATATTGATAATAGCCATTCTTATGAAGAAAAAAAGGTATACTATTTTAAATCGCTTGATATATATTAAAATTAATCATTGCTATTTTTGGCTTGAAATATAATTAATTACTATTAAAAAAAGTATTTATACTACAGAAAATGATTTATATAGAAAAGTGGAGCCTCATAAAAATCAAAACCAAGGATTGGATGGATTTAATAAAGCTTATAAATGCTCAGATTGCCATAAACCCGTTTGCTTGTACTGCAGCGTAAGTAATAAAAACTACAATGAAGTTCATAAAAAATCCACAAGGCCAAGCGGAAACAAATGCAGATATTGCAAAAAAGGTTTCAATGACTCTCCACGCCTTTAAATTGGAACAAAAATTATATTCCAACTATAAAGCGTATTAATTTTTCATAATACAAAAATTTTTATAAATATTTTAAATTAAAAATATAATTTGAAATAAATATTTTGGGAATTAATTTATTTTAAGAAGAATTAATTAAAAAATATTAATCATTTTAGCATTTCAACTGCTTAAGCAGCATTCTACTCTACTCCCTCTATTAAATTATATAAAAATTATTTATATAAATTGGGTTAGTTTATCCAAAAAGTGGAATTTTTGCCAATTTAAAGGGTTAGTAAAGAAATGAGAGGATATATAAAAAAATTAGCAGACCATGCCAGAAATATTGGCATGCAAGATGAATTCCATCTAGATAATTATTGCATAGAAAACTTTATCTCAAAGCAATAGCTTTCCATAAATGCAATTAAGCAGCACACTAACTGCATCCATTTGAATATTAAATAAGAAATCATTTAGTCATAATTTAAGGTGTAAACTTTGGTTCTTCATCTTCAGACTTCTCTTCCGCCACCTCACTTCCAGAAATCAAATATTTTGACTCATCTACTTGGCAAGCTTCCTGAGTTTCTTCTCTTGCCTCTCTTGGTAGATAATTGTGGCGACAAAATAGGTCCTTTCCAAAGACGCACCACTTTTTGAGCCAAAATGACTTTGCAGCCAAACCAATATTCAGACCCTTTTAATCCTCACCTTAGCTTCTTAGAGTAGCCATATGGGGCTGTTAAACCTTGGAAGCCAGCTGGTGGCCATTCCAGTCCAGGTATTAGTTATTATGTATTGCAATAATTCTTATCATTCATATGCATGCCATTTTGAATTTGGTATGTAAAAACCAAATATGCGTTTCAAAACGCAGATTTTAGTGTGGCAAATTCATAATTTGAAATTTCATATGAAAATGGCGCGTATAACGCCCATAAGAAATTTTTAACAACGGATTATATCCGAATATTTTTTGGCCACAGCTTCTTTCCTACAAGTTCCAGAGGGCTGTGACTCTTTTTTCTTGGTGTCCCCTTTATCAATGTGGTCGACAGGAGCATCGGGCTAACCTCTGCCTCCATAGTACCTGCAAGATCTAGAGCAAGAAGAAGTCTTTCTAACCGTTGAGACTCAATGACATAGTGCGAGCCCCAGATCCCTTGAGTAGACCGCTATATATATGGGGCTCAGATAATTGAGCTACCCAGGTAAATAGGTCTTATGGTCGCAAGCGTTCGGAGGCATCAAGCATTGAGATATTAAGCCGTTTAATCTTAATCTCTTGGGCAGCTCAGCAGTCAGCCATCTTCTTATCTTAATCCCACTATTTTTCACCTTAAACTTAAATTTAATTTTTTTCGTTGTCTCCGCCTTCGGAAATGACTGCGATTTTTCATCAAAATTCCCCTTCATAATTTCAGTCATCTGCGTCATTCTTGCAAAAGAAACGCCTAAATTAGTTTCATATAATTTAAGTATCATTTTTGTTTTTTTACCTTCTCTGATATCTTTAGGTGTATAAATAGAAAGCTCTGCTTGCTTAGAGTTTGCGATTGGGATAATAGAGCTATTTATATTCATTTCTGCTTTCGCGTCAAAAATGCTGATGCCGAATAAGCTGCTGAGAAGAGTGGCTTGGGGTTTTTTGTGCTTTGGGTTAGAAGCAATTGAGGATTTATCAGTAAGTTTCATTGACTGTCGTGCAGGACGAAAAGCGATGATGTCTTCTTCTGTATGCTTATTGCTATCAATTGGGGTGCCTGAGCCTGACCTTAAATTATTGAATTTTTCTTCACTGTCGATGCTGCTCTCTTTAATCGGCGGATTTTTATTTATTTTGTTTTTTGAAATCAAATAGCAAGATTCTTCTTCAATTTTTCTCAGAATGGCTTTAGTCACTTTAATAGCCACATTATCATCACTATTTGAATGCTTTGGGAAAATTATTTCACAGTTTTCAAATTCAAAGCCCATGCTAAAATTACTTGGCTCTTCAGAAACATTGATTTCATTCGAAAATTTGAGTTGATAGGTAATTTCGTCGACAAAGCCTATTATTTCGTCAATAAAAGAGCTTAAAAAGTAAATTTTTGCGTCACTTATAAACAGAGAAAGCTTATCTTGGGTAGGGTCTAGCTTGAATAAAAGACTGGTGCCTTGCTTATTTTCGCATTTTTCTATTAATTTGCTATATATTGAATTTTCAGGCGAAATTTGTAAATTTTCGATATTTCCTTCCAATAAATATTCTGAGTTATTATTTATTGTATTAATGGATGCTTTAATAGTCCCTTTATCGAAATATAGCTGTGATATTGGCTTATTATAGTGTTTCATGTTAATAAAAATTTTCGATAACTCCCCCCCCATCCTTGATCGAAAGACTCGCCATCGTTCGATCAAGGATGGGGGGTTAAAAAAAAATTTTTGGGAAATAAATTTATATATATAAAAAAAAAAATATATATATTCTTTTTATTTACTTTTAAATAAGAGGGTTAAGAGTATTTAATAATTATTTTTACAGCAAAAAATTGAATTAATTTCATAAAATACCAATTTTTTAATATTTTGATTTTTTGGTTACCCCTTTAAACTGTATAAATTTTAATTTGTTCCTTATTAAATTAATTTTTTTTTTTATTTTTTTAAAAAATCTCTATTTTATTAAATTATCGAGTTTTTAAGCCTAGGCTAATGACTGAATCACTTCATACGGTTGGTTTCGAAGCTTTTTGTCGTCTCAAAGTCTCTGAAAACAACTTTATTATGTATATCTTCCCAAGCTTTTGATAACTAATATATTTTTATATTCTAAAAATTTTCATGATATGAAAATCGTTCGATCAAGGATGGGGGGGAGTAAGTTTATCCTTCATGAATTGTGGCTATAATCTTCTATGGGAGGATCAAGAAAAATATATTGAGAAGGTATAGCTTGGGCACTCTTTAGCGCGCCCTCAGAGTTTATATAAATCTTTCCTGCTAACACAGCAAAAATTTTCTAAGTTTTGCACTCTAATTATGCTAAATATACACCCAAGTTATATTGCTAAATACTCATTGATTTTTTCTGTGTCCAAAATATCAAAAAAGTGCACAATATCATTTTTCACCTCGAAAATTTCTTCTGTAGAAATGAGTATTCCTATCGGATTTATATTAAAATCACTCTCACCTTGGGCTTTTTTCCTAACCAGCCCTTCTACACTATTTTCCACTTGGTTTATTTTTAACGCTCACCTTGCTGAAGACACCTCAAACCTGTCTTTATCAATAACATTGCAAGGCGCCATCATAATTTTCGTTCCTTCTTGCCCTTTAGATACACTTATTTCTGTAATTTTTATAGCATTTTCTTTATCTATATGAATATCTGAGGAAATTTCATAAAGCATACCATTGCAATACACCATAACCTGCTCATATTTCTATATATAAATTACTGTTTTTGTAAAGAAATTGCACCCAGCAATAAAGCCGTATAAGCTATTACCAAACTCTATATTAAGCCGCTTTAGCGAAATATTGCTCCTTTCCTCAATGATTTCTTTCCTTTCTTCCTTTATTTCTATGGTTTTCCCTTTGTCATCTTTTACTGCATCTTTTGACAAATTTTCCTGGCTTTCTATTCCAGAAAATTTTTGCATTATAAATCCTTCAGAAATAATAGACAAAATCTTGCCCTCATAAGCACAAATGAACTCCACTTTGTCAATTTTGAAATTTATATACAGCTTGCTTGCCTGAGCCACTTTTACGTTAAGATTTGTAGGTTTTACGTGTTTTCCATATAAATCATACAAGTCAAGGATATTTTTTATAATAAAAAATGCTTCAAAAACAGGGGAACGGTTAAATTGTTCAGTTAAAAGGATATTTATTGAAGAAATATGCAGGATTACCTTGTCATATTCGTTTAAAGGGACAATATCTTTGGCTATGCAGTCTATAGGCGCTGAAGACTGCCTTATTCATGTTGATTTTTTGGTTTCAATAGCCCGTATTCTGTGCTTTACTAGTTGAGTTTCCCTTTCTTTCCATTTATTTTCGTCAAAAGTCTCTATATTGATTCTCTGGTCAAGCTTTAAAATTTCGTAAAAATGAGGCAAAATTTCAGGTCTTTGGTTATTTAAAGCAGAATCATAAATTCCTGAAGCTTTTGCTACAAGAGAGGTAGATCTGAATTCGCTAGGGTCAAATAGTGGGGTAATATCTTGACAATCGAGGTCTTCAGTTCTGGAGAAACTTTCATGAATTTGTGATGTAACCCCTGGGTAAACGGTTATTTTATAAGTCTCCCCCATATTGCTCCTCAAGGTTGTAGCAAACAAGCTAAACGTCTGCTTGAAGGGCCTTTTCTTATACATTCCAATTATAGAGGCACAAGCTAAGTTCAAAATTTCTTTTTTCTGGTGCATCCCAATGACTTTAAAATCCACAAAATTCGAGTCCTCATCGCTCGGCATATCTTTTTGGATTCTTCTTCCTAAAGCAAAATTAAAAACTGTCATGACTTTTTTAGTGTTTAATAAGCAATGTAAACAGGTTTTTAAATTTGGGGCAGCATAATGTTTATTTTGGAAGCTCAGCAATAATCTTTCTAGTTGCCGTCTATCATATTCCATTATTGATTTTTCCAGCTTATTTCTCTCATATTTTTCCTCACTCATCTGTGAATTATTTCTCGAAAAATTCATAGTCGACAACAGGCATAAAATTGTGATCATTTCTTTTTTAATAAAAACTTTAAAATGGTCCAAATAGCAATCAATGATAGTTTCTGGAAGATTTGGGTGGTATTTCATAATGCATTGTTTTATCTTTAAATTCAGCTTGGTCTGTAACAGGAGATGGATGCTATCATTTCCTAAATCTTTGGTCTCAAATTTTATATTTTCTATCGTAATTTTTTGGTTTGAGTAGAATTTTTTGTCCCTTATAAAATCATTCCGAAAGCGACTTGATGAGCTTTTTTCAATTTTCATGAAATCTGGCTGCTTTATTTCGTATTTAATTACTTCTAGCAAGACTTTTACGAAGGTCGGGCGAGAATTTTCGTTTTTAAAATTTGATTCGATAATTCCAAGCGTAAAAGACATCAATTTTAGCTCGAATTTAAACCGTCTCGACTTAAGAAAAACGTCTCTAAGGATACTATAAAGCTGGCTAGGAGTTTTTTTGGCGTATTTTATTATGTCATATATATTAGATAATGGCTGAGATGGAGACGTCAAAGTTGTCAAAAAATTGGCCTTAAACTGCATATTTGTAAAAATTCCTATAGGTGGACTGCTAATGAGCCAGTCTGCAAGAGAGCCAAGTGTCTGTGTTGTCAAAGCCATATCAAGGGTATGAGCCTCTATTCTAATAAAATCTCTCCCCACGTCTTCCTTATCAGTAATTTCTTCTTCTTTTCTTTTTCTATTTTTATCTATAAATTGTACTTGCAGAGGACTAGTTTGGCCTTTTAGTGTTAAGGTTATATTTATTGCGCCGCCTGATGCAGGCTTTCTTCTTCCCGATGAGTTTGTATTTGGAATTTCTTTATATTGCTGTGTAATTCATCTCATGCAACATTTAACGAAATTTACCATTACTTTTTCGTTAAAAAAACTCATTATTTCGTCATATGCCATTTTCTTTGAAATGTTATTGCCGCTAAGCCGTTATTTTAATTTCCTATATAGCTGTTAAAGGTATATAAAATCCCTGCAGCTTCTTTTTTGTTAGAATATTTTACTAATTCATTTCTTTTTTCTAACGGCATATGCAAAAACAGCTCGTTTTGTGGGTTTAAAAATGCATCAAATAATTTTTCATAAGTCTCAAATCCTTTTCCACAAATGCAAAGGTTTGTAGACGTAGTAGACTGGTCTTTTGGGTCTTTATGATCCTTTGGAAATCTTGCTCTGACCTCTTCGTAGTGATATAAATATTCAAGCTCTGACAATAGCCCAATTTCCGTCATATAAGATTTTAAGGCGTTTGCAGCAATAATATCATTGACTCCATTCCAAATAAATATTTGGGTTAAATTTTTCCCTGAGCTGTAGTTATAAGTCTTTTTAAATTCGTTTAAATATTCAGTAAACCTTAAAGAAAGTGGGTCAAAAACATAAAAATTGGAAATTGTTATGTTTTCTGATATCAGCTGCAAGTCTCGCTGCAGGCAAAGTTTTCCTTCACATTTTCCAAACTCTACTAAACATACTGTTTGCTCAGAAACTAGCTTAGAATCAATGCATTTTCCGTCCCCTTTTCGCATAGTTACATCCCAGGGCTCTCTTGGCTCATAAGAATTTCTTTCTTCATATCCGCATTCTTCATAATTAGACAGCCGTGGCCTTACAAATTTTCTTGGGGCATCGTCAAATACCCTAGGCGCGCGTATGCATTTTTCACAGAAACATTGATCTTAGTTAGGTCAGGTTATTTTAAATAAGGCGTTAGCCATATTGGTGATGCAGTCATACAAGAGCTTCCGTAGAGAAGGTTCTACCTATTTTCGATTCCAGTCCAGAGGGTCTATTCCCAAAACGTGGGCCACTTCCGAACCTTCTGTCTTATCCTTGCGGCTTCAGTCTTGAGTGAGCAACTTATGAATTTCTGCGCCCTCCTACGCGAGATTGGAATATTTTGATTCCATTAATCAGACTTCCTTCGACAGCTACAAGAAAAAGACTAATTCCCTGTGGCCTGGGCCGAACCCCCCAGTTTCTCAGTAGTAATGGCTATCCAAAGGACGTTGTTGAGTGCCTCTATTTCAAACCACAGAAAAGCAGCCAAAACCTACCCGGATACACATCTCTTGAGCCTGCACTTGATTCTCGACTCGGAGTTCGTCCAAGTTCGCTGCAGTCATAAGATCTAGACTGTTGCGTCATAATTAAATATGGTGCCTCAGCTTAAGCATGGCCGGGAGGCCATTCAACCTTAGGGTATATATATAATTATATCCGGCAAGGTTTTATCAAGCAATTCCTGTTTTGTTAAGAGCCTAGCCTTCCCATTTTCTGGTTTGGGGTTTACCTCGAGGACAAAGGAGGCTTGGAAGTTGGAAAGGGTTATCCAGTAAGGTTCTTAGGACCTATCGGGCACTTCCCACAGTGAAGCCAGAGGTTACGGCCTGGACTACAAGTTTTCCTTTTTGCCAGCAGTCTGCCAGAAAATTCATTTTTGGATTTTTTTTGCAGGCAACCTCGTCGCTGAAGCCTGAAGCAAGGCTCCGGAGCCTGTAGTCTGTCCACTCTAAATTGGAGCTATCGTGAAGTAGCAAGGAGGAGGTTACGGTCAGGCAACTTGTCTTTCCTGCGAGCGGAAGTAGAAGTTACCGCAAAAGAATAAATCCCCTGATGGATCCTCAGTAGCCGAGTTAAAAAAGTGGGCTCTAGCCACCCTAACAACTAAGGACTGTTACATCAAGAGGGCAGGTTGATACATGCCACCATTTTAATTTATATTATTGATCTTGGTACATCGAAATTTTTTCTAAATCGGGAACACGAGTGGCGACTAAATAAAATGATAAATGGGCAATACTGAATTTTACGTCAAAAAGCTTGTCTTTTCTAGAACTGCTCTTGCCATTTAAATAAGTATTGACAATATCAAGCTTGTCCATATTTAGTAAACAAGTAAGCTCGTCTTTTTCTTTTTCAGTTAGCTCAATTTCGCGCTCTTCAGCTATTTTTTTATAAGGATCACCAAGTAAGCTTTCGAAATCATTAAGATAGTAATCTCATAAGTCGCCGAGATGGGTTTTTCCACGGACATTCCCGCGTGCTTTTACATAAGACATAGCTTCAATGCGCAGCTGATAAAGAGCTAAAGTTCGGAACCAGGTTAGTTCTTCTAAGCTGAAGAAATCTTCGATTTCTTCCATTTGCTTGATGCCGGCTTTGTCAATTATTTCAAGCCATGGAGCGTGGATAATATTTTGGTATCTTTTATACTGTTTTTTATTAAATTAAGGGGAATATATATTATTATATAAATGCCTGGAAATAAAGCCTGCACACTTAAATAACTATTATTTATATAAATTTACATATCTTTCTCGTTTAATTTTCGCACCTATTAATCCTTGTAAGCTTGCCCTCAAATCTTGTATGCCAGATTTTATTATATATTGCCACCAATCTCTAGGACTATCACTAATAATGCTGACAGGTCGAAAAACTTCATATTGTTTATATGCTTTTTTGTGGGTAATTAAATTTAACACACCATCTAGAAAATGTTTTTGGAGCTCATTTAGAGAAATAGAAATGTTATCTGAGGTCACTTCTAGCTTATGAATAGGCTCATCAATAAACTCTTTATGGTTCACTTTATATAAAATTGTAATGTTGCAAGGCCTCAACAAATAATGTCGCTCGCTGAACTGAATATTCTCAAAAATTTCTTCAACGTCTAATGCTGGGTTATTTGGCATTTCACACATCATTGCGATAGAAAAATTTTTTATTTCAATTTTTCTATAAGTGACGTCTTTTTGATTCGAATAACTTTTTTCCCAATTTTCATTAGTGGTATATATACTAACTTCTTGCAGGAATAATCTCACGGCGCAAGGGTATCCAAGTGCTTCTACATCTTGGTAATATAAAGTCATATTTTCAATAGAAATGCTCATGTTCTTTATTAGCATATGCATTTTTCGTTTAAGAAAGCTGTTTGAATTTAGTTCTTTGAAATTTCGCTTCTGGGCTTGTTCCCATTCGCGGAGCTTATTTATTTTATAGTTTTTTCACTGCTCAAAAGTCCAATCGGTTGAGTTTGGGCGCGCTATAATGCGAATTCCTTTCAGAATTATGTTAACTTGGGACGTTGAATAGGCGATGTGAATTTGACAAATAATTTCTCTGACTACTGAAGAAGGCAGAACGTTCACAGGAAGTCTTAGCTCATCTAATGCATCTTTGCGGAGCTTAATCTCATATATTGTTATTTCAGGGGATTTTCCTAATGTTGCTTTAAGGTTTTTTTGTTTTATGTCTTTTAAGTACTTTCCTAAGTATTGCTCAATTTTCTTGATAATAAATGTTCGAGCTAAATTGTTTAAATTTCATTTGCGCTCTTCATTTTTCTTTTCTTTGTCTCTTCTTTCTTTATCCTTTCTTTCTTTATCGCTCCTATCCATTTAATATTTTATAAAAAATGAAATATATTGAATAAAGAAAGGATTTGGGAGTTTTATATTATAATTTCAGCACTAATAAAAAGTAAGAAATTAACATTTTTAGTGGCACTGACTATAATAAAAAAGGAATAAATAATATTTTTATGTTCATAATACAGATTGGATGATAGATTATGATAATTAGAAATAATTACTATGAATTTTAAAATTTAAACTTAAAGATTTTTGTTCTTATTTATAGCATTTGAAATTAATTCTTCTTGAAAAAGATAAATTCAAAAATTTGGATAACAAATAAAATATTATTAATATGTGGTTAAATATAAAAGTGCTTTATGAATTAATCAGCAGAGATCTTTAAAATAGACTATGAAGTAATTAAATAACTATTATTGTTTTCCAGATCAATATTCAATATCAGCTGAAAACGGCAATCATCCAGGCCCACCAGTATTTGCTGCAACAACCTTGAACTTATTTGCACCAGTGACAATATAAGATGTGACATCATATTCCATTCTGTCATTCCATGTGTTACTTGCAATAAAAATATCATTAACATATAAATCATAAAAATCATCGACAATTGCTGTAAATTTGCATAATGAAGGTGTTCCTTGAACATTAAATGCTCTTATAAAGGTAACCACACTATGAGTTGAATAATAATTCGATCTCATATAAAAAAGGATCCTGGAATATAATCATAAATTTCCATACCTGGAACAAGTCCTGCATTGTGAGTTGAGCCATTGCTAACTCCCAATCCTTGATTAAACGATTTCTACTTTTTCAATGGAAGATTTTACAAAGGATAAATACTCACGAAGACGGTTAGATTTAGATTGGAGATTCAGCAGTGGTGCGGAAAAGCCTATTGGAATATCTGACGTAAACAAATTTTATTTTGATTCTGACTGATGAAGACTATTCAGTGGACCATGATGAGATGGAAAAATTAGATATGAACATTGAAATTTTGGAGGAACTAGGTTATAGCGAAGAAGACAAAAAGAGAAGAGTTGAGAGTGTGTGAAGGCAACGGCGAGATGCCCTTGAGTTTTTGCTAGCAGAATGTCTTCTGAAGAGAGAATATCTGAGGCAAGAAGAAATTGGGGAAATCGAAGAAGAGGGAGGATAAGAAAGAGGAAGAGGAAGAGAGACTAAAAGAAGCAGTGCTGAGATGGGGAGCTAGATTAGAAGAAATGGTGATAGATTCAGGAGATTTTGTGCAGGCGATGAATAAATATAGAGGGCTATCTAAGTCACTCATATATATACATTAAAATTGTGGCACGTGCCAACTGCCCTCTTTGCGCAACAGTCTAGACCTTATTGCTACGGCCAACTGGGACGGACTCCGTGAGCGAACAAAAAATTTTTAAATATAAAAATTTTGATACATAAGTGATAATTAGGATAATGAAATTTATAAAGAATTCTATTACATTTTAACATAAATTTTACACTTTCCAAATTAAGAATTTTTTAAATTCCTAAAAAAATATTTTACCATAAAATTTATATAAATTTTTCAAAATATAAAATTGTTTCATTCGCTGACAGAGGGGAGTTAGATATTAGGTCGTTAGTTCTCCCAAAATAAATTCTAATACAATTTTTATCATATTTGCGAATATATTTCATCACTATGTTATATCGCTATTGTTATATGTCTTATAAAAAAAAAATCAATATAAAAATTTTAGGCTATTAACCTCATCCTTCCAAAATGATAGATTAGAATTGGTTAAGCACTAAAGTGTTGATATCACTTATAATGTGAAATGATTTTAGAGTTCTGGGAGCAATAAATCTTGAAGACACTCTAGAGTTAACGCTAAAAGGTAGCGTAGATAGCACCAATAAAGCTAAAGCGTTCATCATAATATATATTCTAGAAATTAAATATTAGCTTTAATTTATAATACTTGTATAATTGAACTTTATTATTTGAAGTTCTCCTTTTTTAATTTATATTAGTCATGTCAAGTGCATAAAGAAAATGGCAAAATCTGCTAAATTTAATATTTAGATTAAAAAATCAAGAAATTTTGTTTATAAAAGATATTATAATATCAATTTATTAGCAATATCGCGAGCATACTTTAGTGTACCCTTATGCTTGCATCTCCTCGTAGCTGGAGGTTTGGCTCCTCACCTTCAATTAGTTATTATCGCCATTTTTCCCTCCAAGTTTTCCTCTAACTCCTTCCCTCTGTGAGTGAAAACAAGTTAGATAATCCCTATTTTCTGTCCAAAAACCCTCTGTGAGTGAACAAAAATATTTTAATGGAAAATTTTTTTATGAAAAAAATTGGTATATAAATGATAATTATTATAATGAAATCTCTAGCTAATTCCGTTTAATTTTTAACAGCTTGTATTTTAAATCATAAATTTCGCAAATTAAATTAATTTTTGCTTCTCAATTTTTACAAATTAGAATATTTTTAAATTTTGAAATGAAAAAAATTTTAAAAAAAAAATTAATTCCCTCCGCGAGCGAACAAGATTTTTTTTTCGCTCACGGAGGGGGAGTAAAGAAAATTTTCACGGGTAAATAGTCACTTACTTCCTGCTTTCCATTTGTATTTGCATAGCTCGTTAATTCCTTCAGATATATCTCAAGTATCATGATATTTGTCTTCGCCACTCTTTCAGTCTTCACCTTAATTTCATCCCTATTTTATTTTATTTTACTTTTATTTCATTTTCACTTTGATCTCCTTCTTGATCAATAACTTTACTTGAAGTAGCACAGCCAGCTTTCACGACTCTTAAAAATGCTTTTTTATAATACTCATTTTTACGTTTAAATTCATCTCCAAATCTTCATAATTCGCATAAATTCACATTCATCTTTCTCCAATTGTCTGTCGAAAGCGCAATTCTTGGTTTTGTTGTTGTCCTCTAATTGTAAATGGATTATAGTTTTAAGTCTTTCCTTTAATAAATCAATTGTAGAATTTGAGCTTACCATTAATTTTTAAGAGGTGGAGGAAGCAACAAAATAATTAAATATGGTAAATATATCAAAATTAAAAATAAAACGGCAGAAAGATTTAAGAAGGCGGTCATAAGCAATATATATTGAATTAGAGCTGGCTTTAACTAATGTAACGCTAGCACACAAATGAGACAATACACTCATTCAGTGCTAATTATAGAACATGAATGATTTGTCTTGCAAATTGGTATTTCTATAGCATATATGACATTAAGCAATGCCTAAGAACATGAAGGAAATAATATAGCGGCATTGATGGAAGAAGTACTCCAAAGAGCACTTTTTAAGAAGTAAGGTATATGGCAGGAATTGAGTGATTATATTATTTGGAATAGACATTGGGGCTTGGGGATGCCTGCAAAGGAGGTTAGCCTTTTTCTCTGAAGATTTTTAGATGAGTTAGGCAGGCTTGACCTAGTCTTTATTAATCCAGGGGCATCAGACAGATTGCTCTATCCAACGGGTCTAGTCTTTAGCTAGCTGAGCTTCACCAGATAATTCGCGAGGGTGGGAGTGCGGCATTTAACTTCGGCGTATGTGTATACAGCGTCGGCTACTCTCTTGGAGACGAAAAGGTCCGATTAGTAGGTATATGCTAATGATCGCGTAAAATGTTAATAATAGGAGAGAATGTGCTGCAGTTTGAAATTGAAAGCGCTATCGATAGCACTGGGCTACTGTATAGGTTAAATATTGAATATAGTAAACAATAATAAGCATTGAATTAATATATGTGAAGTTGGCTCAACATTAAGACAATCCTGAAGAAAAAAATATGATAGGCTAGATTAAATTAATCTCATCAAAGAGCTTCGGCTCGTTCTGAGCTCATAATATTAAGCCTTAAATATATATAATGACTGATAAAAATACTTTAAAGAATCTTTTAATAAAAATGGTATTTTAAAGTATTCTGATTAATTTTCCATTCAAATCGAACTTGTAATAATCAGATGCGGCACCAATGAATATAAATCCTTTATTATATGAACAATACACTTGACAAGGATTATAATCGATTATCGAGTTTCCTATTCTTTTCCAATTCGTGTAACTTGCAATTTCGCTTTCATAAATTGATCCATTTTCGCATTCAATCAAATAGAGTCTCCCTGCATTTATAAGGATCTTTACTTTATTATCTGCATATTCATAAGGAATTATCGAGAAAGAGTTAATATCAATTGAGTATAGCAAAAGATTTTTATTAATCAATCCAGAAATCAAAATATTTCCATTAAATGCTATACTACTGCAAGCATAATCAGCTCTTGGCATTGGAGTTAATTGAATTCACCGTTTTTGATGCAAGTCAAATCTACTTGATAAAGTTAAATTTTTTCCATTATATCCTCCAAAGCAATAGACGCTATTGTTAAAATAGAGACATGATGAGTGAAAGCAAGGAGTTCCAGATGGTAGCTCTTCGACTCCACCATTCACATCAATTAGCAGTGTGATTCCAGAAACTGAAACAGCTCTACCAAAACAGAATAGCTTACCATTTGGAAGTTGAGTTATGCAAGTGTTTCAGTTTAGTAGTTCTGGAGTCTGCAAGATTCTGACTTCTTCTTGGACTTCAGTTTCAGTGTTGTAAATAACTAAATTAGTTCTGTTGTTTTCAGCATCTTCTGTAACATTATAAAGAGATGTCTTTTGCTGATAAGCATTAAGATAATCTTGATAAGCTTGCATTAGTGGTGGATCATACAGATTAGAATTGCTCTGATATGCTGAGCAAGTTGCTCTAAAATCCATCTCTAATTCTGGATTGTTTGGCATACTCAAAATCTCAGCTTTTTTATTTCTTAAGGTGTCTATAGCGTTTAAAGCACTCTCTGCTTCATTTAGCTTACCGCTGAGATCATTAGTAATGGTAATTATTTGGGAATTAAGCAAGTTTTCCTCGTTTTCTGTATCTTTTACGTTTTCAGACCCTTTTAAAATCTTGCTGCTCTCATTTATTATGCTGTCTAGGCGAGCTATTTCTTCTTTAAGCCACTCGATTTCCGTTTTTTGGACCATGCTCTCTTTTCTATATTTAGATAGCTCATTTTCAAGCTGCTCATTTCTTTCCCTTTCTTTATTAAGTTGAATTTGGCAAATAGCTGCATTAATAGCAGATGTTTGTGGGATTGTAATGCCTAAACTTAGAGTTTTGTTGATTATAAACTCATGAGTTAAGATATCGAGTATTTTTGGTCTCTCTGTTTGCTGCTTTTTTAAGCACCAATCAACAAAATACCTCAATTCATTGGAATATTCACTTCTTATTGGCTTATGAGGCTCATATCCTATTTTATTTACATTAAGGTCAAAAGGCTCCTCAAGGTTGCAGAGATGATATAAAATGCAGCCAACTGCCCAAACATCACTTTCTTCAGCTTGGATGTCTCCACAATGAGTCTCAGGAGACTGGTAATTGATAACTCCCTGAACTGTTTTTATCGGTAAAGAGCAAGAAATGCCAAAATCTGCTATTTTAATATCCTTATTTTCGTCTAAAAGGATATTTTGTGGATGAAGATCTTGATGAATAAATCCGTTGTAGCGCAAAGACTCGAGCCCAAAGCAGATCTGGATAAAATATTTTCAGATTTCGTCTTCTTTAAACAGCTCATGATCTTCAATCTTGTCAGCGATGGCTTTAAGAAGGTTGCCATTTCGACAATAGTCTATGACCATGAAGAAAGTATTGCCGCTCACGAAAAAGGAGTCTAGGTGAAGCTTATATGGATTGACCCATGAGAGTACTTGCATCTCAGTTTCAATATCCTTCCAGCTTGACCCTGTGTCAGCTCTGACTACAGCCTTCATTGCGTACATTTTTCGATTGCTTCTCTTTATAGCTCTATAGATAGCTCCATAAGTTCCAAAATTTTGATGATCCTTAACTTCAAAAGTGCTTGTTAACTCTTCAGGAAAAAGCGACATCCTTATTATAAAACTTAAAGCATTAATTGCATATCGCTTTCGATTAGAAAGGCTGCTTATCTTCACATCTCACAACAATTTTCTTGGTGAAAGCATCCTTCTCTGGCTCGATTATGCCCAATAACCTGCAGTTTTTAGTTCGAGATCGATAAGCTGCTACTTGCCTTGGAAGTTAACCTTCTTTTTGATTTATCTTTCAGATAATTTGAGAGTTTTATTCCACAGTCATCAGCCCTACCACCTTGACTGACTTTCATTTCTACTGTCCTTTTCAGTTGTCTAATATCCATATGCCCTGCATGCTAGGTCTGCATGAGAGAAAAACATCGCCGCTTTCTTTTCATACCCAACTAGAGAAAGTACCCACTTTATATCTCAGAAGTGAAATGCTGTGTTTAAAGCTTTCATATCAAAAAGGTCTGGATCACAATATAATAGGTGAGAGAATAATTAGGACAAATATAAGTCTAAAAATAATTTCAGCATTGAGAAGAATAATGATGGAGAATTTTTGTGTTCATAATATTTAAAGTTTCAAATGCTTTACTGCTATTCATCAGAAAATTTTACAAAATCAATAGAAAATCATTTCGAGCTACCTGCCAAGTTCACAAATTATGTTGAGAATCGTATTAAATTTTTGCTAAGTGTCATGTGAAGTTGCATCGAAAAAATTAGCATTATTAGTTCATCTTAGTTATAATTAATTTTAAATAAAGCATCTTAAGTTATGGAATGAAATCATAATGAATGTCTCCAAGAGCGTGGGCTTTCTGATCAGGCCAGCCCAAAAGATCTAAGAATTGCTAATGGAAATTTAATGGAATACCTCCAAGAGCTATGTGATAAATCAGAGCAATCTGAATTATGAGAATGAGCTGTTTCTAATCTAAATGAGAAGAAAACTCTTGAAAGAGTAGCTAATGAATTGCAAACTTTGTCAAAAATAATCCTAATCAGTTCTTCTCCTAAACGAGGAAATCACTCCGATACTTATAAAATTGAATCAAAATTATTTTCAAGCCACAATCTTAATGCTCATTGTTGTTACAAAAGAAAAGCAAAAGAATTAATTGAGCCTCTCTCAAGTATCGATTATAAGATAGCTCAAATCATCGTCCGAGATTTATCAGATTGAACAAGCATTGAAACAACAAAAAATACTTATTTCAATAAAATCAACATTAATTCTTTATCAAATGTTTTAGCATCCTTTAAAGGTCTGCTCTCTTCAAAATCTCAAGGACTCTTATTTAATCTAATCCTATTATCCAGGGAATCCGACGAAATAACTGCTGCATCCAGCAATGCAGCAACTATTTTAGCAAGAATAAACTACTCATTTGTAAATCAAAATTTAAGCAGGATTAAAATTCCCAATGCAAACTTATCAGGTAGCCTTTTTATCAATACTAACCTAGAAAATAGCGATTTAACAAATACAGTTCTTTCTCAATCACACTTTTATTTTACGAATTTTGAAAGTTGTAAAATGGATAACTGCAAGTTTGGCCAGTTGCCAGAATTTTTGCCTAAAGAAACATGCAAAACTAAAGAATGCCAAGCTTGCTTTTCTCCGTGTGGAAAATATTTAGCAATTTCAACGAGCAAAAGCTTAAAAATAAGGGATATGGAAACATGTAAAAATTTCCGGAAAATGAAGCATGAAGGATCTTCAAAAATTTTTTGGTCTCCCTGCGGAAATTTTATTTGTTCTGTTACTCCTCCACCCATTCAATAGCTGATGAAAACACTAAATCTAATAAAATGGAGTTGAATGGAGAAAGTAGAAAGAGAAAAAGACTAACAGCTGATTTTCATATGAAGATATAGCCTACAATTTCAATGTATCAAAGTCAAGTGTTGGCGAATGGGTAAAAGACATTCGTCAATTGAAAAGGGGAGATCAAGGTTTAAAGAAAAGAAAGCCAGATGCATATTATTAGCTCTCATAATTTTTTTAATGCCTTTGCGCTTAATGAATTCTATCTAACTCTCCCCATCTTTATTTCATTAGATCTAGTAAATTTATAATGAACGATTATCTTTATATAATTTAAAATTTTTTATATTAAAAAAATGTCCGTCATTAAATGGTACCCTATTAAATGGGGGGGAGTTAGCGAAAATAATGTGAAAATGATTGATACGAAAAATAGCTATCAGGAAGTAAAGCATAAAGTTGACGTTAACCCAAAATCTTTTTGCTTTTCTAAGAATTGGAAATATTGAGGCTCTTGCAAGCAAACCTGAGGAATCCAATGCTATAGTGTAAATCCCTGGAAAAAACTTTATGGGATGTCAAATGGTAAAGAGTTTTACAAATATTACTATGGAGGTAAGTTTTTATTTTCTAATTGTGAAAATTATATGATAATTGGAAATTCTTCAGCTATCTATATTTTTAAAATAAACCCTTGAAGCCCAATAAAGCAGATCAAATGCAATTGATATTCATATTTTTCTTTATCATTTACACCATCCTCAGATTATATTTTTTTAACATTCTTAAACTGTGTCCAATTGATGAACATATGATCAGAAGAATCAATAGAAATATTAAAAGAACCTTCCTCAATTGAGATTTCTCTATATGAAAAAGAGCCATTAATATATGAGCCAGATGGCTATACCATTAAAACGATTGATTTAGGAAATCAAAAAATCGCTAAAACTTTCTTTGGAAACTCTAAAAATTCCATAACTTCAATTGCTTGCTCTCCTTGTGGTAAATATATTGCTCCGGTTGTGTCTTCGCTAAAAATTGAAACTTATGAATCCCCAGATATTTGCTCTAACATTGAAATTAATGGGCACTTAGGGATTATAAAATCTGTTGAAATTTCTGAAAGTGGCAACTATATGATTACATCTAGCACAGATCTATCAATTTTATGAGATATTCAAAATAAATCTCAAATCAAAAAGCTTCTATCCATAAATCATTATGGCAATTATCATCGCTCAGCCATATCCAGTACGGATAGCTATTTTTTGGTATTCAACGATAATTGGATGTTTATCGGCAATATTAAAGAAAGAAAAGTAATAAAAAAGACATTTAAAGACTGCTTCTCTTATGCATCATTTTCTTATTGGAGCAGTGGCTATATTCCAGATAAATTCTTAACTGTGTATTCAAGCAAATTTAGATGCTTAAAAGTGCTTGACATTGAAAATGGCACTACAAAAAGAGCATCCTCATTGATGAAGTCTACATCTAAGCCACTTGGTTTTAGCCCTTGCGGGACATATTTTTTCTCAAAATACTCTTTAAACTCGAAATTTTGGAGAATTAGCATTTGGAATACGAAAATTATGAAAAAGTTGGCACCTTTTGATACAAATATGAAAAGTATTACAGACTTTGCAGCTTCATACCCTGCTCAGCAATTTATTTTTGCTTTAATTGAGGAGAAGAGAACTGTCAAAATATTCAATATTGTAAATTATGCGAACAATGAATTGTCCAGCATAGGCTGCGCTTTTTGAAAAAATTTTGATTCAATTGAAGAAATTGGTCAAGTTGCATTTTCTTATTGTCAAAGATATCTCATAGCATGCCAAGAGGATAAATTAATTACTATATGACATTTAGAAACTGAAAATGTTGTATTGAGGATTAGCTCTTTGCATAAAGCTACAACTATCATGAAATTTGCAGTTACTTCATGCAGTGGGTATATAGTAATCACAGAAAATAATTTCTTTTGAGTTTTAAATTTGAAGTACGCTATGGATATTTTTGAGAGAAATGATAAAACATATATAAATTGCGAAATTTATAAATTATGTTTAGTGTGGCATTCTAGGGTGTTAGGGTGTTAGGGTGTTAGGGTGTTAGGGTGTTAGGGTGTTAGGGTGTTAGGGTGTTAGGGTGTTAGGGTGTTAGGGTGTTAGGGGTTGGTGTTAGGGTGTTAGGGAGGTGTTAGGGTGTTAGGGTGTTAGGGTGTTAGGGTGTTAGGGTGTTAGGGTGTTAGGGTGTTAGGGTGTTAGGGTGTTAGGGTGTTAGGGTGTTAGGGTGTTAGGGTGTTAGGGTGTTAGGGTGTTAGGGTGGGTGTTAGGGTGTTAGGGTGTTAGGGTGTTAGGGTGTTAGGGTGTTAGGGTGTTAGGGTGTTAGGGTGTGGGTTAGGGTGTTAGGGTGTTAGGGTGTTAGGGTGTTAGGGTGTTAGGGTGTTAGGGTGTTAGGGTGTTAGGGTGTTAGGGTGTTAGGGTTGGTTAGGGTGTTAGGTGTTAGGGTGTTAGGGTGTTAGGGTGTTAGGGTGTTAGGGTGTTAGGGTGTTAGGGTGTTAGGGTGTTAGGGTGTTAGGGTGTTAGGGTGTTAGGGTGTTAGGGTGTTAGGGTGTTAGGGTGTTAGGGTGTTAGGGTGTTAGGGTGTTAGGGTGTTAGGGTGTTAGGGTGTTAGGGTGTTAGGGTGTTAGGGTGTTAGGGGTTAGGGTGTTAGGGTGTTAGGGTGTTAGGGTGTTAGGGTGTTAGGGTGTTAGGGTGTAGGGTGTTAGGGTGTTAGGGTGTTAGGGTGTTAGGGTGTTAGGGTGTTAGGGTGGGTGTAGGGTGTTAGGGTGTAGGTGTTAGGGTGTTAGGGTGTTAGGGTGTTAGGGTGAGGGTGTAGGGTGTTAGGTGTTGGGTGGTGTTAGGGTGTAGGGTGTTAGGGGGGTAGGGTGGTAGGGGGTGTTTGGGTGTAGGGTGTAGGGTGGGGGTTAGGGTGTAGGGGGTTAGGGTGTTAGGGTGGTAGGGTGTTAGGGGGTTAGGGTGTTGGGGGGTTTGGTAGGTGTGGGTGAGGGTTTAATGGGTTTATGTTATTGTTGGGTGTTAT